TAGGAGATTGGTAGGCGAAGGCCTGCCAGCTAATATATACGTGGCTGGAAGATGCGGTGTAGCGCAAACCTAGTGGGGCGTGGCGCAGCTAAGTGGCTGTGCTAGTCCCGTGCAACGTGTCAGGATAGTTCGTTAAGTCCGCCGCTTGGTAAGCGACTGGTTGCCGAACCGGTGCGTAGGGACGCGTGTGTGGAATACCCTTACACTTTTACTAGTATAATAGTAATAACTTACTACTTTATTATAATATTTAACTTTTTTTTATTAATATAGTATATTTAAAATCTAAGGTTTAAATATTCTTAATAAATAAACATATTAAAGTAGTCTTATATAAAGTATATAACTAAAAGCTTACTAGTATAAAGATAGTTATAATGTTTTTACTAGTTAGCTACTAGTTTAGTAGCTAGTTAGCTACTTACTTAAATAATTTTTATATCTTTTAATATATTAATATATATATCAATATTATAAGTGTTTTTTATTATTACTAACTACTCTTTTATTTTAGTAGTAGTAGCACTAATAGTAAGCTTTCTAATACTATATTATAGTGGCTTATTATCTTAATAGCAATTACTAAGTAGTAGTCTTATAGCCTTTATAGCTATAATGTTAGTTAGCACCTTTAGTGTTTATATAATATAGGTATATTTATTACTTTATAGCAAGTTTTTAGTTAGCAAGGTATTATTTAATAGCACTTATACTAGTCTTATATTTAATTTAATAAATAAGGTAAGGGTGCCTTTTAATCTTATATATAAGGTATAGCTACTACGCATTAGCGTAAAAGGTAGCATTAGTACGTCTTCTGCCGCTAAGAGCTTGCATACTTCTTACAAAGTCTATCTTTATTAACTCTATTAAGGCTTTTATAATATAAAAGTAGTAAGAAATAAAGTATTTATAAAAGGTTATAAATGTTATAAGTAATTAAATATTTTATATATACTTAAAGGCTCTTATTTAATAATAGCTTTAACTTACTTAAAATCTATAGCTAGCCTTTTTATAATAATAATAAACCTTAAGAAGTTAATTTTCTTTTTAAAGAATTTATACTTCTTAAGGTTTATATATAACTATATAGCCTTTAGCCGCTTAAAAACCAATTAAAGGTGCTTTTTATACTTCTTTTTAGTTTAAAAGTAAATTAAAATATTATTTAAATATACTTTATAAACTATACTTACTAGCCTTACTAGTATATAGTAAATATATACTTAAAATATAGCTAATATATTAGTTAGTTTAAAAGATAAAACTTAAAAAGCTTATATTTTATTTAAAAGCAATCTTTTACTAATTAAAGGCCTTAACTTAAAATCTTATAGTACGCTTTCTTTATATTTACTTTAAAGAATGCTTTTATACTATCTAGGTAATCTAATAGTTTACTAATTAATAAAAGAAGGTAGTAGTTCTTTTTAGTTACTTAGTTTAAACTTTAATAGTTAATATATATATATAAAGTACTATTATTTTTTAAAATAAAAATAATTAAAGATTTAACTAGACTATTACTATAAGTAATCTACTTATTTACTAATAGCTTATTAATAAAGTAGTAAAGCTTATCTTACTAAGTAAAAGATAGTAAGTATAATAGGCTATATAGCACTTTTATACTATCTTTTAGCTTAATTAAGTACTTTATATTTACTAATAAAAGTGGGTTTTTTTACTTTATTAGTATTAATTACTTTAGTAAATAGTTATATATAAAATAGTAGTTACTAGCTAAAGTTTAGTAAAGCTAGATTATTATTTATAGTAAAAATATCTAGTTTATAAAGACTTAAATTTAACTATATTAAGTAAATAAAAAATAACTTTTTACTATTATATAAGCGTTAGCTTATTTACTTAAAGGTTTTAAAGACTATAATAGTAAATAACTAAGCTTATTAAATAGTATTAATAATAACGCTTAAAAACCTTAGTTTTTTATAACTTAAGATAATATCTTTATAGTTAAGGCTTATTTAGTAAATAGCTATAAAAACTTATATTAACGTATAAAAGACCTTTTTATTTATTAGTATAATAGTTAGCTTATATAAGCTATAAGCTTATAGTGCTTTTTTATTAATAAAGACTAAGTTTAAGCTTAAGTACTATTAAAGTAGCTTCAAACTAAGCTATTAAATAACCTTTAAGTTAACTATATTTAAGTTAGTATAAAAATCTAGGTTTATAATAATAGTAGCCTAGTAATTACTAAGCGTTTATACTTTAGCTAAAGTATAGTAATAAAGAATTATATTTTAGTTAGCTATACTAGTAAGGTTAATAAAAAAGAAGGCTTTTTTATTAACTTTACTAGTTTTCTTAATTAAAGTAAGTTACTTTTTAGTTATTAAGCTTTTAAAGACTATTTTCTAGTTTTACTTAAAGCTTCTTAACTTATATAAAAAGCTGAAAGTACTTTTAAAAGGTATACTTACTCTTATTATAATTTAGCATTTTAATATAATATTAATATTATTTAAACTACTAAGGTTAGTAAGTTAAAAAGTAAACTAACTTTAACTACTAACTAGTTATAAGGTTTAGTTACTTTTTATATAAAAGTATAGTTTTTTATTTTATTATTATTATAGCGTTATTTTTTCATAAGCTTACTAGCTTATATACTATTAACTATAACTATTTATTTTTAGTTATTTTATTTTATATTTTACTTTTAGCTTTAAAATCAATACTTTTTATAAGCATTAGTAATTTTTATTACTATACTAAAAGACTTACTAATAGTTTTATCTTAATACTACTTTATTAAGTAGTTATTAAGCTTTTACTAGTACTTCTAAGTAATATTACCTACTTAGTTAAAAGTATTACTAATCTTTTATTATAAGTAATCTTATTTTTACTAGTATACTATTAATAACCTACTACTTTACTAAAGCATTTAGCTTTCTTTATAAATATAGTATATTTAAGATTTTAAGTTTAAGTATTTTTAATAAATAAATATAATAAAGTATATTTATATAAGGTATATAACTAAAGGCTTACTAGTATAAAGGCAGTTATAATACTTTTACCAATTAGCTACTAGTTTAATAGTTAGCTAACTATTTACTTAAATAATCTTTATATTTCTTAGTATATTACTATATATATTAGTATTATAAGCATCTTTTATTATTAATTCGCGTATAAATTGAAAAGTAGCCGCCTTATAATTAAACATTACTTTTTATAAAAAAGAAGTTAAAGAATATAAGAGTTTATATATAATATATAGTTATAAAGGCTTAAACATGCTTATACTATTATATTAAGACTTTAACTTAACAAACTAGAAAAGACTAGTAGGTAAAGGCTTGCTAGTTAATTTATACGTAACTAAAAGATGCGGTGTAGCGCAACCCTAGTAGGGCGTGGCACAGCTAAGTGGCTGTGTTAGTTCTGTACAACGTGTTAAGATAGTTCGTTAAGTCTAACGCTTAGTAAGCGATTGGTTGCCGAACCGGTGCGTAGGGACGCGTGTGTGGAATACCCTTACAACCCTATAGGTTTATATTTGTACTACTTAGCGGTAAGCCTACAATTTTACTCCTTAATTATAGGGCTGTATATCTAAGTAAGGTGAAAGGTTTATAGTATAGTAAATTTATACTTAACACTCCCCTTAGATACACTACGCAAGCGCACCGCGATACAATAAGATTTTCCTTAAATTAGTTAAAAATAATAAATATAACCGAACTAGAGCCATGTCCTACTTTTAAGTCTTCTTGTTTATCTAAGTGTATTATAGTAACATTGGTCGCCCTTGGTAGACATAATTTAGATAAGTAATACGACTGTTGTGTTGTGACTGGGGCGATGTTTATTAGGTTGGCAGTGTTTATTTGTTACGACGGTTTTTTAACCTACACCAGGCTAAACGGGAAAGCCGATATGTAAGCCATACCCTACATATTACGCCCTGCTTTTGCGAATAGTTCGGCGGTTTCATACGATTCATCACATCTTAATGACAACATGTCTCTTTAAGCCCCGGGCCCCATAACCCTTCTTAACAGAATCTTTAAGGCTTACACGCTCAATGTCACCGTCCCCGGGTGCCTTGAGTTGCTTTGTGCCAAACATGCTGCTTATCGTGAGCATCTCCTCTTTCAGCTCCTCGTTCGACTTGATGCCGGAGTTGCAGCCGATGAACTCGGCCTCCTTCCTGTATGCCTGGAAAATATCAAACTGCAGCATGGCGGAACTTCCATCCCGCGGAGCAGCAATCCAAACATAGCGTCCTCGAACGGCCAGCTGCTCCAGCGCCTCGCTCATAAGAGCGATGCTGCCTACGGTGTCGACAACCACACTGACGCCTCTGCCCTGGGTAAGGGCCTGGATTTGTTCTTGCAGCGCAACGCTGGAATCTGGGCCAGGCAGCAGCACATCGGGAGAGTCCTGGCGCTTCCTGGACGCGACCAACACTCTCTTACAACCCAGCACCCGTGCGATTTTGACAGCAGCTGACCCGACGGCACCACTGGCACCCAGCACCAGCACAGTGTCTTCTGGGCCAGCACGAGCTCGAGTCAGACAGCGCAAGGCAGTGGTGTATGGGACGCCAATAGCAGCAGCCTGGCTAAGAGAGAGCTGGGCCGGCTTCTCCACCAGAACAGACTCGGGAATGAGACAGAACTCAGCATGAGTCCCGTCGACAGTAAAGCCAAGCTCGGAGTTGCTTGTCCCGTAAATGTGCTTGCCAACCCAAGTATCAAGTCCAGAGGACTTGTCGACCTCGACGACCTCACCGGAATAGTCACGGCCGGGGGTGCGCGGAAAGGTTGTCTTGGGAAAGCCGCCTCGGGCATTTAATCTGTCCGACGGCTGGACTCCGGCGAAACGGATGCGGACAAGGGCAAAGCCCGGCCGCACCTTAGGCACGGGGCAGGTAACCAAGGACAGTGTCGGCATAACGGAGTCTCCATGACGGGTAATTTGCAAGGCCTCCATAGCTGATTTTGCCGACACGAAAGCGAATGTTATTAAGAACAAACGAATCTATGTAAAACACAGAGTTGCCGATTGTATCTTACGTTAATATTAGCGTACGGGCTACGTAACCTATTTAGCGGTCAGCCACGGCAGACCTGTGCCACTCACTGTCTATCTAAAGGCCGCCAACCGGCAGGACGAAAACGTTACACCAGTGGCGCCAATAACAGCACCACGGCGCCGGCAGCGGCCCAGGGCCCAGCCTACGCAGACAGAGGCCGTCTAGGAGGATGCAATAGTAATAGTGAAGCACCGGGATCAGCCAGGCTAGGCTAGCATCTACAGAGTATAACAAACTTACGGAGTAGAAGGCCGTCGCTTTCGTGACTAATGTGTAGGGGATCTGTCCAGTTGCGGGGGCGACCAGAAAGCTTTAACCGGATCCGTGCAAGCTTTGGAACATGGACTTGCCAGTTTCCCGTATTGGCGAGTATTAGGTTCAGGAAAAAGTAAGGACAAAAATTGTGAGCTTTTGGGAGAGGTATTATCTACTTCGTACGATCTGTTTAGCAACCAAAATACCTGGAAATATTGTCAGAATTCTTTTTTTGGAACATACAAACAATTACGGAATCTAGAACGATCAATGCTCCAATATAGCACGGTAAATCACTCCAATAGATAGATTAGCTAGATGCTTATAGTAGTCGGAAGTAGCGATGCTTATTTGCCGCCAGCCACCGCCTCCTATAATGCAACCGCCCTAGATGTTTCAGGGCGGTATCAGGCAATTGCCGTTTTCGGACAATAGGCTAAAAAAAGATCAGCGAGGGGAGAAAAAGGCCGTGAAGAGTCATACTAGGCAGTCGATCCAGAACGTCTCGAGCTCTGATCTTCCCCCAAATTACTTCCTGGTGACCCAATTGCAATCATGGCTGCCACAGGAGCGGACGACGGTGGTCCAACACGGATCAGTATACTCGGAAAGGAGACCATTGTCGTTGACCATGGCATATGGCATAGCTTCGTCCCTAACGACTTGTTGCACAATATTGCCTCCTCCACGTATGTCCTAATCACGGATACCAACATCTCCCCCCTCTATCTCGAGTCGTTCAAGTCGGTTTTTGAGGCTGCCCGGCTGGCGACATCAAAGACAGCTACCGGCACCCGTCTTCTCACGTACGTGATACCACCTGGCGAGTCATCCAAAAGCCGCGAGACCAAGGCAGAGATCGAGGACTGGCTGCTGTCGCAGAGATGTACGAGAGACACGGTTATCATTGCGCTGGGCGGCGGGGTCATTGGCGACATGATCGGGTACGTGGCTGCGACATTCATGCGCGGCGTCCGCTTCGTTCAGGTGCCGACCACGCTGCTCGCCATGGTCGACTCGTCGATCGGTGGCAAAACGGCAATTGATACCCCTCTGGGCAAAAACCTTGTCGGGGCCTTTTGGCAGCCCCAGCGAGTGTACATAGACCTGGACTTTCTCGAGACCTTACCAACGCGCGAGTTCATCAACGGGCTGGCCGAGGTCGTGAAGACGGCGGCGATCTGGGACGCAACAGAGTTCACAGCCCTCGAAGAGGACGCCCCGGTCGTCATGCAGGCACTGCACTCCCGGCTGGCCAGCACGACGTTGGGCAGCCTCGCTCCGATTCGCCACATACTGAAGCGTATTGTGTTTGCATCGGCCCGGGTGAAGGCTAAAGTTGTTTCTTCTGACGAGAAGGAGGGTGGCCTTCGGAACCTGCTCAACTTCGGGCACTCCATTGGCCACGCGTACGAGGCCATCCTGACCCCCCAGGTCCTGCACGGCGAGGCTGTGGCCATTGGTATGGTCAAGGAGGCTGAGCTGGCGCGCTACCTGGGCGTGTTGCGTCCCAGTGCGGTGGCCCGGCTGGTCAAGTGCATCGCCAGTTACGGCTTGCCCACCTCCCTCGAGGACAAGCGAATTGTTGCTCTGACGGCAGGAAAGAAGTGTCCTGTGGACGTTGTTCTGGACAAGATGGCCGTGGACAAGAAAAACGACGGTGCCAAGAAGAAGATCGTGCTTCTGTCTGCCATTGGCCAGACCCACGAGCCCAAGGCGTCTGTTGTGGACGACAAGGATATCCGGGTCGTCGTATCGCCCTCTGTGCGTGTGACACCGGGCGTACCGAAAGACCTGCACGTCACGGTGGTGCCGCCCGGGTCCAAGAGCGTCTCCAACCGTGCGCTTGTCCTCGCGGCTTTGGGCACCGGCTCGTGTCGGCTGCGGAATCTTCTCCGCTCGGATGACACCGAGTACATGCTTTCTGCGATCGCGCAGCTGCAGGGAGCCAGCTACTCCTGGGAGGAGTCCGGCGAGGTGCTTGCCGTGCAGGGAAATGGCGGCAGGTTCACTGCCAGCAGCGAGCCTCTGTATCTCGGAAATGCAGGCACGGCCTCCCGCTTCCTGACGTCTGTTGTGGCCCTCTGCTCTCCGTCGGCCGTCTCGTCGACTGTGCTTACGGGAAATGAGCGGATGAAGGTACGCCCTATCGGCCCGCTGGTCGATGCTCTTCGCTCCAACGGCGTCAAGGTCGAGTACCTGGGCAACAAGGGGAGCCTGCCGGTCCAAGTGGACGCTGCCGGCGGACTGGAAGGTGGCGTGATCGAGCTGGCAGCGACTGTATCCTCCCAGTACGTTTCGTCTATCCTCATGGCAGCACCATACGCAAAGAAGCCCGTGGTGCTGCGTCTTGTGGGTGGAAAGCCCATATCCCAGCCGTACATCGACATGACGCTTTCCATGATGGAGGCATTTGGCATCCACGCCGAGCGATCGGAGAGCGAGCCCAACACGTACCACATCCCAACAGGCACCTATCAAAACCCAGCAGAATATGTGGTCGAGAGCGACGCCAGCTCTGCCACGTATCCCCTGGCGATTGCAGCCATTACAGGCACAACCTGCACGATCCCTAACATTGGGTCGGCATCGCTCCAGGGGGACGCCGACTTTGCCGTGAGCGTACTCCGGCCGATGGGTTGCTCTGTGACCCAGGCGATCACGTCGACGACGGTCACGGGCCCACCACCAGGGTCGCTCAAGGCCATCAGTGTCGACATGGAGCCGATGACCGATGCGTTCCTCACAGCGTCAGTCCTGGCCGCGGTTGCGGATGGCACGACGCGCATCACCGGGATTGCAAACCAGCGCGTGAAGGAATGCAACCGGATCTTGGCCATGAAGGACGAGCTGGCGAAATTCGGGGTCCAGTGCACGGAGCTGGACGATGGCCTGGAGATGACCGGACGGCCGATCGGACAGCTGTCCACTCCAGAGGACGGCATCGACTGCTACGACGACCACCGGGTGGCGATGAGCTTCAGCGTCCTGTCCGTGGCTGCGCCGCAGCCTGTGCTCATTCTTGAGCGGGAGTGCGTCGGGAAGACCTGGCCCGGCTGGTGGGACACGCTGTCGCAGTCTTTCCAGGTGGCACTTCAGGGTGAGGAGCCGGCCAAAACACACGGCGCAGCTAAGGTGACGCCGGCCGAGTCGAACCGGTCGATATTTATCATCGGGATGCGAGGTGCCGGCAAGACGACGGCAGGATCCTGGGCAGCCCAGGCTCTGGGCAGCACGTTTGTCGATCTGGATGCCGAGCTGGAACGGCGGGCGGGCATGACGATCCCTGAGATGATCAACGGCGAAGCTGGCTGGGAGGGATTCCGCAAGGCCGAGCTCGACCTACTAGCCGATATGATGCAGTCGAAGCCGACCGGGTACGTGTTCTCGTGCGGCGGCGGCATTGTCGAGACGCCAAAGGCGCGCGAGCTGCTGGTGGCCTTTCACCGTGGCGGAGGCTGTGTTCTTCTCGTGCATCGCGACACGGAGCAGGTCGTCGAGTATCTGCTCCAGGACAAGAGCCGGCCCGCATACATGGAGCAGATCCGGAACGTGTATCTGCGGCGCAAGGACTGGTTTGAGGAGTGCAGCAGCCACTACTACTTCAGTCCCTACTCAGGGGCTTCGGGCCTGCCTCAGGAGGCTCCTGCAGACTTGGACCAGCTGATAACCGTTTTGCGGGGACAGACGTCACACCTGGACGAGGTCAAGCAGAAGGCCCAGTCGTACTTTGTGTCGCTCACGGTGCCCGATGTGGCGGCAGCATCGGACGTCATTCCGCGCGTCATTGTCGGGGCCGATGCTGTGGAGCTGCGTGTGGACCTGCTCGAGAGCTTTGCTGTCGACTCGGTCAGCACACAGGTCGCCCTGCTGCGGTCGGTGGCCAAGAAGCTACCCATCATCTTCACCGTCCGCACGGTCAGCCAGGGAGGCCGGTTCCCAGACGCAGACACAGACCAGGCGCTTGCTCTGTACCGCATTGCCATCCGCATGGGCATCGAGTATGTCGACCTGGAGATGACGATGCCGGATCACGTGATCGAGGCCGTGACCAAGAGCAAGGGCAAGACGCGCATCATCGCATCGCACCACGATCCCAAGGGCACGCTCTCGTGGCGAAATGGCGGGTGGATGCCACACTTTAACAAGGCGCTACAGCACGGTGACATCATCAAGCTCATTGGCGTTGCCCGCAGCATGGAGGACAACTTTGCCGTGGCCGCTTTCAAGACGAGGATGCTGGCAACCCATGCCAAGCCCATGATCGCGCTGAACATGGGCAGCCAGGGCAAGCTGAGCCGCGTGCTGAACGGATTCCTCACGCCAGTGTCGCACCCAGACCTCCCGTTTGCAGCCGCCCCCGGACAGCTCTCTGCTCGGGAGATCCGTCAGGCGCTGTCCCTGATTGGAGATCTGGAGCAGCGCCGCTTCGTCCTGTTCGGCATGCCCATAGCAAAGTCGCGGTCGCCTGCCCTCCACCAGGCGCTCTTCGACCTGACCGGACTGCCACACACATACGGCCTGGCCGAGACGAGCAGCGTGGCTGACGTGCTCCCGATTGTCCGGTCGCCCGACTTTGGCGGAGCGTCTGTGACGATCCCGCTCAAGCTGGACGTGATGGACGTGGTGGACGAGGTGACCGAGGCTGCACGAGCCATCGGCGCGGTGAACACGATCATTCCCGTGGCAGCATCTAAGGGCGGCAAGGCAGGAGGTGCCCGACTGATCGGCGACAATACCGACTGGAGAGGCATGATTCACGCCCTCCGAGGCGCCGGTGTCGAGAGACCGTCGACATCCCAGTCGGCTGCCGGTCTTGTGGTCGGGTCTGGAGGAACGACGCGGGCTGCCGTCTATGCACTGCATGCGCTGGGCTACGGCCCCATCTACTTGGCAGCTCGCAATAGCGCGAATGCCGCCAAGATTGTCGACGGCTTCCCGGCCAGCTATAATGTGCAGCTGCTGGGTCCGTCATCGACGAGCAGCACGGGTGCAGATGCTGCCACGCCGCCTTCGGTTATCATCACTACCGTCCCGGCTGACAAGCCGCTGGATGATTCTGTTCAAGGGCTTCTCACCACTCTCCTACAGCGCTCCACAACGCTGCCGGGACCCCGGGTGCTGCTGGAGATGGCCTACATGCCGCGGGTCACGCCAGCGATGAAGCTTGCCGAGGGCTTCGGTTGGAAGACAGTCCCGGGCCTGGAGGTGTTAGCTGCACAGGGATGGCATCAGGTATGATTGCGAACTTTTCTTTTTTCCTTCATGTCGTTTTCTTTTTTCTTTCTATTTTCTAATCACGATTTTCTAGTTTCAACTCTGGACTGGCATCACGCCTCTGTATGAAGACGCACGTGCTGCAGTCATGGGCAGCGAGTCGTCTTGAAAGCCGCCGGAGAAAACTCATAGCCTCGTTTTGCCTTTATGCACGGGGCCATGTTCGCTGTGCGTTGCATACTTGGATTTCTACCTTATCAGGCTGGACACCGTTCGGTACCGAAATCCATTACACCCCACCCAGTTGGGAAAGAGACACGCAGTACAAAGCACATGATCAAAAGCAGATGCGTTTGTATAGGAAAAAATGTGTTTTTTTTTTGCCGTAGTCAGGTTTGCCCTGATTTGCCGTTATCGTGACATTGCAGTCGTGAAAACATATCAAACTCCGCTGTAAAGCTTCCTCCCTTGTCTAGCCAGGCCCATCCGAACACAAGAAAAATAGCATACTAAGTCATGTTTGTTGTATACAAAACCATTCCTTGACGAGAAAATAAGACAAAACCAAACGAGCCCAAGTTGTGATGCCCCGTCCCGCGAAACACCTTTGCTTTGTCTATACCGTTCCCTCCAACCCAATGCAACATGGACCGCCAAAACAGCAGCCCAAACAAATATCAAGAGACAATGTGATAACAGAGTGAGAAAGTGGTGCGGCTAATTGCTAGCAGGGAACTTCTATGACGTGTGGGAAAAAAAGCGAAACGGACATGGCGGACATGAGAACGCGCGAATGGCGGGACTGGAAGGACAAGGGAATATGGCAGATGACCATACGACCGAAGGATGATTGATGAATCACAAGATCGATCATCGTGGCCCACACCTGCCCTTCTTTCGCACACGCCCCCTCAACCCACAAAACATTCTAGAGGTATTAATAAAGGCGGTAATGAAAAAACGCAAGTGTAAAAATAAGAAGAAAAAAGTCGTCATGAAAAACGAAGCCGAAGCCCAACGTCCTGTTTGCTCGTGTGGAAACAAGCTTGTCTCACAATCTTTCCTGAAAGAGAGTCGCGAGCTGACGTCATAATCGTCACTTTGGGCGACGAGGGGAGTGTGTGCCAGAGGCTCCACTTCCATAATGGGCAAGGCGCTGAAAACAGAAACGGCGCGACTCGCGACTTGGCGAAAATCCGGGTGCTCTGCGCTGTGCCACGAAATCCGTGCGTCATTAGATCGCCCCGACGTAATTCCGATGAGGGTGATGCAAGCAATTTTTGTGCATCCCCCCTTCGCCTGAATTCCAGATTCGTCGTAGTCCTCTCAGGCGACGTTCGCAAGCCGCTTACGCTGTTTACCGCGTAATTCCACGTCCGGATGACAGACACGGAAATGGCGGGTCAGAGCATCGGCACGGCTAAAAGTCTTCTCCTCCGTGCAGAGAGCACAGCGCACCTTTTGCTTGCGGGCGTTGTGAATCGTATCTTCGTGTCGTGTCAGGTCGTAAGGGCGCGAAAAGACCGTGTTGCAGGGCTTGCCGGTGCTTGGGTTGATGCGCTCGCACCGGTGCGGGCCAGCCTGGGTATTCTGCAGCCCAGCTGACAGCGGCCCATCACTCCTGCGTACGCCAACCAGGGCGTTGGTCTGGCGGTGACCTTCACGCTTGTGTTTCTGTAGAAGTGCCGGCGTCTCGAAGCGCAGCGTACAGCCGTGATATGTGCAGGTGTAGGTGCCACCGTCCGCGGCAACACCGAGAGGGCGCTGCATGCTGATGTTGCCGGCTGCTGCTGAAGGTCCACCGTTCGCTGGGGCTGGCTGCATCGAGATGGCGGCGTTGTTGGCCTGCGCTTGTGGGTTGGGGGCCTGGCTCGCTTGGCTTGCTTGGCTCGCCTGCTGCGCGACAAATGGGTATTGCTGCGGCATCTGTTGTGGCATTTGCTGTGGCATTTGCTGTGGCATCGGATGTGGCATCTGCTGCAGGCCGGCGGCCATGTGCGGCAGAAAGTTGAAGCCCTGGTCAGCCATGGCAGGGTAGGCGTTGCTCATCGTGTTGACAGCAGACTTGCCCATCTGGTTGACGGAAAATCCCTGAGGATTGCCCTGCGCAAAGAGCGAGAAGTTTGACGCGTCATTCTCAGATTCCACCTCGTGATAATCGAGAACAGCATCCTTGGGCGAAATGGTCTGCGGCGGCGAGTTGTCTTGGCTGTTAACGACCATTTGGGCACGATATGCCTGCTCAGGGCCTGCTACAACCCGCGGCGGCGGCTGCTGCTGCTGCTGCTGCTGCTGGCGAGGCTGTCGGAGGGAGCCGAAGCGCAAGTTTCCGTGAGAAAAATCTTGGCTGGGAGCTGGCGCCAGCGGTGAGCCCTGGCGGAAAGGCGACCTCTCGCGACCAGCACCCGTCATGGCGGTAGAATGGCGCAGGTGCTGGCTGTTGATGGCCTGAAGCCTCTGGCCGAAGATGTCCTGGTTCTGCGGCGCGGTGCCATGGGAACTAGACGTTGACGGAGCAGAAGTCGGAATGGCAAAGTTGGAGCCGTACATCTCGTCGTTGCCGTAAGCGTCCGTCATGGTGCGGTCGAGCTTGGAATAGGTCACTGCGTCATTGAAAAAGAGTGAGCACTCGTCGTCTTCATCACGATCATCAAACACAAAGGAAAGCTCGTCCGGGGCAGACAAGATCGCGGCACTGCCACCGCCACCGCAGCTTCCACTTTCACCAGCACAGTTCTCACCATTTCGGCGCCTGGCCTCCTCATCTGGCTGGTCCAGTGATGGCGTGGAGGGCGAGTTGCTCGCAATCGAGCTCGCCACCGACACGGGCTGCGACTTGTTGGGGCCCATGGCTAGGTCGGGAGGCGGCAGAAAGCCGCGGTCGTTGTTGCTGACGCCACCAGCCTTCTGCCTGCTGCTGACTGTGAGCAGGCTGCCAAAGTGTTGCATGGGCAGCCCGCCGTCTTGTGACGCAAACGCGGCGTGGTGGCCGTTGCCGTAAAAGGCATCATGGCTGCCTGGGCCTGGGGCCGCACCGTTTGGGCCAGCAGCGATCTGCTTGGTGAGCTGGAAGTTCGGGTCGTCGTAGTAGGGAGACATGTTGGGATAGCCGTCGCCGGCGGGGTCGGTCACGGCGATGTGCGGGTTGGACGTGTTCTGGGAAAAGGGTGAGGCCGGGCCTGCAGAGGCAGAGCCGAGCGACGAGAGCGAGGACTCGCGGTGATGGGAAATGCGGCCAAACGAGCGGCCGGCAGCGAGCTGGCTATGTGGCAGCCAGGGCTCAGTATGCATGGTCAGGTCGCTGCTGCCCAGCATAGAAAAGTCGTAGTCCTGGTCGTCAAAGACGAGGTCGGAGTCGAAGGCTGGGACAAGGACCGGGTCCCGCTCGCCAAAGGCTGTCAGCGACGCCGGAAAGGCGACGTTGGAGGCGACGGATGGCGACAGCTGTGCTGAGTTGGGCGATGACGACAGGCTGAGGTTCGAATGGTAGTCGTCCAGGTCAAAGTCGGCCGCGTTCAGCGCTCCCAGCTTGTCGAGTTGTGACGGATGCTGGTTCTGCTGGTTCTGCTGGTTCTGCTGGTTCTGCTGGTTCTGCTGGTTCTGCTGGTTCTGCTGGTTCTGCTGGTTCTGCTGATTCTGCTGCTGCTGCTGCTGCTGCTGATGCTGATGCTGAAGATACTGGAGGTTTTGTTGATCAAGATGCTGCTGCGTAGTGTCCTGCGCAAACAACATTATTGTAGATTTCGATGAGAGAGATGATGATGCTCAATAGCGATAATGTTCGGCTCTTGCGACAATAGTGTGAGAGTGGTTGGGGAGAGCGAAGGGGGCAACGGTGGCGAACTCTGAGAAGTGGTGTCAAGTGGCCAGCTTATATATGATAATGTCATGAGATGACGCTCCGGCTGGCCACGGATACAGGGGAGGGGGGGTGCAAGCGACATGGGGGGTGTCTCGACAAAGCCCAGTCATTATTATGTCACCTCCACGGACTAGTGCGGCGGCCTCAGTAACTGGTACTTGCACCTGCACTGCCGGTGCCTGATTCAGCACATGGAACCCTGCTGAAGGCCCCAGAAGCTCCTGCAATGGCTCTTTGTGGGGTCTTTGTAAGCAGTGCCGCACAGGTATAGCTACATAGTCATCTGGCTCCCGGATTTGACTCACCCACCCCGAGGCAGGTCCACTTTTCTCTTTTTTTTCCGTCCTCTTTTTTTTCCCTTTCTCTGACCGCTGACGTTACGAGAGAATGACGTCGCCCAGCCTTGGTGCTGCCTGCTTTGGCAGCTTGGAAAGAGTTTTCATGCGCACAGCCACACCACTTGTGCTGGCGAGTGTGATGGATATGCAGGTACGAGTACGCAACGCACACAGCCGTTTGAATCCCATTTTTTTCTCGATTCCATCTCCTCGCAAGCGGCTTCTCCATCGATCGAGCCTCTTTGCGTGTGACGTGCCAACCCGGCCACTCCGACGTTGTTTCTGATCGCGGCCATCGTAAACGCCGACCTTTGACCAGATCCCGGCCATTTGACAAACATGTCCTCGCGAGGAGGAAAAAACATTTCCGCCAGTCCCGTCTGACACGTCCTGGTCCTCGGGCCCCTAAAATCTCTCGGCTCCTTACTTCTAGACGCTTCTAGAGGCTGCCAGAAACCCTGTCGCGGGAGTGCCGAGGTGCTGTGGTGCGTCAACCACACGGAGATGCTCTGCCTGCAGATCCGCTACGTAGCATCTCTGCGAAAAAAATCAAACCGGCGCACTCCGCCACAAGCCCCACCAATCAGCGCTCATGATAAAACCCACTAGAAAAATCTTTTCCAGAGGCCGGTATATTCCCTTTACGGACGTCTCCGGGTTGCCCAGCCCAGCCAATAGCTGCACCGCTTTCACTTTTCTTTCTTCTTTTTCTTATTCTCTTTTTCTCTTTTTCTCTTATTCTCTTTTTCTTTTTTCCGCTTTTCCGTTTTTTCTTCTTCCTCTTGAAGCCGCTGCGTCGGCCCCTCCATTATGCTCTTTCGGCCTTCGGCAATTGCATGGTGGCTGTCCGTCTGATTTTGCGAGCCCAAGCCATCACGCGGTTGTGGTCTCGTGACCGGTTTTGTCGTGCTGGCAAAGTCACGCGGGGTCGGATTACGCGCATTCCTGCCAGGTCTTGGTCATCAGGCCTTTCGCCTGTGGCCTGTCAGGCCCATCGGCTCATGCTCCCGCTCTCACGCTCTCACGCTCTCACGCTCGCTTTTGCACCCGCACTCACACTCGCACTTCGCCCGTTCGTATCCACGTCGCCGCAACGTACGTACTCGTGCATACGAACATGAAGTCGTAGTCACAATAGCCTCTCGCGGTTGCAGAGTAGCGCAGCACCCCTGCAGAGCTGTGACCTATCTTGCCTGTTTGTTGGAACCATCTCACGGGCCAGCGCCTCAATATATGCCCCGTACTCGTACAGTCTGCCCCACTAATCCTCTATCCTCACCCCCAAGTGTGTTCCGGCCAGCTGGTAATTCTGAGGCAGCCGCTCAGCCCAGTTTCCCCCCCTCTACGAACCTCGTACTCGTACGTCGTACTCTGCCATAGCCAACATGCAGCGCCATATTCCGTATGTAACGAACCATGGCATATCGGTGCCATAGCGGGGCGTCGCTATTTTTACCAGGCCTTTGTGCCGAGCTCTTGGCCTCACTGCACCGGCTGTCCTCTCTCTCGCCTCGGCCATTCTGGCTTCTTAGCGCTTGCTGATTCGGAAGGGCTTGACTTCTCCAGCGATGTGTACGGAGTATGTATCCACCAACATAGCATCTCCACATTTCTCCTGGCCAATATGCCGTCTGCGCTCAGGCTCTCATCCGTCCAGCCTGCACATTGACACTTTCCTCGCCATTTCTCTCCACAATAGTATCTTAAATTGCCACACACTACGACGTATAGCCGTCCACCCTACGACTTTCCGTTACACTCTTGACGGCCTGTACTCGACAAGGCTAAACGCCCTTGCTCTTCTCCACGCTCTAGCTCACCAGATCCAAGCTCTGACCATCTACCCTCACCCAGGGTTAACTCGCTACGAGTATGCAATAGTGAGCTGTGGGCCACATTAGTTACCAGATCCAACTATCCGCTCTGTTGCCACCGTAGATCGGCGCGATCTGCAACTGCTTACCGCTATGAGCTTCTCTGTCAGGCTGAAGCAACGCTCGTCCTGCTCGTGGGGGTTGCTGAAAGAGCACGACCGCCACAGACCTCCGAAACCCAGGTCGTCCAGTGTTGCCTTTAACATGTCTGTCGAATCCAGCATGTTTGACAACCGCGGGTTCGAGCTGAGCGTCTGCAACAGTTCGTGTGCCGACTCGAGCGTCGACGAGTTCTGACAGTGCAGCAAGACCTCGTCCAGTATCGAGGCGATGGGCGCACATCTACCTCTCGTTAGTTGCTTGACCGGCCTGGTCTGCCCGGAACCAGATGGACGGAAACTTACAGGTGCATGATCACGTTGGGCTTCTCCCGCGCCAGTTCGTTCAACCATGACAGAGTCCGGTTTTGGATCGGATCTTCGAGGTACTGGAAATCGACTAGCTCCATCGCCGTGTTTAGCAGCAGATCCTTCTCCGCAATTCGTCCCACGTCTTGAAGCGAGTGGGCCTGAGCCAGGCTCGGCAGCCCGGCTTGGCCATCGTCCAGGTGCCAAAGGCTGTCGCGCAGTTCCTCCGCGCTTCCCGCACGCGCCAGAATTAGTGCCATGTACGGCGAGCCCGCCAGGTCCGCTGCCTTGGGTTCCCGCCCAGCCTGGGCCCAGCTGCTGAGCTCCAGGAACGTAGACAGCAGCCGCAGAGCCGCCGGTCGAGTGGTCGCGTCTGTTAGGCCGCGCACAAGGCAAGCACAGACTGCGAAATGGAAGTTGTCGCTGTTAAAGTGGATCCCGTACGTCTCGTCAAGAGGCAGAGCCGCGTCTTCAAGCTGAGAGCGGCCTTGAAGAAGGAGCGGCACCATGTGGTCCCCGCGTATCTCCCCCGAGACGCTGATGTTGGCCAGCACGGATTCTAAGAATAGAGCGGTGTAGTTGAAGAGTCCCGACGGCACCAGTCTCAGCAGAGACATGGCCAACCAGAACAGCTGGAGGCCATACCGAGACGCCGACGAGAGCTTGGCCATCATCTTCGACAGTGCCGCCACGATTGCCACCGTCATGTCCTTGTTGTTGTCATCGCCGAACCGCCCAATGCTGGTCTGAAGCGCCACGAGCACCTGGTACAGAAGATCGTCATCCACCTCCTCGCGGGCGAGACAGCCCATGACCGTAAATGCCCGCGGCTGAATTGCTGGGTTGTTCTGGAAGGCCGTGCTGGCCACCAGGCTCATCCACCGAGCACGCCACGCATTGGCCGTGTCCATCGTCGGGGCCGCTACCGAGCACAGCTCAAACAGGATCGCCGCAAGACTCTCAGTGGCCACCAGCGTCGCTCCAGCGTCTTGATTTGTCGAGATCGAAGCTCCGTCTCGGCCGAACGACGTGTGATTTGAGAACAGGTCGCCCCGTTCTTCTGACAGAGATTCCAACGTCCCTCTCAGCTTTCCGAGTCGCACCTCGTCGAGAGAGAACGAGGTGCACATGGCATGGATCGTATTCGTCAGCAGACGGTGCACCAAAAAGCGTGCTCCCGACATTCCAGTGTTGGCTAGCATGGTGACAATGTGGAATATCTCGGGAAGGTAGAGCTGCGACTGGATGCCGTTGTCAAAGGACAGGGAGACACAGAACTGCAAAAGCACGCAGATCTCCGTCCAGACGGCATTGTCCGGAAGGTGCTTCGTCGGACGCACCGACGATCGGTTGAGAGCCTTCCTCAGGCGCGATATGATCTTCCCACGCAGCGTCACTGTGCCGATGCCCGCGAGTACCGAGGCAAGGCTTTCCGTCTGCTCGTCGTTGATCCCAGCCGATATTCCCATCTTGACAACCTCTTCTAGAAACATGTCTAGCAGAGTTTCGTCCTGGTAAATTGCCGGCCACACGTTTTGCTCGATTGTGAACTTCAAAAACGGATCCGACACTGCAACGTCCACCAGCTTTCTGCAGAACATTGCAATGTTTTCCCTCACCTTCTCGCCTTCTGTCTCTGCCGTCAGTACGGTGGTGCGCAGTCCGGGCAGCCAAGGAGCCATATAGGCGAGGCTCAATGGCTTCTGTTCGTCCGGAAGGCTGTCCCAGTTGAGGAAGAATGCCATCAAAAAATCCGTCGTGAGGTGCGCTTCTGTTTGTGCCAGTTTCCTACTGATATTGATAACAAACTGAGACGGATCCAGCGGCACACAAATGTCTGTCGGAGACAATTAGTTGAAAGGACAAGGCATTGCTTTGGTCATGGCTGTATCGATGGAGCTCACCTTTGCTACACAGCAGCTTGGAGGCAGACGCAAACTTGAACGACCGGCAGAGAGCACTGAGCAAGTTGTACGACGACATCCGCAAGGCATGGTCGGAACTGGCCAGGTTTGCAAGGGATATATTGAGAAGCGTCCCGGGAACATCCTGAGGGCGCACCAGTCTGCTGTAGGGCTTGGGGGTCCTGTAATCCTTTCCGTACTTTGCCTTGGCTCCTCTTATCTCCTGCAGGATATCGGACTTCTTGGGGCTCGCAAAGTACATGACAATCTTCCCGTTTTCGGCTCTTAACCCAAAAGCGGAGTCGTCGTCCGCCTGGACAGACAATGGTGCCTGTTCAATGTCTGACAGTCGGAAGATGTCGTTGAAGATGGCTTCAAGGCCGAAGCCTTGGTGAATCTCTTGCTTTTCAGTTGTGGTGATCTGAACAAACTGGCTGCCGATTTTGATAATGACGTCTATCTCTCCTCTCGATCGAGACAGCCGCGTGACTTGCTGGAAGACATATCTCGTATCGGCCACGACACTGATAGTCTCCTTGGGAAGATGAAGCTGACTAAGATGGAAGTGAGCCTGCAAATCTTGCATGCTGCTAATGAGGTGATAGTCGACGTTATCTGGGTGGAAGACACCGCCATCCAACTTCGCTGCTGTGCGGAGAGTTCGCCGGAAACATTTGCTATTGCCGTTAGAAAGCCCGGGATGAGTGCAAATTCTAGATGGTGACGCACCGGAAAGCGCTGTTCATATTGTAAATGTATACCCTAGACAGCTGCCGCGATAGCTCTGTGGGCGTGAGGAGCTCCAACTTTTGGAAAAGATCGTCCTGCGGCTCATTCTGTCCGCTGTAACACGTGGCGTCGACGAAAAGCCCAAACGGTTTGTGCCAGAGACGACTGGCAATCTGCAGGTGTGGCAGGTCAGATTACTGCTCCAAGAGCACGATGAGAGAGCTTCCGACTATGTGAGGGAAACAGGGGCGGGGAGTACAAGCCTTCAGATAGCAATAGATCAAAGTGTCAAAGTCAATCGACTCAGCGTCTATATTACGCAAAATGATGCATATGATAGACACGCCATCCTAGAGTCGGGTTAGATCGATTGCCAAGTAGACCGTGCCAGTGTACGAGTTCAATACCTTGCTCTCGCCGCCATCGTAAATGGCGCGTGCTGTAACATAGGACTCAGTGCTCCTGAATGTATTGCGCAGCATGAAGTTTTGAAATCGAGAGTATGCCGGCGGACTATTGAGCGTAATCTGCGGCTTGTTCCATGTGACAGCTAATGGAGGTGGCCCCAAGTTCGTAATGAGATTCTTCACTGTTTCGAGGGTCGGAGAGCGGGCACGAGGACCCTCTCCAGGGGACCGGACGTGATCTCGGCGCTCCTGTGATGCAAGTCGTTGCCGTAATTGGTCCCAGTGGTCGTACAAAAAGCGATGTAGAGCCACAGAGGCACCAAAATCGACCGACTCGCCCTCCGTGGGCTTCTCTATGGTGTTGGGAGCCACCTACTCAATGTTAGGATGCTTTTAACACATTCAAGTACGTTTGAACCAGATATCAACATACCGATATTGTCCTTAAAAAGGTCGTCACGTCATAGATGTTTTGTGACAAAAACTCATTGAGGGGGAACATGTACGGTTCCTTTGCTCCGAAGAGGACGTTGTTGGCTAGATTCTGGATGATCTTGGCTATCAAAAGAAGACCCCGTCTCATCTCTTTCGAAGGCACTGTAGATACCAGGCCCTCCACATCTGGTGCCACAATTGCAGGACAGAAAAATCGGAGGAATATGAAGGCTCCCACGGCTGTGTACTTCGCCTCAGGAAATCGAGTTGTCACCACCGACGAAATCTATCACAAGGACTGTCAGTTTGAAGGAGTGCCGATGAGGGGAAAGGAAAGGTATAGCAGCCAAGACAATTTCTTGGCGTATGCACGTACTATGCTGCAAATTCTGCGAAACTCTGTCGGAATTCTGGCTGCTGATATACAAATGTCATCGATAAATACTTTGGCCACAATCTGAAGTTGGACCGCATTTTTCTGAAGCTCATCCTGGGATTTGACACGAGCAGGATCGAGTTCAAAGTCAAGGTCATCAGCTGTCAGCATCAGTCGTTCGACAACCTTCTGCAATGTCGCTCTGAGATAGGGTCCACCCTTCCACTTGGCGTAAACCGAAAGCATCTTTGTGGCAACGCAGGTTCGTCGAAGAAGCTCAGACTCGTTCTCTATAATGAGGAAATAATTTGAGATTAGTATGGTCTCAAGGAAATTAGAAAAAAAGTCGGCGGAGATACTCCCCGATTGTGCTTACCGGTCTCGTCCACTTCCAATTTGATGAGTGCTTCGAGAAGTACAAAGCCTAGGCCGCGGCCCTCAAACACATTGAGGAGCGAAACCGTCAGCTCATCTACCTCAGAACCGGGACATTCAGCAGACATTGCCATGGCTAGAGTGGTGTCGTTCGTGAGAAGCTAGGATACTTGTTAGATCCTGATCGAAATCTGGCACGTAGACTTGAAGGCCGATCACTTACTTCCATCAAATCGTCGTATTTGTCGTTGACTGCCGTGTCAGAGAGATTGCTGAACTCTGTACCTTGCATGAGAATGTTGCACAAAACTCGGACAAAGGCAGTCCGGATTTCTACATTCTCATGGTATCCAATGCTGAGAGAGCGCTTCAGCCCAACGTCGAGATTGGAGCTTAGAAGATTGGAGAGGATGGTGATAGCAAGCTCCGACGAAGATGTTGTCTCATCCCGGATACTGCCGCCTCCGTATTCTGCTCGACTCGATTCAGACTGTTCCAGGTTCAGCAAAGAGAGAAACCGATTGAAGTATGTGTGAAACATGTGCGACTTCAGGTCACTTGTTCCAGCGTCCGTTTGGCCATCTCCAGGCTGAAGAGGTAGTCGGTGAGTGAGCTCGGCCAAGGCTCGTAGACATGCCCTGTCTAGATCTCGTTGTAGTCGAGCAGCCTCATCTTGACGGCCCGTGCTTCCGCCGTACGGGTGCTCGCTTGGGGAATGCGGACGCGCAATCCAGCTGAATATGACTTCGAGTAGTTGGTTTCTAATGCGCACATCATCGCGTAGGTTCAGGTGCTCTCTCCTTTTGGTCATAGCTTCGCAGAGCTGGCACGTCTTAACTTTCACCCGGAGACTGTTTGGTGTGTCGGGCAATGTGTCCAAGTACTTGGCAAAGCTGAGAGTCTGTGCCCCAAGATGAACAGACCATGCTGTTCCCAAGTCGTCGGAGGGGGAGTCCAATCGCTCTATCAAGCAACGAAGGAGTGACACTGCCTGTTCTACAAACGCAACATCACTGTCCGGATTCTTCGCGGTATGGTCTGTTGCGCCAGAGAACAACGTGTCGAGCTCCGCCAGTAGAGCCTTGAAGAGCGGCTGATAAAGTATTGGAGAGCTCTCCATCGACAACACCTCCCTCATAGTCTCTCGGGTCCGAACATTTCCACAGCCTAAAAGCTGAATGCTGAGCCTGAGAAATTGGCTCAACAGCGGCTCCTCGGAGTTGTCAGGTGACAGCCTATCGATCCATCTAAAGCCGCTGGTGGCAGGTTCCTCAATAACAGCACCCTGGCCAGCGGTGCAGATGCCTCCGAGGGAGGTTAGAAATCCAGAGTAGTTTCGCCATGCAACAATGTTTTTCTCGGCAAGTGCATCTGGAGCTGCGGTCGTTACATCCTTGCAGAGCTGAAGCCATTTCTCAAAAGCAATTTCCCATGCCCTGAGGATACCGCAGCTGGGGTATTGCATCCTTCTCAAGAGACCGTTGACCCGTCGCTGGAACGCGACTAAGCCGGTAAACCGAAACTCTCTCGACGAAATTTCACGGAATATGTCGCCGTTGCGTAACAAGGTAGACGACGATTTTGCACCTTTTGAAGCGGTGTCGATCATGCTACACTCATCCAGAAACAGCCCGATGCACGCTGTCACCAACTGACACGTCTCGATTTCCGAAGAGCATAGTGAGACAAGAAACAGTGTTTCCAGCTTTGTTGAGCATGCGGTGCGCTCGGTAATTTCCTCGGTAAATTCTGACAGTTCCTTTGAAAATTAGAGACCACCACCTGACGAGACTGTGCTGAACAACAGGTTTCTGTGACTTACCTGCACAGATCGCAATAGCAGAAGGCGGGACTCAAGATAGTTGTGAATCGAGTGCAGTCCCTCTCCGAGGCTGAAAGGACTGACTGAATCACACAGAGCTTCCAAGATACGCGACCTTGGGTCCTGTATTAGTGAATGCCGAAAAGTGACAAACAGACAGAGGATACTTCCGGGAAGGGATTGAGGATGACTTACGACAACTTCCAGAAGCCAACTTTGAATTTCGAAGAAGGGAGCAGTGAACTCCGGTGACGCAGAACAGTTTCGTTGGAGAACAGCTGCGGTGCGATACCGACAGCTAGCTGCCTTACCGAACTGTCTGCCACAATCATGCAAAGCATGAATGCTTCGATATTCTCCCGGTAAAAAACGACTTGGTCTTCAGGTTTGCTGGGTGCTCCTTGGAAAAGGGTCAGGGGAGACGAGTTCAAGAAGCCGAGTATGCTGCATAACATTGCGATAGATTGACCCATGTTGTTGGACTTTGGCAAGGGATTAGGCCCAGCCGCGAAGGCAGTCATCAGCTGGGAAGATATAGCCTATAAATAAAAGAACTATGTCAGTCTTGCCTTTTGCTTTCTCACCAGTCCGAAAGTGAACCATTCAGAAATTAACTAACCCTCATTTGAACCTGCACAAAGGCTGAAGCTGCCGTGAACAGTGGATCATATCTCGTTATATTCTCGAGCTTGGCAAAGTGCGAGCAAGCCTGGATCACGGCAACTTTGAAGTTGTGCGGTGCGGATGCTGCAAGACAGCTCTCAGCAAGAGAATCAACGCACATTTCAAAGTTGATGTGTGTCAGACTGACAAAGGCGGCTGTCAAAAACTCTTGGTCATAAAGAGCCATGTCGGGTCCGGTTGGAAGTCTGCGGAAGATGGCATCCCGGACTTCATTTTGTACGTCCATTGCATAGCTCATGAGGGCAGAGTCACCCTCTGCCTCAAAGTGCCGGGCGACGTAAAGGAGAGCCACGTGACAGTAAATAGCCTGTTCATTTCTGTTCCGCAATAACTTGCGTAAACTCTCCAAGAAGGCGGCCTTTTTTAAGACACCACCGCTCCTGGCCTCTCGCATGTTGCTTGCAACCTCGAACACGTCTGGAATAAGAAAGAGTAGGGCTGTTTGCAAGGGGTATAACTGGCCCTTCCTCCGTCCATTGTCCGTCACAGTTGCCGTCATATCGAACAAGATCTCAGGGCCTCCATCAAGGCGAAAATGCGAGGAATGCAATTGGACGAATTCTTGGGGGAACCGAGAAATCCATCTGGTGATAAGAAGAGGTACAGATATGGCGAGGGCGTTCTGGAACGGCTTGCGGAAGTGAAGAAAGCTCGAGCAGGTCTCTTGGATGACTTGGCTAAGCCCGTGGCGGTCCAACCAAAAGAAGGAGACTATGCGAATGTGGACGAGCGCTGCTCTCTCGTCGTCAGTAGAAATCGGGCTCGAGGGTGGCATTGGCTGGGTTGGAGCGGTCGATCGGATCTTGTAGATTGAAGATTTGTAGTACTCAAAGGACAGCTGCCAGCTGGAAGCTGTCATGTATTCGACAATGTTTTTGACATGGCTCTCAATCTCCAAGACGCGAGAGTCTAGCACATGTGGGGCGTTAAAGGACTCTTCGGATCGTGCTGAGAGTGGTGCTTTTAAAGATTCTCCCCAGAGGCCGGCGGCATGGGAAGGTTGGGACTCGACTTCGTCGAGTATTGATTTCGGCAGGAGGATATAGCCCTCGGGCAAGGGGGGCATGAAGATCCGGATGGCCTCGAACACTCGGCGGATGAGGGAGCTGTCGATAGCAACAGAAGGCGGATGCAATGCCCGTCGTCGGCACCGGATAAGGCCCTGTTCTGCGGTCGACCGGGCTCTAGACACGGTATCCCAATGACTGGAACAGCAGTCGGAGAGCAATGCCAGCACGAACAGCTCGGACAGCAGAACATGGGACGGATGTGTCGACACGTTCTTGGTGTACGGGCGGGCCAGATCTTCGAGGAGCGACAGGAGGGCATCGAGAACAATGACGAGAGATGTGGAGCTGACTTGGACGAGGGTCGTTCGCGTGATGGTCACGATTTGGTCGTGCTGAAGACTATCGCCGTGAGTTCCGGTCCTATGGGGTAGCTGCAAGCATCGTGTCAACACACCGGAGCGGCGCCGGCAGGATTGGAGGGGAGTTCAAAGGAAGCAATACCCTGGTGGTAAGCCTCTCCACGAGACAGCCTACGAGGCCGGCGTCGCCGTTCATTTTGCAGAAAAGAGCTGAGGAAAAGGGCCTGGTCTGGAAAGCATGGCTGGTCGACGTGAAAGGATCACCGACTCTCGGGCGAGATCATGATGGAGAACAGAGGAAGTGCGGTAAGTCGTTGAATGCCTTGCAAGTGAAAGGAGAATGCCTTCCTTTGGATGGGGGGATGGTTGAGACAACTGGCGGGAAAGATGCTGCTAGCCAAACGTGACGGGCCGAAGAGAAGGGGCTGCAGGCTCTCAATGGGTGAAAGGGTTGGAATGTTTGCCAGCCGGTAGAAACTGTGCTGTCACCAACCTGATCAACTGTCGACCCGGAACGCGCTGTCGTCGGCGGGACGTTGGACGGGATAAGTTGTGCTTTAGCTCACGCGTGGCAATGTTAACGTTGTTGGAAGCGTTTTCGTCCAGACCGTTGGCTCTGTCCGTGTGTGTGGTGTACGCCCGAGCTATGGCGCCTTGCTTGTCCGTGTATCATAGACGGGACCAGTGCGCGGGGTGTTTGGACCCTCCCCCCCGCAGTCCACTGAACGAAAAAAAATTCGAGGAATTGGCAAGTTCGAGAAATATGCGCGACAATTGCACCCAAACGTCGCTAAAGTGAAGCGCAAGCTCCGTCGGCATCTCCTCTGTCGTCCTGCCCAAACAGACCTCAAACATGACACAAGACGGCCTGCCACAGACACGCACAGAACGGTGCCTGAAATTGCAGTACCTGCTTGGTTCTACGGCGTGCAATGTCTCGGTTTGCTGACATGATCACAGTCAGGTCTTCTCAAAAGCCATTGTGTCAATTAGGCATATACGACGTACGACTGTCATGCTTTTCAGATCAATCTGAAATGAACCCAGTCTGTGCCCAACACCGAACCCTCGTATATAGCTACGTCGTAGAGAACAACTATTCACCACCGTCCCAAATGCGTGTCGCCCAGCCTCAGCCCCTGAAAAAAAGGGGGAGAGAGGGGGGTAGATCAGATAGAGAAAAAAATAAAGATGAAAACCTCGCCGCAAACATAGTGGCACAACATCAAGACCGTCCGTCCCATCTTACCGGTATCTCCTCGTGTCACGATAGCCTTGAGATTGATTGTCAGCCGGCCGGTAGTCTTGACCACCATACGCTGGTGGCTGCCGTGCTGGATGACCATAATTTCCCGGTGGTGGAGGTGGCCCGTAATTTCCATTGTAGCCTTGGGTCCACCCATTGTTCCCGCCGCCGCTGTACTGCCCGCCACCATTGTAGTGCCCACCGCCGTTATATTGTCGACCACCGTCACCGCCATAGCTTGGTGGCGGAGGCGGAGGCGGTTGGCCTGTCCCAAACCCTGGGTATCCTGGGGGTGGCGGTATCCAGCCCGACGTAGCTGGTGGCGGGTAGAAGCCCCGTCCGGCTTGATTGTTCTGTGGGTATGATGACCGATCCGGTCGTCCACCATGATGCGAATGTGGCCCAGATGGAGCATAGGAGGATTGCTGACCTCTGCCCCCACCGTTGAAGCGAGGTCGACCGTTGTAGTTGTTATTGTTGTTGTTCCCTTGAATTCCTCCAAAGCTGTGTCCGTTCCGTGTCGTTTTCCCCATTAATGTCTCCTTGTCGTTACGAGTGAGCACTGGGCTGGGGAGTTTGGCACCACGCAGCAGCATCGACTTATGGCTGTGAGAGGTCGCGGGAAAATCGTAGATGACACTTTTAAAAACACCAGGTTAGTTTGTGCTCCCGGAAAGAGAGGTGCAGTTTCGACACTTACGTGAGTGACCGATCGTACTCAATATCGGGAAATGCGCTCCGGTCCAGGGGATAGACCAGGGAACCATGTGGGATATAGTCCTCCATCTTCTCCACCATGCCCGCGAGGCCAGCACTGATACGGGGGTTCAGCTTGAAATTGGTCGTCCCCTGTCGTTTGGAGTAGAAGTGACCAGTGATCTCGTCATAGAGCTCCGTATTGGCATCTGACAGCAGCATGACAACCTTCCCGACCCCGTTGCGAACCTGATCTTCTGGACTCAGAAGTGGATATTTCTTTTCCACGGCCGCTAGTAGGCGCTTCATATCGATGAATGGAAGCAAGGCCACTCCCTGCCATGCAAACTTCTTCCCATTTAAATCAATATCAAAGTCGACTGGATAGAAATCGATGATTTCACTGTCTTCATTTGTCATGAGGTCATGGAAAATTTCGGGGATAGCATGTCGCGATGCTGCCGGAAGCACGCTCATGAGTTGTTCAAATGGCCTGGAAATACGGCCCTTTTGGAATACTAAATCCATCTTTCCGAGATCGACAAAGTCGGCCGCAAAAGGTGCATAATGGTATGGGTAGTACCATTCCCAGGACGGACATCCCTGAAAATAGTACAAGAGAACCCAGGCCAGCCCTTCCACGTAGGAACGTGCAACACCATGACGAAACTCCACGTCCCTGGGGTCCACGTGAAACTTTTGTTCGTAGTACCGGTTGGCATATCCTTCGTCCCACATCCGTACAGTGTCGACCGGACCCTCTTCCGAGGCGACGGCTTTGGGCGTGCTGGCGCCGCTCGCAGGCGTGCTCTCACCGCCACCTTCTGCCTCCATGAGAGCGGCCTTCCGCTTACCCAGCGCAGCAAGCGAGGATCCCTCTGCTGTTGTCGCAGTGCCAGCTTCGACCTTGTCATTCGCAGTAGGACTGTCCGTTTCTGTGGACGGAGTCTCGCTCTTGCTTTCTCCTTGAGCTGCGAGAATCCGATCCCGCAGAACAGCGGCGGCACTTTTGTTTGCCACATTTGCTTCCTGAACTGCACTGCGATTGACTACCATGTCATATGTGACAGACGGAGTGGGCTTTTGGGGGAAGTTTGCGATGGGGTGAAGATGCAGCCCTGCTGTGCTTTCGGCAAAGCGGCGATCTCCTCCTGGCTTGTCAGAATTTCTGGGATTGCCTCGCCCATTTTTTTCTTGGAGCCTGCGCCTCTTGGCGTTTTCTTCTCTCCGGTCTTCTTGCTGCTTTCTGCGTCTGAATATACCATCTTCTTGCTTTGCAAGGCCACTCATGATGTATTGTGCCCGTTCAAGGTCAACGTGGCCATCCTTAGTAACGTAGCCATTCATGTATTGAAGATTGTCCTTCCATAGGCCAGTGAGTGTGTTGATGCCGTTTTCACGGATTTCAAGGGCAGGAAGATGTGGGAGGAAATCGTTGCCTACGAAACAGCAGAGGAAAATCCAGTCATCTATGGCTCTTTCCAGGTCCCATCGGAAAGGCAAACCAGGAACGTCGAGCTCCACAGCAAGGTACTCCCGGAGAACAGACACGTGGAGCCAAATGAATGGCTTTAACGGGTGCTCTTTGTCCTTTTCGTCGAACTCACCATCCTTTTCTTTGACTTCACCTTTGCAAGCACTTGCTTCGTGTCCCTTCTGCCCACAAAGCCTGCATGTCCTCGCCTTGCTGTCCTGAAAGAAGACGTCCTCACGCAGGACACGGAAATATGGCTCGTGCGTAGCCAGGCTGAGCATGATGAGATCTGCGTCCAGGCCGTAAATCACATGCCTGGTATTCGGGTCATGATCAGGGGAGGCTCGCTGGGAACGAACAAACGACATAATTTTGTGCTCGCCCTCTCCTGGGACACTCGCATCCGAAATGATTATCTTCATTTTTGCCCATGCTGGATCCGTATTCAACTTATAGGCGCACCAGTAACGTAGACTGGCGGCTAAGATGTCCATAAACGGCGTTCCTGGAGTGATAGAGTTGGAGTCAAAAGCCTTCTTGGCGGCGGTTTCAAGCGTTTCGGTGGGAAGAACACCTCCATTCTGCTGTTTGAGCAACTTCAGCAGTTCCTTCTTGTCCTCTTCTTTTTCTTGCGCCTCCTGAGCAGATCGGAATCGCCGAGAGCGTTGTTGATTCATTTTGGCGCGAGGAGCGACACCATCTATCAGAAATTAACGTCAGCAAAAACTAGACTTTGTGACTTAAGACGACCAATGCAGAAACACAAAGCTTACCAACAGCAATCATCAACAACTTCCGAGGCCGGACCATATTGACAACACGGTCAGTGTATCTGAAGATCTCGAGCATCATCTCCTCCTCATCTTTTGGCGCAGGACGGTCTTCGGGATGGGAACATGGGTGGACAATGCCGTTCATGTCGAGGTAGAGATTATCGAACTCTTCTCCATTTGGATTTGGGCCAGATGTGTCCACGGGGATGATAGTACCATCTTCCATAGTTTGAGGCTGCTGCTCAACAACTGGAGATATGATCTTCGGGTACTTGTTCGAAAGCCATCGGAACGCAGCCGGGATACCCATGATTGCAAGCTGGTAGTGCTAAAAGAACCAAATTTTCGGAGGGCGTTGATAGCTTCTTTGAGCTTTCACCAGATGCGCGCTGGTGGCGCGATCAAACCAAACACAGAATCTTCAGATTTATTTTATTCTTTACGTTCCATCGGCTTGAAATACTCGGGCCTGCAACGTATGCCTTCGAATATGTTTTTACCGGGAAAGGAAAATTGGCTTCTTTGTCGAGCACCTGGCGCTGGACTCCGTGTATCGTGGATCGTTTAAGCAGTTTTTCGTGACCCGAGGTATGGTATACTTTCGCTTCTACCACGTCTCACAAATTATGCGGAAAATGGGAAAGTGGTATTGAGCGACACAGGTAAGATTTATATGATTCGAAACTCCGGACGCGTGGATGTAAAAGAGATCGAAAGTGGACATTCGCAAGTTCAATTTCTACCTGTTGGTCGCGACGGAAAGCCACATTCCAGAAGTGTGGCTGAAGTCATAATATGCGTTAAAGCGTGCGTAATGCGTTACGACGCAGTACTCCGTACTCCGTATTGCATTGCTAGTGTACATCCGGATACGAGACTAGTCTTACTAAACCGTTCCTTACACGTAGTTCGAAGCTTCTCAAACTCCGCGGCCACTTTTTGAAGAAATAAGGGGACCGGGGGTAAAATGAATTCGAAATACGACCTTGACTACGACACACGACTTTATGACATGGCATGATGATTGCTTGCAGGACAAAATCTGGTCGAGCTCATTAAGCGCAAGAAATGCTCTAACGTGGAGTCCCAAGACCGAACAAAAAGCCACAAGCGGCACTCCATGGCTGCTTACTAGACGTTGCATTTAAAAACGGAAATGTTTGCTTCTATCGCGACCGCCCCGGCCAAACAGTCGGTTAGCGAGACAATATCGGTGCTTAGCGGACGGTTGAGCTCGGCCACTTTGCTTGAGGATCGCCGAGCAGCCATTCTTGGTCTTCGAAGCTTTGCGAAGGAGTACCCAGCGTCTGTCTCGTCAGGGGCTCTTCGGAGCTTAATTGGGTGTCTAGCACATGATGGCGAGGATGTCGACACTGTGAAGGTGGTGCTTGAGACGCTGCTTATGCTCTTCAGTCCCAACGAAGATAGCCCCGAGGCTTCAGAAGAGATCGCCCTTTGGTTGGCGGACGAGTTCACACAGAGGCTGGAGAACATTACTCTGCTTCTTGACTTTCTTGAAACCAACGACTTTTACTCGCGGCTATACTCTTTACAGCTACTATCTGCTATACTAGCTGCCCGAACGGAACGGACAGAAGAGTGTATATTCACCGCCCCATTAGGTATCTCGCGTCTTGTCGCTATTCTCGATGACAACAGAGACGTGATACGGAGCGAGGCGATCACGCTTCTCACCTACCTGACACCTTCGTCGCTGGAGATACAGAAGCTTGTCGCCTTCGAAAATGCATTCGAGAGGATATTTAAGATCATTGAAGGGGAGGGCGGCGTTGCTGAAGGAGGCCGGGTTGTCGAGGACTGCCTGATTCTCCTGGCCAACCTTTTGCGCATGAACCCTCACAACCAGACACTTTTCCGAGAGTCTCTGTGTACCGCTGTGCTCTCTAGAATTCTTGGGGAAGTTGCCTCATCAGCCATAGAGCAAGACGAGATGGCTGGCTGGGCGCAGGCCCAGCGTAATCGGAATGTCTACGCCCTTCTGGCAGTCGTTCGTCTGTTTCTGATGTCTGGTGCGGTTGGTACAGTACAAAACCAGGCAGAGTTCTGGCGCACTGGCCTTCTCTACCATGCCTTACAACTAGTGTTTATTGGTACTTTTGAGGTACAAATTCGCGCCGAGGTAAGTAGCGGGAACGCTTTTATAGCGAGAAGTGTGAGTATGTTGTAAGCTAATTCGTGATATCAGGCTCTTTCAACATGTGCTGCTATTATTCATGGCAATGCGAGTTTGCAGGAGAACTTTGCCCAATTGCGTGTTCCTTCACCGCTTAATAGCTTTTCAGTCGGAGGCGATACTGAAAATCACAGCGTCGGTAGTTCGCATCTGCCCGATGAAGTGTTTGTGATCGACGGGCTGCTAGATTTGGCTTTAAGTGTACATGCTCCTCATCTGTTCGATATGAGACTAGCTGCAGCTGCATGTATGAAGGCGTACTTTTTCGGGCATGAAGTTGTGCGCATGCATTTCTTACAGAGGGCAATCGACGGCCACAATTCCGGTGCCGACGAAACAGCGAACGTGTTTACTACTCTACTTCGATCACCGACTTCATCTTGCTCTAGCGATCCCTACCGCCAGTGGTTCGCTGCTGTCATAATGCTCCATTTGCTCTACGATAATTCAAGGGCCAAGGCTTTGGCGATGACGGTGACAGAAGGAGATGAGGCTAGCGGGGAAGAAGTGGTGACAAGCATTCAAACTGTCACGGCACAACTTCTTGGTAGCATAAGTAGAGAGGATGATCCGCGGATTGCAGTCGGCTACCTAATGCTACTAATATGCTGGCTGTTTGAGGATCTCGACGGAGTCAACGACTTTTTGGGTGAAGGAAGCAATGTTCAGGGCCTGATACAGGTAGTAGTGAAGACTACTGGCAGTGACATTGTCGTTCAAGGGCTTTGTGCTCTCCTGTTAGGAGTTGTGTACGAGTTTTCTACCAAAGACTCGCCAATTCTTAGGCAGAAGCTGCACGAAGTGCTTATGGGCCGGATGGGCCGTGATCGGTACGTCGACAGGCTTACCAAACTCAGGGCACATCCATGGCTCAGGGATTTCGAAGTCACCCCTCAAAGGCTTGATCTCGCGGGGAGCCAGAGACTGCCGGACGTGTACTTTGATATTACGTTTGTCAATTTCTTCAAAGACAATTACAGCAGGCTTCTTCGCGCCATTGACAGGGACCCGGGGACAGAGATATCGTTCGTGGCCAACGGTGTCCAGCAAGGCATATCCCGAGAACTGGTGGACTCACTTCGAGCCGAGCTGGGCCAGAAGGATCGTATTTTGGGAGAAGCACAGGAGAGATTGTCTTCTCTCGAAAATGCGCTGGGTCAAGAGCGCTCAGATCACAAACGTTCTAAGGAGACCGCTGCCATTGATCTCAGTAAGGCCAAGGCTGCGCAAGACCTGTTGTCCCGGAAGCACGAAGAGCAGATGCAGTAAGTGGAGATGCCTGTAAGACCATGTGTGGACCACCGTCTAATAAATGTGTAGACAAACTCGCGCAGAACGCCAGAAGGAGAAGGCAGACTGGCAACGACAAATGGAGCAGGCAAGGAAAGCTGCGGAAGCAGACGCAGCACGAGCTCAGCGGCGTTTTGAGGCAGAAATGGCAGACCTCAGAGCTACAAGCAGTCGCCTTGAAGTGGACTTGTTGAAGGTATACGCATTTTACCTGTATACAGGTGCAGGCACTTCTCATACGTGATTGGGTAACTAACGCGATATAGGCAAACAAGAGCAAGTCCCAGGAGCTGCAAAGCATCCGTGAAACGCACAAGGCCCAGCTTACTGAGGCCGAAGCAACAGCCGCTGATGCAGCCCGGCGGATAAAGGCTTTGGAGGGCAAAGTTGCCACCGCAGAGAAGAAAGCCGTGGAGCTGAGGGAAGCTCTGGAGACGACCGAAGAACAGAACAGAGAGCTAGCAGAGAGACTGGATTCTATGGAAAAGGACACGAAGAAGGTAAGCAGTACTACTGCTACTTGCGTCGTGTATAAGATACTGACTTGCCGCATAGGTGGAGGCTTTGTTGGTCGAAAGCAAGGAGGAAAAGAAAACGACGCAGGCGGAGTTGGATGATCTTCTCATGGTCTTTGCGGATCTGGAAGAGAAGGCAAATGGGTATAGGGTGAGTTTGATGCGAATTGGCAACAAGTTGTTTTACACCGCACGCCTGCTGATCTGTTTGTTTAGGAGCGTCTCAAGGAACTTGGCGAACACGTCTCTGACGACGAGAATGACGAGGAAGACGGGGACAGTGACGAAGATGACGTGGATTGATGAGACGGGTGTTGACGAATGTGGCATTCTTCTGTGGGGCAACCGACAGCGACATGGAACCCACGAGGTCAGCGAAAGAACCGAATCATTGTCAGCCAATCCTGGATATCGATGTATGCAGCACAGCGACGCATTGCATGGACGCTATAGGGTCGCAAACCCCGAGCATTTGAATTGAGATAGATGTAGCACGCATTATTATTACTCGCTGCTTCTGTGGAGGGGAACAAAAAAGTAGGCTAAAAAAAAATCTAGAATTGGCGGCCTTTTTTTCGGCGGCCACCCACAAACAAATCCGCCCTCCAGCATATTGTATTTGAGAAAGCTGTCTCCCCACGTCACGATGACGAATTACAGATCTCAGAGCGGTAGCGAGTCGTCCGACGAGGAGGGCTGGCTCGACACCAACCCCGGCGACGACGAAGAGCCGCAGGTGGTCATCTCCCTACTGGATGACCATGTGTTCCAGGACGCTGCAGCAATGCTTTCATACTGCAAGGATGAGCACAAGTTTGACTTCCTCGCCATTAGAGACCGACTAGGCCTAGACTTCTATGGTTGCGTCAAGCTCATTAACTTCAGTGAGTTCCTCCCGACGGGACGAACGGTTTCTGTTGCAGGAAGGTAACGCGGCATCTAGCTAACCAAAAACTGTCCGTCTGCAGTTCGCCAGCGTGTGCATGAGGGACTGTCTGTGTCGAATGACTTGCCTGCTGCCGACTTTGACCACGACCAGTATCTCAAGCCGGTGCTCGACAACGACGCCCTCATTTTCTGCCTAGACAGCCTTCCCGCAGCAGGTCAGCCGCATGATCAAGTTGCAGCAGAGAAGGTCGCTTCAACAGATTCCAACGAGACAGGGAAGGTTGAAAGCAACGAGTCACTGTCCAAGGATGTCCAACAGAAGAACGAGGTTTTGCAGTCTGAGCTGGAAACTCTCACAAAGCAGTTTGAAAACTATCGCCTCGCTGTCCAGAAGACGCTTGATCAGCGATGGGGCACCAACGAGCCAGAGACGGATGCAAAGAGCTCGCCCGCGAAAGACGGTGCGACCAAGCCGAAGAGTTCATCCGATTACTATTTCGAGTCCTACTCATACAATGGTGCGTATAGTTTTCTCTTGTTGTTGACCGTCCGGCGGCTGTGCGGTAGAATATGCACAGGGGCTTACATCGAAACAAAACAGACATCCACGAAACTATGCTGAAAGATGCGGTGCGCACTGATGCATACCGTGATTTCATCTATGGGCACAAGCATCTCTTTGCCGGGAAGACTGTGCTTGACATCGGATGTGGAACAGGTAAGCAACTTGTCCTGCGAGAGCGAAAAGACATATTTCTTGGCAGTGTCTCTGACATCCCGATAGGTATTTTGAGCATGTTCTGTGCGAAAGCGGGCGCAAAGTTGGTCATAGCCGTTGACAGGTCCGAAATCATTAACAAGGCCCGTGAGAACATCTTCAACAACGGACTGAGCGATCAGATCACCTGTCTTAAGGGCCTTATTGAGGAGGTTGAGCTCCCCGTTCCCAAGGTAGACATTATTGTAAGCGAGTGGATGGGTTACGCTCTTTTGTACGAGGCCATGCTTCCCAGCGTCATCTACGCCCGAGACAAGTACCTGGTGCCTGGTGGGCTGCTGGTGCCGAGCCACGCCTCTCTGTGGGTTGCACCAGTTTGCGACTCGGAGTACGTTTGCGACAGTATCACGTTTTGGCGAGATGTCTACGGCTTCGATATGAAGGCGATGCAAGCCGGGATTTACGACGATGCGCGAGCAGTGGTCATGCCCTCGAAAAACATTTGCGGCACTTCAAGCATGTTCCGGCTATTCGACCTGCACAAGACGACGGTCAGTGATCTGGTCTTTGGTGCCGGCTGGAAGACATCGCTGTATGAGAACGCGGACTCTCTTGACGGCTTCCTCGTCTGGTTTGACATATACTTCTGCACATCACAAGAGGCGAAGATCGAACCCGCTGATGCGACGGCCCAGAGCTGGTTGTCCGCTGGCAAGGACCGAGTTGCATTTACCACCGGGCCATTTTCTAAAGCAACACACTGGAACCAGTGTCTGCTGCTCTTGGAGTCACACTCAAAGCAGTTAGGACATGCAAAAGGCCTCGACCTGTCAGGCGAGATCTCGTTTGCTGTGGCTCCGGACAACCCGCGAGCCTTGACACTACGGATGAGTTGGACACCAAATTCGGCTTCTGGCGAAGCTTCTACGCAAAAACAGGCATGGGCGTTGAACTAGAACCCCGGTTTAGGCAGATCGACAACATAATCAGCATTTTGGGATACAAATTAGAGATCAGTTAGCGACTAAGGAAAAAAAACCCAAAGTCCGGCCGATTCGGGTTCAGAGTTGGCAAATAAAATGTTACATGCGTTATGCGATTCCCGCTCTAGTTTTATGCAAGATGTTCTTAGTCGACTGTGAATTAGGCGCAAGCAGAGACCTCCAATGGCCCGTAAGTCCAAACCCTGAACATGTGTCTTCTTGTCTATAGATGAGGCACGCCACTGCTCTGCAAGAAGAGGTTGACGACACTGAGAAATCCCTCGCCGAGGATAAAGCCCTATGTCGGCAAAGTTAGTATGGGTAGTGCGATAGGGGAGGTGTATTGAGGAAATCTTGCGGCTACTAACCGAACTAAGAACGATGGCCTGAGTTTCATCGCGGCCGGACAACCTCCAGTATAAAGCCAGAAGGCCACCAACGCTCCGAGCAAGAGTAAAAGATGGGACGTTGTACATTCCTGTTGGCTTGTTAATTGGGGCTGCTGTGGCAGTTGCCATGGGGCAAATCTCAAAAGGACATACCAATGGCAATGGCGATGCCTCCCGGAATGTACGCGTGCCAGCGGCTGTTGGTAGCGTGTATCCGCACGAGGGTCAGGATAGCAAAAAGAACAGCGGCACCAACTGCCCACTGGGCAGCCATGGTAGGCAGACCATTTCCTGTCACCAAACGAGCAGTGAAAATCCACACAAACCCGGTGGGGATTTGGAAGAGATCGGAGGGAATTTCATAGGCCCTAGTATGAAAGCCGGTATCAGGACTAGACATTCGCGGTGGAGTCTTGTAGTCATAGATCGTGTGAGACTTACGTGGTGTACAGACGGTATAAGAATGCGCTGACAACGGCACCAACACTCGTGCCTATGACCTGCCCCCAGAATTGGGCACTTGGTGCTGCCCCAATAAGATGACCAGTCTTCAGGTCTTGCATCAGTTCACCAGCTTGAAGGGCACCCTTGGTTGGATGGTGGCCACAGTGTCAGTCTACCACTACTTGCTATTTTTCCCTCGGGTGTTGATGCGATTAAACTTACGGCTTCTGAAACGGCACCTGCAATCAGATTTATCAGAACACTGTACTTGTGAGATCCAGGTACAATCAGTGCGAAGAACAGCTGTGTAAGCTTAGAGATTCCCGAGACGGGGTTCAGATCGGTCTGCAGCGCAATGTTAATAGGGAAGGGGACAAAATCGACAGCTGGAGCAAGGACCACATCGACCACACCGACCACATACCTCTCCCAGCGCTCTAACGCCCATGATGCTGAGAACTAGGGCCATCATTATGGAAATGACAATAGCGTAAAGAGGCACAATGAGCCCAAATGTAAAGCGAATGCATGCAATACAGAACAGTATGGACAACACGAGTCCAATGGACACAACCTTTGTCCCGACCTGCTGTTCCGGTGGCGCATCAAGCTCGGGTAAGGGCTCTTCGTCGACCAAGGCATCAGTCTCATGATCAAGACCAGCGACTGGCAATGCACTAGTCGGTAAAGATAAGGAGTCAGAATTGGTCGGTTCGTCGGAGCTGGAGACGGCGACGTAGCCAGTAGGCCGCCGTCGAGGGAGAATGCCGGCAAAGACAGTGTATTGGAGCCGCTTCGCAATTGCAGAGCGTGTTTGTGGCCAGTACTGGATGGCAGAGCGGACAGAGACATGTGTCAGGCTGACTATACCATCGGCAAGCATTATGGCTATGGAGATCCACACGATCCAGCCCTTGCTTCCACTCTCCCAGTCGTCGATGGGCCCCGGAGCCCAGCCACGGTGTTTTGCTAACGGAGACAGAATGGCCCAGCCAACGACAGCACCAAGCAGCATATGCATTGTTGTTGCAGGCCCCATGATGACACCTTGCCCAATATAGGCAAGACTGGGGTTGAAGGTCCAAAGCCACGTGTGGGCAGCAGTATGGCCGAAAATGGGCAGGTTCCTGATAATGGGGAAAAAGTAGGTGGCCAGTGTGAAGAGGCCGGAGATGAGAAAACATATGAGAAGCAGCCTCAGGTTGGATTGCCACTCTGCCCGGCGGCGAAGCTCGTGCTCCGAGGTAGGGCCTTGGCCATCAATGGCAGCAGTAACAGGCGACGAGTCAGAAATCGTAGCACTGGCAGGGATTGGGGGAGCAGCAGGAAGAGCCGTCACATCTTCGCCAGCCAGGCTGGCAAAATCGGCTGGAAGGCTGCCCGGGGTAATCTTGCTCTTTCTTCCGTGAAGGACGCTGATCAAAACAGCCGTGCTGAAGCCGCTTGGGAACTTGAGCTTTTCCCGGATGATTACTTGGCGACGACTGTACCATTCATTAGCTAAAGAATGGAATGGCAAGTGAAGGAGGACTTGTCTCGACGCGGCAGAAGGGCGCAACACACAGGGGGACGGCGAAGAGAACACCAAAATAGCAGAGCCCCAGAGACCAGAATATCGTCTTTATGAGAGACAAATTGATGGGTCCCTGTTCGTCCGGGGTAAGCAGATAATTCATGGCCGGCAGGACGCCGACGAAGCCTGATCCCAGCGGCGCAATGGCCATGCTGCCGGCCACTGACTGCACCAGCACATTTTCGACGGGCGAGAAGGGATATGACAAGTGGCGCGCAAGAGCCTTGAATATACCGAAGCCCAGCAAGCTTGAGGGCAGCGACATGGTGCTGATAAATCCGGTCTGCAGGCCGAAGTACATATTGGAGCAGCAGATGACGAGACCGACGGCGAGACCGACGGCGAGACCGCGCCCCGTGAGGTGGTGGCCACCGGCAGCCGCAAGCTGTTCGGTAGATGTCCGCATTGTCGGCAACGGGAGCGCAGAGGGCTTTCGGGCGAGGCTTTCGGGCGAGGCGGAAGTCTGCACTACTTTATGCTGCCCTTGTCCAGCAACAAGAGCTTACGGTGAATTGCTGCCTGAGGCTTCAAGTGGGTCTTACTGTCCCTGATTGGGCACGTAACTGCGCTCGAATGAGGAATAAGCGCGTGAACGTTGGCAAGCGATGACATCACCTACAGAACCGAAGCACAAATTGCATCTGTCCACCAAAACTATAGAAATAGTCTCAGAATGAGGCCTGACTTACAGGAAATTGGGATTTCCTATACGGTGCACCCACAATGGGGCTCTGGGCCTCGGACGTTGCAGCAGTCTTACGACGGCCAATATTGCCCTCTGTCCAGAAAACTTATTAATCAGACGTTGAGCGATAAGACGCTATGCCAAATACGCGACCGCGTCAGATATCCGCCCAAAAGCGGGACACGTGTGATGGAGCTGTGCATCGCCATCTGATTGGCTATTTCCCATGCCCCACCACACCCGCTCCGCTCTGTCCAACAGCTCGAGGCCCACAATGTGCTGTATTCGGCTGCTTTTCCTCGATGTCTTATCATTGTAAACCCCCTCGCTCTGCGGTCTCGCCTTGTTCTCGTTGCTTTTTTTCTGCATGCCAGCCATCTGGTCACCGGCATAGTGTGGGCTTCCTGTCCAGCCTCGCGTTGCCCTGCCCTGGTCTCTTCGCTGTGCTCTGTAATACATCCTCGTACTTCTTAGAATCTTGAAATCGAGTTTCTCAGACCTCGCCTTATCTTCCGCGTTCCCCGTCTTCTTCACTCACCAATTTCCTGCAGTGGCTTTGATCTGCCCACTGCCTGTCCTTCCTTTTCTCCTTCCCCCACGGGATAATATTAGAAACCCCCCTCTCTAGAAGTCATGCGGGTGCGGCTTTCATTCGCCAATCCCCCTTCGATCAGTCTCCTAGAACGTTTTCTGTCGTGTGTCATACCATCCAGAGATTCTCTCGCGTAGATGGGTTAATTCCCATCTTGTCTGCCTCTTGCTCTCTCATTCCATCTTACTTATAATTTCTGCCCCCTTCCATCTCGTACAGTTCTGCCATTACCGGCGCCTCCAGTCTGTTTTTCTCTCGTCGCGACAATCCCAGATAAAGAAGCTTTCGACACTGGTATTGCTTCCCTTCGGCCCCCAACTTCTATCACTTTTCGCGCGCTGCCACCATTGCTATCACCGTTCACCTCTTATCTCTTGCCGCGTTCCAAACGCTCACTCACACCCTCCCGTTTCTAACGGCATGTGCGATAAGACGCCTCCTTTCCATCAGGAATCGGGCTAAGTTTCGTATGTTCCCGATTTCTTTTCTAAAGCCTTCCCGAACTCTTCATGCTTCAACTACACTCTTCTGCTGCTCGTATTCTTTGACCTGCTATCCTGCAAACCTTCCGGTTGTCGGTAGCTTCGCTCTCCGCTTTCGGTTTGTGCCGATTTAGTTTCGAGGCATTAAATAGTCCCGGTGCGGCGAGACTGACAGCCAGCCAGACACAACAATCGATCTACTCACCAATTCCTGCTGCCGACTCTGAGCGTCTATGCCATTGTTTTGAGAGCCGCCCTTCTGCATCATTATGACCACGATCGCGTTGACCCGGCCGGTACATCCCCACCATGCCTCTTCGGGTATGTCATCGATCTCCTCATCCATCACCCTTGATATGGAGAAAATGGTCAGCCCGGCGCTCCAACCCCAGCCTCCAGCTCCTATTCCAAACAAGCACGTGCCTATTTGCCCTCCTGGATCCCCACCTCCCGCCGACACTGCAACGACTCCTCCACCGTCTCCACCTGGAAAGAGCAGAAAGCACGGTGACAGGTCACAACGGTCCATCCTGTTCCCGCCTTCACGGTATCCTCGCGCTGAGCATGGCCGCTTGGCCCTCTATACAATCGACGCCGCCGGTGTCGCCTCCGCGTTGGATTACATATCCCGGCAGCCGCTTCCGGACCCATCGCTTGTCTTCCCTTGGTTCCATGGTCTTCACCCGGACAACTCCATGCAGCAGACATTCTTCTCGCAGCGCAGGCGTCTGCTGAGAAAAACACCTGCCTGTTTGAGAGGGGTGACCGTCGTTAAGGCAGATAGCCAACTACATATATCTCGCTTGAAGGGTGCCATTGCGCCTGGTGAATTCATGCAGCTTGAGCCGACTGCCGAGTTCGTTGACGTTGATCCAAGGGAGGGCTTCTCTGTGCGGAACTTTCAGATCCAGGCTGCGAAGACCGCCATGACATCTGATATCATAGTATATGGTGATGATAGCGTCGCGGTCGAGAAACTCGGGTGGGATATTGCAGCTGCCCAAAAACGGTGGAGAGACCAGCATGATCTGGACGGTGACCCGCTGCCCATCTACAATACGTTCATATGCACGGCCACCTTCTCTACCTTCGAAAAAATCCACCCCGGAATTGTGGCTGTCGACTCAAGCGGCCATCTGACTGGAAACGTGGTCGACTTCTTCCACCAGGAAAGACGGGAGATGTACGCCATGACCATGGCCTCTGAAATCTCACATAATGTCTGGCTTGGCCCCTCGCCCCAGCGAGGCTCGGAAGAGGAGCTGCGGTATGACATCCTGATCGAGTGCAGTGACATTGGCCGTCTAAATCCTGACGCTCTGCATGCACTGGCCAACTTGAATTGTCCGGATGGCCAGCCAATCCATCTGGATTTCCCGTCGTCTGGCATTATCCCCCCTCCAACTTGGTCACAAGACGAGGCAGATGCAATCCTGGAAACCTGCAAGTGCATCTACCATCTCGCACACGGCATCACTTTGGATCCGTCGACCCTGACCGCCGATAACGTATTGGGATCGGACAATGACACCGTTGGGACAAACGCACTGGACCCGCTATCTGACGTCCTCAATCTTCGCCCGCGGAGGATACTCATCCACTGCGCGGATGGCTATACCGAATCTACCATGCTTGCAATCGCATATTTCAGCTACAGCACTGGACGGCCTGTCCCAGACGCGTGGTTGAATCTCCATACGACTATGCGACGCAACTTCTTTGCATATCCCACCGACGTGGCGCTGCTGACGGCCCTTGCACCACGCCTCCTCTGTGCTTCACCAGCATGCGTTGGAAAGGACCTGGCAGAGATAACCAACATGATACGGGACGAGCCCAGGTGGTTTGCCAATCTGGACGGCTCATTCCCGAGCAGAGTTCTGGACTACATGTATCTGGGCAACCTCACCCACGCAAACAACCCGGACCTTCTGAGAGCGCTCGGTATCACCCAGATCTTGAGTGTAGGGGAGATGGCCATGTGGCGAGAGGGAGAGCTGGAGGAATGGGGAGAAAACAATGTCTGCGCTGTCCAGGGCGTTCAAGATAACGGGATAGATCCCTTGACGGGAGATTTTGCGCGGTGTCTCGACTTTATCGGTAAGCATATTGCTCCTGGGGTCTGTCCGCCTCTTTCGCTAATCACAAATGCTTTATCTAGAGCGCGGCCGTCGCAATGGTACAGCTACCCTCGTACACTGTCGTGTCGGTGTGTCCCGAAGTGCTACTATTTGCATCGCCGAAGTTATGCGGTCATTGAAGCTCTCTCTTCCCCGGGCGTACTGTTTTGTGCGTGCTCGTAGGTTAAATGTTATTATCCAGCCACACCTACGCTTCGCATACGAATTACTTAAATGGGAAGAGCTCCAGTATCAACTACAGGGAAGCCGATCTGGCATCAAGAGGGAGCTTGAGTGGGGGGCTATTGCCCGCGAAGTTGCCCTCATGAACCAGCCATACGTACGATAGGAGGCGTACCTATGATTTCTCTACCGACGAGAGTTTGGGGTCCCTTTGTTTTGATAATTCTTTGCTAGATCCGTTTCGGTTTACGCCTCTTTTTACGGCATTGGCCATATTTCTTCGGTAACGGGATGATTGTATGACTTGAAGCCATATGGCCTACGAACAGGATATTGATACGAATCTTGGACATAAACAGAATTTGGAATTATCAACGGGAAATAGTACGCGCGATTTGATGACCAAATTGGTATGATACGTGCACAGTACATACATAGTGCACACCAAAGTATTAAATGTGGTGTTCTGCGATTTGTGTGATAATACAGAATCTTCCTGCAGTCGATACTGCGGTTCCAGAACGCAGTAGGAAACTAGAATGCTATAATAGCCACAGCCTGAATTATGTAAAAATAAGACCGCACCTCGACACCAATTTCTCCCCAACGCCTGCTAAATGCGGATGACAGCCCCGTTGCAAGTTGCCGTGTTCTCCAATGAAAATTGAAATTATTAAAAGACGCAACGCATGGGGAAACAATGATGTAGCCAAAGCAGATGCCCCCCCCCCATTCAAGCCCCGTACGAAGATGCATCTAGCCTTTCATCGACATCAAGAATCCTATAGATGGATCTGTTAGTTGTCTGGACAAGAAGGTATGCAGGCGTGGTGCTGAAGACTCACGAGAACTGCTTGATAAGGAAGCCCTCCCCGCCGTGTGCCAAATCGATGTTGAAAACACTAAAGGCGCCATCACTAGTGACAACCATGACTTGAGGACTGTTGCTGCTCATCGCTACGACACTTCTAACTGGCCCTCCAGAGTAGCCGGACCCGGCATTCAAGGCGTTACTGGTCGGAGAGCTGGAAGCACCGGTTTTGGGCGCCGTGTTGGACCCAGCCTTTGGGATTTTGATGTAAGCAAAATCGCGCAGTGGCTCCCAAATCTCCGTTACTGTTTGTGGTAGGTAGGACCCCATGACGCCGGCCACACTCCGGCCCATGATCTGAGATGACCTCCTCAGGATGCTGCCAAAGGAGCCGCTCTGCCTCCTCTGTACGGCCAAACCGCCATCCCGGCTAGAGCCAGGCGTCGGATCCGCGGCATCGCTGCGCGGTGAGCCGGCCGCACTTCCGACAGAGTCGTTTAGACTGTCATGGCTGCGAGACCGGGTCCAACGGTCTTGTCGCGGTGAGCCAGCATCGACGGCTCCGCCAGCCGAGGCCGATCCGCCAGCCGACTGCGGTCCTTGGGGGCCGCCCAGCCGGAAGATGTGCACGGTATCAGACGCTGAGGAGACAGACAGAAGCGTCGAGCTTGTATTGAAAGACATGCTGTATATGGTCGAGGGATATGTGCCTCGGCGGAACTGGTAGAGCTTCTGTCCGCTAGGGACGCTGAACACGCGGATGATGGTGCCGGTCTCGGATGCGGTGGCTAACATTGTGCCATCACTGTTTATGGCGATACAGCTCAAGGGCGACCGATGGGCCTCAATGACGTTGACGGCCTTTAGAGAATGCGTGTCAAAGATGAGGACGTCACCTGATGTAGGCGCAACGTAAGCTGACAGTGGCGGCGCATGTGAAGGGCGTTTCTCGTCGCGGTCCTCGCGGGGCTTCGGGAGGGGATAAGCGATGTAGCAGTTTTCGGAAGACGGTGAGAGACTGCAGATGGCGCCCGGATTTGGCGACGTGGCTATGGTGTAGAGAAGACTCATGTTGGCGATGTCGTATAGGTAGATCTCGTCTTCGAGCACGACAGCAAGGCGCTTTCGGTTGAGGCGGACTGCGAGCACAGCCGAGGGGAAAGTGAGCTCGCAGATAACAGAGGCTCTCTGAATAACGGGCATGCATGTCAGCACGAGCCACAGGACTGCCTCTACTCATCAGCCTCTTGCTGGCATCTCACCTTTGTGTTTTGGATCACCAAATGTCTGGGAGATAGGACCATGGCCACAAGCGACGTTGAGAAGAGCATCTCAATGATCGACACGCTTCCATCATCGCTACTGAATATCTTGGAGAAGGGGTCGGTGTGGTATATGCGGAAGCCCTTGGATGTACCGACAGCCAGACAGCTGTGGTCTTGGTTGAAGGTCACAAAGTTGAGCGCCTGATTGGCCATGTTTGCGACGGCAGAGATGCCACTGGCGCCGTGAGCTTGGGCTTTCAGACGGCCAGAATCCCCAATGCTCTGACGGACAGGACGGTTTGCGATGCAACCCACGATGCGAGATCCGGCGAGGAAAGAGGCGGAGGTGCGAGAAGAGGCGACTACGCAAGCCAGAAAGTCTGGGTGCGAGGGCTTCTAAACGAACTAGCTCGGGTAAGTTGGCCCACTAACCTCTACGGAGTACTCGTAGCTCATAGGCTGGTAACACGTGAATCGACCCACTCTAAAAATATCCGAAAGAGTTTCTTTCTATATCAAGCAGTAGGCACCATTCTCACGAGGCTCAGGCGCTGGCGGTAGAAAAGCGGCAATCCGGCATCCCATCTGCATATTTGGTCGACAACATGCCTGCTCTCCAGGCCAAGGGCCGAGACGATCTCGTCATGGCTGTGAGCATCTGGTCCCGTTTTCATATATCCACCGCCCGCGCAGCTCATCTGACCCGGCTGGCCAGACAAACAATAGCAGCATCGTGTCGAAGAGAAGCGTAGAGCGCATCTACTATTCCGGCGAGCGCGAGTACTACCGTTACTTTGTCAAAAAGTACCAAAGGCGAGCTCCGCTCATAAACCGCGGGTATCACCTTCGACTCCACTTGATTGATGTCATGGTCCGCAATTTCCTTTGCCGTCCGAGTTCCAAGGCCAAGGTGGTTGTCAGCCTGGGATGTGGAAGGCAAGCAGCGACGCGCTCTCGTGCAGCTCTTCACACGGCTGACGATGTTGTAGTGATGTCCTCCCTTGGCAGACCATGTTCCGCTATCCAGAGCACTGCGAGGGTGTCAAGTTTGTTGATATCGACTTTCCCGATGTCATAATTGCGAAGAGGAACATTGTGAAGCAGTCCGTTGAGCTTCAGGAGCCTTTGACAAATCTGGAGTTTCTGGAACACCCTCGTGTTTTGCTTAAAAGTGACCAGTATTTCCAGATCGCCTGTGATTTGCGTCAGTCGTCTGTCATTGGCAAAGATCTCTCGACGCTCGTCGACACTGCCAGCTCTGAATTTCTGTTCGTGGCCGAGGTTTCCATCACCTATATGGAGTTTGCGTCCGCTGATGCAATTATCCGTGAGACCTCATTCCTGACTATTCAAATACTGGAAATGCGACGTGCATACTGACACACCCTTTGAAAGACTGGGCCAGCACGATTGGAGACGGTAAGACAGCTGTGCCTATACCTGGATGATGACTGAGGTTTCTGACATATTAACTAGCTGAGTTCTGTCTCCTCGAGCAGATCTTGCCAGGGGGGCCAGCCGTGCCGTTTGCACAGACGATGATGCAGCATTTTGATAGGTTGGGCACGTCTTTGAAATGCATTCACGACTATCCCACTATAGACTCACAGAAAAAGCGATTCCATTCCTTGGGCTGGCTGGAAACTCGGTGCTGGTCTCTGTGGCAAGCGTGGAAGGACCCCTATTTCCTATGCGCTGCCGACAGGTGCCAGCTAGACAAAGTGGAAGTCTTTGACGAGTGGGAAGAGTTTGCCCACTTTGCAAGTCACTACTTCATTCTCCACGCAAGCAATTTGGCCCCGGACCGGAGTTCTGGCGATGAAGTCTCGGCCAAGAACACCGGAACACCTGTATCTGACGTCAGCCTAAGCTTTTCGCCAGTCGGACAGCACAAAAACACCGGACTGAGGCGATTTGGCGTGCCATTGATCGTCAAGGATGCTCTGGGAGATCCCTGTCTGGCCAATTTATTTGGCATTGGAACCGATTGTCGGCTTCCGTCATACGACGTCTACAGTGCTCGTGGCGAACAGACGACCATTGAGGATGACCTACTTCGAGGAGGAGGGCCAACAGCCAGGACGTTCTCGACCCTCACAGATATTGGTGATGCCGGATATCTGCTGACCGGCGGCCGTGCTTCTCCAGCCAGCCCTTTCAGAGACTCGTGGATCATAAAAAAGGACACATATCGGTGGCAAAAATCACATGATCTTCCGCTGCCATTGTTCAGACATGCAGTAACACGGCTTCATAACGCACAGCTGGCTCTTTTGGCTGGCGGAAAGTCAAGTGCCTCTGCGCTTTTCCCTGGCTATCTTCTTTATCATCCTGCAAATGGGTGGACGGAGTGCAAAGTGGTCAGCTCATTGCGGCCACCCGCACTTTTTGGGGCTGTTCTTTTCTGCTCGGGGAGAGTGCGCGAAAACAGCAGCGCATTTTACGGTACTTTGGCTGGCGGCATGACGGCCGACAACATTGTCTACGATCAAGCTGTCAGATGGGTGATTGACGTGTCTCAGGTCAAGGTATGTTTACAAACGCCTGGCAGAGCTCGGAGTGTCGCTCACAAGTTCAGGAACCGACCATTCGCTTCGAGTCCGCCACAGACATGTTGGCTGCGCATCTACTTTGCCGATTTGGGGCTGCGTGCGTGCAAGTTGATGGCTGGACCGTGCTTGTAGGAGGCATCACTGACGGCGGGAGCGTGCTGGAGGGAAGCGAAATATTGCGATACTGCGCCAGTGAAGATGGCAAAGAAGATGCCCAATACTTGGACTATTGCAAAAAGCTCGACCCACAAACTCCTCGGCCAGTTTTAGTGGGTGCATCGGTCATAGGCACTGATGATGGAGAGGTTGCCATTGTCGGAGGCGGAATGACGTGTTTCTCGATGGGCTCCGTATGGTCAAAAGGCCTGTATAAATTCCACGTCTGTCCAAATGATATAGGCGCAGGAGCCTCTATGGACTACGTGAAGACTTCGTCCATTGTCAACGATAAGTCGAGCATAGCTGCTGGACCAAAGGCGCAGACAAAGCCTACAGAGACCACACCCATTCCTCGTCTGAAATTGGAATCAAAGGATCACTTCGCAAGCATACTCCAGGCCGGAAAGCCATTTGTATTTGAGGGTCTTAGCATCGGATCCTGTACGGCGAAATGGGACACCGACTATCTGGCCAAGCATGTAGGCCCTGGTCGCAATGTGAGTTGATTGATTTCATGGCTCATAGTTTGCTGCTCCAAGTCGCTCACAACTGGACCACAGGTTGTTGTTCACGAGGCATCAAGTCCGACCATGGACTTTGTGTCCAAGAATTTCCGGTACACAACCCGGGAGTTTGGCGACTTCATCCGCGATGTGGGCATGGGCAAGCAGCTCTACCTTCGGGCCCTCTCAGCCAACCAGCCTTCAGATGTGCCAGCACGACTGTATATGGACTATCCAAGCCTCTCGGACGACTTCGTTCTGCCCCCGGAGCTGGAGTTCGCCCGCGAGAGAGTTCACAGCTCCGTGTTGCGCATCTCTGGCTCTGTCAATATGTGGCTGCATTACGATGTAAGTCTGGTACTAGGCTAACCCATATATATGCAAATAATCGATCTAATGGCGAGTAATCTTTCTAGGTTCTCGCAAATGTATATTGCCAGGTGCAGGGGTCAAAGCGCTTTTATCTCTTCCCTCCTTCCGACGTGATGCAGCTCGGATTCGGACCCGGTGCATCCAGCTCCAGTATCGACGTGTTTTCATCTATAGCAACCGGATCGCTGACTGACTGTCACCCCTACGAGGCCATTGTTGGCCCCGGCGATGTTTTATTTATTCCACAGCTGTGGCTGCACACTGCCAGCCCTCTGTCCACAAGCAGCGTTGCTGTGAACGTGTTCTTCCGCGACCTGGAAGCCGGCTACTCTCTGGGACGTGACGTGTATGCAAACAGAGACCTGGCGGCGTATGAGAAAGCCCGACAAGACATATCCAAGATATCGAAAATGTTCAGGGGCCTCCCCCTCGAGACAAAAGAATTCTATGTTCGACGAATTGCGGACGAGTTGATGCGGAAAGTATTAGAATAGGCTTCAGGGATCGACGCCAGTTGTTGAAGCAGCGATCGGCTTCTGTTTCGGACCAAAAAACCTGCTTGCGACCCATCGATAGGCACTCCAAACCTCATGTCCAACCTTCTCGTTGTGATCTCTGGCATATTCCAAGCCGCCCGGCCGGAGACCTCCTGGAAGGAAGCACCACACAATGAATATGAAGCTAAGGATGGCCAGAACGATTGGCTGTAGGACCTGAACGCCTTTGCTTTGGGCAATCGCACCGACGGCAAAGGGAAAGACGGCAGCGCCGCCGCCACCGAAAGCTGCTGCAAATGCGATGGCAGAGACATGGTAGTCGGCTGGGAGAAGCTTTGTAGCCGCCACAATGGCAGCCGGGAAGAGAGGGCCTAGTATGAAGCCAAGAAAAGCAACGAAAATGGCCGAGGCAACAAATGAGGGTACAAGCCAATACAGCAACTGCAAGACGATACATAGCATCAGATAGATGGTAATGGCCAGCTTCTCTCCAATGCGTCCGGTGACGAAGCCCAAGACGATTCGGCCAACTGCAAGGCCGAGCCAGAAACCGGTCACGGTCAAGCCTGCAGCAAAGCTCTCGGCGCCGCGGACATTCAGCATAAAGGAAACGACCCAACCGCCGAGACTGACCTCGGCGCCGACGTAGCCGAGGAGGAACACCGCCACGGTCCAGGTGATGGGTTCACGCAGAACGTGCCTGGTGGTGATGCGGCCTCCTTCGGCAGCCGGTTTGTAGCTCTCGCGATGCACACGACCAGTTGCCCCCCAGAAAGCCGTGATGGCAAAGACTCCCTCGAGGCCAGTCATGCCGATCATCAGGTAGTAAAAGGTGTACCATGGCAGGTTGCCCTTGGTCACCATGGCGGTGGCGATTAGCGGAGCAATGGTGCCACCGAGACCGTAGGCGCCGTGTAGAAAGCCGAGCAGCTCGTTGGCATTCTGCATGTTGCCTATCCAAGCATTCCACGCGCTGTCTTCCAGGCCATTACCAAAGCCGGGGAATAACAGCATGACTGGCAGCACGGCAAAGGGTGGGTGGCATGCCATGGGAACGTAGCCGATTAGGCGGCCAAGAGGACCCAAAACTGCGACGGCAACTTGGCCACAATGATGATGGATGAGGTTGTTGAGAAGGGCAGCAATTATGTAGCCAAGGAATGACGAGAGAAAGAGAAGGGATATGACAGTGTACGAGACCTTGTAGTACTTCTCCATCTAGACCGTAAATCGCTTAGCATGCATTGCTATTTGAAAGCTGCGAGGCTGTGAGGATACATGGGTGCTGGGTGTTGGGATAGAGTCCAGGATGCTGACCAGTTGCTGCTTACATATGGTATTAGAGCCTGTTCACGGGTGTCAGCGAGAGCGTTGACGCGAGTGGGAAACGAGGGCAAGAGCGGAAGAGCATACGCCAACGGCAGCATCATTCATTCCCATGACGACAAAGGAGTAGAGTGTGGAAAAGTAGCGGAACATGTTGAGTTTCGGATCGTTCCATCTCTGCAGAGGCTTCTCTTCCCGCGATTCTGGATCTGGAAGATGAGCTTCCTCATCCTTGGACGTGGAGACGGCAGAAAAGGCAAGCTGCGCGTGAGATGACGACTTCTCGCTGATATCAATCGTCTGGCGGGCAAAGGAGGCTTTGTTTTTGCCGGCGAGCTGGATTTCGAGAGAAGGCTTCATGACGTGGGCGTTACTGCAGCTTGCGCAAGAGATGGCAAGACACACAAAACTGCAGCAGAAAAGCGGCCACGCAGGCTGTGTAAATAGTCATAATTACAGTTTAAAGCAATCAGGCCAGGCCTTACGTCGTATATAGTATGCGGGCCGAGTCAAATGCGGAGACACTACGACGTCGATTTGGAGGCCGGCGATCGGATGTGGAAGATAAGAGAGTGGCTCTACGGAGTAGCTTCCGGGGTTTAGCCGTCAGGCACCGGATGCACGTGCTCTTGCACTTGAGGGGACAAAACCCGTGGAGGCCGCACGAGGAAGAAAGCGGAAAGGCGCATGACGGGACTCTTGCAGCTCGACTTGGCACTCGAATGAGCCTCGTTCAGACCGTCCCGTCCGGGTCCAGCAAACAAATCCACAGACGGCTGAGGTGCCGAAGAGCGCCTGTGAGAACGTCTTGGGTCCTTGGTCGTCTGCTGAGCAGCAGCTTGGTCTGATTGTTTCGAGGGCTCCCTCCACAACAAGCAGCACAGCCCCGCCCACAGCTGCAGCTGGTGTGTGTGGAGAGGGGCATGTTCGAGCAGCAGAGCGATACGCTTGGCCTCCTGACCCCTGCCAGCAGCTGCTACTATGTACGGAGCATGGATGACTTGCAGACATGCTTTGGCCATTGCAGGCTTAGTGCAAAGGGTCCTGGCTGCAAGGCGATGACTCGCCGTGCCTGCACTGCCGGTCTATCTCGAGCGCATCTGGCTCTCATTGGTGGTCAGCCCACCATGTGACGACACCCTCTTTTACCTCGCCTGGCCGTCCGGAGCCTGCGCCACCAAGGTTGGAATTTGGGCTGCCTGGCCAGGTCACATTGTGCTGGTGTATATCTGTCGAGTACTCCGTACACAGAGGGCACATATATAAGCAGCCTCGTGTCGCCCAGTGTCCAGTACTTCCGAGAAACGGCCATTCTTTTCATCTTGTGTGTGCACCAGAACAGCGCATCTCCCCTTCGATCCGCACACTCTACACAACCATACATTTCCCACCAGCAGAAAGATGTCGCGCCACTACGACGACGACGATGCCAGCCGTGGTCCACGCGGTGCATCACACGGCAGACGCTACAGCCGGGGTGCAGCCGACGACGACGGCCGTGCGGCCCCGTACATGACGCCCGCGGGGAACTATGTTGCCTTTGAGCAGCGGGCTTCCAACCTGGACATGGATGGTCGCGACGTGGCGCTGCAGGTGCCGTCTTCGCCTCACCGGCCGCGATCCGTGCCGCCGATGATTCCGCGCCGCGGCGACTCGCGCTCGCCGTCGCCCGATTACGAACATGAGTACGAGTACGAGCACGAGCGCCGTGGAAGCCGCAGCCGCAGCCGCAGCCGCTCGCGAGGCCCGCTCAAGAAGACCAAGAATGCACTGGACAGCGCTTTTAGCACATCGGCTTCGGGCCTCGGTGTCGGCGTCATCGGCGCCATCGTTGGTGGCCTGGCCGCCCGCGAGGCCTCTGAGGCGGCTGCGCGCTCGAATCGTCGCCAGGGCCACGGCCACGATCGCAGCGATCACGACCGCGCCGCACTCATCTCCACCATCGTCGGCGCTGCTGTCGGTGGCCTCGGCGCCAACGCCATCGAGAAGCGGGTCGAGCGCCGCCATCATCGGTGGGCAGACGACCGCGACGGCGACCGTGATGATCGCGATGATCGTGATGATCGTGATCGTCGTGATGACGACCGCGACGACAACCACCGCGGCCGCCACCATCACGGTGAGCGGGGCGTCGTCATCAGTCGCAGCCCGAGCCCCGGCTCCAGCCACAGTCGCAGCCACAGCCGCCACAGCCACCACAGCCACAGCCATAGTGACGACCGGCACCAACGGCGTGCCGGCCACAACGACGACTACCATGACGTAGAGTACGACCGGACCGTATCTAGTCGGCGTACTGAAGCGGAGTACCGGTAGTTTACGGGCGGGGAGGAAGGCCTGCGCGCTTGTATGCTATGATATCTTGTTTCTCTGCTTTCTTTTCTCTTCTTTTTTCACATGTGACGATGTTACGAGACGCATGAATTACGGGCGGGTTTTTTTTTTGAATGTCCAGGCAGCTTGTTTTCAATCTTCCATTACTATCTGTTCCACATGTGCTACCAAGCAAAGAAGCGGCTTTGGCAAGGGCGACCCCGGCCCTGATCAACGTACAGCTCAGCTTCTTTGCAAATCAGTGAGACCAAGAGGGCGGCTGGCCTGCAAGAGACCCCTGCGTGCTGACTGAATTCTCCCCAGGATAGGTGCGGTGCTCCCGTTCTAGAACGACCTTGAAGAACTGTACAACCTCTGCAAGCTGGATCTGGCACGGTTCGGAACAGCCGAGAAGGTTGAACAAGCTCTGAGAGTCCAGCAACTGCTTCGCGATCACTGGGTCCGGCTGACAAAATGTCCGGATGCGCATCGCACGCGCGTTCACCTTCATCATTTCGAGTATCCCAATCACGGCAACGACCACGCCGGCTCTGTCGCCGTAGAAACGGAACTCATCCACGTGCAAATGCACAAGCTCCAGCTGCGTCTCCAAGTCATACCGAAAGCCAACAACCCTGGGACGACCCTTGTGCTGCCACATGTCGGCCACCTTCTTGTACCTGTCCGCGTCCAGCCGGCCCGCGCTGAACTGGCTGGTGATGTAGCCATCTAGCGCTGATGTCAGCAGAAACTCCAGCTCGCTGTACAGGAGGCTCTGCTCTCGCGGATTCAGCGACGTTCGCATGCGTGACATGCGACCATGTTGCTTGCCATCTTTGGGTCGCCGGACGACTTTGATGTCTGTTGCCTCGGCCTGTTCACGTCATGGTCAGTAAAAGGACACCAAATATAGGATGATGTCTGCTCAGAGGTCACGTACAACCTCCCTTGCCATTCGCTTCAGTGTGCCCATAATACCGCTCTTCTTTGGCGGCGATGGGTTGTTCCCCGAATCGCCTGTCCGCTCCAACCAGCCGTTCTTACCAACCATGATTTTCCTTCCTTTTTGCGGCGCCGTATGCTTGGGCGAGCTCGAGTAGTTCGTCAAAGGCGAAAAGTCTGGGCGAGAGGCAGCTTTGGGACTGTACATTTCATTACTGCCGGATTGGCCGGACTCCATAGAGTGATCTGGCTCAGTCGCCTGTCGAGTGCTGCCGCTGCCTCTGCCAGACGGATTCGACATTGACCACCTCGCATATTCCTGCAGTACTTTAGGTTGACGGCCATAAACCACATCCTCGTGGTTCTTGCTGATATACAAAGGGTCGACGAGGATGTCGGGAAAGTTCTCCATTGAATACACAGACGAGGTCGTGTCGGCTATGTCGGCTTCTTCCGCCTGTTTCTCTGGACAATGGCCGCTCTTTTTGGGAGACGAGCGCATCTTTTCAGGGGACCTGGATCGTGTCCGTCTATAAGCCATCTGTGCGCAGCAGTCCACATGGGCGGGATCGGACACTTTCTGATGGCCCCCGTAGCGGTTGTTATCGCGAGATTCTTTCAGGACGAATCTTCTCGAATCCTGCTCGGAAGCCGGGGCTGCCAAGGGCACGGGCACATCGTTCTGCTGAACGGGAATGGGCGGTGAAGTGTTGTCACGTTGTCTTGCATGGGCTCCATGACCCGACGCCAAATCAGCTTCGCTGTCTCTAGTCAATCTGCAAGGATTAGTAAGGTGACATCTTCTCACCGGGCCGCTTACGCGGGTCAACGCACGTCGAAGTGAGCTTGTCCATCTGAGAGTCCGTCAGACTGAGATGAAGATGAACACCCTTATCCTGTCGGCGTCGTGGGGAATGCGAGCGTTGTCGATGGGGGTTCTTCACCCGCCGTGGAGGAACCAAGAAAAGGCCCTCGGAGCTCTGGAGCGGAATGAAATTTCCGTGAATGGCTGAGAGATTCTTGCTGGAGACGCCCGAACCATAGGGCGAGCGACTGAGAGGAACCTGCATAGGGGAACTGGTGGGTGCTTCCACTTCAGGAGACATCTTATATTTTGTCGTGAAGTTTCTGTAGGACCCTTGAATATTGATGGGAGCGTTGTACAGAAAGGTTTGGTGTGTTATCTCGTGAAGTTCATGTTTTCTGAAGGCTGGAGGAATCTCACAAACTCTGAAAATTTCTATTTATCTGAAAAAGAAGGCGGCCAGTTCACAGCAAGTGAGAACGGCTGGCTATCCGGGCCGGTTGCTATTGTACAGGTTTGCTCAATGTATCTATCAGTGGGAGGTTGGCGACTACAATGGGACAGTCTTGAATCAATTGGGACCAGCCATTCTTTGATTTGAGTAGACGAGGCATTCAGAAAAGGGCTGATATGTGGATGAGCATGACGAGGTGACTTGACAAAGGCCGTTGCTATCGACAACATGTAGCAAGGCGAGTTTCCTCTTTGGGCAGCGATATGCCATCCAGCAAACAGACGCAAATTTTAGCCGTCTGTGGAGGTCTTGTCTTACCGCTTTACCCAATACACACAGTCACAGTATATAGACATCTACTCCGTATGCACACTGTACCTCCGCTCAGCTATTAGCACATACCGTTCTATAATTTCCTTTTATGCAGTATAGTGTAGGGACTATAAGCCAACTGTTAGTACTCCGTAGACTGTCGCTAATATGTTCTCCGTGCGTATAAATAATCGTTTACTGTCCCGTAGCCCGTATTTGAGGTCACTTGCCTCCTTTTGTCGCCTCGACCCCTTTCTTGGGATTTTCCCCAGCCTATTACTCCGTGGACACCGACGCCGAGACCAGCAGCCGAAGCAGCTGTTTGAGCTGCCCCACAGTGGACGGGGCCACATGGGCCGCTCTACATTTACCGACACCATCTCCCGAACTCCCAAAGCAGCTAGCTTTGCAGGCTTTAGCCCATCCTGCTCCATCTAGCACGGGTTCAGGCGTTTCCTCGTCGCCTGAGCTGGGCGTTTGCGCGCCTCTTTGAGCCCTGCTTATCCAATAGGCAGGCTATCTGCCGATTTCTGGTGCCGCAGGCCCGAAAGACAGCCAGCCAGTTGCCGCCTCCGCCTCTCGGGTTTCTGGTCGGGACTGCTGGGCACAAGTCTCTCCGGATGCCGCACTAAGAGTGGACACACAGACGACTCACATATAAGAGGCACTCATGCTGCAAATGGCTTCCCAGTGCCATCATGTACCAGTTGCAGATTCGTGGTGTGTGTCTCTTTCCTGGAATCACCAATCTCGCCGTTTGACCTATTCTTGAAACGCATATTCTGCACAAACATGGCTGAAAAATACGACATTGGTATGTAGTGTCTCGCAACTTACGTACGGTTTCCAACCGCTGCTGACACCCGGTAGTCATCGTTGGAGCCGGGCCAGTAGGGCTGATGCTCTCGACCATCCTGGCGCGATGGGGTTACAAGATCAAGCACATTGACAACCGGCCGGAGCCCACTGCCACCGGCCGTGCTGACGGCATCCAGCCACGCTCTCTCGACCTGCTGCGGAATATGGGCTTGAAGTCGGCCATCATGGCCCACCATCCCGCCCGAGTGTATGAGGTTGCCTTCTGGGACGCTGCCCACACTGGCGACGGTATCGTCCGCACGGGAACGTGGGCTAGCTGCCCCGACTTCATCGACGCCCGCTACCCATTCACGGCTCTTCTGCATCAGGGCCACATCGAGCGGGTGTTCCTTTCCGATCTCGAGAAGAACGGCGTCACAGTCGAGCGTCCCTGGACGATCAAGGGCTTCAAGTCGGACGAGGCCGCGAACCCAGAGTACCCGGTCGAGGTCCACCTGGAGCACATTGATGGAACGGCAAAAGAGACTGTCCAGGCCAAGTACCTGTTCAGCGGGGAAGGTGCGCGGTCAAGTGTTCGGGAGCAGCTCGGCATCGGTATCAAGCACAAGGACCCCATCGCATACGTGTGGGGTGTCATGGACGGCGTCATCAAGACGGACTTTCCGGACATCAAGGTACGACGACGCGTTCCGCTTGCTTGTGCGGTGTAAGCTGACTGACCCGTCCAGATGAAATGCACAATCCACTCCCGAGAGGGCTCGATCATGGTGATTCCGCGGGAAGACAACATGGTCCGGCTGTACATCCAGATCGCCTCGTCCACAGACCCAGACTGGCACCCGCGCAAGACAGCAACAGCAGAAGAGGTGCAGGCAACGGCAAAGAAGATCCTGGCGCCGTATACGATCGAGTGGGAGCACCTTGAGTGGTATTCCGTGTACCCGATCGGCCAGGGCATTTCAGACAAGTATACCATCGACCACCGTGTCTTCCTGGGTGGAGATGCGTGCCACACACACAGCGTGAGTGCCAGCCCTTTCCCTACAGGACGTGAGTAACAGTCTGCTAACAACGACACAGCCGAAAGCTGGTCAGGGCATGAACACGGCCTTCCTGGACGCGCAGAACCTTGCCTGGAAGATCCACCTGGTCGAGAAGGGGTTCGCGAAGCGCAGCCTGCTGCAGACATACGAGTTTGAGCGGAAGGACGTGGCTGAGAAGCTGCTTGCCTTTGACAACAAGTATGCCAAGCTGTTTTCGGCGAAGCCACCAACGGCCGACCAAGTGCAGGCGGCGGGCGACTCCGGTGCTACGGGCAACGCACAAGCCACGAGCCCAGACGACTTTGAGAACAACCCGTTTGTGCAGACGTTCAAGGAGAGCTGTGAGTTCACGAGCGGCTACGGAGTGGCGTACCAGCCGAGCGTCATCACCTGGTCGCCCGAGCACCCGGCACAGACGGCCACGGCCAACCCGGCAGGAAGCAAGCTGCGGCCAGGGCGGCTGTTTGTCAACGCCAATGTGACGCGAGTGGTGGATGCCAACGTGGTGCACCTGGAGCAGGAGGTACCGTTGAACGGGTCTTTCCGGATCTTTGTGTTTGCTGGCGAGCCAGACAAGACGGCACAGGCACTCAAGGACCTGGAGAGCGGGCTGCAGCGGAGGGGATCGGTCTTTTCCGCCTACAGACGTGCGGACGAGGCCGCGGTGACCCATCTCGAGAAGCACAACCCGCACAGCCACTTCTTCACCTTCTGCATCATCTTTGCGCGCCGGCGCGGCGGCATCGAGATCAGCCGCGACGTGCCCGGCCTGCTGGCCCGCTACCGTGACCACGTATATGCGGACGACCGCGGCGTCGACGCACCAGCACACGCAAAGATGGGCTTCGACCCGCGCAAGGGTGGCGTCGTGGTCGTGCGGCCAGACGGCTACACGGCCTTTGTGGCCGGCCTCGAAGAGGGCAGCAGCACCATCGACGCGCTGGACCAGTACTTTGCGTCCTTCTGCGCCGCCAAGATGGGACCTTCCGCGCAGTTGTAGTGCGGTGTAGGATATCATGTAGCGACTTTGAATAATAGCGATGAATTGAAACTCGTATCTTACTATTCCGTACAGCGTCAGCTGTCGAATATGAGTCAGCATATGCATCAATCAGGGCGCTAGGGAATTTGCGCGGGGTGATTGGTGGCGCTAGCGGCCGGGACCACTGGCTAACAAACGCCCCAAAAAAGCGTAGCTTGTAATACTCCGTAATATCCTCCCAACTTGCACACCAAAGCTGAGACTCTATTTTCTGCAACCGTGACAATCAAACAGCAGAAGGGCCACGCTGCGCCCCTCTTCCCCCCCGGTACATGGCCGTTGCAGCGCTGCTTTCTGCTGTCCGAGAGCTCGCGTCCAAATATATCTGGCCCCGTCAGCCCGTGTCGCAGCTCTGCGAGCCAGGCGCAATCTGCGCGTCTCAAGACAAGACTCAACCGGCCCCTGCCTCCCAGGTTTGTCGTCTGTCTTTCTGCGAGGAGATTCGCCCCTGAACAGAGACGGGGAACCAACACGTTTCAGACTAGCACGAGTCTTGCCTCCTGGGCTGTTTGGCTGCTCAGCTGGCTACGCGCCACAACGGCTGCCATGCGGTCAGAGGCCCTCATCGAGCTGTTTCGAAACGGCTTTTCCTTCATTTCCGAGCGGCTCCTAAGCCACGGTTCGTGCTACCGACCCCTCTCCGCGTGTCTGCATCGGGCCGTTGTGCCGATGTGTATCGCTGACAGCTTCTCATACAGCGTCCACCGACGAGAACCCCCTGGAAACCACTTCTCAGATAGCCCTCACAGTCGACCGCATAAAACCTCCGCTACCCTCCTCCTCGGACAGCTCTCCCTCCTCGTCCGCCCCCCTCTCCTCCCTCTTTCGCAATCCCGACTACGAGACCGTCTGGCGCGATGACGTACACGAATACATCACACCGGCCGGCTTTGAGGCGGTCGCCTCTTTACTGCGTGCATGGGGCGATGACATCGCGGCGGAAAACATTTCGCGCTGTCGGGAGTCGGGGCCCATAGCCGGACGGTTCGATGGCGGCAGCCGTGGGGAGACGCGACTCTCGGTCGTCATACACAACCTGATGCTGGACCTCTATGGCTACAACACGGAACAGGCGTGGCAAGAGACGGTGGCCGAGCTGCTGAAGGATCTTGAGGCCGCCTCAACGTGGATCGAAGTTTTTTACGCGCCCGAGAACCTGGAGGCGATGAAGATTGAAGGCGTCGTTCCGTACGGGCAGCTGAGCGCGTCTGTTCAGCAGTACTGGGGCCACGGTTGCGGGCTCTGCGAACTGGCTGGATTCTTTTCCTTTTCAATCCTGCAGACGGACCAATGGGGCCACCCGGGCATGCACCTCTCGCAGGTGTCGATGATGAAGATGCTCGTCGACCTGGAGTCCCTTCACCACCACCGACCGATACTGAGCTTTGTACGGATCGAGAAGGAGGGCCGGCCGCCCGGACACCTTTACGACGACGGCGGGGCGGTTCTGGAGGCCGTGACGGCAAAGCAGCTGCACGATGTCTGGCGCTACAGGATAGACGCTTCTACGAGCAGCGAGCAGGCACGGCCTCGACAGCCATGTTGCCTACATGCTAGCGGTGGCGTGGAGCGGCTCTCGGAGGCGGCCATCCGTCGCGCAAGGATGGTGAGCGCGGCCGCAGCATCGATCAAGGCGGCACGACGCTGCACAGACGGCAGCCGGCCGATGCGGGTGGCACCATCACAGTCGCTGCTCGCTGCTCGATACCGAAGGACGTCGGGCTCTTCCAGCATCTCGGCGCACGATGGGCCAACTGTCCGCAAGACGTATCCGATACCGGCCAAGCGCAAGGCAGTCACGGCCTCAGCAGACCCGAGGCATTTCAAGCGTGGCCGTGTGATCAAGGAGCTGGCGGCCGAAATCGAGAGGGACAGGGCCGCAGAGGTGGCTGCTGCTGCTGCGATACCATTGCCACCATCACCGGCAGCAACGGAGCTAAGCTTTGAAGAAGGCGAGGAGAAGGGCGAGGCTGTCGATGTAGACGTGGAAGACGGCGAGCGACACCGGCTTCCGTGGGAGAGCATGTTTCCGCTGGACGAAGAGGACGGGCCGCGACTGAAGATCAGCAAGTCCAAGGCAGAGGAGCTGCGGCTGATTGCCGAGCAGAAACGGGCGGCCTTGCTGGAGGCGCGGCGCAAGCGAGAGGAGGAGCAGCGACGAAAAGAAGAGCTGCGGCGACGGAAAGAAGAAGAAGAGCGGCTGGCGCGATCGGGACTGCGTCCGCCGACAAGACCGGTGATCCCACCGCTGTCAGAGTCATGGTACGCACGGGTGAACGCGACGGTGCGAGCAGATCCTCGGAGGGAGGTGGCGCGGTCGCCCGAGGGAACAGCTCTCAAGAGCTCCGACTTCTGCACGGTGGTCAGCAAGTCGGAGTGGCTCAACGACGAGATCGTCAACGGTTTCCTGCTGCACTTGGCCAACTACATCAACGCCAAGGCAGGCATTATGAACGTCAAGACGCAGACGCCACGCTGCCACGCCTTCACGTCCTTCTTCTGGAAGTCGCTCTCGACCAAGGGTGCAGCCGGGACAGAGCGCTGGATGAAGCGAGTCGGCGTGACGCGCGACAACTTTCTGAGCATCGAGACGATCCTGATCCCGATCTGCGAGCGCAACCACTGGACCCTGGTGGTGGTGCGGCCGCGCCAGGCCACAGTGACGCACATGGACTCGATGGGCAGCGTTGCGGGCAGGCGGCCGGTCCTCGACATTGTCATGTGTTGGGTGCGTGACTTTCTGCAGGACAGGCACTCGGACCGGTGGCGGATGCAGCCGCTGGTGTCACCGCGCCAGACAAACGGATGGGACTGCGGCGTGCACACAGTCACCAACGCGCTGTTCGTGGCCCTGGGCTTGGATCCGTCCTTCTACGGCGCCAAGGAGATGCCGCTGCAGCGCGACCGGATCGCGGCCACGCTGATCAACGGCGGCTTCTTTGGCGACCTGGACCTGGCTGGGCTGTGAGGGCGCCGTCGGCTGGCTCTGTACGAGTCAAATCAATCTTTACGGTCTTGTTTAAAATCTCTAATTGTGTTTGGGCCTGCATTTTCTCTCCCTTTCTCCAGCGACAGGCGTCATGGACTGCATGCAGGGGAATGGAAATGGGTCGACAGAGGCGACGAATGCGAAGTATTGTTTGTCTTGGCTTTCCCGACCTGGACGTCTGTCAAGAGAATCGGCTGCAGACGGCAGTGTTCGCAGCTTCGATTCGCTTACGGAAACGTTGACCAACAGCTTCGACAGCAACCAGTCGGAAAAGCCGTCCAGCTGACCCGGTTTTCATAAGTGCTACTCTGCAAGGGGAAAGCTTCTAGAAAACACCAATTTTGTTTACCGCACCTCCTCAACCGGGACTAGCATCTGACAGACGGCTTCGACGAGCCTTTCGGTCAAGCCACTGGTAAGATACATACAGAGTAGTACTCCGTACGGTCTGTCTTGGCCTCTTGGCTCTCGCATATCGCCGGCTTTGGCACTGGGTCGTGCGTATGGGGCAAAGTGGGTTTCACCCTGCACTGCTCACCGAGTGCGGAGAGGCTTCTGCACGAACGCGACGTATTACGTATCTTGCTCGTATCAATGAAGCAGTCCGCCTTCTTCTGGCGAGTAAACGGGCCCACCCGTTTCATCCATACAGTATCCAAACATAACCGCACTGTGCGGCAAGCTTTTATTTTAGCTTGTTTTTTTATGTCATTTTGTTTTTGAGGGGGTGGACACGATAGTGCATCTTACGTACAGCAAAGACAGGACGGCTGTTCTTACGGATGGGACCACGAGCACAAGCGGTGCATTGCCGCGCAAGCAGCTTCCGCTTTCGGACGCTTGGCCGCTTGATCGACGAGCCGTTTGGTCGGTCTTCGAGATAAGTGCAGGGACCGGCCGTCTTCTTTTTTCAGGCCTACAAAAGATCACCGTCGAAATGCGATGTGAAGCCTGCTGCAGCGGTGGGCGAATGCGCGCCTGCTAGGACCATGTGATCGGCTGGGTCGAACAAAGAAGATATGTAATCAACATGCGATGGCCAGCATCATGCATTTCGCTCTGTCCATGACGGGAGACAGTACGGGTACAGGATACATGGTGGCTTTGTGTCTCGCGCGCGCTTGCTGACAGGGGAGGACACAATCGATCGGCTCTCTCGACTGGCTGTCGAGCAGCTGATTTTTCAGCAACGAAGCAGCTTCCGAAAACGGCAGAATAACCCACTCGGATCAGCACGAGTAGTGAGATGCTTGGTCGGCCATCGAGATGCGAAACGAATACGAGCAGACTGCTGAAGGCCAGACCAACAGCAGTCGGCGGACTCGTATTCTTTGACAGAACCATTACTCACAATCGGGCAGTAGGCAGTTGGCCGTCCAGCCTACGAGTGCTCGTACATACACGTGGTTGTCCAGCTTTGCCGAGTACGCCGCCGTTTCTGCTGCCTCCTTCCTCTTTTGCTCGATAGACAAGGCCCGGGCGATGTCCTGATCCCGATCTCGCATACGCGTACGAGTACGTATCCCCCGTATCTTACTCGGTGGTATTCATGCGCGCGCGTGCGCAGTCGGTGTGTGTGATCTGGCAGAGCCCGATCTGAGACTCGGCTCGGCAGACAGACCGACGACGGCACGTCGAAAAGACGGCAGCCGATGGCAGATGCTGGTCTTCTTGTCCGGTGCTCTCACGCAAGAGTCCATCGGCAGTAAGATTGCTCTTTCGGCCGACTACCTCCGACTACCGACCATGCAAGAACGGCCAGTGCCGACGGCAGAGGGGGAAGAGATAGATAGATCGACAAGGCGGATGGCAGGGAGATAAGCAGCCGCGGTTGCGCCTGTCTGTGCTGCTGGGGGTCTTTTTCATTATTCGGATTAATTTTTATTTTTATTTTTATTTTATTTCTCTCACCTTCGGGCTTCGTCGACACTCCTACCGAGTTGCGGATCAGACTTTGTCCATTTCCGAGTCACCGTTGCAGCTTTGCACACAAGCACCAGCCGGCGTATTTCCCCTAGCTCTCGATGCGGCAGCTCTGTCTGGGTCCGGGTTTGCTGCACGCTGCACGCCGCAACGACCGACACGGCGGATGTGGCGATCTGCTCTCGCCACATCTCAGATGCCGTCTGCCTGTTGGCTGGCTCTGGATGCTGAATGGACCCCCCCGGCCAAGCCAGGCTCTCCTGGGCAGCTGGCTGGGACTAGTCGACTGACTTTTGGGGCTGCCCTTGTGGCCATGTCCAGTAAGGCGCTGCTGCCGTTGCAGCGACGGTGCTGGACGACATGGATAACATGGATGGACATGGGCGAGCACGGATGGCTTTGGACAGGCATCTGGATGGCCAGACACGGACAGCGATGCTGAACTAGGCAGGTAGAAGGAACCTTGGCCGGAAGGGGGTCCTCCTTGGGTCTTGGACCCATTTGGCGCATTTGGCCGTATTCTTCCTCTCTCGCAATTTTTTTTATTCGCCTGTGGCGCACGCTGTACTCCGTATGGCTGGCTTTACGCCCGACGAGACGGCGGAGAGGTGTGGAAAAAGGAAAAAAAGGCAAGGGGAGCGAAAAGAGGACCGAGAGACAAGGCAAGGAAGGGCCCGGCTGCCACGACTCGACAAGACACATGTTGACAACTGGCTGGACGTCGGCGTGCGACCGTTCGGTGTACGAGTCACCCGTACCTTTTTATAGTTGATGCACGAATATGTACGAGTGCAGAGCACAGAGGAGTCGTACATAGTACATGCTGCCAAGTACGAGTAATCGACCACATGTGCCGTAGGGGTGTGCGTTGCATCATCGCGTCGAGGGAGGGGGGGATCAACGGACAAGCCTTCAGCGGCCTTTTCAGCGGGGACCTTGTGCATTTCGCGCTCTTGGGAAAACCGTCCAGAGTGGCGAGAGGGAGGGAAGGGAAAAAAAACACGTCGGGCACCGCAAGGGAGCCAATCAGCGACAACGCAGGCTGCCAGGGCCGTGTGGCGGCGCCATTGGAACGCTTCTAGCGTGATTCTAGCTTTAGTCTAGTCCAAAGACAGCTAGCTCATTCTGGGCAAAAGGGGGCGTGTGATAGCCTGTGGGTTTTTCGCCGTCCTTCTTTCGCTTCCTTCGCCCGGGGACAGGCGCTGTTCCATGGCTTCCAGCACAGGGGGCCACGATACCACGGGGCAGCCAGACACTTGCCTAAACCGGCTGTGCAAGTCCGGGTCGCGAGGACCGACGGCGTCTCCTGAACTGGGGCAGTACGACATCCCGATTTGTGCGAGTTTTGCTACGAGAAAGGAGTACGGATTCGCGAGCAGGAACGTTGAACGTCTACTCCGTACAAGTGTATGGCCGCCCTTTCCTTGACACTAAGCACGCTATCGATGCCGTGCCCAGAACCCCTTCTTGCACTATTGCCATTACCTAATATTCTTACCCTGTACGAGCACTCCGTTCTCCGTTCTCCGTACTCGTAGCAATGGCATGCGCCACCTGCAGTGGACCTGAACCCTTCTCCACCTGTGGACTCGCTGCTCTGCCCCCCCCGTCTTCCCTCTGGAATTACTCCCACACCCTCGACTGACCCGTCACCTTCTCTCAGTGCCCAATGCACAAGTAGTCAGATACGAAAGCAAGATCGACAAGGCAAACAGCTTTCCTCTGCTGGCTCTTGTCTTTAATACAACCCCCCTCCCCTTTTGCTCCCTTCTCACCTTGCCCGTCTTTATTTTCTCGCCGTCGTCTGCTTCCTGCCAGCCATACTCTCCCTTACTACCACCTCTCTCTCATTGCCTTCTTCCATTCCTTTGCCGTCTCGCTTTCGACGAAACCCGACTCTGTTGTGCTTCCGACTTCCCCCCCACTCGCCGTTTCACCGTTGTGCTTAGGCGTTGTGCTTTTGATGAAACGATACTCGTCGCTCGTAAACGGCCCCAGCCAGTCATTTCGTCTTCGCCTTTCCTCTCTCGCTTCCATCCCGCCAATGGCCTGGCCGTTCTCGCTCTCCAGCAGGACATCTTGCCCTTAGAAGTCAGTCGCGACGGAATAATGAAAAGAAGGAGACAACAAGCCAGCCCTCCCTTCCTCGGTCTCCCCACCAAACGATCAGATTAGCACGCCGCCACGAGCAGGAGGTTGGCACGGCCTCACACTGCCGTACCTCCCTCTCTTTCGGTCCTCCCACAATCGGCATCTCCCTCCCCTCTCCTCCTCTCGCAATGCCGCATACAGGCCATTCCGGGCCCACGAGCCTCGCCGTGCTTTCGTCGGCAAATCGGCCGACTCTGCAGGACATCCTCTCCAACAGCGCCCCGCCACCCTGGACGCTCAGTGCCTTTATGGCTTATCTCTCGCAGAACCACTGCCTCGAAACGCTCGAGTTCACCATGGAGGCTGAGCGCTACAAGAGCGCCTTTGCCGACGTCCAGATGTACGAGGGCAGCGCCCACGTCGCCCAATGGTCGCAGGACGCCAGGGACCACGTCGCGTCGCTGTGGCAGCGCCTCATCGAGACGTACATCTTGCCGTATGGCGTGCGCGAAGTCAACCTTCCCGGCCCAGTGCGCGATCGACTCCTGGACCACCAGCCCTCCGCCTCGCCGCCGCATCCGACCGAGCTCGACGAGGCCGTCCAGATCGTCTTTGAGCTGATGAACGACTCTGTTCTGCTGCCCTTTCTCGATTCGGCCCAGCAAGAATACCAGCAGCACCAGCAGCACCAACAGCTGGTCATCGATACCGACACCGACCCGCAGGACAGCCGCCAGGGTCGTTCACGGCTGCGCAGCTCCAAGGACGCGAGGGAATGTGCTGCCTCTTCCTCCTCCACAGGTGATGACGCCAGCCGGTCGCCCCGGCCGTCGTTCCTCCAGCTTGGTCGTGGCCGTAAGAACGACACCCGCGGACGATCGCCCTCAACGTCGACCGATGCCACCGACCCGGCTGATCGCGCTGGCCTCGTCGACGACAGCGGCAGCGCCACTCCTCCGCCGGGCGAGCCGCTCACGCCGCCAACAACTCCCCCGACGTCGGACTGGGGTTTCAGCACGTCGCCCAGCAGTCTGCAACGCGCCATCTCCGTCCAGAGCGCTGGATGGAAGCGCATGAGCGCCAAGCTCGGCCTCAGCCGCAAGAACCGGCCTAGCCGACGGAACAACACGTCCAACGGCAACAGCAGCGGCTTTGTCGGCGAGCCGTCCTCCTCGTCCTCCTCACCACCCACCAACGTCGACCTGCCCGATCTGCCCAATCTGCCCATGCCCGACACTGATCTCGAGGCCCACAACCACCACGACTTATGAGGGTCACAGGTCGTGTCGCTCCTCGGGAACTCCTCCACCACCACCATCACCAACACCACCAAATTCACCAATGCCGAAGCAGCCTTGGCCACAACCGCGAACGCGAACATGGCCATTGGTCAGGCCATCAGCTGTGGCCACCGCCGCAGCAGCGACTGGGAAGAGCCCCATCCCGGTCTTCGCCTTGTGCTGACGGACGCGCCAAGCTGTCTCGGGGCCGACGACCTCTCTGTCGACCCGTGCGACAGCGGCTGTGGCGATGGTGACAGCGTCATTGAATCATGGACAGCAGGAGTTTCTCGGAGCGACACGGCCGCAAAAGGCGTGGGCCAACTGTCACAATCGAGACGGCCTTCCCCCTCTCGGTCGTGGCTGTCTCGACGACGGATCCGCATGAAGATCCGCGACGCGGCGCATTCTCCCAACAAGTCGCCAGCGATCGCAACAACAGCAACATCTGCAATGACTGCAGACGAATTTCTGACTCGGCCGATGACGTCCGGCCAGCAGAGCATCGACACCAGCGTCGACATGGACGTGGACTCGGACCCCGAGACCGACATGGAAAGCGTGTCTGCCTGCCGGTCGATCGAGACGCCGTCGGCCACCACGGCTGCAACCGAAGACGTGTGGACGGCAGCTCCCCGACGCATGGCCATGTCAGCCTCGACGCTGGCCGTCACTGACCGTTCCGGCCGTCTCGGCGGTGAAGACGACACGGCGTCGACCGTTGTCGACTCGGATGCGATCTCGTACGCTACCACTGCTGACTGCGACGTGTATGGCTGGGAGGCCGAGCTGGATCGCAAGAGAAGCATGTCGGTCGTTTCTGCTTCGTTTGTCGGTAGCAGCATCGGTGACGATGCCGACAGTGCCAGCAGGCTCAACGAGCTTCGCGACTACCAGTTCCGCCGTGCTGACGGTCGCCGACGCAGCTTCCTCCACCGTGTCTTCAACAACGGCGAAGAGACCGACAAGACTGCAAGTGACGGCGGCCGTGGCAGAGGCACGCCAACCTCTGTTCCTCCGGTCCCGGCGATCCCTCCGTCTTTCCTCAACTTTGCAGTGCGGAACAGCAACCGGCTGTGAGGTCTTGTCTCTCGTTATCACGATTTCCCTTTCTCTCCTCTTTTCTTCTTTCGTCTCTTTCGTCTCTTTCGTCTCTCGTCCTCATGTCTCATGTCTCATTCCTCATTCCTCATTCCTCATTCCTCATTCCTCATTCCTCATACCTCCATCTTTCTTCTCTCCTCACGGCCGCATCGTTTATGCATGGGTTGCGCAGGGTTGCATTTTCTGGGAGTGGGGATAGCGTTTTGCATTGCTCGGAGTCTGGACAAGGACATTAGATAGGTTAGCCAAGCATACGTCAGGTGTTGCTCTCACGGGAAGGCCTCAAACCCCCAAAACCGGAAGCTGGCAGCTAGAATGAAACCGGAGCTGAAGCCCGAACGCAACAGCAATGGGTATTAATGTCTACTATATCACTATTCGTATTGACTCGTGTTCTCGCATGTGAAACCGCCTTCAAGACACCGACATATCTGGACGGAACAGAAAGGGACACAGACAAGGAGGCACGCACCACTTGAGGCATAGCACGGCAGACGGCACTGTCGTCCCTCCATTGTTGGCCGCAGCTCTGGGTTCATCCGGCCCCGTTCTCGTAGCCGCTGCCGGTTCGCTGCCGTTTAAGCTCCGCATAAACATGTAGTCGTCGAGCGTGATGGGTCGTGCGACTCGGCCTGCCCTTGCCTCTGTTTCCGCCATGGCCACGGCCGACGTGTCTGGTGCAGCGTCTCGTGTGCGGCTGTTCCGGGACACGCTGCAGTCTGCCGGTGGCATATCGCGCAGGAACGGGTGGTTGGCGATCGAGTGCTGGCTGGTCGGTGGTCGCCAAACTGGGCCGCCAGAGCGATGGTTGCCGTGGCTCCCGCGATAGCCGTCTCCGTGTTGCTGCCATGAGCGCCGCCATCGTACCATGCTGGAAGACAGGGAAAAGCCGCGCGGGCCCGACGAGCTGCCCCGGTCACCGCACAGTCTCGGCTGCGATCTCCGCGTGTTCTCGTACGACGGAAGTCCTGGCGGCGTGGCCCGACGCACCGGCGGCAGATGGAGCGGCTCCAGCGGTGCCAGGATGGGTGGCAGTGCCGGCTCGGGTTCGTCGGGTTCGTCTGGCCGCAGGATGAGCGTTGCCGGGAGCGAAATGAACGAGGCCGGACTATGGCAGCCGTCTCTGCTGATGGCTGCATCGGCAATGGAAGCGGAAGCAGCAGCAGCCGCTCCAGAAAACTCTCTCGCCCTCTTGTGTCCCCTTTTCTCGGGCCTCACGTGGATCTCCTTGCCCCTGGCAGCGTGGCCGAGCCGGGCAGACGACGACTCAGACGACGGCGAGACAGAGACGGGCTCTGCCGGACAGATGCAACCAGCCTCATCGCTGGGCGTCGTGCTTGGCGTGTTCTCGGACGAGTCTTTGCGGCGCCAGATGGAGCGATTGGACGCGGTGGACGGCCTGGCGGTGAGCGAGACCGGTGGCAGACGTGCTCCCGTGACGGTCGAGCACATGGCTGGCAATAAAGATGCAGCAGAATAGGATATGGTCTGGGAGAGGAGAGGGAAGAGAGACAATGGAAGGGAGATCTGGCTTGCAGAAAAGGCAGACCGTTGGAAGCTGCCATTCCACAGGTTCTAGAGGGAAGGCGCGCGTCTGTATCGGTGTCCTTTGCAGCTACCCATTTTCACACGTCCGCATGGAAAGAGCAACCCGACCTGTCAGTAGTGATTACATATGCTACAGCCTGCCTTGCACGTGGTCTTTCAGCAGCTCAGCTTCATGGTGATATACAGCCGATCACGAGGACTCATCTACCGGCATGTCGTGTCGCGAGTACATCTTGTACTCGAGCGACGTGGAAAAGTCGAGCTTTCCCGACTCGACCTGGGCTCTCGTAGCCGTCAGCATGGGCTGTGGCAGGCCCATGGACTCGAGGAAGGCAACGGCTGGCCGTGTTAGCGTACACGAAACAGTGTCTGGTAGCCAACCTGGCAAAGGCCCACACTCACTATCTTTCCACTCAACGTCCTGTCGTCTCCGGTCCCAGCGAAGCTCCTGTGCCATGATGTCGATGACGCGTGGCAGCGCCTCGAGAGCGGCCTGTGCGTTCAGAAAGGCCAGACGGGTGCGGCGTGCGAGCACGTCGACGGCGGTCTGGGCGTGTTCGTGCAGCACGGCATAGCGCACCTCGCCGTCGACAAAGGGGTACAGCTGCGAGAGGCGGTCGCCGCGCGCCGGAAAGCGGCGGTCGGTCGGCCGACAGAGCGCGCCGACCGTCCAGGCACGATCGCCGTAGCTCTCGGTCAGATGGCGGGCCACATCGGTCTCCAGACCAAAGTGCTGGATCAGGTTGATGAAGAGGGTGCGGCTGAAGCCGTGAGCGCCGACGAGCCGCACCTGGTGCGTCTGGCAGGTGCCGTCGAAGAAAGGGCGCCGTCGTCGACGTCGTCGCTGCCGCTGATGCGAGGCATCTTCGACATCAATCTCGACAGCGGCCGCGTCTGCAGCCCAAATGTCCGCACGGCCGCGTCCACACACTCCTCGGCCATCTGGCGGTACGTCGTCCACTTGCCGCCGGCACAGGTCAGCAGTCCCGACGCCGACACGTCGACTAGGTGGTTGCGCACCAGCGCTTCCGTCCGCGTGGCCTTGGGGTCTCGCACCAGCGGCCGAAGCCCGGACCAGGCCGCCAGCACGTCACCGCGCCGCACCTGGATGTCGGGCGACAGGTAATGGCTGATTTCGCCGAGGATCCACTGGATCGACTTCTCGTCTGGCAGCGGATTCTTGCTGATCACTGCCGGCTCGTCCGTCGTCCCGGCGATCGTGTTGCCCTGCCACGGCAGGAAGAAGATGACGCGCCCGTCCGACGTGGACGGGTCGATCAGGCCCATCTTGCCCGGGCTGTAGTAGCCGGGCAGGATGATGTGCACGCCCGAAGCCGGCGCCACAATGTCCGTGCAGCCCGGGTCGTCCATCTTGCGGATCCCGTCCGTAAAGGGACCGGTGCAGTTGACCACGCATCGTGCCCGGATCGTCACCTCGTCCGCGTTCTTGTTGTTCCGCGCAGGCACGCAGTCACGTGCTCGCGCCCCCGTCAGACGGCCGGCCTCGTCCTTTGTCAGCGACGTCACCTCCATGTGGTTGACCACCGTTGCTCCGTACAGCGCCGCCGTCATGGCGATCGACACGTTCATGCGCGAGTCGTTGTGCGCGCCGTCGTAGTACACCAGCGCGCCCACCAGGCCGTCCTGCTTCAGCATTGGGAAGGCGTCGACGGCCTTGGACTTGGTCAGAAAGTACGAGCTCTCGATGCCCTCGCTTCCGGCTAGAAAATCGTAGCACTTGGTGCCCATCCAGTAGTACGGCACCTTCCACCACCTGTCCAGCGGCAACATGATCGGCAGCCACATGCTGAGGTGCGGTGCCGTCTGCAAGAAGCACTTGCGCTCCTTCAGCGCCTCGCGCACCAGCCGGTACTGTGCATAGTCTAGATTCCAGACCGCCTTCTCCAGGTATCGCACGCCGCCATGCACCAGCTTGGTGCTCTTGCTGCTGGTGCCGCTGCTGTAGTCGTCACGCTCGACCACGGCCACCCGCAGGCCCCGTGTGGCTGCATCCAGGGCCACACCCGCACCCGTGGCTCCGCAGCCGATTACGAGCATGTCGTACTCCGTCCCGTCGGCCGTGCTGCTCTGCCGGAGCGCTGCAATGTTCTCGTCGCGGTCCTTTGTGCGCGGAAACCGCGGCAGCCGGAAATTGCCATCGGCCCCGAACTTGGGGGGAGGCACGGCCGGCGGCGCATAGCCGGGGATGTTTCGTGGCCGGTACGTGTACCAGATGAGTCCACCGGTAGCAGTGCCCACGCCGGCTGTGATGGCAGCCGTCCGGACAAGACCTGGGCGCAGTAGCCTGGACATTCTGGGGTGTTGATGACTGAGGTGAACTAGGATTGAGGGTGGGCAGAATGACGAGAACAATTGTTGGCCATTGCTTCTTCATTCTTCGACCTCACCATCCTGCTTCTCGTGGCTCAGACCTATGCTGTCATCGGGCAGCTTTTGGCCTGTACATTTCCTCCAATCAGAAAGACATCTTCTCGCTTCGCTAATTGCGTCACCATTTCTTCAACAGATTGTCAGTACTTCTCCGCACGGGGACTTACTGCGAGTAGTTAGATCATTTGGTGGAGTTGGGAAGTATAGGCCTATTGGCCTGCTCCCTCGTTGTAGACTGGTTGGAACGATCTGAGCAAGAATCGCAGCAAGTACGGAGTAATGCTGGGACAATCAGTGTTCTGTAGCTGGGAGTCTTACAAAGTACACGTAGTGAAGTCACGTGACTTCGATAAGATTAAGGCTGAGCTTTTGCCCCTGCCCTGCAAACAGCATCGCCAACTCGACAAGGCCGGCTGCGAGCGAGGCTGATTGACATCGTCCAGCCTGCGCCAGCGCAGCGGAGAACAGACATCATGTCGATGCCGTGGGGGAAGGCGGTCTACAAAAAAAAGGATGGGATCATAGCCGTCGCGGACGACCAGTCGCTGGTCACCTGGACTCCGACGGCAGGAGGTGCAGCAGTGTCTCTGCCTACTGTGAACATTACGAGTGCGTCAGCATACTGCCTCTCTCCTCTCGCCTGCCGGTGCTGACATTTCCAGACCTGCAGCAGACGCCCGACACGGCAGCCAAGGTGATGCTGAAGATCTTTGAGAAGCCACCAGGCTCCGACGGCGAGCCGTCGACCTACCTGTTCCACTTCAACTCGCCGACCGATGCACGAACCGAGGCCAACGCGGTCAAGGACCTGCTCTCCAAGATCCTGGCCGACATACGCAGCAACGATCCGAGCGTGCCGCGGCCGGCGGACACGGCACCGCCAGCAGCACCAACGCGACCGGACAGCGGCAGCACATCCGCAGCCATGTCGTTTGCCAGCGCGACTACATCCAAGCCGACGGTGGCACGCTGGTTCGACGACAGCCAGCTCCGGGCAGACATTGAGCTGCAGCAGTCGCTGATGAAGAAGGACAAGACGCTGCACCAGACATACATGGATGCGCAAAAGTCGAAGCCGGACTCGATCTCGGACGCGTCCTTCAATGGGCAGTTCTGGTCCACACGCACAACGCTGCTGCGGGCACACGCAATCGAGACACACCAGAAAAAGGGGGCGTATAACGTGTTGTCGACGATCAAGCCGCGGACGGTCGACAATGAGCTCAAGCTCAACATCAGCGTCGAGCAGGTGCAGATGATTTTCAAGCAGCACCCGCTGGTCAAGCGGATCTACAACGACAACGTGCCGCGCATCTCCGAGTCGCAGTTCTGGGCCCGCTTCTTCCTCAGCCGGCTGTCGAAGAAGCTGCGGGGTGAGCGCGTGCTGGATAGCGAACGGGCCGACCCCATCTTTGACCGGTACGACGAGTCGGACGACACCATCGCCGCCAGCCTGATCCTGTCGGCCCATGTGCCCTACACCATCGACCTGGAGGCCAACGAGGAGGACCAGGGTGGCTTTCGCGGCGGCAACCGCAAGGACGTCGAGATGCGGCCGCGCTCCAACATCCCCATCGTCCGCACGCTGAACAGTCTGAGCGAGAAGATCATGGCCGGCGTCGCGCCGTCTGACCCGGACCCGACCACGAGCGAGGTCGTCGACGCCGGCACGCAGGCGGGACTGGAGCTGGCTGACCTGCGCGGCGATATCGAGGCGCGACGCATCGTACTCCACGTGCGCGAGCAGAGCCGCTTCTTCAACCAGGACCCGGCTGACTCGGCCGACACAGACACATACCGCCAGCAGGTACCGTCCGAGGTGCTGTTTGACGTGCAGGCCGACATCGACACGCTCGAGGGTGACGGCGCCGGTGGCATTGATCTGCATGCCGGCATCGGTGTGGACGAGGATAGCGATAGTGATGGTGAGGATGGCCAGGCTCGCGGCAGCCACGTCGGGTCGCGCGCAGCGCGACAGGCGGCCCAGAAACAGCTCTTTGCGGCCATTGCACAGCGGAGGTCGGAGCGGTACGGCCACAGCGCAGACGAGCAGGCGCCCATGGGCATCCCGGCCGAGATCGCCCAGAAGGCGTACCTGACCAACGCGACCACGACCGAGTTTCTGCGGCAGTTCTGGAATGCCTTTTTGTCGGGCGACGCCGACCGCGCGCAGGAACTGGCACACCACGTTGAGGCGCTCAGTAAATCACTGGGACGGATTGAGGCTATCGCCGACGAGGCCGAACAGGCTCGTAACCGTGTCATTGCCGAGAAGAAGGAGGAGATCCGCGTGCTCTACAGTCGCACCGGCAAGCGGCTGCGCTGGCGCCCCGAGATGATCGGTGGCGGCCGGCGCGCCGTCCAGGTGCTGCTGGGGCCAACCATTCACGGCCTGCAGACAGCCCAGGACCGGTATCAGGCAGCATTGGCAGCCGAGGGGCTGAAGCTGAGCACGGAGTCGTGAGGGCTCCTGGCTTTTGCTTAGATAATCCTGGCCACCTGTAGTTCGTTAGCCCACGCACTAGTCACAAGCTTGTATCCTAATTGGGCAGGCGGTCCCACTCACCTCTTTCCCCCACTCAGACGCAGTGAAAATGTGAGGTTGACTCGTGCTCCCTGCAACACATTGTGCAGGACTGCATATCGGCGCCAGAGAAGAACAACGAGCCAGCGCTCGTTCCGGTCTGCCCCCAGAAGCGACTTTCGCAACCCCGATGCGCCGGGTGTCATGCGGCAAGCCTTCCGGATGCGCCCCATAGGGACGCCGGCCCTGCATGCGGCACCGAGCCTGTATCGATATCGATATCGATATCGATATCGAAGCATTGGCTCCTGGACTCTTGCATTTGCTCGCCGCTTCGGTCTCTCGGCCGCCCAGCGAGCACGACCAGACGACGATGCGGCTGCCGAGGATAAGGCCCGGCCGGACGGTGACACCGAGAGCCCCGACGTTCCTGTCATCTCGACCTCGTCTTCAACCTCGACATCCTCCCTTTCCTCGCCAGCTCCTCCACCAGAGACCGACAAGCCGACCGAGACAGAAGCACTGCGGGACGCCTTCTCCGGTCTCGTCGGCCGCGGCCGCTCGTCGAGACACCGCAGCCCAGATGGTCTGCCACCCGTTCGCCTGCCCGACTGGTTTCTCCGCGAGAACGTGCGCCGCTGGGAGACGCCATCACTGCCGTCAGCCCAAAACTCCATCAGCCACAACTTGGCCGAAGCTCGACGGCTGATGTTCCCCAACATTGCTCCCCAACCGACGACAGCAGCAACGCCACCGCCGACTGCCGTCCTGGACGCCGAGCGTGAGCGCATGCAGCAGTTCTTCGAGTGGATGCTCCATGGTGCTGCCTGGGACGCGAACAAGGTGGCCGATGCTGCTGCTGATCTGCGGCGCGGCTATCTGGATGCTATCACGAACCGCAGCACCGCTGTGGCTGCCGCTGCTTCGTACCTGACAGCTGCGCTCGCCGAAGAAGCCGGTCAGGCTGACCTGTCAGCCAAGATCGATCCCGACAACGCGCTGCACATCCCCGAGGTGCTCTCCCGGCCGGCTTACCGCGACCACGTCAGGAGCCTGACCGAACACGGAATTGACGTGTGTGTCAGCCCTGGTGCTGACCAGGACGTGGCCCGCGGGCTGCCGTTCAACTACGACTACGGCGAGCGGATCGGCTTCACGGAGCTCTGTGCCACCGTTGCCGCCGAGCTGCGCGCCGTGTCTCCTCCGGCCAGGCCGGCCAAAGACTTCAAGCGGCCCATTTCCGTGCTTGCTTTGATGAATTATACCGGTCGCGGCAAGGCTGTCTCGGTCGTCGAAAACGTGGCCAGGAGCCTCTCGGCTGACGTGGTCCATCTCGATGCTGCTGCTATCGCTGAGATCGTCGGCTCGTATCTCGGCCAGACGGCCTATTGGGCCCGCGGTAGCCTTTCGATGCTCGGCTACACCATGGCCGAGAAGAACGGCCGGCTGGCACGGCGATATCCGACCAAGCGAGACGAAGAAGACGACGACGATGACGATCACCTGGACTCATCCATGGTTATGTCTCGGCTTCCAATCGCCTTTATGCGCCAGTCTGGCCTCGGCCCGCGCCTTTCGTCCAAGGCCTTTCCCTCCGACATGGACGACAAGTGGGACGACCTGAAGACGAACAACGTCCTCGAGGCTATCGTCAAGGCGACCACGACCACGACCACGACCACGACAGTCTCGGCTGAACCGCGCAAGATGATCCTGCACGTGCACAACTTCTTTGAGCTCAGCTCGACCGTCGAGGGCTCCGAGATCCTCGCCAAGCTGCGCACCATTGTCGACCGGCTCTGGCAACGCCGCCACCACCGGATCGTGCTTGTCGGCTCGGCCTCAACCCATGCCGACGTCAAGCCCAGCCTGGTCGAGCGGGCCGAGGAGCTGCGTCTCGAGGGCTACCACATCATCCCGTTCCGCGTGCAGCGCACCGCCTCGACGCCCTGTCTGGCCGAGCAGATGGAGCGCCAGGACTACTTCAGCGAGAACATGGCCAACATCCGCGCCATGACGACCGCCCTGACGGCCGGCTCTCTGCAGCCGCCTGCCACGGCCTGGGACTGGGCCCGCTGCCGCGATGACGTCGACGAGACGCTGCAGGCCAGCTTGTCGCACGTGGTCTATGACATTGACTGGGTGTACCGGCTGGTGACGTTAGTGCTCGGCAGCACGGCCGACAAGACGCCGCGCTGCGACGAGAAGAGCTTCGTGGCGGCCCTGCGCGCTATCGGCGGCGAAGAGCTGTGGTGGGAGAAGCGGGCCGGAGCCAAGGCACCGTACTTCTATCCGCTGAGCACGACGCCAGACGCAGCCTTTGACCGCAGCAGCAGCGAGCCCGGCGATCCGCAGCAACAGCAGCAACAGGCTCAGACGACGACCGAGTACAACGAGTACGAGAAAAAGCTGCTGGCCAACGTGATCGACCGCCAGGCGATTGCGACGACGTTTGCCGACGTTGTGTGTCCGGCCGAGACAGTCGACTCGCTCAAGGCGCTGACGTCGCTGTCGCTCGTGCGGCCCGAGGCCTTTCTATACGGCGTGCTGGCAACGGAGCGGATCCCTGGCTGTCTGCTGTACGGACCACCCGGCACTGGCAAGACGCTGCTGGCCAAGGCCGTGGCCAAGCAAGGTGGCGCCAGCATGATCGAGGTCAGTGCCGCCAGCATCAACGACATGTGGCTGGGCAACAGCGAGAAGAACGTGCAGGCGCTCTTCTCGCTGGCCCGCAAGATGGCCCCCGTCGTCATCTTCCTGGACGAGGCCGACGCGCTGCTGGGTGCCCGCCAGACCGGACCTGGTGGCCGTGCTGCCCACCGCGAGACCATCACCCAGTTCCTCCGCGAGTGGGATGGCCTCAAGAGCATGAACGCCTTCATCATGGTGGCCACGAACCGGCCCTTTGACCTGGACGAGGCCGTGTTGCGTCGTCTGCCGCGTCGTATCCTCGTCGACCTGCCGCTTCGGCCCGGCCGGCTGCGCATCCTCGAGGTCATGCTTCGCGACGAGCTACTTGACTCGGCCGTCGACCTCAACCAGCTTGCCGCCGAGACTGAGCTCTACTCCGGCTCTGACCTCAAGAATCTCTGCGTCGCCGCCGCCATGGAGGCCGTCCGCGAAGAGGTCCGCGCTCAGGACGCCCACGTCGGCCCCGACCCGTTTGTTTTTGCCGACCGCCGCATCCTGCGGCGCGCCCACTTCGACCGCGCCCTGCAGGACATTGGCGCCAGCATCAGCGAAGACATGGCGTCGCTGCAGGCCATCCGCCGCTTCGACGAGCGCTACGGCGACCGCCGCCGCAAGAAGCGCCGCCACATGGGCTTCGAGGTCGCCCCGACCCAGCTCAACTCCGAGGCCGCACTGGTGAGACAGGCTGTGCCGTGAGGTCGTGGTTGTCGTCGGTTGCCGTTGTTTGCCGTTGGCTGTGGCTGTGGCTTAGTCATCTTGCATAAAAAGAACTATGTGGCAACACTCTTCACATCCAATATAAACAGGCATCTGCAGCGCAGTCTTTTGTAGCAGGCTATGTATGTACGGAGACATGAGGGGGATCATCAGTAGAAAAAAAAGATTCATTGTAGACAGCATTTGCCTGTTTTGCCAGGACACAAAAATGGATACCAAGAAAAGAATAAAGAGCAAGGCACTGTGTTATAGATCGGTGCTAAATAAGACAACCAGATCACAAGCAAGACAAGAAACGCAGTCAACTCGACATTTTGGTGTGCGCGCAAAAATTCGCGGTTGCCCTTGGGTCTGTGTTTGCCTCTTGTTTTTGTATTGTATTTTTTTTTGGTTTCGTTTTTGCCGTCTTCAGAGATTGTTGTCGTTGTGCTGTCATCACTTTCATGAGATCATTCCTCTTTCCTTCACGCCGGTAAGGACCTCTTCTCTCGTCCTCTGCACCTGGAATCTCCGGCTTCCTTTTGAGTAGAACTCGCCTCGAATCGCTTCATCTCAGTTCACTGGAATCACACCAGCGCCGCTTTCCCGTTGCTCGACCCGTCGTCCGCTCGGGTCGTGTCGTCCTCCCTCCTCCGCAACCTCGATCACCGATCTCGACCGCTCTCGCCTGATGGGCGGCTCCATCTCTCGCCCTGCATTTGTCTGCACCACACCCGGCTGCTCATGGTTATGCACATCTTCCATCCAGGCCACGATCTCTGGCCGCAGCGGGTTGTCCAGGTGCCACGTATCGGGCCCTACCCTCTTTGCGATGCCCACCTCCAGCCGTGTGGCCCAGTTCGTCAGCGTCGTGTCCGTCTTTCCGCCAAAGACCACTGGAGGCTCCCGTCCGGCAGAGGCTGCCTCCAGGTGACGGGCAACGTGCTCCATCCGATCGTCCCATGCATTGTTTCCGTGAAAGTCGATACCACAGCCCTGTGCCGGGCAAACCATGTAGTCGGGCAGCCGGCAACGTGGCTTCAGCCCATCCTGCTGCAAGTCTTTCAGCCGGTTCTCCCACTCGATGATGGAAGCGTGGTTCGGCATTTTGGCTCCCTGTTTGGCCTGCTTCAGGAGCTTCTTCACATGTGGCGGCGTGTGCATGCGGCGGAGGTGCTGAGTGAACAAGTCTTTCCGGTTGAAGATTGCCCCGTTGGGCAGAGAGAACCCGCTGCCGCCGCCACTGGTGCTGTCAAGAGCGGTATTGCTGCCCCCATTGCCTCCCGTGCCGTTGACCTTGTTAATCACCTTGCTGCACATCTCAACCTGGCAAACCCAGTACTGCAGCAGAATATGCTGGCTCATCACATGTCGCTTCCACTCGTTTTTGCTAGCGAAAGTAGACTCGCATCCAGCCCAGTGGAAAACACAGTGGAAAGGGCGCGTGTGCAGCTTTCGCACATGGTTCTGCAGAGAGTCGCCATCCTTGAAGCCGGCCTTGCACTCCTTGCACACGTGTGTCTGGCCGGCCAGCTTGATCGAGATTTTGAACGGTTTCTGTGCCGCTGCGAGCAAGACGTTGTTTTCCGCGAGGCCGCCATCATCTACCGCATGCCCATGCTGCTTTTGCTGCGAGTAGATTTGGCCGTGGTGCGGAAGCTGGTAATCCTTTGCCTTGCGCTCGTCGCCTGGCGCGTACTCCCTTTTGCGGAGCGAAGCTGGAGACGGCTCAGAGGGCAGAATCTTTCTTTCCGTCGGCAATGCTTTTCGGGCTCGTTTCTGACCTGTACGCGACGTGAAAGTGCTATCCATGTCACCGTCGACTGGAGTGGCCGGTGATGCTGAGCCGACTGCTCTAGGGATCGATGTAGTCGTTGCGATGCCTGGGTCGGTCGCGTCTATTATAGGGACAGGGGTAAGTGCTTCTGGCGGCTGTATCCGCGTTGGTGGCGCCTCCTCGAACCACAGCTTTGAAGCTAAATCTTTGTCAATCTTTTCCAGAGTACCAGAATCGATGTCGCCGACAGTAGTATAGCCCACAAATGAGCCCGCCGGACACTCTGAGAAGAGACTCCACTCAGATACAGGCACCCGCAAGACTATAATGGTCGAGAAGCCAGAATGAAGACCCTCGATCTTGACAGCATCGCGAGCTTCCGGAGCGGCGTTGTAAATCCACTTTCCCCATTCATTAACATCAAGGATGCCTCTTACTCGGAGACACAAGATAACTGATATGGTTGCAATGGTCAGTGCTCGGCACGGCGCAAGGATACAAGGCTGCGACTTACTCTGAGGCTCCGCTGGCAAAGGAGTCAAGACGATACTGCGTCTCTGGAAGAGAAAGTAGTGTTTTGGAAGGTGCAGCTGATCACAGGGAGGCTTTGCCTGCGGATCCTTTGGAGGCCGTCCACGCCCTCGAGGTTTCGAAACGGTCATACGGTCAGAGACCTGCACCTTTATGGCCTCCACCGAGATAGGGCCTCCAAGGGCGTCAGCAGACAGTTCCTCGGCCAGCGCCATGGTGAAGGAGATGGAGCTTGAGTCCAGGTCAAAGGTGGGGGCATCGAGCACCTCGACGACGTTCCGACGCGCAGTGCCGTAGCTTGCCTTGGTTAGAGGGTAGTGATAGGCATTGCAGAAATCAAAGAGCAGAAGAACATCGCAGCTGGCACTTTCGCAGGCAGCCTGGATAGGTTTCGACTCGATGCTGGCCGTGCCGATTTGTCCTCGTCTGGGTCGGTCAGTAGACGTCGAGGGGGGAAGAGCCGGTATATGAGCCGAGCTGTTCAGACAAAAAAGGGATCGAGACGTACGGAGTCCAGACTGGAGCCTCGCCGACCAGGCGGTTAGCCTCGATTTCGCCGGCATAGTACAGTATGGCCAGGTCACCCGGAGAGCTGTTGCTGGCAAAGAACGTCTCGACCTTTGCATACAACATGTCGCAGGAGACAGCGGACTGAATGGAGAAGATGTCTGTATCGAAGTGGTACGTGGTGCGGAAGACAGATTCAAGCTGGGCAGCTGCATCCTTGACAGCCTCGTCATCCTCATCCCAGTAGATCAGGAGGACGTGGACGCCGGCATATGTCGGCGACCGACAGTCCCAGGCCTTGTCAACCGCGTTTTTGAAGCTGCGGGTGATATCACTCATGCTTTCAAAGGACAAGCGGTTGACGCTACTGTCATTTCCGATACTGTTGCCGGTGATGTTACCGTTACTGTCTTCGTTGCCATTCATGTTGCCGTTGCCTTTGCTATCACCATTAACAGTGGCTGTGACTGTGGCTGTGGTTGTGGCGGTGGCTATGGCAATGGCGGTTGAGCTGGGGACGATTTTGCGATTCGCACTGTTTATAGCTGAAAAGCCGCCGCCGCCGTGGGATATGGCAAGAGCCTCATGAGCTACAGCCTGCATGGCATTGTTGCTGGTCGCAAACAAGGCGTCGGCCCCAGCCTTAACCTCTTGACGCATCCGCTTCCCAGACGGCGAGCTGGTCTCATCGTCTGGGTCACGGGACCGTTTCCGGTCCATTAAAAGGCCAACGGCAATGGCCACCTCGAGGTCGAACCTCGGAAAAAGACAGACACGATGGGAACAGGATAGAGGCTAACAGTTAAAGAGAGAATGAAAGGCGGCCAGAATCGGAGGATGGTATTAGTCTGGGGTGGAGAGATGGAAGAGTGAAAGCTAGCGCACGCCGACTGATAGGATTTCTCGGGGTTGGCGAGATCCGCGGCCGGTGGTGGTTGAGAATTGGATCGGCCAGGAGTTGGGGGCAAGAGCCGTTGACCGGGGGTGGATAGTCGGGAAGGGGAAACGGAAAGGAGGAGAAGGAGAGGGAGGAGAGGAAGGGGGGGGGGGGGTTGGGGGTTGACAATTCTCAGAACAGCTCCATTGGAGGTGCACGAGATGCCGACTGACAAGCAGGACAAAGTGACGAGGCAAGAGATGGGAGAAAAGAACGGCGAGAAATTGAAGTTGGAAAACGCTGGAGTGTGTTTTAGGCTCGCGAGAAAGACGAGGGAAGAACCCAGGAAAAAAGTAGGAGGAGAGACCGAGAGGGAGAGGGGTTAGGTCGCCAAAAGGGAAGACAGGACTAACAGGCTGGAAGGCTGCCCAAGGTGAAATGACAGCAAATAACGTCGCGAGAAGGGCCCAGAAAAATGGGAGGTGGGCGGGCTCTGAGCCTTTTTTCCCACCGCTGCCGAGCCTGACACGTGACCGAGCAGCGAGCCAGTGACAGGCTCGGACGCGCCAATCAACGCCTGAGCGAGAGGCCGGCCCCGCTGGCGGTAGAGATACGAGTTAGTCACCGCAGGTGGTGTACGGGGCCCCAGTCGGACGACGAGCCAAAAAAAAAAAAAAATACGGAATAAAATAGAATGGCGAAACAGTGGGAAACAGGAAACCGCGAGATTGCGGCAGCCCAATGGCCAAACGTGGCCGCCTGAAATCGGCGGCTTCCCCACCGGGAAAATAGCACTATGGCCAAGGCCGACGATAGGAGAGCCGGTCGCTGCAGGCGTCCTGCTGCAGGGCGTACGAGTACGATGCGAGCGTACGAGTACGAGCATACAGGCGGGCGCGCCAGCATACGACGTATCTTACCAGCAATATGCGAGCCCGCCAAATATGCAAGCATCGCATGCGAGCCATACGAGAAGCAGTCGCAATCGACACAGAGGGCTTTGTGCTACCTCAGGCGAACCCACCACCGTGCGAACGTGCGAATGGCCGTCACTGGACTGTGCGGTCAGCAGGCTGGCCGGGGGGCTGCTTGCCGGCGCTGTCGTCTTAGCACGGAACAGTCTTTTGAGGAAGGTCGAGGCCGGGTCATGTGAATCTGGGCGGAGTGGTGCCAGATGTGAGGAGAGGGTGGGTGCCGTTGTTGGGACGGTACGGAGTCAGTACATAGTGCCCTTTGCCGCTATCAACGCTTTCGGCAGTTGCTGCCGGCACCTCCGTCCCTTACTGATTCCCTTCCCATTATATAATAGTATTGTATGGAGTACTCCGTATCTGATTTCCTTCAGCGTCCGCAAGGCTGCGCAAGATCCCTTACTTACTCAGCACCCTGCACCCTGCTTTTAGCCGACGAGGCTGTCGTGCCCAAATACCACAATCCGTCCGAAAAAGGCGCACAATTTAGGCAGCAAACTTTTCTTCGACCCAGAAAGAACCTCTATTGTCTCTCTATCTCATTCGCTGTGACGCCTCCATCCTTTTGCCGGCCGTATGTTTTACAATCCGAAACGCCATCTCACACCTCCTCTTTTGTCCTCTTCTCGTCTGTCCCCTAGTTTGGCCCCTCGTCTGTCCCCTCGTCTGTCCTCTCTCGTCTGCCTGGGAAAAGACGTCTTATTCGGCCCGTTGTCCCTCCCACCGCCCTTCCCTGTGCCCCCCCCTCCCTTTCCCCCGCCCCCTCCTCTTCCTCCTGTCGGCCTCAGTTTCCAACTGCACACCTGGCGCTGCAGCTCGTCCAGAAGCTCCCCCATCGTCCATGGCCCATAAGCCGTGCCAGCCGCTACCACTGTCGCTGCTGCTGCACCACTGTTGACGCTGCCATCCCCAGCTCCTCCTGCTCTTGCGCTGGCCTTCCGCACCGAAATCTGCCCGTCGCCCACAACCCAGTTCTCGCGCACATGACGGACGATCAGCTTGCGAAACATGTTCACCTGTGCTGTTCCTGGCACGCTGTCCAGACCGGTCTCATAGCCGTCCATGCTGCCCCGCCTCCCAGAGAAACCGCTGCCCTCTCCGTCGTCACCCAGTACCACAGAAAGCGGGATGCTGCCGCCTCTCTCGCCACCTCTGCTTGCAAGCCCTTCCCCGCTGTTGGCCCGCCGCTTGAGCATATCCGATGACCTTGTGGCAAAGCTGTGGAACTCGCGCACCACCCTGTCCAATCCGGTGCTTGTGCTCGGCGAGAGAGCCAAGTACGAACACGTCATCAGGACAGGTTGCAGCACGTTGGCCAGGGCTGTCAATAGGGCCATGACGTGCACCTGTACGCACGACAGCATCCGTGTGCCACCTGTGTCGGCACTTAAGCTGCTGCCTCCTCGCCAGTTGCCCCGAAGCCAGTTCAGGATCTCGTCCATCACTCCGATCGCCGCAGCCATGTTCTCGTCACCAATATCCTTTGGCACGTCCCACCGCGTCAGCAAACTCTGCAATGCGCTGCAGTACACCGCCAGCATCGGCCAGGCGTCGCATGTGTCGCCCGTCGCTCGGATGATCGCTGGCAGCAGACGTTCCAACACGAACCGCAGCACCTCGTTGTTGTCCATGCCACGTTCCAGAATCTCGCACTCCTTGCCCAGCTGGTTGTTGGCAAGCGCAATGTTGAAGTTGTTGTGCAGATAGTGAAAGAGCTGAGGCGCCGCAGTAGCCTCACCCTCTCCGAGCCGCAGTCCATACGCAATGATCCCGGCTGTCTGCAGTTGCGGGTCCTCGACCGAGGGAGAGTAGTCCTGGCTCTGCTGGTAGAAGAAATCGTCCAGGGGACATATGTCGCCACCGTGCGACTTAATGAGCGCCACAATGCATCGTACAAACCCCACATACTTCTCGTGCGGTGCTGCTTCCGCTTTGCCGTAATTGAGATCCTCCTTCATCTGCCGCATCACCAACTTCAGCGCCCTCGCAAAGTCGCTCCGAAGCTGCTGGCGTCTCGCAGCTTCTGCTTCCTGTAGAGACAGTCGCATCGAAGAGAGTGCACAGGCAAAAAACGCCCGATTTGTGTCGTAGCTGGGCAGCTGACCGTTCGTAGGGACGAATGCTTTTCTCAGATACGGCACATCGTGCCGCTTCAGTGTTTCTGCCAGGCGAATCTCGTATGCTAGAAACCGTTCCGGCTTGACAATGGCCAGCAACCAGAGCTCCAATATGCTGCTTCCGATATCTTTGAAATCAAACACGTTGTTTTGAACCATAGCTGCCAGGAATAGAGGAAGAAACTTTCTTTGGGCGAGACCTGGCGCATGTGGCAGCCGCTCGAACAGGCTGCGGTCTCCAGAGCCGAAAAAAAGGGACAGCCGGTACACGCCTGAATGGATAAAGCGACTTGCAAGCCGTGCTGAGAGTGCTACGCACTTCTCTGTGCAGTCCACGCGAGATCTGGATGCCAGACACGTGCCGTCCAACGGCATGCGAGTGACGGAACTATTCAGATGAAAGAGACTCTTTGCCAGCTTGTGGTCAAGCATCATGACAGCCTCCTCCGTCGCATGCGCATCAACATCGTCCAAGGAACTCGAGTACTGCTCGTCCATCGCTTTCTCGACTCTGTCCAAATAGTGCGATACTGTATCAAGAGCGGTCTGGAGTACACCCCAGTCGGATCCCGACAGTTGTAGGTCGATCTTGGTGAAGATCGCCTCCAGCTGGATGCTGCTGAAACAGTAGGTCGCCATCTCGAGCGACTTTGTGTGCTTGAGGACATCCAGGGACGCGGTTATACACATGTGCAGAACATCCAGGGACGCCGCTCTGTTTTTGGCTGCCATGGCTTTAACGATGTGCGGACTGATGCCAAGCATCATGTTCTCTGAGAGTCTCAGGAGCTGCTTCTGCATGTCTGCCTCGACAGAGAGGAACTGCTCAAGGACCTGCTGGAAGATACTGTTCATCCACGAGGCAAACCCTTTGTAGATGTTGTAGTCCTCTCCATTTGCGACCACAAAACGAGCGAGTTGGTTCCATGCCCTAATATTGATGATGCAAGCTTCTTTGTGCGAACTCCCCGGCATTACCAGCTTCTCGATCAAGTGAACACCTGGACGAAGCTCCGGTGGCGCCGCCCAAAATAGCGTGCATAGAAGGTCGTGATGATTCCGTAACGCTGCAAGCTCGCCCGAATGGATGTCTTGTTCCTTGAGGTATTGCCGGTTGTGGTTGGGCAGCGTTCGCGTGATGAGGTTTCGAAGCTCATTGGTGAGATCCAGTCTTCGGAGTCGCAATATGACAAGTCCAAGCATCTTGATAAAAATATGGAAGCATTTATCGTCAGGGGTGAGGTCAAGAGAAGGGGAGTCCGCTAGCTCTTCCAGAAATCGGGGAGACGCATGTGCCTCTTCGTTTCGCAAATGCGCAAAGTCTTGCTGTCCGAAAAAGTCGAATATGACACCGACAATACTGCTGCAACGCTGCCAGCCCCATTCCTTTACTAAGAGGTGGCAGCGCCCAAGCAGAGCACGGCAATAGGCATTGAAGCTGGGAGACTGTCGGGTATTTTCCTTGTACACCTGGAAGACGCGGTTCAGGGCCTCCCGAGGTAACGTCCAGCCATCGAGAGAAACAAGATGCCTCAGCCCGGACTGAACAACGCCAAAACTATCAAACTCTCCAAGCGGCAAGAGCGTGAACATGGCTTCCCACATACGCTCCATATATTTAGCATCCGTGCATGTTCTCAGAGAGGAGCCGTCAAGCATGACTGAGTAGGTCATGTCCCAGAAACCCGCCTTGGGAATTCTGGCATAGCCGAGACTCTGCATCAAGATAGCCCAGGAAACTAGTGTCTGCATATCGCCGCGGATTTCTCTCCCCTGGAACAGTGGCTGCTGGAAGTCGTCATACGCGGAGCGAATACTCTCGAGTCCACACTTCAACAAAAGTCTGATGGAGATCTTGGCGATCCGTTTCAGCAGCTCCTCTACGTCGAAAGACACTGCCAAGCATGTAGGTGAATCTCGGCAAATCCTCAGCATCCAGATAGCCATCAACACAGTGCCCGACAAGGCAACCAGGTTGTTCTTGATCCCTCGGTCGGTTGCCCGGATTTCGTGTTGCGATGTGGCAGCATCCAGTCGTCCAGCAAAGGAGGATAGGACATCAAAGCTTCTCATTATAAACGAGTGTTGTGTTTCTTCCGAGACGTCTGACACAGATATGACTCTCTGGATGAAGTCGAGGACAAAGTTGACCGCTTCGCTGACATTCTGCCCTGTTTGGCTTTCCGGTGTAGTATTGTTTGGATGCAGAATGTCGGCTAGCCAGTCCAAAAGAATGCCAAACTCAGAGGAGGCGTTGTCATCCCAGACGGTCCACGTAAGATTGCGGCCGTCTAGCTGGAACTCGAATACCTTGGCATATCTTGAATGCAGTTCATCAGTCGGATCTGTCCCTATAGCCGTAGAAAGCCGGCCACTCCCAAGAAGTGTACCACGACCCAAAAAGATGCCACCGTCCAATGGAAATACATCAAAATGTTGAGAGTACTGGGAGCCAAAAAGGCCCAAACCAAGCAGCTTGTCAGTTTTGATTTCTGTGCAACAGGTTGGCTGTGCTTCCATGACGGGTCCCAATTCCAAAGGAATGGGATCTAGAGCGTGGACAAAACGAGGTGCCGTCGTATCAACAAGCTTCGGGGCATCTCTTTTTCGAAATCGAGACTGACACGAGTAAGCGTTTTGACTTTTTTTCCCTATTGCCGATCGGGGATCGATGTCCATAAAATGAACGTCATCCTGGAAGTCATTTCCATCGTCGGTAATGCCGTTGTCGACCGATGCGCTGCCATCAATGAATCTCTCCAGACGAACATTCGGTAGCATATGTGCATCTTTTCTCCTTCGTCGGTACATTTCATCGAGTTCCTTTTTCTTGGAAATGAAGTAGGACCGCCCTAGCCGGTTTTGCGAAAGAGTCTCAAGCTGCGCTGGCCGCGCCGTAGATTTTCCATTTTGTGTCGTAGATGTCGCTTGTTTTTGTGTCTCTGTGACTCGCCTGGAAAGGCCAGTCGCAGAAGAATTGTTCCCGTCATGCTGTAACGAACCCTCCGATGGAACCCGTGTAGTGGTGACCTCCTTGGGTTTGTGTGCTCCACGTCTTGTATATTTCAAGGATACTTCCTCCAGGGGTTGTGGTTTCTTTGGCTGTCTTGCAACCCTCGGCGCAGATTGTATCCGCGGTCTGATTTTTCCAGATTTCCAATCGTGGAGAACGGACAACGCGTCGACGTTGTCGCCTCGGCTGCCCAGGTTGATGGCCTTCCGAGAAGGGCTCGTCTTTCCTAACTTCGGGCGCGATCTTGCTGTCCGGGCAGCAATGCGAATGAAATCAGGTGCCGCAGGCTCGACCAAATCAAGGATGCTGAGCAAAGGCGGAGGTAGCAATGCACGGCTTCGACCAGCTGTTGGTTTGGAAAGGTGACGCTGGGGGGCCGAATGAGTCCTCTGAAAATGCCGGTCAGACCCGACGGAGGATGCAGGTGCCTGTGACCGCCCTAGCATCCTGGTGATCTTTGGTTGTCTTGTTTTCTGTCCAGGAGTGCCCTTAAAGAGGCTTGATCCAGTCTTCTGTCTTTTTTTCGAATGGCCTCCTTTCCTGTATGTTCTCCGTTTTGTTCCTGAGGTCATCCGATCAATAATTTCTTCTTCCATATCCGATCCCAAATCACCGAAATTGTTAGCGACATGATTAGCTTCGCGCCGCTCGCCTTCAGCTTCATCCAGGGATTCTTCGAGCCAAGAAACTGCTTCGATAACCTGTGGCCGATCCCCGATTATCTCAACGTCATCATCAGAGTCATCGAACATAAAGTCAGTCGTAGCAGCAGTTCCGGGACTGTGCCGTTTTGGAAGTGCTACTCCCTTCCGAGAGGGATCAACATTTTGCAACCCAGCTCGCCGTGAAACTGCGGGGGGTCTTTCTGTGTTGCTGGCAGTACGCCTTTGTTCTAAAATCAACCAGGAGGCAGGTATTCTTCTACCGATTCTGCGTGCACCCTCGGAGCCATTTTGGCCTTCCTCGGCATCTTCCTCCGGAGCGGACCCAAGAGCTTCATAGAAAGCTTCGCCCTCAAGATCTTCGACATCCACAACGTTGCTGACGGAGTTATCACGCGTGCCGGATGGAAAATATCCAGCCACGGACGGTACAGTATCCCGAACCTCTCTATGGGGACCGGTATGATGCTCCGGCGAGGAAGCCGGCGAAAGCTCGACACGAACGGGAATCCATCTTGGAGACTTTGGCGCATCTCGCAGTGCTGGATCCACGGCCCTGGACTGTTTTCTCCTCGTATCATCCTGAGCTAGCCCTTCGGCATGCAGCCGTTGGCGGCGACGGCGCACAAATGTTTTAGGACTAGGAAACTCGTCTTCGTCGGACAGACTGGTGCCATCTGTTCTTTCTTCGACGCTTCCTCGGCTGCTTGGGAATAGCTGGCGCGCCGGCGTTGACGTCCTCGGCGATGGCGTCCATCTAACAACTTCACCAAGGCCCACAGGGCTGTTTTGCAGCTCAATTTGTGTGTCCTCGGCTGGTATGGAATTAATTCGATCTGGCCCCTGACTGGCCCCAACTGCAAACTCTTTTTCTTGTGACTCCTCTTGTGCGGGATCCCCATCTTGAGTGGTGTTGTACGTAGTTCGAACCGGTTTCAGGCCATGGGCTTTCATAACTCGAGCGTACCGAGCATCTTCCAAAAGGTAGGGATGCTCCTGAATAGGTTTCCGTCGGCGTAGCGATCTAACGAAGCCAAGGCGAAATATAGGAGGCGAGTCTGGAAGCAAAGGCAGCGGGCTTGGGCTACTCTCGCGAATATGGTCTGCAGTCGGTAATTTGGGAGGCGGAGAGGCCAAATCTGACAAGCTAGACACGCTGGACAAGGAACTCAGTGGTGAAGAAGGAGGTTGCAGTAAAGCAGTCACCGGCTCTACTGTCCGATCTGCCGGAGATTGTTGGGAGCGTTGGATGCGTACAGCCCTGGGTGTGGCTGGAAATGGGCTGCTCTCCAAAGCTGCGATATCAGGGACATCCTCGCAGATAATGTCTACTTCGTCATCCGAATCGACGTCAAGAGCCTCAAACGATGGGAGAGTCGTCGGGATGGGTAGTTCTCGATCTGCCTCCGCTGGCTGGCAGGGTGGAGAAACAGACGTCAGAGTGTGGTGGTCGTTCTTGTGTGGCGATGGATGTGGCACCCTCCGTATGTCGTCTGCCGATTCCCCAGGCTCATCTTGACCTGCCAGACCAGTTACTGATTCGTCTCTGGTTTGACTTTCCGCTCGAGACTCATGGCTGTAGAGAGCCTCGTCATCCGAATCTGGGACTTCGCCCAACACCTTCCAATTCCCCATAGACCCAAGCACTTCATTATAATGGGCGAATCATTGAGGCGACACTGAGAGGCCGTCAGCTTGAATAGGTGAAGAGTCGTTGGTTGAGGTCGGTGTCGGTCTTTTGGGTGTTTGATGGATGTACTCCGTATTCTGAAGGTCGTCTGGGTTATAGTGGAGGACGCCTAAAACGCGTCTAGTAAAAAAGAGACGCGTTCAGGGAAGGAATAACCGCCCCTCCAAAGCCACACTAAATCTCGGGGAAAGTATGCCATCGGCAAAGTTCGGTGAAGAATAACATGCACGACATTGTAATATTGCAGGCAACGCTTTGCTTGGCAACTTTATGTGCTTGATATTTCCAGAATCTACCTTCGTCTATCCACTTCGTTACAAATCAGCGTTCTAGCGATGTCCTTCCCACAGAAGGCCGTGCCTGTGGGCTTAGCCATTTTCTTTGGTGTTGCAAATGGTCTGGACTTTCTTTTGGCGCATTGCGTATTTAGGTTTTACGTTTCCTGCAATATTTTTACTTGCTGAGCTGGCCCTGACACGATGTTTTTTGATAGGAGTGTATGTTTTTCTGCCCTATCTCCAGGGACAGGCAGGACTTGGAGGAAACCAGACGCTTCCTCAAAGGTGATTATTTACTCGCCTATGCTATGACAAGAGACAACAGCTAAATTCCAAGAAGTAAACTAGATTCACCGGCCACAAATAAAGAAAGTAAACGGAGAACGGAGTAATTCGCTGGACAAGGGCGTGGATACCTATAGGTAGACACAGTATGGAGTAAAGATGGTTGAACCGAAGGGGTATGTTAAGTTTTATGCGTGAATCGAGCGAGAGTGTACTACATAGAGTCAATTATACGGCGGCAAGCTTGCACGTTGTTTTAAAGGGAGCCTCTTATTCGTACTCGTTTCTTACAAGAGAAAATGTATCTTATCAGTTCATGCTTGCTTTCGCTAAGTATTTTTGAATAATATATATTTTACCACCTGTCACAGAGAAACAGCCGAGAGACCAAAGAGCGATAGCACGTGCTGAAACACGTGCTAATGGTGCTAGAAAACCGCTCATCTGCTCTGGGCAAGTACTCCGTACATACTCCGTATTTATTACTGATAATAAAATTATGGCCAGGTCTTACGATGTGTATGTAGATCCACATTTAGTGCTTACCTATTCCGAATCCCCTGGTGGCCGCCTGTATTCCGTAAACCCGCTTTTTTCTGTCATACGATCCCGAAAAGCGAATACCCACGAAATTCTTTGCTTCCGCTTTGCTCTTGATGACGAGAGTTTCCGTGTGATTAAACCACCACTACCACATCCTCAATTCGCCGTATCTGCCCGCAATTCGAACCCCAGCGACGCAGAGCTATTTTTCTGCCTCGACTTCTGCCGCCAAAAGTTGCGAGTTTTATCGTCCCTGTCCTGCCACGAGCCTTTACCTTTCGCCCGTAACCATGTTCCGCATCCGGCCCACGACACTGGTGCGCGCCCAGCGTGCTGTGCTGCAGCAGCCCCAGGCTGTTGTGGCCTGCCGTGCTGCCTCCACGCAAGCCATCTCCAACCCGACCCTGATCAACATTGAGAAGAGGTGGGAGGGCCTCCCGCTGCAGGAGCAGGCCGAGCTCTGGATGTCCCTGCGCGATCGCATGAAGGAGAACTGGAAGGAGCTCACAGTCCAAGAGAAGAAGGCTGGTAAGTCTGGTCTCTCAATGGTCTTTCAATTGTATTTTGCCGACCTTTCCGTCGGGCCGGACGCTTGATTGCATTCTTCCTGAATGAGCACCACCCCTCTTCGTAGTTGCAATCGCAACTGTTATACATGACCAAGTCCCTGCAAACTTCACCGACACGTGTCTATGCCATGCAGTTTCCTCAATTCGCCCCGCTGGCTTTAGAAAGCTTTAACTGACAATTGCCTTTGTCGTACAGCTTACTGGATTGCATTCGGTCCCCACGGCCCGCGCGCTCTGCCGCCACCGGGTGAGGGCAAGAAGGTTGCCCTGTACACCGCGATCGGTGTTGGTGCCAGCTTGCTGCTCTTCTCTGGCATGCGGCTGTTCGCTGGCCCGGCGCCGCCCACCATGAACCGGGAGTGGCAGGAGGCTGCCAACGAGAAGCTCAAGGTACGGAATTGGGGCGCGTTTGCGGTAGTGCGACTCTGGAACAATGTGCTAATATATCTCCCCGCCTACAGGAGCAGAAGTCCGACCCGTTTACCGGCATTGCTTCCGAGGGCTACGCGGGCAAGGGCCAGATCCAGTCGCCGCCTGCGAGCAGCTAAATCTAAGAGCTGTGCTCTATACGATCAAACTAGCAAGAGGAATAGGGAGAATTCATTCGGGGTGCAGGTGGGGTATGGTGAGAGGGGCGGAGGATGTCCATGTGTTTTCGAGTTCGCAGAATGTGTAAATACTGTGCGCGACAATCGAACCAGGTCCATTTCCTTCTGTGAACAGGGTGCTGCCACCAGAGGAGAGCGAGCGAAACCGGGCGGAGGCCACGATGTGAATATAATAAAATACATAACGATCGTAAACTGTGAAACCCAGAGGACACTTAGTTGTATTCATCAAACGCCGCTCTGTCCGGCCTGTCGTGGTTGCTCGTGCGGTAGTTCCGTCAAAACAGCTGCGTCCCGGCCAAGACCCTCGTCTTCATCTCGAATACGTCTTTGAACCTCGAACAGCCCGTCTTTCCCCCAATATCCAGCTTTGTCCGTGCCGTTCACGCAGCCCTCTGTGATCAGGACGTATGCCATGGGAGCATCAAACATAGGCTCTGCCAGCACCCGCTCGAGTTCCATCTTTAGGCCTCGGGCGCCGGTGTCAACCTTTGAGGCCCGCTCGGCAATAGCGTGGAGGGCTCTCTGGGTGAAATATAGCCTGCTTGGATATGTCTCGAACAGTGCCGTGTACTGGGCGATGAGGCTGTGCCTCGGTTCCGTCAATATACGGTATAGCTCGTCCACCGACAGTGGTGTCAACGCGCATATGTTGTGCAGACGGCCAATGAGTTCTGGGATGAACCCAAAGGCCTGGAGATCAGCCGGGCTGACAAGGTCTAGGGGTGTGAAGTTTGCACCATTCGGGTCGTCGTCGGCAGGCTGGTGTGGTAGGTGAGCATACATCTTCGCAGGTAAAACAGCCTTGCTCCCTGCAATAGTAGAGTCTTTTGTGCTTCGGAGCTCGGACCCAAACCCCAAAGACGGCTTTGCGACCCTTCGGATGATGTGTTTGTCAAGACCCACGAAAGCACCCGAGAAAACAAACAGGATGCGGCTGGTATCGATTGTGTACTGCTCAATTTTGCCAGATGCGGATGAGCCTTGTGGCGGCAATGAGGCATTTGGGGATCCATATGTACTGGTGATGGGACTGGCCGAACGCGAGGAATGGTTGTCCTTGATGCTGACCGTGACCTTCGTCCCCTCAACGAGCTTCAAGAGGGCTTGCTGCACACCCTCACCGCCGATGTCCCTGTTGTTCGCCTCCTCCTTCCTTGCGATCTTGTCAAATTCGTCGAGAATCACGATGCCAAACTCGGCTGCCCGCGTATCGTAATTTGCCTCGATGAGAAGTCTCTCAATGCACGTCTCCACGTCCTTCCCGACATAACCGGCCTGCGTGAAACTGCTGCAATCACATATGGCAAATGGGATGTTTAAGACCTTGCTAAGTGTTCTAAGAGCCGAGATGAGATTGACATGGGTCACCACAAAGTAGGGGGAGGAAAAAGGCTTCCCGCTTACTCGAGTATATATGTCTTGCCCACACCTGTAGGGCCTATAAGTAGCAAGTTGCTCTTATCGATTCTGACATCCTCAGCACGTGTTGGGCCTTCTGGTATATGCAATCCACCGACAGGCTCGGGTTTGTAGTTTCGATACCCTCCTTCGGGCAGCTCGAATCGTTCGTCAAGCTCGTATGCATCTGTGGTAATAGTTAGGCATAAAATAAGCTGGCTCAGAGAACGGTGAGCAGTCGAGTCACTGACCGTTGGAATTGTGCGATTCCCGGTGTATGTCATGCAAATCCCTGTCTCTAGCAAACCTCTGCCGTTGCAGCTTCTCCCTTGTTAAGCGGTCTGTTTCTTCTTGACGCAGCTTGTGATGCATTCGTTGGTGGTGGTTAAAGACCGTGGAAGTTGTCGTCCTCTTAGCCCTCTCTTGACCAATAACATAGGTATCAAGTAGCTTCTTTAGATCGCGCGGATAAAATTGAGGCACACTACCAAACCTCGGCTTATCGAATATAGGACCCCGTACAACATCTTCGGATGGGTCGTATGTGCTGGAAAACCCCAAGTTGAGGCCTGGTGTTCTGCGAGGAGCTACTGGCGAGGCCGGTGAATCAGAGAATCGGCGGTGATGGAGGACGGAAGGCCTGAAGGACGAAGACGTGGCAGACGATTTGACAGAGGCCCCGAGAAGGGCCGCGGACCGCAGTCTCGAAATGGTCGGCATGTTCAGCGACTAGCAATCGCAGTGGATCATTATCAGAGGGCGCCGTGGCGCAACAATTCGGCGGGCGAGCCAAGCAGGGGCAGGCAAGGATACAGGAAGGTGTCAGTACTGCGAGCTGTCGGAGGTATGCGCGACTAAGAGAAGGCAAGTGGAGGCACTCTGTCCCGGAGAGAAAGGAATGGTCTGGAGTTGAAGCTCGGTGGCGAAGTTAGTGTATAGGGTGTGATTCTGGCATCCTAGCTCATGGGATGGCTGCAATGAGCATATATTGGCCGAAAAAAGCAGCTTTTCCAGGCGATGTACGACGTTGGCTCGCGGCGCGATGATCTGTTATCTGGAGATTGGTGGGCAGTGAGCAATGATGATGCTCTGTTGGTTATCGGTAAAGGTAAGTACACAGTACGAGCCGAAAGTTGTCTTCAAATGCCAACCTCGCGCTATGAGCGGCACCGCTATAGCTGCTAATGCCGATAGGTGGAAAAGTCTCGCTAGCAACATTCTATTTACGAGTACGGCAAGCCAGCCTGTCATAAATATTTGCACGCAGTTTGGAACCGAACCTCGTGAAATGCAAGACCTGCGGTCGGCTATACGACCCCTCTATAGACTGTCGCATGCAGGAGCAATTTTTTAAGCTAAGCCCCTCCGAAAATGACAGGCAGACAATGTCGTGCGTGGTCTGGCCAGCCCATGTCAAGTACATGTCAAGTACGGAGTATGCGACTGACTGCCATGGCGGCCCAGTCCACCATGTCAGGCGGGGTTTACAGGCGATGATAGGATGGGGCTACCGCTAAAATCAGGAAAGTCGCCACGACGTCATCCGTGCGCGGAATACCAGCTTCGAGGACCGTTAAGATGGTGGTGCCGTCTTTTCAACAAGGTATAAGTCGTCTGCCCCGAATGCGACCCAATGCCTTTTTGTCGACGACCTTCATGCCCAAGCATCTGTGATTGTCCCGAAAATCAGCCTGCTTCTTTGTCCGTTTCTGCCAGACGTCTCCCCTCGCAACGGCTTTCAAGAGTTAGCCTATCGCCCCATAATAAATAAGAGGGAAGCTTCTATATTATCCCGTAGTTCAACTTTCCAACAGCACACCACCTCTGCAGCTTCCTTCTCTCCTACACATACTTTCTCTTGCGCGCTCTTGGATTTTCTAAAGAGACAGAGCATAGAAACAGGCAGAATGAGTACAGCTGACGCCAAAGCCGTCGCGCCTGCGACCGCCGTCGAGGAAATACCTCAAGACGGAACAGGTGATTGCCCCACCAGTTTTGTCATGAAGTTCAGGAACAGCAACTGACAGCCGGTTGTACGACGTTAGGGGTCGTCTCTGTTGATCCGTGGCTGTCTCCGTTCAAGGATGCTTTGAGAAGACGCTATTCAAAGGCTCAGGAGTGGATAAAAACTATAAACGCAACCGAAGGCGGCCTGGAGAAGTTCAGCAAGGTCAGCTTCCTACAAACAACTGCTGCTATTGCGCCTTGGCGACGTCGGATCGCAGCTGACATTTGATTCCACTTTGCTATTTGTGCAGGGTTTCAATACGTTCGGTCTCAATGTAGACGGGAAGAACAACATTGTGTACCGCGAATGGGCCCCGAATGCCACCCAGGCTTTCCTCATCGGAGACTTTAGTAAGTTAAGCGCTCGCCTTCTTTCGCTGAGACTTTGGCTTTGAGAATTAACACGTCTGAAGACGGTTGGAATCGCCAATCACACCCCATGAAAAAGAATGATTTTGGTGTATTTGAGATAGTGCTGCCGGCTAAGGCCGATGGCAAGGCAGTCATTCCTCACAATTCCAAACTCAAGGTTTGCAAATCTATATATCAAAAATATGCGAGCTTTCCAGGCCACTCCACTTACTTCTATTTTCTAGATATCTCTGGTGCTGCCAAGTGGAGAGCAGGTGGACCGACTGCCTGCGTGGATCTCGTATGTCACGCAGGATCTTGCAGTATCTCCAGCATACGATGCTCGCTTCTGGAACCCGCCAAAGTCGGAGCGATACGTGTTCAAGAATGCTCGACCCAAGCAGCCACCCAGTGTGCGTGTATACGAGGCCCATGTCGGCATATCTTCGCCTGAGCAAAAAGTTGCGACGTACAAGGAGTTCACCAAGAACATGCTCCCGAGAATCAAGTCTCTGGGGTACAACACCATCCAACTTATGGCCATCATGGAGCACGCATACTACGCCAGTTTTGGCTACCAGGTCAACAACTTCTTTGCCGCCAGCAGCCGTTACGGAACGCCTGAGGAACTGAAAGAGCTCATTGACACGGCACACGGCATGGGCCTTGTCGTACTTCTCGACGTGGTCCACAGTCATGCGTCGAAGAACGTCCTCGACGGTCTCAACGAGTTTGATGGCACTGACCACCAGTACTTCCACAGCGGTGGGAAAGGCAGGCATGAGTTGTGGGACAGCAGACTGTTCAACTACGGCCACCATGAAGTTCTGAGGTTTTTGCTCAGCAATCTGCGCTTCTGGATGGACGAGTACCAGTTTGACGGCTTCCGTTTCGATGGTGTCACAAGCATGCTCTACGTCCATCATGGCATTGGAACGTAAGCATTTCTCTTCCATTCCCCCATGTACTGCATTCGAATTTGGACTTCTGGCTAATCGCCAACGCGGCAGTGGGTTTTCTGGAGGATATCACGAGTACTTTGGTGCCGGCGTCGATGAAGAGGCCACCGTGTACCTGATGCTGGCCAATACGATGCTCCACGATATGTATCCCGACATCATCACGGTTGCCGAAGACGTCTCTGGAATGCCAGCACTGTGCTTGCCCATGGCCCTAGGTGGCGTCGGTTTCGACTACCGACTGGCTATGGCCATCCCGGACATGTGGATCAAGATTCTAAAGGAGAAGAAAGACGAGGACTGGGATGTCAGCGACATCTGCTGGACGCTGACCAACAGACGGCACGGCGAGAAGACAATTGCCTACTGCGAAAGCCACGATCAGGCGTAAGGATGCCCCTCCCTTGTCTTTTGTGTTCATTGGGCTGTGCTAATGCTGGACTTGTACTAGATTGGTTGGTGACAAGACACTGATGATGCACCTCTGCGACGCGGAGTTGTATACAAACATGTCTGTGCTCACGCCGCTGACAGCGGTGATTGACCGGGGCATGGCTCTGCATAAGCTGATCCGTCTCTTGACGCACGGGCTGGGCGGCGAGGGCTACTTGAACTTTGAGGGCAATGAGTTCGGCCACCCAGAATGGCTTGACTTCCCGCGCGAGGGCAACAATAACTCGTTCTGGTACGCCAGACGGCAGCTCAACTTGACGGAGGATCCCTTGTTGAGGTATCACTTCCTAAACAACTTTGACCGTGCGATGAACCAGCTGGAGGAGAAGTACGGCTGGCTGCATTCGTCACAGGCATACATTTCTCTCAAGCATGAGGGAGACAAGGTGGTCGTCTTCGAAAGGGCCGGGCTGCTCTTTGTATTCAACTTCCACCCGACGTCTTCATTCGCCGACTACCGTGTGGGCGTGGACCAAGCCGGCACATACAGGACCGTGCTGAGCTCTGATGATAAGGAGTTTGGCGGCTTTAGCCGCGTTGACCACGAGACGCGCTTTTTCACTACTCCGTACGTATTTCAAAATGGAGATATGGAGCTTTTACGGGAGGTCCGGAACGACACTAACCAGGCATAGTATGAGATGGAACGAGCGGAACAATTGGACACACCTCTACGTCCCTTGCCGAACAGCCATTGTATGTGTCCCCTCCAAAATCTGGAACTGCAATCCCCCACAGTTTTTCGTCATCGCTCTCGCATTCTCCAATTTTTATGCAATTTTTCTTGCCTTGCTAACATGCCCAGGTTCTGGCTCTAGAGTCAACAATTTAGCTGAGGGAGATGGCATTAGGGGGAAGTCGGTGAAACGGAACGGACACGTACACTACTAAAAACGTACTGGCAAGCAGAAAAATGAGATTATCTGGCGTTGAAGCTCAGCTCCGAGTTGAGGGAGGGGTGTAAAGAGCTACTCCAGCTCCACGTGACCTGTACCTGAAGTTGGTTTTCCAAGATACGTTTCCCGACTGTGTTCCGAGATCACGTGCGAGCTAGGTACGGCCGAGATACCTTTACTTTGCACAGGCCGTTCTGCTTTGCGCGCGGTACCTGTAGGTATCCGAGGCGGGGCATCGGTTATTGGGAAGCGCGGGATCGCTCGGGAGGAAGGAGGGCATTTGTGCCTCAGGACACAGTTATTCTCGCCCAGGCAGAAATGCAAAACAAGCGCACGTAAAGTCCGTAAACTAAGAGCTCCCGTTTTGCTTCGCATTTTTTTCCCGACCTCCTCCGCACCCTCCCTCTTCTTTCTTTCCTTCACATCCATCGCGAAGCGTTCTGTACCATCGACAAGATGTTCAAGAGGTTAGTAGAGGCTCAAGGCCACGAAGGACGGGTGTATCCCAATCAATTGATCTGCAAATGGGCTTCCCATTGACGAATTTTCTCTCCGCAGCGCCAGTTTCGCTCGAGCGGCTCGTGTAGCCCGTTCGTCCCTGACGACTCCTCGCACCATCCGGCCGGCTGCGGGCTTCACAGCACCTTCTCTGCTTCTCGGCAGCAGATATGCCAGCTCTGCCGGCGTTGGTGATGGCAAGATTCACCAGGTACATTGTCCTCTCATCGCCCATGTACGTGGTGCCGTCGATCCGGTTGTTAACGATAAATCCCTCAGGTTATTGGTGCCGTCGTCGACGGTAAGGTTTTTCTTCTCCCTCATCGCCATGCCATGCGCTGGCGCCAATGGCCGTGCATATGGTGCATATGTCGGCCACCGTGGCTTTGGTTGAATATGGTTACTGACATGGTCGTCGTCGCTCTGCAGTCAAGTTCGACACGGAGAAGCTGCCGCCTATTCTGAACGCTCTGGAGACCCAGAACAATGGCCAGAAGCTCGTCCTCGAGGTCGCCGTATGTGGCCCGCCCCCTCTCTCTTGTGGCAAGCGGCAGGAAAATTAACAGCAGATTTCAGCAACATCTGGGTGAGCACACTGTGCGCTGCATCTCCATGGACGGTAAGTTTCGGCCTACACGACCCGACATTCGAGGCTGTATCGCTCATACGGGTCTTTCCTGCAGGTACCGAGGGTCTTGTCCGTGGCGCCAAGGCGACGGATACCGGCTCGCCTATCATGATCCCGGTCGGTCCTGCTACGCTTGGCCGTATCATGAACGTCACGGGTGACCCGATTGACGAGCGCGGCCCGATCAAGACGGACATGCGCCGGTCGATTCACGCAGAGGCACCTGCTTTCACTGAGCAGTCGACGACTGCCGAGATTCTCGTTACGGGCATCAAGGTTGTCGACCTGCTGGCGCCGTACGCCCGTGGTGGCAAGATTGGTCTCTTCGGCGGTGCCGGTGTCGGCAAGACTGTGTTCATCCAGGAGCTTATCAACAACATCGCCAAGGCGCACGGTGGTTACTCTGTGTTCACGGGTGTGGGCGAGCGGACGCGTGAGGGTAACGATCTGTACCACGAAATGCAGGAGACGTCTGTGATTCAGCTGGACGGCGACTCCAAGGTGGCGCTTGTCTTTGGCCAGATGAACGAGCCCCCCGGAGCTCGTGCCCGTGTGGCCCTGACTGGTCTGACGGTGGCCGAGTACTTCCGTGACGAGGAGGGCCAGGATGGTGAGTTGGACCTTGTGTGATTTTGGCTTTGGTTTCGACGTCTAACCGGGACAGTGCTTCTCTTCATCGACAACATTTTCCGCTTCACGCAGGCTGGTTCCGAGGTGTCTGCCCTTCTGGGCCGTATTCCCTCTGCTGTCGGTTACCAGCCCACGCTGGCCGTCGACATGGGTCTGATGCAGGAGCGTATTACGACGACGACCAAGGGCTCGATTACGTCTGTGCAGGCTGTGTACGTGCCGGCTGACGATCTGACGGATCCGGCTCCGGCGACGACGTTTGCCCACTTGGACGCGACGACGGTGCTGTCACGTGGTATTTCCGAGCTGGGTATCTACCCCGCTGTGGACCCTCTGGACTCCAAGTCGCGTATGCTGGACCCGCGTATCGTGGGTGACGACCACTACAACACGGCGACGCGGGTGCAGCAGATTCTACAGGAGTACAAGTCGCTGCAGGACATCATTGCGATTCTGGGCATGGACGAGCTGTCTGAGGCGGACAAGCTGACGGTGGAGCGTGCGCGCAAGATCCAGCGTTTCCTGAGCCAGCCGTTCACGGTGGCGCAGGTGTTCACGGGCATTGAGGGCAAGCTGGTCGACCTGAAGGACACGATTGCGTCGTTCAAGTCGATTCTGGCCGGCGAGGGCGACGACCTGCCGGAGGGTGCCTTCTACATGGTGGGCGACCTTGCCTCTGCCCGTGTCAAGGGCGAGAAGATCCTGGCCGATCTGGAGGAGAAATAGGCAGGTAATGAGAGGGACCACCAAAAACGGAGTCAAGTCGCCATTTAGCGTGTGTCTGTGTAGTAGTTTGTATAGAGGGGAGCTCTAGTTCCGGGGAGGCTTAGGACGAAATAAGTATCCGTTGTGAGCTGTGTACAAGAATCTATTCCTTCTCTTTGCGCAGATGTGTACGATGAGCAACAACTTGTGTCAGCGTGCTCCTACGAACATTGTCTCTAGATCTTCCAAACCTACTGGCTTGCCCGTGTCTATCTGGACCCAGCGGCCGTCGTAGAAGACGACGTGGCCGAGGGCGACGAGCATCGCGAGCAGCCGGTTGAGAATATGGCTGGCCGAGGCGTCGAGACTGAGGGGCGGGCGGCCGGATAACGTCGACGATGAGGCCGATGCCACGCCAGACGACGATCCAGTCTAGGTTAGCCGGCTGGAAGAGGAGCTCGCAGCAGAGGATAGGGCTGTTTAGATGTAGGATCACAGGGTTCTGCAGCTCTGACCTGGAGACCCTATTCTCCAGCTGGTCAGCTCCTTCCCTCCTCCCACTCACCCCGTACACACATCTCTCGTGCCGCAGCCTGCAGGCCTGACATCACGGCTGGGCCTCACCGCACTTGACCTTGCGCAGCTTACAGCCGGCATGGCCACCGCGCGACTTTCTGTGTGGCCGCTTGGTGTGATAAGGCTTCTTGGCCGCACCATCTCCTGCTGACGATGGCTGGCCCTCGCCGTCACCCTGCATCGTCCACGGTGCCGAACCTCCTGCGGTAGACATCTCGGCTTGGTAGATCTGTCACCCCCAAGCGTTAAAATGCACTTCGTCAGCAGCCGGCGACTGTAAGAGTAAGACGGGCAGATCCGGACGAGACCCACGTTGCCTGTCGATCACGTGACATCACAATAGCTTTTGGACGCGTCGCGTTCCACTATATTGCAGCATACTCCGTACTGCGTACACGACAGCATCCAGCACCAGGACCAGCACCACGACGATGACTTGCAGCGGTCTATTCCAGGCGCCCGACGGGTCTTCCTGCGCGGACCTGGTGCAGACGTACCCGTGCCGCGAGCAGCAGATCCGGACGCTGGCCACGCTTCTCGACGTGAGTGGAAGGAAAGGCCTGCCCGCCTCTGTCTTGTGCTGATCGCTGACCGGACCGGACGTCCAGCCGGCCGCCGCGCCATGTGGAAACATCGTCGTGCACGGCACCGAGGCGACCGGCAAGAGCGTCGTGACGGCGGCCGTGCTGCGGCAGCTGGCAGCGGCTGGCCGTCGGGGCGAAGGAGCGAGTGACGACGGGGACGACGGGGATGAAGTGCGGCACCGGCGCATCGGCTATGCCGTCGTCCACGCGACCGAGTGTGTCACCAGCCGCCATCTGTTTGAGCGCACGGTGGCGCGTACGGCAGAGGCACTGCGCTGGCAGGCGCCCGTGGCCCGGCGCTGCGAGACGCTCGCCCAGCTGGCCGTCGAGCTGTCCAAGATGCTTCGGTACGCCGACTATCCGGCCGGCTGGCGCTTCGTCCTCGTCCTCGACGCCATCGACCGTCAGCGCGAGGCACCGGCCACCCTGCTGGCCGGTCTGGCGCGTCTCTCCGAGATGGTGTGTGCATCTATCATCTCGAGTCGTTCCGCTCCCTTCTCTCATATGCTGACTAATCAGATCCCTCGTCTCACCACCGTCTTCATCGTCACCTTTCCGGCCCCGTCGCTGTTGCGCGCCAGCTTTGTCCCCCACGTCCACTTCCACAACTACACCAAGCCCGAGTTTGTCGAGCTGCTCGGCCGCACCCCGCCACCGCCGCTCGCCAACGCATCGCCGCAGGACACCGCCGACCTCTGGCTGCGCTTCTGCGGCGCCGTCCACGACGCCCTCACCCGCACCGCCGGCCGCACCCTGCCGGCTTTTTCCGAGGCCTGCGCCGCCCTGTGGCCACGGTTCAGCGCACCCGTGGCCGCCGGCACCCACGGCGCGCGCGAGTTCTCCAAGCTGTTGATTGCTGCGCGCATCCACTTTCAGGACGAGTCGATTGTCGATCCTGGGCTAGTGGTGAGAGGTAGAGGAGGAGCAACAACAACAGCAGCTATATCCATCTCCACCACCCAGCCCTCCACCCGTGACCTCTCCTCCCTCCTCCCCACCACGGCCAAGCTCTTCCTCCTGTGTGCCTACCTGGCCTCACACAACAGCGCCAAGCACGACCTGACACTCTTTTCGACCTTTAACCACGGCCGCAAGCGGCGGCGTGGTGGTGGCTTCGCCGGCAGCCGCCAGGGTCCCCGCACTAAGCACCGCAAGATTGCGCGCAAGCTGCTGGGCGCCCACGCCTTTGGGCTGGAGCGCATGCTGGCCATCTTTGCGGCCGTACGCAGCGAGTGGACCCGGGCGCCGCCACTGGCTGCCGCTGGCCGCAACTCGGCTGCTGCCATCGTCGACGGCGACGTCGGCATGGCCATTGCCACGCTGGCCAGCCTGCGGCTGCTGCTGCGTGTTGGCGGTGCCGGAAACGACCCCATGGACCGTGCCGGAAAATGGCGCGTCAATGTAGGCTGGGAGGTTGTGCGCAGCCTCGGGCGCAGCATGGGCATCGAGATGGAGGACTGGCTGGTCGATTGAAGACGAGACGAGGCATGTCACGTGCAGCGACACTTACGACGGAACGATTACATAATAAATTAGATTGGCTCTGGTTCCCCACCGGAAAACTCCCTAGAAGCGTATCATACAATGGAAAGAAGACGATGCACACGCAAACGCAAAGACCAACGCAAACGCACGCAACCCACACACCCTTCCCCTAAAACCGGTACTTGGCCTCCTTCTTCTTCTCGGCCACGCCGCCCCGCCGCTCCTCTTCCCGCTTCTGCCGCTTCCGACTCTCCTGCGCAATCATCTCGCTCAGGTCGTCGTCGTACTGCTGCTTCTTCCACTGCGCCCCCACGCCCTCGTCCTGTCGCCCCTCCTCGAACCGCCGCTGCAGCTCGTCCTTGCTGATCCCGTCGTGGCTCAGCAGCGCGTCCGGGTCCAGCGCCACGTCCACGTCGCCGGGCTTCTTGCGTTTGCGGCCCGCGTCGTCGTCCTGACCCAAAACCGGTGCCCCAGCTGCTGCTGCTGCCGCTGTCGCCGCCGCACGGCCTCCCTTTAGGTCGTACGTCCGGTCGCTGCCAAAGAAACCCTGCGCCTGCGCCTGCCGCTCCGGGATCACCGTGTATGCCGACCGTGGCCCTGCTACCGAGTCCTCCGTCTCGTATCCCCGCCGCTGCTTACGCAGATCCAGCTCGCCCGCCATGCTGGACTCTACTCCCAGCGGCCCTGCCGGATAATCTGTCGGCACCGAGCTGACAAATCCGCTCGGAGTCTCCAGTCCTGAAGGCGTCTGCAGCCCGTCTGCCACGTCCTCGTCTTCGTCCTCGTCTTCCTCGTCCTCTTCCTCCTCTTCCTCCTCGTCCTCTTCCGGCGGCTGCAGCTCGCCCCAGATCGCCCGCTCGATCGGCTCGCCCTGCGTCCGCTGCGCCCCGTCCACCTCGCCGCCCGCTTCGCTCGCCCCCGGCACCCCAAAGATGTCGCCACCGTACAGCGGCCGGTTGTACTCGTCTACTGGCGGCTTGCCCCATTGCCCGGCCTGGAAGCCCCACGACGCTCCTGGCGGAAGCAGCGCGTTTAGTCCCGGGATCTTGAGGTTCGGATACGACGGCGGCGGTCCCATGCGCTGTTGCTGCAGCAGCCATGGCGGCGGGAACCCCGGCGGCATGTTGAGCGCCTCCTGCAGGCTCTCGCTGATCTCGCCTGGCTTGAAGTTGCGGAACTCCGCCTCCCACTCCTTGCCCTCGTAATACACGTCGCCAAATCGCGTCAGCGATGGCTTCGTCTGGAACCGGAAAAATGCATCGTACAGCTTCTGGTAGTCGATGTCCAGCTTGCCCATCTTCGGCTGCACCCTCTCGCGCTGCTTCTGCTTCAGCGTCTGCTCCGCCTGCTTCTCCAACACCGCGTCGCGCATTTCCGTGATGCCCGTCTCCGATATGAATGCCGGCAGCCGGAACGCCGGCTTCTCAATACCGCGCTTGCTCGACAGGTATTCCCGCTTCAGCGACCAGTGTCCCGGAACCGGAACAATGTTCTTCTGCGCCTTGATCACCACCAGAAGCCGAGGGTCCGAGGACGAGACGTCGTGCCATTCTACCACCTCCGGATTGCTCACCGACGCCTTCAGCTGCGCAATCGATAGCGTGTTGAGCTTCTTCCGCTTCTTCTTCGACATCTTGGCCGGCCCATCCTCTTGCTCCTCCTCTGGAACTCCGTCTTCCGCCATGAGCACCTCTCCCTGGTTGCCCGCGTTGGCTTCTCGGGCCACATCGTCGCCTTCCAGGTCCGGTCCGAACTTGTTGAAGATGTCCTTAAACTGCGAAAACGCCGGGTCGTCGTAGTCTATGCTGGCCAGTGTCTGCACATGTTCCGCTGCATCTGCACCGGCCTCCTTCTTGTCCTCGCCAATGGCCGTCTCGCCTTTCACCGCGGCCTCAACAACTGGCGCGCTTTCGTCCTTGCTCTCGGCCTTGTCATCTCTGATGCTCGCTTCGGCCTTTGGCTCTTCGACAGTCTGCTGTACGTGAGCACCTGCACGCGCATCATCCAAGCCCTGGTACTGACTCACCTCTGCTTTCTGTGACTTCTTTTCCTCCTTCTTCTTCGCTCGCCGCAGCTGGTTCTTCGTCGGTTTAGGCGTCGCCATCTCGATTCGTGATTCGGCAGCCCGGGCAGCAACAACTATTCCGTCACAGAACTGTCTTTAGATGCGGAGCGTCAAGATCCCGGAACGCTGCAGATCACACGCATTGAGCTTGCTCATCAACTTGCTCAAAGGTGGATGCAAAGCAGGACTTGGTAAGATACGTATTATGCGCGCCAACGCGAAATTTTGGATAAAGCTATCACCGATGGCGCATGGTCAAGTGTGGCGCACAAAGTGTGGCGCAGCAGAGCCCACAGACGTAATCACCTCCAACGTCGTGTTCAGTGTAATGATTCTTCGTGCAACTCTTGTCACATTCCAAGCCGATCATATGTTTTGCAGCCGACGAGCTAGCTCCTATCTCCTCCCACGCTGCGCGAAAATGGCTGTCTAGAAGGAAACCATCAACCCGAGCTCCTTTATTCGCGCCCCTTCCTCCGTCTTCATACGCGCGACTCGACTGTCCCCATTCCACCCCTAATTGCCATTGCGCGGTATGCCTCATGCAACCACAACCGGCACCGGCCTCCAAGACCCGCAGACGAAGCACGAACCTGACTACCGGCCATCCACGACCGAGAAGATGAGTTCGGTCGCGGCCAGCAATGGCTTGGAGAAGTTTCCCGACCTCGATGTCCAGGAGCTCAACGCCCGCATCCCAAGCCCCCAAGGCCCCAACGGCCAGCCTGGTGGACTCTCATCGCAGCTTGCAGGTCAATGGCAGCCCTGGAAGGACCCTCTCGCCGACGCTCCTCGGCGTGGGAATTCGTTTGGACAGCCCAACCGCGCATACGGCCACAGCAGACAGAAAAGCCTCGGCGAAGCTCTTCGCACAATCCGGACTCGTTCCGGTAGCACCACCCAGAACGTCCATGAGATTGCCGATGCTCTGAAGGCGCCGATATCACCAAAACTCGTGGTATGTGCAACCTACCCGCAGATCGGGCTATGTTCTCTGGCTGACCCAGCTTCCTTTTCGCTAGCTTCTTTGTGTTATGTGGTACTCCTCGTCTGCCTTGACCAACACGTCGTCAAAGTCCATCCTCAACGCCTTTGACAAGCCTGCCACCCTGACGCTCGTTCAGTTTGCCTTCGTGTCATTCTATTGCATCCTGCTGGCCTGGCTGGCCACCGTTTTCCCCTCCCTAAAGCGCCTCCTCCCAGTCCTGAAATACGGCATCCGCTCCCCCACAGCCGAGGTCCTTCGGACTACCCTGCCCCTAGCTGCTTTCCAGATTGGTGGCCACCTTCTCAGCTCAACAGCGACGTCCAAGATTCCCGTTTCTCTTGTCCACACCATCAAGGGCCTGTCTCCGCTCTTCACCGTGTTCGCTTACCGATTGTTCTTCGATATCCGCTATCCAACCACCACCTATCTGTCCCTCATTCCGTTGACCCTCGGTGTCATGCTTGCGTGCTCCGGCAGTCATTCTTTCAATGGCGGTCAGTTTTTCGGCCTCTTATACGCCCTATTGGCCACCATGATCTTTGTCACCCAAAACATCTTCTCAAAGCGACTCTTCAATGAGGCCTCGCGCGCCGAAGTCGAAGGACAGGGCATAAAGGGCCGCAAGCTGGACAAGCTGAACCTGCTTTGCTACTCTTCGGGGCTGGCTTTTATGGCCACTGTGCCCATCTGGCTCTGGTCCGACGGCTTCCACATTTTGGGCGACTTTCTCCATGACGGCTCCGTCGACCTGAGTGAGGGTCCCAACAGCTTCGATCACGGACGGCTGCTGGTCGAGTTCATTTTCAATGGGACCTTTCACTTTGCGCAAAACATGCTGGCGTTTATTCTGCTCTCTCTCGTGTCGCCAGTCACTTACTCGGTGGCGAGTCTTATCAAGCGCGTTTTTGTCATTGCCATTGCCATCTTTTGGTTCCGGAGCCCGACGACCAAAATTCAGGCTGTTGGTATTGCCCTTACTTTCATGGGATTGTACTTCTACGACCGTACCAACGAAAACAAGGCAGACCGCCGAGCCCGGACCATGACCGAGGTGAACGCCCAGAATCTGCTGCCCCTCAACCTCAACGCCTCTTTGCCGCTTAACCAGAATACGGCACACATTTTTGAGAGCCCTTCGGCCTTGTCAGCCGCATCAGGAACGGCCCATCCTTACACAGTCGGATACAGCGTTGCTACCATCGATGATCCTAAAAAGTCCGACGATGGCGGTCGGGGCCGGGCACACGGAAGCAGCAGTGCTACATGGATGCCTCCTGGGACACGCCAAGAAGACACTTGGCGTACGGGCGACAAATATCAGGTCCCGGTCTTATAAACCGGCCTGCTATTCATGGGCTTGCTTGGCTTGCTGAGTGTTTGGTTTCACGGGGGTTTACTGGTATCTCTCGTATATTTCTTTCTCCTTTTTCTCGGTTACATGCCGACTGGCCTAGAAAGTGTCCACAGGCATGTCCTGGCGACTCGGGGCTTTGGGAGACTACTAAATAGAGTCTGTGTTGGGTTTGATGACGCTTTCATGTTCTACACGTATGCCATGTACTTATAGAGGAGTTTGGGATTTTTAGAAGTGGCATATTATGAAAAAGGAAATAAGACATTTCAAACCAGTCAAGCTCCTCAAAACATGCATTTGTTACTATGTAAGATACTCCTTGATATGAGCCAGCCCTGTACACTAAAGTCAGCTTCGGTTCGACTTGCTAGCGTACATATCGTCACGTGATGTGCTATATCAACAAATGCAAAGCATTCCTGCAATGGACAGTATCTTGAAAATACTAAGCTAACAAGTTAATAGTGCCTTGCATTATTATGCCGTCATTCACTCTATAGAAGTAAGTGTTGGAAGGGATGTTAATGTAAGGCTCAGAACAGTGGGACACTAGTCATGCGTACTTGTCCTTGCATGCAGGGCCCCAGCATTGGCTAAGGTGGCCCCGCAGTCGCCAAAGACCCCTCTGTTGCCTAGCCTTCACGTGCTTGAGCTCAAAGATTGTGAGAATAGTAGCTGCAAACATCTCCAAACTTTCAAAATTTCTTATCTCTTTGCCAACCTCGACTCAGATGGCCACTCTTGTTCGAAGCCACATACAAGTGTGATTGCTGACCCGCGGAGAAAATTTCGATGGCAAGCGCCTCCAATCCTATCGCTTCGCGGCTTCGCCGTCGAATACCGCCTCATCGCGCGAGTAATACTGCAGCAACCAACTCGGCTTCCACTACATCTCATGGCCGCGTGACACGACACTCGATTGCACAGACATTTCAGAACCACAAAACGGGAGAAGAGGGGGGCGGAGACGACGTTTCAGTGGATGACGATGAAGTTTTGGACGAGGATGACGAGGGAAATGACGTCGAACTCTCTCCTGATAGACGATCCATGAAAAGACCACATACAGACGTCACTTGTGAGTCTGGCAACCCACCGAAACGTCGACAGTTGCGAAGCAGGACTGCAGGGCTCTCTGATGGACTGCAGTGTGAAGGCAGAGCCTACCTGTCGCCCTCCTCAGACGGAGCATCCCAGAGACGTAGGGGGGCGGCAACCTCTTCCAGAAGAAGCAGCCGGGAGAAGAAACAGAGCCCGATGAAGAAAGTACCAGTAGAGATACATAATGACGCTGGAAGCAAAGCCCGGAAAACCAAGGCCACAAAAGAACTGCTGGCGCCGGATGCGACAACGATACAGTCGCCGCCCTGGATTACACTACCATACATGATTTTGTGCCGCATCTTCACATTTGTCTCAGAGGGCCTCGATGACGTAGACTTGGTGCGTCAGTTCGTGGCAGCCAGTCGGACGTGTCGTGCGTTCGCTGAGCCGGTGTTGACAGCCTTGTACGAGTGCCCACCTCTGTTGAGCATGAATATGGCACACTCACTTGTCGACCTTCTGGACCGGTCCCCGTCGACCACTACTTTTGATTACCGGCGTAAGGTGAAAGTTCTTCGCATTGAAGTGGGCTCTCTCGCCAGCCGGGTATACAAAGGACGCCACCTAGACATATCAAGACTGGTGTCGCATTGTCCTCGACTGGTTGACCTGCAGCTTCACAGCTACAAAGATTTGCCTCCATACCGGCAGCAATCGGAAAACCTCCGGTGGGAGTATCCTCGGAGCCTTTTCGAGGCCATGGGTGCTCTCCCGAGAGGTTCCAGGGGCGAGTCTACAGCTCCGGTTATCCGGTTGAGGAGCTGGTGTTGGAACCAGAGAATGATGGGCAAAGACTTGTCGCTTGAAAGCATCAGCGGCCTCCACCTGTCGCCATCTTTTGCAAGCCTGCGTAGAATCCGTTTTGTCAACTATCAACGCCCGTCGTCGCATGCGAAAGACGCCGAAGATCCCCAGGCAATGGCAGAAGACATGAAGCAGGCTGAGACGGTTGCTGGACTGTTGAGCGCTCTTCCCAATCTTGTCCATCTTGCTGTGGAATCGTCAACCATTGCAAACGAGCATCTTCTTCCGCTGCTGCCGAAAGGCCTGCAAAGTCTGGAATTAGTCAACTGTGGGGACATCACAGCTGCCTATTTTTCAGAGTATCTATTAACGCATGGGCAACAATTGCGCTACTTGACCCTGCACCATAACCAGGGTCTCAGTCTAGCCTTTCTTCCTATTCTGGGCGATGCTTGTCCTGGCCTTGTCAGCCTGCAAATGAACCTGACCTATTACAATCAGCATGCTTTCTATCACGATTCTAACCCCCTTTATGACAGCCTCCTATTGGATAGCCAGGTTCCAATATGGCCTCCAAGCATCGAGGTAATCGAGCTGGAGCACTTGCGCAAATGGGAGCCGTCTGCTGCTGAGGTGTTCTTTCGGTCACTGGTTGACAGGGCACCACAGATGCCCATGTTGCGGGTATTGGCCATAAAAGCAATGCTGAATATTCCCTGGCGGATGCGATGTGAGATGCGCGACCGGTGGGAGGTTACTCTAGACCGGGTCTTTAAGCGCCACATCACAATGCCTGAGCCGGCTGATTCACTGCAATACTACCAAAATAAAGCCGAGTCCCTAAAGGCACCATCCAAAGCAAAGCCTCTTCAGAAAGATTTCGAATCGGTTCCGCAGAGACGGAGCCATCGCATTGCTATTCACGCGTCAAGCTCGTCGTCGCGTGCCAGCAGTGCGGCCAGAGGGCTGAGAAGGAGAGGATTATTCTCGTACCGCGAACCCGACAGCGAAGAAGACATTGATTTCAGTCAAGATGATGAGCAAGACGATGAAGGGGAACACACTGATGGCCAAGATGACAATGCAAGAGGTGGAGGCACCGGTGCAGGCAACACATACAGATCACCTGATCACCTATTTATCCACGGGATGTGCGATGTGGTGGATATTCGCATCGACAATCAGAAGCCAACAGAACACCAGTATAATATGGGTGACTTTCTCGATGGTACTGACCCCTCTTCAGATAATGAGTGGACGGGAGATGAGGATGAGGACTTCGAATATGCCTGGTAGTCTCTCAGACGGTAATTGCATGCGGTGACCACTTATGAAAATGCAGAAATAGAAAACACCAATTTCATGCTAGTAGAGTATGCTGTGCCAATGCCAGCGTTCGTTCTTGCGAAATTGGGGGACTGAACGTCGTATTTGCTAGGAGGGGTTACTAGAATTTGCACCATGTCCAGAGTTTGCATTGCAAATACATCACTCACCCCCCAGTCCCATAAGGAATCTGGTTCTCGAATACGATTGCACGTTTATTTGTGTGCGAGATTTCGCTGGCCCTCCAAGCCGATAGGTGTCCTGCAGGACTGATCCTTCGGTGTGGGACCAGAAACAGGTGTCAAAAAGGACTAGAGATGCCCTTGTCAAGCCAGTACTGTTATTGCAGTATCGGTTCTGATTCAGACTGACAATAGAAGAAGGGAATAGAGGATTCAAAAACGAGAATTGGTTGCAACCGCCAGAGAAAAAGACGGCCTTCATCGACTTCCTAGTTCTCCTGATGCCTTGCCGAGCAGATATCATGTCATTAGAATACAGTTGGAAGATTGCCCACGTGTTATGACTTGCCACATGTCTCTAGCACCAAGACATCGCGAAATGAAGTGCATTTCTGCATAAAGGGCCATCACTACTGCCAGGCATCGTTTTCAATGCTGAGATGCCTGAAGAATCCTTGACCGGTCTCCGTATGGGGTTTTCCAGGACAAGATCATATGGCACAAACACGTGATATATACACCCACATGTATTTCCGTGAGTAGTGAACAGTAACTAAGAAGCACGCCGGAAAAAACAAGCTTCTCGTGGCCTCAGTATTCGCTGCTCTGATATATCCATCTAAAACGTACCTTTGGCGTCTTCGAATAGCTTCGCATAGGGTTGAAGATATTCTAGCAGTCCCCGGCCGAAAAGTGGGTCATCACCAAAGAAATTGTGCCCAGGATTATTGGCTATTTTCATATGTACGGAGTAAGATACTGGCCATTGGGCCATTGCGGGTCTGGACTAAGCAGGCCGGGTGGAACGGGTTCCTGCTGTCTTGTTGACGGCTCTTTCCCTTTTTTCTTTCCTCCTGGTATAACGCGTCCCACCACAAAACCGTGGCCGTGACTATTACAACTGCAGTGGATGATCGCGAATCTTGTTTCCCTCATCACCCCTTTCTCTATACCATTTATATCTCATTCGCACCCGCGTCATCTCTTTTTATCGCATCTCCCTATTTACGTTGCTGCCACACCACAGCGCAGGCTGTTCTTCCCTGGCACAACGCGGCTGTGGATGCGCGTGATCGCATTGCGAAAGGCAAACAGCGAAACTCATCTGCACAATTTATGAGCCGTCTGTTGACAGCCTACGGCACCATAATATAAAACCGCCTCATCCCACTTGCATTTGCCGCCACCCTCTGGCCCTCAATTCTTTGTCGCTGTTTGACCTGCAGCCTTTCGCTGCTTTCATTATCCCGTCCTATCGCTGTCTCTTCCCCTCCATCCACGCACCTTTCCTTCTCATTGTCGCTTTGGCAGTCTCGGCCAACAACCATAGCTGAGGTCCTAGAACAAGAAATGGACCCGACTTCTCAGTCAGAATAGATGAGATCTGCGGTCACCGAGCGTCTGGGTATTCGCACGCAACCTGGCTGGTCCAGATCTCACACATCCCCGCCAGCCGGGCCTGGTCTCAACGAGGCTCCTTGTTGCGGCTTATTTATGTCATCTAATCGCGATTTAATTAATGCCTCGTCTTCCCAGCTATGGCACGCCCAAGTCGCCAGAAGCGGAGGCTTCCGTTCCTCCACCGCAATTGGAGAGATGGAATCACAGCGTGGCAGACGTGGCCCTCTAGCAAGCCTCGGGCCTCCTCTCTCGGCTATGCCGATCTGCTAGGAGACCGGGAAGAGGATTTGTGTGTGCGCCCGTCAAAACGACGCCGTGGCGGTGCTTTGCCCACGGGCATCGCACAGATTCCTAGCTTCAAGGAGTGCTCAGCCATGTGGCTACCAGAGTACCCTACCACACGCTCCAATGGCCTGCGTGTCCAGGTGTTCAACATGTTCCATGCGGACACACCACGGGTGCGCTTCAACACCATGGCAAACTTGCCACCGGCCGACATCGCCACCTTCAGCGTCCGCTGCAAAATCACGATTATGAGTGAGAAGTGCGGCATGCCTCTGCTTCTGTTCTGTGATGCGCAGATAGGGACGGTACAGGCATACAGGCCCGCTGATGGGCCGTGTGGTCTGGCACGCTTCTCGCTGGAGCCATTGACAATCCCATTGGAAAAGATTGCCATCCTGCGCGAGGAAAGCCGCGTGTTTGGGCTTGCCGAGAAGTACAAGATGCGTATCGAGATCGAATCTACGGGAAACGACACGTGGCCACCTCTGGACCTTCTCACTTTCATCGGCACTGTCCCAGATAGCAGCGATAGCCATCGTCGTCAGCACCATCATCGGCATCCCCTGACTAGCCACCATGCTAAGCAGGCCGATGACTGCGTGCTGTACGCCGAATCCAACGACTTTTTTGGACGACCAAGAATGCGCATTCCCCTGTGGCTGAGGGAGAGCCCGCTCCATGACCCGATCTGCACCAAGTTTGTGATGGATTTGGATGTCCGCTGGAGCACGGGATTTTTAGAACAGCCGCGCAGCTTGCTGGAAAAGGGCGTTCTGCCGACTATTGTGGCTATGCATCCAGACGAGCCGATCCCACGTCCTGCGTTGGGAAAAGCCAGCAGTCTTTCGAGGGAGGCCTTGGCGAAACGTTATCTGGAGAACGGCATTTTAGCCAACAAACATGCCAACGGTACAAACCATCTTATGAATGGCCATATAAATGGCCGCGCAAACGGTCATGCAAACGGACGTTTAGGCGGCTCCATTAACGGCTCTCAGAGTCGTGCCGGCGGGCGCAGTGTAACTCCCTCTGTGAATGGCGTGGACAGTGCAGTCGAGGACGACGAGGATGACGAAGGCGACGTGGCTGAAGGGGAGCTTGCTGCAGGCCGCTCTCTGCGAAGACGACGAGGACATCCGGACTATAACCTTCGAACTATGACCAACAAGGTCCATGGCAAGGTACCGCGATCGCCCCGAAAATTGCGGAGCTCTGTGCTGGAGTTTAATGGTCGTTTTAACGGCAGCCTTCACGGCCGATTTTCCAACATGGACGCTGTCGGCAACAAGGTCACGTACATTTTACCGCCAGAGCAGTTGACCGTGGACGGGTTTGTCTGCTGCATTTGCCTCGCCTGGAACCCAGACATCAACCAATTGCGAGCTCACCTCAAATGCCATTTTCACTATCACTTTGATTACGAAACGCTTCCAGGCAGTCGCGGTGGCCATACTGTCTACGTTTCGCATTATCCGGACGAGAGCACAATTTCCCTCCGGCCAAAAATCTACCAGCTGGGTCGGCCGACAAAACCGCTCGATTTGGACTCATTTCTTGCTGGCGATGAGTCTTGGGTGACCTCGCGCTTTGGGCCACAGCACGACAATAGTGGGGTCGCTCCTGTGACCTGCGATGCACGGGTAAGGATCTGTAGCCTTCAAGCCGGTAATTTAGGGAGTGTTGCTGATGTTTCTTGTTTTAAATTTACAGTCCAAGCAGCCGCTCCAGGTCAAGGACATCAACCTCGTTGTCCCGCATATCAAGCAGCCTCTTTACCACCCTCTGAGCAAGGTCCTTCTCCAGCCGGGGGACAAGATTCGGCCGGTTGCTGTAGACGATAGCTGGCTCGTTCATAAGCATCGCGAGGTCGTGCAAGACTACTCTGACCTGTCTAGTGCCGAAAAGGAGTTTATCCAGGAGTGGGACAAATTCGTCATATCTCGACGTGTCTCCTCCGACGCGTATATTCCCCGGACTATGCTCGAGTTTATTGAGGAGAAGGGACTGTGGCTAGTGGCTGACCATGCTCGCACGATTGAGTTTGGAAAACACATGGCTGTGATGGTGGCGAGAAGCCTCTTGTCGAACGAGGACATCCAGGCAATCACATCCTGCCTCAATATCGCTAGGAAGCGCGCAAAGGAAACGCCAAGCCTCACGGCAGCCGCTGAAGCCAGTGCCGTTCCTAAAACAGGGCCGCATAGGAGCAAGAGCGGCTGTTCCGTATGTGGATTGCCAGTGTTGGGCCCGTTCATGCTCATCTGCTCCAACAAGGTATAACAAGTCCTATGCCATCAACCACACACATCAGAGAGGCAATTTTGACTGACCCTTGTCCAGGATTGTTTGCAAAGGCTTTATCATTCCAGTTGCATCGCCGGGGAGGCTGTAATGTCTGTGAAGGAGCCTAAATGGTTTTGCAACGATTGTGCTCGATTAGCATAATCCACTTTAATTATGATGGTTCGATTATTTAATTGCATTGGTGCTCGTGTGTACACTAAAGGGGTGGAGGCACGAGTTGAGCATATGGATGGTACGTCTTGTTTTCATGCATTGCGGTTGTCATTTATACCCGAGCTGGAAACACAGGAGAAAGGCGTTCTGTTGGCTGGCAGGTGTCTTGGGTAGGATACAGCTTGTGGCTATTTATTGCCCGTTGAGCCAGAGACCGCAAATATTGCTTTGGAATATACGTAATTGCCGCAACTATAAGCAGTAGACCAGCTAGAAGGCTGTAAATCCGCGACTTGAGATGTGGAATCCATTTTACGCTACGAGAGATAAGCTTGCAGCAGCAAATCCGGCATGCCCGGGGGGAGTAGACGGATGCATAGTATAAGCGTATAGATGCGTTTGAGTAAAGTACGTGTCTTGTGGAGTCGTATAGACCGAAAGCCGATTTTATAATAATGTATGGCGATGTTGTGTGTAAGCAACCACATCTAAGTCGGAATTACCGGGACGGTATCGCGTCAAACTGTGTTTGACACAGGATCATCGGAGCATATAGTTATAAGCTCACTCAGGATGCGCTCCGTTATAGTCATTTGGGATGTTTGGCATCACTGACGCATGTTCGTGCGCGCGATCCTGTTTAGATAGCTTCGAGATGCGACGCCCCATATTTGGCTCCGAAGAAGTGCTTCAAAGACAAAGAGATATAGAGCATCTTCGAAGATACGCTATAGAATAATGTATCCTAGTTAAGGCAACGCCCCCCAGACTATAGAAGACTTTCCCAACCCGTATTGTCTCCATTTCACGTGGAAAGAAAAAGGTACCCGAAATGAAACAAGGGTGTTCCACGTCACCTGACCCACACAGCCTCGTCGTGGCGCACCTGCCACTCTCAGTACATAACAAACTTCTCAATTTCATCACCTATAAATCGCCTGAATTTTGACAAATAAAAATCGGCTACACGAAGTGTGACCGTAGGGATATCACAGAATAATAGTGGGTGGTAAACAAAGAGATCAAAAAAATTCCGCGCGAAATGAAAGAAGGACACTATCATCCCAGTAAGCAGACATAAAGATACAAATCGGAAAGCAATGAAAGCTAGGCACCAACTCGTAGCACACACAACCCAGAAAGAAAGGAACGGATGCAACCATCCCGCGCAGAGTTCGCCCAGCCTTTTCTTCACCTCAGATCGGCTTTGAGGAAGCTCGCAACAGATCCCAGACACCTTACCAGACCTTTTATAAAAACAGCCCGCCCGTCCATTCCGGCGTGCTCGATCAAGCAAATAAAGCAAAAAACACGGGGTGCATCGACAAAAAACAGGCAAGAGCCTATTGAGCCACGGCGATGTGGCAATTCCACGCAACAGAAGACAGACCACAGTCGCAGGTAAACGCCGTCTCTAGACATTCGGACCGAGTCCTGAAATCGAGGTAATATCACAAATGGTCGCTGATCATGAAATGGGCTCTGTCGTCGTCTCGTTGTTTCGTCATTAAGATTGTATAATTGAGGCACCTGATCTGCCTCTTCGCTCATTGTCCTCCTTGTCCAGCCATCACTGGCTGTCCGGAAGCTGTAGCTCTTGCTCCCAGGCCACATTTTCCTTATCGCACCACCGACGTAGAACGGGCAACATGGCCCGCACCGTGTCCTCAACCCCGAGCCATGGCCCTACAACAACTCTCATCGACTCGTCACTGACCAGATCCACACTATTTTGTGCATCTGTCCAGGCCTCGAGACGGAGCTTGGTGGCCTTTAGGAGCTTTCCGGCGACCGACTGGGCCTCGTGGCTGGTGATTGCGACGAGCATTTGCTCAAAGAAGATGGCACGAAGCTGCAGTGCCAGGGCTTCGATGGGCCGGAATTGCCGTGCGTGGCTTCGCAGCTCTGCCAGGTGCGGCATCAGCCGTTCCCAAACGGTGATGTCGCTCCCCCTTCGCTCCAGGTGTCGGGACTGGTTGAACGCCTTGAATGCTATCATGTACGACATGACCATTTCAAGGCTGAGAGCAGCGACAAGCCTCTTTTCGGACGGCAGCAGGTTTGGCGCCGGTGCTGCCACCCCGTCGGCCAGCTTTGTGGTTCCGTTGGGTAGCCGGTTCTTAACAATGGCGTCTCGATCGTGCTTGAGCTTTGTCCCCAACGTCAGGTAGGCATCGTAGCGGCGCCGGTACTTTGACACTGCAGCTGCAGATGCCGGGTCGCCTTGACTTGTAAGCGGCCGTTCGGCGGACCGTGGAGTGTAGCTGGCCGACTCGTTGGGTGTGAGAACTTGAGAGTTGTTTGACGTGACGCGGACCATAGGGGTGGCTTTCAGTGGTGTGGCAGGGGCAGCTGGTGCCCTCGCTGCCGATATGCTCTTTTCTGCAACTGTCCTTGGGTGCTTGAACGATACGGATGGCGACGGGTCCCCGGCGAGATTGTCTGACTGCACTGGTCGTTTCTTCGTGATGGGCGCTGGCGGTAAGGTGTCCTCAACGCTGAGCGAGCGTTCGGTTCGCTTGGATGGTGCTTTCATGGGCGTTGGCTGGAGAGCGAGAAGGTGCCGTACTCTTTTTGCGTTCTTCTTTTTGTATTTCAGAGTTACGATGCAGGTCCGTTTCTGTGCTGGTGGCTCTTTTTGCAGTTCCCTTTGCGGTTCCCTTTGAGCTTCCCGAGAAAGTTCACGTGGAGGTTCACGCTGCGACTCCCGATGCGACTCCCTTTGTGGTTCTCGTAATAGCTCACGTTGCGGTTCCCTCTGCGGCTCTCTGTATGCCTGAATCTCTTTGTGCTCCTCATCCTTTTCCCTATCCGGTGCCGGACGAGCGGGTTTCTTGCCACTACTGCTCGACACAGGGAGCTCTTGGTTGCTTCTGGGTGCCGCCGTCAAGTTTATCGTGGGCTTGCTAAGACGCAGCAGCTCTTGCTCTACTATAGGAGGTAGAGTTGGCGAGAGCAACGGCGGAAGCGCGTCTGGCTTGCCAGACTTCGTCTTTGAAGCCGATTTGGACAACGGAGCTGCAGTAGGCCGTGACCGTTTCACCGAGGATTCGCGATCGCGTTCAGGATTGAAGTGGAGGGGGGAGAGAATAGGAGGCAACGAAGGTACGGAACCCGGGGCGTTAATGACATCGTTCTCGGGTGTCCGTTCCCGTTCATCATCTGTGCGTTGAGGGTGATGTCCGTTCGCTCTCGAGGCTGGCAGAGCTGCGTGATTATTCGAGCTATCCCGCGATCGATGCTGTGACTGTCCGTTTGCCGTTGTTCGCTTCCGATCTTCCTTCCGGTTGTTGAGGTCCAGAGGACTGGGGGGGTTATGCGGTCGTTGGTTGAACCGAGACGGTGCTGGCGGTGAGTCGGAGCTCATGGATGTGTCAGATCTCGACCGCTTGTGCGGACGGCTCGTTTCATGTGTGTCTGCAGGCCGTTTTCGGCTGTCGGATACGCCCGAGCTCTGGAGTGGTTTTGGCGATTTAGATGGCGAGTGGTTGTATTTTCTGAGCATGTTAGCAAACGCGGCACGGCCCAGACAGGTAGAGAGCTGAGGAGAAGAGGAAGAAGACGGACCTGTCGCCATTCACATCGGGTTTTGGGGGGAGGCGGTGGCCGGCCGGTAGCGAGGCCATTGTGCTTGTACTTCTGCTACGGCCCGTATCTAGCTTTGCAGCCTTGGAACCCGAATCCGGAGCTGAGTCTGGCGGCGAGCCCGGCAGCTTTTTCTGCAGCTTGTTCTGGTAATCCTTCAAAGATACCTTCTTCTTCGTCTCACCCTTGCTGTTGACGTCCGCAAGCGGGGAGGTTGCAGACGAAGAGTTGAGGCTGGATGATGGCTTGCTCTTCTTGTTGTTGCCGTTCCCGTTGCCAGCGTTTTTGCCGATTCGGCTCGTGTCTTCGTCCGGTTGCAGCTGTATGTCGTAGAAAGGACGTGTCAGGAGGACGCCGCGATCGGCCTCGGACACATATGTCGTGAACTGCAGCGGAGAGTCTTTGGGCCAGAGGTGGTCGGAAGGCACTAGGTAGCGGATGTCCGGTGAGATGGAGAGATGGTGTGGTCTTTCGGGCAGGACGCGCTGGACAAGCTGGGCGATCTGTTTCGCGGCAACATCCATATTTCTGCGTCTCCCTGTGGCGGTTCTTCCGTCGCGTGCGTACCCCCTCCTCCGGGCCTATCCACGTGGCCAAGTCTGGTTTCTGCCCAAGCCACGCCGGGGGCTGCTGTCGTGTGTGTTCTGGAGGCGGCCCGTTTCTCGTATCAGGGGGACGGGAGCATGAACGGGAGCCGGGCGCTGCTCGCAAGAGTCTGTGACGGCTGGCGACAACGGCTCGGGAGCAGAGCGCGAAGCTCTCTCCACAGCCAAGGCGGATGCAGTGTCTGCTCGCCAACCCGCGTCGGCTACGATGCGACGGCCGTATCGAGCTTCGCCGATTGAGGTGTGGTCTTGGAGGTCCAAGCGTTAGTGTGCACTCATAGCGTCGCAGAAGTCCGGACAAAAGCAAAGCGGCTCGCACCGCCTCTCTTCAAACATACGCGTGCAAAGTCTGGTCTGCAATCCCGGACGACTGTCGGTGAGCCGGGGTGTCGTCGACGCTGGGGGGGGGGGGGGAGGGGAGGCGGCGTGGTGGTGGCTGAGGCCGATGTAGGGCTCAGCCGGGTGGACGTTTTGGGCAAAAAGAAAAGCACGGCAGCTTTGCCTTGGGTCACCGGCGAGAGGAGACGGCCATTCGTATCGCCATGCAGTCGTGGGATCGCTTCGGGGCGGCGTCGAGCGTGCGAAAGGCGATGCAGAGCGCGTGCGCGAAGAGTATGTGAGTGAGAGACACGCCGCGAGCGGAGAGAGACAGGCCCGGGACAGCTGGCAGCTGAGAGGTGTGTGATGGGAAGATGGAATGATGGCGTGGGATAAGAGGAATGCGACGGCGCGGGCGATATGCAGACGCAGATGGGATGAATGGGTATTGGGAGCAGCGGCAGCACTGCAGCAATAGTGGTAGTTGCCTTTGGAGTGGGCTTATTCGGGGGGTTCTGGTCTAGCGAGGGAAGGGGCGACGGCGCTTGGGCGGTCCTGCCGTGGAGTGAGCTGGCGCGACGCATAGACGAGCAGTCCCGGCCAATCAGACGTCGCCTTTAAACTGCGAATGAGCAGCGACGAACGAAAACAAAAGGAAGGAGCCACCCAGTAAACGAAAGGGCAGCGGCATCGCTGTCGCGTCCTTTTTCTCCACGACAGCTCGTTTCGGGTCTTCGTTTGTTTGCATCCAAGATAATTGTGCGGCGGTTTATCATGCCCCTAATGAGCTGTGCTCCGTACTTCTTCGATCTCACATTGTCACGCATGTTTCTTTCACGTATCTGTATTCAAACCCGTCGAGGTCAGGTGCTGACAGTAAAACAATGCGAGTCGAGACTTTCGGCTCTTGCCCGATGGATGGGTTTTTGGGTGGCTCTTTCCGTTTGGTCTCCACACGGCTCGTATCTACATAGTATGGTATGCAACTCCGTTGCTGTCAGACTGGATGGATAATTCTGACTAAGCCTCCCGGCCTTCCTCATGCACGCATTCCAGTGATAATGATTAGAGAAAGCAAGCCGACTGCTGATTGGAGGAAACATATGCATATCAGACTCGTCGCAAAACCGGAGTCGCACTATATACCTCTGCGATTACTAAGACACCAAATATTCTCTCGCCTGGGCTCGCCATGATATGCCTATCCCTGTTCGCCATGCCTACAATAACACCTTGAATCCCTATCCGAAGTAAACGTATCGAGTCCCTCAATTGCATCCTACTCGTTCTCTGCAGCCGTTCCGCCATTAAGCCTCCGTCGTTTGGACGTCAACGCATCTGCCGGTTGACCACGAGCATTACCATTAGTGTTGCTGATTGGCATCCTCTTCTGTGGCGTTATAGCCTCGGCCCTCGTGCTGGCCTGCTCTAGTTTGCGAACTTTATCGGCGACAGCCGTAATGTCCTGTTGCAGCTGCCGCGTGTTCGGATATAGTATCTCCACCTGGCCAATTATGGCAACAAAAAGATCCTTAGTCGTCAGGTTGTTGAACTGATTATCCAGTGTCGCTATCATCATCCGCAGCTGGGTGTACTTTTCACCCACATCGACCCCCGTCTTCTTCACGCTGTCCTCCAAGGCGGTCAGCTTGTCCTGGAGCGCGCGTGGGTCGGCCAGAACTTCGCTGGCTTCGCCAACTGGTCTCGGGGCTGACGCCGACGCCGACGTGTCGTTCGTCGTGCCTTCTCTAGCACCACTGTCGGGCATTCCAGCGTCTTTTGGGCTGGGTTCTTTTGAAGCTTCGGGCGTCGCTTTGGAACCTGGGATTTTTTCTTCTTCCGCAGGGACTGCCTTGGCTGCAGTAGCAGCGGAGGAGTCGAACCGAGACACTATCTGTTCCAGAGACAGCACCCGCTCCAGGTCCTTCCGGCGGGCTGCTGTCTCTTGTTTGAGCAGGTGGCCAAAGACGTCAGATAAGCCTCCATTCGCCTTGAGTAGCTTCTGTGTGTTGGTTCGTTGATCCATTACGGCTTGCTGATGCGAATTGCTGAGCGCGTCGACGATTCGGGGGAGCGACTCAAGTTTTGCAAGTCTTTCACCCAGTTTGCCGATTTCAAACCGAACACTCGTGAAGTCGTCCCCGGGGAATACAGCAGGAGCAGGCACAGGAGCAGGAGCAGCAATTCTCGCTGCCACAACGTTACCGGCCTTGATGCTTGTCTGGAGCAATTCCACCTGACTATGTAACTCTGACACAGCCGTGCTCTGCTCACAAATGTTCTTCGCCATGTCCGCCCTCTCGAGAGCACTGGAAGCAGTCGTCTGTTCTAGGCTGGTCGGGTCGATCGCAGCAAGTATACTATCGTAGCCTTGCATCTTTTCCGCCATGGCGTCAGCCTGGCTGCTTTGTTGCGTGGCACGGACATCAAGCTGCCTAATTTCCGCGCCAACGTTTGTCGTGGCAGTGTCTATGCCGTCGACCTTGCTCATTAAAGTGGTGACCAGATTAGTCAGCTTCGCCATGCCTTCCCGGCTCGACGCGACCTCCTGCTTGAGACTGGCAATCTCTCCCTGTAGTTGTATGTTGGTCTCTTTCAGATTTGCGTTATCTTCCTTTAGCTGCGCGGTGTCTTTCTTCTGTTCTGATATTGTCGTTCGTGACAGGTCCTGCAGCGCCTTGAGCTCGTGCGCGAGGTGCTCCTGCTTCTTGCCAACGGCTTCCAGTAGGCTGATGCTTTTTTGGTCGGGGCGTGGGCGGATCTCCACTAGGAGCTTGTCGCAAAGCTGGGCCAGAATATCTCTGGTCTTTTGGGCCTTGCCTGTCACCTCGAGCAGCCGCGCATGGTCTGCCTCTTGCGCTTGCTTTAGGATCTCCGGGACAACGGGATATTCAGAATCTCTCTGTAACGACATCTTAGCCTCGGCCTTCTGTATCTTGCTCTGCGCTTCAAGTGCGGTTTTGTCGTGCTCGAGTTCTCCCAATTGTCGGCACTTCTGCAGGATGGAAATCAGGGTGTGAGTTCCGGCTTGCGATGCAACGCGTGCTTTGGGGCCTGCCTGTGAGCTCGAGGCCATTTGTGCTGGTTTTGATTGTGCAGAATCTGCACGCTGTGTATCTGGGATCATCGTTTGTCGTCTTTCCGGTTCTGGTCTCGCCGGTTTTGCCGCTGTGCAAACTCTTAGACTCTGCTTCAAACAAAATGGCAATATAAAGTGGCAGACGAGAACGTTTACCTACGCTTGTTTGGTAGGGAATTGAATAGTGTACGCCCCCCGCCACTCCCTGGAGGCTTATCTTTGGTTGGTTCGTCTGGTGGTGGTTTGTGTTCGCCGCGGTCCAAAGCAGGCCAGCCACGGTCTCGTTCAAGCCTTCTATCGCTTCCGTGGGTCCATTCCCTGTTGGTCAAGTCGCGTTCTCGTGGACGGTCTGGCGGTCGGTCTCGGTCTCGGTCTCTCTCTTTCTCCCAACCACGTTCCCTATCGTAGACTCGGTTGATACCTCGAGCACGGTCGCGACTGCTGTCTTGTTGTCTCCATGACGTGGGAACGGATTCCCTGCGCTGGCCGAAGTCGTCGGACGGGTGACGCCTTGAGTTGTAGTGCTCTGGGAACGCCATGGCGGGCTCGCATTGGAACTGCGCCCTTCACACACCCATTCGATCGCAAGTTCTTTGTCAAGCAGCAGAAAGTTTTGCTAGTCCCTGGATAATCGTTCTTTGCCCGTTGAGACTGGCGCCTTGAGCCAGACCGAATCCGGCGCATAGGCGGGCAGGCCTTTGAGCCTTGGGGCAACAGGAGACTAGCCGGTCGTTGGTTGAGAATGGGCTTTCAGGGCGCTTGATATTGAGATGCCAAATGCGGGAATGCAAGCAAAGACCACAAAGTGAGACAACGTCCAGCACGATATGGAGGGAGGGAAAAAGCGTCTATGCTTACGGATTTAGCGCCCAGCCAGTGGGGGCAGATCAGCCCAACCCCATGTACCACTAACAGCAAAATTACCGCGCACAGTACCATGAGTAGCCAGAGTGGGCCCGAATGGGAAGTACCGTGTACATTTCTGAATGGCACTCGCGATTTTGAAATATGCTCCATAGTCAAGACGAAGGCGCGCTCTGTGTCTCTTTTTGTAGGCCCAAAAAACTCGTCGTCGCAACCGCTGCAGCTATCTGGCATCACTACCACAACGTGAGCAGTCACCAATACAAAGACTCTGCAGTGAACTCTACCGACTTCAGATATGGCTGATGTATGTATTCCGCTACCATTGAGCCGTCCTTCCTCGGAGCTACGAGAGATCTAACAGGATCTCCCTCTGCCAGACAGTGGTGACCACCTCGGAGAGCAAGGAGCTCCGGGGCCTCAACCTTATAGCTGCCCATTCGCATATTCGCGGACTCGGCGTCGATGCCGACACACTGGAGCCGCGCCCGTCATCGCAGGGACTCGTCGGCCAAGAGAAGGCCCGGAAAGCGGCAGCCGTTATTTTGGAGATGATAAAACAGGGCAAGATTGCCGGCCGGGCCGTCCTCATCGCCGGTCCTCCCAGGTAAGCAGCAGCAGTTCTCTTGCTCTTGACTTTTCCTCTGTGCTCCTGCTGACGCGCCTGCTCAGCACGGGAAAGACTGCTATCGCCACGGGCATGGCCCAGTCTCTGGGTGCCGACGTGCCGTTCACATCCTTGGCCGCGTCCGAAATTTTCTCCCTCGAAATGTCCAAGACGGAGGCGCTCACCCAGGCGTTCCGGAAGTCGATCGGCATCCGCATCAAGGAGGAGAGCGAGATCATGGAGGGCGAGGTGGTGGAGATCCAGATCGACCGCAGCGTGACAGGCGGTGCCAAGCAGGGCAAGCTGACGATCAAGACAACCGACATGGAGGCCATCTATGACATGGGAAGCAAGATGATCGACGCCATGACCAAGGAGCGTGTCATGGCCGGCGACATCATATCCATCGACAAGTCGTCGGGGAAGATCACGAAACTGGGCCGCTCCTACGCGCGGTCCCGCGACTACGACGCCATGGGCGTCGACACAAAGTTTCTGCAGTGCCCTGAGGGTGAGCTGCAGAAGCGCAAGGAGGTCGTGCACACGGTGACGCTGCACGAGATCGACGTGATCAACTCGCGCACTCAGGGCTTCCTGGCCCTCTTCTCGGGCGACACAGGCGAGATCCGCAGCGAGATTCGCGACCAGATCAACACCAAGGTGGCCGAATGGAAGGAGGAGGGCAAGGCCGAGATTGTTCCCGGTGTCCTGTTCATCGATGAGGTGCACATGCTGGACATCGAGTGCTTCTCGTACATCAACCGTGCCCTGGAGGTCGACCTAGCGCCCATTGTGATCATGGCCAGCAACCGCGGCCAATCGCGCATCCGGGGCACCGACTACAAGAGTCCGCACGGGCTACCGCTGGACTTTCTGGACCGCATCTCAATCATCACCACGCACGCATACGGCCCAGAGGAGATCAACAAGATCCTCTCGATCCGGGCACAGGAGGAGGAGGTGGAGCTGACGCCCGATGCGCTGGCTCTGCTGACCAAGATCGGCCAGGAGACCGGCCTCCGCTACGCGAGCAATTTGATCACGACGTCGCAGCTGGTCAGCGCGAAGCGGCGCGCAAAGCAGGTGGCAGTGGAGGATGTGCGGCGCAGCTACCGGTTGTTCTACGACGCGGCGCGGAGTGTCAAGTTTGTGAACGAGTCGGAGAAGCGGCTGATCGGCAACGACGGCAGCATCGACTTTACCGTGGCGAATGGCCAGGGAGATAGAATGGATATCGGCTGAGCGGGGACAAAAAGGCCGGCTACGTTCGCCCATGAACCTTTGACGGATGAGGGGACGAAAAAAGAATCGCTTCGCTGCTTGTTTGTATAATTGATTTAGGGAAGGCGGGTTGGCGTACAAGGAGTGCAAAGGCATGCTGCCCTGCTGAATAGTAAAAAACGGACAGACATATCCAAGATGGAACGACTGTTCGATGCTGACTTCATGACTGTTGCTTTCCGTTCTTTGCTTTTGTATTTTCTATGCATTTTGTATTATGTAATCGCTTTTATATAAAGGAAACCACACGACGCCAGCCGTCTGCTCTACCAGCCGGCCGAAATTCAATGTCCCCAACAAAGTAGCCGGCTTCCTGCCAGGCCTTCATTGTCGGCCCATCGTACGGTCCTTGTATTTTTCCGCCGTCTCGGCCGTCTGTCCAGCGGTATTCCCATGAGTTGTTGTTGTTGCTGTTGCTGCTTTCAGCCGCCTCGACGTTGATGCTGTCGTCTGCATCGGCTGCTAGCGATGAAGGCTGAGGCGGCTCGACCCACGGCTCGCCGCTCTCGGCGCGGTACTCGCGCACGAGTCGTTCTCTCTCCATGTCGTAGATGTCGGGAAACTCACGGTTCAGGAGCCGGTCTGCCGCCTCGGTGATGGCGTCGATGGCCGCCTTGGCCTTGGCCTGCTCGGGGTCCTCGGGCGCCTTATCCTTGTCGACGTCCATCGATTCTGTGGCGCCGGTGGAGGCCGAGCCGGCTTGTCTCTTCAGCTTCCACTTGGGTATCTTCTTGGCCTTGGTCTTGTGCAGACCGCGGCCCAGACGCGCCAACGCCTCCAGCGACGTCTCGGTCCGGTTCAGCCGCATGATCAGGGCAGCGATCAGGTCCGCCGTCAGGATGCTGTCGTCTTCGCGGCGCTGCTGGCGGACATCGGCTTCGCGGCGCTGGTGTGCCGAGGCAGCCTTCTTCATCTGCTTCTTGCTGACGCCCTCGAGCCAGCTGTCGTGCACGGCGTCCGGATCGGCGGCCTTGCGGATGTAGTTGCCGGCCTCGTCGAACGCGCCGTCCTCCTGCTCCTGCTTCATGTTGAAGGCCTCGATCTTGGGCGCGTGCTTCTTCAGGCCGCCGGGACCGACCTCCTCGTCGACGCCCTCCTCCAGGATCTCCTGCGCAATGTCCTCCTCGTCGCTGCTGGACTCGTCGTCGAGCCGGACATGGCCACCGCTCTTGCTCGTGTCTTCCTGCCCCTCGATGTTGCTGTCGTCCAGAAACCGCACCTCCTTCCATTTCTTTCCCGCGCCCGCGCCTCCTTCTTTGGCCGCGCCTTCGTCTTCGTTGCCGTCCTCCTCGGCAAACATGTCGTCGTCCTCGTCGTCGGCGTCGACACCCGGTTTCCCTCCATCCACACTCCCCTTCAGATTATCGTTGTAGTTGTCGAGCTGGTCGATCAGATCGACATCTGCGCCATCACTGCCAGCCTTGCCTCCCTTTTTGACCCGCTGTTCAGCCCGCGCATTAAAAGTCTCGTTTTCCGAGTCGGAGTCGTAGCCGTCGATGTTGACTGCGCCGCGCTTCGTCGCAGCTGCCCCGACCCCAATCACATCGGCCTCCAGTACGTCGTCCTCCTCCCGGGCGTCTGGTGCAAGTGCCGAAGGGTTGCGCACGTCAAACTTTACCTTTTTTGACGTCGCCCCGTCGCCCATTCCGCTATCGGCGTCTTGCTCGCCATGGTGCTGTCGCGCAAATACTTCGCTGGCGCGCTTCGGCCGGGCTGCAGAGTATCGCGATGCCATCTCGCCCTGTGTACAAGAACGTGGTCCGGCCAAGGGGTGGGAAACCAGAATTGTGTTCCAAGGCTTGGACCAGAGGGAATGCGAAATGCAGTGATGCAACGCTAGAGGCAGCTTTAAGCTACAGTGGCCCATTTTGTCACTCACCGCCCGACAGGTTAAGCAAGTAAGAGTTGCCCCTCACCTATTATAACCCGGACCCGCTCCAATACAGTGGGGCTCAAATCGTCATTATCCTAGCTGCCTCGAGAAGGCGTGCAACAAGTTGATAATTCACCCGGCAAAGTAGCGAAGACCTCCCGTTTGCAATCCTGACCATCTGTACACCTCCGTCGCCGTTGCACAGTTTATATTCGATCAACTAGATCTACGAACAATTCTGCTAGACTTCTGTACATTGTCACTAGCCCATCAGCAGACATGGTATGGAGCTCTTCACACGAAGATGAGGCGTATGCAAGCAGCTGACACAGTTTGCGGCAGTTTGTTCCTAACTACGGATTCGATCCTCATAATCCCCACCGGGGAGCGCGCGGCGCCATGTCGATGCGCTTCGACGAGTTCTACCGCTGTTATCCCATGGTTATGGCGCCCGGGAGTGAGCGACCCGAACTCAACTACGGCTCCAAGATTCTGCTTCCGCCGTCGGCGTTGGATAAGGTATCCCGGTTACACGTTCAGTGGCCGCTCCTAATGGAGCTGGTGAATGCAGAGAAGGGGAAGCACTCGCATTGTGGTGTGCTCGAGTTTGTTGCCGAAGAGGGCCGGGCGTATCTGCCACAATGGGTAAGCACCAAGAATGCAGCTGGGAGAATCGGAAATGGGCGCTGCTGATATTGTCTATCCTAGATGATGGAAACACTACGTTTGGATGTCGGCGACATGATCCAGATCAAGACGACATCGTTGGAGCTGGCACGCATGGTGAAGCTACAGCCACAGTCGCCGGCCTTCCTCGAGATTAGCGATCCCAAGGCCGTCCTTGAACGGGCATTCCGCAACTTCGCTTCGCTGACCAAGGGCGATATTTTCAACTTCGAATACAACGGAGACGTCTACGGCGTGGCGGTTCTGGAAGTCAAGCCCGAGTCAGAAAAGATGGGCGTCAGCATGCTAGAAACAGACGTGTCGGTGGAATTCGAGGCGCCAGTCGGTTACGTCGAACCAGAACGTGTCAAGGGCAGCGGAACTGGAACACCAAGAAACGGACTAGCACCTCCAGGCGGTGTCCTACACAATCAGGGAACCATGGCGCAAGCAATCAACTACGAGTCTATCGCACCTGGGACAGAGGCTCTGAAAGCGTCCAACTTTTCGGGCGATGGTCATAGAATAGGAACGAAGAAGGGGAAGGCCGTGGCTACCACATCAGGGAAGTCGTCCTCAACAGGAACCGGGACGCCAAAAATGGCTGCAGAAGCTGCTTTGGGCACGGCACGTCGAGCCAACGGGCCCATGCCTCTCCGACTGCCACCAAACAAGCTCTTTTTTGGCTATAACGTCCGGCCGGTGAAGACAAAGGAGCAGAAAGAGGAGGAGGCAGCAGGAGCCTCGAATCAGCCACACTTTGCTGGCCAAGGACAAAGCCTCCGTGATGCGGCAACAAAGAAGAAGGCCGGAGATGATGGTACATCCAAGTCCAAAGACAAGAAGCCAGGGAAGTCAAGCGGGCGGAAACCACTGTAAACACTGGTTTGTCGGGCTAGAATACAGAGGTTTGCCTGAATGTTATTTTCACACGGCTGAGTATCAACATGAAATGGAGTGGACAAATAAAGACGAATTTTGATTTTTGCCTCTCCTGAATATGTTCGGCTAAATTCTGTAGGAGGTTCAACTAATCTTTATTGCGTATCGGCCCCTTGGCCTAATGGTAAGGCGTTGCTTTCCGGTTCTTGAACACAGCTGGCAAAGATTCTGGGTTCGAGTCCCAGGGGGGTCGTTTTTTTTTCCTATTTGTTTTTAGCTGAATTCATTTTTGCTGTATCTCCAGCTTACGGAGTACATTCGCCGGCTATATCTGCTAGCTTCAGCTGCAGTCGCGTGAGTACATGTATCGAATTCTGATTTTGTCGGCAGTCAAGCCATTTTTTCTCGATATAATAACCATGCTCCCGAGTACATATATTGAAAGCAAGACACCCTACCATGAAAAGGAGAGTATCATCAACACATAGTATCCCAGTTTTATATCTTAAAAATTCGCGTCTTCAGTCTTGACGCCGGTTTTTGTGGGAGAATAGCCGTCCTTCGGAGCATGTGCGGTTCCTTGTTTCTCTGTCTTTACAGCCTTCCGGCGTTTGGTCACTTTGGGCGAGGCCACAGGCTTCCGAATAGTATCACTCGTGGCGGCCCCTTGGGCGGCCTCAGATGTGAATGTACTTCCCGTGGCTTTGGGTTTGCGACCAGGTTTGCTTGTAGAACACCCGGATAGGTTGTTGTTATCGAGTCCAAGCTTCTGCTTGATCTGGTAGAATCGCTTCTAAAAGCAAAGAAAATATGAGACGTTGGTCCGAGCGAGAGAGGAGTTCATGAATTGTAGGTTGTAGGCAAGAAGGAAAACCAACCTTTGCAACAGCAGCATTCTTGAATCCAGAGTCAGTGGCAACGTTATCCCAGTTGATATCGGGCAGGTTGGAGACATTCTTGATAATGTTGAAAAAGAGCATGGCCTCCTGTGGGTTGGGCTCTGGGAATGTAAATTCGGGGGAAGGTCCCCGGGCATTGTTCTCCACGTTGGGTTCTTCGGCCATTGTGAACGTGTATTTTTTTGTGACTATATTTATATAAGTGAGATATATGTTTTTAGCAAGGGAAGAGAAGTATGTGGCCTTTTGATATGAAATATTTCCTTGGGATTATGGAGATCGTAGAGTTAGTATTAAAGTGTCAGAACAGATCAGAAGGCAGCTCAGTTGAAAAGTCGTGGTCTTGGTATTGAAATAGCCGGGGGTCACGATAATAAAGGAAAATAGTATGGAACGGGCGATGGTGAATGGTCCAGATAGGACAAGAAGCAGTTGATGGCGTGGTTGACGGGGAAAGGAAGACGTGACGGGGACAGTGAGAGCTAAGCGAAGAAAGTGACGGGCAATTCACTGCGAGGAAGGCGGGTCGCCTGATCTAAACTTCAGAGCCGAGCTCGGTTTTGCCTCCAAATGGCCGTTCACACACTGCACAGATTCGTCTTGGAAGAAAGGCGCGTCTTGTAGAGCAAAGAAAATATGTTTGTCATGGCGACGTAATGTAGAGGAGATAGATAGAATTACAATCACAACAACGGCTTCCATTCAGCATTAAAGCAGACGACCCACGATTCCAATTTTGACTTGGACAAATAACAAAGGGAACATTGCTAATACAAATTTTAGGGCATGACATCATATCGAACATAGCGACTAGTCGGCATGAACAATGGCCAGAGTATGGCCGAGGTCATCTCGAGCTCACATGGTGTGAAGCTGGCTGTGACACTGGCTGTCATGGTTGTTGACATGGCCGGGCGACGCATTCCACTCGATGCAGTGTCTGGAGTAGGCTTGTGGCGCCATGCTGTGGTGCTCCATTGCGTAGCCTGGCAAACAGATGCTGCTCTGATGTGGCTGTTCCTGCTGGAGGCTGGCCTGGTAGAAATGACTGGCCGTGACTCCAGACGGATCCATGGGAGCAGCTATGCCAAAGTCTCCCAAGGAGGGAGAAAACGGAGAGGGCAGCTGCTGCGGGTGACTATGGTGGCTGGGACCAGTCATCCAGGCGGTCTCGTAGCTGCCACTGCTGCTATAATGGGCGGCAGCAATAGATGCTGCGGCGGCTGTAGCAGTGTTGAAGTCAAAGACATCGGCCGCCGTCATCGCCGTGGCCTGGTCAGCATCACTGCACGGGGTGAGGTGCCGCATCCGAAGCTGCGATGGCAGTTCAGGGGCTGATGAGGAGGACGGATTGCGCACAAGGGCATGGCTGTCGTATCCAGAGTGTCCTGAAACGAAAAACGGAAGCTGTGTTTGAGAGGGCGATGAGTGCAGCACCTGCTGACTTTGCATCCTGGCGATGGATGGCACATACGTCTTTCTTCTCTTGAGACGGGAGATACCAGACAGATTCTCTCTTGGAGGCGACAAGGGCAACAACGAGAGTGCAGTCTTCATGCCATCCTTTCTCTCTGCAGGCTGGTCATCCTGTTCACCGTCGTCTCGATCGGCACCTTGTATTTCTTCCATCTTGACGTCGGCATCACGAATCCATTTTGGCAGTCCTCTCTGGCCTGAAGCGTCACGGCATTTGTCCTTTACGTCCCGCTTGGGCTTCATGACTTTGAAACTTGTAATGGACGAAGTAGAGACTGCAGAGACATTTGACGACGTGGAGCCACCTGACAGCCGACTCCGGCGAGGCTTTCCCTGGTTTTCGACAGTAGTTCGAAATCTGGAAAATCGCATCCGGGCGGCATGGCCGTTTGAAATCTCCTCCAGCAGGGCGGGATCCCGGGCTACTTGGTCCCAGTCAATCTGCGATTATGACACAAGATTAGCATCTTGCTGGGGGTGATTGCTGGCTAGACAAAAGAAAGCAAAGGTGAACTTACGTCCTTGAGGCTCTTCTGCCTCAGCATAGCATACAGTAGCCTGGCTATGGCTTTGTCAGTACCACTGCTGCCGTTGCTACTATTGCAACCGGCATTTCCACCACCAGCGCTGACGCTTCCCATTATCGTGACTTTTATCCCGGAAGCATGGGACGAAAGGCGACTGTCGGGCAACCGGTGTCTGCTTGACAAAAGTGTAAGAGATGACCGAGTATAAGTTTATAGAAAAAAAGAAGGAAGGAGGGTAATAAAGGGCTTTAAGTAGTAGAAGAATGCAGAGGCAGGTGAGAAGGCTGACGAAGCGTGTGCAGAAAATGCAATCAATTGCCTAGGAGTGTTTAACTGTCCCGATTTGGCTAGAATACAGCCGGTAAGAAAACAGGGCCAAGAAGAGGCCTGAAAATGTTATGAGAAGAACAAGGCGAACGACAGGGCGCACGGAAGTGTGGAAGGAAAAGGCAGCTTGCGGGGATTACGTATAAATATGAGTGATCCCAAGTGTTGCCCCTGCAGTAGGAACACGGAGACACATGATGGAAATGGGTAAAGAGGCGAGAATAGGCCGGGACGGAGGGGGGTGAGTGAACTAATTGGGGGGGGCACACTACGGAGAACGGTCGGTGACCAACAAATGAAAACAACGATTGAAGGCGCCGCACGCAGTAGCTCACGATAGAGGAGGATGTATGTTGTCCCTTGCAGATCTAGTCTGGGTGAGCTATGCGGCAAGAATTAAAGGAAGACGAGAACGGAGTATTTAATAGTTGACGTGAAAAGGCAGAAGGAGAGAGGTGTAGTGGTTGCCTGGGCAATGTGGCAAAAGATGCACGGCTTAGCAATAAAATAGGCAATGTCCGGAGAGAGTCCGCGTAAAGAGGTTTCTGTTAGTGCAGGCAGTCCGAGCAGGGGTGTGTGTGTGGTTGAGGACAGCGGTGTGCCCAAATGCTGCAGAGGAAGAAGGATGACGAGAGAAGGGACGGGATGGCGGGCTGAAACACCGAGTAGGATCGTGAGTCATGCAGGGTATTTGAGGAATTTGCACATATCTAAAGTGGATGGGAATGGAGTAGGGAGAGGGGATGGGGGTGAGCTGTGAAGTAAATGGTTTTGAGGGAGGGAAAAAGGGCTGCGAGATAGGTCCGAGCGGAAGATCTCGGCCCAAGTAGCCTGCCGTTTTAGTTCTGCGCCGGAAGAGCGGGCCAGAAAAAAAAGAAACCAACAAGGACGACAATAAAGATGAGCGGGCGGCTGGTCGCCTGACGAGGCAGCAGGGGCATCTGCACAAGCACAGCGGAACAGCGACACTACAATGGCAGCACAAAAGAACTTCGACACGGCAGAGAGAGACAAGGAACGGAGGAGAAAGGAGAACAGATGAAGCCGGTTGAGTCGAGACAGAAAAAGAAAGACGAGGGGGTGAACTAAAACTGGGCGCGACACGCCACGTCTTCGTATTTAATTACCTGGCCGCGATACTGACGCCTGAGCACATGACCTAGCGGAATGCCAATTAAACTGCTAGGCAGCAGCCCCACTGAGCAAACGAATTGCAGCTCTGTCCGAGCCGTAGCCCCACAGTGAGAGGAGGCATTAGTCACGTGCTTTTATGGGTCTCCATTCTGCAGCCGGACCAATCAGGGCTCAGAGCCAGGGTGTGAGAGACAAACAGCTTCGGCTTCGCAAGAGGGCGAAGAAAGCAAATAATCGCAGGTTTGCTGGACGGGATCGCGGGCTCCATCACTCCACCCGAGCAGCCAAGATGAACAAAAACTGGAACGACCGGGCGGACAAGGACCTCTTCTTTACGATTCTGTCGGTGAAAAACATTGGCGTCATCAGCGGCGCCGAATGGACCACCATTGGCAACCACATGCGCACGCTCGGTTATGGATTCACAAATGAAGGCTGCCGGTACGTCTTGCCCAGTGCCTCTCCACCCCTGCTGCCGCCCCATTCTGCGTCGCCACGACGAGCACGGCACGTGTCCCAGCGTCTGAGGCATCTTTGCCGGCAGCTGCGTGTCGTTGCCGTCGTCGGCGTTGCGTCAAGAGCCGTTGCCATAAAGTACCGGCCTATGTTAGCAGAAGAGGGGGCGTGAAGCCGAAAAAAAACACCACGCAAAACACGAGGCCGCGGGGGGGGGGAGACAACATCCACCCGCCCACTCGCGTAGCATTATTTGGGCCTACACAGCTAACTGCATTTCTCTCTCTCTCCCGTCTTCCCATTTCCCCCCCATTTGCAGTCAACATTTTCAGGGCCTGCGACGAGCCCAAAACAAGGCCGACCTGAACGGCTCTCCCGGCAGCAGCCACAAGTCCGATCCCAACCTCAATCCGATTACCCGCAGGCCGGGTCCCGGCCGTGGCCGGCCGAGGAAGCAGGCGACCGGAGCAGCAGTTGATGTAAGTAGCGGGACGGTCGACGATGACGACGCCGCCGGTGTTGCTGGGGCCATTGCCATTTCTGGCACCGCATCCATCGGTGCTGATGGGGCAGCCGTGCATCCGTCTGGAGGCAGCCACATGAATGCGGTCGGCCTGGGTGTTGGCGTCATCCGAAGCATGGATGATCTTGACTCGGCAAATGTAGCGGCAGCAGCAGCAGCTGCTGCTGTCGCAGCTGCTGGAAGGCCCTTATCGGACGCCTCCTCGCACCTGATGCTCGCACCACGGCCGATCGAGACGATAGCCACGGGCTCATCGCTGCAATCCATGAGCGTGCTGTCGGCCAGACTGTCGCAGCCAGGAGGACAGCACGCCCTGCCGCAACCGGGGCTGTCAGGGGCACCAGAGCCGCTGCAGTCGCTGCAGTCGCTGCAGTCGCTACAGTCGCTGCAGGCGATACAGCCACTGCAACCACAGCAGCAGATCGATCAGCAGATCGAACAGCAGCTCCTGCATCACCACCACTTGCAGCCGCACCGACAGCTCGATGACGAGACATCCCCGCTGGGTGCGCTTGAAGATGCGACGGGCGATGACGATGTGGTTGGCGTGGATGATGTCGAGCTGGACGTGGACGTGAATGTGGACGAGGGCGAGGACGGCGACGATGACGGAGATGGCGACGACGACGACGACGACGACGGCGTGGACGACGACGGGCCCAGCGCGAAGCGCCGCAAGCTGCAGGCCGTGACGAGCGTGGCCGGCTCGACGCTCGAGGAAGACGCCATGCTGACGGCGCTGGCCGAGCACAACGGCACCGCTTCGGTGGACAGCTTTCCGACTGAGTGAGTATTCTTTCGCAATGCTTCCCTGTGGTGAAGTCACGTGCTTCGCTCCTTCTTCCTTCCCTTTCTTTCTCGGGTTGCATTTGCTGACAAACAATCTGCAGCTTCAGCTATGGGGAGGCATGATATCAGCGAAAAAGACAAGAGGCAAAAGGCGTGACTTGCTGGAGGACTTGCTGGGTGGTGGTTTTTGTTCCAGACGTGATTTTAATGAACTACGATAATGATGAATATATACCGTTGATACCTGAGCTGGCTAGCCCCCGAATCGGGCCGTCTTGTCTGGCCGCTCGCTGTCTGGCAACTTCACAACTGATCTCTGCAGCATTCACTTAATATTGGCCACATATTCTTGTCTGTGGCTTTTGCATTCTGCCGTGGCACTCTATCCGTTATCATCGACACTCCATCTTTCGACCAAACCGATTAGCCAAACATGGCTTCTGCTGCTACCGAGAAGACAAGCAAGGTGAGAAGGCCGTGTTCAGGGGCATCTCGCCATCGCCCCGTAAACTGTTGTCACTAACCCCGATTTAGTGGGATGCAGAGGCACACATGGCGCTCTGCACCGCGCTGACCAAAGCGCTTCTCGATGGCGGAGACTCGCTTGCCAGGCATAGCGACGTGCTCATGACATCCATGAAGGCCAGCGGCCAGGATTTTACCTGGGAGGCGATCCGGCAGGTTTTTGCTGTATTTGTTGTTTTCGCTTCTGTCTTGCCGCGTGCACTTGTGCTGTTTGATTTGTCCATTGCCCCTCTGCTATATGCTTGTCTTCTCTCTCCTTTCAGCCACTTCTCCCTTGCCCTTTACAACATCGACAACTGCCCATCCCGGTTACCAGCATCTGAACCCTTTCTAATTTGAATCATTCTTTTTATTTTTATTTTTTCGCATAAACTTGTGTTGCCATTCGCTCCTACCAAAATGCCTGTCAAATGGGACGACAAGGCGATGCTTGACCTGTTTATGGTCGTCCTCTCCGTCACTAGACCATCGCAGTTCTCCCCAGAGCAAAAAGCCGAGATCGTCCAGGAGATGAAGATCCGCGGCTACGATATCGTGTGGAACGGAATACGGTACTGCTTTTTTTACACTGTTCTGTGTTGTCGTGATTTCACTCTGCGTCGTTCTTGTTTTGAACTGCTTTCTTCGAGTACTGATTTGTCCCGTCCGTGCTTTTGACTTCACTACATTGCTCCTATTTATGGAGATCCCTCCCACCTATCTCCGTATCAATTTCAACTTCACTGTCCCTTTTCCCAAACTCCCACCAATCTGCCATCCACCCTCAATCCTGGCGGGATATCACAGCTTGTCTTGAGTTCAGCCTCTTTCAACTGCGCTTACACTTTATCCGAACATCCGCACAACTACAGCCATGTCCAAGTGGGAAGGCACCATGAAAGATGACCTCTTGCAGGCCTTTTTCAGTCATACTACCCCAGATACAGAGCAAAAGCAGAAGATTGTTTCCTATCTTGAGATCAAGGGACACACTATCACATGGGATGCCATACGGTACTTACATTTCATTGATTTTTCCTCACGCTTGCTCCTCCTACACCTATATTATTTTATACTCGCCTGTTGCTCTAAGTCTGTTCCCGGCTTCACTTCGGTCCATCCCATCTTTCAGCTGCCACAGCAACGACAAAAACCATACCCTGTTTCCTGTTTGTTTATTTTCCCATCACGTCCCATCTCACCACACTCCCTTTTCCCTTTCACGCCATCACCTCCGACCATGGCCACCAGATTGCATCGTCAGGACTGGGACGCTCCCGGCCTGTACAAGGACCTTCTAGCCTCTATGGCCATCGCGTGCAAGCCTACGGCTGACACCCTGAAAGAGGTTGTCCAAGATATGAATCTGCGTGGCTACCAGTTCACTTTCCATGGACTAAAGTATTCCTAGTCCTACCCCAATTTCCAGCCTCTGCTTTGTTTACACAATTTCCCGTCTGTTTGTGCTCAAAGTCCGTCTTTTGTTCTTTTCAGCATACCTGCCCCTCTTTCTATTCCTCTATTCCATGAAAATCAATATAAATCCCCGAAAAGCACCCCCCGTCTCATCTTCAATCTTGTCGATCGATCTTTTTCCGGGGCTCGCATGTTCACTCTCACATCCAAATCACCAGTCATATCACCTTTACGTCAACTTGACTTCAACCCCTCTCATCTTCATCACGATGGCAACCAATCGACAGGCATGGGATGGAGATGCTCATCGCGACCTTCTCATAGCCATGGTCGACGTGCTTTCGCCTAGTGGCGAGCAGATCCGCAATATCGTCGAGCGCACCACAACGATGGGCTACACCTATACGCCAAAGGCTGTTGTGTACTCACCCTCTCTTTGTTTCTTTACGTTTCATCTCGTGCTATCCTCCTTACGCGTCTATCTTTCGTGTTCACCTTTTACCATTCTATAGGCCTTTTACTAACGTTTCATTAGCCAGCATTTGCAAAAGCTGAGACGCAGTGCAACCGAGGGCGGTGCATCCACGGCATCCCCAAAGACGCCGAAGCAAAAGGCGCCACGGACGCCCAAGAAGTCAACTGGAAAAACGAGCATCAAAGCTGATCCTAAGAGAAAAGTGGAATTTGAAGATGAGTCCACTGTGGACACCCCATCCAAGAAGCCTCGCTTTTCGCAAGAGATTGAGGATTCCGATGACTTCGAGGTCAAGAAAGAGTATGTTTTAACAAAAATTACGAGATATTTGAGCCAAGACTGACCCTGATCGTGTGCAGAATCGTGGCGGAAGACAATCTAATCGATTTTGGCGAGCCCTGAACCAGTTGTTCAAGCTCAGCTGGTGGCCAGCAGGAGTTTGTTCGGAACCGCAGAATTTGCTATTTGTATGGAATGGAAGATATGAAGTGGGGACCAATTGTTGACAGGAGGGCACTACGATCAGGGAAACGGCAGCTACGGGAAATCATATAACATGATAGTCATAGTGCGTCAACCATAATGAGAACGTTTCTAACACTACAGTCATGGGTCACCTAGCTACATTGTCAGCCAGACTTGTGAGCTTCTCATGGTTCCCCAACTTGAATATATTTTTCTATCACTTCTTGGTCTCTCGTGAAATATTACTATAGTCTATGAGCACCTGTAATATGACGTAAAGTTTTTCATATTCACTACCCAAACGCGTTTTATTTCGTGCCTATGCAGTTCCTTACACTGCTATATAGATGAGAGCCAATCCAGATAAGAGCTATACAGATTGGTTATCTTTCCAGACATAACGAGGCCTTCCAACCACTCTCGTTCGTTTAAAGGCCCCTCTGGAAGAACGCGAGAGCTTTTTTTTCCTCATCAAAGTTCAATATCTACACACAGACCAGCTATGGATCTAAACCCTTCCGACGACACGTCGACTGGAGTTTCCCTCCGGCTTCAGCTCGAAGAGCTAGATAGCTTTCAGCACAGCCGTACAGAGGACCGCCCCTCGGATTTGAGCGTTGCTATAGATCTGTACCGGGACGATGTGGAAACTCGGCTTCAGGAGCTGCGTATAGACACCGATGCTTCAGCCAGACCCTCTGGCCAGCCAAATCTAGTGCCCGGGCTGTCCGGAATGCTCCAAAGCCTGTCGTATGGTGAGCTTTTGCGGTTCGAAGCTGAGAATCTGCCACGGCTGCTCAGAAGCCTACGCATGACGGCAACACAGCTTCGGGCTGACGTTGACCGGCCAGCAACCGATCAAGCACCAAATAGCACCAGCTGCGTCTCGTGTACCGATGATATCAATGTGGATGCCATCCCGGTTTCTTGTGGCCATCGGTACTGCCTCGGATGTCTCCAGAGGCTGTTCGAGCTGGCCACTTCAGATGTATCCCAGTTTCCACCGCAATGTTGTGGCCAGGCCATTACCCTCGATAGTAAGACTCGAACTGCACTCGGCCCAGAAATAATTAACCGGTATCTGGAAAAGAAGTTGGAGTCCGAGACTCCTAACCGCACATACTGCCACGAACCGCAATGCCAGACATTTATTCCACCAGCAGCTGGTAATGACGAGCAGCTTGGCGTAGCCACATGTTCTGTCTGCCACCGGAAAACCTGCACGCGGTGCAAGAAGCCTGCACACGGAAATTCTGCCTGTCCGACTGACCGTGCGGACGAGCAGGTTCTCACTATTGCCCAGGAAGAGCACTGGCAACGTTGCCCATCGTGTCGACGTATTATCGAGCGTAATCAAGGTTGCAACGAAATCAGTAAGTGGTAGACGTATGGAACGATTCGTGGTAATGCTTGTATCAGACTGGCTGACTTGTTCTCTCTCCAAAGCCTGCCGTTGTAGTGCCAGCTTTTGTTACATGTGTGGACTAAAGTGGAGGACGTGTAGCTGTCCACGATGGACTTTGAGTAGCCTCTGATGCTGGGAGACCTGTGAAATCAATGCTGTGTGGTGAGAATGGCGTACTTGTGTACGTAAGATACCTTTTCTTTTTCTTTTTCGACGATAGCATCAACTGTTGTCCTTGGTGCTTGTGATTGTCATTGTGTAGACTATAACCCAGACAAATACGTAGTAACAATCAAAAAGGAAAGGGTGCATCGATCAATATAAAACTAAAATGCACACATCGAGGTGTTTGCATCAGGGTCTCGTCCACAGAGGGATGTGTCCTAATAGAAAAATCAAATATTTGGCTGCAGAGAGCTTTGGTAGCATTCGACTGTGCCCTGCACCACAAAGGGATGACCTGTCCCTTGAAAGCTGCCTGCTGTATTCACTACAAAGAAAGATATTCCCTAATTGCAAGCATAGCACCACGGCCACCAAAAAAAAGTCCAAGCTCACTGGCCTAGGACATTTGCAGCTGCTTTAATTCACTATATGCATGTTGCCACTGTCAGGGGATTCTCTTTCACCCAAACTCGCCGGCACTGCCTCGGCGTCCCTCCCCTAGACTGTTTTGACATAATTACATGCCACCCTGCTATCTCACCGTATCCTCCCATAAAAAAAAAATTAAAAGAGAAAACAAGCTCACCTTTCCATTCTCTTCCATTTCTGCAACTACTGAGGTAGGACAACTTGAGAGAGACGACATCAAATCTTCACAAGAAAAGCTTATACTATCTGTACAATATTTGACTATACTTTTCTTGCAAAAACCAAAGAAAGTATAAACAATGTCTGGCCAAACTGCTCAGGAGCAGGTCAATTTTCTTCTTGCCTGCATCAAGCACAGCCAGTCAGGCGGCAAGGTATGCAATCAATTCGACAGTCTTTGAACACCATATTTTTCGCTCACCCGTTACTCATTTTAGGTCGATTTTGAAGCTGTTGCCACAGAGCTGAAAATTGCAAGCAAAGCTGCAGCGTATGTCGCCGGATTTGTTTTTTCTGTGTTTTCCTCGACAACAAAGAAGTAATCTGCAACTGACAGGTGTCCTTTTTTGTCTCGCTGTAGTGCCAAGAGATATGAACGCCTCAAGAAGCGTGCCCTCTGCACTGATCTTTCGGCTTCTGGGCCAGCTGGTGATCTCGATGGGAACGGTAGTCCGTTCACTACACCTCAAAAGTCTCGCACGAAGTCTGCTCCTGCCACGCCAGGCTCAGCCAAACGCAAGCGGAATGGACAAAGCAACAACACCGATGAAGAGAAGCAGGATTCTGAGGTGAATGTTAAAACCCCTCGTGGTAAAGCCAAAGCAGCAAACCCTACTACTCCCCGCGTGAAGCGTCAACAGGCTCAAAAGGCTGCCGAAGCCATCAAAAAGGAGGCCGAAGCCGAAGACGCAGAGGACATTGCAGAACGCGATGAGCAGCTTGCATATGAAAATTATGAATCGGATGTGGACGAGATTCGTGACGATGTCGTTGCAATCAAGTCGGAGTCCCGAAATATTGTCGTGGATACTGATGGCTTCTAGTCTGACAGGTATCTAATTCTCAACCCCCGACTATCTTTCTCATCTTCTTCCTATCGCGAACATGGTGCCTAATACATTTTTAATTCTAGTCTCTATATTTTCTCGTCGCTGGGAACGAGCGAGCTGACGGCCACGATATTGAATGAACTAGGTTTCCACGTGACATTGTCGACGACAACAGCTTGTACCACACGGAATTGTTCGGGTCTACTATATGTGGCTATTCCTCGTGGTTTCCGCAGACTTTTGAGTTTCTGTCGCGACAATTTCTTCTTACAACAGCGCTGTATGCGATGACACGCGATCCGAGCAGGCAAACTGATAGAGAAGGAGAAGGGGAGGAACACGCTCGATGGGAAACGGTGGTGTCTACAGCAAAATCTATTAGTTTCAGGAGGTGGAACGACTTCAGCATCTCTCCGTAAATAAGGCCGAGACTGAAGCCTCGCTTTTCGTTATTTGCACGTACTGAGTCGGTCATTTAGGCCATGAAGTAGCAGAAGTGCTGAAATTTCAAACATTGAACATATGATGTTTATGGGCCATGCTCAAGTTGCGTAGAGGGTCCTGGGAAGAAGTGTGGGCGCTGATCATTCAGAGCGGCGTAACGATATCACGCTGCAGGAATCCTTGGCTCTGTATAACTCGCCGTCGTCGGAAGCAAGGTTACTCATAAACTGACAAACTCACTGAGAGAGAAGGAACGCGTGCAGAAGATGGACTCAGAAGAGGAAGGAACAATCAAAATACTCTTTCATACGCGTGGCGGATTGTTTCCTCGGCAAGGGACAGAGCTGATTGGCAGGAAGTACCAGCCACCGTACTGACTCAAGAGAGCAAGTTAATGATTAAGGAGAAGACAGGGCCGATTATAAGATGGGCCGTTCGATTTTATGTGTGCAGAGAGCTGACTTGTTGTGGGCGGCGGCCAACAAATAAGGAAAGTGCGGCGAGTTACGGCAAAAAACGACGACAAGTCCTAATAGCCCACAAGTCCGTTGGGGGTGAAACGGCATTTTCTTTTTGACAGTGAGAGACGGTGCAGTTTGTAGAAACTCTGATTTATCCCAAGCCGCAGCTTTTGTCAGGAGTACTTTGATTGTTTTCCTGACCTTTTTTACTCTCCTCTCACTCCGCCTTTGCCCTGACTATAAAAACCGTTCCTCTCCCGCTCCCTCTTTTGCTTTTCATTTCTCTCACTTCTTTTTCAAACACATTCTCTCAACTTCCAGCATTCTGCCCATCTTACCACCTTTCATTCTCACATTCTATCGTGCAATCACATAAAGCTTCCTTCAACCAGTGGCCTCTGGCTTCATCACACTCTACCTACCAATCGCTACCAAGCTATCTGAAAAGATTGTTGTCACCGTGCTCTCAGGTTTTCAATTCTTCGTATCAATTGACTTTCTACACGACCAAGCTTCTAGAAGATCAGGGTTCGTGCAATTTACATTTTGTCTTCACTATCTCCCAGATATATCTACTCTCCTATCCTGTTTCTTTACTACTTCTCCTTTTCTGCTCTTTCTACTTCCTCCTCTTCAAGAAACATCATGGGAGATACCATGGGGACTCTCGTGCAATCATGCTTTGAGAGTTTTTTGTGTAAATGGGTCTTTTGTTTTTTGCTCTCCCCCCTAGCCTCTCATTTTCTTCATGAACTTGGGTTGATTTTGTTTCAAATTGTCAATCGCTTCCACCACAATTTGCCTGCCGTTTTCAATTCTCTGCTGCCTCTTTAAGTTTTGTTCTTTACCAATCGTATGAATATTGATGTTCAGAAGAACCGGAAAATATAAAGAACAGAAGCACAACTAGAACACAGCGACTTGCTTCCAAGACTTCAATTGCATATCGGGGTTCACCTGATTTATACTCTTCGACATTTTCTCCCTTTTTACTTCTCTACACCAACGACACTACCAACCTCTCTTTTTCACACCTATACTCCGTTGAGTTTTATATTTTCGACTACAAAACGCTCCAGACGAAAAGGTATTAGTAAATCATTTGTCCCATCCAATATCCACATATATACACACTCTTTCATACCATATCCTCCCAACTCCATTACACAAATGACAAAGGAGACCCCTCAAAGAAGAAAGCAATTCAATTAAAGACTTTGGCTAACCTGGTGGCAGCATAAAATGGCCAGCTCCAAGCCCACTTCGGCGAAGAAGCCAAATGGTCGGCGCCCGAAAACACCTAGTCCCTCCAAGGCGACAAGGGTTTCCAAGACTCCCAAAGGAAAAATGTCCGAGAAAGCGGCTGCGGCGGTTCTGAGAGCCGCTTCGGCAGAGTTCGAGGACAGCAGCTCGGAGGATTCCATCGAGACTCCTCAGAAGTCGACGCCCTCGAAGAGAAGGAAGGGTAAGAACAGGTCTTCTGATGCTGGCAAGGAAATATCCTCTCCCAAGACGCCTCAAAAGTCCAAGGCGTCGAGGAAGAAGCAGAAGAAGGTATGGCCATTCACTCATGTTCCTGCTCGCATGGACGAGCGCAGCAAGAATGGCCGCCACGAGGGCCGCAACCTCATCGTCTGGACCCGTGAGTACAGCTGAACATTCCGAGAATTTGCGTTGTCGGCTGACTGGCCTGTCATCAAAGGCCCCCGCATGGCTGAGAAGTTTCTTCTCCATCTCCAGTATGAGATTGCCCGTCACAAGATTGACGTGCCTTGGGATTCCATTGCTCATCGCATGCACCCGGGGTCATCGGGCAGCGCGCTGTTGCAGTTCCTCAACCGTCTTCGTGCTGTTCTCATTGCAGAGGGACATCTTATCCCGCCCCCTCTGCCAAAGCCAGGTTCTCGTCAGGTGGTAGACCCGACCATCCGCGGGTATGTTCGCGACGACATGGATGGGCCTGATGCCGTCACCACACGGCCGGTGCCTTTTTCTGAGCCCATGGAAGATCGCAGGTACAATCTCCCTGATGCATTTGAGGCCAACCAGACCAGGGCCTTCCTTGGTTCTGCCCGCAAGAGGGTCACTGTCAAGCAGGACTCTCCCGATCCGGCTGACCTTGATGGCGATGCAGACTACACCCCAGAGGTGCAGTCCTCTGGCCGGCGCCATCTTTCCCGGGCCGCCACGGTGTATGCTGATATCAAATGTGAGGACGATGATGGCTTCATGTCTTCCTATGACATACACCACGGGAAGGGCGATGATGAGGAGGACGAAGACGAGGAGGTCGAAGAGGACGATGAGGAATCGGAATTGTCTGATGTCCACACCTCCGGCGACGATGATGATGATGATGCCGATGCCGATGCCAATGGCAATGCTGGTGGAGCCGAGGAGGCCGCTGATGATGACTCGGACGCATATGCATCTTCGGACGACAACGGTGGTGATTCTGGTGACAGTGCAGACAGCCAGGGGTATGCATTCACGGGCAACTCGCTGGTAAGCTGACAGACCCAGATGAAGTTGATCCTGGCCACTGACAAAATGCCGATTTACAGATGAGTGATCCGTTTCTGTCGACGCCGGTTCACATGAGTGCTTCATCTGGCTCTGTGGCTGGGGCCATGCTCCACCACTCCATGGCTTCTCCTGTGTCCTACATGTCGGCTGATGCCCTTCCTTCATCTGCGCTGTACTATGGAATGGCGACGGAGGCTGCTGGTTACATCCCGCCATTTGATCACGGCATGGTGTCCAGTCCTGCTGTTGTTGACCATTCCTTTGCAGCCCAGGGCGGGATGACCGGCTTTGAGGGGGCCTATGCAAACGATGGCATGGATGGGGAGTATGACCAACTGTTCACGCGTCCGGCGGACAGTTCCCGGTCTGTTTTTACCATGGTGAGTCGAGAGTTATTCAAGGCGAGGCGAGAAAGAATTGTGGCTGACCATGCAGTGAGGGAAAGGACAAACGGCTCTGAAACAACGAAAGGCTCTCTTGATGCATTGAAAGGAGATGTTCGCATTTGATCTCAACACCTTTTCAAATTTCACTCTTCCTTATATTTTGTCATTTTAATTTCTCCGTTTTACTTTGCATTTCTTTCCTACAATTTCCTTTTCCTTTTCCTTTTTCGATTTATTTTGATATTTTATTTCGCTCCCATCTCTGTCATTTTCTCCTTTCACGGGCTTCTCGCTTAGTTTCACAAAAGTTCCTACGCGTCCTTTGCAAAGCCCTCACGTTAGAACAGGCAAGACAAGAACGGGTGGTTGAACGGAACAAGTGCTCACTGATTGACGAGTGTCAATGGCCCTGACGGTGGAACAGCGGTTTGCAATCTCGGATTTGTTCGCTCTAGTGAGCTCGACAACAAGTGTTTGTTTTATTTCGGGTTTCAAATGGCGAGGTTGACAGATGCAGGAGGACATTGACTGTATAATGTTGCTTCCTAGACTATGCACAAGTATAGATAATGAATCGGGCTCTCGTCTTAAACACATTCGTGCACCTGTGGCTTGCTTATGCAGTCCGGAGACAGTCCAAGTCGAGGATAGAAAAGTACTCATCTGTACGCATTCTCCAGTGGCTGGATGACAAAACTAGGGCGAAGGGGCAGGAGCGACCTACTGGCGACAGGCCATAGTTTTCCCGGGTCTAGAAAGTTCTGTCGTCAAGTTTCTTGATAGTACAAGAACAGATATTGCGTTCGTGTGATCGGAGGCGATCCTATTCGAGAAGCCGCGAGAAAGAGACGTGCATTCTTGGTCGTCTTATATAATCGGTCACAAGCAGACTGACGACGGAGCAGAGTTCCGGCTCGCGGCAGGGGTCAGCCATGAAGCCTCCGTGTTCTCGTCGTTCCCGCTATGCATGCAGCCGAAGCTCCGGCGGACCAGCCGGGCAAAGGCAGCGGTGGTGCCGATGAGGGACTTTGCGCCCTGGAGCGCGACGGTCTGCAGCTGCAGCTGGAGAGCCAGGACGGCGGCGTGCAGGCAGCCAATCTTGGCGTAGGCGTGCATGTCATAGAAGCAGAGCTGGGCGCTGAGACAGAGGGTGAAGCCGGGATACAAGGGGATGAGGGTGGTGTAGGTGGCGGCGGCAACAGAGTCCATCTGCTTCCACAAGGCAGCCGAAAGGATCTCCAGCAGACCGTTCAGCTGCAGGGCCTCGTGATGGAAGGCGTCGTAGTCGACACGGGCGTCGATGTGCGAAGGATGAGAAGTCGTGAGAGGAAGAAGCGTAGGAGCTTCCTCAGACGGATACTGGAACCGGCGTCAGGCCCGGCAGCAGAGCTCAAGCGTGGACCGCTCACGCGTGCATCTGCGCTTCTGGCGGCAACAAGTCGAGGAGGCCAGTCGAGCAAGGTTGATTGAAGTAGTCATTCGGAGGATGAAAGGAGGGGTGAAAGACTAAAAATATATTGAACAAAAAAGGATCCATGTCTACACCAGTCCACACCATCCCACCCCGATAATGACCGCAAGTACAGTCCGAGCTGAAGCGCACATCGTGGTTGATGCTCGGTGGGGCGACGTATTAGTGAAGTTGCAAGGCTGTGTTTGCTTGCAGCTGCTGACAAGGATGTGATTGGCAGAAACAGATTCCCGGTCATTTTGCTCCCAACTGTTACGTCACGTGCTGCGGACAGTTGCGGACGCTAGCGGAAACAATGCACATCACCGTGCAGAAGAATCGTGCGGGATCGTCTGCTGTTGGCGGACAGCCATGGACATCTGGTGTAAGCCAATGGATGGTATCTAAGAGGGGAGTCTGGGATCTGTTTGGACTTTCAAAAGGACACCCTTCTACATGGACGGTCTGAAAACACAGGTGGAGTAGCATCAGACTGTTATCACGGACACAGGCAGCAGTTTGCAACTTTGAAGTTCCAGGTGTCGTGACCCTTTCTTGTTTTTTGCTTCTTTCTTGTTCTTTCTTGCCTCTTTCTTGTCTTTTTCTTGTCTCTTTTTCTTTTCTTTCCTTCTCCTTCTCCTTTTCCTCCTTCTCCAATGACAACCAGACCATCTAACTTACCTACTAGCTGCTGACTCACCACCTGCTTCCTGCTACAGTGTCGTATCATCAACTTCTCCTCGACCGGCCACATCCGGCGTCGTCAACGATGGCCTGCTCGTCGACGCCAATCAGTCTTGGCCGTCACCAGGGGTGCGTATACGATTACATAAGCAATACATTTTAGCGTTACCCCTCCTCCCCGTAGAAGTGCATAGAATGTATGGTCGTTTGGAGAAGATGCTGGTGCCGGAGCAGCTAGTCCCAGTGAAGCTTAGCTGCTCCGAGACGTCCAATTATTATGCCCGAGGTGCTATTTTTTTTCTTCTTGATGAGCAGCTTCTCCAGAATTTTGTGCTCCTTCTCTCTTCCGCCTCTTCCACTTCTGCGTCGTCCCCGTCTGCAAAGTTTGCGTGCGTTGACTGTCTGCCTCTGTCTATCGACACTGCTGTCCCTGTCGCTTCACATCTCCGTCCCGTCCTCCTCCCCCACACAATGCAGAGAGCCCTGACTTCCCGGGCAAGAGCCTCGGCTCTGTCGAGTGCGGCCAGCCTCCGGCCGTCGACCAGCCTGTCGATGCAGCAGCGCCGGTTTGCCCACAAGGAGCTCAAGTTCGGCGTCGAGGCCCGCGCGGCCCTGCTGGCCGGTGTCGAGACGCTGGCCAAGGCCGTAGCCACGACGCTCGGCCCCAAGGGCCGCAACGTCCTGATCGAGTCCAGCTTTGGCTCACCGAAGATTACCAAGGGTGCGTATGCTGCTGCGAATGGCGTGTGGAGTACAGAACACGTGCTGACTGTGCAGACGGCGTGACGGTGGCCCGGAGCATCACGCTCAAGGACAAGTTTGAGAATCTCGGCGCACGGCTGATTCAAGACGTCGCCTCCAAGACCAACGAGGTAGCCGGTGACGGGACCACGACGGCGACGGTGCTCGCCCGCAGCATCTTCTCGGAGACGGTCAAGAACGTGGCAGCCGGCTGCAACCCGATGGACCTGCGGCGCGGCATCCAGGCGGCCGTCGAGGCGGTGGTGGAGTACCTGCAGAAGCAGAAGCGCGACATCACGACCAGTGCCGAGATTGCGCAGGTGGCAACGATCAGCGCCAACGGCGACACGCACATTGGCGAGCTGATCGCCAGCGCGATGGAAAAGGTAGGCAAGGAGGGCGTGATCACGGTCAAGGAGGGCAAGACGGTGGCCGACGAGCTCGAGGTGACCGAGGGCATGCGGTTTGACCGCGGCTTCGTGTCGCCGTACTTCATCACGGATGCCAAGTCGCAAAAGGTCGAGTTCGAGAAGCCGCTGCTGCTGCTGTCGGAGAAGAAGATTTCGGCGGTGCAGGACATCATCCCGGCGCTGGAGATCTCGACACAGCAGCGGCGGCCGCTGGTGATCATCGCCGAGGACATTGACGGCGAGGCGCTGGCGGTGTGCATTCTCAACAAGCTGCGCGGCCAGCTGCAGGTGGCGGCCGTCAAGGCGCCCGGCTTCGGCGACAACCGCAAGTCGATCCTGGGCGACATTGCCATTCTCAGCAACGGCACCGTCTTCAGCGAGGAGCTGGACGTGAAGCTGGAAAAGGCCACGGCCGACCTGCTCGGCTCGGTCGGCTCCATCACCATCACGAAGGAGGACACGATCATGCTGAACGGCGAGGGTTCCAAGGACTCGATTGCACAGCGCTGCGAGCAGATCCGCGGCGTGATCAACGACCCGATCACGACCGACTACGAGAAGGAGAAGCTGCAGGAGCGGCTGGCGAAGCTGTCGGGCGGCGTGGCCGTCATCAAGGTCGGTGGCAGCTCCGAGGTCGAGGTGGGCGAGAAGAAGGACCGATTTGTGGACGCGCTCAACGCGACGCGCGCGGCCGTCGAGGAGGGCATTCTGCCGGGCGGCGGCACGGCCCTGATCAAGGCAGCGTCGCAGGCGCTCAACGACCTCAAGCCGGCCAACTTTGACCAGCAGCTGGGCGTGACGATTGTGCGCAACGCCATCACGCGGCCGGCCCGGACGATTATCGAGAACGCCGGGCTCGAGGGTTCTGTTATTGTCGGCAAGCTCATGGACGAGTACGGCACCGACTTCAACAAGGGCTTTGACAGCGCCAAGGGCGAGTATGTCGACATGATCGCGGCCGGCATCCTCGACCCCTTCAAGGTCGTGCGTACCGGCCTGGCCGATGCCAGCGGCGTCGCGTCGCTGCTCGGCACCAGCGAGGTCGCCATCGTCGACGCTCCCGAGGACAAGGGCCCGGCCATGCCCGGCGGCATGGGTGGCATGGGTGGCATGGGCGGCATGGGCGGCATGATGTGAGGGCGCACGGGCGGCGAACCCACCGAAATGAACTTATGTGTTGGCGCTTTGACGGGTGTACGACCCCCCTCCTCGGTGCCTGGGATACAAAAAAAAACTCATACAAGGGAGAGGCAGGCGAGAGAGCGCATCGATCTGTCTGGCTTTGGCGTTTCGACCGGCGGGATGGGCATGACCTTTCCTATCTGATTTTCACTTATCACCGTGTTTCCATGTCTGTTTATAGTAATCTCCTCTCTAGAACACCGGCCTTTGGGGCGTTCTCTTGCTGTCCGGATGCGTGGTGGGTGTCGTGTGTCGTGTGAGGCCGTGTCGGCAGCGTCTGTGCCAGGCAGGGCGCCCTGCTCGGGCTTTGTCGGTCTCTTACAGCGAGGTGCATCACCGGATCGCAGCCGAGGCCCGACTTGGCCTGACAGCCGGGCAGGCAGAACCCAGGACTGGCGGAGCGCGGCCGTCATGGCGCCATGGTGATATCATCGCAGCCTAATCGTGGAGCGCGGCTGCCCAAGTGCGTGTCGTAGTCGGGAGGCGAAGTCGAGGAATATAAGTATCTTGGGATACGGAGTATCGCCAGAGGCTGCTTGCCGTCGCGACATAAACGGGCTCCGTTTTGAACCGTTTCCCCCTCTTATCTCGTTATCAGACCGTTGCAGAACTGAAACAGTGCGCAAAACAGTCCACCACACTCCACACGGAGTACAAACCCTCTGCTCTCCATCGCCCAGGCAACCCCACATCAAGTAGCTCGCACAACCGGCCCCTCCTCTGTAAGTCCCTCTTTCTCTCTCGCTCCCAAGGGTTCCCCCCCTCTGTCCCTCCTTCATCAGCGCTGAGACAGGGTCTCTCTCCCCCCACCATAAACGCCAACCGCTACCCGCCACTGACAAACGGCAAAAGCCACACTATTCCACCACCTCCACTGCTCTTCTCATCCCCCTCCTCCGCTCTCCTTCTCCCCTTTCTCAAAACCAAGTTTTTCTGCTCTTGTTCCATCTCTCCCCCCCCCTTCCATCACTCCTGCAAATCCATTCTCTGCGCCACAAGGACTTTGTCTTTTTTCCTCTCCTCAACAAGCAACGTCTGGTAGGTCAGGTCCTGTCTCCCGACTTCTTCTCCCTCACAGCTGTTCTTCCGGTCGGCTGTCCCGCTTCACCTCTCCTCCGTCAGCCTGCTCTCACCACCTGTCCTCACCATGCCGATATCTCTCTCGGGACCATCTCGCAGATGACCCGGACGGAACGGAACAGGGACAGGAGGCTGTCGTCGGGAATCTGCAGCTCGGCTCATCATGCGCTCCGTCTTTCTTCTGCTTCCGCTCTCCCCGCCACTCGCCCCCCCTGACGAGTCTCTCGCTTCGCTCGGCTGACATGTGGCGATTGTTATAGACCGCTCCTAGTACCTCGTGCTCTTCCCGTCTAATCTCTTCTCACAATGGTACGTCCGTGATCGCATGCTCCCAAGCCCCCCCCCTCTTCTGGTGAAGCTCCGATGTTCATCATGCTGACCGTGTTGTAGTCTCAATCCGGGTAAGCTCTGTTCAATCGCCGGTGGCTGTCGTTGTTGGTGGGGCTAACATTGGGCCCAGAGCAACGGTCTCGCAGGAGTGCGTGAGCGCGTACAACGAGCTCAAGCTCAACAAGAAGTACAAGTACATTGTCTTCAAGCTGTCGGACGACCACAGGGAGATTGTCATTGAGGAGGCGTCGGGCGAGAAGGACTGGGAAGTCTTCCGCGAGAAGCTCGTGAACGCGACCACCAAGGTCCGGGGGGTTAGTTTTTGTCCCTTTTGCCTGTGCACCCGCTCTTTCCATTGTCTAACACCTCTAGGGCAACGTCGGCAAGGGTCCCAGATACGCTGTGTACGACTTTGAGTACAGCCTGTCTTCCGGTGAGGGTGTGCGGAACAAGCTGACCTTCCTCGCCTGGTCGCCCGATGATGCCCCGATCATGGCCAAAATGGTGTACGCCTCGTCCAAGGACGCGTTGAAGCGGGCTCTGACCGGCCTCGCCGTCGAGCTCCAGGCAAACGACACGGACGACATTGAGTACGACACGGTGCTGAAAACCGTCAGCAAGGGTCTGGCTTAAGCCGGCTGGCCGGGTCACCGACAAGACAGAAAGCCACAGCCCGTCGCACGCACATGACATGAATCACGCATTTCACGCAGGCGTGGGCCGCAAGATGCTCAAGGAAGATGAAAACCAGAAAAACAAAAAAACAAAAGCCGAATGCCGCTCGGCAAACACGAACACAACACACACGACATCTCACGGGAGGAGGGGAGAAGGCAGGCACGCGTCTAAGAAGGTGGCGGCGAGCGGGATGATGGTTTCTTTAAAAAGACTCGAATTGGAACGGGTGGTGTCGAGGATTGAGGAAGACCTTTTAGAGTAGCAGCAGCAGCAGCGACAGCAGCAGCAGGCGGTAAAGCAGGTTGAGCAACGAGCTGGAAAAGGCCCCCCTGGCGAAGTAAAGGGGAGGATGACATTTTATATATATTGCAGCTACTTACCCTTTTTTTTCTTCTCTCCGTCTCCCGTCTCTTGTCTCTTGACTCTCGACTCCACTTTCTCATCTACGTCTCTATTTATTTATCGCTTGTGCACAGCGCAATAAGAGTGAGGACAGTCTTGTCCGAGGTGTGTTTGAATAGACGTTTTATTTCTTATGGACTGCTCGCGACCACTATCGAGCGAACCGCCTCTGATCGTATCCTCATACGGACGGTCTCTCGTCCCAGGCGCGCAAGAAGGAGCTGAAGAGCTCATCGGCCAGCTTGTCGTCGTTGATGCGGGCGACCAAAAATGCGCGCAAGTCAGACCAGAAGGCCTCGCTTTCGACGACGGCCTGGCCAGAAGGGGGCGGAGCAGCCGCAGCGACGGCCACGGGTGGTGGTGCAGCTGCGGGCGGCGGTGCAGCAGTCTTTGTCTCCTCTTCGGCTTCCTGGGTGGCAGCGGCAACGGTGGCAGCACCACCGACGACCATGAGGCCGAGCTCGAGTGTCGTGGCCGAGGCGCTGGCCGCGGGGCCGATCAGGTCCTTGAGCACCTTTGTGTCGGCGACAGGCTTCTTGCCAAACAGCAGCTTCAGCTTGGCGATGGGCACGTGCGTCTTGGTGGCTAGCTGTTGGCGCAGGTCGAGCAGCGATGTGGTGGCGAGTGGCAGGGCGCCGAGCTGCAGGTCGAGGGGCGGGCTGCGGTGCAGCGACTTGACGGAGACGACGACGCAGCGCTCCTGGCCGGGCGGAAGTCGGGTCTCGGACGTCTTCTTCATCGGCTTGGCCATGCGGGGGAGGATGTACTGGGGGAGTTAGTGGGGGGGAGAGAGGAGGAGAGAGGAGGGGGGAAAGAGGAGAGGAGAGGAGGAGGGGAGAGGAAGAACTGACTGGTGGCCGGGCTGGGTAGCCCTTTGCATCCTCCATGTAGTCGGCCGACAGCTTCAACGGCAAGCCGTCGAGGGAGCCCAGAAACGAGCGAACAAACTGTAGTTCGGACATGGCGGACGGCGAAGATGTCGACGGTGATCGTGACGGAGAGAATTGGTCGACTTGGATGCGATGGGCTAAGAGAGATTGGTGGGGCAAGGCGGTCCTGCGCATTGTGGCTGAAGCAGACTGTGGCTTAAAAGTGTGATTACGGAGTATGCTATCGCTTATCGGGTGCTTATCGGAACCAAAAAAAAGTTAGGTTCCACTTTATCTCTGCTCTTTTTTTTTCTTACAGCATCGCTGTCGAGCACTTTTCTCTCGTTTTTCCCAGCCCGTTTCCGTCGCCTGTACAAGCAAGAAATCAAGGAAGCAGACCAGCCGGATTATACAATGGGTGTCGGACGGCGCATGGGAAAGAAGCAGGGTGCTCCCGAACCCCTGTCGGAGGAGCACTTTGCGAAGCTGAAGAGAAAGGCCGGTCTGCCAGTGGACACTCCCTCGCAGGATGACGGGCCGTTGTCGAAGCGTCGGCGAGGCAACAAGGGCGAGAAGGTTGAGAAGAAGGCAGCAGCAGCAGCTCCAGTGGCTAAGGCAGCAAGTGGCCGGAAGGCCAAGAAGGCAGCGTCGCCACCACCGGTGTCGAGCTCAGACTCGGATTCAGAGATGGAGTCGAACGAGTCTGGAGCAGAGATGGGCGGACGTCAGCCGATGCCGGGGTTTGGAGACAGCGACGACGACTCGGACGTGTTCGATTCGGACGCGGAGCAGGAAGGCAAAGGGGGGGCGTTTGTGTTCTCGGACGACGAGGACGACTCGGAAGTGGAAGAGCGGCTGACAGCAGCCAACATTGAGGGTCTGTCGCGCAAGCTGGACCAGAAGCAGGCACGCGAGGCGGCCGAGGCCGAGGCTGAGCTGCGAGACAGCGCGCTGCAGACGAACATTGGAGGTCTGGGCGGATCCGAGGACGGGTCCGAGGCCGATTCCGATGCAGAGGAGGACGACGGGCCAGCAGGCGCCAAGCGGCCCAAGTCGCAGCTGGCGCCAGACCTGCAGCTGCTGCGCAACCGGATCGGCGAGACGATCCAGGCGCTAGAGGACTTTGGACGACTGGGCGACAAGGCACGGCCGCGTGCCGACTACGTGGCGCAGCTGGTCCGGGACATGTGTTCGTACTACGGCTACTCCGAGTACCTGGCCGACAAGCTGTTCCGGCTCTTCCCGCCGCGCGAGGCGTTTGCCTTTTTCGAGGCCAACGAGACACCGCGGCCAGTTGTCCTGCGGACGAACACGCTCAAGACACACAGGCGCGAGCTGGCCCAGGCGCTCATCAACCGCGGCGTCACGCTCGAGCCGGTCGGCCGCTGGTCCAAGGTCGGGCTGCAGGTGTTTGAGAGCAACGTGCCGCTCGGCGCCACGCCCGAATACCTGGCCGGCCACTACATCTTGCAGGCGGCCTCGTCCTTTCTGCCCGTCATGGCACTCGCACCCCAGGAACACGAACGCGTGCTCGACATGGCCGCTGCGCCCGGCGGCAAGACCACCCACATGGCCGCGCTCATGAAGAACACCGGCGTCGTCTTTGCCAATGACCCCAGCAAGGCCCGGTCCAAGGGTCTCATCGGCAACATTCACCGTCTTGGCGCCCGCAACGTCATCGTCTGCAACTACGACGCCCGCGACTTTCCCCGCGTCATCGGCGGCTTCGACCGCGTCCTGCTCGACGCTCCCTGCTCCGGTACGGGCGTCATCGCCAAGGACCCCAGCGTCAAGACCAACAAGACCGAAAAGGACTTTATGCAGCTGCCCCATGTCCAGAAACAGCTGCTGCTGGCGGCCATCGACTCCGTCAACCATGCCAGCAAGACGGGCGGATATCTGGTCTATTCCACCTGGTCAGTCTCTCTTCCCTTCCCCTTTTTTTTCCCTCTCTCCTCTCCCTAACATCACAGCTCCGTCACGGTCGAGGAGAACGAGGCCGTCGTGGCCTACGCCCTCAAGCGGCGCCCCAACGTCCGCCTCGTCGAGACCGGCCTGCCCTTTGGCAAGGAGGGCTTCACCAGCATCATGGGCAAGACCTTTGATCCCACCCTCAAGATGACCCGCCGCTTTTATCCCCATCATCAGAACGTCGACGGCTTCTTTGTCGCCAAGCTGCAAAAGTTTGCTCCCACCCCGGCCAACGCTGTGCGCGCCGAAGGATCCAGTGCTTCACGTTCCCAGACCGCCGAGACTGCTGACCATGCCGGCAACACTGACAACGACAACGACAACGCCCCCATCGCCGTCACCGACGACAGCGACGCCGCCACCGACAAGGACGACGGCGCTGACTTTGGCGGCTTCGACGACGACGAGGACGCCAAGTACATGGAGCGCGCCCGCAAAAACGCCATGCGCCGTCGCGGACTCGACCCCCACATGCTGCACCGCAAGCCCGCCAGCAAGGACGAGGACAAGACCGTTGCCCTCGATGCTTCCCAGCCTGATGCCTCTCCTGCAGATACTCCGACTGCTGCACCTTCTACTCCGGCGGCTGCTCCGACCACTGCTCCGTCCAAGAACGGACGCGCAAAAACACAAAAAGCACAGGGCAAGAAGGCCGACAGGAAAAAGTGATGGAACGTATTATAGACGCTATATAGCTTGATTGTAATTCCCATTCGGCGTTTGTCCCTGATTTCACCCTTCGCCTATTACTAAGCATTGTCTCTGTGTCTTACTCATGTATGACTAATCACAGTCTTGCTTCATTATCCTACGCACTCTATAGTATATAAGCAAAACCACATACAGCTCCTCTCTCCATTACAAAAATATTAGGCCAAGACGACAAGACCAAGATAACAAGGCTTGCAAATCCATCATGCAGGCCACATCAAAATCTCATAAACAAAATCATAATATCCGTCACGTCATAAACAGGCCCAGAAAAGCAACGTCCGCCAAAATCCCCCACAACCAAAGCCCCAACCGGGCCTCGATTTGTCTGATTTCAGCCCTCCCAAGCCCGGCCCGCGTGTCCTCCCCTCTCCTTCATACAGTCGGTGGTTTCTGATGTTGTACATATAGTATCAAAAGGAAAAAGGGAAAAGAAAAAAGGGGGTATGCGAATCAAGGAAATAAACAGATCCAGATTAAAGCTGTAGTCCCAAACACGCTTGCAGCCGAAGCGAAAATGTAGAATAGGAGGCGTCAATCATGCTGTTGGTGGTGAGCGTATGTCGTGTTGAATCGTTATGCCGCATCAGACTGCTCCTCAGATCGGATGAGTCACCATCTCGCGGAGAAGCCAGCGCCATGTGCTCTGGTCCCGCTCTTCCAAGGTCATCCATCTCTCGCACTTCTTCCTCCACCGTTGTTCTTCCTCCCGCTGGCGCCGGACAAACTCGGGGCCCACGTCGAACTCTTCTCCCACGAGCCAGTCATCCTTAATTTCGCTCGAACGTCCACCGCCTGCTTCTGTCGTGTCTGCCATGTCCTCCAGGTCCGGGATGTCTTTGAAAACGTCTTCGTCGCTATCGATGCCGTTGAACCCATCCATCACGTCATCGGCCTCTGCCTTGGCGTTCTGCGGCCCCAACTTCAGCCAGCACATGTTCTGCGGGTCGAAAACCATCCCTCCAACCACTTGCACCCCTTTTGTAGCCCCGATAGGCGTGATAAGCGCAGGTCGGGGTGTCGCGCTCTCCCTCTCCCGGTGCAGGTACGGAGCAATAGACGCCGTAGACGGCGATGATGCCGGCGGATCGAAATCCGTAAGCGCATTCTCATTGCCCTCCCACCGCATGTTAGCCGGGTTGTAGTACATCCCGTTGACCGCTGTACATGTACGTTAGCATCGGACATTCTTCAAGAGATACGAGGCACACCGCAATTGCTTACTCTTCGACTCCTTCCCCCCACCTAGGTTGGAGATCAGGTGAGGCTTCAGCTGCGGCGGTCGGCGTGTCGACTTCTTGGACCGCACCGTGTCGCGCGGAATAGCTGGAGCGCCATAGTTGCTGCGTGTTGACAGCTGAGCCACTCTCTGCGCCGTCAGCGGCGCCAACGGCCCGGATGGCGTGCGTTGAGCAAGAGACGTCTCTCGAGCGATCCGGCTCGCCGCCGTGTCGCGTGCAAAATGCGGCAAATTATCGAGTCTGGCCGCCGAACACAGCCCCGACGGCGATGGCGTGACGGTGCGATCCGGAAGAATATTTTGGTACATCTTGCTGCGCAGCTGCGACTTCGCCGACAAGGACGACATCGGCTGCCGCAGAAACGTTTCCTCCACCTGTACCGACGTCGGCAAGTCATCGAAACCGTCCAGTTCATGGCCGTCGCCAAACTGCCGCATTCGCCGAGGCTTGCTAAGCTGCTGCCACGACCTGTCCTGTGTGATCTTGTCCACGGTATAACGGTGCCGCCTTGCCGGACTTGGGGAACGCATCGTCGACCGGGACACCGCTCGCGAGCTAGGAGGGATCTCAATCGATGGTTCCGAATCCTGACGGCGAAATACGCGCGAGTTCTTCGCAGTGACGTGATGAGACTGCGACTGAGAGGCCCCGGCTGGCAGAAACGGCAGTGGGTTCTTCCTCGCCTGCGCTGTGGCACTCTCCTGGCCAACACGCGTCCTCTCGACAGGAGTCTTCGGCCTTGCAGGCAACTGCCCACGGCTGCCCGACTCAGACCTTGAGGGTGGCCGATCATATCCTCGGGTTACTGGTCGTGTAGCGGGCGGGAGCTGTCGGATGGCCGGCAGTGACCGCTTCAGGCGTAGAAGTTGAGCATTGGTTGTCGTGGGCTCATTCCGCAAGGAGACGGCCGACATCTTGTGGTTGCCTGCTTCTCTCCGACGAGGAGTCGAGGGCGGTGGCATGGACTGGGCCGTAGACGGAGTCGTGGGGGTAGGGATGCTGGACAAGGATGACTGGGCTGAATGCCCGGCACGCGACTGAGAACGCCGTGCCATGTTGTAGATCGGACCGCCGCTTTCCGACACGGGCTCCAAGGATGGTGCCGTTTGTGTCCGTTCATGGCCACTCATAGGCCTGGGCAACCGAGACAGTGACGGGGTTTGCTTGAACGTGATGGAAACCGCAGCCTTCGGACGGACCGGGCTTGTCGCCCGAGCAGACTTGATGCGGACATTGCGGTGATATGTCAATCGATTGGCATCAAACACATCGCGGTCACCAAGATCAAAACCATCCAGCACGTCTTCCTCCGGAAGCGATTGATGCTGCTGGTGGTGCTTGGTGTAAAATCCTTGTGTCGGGCCCGTTGTTGCTGCTTGCTGCGGCTGCTTTTGCTGTGCTTGCGCTGAGGGTTGCCACTGCCCCTTGGTCTGGGTTGCATGGATATCCTCTGACTGTGTTGGCCGGTGCGGCGACCGGCTGGTGCGTCTCTTCTTCAGTCTCTCTTCAAAGTCGACTGTGCCGGTAGGAAGTACAATGCCGTCAAACGTGTCGTCCTCGCCTTCGCTCTCGGCCGTGATAGAGCTTGACACGCTCGGGCTCAGGGCAGACACAGAGGAGCTGCGGTTGGAGAGCCCATCGCGACGGGTGCCACCGTGCCGGGTGCCCAGACTGCCTTCGCCCCATTCAAACTCATCCAATGTGCTGAGGAGAGGCGTTCTGGGAATGTCTTTGCGCTTGGTCAGCGTGAGCTTACCGTCGGATGGCAACTCGAGATCGTGTTCGAAATCGTCATCGGCCGCATCGTTCCTCTGGGGTGTGGGCGGTGTGATCAATGATATCGGCTTTGGTATCTGTCGATGCTTGGACACTCTGATGGTGGAACCACCGTCAAAAAAGTCATCCTCGTCGTCCGTGTCGCGGAAGATGTCTAGGTTGACAGAACCAAGTTGGGCATCCGACTGCCTTCTAGCGACAACAACTGGCTCTTGGTGAAGAAGGCCCTCCATGGAAACAGCCTTGGTTGATCTCGTCGGGCTTGTCGGGCTAGAGCTGCCACCGACTTGCTGAAGTGCATCGGGAAAATTGGAGCCGTCTTGTGGCTTCACTCGAAGCGGTTGTGGGTCATCTGGTAGTTCCAGATCGTCTCCCCAATCTTCCTCAAAGATCTTTCTGATTTTTTGGCCCCCTAGCCTTTTGATAGTGCCACCCATCAGGGCTGATGGTGGGACGTTTGTGGGCAGAGGAATGCCTGCACTGGCGGCCAAAGCAATGGCATCTGACGTGGACTTTTCGTCGTCCCCTGGAACGAGTACCTGCTGCTCATCCTCGGCATGAATAGACTCAAAATCAGAGCGGAAAGAAGAGAGCGAGTCACGGCGGCTGCCTGTATTTTGTGCAGCTGTCGAGCCGCTCCGAAATGTGATATCATCGCCATCAATCATGAAATCGTCATCGTCCCAGTTTTCCACCACATCCTCGACCGGTTGCCGTGGTTTGAGCCGTAATGTTTCCATGGTTGGGCTGGCTTATTGTTAGTTGTTATTATGGGGTCTGTCGTCCTATAAAGCGGGTTCATCAACGACGTCGCATGCGAAAATAAGCGGAGCCGCTGGGTCCCCTGGCGCACGAAATGTACTCCGTAGCACGAATGAAGCTCTAGGCGATGTTGTTCAGGAAACCGGGTTTAATGGGGTGGATTCATGTCGATAACAACAAATGAAACAAGGCAAAATCGAGGCGTCAATGGGAAAAGCCGGCGTGCAGCGAAGCCAAGGCTGTCTGAAAAACAAACGTTTGTTCAGAGGAAAACCGGGCTGTAGATTGTTCGACCGCGGAAACCGTATTACAAAGACTGAATGTAGAAGAGCTTGGGGTGTCGCAGCAGATGGGAGAGGAGTAGTGGTCGCGCAGTCTGTCTCTCCGTTCTAGGCCGATTTTCAAATCCAAAGACAGAGAAGATTAGTGTTGGTAGCAAACGAAGTGCTGTTCCTAGGACATGTCGGTATCTTTTTTATGCTTCTTCGAAAGCTGCTGTGGTCGGCTGTAGGCGTCGTCGGTGTCTGTTGCTCCTGTCGTGGTGTCGTTGTTGTCGAAATGGGGGGTCGTGGTGTCGGTTCGCGACAGAGGAACGAACGGGACGGGCGGATCTGGTTGACAAATGAAAGAAAGTAAAATCAAAGACAAGAAAGAAAACGGTTGAAAGGAGAACAGCTGGGGTGTACGAGCATGCGATTATGCAATCTGGGGGTAATTTTTCCAAGAACGCTTCCAGGTGGGTGAAGAGGCTTGAGAATGTCGAAAGGCATGTTGTTTGGGAAGGAAAGCAGAGAGGTTGGGGCAGGCGCCAGCCAACCACTCAGAGCCAGCTGCAGGCAGGTACGCACTACTGCTGTTGGAGGGTGAAAAAATAAAACGGGTGGTGGTGGTAGTGGGCCGCATTGCTTGTGGTGTGCTGTACGGAGTACTATGTACGGAGCACTGCAGCCATGCAGCAAGAATCTTAAGTGCTCGCCGTGGCCGGGTGGCTGGACAATGGCTGTCCCTGGCCCGTGCATAGGCAAGCGTGCAGGGGAAAATCGCGCTGAAAGGCCACCGATCAGGTGCATACCACCACATGGCGTCAAACAGTGGAGATGCACGGGCCACCTAATGTGTATTTGGCCAGATTGGCTGCACTCTTCCCCGACCACAACATTGGTTCTTGGCACGCGTCGGCCACACGAAACCGACGCGCCACTCCGTTGCTGGCTGTGCTGCTTTTGTTCCCCTTTCCTGTTTTTGCACGTTTGCACGGGGCATGAACAATGCCGCTCGGCCTACGGAGTACTCCGTACGATATAATACAATATAATACGAGACATCCTGCAGGTACCTTTACGAGTCTTTCAGCCGGCCGTGTAGATCTCTTACTATATACGCTGGAATGCTTCCGTCTGTGTCTGAAGGTCCATCTGGCGAGCCCACAGTTTATACTACTCTGCACTGCTGCCTAAACAGGCGCTACAGAAATTCTTCAGAAGGGCCGTTCTTTGTCGTGCCTTCCACAAACGAGCTGTTCTTGCCGATCGCTACTCGTGCTTACTCATCTCTCCCAAGCTCCCAAGCTTACACAAGCACATCCATGCTCACTCATCTTCACCTAATGTCATCGTTTCATCCTCGAGCAACATTGGCCAACGTCCAGGGGCTTGCGACCGCAAACTCTGTGTCTGCTCGTGCTAGTTCCCCATCTCGCGTCGTCCTCTAGGCTGTGGCTTGCGTCATCGCTGCGTACATTAGTTCCGAACTGTGACCCCAGACCTCCATGTCCCTTTGTGCCGGTCGACAAGTACATAGCTCGGCATCGCCATTCACAAGATCCGCACCTCCTTCCAATTTCTGACGCTGTGTCAAACGCCCGCTATGGCCGAAGAGTCACCCCATGTGGTGAGGATTCCCCGCTCTGACGAGGAAGGGTCCTTTGTCCTCGTCCGCGTGTCGCCAACCATCCCCAGCTCAGGGCCGTTTGATGTGAAATTGGCGGCGACCGAGGGCGTGGCTCCATATGTTTTAACGCGTAAGTTTTGGCCGTCTTTGGGTGGGCCCCTGCCTTGTTTACTCTGGAACGGGTAGCAGGTATATTTGTTCTGACTCTCAACACCAGTGCGGCACAGTCGAATCGACAAGTTGCGGGTGAAGACCGCGCCATGTACCGCCGCCGAGTGGGAGCAATCGCTCGCATCTGTCCTGCTAGACCAGGGACCGTTCGCCAATGTGGATGCGACGGCCACGGTCGAGGAAGAGTCTACGCTGACAATAATGATCCGGAGACGGATCGAGAACATTACAGTACGCCGCTTGGATTCGCGCTCTCGTTTGTGTTTATGCTGACACTTGTCTCTAGCAACGCCTCGGCACGTTGTCTCTGGCATACAACGGGGATGAGGACATTGAGCTGTATGAATGGTGCGGAGAGATAGTTCGCAGCAGGGCTCAGGCCCAGCAGCTGCTGGCCGAGACCATAGCAGAGCGAGACAAGCTGGAAAAGTCGGTAGATGAGCTCCGCCAGCAGCTCGAGGAGTTCCTAGCAGCCAAGGAGGAAGATGAGAATGCCCTTTTGGAAAAGTTCTGCATGCTGCTCAACGAGAAGAAGGTCAAGATCCGGGTGCAGCAGCGGCTGTTGTCGTCGTATGCCGGCGGCAAGGTGGAGGATGCTGCTTCCGTGGACGAGAGGAAGGAGATTAAGCAGGAAGAGGAGTCTCCCCCGCCAGCGGCTCGATCCAGCCAGCGCACATCCCGGTCCAAATCTGCTGCCACCACGGCAGCCCGCCCGGTGAGGCGAGGGACGAAGCGGCCAGCCGCGGCGTCGTCCGAGGAAGAATCAGACGTGGATGACGGATTCGAGAGGTCTACATCCCGTGCTGAAGCCGCACCAAATCCGGTCGAGAAGGACGCAGACAGTGAGGATGAGGACCGAACGACGGAGAACGACGACGACAACGGCTCTACGGACAGTGAGGCAGGCGATCCCATGGATGTGGAGGTGAAGGAGGAGAGTCAAGGGGGTGGGGACAAGATAGCAGCGGGAGTGAAGCCACGACCCACAACAGCAGAGGCAGTCGTAGCGGCAGAGGCGCCGCCACCACGCCGCAGCATTCCTCTTGGCCAGACACGAAAGGCACCGACGCCGGCACGGCCTCTCCGCCAGGGTAGCAATACAGATTCAGATGATGAGCTATGACGGTGGGCAGGTTCATGCTTGTATAATTTTGTTCGTGTATTCGTTCAGGCAACGACTTCATCAACGATATCTACTTTGTACAGTCGTCGAGTTGAAGTGCTGACTAATCCGATTTCATATCTCTCTAGTCCCTCAGCTGCGGTCCTCTGGGGCAAACTGGGCGGTCCAGAAGGCACGGAAGTGTTTCTCGTGGCCGATGTTGGAGATGGCGTCGACCTCGGCGACGGTCAGCTGGAAGGAGGCGAGATCGGTCAGGTAGCTTTGGAGGCGCTTCTCGCTGGAGCTGGTGGTGATGGCGACGATGCCGCGGTCGATTGCCCAGCGGAGGGCGACAGCGCTGTCGGAAACGCCGTACTTGGCGGCCAGCTGGGCGTAGGTAGGATCGAGGGGGCCTGGGCTGGCGCGCATGATGGCGGTCAGGGGTGCGTAGGCAGAGACGGCGATGCCGTGCTTGTGCAGGTAGGGGACGAGGTCGCCGTGCTGCAGGTAGGGGTGGAACTCGATCTGGTCGATGGCGGGAACGACCTTTGCGGTAGCGAGGACGTGCTCGACGTGCTCCTGGAGGAAGTTGGACAGGCCGATGGAGCGGGCACGGCCGGAAGCCTGGATGGCCTCGAGCTCGGCCCAGCGTGACTGCAGCTGCTGGGGGGTGACGCCCTTCCAGTAGGGCGAGTGAATGAGGTAGAGGTCGACGTAGTCGACGCCGAGCTTCTGGAGCGAGAGGGCAAAGGCGTCCTCGACCGAGCCGGTCGGCTTGGGATCGTACTTGGTGACGACGTAGAGCTTCTCGCGGGCGACGCCGCCGGCCTTGATGGCGGCGCCGAGCTCGTCTTCGTTGCCGTAGACTGGGAGTGTTAATGGGGCGGAGGTAGTGGGGGTGAGGTAAAGGTGGGGAGAAGAAGGTGGAGAGGGTGGGTGAGGATGTAAAGAAAGAGAGGGGCAGAGGAACGAGGGAGAGGGGAGAAGAGGGTAAACTCACCCTCGGCTCCGTCCAGATGGGTGTAGCCCAGCTTGATGGCGGTCACGGTGCTGTCGACGATCTTCTGGTCAAACTCCTTGCGGGTGCCCTTGTAGTTAGCGGTGCCGAGGCCGTAGGCCAGCACAGGCAGCTCGTGGCCATCGTTGAGCTTGAGCGTGGGGACGTTGGGAGAGGCCATGGCGGATAGACGGAAAGAGCGCACGGTCGGGGCAAGACGGAATCGGGTCTGGGAGAGCACAGGAGCACGAGCGAGCACGATAGGTCGGATGAGCAGAGCAGACATAGGAGAGGCCCTGGTTATACCTTATAAGAGACGTGGGGCACGATGGAAAGAACAGTCGCTGCGGGTATTGGTTTTTACGAAAACGCATGTATTAGTAATGCTGCACTGCACCTAGCTCGCTCCTTCCTGTGGTGGCGGGGCTGTCGCCGTCTCGATGACGCCATGGTCGCGGGGCTTGAGAGTTGCAGCAGTTGTGGTGCCTCGGTTAGTGGATATGTATATGGTTGAGTAGGGTACGGGTATTGTTAATTGTTGATTATACGGAGTAAGATACAAGTATAATTGTTAGTTTTCAATTCCAGTTTGCGTCTCTTTCCTGGGTGGTTGTTTACCTTGATTAGTCTAGTGTCTCGTCTATTGCCTAGTCTTGTTTCTTGTTCTATTGTCTTGATTCTTGTCTCATCTCTCAACTTGTCTCTTAACTCGTCTCTTGTTGTCTCATCGTCTCCTCGCCTCTTACTTCACTTCACCTCACCTCACCTCACTTCACCTCACCTCACCTCATCTCACCTCGCTTCATTCACCTCCTTATGCTCTGCAGAACGGCCACCTACCGTGCCGCTGCTCCCTCTCTCTCCCTCAGCCTCGTGCGGGTCTACTCTTCCTCCATGGCCCCTTCAGATCCTTCTCCCATATCCGCTCCCACCCCCACGCCCTCTGCCCCCCCTACCTCCTCCACCCTTCCTAGTCACACCCTGGCCTCCCTGCCCAAAACCTGGCGCTTCACCCAGTCGTTGCCGACCGACCCGCACTTTCCCACGCCGGCCGCCTCGCACAACACGCCGCGCGACGACATCCAGCCGCGCCTCGTCCGCGGCGCCCTGTTTTCGTGGGTCCGGCCCGAGGAGCAGGACGACCCGGAGCTGCTGGCCGTGTCACCGGCGGCGCTGCGCGATCTGGGTCTACGGCCGGGCGAGGCGCAGACGGAGGACTTTCGGCAGACCGCGGCCGGGAACCGGCTTTGGGGATGGGACTCGGGAGAAGAAAAAGGCGGAAAAGACGACGAACAGGCTCGCTTCCACTATCCCTGGGCCCAGTGCTATGGCGGCTTCCAGTTTGGCCAGTGGGCCGGCCAGCTGGGCGACGGCCGGGCCATTTCCCTGTTTGAGGTGCCAATCCAGTCGTTGTCTTCGTCTCTAGCATCCTCGTCTTTCTCGCCATTATCGCCCTCCACCCCCTCCTACGAGATCCAGCTCAAGGGCGCCGGTATCACGCCCTACAGCCGTTTCGCCGACGGCCGAGCCGTCCTGCGCAGCAGCATCCGCGAGTTTGTCGCCAGCGAGGCGCTGCACGCGCTGCACATCCCATCGACGCGGGCCCTGGCCCTGACCCTGCTGCCCGAGGTGCTGGTCCATCGCGAACGTTTGGAGCCGGCGGCCGTGGTGGTGCGCTTTGCCGAGTCATGGCTGCGCCTCGGCACGTTTGACCTGCTGCGTGCCCGTGGTGACGCTAAGCTGACGCGCCAGCTGGCCACTTATGCCGCCGAGACCGTCTTTGGCGGGTGGGACAAGCTGCCGGGACGTGTGAGCGACGATCTGACCTCCACTCTCTCTCCTCCCCGCAATGTCCCCCTCACGACGACTGAAGGCCCCCTTGATGCGGCCGAAAACCGGTTCGCCCGGCTGTACCGCGAGGTCGTGCGGCGCAATGCCATCACCGTCGCGCGCTGGCAGGCGTACGGCTTCATGAACGGCGTGCTCAACACTGACAACACATCGCTCGTTGGACTCTCCATGGACTTTGGCCCCTTTGCCTTTCTCGACAACTTCGACCCCGATTACACGCCCAACCACGACGACGATAGCCGCCGGTACAGCTACAAGAACCAGCCGTCGGTCGTGTCGTGGAACCTCGTCCGCTTCGGTGAGGCCCTTGGCGAGCTCATCGCTGCCGCCGACCGCGTCGACCATCCAGCCTTTGTCGAGGGGGGAATCACTGGCTTGGCCACACTGGATGCTGCTGCTGAGGGAGATATCACTGCCACACCTCCCAAAGAAGCCGTACAGCTCGCCGCCGACGTCCTCTCGGCACACGCTGAAAACGTCATCTTGCGCTCTGCCGACGAGTACAAGACCCTCTTCCTCGCCGAATACAAACGCCTCTTTGCCGCCCGTCTCGGCCTATCACCGCCCAGCCTAGAACAATTGGCTGCAGACGCCGACATCGACCCCCTCCTACTCGCCCTTCTCGACCTCATGCAATCCCTCGCCCTCGACTTCAACCTCTTCTTCCGCCGTCTCAGCAGCCTCCGCCTCCAAGACCTCGCCGACGATCCTGAACGCCTCGCCGCTGCCGACATCTTCTTCTATCGTGATGGCCTCGAATCCGCCCTCGATAAGGACGATGCCCGCCGTCAGATCGCCCGCTGGCTCGCCCAGTGGCGCGAACGCCTCCTCGCCCAACACTCCTACCCCGACGACGACGCCCGCATCCGCGCCATGAAGGCCGTCAACCCCAACTTCACACCCCGTGGCTGGATCCTCGACGAGCTCATCCGCCGTGTCGAAAAGGACAACGACCGCGACGTCCTGCGCCGCATCACCCACATGGCCTTGCATCCCTTTTCCGACTCCTGGCACGGCCAATCCTTTGACGGCCAGATCTATCTCGGGGATCCCGACGAGGAAACTCGCTGGACCCAGGATGTACCCCAGAAAGACAGGGCAATGCAGTGCAGCTGCAGCTCATAAGCTTGCAACCTACTTCTTCCACCTTCGTGTAGATAATAGCTTCTCATTTACAGTGAATACAATGATTAAATAAGAAAGAAAAAAAAAAATTTCTCTCCCGTTTTCTGGCGAATACGACAAAAAAAGAACGTGTCCACCTGCTCTCAGCGCCGCATACTATCATCACTTGCCTAGCACCCCAGAAGGCCTTTTCGCGTCATTGTAGAGTGGTAGCTTCACCAAGTGGCTGCCTCCTCTGACTCAGACATGCTTTCCAGGCAAAATCCGTGTAGCTCACGAAAAAATACAGGCATAATAACACACACGACGTTTGACAATAGTACAACGTTCAATATTGCAAAAACCATAACCATGTTGTGTCCAAAGCACTTGGTTGGGGCTGTAGCCTTCCGAGCGTAGGATGTCGAGGGATTCGTAGATGGTTGCTAGGGAAGATGCTCGTTATAAGAGATCTCACCGTCGTCGAAACTCCGGGTCAGAATACACCGCGAAAATTGCTTGCATGGCTGGAAGTAACGAGTAAAGAAGAAAAAGATAGAACAACGAGGACAAACTGGATGAAGAGCCTGTAAAAATCATCATAAAGACCGAATAGAGCCGGTCAAGCTGCTTGTCGGTAGCGATGCCGTGCAGAGCCTGCATTCGAAAATATTGATCGTCAGTCGAGCAAGACTGAAGCCCGCCAGATGCCGACAGGATAGAAGCGGCGCCAAATATCCAACATACTTCACCTATACCCACTGTATCTCGGAGGCAGACGCCCAACGGATGGCCCTACTCCTGGACCAGGCCGAGTTGCAACGGCTGGATTCGTGCAGAGCATGCCGACTCGGGATCCAAACTTCGATCCTCGGAGCGATACCATGTGCTTCCGGATGTGTGCTGCGACAACCTCTCGGTGCTGCGGATTCGCATGCGTCAATACGTACTGGATCAGGTAGTTGCCATACTGGTCGCTGGCTATGTCGATGAGCGGGATGCGTGGCCGATCAACTCGTCCCTCGCAGACACGGTCTAAATAGCGGCCCAAGAATTCGGCACCGCCAATTTTCAGACACTTTTCCACTACCTTGGATGCAAACTGGTCCATGCTGTACTCGGCAGCGTAGTGGACAACATGGTCAATCGCCCGGCCGCGATCGTTCGGCGCGCCATGCTCGCATATGTGCTGGATGCACCAGTTGCCAAATTGGCCATGAGCAACAACATCAATGTTTCCCAGAACCTCCTCGATGCATGGACGCTTTGAGTATCAGTTTCAGAACGAACCCCTGGAAATTTATAGGATCACATACCTTGTCTTCCTCCAGACAGTTTTCAAAGATGTTCTGCACCACAAGGCTACCGGTTTCCCCGAGAGCAACCTCGTGCCACATACCGCACAGTGCTTCATTGACGTATTTCATAATCTGGGGAGGCGAGTCATTCCATCGCAGCTCAAAAAGCTTCTGCCAGACATGGCAAGCATAACGGTGAATAACCGTTTCCGGAATGCGTCGGAGCAGCTCATGTACCATAATCGCCTTGTAGTCTTCAGTGACTGAGTCAAACGCCTTCTGGACCACATGACATCCAAATGGATCCATAGAGAGATTGAGCGTGTTTCCACGGATAGCCTCTGCGATTTTGACGATTTGCTCCGGTGCACCGTGTTCAAAGCAACGCTGAACTAAAAAGTTGCCAAAGCGGTTGATCATCAAGGGGTATGCCTGGGAAACAATGGCCTCCACAATGTCATACTTCTGATCGGTAGTGCCAACTTTCAGTTTTTGTTGCAGAAAGATAGACGCCTGTTGGTCATTGTTGCAAACAATCTTGTCTACAATGTACTTCCAGTTGCAGTTGACGTTGCGGTCGAGTAGCCGACGGTAGTTCAGTGGCTCCGTCGTAGGCACAAATGTTGGATTTTCGGAGAGAGAATTCTGGAAAATAATTAGTGACGCCACCCCTAAATCAAGATCAGCCTTCTCCATATCTGAACAACCTACCTCGTTCTTCCAAGGCGGTCCAGTGCCTGCGCTGAACTCTGTTGCGTGAGGAGACAACGGAGTACCAATAGGCTGCTGTTGATATTGGGGAAACATTCCAGCATTGAGTATCTGAGAGCTGCCCCCGGAAGAAAACTCATTCGAACTGTCATACTGCATCTGCCCCATGTTGAAAGTACCATAACCTCCAAAGCCCTGGTTGGAAACCATGTGAGTGTCAAGTCGACTTCCCCGACGCCGGGACGGGGGTCGCAAGAGGACATCGCTATCTGGTGTCAAGCGGCCGCTTGGGCCGTCATCTATGGCAGTCGATGAATCTCCGAAAATCTGGGAACTGGACTCCATGAAGCTTGGGTTGCTAGGTCGCACGGGTGGCCAGATAGATGCCGGTTGGGTAGGAAGACTATCGGACATGGGGATCGAAGGTGGTGCTGTAGCAAACGGATGCTGGAAGACAGCTGGTTTTGGATCGTTGCGCCAAACTCCACGAGATCTCCCTATGGTACCGGCAGTGGATGGTTCCACTGTGTCCGATCGTCCATCTTCGGGAAGTAGCCAGATATTGTCTCGAGAGTATAGCGGCTTGGTCGCGGACATGGCCGCAATGGCACCGGTGGAACGAGAGACAGGCTGATCAAATCTGGGAAGTGTAGGGTAATCTGGCTCCGGCATAGTCAAAGATATCATATTGGAGTTGTCCGACTTGGCAAACCGGGAGTGCGCCAGTTCATGGTCAAGTCGCGTTATCTTGACTTGAGCCTGTGCAAGTTCAAGTTTGAGGCGGAGCAGCTCTTCTGATGTTGCGGGATCACCATCGGTGATGATGCTTGTAGAGCCTGACATCATATCAGAAGGGCCGTTGAACCCATCAGCCGTCCCGGGGATGGGGCCAGAGATGCAAACGGATTGTGTCTCAGACATCCGGCTATAAACAGCTTCTTCCTCCGCCTTCTTTTTCATACTATCGTTCTGTTCACGGATCGCAGCCTCTTGCTCGGACAACTTCGCAAGGAGAGTATCCATGGGATATACGCTAGACGAGGTTCCTGAATCATAGCCCGGCTATGAAGACAATGTTATTAGCTTTGATTATGAGATCAGGACGCGAAAGAGCCGGAGATTCATACGTTGGGCCCCTTCTGGTTGGCGAGCTTCGCAGTTTTCAGTGTCACTAACCCCTTTCGCAGGTTGCCAAAGGAATCCTGAAAAAAGAATATCATGTCAGTGACAGATTTCGTCGTCATTCTGCAGGCGTTAAATTGCAATTTATTGGAAGGGATCAAATTAACAGGACTGCCACCATAGCTCGGCCAGACGGTATTTGCACGAACCTGAGAGCTCTGCATACTGGCATCTTCTGAGTTTCTCAGCACGTTCTCATCCTGACCTATACCCTTGGTGCCAGACTGGCGACGCTGACGGGGCGATCCGGTCGGTGCAACTGCAGACATGTCCTCCAGCAGTTTTGTCCAGAGACAGAATTTGAGCTAGAAGGCTAGAATGACTGGTGCAGTTGGCATGTAACTGACAGTGATGATGCCGTTTTAAATCGGCTAGTAACCCAAAGAAAGGAAAGACAAGAAGGGGATGCTTTGATGGGGGTGGCAACAAAGAGGGCGCAGAGTTGGTGATGAGAGGGGTCAAAGGGGATAAGAAGAGAAAGAAGAGGAGAAAACAAAGTCTCATGGATAGATTCAAAAAAGGATGTAAATAGTGAATATAGCCAGGTGTCAGATAAGATATATGGCACAAAAATCTGAGTATCCTGGTAGGAAAGGCCGACCGGCTCTTGAAGAGCTTCTTACCATATCAGGAAACTCAAAATGCTTGGGGGAAAGTTGTCATCAGGAGATATAGGGAAGGAAAGACGGACACAGGAGACGGTGGGATGCAGAGAGCGCACACGATATTTAACGCCAGTCAAATAAATACGTGAATGGCGAGTCAATGAAACTGGACTGTGGGGTAGAAAACGAAGGAAGCGCGTCAAAGGCGCGTCAAAAAAAAAAGAGACCACAAGATTGGAAGGTTACACTCGTAGCGCTCGCCGTCTGTTTGAGGAAGGCGACAGGGACGGCAGAGTGAAGATGTGTAAGGATGGTGGTTTTGGGAGGAAAGGAGATTCGAGAAGTGGGCAGGGACGTCAATATGTGGCGTGAAAGTGGAAATCAAAGCATGAAAGGAAAGAGCGAAAGGTAAGAATGCTGAGAAATTTCTGAAGCAGGAAAGAAACCCAGAGAATAGATAATCTGAGCCGGGCAAGAGAGGGAGGAAGAAGCCCCGAAAACACGCCATACAATATCTAGTATTCGTTATGGTGACAAGTTTCCCCGAGATGGCGGCTTCCTCGATTGCAAGGGGTGCCTAAAAGTAATTTTGGCTTTGATCGAAACCGGCTCGTTGCTTCGAAACTTCTACAAATAGCAAATGCCAATGAGCTCTTACGAGGCCGTGGCTTGACGGACAGCGTAAGCTGCCTGCTATTCTCAATTCCCGGCCACTCGGATTTTTCTCACGTCTAAATGCTGCCGACGTAATACACCGCGTCAAATGTGGAAAGAGAACGAACGAGCAGTGATGCCGAACAACACGCCAGCCAAGGCTTTTTGAATGACCACCAGACAAGCGTCAAAGAAGTACGCTCTTGATAGTAGGCCACACAACCCAACGACGTCAAATTGAGTATCATTGATTTCCTGTATTCCCGTGTGTATTGCACAAAATCTATCCGGATCATTTCTTTCCTTTCCCTTTGTTATCTGCTTACACCGTTAGTCGGAAGCTCCGAAAAGTCACCACATGATCTTTTTCAGTGACGGGAAATCGTACCTGCTGCTGTACCTCTTCTCTTTGTCTGGCCCTTGCCACGAGCGCGCAATCTGTTGAGGTATTAGTCCTGTCGTTTGCTGTTACCGCGCAGAGCCAGAAGCACTTACCCAGCATTGCTCTCTAGCCGGTCTGCGTCCAGCTCATCGTCCGCTATCAAATCGGGACCAAACCCCCTTTGCAGATCCTTGAACGTGACTACTCTTCTCGGGTAGTATGCTGCCAAGGCAGAGCCTCGAAGTCTCTGTCGCAGAACCTTGTTGCCCATGCGTACGCCTTCGGGGTTGAATGTGGTCGCGAAAATCTTGCATTGGATCTGTACGGAGTCAGCGGGTGCCGTTGTCTGACTTTGAAGTGTAGAGTCGAGCCTACCTTCATCAGGTCCAGAAGTCGGGGGCGTGGGACACTCATATTGCCGACGCGTAGGTGTGCGATCTTCGTAGATTCGTTTCATTTCAATGGCCGTGAGGCGATTAACGTTCGTAGATTTTCTGGGCACCAATAGCCGTGCTATGCCCCACTTTAATTGGAACAAGCACCAGCTCAACTTTAATTGGTGCGCGCTGCGTGTTCCAACTAAAGTGGGGCATAGCACGGTCACAGTGTGGCCCACTTCGAATTTCTCGATAAATCTTAACATTTTTTGATCGAGACTCACAGCAACTATACCATATTCGCGATTTATCAGCATCATCTTTCCTGAAAGTCATAGCCTGTTTATCGAATCGAGAATTCCTTTTCATTATTATGTGCTCAAAATATGACGAAACGGAAGCTTTCTAAGGTAGAGTCAGAGCCTACGGCCGCCGAACATGGAGATAATGCAGACCGTCCTCCGAAACGATGTAAGGACAACCACGACATCTGCAAAAGAGTAGTCAGCACACACTCAAAAGAAGTTTTGAAACTCCTCGAGTCTATGAAAGATGGAAGTGTCTCGATCGAAAAAGGTCCGCCCAAATCGTTGAAGAAGCTGTTGAGGACAATGCTGTCCGAGCTTGACAGCCTCCGACAACAAGGTGAAGAAGAGGCGGTTGCCGAAGATGAGAAGGCCGACATGTCTTCGCCAACTACCTCGGCGGCTATATTAGACGCAGCTTTACCGGTCGCCAAAACATACGACAACGAAGTGCGACCCCTTTTGCCCATGACGGAATGGACCCTCTCAGATATTCCCGAAAGTCACCCACCACTTCCGCCTATTCTTGATCCTGCGCAAGAAAAAATGGCACTCACACACCAAGGAATGGTGGAGAAGAACTGGCACCGGAGCTACGAGGTGTTTGAGTTTCTTGGTGATGCTTTTATCTACCACTTGGCATCTGAATACATATCCCAGACTTTTCCACTGCTTTCGCCGGGACGGTGCTCCCAGATTCGAGAGCGCCTCTTACGCAATTCCAATCTGTCACTATACTCGCTACACTACGGCTTGGACAAACGAGCGAAGCTGCCTGCTGAATTCAAGGGCGAAGGCAGGGATGGTGGATCACGTGCACGCCTTGAGCAGCGAAATAAGATGTACGGAGACCTCTTTGAGGCCTATGTGGGTGCTCTGATCCGCTCTGATCCGCAAGGTGTTGAACGTGCGCAGAAGTGGCTGAAACGGCTGTGGGCATTGACGATTGAAAAAGACATTCGCGAAGAGTATCAGAGACGGGACAAAGAAAGAGCCCGAAACCCGTCATTGGAATCGTCAGCCACAGGACCGGAGCACACCTCTGAGAGACCACCGAAGCTTAAACTTATTGATTTAATCGGATGCAAACTTGTCAAAATCCGATATGAAGATGCCCCATGCAAGCCTAGGAAGTGCAAGGACACCGGCCTGCCACTGTTTGTCATCGATCTCTGGGTTGATGGATGGGGCAAATCCGAATGCCTTGGACATGGTAGCGGGCTTTCAAAAAAGGATGCTGGCAGCAACGCAGCACAACAAGCATTACTAAGCACGAAAGTACTCAAATTTTACATCAACAAGAAAAAGGCACTTTTGATGTCAGAGGAAGAGCAGGCGAAACGAACGGCTGACTTGTAAATGTACATTTGAGCATATATAGATGTAACTGTACGACTTTTTAAAGATATGATAACAGCTGTCTCAATTTAAGGCAGAACGTCATGACTGTGGAGGACGTCAACTGGGAGTAATACATAATACGCACGTATCGACCATCTTGTGAGAGAGGAGATATTCACGTGCTTCGGTAAGAATTGATTTCCCCGCGAAAACAGGCACGATACAGGAGCTAGTCCCCTGTATGTTGGCGCGCCACACGGCAATAATTAGTATTTTCCAGGCCGGCACCTCCACGCCGAGGTAGTTAAGTTGGCTTGCTTGGCTAGGCTTAGGCCAAAATATGGAGCATGTCTGCCCTATAGAATTGACCATACGCCATGAGCTCAGTCCACCATGAAAGGATAACGGTTGGGCAATCTATCGACGAACGAGAGGACGGATGACATCTTTCTCTTCCGGTGAGCATTAGCAAATCAGCGACGAAACTCCAAGGCGAGAGGGCAAGGGGACTGGGATCCTTGTGCTGTGATACGCCTTCATCGACTTGTGGTGATCTGAGCGACATCCTCGGCTTTTAGTTTGCCGCGCTTCTGTCCGTCTGCCATTGCCATTGCCATTGCATGCGCGTTAGGCGGCGAAAGCCTCCTCCTGTCTCCAGCCTGGCGGAGCAGACACAGCACGGGGAAGAAGTGATCCTCGTCGAGGTGCTCCCCAACGATCGCTTCGTCTCTCTCTTTTCTCTCGCCATTCCGACACATCATGGCCGACTCCGTTGGTATGTCAACAATGCCGGCAAATCTCCACCCAAAAGTCCTCCTCCACACAACAGTGGCTAACGAGTCTCCTCTTTGAACAGATCGCGTATTCGTCCATGCGCTCAACACGGTCAAGAAGATCCCCAAAACCGGGGCCGCTCGGCCACCGTCGGCGGACCGGATGCGGCTGTATGGGCTCTACAAACAAGCCATGGAAGGAGATGTCGATGGCGTCATGGAACGGCCAAACAGCCACTCCGGCTTGACGGCCGACGAGCTGCGACGAGAACAGGACAAGTGGGACGCCTGGAACGCAGAACGTGGGCTCAGCCGAACCGAGGCCAAGCGACGCTACATCGAGACGCTCATAGAGACAATGCATACTTATGCAACAACACCGTGGGTCTGCCCCCTGCTCCTATGGCGGTATCCGTACCCAACTGACAGTCGACAATCTGAATCTGCAGAACGGCGGCTGAGCTTGTTGCCGAGCTCGAGTTCGTCTGGAACCAGATCAAGGACAACCACACGCCCAGCTCGGCCGGCTCCTATCGGAAAGACACGCTGTACGGAGCGCCCGGCGACAGCGCCCGTCGCCGTGCAAGCACGGCACAATCTCAAGGACGGGCCAGTGGCGGCTACGGTGGCTATTTCGACGGTGGTGGCAACATGACGGTGGACACTCTGGACGGCCCGCTGAGAGTGCTGAGCCCGATGAGCGAAGAAGACGAGGTCGAGCGTGAGGACCGCATCAGGCTCATTGAAGAAGAGCTGGAGGTGGCCGAGGGGGGTGGTGTCGTCGGTGCTGAGGCTTCTGGCCAGCCGTTCGGCCGCGGAGACAAGTGGTTCCGAAAGATGGAGAGAGCCATGGTGAAGCTGGCTACCGAGGTAGCAGCGCTCCGCGAAAACATAACGGCCGGACGAGAGTTCCGTTCGCGTCGAGAGAAGGCCCCGCTGGCGTGGTTTGGGTGGGCTTTTTGGGTGCTGTGCAAGCACCTGGCCGCAGACGTGTGTCTTCTCATCTTTGTCTTGCTGTGGTTCAGACGGCGGAAGGACCGGAGGGTGGAAGACCATGTCCGAGGTGTTCTTGCGGTTTTGCGCGAATACGCGAGAAAGTTCTTGCCGTCCAGATGACAGGGATAGGGACAGGGATGGTAGACCAGAGTCCTACCAGCAAGACAAATAGGCCGAGAGAGGAAGCCACGGGAGAAGAGGAGCATGCCGTGAGCCAAGGAGGCTTCGAGGTCAAGTTACCCGCTGTTTGGCCTGAGCAGAACACATCCTTGCACTGTCGGCAAGGCCACAATCTGCTCTCATCGGAAAACATGAGCCTTCCACAGCCAGTTGAGTGTTGGGGCGGCTTATTCGTGTGCAGCCAGAGTATGCAGGACTGATCGTCAAGATGAACCTGGCCCCTACGAGAGCCTCGGGCGAAACCCGGCTGAGGCCATGTTGACTGCTATCAGCCGTTATGCCGGCTGTGCAGCAGTCTAGACGCATACGCAGATATGGCATCACGTGTGCACCGTTATATAGAGGCATAAAGCAACATCATTATCTTATATTTATTATTACGGTCTGCCCATCTGGCGGCTTGTATATAGCTCGACAAAATTCGAGGATAAAGGTCGAGAGTGTTTGTCTATAGCACTAAATTGTACTCTCTGCCAAAAGGGCTTCTCGTGATCTAAAGTGTCTGCTGTTTTTATAATGTTGTTTTGTTCGAACCCCTCACGACGCGAAATGCTTTCTGAACGCGAAAATTGACAAATCGATTACTTTCCTCCCACAACCATCAAGCACTAATAAAAATACAACGCCTGTACCCTAACGGCGTGAACCAGCGAGCGCGCATGTATTTTTGGATGCCAGTTTTCGTATCTTGATACGCAAAGCAGGGCTTTTATGCACAAGCCAGTCGACCAGCAGCCACACGTGTATCTACTTTGGCCATGTCTGCCATGAAGGACAAGCGAGGCAACGAAGCGCGAGCTGCAGAGCGAGGCCCATCTAGGCCAGATGCCGTTGCTAGAACCAAGACGGTCGTGCCAGCCATGACGGCGGCCGACGAGCCACCGCCCAAGGTTGTCAGCGCGGATCCGGCCATGTTTGTGCCGCTGGACTTTGACATCACGGAGCCGATGGAGCGACCGCGCAGTCGAGTGGACCGGGCCCAGAGTATGCTGCAGACGGCTGACTTTTACCGGACTGGCGTGCGTCGGGGGATGGTCTACCTGGCCGATCTAGACCGGCGGCGGATTCTGGCCACGGCAGCCCGGGCGGCAGCACGGCCGGGCCAGAAAGACGATCTGGACGGTCTCGAGCCGGACGAGGCAGATGTCCTGGTTCACAGCATGCAGGCGCCGTTGCAGCCGGCAGCCGACCAGGCCTCGTACATCACGACGGACCAAGAACTGGCCCAGCACATACCACAGATCCTGCCCAAAGCCGACGAGCCGGGACGCAAAGAAGCCGGCCGGCAGCTGCAGCAGGTCGTCGAGCTCGTGCTGGGCAAGATGGACAGCTATGACAGCCACATCTGCGCCGTGCGGTCACGATGGGCAGCCGATCTGGAGAGGGAGCAAAAGGCCGCAGTAGCCGAGCAGTTCGGCAAGCTATCCACTACAGACGACGCTGTCGGGCCTGCAGCATCACAGGCTCAGGAAGCAACGGCAACATCGTCGGAAGACGTGGGGATGACAGGCACCTGAGGGCTACGATGGGATTGCCTGCTTCTCATGTACAGATTCTGTCTGCCGGTTTATGTTGTACCTTTTTCGGTTTGTATGCCCTCTCTCTTGCACCTCACGACTCTCTACCGGTATGGAGTCCTTATGGACGTCTCGAGAGAATTTGGAAAGATATGTAGCAACCGGCGGTAAGAGGCGTTGGCCATAAGGATTGTAACATCCCTCACACGCTTCCATAATCGGTGCCATGAAATAATCTTGGGAACAAGATAGAGGAAGACTCGACGGAATCAACAGTCCTGCATAAATGTAGGGCCGAAGCTCAAGCTCACCTACAATAAAGTGTGCCCGTGTACAATTTTTGATGAGAGAGAAGGAGAAAAGGAATCGAAAAAGCAAGGGCGCAGAAAATTAAGATGTAGGCAGAAAAAAAGCCGGGACAACAGCCAATCAACGCGGACTAGCAGCTGTGTTCCGGTGTGGGGCCATTGGGCTTTCAGACGACCAATCACGCGCAATGCGAAGGAAATCGAGGATTATTCCAACGGAAAAGTACTCGCTCCCTTCTGTCCCCCAGTTGGTCCCGATTTGCTCACTCCTCAAAAAACCGAAGCACAGCAAAAACGTTGTTCGTTGCCGGAACAAGGGAACAAGCGACCGCCCCATCCACGTCGACACCTATCGCCGCCCATTGGAGTCGACGTTCTCTCGTCTGCTCACGGCCACCCCGGCTCCCTTTGTTCGCTTCTGTCTCCCCTCGTCTCTTCCCTCTGTCCGATAAAATCCCACGACGATGCTGCGGCAGGCTATTGCTCGGTCGACATGGCGGAACGGCAGACAGGCCGTCAAGGCAACCCGGGCCTTTTCGGCATCTGTCCCTCGGCCTGCTGAGGTCGAGCTTACCGTCGGTGCGTCTGCCAATGCTTCCCGGGATATCCATGCGTGTGAGGGCGATTGCGAGACTAACCGGTGTGCTGTTGTTGACAGATGGCAAGAAGGTGTCCATAGAAGGTACGACGCGGCAATTGGCCGGAGGAGAATACAATGGACGGAGAAGTGCGCGAATTGACGGACTAACACTGCTCAGCCGGCTCGGCACTGATCCAGGCCTGCGAAAAGGCCGGGGCAACAGTCCCAAGGTAAGCAGGGTCCTTCTCTGCTGATTGCGGACACACTACTAGCAGCTAGTTGCTAACGATGCTTGTGCAGATACTGTTACCATGAGTCCGTCTTCTCCATCTTGCTGCCGTCTGCTGTGTGCTGGCTGGTCCTTTCTTGCCGAGAGAGCTTGCCGAACTGACGAGGCATACAGGAAGCTGATGATTGCGGGAAACTGCCGCATGTGTCTGGTGGAGGTTGAGCGTGCGCCAAAACCGGTTGCGTCGTGCGCATGGCCTGTGCAGCCGGGCATGGTGGTCAAGACCAACTCGCCACTGGTGCACAAGGCTCGTGAGGGCGTGATGGAGTTCCTCTTGTCCAATCACCCGCTCGACTGCCCGATCTGCGACCAGGGTGGCGAGTGCGACCTGCAGGACCAGTCGATGCGGTACGGGGCCGACCGGGGCCGGTTCCACGAAGTGGGCGGCAAGCGTGCGGTCGAGGACAAGAACGTGGGTCCGCTGATCAAGACGTCGATGAACCGGTGCATCCACTGCACGCGATGTGTCCGCTTTGCCAACGACATTGCCGGAATGCCGGAGCTAGGTTCGGCGGGCCGCGGCAACGACATCCAGATCGGCACATACCTGGAGAAGAACCTAGACTCGGAGCTGTCGGCTAACGTGATCGACCTCTGCCCGGTGGGCGCACTGACGTCGAAGCCGTACGCGTTCAAGGCACGACCGTGGGAGCTGCAGCACACTGAGTCGATCGATGTGCTAGACGGTCTCGGTTCCAACATCCGGATTGACTCGCGCGGGCTGGAGGTGATGCGGGTGCTGCCGCGGCTCAACGACGACGTGAACGAGGAGTGGATCAACGACAAGACACGATTTGCCTGTGACGGGCTCAAGACACAGCGACTGACGATTCCGCTGGTGCGGCGGGACGGCCGGTTCGAGCCGGCTTCGTGGGAGCAGGCGCTGACGGAAGTGGCTACAGGCTTCAACAAGGCAGCGCCAACGGGCAACGAGTTCAAGGTGGTGGCGGGCGAGCTTGTGGAGGTGGAGTCGCTGGTGGCGATCAAGGACCTGGCCAACCGGCTGGGGTCGGACAACCTGACGCTGGACACGCCGACGGGTCATCTGCCGGTGGCACACGGCGTGGACGTGCGGTCCAACTACGTTTTCAACTCGAAGATTGGGGGCATCGAGGAGGCGGACGCGATCCTGCTGGTGGGCAGCAACCCGCGGCACGAGGCGGCGGTGCTGAACGCGCGGATTCGGAAGCAGTGGCTGCGGTCAGACCTGGAGATCGGCGTGGTGGGTGAGACGTTTGAGTCGACGTTTGAGTTTGAGCACCTGGGCAGCGACTTTGCGGCGCTGAAGAAGGCGCTGGCAGGACCGTTTGGCAAGAAGCTGCAGGCAGCGAAGCGGCCGATGATCATTGTGGGCTCGGGCGTGACGGACCATGCAGACGCGAAAGCGTTCTACGAGCTGGTCGGCAGCTTTGTGGAGAAGCATGCGGCCAACTTCCAGACGGCAGAGTGGAACGGCTTCAACATTTTGCAGCGGGCAGCCTCGCGAGCGGGCGCATACGAGGTCGGCTTTGTGGCGCCGTCGCCGGCGGTGGTGGAGACGAAGGCCAAATTTGTGTGGCTGCTGGGTGCGGACGAGATCGCGGAGGCGGACATCCCCAAGGACGCCTTTGTGGTGTACCAGGGGCACCACGGCGACCGCGGTGCCCAGCTGGCGGACGTGGTGCTGCCGGGAGCGGCCTATACGGAGAAGTCGGGCACGTACGTCAACACGGAGGGTCGGGTGCAGCTGACGCGGCCGGCGACGGGTCTGCCGGGTGCAGCGCGGACGGACTGGAAGATCATCCGGGCGGCGAGCGAGTTTTTGAACGCGCCGCTGGCGTACGACGACTTGGCGGTGTTGCGGGAGCGGATGGCCGAGATCAGCCCGGCACTGGCAGCGTACGACGTGGTCGAGCCGGTGGCGTTGAAACATCTCAGCAAGGTGCAGCTGGTGGACCAGAACAAGGGCACCAAGGCGACGGGAACGCCGTTGAAGAAGGTGGTGGACAACTTTTACTTTACCGATGCGATTTCAAGGAGGTGGGTGTTTTTCTTTCCTTTTTGTCTTGATCGTCTTCTTCTTCTTCTTCTCCTCCTTTTCTTCGCTAACAATCCAGCTCACCAACGATGGCGCGCTGCTCTGCTGCCAAGGCGACGGGCAACCCAAAGACCAGCTTCATGGCCCCCGGCATGGGCGAGGACAAGCCGCTCGGCCAGGTCGCTTACGGGGTTTGAGTTGTGGGCGGAGGAGCCAAGAAAAGCAGCAAATATATATAAAAACAATTACAACTTTGACGAAGAGCACCCTTTGTTTGGCAGGGAGACGGGGCGATTGGTGGCCGAATCTGCCTGGCTGAGTCCTTTGCTTTTTTTATACTTTCTGTACATATACAAAGGGAAAGGGCTTGGTAGACGAGTGAATATAATCGACTGTTAGGAGGACAGTTTCTAACGTATGTCGTTGATTCGCCGGACATCCTTCTCGCTCATTGGCCTACTTCTGATTGGACAGGCCCAGACTGTTCTGGCGGAGGTGGAAAGTGCAAGTCGACCAGCAGCGAGTGGCCAGACTCGGTTGTGATTGGAGCGCCAAAAGCCAGAGCAGATGCCAGAGAAGCGGTTGGCGCAGCGGCTGTTTCCCATGGTTTCTTGGGGGGCTTGAGCTTGCCTAAGGGGGTGATGCCCTAGAAGGTTAGGGGAGGAAAGAAGAGGGAGAAGAAGGGAAGGTAGAAGAAGGGAAGGTAGAAGAAGGGAAGGTAGAAGAAGGGAAGGTAGAAGAAGGGAAGGTAGAAGAAGGGAAGGTAGAAGAAGGGAAGGTAGAAGAAGGGAAGGTAGAAGAAGGGAAGGTAGAAGAAGGGAAGGTAGAAGAAGGGAAGGTAGAAGAAGGGAAGGTAGAAGAAGGGAAGGTAGAAGAAGGGAAGGTAGAAGAAGGGAAGGTAGAAGAAGGGAAGGTAGAAGAAGGAGGGATAGAAGAAGAAAGGAAAGAAGAAAAAGGAAGAAAGAAAAAGGAAAGAAGAAAAAGGAAAGAAGAGAAGGAAAGAACCCCTCCAAGACATGAAACAAAGCCAGAGGACAGGCCTCTGACCAGCTGCACTTACTTCTTGGCGCACGACTGTGTCGGGTATGTGCCGGATGCCTTCGAGCTCCTTTCCCGTCTGCACGGCCTCGATGACCTTGGCGAACTTGTCCGAGTACGGCGCCTCGCCGTTGGCCGCACTTGCACCAGCAGCCTCGTCCGCTGCTGCTGCCGCCCGCGGCACGCGCAGCTCGTTCTTCGGAGCGCTGCGTTGCCACGACGGCACAGCATCGTCATGCGGTGTTGCCGTGCCGTCAAACGGGTTGATGGCTGGTCCGGCAGCAACGGTCTCGACGATGCGCAGAGCAGCTGCCGCCTCAGCGGTCGTGGCCGCCCTCTTGGCCGCGTACAGGGCCGCCAGCAGGCGACGGTCGATGGATGGGTAGTCTGGGCTGGCGGCTAGAAAGCCGTTGTAGCGGGTCAGATCGATGCGCCGTCCGGTTTGGCGACGGTAGAAGACGGTGCGGCAGAAGGTGGTGCTGCCCTGGTGGGTGGGATTGGGGGAGAGGCCGTCGGCGCCGCCGAGCGTCTCGAGGAGACCGAGCTGGGGGATTAGCAGGGGGGATAGATGGGGGGGAGGAAGAGAAAGAGAGAAAGAAGAGAGAGAGAAGAAAGAGAGAAGAAGAAGAAGAAAGAAGAAAGAGAGAACAAGATGGACAAGGCTACAAACTTACCAGAAATGCGCGGTGCTTCGACCAGGGAAACCGGTCAAAAGCCTCAAACTCAGCCGCGGTGGCATCATCATCTGGAGGCAGCAGAACGTCGTCGTCGCTCGCAGGAGTGGCCATTGTAAAGGCTCATCTGTTGGAGGATCCCATCGGTTGTTCTGTCGTTCAGCACAGAAGCCGATTGCTAAGCCTCCACAGCGGCAAGCGTGGCCGGAAGGCTGCGCACGGGCCACCGTGGCGCCTCTGCTTTGCCCCTTCTATTTCTGGCGTCCGGCTGAAGCGAGAAAGTGTGTGCGTTGAGCCTCCACATTGTCAGCCCTTCACATCGATCTCGATCCAGCTTGCACGACTCCATTGTCGATCGCTGCACCTCGGACACATCACGGACCACCGCCCGAGCCAGCCGCCCCACCGTCCTCATGCGTCAGGCGTCTGTCAGGGCTCTCCGGACGACCTGCCAGTACGTGTCCCGTGGGCTGTCTCGTGCCGGCCGTCGCTCTGCCCTCTCGCTTTCGTGGACGCAGCACGCGCAGCAGCACCTCAGCCATCTCAGCCGCAGCAGCCTGCAGCGGCCGCGCTGGCTGTCCACCGCACCGGTCAAGTCCTCGGGCGAGCCGCTGCGGTCCTCGATGCACATCCGGCGTCTCTCGCTGGTCGCCGTGTCCGGCCTCGTCGGCTACGGGGCCTACTACACCTTCCAGGGCGACCACAACGGCAGCAGCCCGGCCGTCTTCTCGACCAAGGCGACCACAGCGACTACAGCAACAACAGCAGGCGAAAACGCACAGACGACGCGCAACGTGCTCGTGATCAGGGCCAACGAGCTCAGCACCGGCACGCTGGTCGGCGACGGACCGATCTCCAAGATGACCGACGACAGTGGACAGCGGGTGATCGAGATGCTGGACCCCGACCAGGCCACGCAGCGGCTGCGCCGGAACGAGGAGTCGTACGCGGTCAATCGGGGCAAGGGCGTGCTGCGCTACGACCTGGTGCAGCTGGCGAGCAACGACCCGATCGAGGACGACCACGCGGAGAAGATCGTGGAGGTGCCAGAGAAGAGCGGGGACATTGGCGGCGCGAACACATCCGACTGGATGTTCTGGGGGGTCTTTGACGGACATTCGTACGTGAGAGGAAGTTGAAGAAGCCGAAGCGAGAAAGAGACGATGCTGACTACACAGAGGCTGGACAACGTCAGCTAAGCTCCGCCAGACCCTCATCAGCTACGTGGCGCGGGAGCTGAACGAGACGTACAAGGCAGCAGTGTCGGCCGAGGGTCCACCAGCGGACGCGATCGAGGGTGCGATCAAGGTCGGGTTCACGCGGCTGGACGACGAGATCGTCAACAAGAGCGCACAAAAGGTGCTGGGTCAGGCGTCCAAGTCGGTGGCGGCGGAGCTGCTGGCACCGGCACTGTCGGGCTCGTGCGCGCTGCTATCCTTCTACGACAGTCGGTCGAAGCTGCTGCGAGTAGCCTGCACGGGCGACTCACGGGCCGTGTTGGGCCGACGGACGGCGACGGGCAAGTGGACGGCGACGGCGCTGTCGGTCGACCAGACGGGCAACAACGCAGATGAGGCGGCACGGCTGCGCAAGTTGCACCCGGGCGAAGAGCATGTGGTGCGCAACGGGCGCGTGCTGGGCGGCCTGGAGCCGACGCGGGCGTTTGGCGATGCCAGCTACAAGTGGACACGCGAGGTGTCGGACCGGCTGCGCACGTCCTTCTTTGGCCGCAGCCAGTCGCCGCTGATGCGCACACCACCCTACGTGACGGCCGAGCCGGTGGTGACGACGACCAGGATCAAGCCGGAACAGGGTGACTTTGTCGTCATGGCCACTGACGGCCTGTGGGAGATGCTGACTAATGAAGAAGCCGTGGGGCTAGTAGGCAAGTGGATCGAGGCGCAGACGGCCGCCCAGACTAAGGGCAGCTCGAAGCTGGACGCGGCCTGGGCAAAGGTTTTTGGCGCCCACAGCACCGGCAGCAGCGGGCTGCCGGTCGAGGTCGTGGGCGAGGGCAGCGTCGGCAAGAACGGCGAGAAGACGCCGATCCGACTGCGCCAATGGGGTCTCTCGCCCGATGCCAGCGACCGGTTCTTGGTCAAGGACGAGAATGCGGCCACGCATCTGGTGCGCAACGCACTCGGTGGTACCAACGAGGAGCAGGTGTCGGCACTGTTGACCCTGCCCGCGCCGTTTTCGCGGCGGTATCGGTAGGTGAAGCGAGGGGGACGAGAACGAGAGGATGAAGGCGTGCTAACTGTCCAGCGACGATCTGACCGTCCAGGTCATCTTCTTTGGCAACGGACAGCCGACGGGCGACGTGGTCGTCAACCAGGAGGCCACCGGGCCAGCCGCCGTCAAGGCAAGGCTGTAAGCAGCAGCACAAGGGCGAACACGTATCTCACGTTGGGCCGGAGTAGAGTCTATGATGGTGTGAAAAGCGTTATGTAATCTTGTGTTCTTGTGTTGGCAGGCTGTGCTGGCAGGCTCGCGGTCTGGCGGTCCTTCCCCTTTCGGCGAGCCCTGCCGTGATGTGTTGTCGCAGGTCTGCCTGGTTCCGGCCGCACTTTCCTGTTTTTTGTGGCAACGAGCATTTTAGCGGGCGCAGAAATAGGTTACCATAGTACTATGCACCTTTGACGTCACCCCACTGTTTTCGGTCCTTCTGTCTGCTGGCTCTCGCTCTCTGAGAGCTCGCCCGCGTTGCAGCTCCGTCTGGCCGATATCGAAACTGTGTCCCGAACCCAACGCTCGTCTGTCGAGGTTATCTCCACCCGACGACACAGAAGCGGCCAAGCTCTCTGGCCTGCTGCCCGGCACATCGTATCTTAGCTCGCCAACCACGACAGCCTCCACCGATAGAGGGGTGACGCTTTTCCATCAGGCTCCTCGGTCACTTTTTCCTCTAGTCTATCTCTATCTGTCTGCTTCTGTCTCCTCCTTCCCCTCCGCCCCCCCTGTCCCTTACGGATTCCCCATCAAGCCTGCCGACGACCGAGCACCATGGTTATCGTCGAGGGCCATGAGCACCTCACAGAGGAGGAGAAGCGTCTGCAGGAGGACCGCCGGCGGGTGAAGTACTGGAAGAAATGGGGGCCTTATGTCTCGGAGCGCCAGTGGGCCACCGGTAGGTCGTCGTGGAGGAGCTGCTTCTGCTCTTGCTTCTGGCCTGCGAGATGCTGACGTCCCAGTTCGCGAGGACTACAGCCCCGACGGTGATGCGTGGAGTCGTGAGTCCCCTCTCTTTCCCCAACCTGAGCTCGGAGCTCGGAGCTCTGACCAAGACCAGACTTCCCCCACGACCATGCCCGCTCTCGGGCCTATCGCTGGGGCGAGGACGGCATCGCCGGCGTCTGCGACTCGCACGGACTCGAGAACATCGCCTTTGCCTTTTGGAACGGAAAGGAGTGAGTGTCCTGCCGGCCGTCTGCCGTCTGCCTGCTGCCTGCTTTGCTTCTGCTGACCGACAGTCCCTTCCTCAAGGAGCGGCTCTTTGGCCTGTCCAACCCCCAGGGAAACCATGGTGAGAGCATCAAGGAAGCTCACTTCCACCTGGACAACACACCTGTGAGTCTCTTCGTTCTTCCCGTGGCCTGTGCCCATGTACACTCGGTGCTGACTATGTCCTCGCAGACGGTATGTTGAAACGCTGCCCTCCCATCGCACCATGAACTGACCCCGTAGCACTCCTACATGAAATACCTCTACAAATACCCACAGGCGGAGTTTCCCTACGAAGACCTCGTCAAGGAGAATGGCCGCAGGACCAAGGAGGACATGGAATACCAGATCCTCGACACCGGCGTCTTCAACGAAGACCGGTACTGGGACATCTTCATCGAGACGGCCAAGGAGGACGATGATCCGGATGCCATCGTGTTCCGGGTGACGGCCTGGAACCGCGGTCCCGATCCGGCTCCGCTGCACATCATCCCGCACCTCTGGTTCCGCAACACGTGGGCCTGGGGCCGCGAGAAGCCTGAGCACAAGCCGTCGATCGAGAGCGTCGACGAGAGCACGGTCCGGTCGACCCACCCGGCGCTGGGCGAGCGCTATCTGCTGATGGCACCCTCGCCTAGCATTGGCCCTAGCGGCCAGGACGTGATGCCCGACATGCTCTTCACCGACAACGACACCAACTTTGCCGCGCTCTACGAAGGCACCAACAAGACCGAGTACGTCAAGGACGCCTTCCACGACTACATTGTCGACGGCAAGAAGGAGGCCGTCAACCCGGCCAAGAAGGGCACCAAATTCGGCGCCTGGTTCGCGTTCAACGAGGCCGGCGGCGTGGCCCCGGGCGAATGTGCCGTCGTCCGCTTCCGCTTCTCCAAGCGCAGCGAGACCTTCCTGGACGAAGAGGAGGTTGACAACCTGATCGATGCCAAGCGCGATGAAGCCGATGATTTCTACTTCCGGCTCAGCCCGCTGCCCATGGCCGATGACCTGCGCAACATCCAGCGCCAGGCGCTCGCCGGCATGCTTTGGTGCAAGCAGCACTACCTCTTCATCTGGGACCAGTGGGCCAACGGCGACCCGACGCAGCCGCCGCCGCCGCCCGACCGCAAGGCCATCCGCAACTCGCAGTGGAAGCACATGCACTGCGACGACATCCTGTCGATGCCCGACTCGTGGGAATACCCCTTCTTTGCCGCCTGGGACTCCAGCTTCCACTGCATCCCGCTGGCCATGATCGACCCCGAGTTTGCCAAGAAGCAGCTGGACCTGTACACGCGCGAGTGGTACTGCCACCCGAACGGCCAGCTGCCGGCGTACGAGTGGAACTTTGGCGACGTCAACCCGCCGGTGCACGCCTGGGCCACCTTTCGCGTCTTCAAGATCGAGCGCAAGCTCTACGGCCGCCAGGACCTCGACTTTCTCGAGCGCGTCTTCCAGAAGCTGCTGATGAACTTTACCTGGTGGGTCAACCGCAAGGACATGGACGGCAAGAACGTGTTTGAGGGCGGCTTCCTGGGCCTCGACAACATCGGCCTGTTCAACCGGTCGGAGCCGCTGCCGACGGGCGGCGTGCTGGAGCAGGCCGACAGCACGGGGTGGATGGCCTTTTACTGTCTGTGCATGCTGAACATCTGCCTGGAGCTGGCCAAGTACCGGCGCACGTACGAAGACATGGCGAGCAAGTTCTTTGAGCACTTTATCCTGATCAGCGACGCCATGACGTTCCGCATGGGCGAGAAGGACGAGACGTCGCTGTGGAACGAGAAGGACGGCTTCTACTACGACGCCATCTCGTGGGGCGGCCCGTGGATCCAGCAGCTGCCGGTGCGGTCGCTGGTCGGTCTGATCCCGATGTACGCGACGCTGACGCTGGAGCCGGAGCTGCTGAACCGGCTGCCGTCGTTCAAGCGGCGGGTCGAGTGGTTTGTGACGAACCGCTGCGACGTGGCCGAGCGCAACATGGCGTCGATCCGTAAGCGCGGCAAGGGCGACCGGATCCTGCTCTCGATCGTCAGCAAGGAGCGGCTGGAGTGTCTGCTGCGGCGGATGCTGGACGAGGACGAGTTCCTGAGCCCGCACGGCGTGCGGTCGCTGTCCAAGTACCACCAGGAGCACCCGTATTCGATGAACGTGAACGGGCAGAAGTTTGCCGTCAGCTACGTGTCGGGCGAGTCGGACAGCGGCCTGTTTGGCGGCAACAGCAACTGGCGCGGGCCCGTGTGGATGTGCGTCAACTACCTGCTGATCGAGGCGCTGCAGCGCTTCTACATGTTCTTTGGCGACACGCTCAAGATCGAGTGTCCGGTCGGCTCGGGCGACTACATGCATCTCGGTCACGTGTCCGAGGAGCTGCAGCACCGCCTGCAGCACCTGTTTGCGCGGGGCGACGATGGCCGCCGGAGCATCAACGGCGGCAGCGACCTGCTGGACTTTGATCCGCTGTGGAAGGACCATCTGTGGTACTACGAGTACTTTGACGGCGACACGGGGCGCGGCCTGGGGGCCACGCACCAGTGCGGCTGGACAGGGCTGATTGCGCGGATGATTCACGATACAGGGTAAGTTGGGCTGGGCATTGATTAGTAAGCACTACTAACATCGCAGTGTCACGTGTCGTCTCCCCCAGACGCCACGCACGCCGGCCGTCGGCATGAACCATTACTTTGACGACATCCTGCACCGCTACGACAAGGCGCCGACGCCACGGCTGCGGCGGTCGTCAACGTCGCGGTCGATTGGCGCGCGCAGCGACTTCTTCATCGGCCACGAAGAGGGCGACGCCGAGGCCGTGATCGACCACGACCATGACGACGATGGCCGCACGCACAGCCGGCCGATCTCGCGGCCGGGCTCCATGTTCTTCGTGGATCCGGAGCGCGTGCGCCAGCGGTCCGAGGCCGACGTGCACCTGCATCACTACATCAGCGACCAGCTGGAGCGCATCAAGAACGAGCGCAGCGCCAACGGCTACGGGGACGGAGACGAGTTTGAAGCGCAGGCCGAGCACGACTAGGGGGCTTTTTAGTTTCAGCTTGGTATTGGACAAGTTCAGCTCATGGGAACAGCTTCGAAAGGAAAAGCCCATCATGTCCAACGTATGACCAAAAGAGAGGACCGACAGAAAAATACGATCAGGGTGAAGTCTGGAAACATGAAGGCATATAAGACGTATAGATTGTCTTGAATTTAAGAGATAAATATATACAGAGTCCACCCTTGCTATTTCTCCGTGACAGAGCTATCAGGCCTGATTGTGGACTGAACGCTATGCCGGCGAGGCCTTCTCATCACGTGACAAGCCGACCAAAGGGATGGGGGAAAGAATTAGCAAGGGAAGAACCCAGGCAGCTCGGCTCTTTACAAGCTGTCAGTAAGCAGCTTGTTGAGCTTAGCGACGCGGGCGAGGACGCTGAGGTCGATGGTGCGGTCGCCGACCTCGACGATGAGGCCGCCGAGGATCTCGGGGTTGACCTTGTTCTTGACGGAGAGCTTCTTGCCGGCGCCGACAAAGGCGGACTTGGCGACGGCGGACTCGAGGCGAGCGAGGGTCTTGTTGTCGAGGGTAGTGGCGCTAGTGACGATGAGCTCGACCTGGCCCTGGGCAGCGCGGATGAGGTCAGCGAACTTGGCGACGACGTCGTCGAGCAGGCCGAGCCGGTTGTTCTCGGCGAGCGTCTGCAGAAAGTGCGTGACGGTTGGCTGGCCGGCCGAGCCGGTGGCCTTTTGCAGCTCGGCCACGATGGCGAGCTTGTCGGCGGCAGCGAGCGTGGGCGTGGCCAGGATGCCGACGAGCTTGGGGTCCTTGCGGAGGAGGTTGCCGAGGGCGGCCAGGCTCTTGGCAGTAGGCTCGAGGGTGGCCGTCTTGACGGCGGCAGTGTACTGCGGGTGTTAGTAGGGGGTGATAAAGAGAGGAAGGAGAGGGGGGGAAGAGTTGTGAAGAGGAAACACACCAGAGCAGACGCATATGTCCCGTCCAGACCAAATAGCGCAATGGGCGGCTTCGAGTCCGGTGCGGCCGCAGCAAACGTCCGCACGGCTGCCGGCGTCGCCGCAGTCAGCATGCGCGGCGCAGCCGAGGCCGTCCGGGCCGCCAGCATCGCTTGTCTCGACAGCATCGTCTGCTGTGGGGTTTTGTTTTGTGGGTGGATAGGGAGCGAAGAAAAAACTCGGCTCAGCGGACGGGCCGGATGGAGCGCACAGGACACGGGAAATGGTCAATGGAGAAGCGGCCGGAGGACGGGTGTCTGGCGCGGCGAGTGCTGTCGTCTCAAGGGGCCAAACGGAAGCTCGGTTCGTGCAGGTCGAGAGGGAAAAAAGAAATGGCAGAAAGGCAGAAAGACAGGCTCGGGATTTTTGGGGCTGGATGGAAGGGAAAATCGGCCGTAACCGCGAACGCTCGGCAAGAATGGCTGCCTCAGGCCGCCACCACTGGCTAGGCCAATTAATCACTCAACCGGGCAAGAGCTACTCCGGACGTTGTGTGCCACAAATTTATTACTGCTTGTCGACTCTAATTCATACCATTGCTCAATTCTTCTGGCAGCGTAGGAGAATACGCGCCGTTACCATTCCGTCACTGCCAATATCCCAGTACTCGTCCCAAGTCCAAACCAGTAAAACGCCGTGAAAGAAACCGACTGAGGTACTGCGCCTTTACTACTGCACTGCACTGCACCACACATCCAGCACACCACTCGATCCCTCAGTCGCTCCGCAGCATGCTGTCGACCAAATCGCCCAGCGGCCCCCAAAAGTCCTTGCCGCTGGCCAGGTGGTGCTCGTCGATAAAGAGCACGTACTGCTTGAAGCTCGTGTTGAGATGCGGCTCCAGGCCGAGCTCGCGGATGACGGGGTAGTGGTGGCAGTAGATGTGGGCGTAGACGCGGTACATGCGCTTGAAGATCTGGCGCATCAGTGACGGGAAGTTCTTGGGAAACGGCACACCGATGCGGCTCGGTAGCACAGCCTCGTTGTCGATGTTGCCCTGCACCCAGGCCATCAGCTGCTCGACGTATGCCGGCGCCGGCATCTTGGTCGGCTTCTTATAGTTCTCGCTGTCCTGCCAAAGATACTCAAACTCGTCCGTAGCTTTCATCTCGGGGCACGACTGCGGCGAGCAAAACTCGGTGATGGCCCCGTACAGGAGGTTGATCTGGTTGTAAAAATCCACCATGTTGACCGCCAGCCACTCATTCTCATCCTCGCCCTCGGGCAGCTTGACCACCTTGCGCAGACTACCGCCGCCCAGCGTTGCCTCGGCATACTGTCGCAGCTGGTAGCTCGTGCTGCCGCCCTTTCCGGGCGCGCGCGGCCGGAACTGGTTCCGCGTGCGGGCGTTCCTGCAGAGAGGTCAGCATGGAGTAGAGCGAATCCCGACTCGACTCAACATCACCTACACCGTAGTCAAGAGCGAGCTCATTGTGCTGTCTGGAGGGGCGAATCAGCTGTTCGTCGAGATTGGTCCCGCCACAAGAGCCCGTCACAAAAATAGGCAGAAGAGCGGAAGAACAGACGTAGGAGGCAGAGAAAAGACGATGGGAACTTGTGTGCTGGAAGTTGCGCGTGGGAGAGGAGAAAGGACTGAGCTGAAGAAGTGGCAGATACAAGGCTATGGAATGAATGGCCGGCTTTGGCTCTGTTTACGCGGTTGCCGCTTTGGGCGGTTGCCAGGCGGGTGTCGGTTGGCGTGTGGCTGAGCTGTGGCGCCAGCCAGCGTGTCGGCCAGTAAGAGCCATGTTGAAGATACGCCGCCCCTCATTCCCTAGAAGAGATACCGTCACCCAACGAGCGGTCGTCGCGGTCTGTTTTGGCTTCCAGTCTGCTTTTTGCGCACAATCCAGGTTCATTTGTACCTGTGTTTTTCTATTCTTCTGCGGAGCCTGGTCCATCCTAGTTTCGCACTCGCGGGACCGACGGCTTGCTCGATACAACGGCCGAGAGACATGCGGTCTTGACAGCTTCGAGGTTCGAGCTATCCCCAACTACGACGGAAGAGCAGAGACAAGCGACCGACGGCCGGCCACTTCACTGTCCGACTCGATCGACCCTGGACCGGCGGTCTGCAATGTTCACGGAGCTCCGTCTGTGCTCTGTCTCTTTCCCCCTTTTCGTGCTAGACCTCCAAGGACGGTGAGATGGATCCGGGCAACGTTGATGCCGACATCCTCGGGCCCGGTGGCGGCTTCGGGTCACCTTCTCGCGGCGATGATGCGGAGACAAAGGGCGGGAGGGCACTGCCGGAGGACCTGCCCAAATCTCTCTACGACCGACGGCAGCCGCTGGCGAACCTGGTGCCGGAGACGGAATACTACGACGGATGGCAGGGTAAGTTGGGGGGTGAGGGGATGAGAAGAGGAGCGGATGAGAGAATGAGAATAGGAGCAGATGAGCAGATGAGCGAATGAAGTTGAAGACGTTTCCAAGTGCTGACCAAGCCAGGCCAGTCACAGTTCCTGACATCGCCGATACTGGCGAAGCCGCTCGGATTTGGCGAGCTGACGCTCAACGACCCCGACTACGGCGAAGACGTGACAAAGAGCGCGACAGCCGACAGCGACACTCGGCTGATGGAGATGCTGGCAGCACAGGCGGCACATGCGAGCGGGGGGGCGGTGGAGGACGAAGAGGCGGTGGCGAACAGCATCTCGCTGTCAGACGAGGAAAAACGGGCAACGCTGCAACGGGCACTGAACATGGCGGCCAGTAACGGCAACGTGGAGCAGGTGCGACGGCTGCTGAAGGGCCGGACGCGGCGATTCATGGACGTCAATGCAGAAGACGAGGACGGCACACCGCCGCTGATCTACGCCAGCTGCTTCGGGCATGAGGCGGTGGTGCAGGCGTTGATCGAAGCGGGTGCCGACGTGGACCGGCAGGACCGCAACGCATGGAGCGCGCTGATGTGGGCGATGACCAACCGGCACAAGGGCATCGCGAAGCTGCTGCTGGACAACGGAGCATCGACAGAGGCGAAGACGTCGTCGGGCCGGACGGCATTTGACTTTGTGGCGCCAGACAGCGAGATGTCGTACTACCTGCACGACAGCGGCTACAACATTGGCAATGCAGGAGTGACAGACGACTTTTACAACCCGGGCTTCTCGCAGGACCGGTTCGAGGAGGAGATGGCAGAGAACGAGATGCGGCGACGGATGATGATGGAGAGTGCACGCGACCTGGAAGTGGACCTGGGCAACGTGGGGATCGACGACCAGCCCGAGGCAATGGACGAGTTCGAGGAGCAGCCAGAGTTTGACTGGACGCGCTGCCTCAATGATCAGATGTTTGTGTTCCAGGAGAGCGACCTGGATCGGATCCTGGACATTGTGATCAGCAACATGACGCCACAGCGGTCGCCGTCACAGAAGCCGGTGCCGGCCAACGTGGTGTTTCTGAGCGCACGATATGCGCACTACCACGCGAGTGCGGACCTGCTGGAGAAGCTGCTGGTGTCGGCCATGGACAAAATCAATGACGTGGTGGAGCGACACCAATGGGACATGACGATCCTGGCGTTCTGGATCTCGAACGTGACGCTGCTGCTGCACTACCTCAAGAAGGACGCGGGGCTGCTGTCAGCGACGACGGACTTCCAGGCACAGCTGGCCGAGCTGATCAACGAGATCTTTGTGCTGATTGTGCGGGACGCCGAGCGGCGGCTGGACAAGGTGCTGGACCCGGCGATGCTGGAGCACGAGACGATCCCGGGATTCGAGGACATTGCCTTCCAGCACGAGTGGAAGCTGTTCCGGCGGAAGAAGGAGGTCAAGGAGGAGCCGCTGGAGCGGCGGTTCCGGCCGCCGTCGCCGAAGCAGCGGGCGAAGCCGGCGCCGCGCAACGTGACGTCTCTGCTGTCGTCGACGCTCTTTGTGCTGGACCTGTACGACGTGCACTCGGTGATCACGGGACAGTGCATCGCGCAGCTGCTGTACTGGCTGGGGGCGGAGCTGTTTAACCGGATCATGTGCAACCGCAAGTACCTGGCGCGCACCAAGGCGATGCAGATTCGGATGAACATTTCCATTCTCGAGGACTGGGCGCGGGCCAACAACCGGGTGCCGGGACACTACGAGCACGGCGAGCTGCGAGCGTCGGGCGAGCCGACGGTCGAGGCAGCGCGCCGCCACCTGGAGCCGGTCATCCAGCTGCTGCAGTGGCTGCAGTGCTTTTCGTCGCTGGCGGCCGATGACCTCGAGGCCCTGGTCGGCACGCTGCAGCAGCTACGTGCCCTCAGCCCACAGCAGCTGATCCACGCGGCCGAGCACTACCGCTCCGAGGTCGGCGAGAAGGGGCTGCCGAAGAGCGCGCTGCGGTATCTGCTGGCCGTGCAGAAGGAGGCGGCGCTGCGGCGGGAGCAGCGCGAGCAGCGGAACCGCCGAAAGACGATGTCGCCGGGAGGGAAGGAGGTGCTGGCAGCGGCCAAATCGCTCAAAGACAAGAAAGCAGCCCTTCCGCAGATACAGCTTCCCCAGTCGGTTCCAGCCACACCGATCAGCCAGGTCTTCCCAGGCGACGACGACGACGACGACGACGAGTCAGACGCGCCCACACATCTCTTGCTGGACCCTGCGCTGATGTTGCCGTTCACGCTGCCGTCGGCCACCGACATGCTGGTCTCGTACGGGGCCGGTTTCGGCGGAGTTAACCGGGAGCGGGCACACAAGTATGTGCCGACACTGCCGCCGGAATTCCTGGCCCGGCTGGAGAGCAGCGGCAGCAGCAGCACGAGCCGGCCGATGTTTGGCGAGCAGGACTGGGAGAACGAGGAGGTGTAGGTGTGTGTGGGGGTAGGGGGGTGGTGTGGTGTGATGGTGTGGTGATGTGGTGTTGAGTGGAGTGGATGTGGTGTGAATGAATGGACGAATGGACGGTCTACGTGACGTGCAAATGACGGAGCAACTACAACAAGCCAGAGCCAGACTCTTGAACCCTGAGCCATGCACGTCACGTGGACGTAATAGATGTACGATAGCGACAAGGTAATATAACAATGGGCCCTATAACAGTGGTAACGGCAGTGACGGCTAAGCAGTCACGTGTGACTGTGCTTGTATGTGCATACGAATGCGTTTAGTTGTATATATGCACAAAGTGGAAATGCTAGTTAATCTGAAATGCTTACTCGTACTCTGTACTCCAAACGGAATACTTCTCACAAATTTCCTCTTTCGGCCTGTTCCCGCTCAATCGCCTCAAACAGGCTCTTGAAATTGCCCGCCCCAAAGCCCTCAAAGTTGTTGCGCTCGATGATCTCGATAAAGACGGTCGGGCGGTCCATCAGCGGCTTTGTGAACAGCTGCAGCAGATACCCGCCCTCGTCGTAGTCGACGAGGATGTTGAGCTGCTCGAGCACGGCCAGCTGCTCCTCGGTGATGTGCCACGCCCGCCTCTGCCTCTGTTTCTGCTGCTGCTGGGCGTCGCCGCCGTAGAGCCGCTCGCGCAGGGTGGTGTAGTACGTTTCGGGCACGTCGATGAACTGGACGCCGCGCGCCCGCAGCGCCGACACGGCCGTGACGATGTCGGCCGTGCGCAGCGCAATATGCTGCACGCCCGGACCGCTGTTGAAGACGACAAACTCCTCGATCTGCGACCGCTTCTTGCCGGGAGCCGGCTCGTTGATGGGCATCTTGACCGTCTCGCGCGACCCGCCACTGGCCATGACCACGCTGCGCAGCGCGCTGTACTCGGTGCAGATCTGCGAGTCGTCGACCGACCAGAACCGGTGGAAGCCCAGCCGCTGCTCGTAGAACGCGCAGGCCGCCTCCATCTCGTCCCAGTCCTGGTTGCCGACGCAGTGATCGATGCGCCGGAGGCCGACGTGGGGGGCCTGGGCCGATGGCAGGCTCGGACGGCTCATCGTGCTCGTGGCCTTGGCCGCTTTCGGCTTCACCGCACGGAATCCCGGCAGGAACGGCCCCTGGTAGTCGCCCCGGTGGAGCAGCGTGTGCGTCGTGTCGCCATACGTGCGGATCACCGCCATCGTCACGCTGCCGCCGTGCTCGTCATCCTGCACCACCGTCGGCGCCTGCACGCCCACCACGCGGCCGCTGCCCGTCTTCTGCACCGTCTCGTCTTCGGCTACTGCCTGCGCATACACGCCCTCCACCGAGTCTACCGTGAAGCACACGTCCTTGATCGCGTCGCCGTGTCGCTCCAGGTGCTCGTGCATCTCCCGCAGCAGCGCCCGGTCCGCCGCCGAGATCGGCTCGTCCTCTGGCAGATGGCGGAACGATCGCAGCGGCGACGTGAACACAAAACACACATTGTCTGTCTCGTCGCCGTTGCTGCTCTCCGCCCGCCCGCCGCCCTCGTGGTGCCCGACCGCATACGACGTAAAGTACCGGCTGCCCGTCTCGAGCCCGCGGTACGCAAACGTGTCCAGCCCGAAGAGCGTGCCGTAGTAGGCAGCCGCCTGCTTTGCGTTGCCCACCCACCAGGTGACGTGGTCGTAGTCTTGGAAGACCAGGTCTGGCTGCGTGTCAGCAACCCCGGGATGAGAGTCCCGAGGCGACTCGGAGATTGCAGACGGAGCCATAAAGTGTTAGGTGGTAGGTGTCTGAAGTGTTGAGTTGTGTTGTAGGTAGTCTTGGAGATGTCAAAGGTATGGTATAAGGTGTGTTGATGGTGTAAGGTGTGTTGATGGTGTAAGGTGTGTCAAGTCTGTTAGGGAGATAAGGAGCTACACCGAGTGTTATACGAATGCAAGAAATGTAGGAAGCATATAAAAAGAAGCATATAAGTCGTCATTACGAACGGTTGCCACCCTAGATGACAGGGATGCTGCTTATCGTACCAATATATACATTACCATGGCCCTCCACTTGAAGACCTGCCCTTTACGGTCACCTTCCGCGCTTCACATCGCCCCTTCCTCGAACTCTCAAACAACACCGAGCACAACCGCTGCTGCCGTCCAATCCTACGCCGAGTGTGACATCTGCTTGCAGCTCGGCTTAGCCACTGCTACTGCGGAATGTTTTTTTGCCCGCGGAGCTTCCTGTCCGCATATTATGCAATGCATGCAAAGCATGCAAAGCCGCCTTTTGCCGTCAATTACCGCCCTGTCCTCCCGGCTTTAGCGCCCTCCGCCCCCAAACTCGGCTTGCTTATTCAAACCGCATCCAGACTGCCGCTTTGTACTTCCGTCACTCTTGCCTGTCCAACAGACTTGCACAAAGCTTGGTCTGGTCCGCCCACTTGCTCCATTGTCCTCACACAAGTCTGGCCTTTGTCTCCAATCACTTCCCATCGCCCTCTCTCGACCACAGCCTGCTTCGTCCGACATGGCAGCCTTCGCCTCCCTCAGCAAACGGGACATCAATGTCCTGGGCAAGATCAAGGACCCGGAATCCAATCCAACAGGAGCCGTCCGCTTGGATGGTTCCCTTCCTAGAGACCCGCACGTGACCGACGCCCAGCAATACGACCGCATAAGCCGGGAGGAAAAGGAACTTGTCCTGCAGATGCAACAGGCCGAGATGGAACTCGCCGGAGTCCGTCCACAATCGCTTGCTGATCCCATCCACACGTATCGCCAAAGTGTCGAAAGTCTCGACTGTCTCATCGCCAGCCACCCGAGCTATGCGAGCGCCCGGAACAACCGGGCCCAGGCGTTGCGACGTCTCTACGGAGACGACATGCTCCTGCAGCGCGACCATTCCGAAACGACCAGGTCCCCTAGCAACGTTGCCAACGGTTCCCAACCTCTCCTCTGGGACGTGCCCGACATCGAGGCAGAGCGAGCACAGGCTGCAGCCATCGTGCTGGCCGACCTCGAACGCTGCATAGCCCTCTTGGTGCCGTCGAACCCTGCGGCCGCCACGCTCTCGCCCACCGCCGCCAAGACGCTCTCCCTGGCCTTCACACAGCGCGCGGCCATCTACTACGCCACCGCAAAGCGCATTGGGCCGTCAACAAAGGTGATCACACCCCTCTCCGCCACCGGCGAGCATGGCGGCCGACCAGAGGTCCAGTGGACCAAGCTGGACTTTGAAGAGGCCGCGTCGCGTGACTTTGCCATGGGTGGCCGCTTCGGCAACGATATTGCCCGCGGACTAGCCGTGGGCACAAATCCAACCGCAAAGCTGTGCGGACAGATGGTGCAGCAGATGATGAAGAACGAGTATGGCTCACTGAGCTGAATAGCGATGCATGATTTGGTAATGCTTTACAGGCAGGATGGGGTATGATATTGTGCGATGCAATAGAACTTGCTAGTTGGCGAAACTTAGGACCCAGTACAAGACAGCCAGCGAGTGTTTAACATGACTTTCTTTATGCCGTAGGCTTGCTCGCAAAACCAAGGCGCCTGTTGCTCGTATCGATTAGCCACCGGCCAACTGCTCAATACCAGAAAGAATTTCTGCCTATGCGCACCTCTGAAGAGAATCAATACTTTGCTGTGTGCTTTTCCCCTTCTCCTTCTCCTCTCGGTTGATCCGGGTCACAGCAGCCGACACGCCGATGAAGACAGCAAATATCGGGTCGGCAACCCGTGAGACAATATATGTTGGGACAGCCATCTTTCCGTAATGCAAAAAAGGACTGGAAAGGAGATTCAGACACTGCGCTTCCAGAATTCGCAGATCTCCTTCTGTTTGCCGCGTGTGGATGTTCGGCCCCTACGTACTCCATATTACTCCGTACGGAAGGAAGCTTTCCGGCTTACATGCGCTCACGTGACTGAAGCTACCAATTTGGGGCAGCCCCTCGGGGCCCATAATAAACTGACATAAGCTATTCTTCATTGGCTGGCCCTTCTTTTTTTCCAGGGCCAAGTAATAATTTCTGCCCGCACACTTTTTTTCCAATTTGTCGTCCCAGAAAAACCTAGAGGCCCATCGACGACCGACGACAAAATTCGACAACAACCAAAATCCCGCCGCCGACCTATTCCCACCACAACCGTCGATTCGACATTTCAGGGATCACGCCTCCTACCAACCAGCAAAAATGAAGTTCCTCAAGGTTGGCCGCGTTGCCATCATCACCCGTGGAAGATTCGCGGGCAAGAAGGTGAGCACTAAGAATGGCGGGGAGGACTCTCTCTTGTCGAGCACGAGAGCTGCAGGATGAAGAAGGACGAGGCCGACGAGATGCTGGCAAGGGGCAGATTGTGCTCCTCTACGGATTGTGCCTCCGCGCCTGCAGGCCTCCGTCCCATCGCCCGCCGGAGGGATTGTGTCAACAGACATGAGAAAGAGCGCCGAGGATGACCGGTGAAGCGGAAATGCTGACAGATGCTCTCCCCAGGTTGTCATCATCCAGCCGGTTGACTCAGGCAACAAGCTGCACCCGTACGGCCACGCCCTGGTTGCCGGTATCGAGCGGTACCCGTCCAAGATCACCCGGCGCATGTCCAAGAGCCGGCAGGAGAAGCGGAGCAAGGTCAAGCCGTTCATCAAGATTGTCAACTACAACCACCTGATGCCCACGCGCTACACCCTGGAGCTGGAGGGCCTCAAGGGCGTTGTCTCCAACGACACCTTCAAGGAGGTCAGCCAGCGGGAAGAGGCCAAGAAGACGGTCAAGAAGGTCCTGGAGGAGCGGTACACGAGCGGCAAGAACCGGTGGTTCTTCACTCCCTTGAGTATGTTCTTCTCTCTTCCATTGCCTCACTCCGTCTCTCTCTCTCTTGTCGTCATACTAACTGTCTGCAGAGTTTTAGATGGGAGGAGCTGTCTGTTTTCTCTTTGTCTCTCTTTTTTTTTTAGTTGCCTCACGGGAAGGTATCGATGTATCCAGCATCAGCTACAAAAAGCGGTCATAAAAAAAAGAAACAATACCATTGAACGGCACCCCTTCTCGTTCACTCTTACTCAATTCCACGCCGTCACGCCCATCGCCCGCTCGTGCTGTCATCTCTTTTTTTAAATGCCTGACCGGCCTGCTGTTAGCGGACAACGATCCCGCCCCTGAAGGCAATTGAAATGGAAGGAAGCGGAACTAGAATCTAGGGAAGGAAGACCGTGTCTTTATGCGTGAGAACAATGGCACGGTCACGGTGGCTGCTTGGGCTGTCCTCTTTCATGTTCAAGGAGAGACTGGAGCTGGTGTAAAGGGCAAAAAAGGGAAAGGTGACTCTACTAAAACGAATGGGCCTATGCTTTTCCGTAAGAAACAAAATTCAAAAAAACTTCAACATTCTTTATCTGGTTATCGACTGCCGCAAGTAAAACGTTGCTGTCGGTGCATAAAGAAATGGAAAAGCGAGCTAGCAAATCTTACATACTTTATTCTTTAGTAAAGCTCCTTTCATACGGTTCCACTAGGATTGTCTACCTGCGCCCCGAGCTCTAAATGAATCACGACCAGTACACCCAAATGTTGAAGCAGATGATCTATATACCCCCTCCAAATAAACTGCATCGATTTAAAAACCATACGAAGCAGCGTACAGACGAGATCGAGACAAGCAAAGCCACGAGGTAGAACGGAAGAAGCAACATAATCCTGTGGCAATTGATAGCGCGCCACACCCAGAGAGACGAAATAGGTGGAGGTAAAGGAGATAATGGAAATAGAAACATATATACTTGAAATTTTCTTTTGAAACATGGGAGAACTTATAAGTCCTCCGTCATTTGCTTGTGTCGTACTTCAGGAAGTCCAGGAGAAACGGGAGAGGTGCGTCGAAAGCTGCGGCTTTGGGGGACGTTTATGATGGATAGATGGCGATTCAGACGGTGATAAAGGTGGTATTATGGTGCCTGCATCTTTCGAATCGCATGTCCCTTCCCTGCCTTGCGTAGAGTGTATGTAAATGAGAAAGATCGCCTATATATCCGCATGTACTCGTTGGCTCTCTTCGGACCTTGCTCATTTATAGCCGTGCAGAAGGCAGGCCTGTTGGCAGGCTGTTAGGGCTGGCCCAGCTAAGAGTCCCGATGACAACGATGAGAACAGTGCCGACAATGATCATCTTGCGCAGAACAGGACGTGCGGCACCAAACTCGGCCCACTTGCGGCCAGCCTCGGCCAGGTAGGTCTTGAGCGTCTCGTAGCCCAGCTTGTAGTAAACCATGCCGCACAGGGCGATGCCATAACCGAAGAACTGCAGGCCAGTGACCGGGGTGCCCCAGATCAGCATGGATGCCGCCACCAGCAGGATGTCCTTCAGCACACCGCAGAGCGTGAGAACGAGAACGGAGGTTTTGCCAATCTGTAAGTGTTAGTCCAATATACTTCGTGCCAGCCGTATAATGTACGTTTCTTAACTTACCAGGAATACAACCGAGACGTTGAGCAAGAAGGCGCACAGGCCGTTCAAGCCAAACATGAAAAGTCCCACGTTCTGGAATTCAGCCAACGACACCTTGGGGACTTCCCATGCAAGCGCAACCATGAGGTTCATAACAGCACAAACGGGGGCAAAGTAGTAAAGCGACACCAGCGGGTCCATCTTGAAGTCTGCAGAGCTCAGCAGGCGCTGGACCATGGTCAGACGCAGGGCCTCGAACACGATTCCACCCAACTGGTACAAGAAGCCGGTCAGGACAAAGCTGATCTCGCCGATAGAGGCGAGGACAACCCCGAAAACGATGACCATGACATTCATGAAGACCTTGAGGTTGGGCTGAGAGACGCCCATAGCCCAGCTGGCCAGGAGAACGGCGACGGGGGTTGTAGCCTGTTGGTCAGTAAATGTCGGGCCTGTCACATGCGAAATAGTAGGACGGCTCGCCTACCTTGAGCATCTGGATGAATGCAACGCTCAGGTAGAGGTAGGTGAGGTTGCCGCAAATCAAGCTCAGACTGAAAAAGACGCCAATGGGGACAATGGCACGGAGGTAGACCCGGCCGGTCATCTTGACGGCCTTTCGGCCGTCTAGTAAGGTTGTGTACCGGGCCAGCAGCTGTGTCATGATAGTCGCGAAGATCAAGTGGTAGGTTGTCAAGATAACGGGGTAGCCTGATCAATTTCGTCAGCCACAACATTCGTCAGCATTGCCTTCCTTTTTTCGAACTCTCTGAGTGGGAGGGCCATACGGAAGTTGAGGGTATGGAGAATCCATTTGTTGAAGAGAATGACAGACGAGCTCAGGCCGATCCATGCACTACACGCAGCAAACAAAAGCAGTCAGCAATTAGCGTACGGCGCAAAGACAATGGTGGGAGCAGCGGCGGATGACAATGACATACATCACGTATGCGACTGCGGGTACCGAAGGCTTGGATGGTGACTTCTCTGCCTCTGGGTTGACAGTAGGGAGAACAGGTGCCAGCTCTCGAGGAGCCTCGCCCGAAGCGCGCATCTTGTCCTCACCGACGCTCATCGTGATTGGATTTGAAAGAGTGACGATAACCGAGTGCGAGCGGGGCTGCGTTGCAGGTGTTGAGGAAGAAGAGAGAAAAGAGTGTTGTGTGTGATGGCAAGTGTAAAGTGCCTATTTTTTTGACGTAGTCTTTTCTCGGTAGTAATAGTAATAGCGCGTCGGTTCGCGATGATAACGACACGGGCGAGTTTTCTGGACCTGACTGCAAGCGGGGCAGGTGCGAATGTCCAGGCAATGAGCGCCGAGGAAAGGGGCTCGGAAAATCAAATTAGGACCGAGCGCCACCAGTACTGAAAGAGGAAACTGGGCAAAAAAGGAGACGATGAGAAGAGGCACTACAGGTATGTAACAGGTGTACAGGGAAGATAAGATACGTCAAATGGGACGAGAGAGGGAAATTAAAATTAGCACAGAACCTCTCGCTGTTCATCATTACCACCTCGCCTGAAGCAGGCCGGGTTTCTTTTTCTCAGAAGCACCAAAAAGGAGAGGGAATGGCATGAAGGGAAAGCTAATGCCAGGTAGAGAAACTAGGCTGGGACAGGAGGAATTGTAGCGAAGGTGGGGCTGAACCAGGGGTGGGACGCGTGTGCTGGTACAGTGGGAAATTGAGTAACTTGACGCAAGAAAGCTTGTAGACGCTGGGCGAAACAGGCAAGGTGCGAAACGAAAAGGCCGGGTCTAGGCGACCGCTAGGGTAAGAACAACTGACGAATACTGCAGTCACGGCCCCTGGCCAAGGGTTATGCGCCAGTTTAGCAAAACTGTGGGGAGATGCTGTGCCAATCATAGCCCCTATATAACTGGCAATACTCCGTAGTCGTGCGCTACTCTACTACGACGTATGTACTGTGAAATGCAGTCCCACAACAGGTTTGCGATGCACCTTTCTTCCTCCAGACATCCTCCCGTGCGATGTGACTCCGCCAGTCGCTTCGACACGCTTGCATAAGCACTTGCAAACAGGTTTGACCATCCACGAAACACTGCCGATCAGAGGCAGTTGACACACCGTACTTGTGTGCAGTCGTAGCGAAAAGGTCCAGGATATAAGATACTGCTGCAGGTTAATCCCTATCTAGTATGGTGGTCCCGCTTTTAAACCGCTTGCCAGGGCTGGTTATAAAGGCCGCCCACAGTACCCACAGAAGGGCAGTCTCCGGTCGTTTTTTCGCTGGCTGTGCGAGTAATAAGTGAGCAGGCCAACACGTTGCAGCATCTACATACTCCGTACGAGCCGGAGATTCGTAGGATGCAAAACAGGAAAAGGCTCGTACGAAGTACAAGCACATGTTTTGACAGACCTTACGTCGTACTTCTCAAGGAGGCCCTATCGCGGAGGTACTTATGTTCTTGTGGTAGCCTCATACTATCATGAATAGTAACATCTGTACGGAGTACTACGTACAACCCTATTCTTAGATGTCCACTGGCATGCTCTGTACGTAAGGTATCTGCTATGCTTGAGCTCAAACCCGGTGACGTGTAAAACAGATGATCATGACGGCACGCCATCAGCAATTACATCCTCACGGCACAATGGTCGAATCTGAAATCTAGGTACATTACTCCGTACTTCGCACTCCGGATGCATTATCATTTAGCTCTCTAGATCCCACCATAAGGTACAAACCATTTGCTCTACACTCCTTCAAGTGTCAATCCGGGGTAGAGGATCCTCAACTCGGCCGGTAACTTATCGTGAGAGTCGTGACACTTTGAGTAATATGTACTCCGTACCACGCCGCTGTATATCCACCCAGACGCCCAAGGACGTCTTCATATACGTCGTAAAGACAACACTATGCCAGATGCATGGCATTACGGCCACAATGCAATACCTTGCTCAATTCTGTACACGTAGCTCAGCTTAATGTCTTTCTCTTCTCGTATGGCTGCAAGACCAAAGACGCCGAGCTCTCTCAGCAGCGTCACATATAAGAGGCATCATATTTATTAGTGTCTGCTTCCGAAAGTTGAACCACCGTTCCAGATACATGTATCTTACAAGCCTGCCAAGAACAATAGTGCCAATGTTACCGGCGCTTGTCACCAGAATCTAGGCCTTCTAAGAAGAATAAAGTGGACAGCGGCACATCCGCGAAGCGAAACGTTTTGGCGTCCTCTGCTATTGATGTATATATTTGACCACTCTTGCATGGCACATTTCCAAGGAAACGACGAGCAATGTGACAACAGTAGGTAGTATTAGACGACATGAGTACACTCCGTACCCTATCTCATTCCAAAGAAAGCTAGCCGGGACTCTATTTTAAACTATGTACGGAGTAGCCACACAGGCCAGCGGCTGTACTGATAGGCCTCTCTGTCCACTGTTGTCGTGCAAGGTTAGACTAGATCCCGGTGGCACTGTGATTGTCCCACCCGTATGCCGTATTTGCATTCGCACTCCGTAATTTAAGTTGGATGTTACCCTCAAGCGAGTGGCTCCGGGCCGCAATAACAGCAAAACATGGCCGGATTTAGACCTAATAAGCAGTTCAACAGAGTGGTATGCTCACTCGCATTGGATTATGGGCGTCTGCTGCAAACGGCGAGACAGTGCTTTGCAAAGCTTATGCATATACTCCCGAGCAATGTAAGCATACATCGTATGCGTGTTATCACATTAAGGGTCAGCAAAAAGCTTGATGTACAACGGTATTCAAGATAGGTGGTGGGTCCTGGCAAATAGCAGAGAAAAAGAACAGATTGCCTAGGGATAGTCTGAATTGTCCCTCCCCACTGTCCAGCGCTAATACTAATCAGGGGCTGGCCGCTGCTACCCACCGCATCTCATAATTTGTTTTCGAGCCCCGCCATTACAAACGGCCAATTCAAAAACGCCAAAGACGCCTTTCTCTGGGACAAGGGGATACAAAAGGAGATATTGCCTCATCAACAGCACAGACGGAGAATTCTGGTGCTACTATCCGTTCTCCCCACTGCTTCCTGCCTGGCTTGTTTCTGCAGCGTCTCAATTCGTGTTTCTGCCACCTTATCACGACCCGTCCCATCATTATCGCGCCTTCTTGCTGCCCGACAATGGCTGATATGTGTGTCTTTCTGCTTCCGTGCCCACGATGCCTGTCACTTACACCGTTGCAGCAACGTCGACGTTCTCGTTATCGGTGCCGGGCCAACGGGCCTGGGAGCCGCCAAGCGCCTCAACCAGATTGTGAGATCTATCCGTGGCAAGCTGAAGCACGGTGGCACTGTGACATTACAGCGCTGCAGCATGGCAACAGAGCTCGTGGCCCACCCCTTGTGCACTGCTAATCAAAAGCTGCACAGAACGGTCCCTCGTGGCTCATCGTGGACGCCAACGACAAGGCTGGCGGTCTCGCCTCGACCGACGTGACTCCCGAAGGCTTTGTACGTTATCTCCCGTGATGTGTGTCCGTTGTGCGTCCCGCTTTCTAGACTGACCGCCTTGTGGCACGTTTTCTAGCTGTACGACGTCGGTGGCCATGTGATCTTCTCTCACTACAAGTACTTTGATGACTGCCTGGACGAGGCTCTTCCCAAGGAAGATGACTGGTACCACCACCAGCGGATCTCGTACGTGCGGTACAAGGGCCTCTGGGTGCCGTACCCGTTCCAGAACAACATCTCGATGCTGCCCAAGGATGACCAGGTCAAGTGCATCGACGGGCTGTTCGACGCGGCGCTCGAGCACCGCGTGGCCAACACCAAGCCGACCAACTTTGACGAGTGGATTCTGCGCAACACGGGCGAGGGTATTGCCAACATCTTCATGCGGCCGTACAACTACAAGGTGTGGGCGGTGCCGACGACCAAGATGCAGTGCGCATGGCTGGGCGAGCGTGTGGCCGCGCCTGACGTCAAGTCTGTGACCCGCAACGTCATCCTCAACAAGGTTGCCGGCAACTGGGGTCCCAACGCAACCTTCCGCTTCCCGGCGCGGGATGGCACCGGCGGGATCTGGATTGCCGTGGCCAACACGCTGCCGGAGAAGAAGACGCTCTTTGGCAAGAAGGGCGAGGTGACCAAGGTCGATGCCGACAAGAAGACGGTCACGCTGGCCAACGGCACCACGGTTGGTTACGGCACGCTGGTCAACACCATGGCGGTCGACCAGCTGGTCGAGAAGATGGGCGACAGCGAGCTGATCAGCCTGTCCAGGGAGCTGTACTACTCGTCGACGCATGTTATTGGTGTCGGCATCCGTGGCGAGCGTCCGGAGCGCATTGGCGACAAGTGCTGGGTGAGTTTTTCTCTCTTTCTTTTTCTTTTTCTCGTGCCTTGGTCTGTGCTAACCTCGACAGCTGTACTTCCCCGAGGACAACTGCCCGTTCTACCGGGCGACGATCTTCTCCAACTACTCGCCGTTCAACCAGCCAGAGGCGGACGTGAAGCTGCCGACGCTGCAGCTGGCCGACGGCAGCAAGCCGGCATCCAGCGAAGCCGAGGCCGGCCCGTACTGGTCGATCATGCTGGAGGTGTCGCAGTCGACGCAGAAGCCGGTGGACGAGGCCAACCTGCTGCGGGACTGCATTCAGGGTCTGGTCAACACGGAGATGATCAAGCCGGACGACGCGATCGTGTCGACGTACCACCGCAAGTTCGATCACGGCTACCCGACGCCGGCGCTCGAGCGCGAAGGCGCACTCAAGCAGCTGCTGCCCAAGCTGCAGGCCAAGGACATCCTCTCGCGCGGCCGCTTCGGCAGCTGGCGGTACGAGGTCGGCAACCAGGACCACTCGTTCATGCTCGGCGTCGAAGCCGTCGACCACATCGTCAACGGCGCCGTCGAGCTGACGCTTAACTACCCCGACTTTGTCAACTCGCGCCAGAACACGGAGCGTCGTCTGGCACAGACCTTTGCCTTTGGTACACCGGCGGAGACGGCACTGCCCACCCGCTAGAACGGACAGGTGCTGGCGGAGGCTCCATGTGAGAACCGTCGCGGCAGGTCAGATGTGCCTCCCTCTGCTTCTGATCATCACGACCGGCTTGCGCTAGAGTAGTGCATGCGGCAGGATCGAAACGAATAGACGACCGGGCTTTCTTCGAGCAGAGACCCTGGGTATATATATATATATAGATAGCTAGCGAGACTGAGGGGGTCGGTGCAAGCACGTTGTGTTTTGCTTGGGGAACACGTGATGACATGTTGCTTAGATACAGAGAAAGGGGGCAATGCAACCGGCTTTTTCACTGTCTGCTTTATTTGCGGGTATGATGAGAAGAACCGAACCCACGCACTGATCTAGGTCAGACCATGGACTCCTGCCAAGCTGGTATCGGCTGCTTTGTCTAAACCTTGAGTTCCAAACCCGCTTTTTTATGCATAGTCAAAATGGGAACTGCCACCACCGGCATTGCTTTTCAGCCTCGTCTTCAAGCAGTTTCGTTTCCATACTACTATGTATATGGCAGACTGCAGGAACCAGTCTTGCGCCTGTTTGGCCTAGCCTCCTTTCTGCTGGCTCCCTGTAAGACGATATATTTCACTTGGCTGCCATTGGCTGCCATTGGCTGCCATTGGTTGCGAAAGCCCCGCGTTGACATCATTCACAACACGAATGTGCCCTTGCCAGGTTCAAGAGCCGGGGTATTAGGATTCGAAAAAAACCTGGTTGTGCACGCGGGTGCGATTACCAAAGGGCACTGCACGACGAAATTGCCCTGTCCTCGCAAAGTCTGGCCGGTCAAGCCGCGCGCAGATATTGATAAGCCGGCCGACCAATTAGGGCTCTAGACCGTTCAGGATCATCGGAGCGAGACAGGAAGGAGCCAACAGCACCGCCCGTTCTCGGCTGCCTGTTGCCTGGACGAAAAAGACGGTATTTTGAGGAGCGAGAGACATCGACAAGCAAAACTAAATCGCAAGACACGAGCACGATTGAAAGCTGGCGAGAGAAGAATGCGCGCCGACTGTCTGCGCAACTGGCTCTCGTTTATGTGCCTTGACCAGGCAAGCGTCCCCGTTATTTCAAAAGTAGCGCGGTCCACTAACTAAGACTTGGGATAATGCAAGCAAGAAAAGAACCGCACATTACCAAAGTTGACTGTGACATCGGCTTCGTCGTCTTTTTTTCCCGCCTCTTTTCGCCTGTCTCGAGACAAGGACAGCGACGATAGCGAAGACCAGCGCGCATCCGATTCCTAGCCGCAGCTAGGACAGACAAAGGCAGTCTTCGTGCAAGTCCCGGCAAGTCTCCACAGCGAGTGACCGAGCTTACGCCACTCTTTTACGGACCCGAACTTTGCCTCGCCTCTGGCCTCTACCACCGGCCTGACGCCCAACATTCCCGCCGGCGACTCCTGGCCCGCAGCATTCTTCCGAGCTCCTGTAGCAGCAGCGGCGGAACCGAGGGGACCGAGAAATTAGCGCCTTGCAAGCCAGTCTTGGCCGACTGGCCCGACCGCGACGAACGATCTTTTTCGGCTGCGACAGACCAGTCCGAAAGCCCCTCTCCACGAGAGCAGCTGGCTCGTCGTGCGGCCAGCCCACCTCCTCGCGAGCTCGGCCAACGGACATGTGCCCTTTTCTGGACGCGCACATCCGTTCCTGACCTGCCGATGTCGTGTCGAGACGGGACCATGGTTTCTTGCGAAACTCGATAAGCTTATCGACACAGAAAGACTCAACCTGTCAAGAGGGGGAAAGGCAATCTTGCGAGCCGGTCACCCGAAGACGCCCTAGTGGCCATACCCTTTTCTCCTTTACACTCGACCGCCCATCTGCGTGCGTGTAAACTCGTCGCACGCTGCCGCCATGGACTTTGACGCCAGCCTGTCGCCGGACGACAGCCTCGACCCCCCGGTGCGCCTCTTTGAACGGCTCCACCAGATCGCTGGGTACTCGTGGGACGAGACCCCAAAGCCGTACCATTCAAGCTACGACAACTGGTACGTCACGACGGCCGTCATTCGTTCGTGCTGTGGACTGACTAACTCTTCCTCCTCGCCAGGCACGTGTTCGGCACGCGCTTTATCTCTCCGTTCTCGACGTCGTCTGGCCTGCCCACTGGCTTGCGCCATGCTTCCACGTGGTCACCCGTTGCCAGGGCCTCGTCTAGCCGGGCCTCGCCTGCTGAGCCGCCCGTCTTCTCTCCATCAGCAGGCGAATGGGTGGGCGACCATACCGGCAACGCATCGCCCTCAGCCAACTCGGCCACGCCCGACCTTGCCAACTCGCCGGTCGTAGAGGAAGCCGTGGTGGCACGGGTGTCTTACCATGTCTTGCGGGAGGAGCGGGCCTTCCACATTGTGACTAGCATGATCTCGAGCGGGGATCCGCACGGGGAGCACATTGCCAAGCCAATCGACTACCTGCGGCTCAACCATCTCCCAGGCGACCGCGGGCCTCTCATCGTGGCCATATACCAGTTCCCGGGGACGAACGACCTGCCGAGATACATCGATCTCGGCCCCGCATTCTACTACGCCCACCGCAAGGGCGATGTCTGGGAGGCCAGCACCAAATCCCGCTATGAGCTTGAGCCGCCCATCAGCCTGGATCACTTTCTCGACTTTGCCATTGGAGCGGCGCAATGCCTGGAGCTCATCCACCACAACCAGAACATCGTGCATGGAGAGATCCGCGGCGACGCCTTCCACTTTAACCAGGAGACAGGCAGGACGAAGCTGGTGTCGTTCGGGTCGGGCGTGCGGTCCTTTGAGCACGGCCTGACGAGCACCGGCTGGTCTTCGCTCTCCCGAGAGCGAGGAGCCAAGAACAAGCTTCTTTACATCAGCCCCGAGCAGACCGGCCGCATGCCGGCCGAGCCAGACTCCCGCACCGACATATACTCGCTGGGGGTGCTATACTGGGTCATGCTCACGCAGCGCCCCGTCTACGAAGGAGACACGCCAATGGACATTGTGCAGGGCGTGCTGGGGCGCCGGGTGCCGAACGTGTCGGCCGTGCGAATCGACATACCCGACGTGATTGGCCGCATCATCCAAAAGTGCACCGCCAAGAGCATCAGCGATAGATATCACTCTGCGAGCGGGTTGCGCCAAGACCTGGTCAAGGTGAAGGAGTGCCTCGCGAGTGGCGACCTAGCCACGCTGAAGGACTGGCAGGTGGCCTCTCGTGATGTCTCGTCCTTCTTTCTGCTGCCCAACCTGATGATTGGCCGGGATGCACAGCGGAAGGCGCTCTTCAAGGTCATCGAGCGCGTGGCCAAGAGCCATGCCATGGACCAGAAAGGCAAGGGCAACCGGTTTTCGGACAGCTCGAGCTTCTCCAACGACTTTGTCGACATTGTCGATGGGTCGAGCGACGGTGGAGCAAGCTCTGGAGACGGTCCCAACTACCGGAGCGGCTCCTTCACCCAGACGGCTCCAACTGACGTCAAGTTCCGGGGCAGCCTCCTCTCTGCTACGCAGTCGACCGACAATCTCACCGTGTCGGGAGACATGTCGTCGATCCATTCCAACGGGCCGCCGCTCCGTCTTCCCCAGCGATCTTGGGAGTGGCATTCGTCCGTGTCGTTTGATCTCCGGAGCCCACTGGAAGGCTCCATGACCGAGCGCGAATCGTCGCGCCATGCTGGGTCCATCGTGGCAGAGACGACGTCCAGCCTGTCACGGCAGCTCGGGTCGGCCAAGTTTCGACGCCGCGGTCACTGTGAGATCATCATCGTCGAGGGTGCTGTGGGCGTGGGCAAGAGCTGCCTCATCCAGTCTGTCATGACGGAAGCACGACGACGAGGCTACTGTGCGACGGCCAAGTTTGACAAGGCCAGGAAGGCTGCCTTCGGACCTCTTCTCCACCTGCTCTCGTCCCTCTTCCGCCAGGTATGGGGTGAGCGAAACACGGACACGCCCTTTCACCAGGCCCTGAAGCAGTATGTCCGGCCTGTGTGGCCGACGCTGCATCTGCTCCTGGGCCTGCCGGATTTCCTCTTCAATTCGGCAGACGGAGCACCCGTCCTGTTGCGCTCGCCGTGCAGCCAGCAGTTTGGGGCTCCACCCAGCAAGGGCACGCGGCCTGCGGACCTCAAACGTGTCTCGTCGCCGGGACCGTCTTCATCGTCGTCGAGCATGGGCCCTAACAAGGGCAATTCTGCGGGCGGCAACCCGTCGCGAATGTCCGGCTCGAGCTCGCAGGAGTTTTTGAGGGCCGGCACGTCGACCAAGTCCATTCGGCTGATGAACACAATCCTCGATGTTCTGCGCATGTTCACGAGCCACAAGTTTATCTGCTTCGTCCTGGACGACCTGCACTTTGCCGATGCCGAGTCGCTGGAGATGATTACTCAGATCATCAGCGCACGTCTGCACATGGTGCTCATCATCTCATGCCGGCCGGACGGCACGGCTCGCAGCAATATTCAGAGCATACTGAGCCCGCTCGAACTGGACAGAGATGCGCCAAAGGGCAGTCAGACGGTGACGCGTGTTGAGCTCGGCCCTCTTGCCGAGCAGGACATTGTCAAGTATGTAGCCCTGACGCTCAGCCGATCGGAGCAAGAGGTCATGCCACTGTCGCTGGTGCTGCAGGCAAAGACGGCGGGCAACCCGTTCTACATGAGGGAGATGCTCAGCGCGTGCTACCGACGGAAGTGCATCTGGTACGACTACCGCGAGTCGCAGTGGGCTTACGACATGAACCGGGTGTTTGAGCAGTTCCAGGGCGACAGGCACTACGACATCCTGGACACGGACTTTATCACGAACCGGCTCAAGGAGCTCCCGGCGGCAACGCGCTCGATTCTCGGCTGGGCTGCGCTTCTGGGGAACGCGTTCTCCTTCGGGATGATCTGCCATCTCCTGAGCGGCGAGTTCAACTACATCGACGAGACGTGTCCGGAGCCGCTGAGCACGCACGTGCACACGGCGTATTCGCAGCAGGACGCGGTAGCCGGTCTGCAGGTGGCGATCCAGGCGTGCGTGATCGTGCAGAGCGAGACGGACGACCGGTTCCGGTTTGCGCACGACCGGTACATCCAGGCCTCGATGGACATGAAGGTGTGCAGTGCCAAGAAGATGCACTTTGTGATTGCGCAGATGCTTCTGCGCTACTACAACGACGACGTGGACACGCGCGACAGCACGGCGTCGCACATCTGCGAGGCGATGGAGGTGATCAAGGCGCGGGTGCACCGGCGACAGGCGTATCGCAAGCTGCTGTGCGACTGCGGCCGCTCAGCGACGGAGAACGGGGCGCGGTCGACGGCGGCCAAGTACTACAGCAACGCGGTGTCGCTGCTGCAGCCAGACGGATGGAGAGACGACGGCGACGACGTGTCGTACGAAGAGACGATCCAGCTGTACCTCCGGGCGGCCGAGTGCTATCTCTACATGAACCAGTACGCGCTGGCCAACGAGATCCTGACGACGATCCTAGCCAACGCAAGGTCGGCATTCGACAAGGCGCCAGCATGGGTTCTGCAGTCGCGCATCTTTGCCCAGAGCGGCAACCCGATCAAGGCGCTGTCGTCGCTCCGGGAATGTCTGCAGGCGATGGACGTGCGCGTGCGAGACGAGCCGACATATGAGCAGTGCGATGCCGAGTTCGAGAAGCTCTCGGTTCGGATCCAAGGCATGGGGCGCAGCGAGGTGCTCAACCCGCCGACGACCAACGATGCGGCGACGGTGTCGGTGGGCGCGGTGCTGGCCGAGGCGCTGAGCACGAGCTTGTGGACGGACAACCTCTACATCTACCACGTTGCGCAGGCGATGGTCAACATGCACCTGACGCTGGGGCCGTTTCCGCAGTCCGGACTGGGCTTCCTGTACCTGGCCATCATGGCGATCACGCGGTTCGGGATGATCCGGTTTGCGTCGGACCTGGGCGACTATGCGCTGGAGCTGCTGGATCGGTTCCGCGACCCTTACTGCATGGCGCGCGGCTACATCCTGTATGCCGGCTTTGTGGGCCACGTCCACTACCCCCTGGCGCTGACGGTCACGCAGCTGGAAGGGTCGCTGGAGTATGGGGCGGCATCGGCGGACCGGATGTCGGCGATTCTCAACTTCGGGGTGGCGGCCATGATCAAGTTCTTTGCGAGCGAGAACCTGTCGGACCTCGAGGGCTTCTGCGAGTACTGCTGCGAGGACATTGCGAGCTGGCACCTGGACACGCAGGGCGGCACTTTGCTGGTGGCAGTGCGCCAGTGCAGCCGGGCGTTGCAGGGGAAGACACACACGCAGGAAGCGCTGGACGTGATGAGCGACGAGCAGCACGACGCGGCCGCGTACAAGAAGTGGCTCGCGGCGCACTCGTGCAACGGGGAGCGGTCGCTGGTGTTCTACGAGTCGATGGAGCTGGTGCCGCTGTATCTGTACGGGCACTACGACCGGGCGCTGGAGTTGGGCCAGCGTTGTCTGGGCCGGGGCCGGCTGATGCTATCGGCGCGGAACACACGGCTGGTGATGCTCTTTTACGGGCTGGCGCTGGCCGGACTGGTGCTCCGGCGGCAGCAGGACCCGCGGCGACGACGCGACGGCGACGGCGTGGTGGAGGAGCAAGACCGGACGGAAGACACGATCCTGAAGCTGCAGGAGCTGCGCAAGGGCATACAGGACTGGTCGGACGTGTCGGACATCAACTACCTGGCCTGGTCGACGCTGCTGGACGCACAGATCTCGGAGCTCAGCAACGACGTCGGCCGTGCGCTGCGGCAGTACGAAGAGGCGCTGGACCACTCGTCGGAACACAGCTTCATCTTCGAGGAGGCGCTGGGCAACTACCTGATGGCGGGCGTGTTTATCCGCAGGGCAGCGCGGCGGTCTGCACGTGCGGCTCTGCGCGATGCCGTCGGGCTGTACCTGCAGGTCGGGGCGTCGGGCGTGGTCGGGCGGATCGAAGAAGAACACAGCTTCCTGCTGCGAAGCCCACTGAAGAACCCACGGACAGTCGACGCGGCAGTGCAGACAGACTTTGCGACGGACCACACGTCAGTGCACTACGACGGCATCGGCGGCGGCGGCGAGATGGACCAGCAGACGAACAGCGACATTCTCGAGACGGGTCGGCCGAGCCATCTGTCGGGGATCCGGGGCGAGCGAATCGGCGTGTGGCGAGGGGCAATGCAGGCCGAAGCCGAGACGGGCATCGGCGGACTGCCGGCACTGGACATGATCGACCTGCACGCGATCCTGCAGTCGTCCCAGGTGATCTCGTCGGTGCTGCGGGTGGACGAGCTGCTGAAGACGATGTGCGATGTGATCCTGCAGACGTGCGGCGGGTCAGCGACCCAAGCAGCGATCATCGTGCAGGACGAAGACGAGGCAGAGTGGTGTGTGGCGGCAAGCGGTGATCCGGAGCGCAAGGCGGTGGCACACATGCCGGGGATTCCGCTGACAGGGACGCGGATCGTGGCGGAGAACGTGGTGCTGTACAGCCTGCGATTCCGGGAGTCGGTGTTTGTGGCCGATCTGATCAGCGACGAGCGGTTCGGCAACGTCAGCGAGCAGTGGCTGCAGCAGAAGAAGCAGCAGAGCCGGTCGGTGATCTCGATCCCGATCTGCCACGCATCGAACCCGCTGATGGGGGTGCTGTACCTGGAGGGGGTGCAGGGAGCGTTTACGGACCGGAACGTGACGGTGCTGCAGCTGCTGGTCAACCAGATCGGCATCAGCTACTCGAACGCGCTGTCGATGAAGGCGACGGAGAAGGTGTCGGCCGAGAACCGGTCGATGGTGGTGTTGCAGAAGACAGCGCTGCGCAAGGCGATCGAGGCAGAGAACAAGGCGAAGGAGGCAGAGAACAAGGCGAAGCAGAACCTGCAGCTGGCCGAGGCAGCAGAGGCAGAGGCGAAGCGGAACGTCAAGGTAGCGGAAGAGGCGACCAAGGCCAAGTCGATATTTCTGGCGAACGTGTCGCACGAGCTGCGGACGCCACTGAACGGCGTGATTGGCAACTCGGAGCTGCTGCGGGACAGCAGCCTGACGGCAGAGCAGCAGGAGATGGCGGAGGCGATTCGGCTGTCGGCAGACCTGCTGCTGATCGTGATCAACGACATCCTAGACTTTTCGCGGATGGAGGCCGACAAGATGAAGCTGTACATCACCGCGTTCAACCCGCGGGAGCTGATGCCGGAGGTGGTGCGAGCGGCGTCGTACCGAAACCAGGAGAAGACGCGGGAGGGCGCGGTGGCGATCGAGAAGCAGATCCGGCTGCCACCGTCGCTGTTTGTGTACGGCGACCCGGTGCGGCTGCACCAGGTGCTGGGCAACCTGATCGGCAACAGCATCAAGTTCACGGAGCGCGGCACGATCACGGTGGGCGCACGGGTCGAGTCGGAGACGGCGGCGACGGTGACGCTGACGTTCTGGGTCGAGGACACGGGCATCGGCATCCAGCCGGACCAGCTGGCCAACCTGTTCCAGCCCTTCAGCCAGGCGGACCCGAGCACGGCGCGCAAGTACGGTGGCAGTGGGCTCGGCCTCAGCATCTGCAAGTCGCTGATCGAGCTGATCATGAAGGGCAGGATCTATCTCGAGAGCACACAGCACGTCGGGACCAAGGTCTGGTTCACCGTTACCTTTGACAAGGCCACGGAGAAGGGGCTGTTGGGAGGGGTGTCGCCGGCCACGGTGGCGGCATCATCACCAGGTGGAGGGGGGAGTGGGAGAGAAGGGGGGGATGGAAGAGAAGGAAGAGAAGGAAGAGAAAAGAGAGGGGCGACTGACCCGACTGACCCGACCGAACCGACAGAAACCCACACGGCACACACCACGCCCTACATGGACCTCAGCGGGATCGACCAGGACCAGCTGCGGGTATGCATTGCGGAAGACAACCCGATCAACCGCAAGATTGCGATCCAGTACGTGCAGAGGCTCGGGTACCAGACCGTGGACGCGTACGAGAACGGGCAGATGGCGGTGGAGGCGCTGCGGCAGAAGGCGCTCGAGGGCCGGCCGTACCACGTCCTGTTGATGGACGTGCAGATGCCCGTACTGGACGGCTACGAGGCGACGAAGTTGCTGCGCAGAGACCCCCTGCGAGCCGTGCGCGAGGTGCTGGTGATCGCCATGACGGCGTCGGCCATCCAGGGCGATCGCGAAAAGTGTCTGGCCGCGGGCATGAACGACTATCTGGCGAAGCCGGTCAAGTCGGACGTGTTGCGGCGGAAGCTGGACGTATACATTGGCGTGGTGAGTGGGAGAGAGAGAGAGAGAGAGAGAGAGAGAGAGAGAGAGAGAGAGAGAGAGAAAAGTGCTAACATACACAGCGACACCCAGACAAACCGAGAGACTCCGAAAACATAGATCCACAGCCGACAGACGATGCCAACTCGACAGAGACAACGCCGACAAAGAAGCTGTTCAAAATCCTGCAGTCCAAGAGCCGGCTCTCGAACGAGGCGGTGCCAGACCGGCCAAAGTCGAGCCCGTCGGTGCTACAGAAGAAGAACCCGCTGCTCCGACCGGATCAGGGACCAGAAGGGACGGACGGGAACGGCAGCAGCGGCAGCGGCGAGTCGTCAGCAGCGAACCGGCCGGCTGGGAGACAGAGAAGCCTGAGCATTGCATCGATGATCAGCTCGCGGAGCAAAGGCCAAAAGGGGGGGGATACCGGAGGAGAGGAGGGCGAGTACAAGAGAGGACGCGTATGAGGGCAATGAGAATGACGAGGATCAGCATCCATGAAGGAGATACGACAAATGGGAGTTCTTTCGAATTGGGCGTTTACATGGGTCGACATCCGGCCTGGACTGCCGCGAGGATACGAGATTTGTCTGGAAGATGTCCCAGACCGCGACGCAGGGCTGCGCAGATGGCTATAGAAACACATTACAGAGGTTCGGGGTGAATTAAAGGGATGGCATTCTTTGACTTTGAGACTGGGTTGCACAGCAGGCTGCACTGTCAGTGGGTGCTGTCAGGGCTGCTTAGTTAGCTGCAGGCCTAGCAGCCCCAGCCGCCAACCGCTCAGGTATCCGCACACACGTGGAGGTCGGACAGCTGTGGCGACCACGCAACCTCTTCCCGGCTAGCGACCAGATGGCGCGCCGACGGCGTTGCCGTGAACCGTGATAGTCTGTGCCCGAACGTCCGGAAAGGGAAGAAGGCCCATGGGCGTATTGGCCAGGCCGCGAAGACGAGAGAGAAGAGGAAAAAAAGGAAAAGACGAGCAGCATCCAGCTATACTTGACAGCGATACGAAACCGAGCAGCTTAGCCTGTCAGACGGATGCGGAGAATCTCCGGCGCTTGTAAGAACAGAGGCTGATGAAAAATCACAAGAGACTAGAGAGGGACGTGCGGCCTGCTCGTACGAGCCTAAGCACGGCTCTGCAGAGCTGAAGTCGGCGGCGGTCGCTGCTCCACACCAGTATTGGCTGTCCGTTTTTATACTTTGGGGCGCCCGGCAGAGAAGAAAAGGATGTAAGTACGTAGTACGCAGCCCTGCTCCGTCTAATTTGCACACGGCCGGTCCTTTTTCCCTTTTCCCTTTTCCCTTTTCCCTTTTTCCCTTTGGCTTCTTCCGCCTTGGCCTGCTCGCAATGCAGGAACGGCAGACCAGGCAGACTTGGTCGTCTCGAAACCGCCACTCTCCCGGCTTCGTTCCTTTTTCCTTACCCCCCCAATCTTCCAGCAGCAGGCCCGCTGCCCCGGTCGCTGGCTGCCCAATCGCAGCTCTTACCAGGCGCTAGGAGTGCCATGTCCTCTTTGCCTTTCTGGCCTAAACCCTTTTTGCCATCTGGACCCCCTGATCCTGTTCCGATACCACTTGCTATGTAGCCTGTACTAGGCAAGCGCTGCTGGTTGCCAGCTGATGGCGGCATACGTCAAGAGCCCGTCTGCGCGTTCCACCAGATCCTACTCCGTACTCCGTACACAGTAGCATGAAGCCGGCCCTTTTTTTCCATCTCTCTGGCCACGGCATGGCCGAGAGAGGCCGTTTTCTGTCACATCGCACGCACGCTCCCAGAGCAGACAGGACCTTCCGGACTCGATGTACGCAGTAGGCGTACGAGTATCTTGTGCCTGCGACCCGATCCTGAAACCACAGCCGCAGGGAGGATGCGCAATTTTGGCGATCCCCCGGCGGCTACTCTTGCTGCGAGCCTGTGCCGGGTACAGTGTACACAGAGCGAATGCCCCACTGTATCTTGTGCTGGCAAGGCTAGCAGATCGATTGGCCGTTTCCGTTTGGGGGAAGACGTTAATAGCTCTTTGCACCAGGCCGTGTTGGACCGAGCGTCACCCGACACAATAGGCAGGAGCCGAGACGCAGACAAGGACGAAGTACTCGGAAAGGGAAAGAGAAAGGACCGCCAGCATCAGAGCGAAGAGCTAGTACGACGTACGACGTGTAGACGGGAAAAGACAAGCTCCATGTTGTTATGCAAGTATCCTGCAATCACGCTTCGCTAGCATCATCGTCAGCATGGACGGGGGGGATCCCCCTTATTCTCCGGCCGGGCGTGTTTCAATCGTGATTTGTTTATTTGTTTATTTGTTTATTTCTTTCCCTTGTCCTCTTTTGTCCTCGGCGAGGCCGTTGGGAGGGGAGGGTCCTGACGATGCTATGTACATGCACGCCGAATGATGCAATGCAACGCTGCCGGGATTGCAACGACCAGGCCGGGGCCTGGTCGCCGTCCTTTCGGTCGCATACACAAAAGGGGGCTCGGAGACTTGGCATGACCGGCACATACGACGTACGACGTACGGAGTACATAGTCTCGCAGTCTGACGCAAGGAGACAAGCAGGAGGAAAAGGACCGGCCGCCTGGCTTCCCGTCTGACAGACCGCCTCTGCACGACGGATCGTTTGTCGGGCGAGGCTGTCTAAAAGGCCGCTGGGATCGTGTCTTTTGCTGTTTTCTGCCTCTTTCGTCCTCCTCCCACGTTCACATCCCTCACACGTGACACATACTGCCAGGCCCAATGTATCGGCCCACTGCCACAGCACACAGACCTCTCTCTAATCCTTCCCGGCTCAACAGAACCCCAGCTTGTCTCTCTTCAGCACTATCGGTGTAACCGAAATCCCATTCCAGCAGCCCCCCGCACTCTGGCATCGCTACGAAGCTACTGTACGGGGCAGGCGAGTACACCAGTTCCTACTTCAGCTGCTCTTCGTCCTGGCTGCTAGACTCTTTCCACGTCGGAAGAATAGCCTGCTCGTACGAAAAAAAAAAAAAAGGCTCCGCCCTGTCTAACTCGTTGCAGGAGCCCTGCAGCTGGCGCATGGATTCGGCCTCGTCACCTCGGCCCTCTTCCTGTATCTTACCGCTTTGGGGCAGATCCACCACTCTGTCCTGCTGGCGGTCCTTCTTTTCCCGTCCCGTCGCCTTCCGGTGGATGCGCCCGACCCCCGCCCGCCCCCCCCCCCCCAAAATGGGGGGCCTCTAAGGCTCTGCGACGCTGCTCCGTGCGAAAGTCTCCAGCCGATACGGCCAGGTTTGCCCGATCTGGCCGACTTCCTGTTGTGGCTCCAACGCCCCTCTGTAACGGCCTGGGAATGGAGCGGAGGCCAGGCCTCATGGTATCTTGCAATGTCCCGTACGCTCAACCGGTCTGCTCTCGCCTGCAAGGAGAAGGTGGTATTCTCCCCAATTTGCAAGAAAAAGTAAGATGGATTCGCCGCGTCAAACGAGCGTAACCCCGCCGCCAGTCCTCTCTCCCGATTTCCTTCTTCCTTTTTTCTTCTTTTCTCCCTTCCTTTTTCTATTTCCTTCCTTTTTTCTCCTCTCTGCCCCAACCTATCATTTCCAGTCATCCCGAGCCCTAGCCAGGCTGGTCTCCCCGTTGGCCCTCGATACGAAGTGCCTGTCCATCCAGTAGAATAACGCAGTATTTTTCTCGCATACAGGGACTGCTACATAGTATTATCCTCCTCCTTACAGGTGCTACACAACGACAGGGGTCTTCTCTTCTTTTCTCTTCCCCCCCCCGAGCCACGGCCCACAGCCCATGGTTTCACCCTCCAGCCCTGGTCGGATTGCTGTAATCTTGGGGCCTGGGATCCTTTTGCTTTTTTTGCAATTCTCTTAAATGAAAACAAGGCCTTTCATTTGCCATACGAGATGCAGACGAGGAGGCGCCTGAGTCGCCATGTAAGATAGTAATACGTGGTGGGACCCGGAAAGCAGTCCGTGCTGGTGCACGAGACCTCGGCCTCGTTTGAACAGCCAGCTCGGCAGCCGCAGCCTCATGTCAGAGAGCACTGTCCGTCTGTCCGTGGGGAAGCGGATGGTGGCCGCGCTATGTCCCGATTGAGAAGCCGGCTCGTAAAGCAGGCCTGCAATGAGCCACAATCAAGCCAGCTAGCTGCTCGTATATTAGCCACATGCAGGGCGGACAGCGCATATGCTCCTACATGCATACTCCGTACACCCCGTGAGGAAAGAGCGGCCCTCTCTCGCGCCCGCAGCGAGACCGGGGACGGAGACAGCAATCAAGGGAAGGCGCAAACAAGGGTGTCCGCCCTCCGCCCCCCTTCATCTTCCTTCCCGCACACCCTGCAATGGCCAGGGAAAGGGCATGCGAGCCGACAGAGCGCACACCTTCCCCTGCTGCTGCTGCTCTTGTTGCTCTTGTTGCTCTCTGTCCTCTCCATTGTCACAATTTCCGCCCGTTCTTGAGGCCTCTTGTCTCTCCTTATCCTCCACACACACACATCGCTTCGTATCCGCACCGGCCACTCCGCCCAGGGCCGCCTGCTGGGGGCCGCCGACCATTACACACATGCTACATACGAGCATGAAATGCATCTTACGGCGTGCGCACCTACATCCGGTCGACGTGTGCATGCCCTTGCATTATTGGCCTTGGCCTTCAGTCGGCCGACCAGCCTCTGCCACAGCAGCAGCATCGATATCGGTGGCGGCACCAGTAGCACCACCAGCAGCACCACCACCGGAACCCACTCCAATGGGTCTGCTCATCGCTGCCATGGCCTCACACCGCAGGACGCCGACGACTCGTGGACACTCCCCCTCTTCCCTCTTCCCACCTGTGAGCACACCCCAGCGCCTCTGCTTTGCACGGACACAAACTATATACCGCGTCTGGCCCCCGACAGAAAACCTTATCCCACGAAGACGCAGCACACACCCAGAACAGGGGCCCGGACAAAGCTAGCGAGCGTGGACCGACTGCTGAGCTGACGATAACAAACCAGCTGCACTAGCCTACAGCAAGTTAAGATACATACTATGTAGTAGTATAGCCCTACCCTCGGTTTCCAACCGCCCGTTGTGCACCCACCCAACCAGACATGCAACGGACTTACACCTTCCAAACCCATAGCATCATCCTGGACCCGAACTGGTCCAAAACGGAAAGATACCGATGGCCGTCCAGCTGGCTTATCAGCTTTTTAGCGGCCTGGAAGCCCCTCATCTCCGAATGCAGCCGTTCTTCTCCCCCTCCCCTCTGGCCATTCGCTCTTCGTCCTCCCATCCCTTGTCGCTCTTCCATCCTGCTGTCTGTTTCGTCGGCGACCCATCTGGCGGCGTCTAATAGCCGCATTGACCAACTGGCCTGATCCCGGCCTCTTGCACAAGTACGGCACATATTCGTTCTTCCTTGTCCGGCCGTACTGACACGCCCCCCTTTTCAGACCCGACCGTCGCTGATTCGTCCGTTTCCGCTCTGCTGTCTGCCTGGACGTCATGGGTATCGCTGCCCTGCATCACATTCTATCACCTGTAGGGCGTGGCCGCCCCTCTCTCGTTCCCTTCGTCTACGACGTACGACGTACGTCGTAAATGTACGTCGTAAACGGATACGTCGGTGGGCGTGCCGGCTTTACCAGGGGCCCTGCTGACATCCACTCACAGCTCTGGAGAAGCCCCAAAAGAAAGACGCCGCCTGCAGATACATACTAAGAACGACCACGCTAGAGAGACCTAGCCCCCTCCTCTACAACTCGAAACCAGCCTTGTCTCCCGGTCGCGTGGGAAGATGGCCGCTAAGGACCCTAAGCAGCTAATCCATCCGTAAGTATTCACGTATTCGTACCCCATGCTCCAGGGCTTCATTGCTTTCTCTCTCACACTGAACATTGCCTGTCCAAGATGCACGCCCCTCTTTTGCACCCCCCCCCTTCCCAATATAGCTATATTGCTTCTCATGCTATACCTTACCTTACCTTCCTGCTCGCTGCCGCTGCTGCTGCTTCTCCCCTACTGTCAGACTAGCACATGCACTTCAAGTGCACATGTGCCTTGAACCGGCCGTCTTTCATCCTTCTCACTCTCCCTCGTCCTCCTCTCATCTCCTCCCCTCTCGTATCCTCCCGTCTGCTCTCGTCTCCCCAGCGCCCCGGCTCCCCCGTCCCCTCCCCTCTCTCATAACATCATCACCCCTAGCAGATCCACAGATCCTCAACATCCTCACGCCCCTCCCCACTCCCGTGAGTGAATCTCACTCTGACACACGCTTCTGCCGGCCTGAAATAACACTTGCACACCCCGTCTTATTCAACTGTCTCCACACAGATCGTTTCCTTCCCGCACCTGCCTGCCGGACACGGTCTAAACTGTTTAACCCCCCCCCCATTGTAGCTCAACTCTGAGCCACCACAGCGTTTGGCGGCAAGGAAAACGCCCACAAAGAGGAGACACCAGGACAGATTAGGAAAGCAAAAAAAAAAAAGAACAAGAGGCATAAACACGAAAAACACCACACAAAAAAGGTCGAGGCCGGGCATTTTCTCCTCTGGTAAAGCAACCAACCAGCGAGTGCCAATCCCCTTTCATCTTTTTTTTCACCAACCCTGCCCTTCTTGTCTCTAACTCGTATACCTTCCCGTCCCACGTTCCCCTCCCCGGCCTTACCTACCTAACTGCCTCTTGTCAATCAAAACACTCGTTTGTCTCTCGCCCTCTCTAGACAAACGTAAACTTGCAACCTTACCTCTTCGGGCCCGTCTACCAAACGAGGACACAGCAGAGGACGGCGTACTTGTTGGTCTCCCTTCCCCGTCCAGTAGCATAGCCTAGCCTCAGCATCTCCGTGTTTTCATGCGGCGTCCATGACCAAATGAAGTCCGGCTTCGTGACCTCGACGCTCCTATTCCACTCGCCTCCTCGCCTGCTTCCCCTTTCCTCTCTCTCACTGAGCTGGTCGCCACATCCAGCTTGCTTCTTCCAAGGTGAATCCCACAGCCCATCACCACTGTTGCTTCCTTCTTTCCCTTCCATACTTGGCGCCATCTCCCCCCTCTCTCTCTCCCCACTGCAGTCCCACCTTCTGCTGTCTTTCCGCTTTCTTTTACCCTCCTTCCATGACCCCTAAGCCTTGTCATGTTGACACGGCCCTTATTTCCTTCTTCCTCTGCCATTTTCGGTCACACGCCTTGCTTCAGGACTGTATTGCCAAGCACGACGCCCACTCGGTATATTTAGTCGTTGCGTCCCCTTTGCACCTGTCCCGACTTGTCTGCCGCAGCTTCTCTCCCTCCCCTTGTCACTGTTCTCCTTTCATTTCTGCATCTTTCGTCCTGTTCTTCAGCCTATTTCACGCCCTCTGCTCCCCGTTGTCTCTTCTTGTTCTTTGTTCTTCTTTGATTCCTCTGCACTCCCTCGTCCTGTCGTCCCGTCTTCCTTCGTCCACCTCGTCCTGCAGCTAGCAGCTTGCAGCTCGCAGCTCGCAGCTCACCACTTCTCCGACAACTCTCCCTGGCCAATGCTCAGACCAGGATGCTGACCATTCCGCAGCCAATCCGAGTCGGCCACCGGTCTGTCCATGACCTACCAACACCGCCAAACACGTCTCGATTTTCGCCCCTCCTACTTGATTTGGACTTTTCCCAAAAATCACTGCTGTCAACTCTGCCTCACCACAGTCCAGCATCGACTCAGCAAATGTCAGCGCCTCATCGTGGCTTGCCTCCACCGGTGGCAATGACACTAGCCCAGCAAGCGCCGCCAGGAGGTCAGTCGCAACCGTCAATGCAGTCACCGCCGCAATCCCAGTCTCTGTCACAGCAGCAACAGCAACAGCAACAGCAACAGCAACAGCACCAGCACCAGCACCAGCACCAGCAGCAACAGCACCAGCACCAGCACCAGCACCAGCAGCAACAGCACCAGCAGCACCAGCACCAGCAGCAACAGCACCAGCAGCAACAGCACCAGCAACAACAACAGCAACAGCACCAACAGCAGCAGCATCAGCAGCCACCTTCTAGATCCATAGAAGCCCACAGCCCTACTCACCCTCACACGCTGGTAGAGACGCCCCAACTCCCGCCACCGCCCCCATGGCAGCAGCACGGGGGCGAAGACACCATGCGAGCGTGGCTCATCGCAAAGGCCGAGGAAGATAAACGCCGGGCTGAGCAAGAGCGAACCATGCAGGAGAACATCCGACTGGAACAGAGACGTACCGAGCACGAAATGCTGCGAACGTCCCTCAACGGCGGTATACCGCCTCCCATGGTGCCGATCGTTTTTGCCGGCATGGCCGGTGGCAGCTTACCTCAGGCCGCACTCGAATGGGCACATCAATTTATGTTCCCTCATGGCCCGCCACTGCCACCGCATTTGCAACAGCTTTCACCACAACTACAGCAACAGCAACAGCACCAGCAGCACCTCATCGCGGCCAGCAGCCCTGGCCTTTCCGAGCTGCAACGTCGGAGTTCTCAAGCACTGCCACAGCCACCTCATCCGCCGCCGCCGCCGTCTCAGGCACAGCAACTGCAGTTGCAGCAGCAGCAACTGTACGGACAACCGTACGGCGGAGGTGGCGGTGGACCGGGCGCACCGGGCCTAGCACCTGGTCCAGTGCCGTCTTCGGGTGTGCAATTTGCGACGCAAAGTCCGGTGTCACCGTCTCGCGCGCGCGGGTACAGCGTTCCAGGACCTGGCAACCGTCCGGGGATGGGAGGAGGGGCTTCCAACTTGCCGACTCTCAACACGAATGTTGCCCACCCGCATGGACAACAACAGCCTGACTCGCAGGCCTCGCCGCTCTACATTCACCACTGGCAGCCGCCCTCGAGTCAGGGGGGAAGTGGCTCCGGGCAGGCCAGTACTGCTCCAGGTTCGTCTCTTTTCTCCAGGTCCATGTGTCTGTAGCAACGTGGATTAACATGTGCAAAGGGGAATCGCCGAGAAAACGCAAAGCAACAGGCCCGCCGTCGGCTGCGGCACCGTCAAGCACACAGCCCCGATTCCGATCGCCCACCATTTCCCACAGCTCGACATTGGCAAATCCGCCACCCGGACGCCGGCGAGGTCATACGCGACAGCGAAGTGATCTGTCGTCGTACAGACCCCAAGGCAGAGGCGGATACGGCGGCAGCGGCAGTGGAAGTGGCGGCGGGGGACAGTCCCGCGGGATATCGCCCTCGCCGTATTCGTCGGCACCACCGTCCGCGACCGGCTCATCGAGAGAGGGTGAGGAAAGCAGTGCGACACGCGCGCAACAACAGGCTTCCCAGCCAGCTTCAATACCGCCACCACCACCACCACCGTTGCCGTTGCAACCACGCAGCGGGGGCGGACATCCGGTGTCGTCGTTGCTGTCAGAAGATCCGCATCCGACGGGCGGATTGTCATACGGAGCCGGAGGCGACAGCGAGCGTCATCGGTCACCTCGGTCTGGCCATCCCACAGACGATAAGGGCAGTACTGGAGGCACAAATGCAGGCGGCAACAGAGACGGAAAGGACTGATTGAGAAAGACAGTCTACCGCGCTCTCACTTCGGTTCCCGGGACAGGCCCAAAAGCCTCTGATGCTGCACCATGCCGCTTCCGGAAACATCGAAACCCAGCTGTCAGTAGAAAGGGAGGCAGACTGCGAAACGGAGTCTGCTTTTTACGACAAATCTGCTCAAGGTATTCCCGCGTTTCTCAGCTTGGTCTCAGCTTGGCTTGTTTTTGGCCAACGCCGCCCCTCACATCATTGACTGCCATCCTCGTACAACGATCGACAAAAAAGGGGCGTGGCGTGAACTCTCCCGGTCGCTATACCCAATCCACTCAGTCACAATTTCGTCAAATCCAATTGCAGAAAAGCCTAGCTGCAACTGCAGCTGCCTCGGCTATATTGTAGTAATTTCCACTGCAAATCCGGTGTTGTGTATGTATATGTGTATACTCCGTATGTTTACGGCGGTTTGGCTCTTGTTATTGTCTTGCTCTTCTTCTTCTCTTCTTCTCTTCTTCTCTTCTTCTCTTCTTCTCTTCTTCTCTTCTTCTCTTCTTCTCTTCTTCTCTTCTTCTCTTCTCTTCTTCTCTTCTTCTATTTCTCCTTCTCTTCTTTCTGGCACTATACAATTTCTTGTTTGGGAAGCAACAGTTGGTGACTGCCGTTGCTTCTGCCCCCCATTGTTTTCAGTTATGGTTGCCATTCTTCTTCTTCTCCCTCCTCTTTTACCTTATTCATTTTGGGCTCTGTTAAATTTGGATGTTTCTGATCTGGGATGATGGCCGCGAAGACGGCCAATAAAGCGCATAGGGTGGCAGACGACGGAGGAGAAAAGCAAGGACAGGTTGGGTTCCAGGAAAGCATATCGTCAGAGGATGCCGGCCCTGGCCATGGCTTTACCGTTGATAAATCGGGGTTTCTAGGGGGCATTTCATGAGCATAAAGACTATTGCATGCAAGCGAAGGGTGTAGGTGTATAAGGGCGAGGGCAGCGGGAGGTCAGAATATAATGCAGGCTAGAGGCTTTAGTGGTGATGCTCGGGTGTCAGCAGGTACTCGTCCTTCAAATAGGATTGCCACAGCCACGTGGAGCTTCGGCGATGGGGTGTTTGAGAACACACCGGAATCTAGAAGCAGTTATTCAATACCACACGATCCTATCTACCTCACAGGCGGTCTTGCTTCGTTTCATTATGGGGCATGGAAGGAGATGACGCTCCTTTTGCATGATCCGATACTGTGACACGTTTGCAAGTTTGGCTCATGGTCGTTGGCCTTGTAGCGAGCAGGTGAACCGGTGAAAGGAGAATGATTGGTCGAAGCAGCCCAGCCCCTGCAGCACCGTTTTCTAGATCGTCCGACTAGTCATAATGACGTTTTGTCTCACTGACTATTACGATCACTCGCTACTCCGTACAGACAGAGGCATTGCCACAATAATATGTGATATGTGATGATAATATACTATCTAGCTGGACTCTCGCGCCTGCCTATTCGGCAGAGACCACGTGAGCCCGATTGACAAATGATGAATAACGGTATTGAAGCCGCTTATGTAACCCTCAGACCTCAGCACATCCAAAAGAAAATAACACTGGGCTTTCTGTCCTACAAAAGGTCCCTGGGGTATCGTAGGTATTGGAACCGATTACAGCAAATAACAAAGAAGACGCGAGTGAATGACGGGAGAAGGGAAGGAGTAAGACGGAGACGAAAGAGAAAAGAGACAGTAAAACAAAGGAACGAATGAAAGAGAGGATAGGGTAGACAAAGGAAAAGACAAAAGGAAAGACGGAAAAGCCAGACGGCTCATCGGGGTCGCCGCTGCCGCTGCTTCCACTCTGCGTGCACCACCTTCATGAGCAGGTCCTCGTTCTTGACGGGGATCCACGATGTCAGCGCCTTCATGGCGTTTTCAAAGTCGGCATCGGCCAGCACGTCCTGCAGTGCGTCGACGAGAGCGGCGCTGGTTGCGTGCAGAATGGTGAGGTCGCCCGACGCGAGAGAAGATGTGGCAGCGGGTGTGTCGTTATTCTGGGCTGCAGCGTCTGCATTGCCGGCTTCGCCTCTCGTCGCTGCATCGTCCTCCTCTGCTGCATCGTCCTCCTCCTCCCCAAGCGCATCCTCGCCGTCGCCCAGTAGCATGAAGACGTCCCAGATGCGCAGCTGAGCTGCAAACGGCACAGACAGGTTGAATAGCGTCAGGTACCAGCGCGTGGCATAAGCCATGGTGTCGATGCCCAGCTCGGCCAGCTTCTCGGCCGCGTTTTGACCGTTGCGCGCCAGCCACTGCTGCTCAAACTCGGCCAGCGTCTCGACCAGGCCGCCGAAACCCGGTGCGTACAGGCGCTCGAGTCCGCGCAGTCGAAACAGCCGCACCAGCATGACAAAGCACCGCTCCTCGTCGTAGTAGCACAGCAGCGTGGCCGCCAGCGACGCCATCCCCTGCACGTAGCCGCCCGTGCCGGCGACACAGAAGAGAGACAGCGCGTGCAGCACACGGAACAGAAGCCGCTGGCCGCCACGGTATCGACGGCGGAACATCACGTGACCACCGACTGTCCGCGGCACGTCCAGGTCGATCTGCATGTCGTCGGGCGAGCTCGTCTGCTGCAGCTGGTGAAAGGCCGCAATGAGCGCCTGGTCGTCGTCAATGGCGATGCTTCCGGGTCCGCTCTTGCTCCTCTCGCCGGCCACCTTGGCGTGTCGTCGCGCACTCGACGCCAGAAACGAATACCACGCCGCCGCCCGCCAGCAGTCCGGGATGCCCTTCCACGTCCGCTCGACCAGCTTGGGATGCTGCCGGTCGAACTCGTAGTCGGTGCCGCCGCCTTCGCCCATGTTGTCGCCGTCTCCGCCTTCCCGCCGCACAACCTGTGCCATCCGCCGCCACTTACCCGACCGCTCCCACTCTTTGCGCTTCAGTGCTTCAAACAGCCGTTCGGACAGGCCGTCTTCGTCTGCGTCCGACATTCCGCCCGGTGACATGGTCAGCATATCGCCGGCCTCGTCCAACCACTTCCGGTCACGATTGTGTGGCAGCAGGTTGGCCGCCGCTCGGATCGACGACCGCGCCGCCTCCGCCATCGTCGTCGCTGCCGACCGCTGCGTCAGTATCGTTGCCCCGCTCGGTGAGATATTGCGCAGTCCATGGCTGCTGCGCCCGCCTCGGCCATGCAGAGACGGCGCCGCCAGCATCTCATTGTTGCTGCTGTCGCCGCTCGCAGCTGTCGTCGTGTGCGGCCGTCGGGGCACCTGGATGAAGCCGAACCGGTCCACGTCCCCCACTTCTACATCCTCCCAATCTTCGAGGCCACCAGCGAGCTCAAACTGGCCGCGCTGCTTTTGGTGCCGCCGGATGTTGTTGCTGTTGTTATCGTTGTTGTTGTTGTTGTTGTTGTTGCTGCTGCTCGTGGCGCTGTCCGAGCCAGCTGATCGCGGCGACAGCAGCAACGACGGGGTCCTCGGCAACGGTGCCCCCGTAGAGGACACGGTCGTCGCTACGGACACGATCGATGCTCGTCTCGATTCGGTTTCGTCGGAAAAGTGGTGGAGGCCATTGTCGTAGGGATGCAGACTGTGTCGGGCCGTCGAGGCGGGGTAAGACAGCGTGCGTGAACTGTTTGTTGCAGAGAGAGAGAAACGTCTTAATACAAGGAACACACAATACGCGCTGGCGGTGGTGATGGCAGTGGTGCTGGGGCAGATGAAACAAACGACAAGGAAGGCAATTGGGCAAGAAACAAGAGGCTGGCCGTCAGCAGACGACCTCCTCCACACGGCAGTGCAAGGTGCTCGGCAAGGAATTGTAACCGTACGCGGCAATGTTCTGCTCACTCCTATAGCCCTCAGCCGCCTCCTCGGGCAGGCCAACAGACGACGGAGCCGGCTCGCTCGTGAGGACGCACAGATGCGGTGCTGTCGCTGCTCCTTTTGGCTGGGCGTCTTGGCTGACGGGGTCGTCGTCGCCGGCAGCAGGCGGCTGTCCGTCTTCCCAGCGGAGGACGTCGTCTTCGTCGTACATCGACCGCACCTTGTGGGACTCGCGCTCGGCGTCTTCCGTCAGTCTTGGGCGTGCACGCGGCACAGATGGAAGAGGCGGCAGCGGTTCGGCCACAGAAGCCGCCTCCACCTCGATCGCCGGCGGAAGAGCCTCTCCGGCCGCGCCCCCCTCAACCAAGCCGCGCGCGCCCTCGCCCATGACGTCGGCGCGTTGGCCCATGAGCATCAGACTACCACGGTGCGAAAACGTCAGCGCCGCCAACAACTCATTCTCGATAAGCGTCTCGGTCGGGATCGATGTGCTGATAGGCTCAAACACACCGGGGCCTGCGCTGGGGGGAGGGTGGGGACGATTGCTGCTAAAGCTGATGCGGTTGCTGCCGTTGCTGTTGCTAGACTGATGTTTTCGTCGTGGATCGGATATCGACAGTGCCCGAAAGATAAAGGGGGTCGGCGACAAGGGCTTGTTTTGGCTGCAGGCAGGAAGTGCGGAAGGGGAAGACGAGTACGAGGACGAGGGAGGGCCCAGAGCAGAGCAGGGGTTGTGGTGGACCGGGGAAAGGGGCCCTGACGTCGTTGTGCAATCTTCTGCCTTTGACGCGTTCTGGCGAGTGGAGGCCGACGACGAAGAAAGTCCTAGCGGCATCGACCAGGACGCTCTGGGCTTAGTCACACTGTCTGCCGGCGGGGTGGCTGTTGTGCGGGCGGTGCATGGTGGCAGAATCTCGCCCGAACCTCCACTAATACAGCTGCTTTTGGCTGTGTCCTCTGAACAGCCAAACAGGCCTGCAAACCTGCTGCGCCGTTTCTTCTTCTTGTCCGATGCACTGGACCGAAAGCTGAAGGCCTTTGACAGATGCCACGTCCGTTCACGAATCGCCGGCGCGGCTGGCACCGGAGCAGGCGAGACCTCGGGCTTCTTCGCCTGGGCGACCCTCGTCTTTTCCTGCGCTGCGTTTCGCGCGGCTGCCTTGATGACCATGGTCGCAGTGGTTGTTACACTGCTGACAGAGGCAACGCTGACCCTGCTGGTATGTCCGATACCACATTTCCCGACGGATGCGACGGGTGCAACGCGAGCGGCTGTGCCATCTTTATGAGACGCCTTCTCGGGCTCTCTTGTCGTTGGGCTCGCACACACCGCCCTGCTGACAGGCAATGATGTGGCGGCAGATCCCGACGTGACGTGGCCGCTTTTCAGTGTGGTTTTGGCCGTCACCGTGCGGTGGATCTCAGTCTCAGTCTCAGTCTCCGAGCACGTCTGGTTGACGCGCAGCGTTGATGTTGACGGCGACGGTGCCAGAAACGAGTCGTGCTTGGACGCGATGATGTTGCGATCGTAGCTGCGGCGGCCAACGTAGACCTCGTCTGCACCCCCCTCTTCTTCGGCAATGGGTCGAATCGAACGCCTGCGAAGAGCGGGGTGCTGCTCTTGGGGTGGTGCGATCAGCATTGGCGGTCGCAGGATGACAAGCGGCCCCGACATCGATGGCGCCATGGCCACGGTGGGTGATGAGCACGAAGACGAGGAGGCCGACTGTGAGGTTGTCGGTGACGATGTCAGTGACGACATGGACGTCTTGGGCCGCATAGATGGCACAGACGATGCAGACGTAGGAGATGACGGCTGCGACTGTGGCTGTGGGGACGAGGATGGGGACGAGGCTGACACTGGCAATATGTCGAATGTGGCTGTCGTGGCAGCTGTGGCAGCTGTGGCTGTTGACCGCACTGTTGCCATCGAGCGAGTTGATCGCGAGCGGTGCAGCCTTGATGGGTTTCGCTGTGGCAGCGGGATGGGCAGCTCTGCCTGAGCAGTCTCCTCATAACGGAGGGAAATGAGTGGCGACCGCCTGCTCTTGGACATCCCGCAGCTGCTGGTGCTGCTGGATCGCTGTGGCAACATGTTGTCGTAATGGTTGTTGGCGAGAGTAAGATATAGTACTGAAATTTGTGTGCAAACGGCAAAGCAAAAAAAGGCGAGTGGTCAAACAAATCGGCTGGCTTTTTGGTCTTGCTATCATCGAGAGGCGCAGAGAAAGCATTGACAATAAAGCTGCATGAGGTATATAGACACGAGACAGAAGAGCAAGAGGTCGTGGGAGAACGGGCGTGTAGAAAGCGAGAGCTGTCGGGTGTTCGTTACTGAGCACCGGGCTGCAGGTGAAGACGAACAGATTTGGGGGTGGGTCTCGATCAGGAACGGCTCGCTTGTGGGCAGGTTGACAGAATCGTGTAATATAGGACCGGGGACTGCTCGTTGGGTTGACGTGTTTGTCTTGCACTCGTCACCGCCGTCTCCTGTTGGGCAAAAGTAGAAAAAGAGCGCAGGACGAAAAGACGGTATGGCGGCGTTGATAACAAGGGGCAGATGCAAGGACCGACAGCAAACAGAGATCGTGACCGACAAACGACACAGGAAATGAGTGACTGTGCGTGCATGCAGGGCAGGCGAATAGGAACACTATGGGGGCCGTTGTGCGGGAGAATAGAGGGCAGACGACGAGAGAAACCTGGTGCGTCTGAGTCACTTAATATACTGGTTGCTGCTGTTTTTTTTTCCCGCTCGATCAAATAGCCGTGCCATGTATGTAGCATATCTTTGCGGACGAGCCGTTCGGTCGTTCTTGCCATGCTCTCTGCCGCTGTTACCATCAACTGCCTGCCGTTCCTGCTTCGGCAAGCGTCCTCCCAACGGTCAAGTGGCGGTAGAGACGCCATCTTGAGAGGCCTGCTTTTCTTCCCCCCTTATTTTTCTAGGCCCTCACGCCCGCCTTGCGTCTTTTTGCCTTTTTCTTTTCTTTTCTTCTTTCGGCCTTATCTTTTCTGCCAGGTCTTTCGTCTTTTGCTTGTGCCGTAGCCTCCCCTTACCGAGAAATCCTTCCACCCACTCAGTCGCCCTTTCCCCTTGGGAAACGGTCCGTCCAGTTAGATCCCGCCACCTCAAAGTGCGGGTCTCTCCTGCTGTCTCTTGCGTTGGCACTTCCCTGTCTTCTGTACTAGTTTTTTTTTTAACCCGTTTTTATACCCTTCTTTCCGATCTCTGCCCTCCATTTGGCTGCCCAGGTCGCCTTCCGATTAGCTGAGCAGTCTCCACCTCCACGGCGGGGCCTGCTTTGTTACTACGGCGTATGTACGTGGTGCCCCACCGGCGACTTACCCCATTTGCCTCCAAAGTGCGGTGTCGTGAGTCGACGCGCGAAAGGGCAGAGAATGAGCAGAATGACGGGCTGCCAACCCCCTCCTCCACACCCCCCTCGTCCGCCCAGAATGGTGGGAGCAACCGAAGCCGGCCAGCCAGCCTTTTTGCCTTTTTACGGGCTCCTCGGCCATGCGCACTCGTACCTGCATAAGACCTTTTTCTCCTCCCACTCATCCCTCTGCCTAGCCGTATTTCCTCAGCCTTGGGAATGGCCCGACTTCAGAGAGCATACTGTGTACTCCGTACAGAGTATAAGTACTGATGTACAACCATGGGCCCACCAGCGATGCACGCTCTTTACGGCGTACGTGTTTTACTAGTTTAGCTAGCCCCTTGCGTCCAAATAAGATGCTAACAGTAGATATACATGCCAGTCGTTTTCTTTTGGCCTGGTTGCTTATAGGGACCTCCGGACCATACATACATAGTAGTTTACATAAAACCCACTGCTCTTTCAATATTTTCGTATTTTCCGGCCGCGAGGCAGCTAGCAGGGATAGGGAAAAAGAACTGCCACTTTCATGACTAACAGAATCCATGGTAGTTTGCCTGGTTGTCAGCTGCTTACTTGCTGCTGCGGCTGATTCGCATGCTGTGCAGCAGATGGGCGATCATCTCAGCAATACTCGGTACTCCGTAGCCTGTTCCCCGTATTTCTTTTTCCACTTGTTACTATTTTCCCTCCAAATATACTGCTCTAAAAGTTGCCTGTAAAGCTTTTCACTTCTCGCTTTTCCACAGGAGGAGATAAATCACTGCGCGGGACAAGGAGTCGAAAGCACAGAACTGGTGCCGCACAAGAGGCGGGAAGCAGGAGGCGGGACGCAAGAGACAGCAAAAGCAAGGAGAGACGCGGATGCATGCTTCCCTACTTCACGCAGCGCGCTCACCATTCCTTCCGCTGATTATAGCTTATCGTAAGGAGCATTTCAGATGCGATGAATTTCGCAGCCACCTGGATTGTAAGCTTGAAAAAGAAAACGTCGAGCCCAAAGTGGTTGGAAGAGGCCCGGGAATGACCGATCGAGAGACACCTTGCTGCGCGTCTGACGCGAGCTACTCTTCCGCATTCCGTCGTCGTCCACGTGTGCACGGAGAAGCAACCCCAGCTCCCCTGTTTTCAGGTCGCTAGAACAATACGGGTGGAACCCGATGAGTTCTCGAAACATACCGGTGCCATACTTCTACGTCCCAGCCTCCTGGCCTCTGCTTCCTTGCGCAGATACCCCTTTTACTGGCATTTCACAAGTGCAGCTGACCGTTCTTATCGATACCCGGATGGGGTCAGGGGTACGTATGTATTTGCATTCTTGTGGCTGTTTTTTCTTTCTTTTTCTTGATTTCCAATTTTTTTCAAGCTTTGGCTGTTTTATAACATTGCGTTTTTGAAGCCCCCATCCACCGTGGGCTACCGCCATAATCGTACTTCCCGTCTTTTCTCGGCCGTCTATTGGTATCGTCCCATGAACATATCGGGCTGTAGGAAAAAAATGAAATAGAAAGGCAGTGAATGCGGCAAGCAAGAGCAAACATGTGGTCGATACATGACAGACGGACACTCAGATGCACCTGGCATTCGCCTTCACCCCTGTCATTAAAGGCCATACAGTTTCCAAGCGTCAAAGTCGTGCTGGGCATCCTTGCCCGTGTCTCTGTTGCTACCGGTCGCCTCGGCCCCCTTCGCCGTATTAGTTGGCTTGTCTGTATGGTAGACCGGTGCGTATTCTGTTCTCAATTCCTCAGAAAGTCACAGCTCGTCGTCCTGCTCCAGCTCCGACGGCTTGAGAAGACCAGACACCTTGGACCGGCGCTCGAGGTCGGCCTGCTTCGCGTCGTGCTCTTGCTGCTCCTTCTCAGCCAGATACAGCTCTGCGTTGTCGCCCGAGAATTCTCTGAGAGAAATGAGGAAGTCGCGCAGGCTCAGCCGGAACTTGTCGTGCTGGGTGTTGAGCATGAAGAGGCTTTCGACAAAAGACTGGATTTGCGATCTGGGGTGATGTCCGTTAGCTTTTTTCAACATATACGACAACCCGGCCACTAGGCAAACTCACGCTTGCAGGTTGGTAAAGGCATTTTGCAAAAGATTTCCGACGTAGTTAGCAAGAAACTCCTTGTTGCTCGTGCCTGGCTGGGCTTGGTCGGGTTGGTAGACAGGGCCCTGGATCTTGGGCGCGCTTCCATCTGCCGGCGCAATACAGTAAAACATCCGTACCAAAAGTGCCGTCTGTGTCTTGAACCCGGCCTTGTGGTCCGTGTCGGTGAGGACGTAGAACACGTCCTGGAGGATGAGAATGAAGAACTGATTGAAGAACGCGTTCGAAGTAGCCGTGTCCGTCTTCTCTGCCACGTTGTTGATGAGCTCCAAGCACATGCCCAGTCCAGCAGCCTCCACGTCCCGGTTGTCGTGTTTGCTCGCCCACAGGCATGCATCAATCACAAACTTGAATTGCCGGTTGTCGAGCTTCAGAAGAGCGGGGAAACACTGCAGGTTGATAGCCCGTAGCAGGTTGAAGAATTCGACACGGTGCTCCGGGAACTCGGAGAAGTCCTTGTTGATCATCTCGAGCGTGCATTCAAACACGTTCTCCATGATAGTCGGCACTTGGTCTTCCATCAGACCGCCAAGCTTCGTTATAATAGCGGCCATGGCCTTCAGCACTTCTGCGTCACGGGCACCGGGTACGTTGCGGTTGTAGTCCACAAGCACCGAGTCTAGCAGCTGTGGCACCATCTGCGTCCGTACCGACTGTAGATCCTCAGCCTTGTCGACAAAGACCTCGATCAGCTTCAGGATCTCCTTCTTGATCGTCCGCAGCCCCCGGACCTTGGGCATCTTTGTCGCGATTTCGCCTGCAGGCGGTATTAATATATGCTATAGTCACAAGGTACAGATTGTTCCCTTACCTTCGCGCGAAACAGCTTCAGAGATGAGCTGGCTCGTGGCACGATACATCTGGAGCATGTCGAGATAGATCCGCCCGATCTGGGGGTAGAAGTACGGGCCGACCGACGTGCAGGCGGCAACATTCGTCTTCATGATGTTGCCAATGATCTTAATAGTGTCGGAGTCCTGCAGAATCGACGGATCGGCTGTGGCGGACTTGATGATCGCATCCCAAGCAAGATTGGGAGGCGCCATGAGATCTGCCAGCAGGCGTTCCTGCTGGCTTCGGTTGCCCTGGGCAGAGACCATGTAGCCACACGCTTCGTAGAAGGTGTGTACCTGCTGTGGGCTGAGGTCGCAGGTGACGGCTTGGAGGTTCTGCACAATTTCGTCGATGAATGGCTCGTGTTCGCTCGGCTGCAGTGCGACAAAATGACGACGGCACTGCTTTGCAATCTTGATGAAAGTATCGCAAGCCATGTCCTGCACACCTAGTATGGGAACAAAAGTTAGCTGGCGCCCGACGGTAAAAACAGGTGTGTCGTTGATGGGGGGGTACTTGCCTTCGTGAGATTCGTGCATAAACTCAAACAACTTATTGACGACGGTTTTGAGGAACTTCCAGTGAGCTTTTAAGAAGCGGGGGTATTGTCCAACAATGTACATGATGTTGCTGGCCACAACTGCCTTATTGTCTTTACCGCGTTTCATTTCGGTAAGTCCCAACAGATCCTTGATGACGGTGACCAGGAACCGCTTCTCTGTTTCTTCGTTCATCGCCAGAGAGATGGAGCCGATGGCCCAGCAAAGCACGTTGCAGTTGTGCCAAGACCATTCGGAGCCGTCCACCTGGCGGGCCAGCTTCTCGGTCATGATTTGCTCCGTGTCCACAACGTCGAGATGGGTGAGGTAGACAAGGCATTCGCGGATCGTCTTGTACAGCTGCACGGTATCACTCTCCTTGACAAACTCGCGAACGATCTCACCCTCGTCGTTCTCCACAATGAGCACTTCCTCGGGGCGAACCATCTTCTCGATCATGACGATGCGGAGATTGGAGAGAATCTCCTTGTACTTGTGCTTTCTTAGAGGGTAATTGTTGAGCAATGTTGGATTTGGTGCCCCGTTCGACGTCAGAGTGCCCATGGCGAGGAGCGGGTTAGCGTCTGTGATAGGCAAAGACTGCATCTCCTCGTAGAGCTCCTGGACCAGCTTGAGCCAGTAGTCCAGGCAAATCTTGAAGATTTCCCGGTCGTCAATCTGCGAGATGCGGATGAGGTAAAAATGGGCGTGGGTGAGAAAGTCGCGGTTTGGCAAGTTCTCGATAAGCTGTGCGTTTGAAGACGCGAGGTCAGTAAAACGGTTGCAAGGCCAGAGACAGGGTAAAAACGGAACATACGCTTAGGTGCATCGTGAAGAAGTTGCCGAGGAACAGAGCCAGATTTTGGACAAACTCCTGGTCCCGCGAGTTGCTCTGAGGGTAGGTGGTCTTGAGGTCCATCGACAAGGGGATGATGTTGGCGATGGTGGTAAGGACCTCGGTGAACATCTTGATAAGCTGCTCGTCGTAGTTGCTCACTTGACCGGGGCCAGAGGTCTGCAGTCCACCGATCTCCGTCAGGCACTGCAGGGTGACGTTGCGAAACTCGGGCACTTCAAGAAAGCGGGTGCGGAGGGTATCAATGAGCGGCGTCTCAAAGATGTAACCGAGCGGGATCCAGTTGCAAAACCGCAGCAGGGTTTCGAGCGTCGCCTTGACCAGGCTCGGCTGCGTGGCGGTGTTCAGGATCTCCGAGCAGAGCTGGAAGATCTGCGAGAACTCCGCGCACATGGTGGTCTTCAGGTTGCGCGTTTTCGTGGACGTCATCTGCTCGGCAGAGTAGTCAAAGACTTCCTCGGACAGCAGCCGCAAGATGATCATGTTGTTTTCGCAAATCGACAAGCTCGAGTGGCAAGCCGTGATGATCTCGTTTATAAAGGTCGGCCAGTTGTGGGGCCATTCCTGCTTGAGGACGGAGATTAGGACGAGGTTGAGCTTGTTCAGCAGGGTCTTTTGCTCTCGGAGCAATTCTTCAGAGCTGGAACATTGGATGATGAACTGGACGACGAAGTTTCGGATGCCTGGAATGGCGGGTCAGCAAGCTACAAGGTCGGACGGATGTCTAGTCTCCAAGCCGACAGCATATTGGCATGTTCACATCACCACGTACCTTGGCACTGGTCGCGGGGAAGAACCTTCCATCTTGTCATAATGACATGGTCAAGGACCTGCAAGGCTAGAAACTTGGTCTGCGGGTACGTTGCTTCGGAGAGAATTTGGTCGACAATGAGCCAGGCGTCAGGATCTTCCTTGAACTGGTTCAGAGCACTTTCGGCTGCTTTTTGCTAGAGACCGGGGCGAGGACCGGCAGCTGTCAGCTCGGGCACGGTTCCGGGGAAGGAGGGGGAGGGGCAAAGAGCAGGGTCAAAGACGAACCTGTTCGCCGCGGCCTTCGTAAAAGGCACGCACGACAGCGTCCAGCTCCGGCACTGTGGGTGCCATGATGGAGGAGGGGGGCCGTGTGATGTTTTACAGGAGCTTCAGCTTGAGAGCCAAAAGAGGCAGAATGCACGACGGCAGCTAGAGCTCTCTATACGCCGTGCAAATGAGGTCCAGGCCGCGAAAGTCACGGGGGCGAGCGGCAGAGAAAAGCACGATGCGAAGGATACGGTGATCCGGGCGAGGGAGAGGGAAAAAAAAATCTCGGAAGAGAGAGTGGGAATTTGACAAACACGGAGCAGCAGACGATAGGAGTGGATTTTCGGAAGGCAGCGGGGTCGCTGGCAGAAACGCGGTGGAATAAAAATCAGAGGAATACGGAGCAGAGGAGCAGGGAATATGGCAGAGGAGGAGGAGGCAGTGAAGTGAGGACCAGTGCGGGTTCTTTTCACGTCTGGGCAACTTGGCGTTTCCGTCGGTTATCGTAACTTTTTTTATCGGGAAGAAAAGAAGAGAGCCGCCTTTTGGTTGCAGAGAATCAGTGGTATAGTGAATTGTTGAAGAGAGGACGGAGGATCGATATGGGAAAGGGCGATGGAAGGAAAAGTAAGGTGGCGGGGTCGTGGTAGTTACAGCAACAAGCAAGGGCCGCCCGAATGGCCTTACCGCGAGGCGCCGACTTGGGGCTGTCGACTACGACGTACGGTACGAAATACCTTTGTAATCACAACGGCGGGGCTGCCAGGTGTGTCCTGCAGGCAAGGCGATCCATTGCCATGGGGAGTGGATCGGAGATTTATTTGACCGTTTCCCGCCTACCAGCAAAAGTACGAGTAGTACAGATAGACCGTGCAGAGCCGTTACGAGTACGGTTTTACATACATACGTTTCTGTCACTAATGGCAACCCGCCGACACGAAGCGTCTGTGACGAGTTGAGTTAGCTTGTAGTCAGCTTAACAGACGCCCGAGTGCAGGCCATCAACTGGGCGTTGCCATAATATCGGCTTCGCTCGGGAGAAATAAACCGGCTTTTTATTCTATGGATGCATTACGCCTTCTGGTATCCAAACTCGGCAAGCCCGGTGTCGAGGGCCTTGAGGGCGCGGTCGATGTCGCCTCTCTCGGGTTGGAGCTGCGATGCAAGTTAGCTGCCGTGTAGGTCGATGCGATGATTGGGACGGCCAAGAACTTACCACGCTGACACCCATGTGGCCAAAGCGAATGTACTTGGACGCGATCTCCTTGTGGATGCCGCCAGCAAACACCACCTTCTGCTTGGCCAGACTGGGCAGAATCTGTGCCTGCGTGACCGTCTCAGGCAGGTAGATGGCAGTCATTCCGTGCGCCTGGTAGTCGGGGTTCTCAGCCACCTGCTTGAGGCCCAGCTCTGCAATGTGGGCCTTGATCTTGTCGGACGCGGCCTTGTGCTTGGCAAAGCGCTCGGCAAGGGGGACCGAGAGGATCTGCTTCAGTGCCGTGTCCAGCGCGTGGACGAGCTGGGGCGACGGCGTGGCAAAGTAGGATGCCTTCTTGGCCTCGTAGTTCCTCATGACTGGCGGGGAAGACTTGTTAGCAAAAGGACAGAGAACAGAGGACAGAGCCCGGCTGGGAGAAGTAGGACTTACTCGGAAGCCAGTTCTTCATGGAGGCAAAGTAGGCCCTCGGCGGCTCCTTGCGGCTCTCCAGGGCCTTGATGGCGCGGCCGCTGAAGAGAGAGATGGACAGGCCGGCCGGCACGCCAATGGCCTTCTGGCTGGCGGTAACGACGCCGTCGAGCTTCCATTCGTCAAAGGCGATCTCCTCGCAGGCGACAGAGCAGACGCCGTCGACGAGCACCAGGGTGTCGGGAGACACGCGGTGCACGAGTGCCGACAGGTCGCGCAGCTCGCTCAGAACGCCAGTCGATGTGTCGACGTGGGTGACCGTGATGGCCTTGTAGGAGCGGGCCTTGAGGGCGGCCTCGATCTCGGCCAGCTGGGGACGGCTGCCGACGGGGGCCTTGAGCTCGGTGACGTCGGCGCCGTAGATGCGGAGACAGTCGGCAAAGCCGTCGCTGAAGTAGCCCGTGCCCAACACCAACACAGCCTCGCCCGGCTCGACGAGGTTGGCAGCAGCGAGATCCCAGCCCAGCGTGCCCGAGCCCGAGAGCACAAACGGCTGCGCTGTCGGGTCCGTGTTTTGGAAGAGCTTGCGCAGGTTGGCAAGGACGTCGCCAAAGGTTGAGACGAAAGCGGGGCCAACATGGCTCTCGCTGGACACGAAGCAAAAAAAGCCATTGTTAGCTGGGGCCTGCTAGAGTCTCCCCGCCCATTGGCACACCTCGTGATCCTACCTGTAGTGGCTCATCGACTGCAGGACGGCATCGTCAAACTCAATGGGGCCCGGGATGAGCAGCGTGGAGTGTTCTGGCTGGGACGACATGGTGGATGGTGGTGTGGCGGCGGAGGCAGTATGAAGCTGGTGGCGAGACGGTGTTGATGGGTGAGAAGACGCTGCGGGAATGGGGTGCGGAGAAGAGGAGGCGGCTAATAGGTGTCGGGCAATTCCAGCCAGCCTGGCCGAGGGGCTTGTGTCGGTCATAGACCGAGGAGGGGCCATGTTGGCTGTGCCAGCGCCTGTACGCCTTAGTAATCCCGCACACTGACCGCCGGTAGCCGCTGAAGCACTAAAGGAAATCCTCTGCGGGTTGGTGCTTCGCGGCACAGAGGGAGGGCGATACAGGCGGGCAAAGGGCTTCATGGCGGGCCAGAGGAGAAAAAACGAGAGCCGGAGAGCAGCGGTCGGGCACTTTAAAAAGAAATAGTATCCTGGCTGCCGCCTGGAAGCAACAGGTTAAGGCGGTGGACCGATGCTGCCGGAAAGGGGGATTTGTGGCTCTAGGGGTGTTTATATTACTCAATCATTGTCTGAGGGCTTCCTGTTGGCGACGCCGGACGGGGAAACAAAGAGGAGACGGAGGACGCCGCGTCGACATACTCCGTAGTTTGTCTTCTTTTTTTCCACCCTAGACCTCCGAACGCCCTTCTCCGAGATATCCCCCCAGGGCCCTGTGCTGGGCCACCTTTTTCCCATGTAAAAAGACTCGCTGCGCTTTCCCCCCCAAACAGCAGTGGCGGACTGTGGCTGAAGCTCCCTGGGAATACCAGCCACCGCTAAATCTGCCAGTGCGAGCGGCTTGTGGCGGAGTCTGTATCTGACGTTGGTGCAATCCACAACGGCAACAAGCGACGACGAAGCGCAACGCAACCCACCTCGTCTACTCTGATCGCGCCTTGACAGAGCAATTGTGCTCTACGGATTGCCTACGCCCGGCCGCGCCGTTCTTGCCCCCCCGGCTCCTCGCAGTCCCGCGCCACATTCTCCTTCCTCGCCTGTCTTTTTTCTCCCGAGCTGCTCGTCGAGAGAGAGGTCTCGGGCGGTGCTGTTGATTCTAGGGCCACGGAACCGGCGAGCTGCGCAGCCATGGCTTTTCTCATCCTCGTCATCGGCGACCTGCATATTCCAGACCGTGCTCTGGATATTCCGCCCAAGGTTTGTCGTCTCTCGTTCTCCGTACGCGGCTCTCGGCCCTCGCTCACGCCCGAACCAGTTCAAGAAGCTGCTGGCTCCCGGCAAGATCGGCCAGACGCTCTGTCTGGGTAACCTGACGGACAAGCGCACGTACGAGTACCTGCGCGCGATCACGCCTGATCTCAAGATCGTCAAGGGCCGCTTCGACGTCGAGGCCACGGCCCTGCCGCTAGCCCAAGTCGTCACCCATGGTGCCATGCGGATCGGCTTTCTCGAGGGCTACACGCTCGTCAGCAACGAGCCGGATCTGCTGCTGGCTGAAGCTAACCGGCTCGACGTCGACGTCCTCTGCTGGGGCGGCACCCACAAGTTTGAGTGCTTCGAGTACATGGACAAGTTCTTCATCAATCCCGGCAGCGCCACCGGCGCCTCCTTCTTTGGCTGGGGTGGCGACAGCACCAAGGAAGAGGACGAGATCGTGCCCAGTTTCTGCCTCATGGATGTACGTCTCCTCCACGTTGCCTCCCGTGCGTTTCTGCCCCTGCTGACTCCTTCCCAGGTCCAAGGAATCTCCCTCACGCTGTACGTCTACCAGCTCCGCAAGGACGCTGCCGGCGTCGAAAACGTCGCTGTCGAAAAGGTGACGTACACAAAGCCGGTCGAGCCTATCGGTCCGGCCTAGTGAGCAGTGCCGACGAACGACTACCGAGCTCATTCATATCTGTATATACTTAAAAATGGCCGCGGCCCATTTTAATTCCTTGTCGTTTTGTTCCGTGCATGCTTGCGTATTGCACCGACTGTATGCATTTGTCACGATAAGGAGCCTTGCAGTGCCGTGCACAAAGGCGTCTGAAATAGTCGAGAATCGGGTTTTATTCGAGACGACAAAAGAAAGGGACCAAGAGAACGACAAGTAGGATATCTTGAAAAGAATACGCAAACGCTTCGTCAGAGTAAACAGAGCACATCATCTATATTTACGCATAAGACCCCGGCACAACCGCTACTCCCCAGCAGGTCCAGAAATTAGCCGCCCATCCCATCATAACATCATGCTTCTCCGTCTTGAGATTCTGTCCCTTGTCGATAGGGTCTGCCCTTCGGTGCCCAAGGCCTCACCTTCGCCGTTGCTGACTTGAGGCTCATATGACGAATCTGCAGGGTCGTCTTCATCGTCATCGCCACTCAGCATGCACGCCTTTTTTGGTGCCACCATCGACGCTCGCTTCCGTGTTGCCGACGTCCTTGCACTGCGTTCTGCTGCAGCCGAGGCGTCATCGCGAATAACAGCGGCAGAGGACCGTCGGGCTCCCTTTGACGACCGCGACTCCTCTGTCGCCACTGCACCTGACTCGATAGACCGAGACTGGGGCGATGAGGATATCATGAACTCGTAGGGATCGGGCTCGTGGCCAAGCTCAGCCATGGCAGACGGTTCGGCTTGCTTGCTCTCGACCTCTCGTACACCGGCCAATGGGGCTCGCTTCCTTCTGTCTGTGATGATTGCCCGTAGGGGCACCGGCTGCGGCCCTTCTTGCTGCTGTTCGGTCGCAGGAGGATCCATCTCCAGTTTCACTGGCGTGTCGGCAGCTAATACTGGCATCGGGAACAGCTGCTTTCCTCCCTCAATCTCACCCGGACCTTGATGACCCTGTCGTTGAACATATCGACCCTCTCCAGCCACAGCATCGAGAAGCTCCTTGGTCGGCCGCCGCATTTTGTCGCGTAGATTCGGTTCTGCATAGCTCACAGAAGCACGTGCTCGTCTACTAGGGCGGGACACTTCGCCCTGCGACGATATATCTAGTGGCGGTGGTGTATCCCGACCCCCAGCCGATGCAGAAGTTGGCTTTTCGGATAAGAGCATAGACGACGCAGATGGTGGCGTATTGGGACACATCGAATCGCTCTGGGAAGACGGGGAAAGCGGCCTCATGTTCTCCAGGCCCAAGGCTGCAGCAGATGGCATATCAAGGCTGTCCTCTTTCCCATCGGCCACATCGTCCACCTTGATCTCTACCACAACAGGTGGTTGCAGATCTGGGCTGTCCAGCATGACAGACATCTTTACCCGGTCTCTCATCCGTCCAGCTGTTGCACCAATCTTGTTCGCGTCTGTGTTGATACTGCTTTTGCATGCCGCCATGTCTTCGTTTGAACGTTTCCGTGGCGAGGAGATATCATCGTTGGTGCTCTTGGTGGCGAGAGGTTTTCTGGCTCCAGACCTTCCCTTGCCCTCGCCATTGCTGTCGGTCTGGCCTCTGCGGCTGCTGGCGAGGTCTCTTATGCCCTTCGGATTCTTCAGCTCGCGTATCGGTAGGTTGTTCTCCAGCTGGCCCTTTTCCAAGTTCGTGGTCTTGTCGTTGCTGTTGGCCTTCATGCCCCGAACCGCCGCGTTCTCGTCGCTCACCGCAAACTTTCTCTTCGACCCGACCCTTTGAACCTGTACAGCATTGCTCTCGTTGGCTGGAATGGATCTCGAGGCGGTCAGGTCAGATCCGGTAGATGAGTCGACCAGCTTTCGGTTGGCGGCCTTGCCTCGTAGCGGCTGAAGCTTCTTGTCCATCTCTGGCAACTGCATCCCTGGATTGCCCACGGCTGGCGTCATTCGCGGTGGATCTGGTGTTGGCAGCGACAATATCTCTGCACCACATTCGACCGACGGAACGGGAGAGGGAGAAGCTGTCGTTCTGTCTCTGCTGTCTGCCCCCACCGGCGCTGCCTCGGGGGAGGCGGCCTTGCTGGGAGATGGCATCGATCGCCTGGACTCGTCGCGGATCAGCCGTGAAATTGGAGGTGGTCCCAACTCAGGGGAATTGGTGGCGTCAACGGCATCCGCATGCATGGCGAGAATCTCCTCCCGACTAAGCAATCAGGCGGTCAGTGTCCACGGCTCGCTTCTCCGCTGCTGGTTGGGGGGCTGTGCACATACTTTAATGTCTGACGGGGATATGTTTTGGTTTCGTATATAGGGGCCAGCCTGCCTTCCTGTGCTGCCAAGGACTCGGCCTCACTTGGCGAAAGCTGTGGTGGCCTCTTCTGCAGCTGCAACGACTTCCGTGGCGGCCCGCCTTCCCGTCGCTGTCTAGAGGGCGACTGCTTCTTCGTCGGAGGCTCGAGTCCAAAACCGGCGAGAAGGGCTCCCAACTCGATGAGATGCACCTCCATCTTCTCCTTCAACTGCAGCGCATGATCATTGGCCCGTCGTGAACTGTGCTCATCCAGCTCCTTCTCCATGTGCAGAACCTGGCCGCGGAGGTTGAGGTTCTCCGACAGAAGACGCGCGCATTCGTTCTCCAGACCCCGGATGCGAAGAGACTGGTTCGAGTTGATGCGGGCGATGTCCCTGTTTTGGCGTAGGAATCGTCGTCGAACTGGATCATGTTAACCGGGTGGCAGAGGTGGTTTCCCGCAAGAAAGACAGATGTGCTACGTACGTGCGTCGAGGCTATCTGCCGGCGCTGGGGGCTCGTTCAGTCTCGCCATCCTTCATAGTGAGTAAACAGCGGTGACGATATTCGGAAGCGGGTGGTCGACGGGAAACGATGGACCGTCGGGGGAGAATGCTGAGACTCGGGACGTGATCGCCGGTTAGATGGTGTGCTAGTCTGTCTGCGAATTGACGAGGCAAGGAGAGACCGATTTTTTCAAGGTCCTCTGGTCATTGGGTGGATGATTTTGACGTTGACCCCGATATGGGATGGCTTGTTTACCAGAATTATTTTGGGGCAGAGGTTGGCCCGGCAGCTTGCTCCTAACGGTTGGGCTGTAATGTGGCTGGGATGCAAGCCACAGTTCACGGCCCCGCATAGCAACGCTTAATTCGAATGCTCGGATGTGAGCCTCTTGCACGAACAAATATGCTCACAGTTGTATGTACACGACAGCCATGGCCTTCAATCCGCGGGCAATGTCTTCGGGACATTATCGACAAGCCTCTGCGTCCGACAACCTGAACGCTGCAGGGATGTCGGCAAGCGTATCGCTGCAGACACGTGTCAACGAGAAGAAGGAGGAGCTCGAGAATCTGAAGCAGTTGCGGGACCTAAGCGCTGCAGTCGCTTCGCAAATGGAGGCTCTCGAGAACAAGCTCTCGACGCTCTCTGATGGCACAGAAGGTGCGAGGCTGGATCTTGTGAACAACCGGGGCTATTTTCGTTCTTGCAGCAATTGATGAACTGACTGGCCGGATTTGCAGCGATCGCAGTAGTCATGGCCAACTGGAACAATGTATTGAGGGCAATCAATATGGCAACGAGTATGTATTGATCTGACTGTGTGTCACCACGTGCTTATGTTGGTACCGTCGCTCATATGCTGTAGCAAAACTTCCTCGCGCCACCGAGTCCGAGGATACGATTGCACTTCCACAAATGCTCGTCCGCATTCCGACCGAACATGCTCCCTCGCTCCAAGCACAAGCAGCCGAGGCTGGGATCATTTCTGACGAGCAGGAAGGCGCATAGACAGGACATGCAACATGACGGACATTTCACGGGTTACGCAACTTCCTGTCTCTTGGGACATTGGACAGGCCCTTGCCGGACATGGGAGCAACAGACAACGACGCCATGTTGCTCTGAAACACACTTGGTGGTTGACGCACTGCGAATGCGCCATAAGTGAAAGCAAAGTCCTAGAATTGCGAGGGTCTATTGAGCCGGATCCACCCATAACTGATAGTGGGGTAGTATCACACCAGCTTTGCCGACAAGCGCGAGTGGTGTCGCGCGGGACGCGTTCCTTAGTCATCATAGCTACTACATAAGTACGGAACACGTCGATGTAAGACAGCGGAAGTTCAGTAATATCCCATATCTCGCATGAAATACAGCGTACATAGTACATGGAAAGGAAATGACAAGGTAGCAAATGCAAGCTCTGTCATGCAAAGCAAACGTTCTTCTTACTCCGTTATTGCCCTGCTCGCAGGCCCGTATGCATGCCCCGGTCTCATCCATCGATTCCACGTGTTATGCTCGTACTTGGCCTCATTTTTATTATTCTACTTATTTCTTACATGCCTCTTCGGATTTTTCGGGATCCTGATTCACTATGCAACTCATCACACAGGATATGACGGGCTACGGAGTATGCGCCTCCTTAAACCTGTGACGCGACTAATGGAAGGCGCGGGAGGGGGGTAAAGATAGTCTCACATAGTACAAAGATTGCGGAAGGCGCGACTGCGTCCTGTAAACAAACAAACGAGCCAAGCAACAAAGACAACCAGCAGCTCTTGTCAGCAATATTTTGCACCATGGCAAGACAAACACAACTTCTCTCTTATCATCACAAACCAGGCGTGACGCGAAGCACAATTGCATCGTGATCGTTTTCAGTATCGCCGTTTGTAACCCCTTGTATCAAATTTGCGCCCTGTCCATTTTTTCCCGCGAGATTGCACCCGATCAGAAAGGGCTACCCCTGGTCTACAACCAAATCTGCTCCCTGCTCACCTCCACGTCGGTCTGGTCCACCCCTTCATTTTCGCCTGGCCTGTCCGTGTCCATTGGCCTTAATCTTGGCGAACCAGCATTGCTAGCCTATCGGTCGGCCTTTTTCATCTACGCCTGGAGGAGACGGAACCCCTGGAAGACTAGAACTCCTCCCCTTCTGTTGTATCGGTTTCCACATCTGGAGTAGACGGGGTAGCAACCGTCTCGGGCTCATCTTTCGCGCAATATGGGTCAACAAGCCCCGTCCGGCAAATACGAATATTCGTATGTCGACCACCCTCTGGCCCACGACGATGGTGGTCCTGCCAGTTGTGCTCACTCTCCGACGTCATCTGTCAACGCAACGAGCTGCAACGATAGCCGGTCTGTTTTTGGAAATCTAAACGGCCACGCCAGCCTGAACGTTCAAGCTGAAAGTATCACTACACCACTTGACAAGTGCATCGCATCAGACAAGCATTCAGCTAGCAACGTCACACCGGAATCTCTGGCCGAAGATTTGGAAAACTTTCACCTGAACAATTCCAGAAGAATTGCCAATCGTTCTGTGGAGAAGTGCCTTCTGTCGGACAAGGATATTACAAACCCAGGTACGCCCACAGACTGTCGCAAGCTTAGACAGCAGCGAGCCCACCGCGCGGGCGCGGGCGAGGCATGCGAATCGCTGGTCCTCTTGTGTTTTGATGCCCGTGTCATCAGTCTTGCTGTCCCGGCGGCTGGATCATAGATGGCTAACTTGCGGCTTTTCAGGAGACTTGTGCCAGCATCGATCAGAAGCAACGCTCGTTAAGAATCTAGACTTTCAACAGGCAATAGAAAAGCACGAAGTCAGGGAGTTCGAGTGGGTGCTATCACTGCCCTGCAACGACGTAGGCCTAGCTAAAGGCCCCGACGACAAGAAGCCTAACCGAAGCTGCTCCGTTCCCGGTGCGGCAGACAGCGGCAGCGAAGATCGACAGATTCGTTTCGGCTGCAACCTGCTGCAGAATAGAGCGCGAGCCGGCAGCGACCTGGCAGGACAGCACCGCACGATCAACACATACACGCTCGTGGCTACACCTCTGGGAGACGAGGTGCTGAGAGGCGATCAGACAGGCTCATCGCAGTCGCAGACGGTATCAGTGAGCCAGACGGCATCGGCAGGAGAAGCAATCCCGATGGTGGATACATTTTTGACCCCTGAGCGTACGGCGCCAGCGGGGGTTCGTGCAGGCAGAAGCCGGTCCCAAGTCACGCCGCTGATGCTGGGTGATGGATTTGAGGCCGGTTCTGCAGACCGGTCCCGTTCGGCCACACGGTCGCCAGCCAGCTCAGTGTCGCGCATCGAAGACACGATCGAAGAGCTGGACCGTCTTGAGGACGAGTTTGAGGCTGTGCATAGCCTAGTGCGGGTCGAGCACGTCCCGTCGCCGGAGAAGCCGGACGATGACAAGGCGGCTCGTGTGGCAGCAGTGGGCAGAAGTGGCAGTACGAGAAAGGTTGTGGTTGCGAAAGCGGGCGGAGTACGGGCGGAGCTGAAGGCGACGGCAGGGATGACGCGGACGTCATCGACCCGCAAGCCGGGGGTGGCACCGAGCCAGGCAAAGAAGCAAGGCGGCCCAGCCGAGACCGGGACGGGACCAGGAAGTGGCATCAAGCGGATGAGCATAACGCGGCCGGCCAGTCTGCTGCCGCCGAAGCCGCCGATGAAGTCCAGCAAGCCGCCGACGGTATCGACATTTGAGCTACCGGGCGAGGCGGTGGCGCGGCGGCTCAAGGAGCAGCGCGAGAAGCGTATGTCGGCGGCGCTGTCGGGGAACGGGATTGTCGCACCAACAGCGACGCCGGTGCAGACACCACGACGAAGACGCTCGGTCAAGCCGCCGACGATCCCAGCATTTGAGCTCCCGGGCGAGGCGATCTCTCGTCGCAAGCGGGAGGAGCACGAAGCGAAGATCAGGCGGCAAGAAGAGGAGGAGAAGAAGCGACGGGAGTTCAAAGCGCGGCCGATGCGCATGAGCACGACGCCGAGCTCACAGCCACGCGAGACGGTGGCCAGCCGAGCACGAACAAATAGGATGTCGATGATCGGAGAGAGCGGATCTGCGGGTGGGGGGCTTAGTGTGGGCGGATCGAAGCGGCTCTCGGTGTCGACAGCATCGCCGGGGCGGTCGATGCAGCAAGCAACGGGTCGCGGGCGAGTGTCCAACGTGGAGACTCAGTCGGTGGAGTCGCGTGCCAGCCGGGCGACATCGTCGTCGACGTGCAGCATGAGCGGGAAGCGAAGCTCGGTGTCGGCGGAAGAGGTGCAGCAGCAGAAGCTTCGGGGCAAGGACATCTACCACCGAGACAACTACCTTTCGGTGGACCGGGACCAGGAGAAGCGAGAGCGCGAGGCGATAGCGAAACAGGCGCGGCAAGAGGCAGCAGAGCGGTCGAGGATTCTCAGCCGGGAGTGGGCAGAGAAGCAGAAGCAGCGTGCGAAGAAGCTGATGACGATTGGATCGTGAGTGGTGAAAGTGGACAGTTATGGTTACGAGCGAGTGTTTTTTGCGCAGTGTAAGAGACTGTAATGTTTTGGGGGTGTTTCTGGTGGGACGATGCCGATGCAGGGGCAAGAAGAGGTTGGAGTGGCTGGCTACGGAGTACTGCATTTATTAGTATTATTTTTGGAAGCACATGCTTTATGTAAGCGTGTATTATTGTATTATTATTGTTGTGAAGTGACATGTCCGTTGGCAGCCTGTTTTTGGAAGGTCGGTCAACAAGCATCAAGACGTGACAATGGTGCGACACAAGAACACAAAGGAGATGAGGTCGTCGTCGTCGGTGTCGATGTTGTCGTCGTCCAGGTTGTCGTCGTCGTCGTCGACTCGGTTACGGCCACGCGTGCGACTGCCGCAAGGAACATATGAGGGCCTCGTGCTGACGGTGGGCCAAGGGGTGGCGGAGGGCGTCAGAGGGGGCAGCGGGGGCCACGAAGCACAGGCTCAGCTGCCGCGACCGGTGGAGGCCTTTCTGGGGATTCCGTATGCGCAGACGACGGCGGGGCGAAACCGGTTCCGGGCGCCAGTGGCGCTGGCGGTCGACGAAGCCGGCAAAGGTGACGATGGGCGAGTGCACGACGCGACCTGGTTTGGGGCGCGCTGTGTGGGAGCGGGTGGGCGAAGCGACGTGGCCGAGAGCGAGGACTGTCTGAACGCGAACGTGTATGTGAGCGAGGGGGCGCGGGGTCGAGGGAGAAGGAAGGATGAAATGGATGGCGAGAAAAAGTACGAAAGCCACGAAAATCATCACGACAACAATCATCGCGACAACAACCACCACAACCATCCCCCGCATCATCATCACCACAATCATAGTCTCCTTCCGGTGGTGATCTACGTGCACGGCGGCGCGTTCAACAGCGGCTGTGGTGCCGAGCGCGATCTGGCCAGCTTTGTCGGCCATGCGGCCGTCGACCTGGTGGCTGTCAGCTTCAACTACCGCGTCGGCGCGCTCGGCTTTCTCGGCTGGTGGTCCGAGCGGGACGGCGACGGCGACGACAAGGAACCGCACGACGGCGACCACGACGACAACAACGCGCCGCTCAATCTCGGCCTGCTCGACCAGCAGGCACTCTTTGGCTGGGTACAGGCCAACATCAGCTTCTTTGGCGGAGACGCGGGAAACGTGACGGTAATGGGACTCAGCGCAGGGGCACATTCGGTGAGTGAGTGTGTGGTGATGTGATGGTGATGATATTTACTTTCGTCTCTTTCTTCTTTCTTTCTTTCTTTTTTTCTTTCTTTTTTTCTTTCTTCAATCCACTGACAACGCAGATCGGCCACCACTTGCTTCACTACCCCCCCGGTCGAGCACCCTTCCACAAGGCGATCCTCGAATCGGGCGCGCCGACCGCGCGTGCCGTCATGGCGCCCGACCATCCTCGGCCACGCGCACAGCTGCGTGCCTTTCTGGTCGAGGCAGCCGTGCTGGACGACGACGTGTTGGTGCCGCCGCCGCGGGCCATCATCGACGCGCTGCGCGGGCTGTCAGCAGCAGCAGTGGTGCGGGCCAGCCGAGCGGTCTTTGCGCGCTCGCTCGCCGGCGTGACCTGGCCTTTCCAGCCGGTCGTCGACGGGCTGCTAGGGCCGCCGGCCTGCGCCTCCCCCTACATCCGTTGCAGTCCGGTCGACGGTTGGCGACAGCGACGAGCCCAGGCTCATGGACGCGCGTCCATGCCCGTCCTCACCGGCTTCAACACGCACGAGGGTACCGCCTTTGTGCCGCGTGACGGTGTCCATGCCGACACGGATGCCGACTTCCGGGCCTTCTTCGCCAACCTCATCCCCGGCCTCGACCAGGCCGATATGGACCTGCTCTGTCATCTCTACCCGGACCCGACGGCCGGCCACCACGAGACGGACGCTCGGCGGCTACCACCCGGCATCACCGGCCGCCAGTGGCCCCGGCTCCAGGCCGCTTACGCTCACTATGCCTACATCTGCCCGGTCCTGCAGACGGCCCACCAGCTCTCGCTCGGCGCCGGCCAAGGATCGTCTGGCTCGGCGCCCGTGTACGTGTACGAGTTCGCAGCCCGCGCAACCGCCCTCGACACGGCCAACCATGGCGACCATGCGGCCGTGGTGGCCCATGAGGATGCCCTGCTCGCCTACAGGCCCGGGCTGCAGCGCGTGTCCGAGGCCATGCACGCGGCTTGGGTGCGGTTCATTGCCAGTCCGGTGGGCGATCCGAACGTGGAAGACGACAAGGAGGACGAGCACGAGCACGAGCACGAGGAAGACGAGGTCCGGACACATCGACGCCAAAAACACCATCACAACCCTCTTCCACACTGGACCCCCTTTGTCTCGCCTCTCGCCGGCAACAGCGCCAAGACCAAGACCATCATGGTCTTTGGCCACGGCAACGACGAGCGCGTGCCGTCCGAATGCCGCCACGGCGGCCCCCAGGCCAAACCAGGCATCCCGGCCGCCATGCGTCGCCTCTCGGCCTTTGAGCTCGAGCAGTGCCGCTTCTGGTGGGACCGCGTCCACCTCAGCGAGGGCTACGGCTACCGCTCCGAGACTGCCTTGGCCAGCCGGCTGTAGAGACGGGCGAAATGGTACATGTATATTCTCCTTCACTTTTCTACCTTGCCTATAGAACAAATACAGCTGCCAGCCAGCCAACAATGCGCGGCCTGTCCAACAGCAGGAGCGCGTAACGATACAATTGTAGATTAGGTCGAGTCGATTAGTCCCCTCCGAGTCGGGAAGAGGAGAAAGCAAGTAAACGCGGCTCAAAGCGAGCAGACCAAAGACAAGACGCCTGGACAGTCCAATGCAACCCTGGCCGTGAGCGCTGTAGACCAAGAAGAACCGAAGAACCGAAGAACCAAAGAACCAAAGAGCCAAAGAGCAAAGATCCAAAGAGCAAAGATCCAATCTACCGAAACAGGTGCCAACCAAGGACGATCAGAAATTCTGCGACAGGTTCGTCTGCTGTGGATAGTGTGACGGGCTTTCTATCCGCGTATTCCGTCGTGCCGGATTGTCACGGATGACCGGAGGACCGCCCAGCTCGGCCGGCCGTGGAGGCCCATTGTACTGTCCGTCTGCATACGGATTGTTGCTGCCGTACTGGTTGTAATAGGCCGCATCGCTGTAGCCCAGGTCGGCCGATCCTTCCGACCGTGCAGCCGCGCTGTAGGACGACGACGCGTTCGAGGCGCCGCGCTGCACGTCGCCACCCCGGTTTCCCGATGCTGCCGGCCCCATCGCTCCCAGAATCTCGCCCTCCGGACTGTAGGCGCCGCCTTCGGCTTCCAGCTCGCCCGATCGCCGTTCTCCTGGCCCGACTGCCGTCGGCGACGTCGCGTCCGAATATGTCGCCCCGCCAGCACCTCCAGACATTGTCGTCGACGCCTTCCGTCCCCTTCCGCCCAGCGTCGTCGAGCCCCAGCCACGGTAGCCCGAAGAGCCCGCTTCCTCCTGCACCATCTCGTAACCGGCCGCTCCGACTGCCCCGCCTGCTGCTCGTGCCGCCAAGTCCGGGTCGCCGTTCGGGTTGAACGTGTAGTCCTCCACCTCCTTGCGCCGTTGCTCCTCTGCCTCCTTGCGCTGTCGTCGCCGCCGCCAGAGAAAGATCCCTGCCAACACCAAAAGCGCCACGCCCGCAATCGGTACCACCACCGCCACCGCAATCCGCCCCCCGTTCGAGAGCTTGCCGCTGGACGAGTGCGTTGCCACAACTGTCGCCCCGCTCGACGTGCTGCTGAGCGTCGACGTCGTCTTGCCCGTCGTCGTTGCCCCCTTCGACGTCGTCGTCACCGTCTTCACAATCGTGCTCGTCCCGGCACTGCCTGTGGCCGCCGTCGTCACAATCGTCGTCGGCACCCCTCCCTGCTCCGACGTTGCCGCCGGCACCGATGTCGTTACTGCCTGCTCCGTAGACTCTGCCGTTGGGGGTATCGTAGTCGTGGCCGACGTCGTCACCTCCGTGATCACCTGCGGAGTCGATGCTGCTGTTGTTTCTACCGGCGCCACACTTGTCGTCGCTTCTGTTGTCGGCGCAGTTGTTGGCTCCGTCGTTGGCTCAGTCGTTGGCTCAGTCGTTGGCGCCGTCGTTGGCGTTGTCGTCGGCTCCGTCGTTGGCGTTGTCGTCGGCGTTGTAGCCGCCGGAGTCGTCGACGGAGTGGGCGTTTCCGGTGCAGCCGACGTCGTGTCTGGTGCCGCAGGGGTCGCAGCAGCAGGCGCGGATGTCGCTGCTGGCGCCGTCGTTGGATCCGTCGCTACCGCAGACGGCGAAGTAGTCGCAGCAGTATCAGTGGCTGCCGGCGCCGTAGAAGCAGCCGCCGTCGTTGCTGCCGCGTCTGCCGACGTCGCTACTGCTGCTGCTGCCGATGTTGCCACCGACGGAGCTGCAGAAGCAGTCGCAGCCGCCGCTGTGTTTGTCGTGTTGACCGACATTGCAAACTGTTTGAATACCAGCCGTGGTGATGGGGGTCTGTGATGGTAGTTGATGCTGACCATGTTAGCAAGCTCGATCTTGAAGCTGGCTTCAAAACGGAAACAATAAAAATACAGTAAAAAATACAGTAGCAAGACGGAAGACACGACTTTTGGACTCATCGTCGCCGTGAAGCGCCGCCGTGTCGTCGCCGCCGTGGCGCCCATGCAGCCCACTGCATCAACTGCATCGACTCGAATCGATTGGCCGTGAGACCAGCCAGACGCAGCTGTAAACAGACAGGGCACCGTGACACAGCAGCGCGCATGGCAGACGAAACAGCTACACAACGACAGGATGGAAATCAACTTACCCTATGAGCTAGGTCGCAAGAGCCGGTCGGCCAGTCCCCAGGGTTGACACAGAGTCAAGAGAATCGTATCGTAGAAAAGCCTGGGAGTGACGGGGAAAGGGGAGAGGGCAAGGCCCTGTGGGTGGGACTGCTTTCGGAGACAAAAGCGGCGCCTTGTCTAGTCAGTGAGTGGCTGAGCACAGCTGCTGTCTTGTCGGAGGACAAAACAGTGTGGAGTGGGCCTGAAAAGAAGGCCCAGGGGGGCGACTCGGACGATGGAGAAACGGAGCAGTAATAATATCGAGGGGAGACTGAAAAAGAGGGAGGGAAATAAGAAAGCTGGAGAAAATCCGGGCCACTGAAACGGCACGCTTTGCAAAAAGAATGCCCTCTTTGTCGGCAGTAAGCCGAGAGCGAAAACCCAAAAATAAAAGTGGTCGCTGACTGTGACGAGGTCGTATTGGTGACAGTGCAAGCAGACGGGAAAGATTAACCTGCGATCCGTAGTAATATGTACTGCATCGGATGAGCGAATATCGTCGACGACTGCCGTTGGGACAAACTACTTTCGTCTGGTCTTTTTGGGGTGCTGCAGGTGACGGCCAGACGGATGGCGACTGTACTCCGTACTGAATCCAGATCGACTCTGGCAAGAGGGCGAAAAGAGAGGGGAGTGGGAAGAAAGTTGGAAAAAGTCGCAGAAGGACGATACGAGGGAAAAAGGGCAAGGACGTGTGACACGGACAAATTAGGAACGTGGCTGCCTTTTTCCTCTTTATTTTTTCCAAACTACACCAGAACGTCTCGAAGGAGAACGCAATGGCCATGCGCGTAAGATTGCCGGGCCTTTCTTTTTTCGTTTCTTGTAATACTCCGTGCGAGCAAGCGTAGCCCAGACGGTACAAGTAAGATACCTACGAGTACTCGCAATACAGGCGTACGGGGGGTACTTACAAGCACCGGTACTTCGTAATAGCTGTGCCAACTTGCTCCTTCCTCTTTCACGCCACTACTCGCACAGCACTCTCCTCGTATCATGACCGCAACAGCGCTCCACTATCGCTTATGCTACCCTGGCCCACATTTCTCGGGCCTATCGCATCTCACCACACCCTTCTCTCCCGTGCATCTCAAGATTGTACGAGTGCCTTGTACCGGCACTCGTCCATATTTGTGCCCAAGACTTGCCTGTTTCGCTCCTTTCCACCAGCACCTCGACACTGCCCACATCAGACGAGCTGTGCTCATGATCGGCACAGATGCGCCCGTGCTCATGCCCAAGCACCTCCGGCAATCGCCACTCCGCGCGCGCGCCAAGACACTTGCCAATGGCCCAACTCGATCCTAATGCAAAAATACGAGCCCACCTTAATCTCAGTCCCTTAGCGTGCACATTTGTTCCTCACCTTCTTCATCCACCACTATCTCAACTCCCCGTTTCCAGAATGTAGCCTGACACCGCATCCGGCAAGTTGCCATGGTGGCGGTCGATCCATTCCAGTGCTGGGTTCAGGCCGCCAAACTTGACAAGACTGCGTTCCAACACCGGATCTACGCGTGTCTTACGACCTCGTACGCACCCACGCACATCACCGAACAAGGGGTAAACAAATCGGCAAAGCAATGCGCCTAGTTCCTATCCAAAAAAAAACCTTAAATCGAAGTTGTTGTAAGACTTCCTGAAACAGTAAAACACAATATAAATCCAAACACCCCCGTCTATTTGTAAAATCCATCAGCCGGTCCGAAGAGATTGCCGAGCAACCCTGTTTATCTAAGAACGTTCCGGAGACGGCGTCCTGAGAAGACGGCTATGCAGTGAAGAAGAATAAGGAAGGAGCAAATCCCGAACGACACATTGACTCATACTCACAGTGTCCGGTCCGCACTGACAGGAAGCTGGCAACCGCTTCCCTGTCACTCCGTCACCTTTCGAGTCCCGATGGAGCAGACCAAAATCCCGGAACACTGGAGATCGCGAACAAAAAAAAAAACGCCGGGCTCTAAATTAGAGGCCAGCAATAGAAATCTCCTGTAATATATGACCTGACAATCAAGTGCGCAGGTTCCAAGAAGGCTTCAACTGGTCAGCCATTGCAGCCGGTGTGAAAATCGTATCTTCCGGCAACCGGCTGATACGGCCGGCACCGTTGCGAATGGCCACCTGCTGTGCCGCCGAGATACCGCTGCGGTTGCTCCGAATGCTTCCCGCATCGCTCATAACGTCAGGGTCCTTGAACTTGCGTGGAGGCGCAAAGTCCAGGCCAGTAAATGTGCTAGACTTGCGGAGGACATGACTGTTACAGTGTTAGCGAACAATGCATCGACAGTTTGACAGACGTAAATCATTAGAGAAAGCGCGATAACGTACGGGCTAGGAAGGACGGCCATCTCCTCGAATGCCGACACCAACGGCGAGCTGGCTGGCACCTTCATCTGGTACGGCCGCCGCTCACCCATCGGGCTCTGCGGCCGGCCAGATACGTGTTCGGCAATGGTAGGAGGCGGGGCGAAGTCGATGGCTCCCAACAACGACAGACCGTCATCCGTCAGCTTAGACGGTGTGGGAAGGGTAAGCAGAGCTGGTGGCGGTGCCAGCGGTGCAGCCGGCTTGCGAGGACCCGGGCTCGGACGAGGGCCCAAGGAGGAACCACTCCGGATGTTCGACGCCGATGATCCTGGACGCATGCCTGGAGACATACCTCCCAGCGAGCCGTGGTGGCCCGGACCAAAACGGGGACGTCCGCCAGCCGGGAACCTCGAACCAGACGGAGGCGGTGTCATAGCACGCCGAGAGACGGGCTGTGCATACGGCATCACGAATGTGTTCGAGTTCGGGTCGAAATAAGCCCCCGAGTCACTGGGGTTTGGCGGGCTCTGAGGACCGCCTTTAGCAGCAGCGTTGCGGTATTGTGCCGGCAAACCATTGGGCGGGTAGTGTTGGTTGTACTCGGCCATGTCCGGCTTGGAGTCCTCAAAGTATTCCTTGTAGAACGAACGGATGCGGTTGGCTCGTGTCTCCGGGTCTTCCGACTCGATGATCTCATCAGGCGGCAGAGGGCGGAATCCGACAGACAGACGTCTGTTTTCCGTCCGGGGCAGATCCAGGCCCGACGGCTGCGCTGCACCTTCCTCTGGTGGATACTCGGATGACTGGCGCCTGTGCTGAGCCCGGCCACGGTCCTCCTGCGATTGCTGGGGTCCGGCCAGACGTAGCTCGCCGTCGTCCTGTGGCATGTCTGGGATAGACGTGACGTTGAACGCGAATTGACCGGCAGAAGACTGATGGTTTGAACGAGAGTTTGGAACAGAGTCGGCACGGTTGCGAGCGTCGTCGTGTATGACTGGGGCCGGCTTGTCGTAGATAAACAGCTCTTCGCCTGCTTCCGACTGCGGGCTAGCAAGCTTGGGCAGATCGAGGTCCCGTGGACGAGGCGACACCGGGGTGCTCGGCTGGGAAAGTCTCGATGCGGCTGTGGCAGGAATCTGAAGCTCGGTAACGGTGACAGAGTTATCGAATCGTGATTTCTTGACGCTGTCGATATCCGCCATTGTCTCCTTGGCAAACGAGTCCTTCACAAGCGAACTCTTCGGCACAGCCACCGAAAACGGCTGCGTCTCCTTGTCCGGGTACGGAGGAGGGACGCCTGGGGACTTTGCTCGGGTATCCTTCTGGTAAGAACGAAGCGATGCTCCGTCGCTCGCACCGTACGAAGTCACCGGACGGTACGGGTCTTCATTTTCATGAATGGAGCGGGCCAGCGTGCTGAGCGTATCGCGGGAGTTGTGTATCTCGGGCGGAAGCAGATACGGGCTGGACAAGTTCATATCGATCGAAAGCTGACGCTGCCCGGGAGTTTTCTCTCCGTTGAGGCCAAAGACACTCTTGCGCTTCGGTCTCGCCCCCTGAACACCAGCCTGGTTCATGGTCATGCCAAAGTCCCAGGACTTGTGGGCATCGTTCTGGTCCTCGCTCCTCAGCTTCTTCATGTTTCTGCGATGAAGATACAAAAGAACAATGACAGCACCAACAACGGGAATGCTGATGGTACAAACACGTTAGTTTCGGACAACGTATACAGGTGCAACGGTGGCACACGCCAACTCACACGCAACCCAGCACAACAGGAATGGTGATGCCTGTGTTGGCGGCCGGTTTCTCACAGAGGTTCTCATTGCTATTTTCGATACAAGTAGTCGTCGAGGAGGATCGAGCCATGACCCGACTGGGAAAGCCAAGCCCAAAAACTGGCGTGGGGTCCTCGACAAATTCGGGCATCGGGTAAGGGACTCGGCGTCCAAGCCGGTATTGTCTCAGATCTGCAGGCATCGTCGTAGTTCGAGCGGCCTAAGCCAAAGGCGTCCTGTTTGTCAACGGTAAAATCGAATTGTCGCTAAAAACTAGTCGGTAGTCAATCGCGTAATGACGTACTCCGTCTCCCAAGAAACTCAGTCGTTGCGATGTCCAGTTTTCGAAAGCGTGCCGAGAGGTGCGACGAAAATAGCTGCGAAATCGAACCCGTTTTGGTGAATGAGAAGTGAAGAGGCAAAAGGCATAGACTCAATAGAAGCACGAAACGGTTGGACAAGCCCGCTGGCAGGCTCGGAGAAGGCAGTGAAGACAAGAACAAGTAAAGGAATGGACGACGGGGCCGTTGGCGATAAAGCGAAGGACAAACGGTGTCAGTCTGGAATAATGAGTGGAAGGGCGCTGAAAGAGCGTGGGGTAACGAGAGAGCGAAAGAGCAAAGGTCGAAACGACGTCTATTCACAACCGCATCTCGAGAAGTCCGAAAAAGAGGGTGAGAATGGGATTAAGGGAGAGGTGAATAATAAGAGAGCAGAGGGCAAAAGGAGGACGTGAGCGAGATAGTGATGAGGAGCAGCAGCAGGTCGTGCCTGCAAGTCCTCCCATTTCTGGGCCCCAGTTGGTTTCCGGAAAGGGAAATTTGACCAGTCCAGAAGGAGCATAGCTCAGGGCAGCCAGGAACGGGCAGCAGGAGGGGCCAGGGTCTGGGGCCAATCAGCATTGAAGTGGGGCATCAGGGACAGTGCCATTGACGAAGAAAGCAGTCAACGAAAATAATGAAAATAACGAAAATAGCTGGGACCTGACAGCCGCCTCCGCCTGGCCCCAACGGGGCCGCGGTGATTGGCCGGCACTGTAGTGTGGCGCTCCACATGGCGGCCGCTGCCAGAAGCAGAAGGCCTGGAGGTGGGATGAGCGCTAATCTCCTAGCGGGGCCTGGAAATGAACCGAGATGAGCAAAACAGGGCCCCTTTTGCTGTCGGCCCCAAGATCTGGTCCATTGCCCCTTTATTTTCCCCATCGGAATGCACTGGGCCAATGCTGTTGGTGAGCCTTGTCCACGCTTCGAAACAAGCCACAGAACGGCTTGCCTCCTTGCTTGCTGCTGGGGGAAAAAGAGCTACGGACTACGACGACTGCCACGACTGTCACGACTGGCCGACCGTTGTTTATCAGCTGGCCGATGTCCTCGAGGCACCGCCGACTGTCTTGCCGAAACGGAGCTCTTGTTTACGGAGTACGATACGTTTTCATTCCTTCTTTCTGGTAAATGGAACCAAATCGACATCCACCTTCTGTCGTAGTGCGGTATTTTACCTGCTGGTTTCCCTGCTTGGTAACATACGGAGTACGGAGTACGGAGTACGGGCATACGTACTCGTGCAAGCCCCGTAGCACCACTTATGAAGTGGCACTGCCCAGGGGCTTTCAGCTCAGGATACCACTAGGAGGTCCCGTGAGAAGCCGTTTGAGCACCTGCGTTACATTATCGATGCGGTGACGCTGTGCTACTGTGCTGCCGTGTTGTGGAATTAAACTGCACTAACGACAGGCCTTTATCTCTTCGGCTTCGCTAATATATTACAATGAGTATGCCTGCAAGATACTATGTAGCCTCTTGGCCGTCACGAGCGAGAGCAGGTAAGATACGGTACGACGTAACTTACGACGCCTGCGTCCTGCTTCCCCAGTCTTGTCTTCCTCTCAAAAACGGCCCACCCCGGCAAGCGGTACGCGTTCCGTCTCCTGAATGTGGATATTGGCACCCAAACTATGCATTTGTGCTCGTGTGTCGTACAAAATCCATGCATGACGTTTAATTTCACTGCTGTGAATCTTGGTCTTAGATTACAAAGTCCAACAAATCTCGGGCGGGGTGAAGGGCCGACACAGGGAACAATGCCAATTGCTTCGTAGGATACCCCGTACATGCTATTATGTAGTATCGTAACTCGCAGGAGTTTCTCTCCGACGAGGCGAGGTGTTTTGCAAGACACCCCGTTCATCTAAACGGTACCGGCGTATCTTATGCTGGCGCGCTCACGTGGCTGCATCCATGCATACCTCTGTTTCAGGTCCGCCTTCTAGTCGGCTTCGCTTCCAAGCCCCTTCGACGCACGACTAGCTGCCCGTGTGGTAAAAGTTAGGAGCGTACTCGAGCAGCCATGCCTTCTCGATCTTGGTCACGTCCCGGATGTATATCTTGTCGCCCGTTTCCACCACTTCGTGGAAGACGACCCAGTCGGCCTTACGGTTGAACAGCAGCGAGCTGGGGTGGGCGTGCAGGACGGTGCCGCCGGCCACGTTGCAAAAGGAGCCGTCTGCCTGCATCCGTGCGGCCTGTGAAAAGTAGCCCATCGTAAGGCAGCGCCGGATCTGCTCCGCCTTGTTGGTGGCGTGCTGTGGCAGCGGTCGTGTCTGTCGTTCATGGTCTTGTTGCTGCTGCTCTCCCGACACCTCGATGCCAAAGCGCTCCATGAATCGCTTCAGCTGTGCGCGAACGCTGACGGCACGCTTGAGCACCTGGAAGTTCAGCCGGTTCTCGCGGCAGAACCGCGACTCGCCCTTGCCCTTGGTGACAAATGCCTGGTACACGTTGAGTAGAGTCACGTGATCGCCCTCATCGGCCGCAAACTTCCGCCGCGACGACTCGAGCCCACGACGGTCCTCGCGCCCGCCGTCGACCCAGACGCTGCTGCTGCTCTCGCGGCTCGTCATGGCCGCGATCGTCAGCATCTCGCCCAGACAGTTAAACTGGGGGGCCGCCAACAGCGTCTTGGCCATCATGGGCTCGACGGCGAGCTCGGCCATGCGCAGCCCGAGCGGCTTTGTCAGCTTGGCGTAGTCATCCAGCGCGCCGAGAGCGTACAACAGCTCCAGCGCCTTGGTCATCAGCTCGGCCGGCGGTGCCGTCAGGTACGGGAACCGCAACACGTTGTCGATGCCCAGCGCCTTGAGCTGCAGCACCACCGGCGCCAAGTTCGACCGCTGGATCTCTGGCACGTTGGTGTCGGCCAGCCCGAAATACGCCGTCTCCGTGTACAGCCGGAAGCACTTGCCCGGTCGCGTGCGTCCGGCTCGGCCGGCCCGCTGGGCTGCCGCCGCCTTGGACACCGCCGTTGCCGTCAACGTCTCGATGCCCGTGGCCGGATTGTACGCCCGCACCTTGACGAACCCGCTGTCCACCACGTACACGATGCCGTTGATCGTCACCGACGCCTCGGCAATGTTCGTCGCAAAGATCACCTTGCGCGTGTCCTCGGCCGCCTCCTCAAACACGTACATCTGCTCGTCCGTCGGCAGTCCGGCAAACAGCGGCAGCGGCAACAGGGCGCGCCGCGCCGACAGCGACTCCTGCGCGGCCACGCGCTCCGCCACGGCCTGCACTGCCGTCTCGATCTCGTCGCGGCCCGTGAGAAAGACAAGAATGTCGCCGTCCGGTTCTTGCTCGTGTATCGCCAGCACCGTGGCCACCGCTCTCTCCACATAGTCCTCGACGGGACTCTCGGCATAGAGGACGTCAATGGGATAGGTCCTGCCCTCGAGGCTGACTACCGTGCCGATCTTGCTCTCGTCGGCATCGTCCACCATCTCGGTCTCGTCCGCTTTGCTCTTGGTGCCGTGGCTGCCCTCTTCCGAGGCGGAAAAATAGGCGATGAAGTCGTCCGCCTGCAGGGTGGCGCTGCTGATGATGATACGTAGCTCCGGCCGCCGTTTTCGGATCTTCTTCAGAAGCCCAAGCAGTATGTCCGTGCTGATCGACCGCTCATGTGCTTCGTCGACCATGATGACCGAGTAGCGAGAGAGCAGTGGGTCAACAAGGGCTTCGCGAATCAGAAGCCCGTCCGTCATGAACTTGATCCGTGTGGCTGCTGAGGTGACATCCTCAAACCTGATCGAATAGCCAACCTCTTTTCCAACCTCACAGCCAAACTCTTCGGCCACTCGCAGCGCAACCGTTGTAGCTGCAACTCGCCGGGGCTACAGAGAACTGCGTGAGATTCTCTCTCTTCGAATACCAGGGGTGGAAAGATGCCTACCTGTGTGATCGCAATCACCTTTCCATCATTGCACCATCCAGCCCTTTCCAAATATTGTGGGATCTGGGTCGTCTTTCCAGAACCTGTCTGGCCGACCACGATGGTTACTGGGTACGTCGCAATGACGTATAAGAGACTCTCACGATGCTTGGTAATGGGGAGCAAGGCAGCCGGCTTGTAGAGTATCGGGATGAATGACGCCCCTAGCTCGAGGTCTGCCATTTTCAAGCAGCACAAGCCCTCTTGTCTCTAATACAGCAGAGCAGACTTCAGAGGGCTAGGTCGCGAAGACTGATGGAAGAAATGGCAGTACTGGGGACTGCGATGTCATCTCCTGTGGCTTCCCTGCATGTCCATAGCCAATCAATCTTCCGAGAGTAAGGTCAGCGCCTGGATTGACCCGCGTCCTTGGTGCCCAAATGCCCCATCCACAAGGTGAAGCCTGCATCCAATCCACACAAAATGCAGTTCTCCACATCAGCCACGGTAAGCGTCACATGATGCGTACAGACAATCATGTGATTGGCTGCGCTGTTTTTGCCGCCCAACACACCGTAACAACCACATCTCAAAAACCTGATCATCTGGGCCATTCGGGCGACTACTTGACTCTTCCTCGCATCGTCGCCCGGTTCCCGTGAATCTGTAAACGCAGGTACGGGGGTTCTGTGCCATCTATCAGCTGTGCGCATATACTTTCCAATAAAAGCTCTGCTTTTTTAGGACGCTTGTGCTATTTTGGCTGCTGCGTTTGCCTCCCCCTCCTTCCTTCCCTTTTGAACCGTACCGCTGGAATCTTGTGAGCTCTTGCCACTCGCCTCCAGCTTCTCGCTGTTCTGATTTCTTCTCTTACCACAGCGAGAAAGCCGAGCCAGAACTTGCGCTGTCGAGCCTGGAAAAGCCATAACCAACTACGTCGCGCCTCTCCAGTGCCGCTTCTGATACCGTTTGTTGGTGCCGCTTGGTCTCATCTGTCTCTGTTTGCATATCTTCCCTACACAGTCGGCCCAAGCCAGATCGCCTGACTTGGCCCCGACCTGTATTGCACTCTCATCTCTTGTTCTGCTTTTTGTTCCCTACATATCGAGAATGGTGAGTCTGTGAAGCAAACCAGTGTAGGGGTAGCATCTTGAAAGATGGGGAAAGAAAAAAAGCGCATAGGGCGTGGCCCAATGCCAGGAGGACACGCAAAAGAGCGTCACAAAAAGAGCACAAGAGCTGGCGGCTGGAATGTTCCGGCACCAGCTACCTTGAATGCAAGGCCAGAGGCCCCTGGCCTCAAGTCAAAACACCACTCTTACTTTGAGCTTGTCGAAAACAAGGACAAAAAGAAGAAGCTCGAGTTCAAGGCATGGTTCCCTCAACCCGTCTGCCCCTTGAAATAGTACTGATGACCCTGAACGCCCGATAGATCACCAGCGACAGACAGCCACCTCCAGGCTTCGAATTTGTTCCTATCGGCAACCCGGAATTAACGACTGCCTGCAAGGAGCTGTCGCGTGAACAAGACGCGTTGATATTCATCGTATCCGTACGTATGATCATAGATTCACGGGGCCTCCTATTGTCTCTCCGCTGACCAGCTTCTGTCGCATGCAGACGGACAAGCGGGCTGTGGCTGCGTCACTATCATACCAAGTCAACCGAATTGGACATCACATACGGCAGATGATCGTTGAGCAGGCACGGGCATCGATTGGCGACAGCGATCATTCCTCAGTGGGACAGAACCTGTCCGGCCTTCCAGAGCCCATTCCGGTGACTCAAGAGGAAATTAACGAGCAGGCTGATAAAGCAATCAGAGACTTATTTCCCAGGATTCCCAATACAGACCGCCAGACCATCATCGAACACTCGTTCAAAAAGGTTCCATCCTCTTCTGTACTCCGCACCCCAGCCCAGTCCAAGCAAAAGGCTAACATGGAAACCGCTTCAGGGTGCGACGAAAAAAGGCGAGCCGTTGGTCGGCTTGGCCAAAGACATCACACTGTCCCGCCGTGTACAGCTAGCTGTGCTAGCGCATATCCGCCATACCCATACCCGATACGACCGCCTTCTAAAAGAGACGTCCTACGCAAACGCCCGAAGGACTGTTGAGGCACTATGCCTAGATATACTCGTCAAGTGGCGAGGCGATGAAGAAACAGGGCGCGACCAGCTCGACGAGATCCTCCGCGAGGTGATTGTCATCTCCGATTCCGAGGGTGAAGATGATGGCTATACTAGCGACACTGCAAACAGCGAGTCAGATGACTCGGTCGAGGACATTACTCGGCACGCTGCACCTGACCGGGTCAGCCCTGTGGTTGGCTTTGCACACTATGTTGTCAGGCCTCCGGCAGTAGATGCGCGCTCCACTACAGAGGCACCTGCATATGACTTTGCGCAGGACGCCAGGAGTGCTACCGTGTCCACATACGTGAGCGCGCCGTCGCAGACCTTTGAGAGTCTCGGCGTGAAAAGAGGTCGCCGGGGATTCAGGAGATACGAAGCGGCCTTGACGGCACGCTGGGACGAGGCTAAGAACCGGGTTCGCCTGCAGGAAGAGCTTCCAGGTGGCCCAAATGGGCCCACAGCAGATCGTCTGGATTCGCATTATGAGCCGCCACAACAGGACCCCTCTTATGCACTGGAGCCTCCATCTTACTGGGAACTGTCAGAGCGCAGGGAAGCTGTGCAGGATCACGGCCGGCCTGCCGGCTATGGGGCGCAACGTCGTGTTGTCCATCCGTCCGCCATCCACGGTGGGTATCCGGCATATGAGTATGACCAACCGCCTATGCAGCTGTCAGGACCGTATCCAGATATCAGTGCTCCTCCGCTACCGCACAGGGTCTTCTCACATCCCCTGCCAAGAAATAATAGTCCCCGTAATGGGCCAGGCTATGACCTAAACCCAAGGGCAATGGTAAGATCCCAAGAAGTTCAAGATTATCTGGTGCCGTCCATTGAGCCTTCGTCGCCGACTGGCGAATCGGACGCCTTCGTTCCTATTCTAGTGCGCACGTTGCCGCCTCGTCCTAGCGCTCAGGAGAGCTATCATGGCGAGGCTCTGGCGCGTTATGACATGCACCACTCACCTAGTTGGGGAGAGGAGTCATATGATAATGTCAAGCACAGGCGTGTTACGAGTGACTCCACTTTCATACGGCTACCGCCTCATCAAGAACCGCATCCTGTCTATGTAGCCCGCGAGGATCACCACGGGCAAGGTATTGTTCCCTACGTCCGGGCGCCACCTTTTGGATCATCCGTTCGTGCACAAGCACAGGAGGACTATCGCCAGGCTTCAGCTTGGCCCATAGCACAACCGACTTCTCTAGGGCCTGCTCCCGCACCTGTGATGCGGGCGTACCACCCAATTGGTGGCCCCATGCGACCAGTGGTTGTCGATGACTGGCCTGTGCATGCGCCCCAGCTTGCACCCCAAGTTGGGATGACTTCAATCTCTCAGGCTTTTCAGGAGAACAACCCCCGAGAGCGACGGATGCCTGAGGCTCGTCGAGAAATGTACCATTTTGCTGGTAACCTTTCTGACTCGTCTATGGACGAGTACATAGAAAGCCAGCCTCGAGCTCCTTTGCCATGGGATGACCTGGGCTGTCGCCAGTCCTTGAAAAGGACTGCTGATGGAGCCAGGTTTAATGGGGAAAATCCCTTTCGGTATGACCCGCAGGCATCACGGCCTCTGGAACAGCAATCTGCCGCCGTGTTTACAGCTCGGTATGGTCAACAACACGATCGTGCTGGGCAATACCCCTCTGGCCTGCCGATGTCTGCTGCCGATGTGCAGCCAGATGCTCGATACTTCCACCGGGTGGACAATGCTTGGCCTGAGTATGCTGCTTTCTATCTTGTCGACGTGGGATTCGGTTTCTAACATTGGCACCAGCCACCATGTTGCAGAAGTAGGTCCACAAGGTGGCCCGTCTCGAAACATGCGCGATCCATCAGCCTACGACCATGGACATCCACCCCTCCCCCCTGATGTCCATGTCATCCGCAGCTACCCGGACAATTCGGAGGATCAATACATATCACGACACCTATCACACCCACCGCATGTACCACAACCGCCATCGCTTCAGGAGTGGGCACCTCATGCGGGTTACCGATGAAACGCCTACGTATATAGTTATTTCAGCCACGGAGTTCTGTTCAAGGCAGTGGGAAGGGGGTGGGGGGGGGGGGGGGTTGTGAAAGCCTTGAAGGCCTTACGATACACATTTTATACCGCGAGGGGCGTCTGCTTGTACCATCTTGTCACTTTCAATACGATTGGCGTAGACGGTGTAAAACTGGGACGGAATGATAGACGACGGTTGTTTCCTGGCCTGTACATATATACATGTTTTGAGTTGCAGGATTCTGACTGCTGGGCAGACCAATAGACTGATCGCCTGGACGTGCAAGATGCCGATTACAAAGGGTAACGTAGCGATAAAGAGGCTGATGGTTGCCAAAAAGACGAAGAACGAAAAGACGGGAGTTCTCCTACGTAGCTAAGACACGACCAAGTGTGGCACACAGAGAAAAGACAACATAAGGATCGAGAGAAAGGTGATGAGGTGATTGGAGCTGGCAGATGGGGGTCCTAAAGCGATTTTCCAGTCTCTCCGATTGCTACAAAGAAGAGCTGTCCTCCTCACGCTTTCGGCTTGTCCTCCACCAGGCTGTCTGCCATTGCTTCAGCTGCGGCCTTGCGCAGCCGCTCTGCGTCTTCTGGCGACGAGGATGCTTTTCTGACCACCGCGTCAGAGGTCGTTGTGGCTGACTTGTCCGTCTTCTCGGCTACCTCAGCCGGTCCCCTGATGTTGTGGCTGACATCCTTCTCGTCGTCGCTGTCGCCCAGGCTGAACGGGTCGGCATCCCCGATCGGTGCCGGGTCGACGGCCGACAAGGGCTGCCATTTGCTGGCCTTTGCACTGCCGGCGCCCGTGGGCGATGTTCCGTCCTTTGCCGACATCCGGGGCGACGCGCTGTAGACGTCGATCACTTCGTCGTTGCCGCGGAAGGCCACCTTGCGGTCGGAGCCCGGACGGGGCGACGTGGACGGTGGTGGTGGCCGGAACGCGTTCGGGTTGTTCGCCTGCACGGGGGCTGTTGTCTGTCAGAAAAGGGAAGTCCACATAAAAACAAGAAGAAAGGAAAGACTCACTGCCGTCGCCGTGAAGCTTGATGCCGGCAAAGTCGTCAGACAGCAGCTCTGGGTCGGCATCGTAGTCGCCGCTGCGCTGGCTTCGCTGCCGGCTGGGATAATTGCCATAGCCACCACGACCGCCACCGACCGGTCCGCCTGGTCGGCCCTGCGGCCGTGGACCCTGGGCGCTGCCTGGGTGACCTTCTTCGTCATCGTCCTCGGGGCCGTTGAACTCATCGTCGATGCGCTTCTTGATGCCGGTGAACCAGGTGCTGAACTTGGCCTGGGTCTCGACGAAGCCTTTGCGCAGGTTCTCGCGGATGACGGGGAGATCGTCGTCCAGGAAGTTGCGATCACGGTCGTCCCATAGCTCGTTGGGGTTGAGTCCGGTCTCCGGGCGCGGGCGTGGCGGATACGGCGGTCCATCGCCCCGACGGCTGCCCGAGCGCGGACCGTAGCTGCTCGTACGGCTCTCATAGGCACCCTCGCTCTCGTAGTGCTGGGCCAGGCGGCGCGCGTACTGCTCGTCGGCAGCCAGCTGGCTATTGGGGGAGAGGCGGCCGTACGCTGCAGGACGGGGAGGCTGCGGCGGCGGCGGTGCCTCTTGCTCGATGGCAGCGGGATCGGTCATTTCTGCCAGGTCAGGAGAGGAGGCCGAGGGAGGAGGAGGCGAGAGATGCACATACCCAGGAGAGCATGGAAAGCAGCCTCGATGTTCCCGCGACTGGCCGTCAACACAGCCCTGACGACGGGCATCTCGACGGTCGGAAAGGCATCCTTGAGCGTCTGCTCGCTCTTCTGTTGTTCGGTCATGGGGCGCGGCGGCTTCGGCGGTGCCGGTTCTTCGGCTGTGTCGTTGTCTACACTACTGGAAATGGCAGCCACAGCGGGTTTGGGACTGTTACTGTCGGCGGTGGCTGGCTTCGATGTAGATTCGTCGTTGTTGCTCAGGACGATGTTGGACTCGGTGATGTCGTCGTCATCCATCTCCAGGGGCCGGGCCGTCGTGGGAGATTCTGGAGCAGGCGCTTTCTGTTTTTGAGCTGTCAGCCAAGGCCGACAGGCCGGAGAAGACAGGGGGGAAGGCCCAAAGAAGAAATCAAGGAGCAGCTCAAGGAGCAGCACGGTTGTCGGCTATGCATAATAAAGTCGGGGGCCCTCCTCTTGAGTGGGTACGAACTTACTGGATCACTTGGCGCAGACATGGTGGCTTTTTATTTGGGACTCCGTCGAGACGCTGTCATGCGGACAGGAGAATGGGCCAGAACGAAGAAAGGGGGTCTCTGTATGGCAAAGTGCGGCCGGGAGAGAAGTAGTGCAGCGGGCACAGCGAGACAAAGGACAAAAGGGGGCTGCCTAGTCACAACGGCATAGGATGGAGGAAATACTGCTGATACCTATCCCAAATGAGGTGGATGCGGATGGGGAATATCTAATAAGATAATAATACGCCCCAGCCGTCGCTGCCGCGCCACATGAGGTGGGGTTTTCCCCTCGCGGACGCCGTCGCTTACATATTAGTCAGATACTCTGCTCGTTACATTATACGAAGCTCGATGACAGAGGCGCCACACCACGCAAGCTTCAGCCACAGACGGCGAGAGCAAGTGGCAAACTCGGCGGAAAGATAAAGGTAACTGGCCAGTAGCCCGGGTCAATTCGAGGCAGCAGCTTTGGAGCCGTCTCAGCGTGTCCGATCGACTGCGTAGCTAACGCCAGGACGCAGCGCATGACGACAACTCTTGACGACCGACTTCGGTAAGCCTGAGCGACCATCTGACCGACAAAGACTACGACGCATTCGCATCGCACAGCTCGCCGCAGAGACAGGCCGAGACCAGCTGGGGAGAGATTGCGCAACGCGACCCAAAGGCGACCGTACGGCATATATACACCGAGGGGCCTGAGACCGTTCCCCATGCTGGCACCGTTGCGGCCTCTGCGCTCCGACCACCTGTCGCCATGGGGAATTCGGGAAGCCGGGTCACGGCCCAAGACAAGTGGGTAGCCCTGGAGGGAGGAGAAGAGAGGAGAGGAGAGGAGAGGAGAGGAGAAGAGAGGAGAGAAGAGAGAAGGAGAGAGAAGAGGAAAGGAGAAAAGAAGGAGAAAAGGCGAGAAGAAGGGAAAAGAGAGACAGATAACTGACTCTCCACAGGGCCATCTTAGACCTCAAGCTGCAGCGAGACCGACTACATCAGTACCAGCGGCGGATCACGGTGCTGACGAACCGTGAGACCGAGATCGCCCGCCAGATGCTCGCCAAAGGCGACAAGAAGCGGGCGCTGCTAGCGTTGCGGCGCAAAAAGTATCAGGAGTCGCTGTTAGCCAAGACAGACGGCCAGCTGGAGCAGCTGGAGAAGCTGACGTCCAGCGTCGAGTTTGCCCTGATCCAGAAGGACGTCGTTTTTGGCCTGCAGCAGGGCACACACGTGCTGCAGGAGATCCATCGCGAGATGGGCGGCATTGCACACGTAGAAAAGCTGATGGGCGAGACCGCCGAAGCTATTGCGTATCAGGACGTGCGTCTTCGTCTTTGTCCTCTCTCTTTCTACTTTCTCAGTTTTCCTCCCTCTTTTGTCTCCTCCATCCCTCTTCTTTTCCTTATTTCCCCCACACTAACCATTTACAGGAGGTGAGCGAGATGCTGGGTGGCCGTATGTCCAACGCCGACGAGGACGAGGTCGAAGACGAGCTGGCCGCGCTAGAAGCCCAGATGATGCCTGCAGGCCGCACACCAGCCGAACTAGCCCCGGCAGCACCGGTCCAGGAACCAATGCCCAACGCCCCAGACACCCAGCTGGTCAGTCCGGAAGGACAGGCCGGGACGGCAGACGCACAAGCAGAGCGGCGACGCTTGGTGGCCGCATAGGCTGCCAGCTGTCATGTGTTGATGCACCTGGCAGTCCTCGTGGCTGCCCCAATCTGTATTATATTCCCACTTTCCTAGGCAGAAGAGCGATTTAGAAGAAGAGCGATAGACAGCTGCAATATGCATCAGAGCCGAGATTCAGCTCACCCTTTGAATGTTCCCCTGGGGCTGCGGCCTGGTAGGGTGCTTAACTTGGCCCCTCTCATACGCTTGTAGTCCCCGGGCATACAAGAAGATCGGACGACGCCTTGGGTCGGTCAAATTTGGCCTAGATTTAGAATTTCGCACTTTTCTCCCCAGCCTCCTTCTTGCCACACTTTCTGGTAGGTGCTCCAGCTACTGTACACGATGAGTAGGTGACCGACTAACGACTACTAAGCTGCAGCAGTGCTCAGATAGTCAGAATATTATAGCAGACCCGGTCGCTTGCGAGGTGATCGCTCGCCAAATTGCGGTCTGGCCGACCATTTTTGAAGCCTTGGAGAAGACTTTGGAGGAGGACGCGGCAGGTGCCATCAATACCGACAATCGGTCTTGGGACGAACGCTTGCAGCTCGTCCGTTGGGCCAGCATGCGCGTTGGACATGACGGGCGCGGAGGTGGATGCCGAGTTGCATCCGCCGATGGCAAGTATTGACGGTTCTGCTTAAAGAAGCTGTACTTTACGTTCCATAGGAGTAAGGTAGAGGACGTTGTTGCCCACCTCGGCGAAGGAGCATCAATGAATTGAACCAACGGTCGGGGTCCCGTTGAGTGCCCATCCTTGTGTGTGCACTGCAATCTTCTGGGATGCCTGAACTTGCAGTTTGAATGCCAAATGCTTCTTGGTGCTGTACTCGGCTGGCCAGGCTTTCCACTTCACTAGAACCCTGGTCTGGCATAATAGCAAGCACGTGTACGAGTAACGTATGCGGCTACAGGCTGTCCAGCTCCACCTGCCATCGTATCTCTCCAATGCTGGAGCTTTCAGCCTCGTAGTCGTTGCTGCCCCTCGTCTTCTATTCTGCTGCGTCATTCTGGCAGTGCAAGGACATCGTGCTATGCAATGGCACATGTGCCAGCGGCTTGTGGTGATTGGTCGGGACAGTGCATTTCGGGCCAGAGCTAATGCAGGACTGGTCTAGCCTCTCTTTCCGCCTTTTTCTTCTTTCCTTCCCCCTCCACTGAGGCTAAGGCAGAGGTATCTTGCTTTAGGATTCCATGCTCCGCGCAGGGGAGATTCTTAAATGATGACAAAACTGCAGACTGTCAAACTCTGCCAACCCGTCTCGGACCGGCCGCCGCGATACCTGTTCGCATACTCCCTTAGTGAGGCCTGAAAGAGCGCCGCGTCCCCGCCAATTTGTTGCACTGTCATCCAATTGCGCCCAGCTCCAGACGATCTGATATCGTCCCAGAGATACACCCTGTCATTGCGCACCGGTAAGCTTCAGCTGCTCCTTTTGGACAACACGCTCGCTGCCCACGCCCGCCTGCACATTCACGATACTGTCATCCCGGCCTGCTTAGTCGCTGCTGATCGTCTGGCTGACCGTGATCTTGTTATAGAGGATTGGGCTCTTGATCCCGCACTGTGTCTCGGAGTGTATTACAGAAGAGAAAGACAAGAACGGAAGCTACGAGCGAGGTATGCCACAACACCGGTTGGCCTATTCCATGAGTCCACCCCGTCCCCCCTAAAATGGCAACTGATAGCTCTGTCCGTATTGTGAAGGGACAAATCTAGCCATCGACTATGAGCTGTTCCAAGTAGTCGCATTCTACTTGGTCATCCGAGTAAGTAAAGATCTGGCTTCTACCACATCTTCTCTGTTCCCCCACCTGCACCTGCCCTCTGTCCCGTCTGGCACTCTGCAGGACGGCAAGGGCTCGACCAAAATTTAGCATTGCGCTTTCGCAACACATCGATGCTCTGCAGCTCTGCAGAGTCACGTCCCGTTACGCTTTGCAGAGCCAAGTACGTGGGAGAATGCCTGGCCAAACCTTCCGGAGAGGGTCCGTCCAGCTGTCCAAGACCAATCAACTTGCTATACAGCTTCACCCTTTTTGTATCTACTCCTCTTCTCATCCACCTCTGCTCTCATCTTCTCCATCCCCCATGTTCTTGATCCTACCGCAAGCCCACATGCCATGCCTTGACACCTTCCATCTGCTCTCTTAAACGCAGCGTTTCACCGAAAACACCCGTGGTTGTGTCATCGGCTGACTTGAATGCTTTCTGCATCAGTCTACCTGATAGGCACCAACCGCAGACGGTCGAGGTCGTTATATCTCCGCCCCCTACTTTTCTCTTATTTTCTTCGGGGTAAGTCCCCGGGCTTCTCAGGGCAGAGCAGTCCCAACCCCTCATCATGTGAGTGCAACCAGCATATCGCCATGGCACGTTGTCAGGCACTGACAGGGCAAAACAGGAAATTCGGCAAACAAATACAGAAGCGCCAACTCGAAGTTCCCGAGTATGCGGCAAGCTTTGTCAATTACAAGGCCTTGAAAAAGGTGAGCATACTGGCCGATCGCCGTCAAAACTACATCTCCTCTGCACAGGCAGATTGCTGACACGAACTGTCATCATAAAGCTCATCAAGAGGCTATCAGCCACACCCACCCTCAGCGCACAAACCATCCCACATCGCTCGGCCACCCCCATAGATTCGCAGGCAGCGTTGCAGGCCAACCGGGCAACATTTTTCTTCCAGCTTGTAAGATGGACTTCCATTTCCTATACTTCCCGATGCAAGCCATTTCAGCAGCCTGCGTCTACACGCACTGGAATGTCGCTAACCAGGACCGGGCAGGAACGAGAGCTCGAGAAAGTCAATGCCTTTTATCTTCAAAAAGAGGCCGAGGTAAGGCTGAATGAATACCGTGCCGTGCTTTTCCTGCCGCTGTCTTATTTTTCTACCTTTCTAATATGCATCCAGCTCAAAGTTCGCCTCAAAACACTCCTAGACAAGAAGAAGGTTCTCCGTTCACGGGGTGCAGGCGTCTCTCGGCGCTCTGCCAAGTTTACCACCCTGCAGGAGGGGTTTCAGCAGTTTGCAAATGATTTAAACAAGCTGCAACAATTTGTGGAAATCAACGGCACTGCATTTTCCAAGATTCTCAAAAAATGGGATAAAACGTCAAAGTTGAAGACCAAGGAACTCTACCTCTCGCGTGCTGTCGAGGTGCAACCATTTTTTAATGCCACTGTCATCAGTGAGCTATCCGACCAGGCCACGACCAGTCTACAGGAGCTGGGCGCGTGGGCCGAGGGTGACCACGAAATCCGTTTCGATGGGAGGGCCCCCCAGCCCGACCACATCGTCAGCAGCCAGCATCTGCTTGGCACCGACGAGGGTGATGCAGACACACTTCTGTTGGACACGGTTCTGGCCGGCCACCTCGACTCTTTGCGTGACCTGCTGGGTCGTATGACCACTGCAGCTGCAGCTGCCCGTGGCCAGAATGACGGCACGGGGAACAGCCTGGACATTGCACTTGCAGAGCGTGTCACACGTACCTTTCTGGCATCAATCAACGAGGGCTCACAAGAGGCACTGAAGTCCCTGATCGAGACAAGACTTGTCGATGTGCACAGCGAAGATGACATCAACGAAACTGCCTCCATCAAGCCACCATATACGGCAACACGTTCGTTCTCAACTTTGGCTTGTCCCAGAATGTATCTGTCGCCCGGACCGACGTCTATGGCCGCGTGCCTCTGCATTATGCTAGCATGCACGGCCGTCTTGACATGCTCGATGCGTTGCTTGCAGGTAAGTGTGGTCCGCCCCTCTGTGTTACGCTATTGATCTTGGTCTCTAACATGGCCACAGCGGGTCCTGACGCGATCGACCTCATTGACCATGACAACTTTACGCCTTTGATTCATGCCATCATACACGGTTACCTCGACTGTGTCAGCCGGCTTCTCGAAAAGTCTGCCCGTCTGGACCCCATCTCCGATACTGACCACGTTCCGCTCAACCTTGCCTGTGAGCATGGATCTGACGCCATCGTCGAGCTACTCCTGAAATACGGCGCCCGCATCCTTCCTGATGCAGAGGGCCTCTACCCACAGCACCTTGTTGCCCGATCCGGTCGTGCGCCAACCCTGCTTCTTCTGCTACAGCAATATGGTGCCAACCTGAACCAGGTGGACAAGCTCTACGGCTGGACGCCACTGGTGCACGCTGCCAGCGAAGGCAACGTTCCCTGCTTACAGGCACTACTTGAGGCCGGCGTCGATCCTAACATCGTCGACGAAAAGGATCTGCCTGCTATGTACTACGCCGCATGGGAGGGCAATTTGGAGTGCATGCAACTCCTGACAGCCATCAACAGCAGACGAAGCCGCCCCCCGGTCTTTCAAGAAAGCCCATTTGGCTTTCAGCCATCTCCTGGCGTGCTAGGCTCTCTTGGGAGTGGAAGCAGTGCTCCTATTCCCATGGCATTGGACCCCGACGCTATCCCTGTGCTGGAGCTGCCACCCCCGATCATCCCACTGCGGCGCTACGGCCACAACTTCCTTGATACGAAAACGGTTGTGCAGATAAGCTTTGACGATCAGAATGGCGAACCGCCACTCGTATTCTTCCACGACGGCAAATACCCAGCAGCACGGCTGACGATCTCATCCAAGGTGGCCGATTTGATTCCCAAAAACATCATGTTGCCCTTCCAGGAGGACACACGGCTTGTGTCCTTCCAGGTTGACAACCTCGACTCTTTTGTCCTAGACTTTGAAGTGTTTCCCACGTACGGGGCCAAGATCATCGCAAAAACGGTGGCTTTGTCAAGTACGTTCCGCGCGTTGCTCAACAGCTCAGGCAACAGCTGCTGTCTTCCACTGTTCGACCCACGTCTGCGGGCCATTGGCCAGATCAGCTTCCACACACAAGTTGTCAAGCCTTTTCCCGGAAAGCCCCTGGAAATTGCAGACTTCGAGACGTACTGGAAGGCCACCAGCCAGCTGGATGGCCATCCCAGCACTTTCATCGCCGGCTCAAGCTTGTCGGGAGACTACGTGCGCGTCTATGTTCAAAACACAAGAGACGGCGTACCTGTGTTGTGGCCGACGTGGACGGTCAACTGTGGAGGAGGAGGAGGGTGTGCATCTACTCCTGGCACTTGCGGTGGTATTGATATTCCGGTTGCCCGCCTGACCTACGACGAATTCCTGACGGCCACGGCAGCCGGGCCCGGACGGTCGCAGCTGGCGAGCCTGCCAAAGTATTCTGCTTGTGATGCTGCCATTGTACATCAGGTACTTGCAGCTTCTGGCGTGACTCTTCGCGACGCCCTAGCGCTGCTGCCCTCCGGGATGCACGTGAACCTAGAGCTCCTGTACCCCAGCGCCGACGAGGAGCGGGTGATGGGGCTTGGTGGTTCGGGCAGCGTGGATCTGAACGCATTTGTGGACTCAGTGCTGGCTGTGGTGTTTGACCATGCGCGAGCACAGCGGGCACACACTCCCGACGTGGTGCGGTCAATGGTGTTCAGCTCATACAACCCAAGCCTATGCACGGCCATCAACTGGAAGCAGCCCAACTTCCCTGTCTTCCTGTGCAACGACCTGGGACGCGAGGACGACGCTACGGTAGCAACCATCGTGCCGGAGGCGATATTGAGTAGCGGCCGACGCACAGCATCGGTCAAGGAGGTGGTGCGGACGGCGCAGAGCAACAACTTCATGGGGCTGGTGTGCAGTTCGAGGCTACTGGTGAGTCTTTTGGTCTTTTGAGCGTCCGTGTCTGAAAGTGCTGTTCGGCGGCTAACTGTCCAGGATATGGTCCCGGCCCTAGTGGACGCGATCAAGTCTCAGGGGCTGATCTTGGTAGTAGACAAGTCGGCCGAGCAACCGCGAGGGTTCGGCCCACTGCCAAAGGGCATCGACGGTGTGCTGAAGAGCGACGGTGTGTTGCGATTTAACGAGTCGATCGACATGTGAGAACAAGAACAAAGGCAGTGGGGATGGGACGAATAAGGAGGTCTAATATGTATCTGATTGGATATCACGAGCAGGGAAATGGACACGGCGGAGGAGGGAGAACTGACTGGCGGCTGGTAGATCTGGCTTCAATACTCTTCTATTTTTTTCTAAAGAATGCGATCGTCTCATCTTAGACCAACCAGCTTCCAAACGACTGAAGAGGGCACGAGTCAAGCAGGCTTTTATGGAGGGGCAAGCCAATGTGCAGTCGCGTCTGTGTAGCCGTCTGGGCTTCCACGAAGAGTATTGGCATATGATTCTATGACTGGTCTGAAAGTCAGACAGCCAATGACATGCCCTGGCAACCGCTCGGAAATTCTCCCGGTGACGCCTCGCTCTGCAGATATGTTCTTCCCGGCCACCTATAGCACCTAGAAGCTTGCTCTCCCAAGCGAATTAGCCGCCCCTTGGTGCAGCGTAGGACTTTGTGCTCCGTTTCTCTGCTTTTGAGCGCCCATGCCATTTTTACTACTCCTGTCCTGCGTTCAAGAAGTGAGGTGCGTGTTATACCAATCTCCCGGATTCGTGTTCGATAGGCCTTCCTGCACGGCCTCTCTTCAAGAAGCAATACAAGGGCATTGAATACAATGAGAATGAGACAGATGGAAATTGGCGAGCGACCAGAAAGACGGCCGAGAAAACGCTCTGGTATTTTGCTTTTGGTGGGGGCCGAGAAATCATAGAACGGTCAGGAGAGCCGCAAGAGGTGAGAGAAGGAGAGAAAGCAAGAAACACCACGACGGAAATCGGAACGATATATCGATAGAATAAAAACACTATAAGCTGCAGGAATCAAAGCAAATCAAAGGGGCGTGGAGTGCCCGAAGAGATAGAAAAGCTGAAGATCAGGTGAGCGAAGGAGAAAGGAGAGAGAGAGCAGAGGTTTTGAAGGCATCTGCCAAGTCGGGGAATCTTCAGCGAGTAGTCTGGAATATCAAGCCATTGTTTCTAGTGCTTGGGCATCGAGAAGCGCGAGGCGCAAAGACGGAGCAGCCGGAAGAGAGGGCGGCAGAGAAAGAGGAGAGGCGCAGAGATGGGGCGGCGGCAGCGACTAGCTCTGGTTGAAGAAAGCGTTCATCTTTTCTTCGATGACGGTCATGTTCAGCTTGGCGGCAGCCAGGGCGTCGGTTATGCGCTGCAGGCAGACGTCCTGGTCAGGCTCGGCAGAGCCGTCCAGAGTGGTGCCTCTGCCGTATTGCTGGATGACCTGGCAGTGGTCGCGGACTGTTGAAAACCCCAGGGTGGCGGATGAGCCCTTGAGGAAGTGGCCCAGGTCGGAGAGCTGGTTGAGGTCTTTTGCGCGCCTGAGATGAATCTGTCAGTGGCCGGGAGCAAGGGAGAGAGAGGAGGCGGTGGCGGCGGCTTACAGCGCCTCGTCCATCTTTTCAAAGGTCTCCTTGGCCTGGGTGAAGTAGTCGTAGACGAGCGGGTTGCTGAAGTCGCGGTTTTGTGGGCTGTCATCCAATTCGAGGATCTGCGAGAAGGTGCCTACGTCGACATGTTCTCCAAAATTGTCGGCCATGGCGGATGAAGCTGTTCGCCGTTGTCTTGGCACGGCTGCCTGGGTGGTGTATCAGAAACGGGCGTTGAGGGAGATGAGCAGAGGGCAGTGGAGAGGACGGAGCAAAGAGAACTAGTGGCCAAGATATCCGGAGGGGGGGTATATGATCGAGTAAGAGGGGCAGTAGAGAAGAGAGAGAGAGAGAGAAGTTGAGACGGGAAGCAATCTATGGCACATGACCTTGTAGAGGCTGACGGCATCAGACTGTCAGACCCCCCCTGTAGTCGGCGGGTGATTCCGCATACCAGAAACAGGCGCTTGTAACTGTTTCGCTGGTGGGCCGCGATGGGAGAAGAAGGAAGAGGAAGTAAAAAGTGAAAACCCCGCGCTTTTCGGCCGGCCTTTTTTAACAATTTTTTTACATAAAATAAACAGCGAGGATGCATGGGCCAGAACTATTTGAACCCTTGTATTTGAGCTCGCGTTTTTGGATAGGAAAGAGGGAGAGAGACAGCAAGAGGGGGTCGATTGGCGATGCGTGATAAAGATGGAGGCACAGGAAAAAAACGGCTGGGAGGGACTGGAAGGGGGGGCAAGAAGGGCGACGTACCGAGCAGACAGAGCACAGATGACACGCGCCGACGAGGACGAGAGGCGAGGGATGAAGCTCGGGAAGGGTGCGGCTGCCAAGGTCGACTGAGGTCCGGGGGCGGAGAAGAGGGAGGGGAGGCGAAGCGAAGCGCGCGAGCAATGGATGATGTTCTTTCTCTTCTGGCTCGGATTGCCGGCTGGCTGCTGGCTGATGCTGGGATGCTGCTGGCGTCTGCTTCCGGCTGCTTTGCGGGACAGGCTAGAGCGAGGAGGCCAAAGCAAACACACACACACATACACACACACGTGCTTCGGGAGGAAGAGACTGAAAAGTGTTGCAAGAGAGGGTAGATCCCTTTTTGAGAAATCGCGTTTTCCTACCGTTGGGTCGTCTGACTTGGTAGCCCACTTTATAAGCAGATCCCTTGGGGGGAAAGGTCGTCGCCTGCTGGCTAGCGAACTAATAGCGGTAATAAGAGAAAGGAGATGCAGACCGTTCGCCTGGCCCTTCTCTCGATCGGAGACAGAGAGAGGCTCGCGACAGGTTCGGCAGAAGGATGCGCAGGTCACATTACCATGTACATAGGCGCACTGCCTACTGCCTATTCTGGCGGAGCGGCTGAGCGGTCGTCGCTGCCTCTTTTCCGGCATTCCTTGTCTGCCCCCCTCCTCTCGCCTACCCCCACCACCACCCGGCTCCCCTAACGACGGTGCCGCCATTGTCAACGTCAACTCCACTAGCGAGGGTCTTATGGAGCCGTGCGAAGCCAGCTTTCCCCTGTCCCCACCGGCGCCCATGCATGGTGCGGCACAGTGCGTGGCCAGTGGGCACTCCGGGCTCTCTCTGTCTTGCGAGAAATACATCGAGCGGCTGCAGACGAGGCCGTCAGCGCACACCCGACGACGTGCCGTTGGGAGTGCTGTCTCGTGGTGGCCCGGCACTGGCTGCTGGGCCTGAGGACTGGAGGACTGGAGGACTGGAGCGCATTCTTCTCGTTCTGGGACTGGTCGCTCGCATCGTCGCGACCGGCGCTCTCTCGGGCAACACTACCGGCGTTCCTGTCCCATCCTACATTGGGCCTCTCCACACAGCAGAGTTTTCACCCGGCTCTCCCTTCCTTCTTCTCACCACAGAACGCTCTCGCTGCTCCTGCCTGACGGCCCGAAGTCGGCAGCGCTGTGGGAGCACTTGTACCGTGCGTGCACTAGACCTTGGCTATGACGCAGTTGCTGGTGACAGGAGCCACATCTATCCTACAGTATGAGTACCGTGCACGGAGTACGGGCCGTGCACAACGGTTGAGCTTCCCTGCTCGTATCGCGCATCGGCGTAGTGTATCCTGACGGGATCGCTCTTTAGGTCCTTCCCTGCAATACAACAGCCGGTCGGCTCGGAACTGTACTCGTATAGAGCATGGCACTCGTCCTCGTGCCTCCTTGGGGCCCGAAGTCGTCTTGACCGTCTCTCCAGCGGGACCATGCTGTTAGCGATACGACATTCCACAACCGAACACGTTTTTCAGACGTCATCGCCCACCGCTGCTGGGTTGTCGGTATACAGTGCCTCTCGCACGGTGTGGAAAAGGCTTCACGAATGAGACGCCGCGCATCGTCTCTACCATGGAATCTGGCGACTACCATCTCGTCCGACATGCACACCGGTAAACAGGCTGCCAGCACACGGGCAACCACACGGATGCCGATCGTGAGACGCATTCTGCGTGGAGGGAGCGATGAGCAAAACTGGATTCTGGCGCAGGCGTGTGACAGGAGTCTCGCCTAGAAAAAAAAGAGAAAGATACGATAATGGGCTGGGGATAGGAATTTAGCCTGTTTTCATGCCTAGTTGCATTCTCTTACAACAGCAATCCCCACACGGCAAAGTGCACATCGTACTCGTACATGCGAACTCCTGCCTCCTAGAGCCGCACGGCTTCGACCTCACAGGAGCACCTTTGCCGCCACGTTCAACAGCCAGGCCGCATCATGCCATCCGCCTCCGTCGGCCTGGGGAGGAGGTGGCACGTAATCCTGTGCCGTTGCTGATTCGCCTTCGAGACAGCGGGGACGCGAGACGTTGTCATCATCGGTGCTGTACGTATCGATATAGGCGGTTCGTTCGTCGAGATCGTCGTTATCGTCGTCGTCGTCGTCGTTTGTCTGAGAGTCATCATCGTCATCATCGTCATCGTCGTCATCGTCGTCATCGTGCACGAAGAAGAGCGGCCAGCCAAAGACGGTGCCCAGCCACGAGCCGATGACGCCACCGGCGGCTTTCTCTCGCCGTACCAGGCGTCGCACGTGCTCCTCGTCCGCCAGAGTGGTGTCTTGGTGCAGGGCCTCGAGCCGATCGTCGAGGTTGACAAAGTCGGGGCCATCGACGTGGTCGTCGTCATCCAGGGCGGAGAGTAGCCGGACGCGGCTGGCGGTGCGGCTAACAGCACGGCTATGTGCACGGCTGGCCAGACGGCTGCTGACGCAGCTGGCGCCACGGAGTGGCGACGCAGCCAAGCCGACCTGGTCGTGGTCGTGATCGTGCAGGGCGGTCAGACTGGTGGAGCTGGCGCGAGCGGCCAGCCAGGTCTGGCCCTTGAACTCGCGGGTCTCGCTGGCGACGATGGCGCCGGCGCGCAACAGCCAGTCGCGGTTGGAGGGCCGATCGGACGGCTGTGCTCTGCGTCTTTGGTGATGGTGGGCAGTGGTGGTGGTGGTGAAAAGGTGGGTGGTGGAGAGGCTTTTGGACAAACCGTCGCGGCTGGTGCGTGCATACGAGTGATCGTGTGATCGGGAGCGTGATAAGCCAGGCGGTGGCGGAGATGTGGACAGCAGACGTGGCGTGACCGGAGCCGAGCGACCCTGGAGATAGGACGGGGTGGAAGCAGTGGTGAGAAGATCGGTCGCAAGGTCCAAGTCGTCTCGCAGAGGGAGGCGAGTGGTCAGAGGGCCGAGCGAGAGATGTTGGAGATTTCTCCGACGGGCCTGCTGCTGTTGGCTAGAGGGTAGGTCCATGATTGTGGGAGGTGGACCAGAACAGGGCAGAACAGAGAGATTGAGACGAGGAAAAGGCGATAAGTGGGTGAGAAGAGAGAAGAGAGAAGAGAGAGGAGTGAGAAGGGAGAAGAGAAGAGAGAAATTGTTGAAAAGGGCTGAACGGCTGCGGAAGGAGCGAAGGAATGCAGGGACGGTAGGACGAGGAGGAATTGAAAATGGATGGGAAAAAACGGGGAAAGAGCGAGGAGGACGTCACAGCGCAGGAAGGCGGCCTTCGCGTCTGTTCCCCCAGAGGACACAGGCTGACTGCAGATGAGTAAATCGAAAGGCTGCTGGATTTGGCGGCCGTGTATTGCGGGGAGCTGCGCACGGTGCAGCGACGGGATGTAAGCAACAAACAGCGCCGGCGGACACCCCACACAGTGCGCAGGATGAAGGGCGAATAATTTTTATTGATAGTTCTACAGAGTAAAGAGTCTCCATTTTCTGTCTCGTGTTCTGCATCCTGTGCTGTATTCGGATTTGGAACGTCTGCCTCGGGCTCGACATTGGGCACAGCGCACACCAGGCGGCACAAGGGCGTTTGGCAAAAGCACGGACAGCTGGCACGGGGCCAAGGCACGACGGAGGATGAGGAATCTGCGGGCGGTCCGACTGGATGTCTGCGGGGAGGCGGCGGGGGCGACGGCGGCATGTTGGGACGCAGCGGGCGACTCGATGATTGTGGTATTTGGGCCGACGGCGGAGGAGCCGCGGGTGCGTCTGGCGCGCGTGGACGGGGAAGTGATGTGAGCAGGCAGCGAGGGGACCAAAGAGAGAAAGAGAGAGAGAGAGACCCAGCTGACAGACATTGCAGGAAGTGCCATGAGATTGCCTCGTGGGAGGCTACAAGTCCGCGGCCAGACATGGTGACCGACCGGGTGGTGGGACTGCATTACCTGAGCGACCTGGCAACGGCGTGCGTGGTGATGGCGGGCGGCGACATCGTGATGGCGGGCGAGGACGGCGGCGGAGGCGTGCAGGTGGAGATTGTGGGATCGGTGGACGCGGGGATCGTGGCGGCGCGATGGTCACCAGACGAAGAGGTATTGGCAGTGGTGACGGGGGGGGGAGAGAGCGAGAAAGAGAGCGGACCGGATGCGAGAGGGTCTCTCATTCTGATGAGCCGTGCCTTTGAGCCGATTGCGGAAACGGTGTTGACGGCCATCGACTTGGCCGCGTCCAGACACGTTTCCGTCGGCTGGGGCAAGAAGGAGACGCAGTTCCACGGCCGTGGGGCAGCCAAGGCGCTGCGCGACCCAACCCTTCCGCAGACGGTCGAGGCAGGCGTGCTGAGCCGACACGACGACGGGACAGCCGTGACGGTCAGCTGGCGTGGCGACGGCGAGTACGTGGCCGTGAATGCGGTCGTGGAGGCGGCAGACGAGGCGAATGGCCGGGCACGCCGCGTGGTGCGGGTGTTCAGCCGGGCAGGTGTTCTCGACAGCGTCAGCGAGCCGGTGGACGGGCTGACACAAAGTCTGAGCTGGCGGCCAGCTGGAAATCTGCTGGCAGGCGTGCGATGGGGACATGGTGGCTGGAGCGTGGTCTTTTTCGAGCGCAACGGTCTTCGTCACGGGCAGTTTGACTTGCGGGAGCCAAAGACCGAAGGAGACGGAAAGGAGGACGAGACGGAAGGCACACCCTCTCTCGAATGGAATGCCGACTCGACCGTGCTGGCGGTTGTCTGGCCGCAAGCCGTCCAGCTCTGGACCACGGCCAACTACCACTGGTACCTCAAGCAAGAGATTTCGCTTCGGAAAGCGATCGCCGTCTGCTGGCACGCCGAGAAGCCGCTGCAGCTGCTGGCCGCTGCTGCCGACCGGCTCGTCTCGGCTGTCTTTGTGTTCGCCGTCGTTCGCGGCACCATGGCCCCGCCTCTCGACCATGGTGCCGTCGCCGTGATCGATGGCCGTTTTGTTTTGCTGACGCCGCTGCGTGTCGCCACGGTGCCGCCGCCGATGAGCCTGTGTGCGGTGACGGCACGGTGGCCGGCCGTGGACGTGGCGCTAGGACCGGGCGACGGCGTCGTGGCGGTGGCCCATGGTCATGGACTGGATCTTTGGTCGTGGTGGGAGGAGACCAACAAGAAGCAAAAAAACGCCCCACCTGAACCCATGGCGACGGCCGACTTTCCCGGCTTCACGCCGCTGCAGATCGCCGTGATCCACGACGACAATAGCGACAACCTCTCTGTCTGTGTGCTTGGTCGCGACAGCTCCAACAGCACGGCCGTCGTCACGTTCGCTCTGTCCGCCCGGACGCTGGTCTTGGTGTCGACCGTGGCCGTCTCGGCCGGCTCGACCCTCCTGACCACGACAGCCGCCCGGCCAAATCGCCTTCACCTGCAGGACAGCAGCGGCTCCATCGTGCCGCTTGGCTTGCCGCACGTGACCGCGCCCGAGCCGACGGGGGCTAAGCTGCCGGGACAGCTGCCCTGGGCTGAGCTGGTCGAAGCCTCTTCTTCGTCTCCTCTCGTCGTGGGTCTTTCCCGCAACGGCTCCCTCTATGCCGGCGACCGGCTGCTGGCCCGCAACTGCACCTCCTTTCTGACCACACCCGACCACCTGGTCTTCACCACCGGCAGCCATCTGCTCAAGCTGGTCCACCTCGATTTGGCGTCGAGTTCCGATCTCGTCGTCCCCCTTGACGACCCCGAGACCGACGAGCGCTGTCGCAGCATCGAGCGTGGTGCCCGTCTCGTCGCCGTCGTCCCGTCCACCTCGGCTGTCGTCCTGCAGATGCCGCGTGGCAACCTCGAGACGGTCTTCCCACGCGCTCTGGTCGTCGCCAGCATCCGTCGACACATCGACACTCTCGATTACGCCCGCGCTTTTGCCATCTGCCGCGTCCAGCGCGTCGACATGAACATCTTGTACGACCACCGGCCTGCACAGCTTTTGGCGCACGTCGACCGCTTTCTCGCCCAGCTGCCGGACGTCGCCGCCGTCGACCTGTTTCTGTCTGCTCTGCGGTGAGTACAGTGCATACACCGTGTTTGTATTATTCGCACTGTTTTACATCAACTAACAAAACAGCGACGAGGACGTGTCCCAGACCATGTACAAGGACACAAAGGCCGTTGCAGCCACCGGCGTGGCAACCACGCCGTCCGCTTCATCCAAGGTCAACACCATCTGTGACGCCGTGCTGGCCAGCCTGCTGAGCAGTCCGGCCGGCCCGACCGCCCAGCAGCTGCAGAACGTGATCACAGCGCACGTGTGCAAGTCGCCGCCCGCGCTCGAAGACGGGCTGCGAGTGGTGGCGCAGCTTCTGGGGACGACGGCGCGCGACCCGTTGGCCGACCGGGCCGTCGAGCACATCTGCTTCCTCGTCGACGTGCACCGGCTCTACGACGCCGCCCTGGGCCTGTATGACCTGGGCCTGGCCATGGCGGTGGCCCAGCAGTCGCAGCGGGATCCGCGCGAGTACGTGCCGTTTCTGCAGGCGCTGCACGTGACCGAGCCGGAGCTACGACGCCGCTTTGTGATCGACGACCATCTGGGCCGTCACGAGCGTGCCCTGACGCACCTGCAGGCTCTCGGCGACGACGCCTTTGCCGAGCTGCTGGCGTACGTCGACCGCCATCGGCTGTACCGGCCGGCCTTGGGCCTATACCGGACGAAGACGGCCGAGCGTGCCCGCGTCACCGAGCGCTATGCCGCCCATCTCGAGGCGCAGTCGCGCTTCCGCGAGGCCGCCCTGGCCCACGAGTCGCTGGGGGACGCGTCCGCTCATCGGGCTGCCGCCGTGCGCTGCTACCGGTCGGCTGGTGCGACTTGCTGGCGTGAGTGCCTCTTCGCGGCCGAGCAGCTGCACGACCGTGCTGCTCTCGTCGACATTGCCACCACCTTGGCTGAGGCTCTCGAAGAGTCACGTGACTTTGTCGCAGCCGCCACGGTGCATCGAGAGTACCGGGACGCCGTCGAGGCGGCCGTCCGGTGTCTCTGCCGGGGCCACGCGTTTGCTGAGGCGATGCGCGTGGCGGTGCGTCACAGCCGGACCGATCTGCTGGCCACGACCGTCGACGGCGGGCTCGGCGACGCGCTCTCGTCGTCGACCGAGCTCCTGGCCGACTGCCGCGCCCAGCTGCGCGCACAGGTGCCGCGGATCGTGGAGCTGCGCTGCAAGGCCGCGGCCGATCCGCTCTTTTACTACGAGGGCGACAGCACGACCGACAAGACGGACAACAACATGCCCGACGACGTCTCGGTTGCCAGCTCGCGCATCAGCACCGGTGCCAGCCTCTTCACCCGGTACAGCACGCAGTCTGGCCAGACCAGAGCAACCGGCCAGACCGGCCAGACCGGCCAGACGACCCGCTCGCAGCAGCGCGCCCGCAGGAAGCGCGAGGACAAGAAGCGCGCCCGCGGCCGCAAAGGTACCGTCTACGAGCTCGCCTACCTCGTCGGCAGCGTGCGACGCCTGGCTGAGCGCATCGAACGCGCCCGCGGCGAGGTCGCCCTGCTGGCTGCCGCGCTCGTGCGCCGCGACATGGCGGATCGCGCCCGCGCTCTCGAGGCGCTCATGGCTGAACTCGTCGCTGCCGGCCAGGGAGCGATCGCCGAGGTCTGGCCTCCGGACGAACAGCAGCAACAGGAACAGCAGGAACAGCAGGAACAGCAGGAACAGCTCGTCGATAAGGAGGCTGCACCCGTCATCGCGCCCTTTCAACGATTGTCCCTGCTTGGATAGGTTCGCACAGGTCACAATGGTGGTATCTTACAAAGACGTAGAACTAGGCCTGCTAGACCATGTATTAGTCAGCATGCCAGCGACCTATCGTGGCTGCCAAGTACAATGATACAAAGGAAAAAGAGTCATCCATCATGCCGTCGTATCAGATTCATGTCCTGCCAGGACTTTTTCCCTTCTCCGCCGCCGAGACCGTCTGGGTCCGCAACGTCACTCCTGCCACGTCGGCGACATGTTCTCCACGTTCTCCACCGCGTCTGCATAGCTCATGCGCTTTGTGAGCAGCAGCAGCGGCTGGTCCGTGTCCTGGTCGCTGTTGCGCCACGTCGGCTGCGGCGACATCGGCCCTCCACCAGCCGCAGCCGGCATGCGTGCCCGCAGTGGGTAGTGGAAGCTGATGGGTTTCTGTGGGGGGGCGGGGTGTTGGTCGTGGTCCTGGAGGTCCTGGGTGTCCTGGAGGTGTTGTTTCTGATGATGGAGGCGTTGTTGGTTGTGGTGTTGTAGTTTATGTTGCTGCTGTTGTTGCTGCTGTTGTGCTTTATGTTGCTGCTGCGGTTGCTTCTGTTGCCTTGGCCTCTCCTTCTCTTGCAGCTGTCGCTGAAACGGCAATTTCGACTGCTGTTCCTGCAGCTTCTCCTGCTTCTGCTTCTCCTGCAGCTTCTCCTGCAGCTTCTCCTGCTTCTGCTCCTGCTTCTGCTCCTGCAGCTTCTCCTGCAGCTTCTCCTGCTTTCGCAGCCGCTGCACCTGCACCTGTACCTGTACCGGTCGATGGGTCTGCTCCTGTGTCTGCCGTCGTCTTTCCCTCTCTCTGGCTTCCTTGGCTTCCTTGGCCTCTCTCGCCTCCCTCTCCTTTTCTCTCGCCTCCCATGCCTCCTTCTGCACCTTGAACTGCTCCTTCAGTGGTCCCCGTCTCCACGATGGTACCTCTCCGCTGCGACGCATCTCTCCACTGCGACGTGCCTCTCCGCTTCGACGACCCTCGCCGTCTTGGTGCACCATCACAGCCCCGCCTGCCCGCCTCTTCTTGCGCAGCTCGGCCGCTGTCGCTGCTTCGGCTGCTGCCACGGCCGCCGCCTCTGCCTCCGCGATTGCCTCCGCTCGCTTCCGGTCCTCTCGCTCGCGCTCCCGCAGGCCACCGCGACTGCTCCTCGTCAGCATGTGCCGCATCGGTGGCACCACCTGATGCACGCTCACGGCCGCGTCGTGTCGTCCGGCTGACCGCGTCCGCCACGAGTGCTGCTCTCTGTCCTTGGGCCTGCCCTGTCTCTCGTCTCTGTCCTTTTCTTGGTCTTTGTCTTTCCTCCGGTCTCCGTCCTTTTTCCACCTTTCGTTTCTTTTCCTCTCCTTTTCCTTTTCCTTTTCCTTCTCCTTTTCCTTCTCCTTTGCCTCCTTCTCCTTCTTTTCCCTCTCCTTCTCCATCTTCTTCTCCTCCCTCTCCTTCTCCATCTTCTTCTCCTCCCTCTCCTTCTCCTCCTTCCCCACATCTCTCCTCTCCCCTCCCTCCACACCCCCCTCCCAATCGGTCCGACTGGTCGTCCTGCGCAGCTTCTTCACCAGCTTGCCGCGGCTGCGTGCCGTCGTGATCACCCGCCCGGTGTCGGCCTTGTACCGCTCGCCGCCAGCGGCCGCCGGCTCGACGTCGGCGTGGCCTCGTTTGGTGCCGCGCCGGACGATGGTTGGGGGGTCGTCCTGGGGGTCCTGGGAGTCTTGGACATCCTGCACATCCTGCACATCATGCACGTCTGCCGCTGCTGGCCGGCCGTCGCCCGCAAGGCTTTGGGCCAGCACGGCCAGCACGTCGTCGGCGGTGCGCTGGGGCATGGGCTCCAAGTCGCCCGTCTTGGACTCGGCACGTTCTCCGCGCGTGAGTCCCAACCGCGTCGCCGGAATGGCTCGATCCCGGAAGAAGCCCGACTGCATCAGCTGTTGGTAGTTGGCCAGCACCTCCTCGGCCGACGGCTGGCCGGCCGGCGGACGATAGCCCGACACCGGCGGGGAGGCTGCTAGACGCACATCGGGACGCACGTCGGTCGTCTGGTCGGTCGTCTGGTCGGTCGCCTGGTCGACGGCACCTCCGCCTGCTGGCACCGCTGTGGGAGCCGATGTTGGCCCGCTCGACATCGTCGCCGTCTCGCCGCTGCCGCCGCCGCCGCCTCGTCGTCGCCAGTGCAGCCACCGGACACCGTCGAAGAGCGGTGCCAGAAAGCTGGCCGGTCGCCGACTGCTGGTGCTGCTGTTACCGCTGTCACCGCTGTCGACGCTGAGGCCGCTGAGGCCGCTGCCGAAACTGCCCGTGCTGCCAGTGCCCGACTGCAGCGAGCTGCGCGGGTACGCCGGCTGACACTCGGCCGGCGGACCGACGATGACGACGGGCGGCGCGTAAAAGGCGCTGACGGCCTCGGGACCCAGAAAGGCGACCGGTGGTGCCGCGCTGGCTCGGTCGCTCATGGAACCCTCGACAAAGCGTGAGCGGAGGCGATGGTGGTCTTCTTGCTGCTGCTGCTCCTTTTGTTTCAGCTCCTTCTCTTTTTGTCGCTTCTGCTCTTTTTCTTTCCCCTTCTCTCGCCCCTTCTCCTCCTTCCCCTTTTCCCGCTTCCCCGGAAAGGAAAAGGGGCGACGGACGAGGTCGGCCACCGGCTCGGCCGCGTGACGGTCCCGCGCCGACATGCTGTGGTATGTGCGCGTCTCGGGCGGTCGTCCGGTGTGCGCGCTGCCCGGATCTCTCTCTCTCGCCACGCGTCGTCGTCTCTGGTCGCGCTCTTGCCGCTCATCCGTAGACGCACGCGAGTCCGGTCTGCCGTGACGAAGGAGGAGCGAGGAAGAAATCGGCCAGCCGCAACAGGGCCCAGCAATTACCATGTCCCCGTCGACCGCTCTGGTGTTCGTCGTTGCAGTAGTCCAATCGTGCTTGCGTCTGCGTGCCGCCCTACTTCGCTGCTCTCTCTCGCTCTGCATAGGGCATGGCAACTGTTTATTTTGCGCACAGGCCGCCTCGGCTTGTTTACCTTCCAGCCAGACACAGTAGCGCCGCAACGGGCAACCGTTTCGGTCGGGTGGGGCACATTAAGGTTTCACCAACGAGATTAGATCACGTGCACATATGCCCACTGCACAAAAACTTCACTACTTGTACCTACTACTCACAATGTATTCAAACTAGACTTCACATAGGGAAGAGCAACAGCAAATGAGCGTCAGAAGCACAGAAGCACAGAAGCACACAAACATAGGAGAATCAGGTCAATATTGGCGGACCAGTCGCACTTGTCAGCTCGACGGCAAACGTATGAAACGAGATAGGATACCACTCATAGCGAAAGACTGGCAAACAGCTGGTAATAAACAACATGGCAAGAAGAGGAGAAAGCAGATAAGAACAAAAACACCAGAACCCCTCGACGCCATCGATACCAAGCACGAGAACCGAGACCCTCTTTTCCGAGTCCGTTTTTTCCAAACAATCCTTTGCCGCTCTGGACAGAAGAACGATGCAAGAAGGGAAAAGAGAGTTTGAAACCGACAAAATACACAAGCACGCGCATCCCAAGCCTCCCGTCCTCCCATATGCCGAGGAAGTAAAGCGGTGAAAGAGAGGGTAAAAATGACAGTATACGAAACGGACGTGAATAAAGGCAGAAGGGTTAAAACGCAGATCCATCAGGCCGTCTGCTGCGGCAGCTCACCGCGAGCCGACCACACCGTCCCGTCAGCACGCTTCCACCAGAGATTTTCGTACTCGCTGACCGGCACTGACTCCGACTGCCGTGCGTGGTTCTTTATTGACGCGCCCGTCTGCACATCGGCCATCGCGCCCATGTTGTGATACTGTCCGTACGACCGCTTCTTGCCAGCCGCAGCTGCTGCTGCAGCAGCAGCAGCAGCGGAGGCCGAGCCTGATGGTAGTGGTGGGAGCACCGGCTGGGGCAGCAGCAGTTGGCTAAGTGACGGCACGCGATCCAGCGAGTGGCCGCTGCCGATGCTGGTCCGTGGCTGCTGGTCCTTGTTGCCAAACGACGCGATCATCTCGCTCAGCGGTGGCAGCGTCGTCTTGTTCTCGCACAGGCCAGACGGCGACGTGCTCAGAGGTGCCATCGACGGCCGCGACGACGACGAAGACGACATCATGCTGTCGACCGACATGTGTGTGGACGACGACGGCAGCGGCGGAGCCGTGGTGTAGCTCGCCGTCGACATGCGCCGCTGGTAGTCGACTACGCTGTTGAGCGAGTCGCGGCGGGGTGACGGCATGGCGCCGGCCACGGGAGACGGCCCTGGGATAGACAGCGGTGTGGGTGCCGCACTACCATAGTGCTGCGAGGCCGGCCGGTCCTGGTGATAGTAGGGCGACTGGCTCGGCGGGGGAGGTGCCTGGGACGATGCCGGCGACGGGACCGAGAATGACGACGCTGAGTGATGGTGGGTGTGCTGCTGGGGCGGTGGTGATGGCTGTGCATACGAGCCGTGGGATGCGAGCGATGCGTGTGAAGGGTGAGCATGCGAGTGCGAGTGAGAGTGTGGGTGGGAAACGTGCGAGGGCGAGGTGTAAGTCGGCGACGGCGGCACGGAAGAGTTCGGCTGCTGGTAGGTCGGATGCGGACCGCCAAACCGGAGGTGGTTGCTGTTGGGCGTCTGGGCACCGGAGCCCGAGCTGAAGGCCGGAAGCATGGACGGCGGACCCGACTGTGGCGACGGTGCCGGGTGGTGATACTCGCTCATGGACGGCCGGCGCTGCACGTCATTTGCCGACACATAAGGCGTGCGACTGACCGATTCGATGCTCAAGGACCGCGCCCGATACTCGGCCACAACCTCGGGCGTCTGCGTGCGGTGACGCCGTGCATACTCGTCGTCGCCGCCGCGCACATCCGCTGAGGCTCCCGAGGCAGCCGCAGCAGCCGCAGCAACGGCGGCCGACTTTCCCTCACGCCGACGCATCCGCACGTCGCGGCGGATTCGCACACGGCAACCCTGCTCGGCCACCGTGCGGCTGAGGGCCGTGCTCTCGGTCAGGCCGGGAAACTTCTTGGCACTGTAGACGGTAAAGTCGTTGGACTTGACCTCCATGCGCCAGTCAAACGACTCGGCCATCTCAGCCGAGTCCTTATCCAGGTCGCCGGTCTCTTTGGTCTGCTCGTACAGGTTAAAGGTCAGGCGGTAGCGGCCCTCGTGGCGGACCGACAAGTCGGGGAACAGAAAGTAGCCGGCCTCCTGCGGACGGTCGAGGTAAGCCATGCCCGAGACTGGCATGCCGGTCAGCACCGGTGGTGTGGCGGCCGATGGCGCCTGCACGCGGCCATGGGCGATGACACGGGCGTGTTCCAGCGTGGCGAAGAGGAAGAAGTTGGCATTGTATGTGAACGTGATGTCCTTGGCCTGCTCGACCGTCGGGCCCTCAAAGATGCGCAGCTCCACGACCGGCGGCGGATCCACTGGACGGCGGTCGGCCGAGGCTGAGAAGTGTCAGCTGCTATTCTGCTCCTCTTCTCCCATGCGGACACTCAACGCAGAAACTCACACTTGGGACCAGCTCCACAGGCGCGAGCTCGTTCGGGTTGCTGCACCACCTCGAGGCGGTACCAGAGATGGCGGTTTCCGCGCGTGATGCGCTTGGCCATGATCGACTCCGGCGGGATAGCCGGAATGGATGTGGCAACCATGGTGTGTCGGGGATTGAAGACTGCTGCTGTTTCGGTCTCGATGGCTAGGCCGACGCTGTCAGTCGACAATCGAAACAGCGCGAGGATTGGTTTGGATTGGATTGGATTTGTGTTTTGGTTTGGATTTGGATTTGGCGAGTTTCCGAATAACGAGAATGAATTTGGGTGTCGGAAAATTGGCGAGCAGAGACGATCCCCCAATTCCTTCGGTTCGGTGCTGGATTGTCGAGGAGAACGGGAACAGCTGGCTGAGCGAAAGACGGTTGACGAGAAGAAGAAGGAGAAAGCAAGAAGAGGGAAGAGAGAAGAAGTCGGAAAAGGGAAGGGGGGATGTAGAGAGGAAGAGGCGAGAGAGAGAATGAGAGCACTAGGATTATTGTGACAAGTGAGAGGAGCGAAGGGGGCGTGTAGGTAGAAGAAGGAAAGGTGTGTTTCGGCTGTGCAGGCGTTGCGGCAGCGATGTGCAAGGCGACCAGGGAATTCGAGAAGGGGGAAATGAGCTGTGGGAGCGGGAAAGAGCGAGCGTGAGAGAGCGGACGACAGAACAGAATAGGCTTAGGTGGCAGCGAGAGACGAACGGGGAACGAGTGTCCGCCCGGTCGCTCGCAAGATGAGAAATACAGAGTCGTAGCAATAGCGGCCGGCGCTCGAACCCCTCGCGGGATTGACGCTGCCGTTGGGGCCCTCGTAGGGGAGTGGAGCGGTGTTTTTTCTGGGGGGGGGGGCGCTTTCCCTTGGCCTCGGGGCTCCTAGCGGTCGGGAGGAGGTGATGGGCGACAGCGTGGTCTGGTTTGGGTGCGCTGGTGCACGCGGCAGGCCCCCCATGAAAAATGAAAAGGGGTCGCCGCACGGTGTGGTGGCCGTCGCACGGCAGGTACGCCAGTCCTGACACGGCATGGCGCCCCTGCACGTCCTGGCCAGTGTGCCGTGTTGCCGGCCTGCGGTTGGCCAGAGGGCCGGTCTAGCGCAGCGTGGCGGGTCGCCTGCTGCGGCGCAACACTGTGCACACAGTGCGGGCGAGACGGCGTCCGGTCTTTCGTCTTGCTGCTGGGCCTGGGCCTGGAACAAAGAGGCCGAGCCGGACGGCTGGCGTCGTGGACACGTCGTGCTCTGCGTGCTGCCACGCCTGCAGAGTCGGGGTGCTACAGAGAGCTCTGCTACTCCGTATGTACTCCGTACGTAAAACATGCACACAGACTCATTCCAACTCGCAGTGAGCAGTCATTCTCCCTCCCTGCCTCTCCCTCTCTCTGCCTCGACCCTGGCCCAGCTTCCGTACGAGCACGATGGACGACGATACGACATGGTACGGAGCACATCCTCGTAGTAGTTCCCTGGCCAGACACGCTAGCCTAGCACTGCGACCCTATATCCCCCGTCTGGGCGTAGCCCCTGTGGGACCGGCCTCTAGGCCTGTCGCTGCTCGGGAATAGCTAGGACACAGCGTGCTGGCCCACGACGGCCTGCACAAATCACCACGCTGCTGGCTGACAGCCGGCTTACATACGACGCTTGCAGGCCCCAGCGCTGCCCCGCCTCTGATTGGCTGTACCCGTCATCCCACCCGCCTCGCTCGTATGACTCTCACCACTTGTTGGGAGGCCCAGGTCCGGATGTGCATCACCGCTCTCCGGGCTCTCCTCCCGGCTGCACAAATCGGGTCCTGGTCCACACGTACGGAGCACCCAGAGTTACGAGTAGGAGTATAAGATATCTCGCATGCTCGCCATCCCCCCAAGCCGTCGCCGCCCATCTCTCTTTCCATCCGCCATCCCTTGCTTCGGGCTCGTGGCCCTGCGCCCTGCGCTCAAACCGCCTGAGCGGCCATTTGCATGCTAGCACCGTCTCGCGACAAGACGCCCCCAACGGGGAGATCGCTGACTCCGTGCGATTTGGCGATTTCCTCGATCAGGCTATGTACGAGTACGGACGGCCAAGGACGTGCCAGAAAGAGCCTAAAAACATGGTCCGACCGAAAAGCGTACGCCCGTCGCATTTCCGGAGCGCTAAGCAGCAAGAGGAGGAAAATCGATGGCCAAAAGGGAAAAGACAGGCAACGAAGAAAGACAGCAGGGTCAACGCCTTTTTCCAACCCTTCCATGCTAGGGAATGCCCTAAAACCCGCCCTTCAGCGCAGAATGTTTCCCCATTCGTGGTTAGCCCACATCCCTCTAGCAGCGCCGTAGCACAGATGGAGCCTAAGCCTGCCGCCGGGCCCATGTCAGCCGTGTGGAGCCCCCTAAAAAGGCGAAAGGCGAAATGCTCACGACGGAGCTGCCAGAAACCGGCCTCCACATGCGCCTTGCATTGAAGGACCGCACAAATCGCATCCGGCGTCGCAGTGCATTCGTATCTCCCGGACCTGCTGTCTGCTGGCGGGAGATGGACGGCAGCCAGCTGTTCGGAAGTGCATGCAGACTCATCCGGCACGTCCGCATTGGCCAGACAGCAGACACTTTCTGGCCGGCAGCAGGAAGCCCACGGAGAGCGTCTCGCTGATACTACCCTGCACTCCGTAGCTATGTAGGAGCTGCTCTCGGTCCAGTGCCGTTGGCAAGGGCTTGCTGGTCGGGAATGCGCCAACGCACGCGAGCAAAGTCTCACATTCGGGAACTCACAAATCGTCCGTTTTTTGGTCTTCTTTCCTTTTTGGCATCTTTGTCATTTCTTTTTTTTTCTTTTTCTTTCTTTTTTTCTTTCTTTCTCGCCTCCCGTCTTTCGCCCCCTCCTTCCCAGACCGGTTTCAAAAGTAAGATACCGCCGACTATTGCACAATGCACCTGGGAACAATGGACGGCTGAACCGGCCAACAACCTCCCCATTCTTCTACGATAGATATTGTACTTTCTCCCTCCCCTCCACCGTCCGGCTCGTTTTCCACCACACGCGTCCCGCTCACGCCGGAATCTTGGTACGCATGCAAATCTGAGATGTCACAACGTACGGAGTACACAGTACTGTCTTACCCGTATTTTTCGTAGCTTCATGCCGGTTTATATGGGGAATGCAGGCCGGTAGCCTCTTTCCAGCGTCACAGCCTCGTCCAAACAAAGCCCAGCTGTCCCACGCGGCCGACCCGCCCTGGAGATGGTATTTTCTACACGTCGAGGGCCAGCTGGCACAGAGGCCGGTCCGCTGGCTCTGCGTCTCCGCGTCTCTGCGTCTCTGCGTCTCTGCATGCGGAAAACGCCGTACGTGTTCTCTCAGTCCCCCATCCCTCTCCCGGACTCTCCCCGACTGGTCGGCATGCCGACTGGTCGGCATGCACTCCAGCCGATGTCTCATCTCGGTCTTCTAGAACGCAATGTGCCGCTGGCCACCAATGAGATCGAAGGATGCCACCTGCACAAAGAACCCCCCTTGTTCGGCTTCCCCTTGAGACACGAACCTGCAGCTTGGCTTGCTTTCACGCCGCCCTGTTTCTGTTCCACGAGGGCGCGGCAGAAGGGGGGCCGGATATCGCCTGGCGGCTTCATGCTCCTTCGCGACGCCATCGCATCGATAACAAAACCTGCTCTCGGTTGTCATGTTTGGGCTTTCTCGGATCAGGAGTTCCGTACAAGCAGACTGATTGCACGAGCCAATGGATATGTCCTGCTTGGAATGTAGGACATATCTTATCGCCCTCCTATCTGTATCATGCAAGTGTGACGACGAGCAGGTTTTTCTGTACGCAGAGTGCTTCCCCGGATATGGAGCCACAGAATCGAACGAGTAAGCAAAAGAAATGTCGGGGCTGAGATAAGCCCCTGCCTTCTGTCTGCGCATACGTCGTATATTGATTTTCACATTCTCAGCACGATGAATCCCGGAGCTAACGTAGGATTGTGCGAAGAAAAAGAAACGAGTACGTACTTACAGGCATAGTTGACTCCACAAGGGCACAGCTTCGGACAATGATTACGCCACAAAGGACCAATGCAGAACCAAGTCGCAGCTGTTGCCTAGCTTGCAGATGCATGTATCAGTCGATGGCATGATGGCAGTACGTCAACAGGAGGTGGAAATACGAAATGGGAGAACTCGATGCCGAAACCTTTCCAATCCTGCGGCTGGGTGTCAATGGCAGGTAAAACTGAGCGGGAAGGTATGAACGCCATGCACCGCATCCTTTGGCAATGCTGCAATCCCAGTCAATCACGTGGCTGGCGTCCGATGTCTCGGTCTGGGACTGGCATCCTGTCTTGGCCCTTGCAGTCGAGAATGGATTGATTATAGAATTGTCACAGCATGAGTTGTATTCTTGGACGTTGTTACAAAGTTCACAGATGGATATATGGGTATTTAAGCAAATGATTGATTATACATTATCAACTGCCTCGCAAGACAGTTGCTTTCTTGTCCGTAGACAAGAGAAAGGCTAGACAAGCGTGTGCGATTGGGTATTGTGCCGCTGCATCATGAAACGAGTGAAAAGGGGTATCTTGTCCAATGCGCACCATCAAAAGTGCAAAGGTAATAAAACGAGAGACGTAGAAGTTTATGGATGGTAGGAATGAAGGAGACGGAGCATCTGACCATGACGTCTCTCAGTAGCCGTTGATTCCTCTTTTATTCGGCAACTCGCCGGTTGTCGACGCCTGAGACAGAGTAGACGGGAATGGGTATCAAGTTCAGTGTATGGGTCTTCGTTTTGCCCGTGCCAGCTCTGCTCCACGACGCCATGGCTATCGTGACTCCGGTGTCACTTAGACGGTGACGCCACCCTGAGGAACGGCGGGCGTGGCAACCGCGGTCTCCTTCTCGGGGAAGCTGCCGCTGGAGACGGGCACACGGCCGTACTGGGTGAAAGCGATGTTGAGCTTGTTGTAGTCCCAGTTGCGTGACAGGAAGAGAGTGCAGAGCGAGAGGACGGGGATCAACAGGATGTCGAGGATGCCGAAGAAGATGAAGCCGCTCGTCTCGGAGATCTTGTTGCCGCCGTCGCTCAGGCCAAAGGCGATCGGGTACAGCAGCCAGAGTAGGTTGGTCCAGCAGGTGAGGATGGTGTAGTCGCGGGCGACACCGACACGGCTGGCCGACTTGAACGAGTGGGCGGTGGTGTTGGCGGCCAGCAGGATCCAGGCGATGGTGCCGAAGGCGAAGAAACCCCACTTGTACGTCGTCGTCGTGTAGGCGGACGAGATGTAGGACAGGATCCAGAACCAAGCGAGGAAGATGTTGTAGATGATCGTGGCCCAGGACACGCCCGAGAGCAGGCCGAGCGTGAGGATGACGCTCGGGAAGCTGACGACCCAGTTGATGTAGCGGGCAAAGAAGATCTGGCGCGTCAGCCCGTTGCCGAGCTGGTCGGTCGTCTTGATCACGCTGTAGGCCAGGTCCGAGGCCTGGGCAAAGTACGTGACCGCGCCGACGAGCAGGGCGATGCTGTAGATGTAGTGGAAGATCTTCTCGCCGTTGCGCGCAACAAAGGTCAGGCTGCAAACGGCCAGCTGGACGTGTTAGTGTGAGGTCCAAGAGACCATGTCTCAGAATCGACTTACGAATATGAACAGGTACACGGCTGTCACAGCCCAGAGCCAGTCAGAGCCGTTGACTGACAGCTTCTGGTCACCAGCAGGAAGGTTGATGTCGAGGGCATCGTTTGTGCGATATTGGATGACACCCATTGTGTACGATGTGATGTATATTATATAGTTGGTGAAGTGGGTGGGAGATGTATTCGTGTGAGATCAGACTAGATAGCCTTTGAAGTCGACTTTGTACCAGATTGGTGGACGGTAGAGGATGGGAAGGAGAAGAAGCAGGAGACGTGATGGAGGCAGACGGGAGGCGACTCTTATAGACATCTTGTGATGTCTGGGTGTGATCGAACTGCAGCAGATTGCATGGGGACATGACAAAGCGTCAGCCTTGGCCGAAGTCTCCAGAATTCCGAGAGGGGCCGAGAGGCCGAATGGGTTTGTGAAGCCACAGAACTGTCGACGCATCCCGTTTTCCCAAAACTCTTTTTTCGTCTTTTTTTTCCCGTCTTTTGTCCTGCCTTCTCCTTGGTTCTCGCTTTCTGGCTGCTCGGCCTGTTCGGAAGGCCAGAAGAGGCTAATCGCATCAAGGGGACGCCAGGCCATGCCGTCCAGCAGCGCGCGCGCTCGGACAAGAGAGGACGACTGAGAGAGGGACAAGCATCTCGACTTTGCTGGCCATCTGCATTTGTTCGGGCGGGGGTTTTTTCCTTTTTCCTTTTTCCTTTTTTTTTTTTTTCTTTTTTCTTTTTTTTTCGGTCCCGTCCCCAACACCGGCCGCTCATTGGCTAGCTGTGGCAGGCAAGGCTCGTCCTCTCGTTCTTTCGTGTCGCTGTCTCAGGCCGGAAGGCGCGCCCCACCCTGCACATCACGTTCTGGCACTTTCTGCTGCCTGTGTCCGTGACGTCATGGTGGGCTGCAGAGCCTGTGGACGACTCCTTCCTTATCGCGTCGCTACACGTGGTCTGTCATGCCGTTGCCGACAGGCCACATTCTCCGGTAGCGGTCAGGCAGGCTCTCTGCCCGTTGCTCTTTTGCCCTTTTGTCCTTTTGTCCTTTCGCTGTTCCCGTCTGCGTTGTCGCCAGCGCGAGACAAATCAGCAAGATGGCCCCCCCTCCTCCCGGCACGTCCGGACATGCTCTGCTGCATCAGTGGCTGACAGATGCCCGGCAGCTCTTCTGTGATGGGTGGAACCATTCTGAACTGGCGGACGGCACAGGGAAATGAATGGCCAGCACAGAATGCGTCGATGCGTCCGTGTGTAAGCTTGGCCAGGTCGTCCGGATGGCCCGGAATGGGGCCCAAGGCTGTCGGGCGCCAGTGGTCCAGTTGCCCTTTTTAGGTATTTAGGTTTAGGGCGATCAGCCAACAGCGGCCGTTTGGCCCCGTGAACCCGCTAGGCGATAGCAACATCCAGGATCCAGCTCACCTGGTGGCAAGTTGCTAGATCGGAATGGACCGTCGTCGAGACACGATCAGCACGTTCTTCTCCTGTTGGTCTCCCCGTTTGTTCGCTTGACGGCCCACATGACGACCGGGTGACCTGATCCCGCCATTGGGCACGACTGGCCGATGAGCTGATTGCATTACCCAAGAGAAACGGCAGAGACAAGGCCGAGACCAGGGTGCCTAGGGCGAGGCAGAGGCCATGCGTGCGAGACGCTTGCTCAGACAGTCCATGTGCTCGCGCGGACAACATCCCTTGTCTGTACTCGTAGTCCGACAATGTGTAGAGAAAGCAAAGGCCTACGTAGAGGTGGTCGACTGCATGCAGACTGGCCCGCAGGACTAGTTCCAACATCGGCCTTTCGCTTTCCTCTTTCCCTCTGCTCGATCGCCGATGCGCAACGGGCGTGGTCCAGCTGTCGGCACTCGAGAGAGGTGGGATGTGGTCACAAGGTGGAGCCGTTTATTCTTCGCACTTTTCTCTATGGGGATCTCGCTGCTAGCTGCCGCCCTATAAAGTCTGTGTGTTAGTGGGTGAGAGGGGGCCAGAGCCTTGTGGTGGAGCCGGACTAATACGAGTGCTCGCTCGTACTCCGTACTGCCGCCTCTTCCGTAGATGCCATCGAGATGGCCAGGCACCACAATCACAGATGTTCACCGCTCTGTTCTGTCGTCCTCGATGGATAGTCTCGCTCGAGCCTCGCCACGCACAACGCCACGAACAGGAACCCGAAGACAAACACAAAACAAACACAAACCCCGAACAAAACCCGAAACAGCCACAGAAACGAAAAATGCCGCGTACGTTATTACTCCTGTAAGCCGTGCAATGCTAAGCAGCTCTTGCCGCTGATTCGTACACTGAACCTGCGCGGGTTCCTTCCTCTCTGTCCTCTCAGTCCCGCCCCATCTGGTGGATGGCCATCTTGGCTTGCTCTCGCACGTCCAGCTCGACGTCCTCCTCTTGTAGCACCTGCAGCTGGTTTAGCAGTCCGAGCCGCTTCAGCTCCAGCGTCCGCAGCGACACCGACGCCGTGTCGGCCGCATCCTCGCGCCACGTCAGGTTCGACAGCAGGTGGCAGAGCGCCAGCCGCACGCCCTTGTTACGGCTACCAAACTGCGCCACCAGCGCCTTGAGCAGTTCCGTCTGCGCCACCACCAGCTGCCGGTGCCGCGGCACGCTCGCCGAGATATGCACCATGATGAACACGACCGCCTCCACGATCTTGGTGTGCGGATAGAGCACCCGGGCCTGTGTGTTGGTCGTGTTGGTCGTGCTGGTCGTGCCGGTCGTGCTAGCAGTACCACTGCCCATGTTGCTGCCCCCCCTCTCGTGCAGCACGCGCGTCCGCAGCTTCGACAGCAGGATCTGGAAGAGCCGGTCCTGCCCGATCTCGCTGAAGAGGTGGTCGATCATGTCTGTCGTCTCGCGCAGCGCGTCGTTGGCCGATCCGCCTGCCGAGGGCCCGGGCCCGATCAGATTGCGGATCAGGTTAAGGCCCTGCTCCTGGATCTCCACGTCGTCGCTCCGATTCGGGTGCCTGCGCGGCTGTGCCAGCTCCACCTCCCGCAGCATTGCCAGCTTCGCCTCCGCCTGCCGCAGCCGCCCGGTCCGGCTACGCTCGTGGCTCATTCGCGGAAACCGAGCCCGGTACAGCGACGACGACACCGCCCGCCCCGCGACTTCGGCTCCTGTTGCTGCTGCCACCGCCACCTCGATGCCGTCCTCATCATCCTCGTCCTCGTCGTCCTCATCGTTGTCGTCGTCCACATCCGGCAAGTCCATCACCACATCTTCGTCCATCGAGGAGTGGTTGTTGTTGTTATTGTTGCTGCTGCTGCTGCTGCTGCTGCTGCCGCCGCTCTTAGCCCACGTAAACAGCGACGGCTCGTCCTCCATGCCGGGGGCAATGAGCCGCACCAGCCAGCCCGAGCCCAACTGCTCGAGGCAGGCCTTCTTCCGCTCCGGTTCGACCCCATCCACAAAGTGCTTCAGCGCCCACAGCGCGTTGAGCCGCAGGGACGAGTTGTGCGAGTGTGCGTGGCCGCAGAGGATGCCCATAATGTCCGCCTCGGCGAATTGCTGTAGATATTAGCGCGCTTGGCCCAACCTCCTTCCTGGCTTTCCACACTCACCTCTCGCATCGGACTCGTCTCCGTCACCAGGTTGCACACCACTGCCGTAGCCGCGTTCTGTACCTCGATCTCTGGATGTCGTAGCAGCCGGAGCACCGGTGCCGCCACGCCGGCATCCTCGAGCGTCACCCGCAGTATCGCTATTGACCGCGAGAGCATCCGCACGCAGTTGCACGCCGCCACCAGGACATCGACCGGGTTGCGGCCGTATTCAGGGTCGACCTCCTCGTCTGCACCGCCGCCGCCCGCCGCCGCCGCCTCGCCGTCCTTAGGCACCCTCATCGGCTCCTTTGCGTTTCGCGGCTTGCACGGTGTCGGGCTCAGCGAAGCCACCACGTACGGCATCACCTCCTGTTCCACAAACCGCTTCTGGTAGTCGTACTTTGACGCGATCAGCGCTGCGATCGCCTTGAGCGTCGCCGCCCGCAGGCGGATCCGGTAGGCCAGCAGCGCGTTCTGTCCCACCGGGCCCAGCTTGCTGGCACGTGCGTCGTTGTCGTCTTCTTCATTGTCAATGTCGTCGTCGTCATCCTCGTCGCTCTTGCCCCCGCGGCTGGCCATATCAGGCGTGACCGTCCGCGACGGAGCCGGCGTTGGATTCCACGGCCGCAGCAGGGATCGGCTCGGTGACGGCTCGTAGGACTCCTTCAGCAGCTTGGCGAGGATCCCGGTGGCGCCGCAATCGACGGCCGCCTTCTGCAGCACCTCCTTGTTGGCTACCAGCCGTGCCAGCACTGTCAGCGCCGTTTCCGTGATGGCACGCTGCTCGGTCACGGTGTTGTCGTCGTCGCCATTGCCGTTGCCGATGCCCTTGGTGGCCGCGTCGCTGAGCATGCGCAGGAGCAGTGGCACCACCAGCAGAGCCATGGCGGCCTCACGCGACTTGCTCGCCAGCTGGGCGCGAAACAGCGACGTCAGAACGGACGCGGCCGCCAGCCGGATCATGCCGGACGACGACCGCACCAGGCCGAGGAGCCAGGGGATCATGGGGCTCTCGGCCTCGACAGCCTCCCACTCAGGTGCCAGCGGCGAAGTCGACTCGCGCGACATCACGGCCCAACCAGGCAGTGGCTGGCTATGTGAGCCCGAGCGCTTGCCGGTGCTACCGCCGAGTCCGAGTGCCGCCAGGTTGTCGCGCGACAGGGACACGCCCAGCGGTGGGAACGGCGAGCTCTGGGCAAAGTACGCCCGCGACTGCTGCGATGGGATGGCCGGTAGCAGCAGGTCCAGTGCCCCCAGCGGCTGTTCGTGCAGGTTGCTGAGTCCGCCCATACAGAGCGCGTTCCACGCCGCGTAAATGTCGTTGGCCGAGCTCTCAAACGCGATCTGCGGAAAGATGGCCAGGATCGACGGCGAGTACAGCATCATGCAGGCGCGCAGCCTCGAGTCGCCCACGATTGCCGTCACTGCCAACAACAGCGCCGCCACGTCCATCCGCGGCGACGCCGCTTCCGGAATCGCCTCGCGCAGGCCCTCCTTCTCGGCTGTGATCTCGGCCCCCGGAATCACCTGGCCGCGTGCCACCACGAGGCTCGCCACCTTGACGGCGAGGTCGTCGAGGATGCCGGCATTGGCCAGCGCCACCTGGTGCCGTTCCTCGCGGCAGAGCGGCCCGATCAGGCCCATGGCAATGTTGGCGATCGACTCGGCCCACCAGTGCTGCTGCTGCTGGGGCGCCGAGATGATGTTGTGCAGCGCGCCGAGGTGATGGTTCGAGAAGAGCGCGTCGGCCAGCGTGACCACAGTGAGGGGCGGTGGTGGTGCAGCCGACAGCGGCGACGAGTTGACCAGCGTGGCCGCCTTGGACATGGTGACCATAGCCCGCAGAGCCGCATAGACGAGTCGTGGGTGGCTTGTGAGAGGGTCGATGCAGGACAAAATGGCTGGCAACGCGCCGGCCGCGTGAAGAGGAGCGAGGAAGGACGGACCGCCTGTTGATGCGTCAGAAGGATAGCCTCATGGAAGACTGGAAGGAAGAGGGAAGAGGGAAGAGCTTATAGAACTCCGGAGACTAGATGACCAAAGAAAAAGGCAAACCTACCACTGGCAAATACGCCCAGCAGCTCGAGAGCCTGCAGCCGGGCCAGGTCCACTTGTGACAGGCTGTCTGGCGGCGTAGCCGACGATGGCCGCCGGCTGCTGTCCTGACGGCCGTGGCTGTCACCGTGTCGGCTGGCCGATCGCGAGAGCCCGACGCAGCGGACAACTGGCCGCAACACGCCCAGCTCGACCCATCTGCTCTTTTTCAGCACGTGACCGACCGTGTCGTTCTTCAGGGCCTGCAGGGCCTGGATACGGTCTCCGGGCGTCCGCGCGTTCCGGAACCTCTCGAGGATCGGGTGGCTCTGGATCAGAACCATCGCTGCACTGTCTGTCGGTTGGGGGAGGTCTTGGAGGCGTCTCGTTCAGAAAATGGTCGTCTGCGGTCAGGACGCTCCCTCCCCGGCTGTGTGCTTTGCATGTGGTGGCGGGACCGATGCCAGAAGGACGGCGTTTGGGCAGTCAAGTCAGGCTGATGGCGGATGGCTGTTGGCTGATGGCCGATATCAAAACCGTTGCTGCGGATGCTTCATGCAAGTGGGTTCTCTCTTTTCCGCGGTAAAAAGACGGTGGCTCACGTCCTTGCTCAGACGCGGTGCGGAAATCCAGAACGACAAAAAAAGCTGAAAAGAAAGGGAAATAGGACAGTCGTGCTGAGTGGTCTCGTGTGGTCGCCACCTTGCGCGTGTGTGTGCCGTCATTTAGACGTCGAATTTTCGGATTCGCTGCACCTTAGCTGCCTGCGCGCCTTTCTGGGCGCTGCGTGGTTGGCTTGAGGTCACATGAAGTTACGTAAGCATGCTTGTGCGTTTCATTCTTATTTATTATTCGTTTTATTCCCAATCAGCTCCTTTACGTCAGCGTAGTGGGCCAGCCACCGAGGCACGCCCTCGAAGCCAGACTTTTTTCGCTTCAGTCCGGGCGACGATCGCTGCTCTGTGCAGAGGAGGCTGTCTGGCTCTGGCCATCGATTGGCCACGGCTGCCAACGCCTGGAATGGTGGTCGTCTTGCTACCATGTACTCCATAGCAATGCTCGTAGATGCGCAGTGCACTCTCACCTCGTCGGACTCGGTGAGACAAAATGGTTAGCCGGCCTCACCCGATACAGCAGCTACATCTGAGTGGTCAGACCAGTTGCCCTGAACTGAACTGGGCCCGGCAGTCTGGATACTATGCAATCCTACTACATAGTACGGAGTACGTCGTGATAGGTACACCCACCGATGAAGCTGCCGACCCGCTCCTGTAAACGAGAAGCCCTTCCCAAGCGACTACGTGTATCCTACATATTCGCTATCAAGCCTTGTCGTAAGGGCCAAGCAAAACCCGATCGGGCCTTTCGCTGTCTGCATCTCACCTGTTAACGAGAGGACGCCACCCGGTCGTAGCAGGGACAACGTGCGCATCCTATTGGGGAAAAGAGAACGACCGAAAAGGACAGCGGGAACCGAACGGCAGGACGAAAAGCCAGAGCATGCAGACCTAAACGAGTTGCCGTTCTTCACCTTCTTTCCGCCACGCTCGCTTCTGTGTGCTCTTGCCCTTTTTGTCTCGTACCGGAAGGAAGGAGGACAAGGAAAGGGACGGAAAAAAGCCTTTCTCGCACTAGACCGTGCTTGTAGTGCTGCCCTATATTTGTCTGTTCCCAACAGGACGGCAATCGTTGCGACGAGGCCAGTCACCGCCATCCGGGCTCTCTCTCCATCCCTGGCCCCTTTCCTCTGGTCCACCCCGCAGCTGGCTAAAACCCCGATCCGTCAGGGTGCAGAAGTTGCGCACAGCTGATACGAGGACCAACGCAGACCGAAGATACGAGCAGGGAGCAAAATCATTGACGTGAACATTGACGACACCACGACCACGACCACGATCACGATCACGATCACGATCACGACTACGTTCACGACACGACCTCCACGAACGACCACGACCACCGACGAACTATCACGATCGCTAACCATTTCCATCACTGCTGCTGCTGCCACCGTCATCGGACAATGACCTCCGACACGTCATGTTGACACGATCGACCAATGCCTCTCCCTGCATCCCCGGATTCCACTATGCACCCACTCGCTCCCCGCGCCACTCGCCTTCCCGCATCTCGGCCGCTGGTGCACGGCGACCTTCGCCTTCCTCCTCGCCGGCAGTCCTCGCCGACGCCGTCCCTGCTGTGAGCTCGCCGCTCTCCCACCCGCTCTCTGCTGCCGCTACGGTACTTGCTGCCCCCTCTGCCAGCATGTCGCCCGCCTATGCGTCCGCCGATGCTGCCACGCAGTACTCGCCTATGGAGCCGTTCGATTACGCCGCCCATCCCCATCGTTACCCCCCGCAGCCGTCGACCCCCTTGAACCCGCCTTCGATTCCGGGGCCGGCCCCGATGGAGCCAGGCGTCGAGCAGGGCGTCGAGCAAACACAACCAGACCAGCCGTCACAGACACCGTCACAGACACCGTCACAGACACCGTCACAGACACAGTCACATCCTCAGTCAACAACCTCAACAACCTCACCAGCAGTGGCAGACGGCCACCCCCCAGCAGCCGCGGCCATGGCACCACCACAACCACCGTCACAACAGCCACAACAGCAGCCACTGCAGACACCCTCTCCCAACAAGCGGCGCAGCTCGCAGAGCGCTACCCCTGGAGAGACGGCCGTCGACGGCATCGTGTCGCCTTCGTCCCTCGCCCGCAGTTCGCCCACACACTCCAAGCGCGTCAAGGCCGAGGCCGAACCGGCCAAGATGCTGCCAGAACGCTACGAGCTGTGCGCCGTCGAGGACATGGTCGTGCTCATCGCAAACATGCTCGGCGAGCTGATCGAGACCAACGACGCGCTGGCTCTCAAGGCCGGGCACCTGACCCGGTTCCACTCGAGGTAGTTCTCTTCTCTTCTCTTCTTCCTTCTCTCTCCCTAACGCTCCGCAGAACGGCTCCAGGCATCTCCGTCCTGGACTACCTCAACCGGCTGGCAAAACATGCCACACTGACACCACCCCTCCTCCTGTCCATGGTCTACTACATTGACCGCCTGTGCGCCATGTACCCCGACTTCACCATCAACACCCTGACGGTCCACCGCTTCCTCATCACGGCCGCCACTGTCGCCGCCAAGGGTCTGTCCGACTCGTTCTGGAACAACTCGACGTATGCGCGCGTTGGTGGCGTCCGCGTGACCGAGCTCAAGATGCTGGAGCTCGAGTTCCTGTACCGGCTCGAGTGGAAGATCGTGCCGAACCCAGAAGTCTTGGCCGCATACTACCGGCCGCTGGTAGAGCGGTGCTCAGGCTACGTTTTGCCGGCCGACACCACCGACTGGACCATGGACGTGACCGCGAACGCGTTCAACAACAACTCGTCCATCCCCGTCAATCGGGAAGACCGGGATCCGTCGAGCACCAGCCTGGTCGATAAAGACATGGTCATCTCCGGGTCGGGTCCGGCCAGGGACAGCAATTTGTGAAGAGGAGAGAAGACGGACGAGAGCAAGAGGCGGAGGAGCACATTGGCGTATTACGGAAGTCACAGCATCTGTCTGAGTCTTTTATTTGTTTATTTTTTGGGCGTGGGCACCAGCAGGACTTGGGGGAATCGTGCTTTCGAGCGGGTGAGTGCTGGCAATAATAGTTGGAAGACGCATGTGGGAGGGACTCTTTTGAGGGGACAAGACATCAAAAACCAACTAGAAATACCACCATAGGGAACGGCGCCAGCAATGTGCGTAAGATAATACGGAGGCATGGAATATGAAGTACTTGATCTTATGTGCAGTTACTAGTTCTGCTGGCCTTTAGTGGTGTTGGGGTAATTTACAGCGAGCGATGGCCGGCCCGTCGTCCTGCAGGCCAGCAGAAGGACGCTAAGCGACAGCGCCTATGCGCGGAATAACCGAATCGAAACCGTGGCTTGACAACACGGCCGAAAAGCGTCATCTACGCCGATCTGTCATCTCGCAGAACCCCTCCCCTCGACCTTGGCCAGAGTGACACACGCCGTCGCAATCCCCTCTTCCGACCAGTCGCCCATCATGCGATCGTCTCCCTTCGCTTCCTTCATCCTCCTCCTGGGCGCCGTCGCCGGTGCAGCTGCAGCCCAGGCTGACGCCGACGTGGACGTGTTGGATGCTGCCGCTGCCGCACCAGGCACGCAGACGGCCGCCATCTACGTCCAGCCGGTTGCGCCGCTGTCGTCGGCGCTGGCCCAGCCGTCGCTGCTGGCCGAGATCCGCTTTGATGCTGGCGGCCTGGCCGAGGTGGCCAGCTACGAGGCCCCAGACGCACTCGAGCAGGACAAGCAGGACAAGCAAGACACCACGTTGCTCTACCGCATCGGCCTCTACGATCCGGTCGCCAACCGCTGGCTCTCGGCCACGTCCGTCACCGCCGCCTCCAACTTTGCCAAGGGCTACCAGCCGCACTTTGTCCTGACCGTGGCCAAGAGCGGCAGCGAAAGCAAGAACAGCTTCCCGATCGCGGCGGCCGTTCGCGGACTGCCCATCGACGCCGGTGCCACGCGCGACTTTGGCCCGCAGGCGACGGTGGTGCAGGTGGGCGCCGGCAAGACGCCGGCGCTGAACCGGCCGGTGGTCCTGAGCCCGGAGGGCAAGAAGCTGGAGGAGCCGGAAGAAAAGACCTTTCTGCAAAAGTGAGCGCACAGACACCCTCTCGCCCTCTCTCTCGCCTAGGCGCTAACACATGGCTTCAGGTACTGGTGGATGATCGCGATCGGCGTCTTGGTGCTGACGATGGGCGGCGGCGACAAATAAGAGGTGCACGACACGGAGGAAGCAGAGGACACAGTATCTTGGGGGCAGGACGTGGACACAAGAATGCCCTCAGCAAGCAGACCAGTCTGCAGGGACGTTACTTGTTCGAGACAAGGTCAGGCTCAGAACTGCTCTCTGCAGCAGCAGGCATGACCAGTTTTGTATGTTGCATTGGAGATGCGAGCAGCCATGCCATTAGACAGCGGGCCTGGTCTTGCTTTTGGGGTCGCCCCTCTGTATTCGTGCACAGATCTTCTACATGATATCGCTACGAAAGCTCACCCTGCTCTTTTTCGAACGCCATACTCTCTTCCGAGACCTACTCATCTCAAGACTACTGAATATAGACTAGTGCACAGTGCACGGCGTATCGTGCAGAAGGAGGCGGTTTCCCTGAGGACTTCAGCCCCACAAAATAGATCGCTCTGCCTAAATAAACTCTTAAATGCGACAGCTCCCCTTTGGATCTGGCCACAACAATAACAAACTCTGTCTTCTGCGCGTACCACTCAACTGTTTCCCCATTACTCTGCTCTTACGCCATACCCTCTATCCAACGCTCTACCCTGAACCTGTTGCTACAGCGCACATCGTCCACAATGGCTTCTAACGGCAGCGGCTTGACAGACCCCACCAAGGCGTCGGAAGCCATCAGCAAGGGCAAGGGCAAGGCCGCCGAGGACGACGCCATGAAGGATGCCGGTGCTGCCCCGGCCCACGACGACGATGATGAGGATGATGAGGACGAGGAAGACGATGGTGCCGAGGTGAGAATCTTCCTGTTATCGATCGGCTGGTGGTGGCAACAAAACTAACAGACTCTGCCTCAGATTGACGAAGGTAAGGCCCGGAAGAGGGCCCGCTGCAGACACATGTCCGGCTCTACGCACGTACTGACCTGGCACAGAAGACAATGACGACGACGACATGCAGGAGATCAACCTCGAGAACGTGGTCGGCCGCCGCACGCGGGGACGGGTCATCGACTTTGCCAAGGCGGCAGCGGAGAACCCAGCCGCCGACGACGAGGACGATGACGACGACGACTTTGAGGATCCGGACAACAACGACACCAAGATGGACGAGGACTAGAGAGGCTGTTGGCCCGGCAGCTTAATGAAGACGAAAAAAAGGCAGACGCCCGCCAAGCATGGTGCATACATAGCATAAGATCGGGGATCGGGGCTAGGGCTGGGGCTGGGACTGGACGTTCAGAGGCCGATGTGATTGACTGATGATATTGTGATTACTGTTTCTTTCTGTTCCGGCTCTTGCCCCTTTTGTTAGTTCTATCTACGGATGGGGATGGCAGGCAAGCCTGGCTCCCAACGCCGTCCAAACTGAAAATATAGAACAAATAAAGCCAAGTTTCGGCTGTGCCGCGTCGTCCATCCAGAGAACAGCTACCCTGTCACATACAACAGGAGCACATGTCATACATGATCATATCAATGCGTGCTCTCGCATCTTGCATTGCTCTGGTCGCACCTTGTAGATTGAGATGCAATTGAGATGCAATGCGCCTCATCTCAGGCGGTGGGGCCCACCCGTTGTAAGGACAACTGCCTGTAACATTTTCGCCGTTGCTTTCGCCGTCACCCCTTCCCAGGCTAGCCAGGCCAGCTGTGCCTTCCCAGCGTGGCATCTTACCGCGGTTTCAATTCTGCCTGATTGTTGTCTGTCCGTCTCTGCTTGAAACAAGGATCTGGCTTTTTGTCCCGTACACGTCCGCCGTAATATAGCTGTCACTTGATCAAAACGGCTCCTCTGCCGTCGAGCTTGGGGCTGTAAGCCAATCTGGCCTACATACGACGTATGTAACATAGCCACCACTGCTATCTTATCCGCCGTAGATCTCCCTTTCCCGAATTCTCATTGGCGCTTTCGGCCTGGTGTCAGTGCTCGTGTCCCTCTCCTTTTCTCTTTGCTTCTGGGCTCTCTCTCCTTTCCTCTACCATCGCGCACCCGCGACGACGCTCCCCCAGCATGGCATCATCAAGGTAGGACACTCCAGATCTCGTTGCGTGGTCTGATTTTTGGTGGCTCGCAAGTTGGCAGCGGCAGGCGACGCAGAAATGGACGGCCGCACAGCAGCACAGGCACAAGCACGAAAGCAGTACGTCTTTTGGAAACGACAGGTGGCGCATCTCGATCCAGCAATGTGCGTTCCGAAGCAGCAGTGCCGCGACACTCTGCTCCTGCCAGCCTCTCTGTCTTTACGATGCGCAAGCTTTGACAGGCCAGGATCCGGCCTGTGGCCATGGCGTGTTTCCCGTTTGATCGAACAAGAGATGGCCCAGATCGACTCCATTGACTGGCCCAAGTTTCCCACCATCTCGTCTCGACCAGCTCGTGCCCGCTGCTTGCCTTCTGTCGCTCCCGAATATGCCAGTCAGCTGCGGCTGTGCCACCGTTATATCCGTCTCTCGAACGACCAAGGCTAAGCGCATACCCGTGTCTCTAGATTTGGCTCCTCCAGCCTGCACCAGCGAGATCCTCGCAGTGCGCTCTTCGAGGGCTACACCGGCTCCGGCTCCGAGTCGACGCGGCGCAACGGCAGCGCCAGCCCCGGACAATATGGTGGCGGCTACGGCTACGGCTACCCGGGCAGCAACGGCAACAACCTGACTGCACCGGCACACAACGCCTTCCGGCCAGCGACGCCCAACCGGAAGTAAGCCGGCACGCCCGCCTATTCCGTCGGCCCATTGCTGACGCTGGGGGGATTCTAGGGGCCAATACAGCGATGCCGTCCTGAACGAGCTCGAGAGCCAAAACGACCAGCAGATCGAGGGCATCTTGGGCAAAGTCCGCGTACTGAAAGACGTGCGTCTCACCTCTGCAGTTTCGCACACACTCTCACACACCTGACCTGACTCTTCTCGCAGATGACGGTTGCCATTGGCGACGAGATCCGGGAATCGTCGGCGCTGGCCGACAAGATGAACGACTCCTTTGACGCTACGCGGATCCGGCTGCGCGGGACGATGAACCGGATGTTGCTGATGGCCGAGCGGACGGGCGTTGGCTGGAAGGTGTGGTTGGGCTTCTTCGCCGCCGTGGCGATGCTGTTCACGTACGTCTGGCTGTTCTAGGCGACAGTCGTATGTGTGCATACGGGAAAGGGAGGTCGCATTATCAGCCACGCAGACACGACGAGCCGCCTGTGGGTTTTGTATGAGACCCTGCATCGAATGACGACGTTTGGGCACGGCAATGCAAATTAAGAGCGTGAGGCAGGGTTGACCGTTTTACGGACGACTTTTCCAAACATCTAAGAGAAACCAAGGAGTGTATGGAGAGCAGGATTCCATGTCTTCTATCCCCGGAGATACAGAAAAGGACAGCTCTGTCCGATACGAAGGATGGGCCAGGTTGCCTCTATAGAGCTGAGCCGGAGCATAGGGGATCGGTATCACAAAAAGGACGGCGGCAGCTTTTATCTTGCCGCGATCAGTGATCTGTAATTATGATGTATTCACCTTTTCCTTGTCCTCATAAAAATAATAATAATACAAGAGAAAGTATGCCGTTGCGCTTCCCACGAGGTGAAGCCCGATAATGATCGCTCGATGCTGGGGCGTTTTCTCACTCTGCCTCAGAGCCGCCGTATGGCCGGACTGCTGTCCATCCTGCTGCTGCCGTCCTGCGACAGGAGTCCGCTGATGTCCAGGCTGTCGCGGTCGCTGCGTACGAGACTGCTGCGATACCGACGATGCGCTGTATCGGCAGCAGTGGTGCCGGCTGGCGTGCTGATAGTGGCCCCTCGGCCCAGGCGACGCGGCAGATCGCCATCGTCGCGATCGTCTTGGGTGTGGTCGACATGACGGTCGCTGGCGCTGCTGCTGCCGTCGTCACCGTCGATGCTGCTCAGCTCAGCATCCGTGTCGGTGTGCTCATAGCTGCCGTCCAAAATGCTGAGCATGGATGCATCGGGGATCCCATCGTCCATGTCGGCATCCATGTCCATCTCCAGCCCGTCGTCATCATCGCCGCCATCGCTAGCAGGACCACCTCCACCTCCAACAACACCACCATCCCTACCAACACCACCTCCATCGGTGTCCACGATCTCTTGCTCGTTGTCAAACTCGCCCAGGCTGCTGCGGACCCTGCTCCCTGCCTGTCGGCGGCTAGCACGGCCGCCGATGCTGCTTCTGCCACCGCCACCACCGCCGTTGTTGTTGCTCAAGCTGCTGCGGCGTGGCTGTCGCGTCGAACGACGGCGTGCAGCGCCGCTTCTCCTGCGACGACCGGGGCCACCGCCGCCACCGCCGCCACCACTCTCCCGCACCAGGTCGTCTTCTTGCAGCATCTGCGCCTCGTCCTCCTCGTCCAGATCGCCAACCTCATCGTACAGCCCTCCAATGGCCGACAGCCGCGGCTGGGCTAGCATGGCTCGAACGCGATCCTCGTTGGCACGCATCTGGCGCATCTCGCGCCGCTCTGCCGCTCGCGCTCGGAAATCTTCCTCGTGCGTACGTGGCGGCAGGTTCTGCACCGGTGTAACGGGTATGCCCGCCTGTTGTCTGCCGGACTCGTCTCGCACAATGGCCGTGCTGGCCGTCGCCTCGTCCTCGTCTTCCTCGTCTTCCCGATCCTCTTCCTCCTCCTCTCTGGTCTCCTCTTCTCTGTCCTCTCTACTGCCGTCTTCTTCTTCTTCTTCTTCTTCTTCCTAAAAGGGGTCTTCTTCTTCTTCTTCTTCTTCCTCCTCTTCCTCTTCCTCTTCTTCGGACGAACTCGCAAATGGATCATCACCGTCTTCTGCATCATCCCCAAAACTGAATCCCTCCCCGTCGCCATCGGGAATCTCGCCGTCAAGATCCTGCTCTCCCATGTCGGCATCCAGGTCCACCCCCATTCCCTCGTCGTCCCCGCCGATGCCATCGCCACCCACGGCCATCTCGTCCATCCCGATGCCACCCTCTGCCTCCAGAGCTGCTTCTGCCTCGGCCTGGGCCAACTGCTGGGCCAGCTCCTCCCGACGCTCGGTCTCGGCCTGCTCCTCCTGCTCACGCAGCTCTTCACGGATCTGAAATAGCGTCTTCGGCACACCAGGCGGCTTGAGCCATGTCGCGCCAAAGTTGGCAATGTGCAGGTTGCGCCGATCTTGAAGGGCCTTTTCGGCATCGAGCCGGGTCACGGAGTTGCGGTCAAAGACAGCATAGCGGCTGTTGTTGTTATGGTGCTGGCCGTGCTGCTGACTGTGGTGCTGTTGGTGGAGGTGACGCCGGCCGGCTGCGTTGTTAGCCATTCCAGGGTCACCACCGCCGAAAAAGGCGTCGTCAGCACCATAGTAAGAGCCATTATGGCCGCTGCTGGAGAGGAGGGCCTAGAAACAGGGAACCCGGTCAGCTTATTAGATCTAGGGGAGAGTAGAGAACTCCTTACGTTATATGCCGAAAAGTCCAAGACGAATGACCCCATTGCGTGTGTATTGCATGTGGCAAACGGTGGGCGCTCTAATGATGAAGCTTCAAGCAACTTAAACTGCACAATGATCCGTGATGTCGTCTAGGTCGAGTGTTGGAAGGGCTAATCACGGAACAACGCAAATCAATCGAATGAATAAGAATCGGGTATCTGGAAGGAGCGTATGCCTGGCTGAGCCAGGTGGCAACGTCTGAGACGAGATGTGATGAAGCTCATCAATTGGTGTCTGGCGCGTTCAGAAACTAAAAGCAATTAAGACACCGCCACAACCCCGCGAGGCTGATTACGCTAAGTGCTGTAGGGTTAGCTTTTACTGTTAACCTTCTGTATTTGGGCGCATTACTCCGTATAGCCGTTCCTTATTGCAACGCCCACAATACGTTCCTGTAGGATGACGCAGCCCCTACAACCAGCAAGCTTGATTTGTGAGATATCATATCGTGCATCGCTGTAGCTTGTCATCCCACCTGCAGCCATCTTGCATATAGCATGCTCTCTTAGTGGCCGCCTCTGGAGTACGCTACTTACCGTTGCTGACTTGAGTCGTATTCCCGGCGCCAAGGCATAAGCAGGCCTAACGGTAAGCCTCACGACCGCTATGCTACTTGTACGAATGGCCGAGGAAATGATTGTGGGGTGCTACATATGTTGACTCGGCCTGTGCCAGGACGAAGCGGGTGGCGATCCCTGTCATATTGTCAACGGGAGGCAGGAAATGGGATGCGAGACACTAACCGCAGGGAGATGTCTCGTGCAGCCTCGTGCTAGCCTGGAACGGAAGTACTGCAGCAGACTAAAGCTCTTTTGTCGTCACCGGCGAGCTCACAGAGCTATATGCATCCATTGTACTTCGTATACTGTATCGTGAGGTGAACGAATCGCATCCTTCGCTCCTCCTTCTTCTTCTAGTTCTAAGCCCCGCACCGATCGGCAGTCCCGAAGAAATGCCTCCATGTGACCGCCACCAACCACTACGATTATTATACCTTCCTCTGGTGAGGGAAAAGCTGCTTGGCTAGGCAGGAGTATTTAGCACCCCCGCTTGCTTGCTCTGACAAAGAAAAAAGGGAAAAACTTTCTTGTTGGGAGCCGGCTCTATGCGTGGCACCTTCCGTCTGCTTGCATGTACATAGGACCATTGTTGTCCAAATAGTGGAGAGGGGAGGGGAGCTGCTTCGCCTGGCTTGTGTATAAAGAGAAGAGTCATGCGAGCCGGTCGCTCCTTCCCATACCGGTTGACGTTTCCGCCTTCCTGTGCGTCTCTTCGTGGTAGCTCTCGGATCTTGCCAACTTTGCCTCCTTGTCGTGTATCTCGCAGGACTACAGAAGAAAGGCAAATATTCCGGCCCATCACCATGTACCCCCTCCGCTCGCTGCTGCTGGCAGGCCTCTGCCTGTGCGCCCAGGTGTCTGCTGCTCCCCTCGTGAAGCGCGGGTCCTCGGCAATCACCCTCACGGAGCCAATTGCCCCCCGTGACGATCCGTGGTACTCGGAACCCGATGGCTTCGAGAACGACGCTCCCGGCACCATTCTGCGCATCCGCAAGGCCCCGGGCAACCTGACGACCATCACCACCAACTGCTCGGCCGCCTACAACATCCTCTACCGCACCACCAACAGTCTGTACAAGCCGACGTGGGCTGTAACCACGCTGTTCGTTCCCAAGAACCACACCGATGCCCTGCTGTCGTACCAAATCCCCTACGACACCGCCGACCTCAATGCCAGCCCCAGCTACGCCCTGTACTCGAATACACCTACCGACGTGACCGCCTCGCTGGGCAAAGGCTGGTTCGTCAACGTGCCGGACTATGAGGGCCCCCTAGCCAGCTTCACCGCTGGCGTCCTGTCTGGTCATGCCACCATTGACGCTGTCCGCGCCGTGCTTTCAGCTAAGGAATGCCTCAAACTTCCTGACGGGCTGAAATACGCCCTGTGGGGATACTCTGGTGGTGCTCTCGCCAGCGAGTGGGCGGCTGAGCTGCAGGTTCAATACGCCCCCGAGCTAACCTTTAGCGGCGTGGCCCTAGGCGGTCTTACGCCCAACATCACCAGCGTCCTGACGACGATCAACAACAAGCTCATGGCCGGTCTGGCAGTGGTGAGTAGCTTCCTGAGGGGCCGGTCTAGCCGTCCGCATTCGGTAAAGGCTAACAAAAGTTCGCCTGCAGTCTTCCATCATTGGCACGTGCAACCAATACCCTGAGATTATGGCAATGCTCGAGTCCAAGCTCAAGCCGACTGGCGATCTCAACAGCACCAGCTTTCTGGCGGCCCAGAACATGACCCTGACCGAGACTCTTGTGGCTTTCGCCGGCAAGAACATCTCTGCCTTCTTTGTCGATGGCGAGATGGACATCCTTAACCCGATTACCGACAAGCTCATTAGCAAGGACGGAATCATGGGCTACCACGGCGTCCCGCAGGCCCCCATCTTCGCGTACAAGGCTGTTGAGGATGAGGTCAGCCCCATCGCTGACACCGACAAGCTGGTCACGTCATACTGCGCCATGGGTGCCAACATCTTGTACCAGAGAAACAGCATTGGCGGTCATTCGGCCGAGCAGACCAACGGCCGTGCAGCTGCTTCTGCTTGGCTGGACAGCGTTCTGGGGGGCACCTATTCGAAGACGTACAACACGACTGGCTGCACAATCCAGGATGTGGCCCTGAATGTCACATCCTCGCCCTACTAGGGCATATGACCAGCACTATGATATTGCAGAGTGTAATGAGTAAATAAAAGGCCGCGCCTGCGGCCACGGGACACGCCATAATGATAAACAATAATCTGGAAGCACAAGGATCCGTGAACTGTCTTTACTGATTGCTTTACTCAAAAGGCCCATGGCAACTTTTCTTAACTGTGAGAGGTCTTGATGTATTGTTTGCTACATAAATCGCGGACTCCGATTATAGGTCCCTTTAAGAAAGTAACAGTAAATGATGTAAAAATGTTGTAAACTACATGGCTGGCCTACAAATTATCATTTGATTGTGCAATGTTTCAGTGGCTCGTCAGCTGTCTTTAAATTCATATATAGCTTGTAATGAAGCTACCGACAGTGCGTACAAGAACATAGATACTCGTACTCCATGTGCAAAGGAACGGGCTGTATGAAAGGTTTGTTCTCTTGACAACATATAACGTTATCAAGAAACTTTCAATCTCCCGGGCGCCTCCCGAGTGCATGCTTTTTCGACTATATACAAAGCACACGAAATATATGAAGGGCAACTCTCTTCCTTCACTATCTTTGACCAGCCTCGCATCAAATTTGCATCTGATGCCATCAAAGATACGAACACAGTGACGAGTCAACAAGTTTAGGTCCAAAGACTTTGACACGAGCAGGTCACATGATGCGGGCCGTTATAAGCCTGTTTAGTAGACATGCACAAGAAAAGAAGAAGAGAGTAATGATATTTGTGACCAACAGTCTTGATTTTTATAAAACTTTGAGGCTATTTGGACCAACACCGCGGATATCTGCTAGAGGGTTTCTTTGGACACATCTTGAGCTGAATAGTCCCAAGATTGCGTATTCACATGTCTAACCTTTACAGGGTTGGCCGCAAACGTAAACCTCGTAACATATTGCAAGTGGATGAATTTTAGACGGATCCCTTGCGATTACTTCCGCTTGTTTTACAATTTGCTGAATTTGACAGGCGGCCGTTTGGTGGACCCGAGTTTCTATGAGGTAATAGTGTGTTTTGAACTTTACCATTGGGCAGCGGAGATCTTCCGCATTACGGAAAGAAGAGCATCCTCGTAGCAAATGAGGACGGAGATGAAAAATTGAGCGAGGAGCCGGTAGTGTCGATTTCTGACAGCATGAAAGGGAAAGAGACAGAAGACCACACAAGAAGCTCACCACATAAGTGGGCCGCTAACAACGTCTGCGTGGTCTGCACTTATTCGGCAAAATAGCATTAAACTGGGACCGGGAAAAGTAGGAACACAGAGTTTATGTTTGTCAGCGTGCTGGCACCCACCCACCCGTGTTTTTCCCTGCGCGATGCTTGCAACTGAGGTCTGCTTTGTGTGTGTATGAGCAGCCTGTACTCCGTAGCTGAGGTCGATAAGTTGAAAAGGGTCTAATGGCACTCCGGCCAGAGAAGCCGGCAACCGTAGCAGCCAGGGCAGTCTCGCGGGACGGGCCAACAGTTCCTGAAGGTTAAGACCGCTCTATAGAGTGAATGGGTACCATGCCCAGCACCCCCATGCACATCCAAGCCAGATTAGTCGGTGTCTTGGGGTACGAGTACGAATATCTACGCACTCCGCATCCCTAGATGCTGAACACTGGCCGATCTCGGCGGCCTGCCCAGGAACGAAGCCAGGCAGGCACAACAAGACACAAAGCGGAAATATTATACGACGAGCGGCTCGTATCTTACGAGTACTTGTGCAGACCACGCTACCGTTGCGTGGGACCGCATGTCGAAAATTACGAGTACGGGGTATGTGCCTGCTTTCTTGGCAGAAGCCGCTAACGAGGCGCAAATGTAACGAGAAAACCCTACGAGTACGTTGTATGGTATGCAGCTGCGCATGGACGGGCTGCTGATACTCCGCAGCATGGGGGGCCTTCGCTCGTACGGAGTACGGAGTAATACGTACGTAAGATACTCGTACATGTTCGTACGTAGATACGAGCACGGAGGATGCATACAGCCTACGTGGTATTATCTCGGCTGTCGCAGTCTCTCGCCAGAGCCAGCCAGCGTGAGCAAGACATGAAAGCCGTTCCAGCATCACCCCCTTTGCTTTGTCGTTGGCACGTGCTGTGTACATAAATAGTTGAATGTGGCAGAGGTGCACAAAGGCCCGGCACCTGTAACAGCAATGCCAAGAATCGAGATGCGAGGCCCAACCTTATCCTCCCTTTCCGTTTATGTATAAGCTTTATGTTTTACCGCTCTGGTGCGCACGATCGCAATCGCATCGTACGTATGTATGTACATGGCTCGCAAGTATTGAAGTATTGGCACACACGGCAACTTGGCCAGTCGCAGCACGAATACGTGCTAGATACGATACTGGCCAAAAGGGCGCTAACGAGGCAAGCTAGCCTGTTCAGTCCATCTCGGAGATGTGTTCCCCCCCCCTTTCATCGTCTGTGCGTCGGGACGATCTGAACTATATGACTCGTTATGTAGTAGCGTGGTACGAGCTCTGTCGCTGTCTCTCGCTGTCTTTCTCGCTCTCTTGTATTGAGTCCTCGTCCAGCCGAGATAAGGCGGAAGGCTGGGAGCATAGCTTGTGATTGGCTGCAGTGAGCAATTTTCTGCTGATGATTCATTGACAAGGGACTTGGTCACGGGGCAGTGGAAAACCCCCCTCCCGACGGAGTGTTCCATTGAATTCCGATGCACAAGACAAGCATGTGTCTGCATCCCAGAATCATTGGCCGGATCAATTCAATACTATGCATTGCCCATCCCCTGCCCATGCCTATCTTCTGTTTCTGTCTCTCTGCCGGAGATGAGCCTTTTCCCACCCCCCTCCCCGGTGGTGGTGCTGTTTCATACCCCACCGTCTGTTCTCGTAGGAGGCAAAGACGTTGCCGGAACCGGCCGGTGGTGTGTCGGTGTTGAGGCTCTGTCGATGAGGCCATGCAGGAATGCAGCGCGACAGACATCAGGCAACACAGCGCATAGCGCGCTGAGGCCCAAAAGTCGCAGCGACAGGGGAGCGGAGAAGGGCACTTGCGTTTGCGTATTTACGAGTAGGACGAGTGCACACTCGGACTGGAGCACAGCACATGCGAAAGATGCAGCCGGCAGACTGACTCGGGGCGGAAAGCGGCTGAAATGCCGAGATCCGGCCGCAGCAGCTTGTGTACGCAGCAGTCGTAAACTCCGTTCACGCAACACTGGCAATCGAGTCGAGGTAGGACGCAAATTTTTCGTCTGTCCAGAGGCGACATCGGCGGCATGATTTTCGGTTTCACCCATTCGCGTTGGAATAAAGGCCGATGTGATTGGACGAAACCGAGGACCGACAGCTAGAGGGGGCAAAAACATAGCAGCAAGGGCCACGCCAATAACGTAGCATTTCAGAGCTCTGGCTAGAAGGACGGCAGCCCCCGGCTCGTTTTGGATCAGATCCCAGGAGGGGGAAAACAATGACGAAAAGGGCCCAGTCCAATCTGGGTCTGACCAACGAGCTGACGGCACTTCCCCCAGTCAGCGCAAGCAGGCTACGGCGCACGGAGCGTTAAAGTGGGGAGATGCTTTGTTGCGAGGCAGCTGTCCCTCCGAACTCGTACAGTATTTCTTAGTCCCAAACGCTAACTGGACATTGGCGAGAAGCGAATTCTAGGAGCCAGCGTGTAAGACACAGGGGGAGGGACAGCTCACATTGCAGGACCCTGGCCAATCACAAGAACGGAGTGAAATTGCTAGGCTGGTCAGGAAAAAAAAAGACTGTAATAGAAGGCTACACCAGAGGCGAGCACGATGCCGGGAAGCGGAGGGAAAGTCCCGCAACGTGGCACAGCCCTTTTTTCTCGTTCTGTCTTCTTTTTTTGTTTTCATTTGTTTCACTCTCTTACCTCCGCCTATCGTACGCTGCATGGAGTCGGGAGAGAACGGCTAGACAGTCAGACGAGAGCTTACGACCCGGCTGGCCGTGACAAAGGAAAGAAAAAGGTGACAGTCCATATCACATGACCCCCATTGTGCACCATCCCGCGGCCGGCCGTCACGACCCCAGGGCTTGCACGTACTATTGCCCGAAATCGTATTTTGTGATCATAGCCAGGGCTCGGGCGTGTTGTATGGTTGGCCGGCTGGGCTTGTCGCCCCAAAAACCGCATGGTTCTGTGCCGGCCTGCAGGCTTGGTGTGGGAGACATCTCTCCACTGTTCCCCCACTTCTAGCGTATCTTTTTGCCCCAAGCGCCATCTTCCACATGCTCTTCGGCCGGCGTTAACTGTTTTTTTTTCCCTTCCTTTCGCTTTATCAATTCCCCATCGCTGACTCGCTAGGAAGCTTGACAGACGCGAGAAAAAAAAGACCAGCTCCGACACCGTTCGACCCGGCGAGGGTCGTCTAATAAGCCCACACCAGAGGCCTATCCACAGTCCACCCCCATCCTGTAGCCGTGGATGTGTGTCGGTCCTGTTCCATCCATCCTAGTCCGGCCTGCTGCTCCTTCATATCCCCCTTCATGCCTGATCCATATAAGCTGCTCTTCGCCCCCCTTCCCCCCCTCTTCAACCTTTTTTTCCCCCTTTCTTCTTCTCTCTTTTTCTTCCCCTCTCCCTCTCTCCTCTTACTTCTTTCTCGCCCTCTCGCCAGCCGATACCAGCCTGCTTGTGCATCTGCTTTGCCGAGACATTATATACCCAATCCGGAAATATCGTGATACCGGTATCCGTTTCCGCACTTTTTTTCTTGCTGCTGAGGCACCCTCTCTCGCCCGGATCTCCAACGGGCCACAAAAAGGTAAGGCTCTCTTCTTTCTTTTTCGTCTTTCCGCCCGATGGCACACGTCCACCAGCACGGTAATCGGGGCACACCATGCGACCCGTGCCATCCCGGACTGGTCTTGAGGAGGCATGCTTTGGCTCCAAGTACCGAAGCAGAACAGGCACTTGCATGACACGATCAGCTGGACGGCAGAGATGCTGCATGAGAGCGGAAGCAAGCGCAAATCAAGTCCCACCGTGAGAGAGAGCCCCCAGAGACCGGAGGCTTGGAGAATTGGACCTCGAGGGGTGCACCCGCTGCTGCATTACAAAACCCCAGAATTAGGCGGCGCATGTTTTTTTGCGGCGTCCTGATTCGTCCTTTGGCCTTTCGAACTCTTTCTTCCCGCTGGCTCCCCATTTTTTTCTACAGGGGTGCAGAACTCGACTAGCCTTTTTTGTTGTTTTCCCCTCTGTTTCCCAATCGACGAATGATGTCAATGCAATCGGAGAAAACCTGTTCTGCGGCCTTCTGCGAAGAAAGAGGAACGACAAGCAGACGGAAAGGGAAGCAAAAATCGGACCCCTCTCCCAAACTCTGAAGCTTCCAATTGGTCAACACAATTGCGCGATTCTGATTGGTCGGTGCCTATCGTGTCGCGGCATCGAAGGCTGTCTCGCTTTTTCTTTGAAAGCAGAACGACATGTCTCAACAATGGCCCCACTCTCCTTTATCTTTGTCTCTGGCTGCATCAACTTTTTTGCCACCGTGTGGGCCTTCCTTCACTCGGCCTGCTTATACATGACAATCGAGGGCAACTGGATCGGACCGGACTGAATCGAATGAGATTGGAATGAATTGACTAGACTGGACTGAGGTTTTTGACTTGAATTTGGCGCAAGAACTAACAGACTCAGTTACAAATTCAGATTTATCTGCCGAGCAGTACATCCTGCTCTGTTTTATATCTTTCATCTATTTGAACTCTGCCCGTCGCTCTTCTCGCAAAGGCTTGCCTAGCATGGGACTGACGGCCGAATTCGACGATCGAAACATCCACAACGACGCCGCGGCCGAAGAATACCATCCCTATGAGTATCAGACGGACAACAACAGCTCATGGGCTGGTGCTCTGCCGGTGAAGCAGGGTCTGTACGACCCCAGCTTCGAGAAAGATGCCTGCGGTGTCGGTTTCGCCTGGTGAGTTTCTTTTATACTTCTCTTTTCCTTTTCCTTTTCTTTCTCCTTTTCCCGGTACTAACAAAAAATCGTGCAGCAACATCAAGGGTGTGGCGAGCCACAAGATTGTCAGCGATGCGCGCAATCTGCTCTGCAACATGACCCATCGGGGCGCTGTTGGGTCGGATGCTCGTGATGGTGATGGTGCGGGTGTGATGACGTCGATCCCGCACAAGTTCTTCGTGAAGAACTTTGGGCGTGATGCGAACATTGAGCTGCCACCGCCGGGCCAGTACGCGGTGGGCAACCTGTTCTTCAAGCCGGACCCGGAGACGCTTCAGGAGTCCAAGCGGCAGTTGGAAGACATTGCCGAGTCTTTGGGCCTGCGAGTGCTGGGATGGCGAGAGCCACCGGTGGATTCGAGCCTGCTGGGTCCTGCGGCAGCTTCGCGCGAGCCGATCATCCTGCAGCCGTTTGTGGTGCTGCAGTCGGCGTACGGTTCGGGTGTGGTGCCGGAGACGACAGACGCGGCCAAGTTCGACTCGCGCAAGTTTGAGATCCAGCTGTTTGTGCTGCGCAAGCGGGCAACACACACGATCGGGCTGCACAACTGGTTCTACCTCTGCTCGCTGTCAAACAAGAACATTGTGTACAAGGGCCAGCTGGCACCGGTGCAAGTGTACCAGTACTACCACGACCTGGTCAACGCGGACTACGAGGCGCACTTTGCGCTGGTGCACTCGCGCTTCTCGACCAACACGTTCCCGTCGTGGGACCGGGCGCAGCCGCTGCGTTGGGCAGCCCACAACGGCGAGATCAACACGCTGCGCGGCAACAAGAACTGGATGCGAGCGCGCGAGGGTGTGATGCAGTCGGACGTGTTTGGCGACGAGCTGGAGCAGCTGTTCCCGGTAGTGGAGGACGGCGGATCGGACTCGGCGGCGTTTGACAACGTGCTGGAGCTGCTGACGATCAACGGAGTGCTTTCGCTGCCGGAGGCGGTGATGCTGATGATCCCGGAGGCGTGGCAAGGCAACACACACATGGACCCGAAGAAGGCGGCGTTCTACGAGTGGGCAGCCTGTCAGATGGAGCCGTGGGACGGGCCGGCACTCTTCACCTTTGCCGACGGGCGATTCTGCGGCGCCAACCTGGACCGCAACGGACTGCGGCCGTGCCGGTACTACATCCTGGACGACGACCGGATCATCTGTGCGTCGGAGGTGGGCACGATCCTGGTGGAGCCGGAGCGGGTGATTCAAAAGGGGCGGCTGATGCCGGGACGCATGCTGCTGGTGGATACGGTGGCTGGACGGCTGATTGACGACTCGGAGCTCAAGGCAGCGGTGTCGAGCCGGCACGACTTCCGGTCGTGGCTGGACCAGGAGCTGGTGACGCTGCCGACGGTCCTGCAGACGTTGGAAGAGCAGAAGACGATGGGGTTGGCGGCCAAGCCGGACGACTCGACAGTGCAGACGGACCCGCTGTTGCAGGCGTTTGGCTACACATACGAACAGGTCAGTCTGCTGCTGGCACCCATGGCATCGGACGAGAAGGAGGCACTGGGGTCGATGGGTAACGACGCACCGCTGGCGTGCCTCTCGCCCGGTCCACGGCTGCTGTACGAGTACTTCCGGCAGCTGTTTGCGCAGGTGACGAACCCGCCGATCGACCCGATCCGCGAGTCGATTGTGATGTCGCTAGAGTGCTACGTGGGCCCGCAGGGCAACCTGCTGGAGATGGACGCGACGCAGTGCAACCGACTGCTGCTGCCGAGCCCGGTGCTGTCGATCCCGGAGCTGAATGCGATCAAGAACATGGCACAGCTGCACGCGGCCTGGACGGTGCGCACGATCGACCTGACGTTTCCGAAGAAGGAGGGCGTGGACGGCTATGTGCGCCACCTGGACGAGATCTGCCGACAGACGACGGCGGCGATCGAGAGCCACGACCGGGTGATTGTGCTGTCGGACCGCAACACGTCGGCCGATCGGGTGTCGGTGTCAGCGCTGCTGGCATCGGGCATGGTGCACCATCACCTGGTATCGAACAAGTGGCGGTCGCGGGCTGCGATCGTGGTGGAGACGGCGGAGGCTCGTGAGGTGCACCACCTGTGCGTGCTGCTGGGTTACGGCGCTGACGCGATCAATCCGTACTTGGCGATGGAGTGCATCATGAAGCTGAACCGCGAGAAGCTGCTCAAGGCCAAGCTCAGCGACGAGCAGCTGATCCAGAACTACAAGCACTCGTGCGACGGCGGGATCCTCAAGGTGATGAGCAAGATGGGCATCTCGACGCTGGCCAGCTACAAGGGCGCGCAGATCTTTGAGGCGCTCGGCGTGGACGACGAGGTGGTAGAGCGCTGTTTCAAGGGCACAGCGACACGCATCAAGGGCGTGACGTTTGAGCTGATCGCCGAAGATGCGTTCCGGTTCCACGAGCGCGGCTTCCCGTCGCGGTTGACGTCCACGGTGCCAGGGCTGACGGAGTCGGGCGAGTACCACTGGCGCGACGGCGGCGAGGCGCACATCAACGACCCGACGTCGATTGCAAACATCCAGGACGCCGTGCGGACGAAGAACGACAAGTCGTACGAGGCATACTCGCGGTCTGAGTACGAGCAGATCAAGGCCTGCACGCTGCGCGGCATGCTAGACTTTAAGTTTGACGAGGCCACGCCGGTGCCGATCGACCAGGTCGAGCCGTGGACCGAAATTGTGCGGCGGTTCTGCACGGGAGCCATGTCGTATGGCTCCATCGCCATGGAGGCGCATTCGACGCTGGCGATCGCGATGAACCGGCTCGGTGGCAAGTCCAACACAGGCGAGGGCGGTGAGGACCCGGAGCGGTCGCAGGTGATGGAGAATGGCGACACGATGCGGTCGGCCATCAAGCAGGTGGCATCGGGCCGCTTCGGCGTCACGTCAGCCTATCTGGCCGACTCGGACGAGCTGCAGATCAAGATGGCCCAGGGCGCCAAGCCGGGCGAGGGCGGCGAGCTGCCGGGCCACAAGGTCAGCAAGTCGATTGCACGCACGCGCCATTCGACTCCGGGCGTCGGCCTGATCTCGCCGCCGCCGCACCACGACATCTACTCGATCGAGGACCTGAAGCAGCTGATCTACGACTTGAAGTGTTCCAGCCCGCGGTCACGTGTCTCGGTGAAACTCGTTTCCGAGACCGGAGTGGGGATTGTGGCTTCGGGTGTGGCTAAGGCCAAGGCCGACCACATCCTGATCTCCGGCCACGATGGCGGCACCGGCGCCTCACGCTGGACCGGCATCAAGTACGCCGGCCTGCCGTGGGAGCTGGGCCTGGCCGAGACCCACCAGACGCTGGTGCTCAACGACTTGCGCGGCCGCGTTGTCGTGCAGACGGACGGCCAGCTGCGGACCGGCCGCGATGTCGCCATGGCCTGTCTGCTGGGCGCGGAAGAATGGGGCTTCGCTACAACTCCTCTGATCGCCATGGGCTGTATCATGATGAGGAAGTGCCACTTGAATACGTGCCCAGTAGGCATCGCAACGCAGGATCCGGAGCTGCGCAAGAAGTTTAAGGGAACGCCAGAGCACGTGATCAACTTCTTTTACTACATTGCGAACGAGCTGCGGGCCATCATGGCTAAGCTTGGCTTCCGCACGGTCAACGAGATGATTGGGCACGTGGAGATGCTCAAGGTCCGCGACGACCTGCGCACCAGAAAGACGCAGAACATTGACCTGTCGCTGATCCTGACGCCGGCCCACAAGCTGCGACCGGGTGTGGCCACGTTCAACGTGCGCAAACAGGACCACCGACTGCACGTGCGGCTGGACAACAAGCTGATCTCGGAGGCCGAGCTGACGCTGGACAAGGGCGTGCCGTCGCGCATCGAATGTGACATTGTGAACACGGACCGGGCCATGGGCACGTCGCTGTCGTACCACATCTCGAAGCGGTTCGGCGAGGCCGGTCTGCCGACCGACACGGTGCACGTCAACATCAAGGGCTCGGCAGGCCAGTCGTTTGGCGCGTTCTTGGCGTCGGGCGTGACGCTCGAGCTGGAGGGCGACGCCAACGACTATGTCGGCAAGGGCCTGTCGGGTGGCCGTCTGATCGTCTACCCACCGCGCTCGGCCGTGTTCCGGGCCGAGGAGAACGTGCTGATCGGCAACGTGTGTCTGTACGGAGCGACAAGCGGCACGTGCTTCTTCCGCGGCGTGGCGGCCGAACGGTTTGCCGTGCGCAACTCGGGTGCTACGGCGGTGGTGGAGGGCGTGGGCGACCACGGCTGCGAGTACATGACGGGCGGTCGGGTGCTGATTCTAGGCAGCACGGGCCGCAACTTTGCGGCCGGCATGTCGGGCGGCATCGCGTACGTGATGGACGTCAACAACGACTTCCTCGGCAAGCTCAACACGGAGATGGTGGAGGCGTCGGGCGTGGAGGACCCCGAGGACATTGCGTTTGTGCGCGGTCTGATCGAGGACCACCACCACTACACCGGCTCGGAGCTGGCGGCCCGGATCCTGGTGGACTTTAGCCGGGCGCTGCGGCGGTTTGTCAAGGTGCTGCCGATCGACTACAAGCACCACCTACTGGAGGAGGCAGCCAAGGCGGCCGAGGCCAAGCGGGCTGAGTACAGCCTGCCGAAGATCTCGGCGGCCAAGGAGAAGGAGACGAAGCCGAAGGCGTCGGCAGCGGCATCGCATGGCAAGCTGCAGGACCTGGAGGACAGCGTGGGTGACCAGGCGGCAGACAAGAAGAAGAAGCTGGTGCTGGACAAGACGCGCGGCTTCATGAAGTACCACCGGCGGGCAGAGAAGTACCGGCCGGCCAAGACGCGGGTCAAGGACTGGGCGGAGCTGTCGAGCCGGCTGGACGAGGACGAGCTCAAGTACCAGGCAGCGCGCTGCATGGACTGCGGCGTGCCGTTCTGCCAGTCGGACTCGGGCTGCCCGCTGTCCAACATCATTCCGAAGTGGAACGAGCTCGTGTTCCAGAACCAGTGGCAGGACGCGCTGAACCGGCTGTTGATGACGAACAACTTCCCCGAGTTTACGGGACGCGTGTGTCCGGCGCCATGCGAGGGCGCGTGCGTGCTGGGCATCAACGAGGACCCGGTGGGCATCAAGTCGATCGAGTGCGCCATCATCGACCGCGGCTTCGAGATGGGCTGGATGGTGCCGACGCCGCCGCCCGTGCGCACGGGCAAGAAGGTGGCGATCATCGGCTCAGGGCCGGCCGGCCTGGCAGCGGCCGACCAGCTGAACCGGGCAGGCCACTCGGTGACGGTGTACGAGCGGGCAGACCGGGCGGGCGGACTGCTGATGTACGGAATTCCGAACATGAAGCTGGACAAGCGGATCGTGAAGCGGCGGACGGACTTTATGGCGGCCGAAGGCATCGACTTCAAGCTGGGCGTGGCGGTGGGCGAGGACGGGCTGACGCTGACGAGCCTCAAGGCGACCAACGATGCGGTGATCATCGCGACAGGCGCGACAGTGGGACGGGACCTGCCGATTCCCGGACGCAACCTGGAGGGCATCCACTTTGCGATGCAGTTTCTGCACCGCAACACCAAGTCGCTGCTGGACTCGGAGCTGGCAGACGGGTCGTACATCTCGGCCAAGGACAAGGACGTGGTGGTGATTGGCGGTGGTGACACGGGCAACGACTGCATCGGCACGTCGCTGCGACACGGAGCCAAGTCGGTGACCAACTTTGAGCTGCTGCCGCAGCCGCCGGCCGAGCGGGCACGTGACAACCCGTGGCCGCAGTGGCCGCGCGTGTACCGCGTCGACTACGGACACACGGAGGTGCGACAGCACCACGGCAAGGACCCGCGCGAGTACTGCATCATGTCGGAGAGCTTCGTCGACGACGGCAACGGCCGGGTCAAGGGCATCCAGACGCAGCGGGTCGAGTGGACGCGCTCGGCCGCCGGCGGCTGGGACATGAAGAAGGTCGAGGGCTCCGAGCAATTCTTCCTGGCCGACCTGGTCTTGCTGGCCATGGGCTTCCTCGGACCCGAGGCCCGCGTGCTCGGCGACGAGATCGAAAAGGACGCCCGCAAGAACGTCAAGACACCCCCGGGCCAGTACGCTACCAGCGTGCCCGGCATCTTCGCCGCCGGCGACTGCCGCCGCGGCCAGTCACTCATCGTCTGGGGCATCAACGAGGGCCGACAGGCAGCCCGCGAGTGCGATCTGTTCCTGATGCAGTCCACCAGCCTGCCGGTCACGGGCGGCATCGTCAAGCGGACCGCACAGGAGATTTTTGCGGCAATGGCGTGATGTTGTGACTGTGTGCTTCTGTTCTCTGCTTTCTGCTTTCCTTTTCGTTGTCATAAAATGGGGGCGGTCGGTTCATCCGCGTTTGGTCTCAGCCGGGTGTGAGGGCTACGCATTTCGCATCATTGCATACTTGGTTTTGTTCGTGTATATATCTAGGAAGCTCTGTGTACTTTATTGAAAAGTGTTTCCAGCAGTTGGGTGTCTTGTGTGACCTGTTGCAATGGGTGGACGTGCAACTGTCACGTGCGAGCCAGAAATATAAGCTTACATAATCAAGCACGCAAATAAAATTTACTCCGCACGTGTGCACATGCACCCTTCTGATAGGCCAATCAAATGGGCTCAGCAGACGAATAGCTGAGGTGGAGAAGACAAGCTCTGGAACGATTTCGCTCACGGCGTATTAGTATGTAGAACAACGACAACCCTTGGTGTCGCCCCATTGCGTGTCAATTCTTTCTTCCCTCCGCCACGCTGAAACCTCCACTCCCGGCCGTGCCGCGACATCGAACCCATCTCGTCACCATGCGCTTCGGCAAGACTCTCCGCGAGTCGGTCTATCCTCCGTGGAAAGACGCGTACATCGACTACACCAAGCTGAAACGGCTGCTCCGCGATGACGAGGACGAGGGATCCGACGCCGAGGGCGGCGAGATGAGCTGGACCGACGAGGACGAGAACCGCTTCTGCGACGAGATCTTCAACGGGCAGCTCGAGAAGGTGGCCCGCTTTCAGGAGAGCCAGTCGAATGCGCTGCGCGAGCGGACCGACGCGGCGTTTGAGAAGCTCAAGGACCTGACGCCGGCCAGCGACGAGACCACGGCCGAGGCCGAGGGAGAGGCGAAGAGCGAGATCGCGCTGCAGCGGGTGCGGGCGATCGAGACGGAGCTGGACAGCATCACCAACGAGATCCGTGAGCTCAAGCGCTACAGCGGGCTCAACTACACCGGCTTCCTCAAGATTGCCAAGAAGCACGATCGCAAGCGCGGCAACCACTACCGGATCCGGCCGATGATGCAGGTCAGCCTGACGCGGCGGCCGTTCAACTCGGAGGCAGGCTACTCGCCGCTGCTGGCCAAGCTGTCGCTCATGTACGAGGCAGTGCACCAGTACCTGAACCCGGAGGAGACACATCCGATCGACCTGGAGACGCCGCAGGAGAAGGTCAACGGGGGAGTGTACACGGCACACAAGTGTAGGTTTTCAGGGCGTCTTGGAAATTTTTTTTTTTTTCTTTTCCTTCTTTTTTTTTCTTTTTTTTTTCTTTTTTTTTTTCTTTCTTCCTTTCCTCCTTCCCTTTCTCCTTCCCTTTCTCCTTCCGTTCTAACCAACTTACAGACTGGGTCCATCCCGATAACCTGCTCGAGGTCAAGACAATGGTGCTGCGCCACCTGCCGGCACTGGTGTATAGCGACTCATCGGCCAAAGAAGCTGATGCCACGGCAGACCCGACGGTGACGTCGCTATACTTTGACAACAGCAAGTTTGAGCTGTACAACAACAAGCTGGAGCCGAGCGGGGACGCGACGTCGCTGCGGCTGCGGTGGTACGGGCAACTAGCGACGAAGCCGGAGATCTTCCTGGACGAGAAGGTGGTGCGCAAGGACGGGACGAGCGAGGAGCACCGGATCCCGATCAAGGACAAGTACATCCAGCTGTTCCTGGAGGGAAAGTACGGCATGGAGAAGAGCATGCAGAAGATGGAGCGGCAGGGCGAGCGGCCGGCCGAGGTGGCAGCGTTCCGTCAGACGGCCGAGGCGATCCAGGCGTTGGTGAGCCAGAAGCATCTGGAACCTGTGCTGCGGGCCAACTACGTGCGGACGGCGTTTCAAAAGCCAGCCGACGACCGGGTGCGCGTGTCCATCGACACATCGCTGGCCTTTATCCGCGAGGACAACCTAGACCGTGGGCGGCCGTGTCGTGATGCGGCCGAATGGCATCGCCGCGATATTGACGCCGGCACGGTGACGTATCCGTTTGGCGATCTGCCGCCGAGCGACGTCTCACGCTTCCCCTTTGCCGTGCTGGAGATCAAGCTGCGCGAGGGCGAGAGTGCGCGCAAGCAGCGGCCGGCCTGGGTCGAGGACCTGATGGCCTCGCATCTATTGCACGCGGCGCCGCACTTTAGCAAGTTTGTGCACGGCGCGGCCGTGTTGTTTGACGACTACGTGAACCGCTTGCCGTTCTGGATCGGCGACCTGGAGCGCGACATCCGCCGCGACCCACAGGAGGCGTTTGCCGAGGAGGAGCTGCGGCGGGCGCAGCGGGCGGCCGACGAACAGGCAGTCGGCAGCTTGCTGGGCACGACGGGCAAGCAGGGCTCGTACAAGCCGATGCGGAGCTCGCCGGCCGTCAAGTCGGCGTCGTACCTGGCGGACAAGCTGGCGGCCGAGGCATCGATCGCGAAGCGGGTGGCGGTGCGTGGAGGGACTGGGGGGACTGGGGGGACTGGGGGGACTGGGGGGACTGGGGGGGCTGGCGAGAATGGGGAGTCGGCAGTCAGCGAGATCCCCGGTGCCAACGAGTCGCATGCACCCACTGCATCGTACGGCACCATCTCGTCGGTCCTCCCATCCTTCTCGATGACGCGCTACGCCAGCTGGCACCGGGCCAAGGACCGTGGCCCCGAGCTGCCCGAGGGCGTGAGGGAGCCGACGGAGTGGCTGAAGAACGCGGGACCGCTACGGATTGAGCCCAAGGTCTGGCTCGCTAACGAGCGCACGTTTCTCAAGTGGCAGCACATCTCGATTCTGCTGGGCAGTCTGGCCGTCGCGCTCTTCACGGCCGCCGGCAGCGGCAGCAGCGGCAGCCAGGCCGTGGCCATGAGCATGGGCGTGGCATACGTCACCGCGGCCGCCTTTGCCGGCTTCTGGGGGTCGTACATGCTGCACACGCGGCGTGAGATGATCGTGGCGCGCAGCGGCCGTGATTTTGACAACATGGTCGGGCCGGTCGTCGTAACGGTGGCGCTGGTCGTGGCGCTGGTGCTCAACTTTGTGTTTGCAGTAAGTGTGTGTGTGTGTGTGTGTTGCATTCGGATGCTAACATTAACAGTACCGTGCTGCCTTCAAGAGATGGGCCGACAACGCGACACTTCTGGACACCAACACCACTATGGCTTATACACATATATGACGGCGAGGTTACGGCTTCCAGATTAGATAGGTGACAGATCGTAAAGGCGTGCAATTCGAGTCAGACATGCTAGTTTTAGAGTATGCTTATTAAGCCATTCATCCGTCGCCTGGAAAACACAGAGTAAGACAAGAGGCCGCCAGCACTTGGCCACTAGCACACCACTCACTACAGCCTTGTCTAGCGCCGAAAGGCCCCGAACAACAGCTGCAAGCAACTGCAGGCAGCTGCATAGTCATGCGGCACCAACGGGATGCGGAAAATTAGAGTTGCGAATCGTCCAAACGCACGCGTACCGGTGCGAAAAAAAAGCCGCCAGCGTCCATGCCATCTCGTCTGACCGCTTGTTCAAACATATTTCGCTTGTGGGCAGATGGCGCCAAAAAGCTGATGTGCATAGACCTAAAAAAGAGCTATTAAGATATTCTAATCTGCGTACGCCGTCGCGGTCGCGCCTTCCCTTGGATTCCATCCAGGGATAGACTCTCTTGTCTGGCACGCAACACGTGTAAAACCATTTATTGAACTCGTAGTCCCCGCCTGTCGTCCGACTTCCTTCCCTTCTGCATTGCCCCCATCTCGCATCCCGATCTTGAGTTTGACCACCTCGACATCGAGCCTCTTCTTCAGACACCATAGCTCCCGGGCAGCGCAACCGCCAGCTACACGAACGGTCTTTTTTTTATCTGCACACCCTCCAGCCCTGACCGTCTGCCCGACAGCCAGCGGACAACGCACATTTCGCATCCTCATCCCTGTCCAGCAGGGCGTTTGCCTTTGCCCAAGCTCCACCTGTTGGACGCCAACCTGATGTCCAAGGCGCAGTGATCGGTTTCAGGCCCCTCTCGCTTCTTTTTTCTGCCTTGTCCTCTTTCGCGTTCTATAAAGAGGGTCCATTCTCGCGTCTGCACGCTCGCGTTGAGCCGGCCTGGCCGACTCTCAATCTCACCACACATTGTGCTCTTCTGCATTGCCATGGGCGACAATGAGCACCGACGAGATTCACCCAAGCAAGCGACGGTTCTGGAGCGGAATCTTACGCTCCCTCAGCACAAAAAAGACAGCCAAACTTGTAAGTCTGCAGTGGGCCCCCGATCTTTTCCTCTCCCCATTTATACGTCTGTCTAGCGGTCTGACCGGGCGGGCTCTGGATCCAGGAAAAGGAACGGCCCTGGAAAGAAGAAGATGACGAACCCACGGTCGAGACACCCCCAGTCCAACCGTCGCAGCCAGTCCGGCCTCAAGGGGGCCTGGTCCGCGCGCAGACCCAGGTCCGGAAGCAGAACACGATCCCAGAGCAGCAGCCACTCCCCCGCCAACGCGTGAGGAGAGAGTCGAAAGAGAGGGTTCCCAGCAGACGGACCACCCCACCGACAGCTGCTGCCAGTGTGCCTGCGACGCCCGCGCCTCCCGGGCCCCTGGCCCCCCCTGGTGCCACGGCTGCGTGGAGAAAGCATAGGGAGAGCGTTATCCCGGACGGCCGGTCGCAGGTGGTCCTGCAGCCCGGCCCGCTGACCGAATGGCCTCCATGGGGCGTGCCGGTAAAGGCCGAGCTGCCATTGAGCAGCGCGATGGAGCTCATCGCACGTGGCGCCCCCATCCACAACGGCCATAAGCGGGACGTGCCGCATGCCCCAGACGACTACTACACGCTCTACACGACCTCGTCAGGCAACCAGCCGGATGCGATGGCCAGCAGCAGAAGCGGGAGGCGAAGCCGCGTTCAGTTGGGCCGGGACCGCAGCCTGAGCAGCCGCCGAGGCGACCGAGTGCCGAGGCGAGAAGAGGCCGCCGGAAGCCCGGCCGACGGCACCGACGGTGCCGATCTGTACGATTCGATGATGGAGCTTATGACGATGCGCACGGCTCAAACCCCCCGAAGCGCGCACCTGCCGGTGCTTTACCCGTGGGAGACGCTCGAGCAGCCGAGCTTCGCCTTCTGCTTTGGTCGCCGGCCAGGCACCGTCACGCTCAACCACTGGGCCGGCCAGTCGGGCGTGCAGCCGCCTTCGATCGCCCTGCGGGATTCGGGCGTGCGGCCGCGTGACGTCAGCCTTATCGAGATCTGCCAGCGGCTGCGTGAGCTGCAGCGTGACGGCCTCGAGGACGACGACCAAGAGCGGCTGTACCGGAACCTGTACCGGCGGCTGCTGCGGGACCCCGACCGCGGTTCCAGTCCGCGGCGCACGTTGGACAAACAGATCACGGACCTGATCATGGCCCTCTCGCGTCCGGACTACTGGATCGACTTTACGGCGGCGCGCAACCAGATCGTCACGCGCTTCATCTTCGACACCGGCCTGGCCAGCCACCAGCAGTACGGACGCTTCTTCCACCAGCTGCTGCTCAGCATCGAGCTCGACCTGCGCATCTCGTCGCGGCTGCACGACGAATGGGCCAAGGAGAAGCTGATGCAGCAGCTGCCGCCGACGCTGCAGTACGACCTCGCTCTAGCCCGCCGCTGGCGTGAGCACGTGCGTATCGAGAGCTACGGCAAGACGGCCGACCAGGTGCAGCTGCGGTTGAAGCTCAAGAGCCGCCAGATCCGCCTGCTGCGCCGCTTTGCCCGGGCGATGAAGTGGCCCAACCAGGCGGCCATGGTGGCCAATCTCAAGCAGCGCGATGCCGACGGCAGCCTTGAGTCGATCAGCTCCCATGTTATGGCATTCTTCAGCGGGCTTGTCCTGCCGGGAGTAAGCACTTTGACTGAATAAGCCCCTTTCAGGACCTGACTAACCTCTATCAGCCTACATATCCGTTTGTCCTGATGAACGCACTCATCGACATCGACCCGGACCGCGCCACCGACGACCTGTCGATGCTGACACACATACACCCGCACTGCGGCTTCCAGTACCGCAACAGCTACACGTACTGGACGTCCACGTCGATTGTGGGCAAGGTGCTTGCTCCGACCTGTCGCGAGCTGGCCGGCTGGGTGGGCCCTGCTCGGCCATCTGTCGATCTGGGCCGGTCACAGATTGCCCGTATCCGGTCTCGCCGGCCGCGGCAGCGCCTGACCGTTGACGATGTCGTGTCGATGAACGACCGGTCCGACCCTCTCGGGCCAACGTCGGAGCTGTTTCCCATTGCCGACTACAAGCTCGTAGCGACGGATCCGACCAACATCATCGACACTGTGCGGATCGAGCTGCTGAGCTTGCGGCCAGCACCCAAGCCAGACGGCCCAGGTGGCAACGTCGGCGGGACGTCGAAAAGCCCGGGCTGGTTCGACGCCTCGGTGCAATTTGCCATAGACGGGGTGTCCTGGCCGCTGCGTCTCAACTTTGACGTGTCCTTTATCAGCGCGTGGCCCTGCTCCAACGGGCCGCATCCCCTCTTTTTCGACTACGCCTTTGCCGTCATCAAGGCCGACACGGTCGTCGACGTGCATGACTGGGCCAACTCGGCTTCTTCCTACGGAAAGGGCCACGGCCATAGCCGGACCTCGTCGCCGACTGTGCACTTTGGAAGCACGCGGATTCTGGGCCAGCAGCAGAATCCGCCCGTGTCCAAGGACGGCGACGAAGACAAGGTGCTTGTGATTGAGGCGTTTGGCGTGCCGGACAATGAGGTGCTCGCCCGTGCATGGTGTGCCCATTGGGGCCTGGGTGCCATTGTGGCGGATGTGAAGACGACCTGGTAAGATTCGCGCGTCTTTGTTCTATTTCAAGACTGACCGATCGACAGCATGGCCTGTGCCGTTCGCGAAGGGCTTATGCAGCCACCATCACGGTGGTGATCCTGGTGGATGGCCAGGTGATCAACAGCGACGAATAGCGATAACGATGCCAACGACCATATACCGACGATTTATACACGACTGATGCCTATTGACGCTTTTCCCGTATCCTCTCCCATATCCCCCTCCTTCCTTATTGTCTGTACAGTATATGAAAACGGTCTGATACCCCTGGTTGGCTGGAGGGGCTTGGCTATTTGCCTACATAGTACTAATACGTTGGGTCTTGTTCATTTCAGAAGCGCGGACTTCATCTCGAATTTGTAATTTCAATCGATGCAATATCGAACATATGGACGTGGTACTCTATTGTCCAGGCTGCCAATCACACCGTAGCAATATAGGATCTCATCTCGGCTAAGTAAATTGCGGGAACCAGAGATGGCAGGCACGCTAAGTTCGATTTAGCATTGTACGAGATCTAGCATCGAAGTGATGACGGTTGTTCTCTCAACGGCCCTCTCTGCTCGCGTGTTTTGATTCCGTTTATTTCTTTACACCGCTATAGGTTCCTTTCGTAATGTACAGGATCTGTTTATTGTCGACGGGCACCTCAAGCAGTCTGGTTGGTGGCCATGAGGCGGCCGATGCGTTCGAGCATGTCGTCGGTGAGTTCTGGCTGGCCGCGAGCACGGCGCAGGGCCTTTTGGTGAAGATGGAACTCGTCGAGGGGCGTGCGCATGCCTGGTGGCGGCAGGCCTGGCTGGCGGCCCTTGACGAGGGCGCTGCCGTAACGCCTGGCCTCCTGGGCCGCGGCCTCCTCGGCCTCCTTGGCGGCGATGTACTCGGCCGTGTGGCGCGTACGGAAGCGCGAGTACCGGTTACGCAGCTCGTCCAGCACGGCCTCGGGGGCCGGCGGCCGCAGCAGCGTTGGCACAAACGTGACCTGCTCGACGTCGATCCGCAGCGTGTCGGCCGCGTGGTCGTCGTGCTCGGGCGGTGGGCCGGCCGGTCGCGGCCACGGGATGCGTACGTTGAGGCCGGGCACGACGCGTGAAAAGGCCAGCCGTCGGGTGGCCCGGTCGAGCTGGAAAGCTGTGGCCCGGAGCTCGCGGATGACCACGTCCCGGGTCCGGCCGGTGGCCGCGTCCGTCAGCGGGTGCACCAGCCGGACGGCATCGATCGGGATGGCCGACTCGAGCTGCTGGACGGCCTGGCCAGTCTCCTGGACGAGGGACTCGGCGACGGTGATGTTTGTCTGGGGTGCGTGGTGTTAGCGAGTGTTGGAGCGCGTGCGTGCTGGAGAGTGAAGGGAGCCGACTCACTCGTCCAACGCCATCCAACGTCACGGTGCCGTGCTCCGGCCGCAGCTCCTTCACCGCCCCGATGGCACCCTTGAGCGGTCCCTCGGTCACGACGACACGGTCTCCCACCGCCAGACAGAGCCGTTTCGGCGTGCCGGCCCAGGCGCAGCGGGCGGCCGCCTCGCGCGGCGTGATCGGGCTCGCGCTCGACTCGTTGCGGATCCGCCGCACGCTGAGCGAGCCCCAGTGCGGGATGCTCTCGCTGGCAAACAGCTCGCCGCCAAACCGGTTCGTCGTGCTGGCGTGGCCGCGCCGCTCGCTGTCCACCACTGCGCCCGCGTGGTCGCGTCGCGGCGCCAGCGGCCCCATCGTCCACGCCTCCCATCGCTGCCGCCGCGCCTGCCGCGCCTGCACCTGCAGCTCCTCGTTCAGCAGCCGCCGCGTGTTGCTCGCCCGGTCCGACTCCGCCCCCGCCAGCGCCCGCTCCCGCAGCTGCAGCCGCTTGGCCGCCTGCTTCTCCGCCTGCGCCGTCCGGCGCGCCAGCTTCTGCATCGTGTGTAGAGACAGGGATGGAAAACAGACTGAAAAAAAAAGACAGAAACTGCCTACGCGCTCACGTCCGTCCGTCGAGCTCGCGATCGTGACATCTGCATCGCCGTTTTTTCCCCTTCCCGGAACCCAAAATTTGCCCGTCGGAAGACCACGTGACTATAGATAAGATAGGTGATCGTTCTTGTCACGTGCCTCTCTGCCACCTGGACGCCTTGTCAGCGGCCACTGGCCCGTGCACGCACCCCGTCAGCCAAGTGGAATGAGACTATCTCACTCGTACGTGTGTGCATGTACTCCGTACTCCGTACGCTCTTCTCCTTTTCCCTGAGCGCTGCCCCCTTTTCTCCACTAAAAGTCCTACCACCGCGCTTGCTAGGACTTTTCTGCTCCCCGAGTCTCCACCGCTGTCCACATACGACGTAGCTGACCGCGTCTCGTCATCGGCACAGCGGCGACGAGGGATGCCGGTAAGACAACCTATTAATACTCTGACTCTTCAGGCAGTCCGCCGCTGCTGTCAATACGCCTCGTATCTTGCATTGCTCGTACGCGTATTTGTCCGGTCGCCTGCTGTTCTGATACGCCGAGCCTGCGCCATATCGTACCGGCGACACGCGTTCGACGTTGGCCTTTCTGGCTCGTGTGCACGACTTGTTGTAATCTGCATCTTGCGGGGAGAGCCTACGCTGTGGCCAGTTGGCCGCAAGACGAGAAGGTACGGAGTAAGATATCTTCTGCAATGTCGCAGCAACGCCAGACGGGAGACGGCCTGAACAGGGTAGCAGGAACTACAGGAACTACAGGAAATACAGGAAATACAGACAATGCTCCGTACAGAAATACACCCGTAGACACACGCTTACGGACATCAAGATACCAAATACAGGGGCCACCACTGCAGAAAAAGCAAAGCCCGGCCAGGGTTCGTGCCATCGATTGGTGCCATCACCAAACAGGTTCCAACGCCCACCCACAAACGCCCGTTGCTGCGCCCTGAAAAGGGGGCCCAGAAAGCACTTTTATCGAGGAGGCAGCCGAGCGCAGGGGCCAACCAGCCCTTTTTGGCCTGTTCGACCCTGACTAGCCGTTTTGCAGGTAGGACCAGCAGGTCCTACCCATCATACGTGCTCGTAGCAATCCTTCCAGCGCATCCTGCAGGCTCTTCCAGCACCAATCTCCCCTACAGCCTGCTGCCAATCTCAGTTACCGCCTTTTGTTTTCTCCGCCTTGGGCGGCGCCCCCCCCCTTGTCATACCTATCTTAATTACATTGCCCTTCCCTCCGCCTTTTAATATTTTCTTCCCTATTTCCTCCCCAATTTATTGATCCTCCCCTTCACCCCCCTCGTCCGAAACGCATCTAAAGCTGTCTTTGTGCTGCTCCTCTCCCATTGCTGCTATTCACCATCCATCTCCCTCGATCACCCGTTTCCCTGGCTGCTTCCCATCCCCAACTTTGGAGCCGCCATCTCTCTGTCGACTTTCTCTCCACCCCGTTCCTTTTTGACCATCAGTGTCCGTGGCTTATCGCCCCGAACACCCTCTTCGACTCCTTCGCTTTTCCTGCAAACCCCCAAAGACAACAACAATGGCTGAGATTCGCCGGAAGCTCGTCATCGTCGGTGACGGTGCCTGCGGAAAGACCTGTTTGTTGATGTACGTGCCCATTGCTGCTTCATCCACTTTGCACTTCGATGGAAATCTGGACTTCGATGCTTCATCCTCCCCTCCTGCCTGCACATTCTGCCTTTTCGGCTGCCGTACCGCGCTGCTATCACGAAACCATCAATTACCCACCTCCATCTACGCATTGTTTTCTCTTCAGTTCCACATCTTGCCTTACTTCTCTTGATCTGTCCCCTTTTCGCCGTTTCCCGCCGTTTTTCGCTGCTGTAGCTCATTGATGCTGACATACCTCACAGTGTGTTCTCCAAGGGCACTTTCCCTGAGGTAAGATACCACATAGCTTCGTGACCATCCCATTTTCCTCCATTTTCATCCGTTTTGCATCTCCCTACGGACGACAACGGCCGGCAACTGTTCGATACCGTGAGAGACCTCAGTCGCAACTTGTCGGACAGCAGAAAAGGGGGTCGCATGTCAAAAAGGCCCCAACTACGAAAAGAGAATTCGACACAGAACGTCAATCGATAGGCAAGAAAGCAAGCATCAAAGCACGTTGCCTTGTGCCGTCTTGCTGGCGTTGCCTTGTGGGTGCCGTCAACGACGTGGCAGCCTCTGCATTCGCCTTTCTGGCAGAGCTCCACTCTCCTCCAATCAACAGATGCCGTATCAGCAACAGCTGATCGCCCTATCGCCTGCCGCCCTTACTTTTGCGTCGACGCACCCACTGCCTGCACTATATGTATGCTCTTTTGATAAGTGTGCTCAACTAACGAAATCAAATCGCTCAGGTCTACGTCCCCACCGTCTTTGAGAACTACGTCGCCGACGTTGAGGTCGATGGCAAGCACGTCGAGCTGGCCCTTTGGGATACGGCTGGCCAGGAGGACTATGATCGGCTGCGCCCCCTGTCTTACCCCGACTCGCACGTCATCCTGATCTGCTTCGCTGTCGACTCCCCCGACTCTCTCGACAACGTGCAGGAGAAGGTACGTTACAATGCTGCCAGCCGAGATCGAACCATAATACTGACGGCCCGTGCTTTTCACAGTGGATTTCCGAGGTTCTGCACTTCTGTCAGGGCCTTCCCGTCATCCTGGTTGGCTGCAAGAAGGATCTGCGCCACGACGCGAAGACAATCGAAGAGCTGCGTAAGACGAGCCAGAAGCCTGTCTCTCCGGAAGAGGTAAGCCAGCCAAGCCCAGTATCCTCGACCTGCGTCGCCATGTTCTAACGAGCGCAACAGGGTGAGGAGATCCGCAAGAAGATCGGTGCCTACAAGTACCTCGAGTGCTCGGCCAAGACCAACGAGGGTGTGCGCGAGGTGTTTGAGCACGCCACACGTGCTGCCCTGCTGTCGCGTACCAAGAAGCCCAAGGGCCGTGGGGGGAAATGCCTAGTCCTGTAAACAGCAGGATGACTCGTCAGCAACAACTCGACATGACAAGCTCGTCTTTTCCTCTTTATTCCTGCCCCGGGCCGTTTCTTCTCGCTAGCCGCCTGGCCAGGCCTTGACCCCCAACCGACCGCTTTTGTAATCCATACTTTTCAATATTGCCTCCCGGTTTCACTTCTCCAGATGGCAGGGGGGGCGTGCTTTCACCGAGACACAACGATGCTCGTCGCCTGATGTAATGGATTCGGCTGGGAGTTTTGGTTCTATTTTCGTGCCACGCCACCAACACGCCTCTCTGCCGGGAGGTGCGGCAAGTCGACGAATGGGGTCTCTGAACACCAAGCAAACAAACTCTTCTCGAATATACCGTGGCTTTTTTATTCCACTCTGTTTTTCTCGACTGCGAAGTAAGGACCAACACTGCGATTTTGCTAATATTTCTTTATTTTTTTCTCGCTCTGCTTTGATGCTCGTTCTGTTTTGTGCTTTCACGATAGCGAGGAGAGGAGGAGTGGAGGAGGAGAGCCAAGACCAGGGTGAAAAGAGTGAGTCGGGAGCCGGTCAATACATGCAGGGCAGCAGGGAGGCAGAAGAGAAGGAACGGAGCGGACGTCTAGGTCTGTTGGATGGCAAGGCATCTGAAGACGTAGGCGGGCTTGCTGTATGGTGATTGGTCCGATTTTCTCTTTGTGCTGTCGACAAGAATACTTTCCCCTGCCTCGTCTCTGGGAAAGCCTAGACTGGCGGTTTTTCGAACAGAGAGAAGTTGTACCACTGGACTTGCTCCTTTTCTTTTGCATTCTTGCCTGTCTTTTGTTCAAGTCCCTGTCTCGGGACAGGCGACTTGTGCTGTGTACGTGTGCTGCTTGGCTTTAATGGGCTTCCTCGCTTTTGCTTTCTATTTAGTTTCTTGTATCCCGTTGTCAAATCTTGCCAGTCCGTATCGGTGACACCTCTAGAGCGAAATGATGTTGCGACATTCGTCGGGTATGCTCGTGAAGCTACACGAGAGATATGGCATCCGTAGAAATACAGAGCAGAAATCAGGTATTCAATTCGGTTCCATACTGGGACTATTGCTTGTCTATCTATGAAGCAGAGGGATCAAGAGCTCCCATGCTTATCGGTATGCCGGCATCGTCTTAGACTGGGCAGCTCTAGGTAGAATGGTCAGCATGGCAGCAGGATGGTGGCCTGAAGGGGACTAAACCTACTGCACCGCAGGACGCGCAAGTCTTAGTCGAGCCGGGATAGGCAACGCCGCACTTGGGGCAGCTGTGGCCGTGCATGATTTGATATGTGGGAGTTTGAGGTGGGAGAGCGAGGGTAGTGAGAATTGTAAGCTTGCGAGAACAGAAACTTTGGTAAGAGATGTTTGATGTCGGTGAAGAGAGCAGAAAGTGGGGAAATACAAGTCTGCTAGAGCGGGACTGTTCTTTTATATTACTCCGTACATGGTAGCAGAATAGGAAAGTTTGAGGCAGGTGCGATCAATAGCTAGGCTACTATTCGTCACTTGCCTTCTTCCTAGGCAACTTAGGCAGAAGCCAGTACTCCGCTACTTTGGTCAGGCGGCGTCTTTTCTTCTACAAGTCAATTTATTCCAATCGTCATCAAGTGCCACTCTGAGTTGTGTAAGTCGAACAAACATGCGACAATCAATACGAGACACGAGACACGACGGGGCCCACACGCCAGAGGGGTTGCATTCTAGACACGATACTTGTGTGCGATGATGCTACGTGACAGGGTTGCGACCAACAAGAGCAATAATGCAAGATTGATATTCTGAAAGGAGCAGCAGTTTCTCAGGCAAAGACGGAGCGCTTGGCCTTGATATACCACGGCACGGGCTTGTCCTCAGCTCCGCCCGAGGCGTCCTGCTCGACAGGATCAGGCATGCGACGACCGGTGGCCAAGTCGGCCTCCATCAGGGGGACGATCTTTGTGCGCTTGACGATCTTCCAGCCGAGGTAGAGGACGAGGAAGACGGCGATGACGACATAGTTGACGACGAAGCCGACGACGTCGAAGCCGCCGATGAAGACGTTGTAGCCGGAGATGAAGACGAGGAAGAGGTTGATGAGGACGACGAAGCAGGTGCCGTAGGGGTACCAGAGAGCACGGAAGGGCAGGGACTCGAGGCTGTTCCCCTGGGCGATCCAGGCCTTGCGAAAGCGCAGGTGGGTGACGCCGATGAAGGCCCAGGCAATGTAGGTAGCCGAGCCGCTGATGGAGGTGAGGTAGCTGAAGATGAGGGCGGGGCCGGTGCGGTAGTTGAGGATAGCGACGAGGCCGACGGCATTGGAGAAGACGAGAGCATAGACAGGCGTGCCGCTGCGGTTGGTGCGGGCGAAGAAGCGAGGGGCGCGACCGGCGGCAGCGAGGGCGGCGAGGCTGCGCGAGGCCACATAGAGGGCCGAGTTCATGGAGGAGAATTGGGCGGTGAGCATGACGACGTTGACGACGTGGCCGAGCTGCGGTGCGCCGGCTCGCTCAAACGCGATGGTCCAGGGCGATTTGCCCGACTTGCTCGAGGCCGTCAGCAGTTCCGGGCTGTCGGACGGGACGAGCAACCCGGCGAAGAAGACGAGGCCTTGGAAGATGAAAGCGCAGCGCCAGAACGTCTGCCGGATGGCACGCGGCAGGTCGCGGCCGGGGTTCTGGCTTTCGGCGGCCGTGACGGCGAGCATCTCGGTGCCGCAGTAGTAGACGGCCGCCAGCAGGAAACACTGGCCGAAGCCGTTGATGCCGTGGGCCACGGGACCGGGATCACGCCAGTACGCGAAGCCGGTGTAGCGACCGCCAATGGCACCGGTGTTGAGCAGGACAGCGACCAGGTAGCCGCCCAGGATGCAGAGGACCTTCCAGCAGGCCAGCCAGAACTCCATCTCGCCAAAGACGACGACACCCAGCAGCGACGTGGCCTGGTAGGCGGCCCACCAGACGAGCACCCAGGCGTACGTCGGCACGCGCGTCGGCGGGACCCAGTAGCTCATCAGGATGGCACTCGCGTTGAAGTCGGCCGCGATGTTGGTCAGCCAGAGGTAGTAATAGTTCCAGCCGAGGGCAAAGGCCAGGGCCGGGTCCAGCCAGCGGCCGGCCATCGCGGTGAAGGCGCCCTGGATGGGGAAGACGGTGGCCATCTCGCCGAGACACTGCATCACAAAATAGACGTCCAGGCCGATGACGAAGAAGCAGAGGAGCGCACCGACCGGACCGCTGTACGCGACCGCATAGCCGGTGCCATACCAGATGGAGGCGCCGACGACGCCGCCAAAGCTGATCATGATGAGATGGCGGTCCTTGAGGCCGCGCTGGAGGCCGTCCTCTGGAGGAGTTAGTGGTGTGTGGGTGATGTGGTGTGGAGGGATGTATGTGAGCCATGGAAGAGATGGAGAGGATATACGTGTTGAGAAGATCTTGGGAATAAAGGGTACCAGATGTGTAATGTTGAAGCTGGGAATGGAGAGTAAAGGTGAACATGGGAAAGTTGGAAATAGTCAAGAACCCTTCACTCACCCATCACGTTCCCGTTGGCCAGGATGGTCGTCTCTCCGGCCACCGCAGACGCTGCCGTCACGGCCACCTTCTTCTCGTCGGACGACATGGCCGTTGTGATGCTGTCTGGACCGTGAGCTTGCCAGCTGCTGTCCTGTGGCCGACCTGTGGCCGAGACCAGACTGCGGTCAGCCTCCTCTTATAGACGAAAGCCCTGCATCCGATCCGACGATACGGGACAGCGCACCGTTCGGAGTGGTCCTGCGACATCTGATACGCCGCCCGCCGTATCTCGACAGCGTCCCGATCGTCGAGAGCACACACACACCTCCCGCGGAAATCTGCGATCCGCCACCGTTCGGATCATGCACAAGTCCGATGCAACCCCACCAAGCGGGCGTGGACGACTCGCTATCGTAGCTAGGACACTGTTCTGCGGCGAGCATGTCCCGCAAGCTATACCAGCGACTACAGTGCAGCATGATACCCGGAAGACAGTAACTACAGCGGTCAATTCCCCGAGAGCTAGTAATTACAGTGCAGTCAATCCCCAGGAGCCAAGAACTACAGCAGTCCAATCCCTGGGAGCGTTACTGCAGCAGTCCATTCCAAGGAGCCAAGAACTACAGGAGCTCTACGGCATCCAGCTCATCAGCAGTACCGCCAACCCACCCTACCGCACTATCCCGTTGGTCGCCTGCTGCGCCCTGTCGCGCGACCGCGCCATGCACGCCTCGTACCCGACCCGGTCGCGCAGCGCAAACGTCGCCTCGTAGTCGCGCGGGATGGCGCTCTGCGCGGCCGTGTTGCGGTTGTAGCCCACATAGTCCGTGCACGGCTGCAGCGCCGCCGTGCTGCCCTGTCGGATCCGATACGTCACCACCAGCCGCACAAAGGCCGCGTACAGGATCCGGTTCGAAAACGAGACCGCCGTGCACACCCGCGACCCGGCTCCAAAGGCCCACTGGAACGGCGCCGGCGTGTCGTGTGCTGCACCGCCCTTGAGCCATCGCTCCGGCCGGAACTGGTCTGCGTCGGCTCCGTAGGTGGATGTGTCTGAGGGGGGGGGGGGGGTTTAGGGCTGTGATCGGGGGATCCCGTGATCGGGATGTAGAGTCAGGTGCTTAGTCATCACTCACCGTGGTTGGCTGCTTGGGTGTTGACCAGGATCATGACGCCCTTGGGAATGTGGGCGTCGCCCCAGTCGAACGCGTCCATGGTCTGGCGCGGCGGCAGCAGATGCAGTGGCGGGTAGTGGCGCAGGGTCTCACGCACAAAAGCCACCATGTACGGACACGTCTCCTCGCTCACGGCTTGCGCGAAAGCCTTCTCGGTCGTGCCATAGGTCTCGATGATCTCCCGGTACGCCTTCTCCTGCAGGACCTGGCCGGCAGGCGAGGCCAGGTAGGCAATGCCGGCAATGGCCGTGGAGAAGACGGTTTCGAAGCCTCCGGACATGAGACCGCCCAAGATGGTCTTGACATCGCCCTTGGTCAGCTTCTCGTCCTGGGTGGTCAGCAGGCCGGCCGCGACGCAACTGCCGACGGTGCCGGCATCGATCTTGTCGCGGACCTCCTGCAGGAGCAGCTCGAGCCAGGCATCGCGACGGGCCCGGACCTCAGCAGCCTGGCGCAGGCGGCGCCGGTCCTGGAAGACGCCGTAGCGCAGAAAGGGCAGGTAGTCCTGCCAGTTGGCGTTGGTGGAGCGGAAGCTGGAGATGACGTTGGCGTCGCTGAGGATCTGGTGTAGCAAGGGGTCGCGCACATCGTCGAAGCGGCGGCCGTAGCAGAACATCATGACGACGTTGAGGGCGAGACGCTTCTCGTAAATGTGCGGCACCAGGACACGGGCGCCGGCCTGACCGTCGTCGCAGAGCGCAGCCACCATCTCGGCAGTCTCGAGGTCGACCAGGGGGACAAGACGGCGGATAGCCGGGGCGGTGGTCAGCGAGCCGACGACGCGGCGCTGCTTCTTCGTCCGCTCGTCCCACGGGTTGCTGCCGATCGTCGCGGCCGACGTCTTGGACACGACGCCGTGAAAGGTGTAGAAGCGTGGTCGGTCGATGGTGTGGGCCTGGTTGGCCATCAGCCACGAGCGCGCCGCGTCGAAGCCGTTCAGCACGATCACCCGACGATTGCCCAGGCGGATCTGGAAGACTGGCCAGCCGTGCTGTGTGGCCCAGCGCTGCATCGTTGTCGGCTGGTCGTCGCCGAGAATGCGCAGGTGGCCATACAGCAGCGAGGCGCCCGGCACCTCGGGGATGCCCTGGACGCGTGCAATGTCGACGTAGAAGAAGCGGAGATAGAGCAGGATGGCAGCACCGGTCAGCAGGACGGTGGCCGCAGCGAGCTGGAGGGCCGGGAGGACGGCTGCAGAAAAGGTCATGACAAGCTTGAACGGATGGGGAAGTCGGCTGATCTCTCTCAGTCGAACCCAGCCGGACTGGATTTTTGAGAGAGAGGCCTGGGATCAAGCTGTTTTTGCTGGCATTTTGGTCTGCGGAGTTGCGCAAGCTGTTGGTGTAGATGGGCGGAGCTATCCGAACATGGCGCAATGCTGTATCGGGAAAGTGAGTGTGGCGGTGGTTCGTGGTCGGGAATTGCCGAAGTGGGTTTGTGAGAACAAAAGGGGATAAAACGAGGACAAACGAGGACAAACGAGGACAAGCGAACTCAATCCAACCCTTTGATGATCTGCCGGAAGACGTCGTAATAGTCGCGGCCACCGCGCCAGCAGGGCGCAGCAAAGGCCAGGACCTCGGAGCACTTGAGCAGGGCGCGGGTGTGCAGCGGCTCCTGGGCAACCCAGCCGGCGGCGATGGCGGTGACGAGAACGCAGCCGGCCATAAAGGCGCGGCTGGCGGCCAGGACGGGTGGCATGAAACGGTTCGGCTCAGCGAGGATGGTGTGGGCGCTGTCGGCGAGGCGGCAGGCGTGCAGGACGACGAGGATGTGCAGACCAAAACCACCGTCGAGCGTGGAAGAGCAGCCGATGCAGGGCGCATGATCGACCAGACGGGGGAGCAGCAGCAGCCAGGCCTCCTGGGCCAGCGGTTGGTCGAGCGGCAGGGTCTGGAGTACGGCCACGACCTCGCCGATCAGCCTGCTGCTGGCGGGACAGGCGAGAGGAGACAGCGGTGTGGCAGCGCAGGCGTGGACGAAGAGCATGTCGGCGACCTGGCGGTGGCCCATATAAGCATGGTCGGTGTCGGTCAGGGTGTCGGTCCGGATGCCGGTCAGGATGCCCTGGCGCGGTGACAGGACACAGAGGGAGCGCTCGATGGCGACCAGGACGGCGAGCAGGCTGGAGCGCTGAGAGGAGGAGAGATCGCTGGGTATGGGGGATGTGTGGTCTTTGGGCTGGTGCCTATCCTTGTCGTTCTTGTGCTTGTAGTCGTTGTGCTTGGAATCTTTTTCGCCGCAGTCTCTTTCCTGCTGCTCCTGCTTGATCCTGGGTCTCTTTCTCGCCGGGGTTGGGCTGCCGGTTTTGACGACGATGGTGTTGCAGTCGGGGGTAGAGCTGGGGGGACTGTGTTTGATGGCGATGCTTCCATTGCTTCTGCTCCGGCCACCACCTCCACCAGTCGACCAGCTGAGCTCCAGACAGGTCTCGATGGCACCGTCGACGTAGTCGCAGACGCGGCCGCCATCTGGGTCGGCCAGCTCGTAGAGGGCCAGCAGCAGCAGGACGATGACGGCATGGCCGTCGCGGCGGGCGATTCGCGGCCCGACCAGGTCAGCGGCCCCGTCGCGACAAGCACGGGCGACGCTCCGCCACGAGGCCGCGTGGTAGCTCTTGTGGGCGGCAGCGACGGCACAAACCAACAAAACGACGCAGCGGTCGGAGAGACCAGCAAGCCCGAGCCGGAGCGGAAAAGCCGGCTCGACAGCACGGTCGTAGTGAGCGAGGAGGAGCCGCACGGTCGAGGGCGGCAGGTCGGTGAGTCCGTGTGCTGGCTGGCCGAGAGGATGGCGGCCGAGACTGCCGTGATTCGACGGCTGGCCGAAGCCGAACGAGCGGGGAGAGACCAGGCTGTCGACATCCTCCTGTCCGCCCATCACCGACGGCGGCGCCACGGACACGCCTAGCTGCAGCAGCGCACGGATGGCACAGTCGCCTAGAACCACTGGCGGCGTCGGCCCCAAGACCAGCGTCTCGTCACAAGACCGCGTCGGCAGCTCGTAGCGGTGACGTGTCGGAGCTGCTGTTTCTGCTGCGGCTGCGGCTGCTCTTCGCTCGTCTGCCTCCGCCCGTGCTGCTCGCTCATTTGCTGCCAGCACGGCCGCCAGCTCGTCCACGCGGTCCCGCAGGCTCTTGATGTAGCTGCGCGGAACATCCTCCTTCAACACGTGGTCGTAAAAGGAGCAGGCCAGGCCGGCTTTGTGGCAGTTGCGGCAGGCCGGCAGCTGGGCATCACACTAGGCTGTCAGGGTCGACGAGCAATGGCAAGATGAAAAAAGAGAAAGAAAAAAAAAGACGCTCACCTTGATGCGTCGCGCCCGACAGCGGTTGCACGTCTTCAACATATTCGTCGTTTCGGAGCGCAAGAAACAAAATCACAATCTCGCTGCTCGACTCTCGCCGATGCGCTGAAATGCTGGCCTCTGCTGGAAGGTGCGACCTGCCTGCGCTCCCGCTTGTTCCCCCACCTTGTACACCGGGCCGGTGCGCGGGCAGGAGCGATGGACGGCTTATCAGCGTCGGTTGCCCGTCTCGTCGTAACGCTGTACGGAGTATTATCGGTGCAACCCTGTGGACTGCTCTTTCTTGCTGGTTTTGTCTTGGTTTTCCTCTCTCCCACAGCTCGTCTCGCCTCTTCTTTCGTGTCCACATGGCTCGCTCCCGATGGACAGCACTATCGCGATGCAGATGCAGCTGCAGCTGGCCAGTACCGGGCGGCGATCGTCGTCCAAGGTATGTGCACGCTGCAAAAAGCGCAAGACAAAGTGCGATTCGGGATATCCGTCGTGCAGCGCCTGCGTGCGAGCAGGGGCAGTCTGTCGAGGAGGGGAGGTGGTGGGGAGAGAAGGAGGAGGAGGAGGAGGAGGAGGAGGAGGGAGCATCAAGAAGCATAGCCAAAAAGGCAGCACGACCAGCGGCAACAGCAACTCCAACGGCCACACCATCGCCACAAACTTCACCCCCAACGTCCCCCGCAGTCTCGTGCGCGCACTCGAGGAACAGGTCGCCCTGCTGGAAAGCCGTGTCGACGCGGTGCAGCAGCAAACGGCCAACAGTGTGGCCCGGGCGTTGACGGCCCGGCTGGTTCGGGGGACGCTGCTGGCCACCGAGGCGGCCGTGACGGGGCTGGGACCTCCAATGGCCGTGTCGCGGTTTCTGCGGCCAAGCAGTCTGCCGTTGGGGTTGGGGAGAGAGGGGGGGGGAGAGAGGGAGACAGAGGGGAGACAGAGGGGGAGACAGAGGGGGAGACAGAGGGGGAGAAGCACCGAGACGACAGAAGAAATAGCATCGGGGGAAAAAGGGGAAGCATCGACGATTCCTTTGAGAGAAAGATGGACAAATCGAACACATCCAACATCGATACCTTCGACACCACCAACTCCACCAACTCCCCCACCTCTTCCACCTCCACCACCTCTTCCTCCTCTCCCTCCTCCACGAACCTCGGCCGCATCCCCCTCGCCGCCCTCGAGACCATGATCAGCAACTACGCCAGCATTCACCTCCCTCAGTACCCCTGTCTCCAGGAGGACTGGCTGCGTCTGGTGCTCGGCCGCATCCTCACCGTCGATGGTGGCGACACGGACGCCGCTCTGACGCGCGGCATCCGTGCTGAGAGCGGCCTCGGACACTTTGACTACTTTGCCGTCTTCATCGTCCTGGCCGTCTCGTCGCTGACGCTTACGTGGCGCAACGAGCACCAGGCCCGCATCGCCTCCGACGCCTTCTTCCACACTGCCGTCCAGCACCTGCAGCGCACCACCGACGCCGTCCAGCTGCCGGGCCTCCGCCGCCTGCAGGCCTGTCTGCTGCTGGCCCACTACGGCAACGTCAACCCGGCCCGTGTCGACAACTGGGCCTGTGTCTGGGCGGCCGTGCGCATTGCCCTGTCGCTGGGACTACAGACCGACCAAGACGACGAAGACGGCTCCTTTGCCCGCGAGCTCTTCTACGTCGCCCTCGGCATGGAGCGCTCGATCTCGACCATCCTACGGCTGCCCCTGGCCGTAGCCGAGGAGGACATTACGATTCCCCGCCTGCCCGCCTGCACAGGCGTCTATGCGTCGGCACACCACCTCTACCGCCTGCGCGCCATCGAGACGGAGCTGCACCGCGTCCTCTGGCTGCGGGATCCACGCGCCGAGGCAGCAGCTGTGGCCAGGAGCACGAACACGAGCACGAGCACGCCAACTTCCGGCTCCCTCGGCCCCTGGCTCGTCGATATGGCCGGCCGCCTGGACGAGTGGCTGCGTGGTGCCGAGCCGTTTCAGAAGTACCAGATGCTCGAGTTCCGGCTGATCAACTACGGCTATCTCAAGGCACGGCTGCACCGACCGACACCACGACTGCCCAACCGCTCGCCAGCCGATCGGGCCGTCTGCGTGGCCGCCTACGCCCTCCTGATCGAGGATTACCAGCGCCAGACGCGGCGGCGCCGCCTCTTCTATCCATGGCATGCCGTCCACATCCTGCACGAGGCTGTCGTCGTGCTGCTAGACGCGGCCTGGGCCCTGCGCGATGACCCGGCCGACCGCTGCGCCCGCCGGCCTCATGCTCGCCACATTCTCGACGTGCTCGTGCCCGACGCACTCGAGCTGCTGGACACGCTGTGTACAGCCTGGCCGGACGCTGCCCGCTGTCGAGACCTGCTGCGGCCAGTGCTAGCGGACGTTCGGGAGGTCTATGAGAAGAAGGAGAAGGGTAGAGAGAAGGGGCAGGAGGAACGGAAGCGAGAACATAACCACATTACTGCTCGCCTTCATAGTCTCCTCTTTCCCGATGGACCGCTCGTCTGGAACCTTAGCACTACTGCCACTACTACCACAACGACCACAACGACCACAACGACCACACCCCTCTGGCCCCCCTCTCCACCATCGCCCTACGGCGTGATCGGACTGCGAAGGCCTACCAGCGCGGACGACCCGCTCGACCTTGTTGCCCTCGGCGACATGGACTGGGATGGCTACTGGGACACAGCCCAGGAGCTGTCGCCGCCATGGGAGGCCGGCAACACCAGCGCGGACGATATGTTGGGACTGGTCACGTGACAGGACCGGCCATGTACAGTACGGACTTGTTATGATTAGGCAGTGAATGAAGTCTCTTGATAGGCAGTACTCGTGCCGTCTACAGATCCAGCAGCTCGTTCTTCTCGCTGGCCAGGCGGGCCTCGGTCGGCTCGAACGGAGGCGGCAGGCCGGTGTGGTCGTAGGGGGAGCCGGCCATCATGGCGACGACGGCCTTGCTAGAGAGCAGGACCTGGGGCATGCCGTGGCCGCTGAAGCCGGCACAGATGAACTGACCGGGACGACCGGGAACAGGGCCGACGTAGGGCATGAAGTCAGCGGTCCAGCCCATGATGCCGGTCCAGACGTGGTCGGTGGAGGCGGCGGACTGTTCCCAGCCGCGAAAGTGGCGCTGCATGAGGCCATCAAAGTAGTCGGCGGCGGGTTCGATGAGGCGCGTGTCGTCCGTGACGCCGTACCACTGCGACCGGTCGTGCCAGAAGGCGCCCTTGGCGCCACCGACGACGATGGACCCGTCGAGCCGCGGGATCAGGTAGTCGGCCAGTCCGGGACCATAGCGCAAGCTGTACGAGTTTGCGAGGGGAGGACGGGCGGCGCGCTCACGGCGACGATTGTCCGGGTCGGCCACGGCGATGTGGCTGCAGATGCCGCGAACCGGCACGATGCGGGCATGGAACTGGGGTGCGATGGCGGCCGTGTAGCCGTTGGTGGCGAAGAGCACCTGGCGAGCGCGGACACGACCGCGCGGGGTGGTGAGGATCCAGGGGGGGGTGTCGTCGTCGGAGCCGAGGTCGGCTGCCTCCACCGCTGTCACGGGCGTGTTCGTCTGCAGGTTGAAGCCGGTCTGCACCTCGTTCTGGACCATCCCCGACAGCAGATGCATCACCATCTTGTAGGGCCACAGATGGCCGGCCGTCAGCGAGACGACAGCCTTGGCGCCGTGGATGCCCGAGGCGGCCTCGGCAGCGGCACCGCGCAGCAGCTGGACGTCGGCCAGGTCGGCGACCCCGATGCGCACCAGCTCGCGGTAGCCGGCCTCGACCTCGTCGGCCTGGGCCGCGTCCGTGTACACGTCGAGGGCGCGTGTCAGCACGAGATCGCAGTCGATGTTCTCGGCCTCGACCAGCGCCTTGACCGCCATCACGTTGTCGGTCTCAAACCGGGCCACGGCCGCCGCCTGCGCCGCCCCAAACTTGCGCGTGTACGGCAGGATCTTGAAGTAGGTGTCGGCCTTGAGCTGGCCGCCTGGAGCTTGTCAGAAAAGACTCTACTGTCGCCCACCACCAGCTGCAGGACAGCTCCGCAACACCCACCATTCCGTCCTGTCGCCCCCGAACACGCCCCCCGCGCCTCCAGCATCAGCACCGACGCCGGTGCCGTACCCGCCCCGTGGTACATGTGGTAGGCGGCCGTCACGCCGGCAAAACCGGCCCCGATCACGGCTACGTCGACCGTGCCCGGCAGCACGGCCGTCGTCCGGTAGCTGTCGAGCTCGTGTAGCTGCGTGCGCCAGAACGCCTCCGTCGTCGGCTCCGGCACCGGCAGCGTCGTCTTGGGCGTCTCCATCGCGGGGCGGTGTTGAGGAAGAGATGATGCTGTGTCGGAAAACCAGATGCACCAATGTGCGAATCCTGACTCTGCGGAACCGCTCGCGGTCGCACCTGCTACCTCTTATCCAACCGGCTCCTGCCGCTTGCGGAGCGCCAGCGCGCGGAACGCCTTATCGCAGCTTATCGGACCCAAAGGCGCCGCTGGCCGCCTCGGCGTTGCGCGAGCTGGGGGCATCTGCAAAGGCGGATCGCCGACGCGGCCAGCCTGCAGCGGCGTGCCTGCCGTTTTGGTACAAATGGGGCATCTGAAGCCGAGAGACGATGTGGTGATGATCCGGGGCTTCTTGTCTCTGATCTGTCCTTCTCTCTTCTCATTCTCTCTTCTCCTTCTTCCCTCTCCATCTCCCCTCTCCTTCTCTCCTTCTCTCCTTCTCTCCTTCTCTCCTTCTCTCCTTCTCTTCCCTCCACCCACCATGGCCCTCTCCGGCAAGCATGTCGTGTTCGATATCGTCGGCACCTGCGTGACGTACGACGCCTTTTACGAGGCCGTCGACGCGCGCATCGGCGACCGGCTGCGTGTTCACGGCATCCGCCCGCGCCACTTTGCCTTTACGTGGATGATGGAGGCTGAGCGCGAGTACAGCTATCTGGACCGCAGCGGCCGCTACGTGCCCTTCTGGACCGTCTTCCCGCCGCTCTTCTTCCGCGTCCTCTTCCAATGCGGCATCGAGGACCCGCGGACGCTCTGCACGGCCGACGACGCCGCCGTCTGTGCCGCAGCCTACCGCACGCTGCGCGCTCGTCCCGGTATCCTCGAGTGTCATGCTCGCCTGCGCGCTGCTGGCTTCACCGTCTGGGCCTTCACCTCGGGCGACGCCACCCGCGTCCAGGGCTACCTCGCCGCCAACGGCATCGACATCCCGGCCGCCCACTTTGTCACCTGCGACTCCCTGCAGGTCGGCAAGCCGACGCCGGAGGCGTACCGCCACGTGCTTAACCAGTTTGCTGGCGCTACCGAGACCTGGTTTGCAGCCGCACACATGTGGGACACAATGGCAGCACAATGCAACGGGTAGGTCAAGTTCTTCTGTTCTTGTCCTCTCCTCCCAGCTCACCCACCCCCAGATTCAAAGGCGCTTGGTGCTCCGTCTACGAAAAAGAACCCGTCACAGAGGTCTTTGGCACCCCTCTCGTCATGGCCGACTCGCTCGTCGAAATGGCCGACAAGATCATCGCTGCAAGCACATGACACCGGCCCGGTCACACAACGGTCAAAAACGGCAATTGTCGTGTAAGCCGGCCCCGCTAGCCTCATACGGACTGCTAGCACCTGATTGGTCCGGCACTCTGCCCGGCTGTTTGCCCGGTACGTTGCATCAACACGATTCTCTCTTGCTCTGGCTAATGCCGCGTCCTCTCTTCTAGGCCCGGTGTACTCGTACATACTCCGTAGTTCGATGGTACGACCCCCATCTACCGGTTCACGCCATCCGGGTTCCCCTGCCGATCCAACGTTACATCACACCTTGGACATCTGCTCAAAGCCTAGACTCTTTGATTTCCAACAAAAAAGTTACCAAAGAAATGAAAAGGAAAGGAAAAAGAGAAAGAAAAAGAGACTAAAGAAGAAAAAACGAAGAAAGATACTTAATTATCTATATATATAGTACTCCGAGACCATGCATCCGCAAAGAAGTGCTGTAGACAAAAAACGGCTGCCATGTTGAATCATGTACAGAAGGCGTGACAGATTACCGGCACTGGGCCGTGCCTCCTTCGCCTGAGCGGTTAGCAGGGTGGACAATTGACGAGCGTGACAGAACGATAAGCAGACGGGGGCCAAGCCTACCCTTGATGATCTTATGCAGGGCCTGCAGCAGACTGATGCCCATGACAGAGCAGCCAAAGACGACAATGGCTGCGGCCATGTAGGTGCGCCAGCTGCGGGTCGTCAGCTTGATGTAGCACAGCGGCGGCAGAATGTAGGCCATAGCACAGGCACTGGTGGCGCCGACCAGCTCGAAGATGGCGCCGAGGTCGCAGGTGACGAGGCTGAGGCCCATGGCGGCGGCGACGAGGCCGGTGCTGACGAGGATGTGCAGGCGCATGTTGAAGGGCGCGCCCGGAAAGAAGTAGTTGAACATGACCTCGCGGCAGACAAAGGCCTCGAGCGGCAGCGTCGTCAGCATGTTGAGCCCGAAGCAGAGACGGGCCACGTTGACCATCGTGTTGTCGGCTGGGAAGTTGTTAAGCACGTTGCCAAGCGTGCGGTCGCCAAAGGTGAGGAAGCCGGCCAGGGCCATGATCAGACAGGCTACCATGGAGACACCCGTGGACACGTGGGTCACGCGGGCGAACCGGTCGATCGTCGGCGTCTTGAGGGAGCCGTAGATGAGGAGGGAGTTGTGGTGGCAGACAAAGGCTGATTAGTAACATGTTAGTAAGCATTGGCAGAGAACCAGAGGAGAGCACCCACCAAACGAGATCACGCCGATGGCCTGAAAGATGCCGGTATTGACGGTCAGCAGCGGCCGGCTGAAGGAGCCGCGGTCCTGGGCAGGTACCAGGGCGCCCTGGACGAGCACGGTGACGATGATGACGGACATGCTGACGAGGGCAAAGGTGCTGGCCTTGGCCAGCTTGGCGATGTCGCGGTAGAGCGTGAGAGGATAGGAGACGGTGCCGAGGCAGAGAGCGATGACGACGCGACGGTCAGCCAGCAGACCGACGACGGGGGCATCGCGCAGGGCGGGCCAGATGGCGAGCAGCACGTGGGGGATGCTGTCGCCGACAATGACGCCAAAGGCGACCATGCCGCCAAAGGCAAAGACCCACTGGGCAAGGCTGATGGCCACGAGTCCGGGCCGGCCAAAGCAGTGCTCGACGGTGCCCTGGAAGCTGCTGGCGCCGCTGAGCTTGCTGTTGACGACGATCAGCCGGATGGTCCAGTCGACGACGGCCGTGAGCGCCACGAGCAGCACCACGCCAGACGCCAGTCCGGCCTGCCGCAACGCGTACGGCTGTCCGATGATCCCGGCCCCGATGATGCTGTTGGCCATGTTCATAAACGCGCTGCCGAGTCCGGACTTGGGCCGCCGCCGTTCCTGGGCCGCCCAGAGCTCGGGATCGCCGCCGGCTCTGTCGTCGTCGCCGTCGTCGCCGTCATCGCCCCCCAGAAAACTGCCCGTTCGTGCTGTCGCCACCGTCGGCGCCTCCATGCCCGTCAACAGCGGCAGCCGGTGCTGGCGCGCCGCCTCTTCCGCCCCCACGTCCACGTCAAAGCTGTCACGCCCGCCATACCCCTCGCTGCCGCTGCTGTCCTGGCTCCGCCGCCCGTCCGCCGGCCAGCTGTCGCCCAGACGCACCGGAAAGTCCGCCACCTGTGGCGTCAGGTCAAATCGTACCCGGTTTGGCGTCCGCGGCGTCAGCGGCGATCGCAGCGATGACAGCCCGCCGCTGTTCGTTCGCACCACACCGCCGCTGCTGCCGCCGCTGCCACCAACACCAACACCACCCCCCCTTTCGCCCCTCCCCTCCGATCACCGACATCTCCGTCGTCACTAGCCCCAGCCCCAGTCCAACGCTGCCCGCCCGCTTCACCGAATCGTCGCTGCTGCCCGGCTGCATCGCCAAACCCTCGTCTCCCCCGGGTCCCGATGCCAGCAGGCCCACGCTCTCCTCGCCATCCCCCGCTGACAACCGCTGTGCCCCTGCCATGTCGCTCCCCAAAACAGCCGCCTGACAATCTGTCCCTTTGTCCCCTTTGTGCCTTGGTTGTTTCGAATTCTTCCTCCCCCGGCTACCACCGCATTTTCCTCCACGGCAGACAAAATCAAAAGTCGGTCCGTCGCTCAGACAGTCGGCCGCTCGCTCGTGCTATCCGTCGCTCGCTGTGGTTGTGGGTGTCGGTGTGGTGCCGGATTTGCCGCAGCCATTCGTTCTTGGCCGTGGTTTGACTACTTTGAAGCTCTAAGAGCCGCTGGCCTTTGCTGAATGGCCCGGCTGTAATAGCTCCGTGTTTAGCTTCCTTGTTCCACTTCTGCACGTGACTCTGCACTGAACTCCAAACTAATCCCGCCCATCGGAAACCGTATTCAGGCCAAGAAGTCAACGCCGTTGTGCAATTTCTGCGCTATATCGTCTCAGATCTATCTTACATTAAATAGTGTTACAAGTGAAAATTGAGGCCTACGTTTTAAGTTCCTCTTCAATCTATTCCATCGAAACGCTCTTCGACACTGCTCTCCAGTCCGCTTCATCTCAAGCCGCCAGAACGATACCTGCCACAATACATGCCACTGTGGCGACCTTGCTTCCCTCCAACCGACTCGCAGGCGAAGACGTCTTCTGCGTCGTCGGGGCCGTCGTAGATTCCGCCACCGCTGTCGCTGTTGCCTTGCTCCCAGAAGACGATGTCGCACCACTTCCTGCCAAAGTCGATGACACCGTACTTCCCGACGTGCTGCTGGCTGTCGAGGACGCCTTTGAGCTCGACTTTTTCGCAAAGCCTGTCGGGTCAGTCTGTTAGCAGGTGGCCAGAGCAGGCGTAGAGATACTAGAAACAATAATGTACCAATGCGAGTCTTGTCAACGTCAAAGACGGTGTAGACGTTCTTGAGGAACAGGTCGCCAAACAGCCACGCACCCGACACCACCTCGCGGCCGTACACGTTGCTTGTGCAGTTGCCGCTGCTGCCGCTCGACAGCCAGTCCTCCGACGAGATGTTGTACGAAACGCCCGAAAACACCACTGTGAGCGGCAGGTCTGTGTTGCACGGTGCCGTGTATGTTGTGCCGCCATCGCTGGTCGACGCCCCCGGGATCAGCGCGTGCAGCGCCGCCACGTCGTCTTTCGGCCCAAACATGTACGTCGTTCCCGTGTCGATGTAGGCCAGCCGGTCTGTCACGCCCGCAAGGCTGCCGTCAAAACCGATGTTGCCCATCGCGATTGCCCAGTCGCCGTTCGCGCTCGAGTCTACGGCCGTGTAGCCAATGTTGCCCGTGTACTGGCTGCTGTCCGTGGTGCCAATCGTCAGCTCGCCGTTGTTGCTGCCGCCGTCCGAGTCGCGCCAGATCGAAATCCCAAAGATGTTCGAGTCCACGAGCTTGCCGTCCATCACCACCTGCCAGAAATTGTTCGTCACGCCCTTGCTCAGGCTGAGCCCGAGAATGCCGTCAAACGGAAAGTGTGAAAAGTCGTTGGACGTCTTGTTGGCGAGCCCGAACATCATGTTGACCGAGATGCCCGCCACCGTGATGTCGTCGTTGGCCAGATTGCCCGCCACCGTGCCCGAGCCGTACGCGATCGAAAAGCTGTTGCCCGTCTTCTTTAGCGAGCTCGAGTTGGCCGCTCCAAACGAGTTGTGCAGCGCGCAGGCGCTCGACGTGCAGTCCGTGCCCATCACCCATGTCGTCCCGGCCCCCGAGTCCAGCAGCATGTACATGGGTGTCTTGTTGGAGCCGAGCGTGGCCTGCACAAAGTACGAGAAGTCCGTGCCGTCCTGGTCGATGCCCACTGCGTTGCTGGCTGCGGGCGTGGCCGCTGTGACGACTGCGAATGTGTTGGCGCGCTTGGCCAGCTCGGCCGTTGCGGTGGCAGGCGGCGTCGTGGCCGCAGCCGCATGTCTCCTCGCGAATCTCTCGGCTTGGCGTGCTACTCTGGCCCCAAGCGGCATGTCTATACCGTGTCTCCTTCGGCTCAGTTTTAGGGTCAACCCCTCGGCCAGAGGAGAGACATCCCGCGTTGTCTTTGCGACATCCTCGGGAGAATCGCTAGAGTTGCAGATACTGTCGTCTTTTTCACAGACCCAAGCCGGAAACCACGGGTAAAATGCGTGAGTAGCTGTCGTCCAGAGGATCAACTGCAGGAGTACTACAGTGCCCAACATGGTGAATGTTTGTTGTGATAAGCAAGTTCTTCCACTGAAGGAGTCCCGCTGGCGTTATTCTCGAATCCCTGCTGGTCTAGGACCGGCTGAAGGAGATCGAGGGCCGAGAGTTCCGACGCTTTAGACCCAGCATCGAAGAGAGAACAAAAATGGAGAGATTATGTATTATTGCTGCATTGGCGTCTGGCAGCAAGGTGAGGGCGAGGGGAAGAATGCCGGATTGTCGGTTGCCGATGCGAAATGACGGTACTATGAGGAACAATGGCTATGCTCGCAATGTTGGATGCAATGCAGTCGGCTATATGAGAAAAGGACACCAAAGAACAAACAAGGCGGAAAATTAACGATAGAGAGGCCACGCAATTCACGAGACAGAGAGGGAAACGACAGTTCAGACCAATACGAATAGTCAAGAAAAAGAGAGGACGTCTAACGAGCAAGATGCAGGAGAGAGAAGCTGCCGAAAACACGAGCCGCTTGTGGACTAAAAGGCACGGCGGTAACCAACAAAGGTAGGCCGACCGCAGCTAAGAGAGGTGGAGGAGGGCAGAACACCAACCAGCTGACAGGACAGGAACGACGGCGAGCTTTCCAAAACAACAGCCCACGCAGGACACTGGAGTCGGAGCAAAAAAAGGAAGGACAAAAAGGACGAGAAAAGAGGGTAGAGACAAAGTAAAACGGAAACGTGCTTGGCGACATGCAGCCCGATAGAAAAAGGAAAAGGAAAGCCAAAGCGAGCTGAGAAACGGGAAAGGGGCTCTCTGCCTCTCTGCGGGGAGAGAAGACGTTCATACGAGCCGTATCTTACATACGTGCTGAGAGAGCCGCGCTGGCCGTGGCGTCTTACTCCTGGCCAAAAGGACTGGTGGGGCTGGGCTGGACCTTTTGTGCCTGTTTGTTCCTGATCTTTGGTCCGAATTCCTGAGGGGTGGAGAAGGCCAAGACACTCTTGGTTGGCCAGCGGGCTGTATGCTTACTAGGGGGTTTCCCCTTTGGAGCTCGGGTGGGGCGCAAGGGAAGGGTCTGTATCTCGCTCGGCCGTGCTGGCGCTGGTCAGGGGAGGGGAGGGAGTTGCTTTTGTTCTGGGGTCATGATCAGCAGTGCGACTTCCGGATGTTCTTATCAGCAAAGAGGCCGTTGAGAGGCGGAAGGGCTTTGATGACGAAAAAATACGAAAAAGCGAGACCACATAGATCCGAGGCAGGAGGGACCGACTCAAAATGACGTTTTGCACTTGCTAACTCAGGGGGGATCATCTGCCGTTATAGCACTGATCAGAGAAAGCCCAGCGCAAACGAATCCTCCTCCTCGAATTAATCACTGCCCCTGGCAAAGCGCTACTCGGCGGTGGAGTCGGAGCAGGACGAGAAATACGCCAAGGTTCAAGTGGGAGGAGACTTGTAATGAGGAGGGGCATGCGGGCGCACTTTTGCTCTTGTCCTTGCTTCTTGTCGGCCAGCCAAGGCTGCTCATTCTGGTCGTTGGTGATCGTACATCGCCGATCAGCAGTCCTCATTCCTGCCGTCGTCTTCTGTCTCTCTCGGCACGACGATCTGACAATTTGACACGCGTACAAAGTACATGCGCACGCTTGTCTTCTCGTATGATGGATGTATCTTGTCCAACGCCGTCTATGGCTACTATGTATGTATCTTACATACATAGCCGCACCTTCTCCAGACACCCATGGCTCTACCCGAAACACGCTCTCGTATCTCCTGCAGAAGTGCTCCGTTCGAGGGCATCGCTGCACAACACAACGGCCCTCTTTCTGGCCAATCAACCGGACTCCATCTGATCGACCCGATCAGCCAGCGGAGGGAAAACGCGAAAGGCATACGTGCATACGGAGTACGTCGTATGCAGACAAGTATGGAGTACGCATGCGGTCGTGGTCACCGGAGTCCAATCAGCAATCAGCCCCGCTGAGAGCTGCTGAGCGGGCCACATCAACAGTTCGGCCTATAGAGTGGCTCCGTAGACACGATAAGAATATGTATTATTAGGTGCTAGTAATTACAGGGCGGGTCGAAGTGTAACCTTTCCTTCTTGCTGCTACCGTGCATACATAGTTAGCAATGCTGTGCTGTACGATGTGGCCTCCTGCATCTTACTCCCGGCGAAGGTAATCCTGTCCTTGCGGCGGATACTTGTGTTGTGCTGGTTTCGATTATATTGTAGAGAAAGTGCGTCCTCTCTCTTCGTGCTGTAATAGAGCATCTAATGCTTCAGCAAATACAACATGCCACTTACGCTGTTCGCAAAAGGGGCTTTCATGCCAGTATTTGTCGCTGGCTCCGGTGCAGGAGTTGTAATTAGAAAATAAAAAAATAAAAAAACATGAAAGCTCGACGCCTAAGTTTGCCATCTGCTGGGCTATATACTATTTACTGTGTAAATGAAACAAGCAAATGACAACATGCCAGAGTGGTTAATGGGTATGACTCGAAATCATATGACTTCGGTCGCGGAGGTTCGAATCCTCCTGTTGTCGATCTTTTTTCTTTTTATATATTTATATATAGCAATATACCTGTTGTCAATGCAATTTTCTTTTTCAACCCCCCCTTTTGCTTTATAGTACTCCATAATACTGTGGAATATGTCTTGTGTAAATCTCATGGCCTTTGCTTTATTATGAGCCGTTCCTTATTATTTGTTTAGCCAGCGCAGTGTCTTTGCTTTTGCACAGCTTTTGCTTACGACGTACATTAAACTCTATTATTGCCGCCGATAACCTCACATATACTGTATCGTATATGCATGTCTTCTGGGTACAAAGCAACCCTTGGTCGAGCTTTTCATAAAAAGAATCCAAATTTGTTTTAGACGCTGATCATGCTGCGCGAAAATGTCTATCATTTTTTTTCAAAGGCTTACCATTATCGTGGGCGGCGTGAGATATGTCTGGCGTTGGAATATGCCGCGATACTTTCTGAAAGGTTACGTTACAAAATCAAACCCGAAACTCGTCGTCTAGCTGAGCTACTATACCAACACTATTCTTTGAAACTTTGGCTCTCGGTCCGGAGGGACCTTGGCCAACCACATCTGTTTTAGTCTCTTGTCTTCTACATGCACATCGCCAAGGAAAGAGAAAGCACCATGTCTTGCAGGCCGCAGAAGGACTAATGCGCTGCATCCTTGAAGCCAGTAGATCCTATCACCCTCCTCCGCAAAATCTGGCACCAACGCCAAAAAGTCGGCTGCAGCAGCGACGGCTTTGCTCACTAACATGTCCTCTATATGAACTTTGACAGTGGCCCAGTCGCTCGCTTCTAATGGTCGTGGCCTAGCATTCATTGGTAGATCACTGAAGTCAGTGTGCCACTCCGGGTCAAAATTTGCCGACCTCTTCATTGACAAGAGTCTCAAGAAAACTTTTACTATGGCCATATTACAATCCATGACTGTCGTACCGTATCGAGCTGTGGCCGGAGTAAATAGGTCCATGAATTGTTCTAGTCTTATTTTCCAATGGCAGGTACTGTCGCGAGTAGGAACGAGCTTGTTCCGGTAATTTAGAGTAGACTGCTGTTTTGTCAAGCCAGGTAGAAGTTCGCATTCAAGATGCGTTTCCAACAGAACAGCTAGCTCGAGCCCCATCACCCTAAGTTCTGAGAGGTCCAGAGAAAATATCGCGTATGGGGATTTTGTTCCATTCATCATTGCGTTTTTAGAGTAGATGACTGAACGTGACTCCAATCTCCAATCAGGAACCCATGAGGGTAACTGTGGATGCCATATCGAGTGTTGCGATTGTAAAATTATGTCCAAGGACATTGCCTCTTGGACGGCCAACTTCACCACCAACTTGAATAGCTCCTCTACCGGTAGGGTATAGTCGACCGAGACCGATTTCCTGAAATTACCAGATGTGAGCGCCATGATAGAATAAACCATGTCATGACCGAGTTTGCAAAGCCGTAGCCTATTCCCACGTAGCCAGACCGATACCGGGAACTTGTACGTAGTGTCCATAACAAACCTCTCCCGATCGCAGACTAGTTCAAAAGCACGATGACAGTCGACTTTTTTGCTGGCAAAGTAGACTCCTTTGAGTGGGGGCTTTAAACCAGCTTTCATATTCAAAAATCGGACGTGTGTCGCCCTAGCAATACAGATTGCTTTCTTCAGATCGTCCCAAGGTATTGAAGTGTTTCCGCAGAGGACCAGAACGGAATTTGCGACAAGCACTTCCTGGAGTATCCATGCTCTCCGCCACCAACTTCTGCTCAGTAACCGATGCAGTGCGCTCCAGCAAGGTATGTTGGCTTTCACAAGCAGGTGCTCTAAGGACGAGAGACAATTTAAAGGAACCGTATATATAGCACCGTTGTATTTTGGACAAGCGAGTTTGGATATGTCCTTGGCGAAAGAAATACCTAGCTCGCTGTCGAAAGTCGATTCTCCCAGCCATACGATGACTTGACTGGCATTCGCAAAAATTCGATGCATCTGCCTGATCTGGTTCGCCTTTTCGCCAGCGTTATGCTGGTCAATACAGATAGAATCGATCCAGACATTGCGCGGCCGATCCAAGTGTCGAAGGCGGCAGAGGACTTGTCCCACAGTCCTTGATACCATACATGTGTGCCCGTTAAGACATATTTGCTGGTCATGCGCACCCTCCCCCCAAGCGTATGAAATCGCTTCATATTCGGGGCCAAGGTACATTTCAGGTGTATTGTTTGACCGAAATACGGATGGCTTTAGTTCTCGGCGCCAGGATAACTTGGCCCTTCGTCGGAGCTTCGAGGCAGAATTCTGTGTCTTTGTCGGCAATTGTCGGTGCCATCGCGTGCGGGTAGACTTTCGCAACATTTCTTCAGGCCAGAGGACATTGTGCAAAGTGCATATGACTGGGAAATCGCCGCTACCGGGGAGTATTGTCAAGACACGGAAGTCCCCTCGTCCGTCATCGCGAAGAGGGTAGAAGGTAAATGCTTGGTTGCGAGGCATGGCGTTTCAACGTAGACTTGGTCTGCAACATTGGCAGCTGGACTAGTGAGACTCGTATCACATGCTCTGTAGAACAGGAACAAAAATACCGAAAAGGCTATGGCTTCTTGTAAACGCAACGAAAGACGGAGAATGAGAGGGCTTGGATCGTTGTAGCGCAAGGCAGTGAGGAGAAGCCCCGCAGTGCCGCAGCACATCTCTGTCCAATCATTCCAAACTTGTGCAACTGCGAGACCCCGCAGCGCCTCACAAACTGTTGCAAAGTATCCGCAGCCTCCGGTTGCGTCGGACGAACGACGTGTCTGCGGAAGTTCCTAATCGCATCACACAAACATATGATGAAGCGCGCTAGGCTAGTTAGTGATTTTTGTCTCCATCGTAGTACGTCGTAAAGCTCGTCCACGAACAGGCACCAACCAAGTGCGGAGTTTAGAAGCCTCATTTCCTATCCGCCATAAAACACCAAAAATATGTTTCACTTGTTACAACTCCTTACTACGGGACCCTTAAGTCTTAAGTCTTAACGGCTTTTTTCTCCTCTGAAAACCCGGCTTCTATCGCAGGAGCAACCTTTTTGATATTCCCTAAAGAGCTAGGAGGAAAAAAAGAAAAAAAATCGACAACAGGAGGATTCGAACCTCCGCGACCGAAGTCATATGATTTCGAGTCATACCCATTAACCACTCTGGCATGTTGTCATTGAATGATACAAGTACTCTGTTGCTAGGATTGTATATAGTATGACGGGTGAGGCCTAGTGGCAATCCGCTGAGGTCCTAAAGGCAACAATGTTGTTGCAACCAATAGATACGCTGAAACTCCCAGGCCATTCCCAAGTTTATCAAGTCTGAAACTGGTTCTTCTGACATTCAAGTCGTACTAACAATAACCTACGAAAACCGCTGCTTCGATGCGTGTTCTATTGACATCGTTGTGGTAATCAGTTCAAGTCTATGCCGCTTTTTCCCTACGGAAATTCAACTGGCGAATGTGTTCGCCCTAAAGCATCTGATTCAAGGTTGCGATAAAAGGGTATGTCTAGCAGCGTGCTGCAATGCGATTCATGGCGTTAGTGGTGCTTACACGGTTAGCTGGATCGTTTTACATGGCTTTCATCGCATACTCTTCCTCGTGTCGATGGAAACCTAGGGCGTATCGCTGTGATATACTTGTTATCAAAGCTCATAGTACTTGTTGTATTTTCAGCTGTATTTACAGAAAGCAGATTGATTGTCTTTATTAATACATTGCACCATAAAAAGGTTGAAGTGATCTAAGAAATTTGTCTTCGTGGACCTCTGTTCATCATCTGAGGACCTGTCCTCCAAAAGCTCCAATTACCGCTACCCCACCGGCATAAAAGCAAGATGGCAGGCACGGTGGCATCAACAGCAACAGCTCACGCCGCGGTTAGCCCTAATGGCAGCCTAGAGTTTTACGCTTTCCTTTGAAGCCACGGTCGAGATTTGTGGGCGAGTATTTTGCAAGCATTTTTCAGACCTTCCCACCATGAGGCAGAGGTGGGTGGAGAGACTGTCACACGAATGGCGATCAGGGATGTTCTCAAGCTGGCAATCCAGAAGACAGATGGTAGTGTGTATGCTAAATCGCTGGCCATGCCGCCATGATCAAAAATTAGACAATGGATGATGCTACACATTTCCGGCAATCTTACTATTGTCCTAAAAGACTTTCGCATACCTTTTCCAGGCGTTTTGTCTCTTCCTTCTCGACTCAAATTCGCTGATGACCGGTCGCTCATCGAGACCCGTCAACGGTGATACTCTACTTTCGCTTCCAATAATTTGAAAGAAGAGCAAGGCGAATTTTGCGATTGCATACTTAATCTGATCTTATTAAGACTGCATAATTTTGATCCTATCGCCGATTCAAGAACACCCCTGGCAAAATATCTTAGAGACGGGGGTGCCTGTGAACCTTTCCCACAGCCACATACGAGTAGTATCGAGTGCAGTGTCATCGAACAGGCTGTATCATATCAGATTAGCTTGTCTGAAAAAACCTGCGGGTTGGCACGGCCGTTGGGCATCTGTTTTCTCTGACATTGCTGTCAGTTTGTTAGCAGCGAGCTGTAGATTAAATGTGTAAGTACTTGCGTTTGATTTGAGAACATCTCTGGCAACTCTTTATATAAAAAGGGGGCGCCTGCGCAATTAATACAGCCAAATACAGATCTGCCCTAGTCTGACAAAGCTGTATAAATAAAAGCTAACAGTTTGCAAAGCGCAAACGAGAGGGTAACCGTAAGTTTTTTGCAACAACATTCACAAGGGTGATTAGCCTAAATTGTATCATGCGGCTTCAGAAAGAACTTCATCTCGCAAAAGCAACAGCCGCACACCATTTCTTTCCTGACTGCGGGAGGTGCCTCCTGCTACCCCTTTGGCTTTGGGGAACGTGCCATCCGTTTTTCTCCGTACGGTTTCGTCACTTGGAGCGAGTATCCGCCTTTTCACTGGGTGAAAGTAAAGCAGGATGCAAGCCCTCCTAACAGGCTACCATTGGCGATGTAAAGTATGGTGTAGAAAATGGTGCCGAAGAACCTCTCCACGGTGTTAGTTATATCAGATCAAGCCCTCTCATATTTTTTGATCTTATGTCGCTATTATCGAAGACATCGTGATAGACGGAGCTTTGAAAACTCTCTTAGATTGTAATGCTGGTTTGGCGTGAAGTTGCTTATCTTCGAAGTTGTGCCAAAAACAAGGAAGAAACGCGGCTGGCTATCCTTCTATCGTGTTGTCTCTGACCACAGCTGCTGCTGCCCTTCCTTGAAAGGGTGTTCTGGCTCCCATCTAGTAGAGCTTTTGCTTCGTCGGTCGGTCGCGTGCTGTTGCCTTGCCCAGAAAAGTTGATGTGCCACTAATTAGAGGGAGGCATACGAAGGAGCGCTTTGCGCTGCCGGCTGTTATATAAAGTCGACCCGGCTGACGTGACAATAGCTCTCGACACATGAATCACGCCCCTGCTGCCCCCCCAGCAAAATATAGCACGCCAACTAAACCCGACTAAGACGAGGAGGAGAGCGCCTGTGAAGATGAAGGGGATGACGGCACGAACTCAGACGAAAGACAAGACTTCGACCAGACTTACTTGGGCTCTTAATTCCGCCCGCCCCCGATCTCATCCCCTGCTGCCGCGCCTGAACTGACCCCTGCTCCCGAGCCGGAGCAGACCTAGAACACACTCACACAAGAGCCACTCAAATCGGCCTAGCGCAGCCCTTGCGACTGCGTTATCTACTTGCGTCTCGTGGTCCAGGTGGTCCGGGTTGAGGCAGTCTTGGTCGAACGTATTTGCTACTAGGACAAGAAGCTCTTCCTCGGCCGTGGTCTTTAATATGAGTGACTGTATTGGGAAAGAGTGTATGGATTTGCAGGTCTGGATAAATTTTTAGGATATTTATGCTAGAGAAATCGAGAGTTTGCACAATTAGTATCGCATAATCCATATGCCTCGTTTTTACAACTCGCGTTTGTTGCATATTTTCAAGTTGTAACCTGATTAACCTTTGTAGTGTTACGGAGTACGGAGTACATACGTGCCAATTCATAGATTTGCAAGTCCAGAAGTATAAAAGTCGTATACGCTTACAAGCATTTCTCGAATCATCACCTATCACGGCAACAGTTGCTTGGATATGGCGTCAGAAACGTCAATTATTTGTAAACAAAACTAAAATTAAACTTTCAGAGGCCTCTTATGCAAGCCATCTCTAAATCGGGTGTGAAAGTAAGATCGTGATGAACGCCAGTCGTTATCCACAAAAGAAAGCACCCCAAGACATCCACCAAGGATATTATACGCCGTCGACAAGATTGCCAAATGTGTTGTTGTTGTTGTTGGTTGTAGTAACAGTATCCAGTAGGACTATTGTCTACTCCTTCTTCCAGCCCAGGATGTTCATCAGACTTGTGCGCGGGTCTTCAGAAGCGCCCTCGAACACACGCTTCCGCGATGCTTCGCTCTCCGGGGTGTTGTAGGTGGAGAAGTACCGGTCGAAGGCCTGGGACTCCCGCATGAGCTGCCTGCGCACGTAAGTAGCCACTCCAGTGACTGCGCCGACTGTGACGAGTGTTGGGACGACCCTGAGAAACAAACGGTGTTAGTGGCGAGTTCTCTGATTGGTTCACGGCCGCTGTGTGGATGTGGAGGACTTGTGAGTTACATACTTTGCTGAGATGGCAGACATGGTGATGTTTGTACAGGATAGGTTGTGTTTTTGGTAGGGGATGAAAGGTGTTTATAATAGAAATGCAGTGGGTGGGTTGACGGTGTTCTGATATGGTAGAGGATCTCTTGACAAGTTGCTCGATTGGTGCTGATGAACAGGAGAGCCTCATGCCAGAATGAAGAGGCCTGGCAGGGGCCTTTATACAATGCATTCACGGCTGGCCGTCTCTGGCCGTCGCCCAGAGCTTCCTTACGGCCGCCGTAGAATTTTCGAATTATTCCGATCGCCGTTGGACATCGCGTGTCACTGACGATTTTCCATCGCGATGGCTCAGCCAGGCTCTGCTGGGTTGCCCCATTTTGTCGCCAAATCTTGCCAGAGTCTGGTGCTCTGGCGGCGCTGTGGCGTGGTCGGGCAGTCCTGGGCCCTGTGGCCCTGTGGCCGCCTGGTCAAGCGACCTGTGGGGGACCAGGGCTGACAGGGGGCGCTAGCCCGTTCGGTCAAGGGGCTCTTCGCTGGTGTCTGCCGACGTCATATTGGGCAGACAGGTGGTGTGACCGAACGACAGGCCTGTGGGCCAGCCTGTGACAACCTGTGGAATAGGTCCTGATAGCCTATAGCAGGCCAGGCTCAGTCAGCTTTTCCCCGCGGTCAGCGTCAGTACAGAAGCCCCCCGTCATTCCGGGGTCTCCCGCCTATTGGCACCACAACATGCCACATGTTAGGAAATTTGCGGACGGCGGCCACATCTAGGAATAGAACGCAGATCAGACCAAAACACATGACAAAGGGCTTCCAGACGTCCCGCTCCGCCGCCCCCTGAACGAGCTTGTGTCACTGAATATTTTTTGTGTTTTTGCCGAGGTCGAAAAAGCTGGTTGCCAGTGGAGCTCCCCATTGGTCAATGGACGTCGACGGTGAAGAGGGCAGGAAGCATCTCGAGACGCGGTGGCTCAGCGAGCCAAAGGCAGCATTATGTCGCAGCTGAACCGCCGTCTCGGCAGCCGGCATGTCTACGAGTATGACTCGATTACAAACAAGCGGTGCTACGTGCCGAGAAACTACGGAAGCAGGATTGCGAAAGTCACATGACCAGATCCGTTCTAATTTCGAGTAATGACATCGTATGTAATAGGGGCAGGAGATTGATGCAAAGAGCTCGAGATTGCGGACTTGTCGCACTGCAGGATGAGCCCACAAACGAGTCAAGGCGGGCCCTCAGGAGGCCACGGACCACTTCAAGGGCATCTCGAGGGCCCGGTGTCGTCTTGTTCTTCATGCCGACGTGTCGTCTTGTTGATGCGGGAACATGTCGCAGGACCAATTGTTCCGGGCCACACTCAACACTGGCGATGCCGTGCCTTCATGGTCAGCTTCTACGTCGACTCCAAGGCAGTGCAGGCTGTGACATGGACTGCTTAGACATCGAGCGAGCATGGAACGAACAGCGACACACCTCTCTGCATGCTCCTAATCCCACGTCGCTGCTCTGCGACCTGCAGCGCATCGACAGTCGCAAGCTGTTCTTTGATGTAGCCGTGTGTGACTCGAGTACGTCCGCTGCGAGGGAATATGAATGGCCATGCAGGAAGGGGCGAAGATGTAGATGGGCATGTAAGTGCATGTATGGTGGTGGGCGTGTAGATGCGCATATGTACCAGCCAACAACGAAGACGGTTGTCCCGTTCCTTCGCCTTGCAATACACACACTCTCAGGCTCTTTAACCAAACATGACAGACGATTGCCTCACACACCAGTCCTGGGCCTGCTGCAGCACCCTCCAGTCCTGGGACCGCGGATCGAGGCCGGTGCTGGTCTGCAGGGCGTGAGCCGTCTGTCGGAGGCGGTCGCAGCTGTCGGTCGGGTCCGAGATCCCTGTCTTCTCTTGTCTGTTGGCTGCTGCTGCTGCTGCTGCTGCTGCTGCCGTGCGTAGAAAGACCCAGACGGACTCGCCCGTCCAGTGCAGCGACGCGGTCATGTGCAGCACCTGGGACAGCGTCTCGTCGAGAACCGTCACCACGACGGTCTTGGACAGCAGGAACAGCAGAAAGGACCAGCCGGAGGTGTCGTCATGGTGGCGGAAGCACCAGTCGTGGACGGGCGGCAGGAGAGCAGCGACAGCCGCATCGACGTCGTCGCCTCGGAGCGTCGTCACCAGCCACCGGGCGTGGTCCCAGGCATAGTAGTTGCGCGGGTGGCGGACGGCAGCGACCATGATGACGTCGACAACGTCACGGTGGCACGCTTGTGCTTGGTGGTCGTGCAGCGCCACGAGCCAACGCCGGTGACTCCAAAGCGTCGGCGACTTGGTATGTCGGTGCAGGTGGCTCGTGAGCAGGCTGTCGACCAGACGGCACTCGGCTGCCAGGAGAAAGCCGCGGGTGGTGGCGGCGTGCGACGATAGGATGATGCGTTTGCGCGTGTTGGCGGCCGTCAGATGCTCGGGGTCGAAGAGGAGGATGACGGCCGTGGCCGCCATGATGTCGTCTAAGGACGAGGGTGAGGTCGAGGCATTGTCAGCGTTGGCTGCTGTCGTCCCTTGGTATTGCTGCAGGATCCGTCGCGCGACGAAAAAGGCCTGCACCAGGGCCAGCTTGAGGATGGCCACGGAATTGCCGTCACGGAGGAAAAAGTTGCTGTTGCTGTCGCCGTCAGACGGGACATCCGAAAGAGTATGACCACGGCCGAGGAACTCAATGTCGAGGAGTTCGTCGGACGGCGACGACGACGGCTGTGTCAGGACGCCCGCAATGGCTCGGTAGGCTGCTGTGGGGTCGCCCAATTGCAGAGCGGCCACCGTCTCCTTGTCGAGGGCCCGGGACATTGTTGAGTCGACGATGAGGTTACAGACAGGTGGGTCAGCCTGTTGAGTGGCGAGGCACAAAAGGCTGTAGCTGTTCTGAGAGATTAGTCAGCATTCTCACCAAATTTACAGGCCGGCAACTTCTGTTACAACCGTCTCGTTCTCGGCGACACGGAACTTCAATTTTTACGGAGTACTCTGTACCGAATCCTCTTCTTATTTGTTTTCTCATGTCCACAAAAACAGGCGAAGCGGTCTAGTCATAAGGAAACAGAAAGAGGTGTTTGCCAATAGGATGCATCCGCCAAGCGCAGCTGATTTTTAGGGTCCAAGATAAAAGCCTACATATAGACGCCCGTCTCCTATCCTCTACTATGCATCGCTTCTTCTTCCTGGTGACTTTATTGGAAAAATTTCTACCTTCTGATGTAGAAGCTATGTGGTGTTAGCAATGGCTTCGGTTCACAAGCAGGACTGATCGCTTACATAATCCACACTGAGATGCCCGCCAGCAAGGGCACACCCACGCCGACAGTCACCCCGATGACGACTCTCTTGTTTTCTGGAGACAGGCCATGGTGGTCGGATGAGGTGCCATCGGCCTTGCTGCTGCTGTTGCCGCTGTTACCTCTGTTGCCGCTGCTGACACTGCTGCTGGAGGCCGTGGCAGTCGACACAAAGGACGTCGGCGTGCCAGAAACGAACAGGCTGATGGGCTTGGCGTTGGTTCCGAACGCAATGGGCGTGACAGCGGTGGCTGTTGACTCTGGCCATGTAGCGTCCGAACCCAGGGGCACCACTGTGACGCTGGTGCTTTCGGCTGTGACCACGGTGGTCGACTGCAGCGACACCGGGCAGTTCACAAGGCCAGCCGAGCGGCAGCCGACAGCCAAGTACGTAAAGGTGGTTCTGATGGTGGAGGTGACGGAGTCGCTGGCCCCATTGGCCACGGCAGCAATGGCAGCCGTGGCCGTTATGCTCGACAACGTGGTAGGGGCGCACTGGCTGGCAATGGTTTCCCACACAGGCAGCAACGCTTTAAGAGGAGGTGGATTCCAGGTGTGACCGCCGATTTCCAACTCGACGCCAGCGTTGGCGCCAATAGCATACTGGAAGATCTCTTCAGCAAGCACAGCGCAGTTGTCGACATTATTTCTAACCCTGACAGTAAAGTCGGCGATGTCGGCAAAAAGGGAGAAGCCGACACCGGCGTAGAAAGGGATGTCGATACCAAAGATAGTGACGTCGCTATCTTGCGAGGTGTATACACTTGCCATTGCTGTCACACGTAAGCGGGCGTTTATTGTAGCACCAGAATCATCCTGTACAGCAAGTGAAAAGAGCTCATAAGCGCCATTGTTACTACAATGTTAGCAAGAGAGTCGAAGGTAGGGGGGAAGACAAAGCCTTACAAATCAATGTTGGACACGCTTTTTCCAAAGAAGTCGACGGTCATAGCCAAGCCGTCGGCCAGCTTGACGTGGAAGCCGGTCTCACGATTCACAGCCCCGTCGACGTCTATGAAAAGGCTCACGAACACCGTGACCTTGAGCTCAAGGTTGTCACCAACATTTATGTCCAACGGTACTTCGGATTTGTACAGGGTTTGCTCATAGCTGGCCTTGCCGGTAATATTCGTCTGCAACTGCACAAACACCTCGAGCTGGTCAAACGTGTAGGTGACCTGGCACTCTGGAATGCTGCTAATTTTGAAATCAAAGTCGAGGTCGACTGTAGGCATCGGAAAGTTTTTGATGTCGGTCTTGAACGTGGCCATTGTGAGATTCGAAACAGAGTTTTCAATGTCTTCAACGACCTGTGCTGTCATGTTTTCAACCCCGTTGGCATACGATTGTGCCTGCGAAATAATGACCGAGCTGGCGTCGGACGCATCCGGTATGACCAGCTCCGCCGTTGCGGTGAACTTGACGTAGCAGGTTTTACACACGACAGTGGCCCTGACATCGGCGCTCAATTCATTGGTTGTGGCTTTTGGGATGGCTAAAGGGAACTTACTGTGTGATGCTGTAAACAAACTGCTCTTCCCTACATTTGTGAAGGAGAACCTACCCTCTAAACAACTCTTGTCGATGTAGTTCTTGTTGATCACCGTCGAGTTCCTGTATGTTTGCGTCCTCTTAGTCAGCAAATCCCCTCGCAATGCCCGATGGCCACTCAGTGCCTGTTCGTTTACGGGGGCAAATCCGAGGCTAGGTACGGCTGTGGCCGTGGCTAGGAGACAGCCAGCGGCAGCGGTAACCATCAGAAGCTTGTTTAGGAGACGCATTGTCTGAAAGTTTGATAGGCTGTTTGTGTGGGTTTGTGATAGAGCGGAAGATGAGGGTCCGAAGAGCGAGATGCTTGCACGACTGCCATTTGTCCAACAGGGCTTGTCCTCACCTCTTATCATAACTTGTCGAAACTTAGCGAATGATGGCACATGGGTATCGTATCAGTTGTGATGGGCCACCATATCCGTCGTAGCTCTGCAAACCTGAAATTAGCCGTATGCGTCGAGGCAGAAGGCGTAATCGAGGCTTGCAATATTGCAACCAGCCCTCCTGCACTGCTACGCTCCGTCCGTTGTGCTGATACCATATAGGTGGGGAAAGTACGCAAGGCTGGCGATGTCTCGAGCTGACCAATGAACTTCAGTGTGTTCGCCCGTGTCAATGTGCAACTCGGCCGCAAACGGAACTCTATCCAGTATTACCATGAATCCTTCAGACAGGGCCAGTGTTCCCTGGATGAGACGCTGTTATCCAACTATGATCACGAGCCGTCTTTTTGCATATCTCAGGTATCACAGCATGAGCATGAGATTAAAGAAGTATTAGGTGGCTTGGATGCGACAACGTCATTGGCAGAAGCTGGGGCTGAATGAAAGCTGCCACATTTACTAAAATCTTACACACGTAATTTACGCGAGCCAAGACGCCATGAGCATGTGCTCGTAATTTGACGACGAACTGTATGCGAGTCAGCAGCGTGACCGAAGATTCTGCACAAGGCTTGCAATATTACATGGGTCGTCATAGGACGACACCAGCAAGGTATCTTGGACCGGATGATACATCAGAAAGTGCATTGTCAGCCTCGTAGTAGCTTGTACAGTCCGGCCGGCGTAGACGCTGTAGCTTGGACCTCGTCGATATGGAGCTAAAATAGCGAGAGCGTACTATGTACATTGTCTTGGGTAAAAAGGGGGAAGTGCGCAGGCCAGCATACGGAGTACAGTACAGAGTAAATGCACAACCCTCCATCTACGTGCCGGACGCCTTGTAGGCCCCTACATACTGCACACGGAAATTGTGCAACGGCGTCGCTTCAGCCTCGGGTACTTTCATTGCGCGGAGAATGAAACGGTTTAGGTGGTGAGGCAGGGCCGGTGATGACAATTGATAAAACGCTAACTAGACGATAAATAGCTAACCCATCTTAGAATTCCTTTCTCTCTTGCAGTGCCTCTTTTGTTTGAGAAGACACCGGGACCCTTTGCCGACTTTTGGATTCGTCGGCTTTTCCGTCTGTGCATACATTCGGTGCTCGAGGCGTGCGCCCGTGTCAATCGTCTCACTCATGTCGTCCACTAAGGTGTCACCGTAGGTTCAGCCATGGCTCCGGCGGCGATGTCAAGACTTCCTTTCGAAAACGATGGAGCCGTTGGAATTCGTCCGGACGGCAAAGAGCTATATTTATGTATTAGTCATAACCATGCCTGCCAAGTTGAAATTATTCCTTGCCTTCTTTACACTCGGGGGCTCAGGCTGGGACAGAGCTTTTGGCAATTTATCTTGCTGGCCTGTGGGTGCGAAAGTCTGGTCTTCTATGCGTTAGAATGCTTTTCATTCCTTCTCTCTGTTCTTTTTGCAGCGCAAGCCTTTCTTGTTCTACTTCTCGCCTTAGTGACTGGTTACCTTCTTGCATCGTCGGACTGAAATAGGACGCACCGGTTATCCCGAATCTTTCTCGTATATTTTTGCCGGCAGAGGCCCAAATCTCGTTCAAATATTTTGATATATTTGCATAGTCGTCAGCATACTCGTTTTCAAACTTTGGCAGATCGTTATGCGTCCGGTTCAAGGGAACTGATACGACTATAGAGTTGTTTGGAAAAGCGGCACCCGCAGAAGTAGGCGGCACGAGCATTGCTGTTCGACCAGAAGGGCGCAGATTTCCTGATTCGTCTTTCTCTAAAACGTTGGTAGCTTTCGTCTCATAAATGGAAACCACTTGGGAGTTTTGGTATATGAATTTTTCCCGAAATGCCACATCCAGGCTTTGTAGATGACGGGAGTTAGGCCCTAGATCCTGGATCAGCGCTGTATTTGGCGCCTTGCCGACCAGAACAAGAAAATCATGGACAGGCATGCCGTGATGCGGAACGCCGAAAAAAACAAATCCGTGTACGCATCCGGCGTTGATTTTGTCCTTTTCGAGCATGTAATTTATAGCCTCTTTCACAACGAGTCCACCATAGCTGTGGGCGATGAACACGATTGGACGCGGATTGTTTTTATTAATCCAGGGCCGAATAGTCTGGATTTTTTGACCCAAACTCATGCCGATGTCCGAAAGGACTTGGAACGATTCGTCTCCGACAAGCTTTGTTTCATAGCCGTACAGCAGCTTTCGTACAGTTGAGGGTGTTGAATTGGTGTCGTCCAATAGCCACATGAAGTCCTCGCCCTTCGCCTTCCATGAACCATATGGATGGCCGCCGATGCCGCTGAGAATAATGCAGTCGATTTCAGGTGTGGTAGACTGCGTATCGGGATTGCTAAGCGGAGTAAATCAGATAAGGTTCATGTCAACCACAAGTTTGACGGGTCGACGCGAACTGCCTGTGCAACTTAGATCTTTTCTAAAAGTCCCTACTTTCATACCACAAATGGCTCCTAAGCTGACCGGGATGCTGGGAAACGACACGAGGGCAACGAGCTCATTCCGACCAGGATGCGGACTTGGAGCAAGAGAGCGGACCGTCGGGTCGATATTGTCGAAAACCTCTTTCAAGATCGATTCTACTTCTGCTAGGGTCGAGCCCGCCGGCAGACCTTGGACTCTGTACACATGGTATTGGCGACTACTGTACCTTAGCAGGGCATTAAGCATGTGCAAACCGGGTGGAATAGCGCATCTCACCTTTTGGCAGGCTCTGACGACATCGTGTATCAAGAATGAGATATGTTTCGGTGCCTGTGATTATGTTGGAACGAGGGAGTGGTCTGTATCATGTGTTCGGATTGATTAATGAACGAAAGTAAAGATGAAATCGGAAAAGGATACACGCAGGATCCCTACTTTGTATCCGTTCTCTCTCCTTCTTCTTCATTACCAATTGCCTTGGGCGCCAATCCAGAGAGGCCGCTTGCTATTACCATATTGTAGCTCTTGGGCACCATTTCATGCGTCATAACAGCCATATGTATGTGACCCTACATTGCACAGGCCAATAAAGGTCTCAAGGCCAGCGGATTCTTCACTGCTGGCACCATCGTACTTCCTGTGGCTCACAAGAGTGGTCTGCCAAGCCCAACCGTCGTTACTTTCTAGCAATATGCTTCGTCCATGTTGCTGATAGGATTTTCCCCAAACTTTGGGATAGAATGAAATCATGCCAGCAACACGGTAAGCTTGTACAAGTACTCGACTCTCGACAAATCGTTGGAAGAAAAGGAAACGAGCCTTCGTACAGGTACCCGCCAGGAAGGTGGCCACATAGATCATCTGAGTATCAGGCTGTCCGAACCGCAGTTCAAGCGCTTTCGGAAGCGCCATTAGTCCATGTACGAGCACATGTTGTTTACTCAATGAGAAGTACAGGGTAAGCTAATATTCTTCACTGGTATTATTGCCATATGCATGAAGTGAGACGGGGGAAAATCGGAGGATAAGAACTTGAGCCTCATAATAGGGCCCAGCCTCATACGGAGTAGTCGTACCGAGACCCGCTTTTGAAGTACTACACTGTGCCTAGGTGTGGCGAAAGCACCCCTCCTAAGGCATCCAGGCAGCAACGGACGCCATTTTAGCCCATCGCAAAGAGGACAGCCAAGCGGAAGAATTGCGAAGAGCAGTGACGACGGCACGCAGTCAACAGCCATGCCTTCCCTCCTGCTGGTGGTGTTTCTCGTCGAGCTGGCCATTCAGGTGGTCAACTCGCTCGGGGCCGATACGATTTCGAATGCTGTATGTGTCGAGTCTTGCGTCTGGCCCTCTTTCTCTGTTCTCTCTAACTCTCCCAGCTCTGGAAGGTCTACTGCTGCATCCCATCGCGGCGCTCAGCCGTCACCGAAGAGCAGCGGAAGCTGCAGCTTGATTATCTTGAACTGCGTCGCGAGCTGCATGCGACCAGCAGCCAGGACGAGTTTGCCAAATGGGCGCGGCTGAGACGGCAGCACGACAAGCTGTTGGAGCAGCTGGAGGCAAAAAGTGCGTGTCCTCTGCCCCTCTCCGGTTGTCTTCGCTCCCCCCCTAACAAGGCCAGAATCGTCTCTCGACACCGGCCGCCGGTCCTTTGACTCGGTCGTCACGGTCTCCCGGCTCGTGCTCACGCGCGGACTGCAGTACTTTTTGCCGTTCTGGTTCGCCCGGGCGCCCATGTTCTGGCTGCCCCACGGCTGGTTCCCCGGCTACGCCGAGTGGCTGCTGGCGTTTCCTCGAGCGCCCCGCGGCAGCGTCAGCATCACGTCGTGGCAGCTGGCCTGTCTGGGCGTGCTGGTGCTGCTGCGCGACACGGTGCAGGCGCTGCTGGCGCTCTCGGCAACGACGGAGACGAAGGACAAGACGCCGGCGGCCAGAGAGAGCCCGGTGGCCGCGCAGAAGGCGGGCTAGAGAGGCCGGGAGAGGGCGACTTTAGAAAAGGGTTTACGAACAGCGGAAAGGAAAGAACGAGGAGACGTCTACGATGGACATGAACTACCATACAAGCAATACAAGAAAAACAGCAGAAATGTCTCTCACAATTTTGACGCAGTAGTTCTCCATGGTAGCATATAGAGGTCCTGCAACACGAAGTGAGATGACTCTTGGCAGAGTGCTTGGGTTCGCTCTGGGCAACAGATTGACTCTATCGGCCACGGTAAAAACGTTTACTTCCTCGAGGGAAGGCCGACAAAGCTTCGAAAGTGCCCATGACATCACGGTGGGATTGCATGCAGGTGACAAAGAAAAAGTAGAAGGCGCATATACAAACCGCTGCGAGAATGGACCCTGTAGCTGGTCAGATTCTCGACGCACTCGAGTGAGAGGCAAATTCATTCTAGACTTATGGAATGGTTTGGTTATGATTCTCGCAAGTCCAATTCGATTTTTTTTGGCTGCAGAGCTTTTTATGTCCAGAGAGCCCCACTATTCAAGCAAGTTATCATATCACGTGCTTGAAACACAGGCCAGATACACCGCTTACAAGACGCGCTGTGATTGGACAGAGCACGAACTGCTCAAGGAAAGGCTGTGACGACGTCTGATGAAGGCATTCCGGGCAACGGCGAGAGCACTCTATTGCCAGCGAGAGCACTTGAAAAAAAGCCGCCAGATGCGAAAAACTACGTCAAGGCCATCGGTATATCAGTTCACGTAACAGTTGGGAAGGGGTGTGACGGAGCGAAGTGTGAGAGCAATTCGGCTCGTCCTCGCAGTCATGGTGATTCCGTGGGGAACGTGAGTGTTGTTCTGGACCTTTTCATCGCATGTCCCGGGCTCTGCTGACATGTGCCAGAATCCAGTCGCTGCTGCTCTTTTTTGGGCCGCTGCTGCTGCCGCGCGCCATTGCGCTGTACCGGAGCGTCCAGGCAGCCGCAGCGCGTCAGCAGCAGCAGCAGCAGCAGCAGGCGGGTGGTCCTCGGGATGTGGAGGGGACTCATCGGCTGCGGTGGCGCGCGGCGGCGGTGCTGGCGGTGCTGGCGGCGGCGGCCGTGAAGGGATTCTGGCGGGCGGGCGTGCTGGGCGGCAGCGTGGTGTCGCCGCTGGCCGAGAACATCTTTGTGGCGACTGCGTCGCGGCTGCAGACGCCGACGGACGTGCTGTTCACGCGGCTGGCAGCACGGCGGCCGGGCCGGCTACTGACGGCGGCCGACGAGGCGCTGCGAGCACGTCTAGTCAGCCTAGACTCGCGGCTACTATACCTACAGTTCGGGCCGGACGTCCTGGTCGGCTGTCCGTTCTGTGCAGATGGCGGCGACGGCAGCAATGGCAGCAGCAGCAGCAGCAGCAGCACGACGGCGTACCTGTGCTATGCGCTCGTCGACCTGGCCGCCCAGCACCTGACGACGCTGGTGCTGATCGCCCTGGCGACCTCGCCCTTGGTGGTGTTGGGGCGCAGAGGTGGTGGCGGGAGGGCTAGCGGATCGGGAGCACCAGGATCCGACAGGACTGACCTCGCATACGATCTTGCTGCGGCTCGCACTCGCCGCTGGCGCACGCCTGCTACCGTGGCTACGCTGCTGCTGGCTGCTGCCGACATGGCACTGCTGGCCACGTACAACCACCAGGCCAATGCCCGGGCCACCCGGCTGGCTGACCTCGACTGCTTCTTCTGGACGATGCAGCGCGTCCGCGGTCTTGTCAGCGGCCTGCTGCTCGGCGGCCTGGGCTTGCTGCTCTACTGCGCTGTCAGCGGGTGGGCACCCAATCGCCCGGCTGGCCCCCTCCTCCGACTCTTCCTCTTCGGACCGCTGCCGGCTGAGAGCCCGGCTGAACGGATCACCACGACCGCGCGCGCCCTGGCCACGACCCGCAGCCGGCTCAACGCTGCTGCCATCGTCAAGAATACGGCGCTGCGCGACGTCGAGCTTCGGGCTCGCACCCAGGCGTATTGGGCGCGCGAGGTCGCCCTCGTGGCCGAGGCCATGGAGGAACGCGACGTCATCGAGGGCATCAACGACGCGCTCGAGAACCGTCTGGACATGCGACAGATTGAACACGACGCCGACGTGTACGTGCAGAATGTCGTGCCGCTGCGAGGTGGAAGTGAGAGAAGTGAAGGTGGTGATGCCGGTGCATAGACTCAAACAGCCATTACACTAACCTCCGCTATAGTATAACTTGTGTCCTGCCGAGGACTTAGACAAAATGGAAATGCTGTAATATCATATGTAGACAAACACAGACCAGAGGAAACTCCCATGAACCCCTGCCTTTCGTATCCGTTTACCTGCCGCCATTCCTTCCGCAATGTTGGTGATGTCTCCCTCTTTTCTCTTCTGTCCGTCCTCTCTTATTTCCCTCTTCTTCCCTCTTCTTCCCTCTTCTTCCCTCTTCTTCCCTCTTCTTCCCTCTTCTTCCCTCTCTCCCTCTCTCTCTCTTCTGACCCTCCTCCCCCTCACCCACCCCTAGGCAAGCTCCCTTTCCGCGATGGCGGCCCTGACGTCTCCGACTCGGCCTCTTCGACGCTCCGCTCCAGGAACCCAGCCCACAGGTCGGCGAGCGACTCGCGGCTGCCTGATCCCTGTTCGGCAAAGAACTCCGTGTTGAGCGACGGCGTGCTGGGTGTTCGGTGAAACGGTGACGTCGGCAGCCGCAGGCTGAGGTTGGACGTGCCCGGCCGAGCGAGTCCGGCCTTTTCCTTCTGCTCCTCCGTCCAGTTGAGCACGCCGGCTATCACCTGCAGGATCTGGAACTTTTTCGGGTCCGACCGGTCGAGCGCCAGGAACTGCAGCAGGTGGTTGGTCACCACTTGTCTGTGGTTGTTAGAGGAGAGAAAGGAAACGAAAAAAAGAAAAGAAAAAAAGAGGAGAGGAAACAAAACAACAAAAACGCACCTGTCCACGTTCTCCTCCGGCTTGTTCTTCTTAATGTACCGCAACGCCTTGGTCAGGTGGTCGTTCAGCACAATCGTCTCGTGCCGTAGCTTGCCGATCAGCAGGTTCTTCTCCTTGACCTCGCGCTCAAATGGTGCCGTCCGCTCGTTCTCGCTGCGCAGCCTCGCCGCTTCTGCCTCTGCCTTCTCGGCTGCCGCCTCTGCCGCCTGTACTCGCGCCTTGGCCGCCTCCAACTGTGCCTCTGACGACTCCACCATCTCGCGCAGCTCTCGCTTCCGCGCCTCCTGAATCTCCTGCAGCGCCCGCTGCAGACTGTCGACTGCTCGCGCCTCTCCGTCGCGCTCCTCTAGCGCCCGCTCGCTCTGTTCTCGTGCTGTCGCCAGCTGCTCTTCCAGATCTGCTGTCTTCTCCGACAGACCTTCCCGTAACGACCGCTCCTCCATCGCGATCACCTCCCATTCGCCCATCGCTCCGCTCGTCGACTCCAGCTCCGCCCGCAGCTGCTGCACCTGTCGCGCCAGCTCCTCCCTCTCACGCTGCCAGTTCTGCTGCGCCAGTTGCGCCCGTCCTCGCACCGAGCTCTGCTCCCGCCCTGCCGCCTCCAGCTCGCCGCGCAGCCGCTCCACCTCTCTCTCGGCTGCTTCTGCTGCCGCCTCGGCCGCTTCGCCGCCCTGCCGCAGTCCCTCGTTCTGCCCCTCGAGCTCCTCGACTCGGTCCTTGGCCTCTTCCAGCTCCTGTCTGTCCCGCTTCAGCCGCTCGCCCAGCGTCTCCTTGATCTTCTCCACCCGCCCCAGCAGATTCTGGTATTGCGTCTCCGCCTGCTCGCGTCCGGCCTCGCTCTCTTCCAGCTCCGCCCGCAACTGCTCCATCTCTTCTTTCTGCGCCTCCTGTGCTTTGTACAGCGCCTCTACCTGCTCTCGTAGCCCTTCTGTTTCGTCGTGCAGCGCCAAATCGCCGCCTGCCTCTTTTGCCATGGCGTCTTGATCGCTCGTCTGTCGTAATGACGCTGTCCGTACTCTCTGCCTGCCGTTTGTGCCGTTTGTGGCGTCTCCGTTGGCTATGGCGTCGTCCTTTTCGTCTTCAGCTCCGTCTACCCGCTCGGCTGTGTCTCCGTTTGCTGTCGAAGCTTGCCGCGCATGGCCGTTCCCGTTTGTCTCGGGCTTCTTCGGGCTGGCGGCAGACGTGTTCGCATCTACGTGGCCGTCCTTGCGAGCACTCGATTCTATCTGCCAGGAGAAAAGTAGGAGTAGGGCGTCAGCACCCGGCCGTCTCGTCCTCTCACCCGCGACAGGGGGGGCCAATTCTCACCTCAGGCGCGTTGTCCGGCACGTCCGCATCGTCGTCGTCGGGGGCGTCTGCCGCTGTGTCGATGCTGGCGGGTGGAGCTGTGGCAGCAGCGCTTGGCTCTGGGATTGCCGATACGGCCGCCGCAGCAGCAGCGTTAGCCCTGGCCGCCGCCGACTTCTTCTTCTTGTTCTTTTTCTTGGCACCTAACAAGGGGCCCCGTCAGCGGTGCGGTCTGGCCAGCTACAGCGAGCGGTATTATGTATGGGGCACACTAGGGGGCAAAACGAAAAAAAACGGATACGATCCGACACCCAAGATACTCACTTGCTGATCCGCCTGTTGCAGCTCCGCCGTCGGGTGGTGCTGCTGCCGGTGCCGACGGCTGCTGTGCCGGTGGTGCCACGGATGCCATCGCGCTGTGTCAGGCCTCCTTTCCGGCTGCGGACGAGAGCAGAGGGTAGAATCGAGGGCAAGCTTCGTCTGCTGCTGTGCTGTGGCAGGCCAACCCGCATTGGTCAACACCCCCCTAACCCTGTCTGGTCGAAGCGATTGGTTCGCCGCGTGTGCGTCACGTTGTATTGCGCTCGGCTGTGGGGGAGCGGCCTCGACGATGGCTGGCAATGGAAAAGACGAAACGTGGCGACTGCTGTCGTGCTTTGCAATGCTTTCTGGCTCTGGCTTTCGGCCTGGCTGCTTTTGCGCTCTTGCTTTTGCTAGCTGCACGGCTGCGCTCCTTCCCCCAAATTAAAGGGTTGTGTCAGCTTGTTGCTTCTTACCTTCCCCGTTCTGCCAAGTTGGAAGCGCCAACAGACACGACTCGTATTAATACCGTCAGTACGGAGTCGACGTGCCGAGTACGAGTACAAGGGCCTGTCAGCGCGCTACTTCGTATCTTACAGCGCCCGGTCATGCACTTAAGCGAGTTTCGGTGCAATGAGACACGTCTCGTTCCAGAGCAGCCCGAGCCGTACGATCAGAAGCTGGTTTTCGCGTCTGCTAGCGGTCACTACTGCAAGGCCAAGGACCGCATTAGCTCTCTCTCCACCCACGCTTTATGCACTTAACTGACACATCGCGGGTCCCACTGTATTTGGCGTTTTCTTCCAATTTTGCACCCAATTCTTTCTCTCCTCTTTTCCTCTTTTCTCCTCAAACTGAAAACTTCGTTGGCCCCAGGCTCAGGCCACATGACTGTAGTCCTATGGCCTGTCTGACACGGTGGTAAATTCGGCATCCCGCAAGGGGTGTACGAGGACGAAGGAGAACAACTCGTTGGCCTCATTATAATCTTGGTTCCCGTCCCGAGGACATTCGTTTCCTCCTTCGACGTTCCAGGTTCGCTTTGAGGACACATTATCAGCCTCTTCGGAGTGCTGCTGGCACATTGGGCAGACTGCATGAGCCGTGTAAACCGTTAGAGACGTGCATTAGAAAACTTCCAATTGTTTTCATCAATACTCTAAGGGGTTCAAGATTGGAAAAAAAAAAAAAAAACATTTTACGCCCGTATTCTGTCTGGAAACCAAAAAAAATATTGAAAAAAACTCTGCATGTCCGTCAATCACGCTTTGCTCTTCTTGGCCCGGGACTTCTTTGCCTTGGCCGCCTTTGTCTCCTTGGGTGCGACGACGACCTCGGGCTCCTTCTCGGCCTCGGTGGCCGTCAGCAGCTCCGTCTTGGGCGCCTCGACAGCTTCGGCTTCTGTGGCAGTCTCTGTGACAGTCTCAGCAGTCTCGGCGGCAGTCTCAGCAGTCTCGGCGGCAGTCTCAGCAGTCTCGGCGGCAGTCTCAGCAGTCTCGGTGGCAGCCTCACCGCTCTCCTTCTCCTCGTCCTCGCCTGCCGCCTTGATCGTGGCCACGGCCTTTTTCAGGCCGGGCGCCTCGAACGCGTAGCCGATCCTCTCCTGCAGCAGGCTGGCACGCTTGCTGCGACGCCTGGCCTCGCGGCCGGACCTGGCCTCCCACGCGGACTCAGACTTGGGTTCGGCCAGCTCGCGGCCAGCCAGCCGGTTCCACGGCACGACCTTGAATCGGCGGTTGGCACCGACAAACAGGTTCGCCGGCACGCGCTCGGGCGGCACGACGCTGCAGCGCAGGATGTGGCCGAAGAGCAGGTAGCTGTCCATGGTCTGGGCCACAATGTCGGCCACGTCCGGGTCGGCAAACTCGATAAAGGCATAATGCTTGCTGGCGCCGGTGCGGCGGTTGCGCGAGAGCCGCAGCCGCCGGATGTCGCCAAACTGCGAAAAGTAGCTGCGCATCTCGTGCTCGAAGAAGCCGTGTGGAATGCGTCCGACGTAGACCACACCGCCGCGCGGCTCACCGTTGGCGCTGATGCTGGTGGCCAGCGCGGCCGCAGCCGCAGCCGGCGCCGTCTTCCCCTTGGCCGCGCCCTTCTTTTTGGACGACGTGGTCGCCGTCGAGGGCACCTTGCCCACGTCCTGGCCGCGCTCAAACAGGCTCGCGCCGCCGCTCGCCTCGTCGTCACCGCCGTCAATCTCCTCCACGAGCGCCTTGGTCGTCTCGTCGTCCTCCTCGGCCACCTCGTCCTTTTCGTCCTTTTCGTCCACATCCATCTTCTCTTCCTCCTTCTTCTCCTCCTCGTCCACGTCCATCTTCTCGACCGCCTTGGCTGCCGCTGCCTTCTTCGTCTTCGCCTGTCCCTTCTTCGTCGGTGTCTTCTTCACAGGGGCTGGGGCTTCCACCTTCTCCACCGTCTCCACCTTTTCCTCCTTCTCCTTCTTTTCCTCCTTGTCCGCGACCTTCTTCGTCTTCTTGCTGGCTGCCTTCTCTACCGGCTTCTCCTCCGGCTTCCGCTTCTTGTTCGCGCTCGGAGACTCGTCTTCCGTCGCTGTGCAGGAAAAGTTCAGACAGGTCAGCAACGCGTTCCACCCTTCACCGACCCCAGAGCTTGACGCCAGGCTACTGACCCTTCCGCTTCGCAGCGCTCTGATCCGATATCCTGCTCGACTTTCGCGAAGCTACCTGCTCCGAGGCCACCTTGGCCTTCTTGCCCTTCGGCTTAGCTTGATCGGTCGCCATCGTGTGCGTGTTTTGCTGAATAGAAACGGGTTGCGGGTTGCCTTCGCTTCGGTACGCTCTTGTGGACTCGTCGAATCCTGCCTTTGTTTTTTTCACTAGTTTTATTTCATGCCTTTTTCTGCCCACTAAAACTTAGCGGTGTGCACCTAAACCAGGCTACGATCCACGTCACGTGGCAGTCCGCTGCCAACCGACATCCTATACTGAGTATATAAATTACAGAAGAAAACATTCGAGATTACATGTCATTACAGATTGTGCCCCTTCCCAATCCGTCTCTATCGCGCCGATGCTGAAAAAGAAAGGCTGAAAGGAAGGCCCAGTAAACAAACAACTAAAACAAGTGATCAATCCACGATTCTAAGCCACAATCGCCCTCACAGCCTCCAGAACATTCTCGCCACCGACCTGGTCTGCCACTTGTGCTGTGGGCGGTGAGTCTAGGACTGCCTTGTCCTGGCGTCCACCATTAAATGTGTTGGCACGGGCAGCGTTCCCGCCTGTAGGCTGAAGAACCGGACCCAGGCTTGTTGCATAGGGCACGTTGAACGTCACGGATGGGAAGAAGTCCCACGCCCGCGCGCCAGAGAACCAGAGCAGAAGGACTCCGATGAGCATAGGGATCTGAAATGTTAGCAGACTGAAAGAGAGGGGAAAAGAAAGAAGAAGAAAGAAAGAAGAAGAAAAAAAAGAAAAAAAGGGATAATCCTCCCTCCGTAAACATACCCAGACGGTGTAGAGCAATGTGTCGGACCGCAGTCCCTTTCGCTTTTCCTTGTGCACTCGCCGGAAGTTTTCTTGCTGCTCCTTTGTGATCTGGTGCTTGCGACCAATCTGCAGCAGCGCCGGCAGCGTTGCGCCGAACTCGGCTGGCTCGAACTCGGTCACGGCCTCCTCCCCGGCCGCTTCCTCCGCCTCCGTCTGCTGCTGGTCGTACAGGACTTCGCACTTGCTGTCGGCTTCCGCCTCTGCTGCTGCTGCTGCCGCCGTTGCCTGCTTCGTGTCCGTCTCACCCTTGCGAGGGAAGATCTCTTCGTACGATGGCGGTGGTGCGAGGCCTGCCCTCAACGCTGACAGATCCCACCAGCGACCCTCCAGTTCTTTATGTCCCGGCGTGATGTTGCCATGGCCGTTGCCGTGGCCATTTCCGTGTCTGTTCCTGTGACCATTTCCGTGACCGCGGGCATCAGATGAGTTTGGCCGGGACCCCGTGCTGCCGCTCATATTGGGCACCAGCGAGGAGATCCGCTGGAAGGCCGTAGAATTCAAATAGGCCTGGTAGTAGTCCGGCAGTGGGTTGTTGGGGATCTGCGGAATCTGCGCCACGAGCTGCTGGAACTGAGCGGTGAGCTGTTCCTTGAACGCAATCACGGCCGCTGCAGCCGGAGATGCCAATGCCGCAGGAACATCAGAGGCACCGGCTGCCGTCGCCACCGAAGATGGTGTGAGCGCAGTGGGACTGACGTCCCGCGTGCCCCGGCGGCTGTGAATGCTCGGGCCACGGCGCGGTGAGTCTCTCTTCATGTCGAGCCACTCCTCGTCACCCTCCTCCTGCTCGCTGCTCTCCTCGTCGTCGCCCGAAGCTGCATAGGACGAGGAGTCCACCTCGGCTTGGCTGCTGTTGTCGGCCGCGTCGCCCGTCGACTTCTCCGTCGCATTCCACGCCCGGTCAAGGACCGACATCGTCATGGGCTCCCAGAGCGACCGGAGCGATGCCGCGCTGCTAGTCCGGCTATGCAGAGATCCGCCACTCCGCGACCGCGTATGGCGCTCAAACAGCTTGATGGCCCGGACAACCTCCCGCGACGCAGCCACTTCGGCTGCCGTCAGGCCGGACAGCGTCCGTATCGTCGGGTCGGCCCCGGCGTGAATCAGCCGCCGCACAATCCCTGCCTGGTCGTTCAGGGCTGCCAGGTGTAGAGGCGTATAGCCGCCATTGTCGCGCACATCCGGATTGGCACCGCGGGCCAGCAGGCCGGCCACAAACCGGTGCAGTCCCAGAACACAGGCCAGGTGCAGCATGCTGTGTCCTGTCGTCCGCCGCTGCATGTTGAGCCGTGTCTGGTTCGAGGAGTCGTCCAGGTCGATGAGCTCTAGCACTTTCAGCAGCTGTGCCTCCAGGTTGGGGCTGCTGCCGCTGGCCATCAGACCGGCAGCATAGCCAGTTGGATTTCCACCGCCACCACCGCCAGCTGAAGATCCGCCGCCGGATGAGGTTCCCCAGGTGGTCGTCTCGCTGCCAATGATGCGTCGTGCAACGTCCTGCGCATCCTCAATCTTGCCCGTCATCTTCCTAGATAGGACCGTCAGGGCTGCGCGCAACAGTTGCTGCTCGTCATCGTCCAGGTACTTGAAGGTGACGCGCTGCTGATTGGCCGAGAACGGCTGTGACGGTCGCTGCTGGTTCGGCTGGCGCAGAGTCACCTGCACGTGGCCGGCAATCGAAGAAGGCGGCACGAGACACACCAGCGAGCTCTCTCCCCAGAATGTCGTCGTCGTCGCCCGCTGGTTGCCAAACATGACATCCAGTCCCTGGTAGAATGCACTTCCCAGAATCGTCACCTCGATGCCGCCGGATTTGGGCCCCTCAGCAGGAATGATCTTGTGGATCACCGAGTTGTGCGAGGCCGGGCTCGCAGCCGGTTGGGACATGGCCATGGGGAGGTTGAAGAGCCCGTTCTGGAACTGCTGTGTAAACTGCGCCTGGTCCAGCTGCTGTTGTAGTCGCTGCTGATATATGTGTTGGCGGAACATGTGCATCGGGCCACCCGAGAGCCCGTTCGGGCTGGGCGGCCGGCTCGGCTGCGTCGATGCTGGCGCCGAGAACAAGACGTTCTGTGCCATGGCAAGACTGTCAAAGCTCGCTGACCGTGCACCGTTCGCCATCGCGCCCTGCTGGTCCGTATGGCTGTTGGGCGTAAGTGGGCCACCGACGAGCGAATCGGTGGCCATCGGGACCATCCCGACAAGGCTGTCAATGTCCGGATCGCCCGAGTTGCCCGTCATCAGTGCCATATCAACAGCGGCCGCCATGGAGTCGGGCGCGAAGTTGGACGTCGGAGACAGAAACGACGAGGCACCCGTGGAGAAGGGTACGGCAGACGAAGCAGACGAAGCGCTGGCCCGGAAGTTGGAGGCGTTCTGGAAGCTCTGCAGGTTCGACTGCTGCGGCGAAACGGATGTCTCGATTCGCGTCATTGCCAGGCCAGTCGGTATCTTGGTCGGTCCACCATTTGCCTTCCTCTTCTTGGAGGAGTGGCCCTTTAGACCGTTGGGAGACGCTGCCCGTGAAAGAGCTCTAGCGCCCATTGCAATTTCCGATGCAGCTTCTGGTGCCATGTCCTTCTCGGGCGACTGTGCCCCGGAAAAAGTGACGGAATTGCGCTTCATTGAAGGCAGGTCCGGCGCCGATTGCGCCGCGGTTGACGGCTGCGCTTTTATCCTGGACGAAGGCTTGGTCGACGACGCGGAAGCGGCAGGCGCTGTTTTCCCTGCTGTCTCCTGGCCGTCTCCCGTGCCGGCAGAAATGTCGCCGTCTGCTACTGAGGACGGTGCCGTTGCCGAAACAGCTCCGGTATTGGGGCCCGTGGGAGTCTTGTGGTCGTCTGTGATCATGATCGACCGCGACATGGTCTGAGCGATCACGTTGCCCTGGAAATCCTTCAGGGTGAAGATGACCTGGAACCCGGTCTTCTCGCCGTGGTGGCGACAGTAGCAGGTGATTCTCATGGGGACGCTGATGACCGCCTCGATCGGACTGCCTGCTGCGTTCTCGTCCAAGGAAGACAGCGCGGCCGCTGTCGGGCGCTGCCAGTCCTTGGTCTCGTTCGTGTTGAAGATGACGATCCGCCGGTGCTCATCTCGGCTCCACTCTTCGTCGTCCTCCGGCTTCTTCAGCTTCTTCCTGTTTGCCCGCTTCCGCTCTCGCTGGATGCAGCCCTTGCATATCCAGATGTCTCCGCCGTTGGCTGGTCGGCAGTCGTCGTCGTCGTTGCTGTCGCCCTCGTTCATGGGCGAGGACCGCGACGTGTACGTGGCTGCGGCAGCACGCTCCAATGCTCGCCGGCGGTTGTTCTCGTTGTGCATAGCACTGGTGCAGACCACCATTGTGTGCAGCTCCAGCATGTCGGGCGACCGGTCGATGGGATCCTTTGCCAGAAGCTTGGGCTTCGAGATGGTGTGCGGAGGGAGGTGAAGCTTTGTGACGCCTGGCGGAAGAGCCGAAAGGAAGATCATGATTGGTATTTGCGTTTCCACACGCGACTTGTGCGGAGTCACGCCGACAAAGAACCGCAACGGCCGCCTCTGATGATTCGCGAGACCAGCTGCTGCTGCTGCTGCCGGCTGCCCTCGGTGAAACATGGAGGTTTGAGATACGCTGCCGTTGGCAGCGTTGCGTTGTTGTTGTTGTTGTTGCTGTTGCTGCTGCTGTATGGCAATTCCCTGCCAAGGTGAGGCAGGGCTTGTTGGAACGCTTTCAGGAAACATGAAGCCGGATGCGATTGGTATTGACTGCATGCCGGTACCGGCAAACTGGCCGAACCGCATATCTGTGTTCTCTGCGGGCGAGTGTGCGTTGTTCAGGTATGTCGTTGGCGACGGGCCTTGACTGAAAACAAAGTTGGAGATGGGCGAAACCTCCCTGGAACCGGTCGTCTTGAGGTTGTTCATCGACTGGTTCAGCGAGTATTGCTGCAAAAACAGTCCGGTCAGCATGGTTCTCCCGGATTGCGACGCGCGCAAAGGAGACGGCCAATCAGAAAGCAGATCAAGAAGGGAAAAACAAACCGATAGGGCTTTATTATGCCCTCTCTGGACACTCTGGTCCCCATTGCTGGCACCGACTCCGGCATACATCTGCGGCGTAGAGAATGACAGGACTTGGGGGTCGTCTGCATTCGGGCTGCTAGAAGGGCTCATAAAGTCGAAAGGCGACGCCCTGTTGCCGCTGAACGGACTCAGATCGGCCCCAGTTGTGGAAGCGTGTCGGATGGTGTCGTCGCCAAACAGCTCGTCTGCAGTCGACAGACTCGGCGTTCTCTGGATGGACTTTGGGTCAATGGTGCCGGTGTGGTGGCCGTTTGCCATGGCCTTGTGCTGGTGCAGATAGCTGGTCTCGAGGTCGCCGTCATCGTCGTTGTCGTCCTGGTCCTCGTCCAGACGGAGGTAGTCGCGGATGTTCCAGTCTGGCGGCGCAGCGTCCACGACCTCCAGAGCGGCGGCGTCAAAGGTGCCTTCTGCCATCACCACGTCGTCCGCTGCGGTCGGGAGATGCACATCTGGTTGCATAGCGCGCCTGGACTGGCCGCCCGCTGAGCGCCCGGACGCATCGGTGCCGTACGCCCGCCCCGCGCCTCTTGGCCGTCCCCGGGTCTTCTTTGCAGGTGTGCCGCTGACAAGGCTAGAGTGAGCAGACATGGAAGTCTGCTTAGACGAGATGTCAGAGGACGAGTCCTGGAAGGAGGAGAGGAGGGAGTCGGGCGAGGAGGCCGTCGGCGGCTGGGAAAGGCCTGCTGCGGCTGCCGGCCTGTGGCCGAGCATGAGGGGGTCTTTGCCGCCTGGGGTGCCACCAGCACCATTGGCTATCGGGCGGTTTCGCTTCTTGGCCAGAGGGCCAGCCAGGTCGTTGACGTGATGGAGCAGACTATGCGGGTTCTGCATGAAGTCGACAGTGAGAGCTGGAGGCGAGTCCCCCATCCATTCGGAGTCGACGGCGAAGTCGCCAGGAGAGGCGGCGAGGGCTTCGAACGAGCCGTCTTGGGCAGACATGTCCTTTTTCGCGGGGAGGAGGGGGTGGGTTTTTGGGAAATGCGCAAAAGTCATTCGATGGCAGGATTTCGTACTCTGCGGCCAGCAGTCTGACCTGTCGTACCACAGTCTGCCCCTTCTCTTTCCGGGTCTGCGGCTGCGCGTCGTCCTAGAGCTGTCTCGGGTCAGGTTGCGGCGATTGCCGTACTCCGTCGCCGTTGAGGGCTGAGCGATGGACGGACTCGGATTGGATCGTGGTCGGGTTTGGCAGGCGCCACATGAGCTGTCGGGTGGCGTAAAGGCCGCGACAGAGACAATGGGGATGCTGCAGAGGCGAAACCACTCGGCTGAGATAGCAGATCCCGGTCTGTCTGGGCGATTTCTTCGGTCGGGTCGTCGGGTCGTTCGTTGATGCTGGTGGCAGCCCTCACCAGCGACAGACCATTGTGGGCAGGAAGAATGTGGAGGGAGAAAGTGGAGACGACTGAGGATTTAGAAAAAGGAGGTAAAAAAACCCGGGTAGGATGAGTGCGCATCGGTGAACAGACGGAAGAACAAGGCGAGAGTGTGAAACAATGAAGCCACGCACTCCAAAAGACCAAGGGACAAGGCGTAGAGCAGGTAACGTGACGAGCCAGACACTATGTCGAGGCTATTGGGCGCAGGTTGGAACGCACTTTCGTGTGGCAATGGCCCCGTTCACTGTCGGAGGCCCTCCGGTCCTTGGAGAAAGAGAATTTGGGAAAAGGGAAGGGGGCGGTCGGGATGGATTTCTTGGGTGGCTGCTGATTGGGCAGGCCTTCAGGCCTTTAACAGCGCGGACCACCACGACTTGGCGGGAGAATGAGGGGGGTCACAAGAGTGGCCTGATTGGCCGAATGGAGGGGGGGCAGGTGCTCATGTTGGTGCCTGCTGGCAGGGCCAGGTTGCACTGTATTCGTATCTTGATTAATCTAAACAAGGAAGCCCTGTGCTGCTGTTTGTGCTGGCCAATTGCCATAGGGTACTGAAACGGTCTAGGCCGCCAGTAATGTCTTACGGTTCCCGGCTTTGAGTCATGGCAATCTAAGCTGGTGCAAACCGGATTGATCCCCAACACTTTTGTCTGACGACTTTCTCGGCGGCTCCAGAAAGAACCTGCGAGAGTGATTGCGACACCGCGTCGACATTCAGCTCTGCATTTCCTGCCGTGTCTACGGAGGTCCCTACCTAAACTCGTGCCCACCCCCTTCGATGTGACATCGGCAGTATACAGTCTGATTTGCTGTGTGCACGGAGAACAAACTTAGCGATAGACTGATAACAGTTAGCTTAGAGTCCCACTAAGAATTACTGCATATAAGGAAATTACAGCATAATACGTGCTGATAGCTTAGCGAGAATGTACAGTGCGCGTAACACTTTATATACTGTAACTTTATGTCTTTAGTAGGAAAAGCGGTGAAACAGGGTGGGCATGACTTTTGGTAGGGACCTCCGTACAGAGTACGGAGTACTCGTACTCGTACTGTCTCAATCGCTATTCGTCCTTCTGCCACCACAACAACAATGCCTGTCGTTGGCATAAGACCCTCCCCCATGCAGGGTTACGTTAGCGTGATGTACAAGGCTAGAATTGGCAACAGACAGTCTTGGAGAGACCCTGCACTTTTGCCTCTGCAGCATTGTACGGCCTGGAATGTAACGTCTTGATCTATGTATTAGACAAGCGGGATGCCCCGATCGCGCCAGCATTTGGACATTTGGCTGCTGGATCCATCATGCGACCAGTAATATACTAGTACCGGTATCTGGCTGCGTGTGGGAGAAAACAAGATACGTCTCCCGGTGCACAGCGTGCGTAGCAGTCGCCGGTGAGCTTACGCGCCAATCAAGCTCGGGATACCACAGCCGTCGGTCCGAAAGCCTGTCGTTCAGGTTGACAGGGTGTCTCGAGAGGAGAGGCGATCATACCTCAGACTGTCTGGCCTCGTAAAGTGGAAGACAACGTCGTATTGCATAGATGGGGGGTTGGCTAGATTCTATAATAAATTACGAGCCAGAAAAGAGTAATCGAAGAGGGGGCTCTGACTGATCAGAGAACCTGTGAGAAGGGAAGAGACGGAGGCGAGATCCGACCTCCAGCAGCGCCCCTAGGACGACAGCGGTTCGTCAGGAAAGCGGATCGTGCGGTTGAAAAGCGTAGACGGCCCGCTCGGGGTAAACGCGATGGCTGCCTCGCCACCGTCCGTGGCGACACGGCTCGGAATAATGGAGCCGCCAATGCGATAGACAGGACGCGCTGCAGTGTTGATGTTGATGTTGGTGGTGTTGTGCTCGCCGTCCGGGTCACTGAGGACGATTTGCACATCAGTCCGGTCGGCGGCCGTGGCGGGCTGTGTCGGCGCGGATGGCTGGTCCTGGTTGCGTCGTGCGTTGTGGCTGCGGCGCAGCACCAGCGTGCTCACGCGGCTACCGATGTGGAAGGGCGGGAGGCCGTTGTCGGTGCCAGAGGAGAGGCCGGTAGTGCGGCCGGCCGAGGTCGACGACGGCAAGCTGCGGCTGAGGGTGCGCGGCAGGTAGAGGCCCAGCTTGCCGACGGGGATGCTGAGCCCGTGCACGACGATGCTGCAGATGCTGAGAAACCAGACCACGACGGTGGCAGTGTCGCCGAGCCGGGCGACGTCGGGCCGCGGTCGGTCGGTCGACGAAAGGCCGTCGACAAACTCAAGGGTGACGTACAGATAAAAAATGGCCGAGACGCCGACGGGGCCGAAAAAGCCGACAAAGACGGCGTGTCGGAGGTGCTCGATCTGCGGGACGTAGCGGTGCAGAGCCAGGACCCAGGGCAGGCGGCGCAGCAGCAACACCAGGATGCCGAGCAGGACGAGGCGGTACAACGGCACCGGTCCGTGAGCGAACAGCGACCAGGGACAGACGGCGCCGAGCCACATGAAGATGGCGACATTAAGCAGCATGTCGATCGTCGGCTGCAGCGTGTCGTCCTGGGTCTCGAGGCGGAACCAGTCGTCCCAGGTAAAGACATTGCCGGCGACGAAGCAGGCCAGCACGTCGTCGCTGCCGAGGAGGCCGCAGGTTCCGGTGGTGAAGAGTGCCAGCGAGATGGCAAAGACGAGAAAGCTCTCGCGGTCGCAGTAGTGCCGCTCCTCCGCCCAGTGCAACAGCTCCTTGGCCACGTAGCCGACCAGGCTGCCGTACGCCACGCTCAGCAGGATCGTGTAGCCCCAGGTCTCGCCGAACCAGAGGCCCATGGTTCTAGCCGCACCCCCAGACTCTCCAGAAGCCCCCGTGTACTGAATCAGGTACAGCGCCAGAAACAGAAACGGGTAGCCCAGGCCGTCGTTGGCCCCCGACTCCGCAATGATGATGCGCTGCAGCTCCACCGGCACGTTCTGGTCAGCAAAGCGGCCCTTGACCACCACGTTCGACAGCACCGGATCCGTCGGCGCGACACAGGCGCCAATGGCCAGCGCGTGCAGAAACGGCATCCGCGGCGTCACCAGTGCCCACACCAGCAGCCCGGCCACCAGCCACATGCCCGTCATCACCGGCCCCAGCAGCAGCAGCAGCGGTCGCCACTGCTTCTTCAGGTACCGGCTCGGCAGCTGCACCCCCGCCAGCACCAGCTGCACGCCCAAAACCAGCCGCGAGAAGTGCAGCGTGACCGCGTCAAGGTTGGCCTGCGAGCCGGCGTACTGCAGCGGCCGTACAAAGTTGGCTGCCGACGGCGAGAACGCCACCCCCGCCAGCAGAGAGATCACTGTTCCACACCGTCAGCAACCGCATCGCCGATTCGGGAGACACGACACACAACACTCACATGCCTCCGACAGGTAAAAGTTCTCCTTGCACAGGTACGACACCAGCCCAAACAGGGACACCCATCCTCCCAAAACACTGACAACAATGTTAAAGTTAGTCAGCACGAGCGTCGGCATGATCGACAGAGGCGTGGCTTTCTATGCAGAGCTCTGTTAGGTGACACCTAAACTATGGAAGGTGGTGCGTCGACTTGGCGTCGGTCGTAGGCGACACTCCAAAGGAGCCGGAGGGGGGACCGGGGCCGTGTGAAAAAGGGGAAAAGTAAGTGTTATTGAATCATGAAGGCGGTGCACAGCGGAAGAGCGGTCGCTCAGAAACGCCAGTCTTGCGGATTCCCTCGGCATGAAAGGGACCCGGCAGCTGAGAGCAGCGAGTTGCAAGACAGTCAGAAAATGCAAAGACGGCCTTTCGAGTACTTCAGACGGTTCAGATACAGGACTGGTATCGATGAGATATGTTGCAGTTCCCCTTTCGCTGAGAGCGCTACCAATAATCGGTTGCTGATGTTCTACTCCGTAAGATGGTTGATGTACGGAGGTCCCTACCAAAAGTTCGCTCTCACCGCTTTTCTATAGCTGCGGCAATACATAGTGCAGAGTGTAAAGCATACGGAGAAAGCTATTGGCGATAGCACGCTAGAACTTAGTGTATATTATCGCTAATCTAATTCGATTACTAATAATTTTACAGGGCGCTTAGCACATAGCACTACACTAACACTGCCGTAGTAAATACAGTAGCAATACATTACTAGCACTATACCCACCTTCCTATTTTGCCAAAGCGGTGAGAACGAACTTTTGGTAGGGACCTCCGTAGTCAGCAGAGATACCGAAATGATTTCCTCGTCAGAATGCTGCAGCGTGCCAATCAGGTCTAGATATGTTAAAGTGGGCCCACTTCCCGTTAGTTACATGTATGCTACTCCGTACAACCCCTCTAAATTCATGGATATTTTCGCTAAAGCCAATCTGTCAGCCTAAAGAACGCCCCATACTGGTGATTCAAGCCAACGCCATCCTCCATGACCGCCAGACTATGTTCGCCGCGCCCCCTGGTTCGCCAGCAGGTCCGCCGCCACGTTGCCCGAGTCGCTGCTGTGTCCCTTCACCCACCGAAACATGGTCGCCGTGCTCGCCTTGTCACGTGCGTCGATACATGTCCGCACTGCCCGGATGAGGTCCTGGTTCATGACCGGGTCACCGCCCCGCGTCTTCCATCCGTTGGACGCCCAGCTCTTGTACCATTCGCTCACACAGTTGATGGCGTATGTGCTGTCCGAGAAGATCCGTACCGGCTGTGACACTGGCACCGCCTGTAGCGCTCGCATAATCGCCGTCAGCTCTGCCCGTTGATTCGTCTGTGGCTCGCCTTTCAGCCGCTCTGAGATGTTCCTGTGCCGAGAGTTAGCCAAGCTTTCCGTCTGCCCGTGCGCAGCTGCTCACCTCTTGTCGCCATGGCCAAAAAACACGCCAATTCCGGCCAACGCCCCATGCTTCCCGTTGCCCAGGCTGCTGCCATCCGTGTATATATTCAGGACTGCTGCCGACGACACCGCCACAGCTGCGTTGCCCGCCTTCGTCCGCTTCGCTGGCGGCTGCAGAATCTGTGCCGCATCGTCCTCCTCTTCCTCCTCTTCCTCCTCCTCCTCCTCGTTATCTTCCTCCTCTTCCTCCTCGCTGGCTACGTCGGTGCCGTTGCTCGCCGTGCCGGGACCACTTAGAGCCTGCCGTGTGGCCACGCTGCCGTACATGCGGATGAAGTTTGCTGCCTCTGCTCGTGAGGGAAACTTCTTGTACTTGGGGCCCTTGGCTCCCCTGATGGCCCGTGACGCCGCCTCCCAGTCTGTATAGATGCCCGACTGGTTGCCAACCACCACGGCATAGAATCGGGGTTCGCCCTTGTCCTTCGCACCGCCTTCTGGGTTCTTCCCGTCAACAAATGCTGCCGCGTCTTCGCGGCTGATGAAACTCTTGTCTGGCGGTAGGAAGAGGGCAAACGTAAGCGTCTTGGAGAGTACAAAAGCGTTCACCGATCTGGCCGCATCGGGGACATGACTCTTACATTGTGCACCCTTGAAGCCAGCGATCTGTGCTTGACACTCGTGCCACGTCAAATAAATCCCCGGCCGCACGCCAGCTCGTACGGCGTAGTACTTTTGTACGTTTTTCTCGTCCATCTTCCGTTTTCTTCCTGACGTTGTGGAGATTGCCGTGCCAGTGGACGATGTCGAGGCCGTGGCAGAATGAGCTGCAGCTGCAGCGATCGTGGCCGCCTTCATTTTGGCAGGAGGCATACTGGCGATGCTGTTCGTGCTTTCTAGTGCTAATCGGTGTATGTTCGGCCACGAGAAGCTGTCGCCACGGCGCGTTACTCGTACGAGAAGACGCAGAAGACGACAGACAACGTTGTTGTCGTCGTCTTCAGCTTCGTCAATGACGCGCTTCTTCAATTTCGTGTCCCCTGTTGTACTGCTGTCTGTGGATGGGAAGATTCTTCGGTAACCAGCTAGAAGGACCTGCTGTGGGTCTCGTATTAATTGTGCTCCCCTTGTCGCTTTTCCTCTCCTTGTCCCAACCGGTCCGGAAGTCACGCTCACCAACTGGTAGACGGCGAGTTCCAACCTCCAAGCTGGCAGCAACCGTTTGTACCGGGCAGCTTCAGTGGCTGATGCACCCTTATGGCGCCCGTGATGTAGTAGCTGCTGAAGCTGTAAGGCGCAGGCTTGTGCAGGTCTAGCAAAATAGCACCAGCTCAAGCCAACAGGCGAGCTCCTGAACAGCAACCCACCAGCACTTCTGCGAGGGGCTGAGACTACCGTGACTGAAATTCTGAGAATTTCAAAGTCGGGCGAATGGCTGCCCGGTTTTTGTGAGTCTGAAGCTGCCACAGGCGAAGGAGCACGGGGTGCAAGTGCGCTCTTATTTTGTCAAAAAGGAGAGAAGAGGAGGAAAGAAAATCACTTTTGCAGGGGAAGCGAAGGGGGTGTGGAAGGCAATGGTCAGATAATATACCGCGGCAAGAATGAGAAGATAAAGAAGAAGACGGTGGAGGAGAACAAGGGGGAGAGAGAGGAAGGGAGGGGGGGGGTTGGTACGAAAAGCAGCAAATCCAAAATGGGAGGTTCACGGAAGGGTGGAAGGGTGGAGAGTTCTTAGTGGATGTTAGAGGGGGAGGGGGGGGGGGGGGGGGGGTGTGGAAAGACAGACGAGGGTGACTGAGATGGGGGGAAAGTGAGTGGAGGGCAAACCTTTGGGCAGACCTCAAAAAGCTCATCAGACCTGTTCCCGTGGTCCCTTACTTTTTCGGGAGCTATTTTGTGTCTCTCTATCACCGTCATCTTTTATGTATAGGATTTTTGGCGGCTGAAATTATCTTGTGGCTAAACTGTAAAGAGTCTTTCGGCAGAGTTCTCTAGCAGGCCCCCTCTTTCAGCCGAGCCAACAGGGAGACAAGCAAATGCAAGGAATGGGTTTTCGCTACAGCCCTTTGATTTTTGTCTTCAAGCCCCTTACTCTTCCTGTTCCCGCTGTGCAACTGCTGTATGCAGCCAGCCAGATTGCAGCTGGCCAGCCTTCGGTATCATCTAGACAGCTTGGGTATATTTTAAGGTACAAATGTAGTCCGGGGTAGCTCCTGCCATGGTGTCTGTGCGATGCGTCGTGTCTTTGCCGCTAGTGCATCGTCCTTCCCTCACTACGTTTCGCGGTGAAGAGCTTCTCATGTCTTGACCGACTTCGTGCCTTTCTTTCCGCTATTTTAGCCCGTCCCTCTCCGCCCATGCCTTGCTGCTGATAAACGCCAACCCAGAGGACGTACTCATGTCTCCACGGCTTCATATCGTCCATGATGTTGAGTCGTGCCATAACCCTGGGAATGAAGAAAACAATGTACAAATGAAAAGGCAGAAACCGGTCTTACTTGGGTCGCTTTACGACCCAACAGTATTTGTTGGCAGGATATGGGGCAACCGGGTACAACCTGAGATCAATCCCAATTGTTCCTGTCATCATGCATGGGTCCTAGGGTCCATCGCCAGAGGCTGACAATGGCAGTGCGACTCCCACTCCCAAGCCAGGAGACTCCAGTTCAATTCGCGGCGCCAGAACAGGCCCAGCCCATAAATGCCCTCTCCACTGCGCTCAATTTTCTCTTCCTGGGTCTGCCTAGCTGTTGGGCCACCACAACGTGTACTTGGTGCTGGAGCACGATCCTCGGCACTGAGACCGCCAGTAAGAGGCATGCGGTTGGCAAAGACCACCTTTCCCATGCGCGAGTGAAGAATCGCCATAGAACACATGGCGCACGGTTCATGGGTAACGTATAGCTCAAGACCATGGCAGAGGTAGCCGTCCGGGGTGGGATGCTCTTCCATGAAAATCTTCTCCTCTTCCTCCAGGGTCGGCTTATCCTGGAAGGGCTCGAATGCAAGCCGTTGTCGGTGGCCGACGTGCCCACGGTCCCTGTTGCGGCTCAGACGGTCACGCACCCGATCTTGGACGGCGCACTGCACCATTCCCGGAGTCTCCCTTGGCGAACGAAACTTCTTGTACTGGTCGTTGACTGGAGCTACATTTTCCTTGGCCCGTTCTGTTGGAACAACTGCGCTGTCATCGCTCGTGGCTGCACTCGTTCTGCGCTGGTTTCTCTTCTCAGCACGAACAAGCTTTTGGGCAACCATGCTGATAGCACGGAGAACGGCGTGTGCCATGGGGTTGCCTGTCTGAGAACCTTTCGGTTGCTGCTGCCAACGAGCGTCGCCAACGATTGCGACGAGTCGGGGCCCGTCGTTCCCTCTGTACACGATACAGGCGCCCAACGCCTCTCCTTGTCCAGACTCCTTAGCCTTTAAGGCAATGTCATGGGCAAGCGCCATCCACAGAGGCGCATCTTCGGCAATCTCATCGGTGGCCCGGGTCACCAGGCTAGGGTGTGGACCAAGCGGGTTGTTTTTCCGATACATGGTCGGCCAGAATTGTGTGGTCCATAGAGCAGCCTGAATTTGGGATGTCGGTGCCAAAAGAGGCACAGGGATTGAAGCAATAAACACTCCATCCTCAAATCCATCGACGTTTGACAGAGCTTCAGCCATCTCCTGCTGTGAAATGGTGGCCTCTAGGCCAAGCAGAACGTAAACCCAGTTTGACTTTCCTGTATGGATTTGTTTGCTCGTGGCATTGTCGTTCATAAACTGCGACTTCAAGTGAGCCGGCAGGTCGGCGGGTTTTGCGCAGCGCCGCAGGTGAGGCATGCCCTTAACAATTTCCTCTGGAAGCATGTCGCGCAGGAGGCTAAGAAGACGGCCAGTGTTAGAACGAAGAACATAAGCGAGGAGTTTGCTGTCCTCTTCTAGTCCGTTTAACAGCTACTGAGGAAATGAGCTCCCAGAGACCACGGAGAAACAAACCTAATGACAGCACTTGTTGATCGGATTGGGGACCGGGTGATCAAAGCCTGACCACACTGGTGGTCGTCGCGAAGTTCGAGCGTCGTCTTAAGCGGAATCAATACGCCAGGCTCAATGTGGGCCGGCACAAGGCTCCTAGTAACGGGGTCTTGGCCAGAAATGACCTTGTCTAGGTCCAGGTCTTGCGTCATGGTCGCAGCCTGGTCAGTTGATAGTGTTGGTCGATTGTATGCGTCTGTTCTACTTCCTCTGGTCTCCTGGTCTTCTGGTTTTGATCCGTTCAGGTTACCCTGATGCTGGATTTGTTTGGGGTTCTTTCTCTTATTGCCTTTGATGGTCCTTGCAAACAGGCCAGTGGCCAGAAAATGCCGACAAGGAGGCTGGCCTGGAGGTGGCGACCAGAACAGTGTAGTGCTTGAAGATAAGGAGGGGTCGCCGAGAAAGAGTTCCTAGATCTTGAACATGGCGGTTGCCTCTTCACGAAATCATGGAACTGATTGACCGTTATCGGTATTGTAGGCAGCCAAGATGCGGGGAATGTGAAGTTTAAGGCTGCAGGCACGGCAAAGAAGACGAAATCACGATGCCTCAACCGCAGGAGGCAAGCGCATCTGAGTCGGGTTGGATCGTGTCGCTTGGAAAATATATTAAATCCAGTATAGTCCCACAGTTAGAGAAAGAGCAAGCACCGAGGGCGGGTTTTTTCCTGTTTTCTTTGACTCGTGCGCCACTTGTTTCCAGGCTTGGTGAGTGTTTGGTATGCGCCTATCAGGTCAAATCCTTTGGCGATCTGATTTCAGATGAGACAGATATAGCAAGAGCAATTAATGGTATATGATTCTTTAAGGAAGCTGTGAGGCGGGAATGATAGAATTGGAAGGAGCACAATTCCACAGCAGCCAAGCATTTCTATCATGAAGCTTTTGGGCGAACTATTTTCGGGTTTTTTCGTGATGGTTGTGCATTACTGGTAGTAGGATACATAAAAGTGGGTCTGTCATTGGCTCTTTCCCCAGCTGTTCGCCTGGACTCATCGAGTACTTGACTGGTCAGCTAATCACGATTTATCGTAGTACGTACGCTATGCATCTTACTAGATAAAACCACATTCATTATCAATAATGCCAGCGCATCTTAGATTGTGAATAAGGGGCATAGCTTCATATGTTATACTCGGATTATGCTCTTCCAGTAATGCCAAGATTTCCAACTTGTCTTGACTTTTTCAATAGCCAAGAAAGAATGATTCGCTGCGTTTTATGTGTTTTTAAAAGGAAGGCGGCAGTTGCAGCCCCAACATGCCGCACCATCCGGCCCGAAGAGCTCTACGGAGTATGGAGTACGTAAGATAAATATCCAGCTCAACCTAACAGATATACGGACTTTGGTGTTCTCTTTCAGATTATGTCCGTCTGTCACTAGAGTGTCTGAGCTACAGTATCCTCGAACCTTCGGTAGGATAGGATTATACAAATCATGAAGAGAGATGGAGTATTTCACCATACCCGGCTTCCGGGGGCGAAGCTATGCTCGTAGATGTACTCATTTCGACGGTTGTTCAGGGTATGATTACACACTTGTCACCCTGGCTTGAAAAAAAAGATACGCAAATGTCCTTGAGAGTATCAAGTAAGTACTATTATATCTGTGAAGTCCAACTATGCGGCGCTAGCAAAGTGAAGAAGTCCCGAGAACATCGCGACTTTCAGGTAGTATGATTATTCCCCATTTTAGTGGTGTTATCTGCGGAAGCTCTGGAAGCTTTGGGCTTCGACGCATAGTTTTTGTTCAGCTGCTGCTATTTTTTAGCATATTTTGAAGGACTGGCCTTATGAGAAATACAGACTGTGCACAAAAACATACGTAGGGCACTATAAATAATCATAGCCATCGAGTTGCTCATAGAATGAAGGAAGTTGGAGCGCACTGCATTCAAGAGAAATGCGTACTGCGTATGAATATATGTCTCGACTCTTTAGGCCCTATTGTCAGAGAATGATACGTAGTAAACAAATGTATCCACTCCCAGAGTGAGTTGGTTCAAGTGAAGAACCACCAGCTCCAAGGCCGAAGCAATTATCACGAGCATGGCTATTATTAGTTGGCAGACATTTACGGCTGGTTTCTAATACGAGTAAGCAATTTTTGGAAACCGCAACCTACACCAAGTTTGGCATAACCCAATGTGAGGAATTGAATATGACATCAGAAAGCGTCTATATCCCCATGCAGGAAAAGAGTACGAGTTATGTGTTACTAATATCAAGTTTGCGCACACATTGCCACAATGCTGTGTCGGCCAAGATATGGCGCATGAAACCACTTTACGTCAAACGGATGTTGGAGGACCCCCTTGAAGAAAGAAGAACTTCGGCGAGCCATTACGAGGTGGGTACATAGAAGTGGAAGTATCATAATATCCTAGAAAGGCGATACGCTTGCTTCGGCCTTATATTTCGTGACCACGAGATGAAAACGGAGAGTATGTACGATGATATCGCAGAACAGGGGCTGAAAACGCAACCACGCATTAAATCAGCAAAGTGCGTTCACCTGTACTCCGTACGGCGTGGCGCCAGTTGGACTATAGTTACGAACAAGGTACCACGTACATAGTAAGATACGTACGTATATTCGTAGTCCCATTCTGCAGCTCGTGGCAATTTGAATGTGAGGCAGGGTTCATATGAAGTAACGTGATGGTTTGCAGCGATACTGTGGGTCTTAGGGCCTCTAATGCAATCTTTATTTCAAACAGGAATCTCCAGGACCCCTGCGTAAACAAAGTCAAGCCACCATGTAAGATACTGCAAGTGCCGAGACTGCCTTAGTTCTCTGCATAAGTATTCTCTCCCCGAGCGGTTTGTTAGATCTGCTTCGTGCCGCGTGGGGATGAAGATGGGGGGGTGATGGAGGTAAAGAGGCGAAGGCTTTCTGAAAGGAAGCGGCCGGGTCCTCCTGGAAAACATCGCAGTAAGACGATCGACTTCAAGTCCTACGAGGGTATCGCTTCTATTTTCAAGGCATGCGAGGTCCGTGGCTGGTGCGAAACGTGTGACGTTGTGGGAAGCCACGGCCGACAGGGAAAGCCAATAGCGGGGCCGAGTCCGAAATAGCTCTGGCAGACGTGAGAATCTGACTCATATTACGGCCTCGATTTGTGGAACAGCGCTGGGGCATTTGTTGTTCGTCAGTCGGCAGCATCCTCCCACACTCGCTGTACGAAGCACGACGTGAGTCCATTGGCCCTATAACGGGAAAGCAACGTGCCACCCATATACTGGCAGAGAGAAAGTGGGGGCTCTGGCGATGTCTGAGTCTCCAGACGTGCCCCATTCGGATAGCTCTTGGCTCTCAATCTCCAAAAGGAGGCTTGCTGGGAGCGCCAAGCGCCCTGTGAAATTTGAGCGCAACACGGTTTCGGGGAAGCCTGCAGGCGGCGACCAGACAAACGCAGGCCGTGCTTTCCGGATACGTTACCTGGACTTGCCGTTTGTGTATCCTCTTCCCCCTTTCCTCCTTTTCCTCCTTTTCTCTTTCCCCCTCCCCTTTCCCCCCTTATCCGCTTCTTGTCGAGGTTTGTTCGCTTCAATTTTGCCATATGGGATGCACCTGATAGTAAGCTGATTTGCACGGTCGTAATTTTTAATGCTCACAAGTTCTCGGATATCCGACTTGTGGGTGGGATCTGTCGTGGATGTTCCATGGGAGGGGAAAGCCGCGGCCATGCAACCCTCTCAAACACGTAAACTTCCCCCGAGAGAAACTCCGTTCTGTACTATGTAGGTGCAAGGAGGGGTAAAAAGCAGATCGGCGCACTTTTGGTGCCCGTTGCAGCCGTAGTGCCCTGTCCAGCAGCCTGGGTTCCTTTTTGGACTAACCAGGATGGCGCCAATGAGCGATCACGGGGCCGCCGAGCGTGGGAGTGGTAGGGTTGGGAAGGCGCTGTAGCTACGTACTGTACGCAGGAGCTTACCGTGGCGCACATTACCGAAGCTCGTCCTGCGTCGCAATTGGTTGCTTCACTCACCCCTCATACCTTTGCAGGTGAGGCTTCTCTTAAAGTGTTTCGCTGCTTGATTCCCCACCCTACTTAAAATATGTGCAGGTAGCATCTGGCGCTAAAGCATTTTAGGTTGCTCTCCTCCGACTTTCGCAGGTCGAAAGGCCCATGTAAAAGACGAGTGATACGAAAGAATACTCCGTAAGAGAAGTCAACATACGGCGCAACAGTGCGCACGCTACAAATCGAGCGCCTGGAAGATACACTTTCTTCTACTCGCTTCAGAAACCTGCTGTACCTTACTGTATACCAATATACCGGGCATTCTTGAGCGAGTAATGCTTGTAAAAGCTTCCTAATAACGCCTCCGTTGTATGCCACATCTTTTGGTCTTTACTACTATGTAGATGTCTGTGCCATCCATATTCAATAGGCGATTTTGGAGTCTCCGATTTGTAGCCCATACATAGTAAGACGGAGTAGTAGCAGTTACTAGGTGAGGATGGATTGGGGGAATGGACAGGTGGCGTCGATATTATGTACTCCGTATTCAAGGCAAGAAAGAACGACCGAGCTGGACCTATCTTATCGATGATATAATGACTCGCGCCAAAAAATTCTGCCCCAAAGTCACGGCCATTGACTATTTCCTACCTCTCCTTCGTCTTGATAGTTTTTACGGTAATCAAGTTAATGAAATCGGCCCTAGATTCTCTCTGTCCTGCATAGCAATTTCGTTTGTGTGTTTATCTGGTCTTGGCCTCTGTGAAGGGCGCTGCAGATCGCACACTTTGTACCAGAAAGGGTAACCGCAATTATACACCAGAAGCGCACAGCTTGACCGCAATACTCCGACGAAAGGACCAAGATCTAACACAAAAAGAAAGAACGAGGCGGTCAAGGAAAAGAAAGAAAAGAAAGGGCAGATAGGGACACAGGTACGCAAGAAACACCCGTCTTGACTGTTGCTTCCCGCGACTTAATTTCCCTTTTGTGTCTCTTGTTCTTTGTTAGCAGAATCAGCCAGCACAAATTCCCACATCGCTTTCTCGTTCTTTCTTGCCCTCCCCCATTTAGCTTCCCTTTCTTAATTATAACTATTTCTCTTCCCCGTTCCCCTTGCTCCATCCATACTCGACTTATCTCTTACATGACCAGCCAATAGCCCTCCTGCGACTACACAAACATCGCACTTAGTACATTTGCAGCGCGATTTGTACCAATCAAAAGCCGTCCTGCTACCATTGGTTGTGCTTTACGAGGGACCAGACTACGACGTATAAGAATAAAGCGACAGTACGATATTACAGTACGAATCGTCCAGCGCACGCAACAGCCCAGCGCACAGTACTCCGTACACCGGGCCTAATTAATGTGGCGATAATCGACAAGAAGACACCATTACAGACTCGCCGCAGTACCCGCCCAGAAGGCATCTTCTCTCAGAGAGTGCGCCAGCACACCCGACGGCGGAGACGGGCAAAGCCCCAAGGCTCCACCACCATACGAGTACTCACAAGTATCTCACTCGTATCTTACTTGAGGCAGACCCGCATAGCTCCTCCCCCTGTGACTCAGCCTTGGATAGGCCGGAGTCTCTGGAACGGATCATCACAGGCCCCCCAATCTCTCCTACTCCCCCCCCCCCCCTAGCTGTTCATGGCCGCATTTTCAGCGACTTCGAACGTCTATGACCAGACGAACCAGAAATCAGGTGCGGCAAACCAACCTAATATCCCTACTTCCTGCCAGCTTGAATATATAAGAGCTTCTGCGTCTCTTGTCTACACACTCCTATCTGCCTTCTGCCCCATCTTTCTGAAAGCCTTCTACATCTAACAAACTGATTGCATTCGACAAAACCTGTCAAGAGCCTCTGCACTATTGCCATCTTCCGCCTCCCCCCTCTCTGCACCGCCGAGTCTCACGTCCACCAGCCGTCACTAATTTGCGCCTACGACTCGTTCGTCGCCTTTCTTCTCTATCTAGTCTATCGTCAACCACGGTCTAAGCAGTCCTCGCTAGCAAAGCTTGCCATGAGCACACATTTCGCAACATCTACAGCCACCTCTTCATCCGCGTCGTCTCCCAAATTCTTGCCAGGCGACAGACTGCCCCCACCGCACCACCACGGATACAATGGCCTTTTGCCGCTGCCAGAAGACGCGGCATTCAGCCATGCACTCAAATACTTGAATTTTGGCACTCCTCCTGACTCGTACCCTGGCAGCGCGCCTAATGGCACCATCGGGCCCTTTACCATCAGACCTACCATCCCACATTATGAATCACCCTACGCTAGGAGCAACGCCTCCACAGCGCCCGGGTCGCCGAGAATGTAAGTGGGCTATGCTTGTCAGCTCTAATCCCCTTGACGGTTTCATTTCGATTTCCATACGATTTTCCTTTATTTTTGCATGTTTGTCTATCTAGCGCTTTGTTGTTGCTGGGCACTCCAGCCCGGGCTGTGGTCTTGGTCAATCCAGACTGGCCTATGGTAGTGCTTGCTTTGCGCACATGCATGAACTCATACGTGATGAAGACTCAACTGACAAGCTACGTCACACATAGCCCTCCACTGAGGCAGAACTCGGGCAGCCATACTCCGCGCGTTCGACCACATGCAACCTCGCTCAACATCCCGGGCATGACCCGGTCTAAGGTCTCACCTGACGGACGAATTCCCGACCGAGATGTCGCTTCCAAGTTGGTGATCATCATGGTTGGACTGCCTGCACGTGGCAAGTCTTACATCACCAAGAAGCTACAGCGCTACCTCTCATGGCAACAACACAACACTCGTATCTTCAATGTGGGCCATCGGAGACGTATCGCTGCCAGCATGGTGCCTGGGTCTTCCGGGTCACAATCTGAGCTGTCCGAAGACCGCCAAGAGGATCCTGACGAGCGACAGTGTAACGGCCATGCGGATGCACCCTTGCAACAGGCTGCTTCAATTCTTCTGAATGGCATACCGTCGGGTCCAAATGCCGAACCTACAACTCTTGATCTCAATATCTCCGAGCAAAGCTCTGACTTGGATGTCTGTCCGACGATTGCTGTCGGTGATGAGGCTGCGCAGCGCAAACAACAGGCACGAGTGGACCAGACAGCGGAATTTTTTGATCCGAAAAACGAATCTGCTTCTAAGCTGCGCGAGCAAGTCGCACTCGATACTCTCGACGACCTCCTTGATTACCTACTGCATCATAACGGCGCTGTCGGAATTCTCGATGCCACCAACAGCACTCTGCATCGCCGCAAGATTCTCGTCGATCGCATCAAGGAGCGTGAACCCAAGCTTGGCATTCTCTTTGTGGAGAGTATTTGCACAGACCAGAACGTAAGCTCCCATTTCCTCGGCCCGCGTACTATCATCACTAGCACGTCGGATATGAATGCTGATACTTTTGGTTAGCTGCTCGAAGCCAACATGCGACTCAAGCTCTCTGGCCCAGACTACAAGAACAAGGACCCTGCCAAGTCTCTTGAAGATTTCAAAGCCCGGGTCAAGGCTTATGAGAGCGCGTACGAGCCACTTGGCGAGTATGAGGAAAAACACGACCTCCAGTATATTCAGGTACGTCGAAAGTACAATGCAAGACGTGGCGGGAGGTATCACTCGTGGCTAACCTTCCTCTCAATAGATTGTTGACGTGGGCCGAAAGATAATCAACCATCGTTTGGCGGGTTTCCTCAGCAGCGGTATTGCCTCTTACCTCACGACGTTCAACCTCTCCCCAAGACAGATCTGGATCACAAGACACGGGCAGAGCACGGACAATGTGGCCGGCAAGCTCGGCGGCGATTCTGACCTAACGGAACGTGGCCACTACTATGGTTTGGCGCTGTACAACTTCATCACGGCAAAGCGCAAGGAGTGGGCAGTGGAGCAGGAAAGTAAGCTTGCGCAGGCCTCTTTCCCACCACAGCCTGGCGACCACACACCTCCGTACCCGGAGCTGAATCAAGTCTTTGACGAGAAAAACTTCTGTGTGTGGACGTCGATGCTCAGGCGGAGCGTGGAGACGGCAGAATACTTTGATGCAGATGATGACTACGATACAAAGGCTTGGGAGATACTTAACGAGCTCAATGCGGGAACGTTTGAGGGCATGACCTACGAGGAAATCGCGCTCAAGCAGCCAGAAGAGTATGCGAAGCGGCGTCGGGACAAGCTGCAATACATCTACCCGGGCGTTGGCGGAGAAGGCTATTTGCAGGTTATCAACCGGCTCCGCGACATGGTACGGGAGATTGAGCGGGTGACAGACCATGTGTTGATCATCAGCCACCGGTCTGTGTGCCGTGTTCTGATGGCATACTTTATGGATCTGACGAGGGACGATATTGCGGAGCTGGACGTGCCGCTGGGCATGCTGTTTGCCATCCACCCCAAGCCATACGGTATGGAGTTCCACGCCTACCGTTACAACGAAGCACAGGGCTGGTTTGATGAGGTGCGCGACTACAAGCCTCAGAAGACACAGGACCAGAACAATTGAGGCGGGTTTGAACGGAAAGCTCCGTCACACCAAGCAGCCGACACAATCCGGACACGACCGTTGTATTTCCATTGTGAGGAGCAGGGCGCGTCTCTGGAAGACGATAAGAGGTGTTGTACGGGGGGCATTTTTTCTCTTTTCTTTTCTTTCTTTCTTGTTAAATTTCCTATTTCGGCTCTTTGGTTTCCCCATATTCTCACCTTTTGCTCGAAACGAGACTGGACAGCGGATCGGTTGCGATAAATATTTTTTTTTCGGACAGGGCTTGCATTGATATATGCCGCAGAAGGCAATGGGAAAAGCCAGCGGCGTTCGGTCAGTGTGTCACATACTCAACTTCAGGCGTAACGGAATTTTAGACGGAGTATAGAGTCATTGATTGATTGATTGGTGAGCTTTTGCAAGAGTACATGGTCGCTTACATATTCTCTTACGTTAGCACGGGTTAAAGCCTCTGGTGCAGGATTTTGCCACCGGGTACGGAGTATGGGTGATAGGATTTATGGTGGAACTGTCGCAAAGCCGATTGGTGCTGAGAGAGCTAAATAATAGCAACATATTAGTGTATCGGTGCTTTCTTGGCGCGGTATGTTGGGTCTTTATTGTTGTCGTGGTATATATGTAGGGTGTGGGAGGCTGGGAGAATGCAGCGAGCGGGTTGATTTGGCTTGCAGAGAGAGAGAGAACACTGGCAATATCAGCAATCAACAACATCAGCAAACAGGGACGAGATCGACACAAGATGGCGGCAGGTCGACGGCGCAAGCCACAGGAGTTTTTGCTGGCGGACGGACGGCGAGTATTAGTGGCACTGCCAGAGGAGGCAGAGGTGCTGCGCGCAAAGTACAAGGGAGTGCAGCGGGAGCAGCAGGCGGACGGAGGGGGAGTACAGGTGGAGGTTGTGGTTCACGGGTCGGCAGAGCACCAGCAGTATCTCCAAGAGAAGCGGGACCATCAGCAGGCGCGACGGGAGGCGCTGCGAGCACAGCACGGATCGGCGTTCTTTGATGAATGGGACCGGGTGACGGCGGAGCTTTCGCAGGCGTCGGATGAGCTGTCGCGGCTATCGGACCAGTCAGCGAGTCTTGGGGAACACTTTTCCAAGTTTGGATACAGCGCGACGCTGCGGACATTTGGGGGAGACGAGGGCGAGGGCAGCGGACACGGGAGCCGGCAGATCAGCCGGTTGACATCGCGGGCGAACAGTCTAGGCAGCAGCTCGGGCGATGGCGAAGAGTCGGAGGAAGACAAAGTTGGCATGCCGACATGGCACGATACAAGCAGCGGCGAGGGGATGCGGATCTTTGAGCGGCCGACAGTGAAGCAGTACTTCCATCGGGGGCTGCTGTGGCGGGCGAGCTCGTTGACAGAGGTGCAGAGCTTCGAGTTGTTTTTCGACTTGATGTACGTTGGGATCATTGCGATCAACGGCGATCATGCGGCCGAGTCAGCAAACGGGTTTGAGCTGCTGCGATTTCTGGTGACGTTCTGTCTGAGCTGGAAGATCTGGAGCGACGTGACGCAGCTGGTGAGCTGGTTCCAGAACAACGACGTGATGAGCCGGGTGGCGCTGCTGTTCCTGTTCTCGTGCCTACTGGCGGTGACGTCGAACATGGCGCAGACGTTTGGGGGATGGGGGGAGACATCAGAGAGCTCGACCGGGTCCGTGGCGGAGAGGACGACGGAAGCGGGTGCAGAAAGCACGGAGTCACCAGACACATCGGACACGTATCGGGCGCTAGCAGCCTACTACGTGACGGCACGGCTGTTCATGGCGCTGTGGTGCGCGCTGATGGGGCTGCTGGTGCCGCTGGTACAGGGCACGATGGCGTGCCAGGTGGTGCTGTCGGTGGTGGCAGCGGCGCTGTGGATAGCGAGCATGCACCTGGAGCTGCCGGTGCGGCTGGCGTGCGTGTTTGTGGTGCTGGCGTTTGACCTGTTTGGCGGGGCGCTGGTGGTGGGCGCGTTCCGGTACGCGACAGGACACGCGCAGACGCGCGTGGGACGCGCGCTGGTGGCACGGGTCTTTGACTTTTACCCGGCCGTGAGCATCGAGCACAAGGTGGAGCGGACGAACGCATTCATGACGCTGGTGCTGGGCTACTCGGTCGTGGGGGTGTTGTTCCAGAACGGCCGCGGCTACGGGCTGCACGCGTTTCTGGGCAAGGCCGTGCTGGGCCTGGTGCAGGCCTTTGTGCTCAACTGGCTGTACTTTGACGTTGACGGCGCGGCCGCCGCGATCCACGTGCACGCGATTCGCCGCGGTGCCGAATCGGCATGGCTCTGGCAGAATGCCCATCTGCTCTTCACGTTGGCCTTTGTGCTGTCGTCGGCCGCTCTGTCGCGCCTGGTCGTGGCCACCGACTGCGCCAACGCGCCGCTCGACAGCCTCACACCGGCCTTTCAGGCCAAGGCCACGTCCCATCTCGGCCTCGGCCTGCGCCTCTACTACAGCACCGGTCTCGGCGTCGCCTTGGCGGCCTACGCCCTCATCGCTGCCACCCACGTCCACAAGGCCACGCCGCACTGCCGTCTGACCAAGCCGCTGCGTCTGGCCAACCGGCTAGCCGTCGCCGCCGTCCTCTGTGCCCTGCCCGCTGCCCGCCACCTGTCGTCGCTGCAGCTCGTCGCCATCGCCACCGGCCTGCTCGTCTGGGTTCTCGCATTCGAGGTCTGGGGCACGTCCGATCGTGGCGAACCGCTCTTTGCCCTGGATGTGGCCGCGGCCGACGGTCCGACGTCCTCTCTTCCTCGCTACACGGCCCGCTGCAGCGAGCGGCGCCTGCAACAGGCACTGCGGGCGGCGCGCGCAGACGACGAAGAGCAGCCCCAGGTGGATATCAACGTGCTGAGTCGGGGGGAGAAGCACGGGGCCGCTCTGATGGATTAGAGTAGGGGTATTATGAGAGGAAGTCGAGAAACGGTCATGGATACAAACTAGAAATGGAAGCCACGCACAAAAGGCAGGAACCCAACGACTGTAGGGAAAGTACGACTTGTTCTGTAGTACAATACTATCTATACACTTATAATTCCCTCACCTCTTCTTCTCTTCCTCTCTTCCCTCTTTTCCCTCTCTTCCCTTCTCCTACCCAGACCCAATCACTGCACCCATAATGGCAATCTGCTGTCCCCGCCGCCGGTCCACCTCCTTCTTGAGCATCACCAGACACGTCGTCACTGCCAGCACCACAAACGAGTCGCGGTCGGTCATCGTTGTGGTCGAGATCTCCTCGCCAGCTAACCAGCCGTGGTCCAGCTGAAGCCGGCCGCCAGAGCCGGCCGATGACGCCGAGCTGCCGCGGCTGCGCAGTGTCGCGCTGCGAATCAGTCGTGCCACCGGCCGTCGCGTGCACGGTGCTGTGTCCGACAGACGGTCCAGCACCAGCAGACTGTCGACCTTTTCGACCTTGCCACTTCTACTGCTGGCCACCAGCCTTTCTGCGCGTGATCCGTATCGCCACTCAAACGAGCCCAGCCGGGTGTCAAAGCCGTGCGCACGCCCAAACACCCGCCGGGACCGCACCGCAAACGTCTCGTCGTCGCCGCCCAGCCACACCTGCGGCGGTCGTCCCGGCCCGCACTTGTACGTTGTCCGGCTGAGCGTCTGCAGCAGCACCATGTCGACAACGTCGGCATCGACGCGGACATCGGTGGAGCTCCGACCGGCAGCCACCGCCCGCCACGGCGCGCCGCCCGCAACAAGCGTACAGTCGCCCGACCACTGCGACTGCCGCATCGACACAAAGGCCGGCCGGTGCTGGATGTCCTGCGGCAACCCCTCTTCGTCCACGACATACGTCGGGATCGGATCCATCCGCCCCGGGCCTGGCGCCGACAGCAGGGCCTTGCCGGCCGTCTCGATCTGCAGCTGCAATGTCGGTCGTAAGCTACGCGTCGGCGCAGCACTGTCCTGCTGGCCGTCGTCGCCGTCCCCGGTCTCGGCCGAGTCCGTGAGCGCCGCCACGTCGTCGGCAAAGGGATCGACAAGGCAGCTGGCGCTGTCAGTTACCACTGAACTTGTCATGATGTGCAGCGTGGTTGAAATGGCTGATAAAGGTTAAGGCTGTAAAGCCATGGCTGTCTGTCCACCATCAGTCGTCGGTCACGCTGCACGTCTCTCGCCTTTATATCTCCATCTTGATGCGAACTATGCGAAAGACAAAAGTCGCCTTGCTCATCTTACATCATCCTTTCAGCTCTTACTCAGCCTTGTCTGCAGTCAGGTTCTACTCTGATCGATGCAAAATACGGCCGCGCTAGCCTCATTCAGTCGCCAGGCGTCACAAGCTGCTCCACTAGGCGAACTTTCACTTCTGTCGAGAAGAGCCAACACCTGTTGGGGCCGCGTCCACTTGCCACCTGCACGAAGTAGGCGTATATTCGTTGGACGGCCAACGTCATCTAGCTTCGGCCAAATGCCCGGGGATTGTGGTCTAGCTGCACTTCTACCCACAACGGCCACTCGTTGTACAGCGCAAAGTCTGGTCTCACCAGCCGGTTTAAGTGCTTCAGCCATCGGAAGATGCCCATATCCATGCCGTGTTGCGTGCTCTCCTTCTGCGTCTGCTCCCCTACAAGCCGGCTGTCAAACGACTTCTCTGCGTCGGTGATTCGCACCATAATCTGCTTCAGTGCGATCCAATGCGTCGCCAGCAACACAAACACCGGCCGGTCCAGGTTGATGATCTGTCGAAACTGCTCGTACGGGAGCTGCATCCACCAGGCATAATGGCGAGTCACGGCCGCATATGCTGATAAGTCAGAAGGATGAGCGACAGACGAGAAAACAAAATGCAGAGGCACGCAGAGGAAACTCACATTCAACCGGAGACACCAACAGCGCCCTCGCAATTTGCAGCACTAGCGCATGATAGCTGATCGCCATGTCATCCCCTCGGCACAATGGCTCCAGCTCCTCCACGGCTGCCACGGCCGCCTCCCCCCATTGCCGCTCGATCGGCGGCATGGGATCCAGTGCCGGCTTCAGCATTTCCGCCTGCTCGTTGTTCAGCAGGTTGCGGAACAGCAGTCGGGCACCGCGTATGTGCATCTGGATCGCCACCAGCAGGATGCCTCGGATGAACGTCATATACTCCACCATGCCGTCGTCGAGCTCGACCGACTGGAACGTTAATGCGAAGCACGTTGCCATCAGCGCATTGCCCTCCTCAAACAGCGGATTGCTCGAGCCGCTTGCACTCTCGTCCCACGTCGTCCTCGGTGGCGGCTGTGACGCTGCTCCGGAACGAATAGAGTGTGAAGTAGAGGACACCGACGATACTGACGAGGACGTCGTTTCTAGATTGCCATTGGCTTTGTCGGTGCCATGGGCACCCTTCACGGCAATTGTTCCGCCTGGCGGCAAGCAGAGAGTCGCCGGGATCCGCTGCTTGGAGACCGGCGATAGTGCTCGCTTGATGGCGCGGATTGCCTTGAGCCGGTGGTCCATAGCCGCTGCCACGAGGCTAGCGTCAGTCTGCATCAGGTCGGACGCAGCCAGGCCGAGGAGTGCATGCATCAGGTAGTCATACTGTGGAAAGCAACGTGAGCAGAAAGAACAAAATCGCAGCAACAGCATCAGAATGACTCACATTGTGTGACAGACACGGAATCTCGTGTGTCCAGAGCGTCTCGTTGCCCAGCGGCTGATGAGGGCAGCAATGCACCAGAAAGTGCTGGAAGAAGCGCATGTCCTGCAGGCTGAAGAGCGGGATCTGATGCTGCGGTTGGTGGTTGACTAGCGGTGATGCTGGGTACTCGCACTGCAGGCCCGTCTTGACGCAGTGTCCGCAGGACGGCCGCGTTTCCTGGCACTTGATACGGCGCCGCTTGCAATTGAAGCATCCGCGCCGCGATTTGGTGTGGCCGCGTCGCTCGAGTCGCTTGCTGAGAGACGTTGGTGACGCTGCCGAATACAGCTCTTCGGACTGCCGGCTGACAACAGCGGCAGCGGAGATGCGACGAACTCGATCGGCATCTGGAGACGACAGGCGACCGGGAAGAAGCTTATTCGTTGTTATTGTTGTTGTCGTCGCCGTCGCCGTTGCCGTTACCGTCTTCTTTGAGACCTTGGAGGAGTGCGACGGCAGGATGACCGAAGGCCTGAGCGCTGCCGAACCAGACGGGTAGGCATAGGCATGCACCAAAGGCGACACCATGGCGCCCGTCGAGGCCAGCGAGTAGGCCACCAGGATTGCACCGGTCGTCGTTGGTGTTGTCGTGGGCAGCAGGCCACTGTCGACTGATACCGCCGAGGCCACGCTCTCCTCTGAGGTCAAATATGTCATGTCATCAAAGCTGTCTTCCTCCCGGACGTGATGGTGCTGGTGGTTCTGAAGTTGTCGTGGTTGATGCTGATGCTGATGCTGATGCTGATGCTGATGCTCATGATGCTCGTGATGCTGCTGATGTTGAGGCTGTTGATACTGGTAGCCGGACAGAGGCTGAAGGCCCCCAACGCCACCGGTCACGTCCCCTGTCGGCATAAAGGTGCCATAGAAATCGAACTCGGGAGTCGACAAAGCCGAGTCGCCAGCACCTAGCGTGTCGAACTCAAGATGGCCAAAGTCCATGTTGTCGGAGTCCGGGGTAACAACAAAGAAATCCCTTCTGTTGATGAAGCTGGAGAAGGGTCAAAAGAGACCAGACGAGTCCACAAAATAAGAACGGGGAATAGGCCAGCAGATCAGGGGAGGGGGGGCCGGGGGGGCCAACGGGCGATCTTGTTGGCAGTTGTCGAGCCGCTACAACAGTACAAGCGTTCAGCTTAACGCTCAGCCTGTGGAAGTGCCCTACCGGGAAGAAGAAAAACCAAACCCCGCAGACCAAAGATATAAAACCGCGCAGTCAAATTCGGCCTCGCGTGTGTCCAACGCAGAATATACAAATCTTCCAGATGCGGCTCTCGTTGCGTCTGCGCAAAAGGAGGATCTCACTGTTGGGTCCTTCCCCAAGAACGCCATACTAAGAGTATGCATAATCGTGCTCGTTAGCACATCACGTGTCTGTCGATCTGCACCAAAGAAAGCCTAACCAGCTGGGCCCGGTCTCACTCGTGGCTATGTTGTCTCTTCAGCCGCTCTGATTGGGAAGAGCCCGATCCAGGAGCCCCTCTCTTCGCTCTGTCTTGCCTGTTTCCCCCTTCCTTCTCGCTCCTTTGCCTTCCCTTCTAGCGGGTGACTCACGCACAGCCACCACAGCCTGTTCAGTAGGCTGCTGCCCTGCAATTCGGGCTAGGGCTCACTTCGCTGTACCCATTATCAGCCAATTCCTTTTGAGGCACTGGCAGCCGTGATCGAGTCCACCGAAGTTTGTGCTCGTATCTCAGCCGCTCGATAGCCTACAACTGCGAGCCCGATACTCCGTCCGTCGCATCCCACGTCTCCAGAGTCGCGTATCTTGGAGAAAAAAGGGGGTCGGCTTCCGATAGACGCGTCTGGCCACCAGCCACGGCACCTCGAACCACGGACGGCGGGCAGCGTTGCATTGTTGAGTATCGAACTCGTAAACGGCACGTTCTGTCCAATAGCACAGAGCGCTAAGGAGGGGGAGAGTTGGGACGAGCCCATCGTACTATGCAAGATGCTGAGCTCGTGGCAGTTCTTGCAAGATATCGGGTCACATGAGCATATGATTTATTAATGCAGCTGTGCCGGCTAGCCGTCCAACTCGTACACCTTGCCAAACCTCGGCACAGTCGTGCCGGCGCTGGCGACAAGTCCGTACAGAGAGCATACTACGCACGACAGACAGACCAGCCACAGGGGCCAGCCAGGGAGGGCGAAAGGGAGAAATATCAGTTGGAGGGCTAGATCTTGTAGTGCGGATTTCAGCCAGTCAGATGGCGGCTGTTCGTGTCTCAATTAATCCTGCCCTTTTTTCAGTGCTATTGGCAGCCATCGGCTGGAATGGAAACGGGCGAACTGGCAGGGAGCCGACCGGACCGCTACTACAGAGAGCGGAGGAGTATTGCCTATGTAAGATAGGAGAGCAGGCAGCCTCGCCCATAAATACACTATTGTGTTGGAAGAGAACATTTAACCCCTGCAGCGACCAGGTCCAAGCCTGCTTCTTCTTCCTTTGACATGTTTCTCTACGTGGTATTGTTCATTGCAGTCCGCACACAACAGGTCTGGCAGCACGTTGGCGTCACTGTAGTTCCGTGTTCAACGATGTTCCATGTAGAGTGCCTAGTCGTGCTAACAGAAGCCTGGTACTTGTGATAGCTTCCAACAAGATACAGCCTCCAAGCGTGGTATACAGATGCGGGCAAAGACGGGCAATATGTTTCCGGGCCTTGTGTATATGGTGTAAAAACTGTCTTGGTGGTCTTGCCGCAGCATGCTTTCGTGTTGCAGAAAGTAGATGACAGCAAAGGAGGCTACGACGTACTCCGTACACACGTCGTAATACGCAATGGACTAGGGGAAGCCCGCAAGCCTGTCAGCCCGGATATAACCGAGATAATGAATATCGACATTTGGAAGACGGGTAACACTCTGTTGCAGCCCAAATAATTGCGACCGCATGTACATTGCGATTCCCGTATGGAGTACGGAAAACTCCGCAGTAACCACATTCCCAGCTATGGACACTGAAGAGCGCAGTTTCCCACGAGCTGCGGCCAGCGTCCTGACCCGTCGCGCTGTCATTTGTATGCTCGTACTCGTACTCGCAGCAGCTCTACGGGTAGAAAGTTTGGTTCTGGTACTGATAGGAAAGCAGGATTTTATACCAAAAGTGGAGGCAGACAGGGAGAAAGCAATGCGGGCAGCCGTACTTGTAGACGGGGAGGGGGGATGAAACCTGGCACTTGAAGGAATACGAGAAACAACAACATCAGAAAGGCCCAAAGCGCGCGGACTGACTTCCTGTTCTCGCTCAGTGACAGCTGACAGCGGCGGCGCAGTTGCACCTCAGCTCGCGATCTTATATGCCCTGTTTTTCTCGGTCTGCCCCTTCCGTCTCGTTGGAGGGTCCACATGTTTACTATGTACGGCGAGTCAACAAACGCTCGTATACGAGCATTCGTGCTGTGGAGGACGGATGGGCACCATTTATGCTCATATCAAGCTGCCGTTGCAGGTATACTGCTATTCAAGCAGACAACAGATTCTGCTGTCGCAAGACAGCAGAGAAATTCGGGCTGACAGGGAGCGGAGATCACTCCTTCTCTTCTCGGCCCACTCGTTTACGCAGAAACACGAATCCCCCTATCATGGGAAAGTGCATACGTATGTCTCGTACGGAGTACGTCGTATGCATAATCAGCAGGGGGCGACAGCTTAGATCAGTAACCAACCGCAGTCGGGACGGCCATAACGTTCTGCTGGCTCGTTATGCAAGATACGAGTCCAAAATGCAAAAAGGACTAAAAGTATCTTACGAGTACTATGTAAGACAGCGCAAGCCATTAGAAGAAACCGCCGATGCAGGGATGTTACTCGGAAGCAGTTCCGTCGTCGGTGATCAAAGCCAAGCTTTTTACTATGTACGACGACGTATGTTCGGGAAGCAGCCAGGTCGCCGAAGAACGGGGCTGCTTGGGTGTGCCCGAGAAGCCCAGCAGGCAGCCACTCCGACGCACTCGTATATAGGAGACGATACCGTTGCAGCGGACGGTCAATTTCGCTAGAGGTTTCGGATTCGCGCCAAAGGGAGATCGCTTCGGGTGGGTGGGTTGATGATGGCGACGATGGTCGATGTCAGATGGATGGGGTCGTTCCAGGGTGGTATTTTTTCCAGGGGGGGTTACGAGTAGGAGGAAGCTATAATGCCAGGGGCTGCATACTCCGTACATAGTAGTATGCGTTTTTGCTCGGCGGGAAATATGGGTCCAATGAGACGGCAGAGGGGATGGCGCACTAGGCTTACGTACTCAGCCTACGGAGTATGACTGGTGCTCGGCATGTCTGGCCAAGGGCTGGGCATCAGCGTGGCGTGAGTTTGCCTTGCCTGCAGGGCAACGAGAGCCCGCTGTGGGCACATCTGCAGATATACGGAGTACTCCGTGTTCCCTATGCCGTCTCTGCCCAGATCGCATCCAAGCTGGGAAAAGACAAGTCGAAACAAAGAGATGGAAACGCAGCAGCCGATTTTTGTTCCCGTCTCTTTTTTCTGCCAACAGCAAGCGGCCGGCTGGAGGACCAGCGACAGGGGTGGGTGCATGAAAGGAGGCAAAACGAGAGAAAGAAACAGTCAGATAGTATGTGCACAACCGTCGTGCCCGACCCACAACTAAGATATCAGTGGCTCGCTCCGGTGTGACAGCACAACTTGCGCATGCCGTCGGGTACCCGCTGGTGGCTACGTGTTCTTCCACGACAGCCTCTTCCCGCCTGGTTACCTGATCTTGATCCTTGTTTCATTCCTTTTGTTGTGCGTTGGTGTTTGATTGAGGGTGTTTCCAGCCCCAGGCCAGAGTCTGGTCGTAGAGCAGCCGGTAGTCCGTGTTCCGGCTGAGAAAAAAGGAACGAAAAAACTCTTTCGGATGCCAAGCGACAGCGCAGCGGCCTGCATTGGCCGATTGGACATGTACGAACAAGCCAAGAGTCTGCAATCCGTCTTCCCTTCTTCGCCTTTGTCTGCATCTACATACGGAGTAGTACGCAGACACTATTCCTTACTATCGCGTGCCCAGCTTGCGAGTACCGAGTCGACTGCCCACATTCCTGAGGATTCTAGATCGGAATGGAGACGCCCTCTGGCAAGCCCCTGCCAGCCCCTGCCAGCCCCTGCCAGCCAGCCACTGGGTCGAGGCAGACGTGCCCTGAAACCAGACCAGCAGCTGTCAGGTGGGTCCGCCGGTGTACATAGTACACTGTATCCTACTATGTGTGCGCCGGCCACGGCAGCCGTCTGCTGTGCTGCAGGTCCAGCCCGCAACGTGTACTCGTACTGACGAGTACCTGCGCTTGGCCTGTTCCTGCATAGCGCCGTGTCCGCCGAGCACGCTAGCAACGCGATATTCCGGACAGAACGTTGCAGGCCCAACGAGCAGCGCAGCGAGAGGGCCTCCTAGCACGGTCCGGCGAAACGCCCTGCGATGGAGTAGAAAAAACTACTGACAAAGCTGCAAACGGCCAACCCCGCCGCCCCACTTTCATCGCGGTTCCTGAATGCCCCTGGCACTATCAGGTACTAGTCGTACAGTCGTACCGCAGGCCACGCTCGCACGACACCGCCTCGACAGGGGGAGGGGCAGTCTGTGCCCGCCCACAACGCACTATCTCACATACTTTGCAGTGGCTGGCTGTGCTGGCTGGCCGAACCTGTGGAAGCCCTTGTCGATTATCGTCTTCGTGCACTTCCCTTTGCCTGGCCTCTCTTTCCCTTTCTGGCCATGTCCCCGCAACCACACCCCCAGCCCGCTCCTGTTCCACACACCCTTTCATCTTTTTTTCACTTCCCTTCACCCTTTTGCTCCTTTTTAACCTCTTCTTCCCCCCTCCCCCCCTGGTACACACTCTTTCTTCCCTGGCTCGATCGCCATTTCATTCTCTTTTAACACTGCGGGTCGCCAGTTTCGACTGCATCTTTGCTCTCTCTAGATCCTGTCGACAGAATCAATCACGCATCACTCCTTTCTGCGTCTTTGACAGACCGCGCACTTGCTCATTCCTTTATTTCCCGGTCACGAAGCACATCACATCCAACGGCATTCTCTACATTGTTTTGCTTGAACTTCTCGACACAACGAAACAAATTCACCAACATGCTGAACAACAAGCAGGTCCTGGCCATCGTGGCCGCTCTCTTCACCCAAGAGGCCCTCGCCCTCAACGTCCACCGCCATGTGCACAACCACGTCCACGACAAGCGGGCGGTCGTGTACCAGGAGACTGACGTCGTCACCGTCACCGACTGGAGCACCGTGACCGTCTGGGAGGAATTCTCCGAGACCACCCAAAAGACCATGTTCAAGGGCGGTGCCCACACCCACCACACTTCCTCCACCATCACCTCGTCTTCGTCTATTTCGACGTCGTCGTCCGTGAAGCCATCCACGTCCTCCGTGGTCCCGACTGCATCTTCTGTGGTACCGACTACGTCTTCGACCTCGACGTCCTCGTCGATCTCGACGCCGTCGCCTACCACCTTTTCCACGTCGTCGGTCGCCCCTGTGCCCACGACATCCTCAACGTCCTCGACCGTTGCCCCCGTCCCCACGACGCTGTCTGTGGCAGCGGCTGTGTCGAGCGTGATCAACAAGGCCGACGCTCTCATTGAGACGCCGACGACGACTTCGGTGGCTCCGGTCCCCACAACTACTGCCGCCGCTGCTGTTGCTACTGTTGTGTCCACGACCACGTCTTCGGTCGCCAAGCGTGGTCTGGCTTACAACACCGGCAGTCTCCTGAGCAACTTCCTGGGCACTGGTTCCAAGTGCACGTGGTCGTACAACTGGGGCAAGGAGGCCGACTCGTCCGCTCCGTCCGACATCGAGTTTGTTCCCATGCTCTGGAGCCCCAACGACTACAATGGCTGGGACACTGCGGCCGAAAAGGCAATCGCCGGCGGTTCCAAGTACTTCCTCAGCTTCAACGAGTGCGACAACGCCGGCCAGTGCAACACGGATGCGGCCACGGCTGCTACTGCTCACCAGAAGTACATGAACCCGTACTCTGGAAGGGTCAAGATCGGCACTCCTGCCATCACGAACAGCAACTTGGAGGGCGCGGGAATCAGCTGGCTCGCCAACTTCCTCTCTGCCTGCAACGGCAACTGCGACTTTGACTTCTGCCCTCTGCACTGGTACAACACCGCAGACACCAACGACTTCCTGACCCACCTGATCAACGCGCACGAGACGTGTGGCAAGGACATCTGGATCACCGAGTTTGCGCCCACCGGCTCGGACGACGAGATCAACAGCTTCCTGATCGATGTCATGGACCAGATGGACAACAACGCGACCTTCTCCTTTGTGCAGCGCTATGCCTACTTCTGGGCTGCCACCGGCTCGCTGCTCACATCGGAGACCAGCCTGAGCACGTACGGAAGCACATTTGCCTACCAGTAGAGCAGCAGGGGCGCAGGACAACGGACGTTGCCCAGGGAAAACACTCCATCTTTTGATACCCTTCGTTCATTCACTAAGTCTACCTTGAAGGGTGTGGTTTGCGTTTTATATCTTCTCTTCATGTCGTTCGCTATTAAACAAATTTCCTTCATTTCTACCAGGTCTCCGGCATCTATGAAGCTGCTTTGAGAATCTACACAACTTTTTCACTTCTACTGTACATACACCTTCAAGGGGCGGTTGGTGATACCCCATTTTTAGACGCTTTTAAGTCGCCGGGTCACAGGAAAACAGGTACGGGTCACCTATATCTTAGAATTGAGAGGTCTAGGATAGAAATATGGCATTATGAAAACTGGTCCATGTAGTGTCGTAGAAGAGTCGCACTTCTCCCTTTTTGGTGATCATTCGTCCTTTTGCTGGTTGTGATCTGTAGGGCAGCTGTGTATAAAGTGGCCCCGATAAAGGAAAATAGAGAAAAAGAAAATAAACGGTCGCTAGGCTTGCGCGACAAGGGGAAAAACGCTACGGAATATAGTGTTTGGGGCCTTGCTCCTAAAAGTAGAAAATGTGTTAGTTGGGGGCAAAATGATCTTGTGACCATCTGTTTGGCCACGCCTTGGCTGCCAGTCCAGTCTCGACGATGCAAACCCAATTTGCTCTATTCTTACATCTCGGCCGAGATGTAGTGCGAGTGGAAAACAGAAAGCGTACGAGAGCTGTTCAGAGCGGCGAGACCCGTTGTCCTGCCTATCCGTTTTGCACATCACTTTTCCTCCTTGTCTCTTTTTCCGGTTCGCACTTATTTCTCATCGATGGCCCACCGAAAGTCAGCGACGGCGTTCAGCCAGGCGGCCGCGGCATCGCTGCCGCCCTGTGTGGCCCAAGCCTCGACGCGGGCGAGGCCGGCCAGGTCGGCAGCCATGTGATCGGGCGAGGTGGTGCCGTCGAGGACGACGACCGGACAGAGGGCGTGCGGTGCGTCTGGTCCATCGGGGCGGCCGGCGCTGCTGCCGCCGAGGCCGAGCGTGACGAGGGCGTAGAGGGCGATCTCGGGCGAGACCTCGGCGCCGGTGGCCACGGCAGCGATGCCGCAGGCGTCGGGATGTTGGTAGAGCAGTTCCTTGTTGGCGGTGAGGGTCCAGAAGGACTGATAGACGATGGGGGACCCAGAGGACCCAGAGGACCCGCAGAAACGACGCAGGGCGACGTCGTGGTCGGCCTGGCCGCGATGGAGTCGGTTCTGGACGACGACCGGGACGATAGGAGCGGACTCGTTTCTTCCTTCTTCCCGGGCCACCTCCCGGGCCACCTCGATGAGGGCCTTCAGGTCAGCCAGTGACGTGTTGCTGATGCCGAGGCTGCGCACGCGGGCCGGCACAAACGCCAGCAGGGCGCGCCAGGCCTCGCGCGTAGCCTCGCGCGAGCGGAAGGGCGAGTGTAGCAGGACGCAGTCGAGGTAGGGCTGCTCGTCGGGCTGCTCGCCGGGCGCGACTGCGCTCCGGCCGGCAAGGCGAAAGTGGCGCAGCGACGACTCGACCGACTGGCGCACCTGCTCGGCCAGCGGGGCGGCTGGGTCGTAGGGCAGCGGCCCGTCGACGTCCTGACCGGCGAGTGAGGTGAACTTGGTCTGGACGTAGAGGTCGGCGCGGCGGGCGACCAGGCCGTCGTCGAGGGCGCGCTGCAGGCCGGCGGCCACGAGGTCCTCGCGGTAGTGGCGCGGCTGGGCGGCCGTGTCGATGGCCCGGAATCCGGCACGCACGGCTGCGTATACGAGGTCGGCCGTGGCGTCCTTCTTCCAGGCGGTGCCGTAGACGAGGCGCGGAAGGTGGGTGCCCGCGGCCGTGCGGATGGGGGCCTGCTGAGGAGCCATTGGGCGGGGAAGAAGAAATGAGAGAGAAAAGGGGAAAGATAAAGAAAAAACCAAGACAAAATCACAAGGCTGACTTTCAATCTGCGAATAGCTTCAAGCTTCAACTGGTCGCAATGATGTCATGCCCGTATCTCCCTTACTAACCCGCGACAAGGCGGCGGAGAGGGAAAGAGCGAAGAGCGGGGGCTGCCTTGGTCGGGGGCGGCTGGCACAAAACAGGAAGGAGCCCCGCGAAAGCTAAAGCCGGGGATTTCCCGCACAAGGTAAGATATATTACATGTGCTCAATTTCCCCTCTTTCACCCAGTCGACGCACACAACAGCACATTGACAAGTACGACGTACGCATTTTCAGCAATATGGCATCGACAACGCCTTTCACGCTCAGGTGGGGCATTCTGGCGACGGGGGGGATTGCCAAGGGTGAGTAGGGAGTAAGAGAGAAGAGAAAGAGGAAGGAGAGAGAGAAGAAGGACGAAGAGAAGGTGGAGAGAGGAAAGAACAACAAGCTGACAGGCCAGACTTCACAAAAGACCTGTTGACGGATCCGTCAGCGCGCGGGGCAGACGACGTGCGACACGTGGTGGCAGCAGCAGCATCGTCGTCGTCAAAGCAGCGAGCAGCGGACTTTCTGCACGCGGTGGGAGCCGGCGCCGAGGCGAAGGCCTACGGGTCTTACGCGGAGCTGGTGGCCGATGCCGACGTGGACATTGTGTACGTGGCGACGCCGCACAGCCATCACTTCCAGAACGCGATGCTGGTGCTGGAGGCCGGCAAGCCGGTGCTGTGCGAAAAGGCCTTTACGGTGACGGCAGCCCAGGCGCGGAAGCTGGTGGCAACGGCGCGACAGAAGCGGCTTTTCCTCATGGAAGCCGTCTGGACGCGCTACTTTCCGCTGAGCGTGCAGGTGCGCGACCTGGTGCGGCGCGGGGCCATCGGCACGGTGTATCGCGTGGTGGCCGACAACTCGATCCAGGCCAGCAGCACCGACGCGGCTAACAACCTGGTCTTTGCCGACGATCATCGCATGGTCGACATCCACCTCGCTGGTGGCGCTACGCTCGACCTGGGCATCTACTCGCTCACCTGGCTCTTCCAGATCTTGTACCATCTGCAGCCGGACGCCGACGACGGGAAGGAGAGCCCGCGCGTGCTGGCTGCCATGGACAAGTACCGCAATACGGGTGTCGACGAGTCGACCACGATGCTGCTACACTTTCCGCGTCACGGCACCACCGGCATTGCCACATCGTCGATGCGCTTCGACACCGGCGTCGATGCTGCTCACCCGGCCGGTCCGGCCATCCTCATCCAGGGCTCGGCCGGCGAAATCCAGGTGATCGGCTCAGCCTATCAGCCGCTGCAGTATCGCGTTGTCCGGAGACGTGTTGCAGCCGACGGCCAGCAGACAGCCACGACCGAGACCAAGACTGAGACTGAGACCGTCGACTGCCCCATCCCCCAGCCGGGCCGCGGCATGTTCTGGGAGGCCGACGAATGTGCCCGCTGTCTGCGCGATGGCCGGCTTGAGTCCGAGACGCTGCCGCTGGACGAGAGCATCGTGATCATGGAGACGATGGAAGAAGCACTGCGGCAGGGTGGGATTAAGTATCCAGAGCTGATCACGTCGGACGTCTACTCTGCGGACAGTCCGTTGAACAAGGGGAGGTCGTAGGTTTGGGCAGACGAGCGAGGAGGTGGGAGAGGAGACAATAATGACGAGAGCGACGAGAGCAGAGAATACAAACAGACGAGAATACGAAAAAAGACAATACGAGTACTCCGTAGTCCTACAATGAGGGCTGTTGCCTTTTCTGGCAATTCCGCGAGATCCATTTTAATAAGCGGGGGTTTATAGCCCCACCAGACAGCCTTTTCTGCCCTTTTTGGTTTTGCTTGCTTTGGGGATTTGGAAAGCCAAGGGAAAGACGACGATGACGGCATCGGGCGAGTCAGCGGCGGCGTACGAGCAGGCCCACGTGCACGAGGTGTACGATGCAATTGCCGACCATTTTTCAGCGACCCGCTATGCGCCCTGGCCGCTGGTGGCGCAATTCCTGGCCGCCCAGCCGCCGGGCAGCATTGGATTGGATGCCGGCTGCGGCAACGGCAAGTATCTGAGCGCCGGGAGGGAGAGGATGGCCGGCGGTGAGGAGAAGGCGGCCTGTTTTTTCCTGGGCAGCGACCGCAGTGCCGCGCTGGCCCGGTTGGCCTACGACAAGCACGGCCGCGGGCGTCCAGGCGCTGACGTCGTGTTGGCTGACTCGCTGGCCTTGCCATTCCGCGACGGCTGTGCCGATTTTGCCATCTGCGTGGCCGTGGTGCACCACCTGTCGACGCGGACACGGCGGCAAGAGGCCGTGGCGGAGCTGCTGCGCTGTGTTGGGGGGGAGAGACGCTGTGATGGAGGGACGAGAGAGACGACGGCGGCGAATGCAGAGGCGAAAAGGGGGACGAAAACGACAGACACGAAATCCACACACACAGGTCGCGTTCTCCTCTACGTCTGGGCCCTCGAGCAGGCGTCCAGCCGGCGTGGCTGGTCGGCTGGCGGCGAACAGGACCTGCTGGTGCCGTGGGTCAAGACATTGCGGCAGAAGAAGACGGAAGACGGGGACAGGACGACACGACGGCCGACTTTTCAGCGCTACTACCACCTCTACCGGGAAGGCGAGCTGGAAGAGGACGTGCGGGCGGCTGGCGGCCACGTGGTCTCGAGCGGCTACGAAAAGGACAACTGGTGGGTCATAGCCGATGGGATGAGGGGGTGAGAATAGGGACCAAGAGGAGAGAGGAGAGGACAGGACAGGATGGAGGACACGATACGACACGACACGACATGACAGAACACGACACGACAACAGAAACGGTCAGCGCCCGGAAGCCGCCGACGATGTCGACAGAGAACGGATGCCACATGGTCCACATGGGCCTTCTCCTTTCCGGGTGGACGTGCCAGCCCAGACCGACTGCCACCTGGCCGCTCTTTGCTTTTTTCGGCCTGCTCCTTTCGGCCTGCTCATCCCTTTCTGGGCTTCTGGGCTTTCGCTTGCCTTTACAGTGGGTTTCCATCTCAAGTCCCTGGCAGCAGGCTCTTCGGTAGACTCCGTATGACAGATCGGTTCTCACATCTGCAATTGGCACGTGTCCGAGGGACAGGAAAGGGGGGGGAAGGAAAAGGGACAGGACAAAAAGAGAAAACGAAAACGAAAAAAGAAAAAAGGAAAAAAAAAGAAAAAACCGGGCAGCGGCTCCTCAATAGAACCAAAACAAGAAAAGAGACAGACAGGGTCGAACGCGCTACAAAGCCGGATGGAATGACCGATGCCACTCCGGCACTGCCGTGTCCGTCAGGAGGCAAGGAAAAACACAGCCAGGGAGACCAAGTGGACAGACAGGACTTGCCTGAAATCTGAATTATGACAAAAACGCGCCGGGAACTACAAAGGCTTCCGCTCCGACTGCAATGCAATACAATACACCTCCTAAGCCACCCTGCCTCTTCGTATCCGATAGCTTGCAGGACAAATTGACCAAAAAAATGAAAAGAATAAATAAAACAACCAGGAAAAGGGGGCAGTTCGTACACGAACTCGCTCACAACACTCCCCCTTCCATCTCCCTCACTCCCTCTCTCCTTCTTTCTCTCCCTCTCTCTCGCCATCCCCCCAAAACAAAGCATAATCTAATAGATAGGACTGATGATTGAACCCCCCATTAGGCCCACCCATGCTCGTACCCGTAGACTTGGCCAGACTCCTGCTCATAAACCGTGAACCCAAAACCATGAACAGACGCATCACACTCCAAAAACGGCCTCGCTTCCCTTCCCATCTGCCCTGTCCGTCGGGCGCAACAGCAGGACAGGAACAACCCGGCAAATATCCAAAAATAAGGCAACCCAAGACCAATAAACGGACAAAAAAGCCAAATCACAAACTCCACACATCCGCTTTCGTGCGTGCTCGCTTTTATTCCCTCCCTTCCTCAGCCCTCCCGATTTGTAAGATGTGTAACTCCGGTGTGCGCTCTCGATAGAAACAAAGTGGTCTTATTCGTGTGCATCGGCCGTCAATCCGTCTATCGTCCGTTCCGTAGCTCGTAAAGTATTGTTGCAGTGTCTGAGCTCCTCGCTGCTGCTGCCGCCGTGCTTCTTTGCTTTAGAGTTGTCGTCGCCGTCGCTCTCGTGGCTCAAAGTTTGGACTTGCTCGCCGCTTGTTTCCTCCTCCCGCTGGTGCCCGCGGCTCTGGTCCGCTCCCCATCTGCATCGGTGGATACGACAGCCCAGGCAGTCCGTAGGCCGTACTGGGTCCCAATCCTGATCCTGGTCCTGGTCCTAGTATTAGTCCTGGTATTGGTCCCGGCCCTGGCCCGCCAAATCCATATCCAGATCGAGGGATGGGGCCAGACACGATATGTGCCGACACAGGGCTTGCTGACTGGCTTGGGGCCGGGCTGGTTCCGAGTGAATATGCCGGTGTGCTGTATGGGCTGACACCTGTCGTAATTTCCGCCAGGCTCGGCAGAGCTCCACCCCCCACTGCCCGTTCCTGTTGCTGGAAGGGTGGAGGCCCTGCTGTCTGAATGGGTGGCAGGCCCAGTCCGGTCGGATGGTAGAGCTGCTGCTGCTGCTGCTGATATTGGGACATCGTGCCGGCCACATCCGGGTAGCCACCACCGAACACAGTCCGCGGTCCTGGCTCTCGACGGCCACCGCCCTCGAAAGGCCTGTCTTCCAGCATCGCTGGCGGTGGAGGCGGTCCACCTCGTCCATAACGGGGAGACCGGGAACTTCCGCTGCTGCCTGCTGTCTCGGCACGGATGCCACCTTGGCCGTGTGAGTATGGAGCCCTCGACGGCGATTGCCGGTGATGTGTGGACGCCGAGTCGACCGCCATGGACGACAGCGAGAACGGCGTCACGCCGGCCCGTCGCGCCATGTCGGCCTCACCCAGCTGCCAGTGCATCGCCTCGGCTGCTCGCCAGGGCACCTGCATCTCCTCGGCAACCCTAGCCCACATCTCAGGTTTGAATCTTCACGCACCAGGTCAGCTTCTATCACTTTTGTCACTTCTGTCCCTTCACCGCTCCTCTCACCTTTCGTACAGCCGGGCGAGCTTGTTCTTGCGCTCCTCGTCCCACTCGCTCCGCCGTTCGAGGTAGTTCTGGTAGTGCAGCCGGCAGCTGATAGCACTGCGGCCCGGTAGCCGTTTTGAGATGTCTTCCCACTTCATCCCACCGCCGCGCAGCTCGATGATCAGCGAGTCTTCCTCTGCCGACCACTTGCTCTGTTTCTTGGCCGGACTGTCAGCCGTGTAGGGAGGCATGCTTCGCCGTACCCCTGCCGCGATGGAGGCGTCGATGCCGATGCTGATGCCGTGACCTCCCCTTGGCTGCCCGCCTGCTGCAGCGTACGCGATCGGAGGCAGCCGCGGCTCCGGGGCTGAGTTGGGCGACGGTGTAGCCGAGGCGATGGCCGGCGGGAGCAGCTGGGACGGAGGCAGTGAGGTCGATCGGGACTGGTGCTCCTGCTGGTAGGCAATGTACTGCAGTGCTGGCGGATGTAGAGTTGCGAGAGGCTTCGGCGAGGGGGGGGAGGCCGGGGACTCATCTGAGTCTGCTGTCTTTAGGAGAGATGCGATATCCACCGTGGCGGTCTGTCTCCCGCGTCTCTCTGTAAAGAGTCGCGCCGTCTGCTGCTGCCTTTGGCCGTGTTCAGCAGGTAGAAAGGAGTTCCGGTCGCCGCCGTCGCCGCTGCTGGTCCTCGTCCGCTGTGAAGCCGGTGGGAAGATGTCCAGCTGCTGGATTTGATTCTTGTAGTTGGCAGGTGCAGACACCTGTAAGTGTGCGGCAGCGGCGACGACGGGATTTCTGTGGGAATGAATGAGGAGCGCCAACGTGGCGATCTTGGTGGGTTCTTGGTTCGGAGGTTGGTCTCTTCACCTGCTCATAGTCCGGCTCGACGTGGTCGCTTGCGTCAACAGAGCGGTGTGTGTGGGAGGTCAGTCACCAGAAGCAGAAATCCAGAGGCCTCTGAAATAAGGCGAGTATCTGCCGTTCAGAGGTGACAGCTGTTCGAAATGGGAAAATCGTTACTGTCTTGGCACCTATACAGACACGAATACGTGTGACAACGTGGCAACAAGTAGCAGTAGAGGATGAATAGCTCGAGTTTTGGGTTTTTGGGCAGGCAAGAATGGGCACTGCTGGAACCATGAAGCATAAAGGTGATTGAAGTTAGGGCAGTCGTGGAACCAAACCTTCAGCTTCGAGGTGCGTTTTACCCTTTGGGGATTCCTATGGGTTTTTAAGACGGAACAATCTGGTAATAATGGCAATGCACCGTCGACATCGTCCCTTCGATCGGGTTTCTCCTCTCAGCCAATAAACGAAGGACTGTAAAAGCGGAAGAGTTGCTTAGATCGGAAAGCACAAAGGCGGGAGGACTGAAGGATTGATATGTGGTACGTCGTGCTCGCTAGACCAGAGGAGCGATTCTCCAGAACCACTGTCTCGGGTGGACAAGCACGGGTAGGCAAGAGCACTGCCAGTAGTAGCAACACGGAGGGCTCGATCTTCGTCAAAACAGAGTATTGTCCGTGTGTGTGCTGATGCAACGAGACGACAGGAGGGGGGGTGGGTTATTAAAAATTAGAAAGTCAAGCTAGCAGGAGAGCAGGGCCTCGAGAAATATATAAAGGACAATGTGATATAAAGAAGGAGGGAATCGAAGAAGACGAAGCTAAACGCCGGATAGCAAGAGACGGAGAATACAACGATGTTAGAAAAAGACAAGAACAGAAGGCAGACGAAAAGGCAGGCTATGTTCGCGGTACCTAGTGGGGAGTATAGGATTTTAACAAGTTGAGGCGGCCAGGAGGAGGGGGGTGGGTAAAGCCAGGGTGAAGAAGCCAGGCGTTCGTTGTTCTTACGTGGAAACGGCATTTTGGAAACAGTGATGCAAAGAGGTGAAGAAACACCAGCAGCCCGGGTGTTTTATTAGACGGTTTGCATGTGGTACCTGGCCTCTGTTAGGCTGGCCCGGGTCAAGAGGATGGGAGGGGGTCCAATAAGGGGTGTGAGTACATAGTAGGAAAGAGGAGGGGGGTTCAAGGGACATACTGTCCTTAGAGGGCGTGTAGGAAGCAAGAGATTGTGGAGAAGGACAACGGTCAGAGGGGAGCGTTTATAAGCGGGCACAGAGTAAGGTTCCTTCGTCTTGTGAGATAGACCCTGTTAGATCCATGCCCTATAATAAAAAGCGGTGCCATATAGGCCAGTGTGCTGCGGGAGATATACAAAGGATGCCGAGCATAACATGTATAAAAAAGACAAATCGAGTGCGACTTCCGGCCGTCGTCTGTTTGCAGCTGCCAGTGCTTCGGTGCTAGCACAAAAAGAGCAATCCATCGGCACACAGCCGGGCCAAGCGGACAGTCTCATCACGGCAGGAGCCCAGAGCTGAGGCCAGGCAGGAAGGCCGGGGGAGGTGTATTAGCAGAAGCAGGGGGGTATGGTATAGAAGCTATTGCAGGGAAGCGTACGGAGTAAAGCTGGGACATTCACTTGACAGAAAGGGTAGAAAGGCTCGTAAGACGGCATTTGTAGCTCTGTGGCTCTGTGGCTCTGTGGCTCTGTGGCATCTTGACATTGATCGGAAGGCAGATAAAAAATATGGCCAAAATAGTCATGTGCAGGCTCTTGACGTGGATCCGGGCAGAAAGTCTGCTAGTTAGTGATCACGCGTTCATGCATGCTCACCGTTGTGAAAAATACACGCACACGTAGCCCTAGCATCTTGCCTGGCCATTCAGTCTGAAATTTTCATCTTGCGCTTTGGTTCCTGTCCCATGTCGGTCCCCCATCCGTGGCCAGGACGGTGCTGCAAGGCAATGCAGTGGGGACGTGGGTCATTGGCCACGCAATATCGTAGACCACAGCCACCGACAGGCCTTATCAGGGCCATGGACGGAAGGGCAGGTGAATCATGGACACAGGACAAAACGGAGTCCGGGATGTGGCGGGCAACAGAAGAAACGGAGACATGGGGTGGAAAGCCGTAAGATAGCAGCCAAAAACGAGCGAGATAAAAATCAAAGAAAAGGAAGGAAAGCAGACGGCAGCAGCAGCGACGTAGGATGAAAAAGAGTTGGGCCCGGTGCAAGGTGGGCCGAGGTGCAGGACCAAACCCTAGACAAAGCACGCTGTAATACTAGCGGTGTCGATGCTGCTATGGATGCGAACTGGGTGTGTGGGTGAGTGACGATCGGGGGGGAACAGGGGAGTAGTGGATAGGCGGGGACCTGCAAAATGCCTCCCACATCATGTAAGTGCTCAACTGGATGCTGGTTTCATGACTTCACGGCCAAGGTCAATGGGCGGGGCAGACAGGCCGAGGTTTGGGAGGCGTGTTCCCACAAATATGACATTCCAATTATACGAAAGAAAGAAAAAAAGAAAAAAAAAGAGAGAAAAAGCAGCAAGGCAGCGGTGGACGGAACAGCAAGGTGACCGGGTTCAGGGGCTGAGGGGAGGACTGGGTACGACGTTGAACAGACAGAAATGCAAAGGTGAGGCACATTCTTCTCGTACTTGAAATTAGCAGGGAATCGTGGGATCGTGGTAAGAGAACATTCAAACACGAAGGAGCATTGCTGTGCGTCAGTCTTCGTAAGCAGACAGCGGTAAGATTTCAGAAGGCGGTACAGAAAGCGGTACAGAAGACGGATTCGAGCATCACACCGACCAACGTCGGGGGGGGTCTCCTGGATAGTGCCGAAGGGGGTTCGAAGGCATTGGAGGGGATAGACGCCCGGATGAAGTCGTGGAGCAGGTGGGTAGGGGGTAGGATAGCCGGGGCCTGCAGGGAGCCAGTCGGACAATTCGCAGGAGCAGGGTGTTTGGACGAGGGTCGGCGAGCCCATTGTTGCCATGCTAGCGAGCGATCTCCGTTGCCAGAGCTGCATTGCCCAGCCGGTCGCTTCGAAACGGGTTTGGCCGGTCGTTCTACTCTGGCGGGGGTGGATGGATGGATGGGCGACGACGAGGAGCCTGCTGTCAGTGTCCCGCTGAGCAAAAATCGCCGGTTGCCGCCGTCTCCAGTTCGTCTCGTCCTGGCGCTGTCGAGCGCGCGTACAGAGTACGGAGTACTCGTACTCGAGCTTCGCATGCGTCCTGGAAGAGCCCACAATTTCTGTACTATTTGGCCAGAACCAGACAGTGGCCAAGTTTGGTCGCCAGCCCCCGTCTCGTCAGGCAGGGGCCGCCAACAAAGAGCGGACGTGTAAAGGAGATTGAGGCCAAAACCATGGCAGGCGGGAGGCCGAAGAGAGCAAGACGGGAAGAGCAAGAACAAGAGCATCACGATGGCGGACACACAAGGAAGATACGCGTAGCATTGAATGGAAATGGATCGTATCACGAGCAATGGATCGTACCTTCCTGTCGGGCTCCTTCCCGGCAGAGACAGCAACTGCTGCACGTGGGTACGATGTAGCAGAGCACCTCCCTCGTCAGACAAGCCCTCCTCTCCTTCCCCCCTTTGCAACACCGCCGCGCCTGAAGCTGTCCCCAGCCTTGCCGGTAAACACGTGTCATGCGCAATTCAACTTTAATTACTCTCGTATTTCTCGCCCGCGTCCCTGCTATTCCCAGTCCCAATCCTAGCTTTTTCCCAGCTCCCACTGCCATACCCGCCCACTCCTCTCACCCCCCCCCTCCCTTCCCCTCTTTTGGCTCATTTCTCTCGACGGCAATGCCCTGCAAACGATCTTGCGCACGCACCCACTAATGGCACCTTTCGAAACACTTTCCAGGCATAGTATATACGACGTAATATTCAGCCGCTCGATTTAGACTGCCCGTCTCTGGATTGCCGACATTATCGCAATGCACAAAGCCATGGCATCGTGATCTCGGAGACCTGACACCGAAACTGCAGACACGGCCGGCCGTCAGCATCCAGTAAACGTCCCGACCGGTGCGCTCCCCCCCCTCCCCCCCCCCCCCCAAAGAGGCTACCCAGACCGCGACCGCTAAACTGCAGCAAGCTAGTTGCAGGACTGCTATCTGCTATACGGAGTAGTCACCGCTTCGTCACTTCATCGCGAGCTGGCTGTACTATGTAGCCGTTCGGAGCACCTGCCCCGACAAGCTGGGCGGTACTGCACGCAATGCTTCGGTCGTACAGCCGTTCACACGATGCAGGCCTTCCGTCGTCCTCTGAGATGGCGTGCGATGCAACACGGCCAGATGGGCGAACGCGAGAACCACGATACTCCCTCCACGTACATAGTACACATTGCCGGTCTTTAAACAGGGTTCGCGAGCCGAGCCCAACGTCTGTGCGTCGTTTCCCCGGCATTTCCCAGCAGGCCTTTCTCTGCTGTGCTGCAGTGCTCATACAATCACATGTTCCCGCTGTGCGAACAAAAGGGATCAAAAATAAACAAATGAAAATGAAAAAAGCGAGTGATAGAATGGGCGTCGAGAGAGGTCTGGTGAAACCATCTATCGGCAACGCTCGGGGGCAATGCCTGCCAAGACATATCTTGCGGAGGCAAAGCATGCACAAAAAAAAAAAAAAAAAAAAAAAAAAAAAAAGAAGACCCCATCGTGGAGATCTAAAGTACATAGTGCCGCCTTATTCTATCTCCCATTCGATACATGCCGGCATCGGGGCCATCTTTTCTCTGGCCATCTTTTTGGTCATTTATTCATAGCCATCACAGGACTACCTAGCACTGGAACCCTTTTTACCCGCCCTTCCTTGATTCTACGGAAATGCTGAACTAGCGGTCAACACAGCCGGCGTGCTGGGCGGCTCAAGATGCATCATACCAGCAAGCTGCGCAGCTAACAAGCACCACTGCCTGTCGCCTGCAGCGTCCCTCTTTGCTGGCCAGGCCACCTGTTGGTCGGTGTGATGCTTATAAGTCGGTAAAGCTTGTGTCTCGCCGGAGGCTCCTTTTTTTTCTTTCTTCTTTCTTCTTCTTTCCTTCTTTTCTCTCCTTCTTTCTTCCTTTCTCTCCTTTCTTTCTTCTTCTTCCTTCTTCTCTTCCATTCGTACGGATATCTCCGTTCTGTTCTATTATTATCCGTATTTTTTTTCAGTTCGCGGGGGCGGTCAATGACAGCTGCCATCCTAGCAGCAGCAGCTGGTCTCCGATGTGGTCCATGAACTCTACTCACTGTTCACCGTCTCCACCCGTCTGTGGCCCACAACGCGTCCGGCACACTTCGTGATGTGGCTAGCGTCTGCTGAGCTTTTTCTTCTTATGTTTTTCGACATAGACCTCTGACGCTACACTCTACTCTCGTGCATGGCGAGGTGAGCAGTCTTCGTTATGGTGGCGTCCTAACGATGCATCGAAAACGCAGGGTTTTGATACTACCGTCCCATCCATTGACACCTGACGGGGCTTCACCTCTATTTTGCTTTCGTATAAATGGACGAGGCAAACACCAGCGGTGGGGGCCTGTCCAAGAGTGCAGACTGGACTGGCAGCCAGAACAGACGGCAGACAGAATCGCATGACAGGACAGACCGCCAGAGGGAGGACGACAGGCCGCCTGACAACTGGCACTTGCCGTCCCCTCTTCTGCGCAGACAGCAATGACCGTGACTCGGACCTGTAGCTGCCCGAGGTCATGATGCCGCGGTACTATGTATGAAGACCGCACCTTTGTGCTCTCAGCGGTCCAACGTGGGGTCGAGCAGTCGGGCGTACTTGGAGCTTGTTTGTGCGTGTGGAAATGTAGAAAGGCGCGAAGCAGACGGCCGGTCAGATCTTCTAGTAATACGTTGGGTCGCTGCAGGCTCGTTGAAACAGGTTTGGCAGTCTTCGTCTCCTTTCCCCACGCGTGCAGGACGAAGCAGAAAGGTGGCGTCTTCTTCGGCGGCTTTCCCTCCCTGTCTCTCTTCTTCCTCTTTTTCCCCTCGGCGAAAGAAGGCCCCCCACCTTGCGTTTGGCCTAGACGTTTACGTGTAGGTCAGATGAGAGACGATGCATGTATGGGCTTCCCGCCACGAACAGGCACTAGGTTTCACTGGAGATCTGGTGTAAGCCTATCAAATGGGGCTTGGGTGTGTGTACGGAGTATAGGGTGCCAATATGTGTTGGCGTTTAGCCTAGACGGTTTGCGGCTTTTGCCAGCAGCCACGGCCGGCAGAACGGAGAGCGAAGTAGTTCGCAGGTGTAAGACTATGACTCCTCGTGCAAGCGGGATCTGCCGGGGCGAGCAGGACGTTCCGTGGCTATGTAGCAGGCAAGCCGTTCTATATGGGGCCGTGGAGAGCAGGTGGCAGACTGCTGGCCACTGCTTACCTGCTCAGGTTTGGAATCTACGCGTTGGTGAGGCGGTGTGCAGAGAGATGGAATGACAACGGACAAAGGAGAAGCCGGACAAGCTGTTGTTGGACCGGTGAGACCCTGCTTCTGGAGACGTATGTGACTTACGTGACGGTCTGGCTCGGAAAGGCAAGATACATGGGAGCAACTGTCCGAGTACGTGGCGTCTACCTCTGGGTGTTGTCGTCAGCCACCGTCATGGCAGGGCAAGCTGCTGTTCTCATTGCCGGCAATGCGTTTGGGTGCAGACAGCCCAACGGTTGCACGGGTGGAGCTTCCAATCGGGTAGCCATAGCCTTGTTTGCGCTCTCTCTCCCTGGCTTTTTGCCACAGGGGTAAAGCGTTCGTAAGGACGGGACAGGCCAGTCCTGGCGTGTTTCGCGGCCTAGCCAGCCTTGCTCTGGGCACGCCTGCTGTGCCTGTGCCGGCGAGTTGCCTTTCGCGGGGGTTCGTGTCCAGGAATGGCCAGAGCGACTCGTAAGATACGTGCTGGAAAGCCCTGCTTTCCCCACCGTCGTGGCAATTCCACTTTTCGCCCCCTTGTACCTCTTCGGGACGAGTGTCGTGCATGCAGAGGGTCGTCTGCGCGTTCTTCCATGTTCCGTCCTTGTCGTGCCCATGTAAATGCTATGTAGCGGGCTCTCGACGGTGTCTGGTTGTCTGCTTACCTCCGTCTTCCTGTCCGGGCAGACCGGTCGGGTCCAGGATGCCCCGACACGCTGACAGAGAGCTTCCTGTCCGGCCGAGGTGTGGATGCTTTCCGAGCAGCCACATGGGTGCGTTTCGTTCTGCTCCAGCCGCCTTTTTCTGCACTGGCAGTGCACCTGTCCGGTCCGGGCTGAGAGCATGCGGCTGGACAGGCTGAACACGACCCCTGCAGCAAGCTTGCTTCTTTCTCCCAGCATACACGCTCGTACAAAGTAGACAGGCTTGTACGGAGTATGCGCATGTCTCCCCCCACTCCCTCGAGGCTCTCCACACCACTGGCCACCCCTCTCGGTGCTTCTGTCGCGGCAGTTGATGACGTGCACGCCATGTTGTGCAACTGGGAGAGAAAGAAAGGGCCGTCGACAAGGGGGCCAGAGGACAGGGTCGCACGGTTCATGTACAACATACATGTCCCGTCCCCTGACGACGTCCAGCAGCGACGGCATTCCCGGCTGTATCGCGAGCACAATCGCAGCCACATCTTGCCTGCTTGGGTCTAGGAGCCGTCTTTCGCCGCAGCTGACATGCGGCAAGTCTCGCCCTCCGTCGACGAGATGTTGCTTCTTTTGCCAGTCTTTTGCCGAGGACCCAGGTGCAGAGCAATCTCCGTGGGTGTGTTGTTGGGAAAGACCAGCCAGAGGCATGTCAGCCAGACGGCCATGAAAAGCACACAGGCAGCAGAATGCAGCTGTGGTGTTTTGGCACTGGCCAATCAGCCTTATCGCCGTGGCTCGATGGCCGGCATTATTGGAATTCTTTTTAGAATTCTTTTATTTGAACAACGCCGTTCTAGAAAGCACAAACCCAATCTTGCGTTCGGCCAGCTCAGCCCAAGCTTCTCTCCATATCCGCCAGCGCACCATTTGTCTTGCCGTGCCTGTCAGCTCCGTCCGTGTTGCTTCTTTCTCTTTGCTTGTTTGCTTGCTTGTTTGCTTGCCTGTTTCGCTCGCTGCTTTCGTGCCACGTCTCACCAGCACTTTTCACCCCCCTCTCGCGCCTCCTGCCTCCTGCCTCCTGCCTCCTGCCTCCTCTTTTCCTTGCAGCGATGGCGGACGTGCCGCTGCTGGTCATGTCGGAGAACGCTGTGTCGGAGCGGCGCATCACGCCGTCCTGGACGATCACGCAGCTGCGGGCGCGGCTCGAGCCCATCACGGGGATCCCGCCGTCGTTCCAGGTGCTGCACCTGCTGCCGCCGAACAGCAGCGGCAACAGCGGCCGAGGACAGAAGCTGGCGATCACGGCAGCCGACGAAGACACGGTACAGCTGGCGCAGTTTCCGCTGGCGCCGTACGCGGAGCTGCACGTCGGCGACACGCGGCCGCCGGGCGCGCGACCCAACTTTTCCGACGTCAGCGGCGTGGACAAATACGTGATGCCAGCCGAGGAATACGCGGCCAAGACGGACTCGGTGCTGGCCTGGAAGAAGGCCCAGCAGCTCGGCCGCTTCGACCCACACGCGCCCCAGCACATCCGCGCGCGCATCGCCGCCTTTGCCGCCGACGCCGTGTCGCGGGGCATCGCCGTCGGCTGTCGCTGCCGTGTGGCCGGCGATGACACCCGTCGGGGCGTCGTGCGCTATGTCGGCGAGGTGCCCGAGATCGGCGGCAAGGACAAGGACAACAGCGCCAACATCGCCGTGGCCGGCACCTGGGTCGGCGTCGAGCTGGACGAACCCATCGGCGGCAAGAACGACGGCAGCATCGGTGGCACCCGGTACTGGGGCGAGGCACCGGCACCCGGTCAGGAACCTACGCTCAAGCGAGGCGTCTTTGTGCGGCCGGACCGTGTCGACGTCGGCGACTTTCCCGCGCTCAACGAGCTTGAGGACATGGAGGAGATCTGATGAACGCGGCCGGCCAGCAAAGGCCAAGGCTGAGGCTGGGGCTGGGGCTGGGACTGGTCGCAAGCCAACAAGCGTCGGTCATGAGATGCGTGGAAAGAGGGCACCGCTCTCTGCGGCCACGGGCAACCAGTCCTCGCCCTTGGGGCTGGCATCGAGACAACCCTTGATGTCGCCTATCGGGTGGTCACAGACGAAAGACGAGCAAACTGGAGCTGTCTACAGCCTGTCTCTGGACAGAGTACTCCGTAAGCAGTACAACTGGTGTGGCAAGATGGGCCATCTGTTCGCAGTACCGCAAGCTTGTCTGTCTAAGGATCGAACCGGTAGAAACAGAAAAATAAGATACCGAGCCCTGCCCATCAAATCGGGAATTGTAATACCCCAACATGTTTTAGCCCCTCGATGGAGGAAGCAGGGTTGCCATTAGCAGATTCAAATCTCCGACATCCCTCCTAGCCTTGGACAAGGGCCCGTCTCCATACTCGTAGCTTACATAGTACAAAGTTTGATCGACCACAACAGCCGAAGAGGCTGAGCGACAAGAGCCTACTCCTGCATGACCCAAATTGGAGGCCCGACAGCGCCAAACACACCGCATGCTGAGCACTGAGCACGTACATCCAGCTAGGGGTTCAGCGTACGTTTCAGATCTGATACCGGATCTTCCACGCTGTTGGCCGTCAATGCAAAGGCTGTGCAGCTGGGAAACAGCTGTCGGCTATGTAAACCCGGCCTGATGCGATCGGTCGGCGTCGATACATAATCACAAGATATATCACTCCGTTGCCGGTCGGTGATAATTCCATGTGCCAAGCCTTATTTTGGGTGTCTGTTGAACCAATCCGCTCTAGCCTATCTCTCCCAAGTACGGAGTACTCCGTAGTCGTACTATATTCTGTTCTACTGCGCCGGAGCGCGGCAGTTGCAGCAGCTGACTTGTAAAGTGGCAAAAATCTGCGCACTACTTTGTACTCCGTAGTGTCGTGTCGTACAGGAAGAGTACCGCGCTCGTCTGTACTTTCCTCGTTGGAACAGCGTCGTTCACGAGGCCATTTCGTGGGTTGCATCCCGAACTCAGCAAGACGTCATCCACCACTCGCAGCCTTACATAGATAGTATTGCGATAGGTCGCACCTTCCGTCTCAGCCAACCGCCAGCCGCCCGAGCAAGGGGCACCGTATAAGTGGAGACGCCGAGCCTTCCGCGGTGGCTTGTCGAAAAATAAAGAAGCCGCTTTAACGCTGCATCAACGCTAAAACACGTATCCGTCTCAGACCAAGTGTCGTCGAGAGACCGTCGCGGATCGTCCATTGCCCAGATACGATCTCTCGTTTTTTCTCCGTGCCGTACTCGTACATATCGTACACACACATGCCTGAGCAATTCTCCCTACGCTTACAACACGTTCGCTCTTGCCTCTGCCCAAACGCCGGCTTGGTTTTGAGAATCACGCATCTGCATCCCGTGGCAGCTGCGACCGGCGGCTTCTTTCTATTTTTCGAATCCCGCAGACCCGCTTTTCTTGGGAGGCTCTCGTGCCACCCATCTCCAGATCTGCCGTTTGTCCTTACAATCCCCCTTCTCTCTTCTCGTGAACAAACGCAAAAAAAAAAGACTCTTGTCGCGATCGCCCGCTTTGTTCCTGGCTCTTGTCGTCGATCAAAACCCAAAGCCTGCCTAAGCTGGTACCGATAAGTCCGCCATCGGTTCTGACTATGCGACAAATCCGGAACATCCTCCTAGCCCCTCCATCTGCCAGTATCTTCTCCGCCTTCTGGGTTGTGACCTCTTGCTGCGATCTGCCAACAGCCACGATCTAGGCCGGCTTCGCTCCTCCTCCTCTTCGCCGGAGCATCTCCCCTATATCACTCTCTGCCTCGACTGCTTCTGGTTTGACCGCATCTTCACCTCCTGCGCCCTTATTTCACTCCGGAAAGTGGGTTCTTCATTCGGGATTCCTCTCTTTACCTCGGCCTCTTCACCACATCTTACGTTTCGAGCAGCACCGGTGACGCCGAGCGTCACCCCAAGCGCAGCGATGATATCATCGGCGTGGCTCGGAGCTGCCACCATTGCAGCCATGGCTGCGGTGTCGTCCGCCGCCGACCACGCGCACATACACTCCATGCCCGGTTTGACACAAGGGCAAATGAACTCGGAAATGGCACTGGCAATCTCTGCGCCCAGCGCCGGCACTCCACAAATGTCGTACACGATCGTGCCAATGACCCCCGCTGTCGGTCTGGGCCAGGACGGGCTCACGCGGAATGTGAGCATGTCGGCGAGGAGGAGAGATAGTCCAGGTGCTCTGCTAACATGTGATGGCGCAGTCGATTAGCATCGTCGGAAACCTGGTCTTGGCTACTCACTTGAACTACAACAACATCACCGGCTCGAAAATTGCATACCTCTGCTGCGACAACCAGGACAACTCCTTTACCGACCCGGACGACATGCTCTACACTCTCATGGCCAACGCGCCCCGTGCCATTCTTCTCTACAGCCAGGAAGGCACCTGCTGCGGCCTAAATGCGTCGTCGGGGCTGACCTACCAGAGCATTTTTACCATGGCGTCGATTTCTGATGCTGCGGTTGCACTGAATTTCACCAATTCCGATGACGGCGTCATCCGCGCGGCCATCTCTGGCAACGTGACCACTGCCGACCAAAGCCAGACAACCTCGAGCGGCACCAGCACCTCCTCCATTGCCATGAGCATACTCTACAGCATTACCGGCCTCATCACAGCCCTCTTCCTCATCATCATAGCCACCGGCGCTATACGGGCCCATCGGTACCCGGATCGCTACGGTCCTCGCAGCGGACGCGAAGGTCTATCGCGCCAGAGTCGGGCCCGAGGCCTCGCGCGTGCTGTGCTGGAGACTCTTCCAATTGTCAAGTTTGGTGACCCCACCCCGACCAAGCCGGATCTCGGCACCGAGCTGGAGAGTCAGTTATCTTCTGAGCCCAGCCTCGCCACGACCGATGTCCAGGTGCATCATTTATCCGCAATACCAGAGGACTCCGTGTCACAACCCAAGAGCGTTGCGCACACTACGGCAACCACCAATGCTGTGCCGGAGCCCCCAAATACTACAAACATCGGCCCTGCGGACACGGCAATTGGACCAAGCTCAGACGGCCTGTCCCAGAGCGACGACCATCTCGGCTGCTCGATCTGTACGGAAGACTTTACTGTGGGCGAGGACGTCCGAGTGTTGCCGTGCAACCACAAGTTCCACCCGACCTGTGTTGACCCGTGGCTAGTCAATGTGTCTGGCACATGTCCTTTATGGTATGTCCTTCCCGTGTGGATTCGTGTATCGCTGTGTGTTGCATACAACTAATGTGTCCCACCTGCTGCAGCCGCTTGGATCTCCGTCCCAAAGACGGCGAGGAGGATGACACGTCTTCCACAGGAGAAATGCACCTGCCGCCGCCACTGGGCGATGACGAGGCTGCAGCTGCAGTTGCCGGGACTTCGACCTCGGGCCAACACAGACACCGTGCCTCCCGTCTGTTTGATCTGAACCGCTTGCGCCACGCCTCGGCCGAGGAGCGCATCGAGGCGCTGCGTCGATACCGGTCGGAAACCCAGACAGACGGTGACGACGAGCACGGCCGATCCGTCAGGCTGACCAGGCGGCTGCGTGACAAATTCCATATCCGGACACATGCGCAATCCTCGGGCTGAGCGGCCGTCGCGTTTCAGCACCCAGACGATTTCTTTCTTCTTTCTAACCTCCATTCTAAACTCATACCGACGAATTTTTGAGCCGGGCACGACAAGAATACCCATTTTCCATTTTACTTGCTAGACGGGAGCACAACTCGGATTGCAGAGCGAGCGAACACGACATTTATGCATGGTTTTGACTGCCACCGCTGTGTTTGCACGGTGTTGCTTTGATTTTTGGAGGGCTTTGGACTGTTGCCACATTTACACGGCTGGCGAGATGGGCGCTTTGTGAACGACTGCCAATTTTCCTTGTATTTCTCCCCACACTCTTTAACGGCAAGCTTTCACCACACACGTTTAGACCATTTAGGTATCTTACATAGCATTGCGCGGCGTTTCGAGCAGTTTGATTTAGGATTCAGCATTCTGACAGGAGGACTCTTGCCATATTACTGGAAACCAAGATCTCGTATCCAGATTTTTTTTGCAGTTGAGGTTGAATATGAAAACGGATTGTCTGACAAGCTAAAATGCTATTATCTGCTGATATACGAAGTACACGCGGCCCACCTAAGCCTTTCCTGTCTCTTTGATTGCCATGCATCGCCGACTAGAGAACACCTATATACATAACCATGAAATTGCCCAAGAGCAGATGAGGAGAACGTGAGGGCCCCCCGAGATGGCACAAACACACCCGCGCAGCCTTTCCCCGACAAGACATTATTGCCGAAACATCGGACCCAAACAGAGCAACGCCAGATGAGCACCTTCTTTCCCTCTTTCCCTCTCTTTCCTTCTTCTTTTCGTTCCTCTCCTCTTCCACTTTCTCCTCTCCCTCCTTCTCTTCCTCTCCTCTCCTCTTCCTCTCAGTAAGGCAACGCATTCAGGTCCACCACGACGTCATCGCCACCAGGATTGGAGCTGCTGCCACCAGGTCCATCCGTCCAGTAGCCACCGCCACTGCCATTGCGCATCCCATTTCGGCCACCGCCGCCAATATCCGGATCGACTCGGTCCAGATCTGGCGGCCTTCTCGGGCCACCACCACCGCCACCACCACCACCACCACCACCGCCTCCAGCACCGCGCTTCTTTTTTCGTCCGCTGCGGCCGCTTTTGCCTCCTCCGCCACCCGGTAGCGGTGATGACTGCTGTGCGCCACCTTGATCTCTGCGATGGCCGTGACCATGATGCCCGCCACCATTGGCTCCGTTGCCGTTGTTGTTGCCATTGTTGTTGCCATTGTTGTTGCCATTGCCATTGCCGTTGCCACTGCCACTGCCACTATTGTCCTCCGCCTTCCGCTTGCCCAGAACAGAGTCTGGAGGCGTGCCGCGCCCGTGACGTCCTGCTGACGGACCTGTGGGTATCATCGGCTGCTGTGGCAGCTGTTGTGGCGGTAGCACGCCGGAGAGCATGGCTGCCATGGCGCTCGCTGCCGGATGATCGCGGATCGCTCCGCTCTTGGTGGCCTCGGCGTGGCAGCTGGCATGGTACACGCGCGAGCCGATCTGCACGGCGTCGATCCACACCCACTCCTGCGCCTCGTCCAGCCACTGCATCTTGAACCGTTCCTGACAGATCGGACATGCCTGGTTGGCACCGGCCCCATCGCTCGGCACCGGAATCCACTGCACCTTTCCGCCGCCTGCGCCAGCACCACCTGTCCCTGAGAGCGAGGACCCGGCTCCCTGGTGGCTGCTACTCCGTCCGTTGGCGCCCGCTGCCCCGGAACTTCCTCTGATGCCGTCGGCACCATGATCGACTCCGTCCGCCTCGGGAGGGGCCTCGCGGGATTGAATCCAATCGGCCTGGTCGACGTACCAACTGCGGTGCTGGCCACGCTTCTCCGACTCGACAATCCGCTGGTGCACACGAAAGTGCCAGTCCATGTGTGCCGTCTTGGCTGCTCGCCCGGCCCCGTCTGTCTGAAACCGCCGTCCGCACTGCGTGCAGGGAGGACCCAACTTCTCGTACAGGAGCGGAAGCAGATGAGGGCGGAAGCTTTGTGGCGCGAACTCGTGTCAGCGTCTTTTTTATCTCTCGTGACATCAGCATTTCACGTCCTTGTTGTGCACTCACTGTTTTAAAGATGCAGACTGGAAAGAAATCTCGTTTCGGATCTCCTGCAAAGGTACCCGCGCCCCCAAGGTTGGCGCTCCCAAGGCTGGTGCTCGCGCTGATGCCAGTATGCTTGCCAAGCTTGACGACAGCGTCGCAGGCATGGAACCGCCCATTTGTGCGTGCTGCGCTCCTTGCTGGCCTTGCAGAATTCCCGCCTTCCGTAGCATGTCCATGAGGGCCAATGGGTTGCCAGCATTGCCGCCAGGAGCAACTCCGGAGAAACCGGCGGGCTGATGCTGCTGTGGAAGCATCTGTGAAAGCGCCTGTGACAATGCTAGCGGAAGCGATTGCGTTTGCAGTGCTGGTACCGGTGTTGGAGCTGGAGCTGGAACTGGTGCCGGTGCTGGAGCTGCTGCTGCTGTCTGCTGCTGTCGCGCCGCCAAGATCGCTGCCAGCGCCCCCTTTCCGAGCAGTCTGTCGATAGACACCGATCCGGCCGTGCCAGACGCCGGCGGGAGAGCGCCTGTAGCTGCGGGTGCCGCCCCCTGAGCGTGGGCGGCGGCCAACGCCGCAGCCGCGGCTGCTGCTATCCCTGGTGGTAGCTGAATCTGTGACAGGCCGCTGAGTGTTGGAGCTGCGGAGGCGGCTGACGAGCTGGCTGGTGGTTGGTAAGGGGGATATCCTGCCGGTGGTGTAGCCGTGGGGATATACTGGGCCTTAAGATGGCTCGGCAGGTTTACAGAGAGCGCATCAATTTGGTTCTTTACAAGCAACAACTTGTCGTACTCGAGGTTCTGGCTCTTAAGAATCATCTGCAGGTCAAGCAGCGCCTTCAGCCTCGCTGCGACACTAGCATCATACGGTTTCTCTGCAAATTCTGCCTTGGTGGCCAGGATTAACCGCCCGACATCCTCATTAAGCGACTCTATGCTCATTCTGGAGGCCGAGCCGATGGCGGAAAAGGGTATCTGTGATGTTGGGGGAGGCTGAAATGGCCCGGCTGTCGGCGCAGTCGAAGGCGGCTGTGGTGTTGACTGTGTCGTAGCGTGTGCCTGCAGAGGTCGTAGAGCTGTTAAAACGGGACCGTTCCAGCCACCGATTGACCAGGGAGGTACTACTTACCGGGTGTATAGGGTATGCCTGGTGTTGCTGTGGCACCGGCATCTGGGACGAAGCTGAACCTGGCAGCATTGTCTGCTGAGGATATGGGTTTTGAGGAGGATAGCCTGGCCGTCCACCGGGAGGTGTAGGTGTTTCTCGGTAGGGCATGCCGGAATTGTGTGGCCGCCCTCGGCCCAGAAGCTGCTGCTCGCTTCGCAAGTGTTCTTGTTGCGCCTGGAAGGCAGATGCTTTCGCCTTCATTAACGCGCTCTCTATCGGCCGAACGGTCTCGGGCGAGAAGACTGGTCGCGGATCAACCGAGCCTGGCACAGGTTCCTTCCATGTCTTGAGCATCTCGTCCATTTTGCGCCGGGTGCCATTGTCAACGGACGCATACGCGTCCATAAAGGTGGTGTATAGGCCGCGGCTGAAGTAGATTGTGTAGGGCGTCCCGACATTTTTCACGATTGAGTCGAGCAGATAGATTGCAGGGAGTTTCCGCGGAGGAGCCACCTGACCACACCTGTTAGCTGGCGGGCGCGAGCCGTGCTGGCCGGGAGAGGAAGCCGGTAACTTGCCTTCTTGATGTGCTCTTGCAGCACCTCCGATATGGCATGGGCGTATTCTGTGTTCTCGCGGGCGATGACCGTCAACGTCGTGATCTCGACGCGTGAGTTCATGGTCAGACCTTCGAGGGCATCCCGGAAGTCTGCCGCCACGTCCTCGGAGTGGTCTTCGTACGACATTCTGGTGACGAGAAGATAAACGGAGGAGAAGCAATGCCTGCCAACTGGCGCGTTGTCTTCAAGCACCAAGCTGCAGGAGCCTGGGTAAACAGCTCTCTAATAGTTTCCCGAGTTCAGTACTCTTCGGTCCTCTCGAGCGTTTCAGGCCAAGGCCAGATCTGGAAAGCGGACTTCAATGTGCCGCGTTTTCCAATGGAAACAAAGAGTAATTGTCTCCCTCTCGTGCAATGCGTACGCCAACAACGGTCAGGAACCGGAACAAAACGGAGAGACCAGGCCTCGGTTGCTTGTGGTTCTTCGGCTCGGAAAAGAACAGGTCACAGCCTTCAAAACAGCTTTGTCTCCCCTGGTTTGGCAAATCACTGGCAGAAAAGAGAGGGGATGCGCGTGGTAGACAGAGAGCGGCAAGATTTGAGGTCTCAACTCCCGCTTCTACTTCAGGCCGTCTCTCCCTTCCGCATTCCTACCGACAGAGACAAGGTGGATCCAGACGGTAACGGGAGGGAAGAGTACGATGGATAGCCTGGGAGAGAATCGGTGGCGAAACCGAAGGAGACGCAAAAAGGGTCAATCGCCGGGAGCGAAGACGTAGAAAAGCAGAAAGTGGGGGATTGATGAAGAAACCAAGCGTCGCAATATCCCGTCAGACCTCGCATGATACGGGCGCGCCTTTCCCCTCGTGGATGATGTTGTTGGGCAACGAGGCGAGCTGGGAGAGTAGGAGACTGGGAAAGAAAGTTGAAGCTACGACGTAGGAGGTGTTTGGGCTAAATTGCAGCCACTTGTGGATTATGTAACATTACATGCGGTCACGTGCTGTCTGCTCTTTCCGAAACAGGCTAATTGTCTCGCACATGCCGGCAGCGTATTTTAGACGATTGGATTGGATCGTGTAAGATATTAATTGACATTGTCTGCTTTTTTTGGTATGCTCCGTGGCCGGGGTATCACCATCCCCTCTGAACGAGTGGAATTACAAATGAACAAAAAAAGCAGTGTAGAATCAGGCGCCCGTTTCTTACAGACAAGACTCCCCGAACGCCGGCCGATTCCCTCTTGACAAACGACGACGAGCAGAAAATGGAACATGGAAGCGAAAATGACAAAGAAAAAGGATATATGTGCTGCGTTCTAGAGAAAGTGATGGAAACCGTTGTCTGGGCGTGAGCCACGACAGCCGACCTCAAAGCAAGCGCAGCAGCCGTCGATCGTTCCTCTAGAACTGCGACATGTCGGCCACGCTGTAGTGGCCATTCATGGCCGGGTGCATGGCAGTGGGTGGCCGACGTACGGCCGGCAGGATAGGACTGGCGCGGTCCTCGCGGTAGCTGCCATAGTCGGTGTTGCTGGCAGCAGAGGAAGCAGCGGCATGTTCGACGTCGACGTCGGCCGTATGGGAATAGCTGTCGCCGCGAGCGTTGTCGTAGGCATCGGCGCCGACGGGAATGGGCGCACTGATCTGCATCTTTTTGCTGTCGCTGGAGGCGGCCGCGAGGGGGTTTTTGCGAGTGAAGACCTGGGTCATGCGCTTGAAGCGGTTGGCGGCAGCACCGCCGAAGCCGCCGCCGCTGTCGGTGGGCGGGTATAGCGACTCGTCCTCCTTGGTGGAGCGGGTTGTGTTGATGCGCTTCAGGCTGTTGCTGCGGGTCGAGTAGTAGTCACGCATGTCGCTGCTGCTGATGGCGGTGCCGAGCATTCCGCCGTCGGCCAGGTTGCCGTCAGCGCGGATCATGCGCGCGGTCAGGCGCGCTGGGCCGTCGCGGAAGACGACGGTGGCGATCAGGTTGGCGGTGCCAAAGGTGATGGACAGGATGCCGGCGGCCAGGATGAGGCGCCACAGCGGCAGGCCCAGGTTGGCGACCGTAAAGGCCGGCTTGTTCAGGTTGGCCAGCATGTCGCAGCCGAGGACGATCATGGCGAGGCCCAGCCAGAGGAAGCCGTCGCGGTTGCTGAAGACGGGCCAGGAGTGGGCAAAGTAGCGGCTGAGGAAGCCGAACTGCACCTCGGTCAGGACGAGGAACATGGCCACGGACGAGATGAAGACGTGGGCGATGGCGTCAAAGAAGAAGAACTGGCCCCGAATGGCCGTCATGACCACCATGACCCAGCTGGCTGCCGTGACGGCCAGCAGCGAGATGATGTTGCACGGCCGCAGCACGTTGAGCACCCGGTAGCCGATGCCGCGCAGCTTGCTGTTGTTGGCAAGGTTGAACATTGTCGTTCGTTCGCTTGTAGTATTTGCGGGTTTGCAGTTGTTAGAAGAAAAACGGCGTCGTCTGACCAGCAGAACTTGAGGATGGGTAGGAACAAAAATAGAAGTGTAAAGTGTATGGAAATGAGACAGATAGAGCCAAGATCGAGAAAGAGACGGGGGAAATGCAAAAGATCCGGCTTTTGCGCGAGAGCGGAAGGATGCTGTTTATTAAGGCACGAAAGAGAAGAAGAGAGTGATGAAGAAATAAAGATAGGAAACGGACGACAAAGAAACAACCAAACGACTCTTTTTGTTTCACTGCTTGTTCGCCATAACACTGGACAGGTATTCAAGAGGCCTGAATGAGGTGGAAGGGGGTGTTGATGAAGGGTCGGCAAGTCCTTTTTTAAATGGCAGTGACCAAAGGGGCTTGTCATTGTTCCCAGAACAATGGTCGTCTCAATGACGAACTAGTGTACGACCAAGGCCGGACAAACGCCGGCAAACAGACGCCACAAAGCCAAAGAAACGAGCTCGGCTGCCATAAGGAAGCCCGAGAGGGGGGGAGGACAGAAAATAGCAGTCGTCTTTTGTCCATCGTGCAGCGTGAACGTCATGGGGAGGTTTTGGGAGGGGGAGATTGTGGGTTTCGCATTTTCATGCAGCCGTGACCAATTATTTCTTTGGCGCGCAGTTGGGTCTGAACGTCGGGATGTGGACCCATGTCCTATTTCTGGGGGTTCGCAACTGTCTGGTTGTTTGGCTGTCTGGCTGTCTGTAGCCGTCTGGTTGCGCTCTTTCATCCTCTCTGGGCGGCTTCACTCTGAGACAGGGAGGACAGACAGCCTACAGTTCCATGTCGGCTCATCTGACTCTTCGTTTCAGCATCTGTATCTGTTCTCTGGAAGCACAGAGACATGCAGGATCAGACGGGGTCCTGATGAAAGAAGACGGCAGCCAGACGGCAGCCAAACGGCAGCGTCATGGGAGGCGCCAAATACGCTTGGTCAATGGGAGAGGGAGGAATGTGAAAGAACAGATCACGACGACAGACCCGCAGCATCGACTCCTATGATCGCCGCCTGGCACAGGAACAAAACATGGCGGCCACGAAGCCCAGACGCGGCTAGCGATCGGTATGGCATGAGTACTATGTATACTCCGTTGAAGCAGCCGCTCCAGAATGCAGCTCAGACGGGAATGGATTGGATGCGAGAGCCTTGTGCAGCGTTTCAGGTGGCTCAAGCTTTGGTGGCCCCACCCACTTACAGACAAAGAGCTGCGAACGTCAAGGTCGCGTCCTATTGCGGGCGCTTGCAAAAGTAGCGGCCGTCTGCAAGGTGAAAGGCGTCCTGGCAGGAAAAGCGTTTTTACGGCTTCAACGAAGATAGAGGACAGACCCTTTGCGGTTTGACTTTTACAGGCCATCTTCAGGACAATGATGTTTGGCAGGCCAGCTACCAGGACGAGAGAGGTCATGTGCGTTTACCGTCGGCCGTGTTTCTTGCAGACCAGAAGGCAGTGTGCACTGTCCTTTCAGCAGAGAAAGGAAAGTGGCGCGTCTGCCTGGCGCTTGGTCTTGGCCATGGCCGCATCGCTGCCCACAGGATGACTGCTCAGCCCTGAGGAGGGCTGACGGTGCGGCCAGCCATCAGGAGACACGAGCGAAACAGCCGGGCCGCCCAGCTTTCAGAGCAGCGGACATGTGCAGCACGCCGCGAGCCCGGAATCAGACCTTACATGGTAATCTCACGGCGGCTATGGGAAGCAAAAGTGGGCGGCAGCACGAGAACGTGAGAGGGGCTGATGATTAGCTATGTGCGCACAGCGGTCAATTAAAGGCAAAGGGCAAAAAAGCAAAAATGCGATTCTGCCGGCTTCCACAAGCCCCAAAACAGCCCCGCCTCACCGCCTTTTTGCTTTCTCGCCATCCTGCTCGTCCGTCCTTGCTCTCTCATCCTTTCACCCTTTCCGGCCGGATATCGCCTGAACCGTACAAAGTAGGCTGCGGCCATTGTGACCCGCCGTACATCCTTGATTTCTTGTGATAGACACTTTCCGGCTTCAAGCTCCGTTTGCCCTTTCCGTCCGTTCGTCATGGCTCGTGGCAACCAGCGCGAAAAGGCGCGTGAGAAGAACTTGAAGCAACAGGCAGCGCAGGTAAGCCTGGCCCTGATAGACAGACCAGACTCCTATTCTAACGTCACATCTAGAAAAAGGGCAACTCCAAGAGCGGCAGCGAGATGCAGCGCGAGCGTGAGGCCCTCGCCCTGAAGATGCGGGAGAAGCAGGCTGCTGGTAGGCCGAACCTTTGGACCCATGCCCCTACTCTGCCCCTTTCCTGGCTGGTCGTGTCCGATTCTAATTCTCTCCAACCATGTAGCCGACGCAAAGAAGTCTGCCGAGTCTGCTGGCAAATAATAAGCACAATCGTTCGCATACGGAGTAGCATGAGAGTATGACCAACAGTTGTACGGCCAAGGCGAAGGCTCGGCTAGAGCTGTCGAATAAGTTAAGAATGATTGGGCGTGATGTCTTCTTAATTGGCTTGGGAAAGGAGTGGATGAGCTTGATGCGTTTGAATTCAGAGCATGTATCCTCTTGGCGCCGTTTCCATCCCGTAAATACACACAAGCATATATACCACATAGACAGCCAGGACAACGTGGCGATAGGCTGCATTGCAGACATAGATTTCATACTATTGCATCAAGAGAGCCCGCACGTGTCGCTGAAGACCGGATTGCAACGAACGAAACCGACAATCTCACGATCAACGGATGTGCAAAGCATTGTTTTTTTGCAAATGGGTATATTCGTCCTATTAATCCACCCAGAAAATACGAGCCAGTCATATGTGCCTTCATTCGGTTGCCTCGGTCCAAGGGGAGACGATTCGGCGTAGTCGAGAAAAATGTCAAAAATAAAGAGTAAAAACATAAAGACAAAAATAAAACAGAAGAAACGAGTCTAGTTCTCTTCTCAGGCAAGCCTGTCCCGTCAAGGATAAGAAATATTTTAACGTGTTTTCGTCACAACGTACAAGCAACCAGCACACTGTCGGTGTGCACGCTCATCTGAGCGCTGCGACAGACGGCATGCCGCCGGCGAAGCCGCCAAAGCCGCCGAGGCCTTGTGCCTGTGCAGCCGGGAACGAGCCGGCGGCGCACTGGACGACGCACGAGCACGAGCCGTCGGAGTTGGTGGAGCCGACGCCGGTGACGACGCCAGTGGCTGCACTGCCGGCAGCCGTAGCCACGCTGGCAATGGTGGCGGTAGCAGCAGCAGTGGCCGCATCCGAAGGGGCAGCAGCACCGCCAGCAGCAGCACTACCAGCAGCAGCAGCACCAGAAGCACCGCCAGCAGCAGCACTACCAGCAGCAGCAGCACCAGAAGCACCGCCAGCAGCAGCACCACCAGCAGCGACGGCAGAAGACGTGCTGCCGGCGACAGCGGCGCTGGACGTGGTGGAGCCGCCCGTGATGGCGGAGCCGGTGCCGGTGCCGTTCTGGGCGATGGCCATCTCCTGGAAGATGGCCTGGGTCTTGTTGGCGGTGGGGTTGATGGAGAAGACCATGCCGAGACCGCAGTGCTTCACCTGGGCACAGTAGAACCCTGGAGAGTCAGCAAGGAGGAATGAAGACAGGCAAACACAGATCGAGGGCTACTCACAGAGAGGCGTCGACACCATCACCTGCATGGCGACCTGGGGCGCCGGAGTGACGCTATTGTTGATGTTCGGCTGGAAGCCCGAGTCCATGCCGCCGACCAGGGACACACACGGCTTCGCGAAGCTCGACTGCGTTACCGTGTGGTTTTGGCTGAGGAACGTGAACACAACCATGTCACCGACGTTGGCCGTGATGCTGTCGGGCTCGTACACGAGGCCCTTGGGGCCACCGACGGTGACGGAGTGCGTCGTCATCGCTGCGCTGGCCACGGTCGTCGCGGCGGCTGCCGAACCCTTGGTCTTGGTCTTAGTGCTGTCTGTCGCGGCAGCACCGGCCGTCACTGTCTGCGTCACCGTCTGGACCTGGTTGATTGTCGAGGTGGTGGCCGAGCCGCCGCCGTTGGCCCAGATGATGATAATATCCTTGCCCGAGCCGAGGAGCAGACCGGCCTCGACAAGGAGACCGGCTTCGGACCCGGCACCGGCTAGGGCGCCTGAGCTGGAGCCCTTGCTCGAGCTCGAGTCGGAGCTGGCGCCCTTGCTCCGCTGGATGTGGCTGTCCGGCTTCTGCAGCTCGCTTCGGACGGGGTAGACGTTGCGGATGGCCTTGCCGAGAACGACGGGCACGAGGGCCAGGCTTAATGCTGCGGTGTACTTCATCTTGAAAGGGGGGGATTAATTATGAGAGAAAAAGAACTGGCTTTTTCAAATTGTCTTTCTATGTTATTCCTCCAGGGACCGAAAATGGGCAAAAAAGTCTGGGTGGCGAGGGCCTGCTCGAAAGACGTGGAAAAGAAAGAGAGAATGGAACGTCGTCCGGAAGTTGATGGTGAAGACGAGGTAAGCTGAACGGTATGAAGAGAGAAGAAGAAAGAGGAAACGAAATATGGAATCGAAGAGGGAAGCCGGCCATTAAAAGATCTTGGCTCCTGGCCCCCAGCTCGAAAACCGGAGGAGGGGGCAGCTCTTCTTCCTAGGGGGACGCTTCTTCCTAGCTCCTTCGGCTCTCTCGGTGGATGCGTCCCACAACACGGAGTAGCCATCCTACTCCGTACTGATACATGGGAAATTCTACCGAAATCTCTGCACTTGCGTTTTACCACTACCTGCATAGTAGTGCTACATGGTGGCATTTCGAAACAGAGGGCACAGTGGCCAGCCAATTACATGGCAAATGTCCCATGTTCGGCATATAGCATCTCCGAAGAGCACTCGTAAAGGTGACATAGCAGGTGGGAAAAGACAGGGAGGATCGACCCGGATTGGACCGTATTAACCGGTTTGCTCGTCGGGCTTTGACCATGACAAATTGTGAGATACCGAGATCCAGGAGAGGGTGCACGGGCAGGATGGCACAGGAAACGGCACCTGCACGCCGGTGTGTCGTCCTGAATCATGGTTTCGCTAGCGCTGGGGACTGTTGTGGCAGATCCGTCTCGGATTGTGTTTTGCCATGTCGGCCAAAGTTGGCAAACAAGGGGTCTGTCAGATGGAAAGAGCCCCAGGCGGGCCGTGCTCTAGAGTCCTGCTAACCGCCTCTGGCAGACTGTCATCCTGTATACGAGTTTGTCAGCAGGCCAGCAGGCAGAGCTTGAAAATTGTGCCAATGGGCCAAGATGTCGCAGCTAAAAAGAGCGTCAGACTCGTCAAAGCGAGCTTTATCCAGTCCAGAACCGATGCAACATTGGCTCTGAATAGGGGCCTGCTCGCATAGTATGTACTCCGTATTGCTGCTAATATTAATACTGCCCGTCTCCAGTTGGGATACTATGCACACGTCGCGCTATCTTATTTTGGCTTTCAGGGCCGGAGATCACAGTTAAGGTGCATGCCGCGTGCTGGACCCCTAACGAGCCTAATAAGGCCCCTAATGCACCCCCTCCTCGCTAACATCTGGTCGGTTGCACCGTGCGCTAGCAGCAAACCGGCCTAGACACCGGGTCCAGGCCCTGCTTTTAGCGTTCTCCCGCTCCTTTCTGGCACTTTTTACAGTTTGGCCCCTTCACCTAATCTGGCAATTAGGTTTTCCAGAATCTCGGCTGTAATGCAGCAGTCAGAGCATATTACGAGTACTACTATGTAAGATACCCCATTCATGTATTTGCAGAGAGTTCGTATTTGCACGCAAGCATGATTCTCGGATATTGCGTGTATGTTCAAGCCTCTCTATTACAGTAAACACATGGTCCATCACGGCAAGCCCTCGCTGTACGGAAAAGGAGGCAGCCAGGCTATCCGCCAGACCGAAGTCGAAATACTATGTAAGATACATGCTGCTTGCACGGCCCAAGCCGGACTGGTGCTGGTCCGCCTTCTGGAAACAACAAGTGTGTCAGGACGGCGCCTATACGCTATCACGCTGTCGGGTCTCGCCTCCCCGTAATTGCAGTCAGCGTCTTTTAGAGGGTCATGGCTGAGCCTCGTTTTCGGCATGCTGATCGCCCTCTGGTTGGCCCTGTGCTGCTTGCTGCTGGCCTTCGTGCAGACCGGTGTAGTAACCGGCGTAGTACCACGACATCAGCAGCTTCTTCAGGCTTTCGTTTCCTACCAGACCGTGAGCAGGATGTAGGCAGGGAGAGAGAGAGAGAGAAAGAGAATTGGCAGTCAAGATAACCTACCATCCATACTGCCCAAGACTGCCTGCGGGGGCATAAGGCTGGGAGCTGGGAGCTGATTCTGTGACGTTAAAAAGACTCGTCAGAAAACAATCTGAAAAGAAACCTGGTCGCCCGTCGCTATCGAAACACGGCCTGCTGCTCCCCCCCCCCACGATCGCCGACATGAGCTCCTTCAGAAGCTGATCTAGCGAGGACATACCGTGCCTGATGGGGATGCAAATGTCTGCTCTAGCTCAGCATCCGACTCTGCCGCTGGTGCTGCAGCTGGCCCATTTTTGTCCAAGCTCGTAGCTCTTTCGCCATCCGTTGTCGTTTCGGCCGCAGCAGCCTGCTTCGTCTCTCCAACAGATCCGTTGACAGTTTCAGGCTTGGCATCTGGCCTTGTTTCTTGTCTGCTATGTGGCCGTCTCGCCCAGGAGCTTGCGTCAGCAATGCCACCGTGACATAGAAGGTGAAGCCCCGTGCCCTCGCGCCGCTTTTTCTCATCTCCGACCGATCACTGCTCACCCGCTATCAGGAAGTACAGGCTCTCTGAGGTTCTCTGGCAGGTCGTCCACCGTGCCACCACGCGCGCGGACGCCGTGAAAAGCCTGGGCCAGACGATTAGCCAAGAACTCGTTGCAGCTGCCGCCAAGAGGCCGAAAGGGAGGCCTCTGCACACACCTTGTAGTCGCTGACGACTTGGTTCCACGATATCGAAATGGCCGCCTCACTCCAGGCAGCGCCTTCTGGGGCCGTTGTGGCTGTCATTCTGGGAGTAGGTTGGCGAGAGCACGTGAGCCAAATGAGAAGCTGCAGGACGAGCTATTGGCTTCACCAGCAATTGAAACGCTCCACCCAAAACGGCAACACCGCATAGTAGGATATCTTTACAACCCGCACCAACTCGGACATCCGGTCTTGCCAATGCAATGTTACGAGTACTTCGTACGTCGTATCCATCTGATGGAATTCATGATGTCTAATAGACTCACGATGACGAACTGCCCTAGTTAGCCGCTCGCTCTGCTCTCTTCTCATTGGTTTTTTTTTTCATCCAGGTGGACACTGTCTGGACACAGTCTCTGCACACCGTCTGCGCAAGTACTTTGCGCCACATGAGTGGTTCCAGGCCTTTACAGGCCGCGAATTTGGTCACGATGTCATCCTTATCGGGCTGCCGTGCTGCGTCCTTCTGCCCGGCTTCGGCCAGCTGCAACGCCCAAAATTGCCGCTGCGCGGGGTTGGCTAGTACGAGTCTGTCTGGCCTGTTGTCATTGTAATACATGTATAATAAAAGGAGTGCGTTGGGAAGGTGCGATCCGGAAGACTGTACGTTGAGCTAGAGCTACGGAGTTTCTGGAAGTCGCGTCCCCACACGATTACTTCCCTCAAAGAGCAGCTCTGACACTTCGCGTGAATCTGTGAATTGCCAGAGATAGATAACTTGCACGTCCTTGAACAATTAGGAGCCCCTTGCAGTTCACAATGAGGTACGCATTGCACAAGGCGCATGCCTCTTTGTTTATCGCTCCTTGTGCGTGTCTCGCAAGCTGACGATGTGTTGAACAGCACCGAACAGGTATTTCAACGTCGCCCGCGACTCAACATGATCACATCCTGACTGTGTGAAATACACTGTGACCGCTAACTGACCGTGCTCTTTTCTCTCCAGGTCTACTACATCGGTATCGATGTAGGGACTGGGTCCGCCCGGGCTTGTGTCATCGATGCATCTGGCGAGATCAAGGGACTGGCGTCCGAGGACATTCGGCTCTGGAAAGTGGCAAATGGCCACGAGGATACGCACTATGTAAATGGCTGCTCTCTCCCAAGCTGGACAGGCCAGATGAGCGACTGCTGACACAGCCAGGAGCAATCGACGACGGACATCTGGAAGCACATCTGCGGCGCTGTCCGCACGGCTGTCGCCCAGGCTGGAATCTCCGACGATGGCACGGCGGCGATTCGCGGCATTGGCTTCGATGCCACCTGCTCCTTGGCCGTTCTCAGCCACGACACGGACGAGCCGATGAGCGTTGCTAAGGCGCGGCTGGGCAAGGAGGACCCGGAGGATCGCAACGTCATCCTGTGGCTGGATCACCGCCCTCTTGAGGAGACGGATGCGATCAACGCGACTGGCCACAACCTGCTGCGCTATGTCGGCGGAACGATGAATGTGGAGATGGAGGTGCCCAAGGTGCTGTGGCTCAAGAACAACATGCCGGCCGACGTGTTTGCACGCTGTAAATTTTACGATCTGGCCGACGCCCTGACGCACCTGGCTACGGGCTCGGAGACTCGCAGCTTCTGCAGCACCGTGTGCAAGCAAGGTTACGTCCCGGTTGGCGTCGACGGAAGTGTCAAGGGCTGGCAGGAGGAATTTTTACGCGCGATCGGGCTGGGAGAGCTGGCAGACGATAATTTTAAGCGTGTCGGCGGCGTCAACGGGGTGGTTAGCCCTTGCATTTCGTCCTTGTTCATTCCCCCGTTTGATCTATGCTAACGCCGACAGAACGGACAGTATCTCTCTGCCGGCGAGCTGGTAGGCCCGCTTTCAGCCAAGGCCGCCGGTGAGCTGGGCCTGCCAGCCGGCATTGCCGTCGGCAGCGGCGTGATTGACGCCTATGCCGGATGGATCGGCACCGTTGGCGCCCGCGTCGACCTGGGTGGCGCCGATGCGGATGTGGTCAGCAAGCCGGGCGCCAACGACATATCCCAGGCATTCACTCGCCTCGCCGCGGTCGCTGGAACATCGACCTGCCATCTGGCCATGTCGCGGGATCCCTTCTTTGTCGATGGTGTTTGGGGCCCTTACCGTGACGTCTTGCTGCCCGACTTCTGGATGGCCGAGGGCGGCCAGTCGGCCACAGGCGAGCTGATCCGCCATGTCATCGAGACGCATGCAGCATATGCTGAGGTGACGGCAGCCGTTGCTGCACAGACGCAGAAGACTAATATCTACGACTACCTGAACGGGCGCCTACACGCGATGGCTGCTGCCGATGGATCCCCCGCTGTCAGCTACCTGGCTCGCCACCTTTTCTTCTACGGTGACCTCTGGGGCAACCGGTCACCGCTGGCCGATCCGCACATGCGCGGCGCTCTCGTGGGGATCAGCAACACCAGCAGCAGCGCTGACGGGCTGGCGCTGATGTACTACGCGGCACTCGAGTTTATTGCACTGCAGACGCGCCAGATCGTCGACACCATGAACGCGGCCGGTCACCAGATGCGCAGCATCTTCATGTCGGGCAGCCAGTGCCGCAACGACATTCTGGTCGGCCTGATGGCCACAGCCTGCAAGCTGCCTGTGGTCATTCCGCGCTACGACAGCGCGGCCGTCGTGCACGGAGCGGCTATGCTGGGAGCGAAGGCGGCCAGCGGTGGATCAGACGGCAAGACTGAGCCGCTTTGGACAATCATGTCACGCATGACCAGTACTGGCCGCGTGGTGCAGCCGTCTGCGGACGAAGGCGAGACCAAGCTGCTGCAGGCCAAGTACGAGGTGATGCTGGACCAATTCAAGACCCAGCGTGCGTATCGCAACAAGGTGAATGCGGCTGTCGCAGGGTGGAAGAAGTAATGGTGAAAAAAGTACTTCGTACTCCGTAGAGTCGTTGCATTTCCTTTTCTCCTAGATCCACGTGATAAACGAGCGAATGGAATGGATGTTTTGTGTCAATGTGCAAGAGCTGAGAAGTGAATGTAGCAAGAGCGATGGAGCTGTGGCTTCTGATTGGGTAGATAAATGGCGCTTGGGCCACAGCAACGCCAGGGGAAGCTATCCCTTCCGTATTTTTTTGGGCAGAAAAGCGAATCAATAAAAATACGCGACGAGAAACAAAGGGACGCAGACGACGACAACAAGACGTTCCGATTCACTTGTTCTTCCTAGCTGGAGGAATTACCGAATACGACACAGGCCGTGGCCCAGAACCCCCCGACCAGGCTGGGAGCAACCGACGAAGCCAAGCCGCAACGAGTAAACGATTAAAAAGCAGGCAACATTGGCTGAAGTGAGCATCGTGTTTGCTTGCCGATTCTGCCTGTCTTTCCGACCTCCGGTCTTCTTATCTCTTACCGTCCTACATCATGTCGCTCTTCGGAAACACTGCGAGGGCACCGACAGCCTCCCCTTTTGGCGCCTCTTTGTCGGGCTCGACAGCCTTGTCGTCGAACGCTCAGGCTCCAGCAGGATCAGGAGCTCGGCCGTCTGTGTTTGGCTCCAGCCTCTGGGACACGTCCGCGAGTGGTATCAACGCCGCGCGTCCGGCTGGAAACCCTCTCTTTGGCGTCGGAGGTACCGGAGCGGGCACTGCCACTTTGACTGGCAGCACCACGGCGCCCAACTTCCAGTCGTCCACGTTCAATGCATCGACAGCGACGGTGCGGCCTGCCGGCACCGGGGCATACTTTGACAGCCTGTTGGCCAAGAGCAGGATGCGATCAGAGTCGGGCGAGGGTGGGGCGGGCAGCGGCAGCGGTGGTCTTGGGGCGGCCGCTGGCAGTGCAGACCTGCCCAGCCTGCACCTCGGCCTGGGCGACCTGCGTCAGAAGCTGCGCAAGCTGGGACCGCGGGGTGCTGGGATGGGTGAGAGCATCGGTGGCAGCGGGGCAGCCGGTGGGCCTGGCACCTCTCTCTACGACGGCAAGGCACACTACATCCTGGCGGCATCGGGCGTGGACCCGGGGGCGGCCGTGCGGGACCTGGGCAACCTCAGCATCTACGCGTCGACACGGCCGACGGCGGGTGCGGGTGCCAGCTTTGGGCCCGGTGGAGCGGTGGCTGCTGGTGGCGGCGGCACGACGGCAGAGGTGGACGTGGACACGTATCTGGCCAACCTGCAGACCAAGACGACGCTCAGCATGATCAACGACGGGCTCGAGCGGTCAGTGCGCGACTTTGACAGCTTCCTGGAGGACAATGTGACGATGGAGTGGGAGGCGCAGCGCAAGCGGATCTACGAGCACTTTGGGATCAAGACGCGCGATGAGCTGGCCGGAGCGGGTGGCGCGTCACGATACGGCGACACGATGGGCGGGGCTGGAGGCGGAGGTGCCGGGGGTGGCGGGTTCGGGCGGTCGCGTCGCCGGCAACAGCAACAGCAGCAGCAGCAGCAGAACAACTCGCAGACGCCGGGGCCCAAGGCGGGTGGCAGCGTGTTTGGGCGGTCGCGCATGCAGAAGTCGGTGATCGGGTCAGCCAGCCGGATCGGGTCGCATGCGTCGGAGTTCACGGACGTGGAGACGGCAGGCGGCAGCAGCAGCGGTGGCAGCGGCAGCGCGGCGTCGGTGGATGATCGGTACACGCGCGAGAAGCAGGGGCGGCTAGCAGAGACGATCCACCGGCTCAACGACTGCCGGATCGCGTCGGCGCCGTTCCCGATCCTCAGCGAGATGGTGGCGGTGGAAGACGGGCTGGGCGGCGACCGACACCATGCGCTGGTCAGCGACGCATTCCGGGCGCTGGCCGGGATCGTGGGTGAGGACGCAGACTCAGTGCACCAGGCACACCACACGCGGGGCGAACCGGGGCCGCGGCAGCGGGCGTTTGCGCGAGCATACCTTGACCCCAACCCGAGCAGCGCCGGGGCGATCTCGGTGCGGCAGCAGATTCTGAACGGGGCAAACCGGTTCCTGGAGCGACGATTCTTCGCCGAGGTAGAGGCACAGATCGCCAAGTTTCCGCAGGAGGCCAGCCTGGGCGGGCGGCCGGACGTGGTCAGCAAGATCAAGGCGTATATCCGGGTGCGGGCAGCGCAGAAGATGCTGGTGCCAGACAACGTGGATCTGCAGCAGGTACAGGGTGAATATGTGTGGGCGGTGATATTTTATCTGCTGCGGTCGGGCCACGTGACAGAGGCGGCGCAGTACGTCAACGACAACCAGACGCAGATCCGCGGGATCGACCGGGTGTTTGCGAGCTACATCAACAGCTACGCGACGAGCGACGACCGACGGCTGAAGCGGGCGATGCAGGAGCGGTGCAGCAGCGACTACACGCAGCGGGCACGCAACGCACCAGAGGGCTCGGTGGACCCATTCCGGATGGCATGCTACAAGGTGATCGGGCGGTGCGATGTGGGCAACCGGAGCCTGGACAACCTGCAGACGGACGTGCACGACTGGATATGGCTGCAGTTCAACCTGGCGCGCGAAGGTGACCGGGCCGCAGAGCTGGCGAGCGAGATGTACGGACTGGCAGAGCTGCAGGAGACGGTGCGGGACATTGGGCAGAAGCACTTTGCCAAGAACGCGGCGGGCGTGGCGGACGGGTCGTTTGCCATGTTTTTCTATCTGCAGGTGTTGGCGGGGCTATTTGAGCCGGCGATTGCGTACCTGTACTCGTTTGCGTATGTGGACGCGGTGCACTTTGCCATTGCGCTGGAGTACTACGGACTTCTACGGACGCCGGACGCGAGTCTGGCAGCGGCGAACGAGCTGCTGAGCCACAACACGCGCGGGCTGCCGCAGATCAACTTTGCCCGCATGATCGGCTATTACACGCGCGATTTCCGGGCGGCCAACGTGGCGGCTGCGGTGGACTATCTGGTGCTGATCTGTCTGGGGGATGACGGAGAGCAACAGGTACAGGCGCAGACGCAGGCCACGGCCGGGGCCAAGGAGCAGACGGCAGCCGCGGTGCTGTGCTACGAGGCGCTGCGCGAGCTGGTGCTGGAGACGCGCGAGTTCAGCAAGCTGATCGGCGACATTCGGCCGGACGGCACGCGGATTCGTGGTCTGGTCGAGGAGCGTGGTGGGCTGATCGCATTGGACCGCGAGCAGGACTTTGTCCGGGCGATCACGCTGCAGGCGGCACGTGACGCGGATGACGGTGGGCGGACGACAGACGCCGTGCTGCTGTATCACCTGGCGGGCGACTACGACACGGTGGTGGTGATTGTGAGCCGGGCGCTGAGCGAGGCGATCGCGCTGGAGATTGGCGAGGAGCCCATGCGTCTGGTGCCGGTGAAGCCGCGGGTGGAAGGCAACGGCAACGGCAACGGAAACGGAGACGCGAGCGTGTCGACGGCGCGGTCAGGCAGCAGCCTCAGCCTGGCAGCCATTGACGATCCGGTGGAGCTGGCACAGACGATGATGACCATGTACGAGCGCGACAACATGTTCCGGCGGCGGATCCGGGAGGAGAACCGGATTGCGTGCAGCGTGCTGCTGCAGATGAGCGAGATTAAGGGATTGGTGGAGGCTCGCAAATGGCCACAGTGTCTGGATGTGAGTTTGGGATTTTTTCTTTCTTTCTTTCTTTCTTTCTTTCTTTCTTTCTTTCTTTCTTTCTTTCTTTCTTCCTTTCTTCCTATCTCATTTCTTTCTTCTCCCCTCTTCATCCCCCCCACTAACCAAAACAGAGAATTCGCGACCTCGAGATCCTGCCGCTGCAGGCCGGCGGCGACCCCAGCATGATCCGCAGCTTTGCAGCACGGTTCCCCGGCTTGGCGCAGCCGGTGGCCATCAACGTGCCGAACCTGCTGATGTGGACGATCCTCTGCTGCACGCAGCAGCGCGGACGCCTGCTGAGCGGCCAGTTCAGCGGCAACGAGTCAGCGTCGCGCATGCTGGCCGACGAGCTCAAGCAGATCTGCGTCGACCTGACCGCCTACACGAGCCAGCTGCGGTACCGCTTCCCGCCATACCTGCACGAGGCGCTGGCACGGGCATCGGCTGATTGATTTTGTCTGTTGTCTTTCTGTATCTACTGTCAGGAACGAGCGCTTGGCTCTTGGAGAATGAAACAAGGAGAGCGAGAACAGGTGAAGTTGCCTCGTGACTGCCTGCACCGCGGCCACGGACGCGCCTTCCTCTGAATGCGGTCGTCGTCGTCGGCCGCGCCTTCTGTAATCGGCATCGGCACCACTTTTCGTTGCCATTGTAACCATCTTGTCGTTCCTGTTTTACGGCCCTTCTCTTCCTCTTACAAACCATCTTTTTTTACTCTCCATCCAAGACATCGCGTATCCCTCCCACGTTGTATTGCACTGCTCGTCTTCGTTCTGACCTGCCCTCTTCCATCGACCATGGCTGTGCTCACGCGGGCCGCCTCCAAGACCAGTGGCGGACAGTCGAAGCCGGCACGGATGCAAACGCAGATCCAGATCCAGATGCCTCCACGGCCACCACGGCGACAGGACAACGCCAGGCGGTCGATCCGGTCGCGGTGTCCGACGCCGTATCCGCAGGACGTGCCGCCGGTGCAGGCGAGCATCGAGACGGACGTGGATGACGAAGAGAAGCAGCAGGCCACGACAGCGATGCTGGCGAACAGGCACGACGCCAGCCGGGCCAAGAGCAAGAGCATGCCGGCGGACGAGAACGTGACGATGGCACCCACTCACCGGCGGAGCCGCCGCAGCTGCCGCAGCCACGATGGCCACGACGGCCTCAACAAAAACGCCGCGCTGACGCGCCGGCGGTCCAAGGTGGCCAGGAGGACGCAGCCGGAGAGCCAGGAGTGGCAGGACAAGACAGTGCTGCGAAGCAGAGGAGCAGCCCTGTTTGCGAGGCCGGGTCTCCTGCCGGGCAGCGTGGTCGGCGGGCCGGTGCTGCGGGCGTCGGTTTGAGCGGTGGCAGGCGGAGCAGCACAAGCGTCAAAGCCCATAGCACCCTTCATTGTGGACTGGTAGCGGGAGGTGTTTCGAGGCAAGGCCAGAAAAAAAGCAGAGCAAATTCGACGGAATAGCAATAAACAAGGCACCAAATACAAGTATTGGCTACACAAAGGCCATGTCCGTGGCGAACAAAAGTCTCGCCGTAAATCAACGCAAACGTGGTCCTCGAGGCGAGTCTGGCCCGTCTTCGTCTTCGTCTTCGTCTTCGGGTCCGAACGGCTCACCGAGAGAGTACACCTGGACTTGGTGTCCGACGGCGACGAACAGGCTGGAAGTGCAGTCGCCAGGCAGCCGGGCAAAGCGAACCGCAGCAACACGGGGGAGGATGAGGGGAGATGGCACGGCGGTGTCGCGTCTGCACGGCTGGCTGATTCGCCGCATCATGTCGGTACCGGTGGCGAGGCGCTCGCCGGTGACCATGGAGAAAAGCGAGACACCGCCGCCGCTGCTAGCAGCACTGGCAGCAGTAGTGGGTGGAGAGAAGGCATTGCGGTCATCGCCGACGGCAACGAGGTTAAGCCGGGGCTCGACGTCGAAGCCGGTGCCCATCAGACGGGCCTCGTTGCGATACTCGTCAAAGCGAAGGACGACGGACGAGGCGACGGGAGATTGTGACGAGGAAGACGAGAAAGACGAGAAAGATGTTCCCATGCAGCGGACATCATAGAGCAGCATGGAATCGCGCAGACCAGCAGCCACGACACGATGGCTGCCAGCCGACCGGACATGGGCGATGGCATTGGTGACCTGGGGTTCACCGTCGGGGCTGCAGCCAGCATCGCCTCGGAGCGAGTGCCAGGATCGATGTTGTCCCTGGCGCAAATCGACGATCCACGGATGCGGCCGCCGGCCGCCGGCGAGGACAAGCTGCGGATGGCCATCGAGAAAGTCGACGGCCGTGACGATGGACGACGATGACTCCTCGTCTGCAGGCGGTGTGCCGATCTGGTAGTCAGACAGGAAGAGACCGGCAGTGCGTCGCCGTCCGAGGCCGCCAGCACCCATTGCCGCCGTCATGGTGCCTCGTCGCAGCCGCTCGCCGTTGATCAGCGCGAGACCACGGCCGGCCCCGACGACACAGAGCATACCGCTCGACGCAGGCGACGGAGCAGCCGCGCAGCCGTAAACGGCATCCTGCGCCCCGTTTCCATATACGTGGGCGAGGTTGTCGGGATGGCGAGACTCGCCGCGAGGCCGCTCTTCAGCCGATGGGACGATCACGTGCATGCAGATGCCGTCGGAACGCTCGACACCCGGAGCGCGCACGATACGGCGGCCCTCGGCCAGGCGGCGCGATGTGACGATCAGCTGTCGTGAGGCCGCCGCATAGCAGATGGCCGAGGCGTCGGGCACGTCCAGACCTTCGAGATGGGGGCTCTCGAGATGGCGGAGGCGGCCAAGAGAACCCTCGGTCGGCCAGAGGGAGGGGATGCTGCAAAAAAGGAAGCCGATCAGCTGTCTACACGAGCCACAGACACCTCTAAGCCAAAAACTCACAAGCCGCGGTCGTCTCGGGGAATGTATTGGGCCCGGACATCGGACCGGCCATCGGGACGAGGGCAGTCTTGATGAGTCAGCATATGAAAAAAAAGAGAGGACCGAGAAAGAAGCGAAAAGAAGCGAAAAAACAGTACGCACTCGTGTACAGAACCCCCATCGCGTCCGGCCATGGGTTCTGTCCGTCGCTGGTGCCGTCGTCGTCATGCACGTACAGACACGACACCCTGGTGCGATCGCGTTCGGGGTCGCCGCCGCTGCTGTTGCTGCAGTCGACCTGGCCGCGATAGCAGAGCCCACGCGCGACGGCCGCGGCGGCCACCGACAGCGGCGACGACGATGATGATGCCGACGGCGCGGATCGGTCGAGCGGCCGCTCCAGCAGGACCGAGAGGCGGCCAAACACGGGCGCCCGCACGATGGGCGGTGGTGGTGGATCGCCCTGACTTTGACCACGATCACGATCACGACCATGACCCCCTCCCTCTACCCGCCGCCGCTTGCAGCCGCTGCGCTGCTCGTCCTGCTGCTGGCGGTGGCGCACCTCGGCCTGCGCCCAGCTGGCGCCCGTCGGCGCCGTCGCCGTCCTCTCGGTCTTGAAAAACTTTTGGCGCGACTCGTCTGCGAGAGGTGAGAGGTGAGCAAGACAAGAACAATCAGAACGGGGCTTCCCAGGTAAGCATCACCATCAGACACTCTGGCACTCACCCCAGTGGTAGCCCGGCAGCTCAAACGGTGCAGGCATCGTCGCTGCGTCGCCGGCCCTCAGCCTCGTCCCGATTCTGCACAGATCAGCTCGCAGTGCATCGACCAACGATCGCCCGGTCTCTCTTCTTCGGCTTCGTCGCGTTCGTCGTAACCAGCTCGAGCCGGCCAGCCTGTGTCGCTCGCTGTCGCCAGGCAGCCACTACAAGGCATGCGAAATAAGAAGAGTATGCAAAAGTACGTCGTAGTCTCTTGTACCAAGTCACTCCAGTTATCTTAGTTCCCGCTGTAGCTTCCTCTCGCTAATGCACGACGAAAACACTACACATATTTATATCACGTGACACTGGGGTGAGTCCGCATCTCCATGCACCACAGGTCTTGGCATTCACATTACACGTGAAATATCAATGTTAGAATCAAATTTTACGATTTATTAATTAGTTCCGTCTAAAGAGCTCTTTCAGGGTATTGACCTCGTCTCATCCCTCTTCAGATCAGAAATTTTAAAACAAGAGAAATGAAAAAGCGGTGGACTGTCTCGACGCTGGTAATCTCAATTAATAACGACCGAAAGAGAATTAACCAACGACGATTAGCATTCACACATAAAACAAAGACTGATCCTCATTATACGCCTTCCACCTCTATTCAGCTCCTCCTAGACACAGCGCCTCGCATTTACTGCGACTTCTCGTGTTGGGTCGACACACGCTGCAGAGACACAACTATAAAGGAGTTAGTGGATGCAGTCATACAAAAGACTCAGGAGGAGGATGCTTACCAAAGTCCTCAAGGGACCGCTGCTTCTGGTTGCCCTTCGGGCTCTTGCCGTGCATAAGGTTGTCGAATCCAACGCTGTCCTGGAGCATGTAGTACAGACCACCCATGATACAGAACACGCCGAAGGAGAAGATCCAGATACGGACGACGGCAACAATGGAGGTCTGACCACCAACGAACCAACCGAAGAGAGTGAAGAAGGTGGCCAGCAGATCGACGACCAGGATGGCACCAGACAGCTGCCACGACGGGATGGACGACCAGAACGGACCGTTTGCACGGGTGATGAAGATCAGCCAGTTCTCACTCAGAGACACCTGAAGGAACACGACCTCATCCATCTTACCGAAGTTCTGGACAATACCACCGTTCTCGCCGTTGGCGTACATGGTCGTGACAGTGATCCATGTGCCGACAGCCAGGACAATTCCAAGAAGGACGGACATACCCCAGAGCTTGGGCAGGTTCCACTTGACAGGCGTCTTGGAGTAGGGAGCGTTGTCGTAGGCAATGGCCAGCGTAGCAACATCGGCGAAAATGGCAATGAAGACGACCAGCTCAATGTTCAGCGAACGGTTGAGAATGGCAATCCACAGACCAAGGAAGATCTCCAGGTGGATCGACAGAGCGATACGGTAGACGACGTAGGCGTACATGCGGTGGAAAATCTGGCGAGAAGTCTTGAGCGCATCGATGATGGCACCGAGACCAGGAGCAAGGAACACAATGTCGGCAGCAGAACGGGCAGCGTCAGACGCACCCTCGACAGCAATACCAGTATCAGCCTTCTTCAAAGACGGGGCGTCGTTGACACCGTCACCAGTCATGGCAACGAGGTAGCCACGCTGCTGGAGAATCTCGACCACGTTGTACTTGTGCTGGGGGAAAACCTCGGCGAAACCATCGGCAGCCTCGACAAAGTCGTAAACCTCAGAGCCGGGCATGTCACCACCGCCACCAAGACCAAGGCGCTCAGCGTTGTAGACGTTGGTACCGAGACCGAGCTGGCGAGAAGTCTCGCGGGCAATACCGACAGCGTCACCAGTAAGCATCTTGATGGACAGACCCAGAGACTTGGCCTCGTTGATCGTGCGGGCGGTATCGTGACGAGGGGGGTCCATGCAGGGCATAATGCCGAGAATCTCCCAAGAACCCTCACCACGCTTCCGGGCAACACCGAGAGAGCGGAAACCACGGGTAGCGAACTCGGCAACCTTGTTCTTGTAGGCCTGGTCAACCTCCTCAGAGATGGGGTGGTCCTCCTCGACGGTCTTGAGCACAAACAGCGGGGCGCCCTTCACACAGGTGATGCGCTCGCCCTGGGGAGATTCAACGAGAGCCTGGACCTTCTTGGAGACGGGGTCGAACGGGTGGAAGTCAATAACCTTGTACTTGGACAGAACGCTCTTGGCACGCGGGTAGTACTTCAGCGACTTGAGGAAGGCCTTGTCGATGGCATCGATACCCTTCTTCTTGCGTGAGGCAGCGAGACAGGCAGTAAGCATCAGATCCTCGGGGTCGACACCGGCGACAGTGTACGGCTCAGCCAGAGACAGCTTGTTCTTAGTCAGAGTACCGGTCTTGTCAGAGCAGAGGATCTCGACACCAGCCAGCGACTCAATGGCCGACAGCTTCTGCACGATAGCCTTCTTCTTGGCGAGGTAAGCGGCACCGACAGCCATGGTGGTGGTAACGACAGCAGGCAGACCGACGGGCACGCCAATGACAGTGATAGCGAGAGTGAACTCCAGAATGTGGACAATCGGGTTCGACCGGTAGAACGAAGAGATCCAGACAATCAAGAGAGTGAAGACGACCAGGACCAGCAGAATGGTACCGATACCGTTGAGCACCTCAGTGAAGTGACCGGTACCAGCCGAAGCAGCGTTGACCAGGGCAGCAGCGCGACCGACGAAGGTGTTGTCACCAGTGGCGGTGATCACGACGAAAGCCTCACCACGCTTGACAGCGGAAGACGCGTAGCACTGGTCGCCCTTGTGCTTGTCGACAGCGAGCGACTCACCCGTGATAGCGGACTGATCAACCTGGAGGAAGGCATCCTCCGTCACAATGCGACCATCAGCGGGGATAATGGTACCCTCCTCAACCTGAAGGATATCACCGGGAACAACCTCAGGTGCCTCAATCTCCTGCAGCGTGCCGTTACGGAGAACGACAGCCTTCAGAGCGAGAGTCTTCTTCAGTTCGTCGACGATAGAACCAGCCTGGTATTCCTGGATGAAACCAACAAAGGCGTTGAGCAGAAGCAGAGCGCAAATGACACCGAAATCGACCCAATCCTTAAGACCGGCAGCAAGAACAGCAGCAGCCTAAGAAAGTATCGTTAGTTATGGGGTCCAATCGGCCGATCAAGAATCAGAAACAAGTTTTTCTCCGCTATCCCTGGCTTGCAGCCTATAGTGGGTACAAACTCCAGAAAACTAGATCCACCAATTGGAAACAGCCCGGCAACCGTGCTGAGGCATTTTTCTAGGATCGAAAGCTTACCTCCATAACGAACTGGATGGGACCGATAAAGAAGCCGAGGAACTTGAGGACCAAGTTCTCCTTCTCCTCCTTCATCTGGTTCAGACCAAACCTGTAGGGTGTCAATATGCGGCTCCTGCGATAACAATTGAGAAGCAATGGATCAATACGTACTTGCGACGACGAGCAACGACCTCCTGATCAGTCAGACCGATACGGGTATCGGTCTGCAGCATCTCCTCAGGAATGATACGTTCACCGCCCGGCTGGGCAGCCTCGTCCTCATCGTCCTCCTCCAAACCGTGTCCATCATGAGACTCGAGGTCCTCAATCAGGGCATCGATGTCCTCATCCTCATCATCCTCAACCTTGGGCTTCGAAGCCTGGGCGGGAGGTGCAGCTGACTTCTCGTCGAAGCCACCGCCCGGTATATTCGTCTGCAGAGCAGGCGCGTGTGACGTTGAGTCCGCCATGGCGCGTTGCGTATTAGGTGTATGTTGTTGAGAACTATGTGAAGAATGTGTGAGCAGAATGCGTCTTTCTGCAAGTGAGGCTTGCCTAGGCAAGGGAAGAGAGGAGAGGCTCCCGCGTTTGTGGTTATGATGCCGAAAGAAATGCAAAACCGTAACGATGAAGTTGGGGTGAGAGGGGAGAGAAGGAAGGGATGGGAAGGGCAGGACGGGAAGATTATGTATAAGAGTCGAGGGAATAAAAAGCTCGCGGGCGCACTGGGGGGGGGGGTGCGCGATTGGAAGATCCACTACTCGAGGTGGTCCTCAAGGCGAAAGCGAAAAGGCGAAGGGTGGAAGAGATTACAGAGGGTCCTGAAGACAGTGCGGTTGCAGACAGTGTGTGGATGCTGTTTTGTGCTAGTGCATGTCCGGAATAAAGCGGGGACGAGATATGGAAGAAAAGTGGATGTGGAACTAGGTTGTGCAGGAAAGATGGGTGGTCTTTCTGGTGCGTGTTTTGATGAACGGCTAATAAGCGGCAGTGGGTACAAGTGAAATTGGGAGGGCAGTCTGTGTAATGCCACCGCTGGAAGTGCCGGCGCGGCAAGAGCAAATGAGGGCAGCGGAGTGTTTGTGCTGACGGATCTCGATCACGGGTGGATGAAGTGATTGATGTGCTGAGTTTAAGGAAATGAGGCTGATGTGATTGCTGGGTAGGGAAAGAGGATGCAGGGAAAGGTCGTCGCGGGAGCTGACAAGCACGCCTGTCGGTCGGTCTGTTTGGAGGCGGTGGGAGATTTGCACATACCTATGAAATTGCGATTATACTGATTAAGGTGGAAAGATTGTAGTATGAGGAAGACAAGACAAAAAAGAGAGGGAAGAAGGGGGGGAGGGAAGAGGGGAGAGGTGCACCTCACGATACGAAGACGAGGATTGGGAGAGATCCTTCGTGGGTGTTGAAAGGGAAAGAGGAAGAGGAGGGTGAGGAAAGAAAGAGGAAAGAAAACGGTCGAAGGGCGGAAGCTGTCTGGTTTTTTTATTCTTTTGGGGCCGACAGCTTCTTTCCCTCCAGGTCAGGGTAGGGGCCGTGACTTGCTCAGTCATCACAATAGAGGACCCAGACAAAGTCGCAATCGGTCGCCCTCGCCATTTTCCTATTTTCCTATTTTACCCTTTATTTTCTTCATTTTTTTATTTACTTTCGCTGGACCCTCCTTCGGCGCGGCGGCGACGGCGGCGAGAACCAGAGGCTAGGCCGGCTTTGGTGCTGGGCCTAGTTCCAGATGGAAGGGGGAGCAGGAAAAAAGGTTTTGTTTTTCTTTTGCCCCATAGAGACCCTCCCATGAAAACAGCGAGTAAGAGCGAGGCGAGCAATCCGGGAAAAGACGCACGACCGACCGCTCTGTCTGACCGGCTCGTCTCTTCTCTCTGCCATGTCCACACACAGCTTGGCTATACTGCATACAGCACGATGATCCCGCCCCAGCAGCCTCGGCAGCCCAGAGCGACCAGGATTGTGATGTGCAAGCCGACCGAACGAGCTGTGTACAGCACCCTGCTAACGGCCCTGCAGCAACGAAGCTACCCGCATATTGCTGCATCCCACGTCGCAACTCGTAGAAGAAAAGAGAACGAGAGCTACCCACACTGCTGCAACTAGCTCGAGCTTGTACCTTTCTCCACCGTAGAAGCTGACCCTGGCGTACTGTACGGATGGGGCGGAATTGGTCCTAGCTGCTACAAAATGCCTGCGCCGGCCCTGTAGACGGGGCCCAGACTGGCTACTCTTCACAGTGCGGAGCTACCGCTCCTTCACACGGCCGCCTCGTACTACTCCGTATGTAAGATACACTGGCAGGCATGCGCATTGTGCATAGTTACATTAATCTGCGTCAGCAGCCGTGTACCTGGACCCACAATGATGCTCCCCAGACGGCCACATCTCGCATCGCGGAGGTACCTGCTAGGCTGGGCCCTTTCGCGTACCCTTCCAGTTTTTGCTGCCATCCTCTTGCGCGATTTTCTGTCGCTCTGTTGAATTGGCTCGCAAACGTGGCATCTGAGTGGTCCATCTAGTTGAGAGGTGATGATACCGTGCGTCGTAGGGTCGCTCCTTCTTACAAAATGTTCCCCTGACCACGCAGTACGAGTCCTATGTAAGATACAGTGCACCCCATGACGACACTTTGCAGGTTCGAAACGCGCCGTAATTATATCTCCCTCGCCTTCTCGGCGGTCAGCCTCAATTATTGACAACTGTGCCCACTAGTTTTGTCATCTATCCAATACGCTGGTTTCGCATCAATGAGCACACGAATACATTGGGGCGAGCTGGACGAAGTGCCAAACGCCAGAAGAGATTGCCAGTCTGGGCCAACGTGGACGGTGAGGCCAGCCCCGGCACGGCCAACAAAATTCGTATTTTTTTCTGGCTTTCTCTCACGTCCTCGTAATCGCCCCGGAAATGGCTCTCCGATCATCAAAATAACCACCCAAAAAGAGCCAATCCGGTATGTGCGCCTCAAAAGTCCATGATTCGCTCAGCCGGCTGCTGGCCCATCGAAACAAGAAGCTAGGGCCAGGGCGTTACACACACACCCCTGACCGACGTTGATTGGCCCACATACTTACTACTGGCCAGCATGGATTGGATGCTTTCGATATGGTGGGTCCCGGCAAGGGCCTTATCGCGGCGTTTCTGCTCTGGAGTTGGATGGGCTGTCTTTCTACATTCGGCTGGACATCCTTGGCTTGGCTGTCTGGGGTTGATGGAGTTTTTAGGACCTTTCCTCATAGTATCTTACTTCGCCTAGCCCCTGGCTATATGGCCGTAGCTTATTTTCTACTGGACGAAGCTGTTCGTATTGTGCTCCACGTCCAGCGGCATTTTGGGCAGGAACGCCGTGCCGAGTTTTGGCCACCGTACTCTGTACACTGTACTACAACGCGAAGCGCCAAGTGAAGCCTGCTGTCGGCCCATGGTAGATTGCTGAAGATCGCTGAAATGCGCTGGAAATGGCCCCGGACTGCTCTCGGCCATAAAACCTGCATTGACCGCTATAATACCGAGCTATACGCGTGCTTCTCTCTGGCGCGGGAGTCCCGATCAGCACCGACAGCGTCGTCAGGGGCGGCGGGCAACCGCGCCCAGCCGCCGACGAGAGATTTGTTTTTTTCCTCCTCTCAGCCATGGCCACTCCAGCCTCCCGCTTTTCGTGTTCACTTGCTCCTTCTAGCAAGTCTTACCCGCACTGCATCCGTGTCGTATGTGACAGCAGGGAAGCCTCACCGCCCAGAGCAAGACCCCGGGAGAGGAACGGTGTGTACGTCGGTCGTACTTTGACTGCGATAAAGATAAGTAAGTATTGGGCTCCATCCGGCTCGCGCGATGGAAATGGCTACCGATCTATTGTGTCTCCGTAAGATACGTCTCATGCGCGATGCAGGCTGTAATTACCACCGCGTTCGTCCGTCGCATTTCCATCATTGCTTCTGTTACTATTTCCTTTTGCGGCCTCTGTTCTCTAGGCGACCAGAGAAGTTTAGGTGTGTGGCTTTTGCGGGAAAGTGGGTTATTTAGCGGAGATACGTCATGAAGGCAAGGGGAAATAAGAGACAGGGGGGAAGCCCCGTCGAACAGCTATCCGACATACCCGGCATGGCCGGTCCCTTTCCCACTTTTTTGACGATGACTAGCAGCGTATCTTACATAGTATCAGGACCGTTGTTTTTCCTTTGTTACATATTTCGTACTTCGTATCTTACCATGTAGTATTAGATTTATAGACGTGGCCTGTGTGTCTGTAAGATACAGAGTACTCCGTACGTGTGTCTTCATGCTTTCCCAAGTTGGCCAACGTCCTAAGATACGTAAGACACTGACGGGGCGTTCTACGGCCGTTCCTTGGCTTCTGAGACCGTCGCCAGACAACAAACAGGTCGAGCGCCAGGGCAACCAGCACGCGTTCGAGCCTCGTAGTAGCGGCCTTGCCACGTGGGCAAGACACTGGAAGGCCTCATGTCCCCAAGGCTTTCGTACGGATGCTCCACGTACTACAGTGTCCGCATGTACTTTGTACTCGGTCTGAGATGAATTTCGATATCCCCTCGACGAGGCTCCAGGGGGGCGGCAGATCTGCCTAACTCTGCTTGGCTCCAAGCCTTGGCTGACAAGAGGCGAGACGAGGCGAGCAGCCGGACGTGATGGCACAGCTCGGCGTTTCCTTCCACGTCGTAGGGCCGTCCCCTGCGACGAGGCGACGAGGCGCCGTTGGCGGAATACGCATACCGCCGCAACAAATTGCGGTCCCATCGGACACCCCTTGAATGATGCAGGAGGCAAATCGGACATCGTGAAGCACGCATCAGCGAATACCGGCAAAGCAGGGAGCATGGACGGAGCAATGCGTGTGGAGGGTGGTCCCAGCAACGCCGACTTGCCAATCTTACAAGCGCATGGAAAAAGGCTTGTTTTCTCAATTCATCTCTCGCCCGCCACCGATGAGGAGCCGCGGCCCAATCAACAGGTTTCCGATGCCAGTTTACGACGATGACGAAAACGCGGCAGGGGAGCGAGACTCCATCGGTGTTTGGGCCGACTTCCTGCCTCTCCCTTCGGGAAAAGCCTCGCGTGCCTTAATCTCCATGGTGAAGGCTACTGTACCCAACTCCGTGCGACGGTCGGAGGTCGGCATTGCCTGTGATACACTACGGAGGCTCCACTAAAAACGATGCAATAGACACACCCACGGCAACCGGGCTTAATGTCAAGAAGCGAAAAGGCGAGCTCCAGTTAAAAAAAGGCCTACTATACCGGCGGGAGGAAGTCCAAAAGAAAGAATACGAAAAACAACCCCAAAAAAAAATCATAAAAAAAACAGAGCTAGAGGACCGACTTTTCCTTGCTGGCCAAATTTCCTCACAGTGTGCACGACCAGCTGTCTGCAGAACACCACTATTACATACGTCGTAGTACGAATCTTGGACGTGGTCCTTTTTGCGGATCCGTCCAGGCCGTCCTTGTCGTCGGTGTAGGAGGAAAAGGGAAAAATTCCGCCGGCCGGCCATCCGCTCACGTCTGCTCCGATTCCCTTGCTGAATGCCGCAAGCAGCCAGAGCATGGCGTCGTGCCAGACAACACCGACCAATCCGGCCATTCCATTGGCGGAGAGCCTATGCTAGTATTCCTCCGAGGCATGAATAAAATGAGAATTAAGCCTTTGGACACTAGCGGGAGGACCGGCTGTGCATGAGTGGAAGGAACGACGGCCTATGAGATAACGTGACTGGCATCGCTCATTCCTTCCAAGACAGTAAACAAATCAGCAATTAAGATTGGCATGCACGTTGGGCGAAAGGGTCTGCACCTGTACCAGGCACACGCATCTGTCTGACTCGTCACGACCGGAATGTCTATCGCATCGAGCCGAGTAGGCGAACCACGGTCAATGCAACGCTTCAATCTCAATTTCCACTCAAGATGCGGACACGTTGCTAGTCATCCTGACAGCTCTTGCGGTGAGAGCCCCTCCCAGCAGCTGGAACTGGCATAGCAGATAAGGAGGAGCACTTCGAGAGCTCTGACAAGAGTTTATAAGGTGGGAATCCCACCGGCTCGTCCCTGCGCAGCTCGCAAGCTTCAGCGCACAACATGGCACCGCCTTGCGTGAAGCTCTCTGGCCCTGCTGCCCGTCCTTCCTCAGCTCCTTCTCTCGTCGTTCTTCCTTTGCCTCCGTCTGGACTCTGCCATTCTCGCACGGTGGTGTCTGGTGACGTTCGATGAGCTGTACAAGTATTATGTTCCTCCCTGGACGAATGTTGAATCAATCCACCATGCAGCTCTATCCGAGGATGCTTGCACGAAAGGTGGCCTGGTCTACCCTCTTTGGGCCTAGGCCGCCCCTGTACAGCGTGTTGTCGAGTCCCGGAAGGGCAAAAACAACAAACACAGCGGTTTGTTTATTGTTGTACCATCTGCCTGTCTACGGGCACGGATTCAGTGTGTCTCCAGGAAAGCCCATCGGAATGCCAGCCCTTCGCTGGCATCAGCTGATTCGAAACAGCACCCATGCGCCGAGGCACAATGTGCAAGTGCTAGTAAACAAACAGGCCTCGCTTACGGAGTATTCCGTAGAGGGATCGCCTCCTACAGGTCTGTCCAACTAGTAAGGGGGGAACGGAAATATATGATATTTCACATCAACGTCTTGTAGATAACGCAAACACATCGTCACGATGCCGCTTAGCTGTTACGGTTTGCAGCCGTCGTTTGGGATGGTGGTAGGATCGTCTGGAAGGGGGCCGAGCCCTTTCAAGCTCAACTGGTACGGAGTATACGACGTAAGATACGACACGAATTTCTGCGAGACGGAGTACGGAGTACTCGTAAGCTCTTCTCCAATTCCGCGTTCTGCGTCTGCTTTAGCTGCTATATGCAGGTCTGCACCTGCTATAATCCCACCCTAGCCGTAATGAAATTTTTGACCAATCCGTATTATGTCGAACACGAAACGTGCCATACGACGTACATAGTACACATTCATCAGACCGATAGTTGCCTCGTCATGAGCCGGAGCAGCTTCCAGAAACGGTACAAGAAAAGAGGGCCGAGGGACAAGAAAAAGAGCAGTGCCCATTCGATAATACCCATTTTAAAAAAGGGGTAATAGGCACGAGGGTTTCGCCTACGACGTATGCACGAACAAGCTCTCCACTCCCGTTAGCCAGCAACAGAAATAGCAGGCCTGAACCGCTAACTGGAGCATTAGGCTATGTCCACTTCGACGATAATATTGCGTAATAAGTGGTGCCGACAGGCCTACGAAATATATCCTCGAGCCCGCTATTGTCCAATGGGAATTGCGTAATTATATTGCTTCAGCCTTGTCCCTACGATAAGCTTCATTTCAAATGTCTTGCTACCTGGTAGATCGAGGCGAGGCTGTGTTTGGGGACGAGGCATGGCATTGCCAGTTGCTGTGTAGACTCCGTGCCTTTGAGCATTCGTGAAGTTTCCTCTTCCATTGGTGTGCTATATATTGTGTATATGCTGCTGGACTTGGTTGCTTGCCTGAAAACAATTGATTTCTCTGTTTCGTGTAGTCTGATTGTTGGAGCATATTCGTTTATGTACTGTCTAATGGATACACCACTCGTTTTACGGATAACTTACTTCTTTAACACGTGACCTGTCTTGCTGTTAACTTCAGACCGCAGCAACTGCATACCTTTATCTTCTGCTGTGTCGTGTTGGTTGTGGTTTATGTAATTGTGTAATTTGCGTATGAAATATGGCTGAAGTAATGGCTGGGAATCAGTGTAGTTGAGATTTACGACAATCGTCAATGGCGTCAAAAGGCGAGCTGTCTTAAAATACAGACCATCGGTGCAGTACTTTCCAGTGCGGAAACACTAGTTTTACCTTTAGTGTATGTTTGTATAATTATGTGAATCTCTAAATCTGTAAATCTGTAGATATCTACTAAACGAATATAAAATCCCAAAATCCACAAACACCACATATATGATATAAATTGGTGGACGTATGCATCTCACCAAGAAGATGACCTCTGGTTTTCGTATACTAGATTACACAATTCTAACGTTGTATGCCAAGTATCCTGAATCGAAGCCCAGGCTAAATGAGGATGTCGGCGGCTGAGCAGCTTCGGCGGCTTGGCGCTTGGTGAGGCTCATACAAGCCAAGCATGTATCAAAGACCTGTTGAGACACAAGCAACTAACTGAAACAAGCCACAAACCATGTCTGTCCTCTTAGGATCCTCTTAGAATCGATCTTTGCCGTAGATGCTCCGTACCCGCCACATCGGGGTCACTTGCTCGTCCAAAGAAGTCGCAAAGGTCACACAATAATGCAGAGCGGTCGATCATTCCACAGAACCTGCCAAAGACATGCAAGAGCCTGTATCTTGGCGGCATGATGCATGTAGATCTGACTCGGACAGGGCTACACCGTATCATTACAAGTCTCTGCCAAGAGCTAGTACAGCAAATACACCACAGCCGAAAGTGGCAGGGCAGTATCTTGTACAGGACTTAAATACTGAAACAAGAATGGCAGGGCCAAGGTCGTATCTTTAGTTAGCATGTTTGCAGTCAAGTGGCAAAAAGTACGGATATGCAACGTATTTCCTCATATTACCACCCACACTGAATAGGCTAGACGGGATACGCCATGTCTCTCCCACGCACTTTCGCGCTTTGCTATCTGTATTGGGTCGTTGGAACTTGACATGTATTACTGTGGGGGTGTTTCGATTTGAGTGAACTGTCTGCAATTGTGAGAGCAGACCGTGCCTTATTTTGAGACGACGCAGTCGAAATGGGCATCTCTCTCTTCAGTCCTGAATGTCCAAACCAAGACTTGAGGGATTTTGTGCAATGCGTTGTCATGATCACATCGTCATGTCGTTGCATCATCCACTGTCTGCGTGACATACGAATTAGACCCTGCACATTTGATATCAGCCCGCGGAGAGAGATATGAAGAACGTTGGTCGACTATTAAGTACTCTTTATCATGAGACTTGAGCTCCTATATTCAGATATCGCATTGAGCTATTTTCGGAGTTCCCGAGTCCAATTGACCGAGAGACTCAAACCCAACGACACCAGCAAACCTTAGACTGCCGACAGAATGTGCATGCTCTGATCCACTCTGGGACGAAGCTTGTACATACTCGATCTGGATAGCCTCCTCCCACCCGCTACAAAAGAGTTGGCCGGCGGAAGGGAAATAACGGAACAGACACATATCAGATCAGCACTTTGATCTGAGCTCACCTGCCATCATCATCACAAACGAATACGCAGCTGCAAGCTCATCATGCACCCCACGTAGAAAATAAACGGCATGGATGTAGGCTCTCCAAATTGTTACGATGAAGTCTATAAAGTTGAAAGCACACAAACACAAGTCGCGACCGTCTCCTTCCGTCTTTAAGCTGGGGTCCGTCTTCTTTGAGCTCTGGTGCCTCCCACACCAATACACGAAGCAGTCACGTTACCAGAAAGAAGAAAAGCGAGAGCTTCCCTGAGACCCCTTCTCACATGCCTCTGCCAGCCCGGGCTACCACGAATGACTCCCTACCGGACACCTGCCCTCTCCTATGAACGCCAGAAGTCTAGTGCTTTGCCGTGACCTTTTCGCCGGTCAGTTTCTCGACATAGGTTTTTGCCCTGGACGAGGTTAGCAAGAGGACCGGTAAAATGGACGGCGAGCGGAAAGTAGAGAACACGCACATGTCACCGAGGGCCACCATGCAGATGGTCTGCCAGACGCCGAGCCCGATGCGCGGGGCGACGCCGCGGTACAGGCCACGCACGCCGTTGTTGCCGTAGATGTAGCGGAAGGTGTTGCCAACGGTCATCTTCTTGGGCCGGTTGGGGTCTTCGGTCTTGCTCTGCATCTCGACGCGGATGACCTCGATCGGCTGGTTCCAGGCGCTGAGGCCGCCGCCGAGGCCGCTGGCCAGGATCTTCTCCCACGCGGCCAGCTTCTCGTTGTGCTCCTTGCCGGTGACGCGGCGGATGCCCTGCTCGGCCAGGCGCGACAGGCCAAAACGTGAGCCCCAGTTGGTCATCTGGCGGATGGCCACCGCGTTGACGCCCTTGTTGATGCCGGCGATGCCCTCGCGGCGGTAGATGTCCATAAAGGTGGCAAACGTGCCGGGCGCCTTCTGGCCCGACGACGCAATCTTGTGCTTGGTGATCTCGACCGTCTTCATGCAGGTGCAGAAGCCCATGGTGGCGTAGGCCTGGGCTACGCCGCCGGTGACGCCGCCGGCGATGCCGCCGACAAACTCAGAAGCGCCGGCCGCACGCGCGTAGTATTCCGCCTCCGTGGCCACGAACAGCAGGACCGCGCCCTTGGTGGACGCTTCGATCCAGGCCCACGGGATGAGACCCTGGTAGACTGCGGGGGTCAGTTAGCATGGGGCAGAAGAGACGCTGGGACGCGAGCGCGAGTTCACTTACACCCGAGAACGCCACCACGGCCCCAGATGCGGCCCAGGGCGCCCGCAAAGCTGTCGCCGCGGTGGGCGGCCATGGTGGTCTTGGTGACCTCCAGCGGCTGGCCGAGCGTGGTGACCTCAAACATGTTGAGGCCGGCGCCGAGGAGCAGGTTCGAGAACTTGACCGGCTTCTTCTCCGGCAGAGCAACGGGGGCGCCGGCGGCGGCGGCGACAGGGACGGCAGACATGGCGAGATGGTTGTTGTCTGTTGGACAGCAGTGCAGATCGGGGCCTGACCAAGGCAAAAAGGGCGCTTCTTCGCTGAGGAGGACGAGAGAGAGGGCGGCACGTAAGATCCGAGGGGTCTTCGGTTATGAGGCTCGAATATCGCACGGCTGAGCTGGCTAGAATATGGACGAGTGGGTGCTGTTTAGAGCCGGGGCAGGGGACCGAGTCAAGGCTTTTGTTCCGGGGTGGAAAGGAGGGGAATTCGTTCGGTTTCCGGGGTTATCGTGTGCTGAAAGCGATCGCGATAAGCAGCTGTGGACTGATAGCACAAAGACCAGAGAATCTGAACGGTCCGATAGTATTGTTCCTGCTTTAGATACTGCTTCTTCTTCTTCTTTTGTTGCTTTGATTCCTGCTCGTCCGTCAGCTGCTTGTGATTATTCCATTCGGCCGGCTTTGTTCTGGGCTGGAAATGGCTCGTGGGGGGGAAATTGTCCGCGAAGACTTCCTCGCTTGCATGTGGTACCGAGAAGTCGGGGTTGTTTGTTCCTTCTCTCTCCACAGGTATCTGGGAAGAGCTCCACAGGAGAAGCTCACGTGGCAAGACCGTACGGGGAAGGTAATATGGCGGTTACTTACAGTGACGAGCCGGTGTTGTAGGAGTCAAATGGTTCGAGGAAACGATGAGGGGAGAGGAGGAGAATCTGACGAGAGAGGACAGGAAAGAGGACAGCAAGGCGGTGGACGGGGGAAATTGCGAGCATTATTACGAACCGCGTTTTCGTTGACCGCAGGTTGACGGGAATCTGAGCATGGCAGCCAACGCTAACAGCACCGCGTGGAGGCAACGCGGGCGATCCGTTAGGCAGTACCTCTAGCCCCAGCTTTTGCCCAGGCCAATTGCTGGGAAAAGCCCCCAACAAAGGCCGCCGACTTGATTCTCCCAAGACACACGCATGCATCCTTTGCGGTCGCTTGCCAAGACGGCGCGATATCTGCCTCAACCGTTTCGCTACCTTTGTTGAGAAGGCTCCGGGCAAAGAAAAGAACACTGCCCCGTCCGACTCCGTCGACTACGGCCGATGTTTCTGGGGGCCGCATTTTTTGTATCTTTCATTGTATGATGCGACACTGAAGCTTCCGGACTCGCGTTTGGGGTATCCGGCCTTCACATGGCGCATGTCCGCCGGATCGACTGCTCAGCCGCTCCTGCTGCAATCGACAAGGTGCACAATCCGTCGTCACTGACCTAGCGGAGATGTTTGCTTTTTTTGTGCTTCGTACACCCCCCAACAGCATCGCTTACAATGAGGGTATCACCAGCCTATATACAATACAATACGACCTAGTAACCCAAAACACGAAAACACAGCCGCAATCCGGTCCTTCTGCTTCTGGATCCTTTCTTCTTGCTTATGTAGCTTGCTTGTAGCATGACAAACAGTAAAACAAAAATAAAAGCGTCCGGCCAGCCAAAAGAGATAAGAAACATGGAAGTATACATAGCCGTGATTCGTTGGAGTCGGACGCCAGTCCTGCTCCCCTCTAATATCCCTCCGTCATACCGCCTGCACGGGTATGGTGTACCTGCTCCTTCTGCACACTCCAATCCTCTCACCGTCTATCCCCTTACAGCTTCTTGACCAGCTCAATGTACTTCGCAGTCGAGAAGGACTTGGGCCGCTCAATGGGGGCACCAACGGCGCGGTCGATGATCAGCTGCGGCAGCACGCCAATGGCGCGGGACACACCGAACAGGACGGTGTAGAAGCTCGACTCGGTCAGGCCGTAGTGCTGCAGGAGCACGCCAGAGTGGGCGTCGACGTTGGGGTACGGGTTCTTGGTCTTGCCGTGCTCGGTCAGGACGCCAGGGGCGATCTTGTACACCTGGCTGACCAGCTTAAACAGGGGGTCATCCGGCAGCTTGGCTAGAGGGGCGTTAGCGGGGGCGAGACAGGACAAACTGAAACAGGATTCCACGTACCGAGAGCAAACTCGCGCTGGGCGGTGTAGCGAGGGTCCGTCTTGCGGAGCACAGCGTGGCCGTAGCCCGGCACGACACGGCCGCTGTTGAGCGTCGCCCACAGGTACTCGGTGATCTTGGCGTCGCTGATGTCGTCGCCGATCGCCTTCTTCATCTCGGTGAGCCAGTTGAGCACCTCCTGGTTGGCCAGGCCATGAAGCGGGCCAGCCAGACCGTTCAGGCCAGCGGCCACCGAGAGGTAGGGCGAGCTCAGGGCGCTGCCGACCAGGTGGGTAGTGTGGGCGCTGACGTTGCCACCCTCGTGGTCGGAGTGGATGGTCAGGTACAGACGCAGCATCTCGACAAAGTCGGTGTTGCTGCCGAAGCCGAGCTGGTTGGCAAAGTTGAAGCCGTAGTCCTGGTCCTTCTGGACCGCGGCGACCTTGCCGCCCTTGAAAACGTTCTGGTAGATGCGCGCGGCAATCGTGGGCAGCTTGGCGATCAGGTCCAGCGAGTCCTCGTACGTGTAGCCCCAGTACTCCTTCTTGTTGATGCCCTTGGCGTACGCCTTGGCAAACGACGAGTTGTGCTCGAGCGCCGTCACGGCCAGCGAGAACTGCGCCATCGGGTGCAGGTCGGTCGGGCAGCGGTCGATCAGCTCCTCGACGAACTTGGGCACGTCCGAGCGAGCGGCCAGCTCGGCCGACAGGTCGCGCACCTGCTGCTCCGTCGGGACCTCGCCCGTCAGCAGCAGCCAGAAGAGACCCTCGGGCAGCGGCTCTGTGCCGCCGACTGCCTTGGGCAGCACCTCGCGGCACTCCGGAATCGTCTTGCCACGAAACCGGATGCCCTCCACGGGGTCCAGGACGGAGCCCTCCCAGACGAGCGACTTGATGCCGCGGGCACCGCCGTATACCTGGTCGATCGTGACCTCGCCGATCACCGTGTTGCCGTGCTCCCTACAGACGGGCCAATGGTCAGCACACATACACCTTCACAGCCGGCTGATGTTGCCATGGCGACTCGGACAAACGGATGGACGTACTTGCGGAACGACTTGATCTCATCGATCTTCTCTGGCAGAAGCTCGGCGAAGCGCTCCTTCAGGGTCTGCAACGGCTGTCAGCTCTGCATTGGCGGCCTTGCTTCTCTTATACCACCGTCGCCAGGCCGTGCTGGCTTACCTGGGTCTTGGCCGAGTAGCAGCGGGCAGCACTGAAGGCAGTGTTGCGGGCGCCGAAAGCGGACGATGTCCGCAGGGACATCCGCAGAGCATTGGAGCTCAAGCGCATAGCAGAAGCCATTGTGATATAGGGATGGGAGAAGCTCTAGAGTTGAGTTAAGTTCGGAGTGAGAAGAAGAAGAAGGGCCTCGCTCTGTTTTTTTTTAGGAGAAAAACCAGCCGGGGCAATGGCGGATAAAGGACACTTTATCAGCGGGAAGGTGAGGAAGAGCGTTCGGAAGGGAAGGCCGGGAGGGGGGTGTCTCATAAATTGGCAAAATATTATTTGTGTACGGAGTACGTCGTAGACAATAAAAAAAAACCCGCAGCAAAGAAAACCGGGGGCACCTCGGATTACGGGGGAGGCACATGTCGTTTTCATCGGAGTGGAGCGCTGCTGGGTGCTATGTCAGATACAGGTACGCGAACCATTGGCAGCCATTGGTGGCCGGCAGCCCAAGGGCCGAGTTCTCCGTAGCGAATGGGCGAAAACACGATGCTACCTCCGCACACGCTTTTTATTATTACAGGTGAGATATGTATGGAAGCCCCCATGCCCCCCATGTTTGGGCATATCCCTTGTACGCCTATTTGTGGACCCACAGATACGCCGTGTCGTCCTTCAGTGGACGCCAGACGCCGTTCAGCTACAGAAAGAAGCGCCTGCCTTCTCCGTACAGGAAGAAGAAAGATTAGGATGCATCTGTTTAGCATCCCGCTCCACGCTACGGCTCACTGTGCGCTGCAGGAAAGAGCACCCGCCCGCTGTTGACGTCAGTGGTTGCCAGGGAGGTTCCCATGTATCTTACCCTCCCTGCAGCCAACCTCGGCGACATCGGACTCAGGCGCCGATGGCGAATGCGCCCCCCGTGACAGAAGAAAATGACCGCCCGTGCCGTATGGGAACTGGCTTCCCCGTCGCCCCAGTTTAGTATTCGCCTTCTTTGGGGCATCGCCGGGCCTGGTGGAATTCGGACGTATGGCAACGGCTAAGATACGGCTAACTGCTTTCCCGACCCACGTGACCCAGTTATGCTGACTAATGACTGTAGGAGGGGGCTGGTCACAATCAGGCTAGGCTTCTTACGGGCTAGGAAGATTACACGTACGTCGTAAGTCTTTTATTTTAGAATTTGGTTCGCATCTGCCTCAAATCAGGGTTTTTCCTCCCATCAACAACTTTTTGTCTGTCATCCTCCGACCTGCTCCCATCCCGTTCCCATTTTCATTTTCATCGCGCCTGATGAGACTCGCCTGGCTAGAGTACTTTTGACAAAAGTGGTTTTTTGCGTTGCGAGCATTATCTCGTAGAACTGCCAGATCAATCTAACGCGTCTTCTCTAGTCTCTTTGCCTCTTTTTTTCTCCTTCCTTGCTTCCCCTTTCTCTTCCACCTCTCATCAAAGACGACATCGCCGCGATTGCTCCATCTTTCGCATCAAGTATAAAAGCTTGACAGGCATTCCGATATAATTTCGCTAGCTGTCTAATCGGTGTAGTCGCAAATTCGATCTCATCGTCTCGCTCGACATCATCCGGCACTCAAACTGTATTGGAGCAGCCACCCTTCTTCACTGCTGCTGTATCTCACCGTACACACAATTATCTGTCTGCACTTGCTTGCTTCTCACAAGCACATTGAGGACCTAGTTGCAACATTGCATCACACTTGCAGTAAAAACTCCCTTTACGAACACCGTAATCGACTCCAAAGGTTGATCAACCAAATATCGAGATTAGGAAGAAAGAGGAGAGAAAACGGGTACAGGTGCCTATTCGTTAGGAGAGAGCCAGAAAGGAGCAGCTGCACAAAGAGAAACCAGATTTGCGCAGGGCTATAACCACCTGGACATAGTTTGCCTCCAGGTTGGAGCTGTGAACTGCAAATCTGCCCAAACGTCAGAAGCGGGTAGACCCAAACATACACAAAGCCAAACAAACAACATCGCCCAAAATGTCCTCGGCCGTAGCCGAGCTAGAAGCGGGGTTGCAGGCCATGCAGGGTCTCAAGCCGCCGGGCGTGTCAGGATCCCGCATCACAGCCTTGACCAGCCTGTGCGTTGCAAACGTCCAGGTAATTACCAGCTGCTGTCCCATTGTATTTGATGATAAGCGAAACAAAAAATCACACACCACATCGCATAAAATGTTGCATCTGCTGACAGGCACCTTGCTTTATCGCTTCTAGTCCGAGTCCGTCCTGATTCAGAAGCTCTACACGCATTTCAAGCGGACACCAGGCACACACAAACTCGGTGTTCTCTACGTCGTAGATTCTGTAACCCGCAAATGGCTGGACCAGGCCAAGCTGCAGGGTCAGGCTGTCAACAGCTCAGCACCAGACGGCACATATGCTGCGGGTGTGAATAGAGTAACTGAACTGATTCCCGTCCTGATGAATGATATATTGTCGTCAGCGCCGGCCGACCAAAAGGTACGCATATTTGCCATGTTTGATAAGAGTGGAAGAAGGGATGAGAAGCGCGAAGCAAACAGTTGTGTCGTAACCGAGACCAGCGAGCGGGCTTTGCTTGGTGGGTGGCTACAGGTTCCTCTGCCGCCTGGTTGTCCTATGGCTCGGGGAACTGCAGCTTGCCAAGTAGCCGCTTTCTAGCAGGGACGTAAACGCGACCTAACTGCTCTGCCGTTCCCGGCTGCCGTTTCTTTTTTCGGGCTATCTCTGCTGCCACTCTTCCTTCTTTTTCGAATGCTTGTTCTACCGCTTTGCGTACCGTCTACTCACACTTTACTTTTCTTGCCTGTAGGAGAAGATCAGGAAGCTGGTCGACATTTGGGAAAAGGGCCAGACGTTTCCGCCCAAATTGATTGAATCCTTCAAGGACAGATTGAATGCTGCCCAGCCAAGTAGGTCCTACCATCAGCCTTGTCTCCCACACTTTACGAATTATGCCCCGGATATCCGGAGCAGCTCGTATTCGCATAACCCCTCGTTCTCGCCCTCCTATTCGTTCAATGCCCATGCTCCCAAGCCTAACAGTGTAGATTCATCAACGACACCACCTGGAAGTCCTCCATCCAATGTTTTGGCGCCCTCAGCGGCCCCCCGGCCTGATGCTGCGGCTGGACCACCGGCGATCCCGCCAAACATTATGGAAACACTAGCCAGCATTGCGCGGCAGAGCTCATCAGCAGGAAATGCTGGTCCGACTCCCGGGCTGACGGCCACGCCGCCGAACATGTCGGCTCCTTTCGGCAATGGGCCCAACAACGCCAACATGCCCCAACACATGGCGAACCAGATGCCGGCAGGCATGTCATATCCACCGCAGTCGATGCCTTTTCAGATGCCGTCAGCACTGTCGGGTGCAGCAGCGCCGACGCCTCAGATCTCCATGCCGTTTCCCACGCCTGCTGCTACCAATCAGATGCTGCCTTCGGGCTTCCCTGGCCTGGCAGCCGGGCTTAACACAGCCGCTCTGCAGCAGCAACAACCACAACAGCCGGCTGGCGGCAACATGCAGCAGAACCTGTTTTTCATCCAGGCGCTTCTAGCTCAGGGCTTGTCGCTGGACCAGATTTCGGGAATCCTAGCACAGGTTAACGGTGACGGACCAGCAGCTCCGGCGGCCCCGACGTCGCTGGTCCCTGCTGCGCTGGCAGCAGCCGTGGCAGCGGCCGGAGGAGCTGGTGGTGCTGGTGGTATGCCACCGGGATGGCCGCAGAACAGCAGTGCCGGCGGGTATGCCGGAGCGGGAGCTCCAGACTGGAGCAGCAGTGCAAATGTACTCGACAGATTCGGACGGCAGTCTCCTAACAGGGGACGCGGGCGGTCGAGGTCGCGGTCGCCAGGGCGGTATTATGATGAGCGGGGATCTCCGCGAGGACGCGACGAGCGTCGATCGTCTCCGGGTCGCGGCGACAAAGAGCACCGTGAGCGAGGACGGGGCCGGGAATACCGACAGCGGTCGCCTGCGGGTGGACGGCGTGGTGGCAGCGGCAACGACGGAGTGAGCCCACACCGGGAGCCGCCTGCACCGACAGAGAAGTGGATTGAGCACGACGCATCGCTGCCACCGGGATCGATCCGGGTGCTGAGCCGGACGCTGTTTGTGGGTGGTGTGACGATCTCGGAGCAGGAGCTGCGGGCGATCTTTGGGCGATTCGGTGCGGTGCAGACTTGCATTGTCAACAAGGAGAAGCGACACGCGTTTGTCAAGATGTACACGCGCAAGGATGCAGAGCTGGCGCGCAGCGGCATGGAGTTGATGCGGTCGGACGACTCGGGGCTGCGGACGCGGTGGGGTGTTGGGTTTGGGCCGCGCGACTGCAGTGATTACTCCAAGGGCATCAGCGTGATTCCGATTCCGAAGCTGACCGAGGCCGATCGCAAGTGGTTGTTGACGGCGCCATGGGGTGGCAGTGGTGGACGGCAGATCGAGCCGGGGATGGTGGTGGAGGAGCCGGACATTGAGATCGGCGCGGGAGTGTCATCCAAGGCGATCAGCCGGCGGATGCAGACGGATCGAGGCGGTGTCAACGGGCCACGGTCAACGCGGCGAGAAGAGGAGCTGGCGGCAGCAACAAAGGGCAGTCACGAGGGCGGAAGTGGTGGTGGTGGTGGCCGTGGGACGAGACGGGGAGGACGTGGAAGCGGTCGGGGCGACGATCACGGCGGCAATGGCGGCAATAACGGCAGCAACCAGCACAATGTTGTTGGTGGCAGTCAGGAAGCGCCGAATATGGGTGCATTTCCGTTTGGGTTGACGATGGGTCCAAACGGGATGCCCGTCTTTCCTTCCGGCTTCCAGTTCCCGGCGCCCAGCCAGAGTGGCAGCCTGTGATGAAGAGAGAATGGAGAATGCGTTTCTATGAGGTCTTGCCTCTCTTTCTGGCTGGTGTTGCTGCTTTTCTTTGTTGTGTTCGTCATCCAGTCTACCCATCTTTCTTTTATGTTCTTCGACCGGAGGTTTTGGGTCTGGGTTTTGTTGGCGATGCTCTGTGCATATGCCGTACTGGAGGCTATCGCGAGGTGATGACGGTGTGCAAAAGGAGGCGAGGGGGAAGAAAAGGATTGGGCAGCTGTAATTGTAACAAGTTCAAGACGTTACGAGTGCTTTATTATTGGCAAATACGTTTATTTTCTCGCTCGGTTCAAAAGGGCAGTGGCCATGTGACGTGTATATGTCGAAGGATGGAAAGAGCGTTGTGTGAAGCTGCTTCCAGATCCGGGGATCTCTTTTCTGATTAGCTTCCGCATTACATCAAGCCGTATGCCATACAACAAATAGTAGTCTAATATGATACAGGAAATCCACTCGTTCTGCTCTATGGTCCTCAGTCGGCCGGCTCTTCCTCGTCTCCAAAGTCCGGGGTTTCCTCGTACACGAACCCATAGTCGACCACGGCGTTGGCGGCCTCAGCGATCGACTGCAGCGTCCCGCGGTCGGCCTGGTACAGCTCGACACACGTGCCAGGGGCGAGACTGGAGAGGCGAAGGTCGAGGGCGGTATTGCGTCGGTGGGCAGCGGCGACGTCCTTGTCGACCCCCCGGATCGGGAGCAGCAGGCGGGCAGCCAGCGGGGCATCGCAGGCGCGTGGGCGATTCTGCTGCTGGTCACGCTCGCAGGCGGCCAGCAGCGGCTTGGCCGGATCGCCGTCGAGGTGGCAGGGGCGACAGAAGAGGCCGGTGTCAGCATAGCGTGGGCCCTGCACAGCGCCGACGGTGCGATCGGGCACGACGACGAGACATCCGGTGCGGACGAGGGTGCGGGCCCGGGCACAGCCAGAATGGGGGTCGGTGCGATCGGCGTCCGTCTCGGCGTCCGTCTCGGTGTCCTCGCTTCGCGGCGGTGGCGGACTCGGATGCCGGAGGATGCCGGGCGGTTGACGTCGAAAGGCCAGGGCAGCGTGTCGAGGCTGGCGACCTCGTGTGGGTGATGGAGCCGCAGGAGCAACACTGGCAGCCTCCTCTTCGCTGATGAAGCCTTCCTCGTCGCTGTCGTCGAAACCACCTCCACCGTCGACGGTCAACAGAAAGACACGACCGCTGGCGTCGCCGATGACCAGCCGCGACTTGTCGGGCGAGAAGGCACCAAAGGACACGGAGGCCTTGCACTCGAGCAGATCGCGGACCAGCGGCTTCTGCCCGGTCGGATCGCACCGCACGTTCCAGACCTTGACGACCCCGTCGGACGAGCCGGTGTAGAGGCGGTCGGGAGTGGCACCCCAGGCGACAAACTTGACGCCGGTATCCTCGACGGAGATCTTGTCGCCGGCCTGCTCCTCGAGAAAGCGGCCGTGGGCGAGGTCTTGGACGGGCAAGCCGCCACGCGCCGTGTCCCAGACATACGTGTGGCCGTTGGTGCAGCCGGCCGCGACGTACAGATGGGCCGTGCTGTTGGGAAGCAGGGCGAGCTCGTTGATATCGTCGGCACAGCAGTCGAGCACGTGGAGCTCGTGTGCGGTGTGGACGTCGGGGGGTGAGGCAGAACCAGAGCCAGAGCCAGAGCCAGGAGCAGGGGCTGGGCCCGAGCCAGCAGCACCAGTTACAACCCAGTAGATCCGGATCTGCGTGCGCACGTTACTCTCGACGGCATTGCCAGCTGGCGCGGTGGCGGCAGCAAAGCACGGCTGAGACGGATGCCAGGCGACCTCAAATACGTTTTGTGATGTACCGGCGCCGGTGATACGCCAGCGGTCGCCGGCGTGAGCATCCCAGAGACAGAGCTCGCCCGAGTTGCGACGATCCTCGGGGATATCGTCGTCCTCAGCGCTGACCGAGAGGCCACGGGGCGAATAGCCGACCAGGAGAAGGTGACAGACGGCCGGTGCGAGGCCCCAGCGGACGGCCGCCGGGAGATAGGCCCAGCGGCGGGGTGTGGTAGTAGTGTGAGTGTGCGTGTTTGCATGAGGGTATGTTGAAGGGGTGTGCGTGAGCGAAGTGGCTTCCGGGCCCGGACCACGATCTTCCAAGCCGTCGACGATGCGCGAGCACGAAAAGGAGCGATATGGCGGGGGGGTGTCGTGCTGAGCGGCGGCCATGCCGGGCCCCAGACGGTAGACGCGCACGGCAGCCGCGGCGACGTCAGCGGCCGTGGCGACAAGGCCGGCCGGATCGGTGGAAGCGACGACAAAATTGACGTTGCCAGCATGAGGCCATTCGGCGAGGGCAGTCATGGCAGAGCCGTCGGGCTGGACGCGCCAGACGCGCACGGCACGATCGAAGCCAGCCGAGAAGGCGAGCCCGTGGGCGCGAGCGCAGTCGGACGAGACGACAGAGGTGTAGAGCCAAGGGGACGAGGAGGACGGGGTGGCCGAAGGGGTCGAAGAGGCTCGCAAGACGCGGTGCTCGGCATAAGCGCGCAATGAGCCGGCGGTAACCGAGGCCAGCACCAAGTTGCCCTGGCGGTTGTACTGGTCCATATGGGTGACGGTGCCGCAGAGAAAGGCGTCGGGAGAGGTCCAGGAGACGGTGGCGATGTCGCCGGCGCAGCTGGTCCACTCGCCACGCAGCCGCAGCCGGTCTTCGCGCAAACGTCGGATGGCATGCACGAAGCTGACGGGTGCGAGCAGCCGCCCACAGTAGCCGAAGCCGCCGTGCTGACCGGCGACGGCGCGGGCAAACATGAGCGTGCTGCGCTGGGCCGACTGCCGAGCGGCTGTCTGGCTGCGGTGATGCTGTCGCTCGAGCGTGATGGCGACGGCCGAGGCCGGGGACGTGGCCGACGCGACAGCAGCGGCCGAGGGGATGCGGTGTGTCAGCAGGAGGTCGGCGAGAAAGGCGCGCACGTCAGCGGTGGTGCGCTGGGTGGTGATGTCGGGGATGGCCGACCGGCTGGAGTGGCCGAGATGTGTCTGGGGCGCGGCTGCCTGGGCGATGCTGGCGATGCTGTCGGGATGCTCGCGGACCAGCCGCTTGAGCCGGCGGAGGACCGACGACGTCGACGACGATCCCTTGCTGGACGGCAGCCGTCGATGGTAGGCCGAGGCTGCCTGCAGCACCTGGAGCACCTCGTCGGGCTGGAAGTCCACGTGCACCACGGCTGGCCGGCTGATCGGCACGTCGGCGCCGAGGATCGTCGGCGTAGATGCCGTCATCAGCGAGGACAGACAGCTCCGGCTCGCGTACGAGAGGTACGGCCGCGTGTCGAGCTCGGGCAGCCGATCAAAGACCAGCCGCGGGTCTGTCGAGATCGTCCGGCTGTGGCCAGCTTGACTGCCCGTCCGGACAGGCCGTCGAGCTGTCTGCGGCGTCATGGGCGACGACGCGAGCAGTTTTGTCAAGGGGGCCGGAGTCGGCGTGGCCGAACGGTGGAGAGACGACACGACGGGTGGAGGTGGCCGTGGCGGAGTCGGTGGCGACGGGAGAGAATCCCGAGACGGCTCGACTGGCTGAGACGGGATGACAGCCGCTTGGGTCTGCTGGCCAGTCAGCAGATGTACTGTGTGACACGGGCCCGAGAGAGAAGTGACACCAGAGGGAATGCGGCTTACCGCCTGTGTTTTGCTTGGAGACGGTATCTTGTCCTGTGCTTCGAGAACGGACACTGCCGGTCCTGTCTGCAGCTTCGTGTCATGGCCATGGATGTCCTGCTTGATGGCACCGTCCCTGGTGGCATCTTGGACTTTCACACCCTCGACATCATCCGCCTGCACCTCCTCTACCTCCACTTGCTGCATCTCGGCCGTCCCCCCCAAGACGATGTCCTCGTCCTCGTCCGAATCCGACAGCAGAAACACCTGTCGGCCCTGCTCAAACGTCCACGACAGCCGCGACAGCCGCGACAGCCGCTTGGGTTTGTGTGGACGCCATCGCTTCTTGTGCTGGTGGCCGTTACTGTCCTGCTGGTCTATCCGGTCTGTCCTGTCCGGCTTGGGCCGCTTCGCCGGCAGCAGCACCGGCGATACCGCCGTCGCGGAAAATGTCTTCACGGCCGTCTCCAGGCTCTCTGTCGTGCTCGCCACCACCGCTCGACGCGCCGCCGACAGCGATTCTGGCTTTAGCGACGGCAGCACCCTGCCGCTGCTGCTGCCGTTGGTGTTGGTGTTGGCGCTGGCCGTGGTCAGCACCCCGGCCATCTGGCCGATGCTGTTCTCCATCGTCTGCCTGCGTTCGGCACATCAATATCGGCTCGCGCAGACGCTCTAAGGCCCCTTTCCCGATCTCGTTTGCTTTACCAGTCCGCTTTGTTTCGACGTTTCCGGAATACAGGAGTTAAGGGGCGCTTCGGATGTTTCTTTATCCGATCCGGGTGGCCTAGATCCCTTATAAGTAGTTTTAGTGCTTAAAAGATGCCGTTTATAGAGCTTTTAGTAAGACTTTCAGCTATACTAAGTTATTATTATGTAATCTTTAAAACTACTTAAAAAAACGTTATATCGCTTGCTACCTACTTAATACAGTCTTTTAAGAGCTATAGTCACATATTTTGGTTATACAAAAAGCTATATCAAACAGGTGCAATACATAAATAAAAAAGCGAATAACTAGATTGTAGCAGCTTGGTTTCTCGGGCGCCGTAGTATGCTTTCTAGGCTGTTCGCAAGTGGACTTTCACCAAAGAACTAGACTGCTTTATATAAGGTCGTCTTTCAACACTTTTACAAGTTCAACGAGTACGACATTACCTAGTCAAAAACGCCTAGTCAAACAGTGCAATGCTAATCAGAATAGACTGGTCATATTGTACAAGCAACTATTTATAACCTACAGCATACACTCCGTACCTGTAGTAAATAGACTGGTCAAAGTCCGCTCAGTTCCTCCAAAATCACGTGATACAACAACAGCATACAACTCGACTATTTCTTAACTTCAATTGCTTTAAATTTCATGCTGATGTAGGACATAAATAGCTCTACTACTGCCGGCCAGACAGCCGTATCCGCCGCGGCAAGACGGACGACACAGCCAAGACAGCTAGCGTGTGCAGTAAGACATGATTGCGCGGGGCTGCTAACAGCACGGCATTTGGCTGCTGCAGGCTAAACCAATCAAGTCGTAGTATTAACTTCAAATGGAAGGTAGTAACAACAGGCACTCTCACTCTACTGTGCACAAAAATCCACGAGTACAACAGGAAATTCGTTTTAAAACAAAGCACGCCTCTATATCTTGGCCCGGTTTGTCTCTAGGGCCTTTATCTCCGCGTACATTTCGTCGATCTCCTTTCGGAAGGCTCTGGCCGCTTGTGGGCGTTTGAGTTTAAGACTGTATTATTAGCGAGGAAGAGGAGAAGGAACGGAAGAAGAAGAGAAAAATAAGAAGATACGAAGAAGATAAGAAAAAAAAAAGAAAAAAAAAGAAAAAAAAGCGTAAGAACTCAAACTCACGTCGGTGTCAGCAACTCGTTCTCAATCGTAAACGGATCCACGGCCAGGTAGATGCTGCGCACGCGCTCAAAGCTGTTGAACTTGTGCTTCCGGCCGGCGGCATCGACCTGCTTCTGGACGGCGGCCCGGACGCGCGGATCACGGACGGCCCGGCGCAGCGCCTCGACGTCGGACGCGACAATGTGCTCGTGCAGCAGCTTGCTGGCAAACGGGGCGAAGGCGTCGGGCTCGATGCCCAGCACGGCCACCAGCGACGCCTCGATGCCGTCGCCGTGCACAAAGGCGGTGGCGACGACGGGCAGCGCGCCAATGTACACGTTCTCGATCCGCTCGGGCGACACGTACTCGCCCTGGGCCAGCTTCAGCACATTCTTCCGGCGGTCGATGATCTTGAAACGGCCCAGGCTATCGACTTCGACAATATCGCCGCTGTGGAACCAGCCGGTGCCGGCATCGACTACCCGCGCCGTCTCGGCCTCGTTCCGGAAGTACTCGCGGAACACAATCGGCCCTCGCATCAGCAGCTCGCCCCGCGGGTTCGGCCGGTCCTCCACCGTGTACTCCAGGTCCGGCACCGACTCGATGCAAAACTCCACGCCCGGCTGCGGTCCCCCAATGTTGCCCACGCTGAAGTCGCCGCCTACCTGCACGCTCCCGACCGCGCTCGTCTCCGTCATGCCGTAGCCCTGCACAAAGGCGATCCCAAAGGCTGCCCGCAGAAACTGCTGCACGTCCGGGTCCAGCTGCGCGCTGCCCGTCACCATGCCCACCGCCCGGTCCAGGCCCACCGCCCGCCGCACCTTGGGCGACCAGATTCGGTCGTACACCGGGTGCCAGTTCGTCGCCTGCCCCGGCTTCTGCTGCATGCTCGCCATCTTGGCCGCCACGGCGGCCCGCGAGAGCGCACCCCCCACGCCGCTCGCCTCCACCGTCGCTGCCTGGATCGCCGAGTGGAATCGGTTGTACAGCCGCGGCACCGAAAACAGCCCCGTCGGCCGCAGGATCTTCAGGTCCTCCACCAGCTGCGTCATGTCGCCGTGGAAGTAGCCAATTCGCGCTCCCAACGAGATCGCGCTCCAGTCTGCCATCCGCCCGTAGATGTGTGCCAGTGGCAGATACGAGATGTGCGTGTCGTTGGGCGACATGAACCCCGACGCCCGTGCCGAGCTGGTCGACGCCACCATGTTGCCGTGCGTCAGCACCACGCCCTTGGGGTCACCCGTCGTGCCCGACGTGTAGTTGATCGTCGTGATGTCTTCTTTGGCCGGCGCCCGTATCGTCCGTCCCGACCGCGCCCCAATCTCCTCCACCTCCGCCATCGAGTAAATCTGCACCCCCTGCTCGCTAGCCAGCTCGCGCAGCAGCGCCCCCTTGGAGTACCCGCTCGGCTCGCCCGAGTCCAGCGCGTCGATACACACAATCAGCTTGACTGACGAGATACGTGGGCCCAGCTTCAGCAGCGTCGCAATGTGTGGCAGCGTCGCGATCACGCACACCAGCTGTCCGTGGTTGATGATGTACTCCGTTGCGTCGGGGCCGAGCGTTTCGTAAAGCGACACGTTCCAGAGGGACTGGGACATCAGGCCGAGTTCTGACAGGTTAGAGAAGAGGAAAAAGGAAAGAGGAAAGAGGGTAAACAAACCAGCAATCTGCCATTCCGGTCGGTTCTGCGACCAGAGGCCCACGCCGTACTTGTCGTCGGTCACGCCAATCTGCTTGTGCAGCTCGACGATGCCGGCGCCAAAGTTCTTGCGCCGCTCCGCAACCTCGGCGTACGTCATCCACAGATACTTGGGCTCCCATGTCTTCTTGGCTACGTTCCAGGGTCGCCAGCCGAGCATCTGTTTCGACGACCGGTACGTGGCCGAACTCTCAAAGGCATCGTGCAGCGTGCGCACGGTCGGGTCGAGCGTCTCGAGCAGGGGTGAGTCGCGGAATCGAAAATTGCGGTAGACAGCCGTCCGGTTCGGCGTCTCGCTGCCGGGAATGGTGACGGCAAAGGGCGCGCCTGGTTCCGGAGGCGACGAGAGCTTGCTCATGTAGGCTAAAGCGTCGGCGGGCGCCATGGTGACCTTCCTCGACAGAGTGTGGGAAAAGAAAAAGAAGAAGAGACGAGAATCGAGGGGACTGGACGAAACGAGAACAGAACGAGAATGGAAACAGTCGAGTCGATCTAGACCACGCAGCAGGGATCGTGAAAGTCAGCACTCGACGAGAAAAAAGAGGCCACTGTCCAGAGAAATGGTTTTAATGCCAGACGCTGGCAATTGGGCAAAAAAGGGGCACAGCGGGCTCAGTAGCCACAGACGGCCAGAAAAAGGCAGGAGGGGGGACGTCGTCACGGTAATTCCCCCATAAAGCACAGACTCCTCTCCCCGACTCTGGGGTGCCAGCGGCTAACACTCCGTTGAACGCGAAGAGGCCGGGTTATGCCCCGCTTTTTATTAGTCCCTTCCGAGGGCCTCGGCACCAACTACTGGGGCCCCAGCTTATGGCGACTTTAGCTTTGGGGAACGATCTTGGCGCCCTGGACATGTGCTCATTGTAGCCCTAGAGGTGGCAAACATGACGGAACTTTTACCACTACTGGGCTGAGAAAGCATGTGAGAGGCCCAACCCCGCAAACAGGATCCTTCCGCATTCGACTGCTGGAAGTCGGGGAAACAGGAACGTCACTGCTGACTAGCACGCACACGGAACTGAGATGATAGGAATGTGCCTATCACATGGCTGAGACCTTATCATCAGATTGCTATTCGGAAGCATGAACCAAGTCACGTGACTCGTGTCGGCATACGTACTCCGTACTCCGTAGATCGTCACAAATCAAGAGCAATCTCCCTTACATGAAAACTCCCTCCCTGGAGAGCCCAGCTATTGCTTATTAATATCGTCCCTTTTCTATACACGGCTGCTCGTCCCCCGTGACTGTGTGGCTGGCCCCTGAGCCGTGTTTCAGGTCGGCTTCACATTGGTTTGTGTGCATAAAGACTATCCGTCTCCACTCCACCTGCCATCACCAAATCCCCCAAGAGGCAGACAGAACGAGGACAGAATGTTGAGATTTGACAGCTGTGACGCATTGCCCAGCCCTGTTATCAGCCTGGCTGTTGCAGCTGGTCTGACGACAAGAGAGACGAGAAAGTCGTGGAACGAGGCCGTGTTTGGCTGACACGCTTGGTCACCTCTGCCTTACCTCCAAGACGGGCGTGCGGTATGCCAGACGGCAATCGAACGGAGCCATGGACCCCCTTCCCCTTCTTCTCTGCCACGCTTAACTGGCCCGTAATGTCCCTCTAGCCGGTCCCTTCCATCGTCCTTCTCTTTTTGTATATCCCATTTTACTTTTCCAGGTCTGCATTTGTCTCTCTATCTCAGGGTGTTCTCTTTCACTCCTTTACGCACATCTTCTCTTCTCTTCTAGGGCACTGGCTGCTGCGGTTTGCACTATCCAAGAAGCCGGTCTTGTTGCTTGTTAACGTCTCTTCACGCTCTCATTGAATATACCCCTTGTCCGCCAACATGAAGATCAACTGGCTCCTCATCCTCCGCGTGCTGCAGTGCGCCTTTTCGATCATCATTCTCGGCCTCTCGGCCTATGGTAAGTTTGGCCCCATGCTGGGCACTGCATTGTGCTAACTTGTTTCTGCCTCTGTCTCACAGTCGTCAACTGGTACAACACCGACATCCTGACCAAGTCGCCCACGCAGGTTAACTTCCTCGTCGCTGCTCCGATCATATCCATCCTCTCCATTGCGTATGCCGAGATCGCATCGCGATTCGTCAAGCAAAGTAAGTCCAAGTTCAGGCCAAGACTTCGACACGCAAGCCGCTGCCCACGCTGACATGCCGGGCAACCAGTCTACAACCCCTACGTGGCCATCGCTTGCGACTTTGTCAACGCCATTCTCTACTTTGCCGGCTTCATCGCTCTGGCCGTCTTCTTGAGCGGCCTGTTCTTCTGTCGCGGGACCGTGTGCGCGGCCGCGCGCGCCGACACGGCTTTTGCCGCCTTCTCGTGGGCTGCCTGGATCGCCAGCACCGTCTTGACCGGCGTGGACATCTTCAGGACCCGCGCGAACAGCCCGACCACGCGGACGCGGGTCGAGATGAAGCAGGCTGCAACAAGCCAGGCATGAGTGGACAGAAGCTGGCAACGGCTGCGTATCGGACTCGACCATTCCATGCCGCTCCAACAGACAGCCGCGTATTCACGGACCACAGCTGTGCTGGGTTATTATTCGGCTAGCCGCCCGAAGAGCGTGTAAGATCAATGTATGCTCGGGCCTCCTTACCCCCACCTTGTATTTCGTCTAGAGAGAGAGGGCAGGATCCGTATGGCGTGAGGTCAAAAGCCAAAGGAACCTGTTGTCGTTTCTTCTTCTTCTTCTTCCCTTTGGCGACCTTCACGGCCAGATTACAGATAATGCGAATAAAAAGCTACAGCTACCTATACAGCCAATTTTGAGTCCAACAGAGCCTAATGAAACGAGTAAAGTCCGCCCGTCAGCCGGAGGATATGACTGGATGCCGAGGATGATGAAAGCCTGCAGCGATCTTTCGCAATTCGGTGCCTCGTCCTAAACGAGAGGTATTTTAATACGTGAAACGATTCGCCATGAGGGCGTGATTCACGATTGCGTGCTTGAAAAGGCCCCGTAATTTGCCTGATCGGGCAAAGGGCTGAGGACAAGTCGTGTTATACAACAGGTTGGGAAGGAATGGCACGACGACAACAGCAGAGGAAGGAACCATAAGAGGACGGCGTATGTACCAGTCATCCGTAGACGGCGCTGTTTAAAAGAGCTGTCAAAAACCCCGCATTTTCTCTCACTGGTTCTAGCATCCCTTTCGTGCCTCTCTACCTACAAGATGGCAGAACAAATCTCACAGCACTTTGAGACGCTGCAGCTGCACGCTGGCCAGACGCCGGACTCTGCGACGAATTCGCGGGCAGTGCCAATTTACGCGACCACGGTGCGTCTGCTCTTACAGCCGGGAAGACGGAGATGGGAGATCATGCAGACGACTGACTGAGCGAATGCAGAGCTATGTGTTCAACGACTCGGCCCATGGGGCGCGGCTCTTCGGCCTCAAGGAGAACGGCAACATCTATAGCCGTCTGATGAACGTACGTACCGGGCGGCGATGATGGGAGTGGTTTGCCATTGCTGACAGGGCGCCAGCCGACGACGGATGTGTTTGAGAAGCGCATAGCAGCGCTGGAGGGCGGTGCTGCGGCGGTGGCAACGGCCTCGGGCCAGGCGGCACAGTTCCTCGCGATTGCAGCGCTGGCACAGGCCGGCGACAACATCGTGTCGACGACCAACCTGTACGGCGGGACGTACAACCAGCTCAAGGTGTCGTTCCCGCGGCTGGGGATCCAGACCAAGTTTGTGGAGGGCGACGATCCGGAGGCGCTGGCGGCGGCGATCGACGACAAGACCAAGGCAGTGTACCTGGAGAGCATCGGCAACCCGCGCTACAACGTGCCAGACTTTGAGAAGATTGCGGAGCTGGCACATGCCAAGGGCGTGCCGGTGGTGGTGGACAACACGTTTGGGGCGGGCGGGTACTTTGTGCGGCCGATCGAGCACGGGGCAGACATTGTGGTGCACTCGGCGACCAAGTGGATCGGCGGTCACGGCACGACGATTGCCGGGGTGGTGATCGACAGCGGCAAGTTTGACTGGGGCAAGAACGCGAAGCGGTTCTCGCAGTTTGTCGAACCGTCCGAGGGCTACCACGGACTCCGGTTCTGGGAGACGTTTGGGCCGGTGGCGTTTGCGGTGCGGGTGCGGGTAGAGCTGCTGCGCGACTTTGGTCCGGCGCTGAATCCGTTTGGGGCGCAGCAGCTGATTCTCGGGCTGGAGACGCTGAGCCTGCGCGGCGAGCGGCACGCACAGAACGCGCTGGCGCTGGCACAGTACCTGGAGAAGAGCCCGAGCGTGGCGTGGGTGTCGTACCCGGCGCTGCCGAGCCACCCGTCATACGAACTGGCGAAGAAGTACCTGAAGCGCGGTGGCGGTGGCGTGCTGAGCTTCGGCGTCAAGGCCGGGACCGGTGCTGCCGGCAGCCGGGTGGTGGACAACCTGAAGCTGGTGTCGAACCTGGCAAACGTGGGCGACTCCAAGACGCTGGCCATACATCCGTGGACCACGACGCATGAGCAGCTGTCGGACGAGGAGAAGATTGCGTCGGGCGTGACCGAGGACCTGATTCGCATCTCTGTCGGGACGGAGCACATTGACGACATTATTGCCGATTTTGAGCAGGCTTTCAAGGTGGCTGAGGAGGCATGAGAGATGGGTGTGGCGACGATGGGAGCGATAGTGCTTTTCTGCAAGTATGCTGTAGTATGTCACGAATATGGGAGCAAACGTTTGAATTGATATGTTGAGACTCAAGCGTGAAGTACGAAGTAGATACAGTAATATGGAGTATCCGTACGGAGGTCCCTACCAAAAGTTCTTTCTCACCGCTTTGGCAAAATAAGAAGGTGGGTATAGTGCTAGTAATGTATTGCTACTGTATTTACTACAGCAGTGTTAGCGTATTTCTATGTGCTAAGCGCCCTGTAAAAATATTAGTAATTGAATTATATTAGCGATAATATCCACTAAGCTCTAGCGTATCATCGCTAATAGCTTTCTCCTCGTATAATTTACACTCTGCACTATGTATTGCCGCAGTTATAGAAAAGCGGTGAGAACGAACTTTTGGTAGGGACCTCTGTACTCCATACTGCTTTATTATAATTATACGAGGACATAAGGCTTTTTGTGCCCTTAACACTGTTTACTCAAGGCATGCGACGTACAGCGTGCGATAGTACATAGACTGTTTCCTTTGCCTCTCACGTAAAGGTATTCTCTAAACTACCCAGGAAGTAAGAATGCAGACTCGAACGGCCACGGCCCCCATTTTCACTTTGAATGTATAGTAAGGTCGTTGTGCCCAGCTTCCCAGCATATTCCTCTTTTACAGAGTACTAATATGTACCTATCCGTAGCACATTGGGCGGAGCAGCGCCCCACCAGACTAGCGTTGCGTGATCTGAACCTGTGGCTTAGCGTGTGGTTCACAGCATTGCGCAAATTCGCAGCTACATAGTACATCGTTTTGACCACGTTTGCCTAGAGAATCGACGACGACCGGCCGCCGCGCATTTAGACGAACAAAGGACACGATGCGCGCAGCTTATTATCTGGCTTGTTTCGGGGCATGGGCGGCGACAGCGACAGCGACAGCGACGGCGAGCACGTCGGGATCTGGCCGGACGATGTCGTTCGTGCTGCAGGTGGGCCAGCCGCGGCTGTCGGCGGCGAAGCAGCCGGCGACGGCGACGGTCGAGGGTGCGGCGGCAGCGGCGGCGGGGGGACAGCAGGCGATTGAGGCGGTTCTGAGCGGGATGCCGTCGTGGACGCGGGCGACGCTGGAGGCGGGCGGCGGACGGCAGCACGAGTCGGCGCCGGTGACGGCAGACGGCCGGTTCGTCTTCCACAACGTGACGGCCGGCTCGTATCTGGCCGAGGTGCCGTGCGCGACACACTTCTTTCCGCCGGTCCGGGTGGACGCCGTGGACGTGGTGGACGGTGGAGCGGCCGGGAAGCCGGCCCGCCTTGTCGTCACCGCCAGCGAGACGTATCGCGGCAACGACTGGGCCAACCGCGGCGAGGCGCTCGTCCGGGTCGACAGCGCTGCTGCTGCGGGAGCATCGTCGTCTTCGTCGACCATCCCCACGTTTGTCCTCCGTCCCATCTCTGCCCAGCCCAAGGCCTACTACACCGACCGCAGCGGCTTCTCGGCCCTCAGCATCCTGCGCAACCCCATGATCCTGATCGCCCTGGTCACCATGGGCATCGTGTTTGGCATGCCGTACCTGGTGGAGAACAGTATGTCCCCCCCTTGCTTGGATTCGGCTTCGTCTGTCTAACCCGACCTAGTGGACCCCGAGATGCGTGCCGAGTGGGAGGAGCGCCAAAAGTCCAACCCGATGAACAGCCTGATGGGCGCTGGCGTCAGCGGCGCTCCCGGTGGCGGCGCTCCCGGAACCCCCAGCTTCGACATGGCGGCCTACCTGGCCGGGAGCACCAAGACCGAGAGCGGCAGTGGCAGTGGCGCCGGCAGTGGCGCCGGCAAAGCGGGCGATGGCGGCACTCGTCGGAACCAGGGCGTGCGGCGATGAGGTCTGCGTCCGGATCGGAAGAGCAGGAGGCCAATACACTGGAAGACGAGAAAAAAAGAGGAGAGGGCAAGGCTTGGAAACTGGTTCAGCTGCCGTGACTTTGTCTTTGCCTACGAACGAGAATCCATAGCGTCATACTGTTCCTTTTTACACGTGTATTGTCATCACTTCTGTCGTCGAAACGGTCATTAGCCAGACGGCCCAAAAGCACAGCCGTCGCCATGATCAGCAGGAGCATACATCTAAAAGTCGCCACCGCCATCGCCTCCCCAGTCGCCGCCGCCATCGCCTCCACCGCCCCAGTCACCGCCATCGCCGCCACCGCCACCCCAGTCGCCGCCGTCACCGCCACCATCGCCACCGCCGTCACCGCCGTCCAGCGCTTCGCCCAGCAGCACGCCGCCCAGCAGGCCGCCGCCAACGCCGAGCGCCGCTGCCGCGCCCGTGCTCATGCCTGACTTCCGCGGCGGCTGCTGCTGCTGCTGCTGCTGGTAGTATCCGCCGCCGCCCTGCTGGCCGTAGGCGGGCTGGCCATAGCCGCCCGGCGGCCCATATGCCGGCTGACCGTAGCCGCCCTGCTGCCCATACGCCGGCTGGCCATACGCCGGCTGGCCGTAGCCGCCCTGCTGACCGTATGCCGGTTGGCCATAGCCCTGCTGGCCGTATGCCGGCTGGCCGTAGCCCTGCTGGGGAGCCCCGCCGCCATAGCCGCCGCCCTGTGGTCCGTAGCCCTGGCCGGGATAGCCGCCACCGCCACCGCCGTACTGTGGCTTCTTGCTGCCGCCAAAGATCTTGCCGAGGAGACCGCGCGAGCCGGCAGCACCGGCAGCTGCTCCGGCGGCTCCGCCAACGGCTGCTCCAGCAGCTGCTGATCCGGGACCGCTGCTCACAGGCCGGGCCGGAATGGCCGGCGCCGGCGGCGAGTTCAGATACGAGGCCGCCGCACCACCACCGACACTGCCGGCACCACCAGCGCGAGCTCGCGCATTTTCTTCCTCCTGCAGGCGCCGCGCATAGCGCTCATCGTCGGACTCGTGGTGGTGGCAAGGGCTGCACGAGCCCTGGCGGCCTCCGTCGCCACCGTAAGGATTCTTCTTGGCGTCGCCGGTGTTCGAACCCGGTCTGGGCGAGTAGCTCGGCGGAGGTCCCTGGGGAGCGTCTCCACCGGGCACGAGGGCCGGCGCCGTCGGCCGGTCCCATTGGGACTGTTTGGTGTACGTGTTCACATAGAACCTGGCTGTCAGCCGAAATGGGGCACAGACGAACAAACACTCGACTTACCACTCCTTGTACTGGTCGTTCCAGCGGGCCACCCAGCCATCAGGCACCTTGGGAGGTGGCGGCCCGGTCGGGGCCTGGAATTCAGACATCAGGAGAGGTGCGATTGCAGACGGTCGTTTCGATGGAGTTGATCGTGCGAGATTCGGTTGTCAAGAGATAAAGAAAAGAGAGCAGTGGGATGCGGGAAAGGACAGACAGACGGCCGAGCGCTGCTGCTGATCCACAGTGTCGCTTTAGGGGGAAAAGGCTCGCCGGCAAAGTCACGGAAAGACGGAAGAAGAGAGAGAAGGGCGCTATATATTTGGCCGTCGTGCTTCTGTCGCCGATCCCTTTCGCCTGTCGCTGCAGGAGGGGCAAGAGGCCAGAGTGGTGGTGGCAGGCTTGGCAGCACAGGAGGGGCTGTGTGCAACAGGCAGTTACGGAGCACGCTCCACGCCGTGCCTTCTAGAATGACCAGCAGGCCTCTGTAGAGGGGCGACGGAGCGGCCTCGTTTCCGCCGATTGTGTGCTGCGCCTCCCTGCGATTGCGTCGACCAGCTGCCCCGCCTTTTGGTGGGGGAGGCAGCCGTACGAGTAATGATCTGTCACGTTGACGAAAGTGTATCTTAGATTGCTTAGTCACGCCACCCTCCGTCATATACATATGTAGCTTGTCCAAATATCTACGGCGTCTAACCAGCCGGCCGGTTCCCTTCTGTGTGATGATCTATTCCTTCGCCGTTCCATAACCCAAGTGAAGCTCGCAAGGAAAGAAGGAAAGACGGAAAGAGGAGAAGGAAAAGGGAAAGTAAAGGAGAAGAAAAAGAAAGAGAAGAAAACGAAAGAGAAAAAATAAAAATAAAACCCTTCCTTATATCCCGCCCGCCTTAATACACTTCATGACGTCGGTACGTCTCGTCCCTGTCGCCGCTATTGCGCCCACCAAACAGGTATGCGGCCTCCATGCAGTAGCCTCCGCCGCCGTTGGCCATGCGCGTCTCGCTGCCGTAGCAGATCACCACCGCGTCCACGATGCCGCTGAGCGTGCCCTCCATCGCGCCCAAGACGCCCCAGCCGATGAAGCTGGCCACCAGCCCGACCACGTATGCGTACGCGCTACCGCGCACCGTGCTGCCAGTCCCGTCCGGCGCCGGGATGCGCAGCTGCCGCGCCGTCATCACCCAGCCAGCAAAGCCGAGCGCTGTCGCCATGATGAAGCGCGTCGCATGCAGCAGCAGCTTGGCCAGGCGGTACGGCAGCAGCGGTGCCGACGTCCCCGGTCGTGCTCGTTGCCGTCGGCCGCCCCGAAAGGCCCGTGGCGTCAGCGTCGTCGTCGGCGCCTGTGGCGACAGAAAATCCAGCTGGCTCAGGCCCTGTGCCGATGCCGTCAGGCTCTGCGAGTGAATGGCCGAGTACGTCAGCGTTAATGGATTAGTCAGCGTCGTGATCGACGATGGCACCAGCGAGTAGAAGAACAGGCCCACGGCATCGGCCAGCCGCCCCGGCAGCACCAACAGCGGCAGCCGTACCGCCAGCGCCAGCAGCGTCGACAGGCAGATGGATCCGAAGATGGTCGTCACCGCGTGGTGCAGCGCAGCCGACACTACCTCGGCCGACGACGGCGCCGGCTGCACGTTGCGATGGAAGTACCACTGCGACACCGTCGCGCCTGTTGTGCCGCGCTGCACGCCCGAGATCACCGACAGCGTCCAGATGTACATCAGCACAAAGTACGCGCCCAGCCACCAGCTCGACGCGCTGATGATGAACCGTGACAGCTTGCTCGAAAACGACCCGCCCAGGAACACCCGCGTGAACATGGCCAGCCACGCCCACGTCCAGAGCACGATCAGCGTCAGGCATCCGAGGCCCACCAGTACCAGCGCTGAGTTGGCTGCCAGGATCCGGCTCGCAAACTCCAGAATATCCACGGCCGACCGCAGCGCCGACCGGCCCTTCCACACGAGATATATCCACACTATTGCCGCCACGCCCGGCACCACCGACGCCCATCGCATCACCCGGTCTTGCAGCCCGCTGCTGCCCCGGTAGCTCGACACGAACGGGTAGATGGCAAACGAGAGCAGCACCACCGGCACGGCCACGATCATCACCGCCACCAGCGGCCGCGCAAACGACCGCAGTGCTGCCAGCCACACCAGCGACACGATGATGGCCACCAGCGTGTCGATGGCCAGCAGGTGGAACGACGACAGCAGCGTCGTGTAAATGGTGTCTCCCCATGGCTGCTTCCCGCCGCCGTCCGGCACCGACGTGTGCAGGTACACGAGCACAAATGTCGCAAAGAGCGACGCCACCGCGATCAGGTAGATCCACGCAAAGAACGGGTCGTGCCGGAACAGCTCGCCGTCCGACGGTGTCGCTGCAGCAGCCGCCGTCGTGTGCAGCGTGCTGCTGTCGGCCACCGCCGCCGTGTGTGCCGCCTCGCTGTCCGTGTCCCGGCCCACGTCCTGGCGGTGGAGCAGCCCCAGCTCCGAGTCGTGCGCCGAGTTGTGGAGAAACCCGAACCGACCGGCCTTGGACGACGGGTTGAACTGCTGGAACGCCGGCGGCTGGTCGCCGTCGAAGTCGTCAAGCTGCTGCCGCTCGTACGTGAGGTCTTCGGGCGGCTCGCTGTCGGCAATCGTCGACTCCAGCCCAATGTCCACCATCTTGCCCCGACTCTCATGCATTCCGTAGCCGGACCGCCCGTCTGTCGGGCTCTTTTGCCGTGTTCCCGGCCGGCCCTTCCAGCTGCTCTGGATTCCCCGAGCCTCTTCGCCAGAGCCATTTGCGGCTGTCGTCCTCGTCGTCCTCCGGCCGCTTCCCGTCAGGGGCTCCTCTTCCTCGTCGTCGTCCTCGTCGTCATCTTCGCCGCGGCTGTCCCCCAGCGTCGTTCGGCTCCGCTCGTTGTCGGTGCCGGTGCTCTCGTCCAGACGGCTGGCCGCAAACACGCGCCGTGACCGCTGCAGCGCGTACAGGTCGGCTGCCTCTCGGTCCCGCTCCATCTCGTCCTCGTCGTCTTCGTCTTCCTCGCCCAGCGCCTCGTTGATGTCGCCCCGGCCGCTGTGGAAGAGCGGCGCGTCCTGGGCTGCAGCCGAGTAGCGTGACGCAAAGTTGAGCTGGCCGAAGCGCGAGCCGCCTGTCGTCTGATACGGATTGCCGCGGCTCAGAAACGACCGTCCAAAGGCTTTCGGGCCGCGGGCAGACGATTGCCAATCTGACCCAGGTCGCAGCCGGCTGGAGGGCTCACCGGCCACCGATCCGGCTGTCGCGTGTGTGTTGTAGCCATTCAGGCTGGCGGCGTCGTCTGCTATCGCCGGCTGGCCGAAGCTGGAAAGCCTGGACTGGGACTGCGCCAGAAATTTGGACGCATCTGCAAGGCGAGAGCGTATTAGGGGATGAAGACAGAGAAAGACAGAAAGACGTTGCGACGCGGCCACTCACATTCTGAAAACATGTTTGGCTGCCCCCAAAAGCAACCCCGGCTGGGAGACAGACGTCGATGACGATGACGATGATGCTGACTATCGGCCTATCAGTGTATCAGCCTCTTTGGCCTGTCGATTTGCTTGTTCGCAGGTGGCGCCTTGAGCTCTGCTGCTACGTCCAGTACCGGCTCGGACAGATTAAAAATAGTGTGTATATTTAGATGGCCAGCGTGGTGGCAGAATTCCGTAGGAGAGATTCGAGCAGAAGGGATGACGAGTGCAGGAAGACGGTGTAGGGTTGGAGCTGTACAGAACGGCACGAGACCGCGTCAGGGTGGATGGCTCTGATCGGTGGACGACGGGTGACAAAGTGGAGGGGGGGCGGCAGGTGCTTTTAGTGCGCGAGTATTAGTGGTTGCGCAACCAGGAGATAAGTCAAGCGTCCCGATGACGGAAGCACTGGCGCCTAACAGCCCAGATAGCCAGAGGGGTTCGGCCGGCCCATTTCGTACGAGCTCGCGAGCTCGCCAGAGCTCCTTCCCGCCGGACTCGTCTGCAACTGAAGCCAGGGAGAGAGGACCAGGAGAGGTGTTGTTGCTGACTGGGCAGACCGACGCTGGTGCCTGCTCCCAAGGGAAACCGCGACCCGTGAGCTTGTGCTGCAGGACAGTGTCCACAAGTGGAACCGGCCCAGAGAGGCTTGCTGCACTTAATCTTAACGCTACCTACTCCGTACTATGTACGGAGTACAGAACCCACGAACCCACGAAAGGGCCAGCCGCCGTGGCGAGATACTTCGCAACGACCGAACCGCCCCCCGGTCTGCACCTGGGCGGGTCTGCCACAGCTGCCGGACAGGGCACTCACCTGCAGCGGGCAGCGAGGGAACGGTGTGCGAGCCCCTGCCGGGATGCTGTGCCTACATAGTACATACAGCGGGCCATGTGTCATGTGCCAATACGAGCTTCTGCCACTCCTTTCGCCGGAGGACATCGCACATAGTACAAATCCGGCATGACACATGCGAGTCAAATCCGCCTAGACGGGGAGAACGGGTCCACCACTCCACGCTAGGCCAGAGTCGTTCCTTCCTCCCAGGAAACCCAAAGCATCTTCTTCCGCCAAAGCTACAGAGTAGACTAACGGTGGAGGCCCGTCCTAATCTCACCACTTTTTTGCGCCGCTCCTCTCTTTCTCTCACCTACGCGATACGAGTGCCAGCCCTTGCGATCCCCCCTATCGTATACATACGAACACACCGCTCACCCATCTGCTTGCTTCTCCCACCTGTCCCGTGTTCTCCCAGCCCGCCGCCTTTTTCCCTTCTGCTTGCGCGTCGGTCCTTTGTCCTCCGTGCCGTCTTCGAGCTTCATAGCGTCAAGTCCCTTTTTTTTTTTTGCCCTCGCTTCCATTTGGCGCATCGTCTGTCCGAATCCGACAACGAACGACCGATTCGCCAGCCTCCCGCCTCTCCTTTCTCCCCCCATGTCGTCGTCCCCCCCGCCACCCCCTTGGGACTACATTGCAAAGCTCGTGTGCATTGGCGATTCTGGCTGTGGCAAGAGCAGCCTGACCATTCGTCTGTGTGAGGGTCGCTTTATCGCCCACCACGACGTCACCATCGGCGTCGAGTTTGGCAGCCGCATTGTCCCCGTTGGCCCCCCCCACAGCCGCACGCTCCCCGCCACCTCGACCGTCTCGTTGCCCAAGGAAGAAGAAGCCGATGCAGCCGATACGACCCGCCCCTCTGTATCCTCTTCGGATGGCACCACCGTCGCTGCTAAGAAGCTGAACGGCCTCCCGGAGCCGCGGCGGCGATCCCTGCCGGCTGAGCCCCAGAAACACATGAAGCTCTCGCTCTGGGACACCGCCGGCCAGGAGACATACAAGTCTGTCACCCGCTCCTACTTTCGCGGTGCCTCTGGCGCCCTGCTCGTCTTCGACCTCTCGCGCAAACAGACCTTTCTGCACGTCAAGGACTGGCTCGATGACCTGCGCCAGATTGCCGATCCCGATATCGTCGTCGTGCTCGTCGGCAACAAGGCTGATCTCGCCCAGGCCTCCCAGTCCGCCGACAACATTGGCAGCGGCAACGGCGACGGCATCGCTGGAGACTCCCCAAATCAGCGCCAGGTCACCCGCGAAGAGGCTCAGGACTGGGCCCGTCGCAACGGCGTGCTCGAGTACGTCGAGACCAGCGCCAAGAGCGGCGAGAACGTCGAGCATGCCTTCTTGCGTGTCGCCGAGCGCATCTACCAGAAGATTCAGGCCGGTCGCTACGACCTCAACGACCGCCGCTCCGGCGTCAAGGGACCCGGCTTTGCTGCTCCTGCTGTCTCCGCCAATGGCCGCCCGTTGCGTCTAGATGCGCGTGCCAAGTCCTCCGGCGGCGGCTGCTGCTGATCTCCACCCTGTAATGAGAGACGACCGACGCCTTCTTTGTTCGCAGCCTGTTCGCAGCCTGCGGTTTCTCTTTCTTTCTTAACACACAATGTCGTCTCGTATAAGGTCTACCTGCATTGCTCATCGTTGCTGTAATGACTCGGAGGTGTATATGATTTTTGGAGAGGATACCAACATTACCGCGCTTTTCGGTTCTTTCTTGTGGACTCGAGACTGTACTTATAGATATCGCATGTGATTAATCCGCTTCACCTGGCTATTGCCGCCAGGCACTGCGCGGAAGTTGGCATAGAAGACAAAAAAACAGTACATCATATTTTACAGAGTAATCTGCGAGCTGCTCCTTGTTTCTTAATCGCAAAGTGGTTACTTTTAGGAAGCAAGATAATCCCCTAGTAGCCAGAACTCCCTTCCAAACCCCCTTTCTAAGGTGCACCGGCTTATCCATCCTTCACCATGATCACACCGCACGAGCCCAACCCCCAAAGACAGCAAGAAATCCCGCTTGTGGTGTATCGTAGCTATCACTGGCTTGCCATCGGTCAGTTCTGGCCGTATTTTCTGGTCCACCTCGCATGCCAAGCTTTCTCCCAACATTGTATTTACACCTCTTCAGTCTGTAATCCGCCAACCGTCGAACCACTTCAGGTACGAATATTGCTTGTTGGGGCCCGTCATGCCCCAGCAGATGGGGATGAAGAAGATGTACAGCCCAATGACAGTGGCATATAGAAGCCCGTACACCGCGGCCTGAATCGTCTTAACACGCTTCTTGAGGAACCAATCCGCCAGGAAGCCGAACGTGAGAATGGCAAAGTAGAGTGCTGGGTAGTAGTGGTGGACGTAGGTGACGCGGGCCATGATGACGAACGGCAGGTAATGAAGGAACCAGCCGATCACTGGGTAGATACCGGCATAGTGGATCTGATCAATGTCGTCCTGCGAAAGCTCCGTGTACCCTCGCTGCCACCGGATCACGTACCAGGCGACCAGCGAAGCAAAAATACCCAAGCTTGCCGTGGATCCCCAGTACACGATGGGATTGCCAAGGAGGAAGTACTTGACAATCTTGTCGTCCCAGCCGCACATGCGCAATCCGACATTCAGGATGGGCCATTGCCACCACATAGAGGCCAGGTCGTCCTGCTTATCCGGGTCTGGAACAAGCGCGTTGTTGCTCGTCATCATGGCCACGTTGAGGTGAACGAAGTCGCGCAGGAAAGGGGACTTGTAGCTGCCAGGGTTGCCTTCCGGTACTGCGGCTGTCATTATCACTCGACTCGCCTGGATGGTGGCTAGGACACAGAAAGGGGGAGCTTACGCTTCTTATTGATATGAGCCTCGATGTTCCAGTGGGTGTACGTATCCCTGGGGTTGTTGTCCTTCGTGCAGGTGACCTCGATCTGCCGGAAACCCCACTGGGGAAGGTTGACGTTTCCTGCTCGAAGGTAGCAGCCCATAACCGGGTTCTTCAAGCGAAAGGACGTCGTGAGTGTTCGGATGCGGCTGTGATCGCGCGAAGCGACGTCATCCAGAACCTCGATCTTCCAGTAGTCCTTGGCATCGCCGACAGTAAGGTTGCCGTAGCAGGAAACCTCGCGGTCTGCCTTGGTCACAGGGGCTGAAACCTCGTGGGAGTGTAGGTTGCGACCGGTCTGGGCGTGGATCAAGCGGATCGTAGAGTCGTCGCCGACAAAACGCGGCTCGGCGTTCTCGTCATATTCGGGTTCCTCGCGGGTGGGGTAGAAGAACCACTCGTTGTTGGCATCCTTGTGGTGGTAGCAAGTAACTTGCTGCTGTCCAGAGCCTTCCGGGTACGTCCTATCAAAGCAGGTTAGTTTCGAGTGCGGGGACGTGGACGTGGAAAAGAAGGATTCCCGTACTGGACGTGAGAATGAAGAAGACCTAAGAAGTGTGAGCGCTTGTTGGATAGTCCATAGCAGGAGATCAAAACTTACCACCACCATAGCCCATGTTCTTGAGAGTGACCCTCGAACCGAAAGCAACCTCAAGCGGACTGCCTTGGCCAACCTCAGTTCCCTCGAGGTTCGCCTGGAATAGCGAGCTCATCTGAGCATCGCCTGGACCCGAGTGGGTAAGAACGGCAAAGTGAATGGCGAAGCTGAGCAGGTAAACGAGAAATGGAAGGATAATGAGGCCAACCACTCTGGCGGCGACGTGTGCAGCAAGAACCACCTATAATCCGTTGTTAGATTCTGACGCCATTTCGATTTTCTTGGCACCAACAATATCGTACCGGCTTCATGTTCAGGTCTCCAAACTTGTTCCACAGATCCTCAGCAGTGTAGAGGCCAACCATGGCCGTAACGAACAAGCCGACGAGCTTGACGCTTGTGACGCATCCAATGCTCAGACCAGTCATAAACAGCCAGAAGAACCACTCGGGTTCGAAGCTGTTCTTCCGCTGGCCATGGAACTTAGCCCAGCACAGAACGGTTGCGATGGTGCCTGAGAGAAGCATGGAATCGAGAAGGATAAATCCTGCGAACTTGTTAGAACCCAAGTCAAGGGGTGGTGAGACGGTACGGAGGAGAGCCCATACGGGAAATAGTGGTGTAGCTGTTCTCGCAGAGAACCATAAGGGTGACAAGCCAGACGGCTGGACGAGAGAAGGTCAGTTCCCGTGCAGTAAAGCTGCACCAGAAGTTAGCACCCCAATTTTCATATGCGAGGCTTGCCGAGAAACGTCAAGGCTGGACGGCAATAGCAGTTTTTGGGAAGGGTCGAGCGTACTAAGCCATGGGGATCGTTGCAATGCCGAAGAGGGCATTGAATGCGCGCATGGTCCAAAAATCGACCTCGGGCGGGTAGGTCTCGCCAGACTTGAACTCGAAGCTGCCATTGTACCCGGCTATGTAACCTGACAAGCCGACAAGAAGCTTGCCGAGAGGTGGGTGCACGTCGAAGTAGAAAGTGTGCTGTAGATAGTGAGAGCCGAATTTTCCGAAACTGCCAAAGACCAATGGTTAACACAAAGTCTTAGCAACCTAGGGACACAAAATTGAAGCTTACTGTGCCTCGTCCCAGGTGACGATATCAGACAGGCCGATTTTGTAGAGACGAGTGAAAAAGGCAAAGGCAGTGAAGATGATCGGCGCAATGACCACTTCCCAGTCTGAGAGTATTTGCAAGGCCGAAAGCTGCGGCTTCGTTGCCTTCTTCTTGTCGTCAGCTTCTACTGGGGCAGCGACAGCTACCGCCGGCACAACAGCACGCCGGCGAAGGGCATCGGCGTCGACAGGCTGGGCACCTGAAGCCGCTGCGGGCGTGACAGGCGCCATGACGTAGCAGTACGGAGCTGCTAGGATCGGCGGGAGGGGCGTGGAAAAGCTGAGTCTTCTTTCGACTGACGGGGGTTAGACGAGGCAAGATTTTGGGGAGGAGGACACCGCAAACCTTCAAAGCCGTGAAGAACACAGGCAATCAAATAATATAGCGGACAGAAGAAGAGAGCCGGGAGCGGACGGAAGAGAGAGAAGAGGGAGGTGCAGAAAAGGGGGTAGACGCCAAGGGAGGAAAGCGCGAGGCGAAGAAGCAAGAAGATTATATTGGTTTAAAACACAATTAAGGAAAGTACTGAAGGCGTGAGCGAGAGGAGGCCAGAAGGCTAGGAGCTCCTCGACTCCGAGTTAGCGATGCCGTTGAAATGTCCGGCGAAAAAGGACAAGCCGTGGTGATAGCCACGGGTGAAACGAGAATAAAAAAAGAGAACAAGTAGAAATCACCTAAGAAAGTGTGGTGATGGCCAGCCGGTGGGGGGAAGCTGCGGGAGGAAGGGTAGCTTCACAAGGCGCAGCAGGAGAAAAGGGATGGCCCTTGGCCAAAATGTGTCCTTTTCGTATCCTGGCAAGGTGCTTAAACGCGCTACAAAATCCTACCCGTCGCCCGTACACGCTATTATCCACGTAACTCGGATCCAGCTCTGGCTGTGATTTTCAAGGGCCGGCAATCTGGCCAATCACGGGAAGTTCTGGGGACGAGCTGTAGAAAAGGCGGGTCTCACTAAGGCTGATGACTACGAGGAGTCGTAAGATACGGTTTTGCCATTCGTATATCAATGCGTGCGCAGATGCAAATAACGCCCGACGATGCAGACTTTCAGGCCGCGGGGCTTTGGCGAACACGCCGCAAGTGCGCTTGACCCTGACTTGCGTTCTCCAGCATCATCAACCCTTACTTCCTGACGCTTGAATGAATTGGTATTTGGTGTGCCGCATTTGACAAGATCCAGCCCGGGAATGCGATCGGGAACGAACGCGGCCGCTGCTTTCACATTTCCTCACGAGGTGTTCTACGAGATCGCATCTCGCGCTGGCTGTCCACAGCTGGCGGAGCCAACTATGTCCATTATTATACTTTCGCCGCAGTGCGGAGTAATTCAATCTCGAACAAGATGTTGCAGCTGAGGCCACCTACTTGACGAAATGATCTACACAGATTCCAAAAGCTACCCAGTGGCATGTGTCAGTCTCTCCTCGGTAGCTTCCGCAGCTGACGGGGTCATATTCATGGCACTCTATGCTTACGGTCCTCGGCATCAACAGATTGGGCCAAGAACTTCCCAACAAAAGCAAATATTGGCGCTTATTTGTGTGCAAGATACATGCAAGACACACTCAACAAACCAAGCAGAATACTAATAATCAACTGAAAAGGCTCCACGACGGGGCCATCCATATATCTTACAAATCTGGGGGAAACATCGATGCTGGGTGCCACAGTATCGGCACAAGATATCCACAGCGAGCGGTCAAGAGCAAGGCTGGCAGAATCCGGCTGTTGGCGCATTTGCACGTGCCTACGGCCAATGGGTCCACAAAAGACACATCATTCCGCCTGATCCCCTGCCTCGAGTCTGTGAACCCAAGACCACCCTCTTTCGATCGTCGTTACCGACTTCCCACCAGCCCATGTTGCCATGTTGACCGCTTCTCGCAACCTCTTTTGTTGATCACGACCAGATGCCAGTTTCTTCCGTCTAAACCAATTTATAGCAACAAATGATCTCCTCAGTATCGGATTCCATCAGCAATTCATTCATTCGGCAAAGCCGTCGTCTTTCCTCCGATCTTACGTCCGAATTATCAGCGCCCTTGCAAGGTGAATCTAGCTGCAGCGCATCGTCGTGCTGCAGCAATGATGTCCCAGACTCGACGCAACAACAACACACCTTAGCGAATGAGAGCACAAACCTGGGGAGCACAACAGCGAGGCTGTCTAATTTCGTCACCATGTTGCCCGTTGAACCCGAAGCTGCCGACATACAGGCTCTCCCTTACAGGAGTGTATTGCCCCGTGACTCGCTAGCACCCCCGTCGCTGTCCAATTTTGTACCAGAACGCCAAACAGTCGAAAGTGAGCCTGCCGGCCAGATTGCAGAGTTGGAAGCCCAAGCATTACCAACTGCATCTTCTGCAAGCCGGGAGCTGCCTGAAGACGATGGCATGGGCAACCTTCGGCGGCGGATCAAAGACGTCCAGGCAAGAGAAGCAGCACCGCCAGAGAAAGCTCGGCTGATGCACGATCTCCTAATGGAGGGTTACACACGAGCTCGCTTAGCCCAGTTACCTCTTCGACCTTTGACACCATTGAGCCCAACAGTGGAGGCTACGATCGAAGAGCCGTCGGCACATCTTGGCCCTTTGGAATCACTGAGGTTTTGGCATGGTTCGCATGCGCCCACTCCGCCTACCGCACTGAAATTCAGTCTTACCGAAGGGGACTTGCGGCCGACGTTTGTACCGAAAGCTAGAGACGCTAAGGATAGCCAGCGAGAAAGAGGAGAGAGTCTCGCCGCAGGCGTTGAAGAAGAGCACTTTGGCTGCGCACATTATCGGAGGAACATCAAAATGCAGTGTTTTACCTGCGAGCGGTGGTATACATGCCGGTTATGTCACGACGAAGTCGAGGACCATGTTCTGCCACGAAGAGACACAAAGTTTATGCTCTGCATGCTTTGTGGCCATCCGCAGCACTGCAGCGACGTTTGCCATAATTGTGGAGAGTCTGCCGCCCGATACTACTGTAATATCTGCAAGCTCTGGGATGGCGCCCCAGACAAGAGCATATATCACTGCAACGACTGTGGTATCTGCCGTGTGGGAGAAGGTCTCGGCAAAGACTTCTTCCACTGCAAGGTATGCCTCGGATCTTCAATCAGCCATTATTGTGATACAAACTGACGAGGCCTTTGTAGAAATGCGGATCGTGCATTGCTATTAATCAGGAGGAGTCGCACAGATGTCGCGAAGGTGTTATGGACTGCGATTGTCCTATATGTGGCGAATACATGTTTACCTCCTATAAGAAGGTCGTTACCATGAAGTGCGGTCACACCATACACGATGACTGTCGGGCAGAGTACATCAAGAGCTCCTACAAGTGTCCGATCTGCAATAAGAGCGTCGAGAATATGGAAAGCTTGTTTCGCCGCCTGGACAAGCACCTCGAAGAGCAGCCGATGCCTGAGGAGTACACAAATACGCGAGCCGTTATCTTGTGCAACGACTGTGAAGCGAAAACGACGACAAAGTACCACTGGGGCGGTCTCCGGTGTGAAGTTTGTCTGTCCTACAACACCGTCGAGCTCCATCTGTTGAACAGCCCCAAGTCTCATGGCGAGACGGGCAACGAGCAGGCTAGTGACCGCAACAATGCCAGTCCCGGTGATGCGAGTCATGCCAAGGGAATTGCCGACGACCAGGCAGAATCATCGGAAGCGCAGCTTGGCTTGACACCAAATGTCCCCATCGCCCGTGATACTCTTCACCCCAGACTGATGCCATCGCCGCCCCTGTCCTCCAGCCCGCTCGCTAGCGACTGGCTTGGCCGATCGCCGCCGAACATGACGTTCCGGGCCGTCTCTCCGGCGATCATGACTTCTTCGGCGACTGTGCCTGTAATGGCGATGCCGCCCCCGGGATATGGGCGGGACGGCTTTGAGCCGGATGATGATAACGCGTCGGACATGGAGGACGACATTTTGGGGTTTTGGCGACCACTTCGTCGCAGCGGTGTGGCCGGAGGTGACTCAGCGGAAGACGATGACGGTGAAGACGAATCTAATAGCGACGACGACCAGGATGACGATGATGAGTACGACGATGACGATGATGACGACGAGGAAGAAATAGCACTGTTCGGACATCCGTAGGACGTGTTCGAAATGGGGTCATGCTGCTGATCACGGCGGTGAGGGCCCCGAAAAAGGACTATTCTGTGCCTCATCAGCACTCCAGCCGTTCTGACTCTTGTCTATACTGAAAGTGCACGCCATCATCCGACCAATGCCTAGGCCGAGACATCGCTCTTCACTCCGCAACAAGCACTCCGACGGCGCAAGGGATACTTATTTATTCGGGTCATATGCATATTATGGGTATTTTGCATCTGGGTGAGCCGGTGGGCAAAACGGGGGGACTTGAGCACCACACATCTGTTTACTTGATTTTCCTGCATATTTTTATTGGTTGTCATGGCATGAGGACTTGGGGGAGTACTTGACGGGATTATTTAGCAACAAAATAAGCAAACTGGGACAAAACTACTTTTATGAAGGGCCAGTGCAGCATGTTATTTCACGAAAATAACGATGATGAATATATACACGTTTGCTATTTGGGCCTGTTTGTTGATCTAGCCTGTGAACGGACCGCTTGGACTTGGGCTAACAGTTCTATAAGTACCCTGGCGGCCTAGTCGTCGACCACCTGTCGTGAACCTTGATGTCCAGAGGAGAGCTTTCTTGTATTTGAACCGCATTTGCAGCGATAGCATGCTTGGCTCTACGCAGCCAAGTATAAGATCGTATGGCGAGAGGGAGCGTATGCTAGAAGTCCAGCGAGGACAGAGCGCTACGCTCTCAGAACCGCGCGTGGGCGGCCGTCGACTCGGACGGTCGTCGCCTCCGGGCCTGTCTACTCTCCTGTGCCTGTCTGATGGTCGTGCGAGCCGGGTCGGCTCATCTACCGCTTCTGCGAAGCCATGTGCTGCTCCACCTGCTGGCCGGTCTCGCGCAGCTTGACTATGGCTTTCTGCCGACGGCCGCGCATCAGTCAGTCTGGCCATGCAATTGGCGGCAGCGACAGGAAACCTACCGCAAGCGCCACCGGGTTCACGCCGTTCTCGATCATGGAGATGCAGATGGACAGGGTGCGTCGATCTAGCTCGCAGTTCTGCCATCAAGGTTAGCAACAGGAGACCGCAGGCCGATCCGCCGGTCACAGGCGAGACGCACGAGTATGGTGGACATCTCATGGAGAATGTCGACGGCAGCCTGGGCGGCCGCCTGCTTTTCATTGTGGTCGGCGGGCATTTATGCTGATGGTGCTGGTAGTGTAGTGCTGTCCTGTGAAGTGTCGCGAGATGCTACGGGCGCGTTACTGCGGGGAGGCTTCTTAGCGCGTCGATATGCATCGCAGGGCGCACGTGCCCCAACCCGCTATTGCCTTGCGTGCAAGGCCTTTAGCAGCGAGGCACTAAACTGGAGGGTAGATCTGTTGCAAATTTGGATGGATTCGTCGATGCGTTACAGCTTTGATGAAGTGATGTTTTTTTTTTTTTTTTTTTTGGTTTTGGAGCGCTGCATCTGGCAGTACAAGAACAGTCCATCTTGTCAAAAAAAGGGTGGCATCAGATTAAAGAGCACTGCTTCCGTAACGACTTTCGAGGCCAGCTCGGTTTTGTTGATTCATGACTGGTTGTTAAATAGAGGCTCGCTCGTTGTCACAGATTGAATCTCTTTCCATACCCCAAAAAACAGTTCCAGGACCTCCCTTCCCCTCTCCCCATATGGTATTCTAATTTAGAGAATAAAGCAGTCCGACCAACCCCTCAAACGCCCGCTTGCTTTCGTGTCTTCATTGTCTTCTTTCACGGGGTCCGGTCCGGCTCACCCAGACTTCATCGCCTCCACAAAGAGCTCCCGCATGCCCTTGAGCAAGACGACGAGCTCGCGCGACTCGTTGACGCGCTCGAGCAGGGCGTCGACCTTGTCGCGCTCGAGCTTGGGGCGGCAGTGGCGGACGGCGTAATCGCGGGCGGACGTGTCGAGCTCGAACCAGGCCTCGCGCATCCAGTCCTGGTCGTTGAGGTGGGTGTAGATGAAGCGCAGGCGGTCGTCGCTGCCGGCACCTTCCATGCTGAAGCACAGGTTCGTGACCCAGAAGTCTAGCTCGGGCACGTTGAAGCGGGCCTGGGCCTCGCGCTGGCGGGTGCGTGCCTGCTGTGCGGCCAGCTTGGCGTCGATGGCCCGCTGGGTGTCGGCGACCCGGCGGGCGAGAGCATCGCGCGCAGCCACCTGACGGTCCCGCTGGGCGGCCAGGTCGGCAATCGACCGCTCCATCTCCTGCTTCTCCTGCTTCTCCTTGGCCATCGTCTGCTGCAGGCTGTTGGACTTGAGCTGCAGAATCTCAATGTCGCGCTTCCGCATCCGCTCGTCCTCTGCACGACCGGGAGGTTAGCCAGGCCAGCCTGTCCCTCTCTTCCTTCTCCTCATCCACACCTGTCGCACCTTGTATTTCGGCCATGTTCATGCGAAATTCGTTGCGCTCCTCGAGCACCCGCTTCCGTCCCTGTTCAATGAAGCCGTCAAACTTCATGGTGAAGCGGCCCATGCGCTCGCGCAGACTGTCGAATCCAAACTCTATGCTCGGGAGCTGTTCTGCCATCGACGGGCCTGACGCCATCATCGACTGCCGGCTCGTAGAGGCCATCATCGATTGTCGGCTCGTCGACATCGACGGCTCGAAGAGGGACGTCATCGTGTCGAACGTGCGGTGCCCGGGGTTGTGCTTCGTATGATATGTGCTGGAAGTCAAAATCCAATCGAGATCCTGCGTGCGTGTGAAATCTAACCCCGCGTTGTGGTTTTTTTTGGGCGTGCAGTTTTGCCGCAGATGTGCCAAAGCAGCTTATCTCGATTTTGTCGCCATTTGTTTATGTCAAAGTGCCATTCCTGGATTAGCGCGGGTCGCTGTGGTGATTTACGAGCGGCGCTCTATTTTTCCGATTCCGTTGTACTGACATACAGTGCTCCACATTAAGTTTCAACTTCACTGGATGCATGAGCTTGATCTTTCACACCCCGTTGAGTAGCATAGCTACAGACACAACCACCAGCGTTTAATACAGTAAAAATGAAGGTGGCAAAAAGGGGAGGCTCACAGGAATGACCGTGGCTCACGAAAGCACCTGATAATGGACAGGCCGAGACTTTTGCTATTGGGGAGAACACCAGATACAAGTCCAAATGGCCGAGAAACACCACCGGACGCAGCCCCTGCAAGGCACGCAACACATCATCAGCGTAGTTGGCGACCATAGATCGAACAACCTGGTGTATGGACATGTCGGGCGGCTGACATATGTCTCGCTGGAAGATGCCGACGAGCAGGAAAATAACGGCCGAGCTAGGCAAACCAACATCGGAGAGCTGCATACAAACCGCATGACCACATCAAGTAAGTATATATGCATATATACAGCGGGGGAAATAGCTGCCTTGACCTGGGGCACGTGTAATAATGGTCTGTAGATTCTACTTTCCAGGTGCTGACGGATTTCCGGACCTGGTATCCGGCGACAAAGCAAGCTGCTGTGGAAGAAGGGCAAGTAGCTGAGAATCACAATTTGTGGCTCTGGGAGCACGCTCCAAGTGTACTGGTAGGAACGACCGGCCCTTGGGACGGGCTCACAAAAGAATTTGAAGCAGCGGCGTCGATCAAGCCGTTTGAGGCAAAACTGCCCCTTCTCGCATACGGAGAGATTGCGAATCACAGCGGCTGGATTCCGAGCACCTGTTCCGCATTTGCCACGGCGGCCGGAAGCTTGGGACACATTCTTCGCATTGTCCGGACTCATGAGCAAGAGGTCGGCTGGGCCCGAACATACGGCTCATCTCTCGACTTTACCACTGCAGATACTGCCGACGAGGGTCATTGGTGCAGCAGCGTCCCGATCTCACAAATAAAATTTACCGCACCCGCACAGACCGAATCGTCGTTGCGATGGGTGCTGGCGCAAACAGACATTGCCACGTTCATGCTCGAGCCGGTCCTTCAAGAAAAGCCTGTTCAGACTGCTCACGCGGCATGTAGCTATGTCAGCCGTGGCCCATCACGCATCAGCGTCAACCTTGTGATGCAGATCAGCGCAGAGGACACAGGCGGAGAACCACACAACGACGTGTCGTTCAACCCGGGCTTGGATGGCGCAGCGTCGCAGTTAGCGATAATAGACAAAGGCGGGAACTGGTCTGTGTGGGACATCAAGGTCAACCCGAAAGCCCACAAGAACAGGATTCATCGCAGTATCAGGACGAAAGGGAGGTTTATCGATGGGATACCAACTGCGCTGCCTCCAGCGGGGGTGCATGGCCGACGCAGCCTATACAGGGTTGTGTGGCTTCCGGCAGCGAACAGTGAGATGGGGGAAACGGGCGACACGCAATGCCGTACATTGCTGATGTGCAACGACGTGCTGCTAAAGGCAATCAACGTGGAAAGCCAAGAGCCTGTGCAGATAGTGGGTGTAACACGTCAGAACGGACTGGATGCCTTGCTGGACATACACCTTTGTTCCACGGAGCCGTCTCGTGTATTTGTGCTGACGTCGACAACGGTGTTCTGGCTAGACCTAGCCTTAGTTGACTCCGGCACAGGCCTAGAGTCCACTATCGCTAGCCATGACGAGACAGCGAAGGGGCAGAGCCAGAAAAAGCACCCGGCTGTGCTTCTATCATGTCCCCATCTGCGAGATCCGACTGATGGAACGCTCAAGCTGTGCGTGGCACCGTCTAGGCCGTTTCTAGGCAGAAACGCAAGTCTCGTTTGTGTCTATTCGACGACGCATGCAGAGGTGAGCGTGTTCCGATTTGCGGAGCCTGGCCTTAGAGAACAGGCATGTTTCGAGCAGCAGCTCTTTCGACTGAGGCCCCCGACAAAACAAGGCCAACAAGGCAGACATGGGGAGCAGTCGATATTGGTGTTACCGAAAGCGGTGCAGGAAGACCTAGGAGGTCGCACTGGGCGTGGAAGGCGAGATGTCGGTCTACACTACACGGCTGCAGGCGTTCGCTTTTTTCAGGTTATTGCACTGGGGCCGAACCTGGACCTGCGGTCGGCAACCTGTGTCAGTACGCCGCCATTCGGGAAGATGAAAATGCACCCGCCAACGGCGATCAGGAAGCATAGACTGGCGCAAAAGCATGGTAAAATAGGGGAAAACACCAAAAGTTGCAGTCAGTCGTTTGTGGTGCCGGACGATGTTGGCACCGCATCGCTGGTGGAGAGGCAGATGGCACGTCCAAAACAAAGAGGCTTTCCGATCCAAATACAAGAGCGGATTGTTCCGGTGCTCAACCTTTCTAGAGTATTTTATCTTCTGGGTGAACAGGTGGACAAGACAGCAAAGGCTGCCGAGCAAGCTGTCAGGATGGTGCGTGGATTCCAGAATCCTTCGCCGCTGGATGTGATCCGACGGATCATCCAAGTTGGTATTGAAAACGGAAACTACCCTTACACGACGCTGTACGTATGCCTGTTGTTCTGACCATGATACGCCAATGTGCTGACTGGTGGTGACTGGTCTTAGTCTTGATGCCGTTGAGGGCAACTTTATCGACGACTTTGGTGCCGACCTGACGGATCTCTCGTGGGCACAGCGACTTGCCGACCTTGACCTAGGCGACGACAGACAGGTGCGGGTGCGGGTGTTCGACCAGGTTATGAACGGGGCCGGGCTCAGACACAGCCGCGATGTGACTACGCTGTACCAAGCAATGGGCGCTTTGTGCGAGACTACGGAAGAGGTGGCATCTACGAGACGTGCCGGTCTTTTGGAGAGTGTGGCCGTGCGGCTGTATTTTTCGCTGATCAGCATGTGTGTGGAACCGCGACAAATGGGGCGCAGCAACGCGACGACGCCGATGGATAGCGAGGCCAGTCCGGGGTCGAGCCAAGGTGTCTGGCGGGCTGCAGTACCCAAGGCGCGATCTGCTGAGCGACTGGACCGGATGGAGATGTCGTCGTCGCCGCCACAACAGCTTTCCTGGCCGCCGTCTTCACAGGGGGACCCCAGCAACAGGGAGGGAGAGGAGACGGATGAGGTGGGGGAAGAGGAGGACGCCACGATTGCACGGCTGCGGCAGTACGCCGTGTCGATCAAGTCGGAGGCGCCTCGGGCAGAAGGCGAACTACGTCTGCTGTCGCATTGGAAGCTCGGAAGCGATCCGACACAGTTCTGGTGGAAGCCGGTCGGGTCGATGGGCGGCGGGGCGGAAGAGGAAAAGAAGCAGGCAGAGGAGGAGGCGCTCGAGAGGCGGCGGAAGAGGAACGAGAAGAAGGCGCGGCGTGAACGTGAGAGGATGGCTCGGCTGATGGGCGACGGCATATCGACGCCATCGGCGCCTCGAATCCAGATGTCGCAGGTTCCGGAGCTGGCGACGCGGTCCAGTCCGGTGCTGCCCAGCCAGCCATTTTCGAGTCAGCCGTTTTCGAGCCAGTTCTTTTCGAGCCAGCTGGTTCCGCGGTCCAGCCAGATGATGGCGTCGTCGCAGCCGTTTGGAGGTGGTCATCGGCCGAAGAAGAACAAGGCGAAACGGGTGGGAGGGTTCAGGTAATTAGTGAGCCGTCTAGAGTAGTAATAGTAGTGGTGTCTCGAATCGTTCCTGCCTGTGTTGTGTGCTGAACGAGTGAGATTTAGTGCCAACGGCTGCTAGACCGCCTAAAGAGCAGCCCCTCACTGTTTGCCACCGAAGGAAAGACAAGATTGAGAGCAAAGAGAGTGACAGTCCAAGACTGAACACAAGTGCTCTGACAGAAGCAGACCAGACTATCATGTCGCATCAGTGTCACGACGAGCATGCGAGCCACGGAGGGCACGATGACGGCCACGGACATGGTGACGGTGACGGTGACAGCCACGATCACGATCACGATCACGATCACGACCACAGCGACGACGTGACGCCGGCGCTGCAGCAGTCGCTGTACCAGCACATTGATTTTGACCAGCTGATCACGCTCAACGAGGCGGCAGTGGGGGCGGGGCGGGCGGTGGTGCGCAAGACGTGGGCGCAGCGACTCGAGGCCGTGCCGGAGCTGGCGAGCGACGCGGACGAGCAGCTGCTGATGGCGGTGCCGTTTACGGGTCAAGTCAAGCTGCACGCGATCCTTCTGCGGACGTCGACGTCGACGTCGGCACCACGCACGCTGCACGTGTTCCAGAACCGCGACGACATGGACTTTGCGGCGGCCGAGGACGAGGCCGCGGCCAGCGGCGCGGCTCAGACGTTTGAGCTGGCCCAGACGTCCGAGGTGCAGGAGCTGGCGGTGCGGCGGGCCGTCTTCGCGCAGGTCCGTCGCCTGACCCTCTTCTTTCCCGACAACTTTGGCGCCGGCGAGGAGGATGTGACCCGGCTCAGCTACGTCGGCTTCCGCGGCACGTGGATGCAGCTCGGCCGGGCACCCGTGAACATCCTGTACGAGGCGGCGGCAAATCCGGCAGACCACGCGGTCCGGGGGACGACGACGAACCGGATGGGGAGCGATATGAGGAGGTAGGAGTGTTGGTGAGAGGGAACGGGACGGTCAGGAGGAACGACGAAAACACAAGGAGGGGAACCAAACACTTCAAGGTTGCATGGGATCAAAAGCACGAGTAACGATATCACAGCGGAATATATGCTATTTAACAGTGGCCTCTGGGCGTTCGCCTACATTTGCCTACATGAAATCGTCCTCCCAGTCCTCGTCCCGGTTTTGGTTGCTGGTGATCTCCATGTTCTCTTCGGTGAAGAGATCGTCGTAGGCATGGTCCTTGCGGTATTTGAGCTCCGCGCGCTCCTTGGCCACGCGGGCCTCTTCCTTTTTCTGCAGAAGTGAGTATAGGGAAGACAGAAGACAGAGACAGAAGATAGAGATAAAGACAGAAGACAGAGACAAAGACAGAGATAGAAGACAGAGATAGAAGACAAAAGACACACCCTTTCCAGCTGTGCGGTCTGGTCACGCTTGCGGAGCTCCCGCTGGTGGTCCTCTCGCTCCTCGCGCAGGTCGGGATGTTTCTCGACCTTGGTCTTGTTGAGCCGGTTGATGATGGCATTCTCCCGCTGGGCGACAAAGACGCGCTTGACCTTCTTGTGGTCCTTGAAGCTAACCTGGCCGGCAGCCATGCTGCCGTCCTTCTTCAGGTTGGACCACGGCGTGTAGATGACGGTGATGTTGTCCTTCTTGTTGCCTGCACACGGTCAGCGCACGGGAACGAGCAGGCAGCCGGACGGCTGGCAGGCCAAGAAAACGACGCACCCTCAATCGAGTTGGCCTTTGTCAGCTGGGCCAGGTCGGTGACCAGGTCCTCCGGGATGTTCTCCCAGGAGTCGCCCTCGCGCAGCCGCAGATAGATGTGTGCGCTCGACAGCTTGTCGACGTGGAACCAGACGTCCTCCTCCCAGCCAAACTGGATCAGATCCTCATCTGCGCCTGTCAGCGTGGGCCAGGGAGAACAGAAGAACAAAACGCACTCTCAAACTTGTCCTTGCCGACGTAGACAAACGCAGACGGGTCCACCACCGTGGACGTGAAGTAGTACACCATCGCCGGTCGGTCGAGAGCTGCCACGGCTGCTGATCGTGCTGATCCGTTCTTGTGCAGGCCAATGCTGCCGGTTATGTCGAAAGGCGATTTTCAAGGTATGTAGTTAAGCGGGGGGCAAGTAGAGACGGTTTGCGAAGTACATGCCACTAAGCGGGCACTAAGCTGTCCGTAGTATGAACTTGAAGCTTTTTTCTTCATCACTCCATTCGAGATCATCGTACGAGTCGGTCCAACTGCGCTCCACGACCCACGACTGCATGCCGAGAAGACGCCAGAACTGATCGGTTGTTCCCACTTCGCATTTTATTTCTGTCGACAGAGGCACGCGGGCGAGTCGCTCATCATCCCCACCACATCACCATGGCTCCCCGGCTGCTGCCGCGGTGGAGTCTCGCCGGACTGCAGCGGGCGTCGAGCACGGGGCAGGCGGAGGCAGCTTTGCGGCCAGCAGGGCTCTTGACGGGGAAGACGGCGCTCTGGGTCGGCGGGGGCCAGCAGCGCGGCGTGCAGTACGGATGGAGCACGCAGGCGAAGCGCGGATCGAAGCCGACACGGTTCAACCAGCGGACGGCGGGGCTACCAGCGCCAACGACGGGCCCAGCAGCAGCACTGCAGCGCAAAGCAGCGACGACGCCGGTGCGGACGGGGGTGCTGGCGACGAAGCGGGGCATGACGGCGTTCTACAGCAAGAGCGGGACGCGGATTCCGTGCACGGTGCTGCAGCTGGAAGACGTGCAGGTGGTGGCGACCAAGACGCGGGCCGGCCACGGCTACTGGGCCGTGCAGGTGGGCAGTGGGACGCGGCGGGCGGCCACGGTGGCAGCGCCGCTGCTGGGCTACTACGAGGCCAAGGGCGTGGCACCCAAAGCTCATCTGGCCGAGTTCCGGGTACGCGATGCGTCCGGACTGCTGACGCCGGGCGTCGCCCTGCAGCCGGACTGGTTTCATGTCGGCCAGTGGGTCGATACCCGGTCGCTGTCGCGTGGCTTCGGCTTCGCCGGTGCCATGAAGAAACACGGCTTCAAGGGCCAGAACAAGACCCACGGCAACTCGCTCAACCACCGCACCATGGGCACCACCGGACCGTCGCAGGGCAGTGGCAGTCGTGTCATGCCCGGCAAGAAGATGCCTGGTCGCATGGGCTGTGAGCGCGTCACCGTCCAGAACCTCAACGTCCTCCAGGTCGACAACGAGCTCGGTATCGTCGTCGTCAAGGGCGCCGTCGGCGGGCCCAAGGGCGCCCTCGTTCGCCTCCAGGACGCCGTCAAGAAACCACAGCCGTCGCCCGCGTTTGTCGCCGAATCGCGCGCCCGTGTCGAGCTGCGCAGCCCCTACGCTGCTGCCCGCCTCGAGGCTGCCCGCGTCCGCCACCTCGAGCTGCAGCAGGCTCGCCGCGAGGGCCGCATCGCCGACCTGCTCGCCCGCGGCCTGTCCGGACTGACAATAGAGACTGGGGCGCCAGAGGTCGCGCCAGAGACCGCGCTAGCATAGCTGTAGGGGTCACATGTTTGGGTGCTCAAACATGCTTTTGTACTGATAGTACTTGATGACATAATCTTACTCATCACACTTTCACTTGTCGTAGTGGAATAGTCTGCATTGCTGTCTGCATTCCGACAGCCTATAGCCTGGTGTCGCTCTGCTGTCACTCCCACCTGTCCGTTTTACTTCCGCACCGCCTGTCGGAAGCCCCGGGTCTCGTCGCTGGTCGTCGCCACGACAGGGTTCACGCCCGCACCCACACTACTTGCAGCACCTTCCCTCGCCCCCCGCACGCCCTCCCAGCCGAGCTCCTCGGCCACGTCGACGTAGTCGTCCGGCAGCAACTGGATGCCACGGAACGGGTCCTGGCCATCGGCCACGTCCTGGAGCAGGTCGATCTTACGGCCGTCGGCCGTCTCGAGGCTCCACTCGAGCGTTTCAAAGACGGCGCGCGACGACGGCCGCCGGCTGGTGAAGCGCATGCGCGCCTCGCTGCGCGTGCCCCGCACCATGAACTGCACGTCGATGCGGCCCTGCAGCTGATTCATCTCGCCGGCGATCCACGGAATCCGGTCGCGGAAGTAGATCTCGTCGCCCAGCAGCGCCCGCGCCCGCGGCGACGTGCGCAGCGCGTACAGCGTCGACGACACCACCGGGCTCGACGACTTCTGGTAGTTGAAGATGGCCACGCTGCTGCCCGCCACCATGAGCACAAACCACGGCAGCGTGCGCATCCACCGGAACCGCGTCCGGCCCACATCTGGCAGCTCGCGGTCCGCCCGCCGCTCCATCAGCGGACCATCACCCGGCCGTGGCGCCTGTGCCGTCGCCCGTCGGCCGGCTGTCGAGAAGGAGGCTGAGGTCGAGGCTCGAACGAGATCGCGACACGTGCAGCGCACTGCGGTCGCGGGCTGCTTCCACAGCCGGCTGGCCGTCGCCGCCGCCCTGCTGCTTGCCGGCGCAGACAGCATTGCAAGGGGCTCGAACAAACGTCTTGTCGAGCTGTGCGTTGAATGGCGGGAGCGAATCGAATGCGTGGTGGTGCGGCAGTGCACCAGCTTCTGGTCGGCTGATTCAAAATCTGGTCCGCAGCCTAAGTGGGAATTGATAGAGCGAAGGTCCACGTGATGTATTCTGGCGGTCACAGACGGCAGATCGTTGAAGTCGTGCAAGTACTTTGCAGCAATAGATGCAAAAGCTCTGTATGTACGGAGTACGGAGTACTCTGTATAAATTATAAAATAGAATAACACTAACAATAGCACTATAAAACTTAGAATAGGTACGGAGTAAAAACTACGTAAATATATTTACACCGCTATATTCTCTGGTTTAGCGATGTTGAAAGAATTACGAAGTTCTAAACGGCAGCATGCCTACAGATTCCGCCGCCTGTAGCCGCCAAGTAAGTCACGTGGACCCGTCGCTGTAAGTATAACTTAAGCCCGTCGCTCTAATATTACTTACCTTCCTAATACGGCAGAGCTCCGTCGACGCCGCAGGGTGAGATGTACTCCGTAGACTATATACGTAGGAAAAGCTAATCTAGAGGCTGCAACACAGAATACAAGCACACCATCTTGCAAAGCGCTAGCGATATATGCAACGCAAGAAGCAACACTGTACATATAAAGCTATTCCAGCATTCTATAATGTCTGTTGTAGATTCAAGCCGTTACCCAACGACGCGGAATTTGTTAAACACCCCCACACCTAATCCACCTGCCGAACCGACTAGACCGAAATTGGCTAGGTGTAAGATCCTACTCGTTTGCCGCGTGTTGAAGAGATACATGTATCTTATATCGCTAGATACGGAGTATTGTGCCGCTGGGTTTTCGCTGACCTAGGTTATTTTATGCACGTCGGCCTATCTCGGAAGTCCGGAGTAACTGACCACGACAATACACACATGCTCACTGGACATACACGATCTAGCCTGTATAGATAAGATGATAAAACAAGCAAATTTGACAAGTTCTTTTTGCTAGGTTTAAGAAGAGAACTCAAGAAAGTGCTTGTTTCAAAGATCTTATAGTCGATGCTCTACTCTCAATGAAATCCGAAACACTAGAAGCATGTTAGTTTTCTAAGAGTAGAACAAAACGAAAGACACGAAAAGGAAAACAGGAAGGCAGGAATAAAGTACAGTCGTACGGGGTATTCAATGACACACCAACAAAGATACGTTACCTTTTCCTTTGCAACTTTTATAAAAGACACCTCCGACGTATCCTCGTATGCCTCCGGGTCCTCCCTCAGCGGCTCCAGGTCGGCCTCTATCAAATCCTCACGACCCATTTTAATCTGCATCCATCCGTTTGTGACACGCACTTGCATGGCAAACGGCGTTTGGGGCGACCTCACCACATTTTGCAGCCTCACTTCCACATGTGTATCGAGGTACTCGGCTACGGAGACCAGCTTGGAGGCGGGGTTCCAATGCACCCACAGGGTTTTTTCTTTAGAAGCCTCAAGGGAATTTATTTGTACAGCTGGCGGGGTAAGCGGCGACGTCTGAACTCTCCCTTCCGCTTCTTCTTCTTCTCCTTCGTCTGCCACGGCATATTTCGTCAGTATAAATCCATAACACACAAGAGAGTCGCCGTCCATCGGCCGTGCTGCAATGGGTAAAATGTCAAAGAATGTCTCGACACGACCGGGACAGCCGACACGCACGCGGCCAGAGCCAATTTCGCCGGCGTATGTATTGTTGCTTCTGGCCATCGAGGAGGGCATCTGCATGTGCAAGTGCATCTGGTAGGTGGGAGAAGAGCTGGCGGTGGCATTGCTCTTGGATGATGAAGAAGTAGTCGGATAATAGTGCAGGGATTTGTTAGTCCACATGGCTTCGGCCCATGTACTAACAGTACGCCATACTTCCAGGTTGATTCGGGTGCCCTTGTTCCTCGGATTTTTCTCGTCGCCGCCTCCATAGTTGCTGTGGATATTAGAAAGAGGCGAAAGGTAAAAAACAAGATAGAGCTAATGCAGATCTTACTCACTGAATCGCTACCACTGTCTCGGTCCCCCGAAATCCTAACCAAACTGGCCCACCACTCATTCCCGCCTCTGTGTCCGCACGATATACTAGTTGGCTAGATCCGGCTTGCACACAATTTCCCTCGGACCGTCGCGGCTCGCCTCCCTTCCCCGAGTCTTTGGGCAGGTAGCCGCTTACGTAGAGCAGACGACCCTGCAAAGGGTCGCTTGAAGGGTTGCAACTTCCAACTCTATTATTGCTTACTTCCGGCGGCGATGCCACACCGAGCATGAGCCCAAAACCAAATCCGCGGCGGGGATTCAACACGTTGCGATGGAGCAGGATCACACCATAGTCGTAGATGGCGAAATTTTCAGACGGACTGTCAAGGTACGTTTGGCAGACACGGATCATGCTCGAGTCGATTGATTTCTCCTCCTCGGCGAATACGATACGGAGGTCAGTCGTGTAAGTGTTCGCCTTTTCGACCAAGTTGTGTGCAGCCGTGAGAACGATATCGTACTTCTGATTAGGAATGTTGACAAGAAAGCCATTGCCGTGTTTTTCCGCTTTTGGGGGGGATGATGATGTTAATCAAGATACTATACGACGTAATGCAAAGGGGAAAAGAAGGGAAGAAGACCAGGGTAGAAAATAAGTTAGACTGAAAGGAAGGTGAAAAAAGAGACAACTAACAAACTCACCTCCCTCTTTCACAAACTTGAGCTTTAAAACCCACTTCATCCATCTAGAAGGTGAAACATTCCGGCCAAGGCCGTACTCGTCCATTTCATCCGTCCCGCCAACCCCCATATGGTAGGCTGCAACCCGTGGCAGGACAAAGTTGTCAAAGTCATCGTCTGATGTGTCTGATGTCATGGTTGCGATTTATCTGTTGTGAGATGGCATGCAGAAACAACTTTATAGGCTGTAATGATATAATCCGAAAGAACGAGTAGCTTGAAATGTGATGGAATACAAAGAACTGGAATAATGGTATCGGTAGGTGCTGTATATCACTCCTGATATGTGAGCCGTGGATAACAAGTATCCTTTGTTGTGTACTCGTACAGAATGTTTGGGCTCCAAATGTGGAGAACATGCAAGCTAAGGTGACATCAGGCAGCACTCGCAAGTCAGAATCAAAGTTCACAGTCCAAGAAAAGCTTAGCTGCTCCGAATAATTTCAAACGTGTCAATTTCCATGCGCGTTTGGGCAGAAAGTTGTGCTTGATAGCTCATAGAAGGAGAGTCTAATCAGTACAGAGACTTGTCGTGTGACTGGTTGCGTCGAATGAGTTACTTGCGGGGACCCGCGCAGAGAGATAGACAACCCTCCTACAACAATACATCCATGCATATTAGGCACCCTAATTTATTTTCTATCATATACGGAGTAGATGCCGACATTTCCGCTCCTCAGTTACGGACATTTTCTGCCCATTTTTGTCAGTTCGGAGGCTATACATTTGCAGTCACGTTTGTGTGGGATCCATTCTTCTAAGGCGATTGCCAAAATAACACAACAGTAGAGAGTATCTTCAGTAGTATCCGTCAAATGCAGCACCTCTACTTTTGATCCAGCCATTCACCATCCGCATACTGGGTAGCTCATCATCGTGTGATGGCAGGCACAGCACGATATATATACTCGATGGATGTGGCACACATGGATGATTTGCGGTGGGGGGCAAGGAATACAATAGTTGACACAGTAACCTGACTGTGCATTGTTGGCCGGCTTGAAATCGCCCTCCACGTTCACCTCGCCCAAGTTTTTGCGGTCTTTTCCGGTCTCTAGCACGTTCCAGATCGTGCCCCCGGCAGTGTGGACGTAGGTCTCCAGCAGCTTGTCGGAATTCTTCGTCACTAAAAAGCTGATGATGGGCGTGTCGTTGCCGAACACACTGTTCCCAAGCTCGTGGTCCTCCCATTTGGTGACCGCCGGGTCCAGCAATACGTAACGCAGGCCGCCGGTTTCCCCGTGCACGTAGAATAGGTGCAGCTTCTCATCGAATATTTCAAGACGAACGGGTGTGCCCGCCTTGGGGGTGGCATCTGTGAGGGGACCAATGGCCAACCAACCGATTTTTCTGCCTTCATTGTTGTCTTCACTGGCTGGGATAGTCTGAGTGACAATTCCTGCTAGCTGGCCGTCAGTGTTTTGGTAGCAGATGGCGGTCTCGCCGCCCGGAGTGATGCTAGCGGCGAGCTGGCTCTGAGGGCTAGTCTGGATGGCGAGTTGGAGAAACCCAGGCGACTGCTCCCATTCGAGCGTTTCATCATTGAACGTGTACATCTGCAGTGTGTTGGCTTGGTCGATGAGGTAAATGATGCGCTTGTTTTGTGTTAGTTGATAAACAAAAACGAACACAAAACAACGGCATACCATATTGCTCTGCTCATGAAAGAGATACGGCGTCGAGCAGCCCTCACGAACGTCCGATGCCACAATGTTCTCGCTTTCGACATCATTGCCAACGAAATGTTTTTCAACCAGGTTGCCCTCGTCAACGGAGAGAATATACAAGCCCTCCTGACCATTGATAGCGCGGCGGGCAAAGCCGGTAGCGGCAAGACAGCGAGCAACTTCGGAGACGCTCATGATGGCGGTTGGGGCTTTTGTTCAAGGGAAAAAGAGAAGTCGCAAAGCAAGAAGGGGCAGCGTGTTGCGAAAGTTTAAGTATTGATTGTCAAGGCGAGTCGTTCGTGGCTACTTGGTGTTCTTTCAGTTTCATTTGCAAAAACGTGAACTTAGGAACTCAACTTATACCCATGTTTTCGACGTACTCATTCTTTTGGCTTCCACGTCAGGCTCTGCTTTTTTCCCTTCTTCATGTTAGGCCTCAGTCTAGATAGCCAAACACAAAGTTATTGGTATGTTGGCATGATGCTTAAAAACAGGCCGGAGAAGGGTACGCAAAATAAACGACGAGTTGGGCCACATGAGCTGGTTGAAGATACCTACGAGACAGATGATTAGCAAGACGAAGAGTTTACAAGATGCAAATACCGACCTCAGATTAGCGCCGTCCTAAAGGGGAGAGATGTTCAGATTCAGATTCAGCTGGAGTTATGTGGGCCTATGGAGACAAGGTTAGCGCCGTCCCAAAAGGGACTAGTTTATCATGTCTATATTAGCTGGAGTCGTGTGCGCCTGTGGAGACAAGGCCAAGTGGCATATATCGGGTGGACGAAAGCATTGTTGGGCATAAAAAAAAGTATCGCCAATGAAAGTGAAGAAATGGGGGCTCCGGGGTTTTGTTAGCATGTTGTCGAGATTCTGAAGTATACGTAAGTTGTAGTATAAAAGAAAGATTGGTATCTGTCTCGTTCCTTGCAAACTGATCTCTATTATTTCTATTGTTTCTGTTTACCGAGTGCATCTTACAACAAGTCGCTTTGTTTTTTCTAACAATACCTCCTTTCCTCGTAGAAATGAGTCTCTATACTGAAGCCGCTAATGGCGCTCTGACCCAGTCAAAGTTGCAGAAATACCTTGAGAAGCATGGCATCAACGAGCCCAGTGAGGAGTCTGGCCGCGGCACGAACAGCCTTACACCGCTGGCGCTCGCGGCCCGCAACGGCCGCGTCAACGTGGTGCGACTGCTTCTGAGTCCGGAAAACAACGCGAGAGTAGATGGGCTGTCAACAATGCATAGGACTCCACTGTGGCTTGTGACGGCGCGCGGCGTCCAGCGCCGGGCGGAAGTAGTGCAGCTGCTGCTGCAGCACAAGGCTAACGCGCGGTACAGCCACCCAGACCTGATGAACGGCTCGACACCGCTAGAGAATGAGCTGCGGCAGAACCGCGACGTTGCCGTTATCCAGTTGTTGGTTGAGGCTGGTGGCGTCACCGACAAGGCACGCAAGATGGCACAGTCACTAAACGATCCAAAGATTGATGCGGCCATGATGCCAAGGACGCAGTTTCGCCGCATCCACGACAAGGCTACCGCACTCATAATGTCGCTCGTGCTGTTTGTAATCCGGGTTGTCAACGAAAACTCGATCTTCTCGAGAGTCACCAACAAGGTCAGCAAGTTCTTCGGCCGGTTCCACATCTGGGGCAAAGACAGCAAGAGTAAGCGAGTACAGCAGATAGAAAAGGTGAGTTTGTCTTTCTAGTCTTTGTTCTATGCGTTGTAATCATTCTTTCTCTATTCCTCGTCTCTCCATCTCTCTCTTTTCCCCTCGCCTCTCGCATTCTCCCTTGTTTTTCTTGACTAACCCCAACAGGAAATCGGCCAACCAAAAACAAAAGAAGAGTTCCAACAGGGCGTAGCCGACTTTGTCAAGAAGCACCAGCTCGCCAACTTCTTCTCCAAGGATGACTCCGCATTTCTCGATACCCTGACTGCTCATGCCGTCGACCTCCAAAATGATGACTCAACCGACCTCAGCGAGCCGCAAAATGCAAGCGGCCTCATTCAGCTCTCGCTTTACCAGCCTGTCATCTACTGTGATGACAGCACCTCCATGAACATCGACTATAACCGCTGTGAGGATCGCATCCAAGAGCAGCGGGGGCTCGTCCACCGAATCGCTGGCATCTGCACCCGTCTTGTTCCCGACGACAAGGGTATCCATCTGCGCTTCATAAACACACGACTGCCCGACGCCGACAACCTCCGTATGGCCGACGTCGAACGAATCATGGCCGACGTTTCCGGAGCCGGAGCTACGCAGATTGGCACCAACCTGCGCCAACAGATCCTCGACCCGTTTGTCTACCAGGCCCATGCCAATGGGAGCCTGAAGCGACCGGTGTTCATTTCTGTCATTACGGATGGTGTGCCATCCAATGAGCCATCCTTTCAACTCCAGAACGAAATCATCCAGTGCCAAGAGTTTCTTCTAGAAAAAGGGCTCTCGCCGCGATGTAAGTAGGGGAATGGGCAAACTGCAGAGGGCAGTGAAGGGAAGATATATGAAAAGTACTAACATGCTCGTAGCCGTCATCTTCCAAATCAGCCAGATTGGCAGCGACTCGGATTCAAAAGCCTTCCTTTCAGGATTGGCCACAGATTCTCGGCTCGAGAATGTCTGCATAACGGCGCGTAAGTGTTCAGGGGGAGGGTTTTTTTTTATATGGGTGTTGTCGAATCATATTAACCACACCTGTTCAGAGCAACTTGATGCCAAATTCCGCGAGCTCCGAGACAACGAACGTAATTTGGAAGCATGGGTGAGTACCTTCTTCGGTGCGCTTTGTTCAATATTGAGTTCTGACACACAAAATATAGCTTTTCAAGACGCTGCTTGCGCCCGTTCTAAAACAAGAGTAGGCCCGTGTTTTGTCCCACAACTTGGAACAAGCATCCTTCTGCTAGACCGCATGGATCAAGAGGGGGCGTCTGAAAACGATCGTGTAAGAACGGCTATAATCTGTAGTTAGGAACACATGGTTGTATGTTAGAATAGGAACAAATGTATGTAAACTATAAGCTGCAAATTCTTTAAAGATCTTATGTCAACTCTAGGGTGCGCCTTTACACAGGCTCGGTGGTCACAGGCTCGGTGGTCACAGGCTCGGTGGTCACAGGCTCGGTGGTGCTGCTAGGTGGTGTATAATGTTATACGTAGAGCGGAGGAAAAACGTACGACTTAAGTTTGTTGGCGATGGACAGTTCACTGTCAGTTATGCTACGTAGCGAAAATATAGGCTGTCGTCGCCTAACTCTTTCAGTTCTTCACGAGAGGGCAAAGGACGGCCCTGTTCTGCTGCCTCTCTCCTCAAAATCCCTCGACTTATTTACGAATTTAAGTATAAAATTAAGGTACTACTATATAGACCTATATATAGTAGCAGTGAAAGCAACTATAGCTAGGGTAACGGCATTACCACGTATAAAGCAAAGCGTATCTATTATATCATCTATTATAGGGACTGCTTATAGCCCCCCTACGATTTGCTTACAGGCCCCCCACGCTAGCGAAAATGTGGGACAGTGTACAAAAACAACGAGAAAGTCCCAATGTCGAATAAACCAGACCTAAATGGGAGGGGCGTGCGCGATTATGCAGTGTGATGAAAGAATACATGTACTGTGTGGCGCAGGGGGCTATTTAGTATGTGTTTTGACGCACGTCTGCATATCTTAGAAGTACCTAACCATAACAATACATTCATGCTCACTGGGCACACATAATTCGTCACCCAAAGATACGAAGTAAGATACATGGGCACAACGCGCCGCTGTCGTGACTTGGAGCAAATTGTTGCTTGGTCGGCAGAGCATATCAGCATTCCATATGTAGACGGTGTAGATGGTCAAACAAAAATGGGTTCAATTCGCTTTTTTTTTGCTCATAAGATGTACCTTGTTGTTGTCTACAGGTCTAGCTCAGTCCAATCTCTTGGCTTTTGGTCGTCACAGACAAAATTTCGCTGCGCCCAAGCCAGCATATTCTCATACTTACGGCAGACGTGTGCCGTTCTGACGACGGGTGCGACGCCCCGGGGATTGACGGCGGTGTTGGCGAGCAGATACGGCGTCGACTCAAACGAACATAACAGTTCCTCGCGCAGCAGCTCAATACAGCTGTCCGCCTGCGCTCTTGTCGGCGGCCGGTACAACGTCTGGTTCGTACCATTCAAATAATCGCAACGATGAGGCATCTTCTGCAAAAAAAAAAATAAAAAAATAAGCTGGCGTCACAAACGGAAGATTCTCTTCCGACTTGTTTACCAGGCAGTTCATCTGTAGAGAGAAACCTGGAATTGCAACAGGCTTCCCGTAGCTTTTATTGGTCTTGTGCCGCAGCTGCTGCTGCCAACTATCTTTTGTGGATGGAGGCAGCTCATCCAACTCGACTACACCAACTTCATATACTGCTGTCAGCCGATTTTCTTTTGGTCGGTGGCATGACACAGTGAGAAGTTGAAGTTTATATCTTACAAGGAACCAAAGAATCCCACAAGCGTTCTCGCTGCGCTTCTGGAGGCCCTCTGAAAACGGACTGTGGAACGGACACTTGGATTTGATTTTGTCGCCGGTATTCGATAGCGTCCTTGGCTAAGACTGCAACGAGTGACTTTTTGGCGTCCAAATTTCTCTTCACCTCCAGCGCGCTCTTCTTTTAGATGTATGCTTGCTAGTGGGGAATAGTATGTCGATGCTGCTAGATGTGGATGGCGAACTCAGGACTGTAGCAGCGTAAAAAACAACAGAGCAGACAAGGAGTATTCCTGAGAAGAGCAAGATGCAGAATGGTTCCCGGATAGATAGATAGTCATGTCGTTGCGGTTTGGAAGCCATCTCGTCTGTAAAAGCTGTGGATTCGGTTTTCTTTTATTTGGGGTAATGAAGAGACAGAATACACTGCTTCAGACACCACCACATTCAGTAGTAAAATAGCCCGATCCTGAAAAACGCGAAAATCTTCGTCTTGTGGATGTGGAAGCGAATGAGAATGTGACAATTAAACCCCTTCAGGCCAGCATTGCATCATTCCGGACGAAGAATGCGTGCAGCTGACAGAACAAAAAACCGTTCCTACGGAGTACGTCGTATGTCGCGATTGTCGGCATTTCGTACCGAGAGCGAGCAAGCTTGACATGTGAGACTGCTCGGGTCCGTAACGGGGAAGGAGTGCGCGAAAAGATGCAGCAATGTGATCGTCAAAGCGGAGCCATGACTTACGTCGTAGAGGTATCTTACAGAGTACGGAGTATTACAAGTCATGATTTCGGGATCGTCTCCTGCCAAGTGGGTTTTGAGCCGATTAAAATCACCCTGAAGAGGAAGCTATATACGTAATATTGCATCCAACAGCTTTCTCAATTCTAGCTGTATCACTGTCTATGTGTCTTAACCGGGTGCCTGTCTTACGGAGACAGAAGAAAAACATCGGAGATAAACCGGCTCGGGGCTGCCCTCCGCTGCCAACGGTGCGGGCGAGATGATGGGGAGTACCTTCGCTCTTTCAGCGTTCGCCCTCCTTGACCATGAAACTTCTCATATTGTTCCCTGTCTAGTTTCATATTCGCAGAGTCGAAGCACATCTCATCGGTTCTTACAACCCAGCTCCCATGTCTTTGCTGGTACAAAGGCCAAAGAATCAAGTCTTGGGGCCCCAGGATCTGACAGAAAACGGACTCGATGAAGGGAAGGACGGTCTCTTGGACGGCCAAGAAGGATCTCCACATACCCGGTTGCATTTGCAAAGCCGGTGGTGGGCTTTAATTGCGATCGTATCGTGGGTATTCACCGGACTTCTGGCCTTGTTTTTGGCCGTAAATCTATATTCCCAGGCCGACCTTGCGGCCAACAGCTTCTAGCATGGCTGGAAAACTGACTTTTGTGGGTTCCTTCTCTTATACACAAGTGTACGCCACCCTTTCTAACCATCCCGGATCGATATACAGTCTCGGAACACGAAGCTGTGAGCATTTAGACGACAATATTCACCGGCAGCCCTGCCTTCACAGATAGTGGAGGATCTTAAATCCCCAACAAGGATCCAAATCTTTATGTTGAAAAACCTAGCCCGGAAATGGATCATGCTTGGGAGAGATTGATCGAAGGTGAATCATGTTAAATCTTTGCTTGTCTCTTTATAATCTCACAATTTTGAATCATATACAGGACGGTATTTTCTAGTCACAGAGGGCGAGGCTAAAGCCGCTTGGGGCAGCGACTACAAGAGCTACTGGTCAGCGGATCGAGGCGACTATGTTGCCGGGTATATGAAGAGCCAGCGTTTTCTATAAATCCCATGCCGCGAGTTAACAGCACATCTTCCACAGCCTCGATGTCTTCTACACCCTCCACTGCCTAAATTTGATTCGCCAAAAATTCACCCAGAATACTATCCGCCACGCCACAGAAGTCCTGAGCACCAGGCAACCCATGACGGTAATATTCTCCTCTCTTCTCTCTTTTTCTACGCCCTTTCCACCAAAACTAACGCCTCGCACCAAGGACACGGTATCGAACAGATCCGATAGTATATAATGTGCGCGGGTGACCTAACCGTCCTAGGCACGAAGTTTTACCCGGGACTTGGTGATCATAGCCGCAACTATGTCCTGTCAGACGCTCCGTATACATGTCGCAACTTTGGTCGCATACAAACGTGGACATGGGACCGCTACAATGGTAGCATGGCAGTCCAGCCTGATTTGGACAAAGGGCAAACCTGAACAGTTCTTGTAGGGAACACTAGCCAGAAGGGGGAAGCGCTGATAAGGAAAGGGGCTTCTACTTTCATGTCTGTATACAACATACGTAGCCGGATTCTGTACTTTGCGAATAGGTAGCCGATGTCCTATTCAAGTAGGTCCATTTATGCGTACTCCGTACTCGTATTTTACACTAGGAAAAGCTTATCTAGAAGCTGCAACAGAACACAAGCACTCTTGCAAGCGCTAGCAATATATGCAAAGCACGCTAAAGAAGCAACATTGTATATTTAAAGCTATTCTAGCATCTATAATGTCTGCTGTCTTCGCTGTTTCCAAAATTCCGAGCAGTTCTAGCTTACAAGATGGAGAGCGCTCTCGCTGCCTTTAAGATCAAACAACCAGTTCTCTTCAACGCCACTGTCCAATCCCTCCAGGATGACGCCCGGGTACTTATTGACGGCACCACGGCTGCCTGAAATAGCATCCTAGCCAGCGTTAAGACTCCGGCAGACGCCACGTTTAAAAATACTATTATGCCTATCATCCAAGACGAGAATGCCTGCTCCGAAACACAAAGAGTACTCCGGTTCTATGCTACCACATCGCCTTGCGCAACTTTACGCGACGCTTCTAATACGGCAATCAGCGCTCTGAACGACGCTGAGGGTGACTTCTTCTCGAGACAGGATGTCTCAGTGCTAGTTGATGCTGTGCTTAACCGATCACCGGCTGGAAGAGAAGACAGGTGCTTCATCCGGTCGCCGCCCACTATGTCTCTAAGCTACATCTGCTGTTTCGTCTTAACGGTTGTAGCATCATCTCTTCTAGCCAGCGGGATATCTTTACCGCTAAAATGAAGCAGCTCAACGACCTTGTACGCGAGTGCACCCGCAACATGTCGGCCGACGCCAGTGGCTTGTGGCTCTCTTGGGACGAGCTTGAAGGCGTCCTCCGACGTGTTTTAGACAGGCTTACAGACAAAGGACCTGTTGTGGATAGTGATATTGGCAACAATGGCAGCGACAACATTGGCAAACTTTGGCTCCCAACCAAGGTTGCTTTTAGCAGCCCAGTGACAGCCAGTGCAACGTGCGAAGCGACGAGGAAGAAAGTGTACTATGCCGTGGTTAACCGGATGCTTGTGAACGTTCCACTGTTTCGTGAAGTAGTGCTGCTACGCGATGAGACGGCTCGCATGCTCGGCTTCCGCCACCATGCTGCTTTAAAGGCGGCAGGTAACATGATGCAGACGCCCGAAGCTGTGCGTCAGTTGCTGTCCGAGATCTCGGATGTATTGCACCGTTTGGCAAGTGAGAAGGCCTTAGAGTTGCTAAAGCTGAAGCAAGAAAGAGCAAGGGCCTAGGGTACGGTAGCAGAGGATGAGATTGCGCGCATGCAGGTGTTTTTTTGGGACCAGTCGTACCTTGCAAGTCAAGCGAGCGAGAAGGAAAATCCCGCTAAGGCTGCCTTGTCGGAGTACTTTGAGCAGAACAACACACTGCAACGACTTCTACAGTTATTCGAGCACCTATTTGGGGCCCGGCTAGTGTCAATCGACACCAGATCCCCCAACATGCCGCAGCATTTGGTATGGCACGACACGATCCTGTTGTTCTCGGCCTGGAACGTCGATGATGAACAGAGCACAAAATTTCTCGGTTATGCCTATTTTGATTTGATTACACGCGCCAATAATTGAACTCACGTTAGGCATTATCCGCTACCGCAGGTACAATGCCCCATGTATTCTTCCCATTCCTCTTTATTCATGTACGCTAATATAATTATCATGGCAGGGCTATGACACACCAAATGGTAGTCGTTTCTATCCCTCGTCTGTGTTGGTGATGAACTACATCCAGCCAAGTCAGCAGAAGCCAACGCTCCTACGTATAGACGAAGTGCGTAAACTGTTTCATGAACTAGGCCACTTGTTCCATGGGCTTTTATCGTATAGCCAATATGCGGGACTGCATCGTGTGAAGAGGGATTTTGTCGAAACACCAAGCATGATGTTGGAGCGGTTTTCATGGCAAATGCAGCACATCCGTGACGTTTCATGGTACTATTCATACATTGGACCAGAAATGGAGGCCGTCTGGCTGCCTTCCTGCAATCCTGGGAGCCAGAAATCGCGACCAGCACCGCAGTTGGACAAAGATCAGGCCGAGCGCCTCGCCTCGGCAAACCAGGCAAAGAATATGCGCGACCAGCTTAAGGACATCTTCTTCTCGACGCACGACCACCTGGTGCTACAGCCCCGAGACGCACGAAGAGCTTGAGGCGATGAATCTGACGGAACTCTTCAATCGAACCCGTGCCGACATATACCAGATTCACGGCGGGGAGGCGTTAGACGAGGGTTGGGAATGGGGCCACGGTGAATCCGTATTTCGAAACGTGCTCAACGGCTACGACGCTGAATACTGCAGCTACATTCTGTAAGTCTTCTGTTTACCTGATGACATTGACATGGGACATCAATGACTGGTGCTTGTGTGTTTCAGGGGAAGGGTGTTTGCGCTGGACCTGTTTGACGTCGGGTTCAAGCATGACTCAACAAGCAAAGACGCGGGACGGCGATACCGAGATATGGTGATCGTCAAAGGTGGTAGCCAGCCGGAAATGAAAACCCTGACGGACTTCTTGGGCCACAGGCCTAGCACGGGGCCTTACCTCGCATGGTTAAGGTCACCATAGCAGCTTCAAGGCAAGTGCTTGGTTTTCTGGAATCGAGCTTTGGGTGCACAGTGAGCGCGTGTGTCTTGTCATGGTTGGTACGGAGTACTGTGAGCGGAGGTAGGGTGAGGCCTCTGCTCGAACTAACAACACACGCACAAACCTACTAACACACGTGTCTGTACACGTAGAGAGGCGCCTTAAGGCACCTCCCTTCGTCACAAGGTAGGGCAGTGCGTGGCTGGTCCGAAGGGAAAGAAAGAAAGCCATGCGGGCTCATCTTAGGATCCCGAAAGAGATGACAAGACGAGCCCGCCCAGCGAGGTCTTGGGCGTACCTTTTTGCTCACAAGTGCTCTGCATATATGTCTTGTTGATTGACCAATTGCGTGCATGCGTGCGTGTCCCTCTCTTGAGGAGAGGGAAGAAGAGAGCGGTTTTATATACATAGGGTGTGTAAGTGGTGACAGAAGGCATGAATTGTTCCACATTTTATTGGTCAAGAAAAGTGGGTTGGTCATGTGACGCGTTAGCATCCCGCGAGGGGTCTTGACATGTTCATCCTGTGCGGCCAGAATGGGGGTCTTGGGGGGTGCACTTCTCTCATCACTCAGTACCTCATACGAGTTTCATTTTTCGATTACGAGTTCAAAGCAGAGTTGCCGTATTGATTTCCAGTTCCCGCCCATCCCCAGCGTTACCGGGGTATTATAGTGTAAATGATAGAACCTGCGTACGGAGTAGGGATCCCACCTGCATATATTGATTTATGGAGGTAAGCTTATCCGTTCGATGGTATCGCTATCGGGACCGCCTTTATGCACAATCCACTGTGCTGGTTTACTGCAAGTTCCACGACCTCACATTTCTCTGCTCTCAATTGCAAAGGTGCACTTGAAGCCAAGCTTACGCTCTAATACATCATGGCCGCCACACGTCTCCGCCACACGTTTCGCTACGCAGACGACGAGGACGATCTGTCCGACGGGCCGGAAGTGCTGGATGAACAGGGTGAGTGATGGACGGCACAAACACAGCATGAACTCAGCTCCATTCCGTACACATCGCGCCTTCAAACACCAAACGGCTGACCGTGTCAGAACAGGATGACCTCATCCAGGCGCTGGCCCAGCAGAACCAGCGGCGCAACGAGCAGTTCCGCCAGCTGCTGGTGGCCGTCCCCGTCTTGGCCATGGTGCCCTTCCTGATTGCCTGCGTCTCTCCATCGATATCATCGACTCGCTCCTCTTCCGCCACGATGCTTCCGCTGCTCGGCCTCACATCGCTGGCCGCCACCGCCTATCTGCTGCACCGCCAGCCCGCCGCGACGACTGGCATCGCCGCTCTGGACGCCTGGAGCGGTGCTGCTCGGTCACCGTCGTCGTCGTCGCCAGCATCGCCGCTCGATCGACACCTCCCCCTGCTCAACGCCGGTTTGTGCGCCATGCTCCTGCTGTCGCTGCTTCTGCCACGGCCCTCGGCCGCCGGATCCAGCTCCCTCTCCCGCCAGCTCCTGGCCAGCCTTCCGGCACTCGTCTACAGTGTCGTTCTCGCCGGCAAGGCCACCATGGCCGGCGTTGACCCCGAGCAGGAGCTCGGTCGCCTTCGCTACGACTACAAGGGGGCGTGAAAATATACAGTGTGTGTGACACAATCAGCACTGTGCGATGCGTATTTTTACGGCATTCGCCACAAGGCTTCAGACCTGCGCGTTTCACACCAAGCGAGCCGTCTCCCTCGCGTGTACCCTCCACCAGACAGCCGAACGGACGACGCCATGCCACCACCACAGGCGTCACGCCCGGCCCTCACGCACTTTCTGTGCATCCCGCTGGGGACGGCCGCCGGCCGGCCGCAGCTGGCCGCCAGCCTGGCGGCTTTCCATGCCGACATGGCGGCGACGACGGTGGCCATGACAGAAGGGGGGCCGACGGGGCCGAGCAACCGGGGTGGCGGGACCACCCGTCGAGGACGGCTGCCGGCCGGAGCACTGCGGCCAGTGGGCACACTGCATCTGACGCTGGGGGTGCTGAGCCTCGGCGGAGACGGGCGGCTGCAGCAGGCTCTCGAGCGGCTGCAGCAGCTGAAGGAGCTGAACAAGGACGAGGGCGCGGCAGACGTCCGCGTGGCCCTGCGTGGACTCTACGCGATGCAGCCGCCGTCGCGGGCAGCCGTGCTGTATGCGGCGCCGGTGGACGAGGCATCGGGCGTGGTGGCGGGCGGGGCGCTGCTGCGGCTGTGCGAGCGCGTGCGGGCAGCGTTTGCCGATCTGCTCGTCGACGACGGCCGGCCGCTGCTGCTGCACGCGACGCTGGTCAACACGGTATACATCCGCAGAGGGGGCCGGGGACGGGGCGGAGGAGGACGGGGTGGGCGTGGAGGAGGCCGTGGACGCGGAAGAATCCTGTTGGACGCACGTGACATCGTGGAGAGATACGAAGACTGCGTGTGGATGGAGCAGGTGCCCGTCGAGACGGTGGCGCTGTGTCGGATGGGGGCGCAGACGTTGGCCGTGGACGACGACGGAGAGGTGGTGGAGGCAGCATATCCGGTGGAGGCCGAGGTGAAGGTGTAGGATGAGAGATCGGAGTAGGACGGAAGAACGAGATGTTGCATGTTGTGAGGCAGACGACATATGCGGCACATATAAGCGCAATACAGCAAAGACAGTCAGACAGAGGTCGCGTTACAGGGCTTACAGCAGTCATTTACAGCAGTTGCAGCTACAGAAGCTACTACCCTCCACTCTTAAACCTGCTGAACACCCATTCTTCCACGTACGGCCATAGATATTGGAAAGCACGGGATCCCGTCCGCTCTCCCCTAGTTAAACCAGTAATCGGCGGATTAGTAGTTGGGTCGGTGACGACCAGCGAATACCCGCTGCTGTACGTTTTTTGTCCTTTCGTCGTTTTTCTTTCTGTTCTTTTTGCTGTCTTTTCCTCTTCATTATATCCGTCTCTTCTTCCGTCCAAGTCTCCTCGCGTAGCTCCTGTCTAGCATACTGGAGGAACCCGCCTGAAGCCCCGCCTAACTCCGTCAGCGCTCAGCCCTATGGCCTCTGCCCCTCTTTCCTACCCAGCGTCGAGAGACGGTCTCGTCCCAGCTCTCCCGTCTTTAGTCACGAGAACGCTGCAACTGATGCACTGGACGAGCAGTGGGCCTGTCTGACTCTGCTCTCTGCGACTATCCTTTTCACGGCAGGCCGGAAGCGCCCTTGTGCCTCCTCTTGTTGGCCGTCCTGTCTCCGGGCAGCTGGACGAGCGGACGAGCTTGACGGACAAGGGCGCCGCCATTCTTGGCCCAGGGGACCGACAATCCCTCCGCCATGCTCAACCTGGCCGACAGTGATGCGCCGTCGACGGCCCCGGCCGGGATCAGATGCAGGACCACGCCGGCGACGGGCGTCTCCTCGTCGCACGTCCTGCAAACCACGTCGTCGTCGGCGGCAGTAGCCGGTCGTGTATCTGCCGGCAGAGTGGTCGCCGCAGCAGTGACGATACCGGCAGCAATGCCAGCAATGCCAGCAACACCAACACCGTCAACATCATCAACACCAACACAAATAATCACGCCTATACCAGCACCAACAACATCAACACCAGACACATCTTCATCAGACAAGGACGAGCGCATAGCCCAGCTCGAGCGCGAGCTGGCCGACCGCACCGACTTCCGTGCCGAATGGGAGACGATAGCAGCACGTGACGAGGAGCTCCGGACACTGCGGCTGCAGGTGCGTGGGCTCAAGGAGCGAGTCAGCACGGCGACGCGAGCCGAGGGCGTGACCACCAGCGACGAGGTGCTTGCCGGCGGCATGGCCCGTCTGGCCAACGGGCTGCAAAACTGGGTTATTGTGCACTTTCGGCGTGCGAAGCTAGGTGGGTGTTTTGCTGGTGCATCCTGTCGTCTTTCCCCTTTTTCCTCTTTCCTCTCTCTAATTTTTTCCAGCACATCCAGACGACTGCTATGAGCTCACTCAGCTCGTCCCCATGCACGAGCTTTTGCGCCACTCGGCCAAGCTGCACCTGCTGCAGTCTGCCGTCGCACGACTGCTGGTCGACCACGTCTTTGCAGCTTACTACGTCGGCCTGTCGTCCGAGCTGGCTGCCCAGCTGTCCCAGATCGAGGCGGCTCTGCTGTCGTATGGTGCGTCTCCATCTGGTCTCGGGTCCCCCTTGCTCTCCTCGTCCTCTCCTCTCCTCTGACCATTTAGCCGGCTCGGCCGGACCCATCAACCAGTGGCGTGCCCTCACCCTGGCCATTGTCAGTAGAGATGCCGCCAAGCAGCTGCCGCCAGAGACGGATCGCCTGATCGACGATGTGGTGGGGCGCATCAGCAGTGTCCTGGATAGGGCCACGACCACAACGACAACCACGTCCACGGACGATCGCAATCAGGCCTTGCGCTTGCTCGTCGCCGGTGCCGTCGATCTGTCGCGCCTCCTCGTCGCCCAGCGGGCCGTCTTTCGCATCTTCATGCCCAACCCGACGCCACACCAGCAGCTGCTCTTCGACCCGTCCACGATGGAGGATCTAGGCTGCGAGGAGGACGATGACGACGGCCTGGCTCGGCGTGAAGTCGCCTTCCTGGCCTTTCCTGGCATCATCAAACACGGCGACGAGACGGGCGGCCAGCTGCAATATCGCAACGTCATCTGCAAGGCTCGTGTCACCTGCGCCCGGAAGGATGAAGAGTCTCAACAAGGAAAAGAATAAGCCGGAGCAATGCTGGCCCCCACCCATTCTCCTGCCCAGGTCGTATCTCCAAACTAGCTGTAGTTGCCACGAACATCGGTCGTCTCGGCCGATCAAATGACCTGTTGACATATCATGTCATAATCCACGTACTGCATTTCCCGCTTAGATCAATGGAGATTTCAGAAGCATAAGGAGGGGTCACTCATCTTCGGCACACAAGTCCAGCCGCAGAAACGAAAGTAGAGACGGCCCCGTCCTGTCCCTCTACGGTTCTGCCGCCTTATCGGGTGCCACGAAAACGAGTGTGGCCTCTAAGCCAGAACAAGCAAGACGCCACCAGCACAACGACAAGGCTATGTTGCCGATCTTCGAGACACACCGCCATGCTGCCTGCGGCTCGTACCAAACCTGTGCATACGACACATTGCTCACACCAACGTATGCGCAGCGACGCAACACAAACGCCTGGGACAAGGAGTCGCTGCCCAAATCTGGCTCGGCTAACGCGGAGGAGGGGAAGAAGGACAATACCCTGATTGGGCAGTGATCCACATAGAGCCTCAGCTCAAAATCCAATCAATGGAAGCAAACGACAGCTGCTTGTCCCATCCCGTCATGTCTTCAGCGACGTGATATCAGCACGAGAAAACCCGCATGACCGGCACCCCTCTCTTCCTTGTGCCCTACTATGCCGTACCACACTTTGAGAGGTGTGAGTGGGGATACAGGTAAGTACACAGCGTTCCTTGTCTGGCCTTTCTGAACATCGGTCGAGCACCGATGTTTTTTCGATGAATTCGAGGGATGAGATGTCAAATCCGGGAAAGTAGAGCCAGCGGCTGCGGTTATGGCCGTCACGGATCCCGCTGTCTGGCGTCTAGGACAGTCCAATATCTCATAATGTTGCGCATCCGGCGTGCGGACATGAAAGGCAGCCGCTGCATTGAGCGGCCGAAGTACCCTGCCCGTTGATCTCTTGTACGGTCGGCATCTTCTCGGGGGTTTCCGTTGGTCTTGGTTTCAGCGAACCAAACCTCGCTCCCTCTCATGGTCCATTTCGCGAGATATCCAGCGACTGCTCGATTTGCTGAACCTGCCAAGACGTGGTCCTTGTCTCTTTTAGGAAATGCCGGCGCTGATATCGACTCTCTCTGCAGACTCGTCCATAGGAGGAGGAAGAAAGCAGCAAATATCGCGCCAGCCAAAAACTCTCTTCCAGCCCTGCACAATGAGAGACTGCCCAATCGTGCAAGGGAGCATCCGATGGCCAACACACACCCACACCTAACATGGAGGCGGCCCGAAACAGGCCGCGTCTTTTGGTGCCTTCAGTTCGGAGTGGCCGGCCGCCAACGGTAGTAATTTCACGCATAAGAGCGGTCAGCAAACGCAAAGCCCCAAAGGGCGCCTCGATGCGATGCTTCGTCGGCTCAAGAATTCTCTCCCCTCCCTCCGTTTCCTTTTGCAGTAAGTGTTTGCTGGTGCGATTGGGGGGGGATGTCCGTATGCATGGAGACGGCCAGCCCATAGCTGGTTGGAGCAGTGCTCTTGTCGACGGACAATGGATGACCTGCCGCTCGCTTTGCGGCTCATTGCTTCTGTTGGCGCGCACAGACTTGAAATAACCCAGTATCCGTCTCTTCGAAGCCGTTCATGTCTGTCGTGTGTGTTGCGCCTCACTCTGCTTTATCTCACCATCTCTTTCCTCCTTTTCATCGAAGTCATCTCCACTTGGCGTCTCTTGCTGTGTTCTTTGGTTGACGGTATCACTTCGCGCATTTGCGTGGTAAAGAACTCGTCTTCCGTGCCGTCCCATTCACTCCGATTGCTATAGCCCCTGTATCTTGTTAAGTGTGCACGCTGTGTCCCGTCGGCGTAGCCGCATTGACACCAGACACTGATTGGGCAGAGCACCACCATTCTCGCCTGTTCCTCCGAAGTGCCCTTCATAACATACCTTCCGTGCTCTGTATTCCAGCCGATCCGATTTCCTTCAAACTTTCTTCTGTCTCCAATTCTAGCCGCCTCTTCTTCACTGTGCTGTTGTTACACTGAAGGTACCTTGTCGGGTTGAAGAACGCCCAGCCCAGCATGAATAATGATGAGGATCCGTATGATGGGCAAGACTATCCCGATCATGGCGGGTATGGCGGGCAAGACCATGTTCATAATTATGAGTGTGACGAGCAAGCCTATTGCTATGATGATCAGAGCATGGCTAGTGATGTAACGGGTATGCCTCACCACCCGGCACTACCACTTGATAGCACAGTGGTCATGGAGAGTAACTCCGTGCCAGAGCAACTGAACGGGGAAGTGTAAGTCACTGATATCTCGTTTTCTCATCCATCCGAACAATGCAACCGTTAACTTGAAAATCCCTCGAAGCTTTCCGGAAGACAGCTATCCGATTGATTACCAGGAAAACGGTTTCGATACAGATCATCTTGAGGAGACGATGGCCTCCACGAATTCAGGGGATTTTGCTGAACAGTCTGAAGAAAGTCATATCGGCCTGTCCCCGCCGGGAGAATTGCCGCCAGAGCCTTATGAACCATTCCCAGGCGGGAGCGTCAGCCCTACCTTTACCGACTCATCGAGCCCCTTTATGGAGCACACACCGATTCATGACATACACCAGCCGGATGGGCAGCCATATTTTCAGCAAGTAACACGCGACGGCCTCCCTTGCATACTCGGAGTGATTGGCTTGTGCCACAGCGTGTTCCCTGTCACTGCTACAGAAGACTGGATCCGCCATAACGAGGGCCATTTTCATCCTCGTTATCCACTGTCATGCGAATGTTCGATCTGTGGAGAATGTTTTAGCGGACAAATCGAAATGCCTACGCATTACTATAACCAGTGGGACAATACCTCCCCTCAATGCTTGTGGGATTATCTGTGGCATATTGCGCAGCACTACCAGACAGCCGACGATAATGGCGGTGAATGCTTTTTGATGCTTAGTGACGGCATATTGCGAGAGCTTCTGGCTCGGGAATGGATAACTGAAGATAGGAGAAACTTCCTCGATGGTCACTTTCGCGGCCTGTTTACCCTCCAAGAACAATAAGAAATATGGGAGAGGCAACAAGCAAAGGAAGACGTCAAAAGAGTGGCGGTGACCCACAACAGCCGGGTCGATCGCTCCTGCCAGATCGTGCCGGGGCCACTTGGCCCTGGGTTTTCCCGATCTGGACTGGCCTGTCGCCGGGTGCTTACCTCCTCTGTCGTTTCTCCCAATCTTTTCCCATTCGTCTTTCAGCCTCGTCTTTTCTTTCTGGCCCGTTTTTTCAGTCTGCTTTTAGTTCTTTCCATGCATCCACCCCTGCAACGATTTACAGGAGGTAAATATCCGAGTCTGTGCACGCATGCACAACCAGCATGCTGCATATGGTAAGATATAGTTGCCCCCTCTCTGACCCGTTGTCATTTGAAAGCGAGGCTGACTGAAGATCCACCCGACATCAACAGTTCTCCGCAGCCGGAAAACATTTCCCGGTCTCGGCGGTCCGCTTGGAAGAGTCTGTTGCAACCGCTTCTTCGTCTCCCCGCTTTGCAGTACACGAGAGCAGGGCTTGGGCCAGTGTTTTTTGGACTGGCCTGGACATGGGGAGGTGGAGTGGAGTGTACAGATTCTCGCGTGTTGTGCTTTCTGTTCGCCCCAACGGTTGTCTTGCTGTCTGCTCCTTTTCTAGTATCGGCCGGAGCGAAGCTTCGGTTTCTCTCATATACGTTAAGGTGTTTGCACTGGTCGTCTGCAAAGCCATTTTGAGTTATTTCTCTGTTTGTGTTTGTCTGTTCCACGCGAGATCATATACTTCAAGTGTATGGATCGTTCTTCAATTTCATCTCTGTTGCTTCTCTCTAGCCTCTCACCTGGGCGTACATCGTAACAATGATAAAATTATATTGCGGAATGATGCATTTACACACACAAAAACCGATCACGGCAACATTTTGTAGCAAGGGTCCCTCCCTCTTATACGTACAAAGTAAATTGCTGTGTCTGCATTTCCGCCCCGTCGAGACACTTACGCCCGGGAAGTGGGAATATTCTACCCAGCTCAACAGATTACTGGAAGAAGGGGAGGCACGCAAGGCGTTTAGCCAAATTGTGATACACTATCATATGTAGCAGTGGCAATTAATGGGTCGGTGTGAGGAGAAATAGTGGAAATATTACGCCTGACGCCCGACATAAGACTTTTGGACCGTGTCCTATTTCGCTCACACTATTGGTGTTCACCGTAATTATGCTATCTTCGGTTGTCTGCAAGCCGAAGAGGACTTGTCATTTGCTGTCACTTGGGCATGATACACGTATGCCGAGACAGTCGAGCCTGACGGCCGATTTCTGGAGGAGAGATTGCCAATGTGCAGAGTAAGACGGGGGATTTTGCGTCCAGAATTCCCGCACCATGTCGCCACAGTAAGTGCTCGTATCTAACCCGTATGTACAGTGAGGCGCAGCCAGTCCATTTACAGTGGCTTGGCGAGCGTACCGGCTTTTCAAGAGCACAGCTGTGTTCGACGCTATTAGATCAAAGAAGAAGTTGAGCACTCGTATGTTGTGCAACGCGATAAGACACCAGTGGTCGCTCACGTGATTTCAACTGCTCACAATGTGATGCGGGAGAGCAAGCTGTCGTTGCGCAATTCGCAGCTCAAGCTGGCGTGGCTGGCCATAGACTCCGCAGTGTCCTCGCCAAGATGACGCTAATAACTAGCATGCTTTCCAGCAGAACACTCGGGACGTCAAAGGCTACCGGCGGTTGGGAACAAAAGCCGACAAGCGGCCGTGTGAAGAGGCATGTGGTTTCACTCTACATAGATTTTACGATTGACTACAAGTCTACCGGGGTATCTCTGTCTGATTTGTACCCCTCGTTTGATATCATCAAAAGATGTCACCGTGGTCGGAGCCCCGGCGCGCCCGGGTAGAAATTGTCTAGAGTTATGCTGATCTTTGCGTTTGTACAGAGGATGCCCGCGACTTATTATGAGATATCTTTTGCGGTTTTCAAGTGCAGACGCTCTCAATTGTATTAGATGCGGCCCGTCTTCCTTAACCACATACCTTTCCTAAACTAGACTAGATCGTACTGCGCCACTGGCCAGTTGGCAATTAATATGGGTCAGACAGCAGGTCTTTTGCCTGGAAACTGACTGCACAGCGAACAGACAGGATCGAGATGAGAGACATGATACGAGATGATGACATTGAGATTCAGACGAAGTTGCACGTATCGGGACCAGCCTGGGCCTTTTTTGCCTTTTAAGTTTCCTCTATTACACAGTAGACTGCCGCATTTTCTCGTTTGTCGCCGTAAACAAAAGCAAACACAACTGTCTGAGACGTTTTCTCAAAACATAGCGATCCTCGTGTCCGGCACTGAGCTATTCTTGTGTTCGGGCGTACGACTGTTGGTCATTTCACATGAATTTGCCGGGAGTGATGCCGCTGCTGCGAAACTGAGCACTGCATCTTGTCGCACATTGCTCCTTCCGGCAAACGATGACAGACGCTTTCGGAAATCAGCAGCCGGACTGCCCCCTGGGAGCCTGTTTGGACTTTGTTGATTCTGTTCCGTCCTTTTATCTTTCTCACCAGAGCCAGTCCCATTCTTCTGTCCTTTCTCCGGCAATGGCAACAGACAGCAAATCATGATACCCAGTTAAGCCAAGAAGTAGATGCAGCACACTCTCACTCTCACACTCACCCTCAATCGCTCACACCTCATGAGCGAAGCTTCCTGGCCGGCCATCCGGGCCACCTGCATCACCCTGCTTGTGCTGACGACTGCCGTGATGCTGGCCCGGCTCGTCGGCGACGCCCGGCGATGGCGCGCCCGCCAGGTCCAGTCCGAGGACGGCTGGCTGGCGCTGTGCTACGGCTTCTTCGTCGCCGTGGCGGCTCTGTACCTGCGCGTCGTCCCGGCCTATCTGCGGGTGGAGAGCGTCGAGATCGGCCGGACGGCGCCGTATGCGACCGTGCTAGTAGACGCCCGCTTCATCCAGCAAGGCGTCTTCTCGGCCTCAGTCTGCATCTGGCTCTGCCTCTGGTCGGCCAAGCTGTCGCTCCTGTGCGTCTGCCGGAAGCTGCTCGACAAGCTGCCGCTGTACCGGAAGCTGTGGTGGGCGCTGGTCGGCTTCTCGACGGCGGTGCGTCTAATGGACGGTGTTGACCACATGACCACACAAACGAGAGAAGACACCCGCTGACGGACCCCAGACCCTTGTTGGCTGCATCGTCAGCCTCTGCGTCTCGTGCGAGACCATGACCGCCTGGTTCACCGTCGGCGGCTGCTCGACCCGGCGTGATGTCGCTCGCGCCGTCGTCAGCATGTGGTACTCGTATGCTGTCGATGTGCTGACGGATCTGCTGAGTGCGTTCTCTGCCGTCCTTTCAGCTCGAACCTAGACGGATTGCTCACCGCCCCCACAGTCATGGCCCTTCCCCTCCGGCTCATCGCCGGCCTCCAGATGCCGTTCTTCCGCAAGCTCTCCATTGCCGTCCTCTTCGGCCTCGGCTGCGTCTGCATCGTCGCCTCCACCATCCGAGTCACCCAGATCAACAATGGCGCCAACCATCCAACTCCGACCTGGCTGGCCCTCTGGGGCACCGTCGAGGCCGCCACCGCCGTCGTCATCGTCAACTCGCCCGGGCTCTACCGCATCGCCAAGCAGTCCTCTGCGAGACGAAACCGCCGCCGTAGAGGTGGTGGTGGTGGTGATGGTGATGTTGGTGGTGGTAGCAGCTCTTACTACGGCCACAGCTATAGCTTCGGATCCAAGACACCGCGCAGCCAAACCAAGAGACTGGGCACCGGCACCGAAGATAGGGAGTGCACCAGCCTTCAAAACCGTCCTGACTTTGGCACAGTTACCACCACCGTCACCGCTACCGTGACGGAAGACGGCGACGGTGAGAGCGATCATGACGGTTCCGTCGACCACATCGACCGCGACAACGACTTGCCCGACAACGTGCCGCTCAGGCCACCCCCCAGCGTCAGCAGGCCCAGGCGAAGCCACAGCATTATCGCTGCGGTTGCGGCCGCCGCTTTATGGCTCGACGGCCCCAGAAAAAGCCAGGAAGTCCTGGTTGACGGCGCTGATCACAGCCTGGGCATCGGCCATGGTCATAGCAGAGGCATCATCGTGACAAACACAGTGCAAGTGTCGCATGGGCCAGAGACATCGCACTATGAGGTGTGAGGACGGAGTCTGGAGGGAGAGAAGGATGAAGAAAGGGTGAAACAGTTCCAACGCCTATATTTTAGCCTGTATATAATTTCTGACCGCTGACGCAAAACATGACTTAGATCTCCTTGTACATATAAGGCAGGAGCGATGGGCTCCTGAGCACATGACTTCTGTAGCCCTGGGACCGTCTAGTGTAGTGAGTGAGAGTGTGTGGGTTTTCCCGATATCCAGTGTCCAATGTCCAGTACGAGTATCAGGCCCACGACTATCCACGTCCACCTCAGTGAAATTCTGCCTCCACCCGGCCGTACCGCACGCCGTCCACCTTGAGCTCGAAGCCCAGACCGGCGCTGTCGACGACCATCTCGAGAGTGAAGTCGAGGTTATCAAACTCGACGCCACGCGTTGTGGTCAGTCGCGTGAACAGGCTGCGCGGCACGGCCCGGAGATCGGTCGTGAGCGTGCAGACGTGTATCAGGTTGGCGTCGCGGCCGCGTGTGTAGGCCAGAGGCGGCTCGTCGGCCGCGCAGGCCAGCAGGTCATCGGTGACCAGCAGCGACTGACCCGGCCGGAAGTTGCGCGTGTAGTGGAAGGCGATCGGTTCCAGCGGTGAGATCGCGTCGTCCTTGGCAATGTGCCACTGCATGCGGTCCGACACCATCCACCGCTCCCACAGCGGCGACCAGTACCGCTCGCCGACCTCGTGCTTGGTCTCGTCGTATACCGTCGCGTATGACGTGCCGTAGTGGAAACGTGCCCGTCGCGACAGCACCATGTTGCCCTCGAGTCCACGCAGCACTGCTCCACGCACGACTGCCGTCCAGGCGTACATCGGCTGCATCACCTCGATCGGCCCGGCCGCCTGCGTCGACAACGTCGTCATGGCTGCTTCTGCTGCTGCCGCTGCTGCCGCTACTGCGTGTGTCGGCCGCTCACTGTATGGCGGTGGAGGCAGCACTCCGGGCCGGCCGTCCTCACCGTCGCCATCACCGGCTCCGCTGCCACTGCCGGAAAAGCATGCCCGTACCCGCCGGTACAGGTAATCGCTCTGGCCGAACCCGCCTACGAGGATGATGCCCGACACGATGCCACCCTTGGACCGCAGCCCGTCGACCTGGCCTTGCACCAGATCGCACACCTCCGTGACCACGGGCTCAAAGATTTCCCGCACCTGATCGGCAGTCATGACTAGGAAGCCCGAGTCGAGGCCCACTGCTTCATCGTCGGGAAGACCGGGTAATCTAGAAATTAGCTTGAGTGGAGAGGAAAGAGGAGAGAAGAAGAGAGATCAAAATAGAAAACTCACGGAATATTCACCTCTTGGTGCTCGTCTTCGTTGAAATTGCGCTTGACAAACTCCTCAAAGTAGCGCAGCCCCATCTGCCAAGTCTTGCTCTTCTTGACCTTCATCTCGTCGAACCGGCTGGCGCCGAGACGTTCGCGCACGTGTTCCTCGAACCGGTAGTTGAGGAAGGCGCTTCCACAGAGGCCGCCCGTGCCCACGGCTGACTCCTCGACGTGCAGCGGCTTGAGCGAGATGATCTTGTATGCGATCAGGCTACTTTGTTAGTTCTGGGGGAGATGGGACGAGGAGGACGACAAGGACTACGAACAGAAACAACTCACTCTACCGTCCCTCCGCCGCCATCACACACAATCACATTGTCGCCCACGTTCAGATGGTTCGGCTGGATCGCCTTGAGCGTGTACAGAGCCGCCGCCTCAGGCTCGCTGATCATCTGGATGGCCGCGCGGTCGCCCATGCCGGCGCGCTCGGCCGCCAGCAGCGTCGTGTTCTTGGCCGCGTCCGACCAGACGGCCGGGCAGGTGAGCACATAACCGACGCGCGTCGATGCCATGAACGAGGCCCCATAGCGCCGGCCCAGCGTGTCTATCGTGTGACGGCGCACCTGCGTGAGGTAGTCGGCCGCCGCGTCCACCACCGTCTTGCCGTGGCGGCTCAGCTGCGCTGCCGTCTCGAGCGGGCTGACGTAGAACGGCAGCTTCTGCGACCGGTCCAGGAACAGCTTGATGCAGCGCAGCCGCGCCTCCTCTGGCTTGAACTGGAAGCCCCACCGCACCGTCGGCTCCGTGCCGGCGGCTGCATCGGCCGGCAGGTCGTACATCAGCTCCGTCGGCACCTTGTCCGACGTGATCCCGTTGCCGCCCGGCCATGTCTTAATGATCTCGATATCGTCCGGCGTCGCCGAGTACACCACCGCCACCCCCGAAAACGTCGTCCCAAAGTCCACCCCGACAATCAGCCGGTCTGGCACCGGCCCCGTTTCGCGTGCCGGCTCGCGAATGGGCCCGTGGATCGCCTCGGCTGCCGACACCGGATTGGTCCCGGGCATCGCTGCGGTTGCTGCTGATGCTGCTGCTGCTGACGATGGAACAAGACTGCTGGCCGACGCCGACTTGGACATGACAGGCGTCAGTCCCAGCCCGAGGCTGCCAAGCCCAGATGTCAGCCCCCCTACTCCTGCTTCTACTCCGGCTCTGTTCCCCGCTGCTCCTCCTCCTCCTGGTGTCAGCAGCAGCGACGATGTCGATGATGCCCCGTGGTTTCGAGGGGGTGGCGGTGGTGGCGGCGGTATTGCTCCTTGCGAGTATGTCGCATAGTAGTTGGTGCGCTTGTCCCGATTTCGCTGTCCGGGAGGCGGCGGCCGCATCGGAGGATTGTTGCTCATCGTCTGGACGGCATGCGTCTCCTCGTCCGATCGTCTTCCAAGCCTAAACCGGAAGTTCTGCGCTCAGCCCATGCGCGTGTGCAGAAGAAGACGAAGGATTCGACCGGCCGTTCAGATAAGCAGCTGCTGCAGGGCTGAAAGGCTGGCAAGCGGGGTCGAGACACAAAGACAGAAACCCGAGATGAGAAAATCAAATACGCCTGTCCGCACTTTTTTTCGTGCAATTGCAGAATCCATCAAATAAGACTGGACATTTTGGGATGTAATGCGACCATTGGCTTTGGACATGTACCGGAAGGCGCTATCCGACAGTTCTCCGGTGGTTATGCTCCTTCCGCCATGTGACTGCTGCCTGGAAACACGGCTTCAGCATGGATTGTAGGTAGAATTGGGCAAGTGCAGAACAACCGCTATCATGCAGACACCATCCCTAAAACTTAGCGCTGTCCAATCACGTTTTCTGCGCTTCTCGATGTCGCTTCAGGAATGGCACTTTTGCTGCCGTTCACAATATGTCCGATGTTGAGAGTAGATTTCAAGCTTCGCCTATGTACCATTGCCCACCCATAAGCCAAAGTCTCCACCGCTCTTCCCCCTGACGCGGACCCATATAGTGTGAAGAGAGTATAGAAAGCATTTACAAAGTATGGCCATCTTCGTGCTGCCAGAGCCATCCAGGCCCCATCCGGCACGAAGACATCCCTGAAATGCGCAATAAAACGGGTTACATGAGAAGCGGGCCGCCGTTCGGGAGCCTCCTAACTGATAGAGGGATAATCTTGACAAAAGAAATGATAAGACGCAGAAGACCACCCTGTACGCCACCGGCTTGCCGGTCTGGTGGCCATCAAAGAGCGTACCATCCAATCTATGTATATAAAATCGATCAACTGGACCGGTATACAAAAGATAAATAGTAGACAGAAAATTGGGGTATTGGAATTTTTTGACGAACTCGCTAGAGAGCAAGAGATGAACAAAACCGGTATAATAGAACCACACATGTGTGAAATGATCGACTGGAATCGAAAAATAAAAATGCCGCCATGCTATTGAAGTGTTACAACGCTCCGCTTTGCTCGATCAAGCAAACAGTTGTACGGTTTCTCGCAAGTCGCCTGATCACCGTGGTGACCGACCGACAAAGCTTCTAATTGGTGTGGTGTTGTTGTCCGGCATCGCGCCCAGGAGTCGAAACAGCTCGGCGAGCGAGATGAATAAATGCAAAAGTCTGTATAGAGCGGTGTCCAAATGAAACCGAAGCCATCCATGTAGAAACTGACAAAAGAAATTGAAACCAGAAAAAATGAAACACCCGAACACCGCCGTATGAGACCGAATGATTGATGAGAACAGGAAAAAGACTTTTGTTGTGCTGGAAATATCTGGCGGTTGTCGAGGGGAAAAGCGGCCCCCAACCAGATGTGACAAAGGAAATCGGGCGAGATAGAGGCGTGGCTGCGTCTAGATTCGATTGCCTGCCGCCCATATGCTTGCAGATGCTGATGCTGCCCAGTCGTTCTCGTCATACGGCGGAGTCGGCCATTTGTAGTCCGCCGTCTTCTTGTTGAGATCCAGAGGCTTCGGCATCACCGCTTCCTTTCCGTCAGAGTAGAGCACGTTGTTTCCGCTGGCCGAAGGTGAGGGCGTCGGATACGGATTTGAGGTGTTGGCATTGCTCGCAGACTGCTGTAGAGCTGGCTTTTCGATCTTCCCGATCTTCTCAACCTTCTCGAGCTTTTTTTCTGCATTCTCTGTAGAATTGAGAACTTCGTCCAGGAGTTCGTCCTCTTCATCGGGCGCGTCGTACTGGTGCACGCCTTGGACTGCCTGTGACCTTCTGGTACGACTTGAAATCGGGCCACCACTGCTTCGCGACGCCACGAGCAGGCTATCGACTGACCGCGGCTGATGATGGGGTAGTGAATGGTGCCGCTTGAGGTGAGCGCCCGCGAGTCCTGTCGTGATCGTCGTCGTCACTCCGGACACCGAAGCCGACTGGTGCAGACTTGTTGCAGCAGGAGCACTGTCTGGGATCGTCGGCAGGTAGCTGATGTTGTCTCCGGAGCAGCTCTGGTGGCCCTCTCGCAGAGAGCCCAGTGGTCCCTGAGGATCATGCGTGCCCTCTTTGGGTAATGGCGCGGGTACAGGACCCTGATGCTGCTGGTCAATCACCATGGACGAACGGTTGCTGGCCCATGGCCCACAACCAGCCTGTGCTTCCACGTCATCGTATGCGGGTGTGATGGGTGTCTGGTGACGTCCGGAGAGCCGACGCGCCCGCTTTCGCAGGTGTGAGAAGAAGCTCTCCTTGTGCGCACTGGGTGGAGATACGAGGCCGCTGTTGCCAGTAAGGGCCTGTTCTGCCTGCTGGCGATGGACATCTGCGTAGTGGTTTGTGCTCGATGCCACGGACAATTGCCGGCCAATTTTCTTGGACGCCTTGTCCTCTGCAGCCACCCGAGTTGCCGCATTGTTGGCGTATGAATCGTTGTACATTGGGGTCCGGTTATTTGCCTGGGCAGTGACAGCGTCAGACACGGGAGAAATGGGACGGACGGTGGGTAGAATTGGCATCGGCGCCACATTGGATGGCCCGTTCGACCAAGTCGTTCGCTTGCTAGCAGCTGCCCTCACCTTTGGAATACCCGACTCGACAGGCACCTGCTGCACAGGCGCAGGACGCGGAGCGACTGCTGCCGAAGCCAACGCCTGAACTGCTGCCGCTGGTGCCGGGACTTGTGTTGCCGCGACTGGATGCGGGGCTTCCACCTGCACCGACACAGACGCAGCAGCTGCAGTCGCCATTGAGATGATAGACGGAACGGACTCCTTCGCGTTCAAGCTGGGGGCCGTGACATCGAGAGCGGAATCGTTGCGGCCACCGATCAACGATTTGCGGAACCATGACGGCTTGGACGAAACGGGTGTTGACGAGGACGAATCCTTGGAGCTGCGGCCAATGTCAGACTGCTTGCGACCCAATATCCGCGATGCAGAAGACTTGGGCCGCATCGGATCCACAGCATCGGAAAAGTATTCATGGGCAAGAGCTTGGGTTGACGTGGGCCGAGTCTTGGGGTCCCACATCAAACACCAGGTGACAAACTGGCTGAGCGAAGCCGGCCACTGCGGTGACTGGAGGATAGTGTCCATGGCGTGGGGTGCCATCTTGGGAAAGGAGAACCCCAGCTTGCCAGCCAGGCGCGAGCCGTCGCGCCACTCACCTCCACCCACACGGACACCCGCCTTGTTGTACCAGTTGCCTGGACTGCCCATAATCTCACACACACGCCAAAGCTGGTCGACCTCGTTCACACCCGGGAAGAGCGGCTTGAGGGTGGCCACCTCCACGGCCATGGCACCGACGGCCCAGATGTCAACCGGTGCCGAGTACTCGCCTGCGCGCAGGAGCACCTCGGGGGCACGGTACCACCGGGTGGAGACGTAGGTCGTGTAAGGCAGCTTCGAGTGGGTTTCCCGGGCAAGACCGAAGTCGGCAATCTTGACGGTGTATGTGGGTGGCGTGGAGGGCGGTGTCATCAGAGCGGAGTAGCGGCGGAACGAGTTGGAAGACTCCTGGTGGCTTGACGAGGAGACGAGAATGTTTTCGGGCTTGATGTCGCGATGGAAAAAGTTGTGGGCGTGGATGTGTTCAAGGCCCTGCATGATCTGGTAGAGAATGCTCTTGACGCTGCTGTTGTCGAGGCACTTGTGATCCCTCGCCTTCATCAGCTGGTACAAGTTCCCCTCCATGTACTCCATGCAGATGTGAAGCTTCTTGCTGTAGGGGTCGAGGAAGATGTCCAGAGCAGGCACGAGGTGGTGGTGAGGCGGCAGGGTTCGAAGGAAGACGACCTCACGCAGCTCCAGACACGGCGTGAACGACTGGAATGTCTTCTTCATGGTCTTGATGGCAATCTGCAGACGGCACGGTTAGCAACAGGGGAGGGGGCAGCAGAGCGGCTCGTCCAACCACTTACAATAGTTCCTCTGCGAGCGACATTGGACCCGGCGCTACGCACACGAGCCAGAACGACGCTGCCGAAGCTGCCGTCGCCAATCTCCTTCAGCACCTCGAAGCGGTCTTCCAGCGACATAGTGCTGTTGCCGTTCATGGTGATGTCGTGCATGGTTACGGTTACGGAAGAAGCTGTATGGATTGGCGGAAAACGATGTTGTCGAAAGCAGAGCAAAGCAAGGGCGCCTAAAGAGTGTAGTGGGCAGCAAGTGACGGGCGGACGACTGCTTGGACTCGGGAGAGTTCGAACAAAAGTGAGGATGGACTAGAATCTAGAGGCCTCGAGTCAGATGGGACGAAAGGCGGGAGGCGCCACAGGTGCTACGGGACAGGAGTCCTGCATTACCTCTGCATAACCTAGATCCCAGAGTTGGAAGCTCTTCTGGGAGAAGAGCTGGCTGGCGATACTCGGTGCATTCAGGCTGATTTTAAAGGTCGGTGGTCGAAGTGCGGTGTGCGGTCGGATGGGGGCTCTTGCCAAGCTCTAAGAAGGTAAGAGTCTGGAGAAATGGCGTGGTTTCGACAGCGAGCGCGGTGCACGCTTAGTAGGAGAACGGACGTTTGCTGGCAATGCAACCCAACAGGTGGTACATCTGGTCGTGATGATGGTGCGCGAAGAGTGAGAAGAGCGAGAGGAGAACGAAGAAGGCAATCTGGAGGGGCTATTGGAGGCGGTGGGAAGGATAAAAGGCGTGGGAGAAGGTGGTGCAAGCAGGTAAAGGAGAAATAGGAAAGAGAAATGCGAAGAGAAAAGGTATAGGCAGGCAGGGCAAGGAAGGGGAGATGAAAAAAGGAAGCGAGCAGGGTCGTGATTGCTGGGTTGGCATTAGGGGGGGTGATGAGGCAGGTATTTCTCGGCAGCAGCAGCATGCAAAAGGTACTTCCCGAGGGTACGAAGAAGGGGGGCGAATAGAAGGAAGCTGGCCCGTGGGTGGCCCGTGGGAGTGATTAAAACGGTCAAGGTAAGTAAAATAAATTCGAGAAATAATAACCGGGTTGTTCTGGCGGATCCCCTGGCGATTCCTCTTTGAGGGTGTGGGTAATGAGGAAAGCTCCTGACAGGCGGTCCGCAGGTACCGTGTTAGCGCCTGCGGACTGTGAGCTAGCGTCAGCACAGCGGACGGGCGGTCAGGGCAGTGCCGTAGGCGGTGTCGTAGACCATTTCGCGGCGGTTTGTGCCCTGAGTACGAAGTACATACATACGAGTAGGATATCTTGCATTATGATAACATGACCAACCTCGACCGAAGTGTGCACCCGCCTGGTTCAGCTGGCTGCCGCGCACTCGATGGGGGAATCAGGATCCACGCCAGCATGAAGCAGCGACCGTGGATGTCTTGACAAGATGCTATGCAAGATGCTATATGCATTACGAGGGCCGGTACTATGTACACGCAAAAGGTCCCTTGTCGTACTCCGAGGATACGTGACGACGAGCTGTGGAGAAAGAGCTATGCAAAAGCAACTATGTGCGAGGGTGAGAATATACGACGCAAAAAAGAAGGAAAAAAAGGAAAGGAAAAAGAAGAGACAAGTCTGGTGAGCCGTCCAAGAGATTGACGATGGCCTGCCCTGGGCTTAGCATGAATGAACAAGGCAGGGGGTGTGCTAAAGGAGGCCGAAGGAAAAGGGGTGTGTGGTCGTGAGAAGAGCAGAGGCGACAGCCAAATTGGGGACGGTTCAATCTCGCTAATGAGCAGGGCCGCCGTTATTTTAGACCAGGGGGTGGTTGGGGGGGGGGGAGGGGGTCGGAGACAGTGCCCGTGGCCAGCGTCTTGCTCGCATGCAGAGCGTCTGCCTGAAACCGAGGGCTAGCCACCAGCAGAGCGACCGCGACACGACCGCAAGACTCGTCGCATCTTCGAGATCTTGTCGGTTGTTCTCGCAGCGTCAGCGAGCGCCGCATTGGCTGCCAAAGGCTCTGCGTATCGACAACAACAACGCGGGATTTCCCCATCGCAGGTTGCCGGGTGCTTTTGTTTTCATGCCAGAGCGAATCGGATCAATCGCGGGGTCCGCTTTCTCTCAGCGTCCCAGACTTGCTTGGCCACTGCCATTGTCACGGTCGTCGTTGCTTTCGGCCATCCCGCCGCTCGGCAACAGTCATGCTTCTACGACGTAAGAAACCTGTACTCTCTGTGCCCCTCTCCCCAGCCGCGGGGACTTGTCCGCGTGCTCTTCCCAGCGGCAGCCTGCAGACACTAGCAGGCGGGAATCGCAATTTGCACACTAACGCGTGCGGGTATATGGCTGTCGGAATTACCATCGTTGCCCAACAGCCTGACTGCCCTGCCACAGTAACGTGAGATCTCGCAAGACAAAGTACGAGTATCTTACATACTATGTAGTACTCCGTACATGGAGTGCTCCGTACTCCGTACAGGCAGCAATTCATGTATGGGCATAAGGATAGCCACATCGTGGAGACACAAAACAGAAGAAGGAAGAGAGAAATTTTAAAACCGCCGGTGGCCATCGACTCTAAGAGGCTAGCATACCCTCTGAGACCAGGTATGAAGAAAGAAGAAATAAAAGAAGAAATAAAAAGTTCGGGGCACACAACGTCAGGGTCAGGGGGTATGCACGGCACAAACGCCTGCTGTGCAAGGAACCGTTCGTCCCCTTCTCTTAGGGCTTTGCCTTTGAAGTTCAACGTGGAGCTCATGCCGCTTCGGCTTCCCTGCTTTCTTTTTCGCGAACTCATCGTTTTCCCACTCTTCTGACCGACATCAGAGCTATTTGTCTCTCTCTCCCACTTTCTTCATTCGGTCTCGATCGTAACTGGACAACGGGGTGAATCTACAGCATCTGCCTCGTTTCCATTTGGGGGGGGGAGGGGGCCTTTCTACCGATGCCCTCCATCCACCCTGTTTTGGCCTAGCGGATATTGTGGCGCAAGTTCTTTCTTGACGCGTTTTCCCCCAAATGGCCTGAAAAATACTTGCGAAAACGCACTGTCCCCAGCTGAGTTTGGTGTCCCGCCACCTCACGTCTGTTAAGCCACTACTCCAAACTCTGATGTAAGATACGAGTAGTAATATACATAAGGCACATATGTACACAATACGTGGCACGGACAGGGTTTGTGACAGCAGATGCCCAAAATACTTACGTCGTACTACTACTTTCTCCGTAAGATACAAAAATAAAATCGGAATGCGTGACGCAGGAAATGTATGCTCTAGCCTGAAACAGCAGTTGTACGGAGTACCATAACTCGGTGAACAACAAAATGCAGGAAAATAAAAGGGGCAGGAAAAAAGCGTCGCTCTACGGCGCCGGCCATCCCACGGCCAGACAGAATATCTTACCATATAGTACTATGTGCAATGGCGATATACAAGTACTCGTACCTGCTACTTCGCCTTGCGGTGAGGCAAGCTTTGGGCTGCGTCTGTATCTTACGAGCAGCTACGGAAAACTTGTAGACGACGTTTGTCAATTTCAATATGATTGTCCGGAATTTGTCTTCCGTCCTTCACCTTCAAATAACGTCTCTGCCCTGCGGCTTCCGCCGTCCATCATGGTGCCCAATCGCACATTTATACTCTGTACTCCATACGAACTAAGAGCCTGCATGACAAGTCGCGTATGTACAAAGTGCGACTGTACATATGCATATGCGCGTGTCTGGATTTGTGCATCGCGCACTGCTCTGTGCATCTAATAGTATGGAGTAACCAGACCCTCGTGCATCCAGACACACAACGCCGCCAAAGCGCAAAAATCTGCAAGGGAAGCGGGGGCGGTAGAAAAATTGACAAGGCGTTGGGTTTGCGGACTAATTGCCGTTCGTTGCCGTAGACGGAATGATGCTTGGCAGCTCATCCGCCGCCGCCCATCATTATCAACCCATTCATGCGGACAGCCGAGATACATACGACGTACGGAGTATATACTGCAGCGCTTTGATGTGTGCGGCACGGAGTACAGAATACAGATCAACGCATATATCTGGGACCCATGGGTTTCGCTCGCCGCTCGCCCTTTCCGCTCTTCGCCACAGCGCGTCTTCCCAAACCGCGTCCGCGTGCAAATTGGGAATATGACACGCGTGTCGATTCGCCTACATAACCGTAACAAAATTTTGCCCGTGCGGCCCAGCAGATTGCCCCAAATGAGAGGGGTGACCGGGGGCTGATAAATGGTCGTCGTGGCCCCTTTCTCATCAAGGTGTCATCCAATTGTTCGCAGAGGTGCTCTTGTGCTCTGGATGCCTGGCCCTATTACTCGTATGTGATCCGGTGCTCTGTAACCAGCTCGGGTGGCCCTGGCGTTTCCCCCTGCTTTGTATGCGAGCAGGCCTTGCATGCGACCAGATCTATAATCGTATGTGGCACCTACAGCTTGACAAAAGAAAAGAAAGTGTTCATTCCTTTACATGCCGTCGGTGTCTTTCCTGCCAGCTTGAAACTCCTGCCGCGACCGGCTCTCTGGGAAATTCCCGGGAACAAAGAAAGTATTTCTACTCGATTTCAAGACTCACGGACAGCCTTTCCAGGGGCTTCTTTGGTACTTTCTTGGCCAACGATGGGACCCAAACGTCGCATCCAATATCCCAGTGTCATTTTGCCACCGACAGGATGGCACGTCGTTCCGCCCATGGTCAGGCCAAGTAACGGGTATGTAAGCCGGCGAAACAACCTTTTATTTCCACCATTGATTACTCCGTAGCTCGTGACGATATGAGCGCCGATTTCGACCACGCCGCTACCTACGGAGTACTCATACTCGAATAGCAATAGCTCATAGGATGGGGTACCTCTATACGAGCACAAGCTAAATTCGGCCTGTACTCGTACTCGTACTTTACTCGTGGAGGTTTAAAGTGCAAGCACGCGGCGGGCATCAGAAATCCAGGCCGAAAACTCGTAACATCCAACGGTTTGGTGGACATGACAACCGTTGCATTCTATACCCTATTTGTTCGGCATATGAACCCACTATGGTTCTGTACGAGTTCGTCCCCGCTAGTCTCCGGGGCTGATGATCAGCTGTTGGGGGGAAATGGTCATTGTTCTCCGTAAACGGAGACGTGTCCCGGGGCAACACGTAAGATACGAGTACGGAGTACGGCTTCCAGAGCAGACGCCGTTCATATTCACCTAGGCCGCTGTAGCAAGGGCCTCCGATCATGTTCACTTACAGTGGTCAGATCGTTGTTCCTCTCTCATATCTGTATCTCGGATACGTGCTCTATCCCTACATAGTAGAATCTGCCCCAGTCCTGCTCCATCTTCGATAATACGCCATATTTACGGAGCATAACGACCAAGATCACCAGATCTATAGGGGAAGCCATAGTCCGAGAGTCTCCTGAGCAAAAGCATCAGCAGGTCTAATTATCGGTCATCAGTCGTGCCTCGAAGCATCATGTATTACCAGTAACATGAATAGCATGCTCCTCTGCTACGTGAACAGTGCTTGTTTAGGATTTTTGCCGGCCTGTCTTTATATTCTATACGGAGTATGGCAGACCCGCCTTGATTTCTCACAGGACCATCACATACCAAACCTTGAAAAGGAGCTGTCAAGAATGCTAGCGTATTTCTCCAGGCTGTTCATGAAGTTCTTGCCCTATGTTAGACGGGTATCTGAGACAGGACTGACAGAGCATGTAAGCTTCCGATGATTTTCTGTTCACTTTACCACTAAGCAGTCTCAATAGCCATTGAGAGCAAGCAAGTGGCTAGACAATAGTAATGGGTAGCACAAGCTTGTTTTCATACGACCTGGGCAGGAGCGACTTGCGTTCCTTCTTTCCCAATAACAAAAGCTCAAGCCATGTCTTTCCGTTTGTTTCTTTGACATTTACAAATAGAGAAAATTCATCTCGACAACATTTTTCTTCTCTTCTTTGACTATTCGGCCTATCCTTCCTTCAAGCAGTTTCAGAAACCTGTGCCAGCCTCACATACCAACAGCCAGCCCTTCGGGCATCTGAAGTGCTTCACGCCATCACAATACCGTTGAGCTCGCCCATGTTGTTCAACTTGAAATTGTACAGACAACATGTCAGGTAAAGTTGCACGCACAGGCTTCGGTTCTTCGTACGGGTAAGACTACCAGATGCCAGTTTGATATCTCTGCCGGACAGTTTCTTAACTCTCGTCAGACCACCGAATGGCCGAATTCGAACGGATACGAAAGGAAAGTAAGTAATATAAAACAATTGAAGACACATCATGCACCAACAGCCAAGGGCAAATATCTTGTCGTTGTTTCTCAATACTGACTATGTTCACTGTCCTCTAGGTTACGCTGCCTTAACGGCGGCGAATGGAAACCACGAGGCGAGTTTTCAGCCCGTCAGCTACAAAAGTTTGATAGGTCGACTGCAACGCCTGCCAACTCGCAAGTGTCCTGCAAAGCCCACACGGCCCAGTCTGCCCGGGAATTACAATGCGAGGGGCCCTGTGGCCTATGGCGACCTTTGGAACACTTCAGCAAGCGCACCCGTGCCGACCAAGTATTTGTATGTGTTGCAATCTCCGAGAACGGTCAAGGAATCCAGCTCACTGACGATATCTCTTAAGTGGTGCTACGATTGCACCGCATGGCAACTCAGCGTGGAGCCTGGCGTGGCAGTATGCGCTCCTCCCAATTCAGCGGCCGAAGTCGATGAGCTGGCACTGCTTTACGCCAAGCCAGCAGAAGTGATCGTATCCAGGGAGGAGCGAGAGGAGCGGGTCGAGCAGGTAGGTATCATTTTTAACGAACACAGCCCATCATGACCAATGAAAGTACTGACGCTTTATCAGTGGATCCAAGACAACCCGAGCGAAGCTGGCGATTATGATGGTATCGAAATCGCGACGCAAGCATCGGTGATCGATACTGCCTCGGAGGTGTCGGGACCTTCATTGCTCGACGACAATATCAACGATCTTGGCAATCTTCCCCAGGCTCTAAATGCGATCAATCTCAGTCGAATTGGACGCTACGACGAGCCTCCTACGACGACGGTATCCAATGTACTGGTTCGAAGTGGAAACGAGAACGCTGCTGCCGAGTCTACAGATTTCGAGACCAGAAGCCAGGATTCTAATTCAAAGGCAACGATTATCGCTAACAGCGCCTTAGAATCAAATCAGCAGACCGATTATGCCACCACCAATTCCAGAACGTCAGTCAATGATGTATCCAACCACGATCTCGCACTGGTGGAGCTTGGGACCACGGCTGTCGTCAATGGCCCGCCTGAGCGGCAGCGATCCCCCGGCCCCAGTGGATGGGCCCGACCCGTAAGTGATTGTTTTTTCTGGGGACAGAAACTCAAGTCTCCGGGGATACGTTCAGCCTTAGCCAAACTAATAATTCCTTGAAACAGAACCAGCGCAAGATACCCTGGGCTCCCCCCAGATACGTTCTGAGTGGCAGTGGGGTCGATTTCTACCACTACTATTACCTGCAGCAAGGTGACGGTGACGAACCCGAGTAGAGTAATACCGTTAACGCCGCGCGAGTGCATTCTGATGACGGCTTCAGACGGCTGAAGAACTTGGAGCTCGGTCAACGTGGAGGGTCAGCCCACACTTCGACAAGTGGAATTTTGGCGGTGGGATACTTTTCGCCCAGAAGGAGTTCGATTTTACGCCCTGCATTAGGTCTGACTCATTGCCAATGATGGTGGGCTAGTCCTGGTTTCCCATTTTTCTTGATATGTTCAGACTCAGGTCAGAAACGAGAATACGAAAAATATAACCCCCGAGAAAATCTGCATGTTCTGTATGTAGGCAAATACCAGAACGATCGCATCTTGCGAAAGCAAATGCTGTGCAGAAGTATTGCATCCATGATGATCCAATACCCTCCAGCCTTGCACTGTTAGGCTGACCGAAGTGGTCATCTGAGTGTCCCAAGGGTCTGTTATTGGCTGAACGCTCGGTGTGTGGCACCTAATAAGCGATGCGATTAAGATCAGAGAGCCTCACCTGTGTAAGGTCTTGGCGCAACGTATCCTGTTTCTTCTTCTGTCGTCGGTGGGAGCCACGTCTTCCCGGCTTATCAACCGCCTTACCAGGATGAAACACCCCAGCGGGTGGAGGGAAAGGGGAGAAGCAAAGAACTATTGGCTTTAGCTAGAGGCTTCGTTTCTAAAGAACCCCTCACTTGCCAAAATGCACACCTTGCTGCAGGAAGCCTGATATTATGTCCAATCCAATGTTTTCAGCACATCGATCGCCTCTTTAGGTTTGGGTCGACACCCGCCTTGTCAGAGAAGACGGACGGGAAAAGAACGGCCGGATCTACCTTCCCAACGTTGAGGCGGCTCTGCCACGTCAAATTCGCTGGTAGTGCGACAAGAAGCTAGCTTGTAAACACAGGTGGAAGGGCGTACATGTGCGCTACTATGTAGGCGTGCTTGTACTAATGGAAGTCCCAGATCGCTTGGGAGAGGCATCTACGGCTACCCCCCTTTGTCAACCCCATGCTCGCTCGGTGATGCAAGTGATTACGGAACTGTACTGCAATGACTCGTCAAGCTTCCCGCCAAGTCGGAAGACCCAATTGCAGGCTCTCTTTATCCGTGGTAATCAGCGCGATCGACTTGCAGCCATAAAATTACGCCCGACTTGAGTAATTCTTCGACCTGCTCTATATTTCCTATCTGTACGCGATGGGAAGGCGAGGATGGAGGGCCAGCTCCTTCCTCATTACAAAATTATGACCTATCTAGTCCAGTTATACAGCAGACAGTCTCTCTATACATCCCCAGCCTTCCATTCGGAATTTGTTCTATTCCACCACGGCGTTGCTTTTCGAGAACGACACAGCAACGACCGCCTGCGAGTAACATTGCTCGTTTATCTTGATAGGGACCAAGTCAACCCCTTTAACAATCAAGTGTATGCATCCCGTGTTGCTACAAAATTGGCTCTCCATGTTGGATGCTGGTGGTATCCTCCTCTTATCATTCTCATGCACAGCGTTGCATATGTGCATCCTTCAGTCCCCCTTCTTCCGGCACTCCAACATACCTCCACGCTACTTTTGTATGTGTACCCCGACCTCACCGCGTACATTGCATACTTGAAACGCCACAAGGCAGCGACTCTACCAGTCTAGGCTTCGTAATAATGCCGGGCCTTTGTTATCTTGTCTTTGAAGGCTGAATACAACCTTCTTCTTCACTTTCTTTTTGTTCTGCTTGATTAGCCATGACCCACATCCCCTGTAACAAGCTCGATAGAAGCTTCGTTCACAATTTGTTTCCTTCTTTTCTTTGTATATGCTTACATGCACATATACACGTCAGATGCAAACCTTTAATTGTGGTACTTTACCAAAGTGAATCGGCATATAATGGCTGACGAGAAAATGCACAGTCATATCGTGGAGAAGGTATCAGTGCAAGTCAATATCAAAGAGGCTCTTCTGGACAAACGGAGCGGAGTCGGCACCACCTCTGGTGTAATCAACCACACCACTACCAGCAGTGCTAAGATGTTCAGCGCCACACGGAAGAATGAGTGCACGTCTCGACAAGCTGACGGCGAGCCGATCACATCGGTGCTGTCCGACACCTGTTATTATAATGGTGAAAGAAGATGCGAGGAGCTTGGAGACAGGAACATTCAACACGGCATGGATATGGACTCCATTGGTAACATAAACAAAATAGGCAGTCACATCACAGCCGAGGATTCACAACAAAAGGCGTCCGATCCTTCGGCCAATTTTTGTCCGACTTCTCCTACCATCGTCGGTGTTTGTCCTGCCTATGCTGCCACGGCAGCTGATGTCACTTCTGCCGTTCTGTGTCCGCAAGGTTCAAGGAAGCAGCTATGCACTACCACCGCCGTGGTTCCCGCCTCTCCTGTTCCGGCACTTCTTTGTCCATCTTCTTACCCCCTGCCTACCATCCCCATTGCCACCACGTCCCCACCCCCCCCCTGAGCCTCGGGGAGAGGCTGTGTCGTGGACAGAAGACCTGATCTCTGTGATTCGAACCATCGTTCAAGAAGAAGGTAAGACTATGTATCGATATAAGAGCATCATAGTGCCATATCCGGCGACTAATACAAGCACAAATATATTATAGTTGGGCGAGCCGATCAACCAGATGAGCCAGTCACCCGACTAAAAGATGACGGTTTGCTACTGCCGGTGACATCCCATATGAAAGCTAATTCGACAGCCTCATCGACAACTACCGTGTCACCTTATGTGGTAGGACCTGCAGAATCCGTCAATCAGTCTCTTGGCGTTGGTACAACGAAAAGTCTTGAGGCTCTGCGCCCTCGGTTCGGCTTTCAGCCCCCCCCTTCAACTTCTTCGCCTACTACTATGTGCTCATCCGCACTCTCATCCTCCCCTGCATCTTCCTCTTCTTCTTTCTCTTCATCATCCTCATCTTCCTGTAAACTTTCACCACTATCAACACCTACATTGAAAGCAGTCACTTCGTTTGTGTTCATACCTACATCTGAGGAATTTAACAAAGTCGAATCTGCATCTCTACGCGCTGCGGCTCAACCAATGTCGTTTTCACGACCAGGAGAGCCAGCCGAGCATGGACCCAGTGTCCAGTTTCGGGAGCCAGTCGTGTCCAGCACATCTGCCGCCAGAAATGGAGCGAATTCTTCCGCAAAACCCGGTGATGGCGGCACACAGTCTAGGGATCTGACAGCGGCAGCAGGCGTACTGCCAAGGGGAGCTGTGGAGTTGACGTCGGTTGATCAAAAATGGGGTGTCTTGTTTGACCGGAAAGGCCAGGCGACTAAACGGTTCATTGAGGTTATGCACAGCCTTGCCAAATTCATTGTGAGTTTTACACTTGTGTTGCTAACGGGTCAACTACTGACTTTCTGACTTTTCAGATTGAAAAGCATCTTCCAGAAGGCAGCATAGTCATCGTTCCAGAGAAGCTTCAGTCGTTCTACTCCTTCTTGCGTATCAATGGAGAGTCGGGGTTTCATACTGGTAAGAATATCATCGCCTTCGCCTCATTTCTGACGGATAGAAAAAAAGAGGAAAAAAGGCTTGCTAACATAAAAAGTCATCTTCAGGTCCCCGAGCAGAGATTTGCACCGCAAGGTTTCGGAGTTGTACCAGGACTTGGGCTGCTCATACCACCTGGTACAGGCGAAGCCAGCATCGCGACCACAAGTGCCTGCGCTTACGCCAGATGGGTTTGCCAGGTGGATGACAATCAACGCGCAGGCCTTCCCAGACGAGGAGGCACGCCGGCTTAATAAGGTTGTCTCGACGTCGCCTTTGGAGGCCAAAAGTGCGCTGGATGGTAAAATTGAACGCCTTCCCAAGCAGCTCTCACGCTACCTATTACCCAGAAAGCCAGACCACCAGATTAGAGATCTGTTGCTACAAGCTGTTAAGCGACACTTTGGTGACAGCTGTCTCTCGAGACCAACTCTTGTATCGGTGCCAGGTTCGCTTGACCGCTTGTCGCCCCGCGACGAGGTTCTGGGTCGGGAGCGATCTCGCCGCGACAGCACTTCTCGGGGCCGTCCGACGTCAGCGTACTATGGCCGTGAGAAAGAGGATGAGGGCCAGACACGCAGCCGAAACCAGCATTCGCCACATCGCCACGACTCCCACCGCGGCTCTTATTCGCAGAGGGACCGACAAAGTCCCAGTCAGGTCCGTAGAAGAAGTCAGAGCAAAGCTGGCAGCCGGGTCCGAGATGTGAGCCGGAGTGGTGGTGGTGGCCGTCAGTTGCCGCCGTCATCGAAGACGGTGGCCCAACACTCATCGTCACGACGAGCTTCGTTTGCCGGTGACTCTACCAGCCCGCCAGTTGTCGTCCATGGCAACGCGGGTCCTTCCTCAGGTGCAGTGCGAAGCTACCGCTCGTCATACCCAGAAGTGCACCGCACTGTGGACAGGAACAGCGACGAGGGTTCCCGCCGTCGGCCTGCATCTGTTTACGGTCCTTCTTCTCGGATTTCGGCTGGTTATTTGCCCGGATCGGCTTTGAATACTTCCTTGACGGATCGAGATCGCAGCACGGGCAGAGGCCGAGGAATAGAGGGGGGCCTGTCTGGCGTACCGAATTTACGCAGCGGCAGTTCAGCGGCACTGGCAGCTGTAGGTGGTGCAAAAGAGACCGATTCGGCGACAAATCCTCCCAGACAGGACAGTTCTCGGCATGACCCACGCGCCAACATACGGCGCCGTATACGGCCGGAAGATTACGTCGCAGGCAGTGACGGTGGAAGCAGACGGACGAGTGCGATAGTTAACGGAGGAGCAGGTCGTGATGTTAGCCAAACGTGGGACGAGTTCTTGCGAGAGAACTAGGCGTGATCTCTTTTTCGCCTCTGACCGGGCCTTGCTAGCAGTTTTGTCTAAAACTGGACATGGGATAAGTCAAGTAGTAGGACTACTAATTGGTGTATTTTGATTGTATGGTTCGAATACCAGATTGAGCAAACGAGGCTACGTACTCGTATAATAATACAAGTTTTCTGACAGCTCTGAATCTACACTTCAGCCCTGAATGACGCCAGTGCTGAAGGGCTGCCCCACCAGACTGACAGAGGTGGGCCTTGTATGGGGTAATTGTTCCTTCTCTGTTCATCCTTTCCTGGACTGCTCCTTCCTTTTCCCTCCTTGTCTTCGGGGATTGCATGTTCGTGCATCATATTTGTGAGGGTTTGTCTCTAGATATACCTCCTCGACATATTATATACCCTAAAAGGGCCCGCCTGGCCATGCTCGAGAACCTTTTACCGTTTTTCCGTCTCCATGCACCACCACCCAGTACCATGAGAAACAGACAATTGTACGAAAGACCGATTGAATCGTTCTTGTTTGATACCTTTGTATTATTCGTTCTTCCCACCCCCTGATATAATTGCCAAAACGAGCCAGAACTCCCACCACCACAATTCGTTACGTGTCATCAGATACATCAACGTGAATCCCAGGTGTGGGATGAAAGACATTATGTGCTCGAAACGCCAAGAAAACGCTGCTGCCTGTTTATGCTTGGGTCTGCGTGTGCGTTCTTTCCAGCGTCTGCTCCTGCGTCACCCTCGCCTGCAGCGCCACCCAGTCGGCCTTCCAGTTCTCGATGCACTCATCCAGCTCCGGGTCGGCGTCTGCCGGCACATATGTGCGATAGCGCACCTCGATGCCGCGCAGTTGCAGTCGCAGAAACGTCACCTCTGACTCGAGCTCCTCCAGGTATTCGTCGGTTGTAGGGCCGGACAGCATGCCTCCCGTCTGGACCGTTGGGGCCGTCGGAGCCGTTGGGGCCGTTGGGGACTCCAGAGCTACGCTCGTCGCCACCGTAGCCATCGTAGCTGTCGTAGCCATCGTGGCCATGGTCGCCGTCGGTGTTGCAGAATTCGCTTCCGTCGTCAGTGATACTGGTAATGGTGTGGCAGCGACGGCCGGTACTTTTGCTGCAGCCGCTAGTTCGGCTGCAACCGCCCTTGCTGCCGCCTCTCGTGATTCTGCCTCCAGGGCGGCAATGCGGTCATTAGCAGCGGCAAGCTGGCTGAGGAGGATATTTTGCATGTGCTGGCAGATTCAGACGGTCAGTGGTGAGACGGAGAGCGGTGAGACGGAGAAGAGCGAGAGAAGAGAGTTACTTCGAGTTCCTCGCTTCGTCCTCGGAGGCTTGCAAGAACTATGGAGAGGTCGCCGGCGAGCTCGTCACAGGCGGCGGCAAGCTTGCGCGAGACTGCAGGACGGGGGGGTTTCGGAGTCTTGGGGGTCTTGGGGGTCTTTGGGGCCCTCGGAGTGGTCGGAGTCATGGAGGCAGGACCTGGCCGTGTCGATAGTGCCGGCACCAGAATAGGGGCTGGTCGTAGGAGGCCGAGATGGGAGAGGGCAGTCGGGAGGTGTTGCTGCTGGTCTTGAGGATGCTGGTGTTCTTCCTGTCCAGCAGCTACCAGCGCCGACTCCATCTCGTCGACGCGAGCGTGCAGCAAGGTCAGGACGTGGCCGTCGTAGCCGAGACGGCGGCCGCTGCGATGCAGGCTGCGCTGGGTTGTGTCGTTGTTGTTGTTGTTGTTGTTGTTGTTGTTGTTGTTGTTGTTGTTGTTGTTGTTGTTGTTGCTGCTGTTGCTGTTGCTGCTATTGCTGTGGTCGCCATCATTCGCCCGGGGTGTGGTCAGGTGGCGGACGAGATCGTTGAGCCGGTCAACGAGAACATCGCGACTATCCTCTGCGAGATCGTCATCGTCGTCGTCATTGCTGCTGGTGCTACTGGTGCTGCTGGGATCATAGCTCCGCAGACCGTCGTGGCTGCCGTCACCAGTGCCGTCGTCGTGGCTTATCCCGTCGTCGTCGTCTTCATGCTGGCCTTCTTTCAAAAAGTGTCGTCGCATTGGCGACAGCGGCGACGACATGATGATGCCGGCGTGGTGCAGGCTCAGGCTCAGGCTGCTCAGGGGCGACGGCACACTGCCACACGGCGTCGACGGCGGCCGACCGGCGGCATCTCCGACATGATCGTCATCGTCATCGCTGCCAAGCCTCTCCAAGTAGACAGCCGCCGGCGGCGTCACCGGGCGAGCTGACCACGTCAGCGAATCCTGCATGCGAGAAGAGTGTGAAGGGAGAGGAACAACCGTCGACGGAGGCTCTCCTCACATTCTCGGACCCCCCGGGGTCTAGCTGGCGGGGGAAAGGGCCTCGTGGGCGGAGAGGCACCGGTCCTCTTTTTTTGCTCCTCTTCCTAGACGCGTCGGAATGTAGTCCTATTTTGGCCTTTTTTTGGCCCTTTATCCTCCGCCTTTCTCCAGACGCGGCGACAATCGCCCTAAAGGTCGCGTGGCCCAACGGGCTGCACTTGCCGTTTCTGGTAGCGCAGACGGTAAAAAGGGGAATGATGGGAGAATGGGGATTCTGGGTTTCGCGCGCTCCTCTTTCGCCTGTTTCGCGCGCGCTCTCTCTCGTTCTTCCGGATCGTTCGGCGTTCTGCTTTCTCTGCCGGGGCCGGCTGTATCTTACCTGCTCGACGAAGCGTTGGCCCTGCAACGTTGCCGCAGCAGCAGCAGCAACAACGGCAGCAGCTCTGTCGAGAGAGCTCTTCTCTGTTTGGTGGGCTCAGAGGTACTCCGTGCAGAGCCGTGTATATTTTATGATCGCACTGTATGCGCACTGCGTTTCCGATAGCCCGAGAAATCCAGCTACGGCCTGAAGGGGGGGCTTTCTTTTGCAGCAATGCTCTAAAGCACCGTGCGAGGGCACATGACCAGCCCGAGAGTCACATGCAAAGCGTGTGCTAGCAGGCGGTGGCCCCACCTGCTATGCAATTTCGCTGTGAGCCGTTGTTGTGGGTAGCATCGAATGGGCGAAAAGGAGCATTCATTACAATACGGAGTACGAAGTATCGAGCTTAGATTGGCGCCTTCCTGTTTGACCGCCCCTGAACGCGGCAGTTTCGTAGGAGGACGAAGTTCCCCCGTACTACGGGTACACAGGCGTACCTGTACTCGCAGCTGTAGACAGTGCGTGTAAGAGATCCACACGGAGTACACCGCTGCAGCCGGCTTTAATCCCTCGGTGGCGGGAAACGCAGGGACCAAACTGTGGGGTTGGCCAATTGCAGCACAGCCGTCTGGCTGGTTTCGGCTTTGGAGGGGCAGCTTCGGGCCAAACTGGTTCGCGGCTTGGGAGAGGCGCTGGTACGAAGCAGCCCAGTCACCCCAGACTTTTCCGCATGAGAGGGAAAGAGCAAAAGGGAGAAAGGAAAAAGGGAAAAACAAAGCTAAGGCGTGAGAACTAGCACATACAGAGTAGGTCCGTGTGTAATGCCTCGCCGACGGCTCTCGACTCCCTTCTCTCTCATCCACTCTTGCCCACGCTCGTGTGCCTGCTGGCCCTCTTTCTGACTCCTCCATTGCTGCCAAACTGTCACTTTCTCGCGTCCCGCAGCTCAAGCTGCTGTTTGTGCCGACTGATTGCCCGACTGTCTGCTAATTCGCTTCTCCATCAGCCTTCTCGGTTGCGTCATCAAATCACCCAGTCATCCAGTCACCCAGTCATCTAGTCATCCAATCATCTACGAGCAGTCGTCCATTTTTTTATCGCGCCTTATATTCTCGACCGTGTCTTCTATCTACCCACTGCTTTCTTTCAGACGTCTCTGTTTGCTTCCTCTACACGCCTCCCCTGCTTCGCTTCGACATCTGTTTCGAACTCTGAGCTTCCCTGCTTTTGCCTCGGCTCTTTATCTCTCGCCTACGCATGGGACACCGGATCCCGCTGCTGCTGCTATAACTGTGGCGCTCTTTCGAGTCGCCGCCGTCTGCGTCCACATTGCTGAACACCGTCTCTTTTTGCGCACACCCCCAACCCAGCCGCCAAGATGTCGTGGAAGAAGACGGAACGCCTGATGGACACCATCATGCATTATGCAAGCTTCCCTGCCACCGGCGTGAGCTTGCGGCAGATGGTCCAATTCGGCGAGAGGCCGTCTGTGGGTGCGCAACGGCAGCTCCTCTTTTTTTCTTTTTCTTTTCTTTCCTTCCTGATGCACCGTCTCTAACCCGGCACCCTAGGTACCCTCTTTCGTGCTTCCCAGTTTCTGGCCGAAGAGCTGCCTATCCGGCTGGCACACCGCGTCGAAGAGCTCGAAAACCTCCCCGACGGTCTGGGCGACATGCCATCCGTCCGAAAGGTGCAGGACTGGTACGCACAATCCTTTGAGGTAAATAGAGCTGCCCCCTCCTTTCCAGCAGCCCCCACCCACATCCTTGAAGCTGCATGACTCACACCGTCGCCACAGGAGATCACCACGCTGCCAAGACCGGACCTGAACAGAGAAACACGCGAACGGCTGATGCGACCCGGACGGACGGGTGGCAAGAATGGCTTGGTCCTGTCCGAGGCGACAAAGAACCCGAGCGTCGAGGACGGCCAGTACAGCTCGCAGTCGCCGCTGCTGACTGGCGATGCCCACCACGGCCACAGCCATGGTCACGTCACCAGCGTCTTCAAGAAACACACGGGCGCGCGGCGCTACTTTGCCCTCGTCGACGACACCAGCGACTGGCCGTCGGAGCTGCACCTGTACAACCAGCGATTTGCCCAAACGCTCAACAAGATCAAGCGGCGGCACGACGGCGTCGTCACCACCATGGCCCAGGGCATCCTCGAGTACAAGCGACGGCGCCAGCGCATGCAGATCGACCACACCATCCAGTCCTTCCTCGACCGCTTCTACATGTCGCGCATCGGCATCCGCATGCTGATCGGCCAGCACATCGCCCTGACCGACCAGAGCCACCACCGCGACCCGACCTACGTCGGCATCATCTGCACCAAGACCAACGTGCACGACCTGGCCCAGGAGGCCATTGAGAATGCCCGCTTCGTGTGCGAGGACCACTACGGCCTGTTCGAGTCGCCCAAGATCCAGCTCGTCTGCAACCCGAACCTCAACTTCATGTATGTGCCGGGCCACCTGTCCCACATGCTGTTCGAGACGCTCAAGAACTCGCTGCGCGCCGTGGTCGAGGCCCACGGCCAGGACCGCGACGAGTTTCCCGTCACCAAGGTCATCGTCGCCGAGGGCCGCGAAGACATCACCATCAAGATCTCCGACGAGGGCGGTGGCATTCCCCGCTCGGCCATCCCGCTCGTCTGGACCTATATGTACACCACCGTCGATCGCACGCCCAATCTAGACCCGGACTTTGATAAGAGCGACTTCAAAGCACCCATGGCCGGCTTCGGCTACGGCCTGCCTATTTCAAGGCTGTATGCGCGCTACTTTGGCGGCGATCTGAAGCTGATCAGCATGGAAGGGTGAGAGTTTTTTTTCCTTTTTTTTTCTCCTACTTTTCTCCTTTTCTTGAGGGACATCCAAGAAAGAGATCACGCAAAAGGACAGACACTGATCCCATCAGCTATGGCACCGACGTCTACCTGCACCTCAACCGGCTGTCCAGTTCATCGGAGCCGCTGCAATAGCAACGAGCAGTCATGAGGGACCGAAGATCCCAAGGATTGACGACGGCAGCAAAGACCGCGAACAGCACAAACAGCACGGGAAGAAGAGCCCCTGCCTCTATCTCCTCTCCACCAAAGACGCCTCTGCAGATCCAGGCGCAGATGCGACAAAGGGACGGCCACGGCCGCGAGGTCTCGGAGCGCCGCCAGGTCGGCGATGCCGCCAGCATGGTGAACATGCCGTCGGAGCTGTCGCACGACCGCTCCGACAGTGAGTTATGACTCGTCGGCCGTCTCCGGGCGCTGCTCTCAACGTCAAGGAAATCGCGCCTTTCGGCGGCCGCGCACACGACAACAGGAACCAAACCAGGAAAAAACACCAAAGCAAACACAGAGACCATCACCAACGGCAGTCGGGGCATCGTTTTACCAACTCTGCTTCTCTTGTCCATCCCCCTCTCGTGGGATTACCTCGAACGAATCATCGCGTGATGAGTGCAGCACATACCTTCACCGGTCTTTCTCATCTCCCTCTCTCGCTCTTTCGCTCTCTCGCTCTCTGCCTCTCTCTGTTCTTCTCTCTTCCTCGACCTTCCCCCTCTTGCCATCTCCTTATTCATCACATTTCTTTTATATTCATGCCATGGTTTTATCTGGGACGGACAGACGGCCTCGCGACAGCGTGAGATGCCCGGGTTGTGTATTTGATGGAGGTCTTTTTCGCCCGCGTTTGGCATTTCTGGCGATGGGCTGACTATTGGGCTAAATGGGACGACATGTACAGCAAAAATATGCAGGGGATACAATAAAAACACCATTCGTATACCGACATTTCGTACATAGTACCTACAGGCCGAAGGATTCAGCCCGTGACTCCGTGATCCAGGATGCATTGGGAATAGGTATAGATGCCCTCCCGTCTCTTCCCGAAAAAAAAAAAAAAAAAAAAAACAGCAGAAGAAAAACAAAAGAAAGAGGCCAAAAAGAAAGGCGTCTGTGAACATGCATGTGTTCAGACACAAAGGAGACCGATCTATAACAAAAAGGAGGGAGAAAAAAACAAGATACAAAGCATCAAAGAAAAAAGGCATAAACTCCCACCCACACGCCAACATCCACATCTGCTCATGCCTTGTAGAGCAGGTCCAGAAACCCGGTCGCCAGCTCGACGACGATACTCTTGTTCGGCAGGCTGCCTGCCACGCCGTACAGCGCGGCCGCGTCTCCACTGTGATCCGCCGGCAGCGGCTTGCCGTTCTCAGCGGCCTTCTTTCTCTCGACGGCAAGCACCCGCGCCTTTTCCCGCTCCTCCTCGACGGCAGACTCAAGGTCTGCGATCAGCGTGTCCACCACCTTGACCACCGGCAGCGTGAACGCAATGTGGATCGCCGGTGGGTTCTGCAGCGCGTTCAGGTGCCAGCCCCGAGCCGTCATGTTGTCGGCCAGCGCATATATATTTAGCGGTGTGGCCGGTAGGCCCGCACTCGCCGCTCCGGCCTTGGGTTTCCGCGCCCGGAACGCCACCACCGACACCAGTGGCCGGCCCATGACCTCCAGCTCGGGCGACAGCACCGGCGACGACACCACATGGTCCGCCAGCTTGTGGGCTGCGCCGACGATGCGCTCGCACGCGTCCAGGTAGCCGGCCTCGCCGATCGACATCATGCTCGCCCAGCAGCCGGCAATCAGTGCACCCGGCCGCGATCCGGCCGCTCCGGGTGATGCATACACGCCGCCTGTCCAGTCGGCCGACACAAAGTACTGGTAGCTGCGCAGTGTGGCAGTGCGGTAAAGCAGCGTGCTGTTGCCCTTGGGCGCGAAGCCGTACTTGTGCGTATCGACAGAGATGCTGGTCACGCCACGCACACGGAAGTCGAACGGCGTCGACTCGAAGCCGGCCTTTTCCAGCATGGCCACCATGAATGAGCCGAGACAGCAGTCGACGTGCAAAGGAATCTTGTTGCGCGCGGCCAATCGCCCGAGTCCGGCAATGTCGTCGATGATGCCGTGCGGGAAGTTGGGGGCGCTGCCCACCAGCAGCACCGTGTTCGGGTTGATCAGCCGCGCCACCCGCTTCACATCAACCTGGTACGAAGGCCCTGGAGCGGCAACCATGTGGACCTTGATCTTGTAGTACTGGGCAGCCTTGTGGAAGGCTGTGTGGGCGGTTTCGGGGATGATCCTGTATCAGTTTGGGACACGGTCAGCGGGCGCACAAAATAACGGACAGCGAACAGAGAGAGAGAGGGTGAAGAAATCGCACATTTCCGGCTCTGTAATGCCACGCTCGACAAAGCCCTTTTGGCGGGCGCTGAGACACGCCATGAGGATACTGTCGGTGCCGCCGCTCGTCGTCACGCCCGCGGCTCCCGGTGGCGCATTGAAGAGCCCGAGCACCATGGCGACGATTTCGGCCTCCATCTTGCGCACGCCCGGAAACACGTCGGGGTGGATCGGATTGGCTACAGAGAACTTGCCATAAGCCTCGGTCTGCAGGCTGATCAGCTCGTCCTCGCCATGGTACACGGCTCCGCTGACCCGGCCGTCCTCCCAGCGCGTGTGATCGAGGCCGGCCAGGTCGTCGAGCTCGCGGCGGACCTGGTCGTCGGACCAGCCCTTAGCCGGGATCTTGGTGTAGCGGATGGAACTCAGGGGCACTAGCTTGGCCTCCAGCTTGCCGAGCGTCTCGTCGACCTCGCGGCGGACCTTGTCCCGGACGCTGGGTATACGGAGGAACCAGCCGAAGAGGACACGGCGGATGTCATTGTACAGCTCGACAAGTGTGCCGAAGATGCCGCAGCCGCGAAGTTTCCAGAGAGCACGGCGGGTGAGGCGGAGGAGGAAGAGGAAGAAGACGGCATTGCGGATCCTGCGGATAAGGTTAGCCTTGTTGGTCCGAAACTCTGGCCAACCTGACATTCCTCGCCTGGCCTCTCCTCTTGCAGACAGCACAACTCACAGGTCGATGTTGAGAAGCAGAAACGGGCTTCTCCGATGGCGACGGACGGTGTTGAAGCCGTTCACAATGCTGACGGGTAGCCGCGATGAGCCCGGCATGATGGCGACGACTCGGGATGCTGCAGCGGCGCAGAGGCGATATGGGATGGGCAGATTTGAAAGAGTGAGTTGAAGCCTGGATGGCCTCTGGCGAAGCTGAAGTCGAGGGCACGAGAACCAAAGAGTGACGAATAAGGGAGGGATCGCCAAATAAAGGGAAAGAAGGAAGGCGTGTGAATGGTAACGGAGTTCTAATATTGATGATTGGCTCGCAGGGGAGGCGCGACCTGAAATACCGAAACCCCGAACCCACGAATAAAGTTTATGGTCCGCGGCAGGCGCAACCAGAGGTCTTTCCGTTTGGAATGTTCTTATCGGGGCTTTGTTTGGAACTCTGCAGCGGGTGCCATTCTTCTCGAAGCTGTCCGGCAAGCAATTGGGGCAGCAGAGGAACAGCCGGAAGGGCGCTCTTTCTTTTATTTTGATGCCTACGACATAGGGCGAGATAACCCCCCCGGTGAGGGCGAAACTGGGAAGCCCGGCACTAAGCGTTCGTCACATGCGAGGCAAGGCGCGATCTAAGCGCGCTTCCCTATTTGCTCAATCCTGGCTCCGCCCGAAGCTTCTTATTTCCAGGCGAGATGCAACGCCAGCCAGCCTGCATCGGTATTAGCCCTCGTACGCAATAAGTCAGACTGCACTTATCCGGCCGGCTCTCCCTTTCAGGCAACCGAGGACGGTCAAGAGCCGCGATCGCGAAGGAATGAGAGGGGGTGGCATCGCGGTTAGATAAGGTAAGATATACGGAGTACGGGATGTTTTATATAGAAGCTTCCATTCGTAAACAATTACGGAGTATGGAGTACGACATGCCTATTTGAGGCCTGCTTATTAGCTGCGCAGCCTATTGAATCAGTCCACAAATTCGGATAAGGCGAAGACTAAATTAATAAAAGACGGAATAGAATACAAGAATATGAAAATTGGACCAACACGAAGCGAGGACTCTCAAACAGCCTACATGGAACGAGGCCCCCAAAAGGCGAACAGCGAAAAATGAAGAGAGGGAAAAGGGATAAAAGCGAGGTAATAAACAGGGCAAAAAAAGAATAAAGATAGATAAAAAGAAAATCAGGAGCAAGAATCGTCCTCATGGCAACGCCGTTCCCCTTATACATGTGTTGGGCGGACAGCCCAAGAAAGGCCGTGATACCGACTGGCTGTCAACCACAGGTCCGACCGTAAGCCCCCTCGCAACTTCGCCGCAGTGGCAAGGTCCCGTTTCATCTGCCACCATCCGCCGTGGTGGCCAATAAACCACATATACAATCACAGTGCCAACGCCGTCGAACCCTTCCCAGCCCATCCGGGAAAGGAAGCAGAGGGGAAGATGTCTATAGGGTGGGGAGCAATGGCGGAAGCCACCCTCTTATCAACGAAACTACACGGCAGCCGTCGTGAATTCCCAGAGTCGTTCAGATCGTCACATACGTTGCGTTTGCACATGTGAGATGAATAATAAAATAAAAAGAAGGAAAAAAAGGCGGGCAGAAGAGCCGGGCGCACAGGCCGAGAACAGACCGAACAATCGACATCCCGTCTTCAGCTCGACGCCCTGGCCGCCGCCTGCCACTGCTTGATGTACGACTGCGCCTCGTTCTCGCAGATCGTCGAGCTGGTCCGGATGCAGGCGACGACGCGAACCGACAGGTCGCCGGGCTCGTACACCGCCCCGTGCTCGTTTTTGCTGTACGCGTTGATGGTCCGCTGCGGCACGATGGCCATCTTGGACAGGATCGTCGGGTGCCACTGCACAATGTGTTCCTGCTCGAGTCAGCCAGCTGCACGGAGTACGGGGCGCCTGCTGGGTCCTCTCCTCGCGCCTCTCCACTTACCAGCGCATGCGTCTCCGCTTTTTGGAAGTTGTACGACCGGTAGATCGGGTCGAACCAGGTCTCGAAAAAGAACCGCGCCCACCCGCCGTTACGGATGATGAAGCTCGACGTCGACAGTCCATCATTGTCCTGCGTCAGCACAAAGTCAACGTCCTGACCGCGCAGGTGCACAAATGTCTTGATGATGCTGTCGGGCGGCACCACCGGGTGGTCCTTGATCATCAGGGCCTCTAGCCTGGTCGGCATCATCAGATCGCTCTCGATCTTAGCGCCCATGTTCATGATAAACGTGTCCTGTTCGACGAACCAGAAGAACGTGCTGTCGGGGAAGAGCGTGAGCGCGTGGCGCATCGCCACCACCTTGGTCCACGACAGCGGCGAGCCCTTGAGATCGTACTCGCCCACCTTGGGGAAAAAGGCCGCGTAGCCGTGCCGCTCGGCGTACAGCTTGCGGTTGTCTCGCACCGTGTCGAGGTAGGCTCGGTGGAAGTTGGTCTCGTCAAACACCGTCACGATCACCACCGTCGGCGCCTTGCCCGACGACGCATAGTTGAATGTCGCAAACGAGTTTGTTGTCACGCCCGCCGCCGCTACTGCCGCCACGTTGCTCTTGGTGCTGCCACTGTTCGGGTCGTTTTTCGCCTCGTTGTGCAGCGTCATCCACGGGTTCGACTGATGGTGCGATCGTGTCAGAAGCATCAGCACCGCGATCACAAACAGGCCCAGCGATGCAAGGACCCGCGTCCGGCTGCGCCGTAGCACCGGCAGCCGTGACGACCGCGGCGGAAATGCCGGGGCATTGGAGTTTTTGCGTGGTGGATATGCGAAATGCATGATGTGATGGGACAGTGTGTGGAGAATGTTGTTCGCGGTGATGCTGAATCGGCGGGGCTTCCTCCCCTAGTTATCTCTGCCTTGCCTTGCCTCCGTCTATCGTATGTATGTGCCGATCGTGATCTCTGCGTCAGTGGTTGCGGATAGCGATGTTTTCACTCGCTCGAGAGGAATACTCGAGCCAGACGGTGAGGTTCACTGCAGTCCTTCCCGCAAGATCCCCGGCGTATCTTCAGGACCACAGTCCGATTGGACGAGAGAGGAGAGTCGTTTATAAGATCGTAGATAGATGGAAGAAGTATATCATGCGCCGTGAGTGCTTCGAGGCATCCAGAACGGCTCAACGGCGCCAAGCCGTACTCTTCGCAGAAGAGAGCTTTGAGGTGGTGGCAGTTGAAATTAAGAAACGGGAGGCCGCTGGAGCAGACCTGATATAAATGATTGCCAATATCTTCCCGTTCTCGTTCCCCGGTGGAATGCAATGAAGCGTGCAGGAAATATGAATGAGGCCCCCTCTTTCTTAATTTGTGTTCTTTTCTCCTGATTGACGAGAAAGAATAAAATAAATGACACTCATTAATGCACACTAAGCCCCTGGGGCGCGTTGTTTCTGAGGACACGTTCACGTGCTCCTGGCTGTGTGGAGACCGCTGCGCTGAAAAATGCCTAGCCTATTATGTAAACTGCCTGCATGCCTTATTTCAACCCCATTCGCACGCATGCATTGATTGACGCGAAATGCGTCCATACGGAGTAATTTGATCTGGCTGACTACGATACATCAGAACGCCATCGCGGCTGCAACTCTGGCAGCACGTATCCTACCTAGTATGGAGTACTCGCCCACCTTTCTTTAAAACACAGCGCTCCACACGGAGTCTGCAATTTCCAACCAGGACCTTGACGTCAAGTAAAGCACGGGCCTCATGGCACTGCATATACTTACTTCGTATAACAACACATCCCACGATACGGGGAGAGGCACAGCACAGCACTATTTACGCAATTATGTATCAACCATGCCCTGGCGTGCATCTTGGGCCGGGCTTGTAGTGAGCGGGGGCTGAAGTAAGCTTCTGCGCCTCTCACTACGCTGCCCGGAAAGGAGTTGGTAACTCCTTGGAAGCGCAGGCCGATACACCGTACAGATATGTCGCAAGACGCGAGATCTGAGTGGTTAGAAAAAGGCAGAGCAGTGGTTGAGAAAGCCTGAGCCTCTGCAAACGGAGTCGCCGAACAAGACGTTTGGCAAGCCCACAGAGGACCGTAAACAGGACAGTTTCATCTTTGCACACAGACTAGTTGGCTCGACACGGAGGCAAAACGTCAAGACAACTTAAGAGTGTGCAAACGGTGGATGGGGTAGGGGGGTAAGGGGTAACATCATGGTGTGAGGACGGAGCACGTAAGATACCTGTTTGCATTTTGATTTGTTCAGTACACTCCCAAAAAAAAATCTGCAAAGTAAGAAGACTCTCAATCGTCCTGGGGTTGACCTTCGTTATCATCATCTGCATCGCTTTCGTCTGCTTCATCTCCATGGATGTCGACCACATGTTCGCTTGCCCGTTCAAGGACACGACCACTCAAATAATTTATTCCCTTCCACGCAACCTAATGAAGACGAGGGTCAGTATAGGATTCCCGGAAAGAAACGGATAGAGGGTAGTGTAGCAAATCGCCGGACATACCCCCAAGAATGTGAAGGCGCCCACGAGAACAAACATCCAGCCAAACCCTTCAATTCGTGCCCGTCCTCCACCGGCACGGCGCCTAACCCGGCCCCGGATGTTCCACCAAGTAAATGGGGACACGGCTAAGAAGGTCTTGATCACGCCCACGATGCCAAGCGAGAAAACCCCTTTGAGAAAGTGTTCCGCCCAGCCTGTAGCGCTCCAATCACTGTCATCGCCGTGATGTGGATGCAAGATGCCCGCCAGATTCCCCAAAATATCATCGCCGGTATCCGGGTCGCCGAAGTCACTGATCGTGTCAGCGATCATATTGGCAGGGTCGAGCCACAGGTCGATGAGCGGGTCGGCGATGAATCCCAGCAGAAAGATGGCCATCCAGAAGGCGAGAAAGGTCAGCGTTGCCCTCGTCACCCGGTTCGAGATCCACCGGCCCCAGCGCAGCCTCTCAAAGCGGTATTCGAACCCGCACGTTGGACACTTCCAGTAGTGACGGCCCGACAGCGGCTGCGCATGTCGCCAAGCCGTCAGGCAGCCCTCGTGGACGTACTTTTGCGTACCCTTGCAGTGGCACGGACAGACCAACCGGCCGTCTTGAGGGTCTTCCGATACGTAGCGGACACGGGGTTGCGGTCGAAGAAAAGACGGGATCGCCGAGGCCATCGCCCCAGCAACTCGTACGCCGATCCTCTCGATTCCTCCAACGACGGCGTCTACACCGTCCGCAGCAGGCTCCTCCTCATGAAGAGCTTCGTCCGCATCGTCAAACGTCGGTAACACAACCTCCAGGCAGATGCGGCAGGTCCGGGGCTTGTAACGCCTCTTGAATTGCCTGTGCTGATATGCAGGGGGATGCGTGTCGGGACGAGGTTCCGCCTCACCATGTCCGGCATGTGTCGTAGTTTGGCAATAGTCGTGCGAGCTGCTGGTTGCGTCCAGGTCGCGTTCAATCGGCCGTTGCCTGGCGGCAGACGAGTCGACTGTTGCAGCGTTTGTAACATCTTCTGTGTTCATCTTGGGTCCAGACCAGCTAGACCCAAAACCCGCCTGTCGAGGTCGCAAGTCCATTTTTAGGAAAAGCTCTCTGTTTTCTTTCAAGCTGGACCAGCGTGCATAGCACTTTCAGTCTCGAGACAAGCTCTGCTCAAGTTTTCCGAAGATGTGCGGCCACTCGGATCGCCGGAATCTTAGAGGGCATTTTACATTTTCCGTCAAGAAATTCCAAGATAAAAGACAACGAGACCTTTCAACCAGCCGAGAGGGGTAGACGGAAGGAGGGACATAAACTTGTCGGATTGAAGAAGGAAAGCGCAAGGCAGACCCGGGCTTTCCACCGGCTTCGAGAATTTATTTTGCTGCCTGTTGGCGGTTTGCAGCTAAACCACATAGATTGAGGGGAAAGGACTAAAATCGGCCAATATAAAAGCCGAAATTCCGGCAGAGACCAGTGGGAGCTGGCGAGAGACGAGCTTAACACTGGTTTGGTGCATATGAGAGCTGCGACCAATCAGGGAAGCTCGACGCGCAACTGTGCGGTGTGCCTGGAGAACTAAGCAGAGGCGGCACGAAAGAAAGGCTGCATAGCGAACGACGAACGTAAAAGAATAGCCACATCTGTCTGCAGACCTGATCAGCAGCGTGCGAGACGAACAACCAAACGAGAGGATATCTGGTCCGCTCCGTCCACGTCGTCTTCTTTGACCTTGCTGAACCGCCCAGCCTTCGGCCCAACCTAGCCCTACATCACCCTCGAATCCAGTCTCCGACAACCGCAGCCATGGCCGATCGGTACTCCTTCTCGTTGACAACATTCTCGCCCAGGTGAGCAGCTCTGTTGCTTTTCCGGTGATGGTGGCTCTGTGCATGCGCCGCTTTCATCTGCATATCTGTATCTATACAAGGACTAACCTGGTGATGATACAATAGTGGAAAGCTGGTCCAAATTGGTTCGTTGTTCCTGAGTTGCAAATTGCCCTCCTTGTAAAATCACAGAATGCGGGCACTAACACTAAGCTCGTAGAGTATGCTCTAAATGCAGTCAACCAGGGCGTTACGGCTCTGGGCATCAAAGGTGAGCACTGCTTTGGCTCAAGCATTGGCTTTCGGCCGCCTCATCTAACCTATCGCAGCCACAAATGGCATTGTCCTGGCCACGGAGAAGAAGTCATCATCTCCGCTCGCAGATCCCGCATCCCTCTCCAAGATCTCTCTCATCACACCCGACATCGGCATGGTGTACGCCGGCATGGGCCCTGACTACCGTGTTCTTGTCGACCGCGCCCGCAAGGTGTCCCACTCGGGCTACAAGCGCATCTACAACGAATACCCTCCGACCCGGATACTGGTCCAGGACGTCGCCCGTGTCATGCAGGAAGCCACTCAGTCTGGTGGTGTTCGCCCCTACGGTGTCAGCCTGCTGGTTGCCGGATGGGACGAGGGCATTCTGCCTGATGAGGAGCTCGAGAAGGAGGCAGCTGCAGCAGCGGAAGCCAAGAAGGCAGAGGGTGAGGACGTCGAGTTCACTGATGGAAAGAAGAAGCTATCGGGCAAGACAGGTGGCATCCTCAAGGGTGGGCCCATGCTGTATCAGGTAGACCCGTCTGGCAGCTACTTCCCCTGGAAGGCGACGGCCATTGGCAAGAGCGCAGCTTCGGCCAAGACCTTCCTGGAGAAGCGGTACACGGAGGGACTAGAGCTGGAAGATGCCGTGCACATTGCGCTGCTGACGCTGAAGGAGACGATTGAGGGCGAGATGAACGGCGAGACGATTGAAATCGGTGAGTGGCCTCTTGATGAAAGCAGAAGGACCTACACCATCTTTCTGTCGTGGCTATTATCGTAAGCTGCTTGTACTAATACCCGAAACAGGCATTGTTGGACCTCCGGCAGACCATTTGCTGGGCACTGAGGGCGTCGAGGGTGCACGGGGGCCGCGGTTCCGCAAACTCACACCGCAAGAGATCGAGGATTACCTGACCAACCTATAAATTTGAGGCAGGTCGCCTCCTGTGCCGTGCGGCTGTGGTTCTTTCACGTGTGTGCCATATTCTTCTCTAGAGATCTTGGGTGCCGGGTAAGAACCACACGTCGGGAAAGGAGGGGCCTGTGTAATTGTACCAATGCCAAATAAAATAACGCATTAGATGTCTGGCTGTCTTGGGGAGGTGTTTTGTGCAACAGGGCCTCCTCGTGAGGTCGGTGATGGCTATGCTTTTTTGTCTACTAACACAAAAGAGCTCCTTGGCCCAGCAACGACGTCCACGACGTGTTCGTCACTGAGTAGAGGGATGGGGACCCTGACCCACGAGGATGCAGCTGCACGCTGGTCAGGATCCAGTCCGAGCTGACCGTTGCTGTTGCTACCTATGGCGCACACAGTTCCGTCTGCCATGAGCACAATCATGTGTTCCTCGCCCACGCCAACGTCCACGATATCAATATCTGCATCATCACTGCTATCTTCGCTCTCCATCACCACCACAATAGGCACCGGATCGCCCGTGAGCCCCTCGAGCACCGGCTGTCGCCCTGGATACCCGCCCCAGGCATAGAGATCGCGGCCACTAGTCAGAGCTGTCAGGACGTAGCCGCCTGCAGCAATCTTGACGATGGGACCGGTAGGGAGGTCTTCGAGGCAGGTGGCACAGCCAGGCCGGTCCGCTGGGCTGCACAGGTGTTAGGAAGAAAGGCCGAAACAATGACTTGTCGTTTTCTTGCCCAGATGCCTCATCAGCACTGACCTCTCTTCTGTCACGCTCCGGCAAAGGCACTCGGGAAAGCGGCCATCCCCCCAGGTCCAGACCTGACCGGTAGAGGTGAGAGCAGCAAAGCCGGTATCATATGCCACCGTCTGTATAATGTCAGAAGGCCTTTTGAAGACTGTGCGCTGTAATTCGGACTCATTTCGCCTGTAATAGTCTGCCACCGACGAATACTGGTAAATACTACCGGCACCGTCATAGACTGGCCGTATGCGCAGTGTCAGTTTACCCCGAAGAAGAAAACACAGGTACAGAACAAATTGCCTGGCGAAGAATATATTTACCAACTACACGGCCGTTCATAGCCTCGGCATAGTTGTAGTCATCATGACCGCTGTTGAAGGGCTCTGGCACGGCACCGGCTAACAGCTGGCCTTTGGCAGTTGTCACTAAAGAGCAGTTTGTCAGTGACCAAAATTGAGTTGGCAGGTTCATTTGCTTATTGTCTAACAAGTAGTAAACGTGAGGAACGGTTGGATGGCTCCAAGCTTCTCCGACTCAAGAATGCAAGAGAAGGGATAAATGTCGCTCGGTTCTGACCCTTCACAGTCAGGTGTATCATCTTGGCTTTCGGCTTTGTCCCAGGTACGAAATTGCAGCTGGTTCCAGGCGTTGAAGCCGGCCGCGTAAAGTCGCATGAGGTCAGAAAATTCGATGAGTTTTTTAGTTGTGATATCGCGTGTTTTCCCAGCTACGTACGTAAGAAAGGAAAGTTGATCAAATGTCAGCTCACCCGCCGAATAATGCACCGAACACCGATTTAGAGCGATCAAGATGCCACCATTTGCAGTCTATGAGCTTCTTTGCTATGACGTGCGGCTATAAAGCTATGGCGATGATTGACTTGCAGCTATCAATGGCTATCAATGGACTGTATAACTAGCTGGATGTTGTTGTGTCTAGTTACTTGCAAAGCTTGACTTGGGTTGTGCCAGCATGCCAGGCTGCATGGAGCCTAGCTCGCGCTGTGCTATATACTTTCTGCTAACCGTAGAAGATATAACCAAGGGCAAGATGGCGGAGTGGTTAACGCGCTGGCCTGCTAAGCCAGTTCCCTCGGGAGCGAGAGTTCGAATCTCTCTCTTGTCGATTTTTATACTTTCTACTTATACAGTATGCTGTAAATCTGCAGCTTCCTCTTTTTGCTCTGTACGGAGTACGGAGTACTGTAGTCTGCTCCACCTGTTCGGGGCCTTTTGGCCTATCTAACAGTGACTGGAGAGTCTCAATTTTGCACAAGTAGTCTTTGTACTCCGTAATCTCCACGTAGCCATGAGCACTTTCACATACGAGCAGAGGGACGTGTCAGCGATAATTTAGAAACTACCATTATTAAAGACTAGCAGCAGGTGTTCTACGCGGGGAGTTCGTATCGAGTACGACTCCATAGAGGGAATATATGGAAACCAAAAAAAAAAAAAAAAAAAAAACCAGAACAGCAGGATCTGTAACCCTTTATATGTTGTTCCACTGCTTGCCGCTCCACATGTTCGGAGTCGTCCACACCCAGTAGTCACGGCCCTTGAGCGCCCACACCATCAAGCTCGGTACGGAGTTGCCGTTGAAGATGCCGACGCCCTTGCTGCGGCCAATTGGCACAATCTGCGTCATCTTGGTATCCTGCACATATTCACGGTCGGCACCCGGCTGTGCCTTGCCGATGTCCTCCAAGAAGTCGCGCTTCATGTTGGTGGCCAGGACGGGAACGGCTGCCTGTATGAGCGGGAGGGATGGCCGGTGGAGGTTCGAGCAGTCGCCAATGGCATAGATGCGTGGGCCAGCGCCGATGACGCGCGACTTGCTGTCCGTCTTGATACGTCCGTCGTCGGCCAGCAGGGCGGCATCCGTCACGAACTCCGTGTTTGCCTTGTAGCCGATGGCAGGGATGTAGATGTCGGCGTTGAGCTCCTGGCCGTCCGAGAGCAGCACGCGTCCGGGCGTGGCCAGCTGGCCTTCAGTGCCTGCGCCCTCGGGAACGACAGACGACACCTTGGTCTTTGTGATCACCTTGACACCAACGTTGGCCAGCATCTTCTCGGCCTTCTTGGCGACAGCCACCGGCTGATCCGGCAGGATCTGCTCCGTGCTCGTCACCAGAGTGACCTCCAGCTTGGACTGCAGCCCGGACCAGGGCCAGCACGAGGCCCGGCCATTGAAGTGCTCGCCCAGCTCGCCAGCCGTCTCGACGCCCGTAGCACCGCCACCGCAAACGACGACAGACTTGGCCTTGGCCAATGCGGCCCGGAACTCGGCGTACCGCTCCTTGAGATACACCTCGTCGTGGTGGTTGAATCCCATGAGCGGCGAGATGGTCGTGGCTCCCGTGGCGATGACGAGTGAGTAAAAGTCAATCACCTCGGTATTAGCATCGTCGCCACCGGCAAGAGCGATTGTGACGGTGCGAGCGGCATGGTCGAGGGCCGTGGCCGTACCTTTGACAAAGCGGAAGCTGCCCTTGGGGTAATTCTCGAACAGCGGAGCGGTGTCGACCCATAGCTTCTTCTGGTCAAAGAGGTCGTCGGAGATGATGGCACGCGGCGCGGCAGGACGCGATGTGACCTGCGAGGCGATGCTGACCAGAACGACCTGGTAGTTCTCCTTGTCGGGCAGTTCGGCATAGATGTGCTTTAGGAAGCAGTGAGCGGCCGAGAGACCTCCATAGGAGCCGCCTAGAATGACAATGTTCTTTGTGGTCGACATGGTGTAAGGTGTGCCGAGTGAAGACGAGGTAAAAAGACGAAAGGTGTAAAGAGAAAGGGGGGTGGTTGCAGGTCGAGGAGACCGAGGCGTAGCCCTGCTTTATAAAGCTGTGCAGAAGGGCGAAAGAGCTTAGGCTAGAACGCGAAAACGGCAAGACAGGATCGAGCCGACAAGCTACCGTCTTATACGGCTGCAGAATTTTGCAGGAGTTAGACAAAAGCCTTCGTATCACAAATAGAAAAGACGGCCGAACTGAGCGGGCTAGTGTGTGTTTAATACTAAAACAAATCAATTTCACGTTTGAACACTTAAGTTGCATCGTCTAAACCATTTCGGCGCCCGACCGGACAAAGTTGGGGCTTATCCGTAAGCCATCCATTGTTTTTTTGGTCCGTATCGGCACCCGCTGGCCCGTTCTGCCAAATACATAGCAATGATATTGATATTTCCTGTCGGCCTGTTGTCAATGTCCGGCAAGACCAAATCTTCTTTTGCCACAAGGTAGAAACAGTGATGCGCCATGCCCCAACGGGGAAAGAGGCTAAATATCCACTGCGGCACGATCCATCTAGACTTCTGTACGGAGTAGCCAGGAACTGAATCGCCCTTCAGGACTAGGGGCAAAGAAGTCGTAGCCTCGCATTCGGCAAGCGATTCGAAACTCACGAATATTCGTATTTGCAAAGTGTCAGTGTTTCAGACGTTAAGTTCTGAAGAATACACAATTCTCAAAAGTTCGCCATGTTTAGCTTAGTAATCAGTATTTCATACCCCGCCAATCTAGATAGTTGTCTGTACTCCGTAAGTTGGCAACCTCTCGCAAGACGGCGATGTGGCGCTCAACTGAAACAATAAAGATATCTTTTTAAAGACGGACAAAATACAAGAGGCATCAAGATTATCAGTTTGAGCGGTTTGTTGCGACTGTAGCTTTTGTTTCAAAGTAGCAATCAATTGCCAAATAGACGGTAGTGCCCATAGCGGGGAAAGTGAGCTAATATTGTCTCGAATTGCTGTAGCCTAATCCAAACGGCTGAAGTGTTCCCCAAATTGCTTTACGATTGACGGCCAAACAATTCGGACTGACCAGAAGCTATCCTTCAGGGTCTTTTCTCCATTTTGCGAGCTCAATGCGAAACTGCGAGGTCAATGCGAACCAACTACGAGAACAGTTGCCGATCCCAGGTCTTACCAGCACTGCGGGATTGCAACCTGGGGACTGAAAATAATGTGTGCCATTGGCCAATTGCAGACCCCTCAACCAAGCACGAAATAACTCAGATATCTTACCACTGGACAATCGCTCTTGCGCACTCCCTTGTTTTCGCGCCTTTACCGCTTTTTTCAGAAACAGGCCACTAGCCGTCAAAGGAAGCGCCACGTCTGCGAGCAGGATCCTATAATTGATTGACCATGTTCTTTTCCCCAGAGTCAATTGTTGATTAGGAGGGGGTTACGAGTATCACTGAGCCATCTGAATAGACCTTACTGGGCAAAATGTGCCAGCGGAGAGTGCCGCAAGATACGTCATCCAACGCAGGGGACTGGGGGAACTAGACAGGGTGAAAGGCGAGAAAACAGAGGTCGAGGACGGCAAGTGCAGAATGCTTTCACATGCCAATTCCACAGAAAAAGAGAATGGTCCACTAATGGGACGAGAAGTAGCTTTACGGCGGTCACCACACGGCAGTTTGGCCTGACCGGCCAGCGGTCTAAAATTACTAACCCGCCCAGAACACTCGTTCTAGCAGATCGGGCAGTCGCTGTGGGACCACATGTGGCACGATGCCATAGCAATTTTCTGCCAGGGGCACAGACCACCCGTAGGGGATCATCAAGGGGCGGTTTTATTTAATGTCAATTCGGCGGCGCCCAATTGCCCTCTGAGAAGCCCCAAGTTTGTGCGTGCCTTGCTCCAACTCACAGTCTGTCATCGTCTGCCTCTGCCCAATCTTTCCAGCACTTGTGTCCGCGTCTATCTCCACAACCCGCAATGGCAGACCCGGCGCTTCTTCGGCGCACTGCGGACCACCAGGCCGACGTCGTTGTGGTGGGAGCAGGCGTGTTCGGAGCAGCAATTGCGACGGCGCTGGCGCGGCAACAGCGGTCGGTCATCCTGCTGGAGCGGTCGCTCAAGGAACCGGAGCGCATAGTGGGAGAGCTGCTGCAGCCCGGCGGAGTGCGGGCGCTGGAGCAGCTGGGACTGCAGGACTGCCTGGAAGGCATCGATGCGGTACCGGTGCACGGCTACGAAGTGATATACAACCACCAGTCGGTGTCGATTCCATACCCGGTCGTGGACGGCGCGCAACCAGGCTCCAAGCCGGCAGAGGGACGTGCATTCCACCACGGGCGCTTCATCCAGAAGCTGCGGGCGGCAGCGGCAGCGGAGAAGAACATTACGATTGTGGAGACGGAGGTGAACGGCCTGATCCGGTCAGAGACGTCGGATCAGGTGCTGGGCGTGACGGCCAAAACGGACGGCAAGGCGGACTACTATTTTGGAGCGTTGACAATCGTGGCGGACGGCTATCGCAGCAAATTCCGGGAGGAGAATGCAGGGCGGAAGCCGACGTCCAAGTCCAAGTTCTGGGCGCTGGAACTGGTGGACGCAGCGCTGCCGGCGCCGAAGCATGGCCACGTGGTCCTAAACCAGGAGCACTCGCCAGTGCTGCTGTACCAGATCGGCACGCATGAGACGCGGGCGCTGGTGAACGTGCCGGACGGGCTGGCAGAGGCAAAGCCGGCACAGGGTGGCGTGCCTGAGTACATGCGCCGCGTGGTGCTGCCGCAGCTGCCGCCATCGGTCCAGGGGTCCTTCAGCAAGAGTCTGGAAGCGGGCAGGCTGCGCTGCATGCCCAACTCGTTCCTGCCGGCCACACCGAACCAGGTGCCAGGGCTGGTGCTCGGCGGCGACGCGCTCAACATGCGGCACCCGCTGACGGGCGGCGGAATGACAGTGGCCCTCAACGACATCGTGGTGCTACGCGACCTGCTGGCACCGGCCCTCGTTCCCTCGCTCGCAGACGTGCCGCTGGTCTTGCGCCAGCTGCAGACGTTCCACTGGCAGCGCAAGCGGCTCTCAGCCGTCATCAACATTCTCGCCCAGGCACTCTACTCGCTCTTCGACGCCGACGACTACTACCTCAACGCCCTCCGCAACGGCTGCTTCGCCTACTTTCAGCGCGGTGGCAACTGCATCCGCGGGCCCGTCCAGCTGCTGGCTGGCGTCACACACCGCCCCCAGGCCCTCGTCTATCACTTCACCTCTGTCGCCCTGCTGTCCATCTGGGTCCTCCTCTACTCCAATCCGCTCTGGCGCCTGCCACTGACCCTGTTTGAGTGTGTCGCCGTGCTGTACAAGGCCAGCGTCGTCATCCTGCCCTTTATCTTGGTCGAGTTCTGGTGAAGCTCCGCGCGTGCGTCTGTGCGCGCGTGTGCCTCTTCTTTTTACTAGATATTTAATAGCCCGCGTCTGCCCGGAGGCGGTGCCGGGCACGACGTCTAATGCATTTGAAATGTGAACTACCATCTGTCATTTCGCCGTTTCGTGAAGCTGTTCCAGCAATATTCCGTTATGTTTTTTTTTTTTTTGTAAGATGCTCGAGGCAGGAGCGAAACTGCCCAGCAGGCAGCTGCGAGTCTCACCCACCTAATTGGCAGAAACCCGCAACCGCCGGATATGAGACGTAAGAGAAAAACGACCCCACCCACCTAAACTTGTAATGTCTGCTAGGCTCACCACAGCAGCGGTTGGACAGACAGACAGCCAGCGAACCGCTCTCTCTCTCGCTGCAACATGGAACAGTCATGCTTGCACAAGCTTGCAAGGACAGACGGCGGCTGTTGAGACCGGTCTTCTGCGGGGTTCTCTGACCCTTTAACCGGCTCGAACGGCCGGTCGTCAGACTCAAAACGCAACAAAACACTTTGTGTCTGTCAGTAAACGAGGCCGAAAACAGAAGCTCCACACAAAATACTCCTCTCTGTCGGCAGCAACGAATTAGTTTGGGCATGATTGCGCGGGCTGCCATGGCTGCCTGTAGGCTGCACGACCACCTGTCGGACGGGGCAGCTTGGTCCAGTGACGAGATAGAGGAAGCATCGTTCATAGACCGTGGCGACAGCGTCGACCACAGCTACGACTACGGCTACGGCAACCGTCACAGGCTTAAGCGAGACTACATCTACGATACGGAAGCTCCGGCGGAGGAGGCTGATGCCCTGGTTGCCGCGTCTCGGGCCTATCAGCTGGAGATGTTCGAGGAGAGCCTGAAGAAGAACATTATCGTCGCTGTAGGTCGCATACCCTTCGTTTTGCTTCAATCGGGTTCTAAATGTACAAACGGGCCTCTGACATTCTCCAGATGGACACCGGAACCGGCAAGACACGCGTGTAAGGCGCCTCACTCTTTCTCTTTTCCTTCGTGTTGCTGCCTTGTTATGCCCAATCTGACGGTTTCTCTTTCGTAACTCCCAGAGCGATACTGCGGATCAGGACAGAGCTCGAGCGATCACCTCTAAAGGTCAGTAATCGGCATCGTCGCGTGTGAGCCTGAACAGCTATGCTGATGGCCATTTTCATCTGAACAGATTGTGTGGTTCTTGGCCACGACTGTGTTTCTATGCGACCAGCAGTTCAAAGCGATCGTGTCTCAGATACCAGGTGCCCAGGCAAAAATCATCACGGGACAGAGCGGCGTGGATGCCTGGTCGACACAGGCTGTCTGGTACGTTGCAAACGATCCTGATAGCAGACGGTTGTCGGCTGACAGCGGTGAACACAGGGACGCTGTACTTCTTAACGTCCGGATCGTGGTTGCCACGCATCAGGTCTTGTTGGTAAGCTTGAACGACGGTCGCATTGTTGTCTTTCTCCTAACCTGCCGTTAGGATGCCATGCACCATGGCTTTGTGAAGATATCGTCGATATCGCTGCTTGCCTTTGACGAAGGTGAGCTTTACACGGAAAGGATGTCTTTCATGAGACCACGATAGGTCCGGCTGACAGGCCTGTATACGCCAAGCGCATGCTTGCGTCAAGGAGCATGCGGGCAAGAGGATTATGAGCGAGTTCTATTATCCTGCGCTGAACCGGGGCGAAGTGGTACCGGCGATCCTCGGCATGACGGCCAGCCCGGTGCACGGCACGAAACTAGACGGGCTCGACAAGCTGGAGCAGACGCTGCACGCCGTGTGCAGGACGCCGAAGCGACATCGGGCGGAGCTGGTGGCACACACGAAACAACCGTCGACGTCAGCACACGTGTGCGACCCCCGCGCAGGCCTCTCTGCACCGATCCCCCAGAACGCGGCGCGGCTGCAGCAAGTCTACGACGCGGGCGAGATACGGTCATTCACGGAAAACGTGCTTGCGTACAAAGGTGGCGAAGGCGATGTTGAAGTGAATACAAAGGACTACGACCGGTCGTGGGCCTTTTTGAAGGCATTTTGCCGTCGAACGTGCCACGTTTACGCCGAGCTGGGCTCTTGGTCGGCAGATTATTACGTGCACAAGGTCATCCGTCGCTGCGTCAACGCATCGAATCGAAAAATTGGACCTGAAGGCCGCCGACCGTATCTGTTATTTCTACTGAAGCAGGTCAGATCTGTCGCACCAGCAAAGCCAGTGTATGACGCCAACGCCGATTGCAGCAACAACATATCGTTCCTGTCGTGCCTGTCGGCAAAGGTGTTGAAGCTGGTGGAGATCCTGGAGGCGTGCGAGGCGCGGCGACCGACGGGCATTGTTTTTGTCAAGGAGAGGCCGATGGCTGCGGTGCTGGCACGGGTACTGTCGCTGCACCCTCGACTGCACGGTCGATTCCGGGCCGGTCATGTGGTGGGAATGTCCCAGATGTACACGGACGTGTACGAGGCAGCGCTGGTGCTGAACCCGCGCAAAGGCAGCCAAGAGGCACTGCAGCTGTTTCGGGGGGGGGCAGAAGCCGGGGAAGCAGGAAGAGGAAGGAGAGAAGGAAGCGGAATCAATCTGCTGGTGGCCACAAGCGTGATGGAGGAGGGCATCGACGTGCCGGCCTGTAACCTGGTGGTGTGCATCGACGAACTGACCAGCCTGAAGGCGTACATCCAGAGGCGAGGGCGGGCACGCGAGGAGAACTCGCAGATGCATTTGCTGTTGGGGGAGGATCTGAGAGGGCGGCGGGCACTGACACACGAATGGGAGGAGCTGGAGCACGAGATGAAGCGGCGGTACGAAGATGGCCTGCGCGAGCTGGCCGACCTGGACGGACAGCCCCGTGACGATGGCCTGGACGACGAGAACATAATGCCGCCGTTGGAGGTGGCATCCACACAGGCGAAGCTGGGGGCACGGGACGCCAAAAACCATCTGGATCACTTTTGCGCGACGTCGACGTCGGCCCGATTTGTCGACTGGCAGCCGGTATACATTCTGGAGGAATACGAAGGCGATGGCGAGTACGATGGCGACTTCAACGGCATATTTACGCGAGGCACGTTTGCGTCGCCTCGGCTGCTGAGGGCGACGGTGCAGCTGCCGATCACACTGCCGGCCCATCTGCGGCGGGCGTGCAGCAAGTATGCATGGCGCCAGGAGGAAGATGCATGTGCAGACGCGGCATTTCAGGCATACAAGGCCCTGTACGCGGCTGGGTTGATCGGTGACAACCTGCTGCCACCCAAGGCGACCGAAGATGACGGGCTTGCCGGTCGGACAATTGAGGGTCGACCGGGCGTGGTGACGGTACATGCTCGTCAGCGGCCCTGGACGAAGTTGGCGCAGGCCTGGACGGCGTTGGACGCGGCCGCGGATGGGCCTGAGCGCTGGCTGTACCGCCATGCAATGCGGCTGGTCGATAGCGACGGTGTTGAACTGTATCATGCTGACATGCTGCTGCCAGGCGGGTTTAGTGGGATTGGGGCAGCAGAACCGATGGACATTGCGCCGGTGCGCATGTTCTGGTCGCCGCAGTCGACCCGGCCGTGGACAATGGAGTTTGGGCCAGGACAGCGCGAGCTGGTCCAGAGAGGTGGTGGTGATGGTGGTGGGAAAGGCGACGATGACCAGACGGCTGTGCTTCTCAATGCTGCTTACGGCCACCGCTGGCCCATCAAGGAGGAGCACCGACTCGTGCGGATTGAGCGAGTGGACGAGCCGCGGCCGACAACCGAGCAGGTGGGCGCAACCGAGTTTTCCGAAGCGCTGTCTGCAGGCCAGCTGTCAGCCTCGTCGTCTGACCCGCGCACGTCGTATCTTGTCCGCGGCCCCGATGGCTCGCCGTACCTCTACCAGGGCTATTCGGCGACCAAGCCGGCGGCGGACAAGATCCGACGACCGTACAAGGGCTTCGACGAGGATGCAGACGATGTGCCGTACGTGCTCTTGCGACCGCTGCCGAAACAGGTTGGTTCCCTACACCGAGTCGTCAACTGCGAGAGAGATGGAGAGGGCGAGGAACAAGGAGGGTCCAAAGGAGAGTCCAAGCGGCCGTTCTACACCGTCCTTCCAGCGGCCAGTTGCCGCGTGGACCGGATGCCCATGGCGGCGGTGCAGTTCGGCGCGCTGATCCCGCCGTTGATGCAGGTGCTCGAGGTGCATCTGGTGGCGGCTGAGCTGCTGTCTTCGACGCGGCTGCGCGAGTTGCCGGTAAGCGATCGCTCGCTGATCACTACGGCCATCAGCGCGCCGGCGGCACGGCTGCACGACAATTACGAGGTGCTCGAGTTCATCGGGGACGCCGTCCTCAAGCTCATGGCAGCGGCTAACTGTGCGGCCCAGAGTAAGTGTGATGGTGGCGGTTGTGGTTGTAGCTGTTCTGGTTGTCATACGCTGACTAATCACGTTAAATAGACCTCGACGCGCCCGAAGGCCACCTATCTCTGTTTAAGGACCGGCTGGTGGCTAACTCGCGGCTCTGTCGAGCAGCAACAGAGTTTGGGCTTGATCGATTCATCGTGGGATCGCAATGGTCGCTGCGCGAGTGGCGGGACGTCAAGATCGAGGCGGAAGAAGAGAAAGGCGGAGAGCAGCTGGTGATGTCGACCAAGACGCTGGCCGACGTGGTGGAGGCACTGATCGGAGCGGCACTGGTGGACGGTGGCCTGACTCGAGCGCTGGAGTGCATGCGGATACTTTTACCGGAGCGGCAGCCATGGCTATCGCTGGAGAAGACACGGGCGACATTGTTTGCGGCGGCACCGAAACAGACGACATGGCGGATACCGACAACACTGGAGGAGCTATTGGGCTATCAATTTCGACGACCGTCGCTGCTGGCCGAGGCGATGACACACCCATCGACGCCGGGAATACGGGAGGGCGGCTGCATGGAGCGGCTGGAATTTATCGGCGACGCGGTGCTGGACTACGTGATCGTGCAGCGGCTGCTAGGAGGCAAAGGGGGCAAGCGGCTGGACCTGGAGCACCAGAAGATGCACCTGCTGCGGACGACGGTGGTGAATGCGGCTTTTCTGGGCTTTGCGGCGATGGAGTTCAGCATCAGCTCGGAGGCTTCGACTGTGACGGCGGATGGCACGGTGACACGGGGCGAGATCGCGACGCCGCTGTGGGCGTTTATGCGGCACGGCGGATCGGATGAAATGGCGCGAATGCAAAAGGCAGCGCAGAAGCGCCACGCAGCACTGCGCGAGTCCGTGCTGGCGGCGCTGTGGGAGGGCTCAGAGTATCCGTGGGTGCAGCTGGCGCAGCTGCGGCTCGAAAAGGGCTTCTCGGACATTGTGGAGGCGGTGATCGGGGCGGTGTGGGTGGATGCTGGCTCGCTGGGGCCGGTGGAGGCGCTTCTGGAGAAGATGGGGGTGCTGTCGTACCTGCAACGAGCGCTGGACGAAGACGTGCATCTGCGGCACCCCAAGGAAGAGCTGGGCCGGATCAGCGGCAATGCGCGGCTGCACTACCGGGTGGCGGCAGGCGAGTCAGTACTTCCTCCGCTGGCCGAGGTGCGGCGGAAGCGCAGACGCGACGAAGAGGCGGCCCAGGATGAGAGCAGCGACGAGGACGAAGACGAGGAGGGGGACGAGAAGAGGGAGGGGAAAGAAGAGGGGGCCCGGGCAGACCAGGCACCCATCTTCACGTGCCGGCTGTCGATCAACGGTGTCTGTGTGGTGGAGATCCTGGACGGCCGGTCGCGCGAAGAGGCTGAGGTGCGAGCAGCGGCGATTGCGGTGCGTGATCTGAAGGAGGGGAAGATCAAGGTACGAAGCGATGAAGTCGAGTAAGAGGAGTCGGATAGTAAGATACGTATATATGCGTATAGCAATATACAAATGTCGGATAGTAAGATACCGGACGATTGAGCACGTGCCAAGGTGGCCTGAGGCAGTCCCGATAATGGACTATTATGTAATTTCCCCCTAGAGGCGTGCAGGAGCTGCTTTGCTGCAACAGCCTGTGCCCGCGAAGCCGTGTCGAGGACAGAGAGACGGGACCGGCACGACAGGATTCGGCTTGCGATTGCGCCCACGACAGGAATCTCTGCGCGGCACCGACGTTTGCCAACGATGCCCACGGCCGGCCGATGAGCGCCAGAGCCGCAGCTGCGAAGCGAGCTGTTACGGAAGCGAGCTTGGAAGCGGAGAAGAACGTCGAGAGTTGAGAATCGAGAGGCGAAAGAGGCGAGAGAGAGAGGAGAGTCGGAAGCCGACGACAGGACAGGAGGCCGTCACGATGCCTGCGGACGGACAGCCGGTGGCGGGCGGCGGCAACATTCGCGTATTTGTGCGCTGGCACGAGCCGACTGTCTTCTCGGGTGAAGAGGTGCGATGCCGCATCACCTTTCGCAACGTGGCCCCGAAGCCGGCGACGATGATGGCGACGGCGACAGCGACGACGACAACGACGAGACCGACGACGCCCGCGCTCGTCCGTCACGCGTCGATCTCGTCGGTCTCGTCGATCTCGTCGATCTCGCACCACCACCACCTGCACCAACAACAACACCATCACCATCACCATCACAACTCGTCCCACGGCAGCTACCAGTCGCTGCCGCTGCCGGCGACATCTGCGTCTGCGTCTGCGGCAGCATCGACGTCGCTGCTCGCGGCCCCGGTCCTGTTAGCCGGACCGAGTCCGAACAACATGAGCAGCACTGCCCGCGGTCACCAGCGGGGGAGCCTTTCCCTGAGCGGCCCGGCCATCACATCGCCGCGGACGGTGACGCACGTCCGGCCCAACACCGGCACCGGCACCACCAGCAGCACTAGCAGCAGCAGCACCCCCGGCCGTGGCCACGCCGGCCGCGACCATCGGCGGTCGCTCTCGATCGTGTCGCTGCCGTCTCCTGGCGGCCCCAACAGCGCGCTGATGGCGTCGCCTACCGGCAGCCTTGCCGGCGGTGCGTCTCCGCTCCTCGTCGGCACAGCCGGCTCGTCTACGCCGGCAGCACAGCGACCACGCACGCGCGGTCACGGCCGGGCGGCCAGCCTACAGATCGGACCGCGGACATCGATGACCAGCAGTGGTGCCGTCGCGAGCGGACAGAACGGACAGAACGGCAGCAGCACCATGACCAGCAGTCCCGGAGGACCGCGGTCGGCCGCCATCGCTCGGTCCTTCTCGTCCCAGCCGTCGCCGCTGTACAACGCGTCGTTTCCACCAACGTCGGGACGCATGCTTCCTGGAGGTCACGTGCCATCCACGTCCACCGCAACATCGACGGGCCCCAACACGCCCGACATGGGCGTCGTCTCGCGGGCGTCGCCACGCTCCGGCCACGACGGCTTCCCCGACTGGAAGTTCCCGGCTGCCGCCGCAGCAGCGGCAGCGGCTGCAGCGGCCATTGGCGGCGGCGGTGGTGGTACGGCCTACTCGCCGTCACCGCCGCCGCTGGAAAAGGCGCTGCCGACCATCTACAAAGGACCGGTGCCGCCGCAACAACAGCAGCAGCAGCTGCTGCACGAGGCGGCCCGGGTGCTGTCGACGACCAGCATCGCCGGGACGCCACGCAGCAGCGGCGAGTTCTACTCGGTCAGCAACCACTCGAGCGAGACGCTGGCCTCGGAGTACGTGGGCCAGCTGGCCGGGCAGCCGGCCGCCCTCTTGCGGCTACAGCAGCAGCAACAACAACAACAACAACAACAACAACAACAGGCCCTGCACGGAGCAAGTCCGCGGCCGCCACACATGCGGCAAAAGTCGAGCTCGAACCTGCTGTATCCGCCGTTGCAGGCACACCGGTCGCGGGCGTCGTCGTCGGCAGCAGCCGCGGCAGCAGCGACGAAGCCGGAGACGCTGATGATGGGCTATGCACAGATCCAGGGGTCCTTCACCCTGGACGGCTCGCTCGTCGACCTGGGGCCGTTTGAGCTGGTGAAGCGCAAGGCCGTGGTGGGCGGACAGGGTGGCGGGGTGATCGGGATAGAGATGGGCGGCGGCAGCAACAACAGCAACAGAAACAACAGCAGCAGCAGCAACAGCAGCAACAACAGCAGCAGCAGCAGCCGGCGCGAGGCCGGGCTGCTCCGGGGGTTCGGTGGGTTCGGCGGGTTTGGCGGCAAGCTGAGCAGCAGCAGCGGCTGGAGCAGTCTCACCAGCTCGCTGGGCGAGCTGCTAGGCGGTGGTGAGATGAGCACGATCCGGGAGATGCGCGACCTGGCGAGCGCCAAGGCGGTGCCGCTGCTGTCGACGCCGCAGTCGGTCCTGTTTGTCGATCTGCAGCTGGCGCCGGGCGAGAGCGAGACGTTTGAGTACGCCTTCCGGCTGCCACGAGGCCTGCCGCCCACCCATCGCGGCAAGCTGATGAAGATCGCCTACGGACTCGTCATCGGCACCCAGCGGCCGGGCTCGGCGCGCGAGCAGCGCGTACGCTCCGTCGAAGTGCCCTTTCGCGTTCTTGGCAGCGTCAACAGCCACGGCCAAATCCTCGGCCACGACCTAACCACGCCGTACATTCTGCTGCGAGACCAGGCCGTCGTGCGGCCGGTCGAGGGCGACGACGGCCGGCAGCAGACCAAGCAGACGAAACAGACCAAGCAGGCCAAGCAGGCCAAGCAGGCCGAGCAGACGACGCAGAGCCGGGAGGCCGAGGCGGCGCACAAGACCAGTTTTCTGGCTTACGTGGACGAATTGCTGAGTCAGCAACAAGAGAACAACAGCGTGTCAGAGCAGATGAGCAGCAGCAACAACAGCAGCAGCGACAGCACGACGACGGCCTCGACGGCGAACCGGCGGGGGGGGCTGATGTCGCCGACGGTGGGGCCGGCCTCGCGACGGCCGTCCTTTCAGTCGGACGATGGGAGTGGTGGTCCGACGTCGCTGTCGGCGCGAGAGGCGATTGACCTGGCGATTCTACGCAGCAACATGGCCGACCGAGGCAGCCGGAGCGACAACAGCCGCGAAAAGGCAGCGGTGAGCGCGAACCGGTTTGAGATTGCGCGCAACGGGCGGCGGGTGGGCACGGTGCTGCTGGCACGGCCGGCATACCGGCTGGGCGAGGCGGTGACGTTGGCGGTGGACTTTGCCGGGGCAGCGACGCCCTGCTATGCGGTGCATGCGAGCCTGGAGACGGCCGAGCGGATCGTGGACCCGTCGCTGGCGCTGCGCTCCGAGGCGAGCGTGCAGCGGGCGACGCGGCGGGTGTACGCGTCGGCGTCGGAGGCGACGCTATGCGCGCGGCGGTTCGTCTTTGCGCCGACGATTCCGGCCTCGGCAACGCCCGAGTTTGTGACGAGTGGCGTGAGCCTGGACTGGAAGATCCGGCTCGAGTTTGTCGTGCCGGCCGGAGAGGAGGAGGCAGAGGCGGACACAGCCGGCGAAGGAGAGGGGGACGAAGACGAGCGAGAGGACATGGCGGCCGGAGTCCACGACGATCCAGACCGTGCACACGAAAGCCAAAGCCAAAAGACACAGACGGCGCGGACCCGACGACGCCGACAGCTGCCGCCGCTGCTCGAGGAGGTCGGCCGGGACGATCGCGGAGGCCTCGTGCTGGTGGCGGCCGAGACGCTGGCGTGCGAGAGCTTTGAGGCGGCCGTGCCGCTGCGGGTGTACGGATGGCCGAGCGGAGGCGGGCCCATCGACGGCGAGGAGGCCGACATGCCCGGCATGGTTGTCTAGGGTGAAGGTGGAGGAAAGGGAGAACGGGGAACGAGAACGGAGGGACAGAAACGGACGGCACGGAGGGATTACTGTGTAAAACGGAACGGAGAGCAAGCATTTTACTGTCGGTGTTGGCCTCGGCCTAGGAAATAGAAACAACGTTGGAGTCACTATCCAGATGACTAAGCAAACACAGCCGAGACAGGCTGGCCTCGCCGGGCCGCCGCCCCTCAAAGGAGACCGAGATGTCGGCAGGGAGCGCCGCCTTGGAGACGCGAAAACGCCAGATGCTCCGTGTATCGTACAGATTGCCCTTTCCTCTCCCGAACCCAGACGCAGCCGCGTCTCTTCCCATGGCCTGTTGTGCAGCCGCACAGAGCACAAAGTGTGTTGATACAAGGTGGTATAAAACGAAAGCGGACCGACAGAAGGAAAGAAGGAGAAGATCAAGGAAAGGAATGGTCAAAGGAACAGAATGGGGAAAAGACAAATAAACAAAAGAAAAAAAAAGGTCCACGAGCAGTCGGCTCATCCTGTGTTGCCGGCTTTAGGTTCGCTGCTGTCGTCTGTGCTGTTGCTGTTGCTGCTGTGGTCGTCGTCGCCGGTTGTCTGGTCGCTGCCTGTGCCATTGGCTGTGCTGTTGGCTCTGTTGGTGCTGGCACTGTCCACACTGGCCGTACTTCCAGTACTCCCACTTTCACTCAAATTCACGCTCTCGCTCACACTCCCACTCCCACTCTCTCCATTTCCTCCATTTCCATGTCGGCCTTGTCCCCGTCGCCGTGCCGACAGTGTCCTCTTGTTCTTGGACGTCCTGTCTGCGAGGGCCTGTCGCTGTTTCTGGTGCTGCCGTTGTCTCTGCCCTCGTTCTCTCTGTCGCTCTTGCTGTCGCTCTTGCTGTCGCTCTTGCTGTTGCTCTTCCTCTCGCCGCACTCTCTCTCGCTCCTCTCGCTCCTCTCGTTCCTCCCGCTCCTTTGTCTCCTGCTGCACCCGCCACCTTTCGTCCAGCAGCACGACCAGCCGCTCCAGCTTCTCGTCCAGCTTCTCGTCCAGCAGTCCATCCAGCTTCTCGTCTAGCAGTCCGTCCAGCTGCTCGCTCACCGGCATCATCGTCGCCGTCTTGCCGTCGCGCATCGTCCGGTCGCCGAGCGCCGCCATCGTCAGCCGCAGCTCCTGGTCCAGCTCGGCCAGCGCCTCGGCCGAGACCAGCTCGCCGCTCGTCGTCGCTGTCGTCGTCGCCGCCGCCAGCCGCTTCCGATACGTCCGCAGCTGCCGACATGTCTGCTCTGTCGCCGAGCTCAGACTGCTCGGTCCCTGTGCCCCCCGCAGGTTGCTCATGCTCGGCTTCTTTCGTGCTAGGCTGCTGCTGCTGCGTCCGTTTCCGTTTCCACCAACCCCCGACATCGTGCTCATCGCCGGCAGCGACGGCCGCCGCCGCACCTTGGCCTTGGGACTGACCGCCATCGGTGGGCTCCCCGACCCGCTGCCTGCTGACGCCCGCCGCGTCATCGCGTCCTCCGTGATCGTGTCGCTGGCCGTGCCCGTGCTGCTCCCCGGCATCGGCATCGGCATCGGCATCGGCATCGGCATCGGCATCGGCATCGGCATCGGCGGCCGCGTCGACCCGCTGCTCGACGAGAGATTGTAGCGAGATGTCTTGCGCGAGAGCGACCGCGACGGCGACCGCTTGCCACTGACGCTGCCGTTGGTGCTGCCGCTGCCGCTGCCATTCTTCTCGCTGCTGCCCGTTCGCTGAAACTCGGCCAGCTCCGCCTTGGACAGCACCCGTCGCAGCGGTGGCCGCGCCAACGTCGGCAACAGCCCGCTGCCACTGCCACCACCGTCTTTGGGCGGCGACGGCTCTCGACTGCCCGATGTCCCCGGCCGTACCGGATCCCGCAGGTCTAGAGCCCAGATCATGATCGTGCCGTCGGACCCCACGCTGACTACCTTCCGACAGCCGCCCATGTCGTCCTTTCCGGCACCGCCACCATCCTCCTTGTCGTCGATAAGCGCGACCCCGTTGATCGCCTCCGTGTGGCCCCATTCGCGGTCCAGGAACGAGCCCGTCTGCGCGTCGTAGATTCGCACAGACTTGTCCGTGTTGGACAGCCCCAGCAGAAAGGCTGCCTCGCTCGGCAGACCACCAACCACACTGCTGCTTCCACTTCCACCACCCGGCATCAGCATTCCCGCTGTTGCCACCACGGCTGCCTCCTGCTTGCCGTAGATCAGCGAGTCCAGCAGTGCCGTCTCGGCCCCGCCCTCGTCGATGCACTTGAACGATGACATCAGCTTGCCCGTCGCCAGGTCGTACTGGCACACCGTCCGGTCCAGCAGCGACACGTACACCGACTTGCCCCCTGCCGCCAGCGCCATCGACGATGGCGACGCCTTGAGCGTGATCACCCGCACCGGAATCGCCGCCAGCACGTCCGGCTCGCCCTCCTTCGACACCAGCTCGTGCACCTGCATCGTCCGGTCAAACGAGCACGTGATCACCCGGTCGTCTGCCGTGAACACCACCTGCACCACCTTGGCCGAGAACTCGAGCGTCTGCAGGTGCGCCACCGTCCCGTCCTGCTGCCGGCTGAACAGCTGTGCCGTCCGGTCGCGTCCGCTCGACGCCAGCAGTAGCCGCCGCTCGTCCTCGTAGATCGAGATCGACTGACACTCTGACGCGTGCGCCTTCGTCTCCAGCACAAACTGCCGCGTCGCAAAGTCCATCACGCGCAGAATTCCCCGCCGGTCTGCCGTCACAAAAAGCTTGGCCCCTTCCGTCGCCCGCACCACGGACAGCTGGTTGACCATGTCCAGATCCGTCTCGCCTGCCGTCTGCTCCACCGGCACCTGAAATGATGCCTTGATCTCGCCCTCCAGCCCCCACAACAGCACCGTCCCCGATGCCGACCAGGTGAAGAACGCTGCGTCGGCCGCGTTCGGTGCTCCCAGCGCCTGTACCCCCAAAATTGGCTCTCCGTGCCCGGGAATCGGCATCCGCGTCACCTCTGATCCCGCATCCGTCCCGGGGACGTGCTCGATCCCCGAAAATATCTCGATCGACCGGCTCATGTCCACCGTCACCACGTGGTCCGTCAGAAAGCCCATGGCCACAAGGCCATCGTTCAAACATGTCGACTTGACCGAAGACACTTGGCTGCTGCTGCTCTGCGTCGTCGGCGACGCCGTCTCCGATCTCGTGCCCACAGAACCGGCCCCTTCCTGCCGGCACTCGCTCTCAGCCAGCAGCTCGACCAGGTCCACTGCGATCGACTGGTCCGACTTCCCGCCAACGTACACCTTCCCCTCCCGGACACACACGCATGTCACGGGGAACCCAGCATTCCGCAGCCGCACGAGCTTCGTCTGCTTCGTGGCAGACTCCAGCAGGCAGACGTCGCCCGCCTCGGAGCAGATGATCGCACGGCCAACTGCCAGCATGGCAGCACAGCTGAACGTGGCGTCGAGCAGAGAACCGAGTAGAATGTTCCGGCCCGGCAGCGTCTTGTGTTGCGACTGGCTCTGCTGCTGTTGGTGCTGCTGCTGCTGGGACATGGGCGACGAGACGCTGCCGTCGAGCGTGTATCGGCCAGGCTTGCCGGGCGAGGCACTGCTGACCGACAGGCCCTCTTCGACGCGCCAGACCTTGATGTGGCGCATGCCAAACGTGATCAACGTCGTGCTGCCGAGCCAGATCATGCCGCGCACGTACGACGTGCAGCGGTTCTGCTGGAACAGCTTGGCCGAGCCGGTGCGCGGGTCCATCTTCCAGAGGTAGAGAAAGCCATCGTTGGCCGTGCCGAGCGAGGCGAGGTAGCGCGAGTCGGCCGACCAGGCCACGGCCGTCACGCCGAAGCTGTGCTCGCTGATGCAGACGAGCGGGATGTCGGACGAGGCGTCGTCGAGGCTGAAGATGAGCACGCGGGGGGCGTAGCCGGTCTCACCGACGGCCAAGAACCGGCCGTCACGGCTCAGCGAGAGACAGGTCGCCGATTTGATGCGCTCGCGCTGCGTCCACGTCTTGCCGGATGTTGGCGAGTCGGCCCAGTCTGACAGCCCAAAGCCAGACTCGCGGTGGTGGCTGGGCGCCGCCCGGTTGCGGCTGTCGTTGGCCTTGGGCGTGCCCGTCGGCGTCGATGGAGCGTGTGACACGGGCGAGACGGAGTAGACAGGCACGGCCGATGGCCGTGCCCGATAGAAGCGCTGCCGGTAGTGGTTGCCGTGCACGTCGACGACGACGACGGCACCGCCGGCAATGTAGGCAAAGCACGAGTGCACCGTGTCGAAGCCGGTGGGCGAGCAGCAAGTAGACCCGACCACCCTCGTCAAGGAGAGTCGGGAGGTGGCGGGCAGGGATGTAGACGCATCGCGAAACGTTTGGGCGCGGCTGGGCGATCGGGGAAAACGATGCTTGTAGGGCGAGTTGGACGGCGTCAGCTTCAGTCGGTTAGAGGGAGTGGACGCCATCTTCTGCCATTGGATGCATCCGTCGGCCTGGTGGGTGTATGGCGGTGTGGCCGATGGCAGGCGATAATGCTGATAATAAGGACGATCGAGCGGCAAAATCTGACCGTTGAAAAGCGCTCAAAGCGAGAAAAAAACGAGAGAAAAAGGCGCGAGAGAAGAGGGCCGAAAGAGTGACTGGGTGCTAGGAAGGGTCAACAGCCCGATATGGGACGAACAGCAGCGAGACAGACGAGAATAAACAAGTGGGCAGAGGCTGGAAAGTTGGCACTGCTACTGGACGAAGCCGAGAGCGAACCAGAGCCGGACACGGCGCACGACTTACAGCACAATAGAAAACGAGTGAACGGGCGAGGCCAATGGCAGCAGTGAATGAAGGCGGGTTTTCGGAAAAGCCCTGCTGTTGTTGTGGTAATGATAAGAGGTCGTTTGTAGTCTCTGGTTCAAGCTGAACGCAGGAACTTCACCGGACGGCGTCCATGCGGAATCCGGTGCAGATCGAAGAGGCGCGGGGAGAGCAGAAGACTGGGTGCTGGCGAGCAGCACGCGCGATCAGCACGATCGAGAGGCAGCAGCTCGTCGAAGGCGGAGGGATAGAGGGATATTGTGGGCAGAAGAGGCCCCAGCTGGCCGATGGCCAATATGAAATGAACAGGGCAGAACAGGTCCGAGAGTGGGAGTGTCGCAAAGACGCGATGCCAACGGTCGCAGCGTTCGCATATGGCTTTCCCCGTCTCTCACGCAGCTCTTGCTGTGTATGGCCTGTGTGCCTCGTTTTGCCGTTTTGCCGTTTGGCCCTCGATTTTTTCACTCGTCGCTTGTGTTTTCCTTGTGCGTATTTTGTGTCGTCCAGGTCTAGGCAGGGGGCTGTACGAGTTCTTCGGTGGAGCAGCTCAACAGCTGGAAGGCGCCAGCGATAGCGACCGAGACCATGCTGAATCCCGTGCATGGCAGAAAATGGTAGTCGTAGACGGCAGTAATAGGGGCCTTTTTGTCTTGGGCGTTGGGTGGGCGACTCGAGCGCGGGGACGCGCCGCCGGTTTTGGAAAGCGTTGCTGTATTCGGCCTGGCTCTAGGGGTCAGTGCGCCGTCGCAGCCAATGAGAGCGCTGGGCGGCCAGCAGCAATTTATCATTTACATACTCCGTACTGTACTCCGTACAAGTAATGACCTGTCTCTGCTGGTGTTCTGGGTGAGTCTCTGCCCTTACTCTGTACGAACACGCGCAGCATTTGCGCAAGATCGCCGGACCAGCAGCAGCTTGCACCACGAGGTCTCGGCAGCGCATTCAGCTGTCGCCATCGTACCAGCAGACGAGTGCGCTCTTTGTACGCATCCAAAGGTGGTATGGGACCTGGCTGAGCGACAGGGATGCCTAATCGGCCTAGCTGGTGCTTCATTAAACCTATCGCATGTCTCACAGGCTGCTTATCGGCGATGTGCGAGCAAAACACGTTCGTCCACTGTCTCGCAACTCGGTCCCGAGTTCATGACGATCTGCAGGTCCGAGAACAAGACAAGTAGTGATTTTGTTGTCTCTGCTGTCATTCCAAGTCCATATCTGGCCCAAGCCTATTCATCACCAGGGCCTTTTGCAAACAGCCATGCAGACGACTCGGACTCGTCGTTCTGCGGCTCTCACTGCAGCCGCATCTTTCGGCCTAGACTCTGCGTGCGTCCTCTTCTGGGTCTGTCCGTCTCTGGCTCGGCTGACCGACGGCTACGACCTGCAGCAGCTTCTTCTCGTTCATCGGTCTGGACACGACTTCCTCCCTTCTCGTTCTCTCGTCTCCCTCTCTCTCATTTTCCTCCTCGTCTCTCCCTCTCTCCACCCTCTCCACCCCCTCGCCCCCCTCCAACTGCCGCTGACGTCGGCCTGCCCACGACGAGTCCCGCCGGATCCCCTCGGCCTGCCACCGCTTCGGCGGCTTCCGTCCCAGCGCCGCCCACCGCGCCCACACCTGCTTGCCGCGCCTAAACCAGCGTTCCTGTCGGTCCTCTTCCTCGGCCGGCTGCGGCTGCCACTTGCTCTTGAGAATGCGTCGTACCACCTCCGCCGACACCATAAAGTGTTTGGCCAGCGCCGGCGTCGTGTACACGTCCGGGAACTGCCGGTGCAGCGCCCGGATGCCCTCGAGCGCGTCCGGCGACAGCCTCTTGCGTGGCTGCCAGCCGTCGGGGAACTTGTCCTGGAGCGCACGCTTCTGGATCTTCCAGCTTGGGATGCGCGGTGGCAGCGTCGATGGTGATGGCCGTGGTGACCGTGGTGACCGTGGCGATCGTGATGAATCTGATGGCTCTGATGACTCTGACCATGATGGCTCTGACCGCAAAGCGGCAGAGCTGGCAAGGCGCCGCTCTGCACGCTGGGCGTCGGTCCATCTTGGCTTTTTGACCCGCTTCTTCTCTGCCGGCTCAGCCCCTGCATCTCCTGCTGCTGTGTCCTCGGGCAACTCCTCGTGTATGATGCTGTCACCCGCAACAGGCGCCTCGCCAGCAGCAGCCTCGGAGACGGTCGACGTCTCTGCTGCCGCTCCCAAAGCAGCTCGTGCCGCCTCCGCTTCCTGCTGCTTTCGCAGCTTTTTCCTCCTGTGCTTCCCTGGCATTTGTGCACCGGCCACAGCCTGCTGCCTCGTCGTTCCGCCTGGCTCTACCATCGAGACAGGATCGGTTGACGCTGGTGGCGCCGCCAACTCGACACCGCCCACGGCTGCACTTGCGCCGTCCGTCGCAAGATATGAGTGCGCCTGTCTGTCTGGCTGCAGCGCCGCGACAACGAGCGGCCGCCGTGCTATGGGTCGAAGCGCATAGCGAGCTATGTTGGCACTATTGCTTGGTCGCCCGGGCAGCCCGCTGAGCCGTCGCCATTGCTGTGTGGTGGGGGGACCGATAAGACTGCTGATGAATATCCGGAGAGCAGACGTACGGCAGGCACAGCGTGTCGTGTTCATGGCAGCCCGAACAAATCTCTCTCGACGTCGTTCTGCTGTGACCGGCAGAAAAGGCGACGACGAAAAAATTGAGTACTGGCGTGTTATGCAGAACCGTTATCGCTATCGGTAACCCCGTTATAGCGCCAACGAGCGCCGCTGTTGGAAGCTCGCTTCTTATTGGAGCCTGGGATCAAGTTCTACGGAATGGGTGGTCTTGTCTCTGCCTATGCACTGGCCGAGCCATCGAATGGTTGGGTAGATTGACAAAACGCCTCAAGCGATCTCTCTATGCCAGTACTAATACACGACAATCTCAGCTGCCTCTTTGACGGCAACTTGCCCCATTCGCCTCCGCGTGTCTCCGCGGGCGTTGCCTTCCGGCCACTCACTCCAGCTGCGAGGCCTGGTTTGTGTACAGCACATCGACGACGTTGCTCAGCTTCTCAATGGTGGCCAGTGCAGCGTCGTATCCCTCGTCGCGCTCCGTCTCGTCGTAGATGATCAGGCAGCCGGCGCCCTGGTCGAGCACGCCGATGATGACCTTGTCGAGAATCATCTGCGACAGTTTGCGCTCAACCTGCTGGGTGTCGAGGCCGACCATGTGGGCAATGTGCTCGATCTCGACGCGCGAGAAGGGCTCGATCACCTTGACCAGGTTCTGCTCCAGCATGGCGTCGTAGAGACGGCGCAGGTGGTTGCGCACAAAGGCGTCGCTGCCGAGCTCGTAGCGGTACGTGGCCAGAGCGCGCTCGTACTCCTCCAGCGAGCGGTTCGCGTGGGCCCGCGCGATGGCTTTCATGGCCTCGAGGCTCTGGCCCGCGTACTTGACCGCCTGCTTGGACGCCATCAGCTGGTTCACGTCGTCGGCTAGGTTGAGCATGATCTTGCAGAGCAGCATGTACTGCAGGGCCGCTGTCGCCTTGGCCGGCTCGTCCTGCGTGTGGTAGCCGTCCAGGGCCTCGATGAAGTAGCTGAACGCTGTGTTGAAGTCCTTATCTTCCGCATGCAGCATGCCCGACTGCATGTCCAGGTTCGCCTGCAGCAGCGGCGGCGTGTAGACGGACGCCGCGCTCGTGCGCGCACTCGTCAACGCGGCCCTCGCCTTGGACACGTTGCCCAGCGCGTGGTACACGCGCGACTCCAATAGCTGCACCTCCACCAGCACCAGCTTGTCGTCCAGCCGCTTCAGCTCCCGCAACAGCCCGTTGATCAGCGTCAGCGCATCGTAGTGCGCCTGCTTCGCCATGTACAACGCCACCAGCCGTGTCTCCAGGTTCTGCCGCAGGAAGCCGCGGCGCTCCGACGTCGCCCATTCTATGCAGGACTTGGTCACGGCAATCTGTGTGTCGGTCGTGTTGGGTATCTCGCGGAAGAGGTCGAGCAGCTGGCGCACTGGATGGCGGATATGTGTGAGCGACATCTACTGGAGAGGGAGGGGGACGCAGCCATCCATACCCAGCTTGGCAGTTTTTGCCTTTGCAAACGACGAGAGCACTGTCCGGCTCCGCGTTACCAGCTCAACAAGCTCGGTCGTGTTTCTGTGAGCTGTCAGAATTCGACTAGTCCTCACCTGCCACATGCGCAGCTCTTCTGTAGACTGACTTTTGATCCCGGTACAGCTCTCCCAGGCTGATCAGCGCCGTCTCGTACTCCCGGATGGCGGCATCTGACGTGACGGACGGCGTCTTTGAGATGATATCCTTGTAGATCGACTCGCTCTTTGCTGGATTGGAGACGGCCAGCTTCTTGGCCTCTTGCACCCGCTCGGAGTCGCCAGCGGCCATTGTGGTCGGATGGGGGGATGGACGAGTACTTGGAATTGGTACGGCGAGGGTAAATTGTCTGGATTGAGCAGACTGAGAGCCGCTGTCCAAAAATTTGATTCGTGCAGAGGCGGCCGCACTGTTCGCAGCTGGTGTCGCGGTGACGGGGATGGGCAGCTTGATGAGGTCGACGATCGAGGCGGGCTGAAGAGCTCTTGCCCCAGGTTGCAACGGACGCGAAGCCCATTTGCCTGGCCGGACACACCGCCACATGTGGGCGGCTAATGTGTGGCGTCGAATTCTAGATCGGTCCTGATTGGATGGCCAGACACAGGGGCTCTGGAGCTTGCCGTTCCACTGGCCCCTCTTCGAAACATGTCCAGGGGCTCTACGTTCCGAGATTCAGGCCACTTCAGTTGCGACGAACAGAGCTGCGACCCTGGCGAGTCTTTATAAAGGTGCCGGAGCTCCTCCCGTTTTCTGTCCTAACGGTCTTTGCTCCATACCGCCTAACTGCGAGCTCTCTCTCCTGCTCTTTGCTTCTCGAATTCTCTCTGTTCCTCTTCTCCTCTGCTCTCGACCGCCATGGACGCTTTCGAGCGCCCGCCTCAGCGCGATTCGTGGTTTGCACCAATCTCGATCGACCTCGTCCTCAAGGTCCTCTATGTCACATTTTTCCACCCGTTCGTGGCATGGCTCATCCCATTGTGCTTCCGCGCCGAGCACATGGGCTGGGAAGCCACGCCGATGCGCGTTTCCATCGTCTATGCCATTTTCATCACGACATGCTGGGTGCTGAGCGCTTTCAACAAGCGTGTTGCTTTTGGCACCCCACGCTCTGTCGACCTTAGCGAGGAGGTCATCGTCATTACTGGAGGCGCAAGCGGGCTGGGCCTGCTGATTGCAGAGGTGTACGGCATTGTCGTGGCGCGAGCGTGGCCGTGTTGGATATCAAGGAGATGTCCAACGGCGAGGCACGCGGCGTGTCGTTCTACAAGTGCGACGTCACCGACAGGGAGCAGGTGGCTAAGTGTGCTGCGGAGATCGAGAAGGATGTAAGTCATGTCCGGCGCTTCTGGAAGTGAGAGGACTTGATGCTGACTCTTGCGATTGGCACAGCTCGGATGCCCGACCGTTCTGATCAACAACGCGGCCGTCGTGAATGGCAAGAAGCTGCTCGACATGGACTTTGCCGACGTCGAGAAGAGCATCCTGACGAACCTCCTGTCGCACTTTTACACGCTCAAGACGTTCATCCCCGGCATTGTGCGCGGCGGCCAGGGCGGCACGATCGTGACGATCTCGAGCGTCATTGGCGAGGTCGGGGCGGCGTATCTGACCGACTACGCAGCTTCCAAGGCCGGACTTGTTGCGCTGCACCGGTCGCTGACGGCCGAGCTCAAGGCTGACCACCCGGACATTCGCACGGTGCTGGTGACGCTGGGCCAGCTGAGCACGCCGCTCTTCTACGGTGTCCAGACGCCCAACTCGTTCATGGCGCCGGTGGTGGAGCCGGTGGACGTGGCCAAGGAGATCATCGCTGCCATTGACAACGGCAAGGCCGAGTTCATCGGCATGCCGTTCTATGCCCGTTGGATCGACTGGTACAGCGTGATGCCGGTGGGTCTGCAGCAGATCGTGCGGTGGATCGCGGGCGTGGACACGGCAATGAAGTCGTTTATCGGGCAGAAGGCCGGCAGCAGCAGTGAGAAGAAGAGCGACATGCTCATCGAGACGCTGTGATGCGGCCGCAGGTATCGTTGACTGCTGCTGGCCGGCGTCTTGAAATGGCGATACTATAAACCGAGCACCAATACTCCGTATAATTTGACATATAAATGATACATAATAATTTTGGAGTGCTGTGTCTCGTATAAAGCCTAGGCTTTAGCGGTCGCTCTTGCCTAAAGGCCGGAAGGATCATCAAAAAACCGACCGACTTGGCAATTGTGCCATTTTGCGGGGTTCTCGTCAACCTGTCGCAAAGAGCTAAATTTGGAGTCACAGTATTCGAAATTACGACGTACGACGACGGCGCAAATTCCATCTGGTGACATACACCTCCGCGAGCTGGATGCACCCTCCCCGACTGTTGTCTGTATCAGTACGGAGGCTGCTTCGCCCTTGTTCCGCGCGATATCTCTCTCAGACGAGAACAAGACCGGTTTTTGTCGAGCCTCTGCGCCTCTGCAGCACATACACGATGGCGGTCAACGCGGCGGCCAGCAGGGCCGGGATCGCGGTGCACAACTCGCTCAAGCCCGGGACGCCGGTGCACTTTGAGCCCAAGCAGGAGGACACGGTGACGTGGTACTCGTGCGGGCCAACAGTGTACGATCTCAGCCACATGGGTCATGCACGCAACTACGTGTCGACAGACGTGATCCGGCGGATTCTGCGGGACTACTTTGGCTACAAGGTGCAGTTCATCATGAACATCACGGACGTGGACGACAAGATCATCATCAAGGCACGGCGCAAGCGGCTCTTGGACCTGGAGCGCGAGAAGACGTACACGGCCGAGCAGCGGCACGCGCTAGGCTCGGCAGCCTTCCAGGCGTACGCAGCAGCGAACCTGCCGCTGCTGCTAACGGGCTACGCAGGGCCGGTGGGGCTGAGCGAAGCCATCTATGCGGAGCGGCGGGACGCAGTGTACGGGGCGGTGCTGGCGGGCGGCACGCTCACGGGCGAGGGCCGGGCAGGCGATGCGGAGGCCAAGACGAAGATGCATGTGGCCAACATGGACTCGGCGGCACGCGGACTCCAGAGCGGCACGGTATTCGAAGCGGCGGAGGAGGTGCTGCTGCCGTACCTAGACTCGCTGTACAAGGAGACGATCGACACGAGCGACCAGACCATGTTCACGGACCTGACGCAGGCGATGGAGAAGGCGTTCACGGACGACATGGACGCGCTTAACGTGCTGCGGCCAGACGCGGTGACGCGGGTGACGGAGTACGTGCCGCAGATCGTGGCGTTCACAAAAGGCATCATCGACAAGGGGTTTGCGTACGAGGCGAACGGATCGGTGTACTTTGACATTGAGGCGTTTGAGCGGGCGGGCAACACGTACGCGCGGCTGCGACCGGAGAGCAAGAATGACAAGGCGCTGCAGGAGGAGGGCGAAGGGTCGCTGTCGAAGAGCCTAGCGGGCAAGCGGCGGGCGGGCGACTTTGCACTGTGGAAGAGATCGAAGCCGGGAGAGCCGTTCTGGGCGAGTCCGTGGGGGGCTGGGCGGCCGGGCTGGCACATTGAGTGCTCGGTGATGGCGTCGGACAAGCTGGGCGAGCAGATGGACATCCACTCGGGAGGTATCGACCTGGCGTTCCCGCATCACGACAACGAGCTGGCGCAGAGCGAGGCCTTCTTCCACCGGCCAGGCGCGGGCGAGCACAGCTGGGTGCGGTACTTCTTGCACATGGGTCATCTTTCGATTGCCGGGTCCAAGATGTCCAAGTCGCTCAAAAACTTCCAGACGATCCAGGACGCGCTGGAGACGGGCTACACGGCCCGCAGCATGCGTATTGTGTTTATGCTGAGCCGGTGGAACGACGGGCTGGAGGTGTCGCCGGACATGCGGAAGCAGGCGAGCAGCTGGGAGAACACGCTGGATGTGAGTGTTTTTGGCGGGTTTTGTTTGTGTGATTACGTGTTTGTAATTCGTGCTAACCGACTAGAACTTCTTCACCAACATCAAGGCCCGACTGGCCGAGACCAGGACAGGAACGATGACGAGCAAGGTGCAGAGCCTGTCCCTGCAGGACGGTCTGACGGCAGAGCTGGAGCAGGCACAACAGGACCTGGACGCGGCGCTGCGCAACTCGTTTGACACGCCGGGAGCGATGCAGGTGATTCTGCGGGTAGTTCGCAGTGCCAACGTGGCGATGAGCGAGGCAGGAGCAGACCTGGGACCGGTGGAGGCGGTGGCGCACTGGGTGACCAAGGTGGTGGGCATCTTCGGCCTGGACGCGAACGCGCAGCCGCCATACGAGGGCCGTGTGGGCTGGGGGCCGGCGAATCCGACAAAGACGACGGCTGGACAGGACGTGGACCCGAAGACGGCCGTGCAGCCCTACGCGACAACGTACGCCAAGGTGCGAGCCGAGGTGACCGGTCTAGTCGAGGCGGCGGGGGGCTCGCTGGCCGAGGTGCAGGCACTGCTGCAAGCCCAAGAGCCAGAGGCGGAGTTTGCGGCGCTGGCCGACAGCCAAGAACAGAACGTGGAGTGGCTGGCGCTGCCGTATCTGCGGGCGATTTCGGGACTGCGCGACACGCTGCGACGGGAAGCAGCAGCGACAGGCGCAGAGACGAAACAGCAGGTGCTTGCGCTCAGCGACCGGATCCGCGACTACGACATGGCCGAGCTGGGCGTGCAGCTAGATGACCAGCCGGAGCGGCCGAGCCTGATCAAGATTGTGCCAGCAGCGCGGCTGGTAGCGGCACGCGAGGAGAAGGCGGCAGCAGCGGCCGAGAAAGCACGGCTCAAAGCGGAGGCACAGCGGGCACGCGACCAGGCCGAGGCCGACAAGTGGCTCCGGGCCAAGGTGACGCCGCAGGCACTCTTCCGCAGCTCGGAGGCGTACGGGGCGTGGGATGCGGACGGGCTGCCGACGAAGCTGGCAGACGGTAGCGATGTGCCGAAGACGCAGCAGAAGCGGCTGAAGAAGGAGTGGGATCGACAGAAGAAGCTGCACGACTCATACGTGGAGAAGTTTGGGGGGGAGGGGGGGAGAGAAGAGATGTGAGAGGGGAAGAAAGAGGGGAGGAGAGAGAGGAAGAGAGAGAGGAAGAGAGAGAGGGAAGAGAAGGCGAGAGGCGAGATGTGTGATGGTAAAGCCGGTGGAGGAGGTGAGAAGCGAGATGAGAGGTGAGATGAGATGAGAGACGAATGAGAAGCCCAGACAAGTGCTAATTGGCAGACGTACTGTCGATCAGCATCCAAAAGAAAAGAAACAACAATGCACAGATAACAGCAGACCAGGATCCAACAGCAGGGGTACGTATGCAGCAGCCCTGCAAGCATCTGAGGAGCGGTTATCTGCTTGCGAGTATGAGTACACTGTAACACTCCAATCGGGACATAGTAAGCCGGAAGTATCTTCCTACATAGTATGTATCTTACATGCATGTCGTGCCAAGACCTGGAGGTGGTGGAGTCCCCGACTTTCGTGATAAGGCGAAGAGGACGTGCAAGGGCGTGGGGAAGAATATCTCTCCGCGCAGGCGCCGTCGAAGGACTCGTGGCAATCCTTGCAGGGCACAAAGTACGGAGTCCTCGCATAGAGGATAGCAGATGCATAGGAGGTATACGAGTACATTGTACGGAGAAGGCTCACATTGGTGCTTTCCCTTTTTGCCGTGTCTGCTCCTTCCCCTTTCCCGTTCGACCTCACCGTCTTTCGCCTTTTCCCTTTTCCCTTTTCCCTTTTCGCTCTGTCCGCCGTCTCACTCTCAGCTCATGCATGTGATCACGCCTCGGCGGTCACTCGAACAGCCGGTCCTGCACGACGGCAAGACAGGTAGCAGCTGCCAGCCGCAGCCTGCAGCTACGACCTTGCTCGTCTCACCTCAGCATCTCAGCATCTCATCACCGTGCGGCTCTGACGGCCTGTCCGACAGCCGGCTGCGGATCTGCCCTCGTCCACGCAGCGCCTGTCTGGCCACTCGCAGCACTGCCGTGTACGTAATGAATACGGACTGCTGGCACATGCGATGTGGTAGCGTCCTTGCGGCAGTCTAGATCGCCGGGATGATGCGCGACGTACGTCGTACGTCGTACGCGCAGACAGCTCACGGGAATACGGGCGTACGAGTACAGCGTACGACAGAACCGCTCGGCTCCGAGAGGTGCAGACCAGCCAGCGTGCCGATGCCCTTGCACGGAGCAGACACTTCAGCCGGCCAGAGACGGATAGCGACCGGGATTCCAGCCGCTCCTTCGTCCCCTTTCATCTCTTCTGGCTAGCCGGTCTCTCCACCGGCACGCCCATCCCGCGTTTCCTTGACCCATGCAAACACAAAAGAGGGCCAGCCACCAAATGGTCGTCCGTTCCCTTATCTCGGATGTATCTCTGCACTTGGCCTCGGGCCAATCAGCGCACGCGCCCAGAGACGGCCGCTAGCCCTCAAATTACGGCACCGCACGACCCTCTAATCTGGAACCAGGAAAGCTGATCGAGAGAGATAAACAGTAGGCGGAAAAAAAGAAGAAAAAAAGAAAGAAAAACACTGGGTCGGCCAGCGGATGCGCTGCTCACTTGGTCAATGGATCCTCCTCCTCTCCGTGCACCCCCGCGGGCCGTCTGCCATGTGTCTGGTCTTGAGAGAGTTCCCTCTACCTACGAGTAGTCCTATGTACGTACAGCGGCTAGGAGGTGAGATAGCAACGCGCATCGTGACTGGTCACACGCCGTCTGCATGGGAAGATACTCGCGCTCCGCGCGCCGTCTTCGTAGAGAATACTGCGAGCCCTTGTTGTGCCCGCCGGAATTATCTCTGGGACCCTGGAGCCTTCGATGGGGCTCATTTTGGTCTTCTGCTCACACACATCGCCTCTTTCCACCCCACCCCCCCATATTGCTGTCCGTGTCTACGGAGTACTCTGTACAGATACAGCTAAAGGACACATGTCTCGTTGTCCGATGTCCCCATATGCATGCTTGTAATATGCCCGAACCGGCCGCGGCTGTGGCTACCGGCAGTAATGGTACATGGTACTCCGTAAGATTGCTCGTATCTTCGTCTGCCAGTCGCCTTGCCTTATCCAACATCGCTATTACAAAGTGGGCTGCCTGGCTCGCGCGGCGAGTGGGGTGTGCAATACTCCTCATAGGGGGAGCTGTTCGTGCTAAGAAGCGAGAGCAAGTTCTTGGGACCAGGCGCGATACCGTTTGTGTGTATTCTGCCGAAGAGCACGTACTCGTGCATAGTAAGACAGCCCTCTCGCCCTCATGATAAACGACCACACGGCCGCTGGTTGGGCCTTGCATCCCTCTCCAGCTGTGCATCCCCAACCCGGACAACCTTTCTCTTCTTTCCGTCCTTCCCTTCGTCTTCCACCGTGTCCTCTCTCTACACTTGTTCTTCCACCTTGCGATTGTCTGCCGGTGCATCCGCAGCTTTCTACCCCTTTCTCCTACAAGGAAGGAACGAGCGAGAGCCTCGCCTAAAACTCAGTTATATACGCACACACGCACATCACCATGTGGTGGGATGCCGCCACGATCGAGCGCACTGTCACGCGACAGTACGTATGCTCCCACCTGCTGCCCGACGAGATTGCCCGGCTGGACCGGCCGCTGGGCTTTGGCGACGGCCTCACGGACGGCACCTACTGGGAGTGGATCGACGACAAGGCCAAGACGATCTTCCTCATCCTGGTTGACCTCGGCGTGCCCGACCAGATCTTTGGCATCATCGACGACTCGTGGGACGACGAGGACCTGCCGGTCGACCGCGAGCAGGTCGAACGCCTGGCCCTGACGCCCACCAAGGACACCCGCTTCGAGCGCAAGTTTTTTGAGCGCCAGTTCTACTACATGCTGACGCCGCTGGAACGTGGCGAGCACGTCTTCTACCACGATGTCGCGGTCGTCCCGCTCGACGTCGTCGCCAGCAGCGGCGGCAGCAGCAGCGGAGCCGGCAGCGGATGCAGTGGCAGCGGCGACAGTGGCGGCAAGGATCGCGTGGTGCTGTTCAACTATCCCGGTCAGGTGTTTGCACGGCGACGCATCCCGCTGGCACCGTCGAGCGAGTCGCAGTTCGGATCCGGCTTCCTCTCGTACGAGGACTTCCAGTACGAGGCCAACAGCATCCGCAGTCTGCAGAACGACCACCTGGTCTCGTACTGGGGCTCGTATGTGCACCAGGGCTATGGCTACGTGCTCTTCACGCCGACCAGCGACGGCAGCCTCAAGTCGCTGCTGGCCACGACGCCGGCCTCCATCAAGAATCTGGCCAAGAAGGACCGTCGCCAGCTGATGCTCAACTGGATCCACTGTCTGGTCGATACCTTGTGCTTCCTGCACATGCGCGGGCTCTCGCACGGCAACATCAAGCCGTCGTCCGTGCTGTTCAATAGCGCGAACCACGTCTTCTTCTCCGACTTTACCCACTTTGGCGCCGAGATGGGCGGTGCCACCGGTACCGGCACCGACAAGGCTTCGTTCGACAAGGAGTCGTACGACTATGCCGCTCCCGAGCAGTGGTACCGTCCGTCGGGCAGCGGCGGCCACAGCAGCAGCAGCAACGGCAACGGCAGCAGCAGCAGCAGTGGGAGCAGCCGCAAGAGCCTGTTGACGGGCGAGACCATCTTTGGCCGGGGCGGAGCCGCGCGAGGGATGGCGATCCACAGCAGCAATGGTGGCAGCGGTGGCAGCAACACGGGAACGTCGTGGTCGTCGTCCGAAGGAGCTGCAGCAGCTGCAGCGGCCGCGTTTGGCCATCGCGGCGGCCACTCGGCACCGGCCAATCCGCAGCTGAACCCACAAGCGGCTGACATCTTCTCGCTCGGCTGCATCATCCTAGAGCTGCTGGGGTTCATGTTGAAGCGGCCGACACGGTCGTTTGCGGCGCATCGGGCGGCCAAACACAAAATGCCCGGCCGTGGTGGTGCCGTGCTGGACTCGTCCTTCCACAAGAATCTGGGCCAGGTTGAGAGCTGGATGGTGGCGCTGGCCCGCGAGGCCGCCGGCAAGAAGAAGGACGACCCGGCTCTCGCTGGCGTCGCGCCCATGCTGCAGATCGTCGAGCGCATGCTGGCACCGTACCCGGCCGATCGCCTCGCTGCCCTCGACGTCCAGACCCGCATGTACCAGATCTTGCGCGACAGCTGTGGCATCGCTGAGCCGCACTGCGTCCACCAGTATGGCACCGGCGACGTCTGGGATCTCGGGGTCGGCCGCCTCGGCAGAGCATCGCTGCGCATCGCCACCACCAACTATGCCTATCCCCACTCGTCCTCGTCGGCTGAAGCCGATGCGGCTGCTGCTGCTGCCAACGGCGGCGCTATCTCTCCCCGGAGCACCGACACCGACATCGCCGCCTTTGCCACCAAGCCGTCCTCGCGCCACAGCAGCATCAGCAGCAGCATCAGCATCGGCCACCATAGCCGTCATCACCTCAGCCGTCAGCCCAGCCAGTCCGGCAGCCAGAGCAGCCGCAGCATCGGCAGCGGGTCAGCCAGCAGCATTCGTGCCAGCAGCAGCAGCGGCGGTGGCAATGGCAGCGTGGGCATCGACCTCGCCAATGGCCTGCAGGCCATCCGGAACCTGCAAATCCGCGACAAAGTACGATGACAACGGTCGGCACACGAAAAAAACACAAGACACAATCACAAACACAAACACGAGCCACGACAATGTTTCTGACGACAGCACGGCGTTCCGTGACGCCTCTCGGCGATACACAATGTTTCCAATGATGACACGAGGAGACGGATACCCCGGTGGAGTTCTGGTATGGAGTTGGCGGATCGGAGGCTTAAAGTCAAATATTGGATAGAATGTTACAGAGTACATCAGCTAGGCACGGAAAATGAACTCCATGGATCCCCCCCCCCCCCCAAACTGTGGCTTGCCTGTGTGGCGTTCTATCTTGCAGCAGCGAGCAGCATTCCGGCAGCTGTTGTGGTCGAGCAGTGAAAGAGCCGGAATGCGGGAAGGATCGATCGACGCCGTCATCGCGGGCCACGAGCACTCGAGTCCTGTACTCGTACAACGTGCTCTGTACACAATATGCTCCCTCTCGCTTGGGCGCACAAGTCGCGCACAAACTGCCCCAGACATGTTCTAATACGTACGGAGTATCTCTCCGTAATACTGCGTACCAGTCCTTTCACACTATGGCCTCTGTACCCTTACTCTCCAATCTGCGCTAATGCATTCCAGCGAATCGGTGACCGCTAGCTTGCTCCGCGTTGCGCCAAGCCCACTCTAGCTCGGATCTTTCAAACAAGACCTCCTGCATTAATTCAGAGAGCCTGTCTTCATCTTAGTGTCGTACTGGTACAGCGCGCTCGCCGCGCTCGCGCCCGTGATTGTGTACCTGTACTTGTGCCACTGTAACCTCGGGGTCGCCTTCTCCTGTTTTTAAGCCAGAACACGAACCACCATCCTTCATATCGTGTTTTTTTTTTCTTAGCACCAATCTCTCGTCTCCCTCATTCCTTGGAGATACCACTGCTTTTGTCTTGTTTCCCGCCTCTCTTCCGTCTTCTCTTCATCCATCCCGAGGCCTCGCTCGCTACGGCCGCGCTTTTGTCTCTCTTTCGCATCTCACGCTCGTTAGGCTCCTGCCTCGTGTAGCCGTTCACTCCCAACGACAGCCGCTCTTCGTGCCTTCCCTCTGCCGGCCGTGTCCTCGCTTATATACTGATATCGGCTGCTTCACGATCGCCGCATCGCAGCACTCTTTTCGCTTCTCGCTCTCTTTAGACCACAACATCCGCTACAATACCGCTCCAATATGAAATTCACATCTGCCATCAGCGCCGTGCTCGGCGCTGCTACCTCTGTAGCTGCTGCTTCCGACAGCCTGCCAACAATCACGGCTGTGGGCAGCAAGTTCTTCCTCAGCAACGGCACCCAGTTCTTCCTGAAGGGTTCGCTTCTCTCTCTGTCTTTTTCCCTTTTGTAGTCTTCCCCTCGTTCCACCCTAACAATGCATAGGTGTCGCGTACCAGCTGTCCGATGACGACCCGCTGGTCGACGAGAAGCAGTGCACCCGCGATGCCGCCTTGATGAAGACCCTAGGGGCCAACAGCATTCGCGTCTACCACGTCGACGCTTCTGCCGACCACTCGGGCTGTATGACCGCCTTTGCTGATGCTGGCATCTATGCGCTCATCGACCTGGACACCTTCAGCACATACATCCTGTCTCCCGTACGCTCCCGTTTATCAATACCTTTTTTTAGATTCTTAAGCTAACCCGGCTTTTCTCCCCAGACAATGACCGATGCGACGTGGAACGAGACTCAGTTCGACCGCTTTTCGGCTGTCATGGACGCGTTCTCCAGCTACGACAACGTGCTCGGCTTCTTTGTCGGCAATGAGGTCATTGCCAAGGCCGACGAGTCTCTGGCCGCCCCCTACATCAAGGCTGCCGCCCGCGACATGAAGGCCTACCGCGATTCTAAGGGCTACCGCAAGTTCCCTATCGGCTACTCTGCCGCTGATATCGCCGAGCTGCGCCCCATGCTCCAGGACTACCTCACCTGCGGCAACGCGTCCGACTCGGTCGACTTCTACGCGCTCAACTCGTACGAGTGGTGCGACCCGTCCTCCTACACCGGCTCTGGCTACTCGTCTCTCGAGTCGCAGGCTAAGGACTTCCCGGTGCCCATCTTCTTCTCCGAGACCGGCTGCAACACCCCGGGTCCCCGCTTGTTCGCGGACCAGGCCGCCATCTTCGGCGACCAGATGGTCGACGACTGGAGCGGTGCCATTGTCTACGAGTGGATCCAGGAGGCGAACAACTACGGTCTCGTTGCCTACGGCTCTGGTGATGCCACTGCTAGCGGTGCGACCGTGGTGCGCAGCGGCACGCCGACGCCCATCTCGCCTGACTTCAACAACCTGAAGTCTCAGTGGGCCACGCTGACGCCGACGGGTGTTGTCAGCTCCAAGTATAATGCAGCCTCGAGCGTGTCGTCACGTGCGTGCCCTGCCTCGACCGTCAGCGGCTGGCTCGTTGACGGCGATGTCTCGCTGCCCACCGTTGGCGATTCGCTTGCCGTCCACACGTCAGGCCAGAGCGGCAGCGCGGCCACTGCCAAGACGACGAGCGCGAGCAAGACAGGCACCGCTACCGCTACCGGCACCAGCGCCAGCGCCTCAGCTTCGGCCACAAAGGCTTCGAACGCCAATGCTATGGGTCGTGGCGTGATTTACACGAGCGGTGCGTTGGCCGCCGTTGCGCTCTTTGCTCTGTGGTTGTAAACAGTGCAGTCTTTCGAAAGCCGGATGCAGTTTTACGTTGAATTTTGGACGACTTTGGACACGAAGCATAGCAATACCGACATTAGATGTGCCTTGCTTTCCTCTCATTCGACTTCTGTGTTTTAAAATACTAGCTATTTTGTATGAGCAAGGAGTCATGTTGTACAAGACGTGATCCAAGACAGTGGGAGTATAGACTCCTATAATAGTATGACTCGTTCCTAGAGATAAATGCCAGTGTACAAGGAGGTTTTGTGAGACAGCCAACGTTGGCGACCATCGGCAGCTTGACATTTGTTTACAGGATGAGGAGCATCTGTGGATATGCGTGGAACTGGGAGCTTACGGAGTATGTAGTACGACGTATGCTCGCCTAATTCGGTGGAGCTTCGCACGTCCCCCTCAACCTCCATCTGCAAGGTAGTTGAAGAGGCTTTAACAAAGTACTCCGTAGTCTGTTCTGGAGCTTCTCGTGGGGCCAAAAAGGCGGTATGCCTAGACGACAACGCATCTTGTCAGGAAGTACGGGGTAACGATGGGCGATTGCTCCGTAGATGGGCCGGAAGACGACATGGATAGGAGAGTGCCTTACTATACTATGTACAGGAAACAGGCGAGAATACAGAGTGCTGTACGCTGTACGCCTTTTGCCTCTGCGTCTTGAGTTGCTTGGAGCTGTTCCTCATATGCCTTGAGAGACTAGTCTTGTAGCGGTTAGCCAGTTGTGAGACAGCCCCGTAATTGGGGGCGACGGGAATGTTCTACGAGTGCTGCCTACACATACACCATACTCCGTAAACAGCAGGAGCAACCGGCGTACGTCGTAGCGGCTTTCCAGACGACAGCAGCAAGGAATCCCATCGAATTCAGCGAGCATCTATTTTCCACAGGTCCACCTGACGATCCCTCCGACTTGCTTATCTTGTCGCCACCGCCTCTGGTGCATGGAACGCGGCTCGGCCGACGCCACGGAGCTGTACGAGTACGAACATAGCAGCGGTGACGGCATGGCAGCACGCGACGACGAGCAGCCGCTGCTGGCGGACGAGCAGCCGAGCGGCCGGAGCGACCGGACAGATGCGGAGCGGCTGCTGGGAGGCGACGACAGCAAGAGCGGGCAGCACGGACCCGGAGTGTTTGTGTGGCTGCTGACGTTGTCAGCAGGCATCAGCGGGCTTCTGTTTGGGTGTGAGTTTGTTTCGATGTGTTCGTTTCGATTCGATTCGTCTCGTCTCTGACCTGTCTCTCTCTGAGCCAGACGACACCGGCGTGATCTCGGCCACGCTCGTCTCGATCGGGTCGTCGCTCTCGGGGCGGCCGCTGTCGTCGCTCGACAAGTCGGTCATCACGTCGTGCACGTCGCTGGCCGCGCTGGTGGCCTCGCCGGCGGCCTCGGTGCTGGCAGACGCGCGCGGCCGGCGAGCGGTGATCCTGGCGGCCGACGTGCTCTTCGTGGCGGGCGCGCTCGTGCAGGCGGGCAGCCACACGGTCGGAGCCATGGTGGCAGGACGGTCGGTCGTCGGCGTGGCCGTGGGCGCGGCCAGCTTCGTGGTGCCGCTCTACATCGCCGAGGTCAGCCCGGCAGCCCATCGCGGCCGGCTGGTGACGATCAACGTGCTCTTCGTGACGCTCGGCCAAGTCGTCGCCTACGTGCTCGGCTGGCTGCTGGCCGCGTTCCTGGACGTCCGTCTGGCCTGGCGCTGCATGGTCGGTCTCGGCGCCGTCCCGGCCGTCGTCCAGGCCGTCCTTCTGCTCGCCTCCATGCCCGAGTCGCCGCGCTGGCTCGTCCGCGTCGGCCGGCCTGCTGACGCCCGTCTGGTCATCGCTCGCATCCTCGCCGTCCCCCCCGACGCTCCCGATACCGTCGACACTCTCCGCGCCATCGAGGCTGAGGTCCGCCAGGAACACGAGGCTTCCCGGCTGCGTCACCACCGACAGCTGCAGCGGCGCAGCGCCCGACTCACCACAACCTCGATCCCCATCCTCTCTCGCCTCGTCGCCCGGCTCGACGGCAGCGCCTGGTCCGCCCTCTTCGCCGTTCGCCGCAACCGCCGCGCCCTGGCCATCGCCTGTCTGCTGCAGGGACTCCAGCAGCTCTGCGGCTTTGTACGTGCTACTTCTCCTCGTTTTCGGTGCCTCCTTGCCAGCGCTTCCCGCTAACCTGCCCCCAGAACTCGCTCATGTACTTCTCTGCAACGATCTTCTCCATCGTCGGCTTCGACCAGCCCACGCTCACGTCGCTCACCGTGGCCGCCACCAACTTTGTCTTCACTGTGGCCGCCCTGCTGCTGGTCGACCGCATCGGCCGGCGCCGCGTGCTGCTGTGGTCCATCCCCGTCATGATCGCAGGCCTGCTTCTGGTGGCCTACGGCTTCTCCTTCCTGCATGTGTCCGTGTCGGGACCACGGCCGGGCGAGTCGGACAGCCGGGCAGCAGAACACGGCACCGGCGCTGCCTACGTCGTCCTGGTCAGCATCATGCTTTACGTGGCCTCGTACGCCATCGGTCTCGGCAACGTGCCGTGGATGCAGAGCGAGCTGTTTGCGCTCGACGTTCGCTCGCTGGGCAGCGGCCTGTCTACAGCCACCAATTGGCTGGCCAACTTTGCCGTCGGCCTCACCTTTCTGCCGCTCATGGACGCCCTATCGCCGTCCTGGACGTTTGTGCTGTATGCCGCCGTCTGTGCGGTCGGCTTCGTGCTGGTGCGCGCCTGCTACCCCGAGACCAGCGGGCTGAGCCTGGAGGAGGCTGCCGGTCTGCTGGAGGAAGACGACTGGGGCGTGCACCGGTAGAGTAGCTCTGATCAGCTCCGATCACGTGACCAGTCAGCCAAAGACGGCTTGGTACGGAGTAGATATAGTTGCTATGTAAGAACTTCGTACAAAGTACTCGTAATTTAATAGAATCAAGTAGTGCTGCAAGCCGCTTCTATGGCCGTAGTCAGCCTTGTACCGCTTCTCGACTCATCATTTCGTCTAAAACAGGTGGGGCATCATGTGGTATATGCCGCGTCTGTTTCTGGCTGTGCGTCTGCCTCAGCGCCCTGCACGGTCTGATTACGAGTACAGCGGATGTTGGGATTGTCTGGATGACCACAGGACGTGCCTGCGTACGTCGTAAGCTTCTCCGGGTACGAGTGGGAACGGCAATGCAACTAGGGGGTGGAAACGACAAGGGCTGCTTCTGGTGTTTTCCCACCAGCACACCGAAAAGTAAGACTACGATAGGATGCTCATTTGCCACGACGGCTCGTTCCTAGCTTTTGTGGACCAGGGCGCTCTGCATCATTCGTTCAAGTTGCGTATGAATAGGCCCGGCTCCGAATATGGTATTTGTGTTTCGGCGGTGGGGCTGATGAATGAAAAAATTAGAAGATTGCTAAAATTTGGTACAGGGCTGCTGCTGTTGGTTTTTTTTTTTTTTTACTAATACTTTCTTTCCCCTCAGGACTCGGCCTGAGACGGCAATGGACGGCATAGTGGCGCCGGCGATATTCCTACGAGTACTCCGTACTACGACATTCAACATCATCTGCAGTTCTCCGTAAGGAAGTATTCTTCCTGATTTGTTTTGTTATGGGGGGGTTCTTGTGTGCTGACTCAGGCCACCACCGATAGCGGACACTGATTCTTGCGCATTCCGCATAATACCTAGACAATCAGCACGTACGTCGTAGTAGCACAGAACCGGCTGCGGGGTTCGTCCCTCTTGTGTTTGCATTGACAATCACACCACGCACCCGCGCCGACGTGTTGCGGTGAGGCTGTCGACCCTCGTTTGCCTCCAGGCTGCCGCTTGGCATCTCCTTTTTCCCTGGCGGCCTGTTTCGTCTAGGCGACCATCGACCCCGCCTGCACGACAATCCTCTGCTCGGACAGGGAAGGGGCGTCATGCTAGAGCCACGTGTGCCCGCTTCGGGCTTAGTGTGGTCCATTCATCGGCAGCCGGAGCTTGGGCAAGCGCCGAGACTGGTCAGGATGGCTCCGCCTGCTGGGGTAGTGGGTCCCGCCGAGCGAAGGAAAAAAACAAGAGAAAAGAGAGAAAGGGAAAGAAAGAGAAAAACGTCGAGAGCAAATACGAGCCGGCGGCGGCCCAACCGCAAGGTGCGCGAATGTCGCAGAAAATGTTGCAAAGTCCGACTTTTGTTTAAATCCAGAGCCCATGGCTGCCGAGCCCGTCCGCCCCTCGATCTGCAGTTTGAGCCAAGCCTCTCTGCGACGTCCTTTGCTTACATATCATCAGGTATACGGGCTCATGGACCGGCGAACCGAAACAGCGAAGGCGCGAGACAGCCGGAAGGACAGAACTGTCCAGAGACCTTCCATCGGTGTCGGCAGATGGGGACATGATGCCAGGGCCAAGCAGAAGGCCAAAAGCCGCAGTTTTCCCCTCCATGGAAAGTGCGTGTATCTTATAATCGTGTGCCTTGTGTCTTCTATCGCTGCTGTTTTTTTTTTTTGCCACCCTCTTGACGTAAGGGCTATGTACTATGTATGGTACATACATATGCGCAGCCCTTCCCGCCTTCTGGCCTCATCATCGCATACAAACTCCGTTGTAAACTACTTCTCGGATGGAGCAGATATAATCCCGGCTCAAGCAGACTCCACTGGACGGACTAATATTGCACCCAACGCCTCGTGTTATTACTTTTCCTAGACAGGGACGCACACTAGTCTACGAGTCACCGCAGTTGCCAATGCTACTATAGTTGCCACGGCAAGACTACAGCCAGACTACTTATCTACCGGGCCAGCCAAAGAATTTTTCCATTGAAAGCCCTCGACCTCAGTCCTGTCTTGGCTGACGATCTCCCTTTGATTGATTGCCGTTCACAGTCCGGGTCTCATCTGCCCTCCCGGTCTCCGTATCTCATCTCATCGTTCCCCAGATCGTTCTCAGATCACTCCTCCGTCACAATGGTCCTCAACAGAGTTGACGACGAGATGGCCGAGATCGAGGAGGACGCGTCTCCGACCGTCTTTCCCACGCGCATCTCCCGGGCCAGCTTGGAGCGCCGCAACAGCCTCGACGCTACGCTCGCCCACATACCCACGGCCTCGTCCTCGTCCTCGTCGGAAGATGCTGCCAGCGCGCGCCACCGCCACGCTTCGGGCGAACCGGGCCCGTCTGGCCTTAACCGCACCCTCTCCATCGTCGACCTCGAGCGGATTCAGACGGCCAAAAGCCAGCGCAGCGGCACCGTCGGCCGCTCGCACACTGGCAGCCGCTCGCACAAGCCGCTGCCGGCCTTTGGTGCCGGCAAGCCCTACCCGCCGCAAATGGACCAGGAGAAGTACGTGGTCGAGTTCGACGGCCCGGACGACCCGTTGCACGCCCAGAACTGGCCTCTGAAGAAGAAGTACGTTCCCTCTCCTCTCCTCTCGGACTCGGCATTGTCCTCCCAAAACTAACTACAACCGTCCAGGTTGTACACCGCTGCCATCCTCGGCTTCACCACCATGACGGCCGCCTTCACATCCAGCATCTTCTCCGCCGCAACGTCCCATGTGGCTGCCGAGTACCACGTGTCCGCAGAGGTTGGCACGCTCGGTGTGTCCTTTTACGTCATGGGCTTCGCCTTTGGGTATGTCTTCTCGGCCCGCTTGCCGTGCACACGTTGCCTTGCTGACCTTTGCCTCTCTTGTCCAGTCCGACTCTGTGGGCCCCGCTGTCCGAGCTCAAGGGCCGTGTTATGCCGCTCGCCATCTCCATGTTTGGCTTTTCCGTCTTCTGTATCGCCGTCGCCACCGCCAAGGATCTGCAGACGGTGCTGATCTGCCGTTTCTTTGGTGGCTTTTTTGGCGCTTGTCCACTGGCCGTCGTCGCCGCCGTCTTCTCCGACATGTTTGGCAATCAGACGCGCGGCATCGCCATCACCATCTTCTCCATGGCTGTCTTCTCGGGCCCGCTGCTGGCGCCCTTTATCGGCGGCTTCATCTCAACGTCGTACCTCGGCTGGCGCTGGACCCAGTACATCCCGGCCTTTATGGGCTTCTTCTGCTTCGCCCTCATCGTGCTCTTCCAGGAGGAGACGTACCCGCCGGCCATCCTGGTCCAGAAGGCCTCGAACCTGCGCCGCGCCACGCTCAACTGGGGCATCCACGCTCGCCAGGACGAGATTGAGGTTGACCTGAAGGAGCTGATCACCAAGAACTTCTCGCGTCCCATGCGCCTGCTCTTCCTCGAGCCCATCGTCACGTCGCTGTCGGTCTATATGGCCTTTGTGTACGGCATCCTGTACCTCTTCCTGACGGCCTACCCGTTTGTCTTCCAAAAGGTCCACCACATGACACCCGGTGTTGGCGGGCTGCCTTTCTTCGGCATGATCATCGGCCAGTTGCTGTCCGGGCTCAGCGTGCTCCTGCAGCAGCCGTGGTACAACCGCAAGCTGGCGGCCAACAACAACGTGCCCATTCCCGAGTGGCGCCTGCCGTCCGTCATCGCCGGTGGCGTCTCCTTCACCTGCGGCATCTTCTGGTTCGGCTGGTCGGGCTACAAGGAGAGCGTGCACTGGATCGTCCCGACGCTCTCTGGCCTCATGACCGGCTTTGGGCTCATGTCCATCTTCCTGCAGTCGCTCAACTACCTTGTCGATGCCTACCTCATGTTTGCTGCCTCAGCCATTGCTGGCAACACCTTTTTGCGGTCGCTCTGTGGCGCCGGCTTCCCCCTGTTCGCCACGTACATGTTCAACGGCATGGGCATCGAGTGGGCCAGCACGCTGCTCGGCTGTGTCGGCGGCGCCCTGGTGCCCATCCCCGTCATCTTCTACATCTATGGCGAGAAGATTCGGGGCATGAGCAGCTATGCTCCTGGCGGTCAGGCCGGCAAGAGCTCTGACGAGGACGAGCCGGAGCCGGTTGGTGTTAGCCGGGCCGTGGCCAACGGTGATATCGAGGCCGGAGCAGTCAACAGGAAGGAGGAGTAGGGTGTTGGTTGATCGACCTTGGCATCCTTTTTTCTTCCCACACGCGCATTATACCCGCAAACACGCGCGCACCTCAACGAACACACTCTACACACACACACACCTATTCTCTCCACATATCGCGTCTCTGTTTGCACAACATGCCAACTCGTTCGGTTCACGGCGACGTGTTTTACTGCTTGTCTTGTTATTCGACGACCTGAGTGGGATCTTGCATATAGAATGGAACGACGGACGGGCCCTCGAAATACGCTGTGGCTGTCGCTAGACACAAGGCGGGGAAAGCGGTTGCCTTTGGTTATCGCCTCATATCTCTGATTTAATGTTGATGTTGATGTTGCTTAATTGTTTTGTTTTTCGATACCAGCGAGCGTTTGCTTTCTCTCAACCTAATGTGTTGTTACACGAGAGGAACTGGGCTTCAAAAAAATAGGAGAGGATATGTAATGAACTAATCGGGGTAAAAAATAAATCAATAAAAAACCAAAAAGAAGCCTTATGTCATGCATTAGTAATAATAGTTTGGTGAACTTGTTGTACTCAGTACATGCGACGATTGAGTAGAGGATAATTGATTCGCCTCTGCAGGGCGGAAAACGGTCAGATCGGGTCTCCAGCCTGTTGGTTTGTCAGCCTGAGGACTGAAAGTCTGACCTCCATCTTACCTCCTGTTATCCGGTTCACTTTGCCTTTTTCTCGCTCTCTTCTTTCCCCTCACCAACACCTTCTCCCTTACAATCCTCAAACATCTACCCTCCATGGCAGAGCTTGTGAGAAAGACGAGTGAGCTTCCTCAGTGGCTGCCGCCCTGGCTGCCCGACACATGTGCCGAACGAGCTCGCCGGGTGGCCTCGGGCGAGGCAGCAAGCGATCCCACGGCCACGTATGCGGCTGGCTGCCACTGCGGCGCGATCGCGCTCGAGGTCACGCTGTCGCCACCGCTGGAGCAGGGCTATATGGTCAACATGTGCAACTGCTCCGCCTGCTCGCGTCTGGGCTACCTGCTGGTGTACCCAGAGCGCAGCCAGGTGCGGTGGCGTGGTGAGGGTGACAGCAAAGAAGGCAGCAGCAGTGACCGGGACAAATGCGGCATCTACCGCTTCAACACTGGCCGGACTCTTCACCTGTTCTGCCGCGACTGCGGGACCAGTCTGGGCGTCGACTTTCAGGGCTTGTTCCTGCCGGGCTACGACGGCTACGGGCTCAATGTGGGTTTGCTGTCGAGCTGCAGTCTCTGCGGCCAGGACTGTCAACTAACTCTCTTTTGCAGGTCCGCTCCTTCCAGAACGTCGACCTCGGCAGCCTGACGTACGGCTTCAACGACGGAAAGAACAACGTGCCGCCAGCGGGCGATGTCTCGGGGCAGGGGGTGAAAAGCGAGTAGCACGTGACACTCTGTACAAGCAAACCCACATTCTCTTCATTCTACACCCACTACTCTCCCTGCTGCCGCCGCGCATACAGCTGCTCGGCCGAGGTGATGCAATGCATGTTGGCGCCCAGCTTGTTCATGGTCTCGACCCACTCGTCGTACTCGTCGCTGTCGAACACGATGCCACCACCGGCCTGCAGATAGGCCACGCCGTCGGCGAGCACCATGGTGCGCAGGGCGATGCACGTGTCCATCTGGCCGTCCACGGGCGTGACCCCGTCAGCGGCCACGCCGTTGTAGCCAAAGTAGCCGACAGCACCGGCGTACACGCCACGCTTCTCGCCCTCCAGCTCGGCAATCAGCTCCATGGCCCGCACCTTGGGCGCGCCCGAGACCGTGCCGGCTGGAAAGATGCTGCGGAAGGCGTCGAAGCGCGAGCAGCCCGGCCGCAGCACGCCCGAGACCTGCGACACCAGATGCTGCACGTGTGAGAACTTTTCCACCACCATCAGCCGGTCGACCCGGGTCTCGCGCGGATCGCAGACCCGCGTGACGTCGTTGCGTGCCAGGTCACACAACATCACGTGCTCAGCCCGGTCTTTGAGTGACTGCCGCAGCTCCTCGGCCAGCGCGGTGTCTTCCTCCGGTGTGCGGCCGCGCTTCACCGTGCCGGCGATCGGGTGCGTCACCACGCGCCCGCCCTCGGTCTTGACCAGCAGCTCCGGCGACGCCCCCACGATCTGAGGTCGTCCGCCGCAGTCAATGTAGAACAGGTATGGCGAAGGGTTCACTGTCCGCAGGTGCCGGTACACATTAAACGGGTGCAGATCCGTCGGCCGTGCAAACCGCTGCGATGGCACCGCCTGGATGATGTCGCCCGCCTCAATGTGCTTTTTCAACCGCGCCACATGGCTCATGTAGCCCGCCTGCCCCACGTTGGACGTGTACTCACGCCCCAGCACCACCTCCTTCTGTTCCGGCAGCGGGATCGTCGGCCCGTTCAGCACGTCGATCAGTGCCCGGATCACCCCTGTCGCCCGTCGGTATTCTGCTGCCACTGCCGCTGCCTCGTACGTCCCCGTCGTGCTGTCCTGCGCCACCGCGTCCAGCTGCAGGTACGTGATCACCTTGATAATGCCGAAGAACCGGTCAAACGCCACGATCGTGTCGTAGAAACAGAACTGAGACTCGGGGATCTTCAGAACATCCTTGAGCGGTCGTGCTGTCTTCGGTTCGAACTAGAACGGCGTTAGAGATGCTGCTCACAACTCCCACAACTCCCACAACTCCACTCACATAGCGCACGCAGTCGTACGACACGTAGCCCACCGCACCACCCGCCAGAGGCGGCAGTTGCAGCCCTGGAACATGGGCCACCACAAACCGCGACAGCTCGACCTCCAGTCCCGGCAGCGGGTCGCACGCCTCGCCGAACCCCGGCCCCGTCTCCAGCACCTTGCGCGGCCCCGCTGCCAGGAAGCTGTATCGGCCCACCCGTTCCGTTGCCGCACTCTCAAATAGGAACGAGTGCTTCGACCCTGAGTGCGCCGACACCTTTAGATATGCTGCCGACGGCGTTATCAGGTCCGACGAGATCTGCCCGTATACCGGCACCAAGTTCGGCCGTCGGTATGTCGACCCAGGCCCCTTGGCCGCCTCTGCCTTAGCCGTCGTCACCACATTGGCTAGCACTTCGCTCACCGTCTCGAGCGACGGCACGATCACATCCTTTTGGCCACCGTCCATGTCAGCAAGCTGCAGAGTGGAAGTGGGGGGACCGAGGAAGCAGAGGACGGGAAAGGGGCTCTCAGCATGCTTACAGGTCCTTCCATAGCACAAAATGCACTGTTGGATGAGCGGTAATGTCAGTGGTATGGGATGTCTCTGTCTGGTTCTCGTCAAATAGCCGCTGCTCTCGGGTGACTCTTCGCAGTAGCCAATGAGTCAGACCGACGCTGGAAACGTTCGCTGGCCGGGCTGCAAGCCGATATCTCGCTGACCTTCCGCACTTTGACCTGTCTCGAGTTTCGCCTCTTTTTCCGTGTCCCTGAAATTCGTCCTTTTCTTGCTTGCCAATGGCTCAGAGCCTTTCCTTCTTGTCCTCTTTGCGTTGATATGTGGTGCCTTTTTTTTTACTTCTGCCCCACTGCATTCGGCACCTTCGACGTCCGTATTGGGATTAGCTCGGAATATGTTCCTCCGGCGTCTTAACTCCTGACGCCCAAAAGGGAAAGTTCAGGTCCCTACTGCATTGGTCTGCGACTTCCCGTACAGTGAACTGCTACAAGAGGCTTGCTGAGAATATCACTCTATTTTTTTTGGTTTGCTTATTTTCTACGTGTATATTCTGTCGTTTCAAATCAGTAATCTGGGAAACGCCTGTTGCTTGAAAATGCCCTATACTCGAAAGCAGGAATTGGTGATTCGAGAAATTTAGGGATGTCGTCCACTAGATCCGTCTCCCAATCACTCCAATTCAATAGTACCTATAAATACATTAGCGACTAAACTCTTCCATTTGGCTTGCATGCCTGTATCTTACCAGGAGGCTTGCTCGTGATATCATAGGTTACGCGAGCGACTCCAGGAACCTCGTTTATAATTCTCCGGGACACTTGTGTCAGAAACGAGAAATCGAATGGGTAAGGCTCAGCCGTCATAAAGTTAGTGGACATGACGGCGCGAAGGATGATAATGTATCCTGGACAGTCATTAATAAACAGCAAACATCGTTCAGGTAACTCGTGTAGAGGGCAACATACCGTAGACGCGGGCATCTCCCATGACTCCCACAGCTAAAGCACAAAGCAATCATTAGCATGGCGTCCTCATCTGAGAGCTCAGGTCTGAGAGGAAATCTTCGCAATCTCTAAGCGGGTACACTTTTGTAATATATACCTCTGTTAGAATCCAGGCCGGCATAGGCTTGGGCGATCTGAGTCGAAAAGGTTAACCACAGGCAAGCCAAAATGGCACAGAGGATGGCATCAAATGCACTCACCTTGTCGTAAATTCCTGCCTCCTTGATCATGGAGATGAAGATATGGTCGGCCTTGCGAGCAATTTCAACGCGCTCGGGTGTGACCTCTCCGATAATTCTGATCGCGATACCTGGGCCCGGAAATGGGTGCCGCATGACCAGGTCATCCGGAATGCCCAGCTTCCGGCCAAAGGCCCGGACCTCGTCCTTAAATAGCTCTCTCAGGGGCTCAATCAGCTTGAGGCCTTGCTGTTGTTGTTTAGATTAGTCGCTGGTCACGTGCATGCTATACTCTTAGGAAGCTGCTTACGCCGTTCATCATCCGAGCCGGAAGGCCGCCAACGTTGTGGTGCGCTGCATCGATTAGTAACAAGATTCTATAAGAAAGGAATGCGGGTGTGCTCACTCTTCACCGTGTTGTTCGTGTTCAGGCTAAGCGATTCGATGACGTCAGGGTATAGAGTGCCCTGGACGAAAAACTCCACCTTGCCGGCATTGGCAGTGTTCTCAGCAGCCTTTTCGATGCGGATGGCCTCCTCCTCGAATAGGTCGATAAAAGTGCCGCCGATGATCTTCCGCTTCGTTTCGGGCTCCGTGACGCCTTTGAGCCGACCAAGAAACAGCGCCCCTCCGTCGATGATCGTGAGGTTGATGCCGAGATGTTCTTGAAGCGCCTTCTTCACATCTGCGCACTCGTTCAAACGCATGACGCCGTTGTCGACGAGGACGGCGTGGAACCGGTCACCTAGCCTAGGGTTAGCCCACACCGCGAAAAGCTCTCAGTGGCAGGCACAACTGACCAATAGCCTCCTTCATCAACCGAGCAACGACTGTGCTGTCGACACCACCTGAGACAGCTCCGATGACTTGAGCCTTGTCGCCGACGCGCTCGCGGATGCTGGCAATCGCATGCTCAATGAAGTCGCTCATGACCCAGTGCTGCTGGGCCTTGCAGATGCTGACGGCGAAGTTCTTCAGCAGATCTATGCCGCGCGGGGTGTGCTCGACTTCGGGGTGAAATTGTATTCCTACAAGCGCCTCGAGTCAGATTGTCACCAAATGGGCGCGATGTGCAAGACGAGGCTTCAGGAAGCACATACCGTAGATCGGCTTCGTCTTGTGGACAATTCCGGCATACTCGGAGTTCTGCGAGCTGGCAATCACGGCATAATTATTTGGCAGCTTGATGAGCTTGTCATCGTGGCTCATGTAGACTGCCGACCTATCAGTTTTGCATTTTGCCACTTTATAAAGGACATGACCTACCGTGCATAGACTCTCCCAGACCCTCGAAGAGCTTGTTGGAATGGTCGGGGCCATCGACTTTAAAAATGGTAAGATCCTTTAGGAAATAGATTAGCACCGCGAACACTGCTTTCTCAATTATAGATCAAGTCGTCCCAGATTGCATGCCGAGGCACACATACTGTATGTCCGTATTCCCGAGCCTTGCCTGGGGCAACGGAATCAGAGACTTCGCGCCAGGAAAGTTCCTGGCAACCGTAGCAAATTCCGAGGATGGGCACGCCCAGATCAAAGATGGCAGGATCGACGTCTATACCGAGTCAATCCCTTGAGTCATTTGGCATGTAGTGGAAGCAAACTTACGAGGAGCTCCCGCATCAGTCACAGACGCGGGGCCTAGGCACTAGGTCAGAAAATCAGCCCCTCACGAATGCGACTTCAGAGGGGCGCTCACTTCCGCTGAGGATAATTCCTTTGGGCTTCCAAGTCAGATCCTTGATCTTGGTGGTGCATGGCATGATCTCGCAGAACACATTGAGTGATCTGAGACCTCTGAGGATCAGATGCGAGGTCTGGCTTCCAAAGTCCAAGAGAAGGATTGTCTAGATATCACAATTAGCTGGTGTTCGATGTGTCTGACTCATTGCATGGCTATATTCACGTCGAAAATCTCATGAGGCGCCGCAGCTGCTCCGGTTTTGGCCGCCATTTCGGAGAATGATTTCACAGAAAGTCCCTAGTGCTGGAAGCGAGAGACTTGAGGTTGCCAAGTCGAGTCGGAGAGGCGTGCTTGATGCTTAATAACTCGATTGGAATCGCTTCGTGTTGAAATCCTGGTATTCATGAAATCCCTGCCACTAAAGTTGGTGCGAAATACGGAGATTCCTACCAAAAAAAATTTAGATAGTCTCACCGCTCGAGAATAAAGCTGGCAGTATACTACGTACAGCCAAAAATCTACGAGAGTACGGAGGAATACGGAGTACGGACTAACGCTATAGTGTCAATGCCATTGAGACGAAGCCTTGGGTGATTTGTGCTAAAATATAGACTTACGACGTACTGCGGCAAAACAGGATCTCGCTGCTTATGTATCTTAGGTCGAGAAGGCGGTGAAAGCAGAATTTATTCTGCACGTGATGTTTTAGCCGTGCCTACGCGCTAATCTAGAACTGGATCCAAAGTGGAAGCAGTGAACACTATATGCATCTTTCCTACGGAGTATATCCTCTGGTTTGTTGCGAGCCTTCACCGGGTGCAGGAATGTAATTATTGACTGGCTCATTCTTCCCTTAAAAGTATAGACTATATTAAAAGGCAACCTAACACATATCAGTAAAGGTCACTTGCTCCTCCAAGACCCCTTAGCGGTATTGGGCTAACCACATTTCTGACGAAGGAAGGCGAAATTTTGTCTTTTATCTTAAGACAAGCTACATATATAGGGAAATAGGAATAAGATAACACTATCTCACCATCTGATTGTTGTCATAAAGGACATTCCCGGTCACATATGCAACCAAAAATAACAAAAACGTACAGCAGCGGGTATTCGCTGGTCGTCACCGACCCAACTACTGATCCGCCGATTACTGGTTTAACTAGGGGAGAGCGGACGGGATCCCGTGCTTTCCAGTATCTATGGCCGTACGTGAAAGAAAAGACGAGAGAGAGCCTTATGTGTACGGAGTACTGACTAGGAACTGCAAAAACCAAGGCCCATGGACGATAAAGGAGGTTTCTCCGAGCTGAAAATGTGTCACCGATATCGGTATCGTATATCGTTACTGCTCCATATAGCTGGATGAGACTATATGAGCTTCCCAGTCACAAGTCCAAATTCGGTTGAGGTCCGCCGACACAACCTGCGCTAGCATGCGGTGAGAATATGCCAATGCACCTGTGGGTGGAGTCGATCCCGAGTAGTGATGAAGGTGCCACTTCTGAAGCTGCTACAACACGCGGCCCCTGATCAGCTTGTTCAGCTCTGCCCTAGCTTTCACCGGCTTGCTGTGGGTTTGGATCCTATCGAGTATTTGTGTTCATGCTAGAATCGATCACATGCATATTTTCCTTGATTCTCGTGAAGGAACAGCTATAATATAAAGGGAGATACAAGCGAGCGCTCATACGTTACATCACAAAAACGTGGGCAGGTAGCAAGCCGCTTTTGGAGTTATATTTCCTTTTCCATTTGCAGAGTGCAAATAACGGACGAACCGGACCGTGCCGTCCAGATAGACGAGCAACTTGTTTCCTCTGACCCACATCATAATACTAGACGATCACAAGCCAATAAACAAGAACGGGGACTCAGCCGACTTATCGCCCATCCACAAACATCCCTGCGGTTTGTCTCGTCGTCCTCTGACCGCTATGGGGCTGAAAGTCGATTGTGTCTCAATCCCAGTCTCAAGCTGAAGCTTTCGCTTTTCAGGATGGCCCTGGGTAGATGGCTAGACGGGATATAAAGAGAGGACGTTGTTCATTCATTTGGTGTTGCAAGCTACAAACAGCAAGAAGGACAATCACCAGGCAAGATGTCGTTGGGATACAGTACCTCTGCTACTGTCGGCGCGGCTGCGGCTGTGGAAGTAGTATGTGCTTTTCTTCTCTCTTGTCTTCTTCTCTCATCTCATCTTTTCTCTTCTCTTCTCTCTTGCTGACTGCTAGGCCCTTCTTCTCCTACTCGGCAAAATCCTCTACAATCTCTTCTTCCATCCACTGCGTAAGTATCCTGGACCCTTGGTGAACCGGGCTAGCTATCTCGGCTATGTCTATGTCCTCATGCGTGGCGATTTGCCTCAGAAGGTGCTTGAGTGGCATGAGCAATATGGTCCCGTGATACGCATCATGCCGGACCAGCTGTCCTTTGTCAAGCCCGAGGCCTGGAAGGATATTTACGGCTACAACACGGGCACCGAAGAGATGTCCAAGCTGCAGACCTTTTACAATGCCGTTGGCGGCCGGTCCATCGTCACAGAGCCGCTGCGCGGGCGTCACCGCAACCTGCGCAGGCTTCTCGCGCACGGTTTCAGCGACCGGGCCATGCGTGACCAAGAGCCGCTCATCGCCGGCTATGTCGACTTGCTGATTCAACGCCTGCATGAGCGCACGCTGCCCGAGGCTGTCGACATGCGGACCTGGTACAACTGGATGGCGTTTGACATTATCGGTGACCTGGCCTTTGGCGAGTCTTTTGGCAGTATGGACCAGGTGCGCTACCATCCTTGGGTGGATGCCATCGCCAACAAAGTGTCGACGATGGGTCTCTTCATCACAGCCACGCTACTCCATCTCCGCCGGCCCCTGATGCTGGCTGCCGGCCTGATCTTTCCGGGCCGCGAGGAGGTCGAGAGCCTGGCGATGCAAAGGGTCGAGAAGCGAATGGCCCTCGGGACCGAGCGCCCTGACTTTCTAGAGGGCCTCCTCCGCCAGAGAAAGGAGGACAACATGGTACGTGGCCGAAAACTTCCTGGCTGCCGAAGAAGGCCTGTTGCTGACCCACAAGCAAAGACGCTGAGCATCGACGACATCGCAAAGAACGCTGAGATGCTCGTGCTCGCCGGCTCCGAGACTACGGCCACCCTCCTCACGGGCCTCACCTACCTGCTGCTCCGGAACCGCGCCGTCCTGGACCGGCTGACGGCCGAGGTGCGCTCGAGCTTTGCCTCTGCCAGCGAGATCACACTCATCTCAGTCGGCAAGCTGCCGTACATGCTCGCCTGCATCGACGAGGGCCTTCGAATGTATCCGCCCGTCCCCGTCGGCCTGCCACGCGTCGTGCCCGCAGCCGGTGCCATCATTGCCGGCGACTTCGTACCCGGTGGTGTACGTATGCCAGAACTAAATTTGTGTGCAGCTGTCCATTCTAATTCGACCCCTAGACTGTCGTTAGCTGCAGCCAGTGGGCCATGGACCACTATAGCAAGCACTGGGTCGGCCCCTATGATTTTACACCAGAGCGCTTCCTCGATGGCAGCATGAATGCTGGTGACTGTAGGGAGGCGCTGCAGCCATTTTCATTGGGTCCACGGAGCTGTATCGGCCGCAAGTTCGTTTCCGTTCCTCTCCGCTCATGTTGTTGCTTCCTCGCCCCTGACAGTCGCTGACCTGACAGCCTTGCCTATGCGGAGATGCGCCTGGTCCTTGCTCGCATCATCTACGATTTCGACATGCGCATGGTCAACCCTTCCCTACAGTGGATTGATGCGCAGAAGAGTCTCATTCTCTGGGACAAACCGGAGCTCAGCGTCTACCTGGAGCCAGTCCGCAAAGACTAGTGCTGGGTAGGCTTCTGTTGTTGCCGGTAGTTGTACTCGGCAGGACGTCGTTTCCGTCTATATTGATGCCGCTCGTTCAAGAAGCCGCAGTTTCTTTACTGTTTCTAATTTATGCATTCTGGTTGGCATGGTTGGGGTTTTCCATGGAAGGTGCTTGTCGTCTACGTTTTAGCCACTAGACTGGCATAATAGAGGAGGGGGACTTGGTGACTTATAGATAGTGTGTCGTGATTAGTAGTATATATTTAGTTATGCGATCGCAAAAAATTCGGTTTGCCAGCACATGGAGATAACAGTCAAGAGCTGCCACGTGATGCCTTCTTTTCTTTCTTTTTTTCTAGTCTAAGTGGATCCTGTCTGCCACCAAGCCCCTCGAAGCACGTGATGGATTAGGGTTCCTCACACAGAACGTTTCGTTAGCCAAAACTTATCTGGTGGATTTTTTATTCCCAACTTTTTTTCTCACCATCCTCTCGACAAGAGCAATTCGACAACCTCAACCATCCCGTTGTCCCATCACCGCCAAAATGTGAGCCGTCCTCCAGCCATGCGGGAGAGGACCGGCTTCTCTTGCATGGCATCTCGTCTTCGACCGTCTTGTCCGGTTTTGCTGACAAAAACTGCACAGGTCTCACCGGAAGTACGAGGCGCCTCGCCACGGTTCGCTCGCTTACCTTCCCCGGTACGATTTTCTCCAGAAGACATCTCTGCGCCATTGCTTCGAAGATCCAGGTCCACTGACAATTGGTATAGGAAGCGGAGTGCTAGCCACCGCGGTCGGGTCAAGTCGTAAGTCCAGACAGAAGAACTTCCCGGGAGACACGACGCACAAAAGCGAAAAAGAGTCTGACCGATTTCTTCTACACAGATTCCCCAAGGATGACCCGAAGAAGCCGGTCCACCTGACTGCTACGCTCGGCTACAAGGCCGGCATGACGACGATTGTCCGCGACCTCGACCGTCCGGGTGCCAAGTCGCACAAGAAGGAGGTGGTGGAGGCTGTGACCATCGTGGATACCCCGCCTGTGCGTACGACGCAGCCCGCTTGGCTTTCTGCTTGCCAATGGCTAACATCTTTTCTTCTAGATGATCGTCGTGGGCCTTGTCGGCTACATCGAGACGCCGCGTGGCCTGCGCTCGCTCACCACTGTGTGGGCTGAGCACTTGGGCGACGAGCTCAAGCGCCGGTTCTACAAGAACTGGTACAAGAGCAAGAAGAAGGCCTTTACCAAGTACGCCAAGAAGCACTCGGAGAGCAAGGGCGTGTCGATCACGCGCGAGATTGAGCGGATCAAGAAGTACTGCACGGTTGTGCGCGTGCTGGCACACACCCAGATTCGCAAGACGCCGCTGAAGCAGAAGAAGGCGCACTTGATGGAGATCCAGATCAACGGCGGCTCCACGGCCGACAAGGTCGAGTTCGGCCAGGGCCTGTTCGAGAAGCCCTTCTCGGTCGACAGCATCTTCGAGCAGGACGAGGTCATCGACGTCATCGCCGTCACCAAGGGCCACGGCTTCGAGGGTGTCACCGCCCGTTGGGGCACCAAGAAGCTACCGCGCAAGACCCACAAGGGTCTGCGCAAGGTCGCCTGTATCGGTGCCTGGCACCCGGCCCACGTGCAGTGGACTGTTGCCCGTGCCGGTCAGCGCGGTTACCACCACCGGACGTCGGTTAACCACAAGATCTACCGCATCGGCAAGGGCGGTTCCGACGACAACGCGTCGACCGACCTTGACGTAACCAAGAAGACCATCACTCCGTATGTGCCCGTCTGCCTCTGCCCTGTCTTGTGCCCGAAGAGTGGTCTGCTAACACACGTCCAGCCTCGGTGGCTTCGTCCGGTATGGCGAGATCAACAACGACTTCGTCATGGTCAAGGGCTCCATCCCGGGTACCAAGAAGCGCGTCGTCACCCTGCGCAAGTCTCTCTTCACGCACACGTCGAGAAAGGCGCTCGAGAAGGTCACGCTCAAGTGGATCGACACCTCGTCCGAGTTCGGTCACGGTGCCTTCCAGACAAAACAGGAGAAGACCCAGTTCCAGGGCACGCTCAAGAAGGACCTCGAGACCAGCGCATAAGCGGCCGCTGGCGTCGACGAGGACGAGCACGAGTAGTGTTAGAACTGAAAGAAAGAAAAACCCCAGCGAAAACTAAAACCGAGAGACTTCTGTGGGGACGATGTGTGGAAAATGGGATGGACGGCCTTTCTCTTTTGCGTGTTGTTTGTTTGCAGGCTGGAACAATCGGGTCCGTTCCAGAGGTGTCTATGGGACTGTCTCTTTCGGATGAGCCTAAAATCCCAATATCCATAATGAAAAAAAGTGAAAATATTCTTTGCTCTGCAGTGTGTGATTGAAGCAATGTGGGGTTCCTGCTCACAAGACTGCTGCCAATCAGTGACAGCTGCCAGAAACCACTGCTGCCCTATTATTAGCTGTTGCGTCATTGCCCCACCTGCCGCCCCCAAGGCAGCCAGCCTTTTAGGCCTTGTACATGGAAGAAGCTTTTTTGGTCTTCTCCTTCTCTACATCGTCACCACCGAACATCGCAGACGTCTGTCTGGCCCTCCTCTCTCTACAATACGCTCTCCACCTGTAGTTGCGCTGGCTTTTTCTCTGGCTGCCAGCAGCGCCGCACGACGGTTCATCAGCACTCGCCAGCACCACTGCAACGTCTCATCGCCGCTGCTGTCGACGATCTGCTCCAGGAGCTGCACCAAAAGCCGCGCTACCACGGGGATCCGTTCTGCGTCACCACACCCGAAGCTGCAGCTACGTGCCCTGTCTGCCACTTTGCCGACCATGGCCGCCTCCGACGACGCCTACGCGGCCTTCCTGAACAAGGCCAACCAGGACCCCAGCGGCGGCTACGCCTCGACGCCTTCGCCGGCCCAATCGGCTGCCGTCGATGCGGCTACCAAAAACGCTCCCGCCGCGCTCGTCGCCGCCGTCCAGGACGTCTTTTACATGAGCGACAGCGACGAGCCCTTCTCGGCAGTCGCCTTGCCGTACTCGAGCAGCACGCTCCCCGATGAAGGTGAGCCCTTTTTATTGTCTCGTCCCCTCTTCTTCTCCTTTCCTGCTAATGGCACAGACACCTTTGTCAGCCTCGCTCTGGGCTCAAGTCCCGGCGCTGAGGTGACCATCATGGACCCCTTTGAGTGGGACCCAAAGGGCCGCTACAAGCAGCTGCTGGACGCCGTGCGCGAAGCCGGACACGGCAACGATGTGCGCGTGTATCGAGTCCAGTTTAAGAACGCCTCGCAGGTGGAGTACTGGCTGGTGACGGTCGACGAGGCCGACGACGAGACCGACGAGGGCAAGGACGCAAGAGGAGCAAAAAAGGCTGTGCCCAAGAGCTCACAGCTGGTAGGCGTCAAAGCCCTGTCGATAGAGAGTTGAAGTTGAATGGATGGCAGCAGACGTCGGCCACAATGCAGGTTTGCAATATCAGTACTATACCAAGCATGTTCACACAAGTAGGTTAAATACAACCTTTGAGAAGTCTCCCGGTTTGCTTTATCGGGCTTGCTGAAGTGAGAAGTGAGATTGCAACTTAGAAAAATAATAAGTGAGGGCATCACAGCGGCTGATAAGGTGTTTCTCCGAGGTAGGTTGGCTTGCATGTTTAGACAAACTGTAGACTTCACACGACACTGTAGAAGGTTCATGGAGCCGTCGACACAGGCGAAGCAGACGATACGAATCTGCACTACTGCTGGGCGTAACAATCAGACACTCCGTACACTACAAGGCAGAAGGGCTGTACCAAGTAGTCTATCCGGTAAATAATAATCACATTATGCGGGCAGTCTCGTTCGAAATACAAATCTGGATTGGTCAATAGAATCAAACGACTACCCTCACCTCGCTTGGTCTGTCGATCTACTTTTTTCGGGGGACTGCTCCTGTCCCGTTGCAGTAACGTTGTGGCAAGCCGGTGGAAAACCCGCAAGGCCTCCCAGTCCACCTCGTTGCCCTTTCACCACTCTTCTCGTCCCGAGAGCCGCTCCAATGTATACACAGAAGTATTCACACAGCCCAACCTTTCCCTGAAAACAAAAGCAAAAGCAAAAGCAAGACTAATGACGAGACAAAGAACACCGTAAGAGATCAAACATTTCATAAGAAAACAACAACAAAAAGGAAACAAACGATAAAAGCTGCGCGAGCAGGCACCAGACGTTGTAAATGCCCTTCCCAGACCCAGCTGTTCCAGAGTAGAATGTTCCAGAGTCGCGAGAGCAGACATGACAAAACAAGCGAAGCCGCCAAGCCATGGAGCAGCAACGAAAGAAGAAGAGAATCAAATGTATGCTCAAGAAACAAAGCTCAGAACGGCATCAAAGAAAATCGGTCACAGATTTACACTGCTTCAGACTTTGTGATTATGCCATTGACGCCAGCACTAGTAGGTGTGCTCGTCTTGATTTCGCCCGACACAGATGCAGCACCGGTAGAGCTTGGCCCAGCCGCGCTGGTAGCAGCCCCTGCCTTCTTGTCGTCCTCGCCACTGTCATCGTAGTCCTCGTCTACATCGACCTTCCGTGCAGCCCGCTCGGGCTCGCTGATAGGGGGAGGTGGCGGAGGCGGCGGCTGGTGTTCCAACCGCTGCTTGCGCTCCTCCTGTGGGTAGTCCTTTGGATCAGGGCCCGACAACGGACCATCGTGCATGTGAGAGGGACCCGACTGCAGAGGCGGCAGGTGGCTAGACACCGGATGCGCAGGCTGATGATGGGCAGCCTCAGATGGGTGGTAGCCATCGTTTGCGTGACGTTGCGGGTCATCTGTGCGGCGGATATCCTCCAGGCGGCGCTGGTCTTCCCCCCGACGCTGATCATCGAAACGCCTAGCCTCAGACGAATTGCGGCGGTACGGCTCGTGGGGAGGCGTTGAGGGCCGGCGGTGATGAATGTCGTCCAGACGCGCACGAGCCTCTTCAGAAGCAGGCTTCTTGGCAGCCGTGTCGTCCTCCCACTCTCGCATTCTCTTGGGGCCGACCGACGGCGGACGATCATCCCGGTGCATGCTACCCTCGGACGGCATTGACTGAGGCGGTGGCGGTGGTGGACCCGACTCAATGGGACCCGACACATTTTGGTCCGGGTGTGAATACGGCGGCTGATGCTGCGGGTACGCCGACTTGGGCGACGGCATGCGCGTGTCGTGCACAACACCACGGGTCTCGTTGCGTGGGCTTGGGGCATGATATCCACGAGGGCTCACGACGGCCGGCGGTGGCGGCGGCCCGTTGACTCCGTTGTTAGGAGGAAGAGACGACGGTGCGCCCCCCATGTAGCTGCTGTTCTGCACGCGTGGCTGCGGCGGCGGCTGTGGCTGCTGCAACTGCGGCGGCGGTGGGCCGTAGTGTGACGATGGAGGCGTAGGACGTCGCAGAGGACCCCCCGGTCCGGAAGATCCCAATAGGCTAGGACCGCTGACTCCGTTGGGTCCCGGGCGACCCTGTTCTGGGTACGGGCGCAGTTGCGGATCCGTGCGCGGACTTGGCGGCCTCACAGCCGGAGGAGCCTGGCCTCTGTACAGCTCGCGCTGGTCGAACGGGTTGGGCGGCTGAGGGGGAGGGTTAATCTCCGACAGACGTCCCCATCCGTTGGACCCCGGGCCCGGCGGCGGAGGAGGGCCGTTCATGGGCGCTGACTGCTGGGTGCCCGAGTTACCCCACTGAGGACCCGGGGGCCCAACCGGCGTTGTCTGGTACGCATGAGGGTGGACATCCGTAGGCATCGGTGCGCTGCCAATTCCGTTGTTCGACCCATTGCGAAGCAGCTGCAGTCTGGCTTTGATGTGGGGGTTGTTGGGATCCAGCTCCGCGGCTCTTTGGTAGGCATCGAGGGCGTCGCTGATTTGGTTGTTGCAGGACTCGTACTATGCACGAAGTCAGTATATTGCCACCGCATGTGTGCATCTGTAAAGTGGATTGAAACATCTTACCAGAGTGCCAAGATCATACCACACCTCCGATATGAACGGGTTCAGGCGAATCGCCCGTGAGTACGCATCCAGCGCATCCCGATACTGGTTGATCTGGTAGTAGAGAACACCGATCGAGCACCAGAAAGTAGGGTTGCGACCCTCGCGGTAAACAGCCTGCTGATATGCCTCGTATGCCTTGGGATACTTTTGCTGAGACATGTAACAGCGGCCAAGCAGATACCAGCTTTGTGCGTCGTTGTTATCTGTAAAAATGGCATTGTCAGAGCCGAGACTTCATGGAAGGGCATATTGGGGTTTCAACTCACCGGCCGCAACAGACTTCTCAAGATATTCGATAGCACGGTCCTGACTTGAGAAGCTGCTGCTCTGGTTGTGATATAACCAGCCGAGCTGCTGAAGGACTTTCGCATGGTTGGGGTCGCGCTCAAGGACACGTTGGTACGCGGATTTGGCGTTGTCAAACTGCAAAACGTGGTCAGCACAAGAAGCAAATAATTCTCGTTTTTTGTTGCAGATGCTTACGTCTTTCTGCTGCTCGTACACGTGGCCGATCTGAAACCAGATGTCTTCCTCGGTAAGAGGAGGGGGTGGCGAGTTGACGATGTACTTGAAGCACTGCGAAAATTATTAGTTGTCGTTCTAAGCTCAAAAGCGTGTCGTACAGCCATAGAAGCTGATAAATGCGTACCTCCAGGCTTTGGTTGTATTTTTGTTGTTGCTTGTAAATTATACCCAGTCGGAAGTATATTTCATTTGCCTTCTCAAAGTCCGGCTGCATCGACATGACTTGGGAGAAAGCCTCTTCAGCGTGGTCAAGAGAACCGTACCGGTCATAGAGGATGCCAATACCATACCAAAGCTTCGGCTCCTACGGGGAGATTTTGTAAGTAACACGCTATAAGAGAGCAACAAAATGGCGCCGTCAACGCGAAAGACAGAACACCCACTTTTGGATTTCTCAGGTTTACCAGCGCTGACTGGTATGCCGCATAGGCCTGTTGGAGATCGTCCATCATCAAGTAGCAGTGGCCAAGGCTACCCCAAACCTCGCCATTGTTCTGATCCAGCTTCAAGATGGCTTGTAGGTACTCGATGGCCTTTGGGAAATCCTCGCGTGTTCGGAGAATGAGGCTGATGGCGTTCATAGCTGGTATGGACTGGGGGTTGGCGCGAAGGGCGAATTCGTAGGCACCCATAGCTTCCTCGGGGTTTCCCAGGAGCTCAGCAAAACTGCCTGTGGTAAAGGTCAGCAAGCTGTTGCAACAAGAACTGTCATCACCGAAAACACGTACCAATTTGCATCCAGACAGCCTCGTTCATGGCCGTGATTTGGCGCGAAGGGGCAGCTGTTGCATAGCTTGAAGCAGGAGGCGGTGGAGGAGGTGCAGGACCCGGAGGACCGTGATGCATATGCATCGACATGGTGGGCGACGGGTGGTGCTGAGCCATAACGTCGATAGAATCTATCGGCCACCAGCCGACAGGCGCAGAAGGCTCAAGAAAAGAGGGACTGGGAAGTGGCCAGAAAGGCCTGTGCTCGCTTGCGCAAGTGCAGTTCGAGACGGCCTGATCTCTTTAAGCTGCGAGGCGACGCGTGACAAGGCGAGTCGAATCAAATATGCCGGCGACTAATCGAGAGAAGAAAAAGAGCAGCGGTGGAGATGGATTCGTTTATGGAAATGTCTGGCAACGGAGAGCGCAAGGCAGGAAGAGGGGGGAGCAGTAAAATAAAAAGAGGGGGGCACCGAAGAGAAGTAGCAATGACGCCGATGATAAACAGCTGATGGGAAGCTGAGGTGTCAAGTAGAGGTGGAAGATCTGAGGCGAAAAGGAGGATGGGAGGAAGGCAGATTGCGAGGAAGAGTTGGAAGGGGAAGAAAAGACAAGCCACGGGAAGCTTATGGGGGGGGAGAAGATAGCGCGGGTAGACAGTCAGACTAGTTCGAGTACGTCGTACGTGTCATAGAGAGGAAAAAAAGGGAGGGACTGCTTCTCTGGGCACGGCGGAAAGCAAGAAAGAGGAGGAGGATGGTGCAGTGAGAAGGGATGGCAGTTTGGATAGAGAGGGGGGAGAAGAGAGGAAACGAGGAACCGAAGAAGGACGAGAGCCGGTGGCGGGTAAGGGCAGGAAGAGTAGGAGCAGGAAAAAAGGTTCGTTCTTTCCTCCTTGTCTGGGCTTTGGGGTTGCTTTGGCTGCGGCGCGTAACTCCCCTTACCCACGAGGCCTTTTTTATTTTATCTGTTTTTATTATATTTTAGCGTGGCTTATTTTATTTATTTTTTCTCTGGCCCGTCGTTGACGCTTCTCAGGGCCTTTTTCCTTTGGATGGTGTGGGTGGAGTGGATCTTACCTTGGGTCCCAAGGCAGCTACTCCCCGCCCCGGTCGCTCCAGAGTTGCGGGAACCACACTGGTTGCGGCGTCTACTTGCAAGTACCTACGACGGCGGGCTGTGCGGCGCAGCCGACAGACTGCCACAATCGTCGCAATTGTCGTCCTTGTGGGCGACTTTGTGGCCCGTGCACGGCCGATCCAGGGGGCATGTTGATTGGAGCAGAGCTTGTCTTTTTGGTGGCGTCGCTCTCAGCAAACGAGTCGTTTGTGACTGTTCATGTCGCTCTCCTCGGGCCTCCAGGACCGACCCAACAGGCTTCTTAGGCCTTGGCTTGCCAGTGCCACCTTGTGACCAATTTGCGCACTGCTCGCATAACCTCGTCGAGGGGGGCACAGTGCGAACACAGGCTCCATCCCATCTCCAGTGGTTCTCAATGATACGGCTACACGTGGACGGCCATCAGGAAAGATAGGCATTGGCATACAGACTGTTGTCATTGCGCGGATTCTGGTTGCCACGAGGTATCGGAATTCCAAACCCATCAACAGGCAGTACGGAGACGGAGTACGAGTCCTCGCAGTCACGCCCGTTCAGGCCGATGCTTCGAGCACAGGGGAAGCACTCCTACTGTGCAGGAAAAGACGGGTCTGGCAGCGTTGTACCCCGAAGTATCCCTAGCATGCCCTGCTAGTCGCTGAAACTTGCAGCAATTTAGGGTCATTGTCGTATCGGAGACACACCCCCTTCTAACCGCCACGCCCCTCCGTCTTCCACCCTCTTCCGCTCCTACGACGTATCTTACATAGTATACGGTCCACCCCTCTCAGACTCCATTATCCTTGCACCCCACCCTCCACAAGTAAGGAAAGTGCGAACGTCTTCTGCCCCACACGTGTTGCTCTCTGCTGTTTTCCGAGGATGGGTACGCACGACACGCCATTACATGACCTTGCAGCTTTGCTGCCCCAAAGTGGCGACTGGGTACACAACTGTCAATCATCGACGCCAGTGCAGTAGCAGCGGGGAGGGACAGCTAGACCATGCACGCTGGCGCACTCGCAATAAAGCCGGAGAGGAGTATGGCATGCTCGTGACTCGGGGACTCTATGGCCAGAAGCAAAAAAGAAAGAAACCAAATAACAATAAATAGAAGGAAATGGAGGAGATGGGGGGGGAGGGAGAACAAATTATCGCTATCAATTCCTCGCTTGTGCTTGCGAGTCTCTTCAGCTGTTTTATCTCAGAACTTAGGCCCAACCGCCCTCCTCGGCCAACCTAGTGCGTCACAAGCTGTTGGTTTTTAGCCCGCAACCCGGCTGCCTTGACTCCGGGGAAGTAGCGCACGCTGTGTCATATAGTGCACAGTAACATCTCGCAATGTTCAGACTGATGTAAGCCGCCCAAATGAAACTCAATGACAGATTGGTACTTCGTAGACGACCATGTATTTATGATCGACGCACGGTGTCATGTCATGGTATTTATCTCAAAGTTCCGACACGCGAAGCTAAACCCCATTTAAATAAAAAAGGGTTGATCGTAACGCCGTAAGCATACATGCAGAGTAGATGGGACGCGGTTAGGTACTCAATCCGTACAGGAAAAGGCTATACCACCTTATATCCACAGGATTTTAGGGCCCGTATGAGTACAACCGTCTGTCCCGTGAGTGACCTGCGTACCTGTGTGCAGTGTTGCTTGGAGTGGAATATGTAAGATGCACACTCGAAACTTCTTTACAATGTATCTTACAGGTGATGCGAGTCGGATTTAGCTGTCGCCTCTGAGGTGGCGCAATACGCCAAGACTTTGGAGAAGCAGTTCCTAAAGCAGACATGCAGTTGTGCTTCTATGCCGCTGACCACACCATCTTGTCGGTATCACATCTCTGTTATCGTCATATGAGTGGAAAGACGAGAGGGAGGACAGGAAGGGGGGCAAGGACGGGAGAGTTTGCACGACGTTAAGCAGACACAGCATACAGATGTGCGCTCGCATGCGGTGTCAGGAGAAACGATAGTGATGCCGTGCTCTGTCAAGCCGAAAAGAATTTGCGAAAGGTACATGCCGCTGCGCGTCTTATGTTTGATCTCACCGGTCGCTTGACCACTTTTTTACAATTAGATACATCTACGTCTTCGACATCTCACAAACTCTACAATCAGTTCTCCATCGCACTTCCCGCGCAGGAGCCACCAAAAGAGGGGGAGTCGGCAATGGTATTTTACACCCCTCTATTTTTTTCCATTTCTTGCTCATTCTGTACCACGATCTAGTTTCGAAAGACAATGCATATCTAAAATGATCTGGTTGCCGTGGCGGGCGAAAACCAGATTAGTAATCGCAGGAGAATGCATACGGGTAGGGTATACAACATCATACGGAGTAGATCTAAATAGGCAAAGTCACTGTATGATTACGGGCCCCAGCCAACAGAGACCGTGATATTAAACATCCCCTTCTTCGGATTTTAAAACTAGCTGATAGGTGCGGTTGAAATGGTCATGTTTTGTTTTGTGACATCCGCCGCTTACTTTGTACGTTAGGGCACAAGAGTTGGCGGTGGAGATGGGGGAAATGCTGACGAAAAAGGAAAGGAAAAAAGGAAGAAAGCGTTGACTAGGGAATGTTTAAAACCCCACCTCGGCCTCTCCCTCGCCACGACTACGAGTACTTCGTACTCCGTACTCTGTAGGGAAAACGAGAATGATAAATATATATAATTCGATATAATAATAAGCCTCAAAGGGGCTAGTCAAATCGATGCAGCCGGCAGACTGAATCGCACGCAAGACGCAAGACAAGGGCAAGGGAAACGAAAAGAAATAAAGAGGGACTACCCGCCTAAGCCTGTCTGGGACAAAGCTATTTCCGCCACCGGACTAGGCTCGTTCTGTACGGGCCACGTGCCGCTTGTTGAACAGTATTTTCCCTGCCAGCACGTACAGGGGCTGAGCTGAGTCTGTTCAGGGGTAAAAGCCGACTGAAAAGACTGCCGAAGCATTCCTCCACGAAAAACTGTCGGCCATACATAAAATAGACGGGAGCGGTGTAAATGCATGCTGTTGTGACTTTATGCTTGCACAAGGCTAAAGAGTAGAGACTCAGAGCCGCTCGCTTATCGTCAGAGGTGGTAGCAAATGTTCCGGTGCTTGTTTCTGTGCAGGGTCCGTGCTAAGCTACGCCATGCATTTGGGGGGCCGAGGGCTGGTGAAAGGCGTCCGCATATTTTAGCATATGAGCGAAATAGCATGTGTTTGTCAGCGACACAAAAGGCTGGCCATGCACATGAGATCCGCGCTGGCGGGCGGGCGCACAGCCGTCGGTCTAAAGAGCCAGAACGAAAATCGACAGCTAAGAAGGGGAGACAAGTAAGATACGGAGTACGAGGGCATTGATATATATCGGTTGTATCTTCGAGTTAGGATTCGAACTGTTGCGATACGTAAGCAGGTATTGAATACATTTGGGGCTTGAAAGGGATTGTGGCCATTTCGTAGCTTACTAACTTGTAAGATACATGTATCTTACAGAGTACTTCATATGCTCGTATGCATTATACCGCAGATTTGAACTGTTGACAGACTCATAGCTGCACTAATCCCCCGTAAATATTCATCACTCGTTTAAAAGAATGTTAGTGCGCAGCTGAACGTCTCGTACCCATGCAAGCCTGTATATTGCGATCCGTAGCAACTCTTGCCCATATGTGGAAGGTATGATGTTGAAAATATAATGCGATTGTTCGTGTTTTTCTGAGGCTCATTTTCGGATACGGAGCGGGCGATGCCCCTTCGGCACCACGCGCGCTGAACAGTGTGATGAGCAGACACGCGAGTGCCGTACTCGTACGGAGTAATACTACAGTATGAACCGATTTTACGCCCGCCGCGCTTTGACTAATATGTGGAGGGGAAACGGGCGTGCGGAGCCGGAAAGGGGTTGGGCCCCCAGCAAGCGTTTGGCGTCTGACCGAGTGTGTTGGTGAATTGCGCATATCTCTTACCATTGTCTGAAGGCGGGGCCTTTTCCCGCATGTCCACACCTCCAAACCTCCAATCCCGGTAAAGAACGCCAACGCACAAGAGGCGGTGCTAAGAGTAGTGGGCCATCAGAAGAGGAAAAAAGGACGGCAGACCCCTAGTGTGTCCCCGGGGCCCACCCTCCATCGCGTGCATATGCAGCAAAGGCGATTTGGTTGGTGCTTCGCTATCCTCTGCGTGATACGCTGCTGACTTTGCAGAGCGGTAATGGGCTTAGTCATCACCCACACCGTCGATCCCTGCAACGGCCGCCCAATACGGAGTACTCCGTACTCCGTAGAGCCCGCCTTTTTGCCTTGCAGCCACGAGTGCGTAAGATACGTAGCAATTGCCCCTGCAGTCTGGCATGTTGTTTGAGAGGAACTTTGTGCATTTGAGCCACCCGTATTTGCATCCATCGCTCTCCGCCACCGCCATTCTGTGCCGCTTGCTGTGTTGCGTTGTTGTTGTTGTTGTCAGATGCCCTTCTCTATGAGAGCGGCTGCTAATCACACCATCGTATCTGGATGGGGCAAAATAGCGTGTATCGAGAAGTGCACTCTGTTTGTCGTGCGTGTCGAGCCGTCTCCACTCCTGCAGCGCCTAGAGACAGCTTCACCTTCTTTGTGCATTCGTGCTCCGTATGCGACGTGTGCCAATGCACACCCTAAAAAGGCACAGGACCAACTAACTCGCACTCCGTCACGATCCTGTTGCCGTCCGTCATCGTTACTGATTTTCTCCGCCCCGCCCACCAAAAGGAACAGGAAACAACGCTTCAGTGGACCCCCTCCATGGCGGTGCCCGATGTGCGCCCTTTTTTGTGTCATGTACGAATACTTGGTATCAAATTGTGGCTGGCTGACGCATTGTCAGCCAAAAGCCAAAAACGACAGGTTCTGCCGAACCGGGATGCAAGTTCGGCACAGTTTTCTGCCATGTAAGATGCTCGTGGCTTATTGCGCAAGTCCAAAGAGTTACAGAAGGAGATAGGGGGGTGGCGCATTGCATTTGCGGCTTGAATAGGCAATAGAGGATGCGATCATCTTCCGGACACACCAATCTGAGCCGTTCCAGAAACGTGCTGCATTTGGTCGTTGTTTTCCTCCGGGGCCTCGGTGTACTCCGTAGCGAACTTCGGAAAAGCTCTGTGCAGAAAAGACACCATGAAAAGACGAGAACAAAAAATGGAACGACCAGACAAGGGTGATAGGGTGTTCATGCCGGTGGATGGTCGAGGGAGAGCATGAAAAAAAGCGGCCCTGCGACATGGTGGATCAGATATTGGGATGGATGCTCCCTTATTAACGACATCCTGCCCTCTGTTCCTTCTCAACCATCTTTGCAACTTCCCTGTTAGGTCGTCATTTGGTCCTGGCCACAATGTCAACAGTCCGTATTATACTGGTTTTGCGCACACCGCTCAGGGATCCGACAAAAACCCAAGAGATTTGCGCGCAGATCGACTCGGACACGTAGCCGAATATGTTCTTGAAAAGGGGGATAGGAAGGTCTGGCCTGGCCTAGGAAAGGGGGACGGGACAGGAGCACATGTTGGACGGGAAGGAAATGGCTGCAGATCGATAGGAGCTGTCACGCCTGTCTCTGTTGGACTATGACGTGGTAAAGCACCATTGCGGCGTGCAGCCTCTCGAGAGGGCAACAAGGTAAGACACGCAAAGCGCATTTACAGACCGGGGGGGCGGTGGCCGAGGGCGCAACAGCTGTAAGGGGGGGGGACTGCTTGTTCTCAGCGGCCTGAAGGCTCCACAGATGCTGAGCGGGATCAGACATTAAGAGGGCCGATTGAGCTTGCGAACTGTGCCTCTTTTCTTATTTCCTTCTCATGCTTTCTTTTTCTCTTCTTCCGCCTGGCCCCGGACTCAGGAGGGACAAAAAGAAAACATAATTCAACGAGTACGGCATGCCAAGAGCTGCAGCAGAGATCCATCCTCGGCCAGTGAGACGCAAACCCACTCGTATTGGCTACATACCGTAGTGCGCCGGGCTGTCGCGCCACACAAAAGCAAGGGGACGGACAAGAATGGGGACTGGGTCCCCTCTACTCCGTACTGCCTGCTATTCTCGTTTCTCTGTTTGCGACTCTATTTTTATGGAGACAGGTCGAGCACGGCCGAGAAAAAGAAAGACTGTAGGGCACTGAGCACAGGGCATGAGGGAATTGAGACTTTGCAGGCATGGAGAGACAGACGACCACCGGCATGGATCTGGTCTGTCAGCAAACGTTCAGCCGTCGCTCTCTAAAATGCGGATCAGCCGCAACATTCCGTCAGGCGAGTTAGCCGCTCTCCCTTTCAAGATTGCAAGATCTGCACGCGCAGTGCCTATGGTTTGGGCTAGATTGCCCGCACTGACACGGTCTCGCCCGTCCGACAGATTACGGAGCATTTCACGCTAGAGAAGTAAAATCGACGAGACAAGCAAGAATAAGGACAAAGGACCAGGTTCGAACGATGCGTATGCTCGGTGGTATAACAGATGACGCAGAGGAAGATCCTCTAATGCAGGGAGACAGCCAGAGAACAGCTGAGTACGGAAAATGTACATATATAATTCCTTTATCGACGGGCCCCACAATTTGCCATGTCGGTCGCTGTCGGTAACGTCTGCGTCTCTCAGACCGAGTGCTCTCGTCCAAACAGGTTGCAGGAAAGGCCCGCGACGATATTGTAAAAAAACAAAAAAAGATGCAGTTCAGACAGCGAAGGTGTGCAATATTGCTGAGGGCAACCCAAAAGACAGTATATGTCGTATATCTTGCACGATGAAAACTTCGACAAACGTCCCCTCTTTCGACCAATACAGACGTGGATCAAAACCTAAAGCAAGCCCAGCGAACGCCGACCCAAGCTCCCCCGATGAACGGACACATATATAAATAGCCGGTTATGAAAAGTTTGCCACCATGCGTGAACTAGGCTCATGCTGAGAAGCAGACAGGAGCGAATAAGAAACATTCGATATCGACGTTAATGTACTATGAGACCCGAGGAAAAACAGGAAAGACAGCCGGGTCAGCAATATTCTCATTGCTTCCCAGGTCGGATGACAGGCGATAGACGACAGATGACGGAGAGGTGGGGCTTGACACCAAGGCTCCCGAGACTCATTATGCGCTGGACTTGTCGCTAGCATTGTCCGGCGCATAGCGCGTCTCTCCCAGAAGACCTGACGATGTCTGCGATGACATGGCTGCCTGGGAGTCGGCCTTGGGTTGCGTGTGGACCGTAGGACCCGTCGCGGCCGGCAGAGACTGGGCGGACTGGGAGGCGCCCGCGGCAGACGAAGAGGGACCAGAAGCAGCGGCGGCGCTCGAGCCAGCCCCGGCAGCCGAACCCCGCGAGGCCGCGCTGGCAGCGGCGGCATGCAGCCGCTGATCGAGCGCCTTGAGGGCCAGGGCCCGGCGGCGCTCTGCCTCAGCCCGGTTGCTGCCGGGGACGCTGCGCTGGTGGTGCGAGTAACCGTCGCTGCCCGAATTGGCCGCAGCACGGGCCGAGATGTCGGCGGCCGAGAAGGGCGTGCAGATGCGCACGGCGACGAGCAGGCCAAAGACCGCGTTCGAGAGGGCCGCAATTAACGGCTTGATCGGGCTGGGGAAGAACTCGGCCAACGCAAAAGTTTCGCTAGCGTCGCCGCGCAGCGAGGGCGTCTGCGACGACGAGTCCAGGTCAGGGAAGACGGACTTGTAGAAGCGGAGATAAGTCCAGCTGGTGAGGAAGCCGAAAATAGCCAGCAGGGTAGACGCGGCCGACAGCAACGGCGTCATGGAAACGGCATAGATGGCGAGAACGTAGAGCAGCGGAAAGCGCGGGACGCGCAGCGAGACGATTCCACGGAAGAGGGTGACGGTATGCGCAGGCACGAGCTGGCTGAAGGCCACGAGAAACGAGATCTGCAGCGGAATGGTGCCAGCAATGGTGGTGAGTCTGGTAAGGCGGGTGACAAAAGTGGGAAGTTAGCATCGATACTTGACACTCGCAGATAAGAGGAAGAGAATTCGCATCTCTACAAAGATCAAGGGAGCGAGACAGAGCATGACATACGTCCAGTTCTCGTCATGTGTGAGCGAGAAGAAGAAAAGAAGAGTGCCAAAGGTGAGCAGATTGGGTATCAAGCTGGCCACGACCAGGAACTTGGCAAGCTCGCGAGACGACCATGCCCGCTCGAGGTACCGGCCGCCCTGGTACAGAGTGGTGACGGCAATGGCGAGGGTGAACATGTTGTTCTCTACCAGCGTCGTTGTCAAAAACGTCCACGGATACAGGACGGAGAGCTGAGGAATCAGGTTCAGGTAGGGGATGACAATGTGCGACTGGGCAGTCCACTGGCGGTAGCGGATAGCGGCGCTCAGGATAGACTGGAGAACCAACATGATCAGCGCGATGCGCGTGACCGGCGGGATGTTGAGTCGCGGCGGCATGGTGGCAAAGGGGAGGAGGTATCCGGAGATGTGGTCGGGAGACGGAGAAGCGTCTGATGCCGCGCGTAGAGGCTGGAGATGCGCTCGGGGATGACAAACGGCCGGCGGCAGGCGGAAGACGAGCTCGAATTTGTCGGAAAATGCACGGCAGGCGTCCTGGGAGCTTCGTGTCCACACACCGAGAGTCGCAGGGCGTTGGGGGGGGGGGGCAAGGATGGCGATGCGGGTTCGATTTCGACGGAGAATAGGTAAAACAATTAATTCCAATAAGGATTTTTTGACGCCCTGGTGGCTTTCTCTCGAACGGTGTGGCGGTTGGGGCGGTTGGGGGACGGCGGCGCAGCAGCTGTGCCTGAGGCAGCAAGGCGACAAGCCACGGGGACGGCGCTGCGTCCACTGTATACGGAGCACACAGGCGTGGCTTTTGCTCTTTGCGGGGGATTGCACAGTTGCGTCTCAGGAACATGGGCAATTTCCCAGAGCCATCTTATTACCTGCAGACACGGGGTTCGTTGAAGACGCACGGACCACCACCGAATTTCCCAGTCTCGAAAAGACAACCCCGAAAACACGACACGGACAAGTATAGGAGCCAGCATCCCGAGACAACGTATGGGCAGCAAGGAAGGTAGCCATGGTAAAAGATCCCTCTGGCTAGGGCCAAACCGTATTCGCTCTACCCCCTGCCCCGGTACCCAAAACTTGGCGATGCACTGCGAGGGCACGCCTAGGTGCAGGAAAACTAGGGCTTGTTTGGAGTCTATGGAAAGCGGAGGGCCACATCTGCTACCCGGAAGCAAAGAGATGCGACTTCGACGTGTCGGGGGTGGTCCAGGAAGCCTGGGAGCCGTCTCTGGTCGTCAAGGCGAATTTCGTGATTTTTCTTGACCCTTGTGCGGGTCAACAAGGCCGTTTCGTCCTCGGCACGGGTATCCAAGGAGCGTTCCTCCTCCACTCCACTCACCACTACTATGTACATACGAGATATGGGGGACGGCAACTGGGCTAGGAGCCAATGTCCTTTTTTGTGAGGCCAGAGGCATCCATCCTCGAATCGATTGGCCAGACCCACTCTCTAATCTTTCCTTGGGCCGAGCCAACTCATCACCCTAGATACGCCAACTGTTCCCTCCCAAGGGCTCCTTGTCGTCCTGTGTTCTGTGCACATACTTGTATTAGCTGCTCGTAAGATCGGTCGTACGTCTCAGGCCTTTTGCCCGAGGACTCGTGCAAGTCCGTCAGCCGCGATGCCTTGGACAGCAAGACTCGCCGAGCCGGGACATCTGCTCTACATAGTAGATTCCCATGCATCCATTGTGCATCGCACCATGTACGGAGTACAGGGATATGGAGTGCTAATGCGATTCCCGCGCATGGGGCTATATTTGGCTGCGCTGTACGGAGTACTCCGTACGATACGTAATGTACGAGTATCGCATCTTACATATTGCATCGTGCTGTGTCAGCAAGCAGACAATGAGATAGTACAACGGTACACTTCTTGGCCACCCCTGAAACATCTGCCAACATTCTGTTTCGTTTCCTTCCATCACACCCGGCAAGGCCAGGACTGCCATCGAATACGTGCCGTCCAATCATAGTCCAGGGCCCTCGTTCGAATGACGAAGGAGAGCGACAGGGGGCTTTACGGGGACTACGACGTACGGAGTACGGAGTACTGTCGCGTACACCGCCCACTGGCGAGCTTGCCAAGATACGACACATATACGGGTAGTGTGCACGTCGTATGCGCAATGTCTTTGCACATCAGCTTCCCATGTGCCCACCAACCATGCTCGCGCGGCCACAAAGGCGTGCCTCGAGATTTGGCGATCGTTTCTCTTCCTGTTGCGCCGCGGGTAGTGGGTGTTACTTGGGGGTCCCACCTAGGCCAAACACTGATGAAGAAGGCCCCCGACCCTAGCTTAGCCCTAGCGAGGTCTGAAGGAGGGTGGGCATTGCACCGGCCTTGTCAATCATCGGACCCGCCCAGGTGCAGTTTGCCTTTCTGTCCTTCTGTCTCACTGTCTGTTCGTCCCCCCCCTCTCTCCCTCTCGCTCGGTCGCTCTCGATCTATCTTACCTTTCTCCATTTCCGCTCCGTGGGTCGCTATCGACGGTACACAAAGCCTCATCCAGACCATCGGCTTTATGACCTACACGGCAGTCGTACATAGTAGAGCCGGAGCACCATGGAGCAATGAGATGCATGCGAGTACCGTGTTGTAAGGGGCTTATTTACCAGATCGTGCTGGGCTGAGCGGCCACACCCACTCCGGCGCCCAGGATGGGCTGGCTGGCATCCAAATCTGGATCGCCGCCAATGGCATCGCATTCAAACACCTTCTTTTTCCTCACACCACGACCAGGGTATCCCAGCCGACAGGTAAAGTGTGCTTGCACTACGGAGTAAGTATCTGTCTTTGTACTGAGCAGCGCTACGCCCTTCGGAGCACTAGGCATGTAGTATTTATTCCGTACGAGAAGGTGCTAAGTCGCACGCACGGTGTGCTATTGCGCGGAGCTTAAGAAGCTACTGGTAGGTGCCGTGTAGCGGTACCTCCTTCGCTGCTGTAGCCATATCACCACAGCTGTAGCCGTACTTTCAGCATGCCTCACCCCTTCTTCAAGAACGAGCTAGCCCGCTACATATCTTGCTTGCCTGACGCCCCCCATCCCCACCCCCCCTCTCCATTCGACCTGGGCGCGAGCCGCTTGAATGCACTCCCTATTACCGGACCCTTCCCCTACACCCCCGGGTGCTCTGGACGCCTAAAAACAACCTCTTCTATGCATCAACGTCGAATTTCTTCGCCGTTACCACCATCGTCACTGGCGGATTTTAGACTAATTTTTCTCCCCTTCTTTTTTTCGACACGTTCTCCCTCCTCTCCTTTTCTCGCAAAAACGCCAGCATATCCAGAGTCAGCAACCGTTCTATCCTTCCGGCCCCAAGACACACAGACGTAGCGGTCCCTCTTTCCCGCTGTCCGAAGCTTCTTCTCCCGTCTTTTTCTGTGCCTTCTTGGCGCCTGACGCCTCTTTTCGCTCTCAGCTCAGCTCTCTCTCAGCTCTACGCTTCACGACCGCATTCTCTGTCGCCCTCTCAAACTAGCCAGCTTTTCATTCGCGCTTCCGGACCGCCACATCGCTCTCTTCCACCCATTTTGCGATTGGGCACTCGTCTGCTTCGGTCTCTCTCTCTCTTGAACTCGCCCGTTCGTGTTTCCGTCTGGCCAAGACTAAGCCTTTTTTCTGGCTGTCTTTTCTTCCGCCACCCGTATCCGTCTTTCTTGCCACGACGCCCCTAGTTCTGCTTCATCCCTCTGGCTGCTGCCATCTGTCGCAGCCATGAAGGAGTTTCTCGATTCGGACAGAGTCAATTTCCTCGTTTGGAGGTTTGTCTCCCGTCCCCCGTTCCCCGTCCCCAGTCCCCCGTCGCCGCATTTTTGATCGCCCCTCGTGCCACCCAACCGCGCTTAGCACAGACCGCATCTCATCTCGGCTGCCTTTGTTGTGGTTTCCCTTTATTGTCGGCGTGGCTGTTTGACTAACCATCTTAAACAGGTATCTTTTGGAAGGGAGTACGTAAACTGTCGTAGACCGGCCCCATTCCCTCCCGTCTCGTTGTTTATCTGCTACTTTATCTATTATTTGATCATTTCCCATTATCTTACTGCTCCATTTTTCACAAAGCACCAAATCCCATACATCTTCATTCGCAACTCACAAACTAACATCATCAGACTACCGCGAGACAGCAGTCAAATTCCAAAAAGAATGGCACGTCAGGGAGCCTCACCGGCACTTTGATTTCGCACCCCATGTTAAGAGTCATGCACTCGTTTCTGTAGTCAACCGGGGCTTGCTCTATTATTCTCTCGAACGAGAATACTTAAACTCTAAAACAGTACGTTACTCCTTTGAAGTTTTCTTTGTTTTGATGCCTGTCGCGTTTTCCCCCTTCTCTTTCTGCATATGTTGCTTTCGCCAAGTATGCACCTCTCACAACGCACAGGCATCTAAAGACGAGACCCAGCAGTTTGGGGTATTTGGGCCGCTCATCACAGAACCTCCAGTGCGCCATGTGGATCAAGACGAAGACGCGGAGGCAAAGGCCGTGACAACAGTGACGGGAGCCGATGATGCGGAAGGCTTGCGCAAACGCCAGCTGGACAAGCAACAGCTGCAGCAAAACGGGGCGCCAGCGAAACGAACCAAGATCGGAAATGGGCACGATGCTGCCGGCGTTGCTGATGTCGCACCGCCAACTCCAATGGAGATCGATAGCAGCGAAAACCAACACGCTTACCCGTCACCTATGGAACGAGAACCCGCTCCGACGCCGGGACCACGAACCGATGGTCCTGAGCAGGGTACGCAGATCGATAAAGTTCAGGAGCTGGCGCCGGAAACAATTTTCCTGCGCCTGGCACCCGATCAAGCCACGGGCGACGACCTGACCGAGCCGCTGCAGCCGGGACGCGAGAACCCCATCGTCCTGCATTGTGAGTGGAACCCTGCCAACCCGTCCATATTGGCGGCTTCTGGGTCAGATGCACTAGCCCGGATTTGGACACTTTCGCGTACTTCTGCCGATCCCGTGGATGATCACGTGAATGGAAGCAACCGTCCTTACAAAGACCTGGTCGACGAGGATGTGCCTCAGACATCGACTGTAACCACCATGGCCTGGAACCCCGATGGGACTGCGGTAGCGATTGCGACAGAAACTGGTACAAAGGCCAGCGTCAGTATCTGGGCTCCTGATGGCACCGTCCTTATGCGGTTCAGTGCACAAGAGGCCCCAATGATCAAGCTGCGGTGGAATTTAAATGGCACTTCGCTTCTCGGGGTCGGCCCCTACAACAGCGGGTTACTTATTACAATCTATTCAGCTGTCACATCGAACTCCACCTCTCATTTCCTCCCCGACTTTCCCTCCGAACATGACGCGCAACCGGATCTTGATGCGGCTTGGGTGAACGAAACCGAGTTTTTGGTGTGTGGAGGCGACCTGCTCCTCGCATTACGATGCAGTGAATCAGGCATTGAAAAGGCCAAGACGTTTGCAACAACAAAGGATGATAGTTTTGTACAGATCCAATACGATTGGAGAAGCAAGATTGCCGCCACAGCTAGCGAGAAAGGCCTGCTTGATGTAAGGATCCATGGAGGCGTCGAGAATAAGCTTACCAGCAACCTGGAATTAAACTAACAGTCTCAGCTCTGGAACGAGGCTGGCGAGCGCCGCACAATATCCGCCCACATCGGTCTCATCACTTGCCTTATGTGGCAACCGTTACAGTCGACGCCACCGGCAGAAGAACGGTTGTTAGCCTCTGGGGGCGAAGACGGTGCCATCTCTATTTGGAATGCACGGCTGCCTGACAGTAAGCCCAAGTGCTCGATGACAATGGACCTACCCGTAGTAGCTCTCGCCTTCACCCCAGACGGTGCATTTATCGCGGGGGCCACAGCAGACCGCATCTTGATCTGGAAGGTTGGCGACCATGCAATCCCACGGGCCAGCTGGAGTAGAACTCCTCACCCAGGATGGCTCAGTCCCAAGACCAACGGCGACGGGGAGAACAGTGATGGCGTGGATGAAGACATTCACTGTTTATGCTGGGACACAACAGGTCAAAAGCTGGCCTATGGTGTAAAAAATAGGGTAAGTGTCAGAAATTTCGCCGTTACTTAAAAATTATGCGTGTTGAACTGTGCTAACTGATACGTACAGCTGGCCGTGATCAATTTCCGCTGAGAAACCCTTATGTCCGAACAGTCACTGTTAGCACTCGCCTTCTAATTGCCAACAAGCAGATGCTAGCTGTTGAGCTGAGCCGGAATGTACATTACTACTGCTGCTGCTGCTGCTGCTGCTGCTGCTGCTGCTGCTGCTACTGTCACCATTACGTTTTTAGAGGCGGACCCATGATGAAGAAATGACAATCAGGAGCATATGGTGGGATTTATTGTTTTTGCTTCACAATTTCTTTAGGCTGGGCAGCGGTGGGGTTGGGTGCCCATCTGTCGCTAGGAGAGGTGCGGTTTCCTCCTTTCAAAACCAGAGACGGGGAATGGATGGGAGTGGGGAGGCATTCTTGGATCGAGATGGGTGGCACCTTGACTACTCTGTTTGGCTATTAGTAGTTTCGTCTGCCGTTGCATTCAGCAGACGAATGGGAAAGGGAGCTGTGCTTGCACCACGAAGGTGCGGCAGCTCAGGTCGTTATGGCGTCTCGTCCTAGTCTGGCCTTTGCCAGAAGAAACTATTGCAGATGCCCGTTTGGCTCTCTTCAATTGTATCTTAGATCCAAGTCCACAATATATCTATGCCATGCCAGACACAAATAGATACAGCTAATATCAAAAGACAATATACTATAAGAACAAAGGAAGCGATAGACTAGCCGTGCGCGTCTGGTTTCTAACCTGGTCCTCGTGCCTGTCGTTTCGGATGTCGGTAGGGGGAGATGAGGCCAGTGCAGAAGGGGTGTGTTGCAGGAGTTCGAAATGTTGAGGGACAACGCAGCTACCCGAGCCAAACAAAAAGAGCACAGGTTCCCCAACAGTCTCGGTCGCTCCTTTTCCCCAGTTAAATAGACACACCCTTGCCATGCCATCCGAGACCTGATCGTGATGGTGGAGATGAGATAGCTACCTCTTTATTAACCGAAATATTGCTCGAATATTTAGAATTGGCATGTAAAGTCAAAATCAGCAAGTAGTTTGGCCCAAATAGAGGGTGTAAGCATTCAATCGCCAGGCTCGCGCCGAGGGCTGGCAACACAGTTCTGGATGTGCATTTGTTGAAGTTGTGGGTGTGTTTGTGATACAAAAGTCAGGTGATGAGCATTGTGCACCTTTCCTGTGGTTATACCACCACTGCGCTTTGCCCTTTTCATTCTCTGTTTGCTTTTTCTTCCCTTTCCCTAATTTTTCTTCCTTCTTCTGGGCTCATTTCTGGCAGAAAACTGACAGGTTTTCTTATTCTGGCCTTATCGCTGGCCAAATACGACCGCTTACTTCGATTTCTATTTGTCGCAATAACAAAGAAAAGAAAAGAAACTCATTTTGGCGGCTAGATGTTGCAGCAATTGATGGGTCCGTTTCTCAATAGGCGGATCGGAAGACAATCAGAGGCCAGAAGACGATAGATCCGTTCATATTACACTGATAAGTCAGCCAATAACAAAGGCCCAGGCTGGTAAGTATCAAGTTTCCCGCCACCCCGCAGTCAGAGAGCCCTGGGCATAAACAAACAAAGACATTCTTCATTTCGCATCATTGTGTCTTTACTGCTTTATTTAAGAAAGAAATTGTGGGATTTTCTGCTTACCTTTTGCAAGAGAACACGTATGTTTTAAGAGAAACAAGGGCCCAAGAGATAGTTTCCAAACGCCGACTATCAATCAGGCGCCGACTTGTTTTCGACACGCGAACCCGACCAGGCACGAACGGCAAGAGACAGCTCGGCCTGCATAGCTATATCTACAAGTGAGGCCGATCTCGGAAGCAAAGGAAAATACGAGCAGAACCGATGGCGGCATCATCTTCAAGCCAGGCGGCTCCGCTTGCAAAGGCGCCGTCAACGATGCCTGAGGCTGCGTCTGGCTCGTCTGGTTCGAAAAAAGGCATCTATTTCACCAACAACATGCGTGACAGACAGTCTCGGGGCAAGTACACTTATGTAGACGAGAGCAAATTTCTGTGGGTGATGAAACAGCACCATGTCACGAGCCGGTTGCAGCAGGAGCAACAGCGGCAGCAACAACGGCAGCAACAACTCCAGAGCCTTCAGTCGTCTCAGCAGCAATTGGCCCGACAGTCTCGGGACCACCAGAAGCTAGTGGAACAGAAGTATGTGCGAATACAGAAACTTCTTCAGGAGTTGCAGCAGTTGCAGCAACAGATGCAGCATGCACAACTACACCAGCACCAGGAACAGCTTCAAGAGATGCAGCACCAACACCAGCAGATGCAGGCCAAATGCCATCAACTGCAGCTTCAGTATCAGGAACAAGTGCAGAAGCAGAAGCAACTGCAAGAACAGCAGCAGTTCCGGAAGACGGGGCAACACTCACAGCAGCATCAGCAACTCCAGCAGCTTACTGAGCTCCCGACACTAGCGACCACGAGCTCTACAGATAGCACCGAAACGGTTCCTAAAGCTATGATGGGTGGGATCCTTGCTAGGCAGGCGAATGAACAGGAGGACGAATTGCCGGATGATGATTTGCCATCTGCGGTGGGCTACGGGCCGTACTGGGACGCCTTGGTGGAAGCGTAAGTTTTGGGCTCTGGTGACGATAGGAGATCCACGGGGACATACACGAGACATTCACTAACGTCTGTCGCTTCGAAAGGACCGTGGAGTTTGATCCCGAGAACTTTGAGCGGACAGATCCACGGCGGCATGCAGCAGCCGTTCTTGACACACCGGAACTGCTGATGATGTATGCTCAGAGCATGGGAGATGTACGTTTGAGGATTACTAGGCCCTCCTGGTGAGCATATCTTTACTGACATGACTGCTTCTTTCACAGTCGATTCCCGCTACGCGTCTCAAGTTCATGCGCATGATGTGCGGCTACGATGAAGAGGCAGGAGAGCATTTGACGGGCGGCAGAAGCAATGAGCCAGTGCACAAGAGGATCTGCGTGAGAAAGAGCAAGAGCAAGGACCAAGATGCGAACGGCAAATTCGCTCACAGACGGAGACGGCAGAACTACACATGATGCCGAACGTCGTCACACGGGCGAAAACTGGACTTGCGGGTGATGACTATGATAACGATAATGACGGTGCTGGTCCTGTTTTCCTTTATTTTCTTTTTCGTTTTCTTTTTTCTCCATTTCTCCATTTTTCCTTTGTTTCTTTGCTTGATTATTTCTTTTGATCTGCCTCGTGAACTGGAGTTTGCTGTTGGGAGGATCGGTGTGTTGTGCTTCGTGCTTGTCTTACAAGGGACGTTTTGATGATAATTGGCACTGAATCTACAGTGATATTTTGATCTAAGCTGTCCACCAAAACTCTCTACATCGTATTACCCGTTTGCCGTCCTGAAAAGATAGCTGTCAAGGACGCGTCATGACAGACACGGCCCATATAAAATATGGGTAGCTCTTGCCTTGCCGGGCGGTCCACCCCAACACCTTCCGCTTTCGCTCGCATCGCGTAGAAATGATTGTCCTGATATATTTATGCTCTTCTACGCTTCTTAAAAGCAGTGATATGGCAAGACATGATAGTTTCGTTACCCGACCCCTAACGCCGGATCCCGCCGCAGACGTGAAAAGACGCAACCCAAACGGAAGCCATGCTAGGGACTCATCCAAATCGCATACCTGGGCCCTGGGGTGGCGGCCCCCACTGTGACTGCTGCTGCGAGTAAGGCGGCGGTGGCGGCATCTGGGTGCCGGCAGCATAAGTGCCAGCAACGGGGTCGGCTTGTGGAAAAGACCTGTCGTTGCGGTTGCTGTTGCCGCCCCAAAGGCTCCATCGCGAGGGACCAGACTGTTGCTGTTGCTGCTGCCACTGAGCTGGAGGCATTGCCATGGCCATATTTCCAGGCTTTGGCGGTTGAGCTCGGTTGCCGTGCTGATTTCGACCCCAAGTGGCGGCAGCGGTCATGGGCATGGCGGCAGCCGAGGAAGGCGGCAAGCCGTTGCGCATACGGCGACGGAGACGGCGGTTGCGGCGACGACGGCAGAAGGAGCAGATGCAGCTCAACAGGGCAGCCAAGATGAGGACGCCGACGACACAGGCGACAGGAATGACAATGGTGAGGTTGTGGCGCAAGGTGGAAGCGATCTCTTTTGTGACGGACGAGCCCTTGCAGACACCGTTGCTGCACCGGCCGCCGCCCTCGCAGGACGTGCCATCGAGGAAGTTCTGCATCATCTCAAAACAGGTATTGGAACCGAAGGCCGGCGAAGCACAGCTCAGCGTGCAGCCCTGGTCGCTGCAGGCGTACGTGTCATTGCCGCTGCTGGCCAGCGACCCCATCAGCGTCTGGCACTGCAGGTCGCGCGACGTGCACTGGCCGGCGGAGCACAGGCCAGCGAGCCGGAGCTGGAGCTGGAATTGCTGCCACAGGCCGTTCCATCGGCGGCCGTCGTGTCGACCGGACAGGAGGCAGCCGTGCCGGAACAGGTCTCGGCCGGGTCGCAGTCGCCGGTACTGGGCCGACACACAACGCCGGCACTGGCCATCTGGCAGGCGGACGTGCAGCACTCGTCGTTGGCCGGATCGCATAGAGCGCCGGTGGCAAAGTGGCAAGTTTCCGGGTTGCAGCATGCACTATCGCTGCCACAGCCGGAGGTTCCGCCACAGTCACAGTCTTCGCCCTCCTCGACGATGCCGTTTCCACACACGCTCCCCGTGACGGACACAACGCCGCGGTTGTCGCTCAGACACGTCCCGTTGACGCTGTTGCGGCCCAGCGCCGCGCACACGTTGCCCTTGGTGCAGGGCGAGAACTGCGTGATGCCGCTGCCGGTGCTGGGATTCATGATATAGCCGGCGGCAGCATCGCAGGTCGACGCACTTAGCGGGCAGCACAGCTGCTTCGTCGCCGTGCCGTCGGCACACGTCGAACTCGTGCAGTCGTGCACCGCCCCGAACGTGTGACCGGTCTCATGGGCCATCACCTGCCACTCCGTCGACGTCCGCACCACCACGTTGGTCGCCGCCACGGTCTCGTTGCCGCTACCGTCTGAACTCGCGCTTGTCTCGGCCCCCAGCACGCACAGCTGGCCCAGCCAAGCCAGCCCGACGGCCGAGTCAGTGGCACACGTGCTCAGCAGCATCCAGAACGCATTGGTGTCGTTGTTCGTGCCACGCCACTGCGAGAAGAGGTTGAGCCGGTCGCTGATGGTCAGATTGCTACTGCAGCCTGCGTTCCACGGCGTCACCGACGACGACGGCGAGCTCGGGCACGTGTCGCTCTGCAGCACCAGGCTCTTGATGGCCAGCGACACATTGAACGTGCTCTCGTACACCTTGGACGCCGAGCTGATCTGCTGCACGATGTGGGCTGTCGCATTGTCCCTGCTCGGGAACGCCTGCATGTATGTGCAGTCGGCTGCGATCCCCATCAGTGCCACCTTGCGCGTCGTCGGACAGCCAGACGAGCTGCCGATCGTCGACGTCAGGTTCACGCCCGCTGAGTTGCCGCCTGTGCTTCCCGTCCCGTCGATTTGTCGCCCAAACAGCCACGACCGCACGTCTGACGAAGCAGATGCCGACGACGGCACCTCCACCTTCGACCCGCCACGGTGCACAGGATGCATCTCGTCCATATTGAACAAGAGCTCGTCCGACGAGCAGGCCGGCTGTGGCAGCTCTTCCACAATACCATTTGCTGAGTGCTGTCGCCGCAGCCGCCGTCGCAACTCATCTCCTGCTGCCTGTGTCTCGGCGCCCGGCGCCATGATGTCAGAGTCGCGCCATACCACCATATAATCTCCAGCGTCTGCGCCTGCGTCTGCGCCGGTCGGGATCAGCGGGTCACCCCAAATCCGTGTGTCCAGGTAATTGGCGCTCGTCTGAATGTGGTGGTGGTCGCCAAACACGCGGAACGCGCCCTCAAACACCGGATGCACCCCGTCTACGTGCACATATATACTGGCCCATCCGGCGTTGGTCCAGTGATTCGTCGCAGCAGCCACCCCTTGACTCGGCACGAAAACGTCGCCCTGGAACAACCGGTGATCCAGCCGCCGGATGGGCTCCACCGTGACCGAGCCGTCGGCATTGTGATGGTGGATGGCTGCGCCTTCGGCAATGGTGTCGCTATCGGGTCGCAGTCGCAGTCGCACGGGCAGCCGCTGGTCCGAGTCCAGCTGGTGCAGCGTCAGCGAGATCTGGAAGTGTGACAGGGCATGGACGCGGTGTGTGGCCGTGTGCAGCACTGCCTCGTCGACCCGGAAGAGGCTGCGCAGGGCGTTGCGCTCCTGCGAGTGGGCACGCGTGCCGCCGACGAGGAGGCCGAAGACGGTGAGGAGGCCAAGGCCGGCGTGGAACAGACGATGCACAAAGCCGGCTTGCAACGGTCTTCCAAAGCCCATGGCTGTGATGCTTCTTCCCGGAGAGGGCCTATCCAACAGGACGATTCGCGATATTCATGTATTCGGCGGGCTCGAAGTGGTGGCAGGAAAGGGAGTTCGAGAGTGTTGGCGAGTGAGACGGCCGTTAAGCCGGTCGTATGTTTCGTATTCGGGCGGTTCGTTGAATCCGACGGACAAACGGACAGATGTGGCCTCTGAGACAAAAGGAAGGCAGCCGAAGAAAGAATTGGCTACAAAAGGCTACAAAATCGAAAGAGCGAAGCACCCGGAAGAAGAGCACAACGGCAACTGCCAACGACAGGTATTAGGCCACTCAGCAAAGAGCCCCGAGCCGCGGCTGAGACAGGTTTCCTAGCAGGGATTATACGAAAAAAACATGCTCGGCCGCAACGGCCGCACGCTCTCTGCACAATACGAGCGCAGGCAGTCCGCCAAGACGCCTTCTCTTAAAATTTAAGCTTCTTGGCTGTGTGGCTCAGCACCGATCCGCTTATGTGTTGTGGGGCTGTGGTGCACTGGGTGGAGGAACTGTATCTTATTTCAACGAATTTCTCTGCACTCTGCCGTCATCTGCCCTTCTCGGCCGTTTCCGGCTCTTGGCTGCATCGTAGCTGACTGGCGACGCGCGTCGAAAGGCCAGTCTTACAAATCATTAGAAAGACCACCGTGACAGCGTCAATGGTTTGTCATTTTTATTTTTATTTTATCTTTATCTGGTAGGCGCTGGCTGCATTGCCCCATAATCGTAGTGGCATGAATATCGCTAGACATCCTAGATACATCTAAAAAAAGAACAGTCCAACACAATAACTAGTAAACAGGCTATTCAGCCTTCAATTCGTCGCTCATTTCTTCTTCGCATCGTGCACAACATTGAGGATCTTGCTCACCACGCTCGGGTCGGACAACTGGTATTCAGTCAGTACAATTGGCATGCAGAAAGGTGTAGATAGGTAGCAGAAGCAGGACTTACCGTGGAGATATCACCCAACTGATCCTCCTCGCCGGCAAGGATCTTGCGCAGAATACGGCGCATAATCTTGCCCGACCGCGTCTTGGGAAGGTCAGGCACAACATAGATCGCCTTGGGTGCGGCAAACGGGCCGATGCTCTTGCGGACCTGCAGGGCAAGCTCCTTGCGAAGAGCATCTGTGACCTCGTTGCCGCTCTTCAGCGAGACGAATGCATTGACAGCCTGACCTGTCAGCTCGTCGTGCACGCCGACCACAGCCGACTCGGCCACGGCCGGGTGCTCGATCAGGGCCGCCTCGATCTCCGCCGTCGACAGACGGTGTCCGCTGACGTTGACAACGTCGTCCACGCGACCCCGGATCCAGTAGAAGCCCTCGTGATCGCGGCCAGCACCATCGCCCGTGAACTGCAGTTATCAAGTCAGCCGTCTGGCTCCGAGCAAAAAGCAACAAAGAAGGGCGCAGTTCAACTCACGTAGTAGCCCTTGTAGACATCCATGTACGTCTCCATATACCGCTTGTGCGAGCCCCAAACGGTGCGGGCCATGCTGGGCCACGGCTGCTTGAACGCAAGCACGCCCTCGACATCGTTGCCGGTGATCTCGACGCCGCTGACTGGGTCGATGATGGCCGGCTCAATGCCGAAGAACGGCAGAGAAGCTGAGCCTGGCTTTGTCGGCGTAACACCGGCCAGAGGCGTGATGACGTTGGAGCCGGTCTCCGTTTGCCAGTATGTCTGTCAAGGTCAGCGATCATTACGGCACGACTGGCAAAGACTGAAAAGACTGAGAAGGACAAGCAATACTCACGTCCACAACCTGTGCCTCCTCATTGCCGACCACCTCAAAGTACCACTTCCAGACCTCGGCAGCGATGGGCTCGCCGACCGATCCCAGCACACGCAGCGCACTCATGTCGTGCTTAACAAACTGGTCACCGGCGCGCTTCAGCAGCCGCAGAGCCGTGGGTGCGACGTAGAACTGGGTGACCTTGTGCTTCTCGATAATGTCCCAGTAGCGCGAGAAATTCGGGTACGCCGGCGTGCCCTCAAACACGACCGTGGTCACGCCCAACAACAGCGGCGCATACACGACATACGTGTGGCCCGTGATCCAGCCCACATCGCCACCACAGAAGTAGCGGTCGCCCGGGTGGATGTCAAAGACGTACTTGCCCGTAGCTGCCGCACCGACGAGATAGCCGCCGGTGGTGTGCAGGACGCCCTTAGGCTTGCCGGTCGAACCGGAGGTGTACAGAAGGAAGAGCGGATCCTCCGAGTTGACGGGCTCCGGGGCAATGTACGAGGGCCACTTTGACACCTCCTCGTGCCACCAGAAGTCCCGGCCCTCGGTCCAGGGCACGTCGGCACCCGTGCGCTTGTACACCAGCACGTGGCTGACATCGGGGCACTGCTTCAGCGCATCGTCCACAATCTTCTTGGTGCCGATGAGCTTGCCGCCGCGCTTGCCCTCGTCCGAGGTGATGACGACCTTGCTCTTGGCGTCGAGCACGCGGTCACGCAGCGAGTCGGACGAGAAGCCGGCAAAGACGACCGAGTGCACCGCTCCGATGCGGCTGCACGCGAGGAGGGCGATGACGGCCTCCGGGATCATGGGAAGGTAGATGGCCACGGTGTCGCCTTTTTTGACGCCGAACTGCTTCAGCACGTAGGCCGTCTTGGATACCTCGCGCAGCAGCTCGCCATACGTCAGCGTCCGCCCGTCCGACGGCTCGTCTGCCTCGTAGATGAGCGCCACCCGGTCGGGGTCCTTGAAGGCGTGGCGATCCACCAGATTGTACGACGCGTTCAGCTGGCCCTCGAGGAACCAGGCGACGTCGCCGTTGACGAGAGAGCCGCTGCGCACCGTCTGGAAGTCCCGCTGCCACGTGAGCAGCTCGCGTGCCTGGCGGCCCCAAAACTGGTCTGGCTGTCGGATCGACTCCTCGTACAGCGTCTTGTACTCATCGAGACCTGGCCGGTCATCAGCAATGAAGAACAGGGGCGCATAGATGGCCGTGGCGGAGACGACTTACCGGAAAGATGAGGCTTTGACGGGTGCTCTGTCGAGCCAATTAGCTAACGTTCTTTACCAATGTCCGACTCCGGAGTCCCAGTCTTCGCCGCATGGCCCAACTTCGCCGCCGTCCATTCTCCGGACGACGCAAGACAGGACCACGACGACGCCTTGCCAGGCCCTCGGCCAGCTTCATAGGACGACCTGAGACTCCCACGACCCTTTCGAGCTACCAGACAGAAGGGAATCTTGTGTGATTCTGAGACTTTACGTACTAGCCAGCATCTTCTCCGGTGGGTCTGTCAACGGCTGGTTAGTGGCTTTCCCAATGTCTCCCCTATTTTGCCCCAACAAAAAAAAAAAAAAAAAATGTGAGCTCACGAAAGGTATCGACCTCGTGGGCCTCGGCTACCACGGGAATCTTCTTGGGCGCCGACGCAGCCATTTTCGACAGCAATAGGAGGGAGAAGTGGCGGAGGGGTCGTTTGGTTCCTGGACAGCTGCCTGCTGTTTGGCTAGCCGGGTCCTCGCACGTTTCCTAGTGCTATTTAAACAGAAGGAAACCGATAAGACGGTGTAGAGGCGTCAGGAGAAGCCGTGCTGTGTCACGTTGTTATTGAGACGTGTGGACCGACGGTGAGAACAGGGGGGTGAGGCGTTGGCACTCGTAGAAGAAAAGGTCGACGGCGGGGTGATAGGAAGATTATAAAGGGCAGACGAGAGAGAAGAGGCGGCGTGGAAGCAGATAAAAGAAGGAGGACAATGATAGAAAGGCAACAAAAGATTATACCGACCGGCCTAACGGGTAGAAGAGAGGGGGACGGAGGAGTTAATAAGTTGCGAGAGCAAGCGCATTGCGATACGGAGCAGAGCTCTGTCGATTAGCACTCGGCATCCACAGTGCTTCTTTGTAGCGTGCGAATGAGGTCCGGCATAGAGTCTATGACACGGACCCAGTATTAGCGCATTGTCGAATTAGTGTGCACCAGTGCACGCGGGGAGGGGTGTATGGGGAACCTCACAGAGCAGATTCGAGGGGAACGGAGTAGGGGAAGAAAAGGAAACGGGTGGCAGCCCTAGGACGATTGCAGACAAACTGCGGAGGGTGGCGATGACCTGGGCGTGGGATATGGGTGGACGGAAGGGAGAAGAGGCCAATAGAGCACAAAGACGAAGCCGGGGGTGTCTGGGCGAGGGAGGGGGTGAGGTCAGGAGGAAGCTCTGGGTGTGCGTGCTAGGCTTGTGACGCAGCTCGTCCTCGTATCTTCCATAGTACTTGCAGAGACAAGAGTACCTGGACGAGCGACAATCCTGAGCGGATCCGTCCTGGTCTGGGCCAAGGACCAGTGCCATTCGATTCCGTCCGTCCGACGTCGTCTCGGGGCGTGCTTGTCCCACTCTGCCGTCCAGCTGGATGTGGAGCTGGTCCTGGACGTCCGTGGCTGCGGGAGCCGTGGAGGAAACCTGATGCTGGGGACGAGGCGGAGTTGTGTCTCGACAACGACCGTTCCTCGAGCAGTTTCGTCGTGCCTGTTGGGAGAAAAAGAGACGTCAGAAAATGATGCCCGAGATCGTTCTGTTGTAGGTGGGCCACAGCGGGCTGGCACCTTCTCTCTCCGGCAGTGCGCATAGTACCAGGACGAGATGCATGGCGAGCACGACTATTACGGGAAGGCACGACTGCCCTCCTTCTCTTGAACGAGGCGCATTTACTTCTACTATGTACAGCGGGCATCTTGGCGATGTTTTTAGCATGCTCGAGGAATCGTCATTGCCACTCTTGGCCGCCCACCAGCCGCCACGACGCAGCGCCATGTGCGATCTCACAGCATCGGATGCAATGGGACGCGGTCGTCCAGGACGTCCGGTGAGGCAAACGCTCGTCGCACCGCCTTCAGGTCTCGTCCTGCCTCCCGACCTCTGGCTGACAGGACCCCGCATGCGCGTTGGCGATTTGAGCTGGGGCAGGAGCGGGTCTCCCAACAAGGCAGGAAGGCAGGGTCGACAGCGGCCCAATCATGCAGCAGACGATCAGCCACGCAGGACAGCAACCCCCAATCGTATCCTCGTTGAGCCTTAGCGTGCTCGACCGGCAGACCAACGGCCTAGCTCTGTCCAGGCAGCCGCACGAGACCAAGGGTGAACGGAGAAATCTGGAGCAGCAGGAAGGGGGGGTCCTAAAGCGAAGGCCGACAAGACGCCAGAGACGACTCGTCCTCGGCTGGCGTGCTCTGCTCGTATTGGGCGGCTTCGGAGTGAGGCTGCCGGTGTGGCCCTCTGGGGGAACAGAGAGCACAGAGCACACAGCGACTTAGCCGAGACGCGACAGTCTTCCCATTTCTCCAGTCGCACCGTCCCGATAGTACGATTCAGCACGACGCACACATTGTATCTTACTCTACGCTTGCATGCTGACCAGAATGCCGCATGGTCCTTGCTCTGTGGATACATAGTAGAGCATCGCATCTTGTTCTGCCATATGTGTGCTCCGTAAGCGCTGAGAGAACGGCAAGCCTTGGCCGTGAACGTGGCGTATTGCTTGCTGACTCTGACCTGTAAGACTCCTGCACTGTCCTTGTAAGCTTGGCTAACCGAATTCGAGCCGTCGTTTTCATAAATTATTTTTACACCCTGGACAAAAGGAGGCGCTAGCCGCCTTTCACCACATTCCGTGATATCGCAATACCACGCCAAAAAAAAGCCAAAAAAGGACCCGCACCAAAGGCTGCTATCAGCTCGCAGTCACCTACATATACTCCTTCTCTCTGGTCCTTCTTTTCGCCATCCGCTGAACAACCGAGAGCCGAACTTCGAAATGAAACTGCAGACTGCCCCAGTGTGTTCCATACGCAGATCTTCCCTGTATTCCACCAGTTGCAGACTCCGTATCCATTGCCGTTTTCGGCCCTGGTGGACACTCCTGCACGGCCACCACGGTTCTCCTGCATTAGCCCCTCTCGTGCTCTGCTCTACCGATGTTATCCTAAGCTGATAGCGGAAATGGGCTGTGCTAGCACGTTCAGTCTAGAAATTAGGTAGCCTAACATGAGCTCATAGGTAGCCTGTGTCGGTTATGTAAGATACAACGGCAGCATTGCGGTCTGCATTTCAGACAATTCTCCAAGGAAGTGGCCAAACCATATGTCCAGTCACAGGACTATTTCTACTCCGTAGAGCCGTCGCGTGATCGTCTCAACATGTTTATTCGTCCCGATCCCGACCGCTAGCTGATGGTGGTAAGACGCAACAAAAACAAAAAGACTGGACTAGGCTAGACACAGCACGGCTGGGCAATTGCGCGCTCAGCATCTTCGGCTGTAACATAGGCGTGCACGGCTTTGCATGCAGATCGGCTCTGGCCAACACACGACGTATCTTATCTGGTCCCGTCAGAAGCCGGCTCCGTTGGTTCCTCGGATGCGCTCTTCACGGGAAGACGGCCGCGCTCGTCGCCATGACCCACCCTGGCTTCCAGGATGGAATACGAAGTAGTGCCAAGCCAGACTCGTCATTGGCTCCGCTTCTCCTTGTCGTTGCCTCGGTCGACTCTTACATGTCCATGCTCATGAGGTACATTTCGAATATCCGCATAAACTTGGCCACGAACGCCTCCAGGTGGAAGATCACCTTGGTACCCGTCTTGATGCGGTGCTCGTAAAAGGCCGACCATCGGATCACCTCCGGTTTCAACTCGGCGTCGATCAGCGCCACCAGCTTGAACGTCAACGTCCGCAGAATTGTCGTCGGCGGGATGCAGTGTGTCAGGAGATCGTACAGCTTCGCCCGCACCTGCAGGATGCGTGCCGGTGTGTGCTCGTCCATGATCTCCTTGGCGACGTGGCCGATGAGGGCTTCCCAGTCGGGTGGCGGGATGGGCGTGCTGTCTACTACCTTCTCGCTGCGACCGTTAGCACGAGAGAGACGAGAAGGAGACCAGGGAAATATGCCTACTTTTGTGCGTGCACGGCCTCGTACATCAGCAGCGCCCGCCGCAGGTTCCGCCCGCTGCCCTCGGCGACACGGCGCTGTAGCGCCGGCACAGCCGGCCAGCCCTCCCGCTGCGCCGCGGCTGCCAGGACGCCGCAGATCTCGTCGTGCGAGGGCGCGGCCACGCGCACCAGCAGCGTGCGCGACCGGATGGGCGCGATGATGTTGGCCGTCGACGTGGCCAGCAAGATGAGCCGCAGATTGGGCGAGTACTTTTCCATCGTGCGGCGCAGGGCTGCCTGGGCGTCGCGTGTCAGGTGGTCGGCCTCGTTGATCACCACGACTTTGAAGCGTTGCCGGGCAGCCTGGTCGACTTGCTGTGTCTGCGCCACCTCCTTGAGCAGGTCCTGCACTACCACGCGGTCGTAGTTGCCCACGTCCGACGGCGTGATCTCCATATGGTAGACCGAAGCCACGATGTTGAACTCGAGCTTCCGGTTGCTCGTCGTCTGGAACACGCGCGCGTCAATCTTGATCTTCTCCACGCCCGGCCCGTACAGCTCCTTCAGCGTCGCCACGATTCTTGTCTTCTTGCCCGCTCCCGATGGCCCGTACACCAGCAGATGTGGGAAGTCGCCGCTGCGAGCCTGTCATGGGAGGATTAGCACGGAAGAGTCCCTCTACCATCCCTCGAGTCGATCTCACGTACAAGTGCTCGTAGTCGGTCTGTCAGCTCTGGGTGATACGTCAGCGTGTCCAGAGACCGCGGCCGGTGCTTGTCGACAATCAGCGCCATGATTCCGTGATTCTGAGAACGGTCGTGATTGTGAACTTAGTCGGGGACTGCTCCGTAGAGAGCAAAGGGTTATGAAAGGCTGCGATGGACTAACTCATCAAAAGTCTGACGCGTCGCAATGAACAAATCCATTAACGCGGTAGTGGTCCGTGCGGACAGCTGCAGACTGGCCGTCCCCACATAAGCGGATCTCTCGTGGGGTCAATTATCCCACTGAAATGATTCCTGAGTTGACAATGGCACGTATTTTACGGAGTACGGAGTACAATAAACCCTACTATAACTACCGCCGGTTACGAAATAGTTCCCTGTAGCGATAGCAAGCTCTGAGCAATTCTTCGTGTGCCTGTTCATTGTAACACATCCCTCTCACGGTCTTATCAAAGAGGAGTTTGCTTCTCAATTGACAATTAGGCTGCTTAGTATGGTTAGGGAAAAGAAAGAGGGGGAAGAAAACGACATTCTATGTGTGGCATATGTCGCTACAACGTGGTAACAAGACAGCGTTCCTTCTGCAATCGTAGAAATCCAACAAGAAGGAAGAGAGCTTCATTGTCCCAGACGAGAAATAGCACTTTGAAAGGAGAGTTTCACTAATTAAGTGCTGCATCCCATCACAATACCTTGCTCGTATATACATGCAACCGCGGTAGTCGATCGCTTTTGCTTCATTAATTTACATGTCTGTATACCTTATTTTGAGCGTCACTCCCTTCCTCTCTTTTCCGACAGTGGTGGTAGTGTACAGGTAAGTGAACGCCAGGGCTCTCGTGGCACAAGTGGCCTACATGCAAGTCCAGCACTTGGTTTCCCCAGTCTTCATGGGGCTGGTGTCGTGGAATTGGATGTGGCTGCCGCTTCTGCGATCTTTACTTGCTGGGCGGCGGGTAGCTGCCATGGACGCTTGAGGTCCTCCAGGGTCAGGCCGTCCTCGAGCTTGGTGATGCCGACAATGGGAGGGTCGCCCTTCTTGACGAACTCGTACTGGCCGGGCATCTTGTTTCCGGCGAGCCGGAAGGCGTCCCGTGCAACCTGTTCGTGGATGGCGCCGCGGATCTCAAAGATGACGCGGTTGACGGCCACACGGGAGGCCCAATGGTCGAACGAACCCTTGCCCTTGCCCATTCGTATCTAAGGGACTTGTCAGTGTCTGAGGAGGAAAGGAGATAAAAGACAAAGAACAAGGGCAAGGAGAAAGATAGAATTGGCAAAACATCAAGCCTTCTTTTCTGCTAGTCCTCTTCCCCGTCTTCACGCACCTCGTTTCCGCTGATGAACACGCCAATGTTGCAGTTGACCCGCTTGTACAGGCGGTACCGCTGTCCGCGCAGCCGCTGCTTGATGGTGTCCTCGGCCACCTTGAGCTGGGCCGCGCTGATGCGTCGGTGGTGGTCGCACATGCGAAGGCCGTAGTCGCCCCACACGATGGTGGTGCCCTTGACGGAGCCGCCCGTGGCCACACGCGGACGGCCCTTCATCATGCGGCGCTTGCGGTTGAGACTGGGCTCAAGCCAGGTGCCGGCGGCGACAGCCGTGGCTGAGAAGGCGCGGCGGCCGGCCACGGCGAGGGGGGACATCGGCAGCGTCAGCGAGAACATGGACGGTGCCGCAGCAAATGCCGCTGCTGCTGTCGATGCCGTCTTCGGGGCGATCGTGAGACGCTGGACGGCTCGGAGGAGCCCGGAGGCCGCCCAGGCGTTGTGTGCTGCCATCGGACGGAGAGGCTCGGGAGCAAGGATAGCAAAGGAGAACGAGAGCTGCACGCGGCCGGTGGCGTGGAGATTGTCGGGCGTCGTTCCGCGTTGGGTCTGCTGCGGGACAGTCTGCGATGTCGTCCAGATATGGGAAAAAATATGGTGATGCGAGAAGTTTGGACCCACTTCAATTGGCTTTTTGGCCCCTCAGTTTCCAGGCACCAATTATGGCGTCCCACCACATATGGCTTTTGACGACGTATGCTGCATTTTTGGGAGCGTTTTACTGTAACAAGGAACGACCATGGTTGGAGGGTATGTATATCTAGTCGCAGATATTTTGAGACTGCGTTTTTTCACAACCAACGACCGCAATTTCAGTTCTTAGCCTCCTCTCTGCACAACAGCCACTCATGCTTGGTGGCGACACGCTCATAGGCGTGCAGGGCGTCCGGCAAGGCGAAGACGGAGTCGACAGGGATGCGCACGCTGCCGGCCTCGAGCAGGTGGGCTAGGTAGACGCCGTCGTCGTGGGCTGGCGGCGTGCTGAATATGGCGTAGCGGCGTGGTACGCCGCCCATCCAGGTTGGAAGACAGGTGTTGAGCGGCACGTTGCGGACTGTGGCCAGCCAGCCGTTGACGCTGCTGGCGTTGGCACCACTGACGTTGATCAGGGCTCCGTCGGCTTGAAGGTACGCCGGCGAGTGGTCGAAGAGCGGCTGCGAGCCGACGCAATCAAACAGAAAGTCGAACGGACGGTCACCGTAGTTCTGAGCCAGGTAGGCCGGAAGGGGATTGTGCTGGTGATAGTCGATGAACTGGGATGTCAGCTGTAGTCATTCTTATTTTTTTTCCTGTTTTCTCCCTTCTTTTTTCCTTCTTTTCTCCTTTTTTTCGCCATCTTTCTCGCTCTCTTTCTCTTTCCGTCTCTCTCCCTCACCTCATCTGCCCCCAGGCCGCGCACCATGGCCTCGTTGCCCCCGCTGGCCACAGCCTCGACGCTAGCTCCGTGCAGCTTGCACAGCTGTACCAGCACCGAGCCGACGGATCCGCTGGCGCCGTTGACGAGCACCGTTTGGCCGGCGCACAGGCTGGCCGTGCGAATCATCTTGAGGGCAGTGCAGCCGCAGCAGTGCAGTCCCGCGGCGTCCTCGAGGCCGACAGCGTCATCGATTTGAGTTACCTGGCTGGCCGGCAGCCGCACGTACTCGGCCAACGCGCCGCGACCACCTCGCCCGAGAGCTCCAGTTCCGGGATGTAACGAGGTCCCGTCAGGAACGCCAGGCTGCTCGGCACCATTTGCAGCAGCAGCTCCGAGTTGAACTGCAGCGGCACGTACGCCACCCGGATCAGCACGTCGGCCGACGACCGGTTTGTTGGTACGGCCGGTGTCGGAAGGCCGTCCACCAGCTCCAGCACGTGGCTCGCTGCACCGCGACCTGTCCGCAGCCATGCGCGCATCGTCGGTGGCGGCAGGCCTGTCGTTGACGCCATTTTCGGGGCACCTCGTTCCGACCTGGAGTGAATGGCTGCGGGTGTGGGAAAATGCAGAGTGTGGAGTGCTGAGTGCAATGTCTAAGTCGGCGAGGGGAAGTGACCGATCGTATGCTTTGTAAACGTCGAGACAATTTGGCCTACGCGGCTATGCCTGCCTGCCTCTGCTTACCTGCGAAGAATTATCCCTTACACCTCTTTTGATAGGGGACCTTCGGGACAATCTCATATTCCGTCCGTATGGCTCTGGGCCGTAGTTCTGACGATAGGAGATCACGTTGGATGACTAAGCGACGTATCGCCATCGGGGCACACTGCCTGCGATCACTCCGTGAATGAGGCCGCCTTGCTGCCACGTTAATCATATTATCAGCGTAAAGTGTTGCTTTGATAGCTTTCCTGGTTCAGACTGTGATCAAAAGTAGGGTTTCCGTCAGATGTAAAGTATGGCAGTTGTTGAACTTCTTGAAAGCTAACTAAATACGATCTACAGGGCCGCTTCCGAAAGCAAAATCAAGGCCAAAAGCCCAGGGGCAAGCACATCAGCGTTCTCCAGTTCAATGTGTGTACCGTAAGCCATGACCAAGCCGAAATATGGGGCTTTCTGAGCTGTATGGGACATCGGTCAGAGACTCTTCCACGGCTTTCATGGACGATGGGAGGTCAAACGGAAGTTTGCCTTCGGGGGCTGCCTCGCCGAACACTACATCAAGCAGGGCCTCGTCACTGCTCCCATAGCTCGCCAGCACCGCCGCGGCCGATGACACAACTTCCGGGATAACCGCGGGCCGATCGAGATACACGTCGACGATGGTGGGCACCGCCTGATATATGGCTGCCTGTCGGGCCTGTTCCTGAAAAGAAAATGCCAGAGACCCGCTGTGAAAGCGCTTCTCAAAGCCTCCCGGACGTGCTTCATGCGGCGTGCTCAGCCGGAGTAGCGCAATGTCCGCACGAGCTGGATCCGAGACGACATACAGTCCACGGGCCGTGGCCGTAGCATGGGATAGGCCTTCCAGATAGACTTTCAGGTTCCCTCTACGAAGCGGCAGGATGTCCTTGCTGTTCGTCAAGAGGGTGAAAGAACGCTTTTGGGCATTTAAGCCCTGCCGCACAAAATTGGCCCTTCCCACCGTTTGAACGGCTACCTCCGCGTCCACAAAGGGCTGATCAAACAGCCCGAGTACAAACTTCTCGCGCAAGAGCCGACGAACGGAGATATCGATCCTAGCCTCAGAAACCAGGCCCTGCTCAACCAGTTGGACGACCAGTTCAGGACGTGACTCGCCACCGAGCTGATCGCACCCCGCGTCGATGATTTTCTGTACCCGTTCTATCTCGGTGAGGTGTTCGACACCCCAGGCACGTGCGGGCATGTCCTGTCCTGAAATGATCGCGTCGGTGACGAGGCCCCAATCCGTGCAGACAATTCCGGAGAAGCCCAGCTCCTGACGCAACAGGTCCGTGATGATCCCTTTGCTGAAAGAAAACCCGACAGCCTCGTATTTGGTTCCAATGGGCTTACCGTAATCTACATCAACTGTCAGCTCGGCCGGGACATCTGTTTCTCTCTCTAAACTAGGCCTGGAAATTTCTTACAGGGCATGATCTGAGTGGTTCCAGCTGCGATGGCGGCCTTGAAGGGACGGAGGTGATAGTCTAGATTCTTTCCAGGGTAAATCTGCTCTTTGCCATAGGCAAAGTGAGGATCTTCACCGTCTTTTTGCGGGCCGCCGCCGGGAAAGTGCTTCGTCATGGTCGCCACAGATTTTGGCCCGAGCTTGGGCCCCTGGAACCCGCGGACGTAGGCGCTGGCCAGCTCGCAGGAGAGATCGGCGTCTTCGCCAAACGTACGGTTGATGCGCGACCATCGGGGCTCGGTGGCCAGATCGACCTGCGGATGTAGTGCCAGACGGATCCCGAGGGCGAGGTACTCCTCACGGGCTATAGTCGCAAATTGCTGGACAAGTTCTGGAGACCGGAGCGCAGCCAGTCCGAGGGGCTCTGGCCACTGGGACAATGCCCCGGCGTTGAAACCTGTGCCGACATTGTTCGCAAAGTGGTTCCGCGGATCTGACGACAACGTAACCGGGATGCTGAGCCTCGTGTCCTTGGCTCGCCGCTGCAGCCGGTTGTGCCATTCCGCTGCCTCCCGGACGTCTGTCACAGGACCGAGAAGATTAAAATGGTTCATCAATTTGCTGCCGACGGGATCATCCGGCATGAGCTGGCCCTCGGGACCTATGGATATCATATCCTGAAACAGTAGTCCAGCCTTCTCATGAATGGTCATGCGGCTTAGGAGGTCCTCCACCCGCTCGTCAACAGCGAACGCTGCATCTTGATACGGGAGGACAGCTGGGAGGTCCGGAGCTGAAGCCATTGCGGAAAGTGACAGACTAGCAGCAGACAACCGATTCGCAAAGGCTGAGATGCATCCTAGTTATCTCTAGATAGGAAATGACGCCTTTCAATTACGCCACATTTATGCGTGCCGATGTCGGGAGCCTTCTTGGTTACCTGTATTGTTTATGCATACCTCAACAGGTCTGTAAGCTCGTGGACACTCATGAACGTTCCATCAAACAATTGAAAACAAGAGTGGACCTGCACCACGACGGAGAAGACGAGAGAGTACATTTCTGGCTCCCCATGGGATATAAGCCTGACACTGACCTTGGGTAGACCCCGCTTTAATATAAGCACGATTTTCCCCTTCTTTCCATACGATATTTGAGAGACTACAACTCGAGAGAAAAGTGAGCACATGTTCCCATTGCGAGTAAATCTCGCGGAAATTAGTGACATATACGTTCCTCTCTTATCCATGCTGTTATTGCTCCAGAGTTTCAAATTTCAACGCTTGATAGTTGCATGCATCACGTAATGACATTGAACGTCTGCTGTTAAGCAGCCCACATTCAGCAAAAAGCTCTGAGCTTGCTCTGTTCTGTGATTTTCATGGTAGCGTCCCAGGTGATCATCGGTATGGCAGCTACGAGGCGACGCAAAATTTTTAATAAATGACTTCCGCATGATCTGAATTGACTACTGAATTAGGACGTTTAGCGCTGCTGGCTCTTCAAGCGGTTCCTACCTGCATCGAGTTCCACAGACTTCCTGCCTCAATTGGGTAACCTAGTGAAGGTCCATCGAATAGGTCCCGTAAGACTCCGTAAGGCAACCCCCACTTTGCTTGATCCTGCACGTCCAACTCGGCATCGAAGCACAAGAAGAAGCACGGCCGTCTTCCAGACGGAGACAGGGACAACAATGGAGACGCCAAAAGGATCGGAACGCTGTAAGATACCTCTTGGTCTACTTCGCTCAAACGATGAGTTGTTGCAGTATTGTTCCGAATGTCGCCGAGGTCAAAAGGTGTTTTGTTGTCCTTGGAGGCAAGAGATTGGCGGTCGGCGGCGGGCTTGCACCACACATAAGAGGAAAGACGCCTGAAAGTACTCAGTACTCTATGATGGTGGGGAAACGGATTCCCAAGTCTTGGCGTATTCCAGCAGGTCGGCAATCTGTTCCGTCTGATCCTTGTAGTTGGTAAAGACTCCGATTATAACTTTATTCCGTTCTAGGCCACCGCATAATATGCCATGCGACATACGGCTGAGAAACAGCTTCTGCAGAGGCATCGCCAGTTGGCAGCGGATATCGGGGTCTAAGTGACTAGCAATACCTCACCGACGCCAAGGAACCACCATCCAAACGGTCCTGTAGTCTAGCGGTTAGGACACTGGATTCTGATATCTCACCATATCTTACTTCCAGTAGCCCCGGTTCGATTCCGGGCAGGACCTCTTGAATACCCACGTTTGTATTTTTATCATCATTTTTTATATTTCTGCTTTTGTGTCTCGAGAGCGATTTGGCTTTTACATGATTCTACAAAGTGTCTATGCAATAGGCATACGTAGGCAAAGTATTTTGCATACTACTTGCTACCTTATATCTAGAGTACAGGTATTCATCACGTCTTTCTGCTTGTTGCCAGTTGTAGCGCTGCTTATTCTGCTCTTTGCATTTGATTGAAAAACTTCGGTGAAGTGGCGTTTAGACGAATGTCTAAGCAACACAGCAGAGACAGCGCCAGAAAGGAAACTTTCTTAGCAGCTAAGGGTATAGACAAACTACACCAAACAACCCTGTTTCCCTCTCCCAAAGCAATGCAGGAAGCCAGAAGAAACTGGATGGCAGAGGAGCGGGAGAACGCCATGCAAGCCCATCTGCAGACGCACTCAACTTAGACAGTGGATTTTTTTTTTGCTAACGTGTCTACCTCGCCAAGCACTATCCTACATCAATTAGGTTGCGAACTAGCAAATTGCAACGAATTGCCGGGAGAAAGAACTCTCAGATGCTCTTGATTCCTCTTCCTCGACGTGTGAGGAAGCACCTGTATTTTGTGGCCCCATCAACAGCAAAAGGATTCGTGAGGTTGTCGTAAGGAGCTAGATATTGGAGGCGTTGGGTTGGCAATAGATCTAGCAGTGACACGACATTCTGGGTGTGCAGACAGACAGTTGAAACACTCATTAAAAATGTCACGTAAGTGTGAACGCGTATGTCGACGCAATCTGAAAGAACCGGTCTTCCTGAAACAAGCTCCTGTTTTCCGCAACGGTGATTTCTCAGTTGATTTGCATGTAAGCCGATGCCAGTTATTCAGATAGGGTTAAAATTTTTATTGAAGAATCTTTCATCTCGTCTGTGATTTAGTGATAAAGATTAACTCAGCAAAATTTGATATTTCATGCGTAAGCCACTGCCTCGCCCATTTCTCCTTTCCTTTTAAACTTTCTCTCTTCTATATAAAGCAGCAGGATAAAACCCAACTCTCTACAAAACTATGGAGCCTACAGAGGAGGAAAAAAGCAAATACTATAACTTTGGAGGCCTACACCCGCTGCTCTGGACGTCGCCAGTGACGTTTTTCTGCGTCGGCTGCAGGTTGTGGAGGGAGAATTCCCCTCGGCTGCCGCGGTCTTTCGCACTCGCAATGGCTTCCCGCCATGCGCCACGTGTGTGGCTCAACTGCACCTCGACATCGAGGTCCTGGACTGCGTGGCTGCACCGGCGACCCAGGGTCGGCGGTGCACCACACGGCATGCCAGAAGATACTTGACGAGGCCGGCATCAGCAATATGCATGTCGAGGTGTTCGAAACGAGTGTTGTCTCCCTTTCTGGTGGTACTGCTGCCCTCCACCGTGCATTCGAGCCAAAGTACAACGCGTTTCACCTCACGAGGAGGCGAGATGTTGTTCCTGAGATTACGCCTGCCAACAAGGCCATGATGCCATTCTTGCCTTTACCCGGTCAGTGCATCCAACAAGTTCCCCAACACCAGCCAGAACAGCCAGGACAGCTTAGCTAACAAATCCAGCACAATCTTTCTCCACTGGAACATTTTGGCGGTCTTAGCTGCAACCTGCAACTGTAGCCGCCGACGGCTCACGCCAGCCAGACCAGAAAACTCATGCTTTGACCTCCCGACATGTCGCTGTGCGAACCCGTCACAACCACGACGAGTGCTACATTGAGCCAAGCGACACGAATGGCCTAATACATATTGCTTGGGGCGCAACAAATCGCTTTCTCGGTGAGCTTCGCAATCTCGAACACTGTCGCTCGGAAATGAACAGATGCATGTGGCCCCTCCAGAAGTTGCATTACGAGGACACTGCCTCAAAGGCGGATGAAGAGGCGCTTGCTCTCCTCGAGAGTTGCGAAAACACATACCTCGGTCGTGTCACAGATCTGATAGGAAATGCATCAGAGCTCAGCCTGGACGCACAGGAGCGACGTGTCGGACAATTCGCATTTGCAGGAAAGCATGGTCTGAACGACGATGGCGGCTGGAGTGATTGGGCTTTGGTTGCGCTTGACAAGGCCCACGAGATGGAGAGGAGCGATGTTAAGGACAGCAAGGACGGTGGCGGGGACGACAGCAATGACGCCGAAAATCTTTTTGGATCGAACCAGGTCTCCATGGACGACTTGCTTTCGCGAAAACGCGGCCATTTGTCTGTGGTTCTTGGCCTATCTGACGACATTCCCATCTTCCACAAAATGGACACTCACGGCTTCGTGCATTTTCAGCTCCCCGCTGCTGCCTATTCTGCCCAGCCCCCACCTTCTCCTTCCAGAAAAGTCCGGTGCGTTTTCGAGCAAGGGGCACAATCCGGCCTCAAGGTAGGAATGCTGAGTGCGCTGGAAGCAATGGTACGGACGGACTCTAACTACCTTGAAAATCCATTTGCTATACCAACACCAGACATTACCTGGCATTACCAACAGCAAGTGCAATCAGACACGCAGACCTGGCAAGCCACCCAGCCAGCCAACAATGTCCCCCCCTCACAGGAACTGCCATATTATATCACTAATGAAAGTGTTAAGGTTCCGAAATTATTAATTGACCAACCTTTTCCCTAAGCCTGCCAAATTTTCCAACCATCGATGCCAACATCCCCAGACTCTTGCACACTCTAACCTGGATTCACACTTTCCTTGCCGCACAGTCCAAACGCATCCCAAAGAGGTACCACACTGCAATAGCTTCTTTAAACAAAGACACTTTCCTCGCAGCCAAGGCTAATAACAAACTGCGCCAAACAACCATCCCCTCCTTCTTAAGAACAGTTTAAGAAGTAAGAAAAAGCCGGATGGCAAACGAGTAGAAGAGAGCAATATAAACACACTTGTAAACGTACTAAAATAGTAAGACTTAAGAAGACGTTTTTGCTCTTAAAGTAGTAGGATATTTAGTTATTATTTGTAAATAAGTTTTTTATATATAAATTTAATAAAGATAGATACTTTCTTAAATATAAAGCAAGACTTATTGCTAGAGAAGATTAATGCTAGAATTTTTATAAAGAAACTTTTACTGCTACTCTTACTCTACGTACGTTAAGTATAATTCTTATTTACGCCTAATATAAGAATATACTTATACTTTAATATAATGTTGTTATTGTATATGTCTACGCTAATCTTAAAAAACCTATCTTTTTAAAACAACCACTAGGTTTTCGCAATAAAGGTCTCTTAAAGGTTAAGAAAGTACTATATAGACTACCTTAGTCTGGCAACCTTTAGCAAAACACATTCGAGAACAAACTCTTAAAGCCTAACTTAAGACTGCGAAAACTATCCCAAGATGGCTGCGTCTATGTTAAAAAGGCATCGTCCTCTTCTACTACATTAATGATTTCACCATCGCCCACACCCTAGAACAAGAATCGGAAGCGAAAAAGCTTATCCAAGCGATGCGCAACAGTTTCGAAATCTCTGGCGGTGATCCTCTTCACTGGTACTTAGGACTAGATCAGACAGGGGAGACGTCGTGGCGATCGTTCTGCCCGTGGTGAGCTTTCCCGGCAATTCGCTGCATACGGAAACGTTCATTGCCCAAAAATTCTCTGACGGTGGCGACTCGGGGTCCTGCGTTTTTGACATAGACGGGTCCATTATTGGCATGCTTGACGCCGGCCTGTCAGTGAACGTCTCTCCATAATACGCCGAGCAGGCCTACGGAAAGCAACCGATCTTGGAGCACAGCGGCCGCTCTCGGCCAAGAAATGGACCCTATCTTGGCCGGTCTGGACATTGCATTTTTGACGCCCATACAGTCCATCTTGGCGGAAATCAAGAAGGTAACCGGCATGACACCGCGCATTTTGTAACTTTGCAGAAGGTAGAAGAACATGCTTCAGTTTTTGTTTATTTACTTCTATATCTATTTATTCATTTTAACGTCGCCATTCAAGGGGTTATGCCCTAAGAACTAACACGCCTCCCTAAGGGCATGTGACGGAGGAGGCAGGGGATGTCTGATGACAGCCTAACCCGCTCCTCACGCCTATCTAGGTAGCTGCAAAGCAGCTGATGTGCTTCAGATACTAGCAAGTGAGAAATGCAAAATGACAAGAACACACAAAGGTTTCCACAAAGTGCCAAACACTGGTAATTGAGGTCTTGAAAACATGGAAGGAGCCCTTATATGGAAGAAACCGAATGGAAGCAGTAATAAGCCGTAAGTGAAAATAATATCAAAATGGTAAGACAACAAGGGCTATCCGTGTGTATGCAATGCTTATAGGGACCTGGCTTGATTCAACCATCGATGTCTAGTCTTAGCAGCGAGCAGAGTCATTCTCTAGGTGTCGAGCGGGCCTTCATTGAAATATTGCCGACAGGAAGTCACCTATCGATGAGTGGTCATCTGACGAAGTGTCTGGGTCTGGGTCGTTGCTAGAAGTGGCGAGGTTGTTGACGCCATTGGCGAGTTCGACAGTGTTATTGACGGCTGTGAGTGTCACTTCAGCTCGAGATGGCGCCCGAGATGCCGCCCGAGATGCCGCCTGAGATGCTGCCCTAGCCTCTTTCCGAGACTTGTGACCCCGAGCATAATTAATTGCCAAAAATCCGCCAATAACAACAAAGGCAATTGGATCCATGGCTTTGTAGAGCAAATAGTCTTGTGAAATCTTTGTCTTGTAGAAAAAAGGAGAGGCTGGCAGTGCGAAGTGTGACGGGGTAATAAATGGAAGACCAATCTGTAATTGATCTATGGGTGTAGTGGTCGAATTCTGTGTTTATTGCTGCAATCGAGTGCACGATGAGCTCTGCTTTATACGCGTAAAGCAAAGCTTTGCATGGCAGAGAGAAGAGTGCATGTTACCAACCGACTTGCACAGCCCCGACATGGGCAGAAATCGGGGCATATTTCTGGCTTGCCTTGCATGGTAACTTAATGCGTCTGACCTCTTTTGTACTTGGAAAAAAGGAAACAAACTACAGCTGTAAGGCCTAGCCTGTTTATTTGCTTTTTGTTATACTCAGCCTTCCCATAAAATATGTGATAAACGTACAGCCTCCAAGAAAATACCGAAACAGAGCACCTCGCATTTTACATAGTAGCAGCATACAACCTATCAATTAGCCAATACTGAAAGCCTATGAAAAAAATTTACCAGCAGAGTTGCAAACAATAACCCTCACCTCAGGTGATCATATTACACTCAGCTTGTCCTATGCGAGTAACAGTAGCAGTTTGGATTTTTTGACGACACTCCTACGACTGCTCCAAGACTACTCGGCGAAGGGGGAGGGTAGCCAAAAGACGAACATTGCGGCTGTAGTCTGATCGATTCATATGTAAATCACAGGCCTCCTTCTATGGTGACGATCTAATTGTATTCGGGTACAATTTTCACTGGAGGATCATTAGCGCGATCCTGCAGCGAAGGATTCGATCTTCCACAGTGTGCCTGTCTTCGTCATATCTTTGGTCTGCTCTGATAGGTCCTGCCTAGTCAGGTTTACACCGGCCTGCCAGTATGCTGTGCCTCTGCCCGTCCCGCTCCTGCCGAATCCACCCAGGCCTCCGATCTCTCCTTCGATATACGGAGTACGCTACAACCTCCATTTACTCTGTAGTCTATGTCTTCTAGCCCCTTTCTTTTCACATATACTAAGAAAATGCAGCCAGTGTTACGGGCACGATTTACCTGCGTGCCCCAAAGCGCCGTGTCGATAGTGCTTATGTCGGATCACCCTCAACAGCGGCTTTCTGTTTTGAACTCGTCTACTCGTATACTCGTGACATCAAATCTGGCATGTCATGCTAGTTGAGGGGTGTGCGTGGACCTGGCGCTCTGGTTAAGCGACCTATGTAGTGTTGTTAGGCTAATTGGGGCTGACGCTGAACCCGATTCTCGGATGGGCGGTGGCTGTTGGATTGGCACTCGCGGCAGCGGCGTGTTGCTCGATATGTTGGGCTGGGTAGCCTGCACCGGGAGTGACGCCCGGCCCGGCTTCCTCGAGAAGAAGTGCGGAGGACTGCCTTACGTCGACATAGAACATGGAGCTGCTGCTGATGCTGTGCTTGCGTGATTGATCAGCTGGGCGACCTAGATGGGCTCCAAAGACCCCCCCCCCCCCCAACACGAATGCCTTTTTCCATTAGACCTGATTGTTCTCATATCCTTCAATCATTAAACCTCTTGGTACTAGCTGGATTTGTCTTCCGACAACAAGGGCACAGCTGCGGTTTTCAACCTGGTCGTTGACTGTTTGGAGCAGGACTCCACGTTAGCCGCATACGGCTTTTAAGGGGAGTCTGCCAGCAAATTGACTTTCGGAAGGAAGGCAAGGAGGAAAGGGGCCGTTAATAGAAGCTATTTCATGCTGATACGGTGATTCTTGCGGAAGTACCGAGTGGCAGACCACCTCCAGAAGACGGTGCAGGAAGTAAGTCACAGCACTCTGTCACCGAGGATCACGCGTATAGCTCTGCCCATTAATATGGCAGCATCGCCTCAGATTTATAATTGGACGAAATTCTATCTTTCAAATATACATATACCTTCGAACATTCCCTTTCTCTGCACCGCGGAATATTCTATAAGCCAGGAGGCTATGACATAACGACCGTTATTCCAGTATTGCACAAACAACGACAGTCAAACAGGAAACCGTTGCTGAGGGTGATCTGGTAAAAGCGTCGACACGGCGCACCTGGGCACGAAGGTCAATTCTGTGTCTGTAGCAGCCACATGGCATGTGTATATATGCTGTACATGACACAATGGGTCACTGTGCAGAATATATTGCCTCAGTGCGTCCTTGCAATAGTCAGATTCAAAAGTCTTCATGCTCGTCTTACAGGGTGTGGGATCTCCTTCCAAGACTTCTACATCGCTCTAGCGTTCTGATGTCAGCCGCGCTTCGTCTTCCTACTCAGCTTTCTATACACACTGCGAGCGCACTTCTAATATTTACTCACTTTTGTGGTGAAAATCGTGATATAGAGGTATTTGTGTTGCCCGTTCTCTTCAGACGTTGGCCTTCACTTCGACCGCTTCATTTACCCTCTACAGAAGATTAGTGTTCACGCGGTTTGTTCATCCTGTGATGTAAAGACTTTAACTTAGACAAGAACATTAACTGTTAGCGTAGGCTATTCGTCCTTATGGCTGGTACTCTCTGGAGGCCAGTTTGGCTGGACCGTCGTCGCTGGCACATTGGAAGGGCCGGGGTGTTTCTACTACAAGGTTGGTTGCCTACTGTGTATACAACGTTATCTTTTGAGAACACTTCACTAATTAGTAGGACCTCCTTTCTAGCAAAATATTTTTTGCCTCCGTGACTACTTCTTTCCAACACGTCGACCACTCTGTTATGGCCTGAGTTTGGTGCCGACTCGTCGACCATTCGATTGGGTGGCTATATCCCAAAGAATTGATCTTTCTCACAACCAGAATACAAGACAAAGGCATATTTTAGGCCTTTAAGCATGGCAGGACTACTAGGTTACATGTAGGCTTTTTAAACGAGGTGAGATCTATACGCCGACTATTCTATACCCACGACAAGCCCCAAGTAATCACCAGAAAGTAATGCATCGTTTCGGATCAACCAGAGAAGGCTTCCAGCCGAGTTAGAGATTCAGGTGCCGCGGTTTATGCTGGGGGTCGGTTAGGAGTTTTACTAATGGCTGTGGCAAAATTGACCCTTCATCTGCTGATATAAGTGATGTCACCTAAGTCACACCCATCGAGGCCATCCTTCAATTTCTGGAAAATAAGTTTGGCAAGGTGGAAATTCTGTAATAGACGAAGAGATACGGAGAATTATGCCGACTGGACAAAAAATGCTAGAGGACTGATTTCTCCACTCTTTTCTACCACTGGCTGGCCCTCTGCAGAGGCGCCGTTTTACGGAGTAATTGGCTTTATAATGCAGCCTTTTCCGATTGTTACTTCCACTGTAAAGTTTTATAAGTCAAGGGAATAGAGTCATCAATGTAAGGAAGGCCTCTCAAAAGGGCCAACAAGGCAGTTACCTCCTGGTCAGTTCCTTTTCTCTTAGTATTATTGTTCTCTATACATGAACAGTGATTCAAGACTGCTATGACCGCCTTTTCCTCGCTTGCCTCGCTTGCTAGTGATTTCTTATTAGTTGTTGGTGAAGTTGTCGTCATAGGGACGACTGAAGAGGTGACCAGCTGACTATGTATGTACGGAGTAAAATACGTCGTACGGACTACTTCATATTATAACTCCGTAGATGTTCGCCTATTGAGGTATCCTCCAAGTGGGTCGTCACACTCCATCTTTTTCGAACATTAGCTAGCAGGGGCCAAACAACCTAGTGCGCGTACCTGGCATTAGCGTGCGGTACATGAAAGAAAACGGGTTTTAGCTCAGAATTTCCCCGCTGGTGTTTTTCTTCCCTCTTCTCCCTCGAACCAACTGCATCTTACTACATCGTGATATGTTTTGCTGCTTTGCGACAAAACTACTCGACGCTCAGAATTCGCAGTCTGAAAGCTTAGGAGCTAATCGCTTGATACTCTGCAGAGACCAGCAACTGCACGAAATTTCATTGCACCGGTTCGTTTTCATTCACCCTCGATTCCTAGTCACTTCGGCTCTCAATCACCTACACCGACCGACCATGTCTCAATCGGCTGACACCGCAACCAGACCGCGCCCGAAAAAGTGCGTAACTTTTTCAAAGGACTGTGTTGTCTTTGCTGGTGCCTTTGGCCCTGCCATTGCTAGTGCGTAAGCTTCGGCTACGCGCACAAGATCACGGCAAGACTCACATCGTTACGCAGAAGAGACCAGGAACCGTTCATCGGCTTCGCCCTGGACTTTCCCTAGGTGACCCTAATGAAATGGAGAATTTTGGCTTTGGCGTCCGTTATTATGGTATGTGTGATACTGTCAAGTTTGTCTTTTTCTTAATTATTTATTGTTTCCTTATTTATTGTTTCCTTATTTATTGTTTCCTTCTTTGTTGTTTCCAATTCTATAGTTTCTTACTACAAAGTTGCCCTCCGGAAAAGCGGTCCCTGCAGCCAAACCAACGGGGTCAGCGGCCGAGGCACGCCCTGCCCGGGTTTCAAGAAAGCCACCGGTCCCGAAAGCACCCACTCGAGCGAAGCCGGCAGCGAAGACGACGGCAGCGGACGCCGTAAGAGCTGGATCGGAGGCCTCGTCAGCAGCCGCGACAACAGAGAAAGGAAAGAAGGCGGCAGGGGAGAAAGCCAGCGCGGCAACCTAGGCCCAAACTAAAGAGGAAGCCAGAATGGCGATTCGAACGAAACAGCCCAACCTAGAGGACCCGCCGCGCACCCCCTCGCCCCAGAGTATGCCGACGTATGATCACACTGCGTCGCCCACGCTGCACTACTCCCCACCGCACCAGCCGCACTGGCCCGGGTGGCGGGCCAGCGAAGAAGCCTATGCTCTGGCGAACCGACCGCCCCGCCCCGCGAGAACTGAGGAGCCAGGGAACGCTCAGAACGAGGGAGAGGTAGGCGAAGGAGCGGCCCAGCCGGCTCAGCCAGTGGAGTGAAGTTTTGCGATCGAAGTCCCCCTAGAATGTAACCCCTTTTTGCTTTTAACCATTGTTAACGTTCATCCTTTCGCTCTTTTGTCTTGTTTCTCTTTGCGCGCCACGATCGAACTGCTCAACCAGGACGACGATAGACCACTTCGGATTACCAGATCAGACTGCTCAACCAGAATGACCATAGCAGGAGTACCTTGCATTTACTGACATTTCACTTTTCCGCTCCGATCGAATTTCGTCCTGCGAAAACTGTCTTTTTACATGTCGTGCAGTGCTCCCCCATAGTTAGCTGCGTTTCCTTCCAAAACGAAGAAGGCTCTCACCGACCAAACTGCTCCTGGATGCCTCTTGACGTAAAGGTCTAGTGGGCATATGACACGGCATCGTCGTGTCTTAGCACTCCGCTTCTGTTGATTCACATCTGACCGATTCTAGTCGACATGAAGGAAGACAGCGGCGCAGTAAAGCCTACGAACTTCCACAGGATCGTTGTGCGGTTTCCTCGGTACGACATCAAGATCGTTGTGGACGAGCCCGGCAACGCCATGCGCGCCAAATTCCCCACGGCGCCAAAAATCTGTCTTTTCTGAGCGTCTTTGTCAGGGAGGATGCGTATTCCGGCGTACCGCCTCGTGGTACAGGTATGCAGCCTGTTTCCCGACAAGATTTTACTTTATGATTTGTCGCTCTGCTAACTATTGTGGCACAGCTCCGCATGTGTCGCGGCATGTTTGGTCATATCACAGACGTCCCCAACCGGTATGCTCCGCCATTTTTTTGTCCACTGCGCTGGGTCGCAGGTTTTCACCAACCCAATCACGGGCTCGAGGCGCTGCCCCAACCAGACCAAGATCGCTCTTGACTTCATTCGCGATTTTATCGAAGCGAATAAGGTCGACGCCCGCAGCGTGCGTGTACTTACGCCGTACGCGGCGAATGTGTACCTGATCAACAGCATGGTCAGGCTGCCCGAGTACTCTTCGCTGTCTTCAATGGAGCCGGCCACGACCGTCGACTCATTTCAGGGCCTGGAGGCCGACATTGCGGTCGTCGTGCGGGCGTCAGGGTCAACTCCGGCTCCCGCCGGAGTTGACCCTGACGCCCGGCTCCTGCCGTTGACGTCCCTTGACGCTGGGACTCCGTCCCAAGCGTGGACGCGTGTTGCCACGGCCCTCGAAGCCATGGCAAGTTGTCAAGCATTGGAATCCGCCACACTGTAGACCTTCCGCCCCATTTGGCCGTACGGGCCTGTGATTGGTCAGAAGGCACAAAAGCGGGACCTGACACTAGTATTGATACGGACCCCCAGAAGGGTCGCGATGTATCTATTTCTTCCTTAGCACACACTAGACCCTATTCAGCCTCCTGCTCCTCACAGTGCATCACGTTATATGACCGCCACGTACTCCGTATAGCCTCCTTTAACCTTCACACAAGTCCCTCCTCTCCTGTTGCCGAGTCCACCGGCTGAATGTTATGCTCAGCAGACAGCGGTGCGGCCTGGTCGTATTCGGTGACATCAACATCACTGGAAAGCTCGGGGGGAGGGCAAGGCCAAGGCCAAGGGTGGTGATAAGTTCAAGGTAGAGGGCATCCACGGGAACACATACTTCACCAGAGCTATTGCTCTGAAGGCCCTGAACCAGCGTTGGCACAAGCAGAATAGGCTTGCCTGGGTGACAAAGTCAGCTGCTCGGGAGAGTTGTTCTTGGGACCAGTGCCAATCTAGATCTTAATTGAGAGAAATGCTTTCGTCACAACTTTACTCGTAAAATAATTTATTAACACTGGGCCTCCTGACCCAGTAACCCATTCATTGTAGTAAAGAACTTGAACGCTCAGCAATCTCTGTCATTTCTTGAAAACTACAGGAAACACATCTGTTACACCCCCCCATACTTTTCCTGCATCATCTTGAATCGACGAAACTCTTCAAACAGCTCCTTGTCGAATTGCCCGCTGTCCTGCTCCTTGGACTTTCCCTTGGCGATTCCCATTGGCGGCACCGCCTTCTCCTCCTCCGCCCCACTTTCGGAACTTCCCGACTCGCTTTCCGAAGGCCTGCCTGCACCTATGGAAACGTTATGGTCCTGATCATTACGCCATTGATCCTTGGCCGCAATCTCGTCGTCGAAGCCCTGCAGGGTGCGGATTAGGTAGTCGCCAAATTTGCGCGAAGCCTCGGCCACCACCTTGAACTGCTTCTTCCCGAGCGATGGCTTCTTGGACGTTGATGTCTGCTTGATAATGTCGTATTCGACGAGTGCAATGGCCGTCTGGAACGCGTTTCGAATTTGTCTATTCGCTTAGCATGTGCAGTTCTCTCCGGGACCTTGGGAATGCAACCTACCTCCCATTCCAAGTTCCCTGCTTGTGCAGACTCTCGTGGTGCCGCTTGGCAAAGCTGAAGATTTCATCCTCCTTGATGCGGAACTGCAGGGCTCCCGGTCGCTGCATCGCCTCCTTCGTTTTGTGCAGAAAGACCTCGCAGAGTTTGAGAACTGCATCCAGACCCAGACGAGGATAGTACAGGCTTAGATGGACACGAGACTTGAAGGCTGGGTCAATCCCACCGACTCAGTTAGTCGTCAAGAACAATATCTCAGAGTAGTATTCGAGGCTTCGTAGGAAAACGCTCGTCACAGCATTGCGCCGGAGGTCCGTTTTGTTTCGCTTGGCCAGAAAAACGTCGGCCTCGTCCAGAAGAAGCACACAGCCCCATTTCTGTGCCAGTCGGAAGTTGTGGACCAGATTCCTTTCCACTTCCGCGGCCGTCTCTCCGATATCACCACATGTTATAGGGAACAGTGGCCGCTCTGTCTTGTCGGCAATACATTCTGCCGTCGATGTTTTGCCCACTCCTGTCTCTGGTTAGCGGATTCCTGGAGAGGATTTTCATATCTCCCACACTCACCTGGTTCCCCATGAAGAAGAATGATAAGGCCAGCTCCTTTCCCCTTCACAATATCAAGCGAGTTGGCTGTTGATCTCTCAGCAGCTTCGGAAGAAGCTCCGTGCCCTCTTTCGTGCGTCTCTACCAATGCAAGAACCGTTTTCTTATGGTCAGCTGGAAGCATGAGCTCCTCAAAATTATTTTCAAAGGAAACAGATGATAGTCCTGCCATGGGCACTGTGACCCATTGCCGGCTTCGCAGGACAAACGCGTACACAGAAGGTGGCATCAAGAGAAAATCTTTCTGCTGGAGGTCTTCCACCTTTCTGTCTTCGAACAGTCCCCCATAGTCGATTCGAAAGATATCCTGCTGGTCACATTTCATTTCCAGATCTGGATAAATCATGTCCGTTCCGCAGCATCCAGATCTCAGTCTGCCATGACTACAAGGGGACAGTTCTTGTATCTCACGCTTATCGCTTGGTGTAAAATCGTCTCTACTATAATCGGTCTGAGGTTCCCATTGTGAATTGTAACTGAATGCCAGAGTCATATCCACAATCACCTGGCCATCAATTTGTTGTGACAGCTGGTCCAGCGTTCTGCCGCTAAGTTTTTGATGTAAATATGGACTCTGAGTCAAGCTCACATATTGACGTCCCTGGGCCAATAGGCGCCTTTCAGTGACCTCCTTGTCGGACGTGAACTTTAGCGGGTGTATCTCCAGCGACGAGATGTGACGTTTGCCGTAGTATCTTCGAATCTTAAATGAATGTAAAACCGACTTGTAGTAGGAACCTTCGAAATATAGACAGCAACAATCAACAACAAAGCCATTGGGAGGGACCACTCGGTCTTCTTCAGATTCAAAATTCTTGCTCAGAGGCTCACGACCCCCAGTAAAGTTGACAACTTGATATGCATGCTCTGAATCCGAGCGACTGACGACGATATCCCCCAAATTGAAGAGATGCCACAGGTCTGCATATTCAATTTCTGTGGCAGTGCCGGCATCGATTTCTTTCCGCAAATCGAAAGTCTGTCTCAAATCCACATCCATGAACTCTAAAAGAGAACAAAGGTCCTGGTATAGTGCCTTGAAGTTGAAAAGAAAGTGGACATTTGTGTCATAAAAAGACGTATCGGGTGGTGCATCACTTTCTTCTTCTTCCTCTGCTCGTTTTCGGACATTTTCCAGACTCTCTCTTATCTTTTTTTCGTAGATTGCCAGAAGTTTGAAGGGACGTAGTAAGACAGTAGGTGCAAATTTTTCGGCACCATCCGCGAAGTACATAACGACCACTTTCTCGTCCTCGCAAATATCGGCGAGATGCCAACGCAATGGCCAGGATCAGATTCGCAACCTCTCAGGTGATTCGCAAATCCCCGTTGGCTTCCTAGAGACGAGGCTGCCACTTTCTTCCACTTGTTCGTGATAAGGAATCACGTTTTGGCCAAGCGCCTCCAGGGCCGAAAGTTGATGGACATCTTCTGTCTCTACCTTCTTTGAATATCGAAACTCGGCTTGCACGGATCTCTTGAGACCCGGCTGGAAGCTGGGTGCTATTTCTAATTCTTCTTTGATCCTGTGCTTGTGTTCAGGAATTTGGAGAACGATATTCTTTAGATTTTCGAGCCCCTTTTCGAGCAACTCCAGTCTCTTTTCAGTCAGTGATACATGAATGATGGCCTGTTTTGACCGGCGCGCAAATCCTTGAGATTTTTCTTTTTCGAACAGATCGGACCACAAATTGTACTGCATATGCTGGGCTATTCTATCCGCTGATGAAGTTTTCTCGTGTTCGTCATCTTTGATGCTGGAGCGCACTAGGCTGTCAGCAGCTTTGATTTCTTTGACTTCGGCTAAAACACCTTCGCCGATTGAGTTGACATCCTTGACATCAGACAAGTCCGCCATGCTTTCCTGGCTCATCTCTGTTCTGCTAATTTCTATTGTGTCGTAAAATGTGCAAGACGGATGACAAGTATAGGCCTGATGTGATTATTTCAGGAGAGAATCGGGAGAATTGAAATTGGCAGGAGTGAAGTGGTGCATGAGGAGTTTATTACAGCCAATCCTCTTTAGCTAAGCCGCTTTCTGCGGACAACCCCCTCAAAAAGATAAGCCTATGATGCAGAGTATCGGCTCCGTCTCCTACTCAATATCCAATCAGTGATGGACGGGTCAAAGATAAGGGGCTTACGGTGGCGGAGCAATGATGCCCATTTCAGCCGCGTTTACGCCCGAATGGAACCCAATATCACGAGTCCTCGAGCCTGTCGCGACCTAACAGCAGTTGGCATGTGTCTCAAGACAACACGGACATGGATTCTGCAGAACGGAGGGACTATCTTCTACAGAGAGGGCACCTTCCGTCAAACGCTGTCATCGAATTTATGGAGAACAGGGTGATGGTTGGTTCGGGAACGGCGCTGGTGTTTTCGGAGAGTAGCAGCGAGTTTGTCTCGGTGGACGAAATCAGGCGAGAACAGGAAATCAGGTATGAATGAGTGCCAAAGACACGTTAAAAGCTTGACCAACAAAAAGTATAGTGCAGAGCTATGGGCGCAAGCGAATGCCCAAAAAGCCCAGCTCTTTGATCTGCTCGAGCAAGTGAACAAGAAACTCGACAAGAAAAGCGGCAAGATCAGCCCGGTACCTGGGAAGGACCTGCGAAAATGCGATTGGGACGAAGTTCTGCAGGAGATTCAAACAACGACACAGCGATGGTCAAACGGGCCTAGGAGGGGTTCAAAGGTGGCACAGGTTATTTCGAGGCTGGGTAACAGCTCAGAGGCTTTCAATAGCTGGATCCAGCTCCTGCCAGCTGGCGACTACGGCTCGAGGTGAGCTTGCTCTCTCTTGTGGATTACCTTAAGCTAATGCGTTCTGCAAAAGTATATGCGGTGCCTTTACTCTTATCATAGGGGTAAGTGGAACCAGGACCTTTTGCAAAAAGTATCACGAGTCTCGGCTCTAAAATGTAAAAGGCAGCAGAACAATACAGCCATGTCGAAGAAGCCGTACTCGAGGGCCTGGCCAAGATCCCTGAGATCATTGACGGCGCAAAGCGATATGTGCAAATATACGCGCAACAGAAAAAAAACCGGCTGGAAAGAAGAACATTCGACATTTACTTGGCCATTTTGAGAGCGCTTGTTCATATGCTTAAGTTCATCCTTGAAGGATCGCTCCGTGCGTGCGCTGGTTTTTTAGTGCGATGGCAACAAGCCAATGCTGACACTTTTGTCTATAGGAAAAACCGGGCTTGCCATCTTACAGCAGTCTTCCTATAAGAAGCAGCTCGTTAGCAGCATTGATGACATTCAAAGTCAGGCCAATCGCTTGAAAGAGGAAGCCACCCAGTGCTCACTGATGCGGCAGAAGGAAACGAACGATACAGTGTTAGATATTCAAAGCACCCAAAACTTAGCAATCTTGATGAGCATGGAACACAAACGAAAGTTGAACGCCATGTACGGTCTTTTGGAGAGCAGTTTGCTGAGTGAGGTCCCTGACGTGTATACTAGACACATTTGTACACTGGCTAATTATCTCAACAGACTACCGGATGTTGCTAGATGTCCAGAACGATGAGCTGAGTGGCCTTCAAGGGAGAAAAATGCTCGGGGCCCCGAGGACGTCGACCAAGGGTATGTCACCCAGCCTGTGCATCGGCACGTGTCACAATTGCTTGCCCAGCTAATGTGCCATAGGGCAGGTGAAGAAACTGCAGCGTCTATTGCGCTTTGACCCGAACGCGGTCGCGAGCGATGTCGAGGCCTGTCTCCGCAGCGGCAACGCCCTCGACGAAAGGGGCCAGTCCAAGGCGGCCGCGTTGATCCGTGCGGCCATGTTCCAGCGGTTCATGAGGGACGAGACCTCATCAGGCTCGCTTCTGGTCAACGGCAACGAGGACCAGGCGTCTGTCGACGGCCCGTCGCCGCTGACGCTGGTGGCAGCCAAGCTAGTGACGATTGCCCAAGCTGTGGGAGACGGCGCCGATTCTGATGCTGCTGCTGATGCTGAAGCCAAAGCTGTCGCTCGTTCCGGGTCCACCTACGTGGTGTCCTACTTCTGCGACAGGCACGTGCCCTACGGCGGCGGTGACGCCTTTGCCCGCTCGCCCGAGGGCCTGATGGCCAGCCTGTCGGGCCAGCTGCTGGAGCAGATGCGGCGTCGCCGACAGAAACGACGAGGCACGGCCGCCAGCGTCGACGTCGATCTCTCCTTTGTCAAAGCCGACACCTGGACCAAGATGCAGGCGGGGCGCTACGATCTCCGCAGGCTGAGTCAGCTGTTTATTAAGCTAACAGGGCAGCTAGCGCCGTCAGACGTGCTGCTCTGTGTGCTCGATGAGGTGTCGCTCTACGACACGGGCACACTCCGGAGCGGCCTGCTCGACGTGCTGCGGCGACTGACATGCCTGGCCGGCTCAGCCGAAGGTGGCCCCTGCGTCAAGCTGCTGGCGACGTGTCGCGGCACAGCCGGCTCGGCCGGACAGTACTTTGCCAGCCGCAGCGGCAAGGTCTTGGAGCTCGACGGGGAGGGCGCTGAGATCGAGGACTCGGCAGCCTGGGAGATTGCTCACATGAGATGAAGAGAGTAGGGACGCATGGAAGGAGTATGTGTAGGTTGTTACGCACAATTGTAGGTAGGGTTTGTATACAATGTATTAAGGAGTACTTTGAGGGCTGTAAATGGGGTTGGGACAGTCTTGAACAAAGAGCGGCTGCTGCCTATAAGATCTTATAAGATACAAGTATCACACGCAATTAGAGTTGTCGTCCAGCCGGCCAGTCATTTGATAGCAAAGTCTACGACCGTACATTGTCCTCTTCCAGACAGGACGGGCTGCTTCAAAATTACTCATATATTCGTTTACTTTGAAGGCTAACCTGTGCAAAGCTAAAATCATTTCTACTTGCGGTCTGCAACAAATCCAGCAACAAGATGACAGAGCTTCTAGATTACGGTTTGGTGCAACGCCTGTCTATGCACTGCTCAGCACCTCTAGAAGCTTCGGGAAGATGGGCGACCCAAGACCAGTGACGGGGTCCCAGCCCTTGGCCGTGGGAAAGCCGGTGGTGTTGCAGCCAGGGTTGCTGCCGACGGTAATGTCGGTGAAGACCTCAGGATGCTGGTACAGGATCGGGTGGATGAAGCCGAGCGTGCTCTTGCCGTCGGCAATGCGCTCCTCGTTGACGAGGTTCAGCACAGCCGCGAAGACAGGCGCCGCCAGGCTGGTGCCGCCTACCAACCACCAGGAGCCGTTGGAGTAGACGACCTGGCGGTCGCCCACGGCAGCAACGTCGGGAAAGGCGCGGCCGCCGTGGTGGTAGAGGCCGCCAGTGACGGAAGAGAAGTTGCCGTCGGAGACGTAGTGGTGGTAACCCTGGAACGGCAGGCTGCTCTCGACCTGGTCAAAGTAGGCGCTGACGGCATCGCGCTGGTAATCGGGGATACCAAAGACGTTGCTGAAACCACCACCGCTGGCGAAGCGCGCTGTGGCCACCTCAGTGAGCGGCTCGTACGGCTGCTCCTTCCCGGTCGCGTTGGCCTGACGGTCCCATTCGGTACTGCCGACGGCCAGCACGTACGGACACGTAGCTGCGAAGCTAGGGTCGAAGATCTTGCCTGAATCCCCGTTGCACACCTTGCCGCCCACACCCGAATCACCGCTCGACATGACCACGGTTGTGCCCTGCAGCCCTAGCTTCATCCACTCGTTGCACTGCCGCTTAAGGTAGTAGTCCGGCAGCTGTGCCTCCGTCGCCCCGTAGCTGATGCTGATCACATTCGTCGGCTTATACACGCCACACTGCAGCTGGCCCGTGTAGCCGCCCGGGTTCAGGTCGGGGTACGACGGGTCCCGGCATGCCTCCTCCGTGCAGTCGCCCGTCTCACCGTACGCCGAGTATGTGCAGTAGCTGCCGTCGATCGCGTCCAGGAACGTGTTCCAGAACCCGTTGTAGTCGTTGGTCGATTCGTAGTACTCGTCGTTGTCCTGGAACAGCACAGCCCCCTGCGGATAGATCAGCGGCCACGCCGAATCAAAGTCGAGCGGCGCCTCGAGTTCACTGGGCACAAACTCCGTCGTGTCCTCAATCGCCCCGATGGCGCCGTCAATCAACCGCTCCTCCGGGTATGTGCCGTTCGGGATGTGTCTGTGGGTGGTGAGCAAAAAGAGCCTGCTTGTATCGTTGGGTACGCAAACACTCACGGGTACAGGTGGCTGAAGTAGACGTCGAGGTCCGCGCGGCTGTAGTGCACATCGAGACTCTCGTAGATGCCGATCTGGTTGCCTTCCGCTGCCAACGTGGCGTTAGGGATCTTGTACTGGTCTGCTTTGGTCAGCCGCTTGTCATCTAGCCTAGAACTTTTATTTTTGTCAAAAACACTCACTCTGTGTGCACTCCTTGGTGACGTAGAGAGAGCACGTGCTCGAGTTCGGGTGCGGGAAACCCGGCAACTTCACAATGTCCGGCCGCGGGTGGTTGTCGTACGCGCTGCGCTTCTGCACCTCCTGCATGCGGGCCTCCCGCTTCGTCCGAAGACGCACGCCCGGCGTCACGTAGTCCACATGCTCGCGGATACGTTCCGGCAGGTGGTACTCCTCCGTCGAGATGTCGTGAGCACCCGTCTCGGTGTGTTCCCACATAAAGAACTCGGCGAGCAGCAGGTCCTCGGCCTCCTCAACCGTGGCGTCGAACTGCAGCCACTGCTTGTTTGCAGACTGCCCGATGCGCTCAGCGGCAATGCCGTGGCCCGTCAGCCATTCGTGGACCGCGCTGACGGCCGACGGCGCCGGCGCAAAAAAGTCGGCCACCTCTTCGGCCGACATGTGCTTGCCGTAGAGGGCCGAACCAGGCGTGGAGCTGTTGTGGTTAGTCATCATCTGCCTCTCTCCTCAGGCCTTATTCCGCCAGACGTACATTTCCATCAGCCTGTCGTGGCCGGCCCCGAGATTGCTCTGTGTCAGGCCAATCCGCATCGGCAAGACCTTGCCCGATGATACCTTGGACCGCTTCGTCCACGCCGACGACCAGTGTTCTGCATGGCGCTCATGCAGCTGGTGTGTCGACGGCACCTCCCGTCGCCGCACCGGGCTGGCCAGACTCAGGCCGGCCGCGGCCGCCAGCATCAAGGCTTTGGGGAGCATCGTTCAAGGGTGCGTGTTGGCTGTCCTGTCACCTTGGGCTGGGCTGGGATGAATGCTGCTCCTTGGTAGCTAGCAGATCGATAGCTGATGAGGCGGACATGCACGCAAACATATACTGGCGCAATCGTGTGGGCATTGAAGTTGCTGTGGAGTCCCAGGGCTAAATACCCATGCTCGTATGCTGGCGTATCCCAGGCTGCATCCCAAGCCTAGTTGGGGAGGTTGTAAGCGTATCGAGTATCTATTGTATTGCCAGCCACCCCAATCCCCGAACAGGCAACTCTGCGTGGTGGCGAGGCGACAACAGGAACGAGCAACGATCAGCGGTGTCCGTTGGTGATCGGCCTACGCCTGCAATAGGCTCAGGACCCTGCACATCCCATGTTGTGCTAAGCTTTTGCTGGTAGTGCTTCCTCCTTTAGGTAGGTCAGAAGACGGACATATCAACACTAAGCCGGGAAACACGGATCATCAAGGGAGGGGGTCGTGCATATTCGTACATGGTGGGAAATTGGCATGTCGACCAAAAGAACTTCCTGCTCGAGCTGCAGCCGCTTGTTTCTCGGACATGACCTCTACAAGGGGCATGCTGTCTGGGAGCCTGTTTTGGCTGTTGCTTCTTCGTCCAGGCACCTCCCTCTTCTGGCCAAGGGCTGTGGGCCAGACCTGCCCGCGGATGGGGCGTCGTGCCGAGCTAAGAAACAAAACAGCATTTCGGTAGGCTGGGCTGAGAGAAGGCTTCCATGTCGTTTTATTCGCAAACTGCTATAATCCGCTCTGGAAGCTGGTTGGTGTGTCTGCAAATAGGCTGTGCCAAAGACACCTTCTTTCGCTGTCTGAGTTGTTTACTTGGGACCTGCCTTGTCCAACTTGCAACAGCGTTGTGGTGGGGTGCGCACTACGTCGTATGGTTGATCGCTCTTGCCCCTCCTTATCTGCAAGAACTCGTATTGATACGAGTATCTTGCACGCGAAAGGAACCTACCTAGGTTCTTACTGCAACGCTGATATAACGTGATCATAGCACCTAATTGCTCGATGGTATCCGTGCCTTTCCGCCTGTACTAAGCGCTGCGGGCTGCTAGGTTTAGCCTGCTAGAGTCAGTCTCAGCTCCCTCTTCAGGCCAAGCCCTCTCATCCTTCCAATGGAGCGGAGTTGTATGTATGGAACAGGAAGGATGTGTGTCGCGGCCATTCAGGTCACCAATAGTGAGTTTGCACTCGCACAAGAGTCTTATGCAGAGACCTCGGCAAGGTGTAGAATGATTCTTACCATTCTCTTCTCCACCAGCCTCTTGACATGACGTAATCGCCTTGGATAACCCAAAGTATCCTATGTCGTACTTCGTACTCCATACGAGTATCCATACGCGAGATACGAGTACTCCGTACTGTTGGTGCTCGGCAGCGGCAACCGAAGTTGGGCAAAAGTGGACTGGTCCGTTACAGCTAGCAAAATGCCCAATCTGTTGCATGTTCGTATATGTCTGCATCTGTCCATGCATCTCCGTTAACGGAGGTATTGCACGGTATAACAGGCCGATCCACAACGGCTTCGGCTTCAGGTACCGATCAATGACCGTTGCGCTCTCAATCGGACCGTGTTCCAAGCAGCTATAACGGCGATAATGATGTGCCTGCAGTGATATCTTGCGTGCCGTGGGGCTCGGCCTTCTGCGAGGATAAGCAGGAGAATGACGACTGGCGGCCGAGACGTTATGAAGTATACAATGTGCTGCAGGCCAGTTATTCTGGATCTGCTTTATCCATGAAAGCCAACGATCCCTCTTCAGCTGGCCAGACATCATGGGAAGTATAGTCGCACCCGAGACCCAGTCCAGGTTTGCAGATCTCGAGCTGCTTCCCTACGACGAGGCCTACATTGTCCAGAAGAGCTTCGTCGACGATCCATCGCCAGACAAGATCACCCTTGGCGCTGGCGTCTACCGGGACGAGAATGCCAAGCCATGGACTCTCCCATCGGTGAAACTTGTATGTGGAGGAAAGGAAGAGACGAGTCAAGTCCACGACTGTGACCAGACAGGGCAGTTCATGCTGACCATCGATACCGCCGAAATAGGCCCTGTCCCGCCTGCCGGACGTGCATGATTACCTCCCCAGCGAAGGCTTCCCGCCTTTTGTCCAGGCCGCCCGCGAACTGCTCTTCGGGTCCCTGACTGCTGAGCTCTCTCCCCGGCTTGCCACGATCCAGACCATTGCCGGAACCGGTGCCTGTCATGTCGGCACCGAGCTGCTGATTCGCCTGCAGCGCAAGCCGACTGCCGTCTGGATTGCCGACCCGACCTGGATCAACCACAGCCTGATATGGACCATCGCGGCCGACGATGTTGAGCAGAAGCGGTATCCCTACTACGACGCAGCCAAGAGACAATTCGACTTCCAGGGCACCATTGCCGCCCTGCGCACCGCACAGTCCGGCGACGTGGTCATCCTGCAGACCTGCTCGCAAAACCCGACCGGCAATGATCCATCGCAGGAGCAGTGGAAGGAGCTGGCCGATGTGGTGCAAGAAAGGGGTCTCTTTCCCTTTTTTGACAACGCCTAGTATGCAGCATCTCTCTCTCTCTCTCTCTCCTCTCTTCTCCTTTTCTCATCATTCACACCTCAAGCCAAGGCTTCGCCTCAGGAGACCCCGATGTCGACGCCTGGGCCATTCGCCACTTTGCTAGCAGGCCCGGCATGGAACTCGGCGTAGCCCAGTCCTTTAGCAAGAACATGGGCCTCTACGGCGAACGCCTTGGCGCCTTTCACCTGCTCCTGGCCGATCCGGCTATCCTACCGGCCGCCCAGGCCAACTTGGTCCGCGTCCTGCGTGGCTCCGTGTCCTCCACTGTGTCCTTTGCTGCCCGCGCCGTCGCAGCCGTGCTGACCGAAGACGATCTGCGCACACAATGGCGCATAGATCTGCGCACTATAACTGACCGCATACAGTCGATGCGCAAGGCGCTGCGGAGCGAGCTTGAGGTGCTGGGCACTCCTGGCACCTGGGGTCATATCACTGATCAGGTGCGCCGCCTTTCTGCTACGAGCATCCGAGTGCCATGCTGTCTGTCCCCGCTAACACGCCCTTCTGGTAGCTCGGTATGTTTTCATACACCGGCCTCACAAGGAAGCAGGTAGAAGTGATGGCAAGCAAATACCACATCTATATGCTCCCCAACGGTCGCATATCTGTTCCCGGATGTCAGTATCTCCCACTGCGCATCAAACACAACCACAACTGACTGGGATAGTGAACCCTTCAAACTTGAAAACGGTAGCGGCTGCTATGGATGACGTAGTGCGAAACGTCATCTAGCCAGTTTTACCCTGTTGTCTGATTGGAGATCCTTCATATGCAAATTCAACTGCTACAACAACCCAAGTCGCGAAGACGTTCTTCTCTATTGTGAATACTAGGCCGATAAGAGAATGTGTGAAAATTATAGGAACATTTTTCGTACTCATAGATTCGAGTACACGAAACCGCATAGTGCTCCATCTATTTCGTAGCTGCAAATTGAAAGAATTATTGTCCTGTTGCAAGTGTGAGGCTGCCCGTGTATACGAGTAGAGTATGACCTCACACTGTTGGGACTGTGCTGTCCACGGCAAGCTACGTAATATGCAGTGGGCCAGAAACCCCTTTAGTCAGTCACGTTTTTCGCGTCATCTTCGCGTTCCTCGATGCTGGGTCGTTCCCCACCTTATGGTTGCCTTTCTAGCTTAGGAATTAATACTGTACCAATCTATCTCTACCTCTTCAGAGTACAGTCCTTTGGACCTTTTCATGCAACTACACCTGATTGCCCGTCTTGATTTCACAACCCAGCTCCGAGATGGCACCTGATATCCGTTCCTTCTTCGGGCCCAAAGGCGGAGCTGCAGCTCCAGCTAAAGCAGCACCTAAGGAAGACGTTCCTGCAAAGAAGGGCCGTAGCAGTGAGTCTCGCGGGTGTAATTGACTGTATTACCGGAAGATTCTAACGTCAGAAAGGCCGCAAAGTTCTGGAAGACAGCGACGAAGACGACATTGTCGAGTATGCCAAGTGCCAAATCCGAGAAGTCGACCCGTCTAACAGGCAATAGGACCAAGAAGCCTTCCAAGGCCACACCGAAGAAAAAGAAATCGTGAGCTCCAGCTGCAAATCTGTTTGGACTACAACCGGTTATGCTGACAAATCGGCAGAGAACCAGAGCAAGTCAAAGGCGTCGAGGTGTCAGCAAACGAGTATTTCTCGTCGGAAAAGGCGAAGCCATCAAAGTCACGATCAAATGCAACGAATCCCGACCTGAAGAACGCCAGCAAGACTGATATTGAGATTCGGCTTAGTCCACGAAAGAAGGACCCGGAGCCTGCACGTCCCAGCGCAGCCGCCTCTACGAAATCGACGCCGACCAAGAAGGGACGAGCAGTGGCGACAAAGAAGCGGACAACTACAGCATACAAGTCGCACAACCTCGACGACGACGATGCCTTTGTTGACGATGACGAAGACGGCGGGGATGATATATTTGCGGCTGATACCAAGAGTAGCAAACGCAAAAATGACGACTACGTTGAGGACGAAAGCGATGAGGACGACTTCATGCCAAATCCCAAGAGGGTAGCTTCTCGAGCCAAGGCAGCCGCTGCCTCTGTCAAAATATCTGATGATGAGGAATCCGACGTGAAGCCAAAAGCCAGAGCCGGCAGGGGAACGAAAGCAACCAATGACGTCAAGGGATCGACACGCGCGGCGACTGCCAAAGCTGGCCGCACATCGTCGGTGGCTGGTAAAAAACGCAAGACACCGGAGCCCGAGGAGTCAGACTTGGATATCTTGCCCGTGCCAAAACCCCGAAAGAAGCCTGCTACTGCCACCAAAGCACAAGCAGCGCCCATGAAGGACAAGACAGAGAATGGCCTGCCTTCGTCTGTACAGGCGATTTTGGCTTCTATTCCCACGGTTCGGCCGCCAACACCGCCGCCAACGGATACAAAGGCCAAATTCAACTGGAGAAAGGCGGCTGGTGGTGGTGGAAACTCGACCGCACCGCCAAACGCCGGCGCTGTAGAGCTGCCGGAAGGAGCACCAAACTGCCTTGTGGGCCAGACATTTGTATTCACGGGCCTCCTGCAGACTATTAGCAGAGATGAAGGGCAAGCTCTGGTCAAGCGCTATGGTGGCAAGGTGACCACGGCCCCGAGCAGGAACACCAGCTGGGTGGTACTTGGCGACGACGCGGGCCCAAGTAAGCTGGCCAAGATCAGCCAGCTGAGCCTCCGCACCATTGATGAAAACGGCCTGTTCGAGCTGATCAAGCGGCTACCAGCCGGCGGTGGGGACAGCAAAGAGGCCGAAAAGGCTCGGCAAAAACAGGAAAAGGACGAAGAAAAGATCAAAGAGGCAGCCGAAGAGATGGAAAGGGAAGAGGAGGCCCGCCGACTTGAGGCCGAGAAGGCGCAAAAGGTTGCTGCCAAGGTTGCGGAAAAAGCAGCCTCAGCCAGCGGGAAAGGTGGCAGCTCAAACGGCAAGGATGGAGCCTCACGCTCACAGGCAGCCCCAGCACGTGTACCAACGCCGACGGCGCAGCAACTTTGGACCACCAAGTATGCACCGACTCAACTGAACCAGATCTGTGGAAACAAAGCACAGGTTGAGCGGATTGCATCTTGGCTGAAAAACTGGCCCAAGGCGAAGAAGTACGACTTCATGACAAAGGGTGCTGACGGGCTGGGCGCCTCTCGTGCCATTATCATCTCGGGACCTCCTGGCATAGGAAAGACGACAGCAGCACACCTAGCAGCTAACTTGGCAGATCACGACGTAATTGAGACGAACGCCAGTGATACCCGAAGTAAGAAGCTGGTCGAAAGCGGTATTGGAGATACCATGGACAACACGTCGCTGCTAGGGTTTTTTGCACCAGACGGCAAGAAAGTGGACACGACAAAGAAGAACGTGGTGCTCATCATGGACGAGGTGGACGGCATGTCGGCTGGCGATCGTGGCGGCATCGGTGCGCTGGCCAAGTTCTGCAAGAAGACGGAGGTGCCGTTGATTCTCATCTGCAACGAACGGCGACTGCCAAAGATGCGGCCATTCGACCACGTCGCGTTTGACCTCAGATTCAACCGGCCGACGGTGGACCAGATTCGCTCGCGTGTCATGACGATCTGCCACCGTGAGGGACTGAAGCTGCCGCCAACGGTTGTGGATGCTCTCATCGAGGGCACAAACAAGGACATCCGGCAGATCATCAACATGCTCTCGACGGCCAAGCTTGACCAGAGTACGATGACGTATGATCAGGGCAAGGCGATGACAAAGGCATGGGAAAAGCATGTTGTGCTCAAGCCGTGGGACATCTGTCAGAAGATGCTGGGCGGCGGGCTCTTTGCGCCGGCCAGCAAGGCGACGCTCAATGACAAGATTGAGCTGTACTTTAACGACCACGAGTTCAGCTACCTGATGATCCAGGAAAACTACCTGAACACCAAGCCGATGGCGCTGAGCAGCAGCAGAGGGAACTACACGAAGCGCGAAGAGCGACTGAAGTACCTGGAGCTGGTGGACAACGCGGCGCAAAGCATCAGCGACGGCGATCTGGTCGACCGGATGATCCACGGGCCACAGCAGCAGTGGAGCCTGATGCCGACACATGCGGTGTTCAGTACGGTGCGGCCGGCCAGCTTTGTTTCGGGCCAGTTGATGGGATCAAACTTTACGTCGTGGCTGGGCAACAACAGCAAGACGGGCAAGCTCAGCCGTTATGTGCGGGAGATCCATTCACACATGCGCCTGAAGGCGTCTGGCGACCACAACGAGGTGCGGCAGCAATATCTGCCGGTGTTGTGGCACCAGCTCATCAAGCGCATGGAGCTCGAGGGCAAGGAGGCGATTGACGAGGTGATTGAGCTGATGGACAGCTACTACCTGACGCGGGAGGATGTGGACGCGATCAAGGAGCTGGGCCTTGGCCCCCAGTCAGAAGACACGGTCAAGATTGATACGCAGGCCAAGTCGGCCTTTACGAGAACGTATGTGTAATATTGCAACCTGTCCTTTGCCTGTTGATGTTCTTTTAACTAACTGTGGCAGGTACAACGGCATGCCACACCCGATCCCGTTCATGAAGGCTAGCAATGTGACGGTGACAGCGAAGAGATCGGCCCACGATGTTCCAGATCTGGAGGAGGCCATTGAGGAGGAAGACGATGCCGACGTGGCCGAGCCGGTGGAGGTCGATGAGGATGAGCTTGATCTCAAGACGGACAAGTACATCAAGCAGCCCAAGGCCAAGGCGAAGCGAGCACCTAAGAAGGCTGCAGCCAAGAATGTGGACGACGATGAGGAAGGCAGCGCAAAGGGCCGCGGGAAGGGGAAAACAGCCGCTGCAAAGAAGGGAAGCAAGGCAAAGAAGTAATTTGGGATCCAGCATTTCATTACCACATTTAATTCTTTTTTCGACTACGGGCACAGTCTGGGACCAGACTCAAGAGTGAGTGTTGGGCATTGTCGGTAGTATTGTGCTACTCTCCTTGAAAGCAATCTTCAGCGGCTGTTATGATTTTGAAATCTTTGGGATTTTTGACCAGCTTTATCCTGTAGAGCTATGTTTGAATTTCTGTTGGCTGGAACATGCGTCTTGGTTTGACAGCTGCTTGCCGTCGGTTTCCTGCAAGTGACTATGTTTCTCACTCGAATTGATTTTTTCGACGAGCCAACATTTATGCTTTGCAGTCGGTCCGTTTACTTGGCCCAGTCAACCACCATTTAATATGGAAGTCGCGAAACGAGTCAACACAGGCTGTGTCATTTACGCAACACGTCAACAAGATGAATGGTTTCGTAAAAAGGGGCAGCAGTCGTCGTTCTCTGTATGACGACATGGCGGGCCAAGACATGTCAGCGACGACAAAAGTGACCATGTCATTTATGAAGGCATACAAGGCGATGCGCGGCCCTCATGACGTTGAGCCCAGCCCTCTCTTTAGCTGTTTGGCTCCAGCAGATGGCAACAGGGGAGACGATGGCCCGTTTCGGCTTGCGGGACGAGACGAAATCAAGTACGTCTCTGAAGACAGCGTGTAATGTCACGACATACAGAGCTGACGACGAAGCAGGATGCTCAACGACGTCAACGAAAGGCTCCTCGGCGACGACTTCGACACGAAGCCACTTTTCGCCGACGACGAAGCTCGGCAGACGGTCTTTTACTTTGACGAGCCGCACACGGCCAACGTTTACTTTTCGACGAACAGTGTGCTGGGAAAGACGTTTACCGCTGTGGCCGACCATGTCCTCAACCAAGAGACGCTGGATCTAGGTTGGACGGAGGCGAACGGCACAGATTATGCTGATGGTGCGAGCAGCTTTGTGTCGGATGACGACGGCGATGCGGTCGAGAGTCGGATCTCACCGGCCGAGTTCCGAGCCCTCGCCATCGGCTGCAAGCGTAACGACGTCGACAGCCTGCGGATTCCTATTGCCACTGTGAGCAACTCTCTCTCCTCGGACGCGGTGCTTAACTGACGGGCTGACGGTGCGATGATGGACAGACGGCTTCGGTCCGGCCGCTGACACCGCAGGACAAGATCATCGACCACGCGCATGAGGCCGGCCGAATAGACGCCCGGGTCTTTGGCGGGCGCCGGCAGTTTGACGGCGACGACGGCGACGAGCTCAGTCCGGCCTACCGAGTCGACCAGGGGCCAGCGCGGTCGGTGCTGTGGTCGCCGGCGGGCGTGACGCCCGAGCGCGCCGGCCTATTCCTGTCGCTGACGGACGGTGGGTTCCTGTACCGCCGGATGGCGCCACAACCGTGCCAGGAGCTACGTGCCCGACTGTTTGGGGGGGTTGGCAGCAGCAGCAGCAGCGACAGCAGCAGCGACAGCGACAGCAGCAGCGACAGCATCACCCACAACCGGCTGACCACGTTTGGCCGGTCCGAGGTCGACGAGGCGGTGGCAGCACACGCCCGGATCGGTGGTGGTGGCAGTCGAGCTCTCCCCAACGACGTGGTGTCGGCGGCGGACGTACGCAGCGCTCTGCGTGACGGCTGGCGTGCTCTCCGGGCCTGCGAGGCCGAGGAGGCGCAGCTGGCGGCGGCCAACGCGCGAGCTGAGGCGGCAGCGACGGTGCAGGCGCGACAACTCACACGGATGGAACGGCAGCAGGAGCAGCGCCGGACGGCGGCGCGAGAGGCGACAGTGGCGGTGCAGCGCCAGAAACAAAAGCAGGCGCGGCGACAGCGACGCATCGTGCACGACGTGGCGCTGCAGCTGCGCGAGCTGCAGGCGGCCGTGCGGGCAGCAGAGGCGAGGTTGGCACGCGGACGCGAATGGCAGATCGTGCTCGCACGACGGCTGCGCTCGGGGGAGAAACGGCTCCGGGCAGCCGGGATGCGAGGGAAAGAGGGGGGAGGAGAGATGGAAGAGGGTGACGACGACGACGACGAATATGCAAGCGGCTACAGAGGATACGAAACGGAAGACGAGGACGAAGCGAAAGGACACAAACAACAGCTGAGACGGAACAAATGAGACGGACAGAAACGGGACAGACACAAGACAGACAGCAGTCGCCAGCACTATTTCATTACCGTTATGTTCCATCTATTACATGGCAGCATCGTGGCCGCCGTTTTTTTGATATATTTTCCGGACCCCATAAGAGACAAAAGCAGAAGCCGAACTGATGAGCAGAGTATTGTTTGTACAGCCGCAGACGCCGCAAACGCCAATATGCCAGGAGAAAGGAGAGGTGGAGAGGTGGACAGGCGCGCGGCCTATTTGTTGTTGACGACGCCGACCTTGGCGGCGCGGAGGACGCGGCCGTTGAGGCGGAAGCCCTTCTGCTGGGTGTGGAAGACGGTGTTGTGATCGTGGTCCTTGTTGGGCGTCATGAAGGTAGCCTCGTGCTCGTTGGGGTTGAACTTCTCGCCGACGGGATCGAAACGCTCGAGTCCATGCTTCTTGAGCGTCTGGAGCAGCACGGTCTCGGTCATCTTGAGCCCGTCGACGAGGTTGGCGAGGTCGCGACGGACGGCCAGAGCAACCTCGGCCTCGGGCGACGCAGCCGTCTCGCCAGCCGTCTCGCCCTCGGCTGCCGCCAGCTTCTCGGCCGGCACGATGGTTAGGGCGCGGTCCAGGTTGTCGACGCTGTCGACGAGGTCCTTGGCGAACTGTGTAATGGCAAAGTCGCGGGCCGCCTTCATCTCGCGCTGGGTGCGTTCCTGGAGGTTGCGGAAGTCGGCCACGGCCCGGAGGTATTTATCCTGGAGGGTTAGAACGGAATAGGAAATACAACAGAACGGCAGAACAGAACACAAACACTACACACCTTCCAGTCTACCACCTCCTTGGTCTTCGTCTCGAGTTCCTTGCGCAGCGTCGCTGCCTCCTCCGCGCTCAACGGCTCGCCCGCTGCCTCGCCGGCTTCCTTGCTCTCAGCTGCTGCGCCCTCGGTCTTGGTGTCCTTCTTGACCGGCTCGGCCTCGCTACTGTACTGCCGCAGGGATGCGGCGAGCGGCCGTGCTGCCCGTGCTCGTGATGGTGCAGCAGATGCGGCTAGTGCGGCTGTGGGGGTCACGCGGAAGGAAGAAGAGCTGAGCCGGGCAGCCAGGCGAGACGGCGAAGTGGTGACGCCAGCGAGGCGCATTGCCTTGGTCGAAGCTGTTGAGAGCTGGCGGAGCATGTTTGCTGCTGTAGGGGTGGCTGACGGAAAGGGAGAACGGGAGGAAGAGAAGAGAGGAAGAGAAGAGAGGAAGAAAGGAAAAGAGAGCGACCAAGGACAGCCGAGCCGGATACAGAAAGGTGGAAGAGGGGTTTTCCAACAAGAAGCAACCCGTTTTTTTCCAATGGACGATAGCTGTTTTTTTTTTTGCCCTCCCACGACTTCCAACCGTTCCACCAGATTCCGCACGAGGGGCAGAGCTGATTGGCGGTTGCGCCAGACGAAGCTGTGGTTTGGTCATGTGACTGTACATGTGGAGAGCGCCACACTCTACTCAGCTCTGTCAGCCACAGTCGTGAGCTCTGAAATTTAACTCGACACAAAAAAGGATAGCCGAAGGCCGAGTGACGCTCGCTCGACGTGAACTTGGCAACACTCCGCTCTCGGCCATCACAGGACCAAACTCGGGCACGATGGACTACGACGCGATGCTGATGGACGACGGAGAGTCGTTTGGGCCGGCGGTGAAGATTTCGCAGGTGAGCGCTTCGTGGTCTCGTGTGGTGCTGAGGCGATTCTGACTGCTGACCGATGCTCTGGTGGCAGGCGGACGTGGAGCGGGTCAAGTTTGAGCTGACCAACGTGGACCTGGCGATTGCGAACTCGCTGCGGCGGGTGATTATTGCGGAGGTGCCGACGATTGCGATTGACATTGTGGAGGTGGAAGACAACACGAGCGTGCTGGCGGACGAGTTTATCGCACACCGGCTGGGACTGGTGCCGCTGAACAGCAAGAACGCAGACGACGTGGTGTACTCGCGGGACTGCGACTGCGAGCAGTACTGCGAGCTGTGTTCGATCAAGCTGCGGCTGCAGGCCAAGTGCACGAGCGACGAGGTGATGAAGGTGTATGCGCGCGACCTGGTGGTGGACCCGGCACGGCCGAACCAGTGGGTGGGCACGCCGGTGATCCGCGACCCCGACGGGCTGGGCGTCATGATTGCCAAGCTGCGGCGAGGCCAGGAGCTCAACATGACGTGCATTGCCAAGAAGGGCATCGCCAAGGAGCATGCCAAGTGGTCGCCCACGGCGGCCGTCGGCTTCGAGTATGACCCCCACAACAAGCTGCACCATATGGACATGTGGTACGAACAGGATGCCGACAAGGAGTGGCCCAAGAGCGACAACGCCCGCCTCGAGGAGCCGGCCCAGGAGGGCGAGCCGTTTGACTACGACGCCACCCCCGGTCGCTTCTACTACGACGTCGAGTCCATCGGCCAGATGGAGCCTGACGCCATCGTCCAGAACGGCATCAAGACGCTGCAGCAGAAGCTGGCCGCCCTGATCCACGAGCTCACGGCCGGCGACGGACTCGGCGGCTTCGGCAACGGTGCCGACGGTGCAGGCGGTGGCCTCGGTGGCCACGGCGACTACAACGGGCCCCAGTCACCCGACTATGGCGGCATGGGCGGTGGCAGCGGTGGCGGTGGCAGCGGTGCCGACAGCTGGCAGGACCAGGGATACACGACGCCGTACGCCACGGGCAACAGCAGCCAGCCCAGCTGGGGTGCCGGTGGGACGACGCCCTATGGAACAACGCCGTACGGCAACGGTGGCGGGTGGAACTGAGCATTTTTCTTCTTTGGCTTGGGAGGTTCCGGAGGCAATGGCGTACGGCTGGTCTAAGCGGGGAGTTCATCTTACAAGGAAGAAGAGAGAGTACTCGGTAAGCCTAGGCGATAATGAATCTATATTGGTCTGGGATGAGATGCAAACTCTATAGGTCAGGGATGCCTTTGAGGCGACGGTAGGCAGTGCGATGTGCTTCGAGAAAGACAAAGGTGAAGATGGTGTGACTGTGGTGTTAGCGAGAGGAAGAGAAGGAGGCGAGCATACAAGGTGAGTGAGAAAGGGGGGGGGGGGCTCACGGTCCGAGGCGGATGAAGCTGGGGACCCAGCCCTTGAACATCCAGCGGAGGCCTTCGGCGGCGTAGAGGTCGCGCAGGACGGTAGTGAGGTGAGCGTGGGAAGACATGACGCGAGTCTTGACGACATCGATGGGACTGGTGACGGTAGCGGCGGCGACGCCGGCGAAGAAGGAGGCGATGAAGTGGGTGGTGAGCGAGTCGGTGAGGGGGGTAGTAGCGAGCAAAAGGCGCTTGGCGGAGTCGTAGGAGGCGAGCTGAGAGGCGGTCATAGCAGCAGCACGCATGCTGTTGGGCCAGACGCCGCGGAACCAGCCGTGGCGAAAGCCTTCTTCACGCGCGAGGCGAACGAGGCCATCGAGAGCATGACGGTAGCCGCGTCGTTGTGCGGGCGCCAGAGCGGCATCGTGCTGCATGCGCACGTTGAGCACATCGGCCGCGTTGCCGACAAAGCCGCCAGCCATGCCGGAGACCGAGGCCGCAGCCACGAGGACGGCAAAGCTGGGCGGGCGTGCATGGCCGTCGGTCAGCCGCGACTTGATGGCCTCGTACAGGGCAAAACGGGTGGTCGAGTAGGTCAGCTGACGCAGCAGCGACGCAGACAGGCCGCTGTACAGGCCACGCACGCCCTCGTGCCGTACAATGTGGGCAAAGGTGCCCGACATGGACCGCGGCATGTCGCCGTGACGCGTCTGCAGCCGGACCTTGACTGCCGCCGGTTAGCCGGAAAGCCGCGATGCGGGGACAACACGCCGGGACACCGCACCCAGATCCAGCGGATGCGTCACCGTCGCCGCCAGGCTGCTGGCACTGCCGCCAAACCAGAACGGATAGTGCACGGTGGCCGGCGCGGCCGCGCTCGTCTGTGACGACATGGCCGTGCTCGGAGCTTCGAAATGGCCAATCGAACGAGACAACGTTCTTGTCCACCACCTCGATCGTAGAAAGCGAAGACAGGCCGAGAACGGTGAGGAACGATCCCCGATAGACTCGTCTCCGTGATACGCGAGAAGAAATGGCCTCGAGTCCGCTCACGTTGGGTCCGGCACAGCTTCCGGCCGCCCTCTTCGGGCCAGGAAGAGTTTTCCGAGCCCCTTGGACTAACAGCCGTGAGGTAAGGACAGTGCGATAAAATTACACACTGTGATTATAGACACTGTCTCTTCAATTGCCTGAGAAGATTTCCACCAGAACTATCACACAACTGTCACCACTTGCGATGACGGCTCTACGGACGTGCATGTCGCGGGCGATGGCAGGGACGACAGCATGCCGGGTGCGGTCGTGGTCCATCGGCTCACGGCTACGGTTTGGGCGTGTCATCTCGACGGCCGGACCAGCGGCCTTTACCACCTCGTCCGCATCCTCGGTCGAGGTGGACGGCCGGACATACCGGACAGACAGCTGGTTCAACGTGCCGGCCAACGTGCTGGCGGCGGCGTCGCGGCGGCTGTACCTGCAAAAGGACCACCCAGTGGCGATCACGCGGCAGATCATCGAGGCACGGTTTCCGGCGCCCGAGTTCCGGGCCTACAGCGGGCTGCACCCGGTGGTGTCGACGTTTCAGAACTTTGACTCGCTCGGCTTCCCGGCCGACCATCCGGGACGCGCGCGCTCGGACACGTACTACGTCAACGGCGAGACGCTGCTGCGGACGCACACGAGCGCGCACGAGCTCGAGACGTTCCGGGCCAGCGCGAGTCCCGGCTTTCTGCTGAGCGCCGACGTGTACCGCCGCGACGAGGTCGATCGCACCCACTACCCCGTCTTCCACCAGATGGAGGGCGCCCGCGTGTGGGACCGGGCGTCCGTGGACGGTGGCGATCTCGCGGCCACCATCCGTGGCGATCTGGCCCGTCTTCCCCAGCACGACGTCGCCGTCGAAGACGCGAGTCCGCCCGAACATCCGGAACGCAATCCCCGCCAGACCGACGCGCATTCGGCCGCCGAGGTGGCCGCTCTCGGTGCCCATCTCAAGCGGTCGCTCGAGCTCATGGTCGTCGACGTGTTCACGCGTGCGGCGCACGCCACCACCGCACCGACTGAACCTCTCCAGATGCGCTGGGTCGAGGCATACTTCCCCTTCACCAGCCCGTCGTGGGAGCTCGAAGTGCTCTGGCAGGGCAGCTGGCTCGAAGTGCTCGGCTGCGGTGTCTCGCGCCAGTCGATCCTCCGCGCCGCCGGCGTGCCGTCGCAGATCGGCTGGGCCTTTGGCATCGGCCTCGACCGCATCGCCATGCTGCTCTTCCAGATCCCCGACATCCGCCTGTTCTGGTCGGCCGACCCGCGCTTCCTCGGCCAGTTTCACGGCGTGTCCGACAACCTCGATCGCCTTCGTCGCTTCGTCCCCTTTTCCCGCTATCCGGCCTGCTACAAGGACGTCTCCTTCTGGGAACCCGCTGCTGCTGCCCTCCACAACAACGACGTCATGGAGCTGATCCGCAGCGTCGCCGGCGACGTCGTCGAAGACGTCCGCCTGACCGATCGCTTCGCTCATCCCCGGACCGGTCGCCAGAGCCGCTGCTATCGCATCAACTACCGCAGCCTCGAACGCACCCTGACCAACGCCGAGACAAATCGACTGCATGCTGATGTCCGCGATGCCCTCGTCCAGCGTCTTGGCGTCCAGATTCGCTAGTCATCCTAGATAGATGCACGCGTCCATCTCTCCTTCTGAAACCCATGCACGTGACCTCAGCTCCTGAACGAAGGCGCAGTGACATACGAGTACTTGGGCCTGCCGAACCAGCCTCGCTTGCGGGGACGACCTAACGCCACGCCGTGACGAGGCCGCAGCCCTTGCTGACACGCCGTACCATGTACGAACGCGGCTCTCCGGAACGAGCGAGACAGAAGCCCACTGCCTGGGCGCAGCGGTGCAAGGACCCACGGAGCGACAACGCGGCCTCTGGTTGGCTCGCGGGGCTGTGCTGCCCGTGGCGACAGCCAATGTCTCTGCCTGCTATGTTAGTCAGCAAGCCGGCCGGATCGGGCAGGCACCACCAACCGCCGACCCGTATGCATGTGGCTGCCTCTCCCACGGTGGATTCTAGCCCATTCTTCCTGTACTCCGTAGGGGGCGCAGCCTCTTGGACCCACTCGTCTCCGCTGAACGACTGGCCTGCAAGTCTACGCAATCCCTTAGCGCCCTCCAGTGGCTGTGAACGTATCTTTCCCTCTTTCTTACCGACCAGTCCCCTTTGCCTCTCTCCTCTTGTCAGTATATAGGCTACCAATCCGACGAGCTTGGAAGGACCAGAAGAGAAGGCATCCGACAGCGCACCAGCATCCTCTCTCGCACTGCTTCATTCTCTTCCATTTCTCTCTACCATTCATCCCATCATGGACGCCATCCCGATCCAGCCGCTCTCGCTGTCTCCGGCAGCTCCGGTCGGCTCGTCTCTATCGACGCCGACGTCGCCGACTTCGCCAACGTCGCCGACGTCGCCCTCCTCGACCAGTTTTGCCGCCCGTCGTTCGCGGCACGGGCCTTCGCTCTCGCTCGACCTCTCGGGCCTGCCGCCGCCCATGCTGATGCACCAGCCGCCGGCCGCGACGGCGCCGACCAACACGCTTCTCCTGACCAACCTGTTGCATCCAGACGTCTTCCGGCCAGACAATCTGCAGACGCTGCGCGAGCTGATCACACAGACGGCACCGCTGCACTCGTGGGCGCCGCTGCGGTCTTTCCGCCGCATTGTCGTGTCCTTCTTCTCGGCCGCCGACGCCGTCCGCGTTCGTGGCCTCTGGGAAAACAAGGCCGTCTTGGGCGAACCCGTGCAGGTCTACTATGGCCGTACCACGCCGCTGGATGTTGGCGGGCCTGGCCAGATCCAGCATCTCGCCCTGCCTGACGCCGGCAAGCTCTTCTTCATCAGCCCGCCACCGTCGCCGCCACACGACTGGCAGATGCGCCTCGAAGGCGCCCCCAACAAACAGGTGCACGCCGACGATCTCGCCGAGGCCCTCGCCCGCCTTCATCACCAGGCCTCGACTGCCGACCAGTTTGACGTCGGCAGCCACCAGAACAGCAGCCAGACCGACGTCGCCATGGCCGACATGCCCTCGCCCGCCAGCAGCACCGCCGCCAGCCGCTCCGCTACCTTTAACGCCTCATCTACCTCCCGCTCTACCCGCAGCCGCAGCTCCACCCTCGTCATCTACCAGCCCGCTGACCATGGCTGTCTCGGCAGCCTGCCCGCCATCGCTGTCGAAGACCTCACCGCCGAGCTCGACATCGAGCCGCCGCCCGCCCCCATCATGGCCCATACCCAACGGCCGCCCGTCGAGCTGATGAACGACGCCTAAGCCCGCCCGCTGCTGCCCGCTCTCTCTTTTCTGTCTTGTACTATACCAATCTGTCATCAACTGTCTGCTCACCTGTCTATGATATCTGGCGTTTCACTGGCGGCCTTCTGCTCGGTCTAAATTGCATGAGGCTTCCTCAACTGGCATCGGTTGGCGTCTGGGTCTATCTCTTATTTTTCCTGTTTGATATATCGTGCTAGAGCTCCAGGGTAGTCCATCAGTTCGTGTTGAAACTAGGCGAACATAAATACAACAGCATATAATTTAACACTTACGCATGACATGACGATCACATATGACGATCATATACCACATCCCAGGCAACCGTCAGCATTGATGTGCCTCTTTCGCCTTGTCAGCCTTGCATTTATACTAGACAGCCTCGATCGGCTCTCGCAATGCAAAACACTTCAATGGTGGCTAACTCGCCGCAATAACAAACATCAGGGGTATCTTCTAGCCCGGTTCCACCAGAACTCCAAAACCATATGTAATCCTGAGACGCCCCATGGCAATAATATGCTCGCCAATCCCCGGCTGTGGCTTATCAAACAGCATTTTCCCGTTTCCCCGTTTCATGCCCAAAATTCAATGCTACAACAGGAATCCCAAAGCCTAGGAGACAACCCTCTCCAGGGGCCACCCTCTAGGAGTACAAACCGTCCAACTCCGAATTCAGCAGTATCCCATGCCGCGCCTCGCCGATAAAGAGCGAGAAAAGCCGGCGCAGCAGGTAGTGATGGTTCCAAATCCGTCCCGCCTTGATGTAAAATACATCCACGATGTCCAGGTGCCAATCCTTAATCAGCATGCCCTCCTTCTCTGTATGCACCACTTTGCGCTGCAAAGCCAGAGAAGGTCGCTCCTTGGTCCACTCTGCCGAACGGACCGCTCCTCGCTTTTCTGGCATGTACCGCAGCTTGAAGTTCAGAGGCCCCAGCCGCCGGTACTCTTGCAACATCTGGTTCATGCTCAGCCAGTCCTCCAGCGTCCAGTCCCGCCGCGGCGGCAACTCTATTGCTGCCGGCGGGCGCCAGCTGGCCCGTGGAATGTTGTTCGCCCCGTGAAAGTATGGCCGCCCAGCCTGCACGCGCGGCGTGTACATAAACGCAAGCGGTGTGCTGATTTCGTGCGCATCCGAGAGCATCATCTCCGACAGCTCCTCGTCCACCTCGTAGCCTCTTCCGTTCCGACCACGATCGTCCTCCCTGGTCGCTTCTCTAATGTCCGTCATGTCGATGTCGCCGTCGTTGTTGCCGCCCTGTACATTGCTTTGTGTCAACGGGCCGCGGCCAGCAGCCCGAACACGGTTCTCCGTGTCCAGCGCAAAATGCTCTGCAAACTGCAGAGTGGCCTGCTGCAGATTTGCCCGCCCAATCATCACTTGCTCCCCGGTACCGGCTGTCGCCATGCTGCCCGCAAACTCCACAACCCGTCCCGGTGTCTTGCCTTTAGCTGGTGATCTCAAGCACGACTTTGTAGGAGAGGCTGATTTAGCAGGCAGCGGTTTCAATACCGGCGGCATAAAACTCGACTCTGACTCCACATAAGAGCGCTCTCCTTCCTCCGTCGCCCATGATCCCCACCGAGTCTCCGGTTCGGCCTGTTGCGCAAAGTCCTCTTCAAAGAAAACAGATTCATTCGTGGCTGCAGCTTGTCGTTCTGCTGCGGCCTCGTCTGCTTCTTCTCCCTGCGAAGACACATAAGAAGGCTCGTCCTCTGCTTCTGCCTCATCTACCACACGTCGAGAGTTGGCATGGGCCGCCGCTCGTCTGTTCCTGAGTGACGGCCCATCTTCAGAGCTGCTGGAAGGCAGCATGGCACTTCTGCGAAAACTCTGCAACGGAGTGCTTGGTTCTTCCTCGTGGATGACAGATCGGTCCATAGCATACTCGCCGCCCGTCACCTGTTCGCTGTCAGGCTCCGAATTCACCGACGACTCCCTCATAGATCGTAGGAAATTCATCCTCGCTTGTTGTGACCTGCTGATACCTCGTCTGAGAGGAACGTTCTTGATCTGGGGCACACGTTCAACCTGTCTGCCGCTGTCCACCTCGCCTTCACTGGCGTCACTGTGCGACCAGCTGCGCTCCTCTTCTGCGCCCGCCGCCACTCTGGGCGGAGTGGTCGATGCCGGTGGCTCGCCGTAGAAAGCCACGTTGAAATCTGACTGTTCGAGGCGTTCGTGTGCCGCCTTTTCCACCACGGCCGGACTGCTGGTTGGCGACGGTTCCTCAGTATCTTGAACGGTTTGCAGAGTATTTGCTGTCGCAACATTCACGTTGGCCTTCGGGGCGTCGCTGATGTGCCTGGTTTGGCTCCCCTCCCTTTCGGCTTGCTCGGCATCCCGCTTGCGATCGCGTTCCAGAAGTCGCTCTAATGTTTCCTGCCTGCTCTGCTCATTCAGCCTGATGTTGCTCTCGGACGTCGGCGGAAGCATCTTCGGTACGGCCACTGGGGATGAAAAGAAATCATCCAGATTGAATGGCGCTGGCCGCTTCGAAGCGTTGTCTGGTTGCGACACCCTATCGACGTTCCTTTCCGTGTCGAGCAGCGAAAACTCTTCGTGTTCCGCTTCTTCCATAGCGCGCGTGCTATAGCGACGAGCGCCAGATATGCTAGCACCGAGGTTCTCCTCCCGCACGCTCCTGTTGATCTGACTTGCACCGAGACGAACGAGTCGCGGGTCACGCACCGGTTCTGGGGGGACGGATAAAATGGTGACTCTCGACGCCGGCGCCGGCGTTGGACGCGAGGCTTCAATGGCCCATATGTCTAGATCATCGTCATCGTCGGCATCGTCATTGTCATCGTCAACATCATCATCGGCATCGCCATCGTCAATATCACCATCCTCAACATCGTCCGCGGGCTGTGCATAGGCAGATGGAGTGGCAGGAAGCACTTCGGGGTCATTGCTGAAAGCAATTTCATCCGTCCTCGAGTCAAACCGACTAGCAACAGGTCTTTTCATATCGGGAAACGACTGTGAGGGACCGGAATTGGGTAGCACGTCTGCCTCAGCTTCCAAGTCATTTGAACGAGGGTTCTGCGCGTTTCGGGACATCAGCTTAGTAGCAAAGCTGGTAATCGAGCCAGCGACGCTGCCTTCCCTAAAAACGAGTGCCCGCCACGATCTGCCCGTCTCGGTTCCAGCATCTGCTTCACTGCTACCCGAGCGCGCAGCCAGCGGAGCTTCTGGCAGAGATGACAAGCGAAGTCGCTTGATACGGGACGAGGACTCGCCGCGGTCAGATCCATCTAGTTGCGCAGTCTCGGCTGAACGCTTGGCTGCACCCGGTGTTTTGGGCGACTGAGAGACCGGGACTGCTGAACCAGATGGAGGAAGTCGAGGGGATACAATCTGTGCCCCGTTGACGACCAAATTTTTCAAGCCGCTGAAAGGAGCCAAAGCAGTTGTCCATAGTTTCCGCGATGCTGACAACGGCGGGCGGGATGGCGTGGCCGTACTTTGTAGCTGAGCATCCGGTGATTTGGCGCTCTCTTGGGTGACAGTTTGGGAAGAAACCCGAGACGGTTCCGGATCTAAGCCACCGAGGCTGTTTTGAGGGGGGTTGGATGGCGAACGAGTATCTCTGGTCGAGGAGCGACGGAAGGGACTGCGCAAGAGTCCTTCATTGTCCTTTGGTGATGGAGGATCCGATGTGACGCTCTGCAGCACTCTTCCTGCACGCATAATGGGAGAAAGGCTAGGCCGAAACGCTTCTGATGGTAGGGCGAGCCGGTCAACTCGTTCCGAGCTTGCAATATACGGTGCCTTCGGGGGGTGGCGGGGTGATGCAACAGCAGCTGGCGTAGCCCTCGATGTCCCTTCCTGAGAAAGACGTTGACTGTGAGTGAAAGATTCGGCGATTTGCTGTTGTGGCTCGACAAGACGGCGCGGCGGTGACGACGTGATATCAGCCACTTGCTGCTCCAGCTCGATTTCATCACGGACATCGTCCTCTTCCTCTGCCTCCTCTCCATACTCCTCATCTTCTCCGTCATTGTAGACATCATCGCCGCCATGTTCAGATGTTGTTTGAATGATGGGAATCGGGAAGATATGTTGTGCTCTAGATCCCAGGACCGATGTGGTGTCGTTTTCACCACTAGCAATATCGTCACGTGGCGAAGCACCCGACTGTGGACTATAGTTTCGCTCCGTGCGACGCTCAGGCTCCTTGCCCTTGAAGCTCGGCTGGAACTGTGCCATGCGTCCAGTAAGCTCTGCCTGTTGTTGTGAAAAGTAAACTGTGTCGGTAGTCTGTGGTACGGCAGCTTCAAGAATAGAGTCAGGAATTTCGGAGAATGAATCGTCATATCCAACTGTGTCGTGCTGAGAATTGCCCACACGTGCGGGCTGCATATGCGACTGTGGCACGGCAGGGGACTGGACCTGTTGCAGAGTTTTGCGGGCAATGACTTTCCCGAGTGGCTCTGCTCTCTTCTTCGGGCTCCCCTTCTGTGAGAGGGCTGGGGATGATCGTGGCGGCTGGCGTAGAGAATGAGAGGAGCCTGCCACAGGTAACGGGTCGCGAGACGTAATGGCGGACGTTGGAGTAGCTGGATCGGACTGTTGGATGATGTCGAGCATATTGAAAGCGCTATCCCCTTCTTCGTCATTGCCCTGGCGGATGGACTCCAGTGTCCTGCTCACAATTCGGCTGGTGGTCTCGCCCATTTCAGGAAGTTCGGAGTGTGACATGTTGATGCTGGTTTGAAGGGATTCCATACCAATCATACTAAAGTCCTCTCCCATAGCAATAGTGTCTTGGTCGCGAAACCTGGTCACTGCTGCCTCGTCCATTTCAGATTCCATATCAAATCCCCCTTCACTTCCCGTTGCGGCACCGTTGGATGCTGTGTCGGCCTCGCTGCCAACAGCAGACGTGGCCAGCTCGGACCGAGAATTACGTGCACGGAGCCTCTGTGTGGCTGGGGTGTGACCAAAAGGCAATCCGGGATCTTTAGCGTGTCAGCAGAATGGTTGAACAAGGCCGATGTCAATGTGAGTCTGTTCTTACCACTTCTCAGATCCGCCTCAGATTGAGGGGCATCTGCGATTGTAATCGGGGCCTGCAAATCGGTGTCACCCGTTTCTAGAGACTCTCCGTCATTGTCGAATGGGTGGTCTTCAACAGCCAGAGGGGCAGCTTTCATAGGCGTCTCTCTCCCGGTAGAACTCGGTGGGACTGATTCGTGCCCAGTGGTGAGCTCGTCGTTGTAGTCGTGGGTAGTTGAGAAGTCTCCTGCAGCGGCGTATTCGTCGGCATACGCATGGTCGTCGGGCTCATTGGCACCATAGCCATAGTTTTCGCCAGATTCGTCGCCAGAATCCACGCCATCGTCAGCGTCGACCGCGACATCACCCTCCACCTGCGCATCATCCATTATAGTTGGCTGCCGGGGGTTGTTTTCAAGGCTTCCATTAGCATTTGGAGCAATGTCAGCGCCAATGCCAGATACCTCTTCGATCGGGCTCAGGTAGTTTTCGTTGTAGTTGGTGGCGGGAGCATACTCGAAATCAGGGACAGGAGTCTGAACCTTGACAAGATCGACAGAAGAGAGAGTTGTGGGAGTTGGAGAAGAGGCCGCACCGTATTCGAGATAACCCTGGTCTGGACTGTGGTCATCGGTTTCGATGGATGCGTAGAAGTTGGCAGCAGAATCGATCTCCTCCTGCTGCTCGACAATAGCTGTCATTTCATCCGGAGCTAGAGCCAGACGCCGAGGGCGGCCACGTTTCCGTGGACGAGAGTCGGTAACAGAATCCAGATCGCTGTCGACAGAAGGAGCCCTCGACGCACGTTTTGATGCTGCCCTGCGGGAAACCGCCGAACTGGGTGTCCAGGCTGTCGCAATATTATCCCCTCTCGAGGCTGACGATCCAGTCTTCTGGAAGCGCCGCGGTGTCATCTCTACGGCTGGCGTAGAGGGAGCCGGACTGGCGGATATTCTGCTGTCTGCGGCGATTTTGGGTAATGGTGTGCCGGAGCGCCGTGGACGGCCACGCGGCCGTTTGGGAGTAGCACCAGCGTATTCATCGTCGGAGAGGCCACGAAGGGGTATTTTTGTCGTCATCGTCGCCACCGCTTTCTGGGGCGGCTTGACAGGGGAGGACTGAGCTGCCGATGAGGATGTCCGTCCGCGACGAGGAATGGGCTTCGCAGCAAGCGAGGAGGCACCGTTGAACAGCCGACGACTGACATTATCCTCCATCTTTGCGCTGGCGCTTTCAGGCTCCGAATCGTCCATGTGGTCCTCCGTCTCGACAGTGACCCTGATCCTCTGTGGAGAGATGTCGTTGCCGACATCAAGGCGGAAGACCCGCTTCCGAGGAGAAACTGAGGTTGATCTGGCCGAGTTTGGACCGCGGTCCAATGCAAAGTGGCTGTTCGATCGCTGGCTGCGCGTCACTCGCCGGACCGCTGACGAGGCTAGAAGGGCAATGGTCGCATCTGAGGAGTCATTTAGCGGATCGGGAGAGGACCCCAAGTCCCCCGACGGCGTGTCCATGACGCCGTGCGGTGAGAAGAGCGCGAAGGATGTGCTTGGGAAAGTCGCGAGAAAGACTGCAGGCTGATGCTGATCGAAGGATGGAAGCTCTGCTTCAATCGCAGAGTGGTATTGCCAGAGGAGAAAGATCGTAGCTGATTGGGGCTGCTCGACCACACAGTTGAGACACGGGGGAGAGATTGAAAGATGAAGCGCGTTTTGAGGATGAAAAGGTGGGGGCGAAGAGAAGGGCGTTCGAGAAGCTTGGGCCACGTACGCGAGCGACAAGGTAGTTGTTTACTAAGTACCTAAAAAGGATTAGTCCTCTGCAACGCGTACTCCACATTTCACTACAAAGGGAAAGAGCCCTGCAGTATATCGGTCACGTGGCAGTATCTACCAAAGTGGTTTTCACCCTTGACATAGTAAAGAAGGGGTCGTCCTACGAGATACATAATACTTGGGCTGTCAGCTGGCCATGTTCACCATCAAGGATGTGGTTTGGTACAATGCGGGGAACCCGGCTGGTGAGTTTTGGGGCCGCAAACTTGGGGCTGTACCGTAGGGCTTGGCGAGTCATTGTATAAGTGAACCACGTGTTAGTCATGTACTTTCCTGTTGAAAGCACTTGTGGCAATTGCGTGATTGGAATAAGCCGGATTTGTCTACTGTAGAATGGCTGTATATGTCATCGTCTATTTGAAATCACGGTTTGTAATTCCAAACAGCTGTATAAGATTTTCGTGTAATTAGGCCGGTCGAATCAAATATAAAAGCCTGCGCTGGCTTTCACCTGGCTCGTTTGCTCCTTAAAACTATACTTATATGAAGAGTTAGATTCGGTTCAAGCATCGAAAAAATACAGTCATTTAATTCTATCTTTTGTTGCCAGATATCTTTCTTTATTGGCTGTCCGCCCTTCAAGATAGTCTTGACGTCAGGGCCCACCTTAAAGCTTTACCTCAATCGTCATGGCCATTTCATCAACACCGTCTGACCGCGTTCCTCGCGGAGACGTCCGTGCTGAGCTCAACTTCTTCAATCCTCCTGCTGACGGCGCTAAACCGTTCAACTACGTCGACAACCCACCGGAGGGTGAACCCGAGCGCAACTTTACATATGCAACTCACGAGGTGCTGATCCAGGACGCTCGTGGGCGAAATGAGTTTACAAAGACACCGGCGTCTCTGGACCACAACGCCTTTCTCATTGTCGAGGATCTGCCGCCCTCTGCAGAGGCCGACTTTGTCGACGATGAGTCCATCCGTGCCAAGTACTATCCTGAGGTCGAGGAGCTGCTGCTCCGCCACGTCCCCGGCGCCAACCGGGTCGTATTCTTCGACCACACCGTTCGCCGCGCCGGCTCAGATGGACCGCGTGGCCCTGTGACGCGTGCGCACATTGACCAGACTGCCGATGCCGCTGCCCAGCGCGTGAGACGCCACCTGCCGGCCGATGACGCCGAAAAGTTGCTCCAGGGCCGCTACCGCATCATCAACGTGTGGCGGCCGCTCAACAAAGGTCCAGTGGAGTCGTTTCCTTTGGCGTTTGCATCCTCTGCTTCGGTAGCGGACAAGGACGTCGTGCCCATCGAGCACCGCTACCCGAAGGAAAGCGGCGGCTACGTCGGGCACACGGCCGGCATTCGGTACAGCCCGGAGCAGAAATGGTACTATCTTAGCGGCATGACAGGAAGCGAGCGGATTCTGATCGAATGTTTCGACAGCGAAGCCCTGAAAGATGGGACGGCTGTGGCAGGCGGCCGACTGGCACACTCAGCATTCGAGCACCCAGGATCCTTGTCGGACGCTGAGGGGCGAGAGAGCATCGAGGTGCGGACGCTGGTGTTTGGGCCATGAAAGGTTGTTGTACAATTTGTGTCGCCCGTTAGACTTTTTCTTGTTTCGATCGATTTTAGCTAACAGTTCTGTTCATAATACATGAAATTGTGTCGCATGGCTGAGGGACCGAGGGCCGATTGATCACTTTACTAATAGCGATTACGACTTGTGGGTAGAGTATGCAAATTCATCGGCATGTAAAATCGGGGTTGCCGATGTATCTACATACTTGGCCCATATCGACGTCCACTCTTGGCTTTAAAGCACCCTCATAAAGCTCGATTCGGCAACGCCAACTAGAGAACTGCACTCCTGTGTATTACGCTCGTTGTGTACTATATTTCTGTCTCTTGTCACCTCGCAATATCTAAACGTCTTTGCATCCAAGCCGCGTACTGTCGGATACAGCTTCCTGTCGTAGGCGTTTGGTTGAAAAGCTAGGAAGGCTTCCATGTCGTGTTTCCCAGACTGTTAAGAATGGGCCATTTGTCTATATGCAGCTCCATGCTGGCACAGAAGCAAGCATGCTCTACGAGCAGATTCGGGTCCCTACGTTGTAGCGGATTGCCAGGTTAATTTCGACAGAGTACACCAGCCAATCAGAAACGAGGACCCGATCTAACTACCTGTGGTGCACCACTGCATACGCCACATATATGATTCAAATCAGTGCAGATGACAAAATGACAGTTATCCACCATAAACACACATTTTGGACGAGCCTTTTAGGGGCTGCTGGAATCCCTCCTATGATTGCCATCTGTCATGCAGCCCCGAGGTTCCTGCTGTGCGAGCCATTTCCAACGCGGAAAATATATTAGCCGATCCCGCGAGTGGGCCACTAATAACCCAAAGCAGCCAATCGTGCGGTCTGGGCGTCGTCGGCTTGGATAGTGGTGTTAGAGACGCCTTCCAGCCGATTTCTTCACCATCTTACACGGCCATTTATCCTCTCGACTGTTCATGGTCCTATTGCCTCTCTTGCATATGGCTTCTTGTGCTTAAACTTAAGGTGTACTGAGACCCTCCTACTCGTATTTTTTTTTCCACCCTCGACAGGAGACAAAAGCGATCGCTTCCCATCCTGTTGCTTTTTCTGCGCCCGTCTTTTTTTCTCTCTTTTTACCAGCGTCTAAGTCGGGAAAGGACACAGAGTCTTCGCAGCTTCAAACGTAAGTAGCCAGTGCATCGTTTTCTTGTTTTTTTTGTGATCTAGAGCTGACAAGGGGGGTTCAAAGCAAATGCGACAGCTCTACCATCCTCCCTAACCATAGTTGAAGAAGACGCCTTCGGTGCCTCTCGACAAAGATTGGCCAGATAAAGTCGATCTTCAAACGCCCCCTCTTCCCTTTACGTCTTCTCCGACTCGCGCGGTTGCGAAGCGACAACCATATAATCTTTCACCCTGAATCTGCGACATAATTAAGCAGCACTCTAGCACAGAAGTGATGGCTTCCGCGGATGCCCACACCCCTGGTTTTGTTAGCGAGGCCGACCAACGGATAGACCGACGCGCAAATGTCTCTCCCGGCCCAAACCAATCCAAACGAGACAAAAAGCGACAGCTCCTCACAGACCGGCTCGCCACACTGTCCGAGAAGTTCAGTCGTGATCGCGACATGACCTATCGCGAACAGCTCCAAAAAATACAGATCGACACGAACCTAGTGATGCGACTAGATCCCTACACTGATCGGCCGCTCGATTTTCTCGGGTCCGATAGACACAACCGGGAGAAGGAGTTTAACAGAGATCCTGACCCTGATGGCCGCGGAGGAGGTCGCGGTCTGCTGGAAATGGCGGGCCCGACATTCCAGCAATGGATACAGGAGATCGAGGACCTCGTTGAGGAGCGAGACTCTGAGCTGACGAAGCAAAAGGTGAGCCTAGGATGGAGTAGCCAGAGGTAAAGGCCGACTTGCAGTTCCAGAGATTGACGCAGCGATTGTCTTTGCACAGTACGATTTCGAGAAGAAAGCCCAAGAGTTTAAGAACACCCATATTTTCAAGACGGACACTGCGAACCGGGAGCACAAGCATTTGTCAGAAACGCTTCGCGAGCGGCTGATCAATGCGATCACAGCCAAGAAGGTCCGGCTGACAAAAGAGAAGGAAGCTTTGGAAATTTCCGACGCTTCTGCTCTCCTGTTGCACCCGAATCAGTTCTCACTCACGAATCCTTCCAGCCCAGGTGGCACCCATAGCAAAAGAGCCACACGTTTGCGTCAGAACGTGGACGACCTCGTCGGGTTTGGCGATAGCCGGAAAAGGAAGAGAAACGGTGATGATGATGGCTCCCCGGCGCCACAAAGACGTTCTGGGGATAGCAATGGCACCACACCTTTCTGGCACGGCGACCGTCTTGCGTATCGCAAAGTTACTGGACCGGTGTACAGTATTGACAAACTCTTCACGGACAAGGAGCTAGCGATGACTTACAACGCAGCTGCGTTGGCGTCACACAAATATTTGCTGTCGCACCGAAACAAGGTTAACAGCAATGGGGAGATGGTATCCTCGGCATCTGATACCGAGTCGGGCGACGAGGACCACGACCGTGATGCCACGCCTGCGGCAGCAACCATGGAGCGGGTGCCCTCGCACGCGACGCGGAGCACTAGGGGTGCAACAAGCCAGCTGCCGAATTTTATTGATGAAAAACTTGTTGGCCTGGAGGCGCTGTCCAACTTTGAGATGCCGAGCAACCTGGAAAAGCTGGCGGCCAACGAGCCGAAGATACCGCCGATGTTCATGAGCAACTACGCGAAGTCGCATTCTAAGATTGATGCCAACACGCCGGCCACGCTCTCGTCTGACGACATCACGTCGGACTTGGCGGTTATTCGGCTTCTCCGACAGTACGAGAAGCTGCACGGCGCCGGCTCCAACTTTGACAATGCCAATGGTGGCCGCAAGGTCCTGCAGGCTACAGCGTTCTCGCCCAGAGACAGCCGCTACCTTGCCTACCTAAAGCATGAGAGAGAGGATCCCGAACGTTTGCGGAAGGGTCTGCATCTGCCGTCGAGCAATGTGCGTGACGAGCCATCGACGCCTGTAGGTGCATCTATTGCAAACCTGCATGCTGCGGCCAGCGCGGCCGTGGGAGCTAGTCCTATGAGCCGGCAGAGCAGCCAAGGCGGAGCAGCGATGAGTCGGCAAGGCAGCAACACGCGTGTGCAGAGGAAGCGAAATTGACCGGAAGCGAAGCTTTATCGGTGATACCTTGTTTGTTGTTGTTTAGGCACAGTCCTGTGTTTACGATGGAACGGTTTCTTGTGTTTTGCGTTCTACTGAGCAGGTTTCATCAAGCTCTGGGGCAGGCTGCAGCTTATCTATTTTATCCGCTGCTCTAATTATTTTGTCATTGTGACAGCGTCTAAGGGAGTTCGACATGGAATCGCTGGGGATTGCTAAGCAATCAGTATATGGACATCAAGAGGGAAGTTACTTAGCTAGCATTGCTTGGTATACGACTTACATATAGGATGGTCCCCTTTTATATGCATTTATATTTTGCAACAGAAGAGTGGACTGGCTTCTATGCAAAGTGATGAAAATGATTGGCTTTAGTTTCCTACGGGTTTCGAGAAAGAATTGTTGCATTATCGTTCTGCATATTTCGTATCCAAATCCAGAACTAAAAGAATATAGCTCAGCTGCTATCCTCGAATCTTAAAAGCCCCCGAACCTGTATACAAATTTGGGATATGTTCGAGATACAATCCGTACCTAGGACAAGTCGTCATGCAGTTTCATCGTTGTTTCTATGTAAGCGCATGAAAAAGTGGCCGACTTGCATACGATACGACTTACATCTAGCAGCTACGATCTGTGGCCTACCGCGTAGCGAATAATGGAAGGCTAAGATATACTCCACTAAAACGCTTACAGAATTGTCTAAGATAAAAGGTTGAAGCCCGGTCGGAGCGACTTACACTGTGAGCTACCATAGTGCGGCATGTAGAAGATAACATGTTACGAAAAGACGAGCCGTACGCCTATTTGCTTGAAGCAGATGATAATTGATGTGGTGAGTTCTGAATAAAGAAGCATTGTATGGAAATTGATAGAAGCCGACGTTTCTGTCTACCTAGAAGTGACAGGATGTTCTAACAACAACCTATCGCCGTTACTTTCCGACGTTCTTGGATCCAAACGAGCCGACATCGTTCATCGATGCACTTATAGCTTTCCACATCGTGCTCTGTGGGATGAGCGATTGGCAGCTCAATGATATTACGGAAACGGTATAACGTGGGAGCAACTCGTGTGTGTCTACAGGGAAACAGAGTTCTACTAGAATATAATGCGCCTGTGTCGTGTAGCAGTCACAATTAAATTTCAGCCAACCAGGTTGACTGCATGTTGCTTATTAGCGATCGGGTCTTGTGCAGGGGGTTTGACATCGTGAGAAACTAGGGGAGAATCTCTGGCATGGCTGGCGAATCGCTGTTAAACAGGTCTGACTCGTCCTCACAATCATCCTCATCGTATACCACTTCCCCTTCGGCATCCCAATTTGTTCCAGCTTCCAGCCGAACACGCTGTCCCGTCACGGCGTCAAATGCATACATACCGAGATATGGAAACTTATGTGATATAACCCTGACCATCCGAGGATTGCTCAGTTGGTGCGAGAGCGCTGTGGCCTGATTTTCGATTGCCTCCTTCAGCTGTGAGAATGTCTCGCCGGATAAAGATTGACAGCTCCGGGGATAACGGTATAATGGGATTGTATCTGACAGCTCGGAGAGACTTAAGTTGACGATAACCTCGTGAAGGTTGCATGGCCTATCGTGTGGTGGAGGCTCCAACAGACTCTCGCATATGTTATCCATTCGGCAGTGAAGCCGATGCAATGACGGAAATAACGCATTGACCGAGCGACAAAAATGTGCACCAGAATCGCATGCCCGGCCCCAAAAAATAGAGCCCGCAGAGTCGAGTTTCAAAGAAGCCAAGTGACGGACGGCGACAAGGTCAGCTAGAGGCTTTGCCATTAAATACCCCTGCCGTTGTAGACCTAACTCAGGGCGTCGTTCGGGTCTCGCTTTAAGCTCTAAACACCGCATACTAGGACAACGTTGTAGCACAGTAGCCAGCTGTAGCAAAGATGAGTCTAGTTGAGTAGTCCATTCGTCAACGGCGTCGGCATTATCAAGTTTTTTCCCACGACGGTCGGCTGACAACGGCCCTGAAAATTTGTACCCTTCGAGATACAGTTTGACTGTAGTAATGTAGGGTTGACTTCGTATGAAGACTGCCTCGTCATGCGTGAACCATTTCAGTGACCTTGCGGTAAGCTGCAGACCTCGGGCATATATCTTCCAGGCCGAATCATACCAACGCTTCGAAACAGTTAGGCGGCAGATATCCTGGCGAAAGAAGTCCGGGCCTAAGTAGTATAGGATGTAAAACAGAAGCTCTGGAAGCAACTGGAGGAGTGTCATGGTGGGTCGGCGGGACAGCCGGAGTTTTGATGCATTTTATTTTTATAGGGCTACCTTAAAGTACAGTGCGATGATTATGTCTGTAGGGGGCTGATGATTGAGAACGTAACGAAGCTCAAAGATAGAGGATACCCTGCCTCTCCGCAGACAAACACAGGGCGGTGAACCAAGGCGAAAGGGATCCACTGTACTCTGTATTCTCGGGCATACGCTCTTTGGTCACAGGTTTCGGAGCTAAAGGCGAGACCTCTTTGAACCTTTAAGCTAACTTTCGACATTTTATGGGCAAAAATGCATCGGCGGGGTTTGTGAAGCGGAAGGCTACACAGCGTTACAATTACGTTTGGCGCGGCCGTGGGCCACACGTGACGTCCCACAATCGGCAAATCAGAAAACGAGCTCTGTGGCGACGACAGACAAATTCCACGTTCGCATCTCAAGGCTACATGAGCAAAAGGCTACAAGCTCCGTGAACAAGGCTCGATAGCCGCGCAGGAAGCAATCCGAGGTAGCGCTTTTCATGAGCTTTTCAGGGGTGCCCGAAGCACGACAGAAACAATCGGTCAGGTGACGAGCGCAGCACGGCAAAGACAAACAAGAGGGTCATCCTCTACGTCCATGGACGGGCTCGAGTCGCATCTCCACCACCACAAGAACGCACGCTCCTGATGGAGAACCTTTCGATTTCTGACCCCCAGCAGCCTCGGGGGGCCGGGGGCCCAGCGGTCCCACAGCCTCCCCTCCAGCAAGACCAATTGCCGGCGCAGATGTTCACGACGGCGGCGCAGCTCTTGGACCTCACGGACAGTGAGTTTCCTGACACGGGGCGCGTGATAGGAGACGGTCTTCAGGGCCTGGATGGCGGTGACTGATTGTTTCTCGCTCCGCAGAAAAGCTCATGGTCGTCCTTCGTGACGGCAGAAAAGTGATTGGTGTCTTGAGAACCTGGGATCAGTTTGGTATGGCATCGAAGTGCCCGTTCCTGCCTGTTGCGCAACTGCTGACCGACATGGGTCGCACGCCAAACAGCCAACCTAATACTACAGAACGCTATCGAGAGAACGTTTCTTGCGCCGGGCACGTTTGAGGCAGCAGCTGCGCCGGAGAGCGCGGCCCAAGGCCACGGCCTGTACGCGGACATCCCAAGGGGAACGTATCTGGTGCGGGGCGAGAATGTGCTACTCCTGGGGGAGATCGACCTAGACCGGGACGACGAGGCGCCACCGGGCCATGACAAGATCGACTCGGATGTCATGGCAGAGCTCCACAAGAAGAAGAAGGCAGTCGACAAGGCAGCCGAGAAGTCGAGGGTAAAGAAACTCTCCGTTTTGGGCTTTGAGGGTGAGAACATGGGTGAGATTCTGTTGTAAAGTTTCCGTGGAAGAGGCGACACCAACCAGGAGGAAGAGGTTTGAGAAAAAAAGGACTACCAAGAGCACGGGGAAGGCGGCCGAAGGAGGTCGACACATAGCTGCCAGGAGCACTCCCATATCACGACCACCTGATACCAGGTCTGCCACTGAGGTGGAGACGAGGTGTCTGACGGCCTTTCATAGAGCGCGTCATTATTTCACAGCACGCGAGAAGGACGGGCCAACTCGAGGATTAGCGCTGCCCCGGACAGGCCGATTTGAAAATAAAATAAAAAATGCATTCTGATGCAGGAAACAGGGGGCAGATTGGTGACTATAGATGGGACAGCCTCTCTGGCACTGCCTCCAGTAAGGACAGAATGTACTACGAAGATGCCTATGGCTGTGTAGAGAAAGCGAACGTTGATTCGCAGCCGGCAAGGCAACCAATCGGTGATGCCCTGAAGAAAGGACGGTCCTTGACCATTCACTGCCAGGCTTGGCCTCTTACAGAGGTCAGCAAGTCACCCTTCGTTGCAAGCATAGACAGCATGGTGTGTCATACTACGGGTCGGCAAGAGGAATGGGACGAAGGCCCTTGAAGGTCCGAGGCACGGAGATTTCTCCGCCGACGCTGACCTAAGACTTGGGCATAGATGTCGCTCGATTGTGCCTTCCCGTTGGCAACGCGCCAGCCACCCGCTTCCAAAATAAGCAGCCCGATATCTGACATGCTTACAAGTAGCTGTTCGTTCTGCATACTGGAGCTGACCTCCATTAAACGTACCGGCCAAAACAGCATCGCGCCAGCTTCAGCTCTACAATGTGCATGTCTTATCTCGTCGTTCAGCCCGGTATGTGGATCTGAATACGAGGGAGACAAAGGAGTCAAGACCTGTCTTGTCAGCAGGAATGACAATCGGCGGAGAGACGGGCGAGAGAAAGGGATATATAAACGACTGGAGAGGTCTGCCAGGCTGTCTGCTAGCTGTGAGAGCACTTCACATACAAGACAACCGAGCACTTCTTTTCCTGCCTCTCACGACACGTCTATCCCGACCGGTGACCATGAGATTGTTCCTGAGCCGGATTTTGGGCGCCGCCCTGACGCTGGCCACGGCGACGACAGCACGATCCTGCCGCCCAGACGTGCAGCAGGCGAGCGTGACAGCGGTGGCGGAGCTGGGGACGCCGCCGAGCTGGGCAGAGAACCTGGCGTTCCGGCCGGACGGCAACTTGCTGGTGACACGGCTGTACGAGCCGGCGCTGTACCACGTGGACGTAACGACGGGAGCGGTGGTGGAGGTGTACGCATGGAACGGGTCGGAGCACTTGGGCGTGCTGGGCGTGGGCCAGACGACGGCAGACGTGTTCTACGTGGCAGTGGCGGCGCTTGTGGACCTGACGACGGGGGCGACGGTAGCCGGGGCCAACGAGATCTACCGCGTGGACATGCGGCCGTTTATGCTGACAGACGACGGGACAGCAGTGGCGAATGCGGCCGTGGTGACGCGGGTGGCGACGGTGGAGGCGGCCGGACTCTTCAATGGGCTGGCGGTGCTGGACAAGCGCTACCTGCTCGTGGCCGACTCGATCGGCGGCGTGGTCTACGGCGTGGACGTGCTTACGGGCGCGTATGGCGTGGCCGTCAACGACTCGCTGATGAGTGTCGGCTACGCGGCGTACCCGCAGTCGACGCTCGGCATCAACGGCGTCAAGGTCTACGGCGACCAGCTGTACTGGACCAACTCGGCAGCCGGGCTGCTGGCCCGCGTGCCCATCAACCGGCTCGGCCAGGCCGTTGGGCCGGCATCCATCGCCGTTGCCGACGTCGTGCCCATCGATGACTTTGCCATTCGCGGCGACGGCGTCGCTTTCCTCTGTCAGAACCAGCTCAACACGCTCAGCGTCGCCTACCTCGACGAGCGCCGACCCGTCACATCCTTTGCCATTGCCGGCAGCAACGGGTCGACCGTCCTGGCTGGCGTGACGGCTGCCATGTTCTCGCCGTCGCGTCCGAAGCGGCTGTATCTCTCGACCAGCGGTGGTATGTATTGTTTGTCTGAGTCCCTGCAGTGCTATTCTGACAAGACCCATAGGTCTCGCAGCTCCTATCAACGGAACGGTCACGGTCTCTGGAGGCGTGTCGTACATTGACACGACGGACTATTAGACTGCAATGGTTTGTGTCTGTGTTTTGTCTCTTTGTTTTGTCTCTTTGTCGTTCTTTAGTGTGGTATTGTTTTGAAAATGGTTTAGAATTATATGATTTTTTTGCTCTATATGCTCCGTTCTTCTCAGATGGCCCTCGTGCCGAAGACGCGCAGCCGCTTGACACCGCCATCCGGGATCAAGACGAGCTTGACATGGGTGACGACCTGGCTGGCCGGCAGCTGGGAGGCGAAGTCGTGCTCCTGGTCGGGCCCGCACTTGGCATCGGGCACGGCGATGAACCAGGCCGGGTCGTCATGGGCAGGTTCTCTGGGATCGTTGGGGCCGGGAGTCCAGCGTAGAGCCTCGACACGGACCTTTTGGGGGAAGTTGCCACGGAAGAAGGCGGTGTCGACGACGAAGCGGTGGACGAGGCCAGGAGCGCCGAGGCGGATGACGGCCCAGTCGACGTGGCCGGGCTGTCGAGAGCGGGCCGTCTCCCAGCCGTCGGCCATGTCGGCACCACGGCCGGGCAGCAGCAGGTTGTCCTTGGTGCCAAAGTGCTGGTTGTTGCAGGCGACGGCGACGGCACCATTCTGAGCGGCCGCGAGGTCGAACACGGCCGCCGGATCGGCCGGGAAGACCGGCCGGGCGTGGCCAAAGAGCCGGAACCGCGCGATCCCACCGTCGGGATACATGTTGAGGCGCACGTGCGTGTAGGCGCGGTCGAGCTGCGGCACGTCGAGCTGCCAGGCCTGGCGCTGCTTGGGGCCACACGGCTGCCGGCCGAGAATGGTCTCCCAGCCACCACGGCTGCCACCCCAGCCGACGACTTCAGCATCGGCATCTGCACCGCCCTCGCGGAAGCAGCCCTCGACCGAGATGGCCGGCGCCTCGTTGCCGCTGAAAAAAGCCGTGTCGATCTCGGCCCCGATCACCGTGCCCGAGGCCACGCCCAGCCGGATGATCACCCAGTCAAACGGCGCCGTGTTGTGGCGCCGCGTCTCCCAGCCGTCGTACCATGCGCCCGCATACACCATCCGGCCGTTGCCGGCTACCGGCGCCTTGGGGTTCAGCAGGTTGGCCGCCTCGGCAAACCACTGATCCGAAAAGGCCAGCACGCGGCCCTCGAGCCCGGCCGAGACCAGATCTGTCGTGTCAGCCGCGTCCGTGCATCGTACAGAAGCCGCACCACCTACCAATGCTGTTGGACCGAAAGGTCGCGTCAATGCCGTCGGCTGCGATGCGCGTGGCCTTGATGTCCTCCAGGACGTAGTCGCTGCTGTCGGCCGTCATGGCGCTGGTGGATGGAAGCTGTAAAGGGTAAGGTACAAAGCTTTCGTTCGTTTCGATTTCTCTCCGTCTGTAGGGCAACGTCTTCTTCCCTCGGTCTCGATGGCCTCGTCGTGATAGAAGTCGGCCGTGGTCTGGGTGCTATGCCGCCTTCTGTGCAAATCTCTCATCTCGCCTGCGCCCATCTCCGCCTGTCCATCGGGCATTGCCGACCTCCGGGGCTTGCAGTGGACGTCTCAGCGCCTCGTCCACCAACGAAAATACGTAATGGCCGAAGCCCCAACATCATTGGTGGACTGCTGTACTAGTCCCGATAAGGGACATGCTGCACGTAGTCAAAACGCTTGTTGTGTCCCGGTAACGGCTCCCTCTACTCCGTAGAGCTGTGTGATCGAGACAAAAGGCACCATGCAGATCGAGCAGCTCTGCATTGCGAAGCAAGCCACTTTGTCCCCCCATCTTCCCCTCCAGCGGGCCTGCTAAGCCCCCACAGCGGACGCAATGCGGGGAGAAGCCCGAGCAGCCAATCAGAGACCCTAGTTTAGCAAGCACCTGCTCTGCGGTCTTCGTCAGGTTGTCGCTTTACCAGCTCGTCGTCATTGCTCCTGACCCTTGCGCAATTGCGAGCCATGCCGTCTGTTGTCGCCGGTCAGCCAACGTCTCCCATGACTCCTGCTGCCTGATATTCCGACTTTGTGTTGCCGGTACGAGTAAATGTTGATCAACACCGTATCCTTCGTATCGCAACGATTCCTGACATTCACCAACACAACGCAAACGAAACGCACACATACACTTGCATCATGTCAGCTACACCGGAGACATCGGCCGGCTTGCCCATCCCGGACGAGCCCATCTCCAGAACTGAATCCGCACCGCTGCTGGGCGACCCGGGCGACGTGCTTCAGCGATCGGGCGAAAGTCTTGTCCCAAATCTGTACACAGGTGTGTTTTGGTGTTCTGGCTTCGTTTCTGCTTCTGCTTCTTCTGCTTCTTCTGCTTCTTCTGCTTCAACTGTGTATTGTTCTCCCTAGGAACCGCCTGGCTGGCTCAGGCCGGCATCCTGCTGCTGGTCGCTCTCGTCTGGGCCGCCGTCTTCCGTCATCCACTCCTGCCACTCTTCTCGCCGCACCCGCTCCTGCAGTCGCTCGGCATCTTCGTCCTCGTCCAGGCCATCCTCGTGCTGCAGCCCACGGCCGCGCCCACCGACAAGGTGCGCGGCGCCCGCGTCCACGGCGCCCTCCAGCTGCTGTCGCTCGTCCTCTTCGCCGCCGGCATCAGCCTCATCGAGGCCAACAAGATCCGCTCGCACGGCGTCCACCTGCACTCGGCGCACGGCGTCCTCGGCGTGATCACGGCCGTCGTCCTGCTGGGCCAGTATGTCTTTGGCTTCCTGATCTGGGCCGCGCCCGTGGGCCTCTTTGGCCGCGTCGATCGCGCCAAGGCGCTGTACAAGCAGCACCGCTGGACCGGCTACGCCGTGCTGCTGCCACTGCTGCTGGCCACGGCGCTCACGGCCACGGCCACAGACTACAACGTCAACGTGCTCGACATCCGCACCTGGGCCGTGCTGGTGGCGGCCGTGCTGATCGTCGTCGGCGTGTACCCGCGCATCCACGGCCGCAAGCTGGGCCTCTGGAACTAGCGCAGAGGCGAAGCAGACACGCTACGGAGAGTCATGATGACGACAGGAATTAGCGCTACATGTTTGGGAGACTTGAAGAGGAATGGCCGGGCGCCTAACCAAGAGCATTTCCTGTCTGACCTGCAATGTAGCCCCAAGGCTCTTGGTGGCGTGCTATCGGCATGTGCGGATAACCGCATTAGGAGTGCTTGTATACTAGTACGCATCTTACGTAGTAGTATTGCACGCAGCCGGGGGAAACCAATATTTAGACAACAAGCTGTTGGCTTCTGACAGCTCTGAAACGTAAGATGTCAACGCGCTAAAGTGATAAAGGACAGCGCTCTCTGGACAACATCATCGCTCTTTCTTGTAAGATATCCTGATTCTATGGCCTGACTTCCCAGCGATTGCCCCTAGGCCCATTCCACAGCAGGTTGTTACTTAGGATAGATAGGTTGCCAGGGTGTTATGGCTTCGGAGCCTAGCCTACGTATGCTCGTAAACATCCTGTCTCGGCGGGCTCCTCAGGTCTCCCTATTATGCGATGGGCCAAGAATTTCAACGTCCCTGTACCGGCCCTCCGAGCTCTTTCCAACTACGGGTACCTGGCATCGTAAGATTGCGCAAGTTTGCGGGAACGTGACCTCTGCAATTGTCAGACTTTCCTCCTGGGTCGCACTTACCCAACACGGTCCGACCACATAACCTCTAATCGTAGCTGTCGCTCGTGGAAACAGCTGACAGGGAAGGCGGAAGGCGCGAAAATGCACCATCCTGCCTGCTGGGCGTTCCGGCCCCACTCTGAGCGCTGAAGCTGTCCTTGTGCCGGTCGACCCCAGTCCCAATTACGTCATGGGACGCAGATCGCCAGCGAACTTCTCTCCCTGCCAAAACCTTGTTCGCTCTAGTCGGGCTTTTCTCCCTCCTGCCTGCAATACTGGATTCCCTTCCCCTTTCCCCACCTACCGACTGTCTTACGCTCGTCATTTCCTCGCCAGCTCGCCGTGAGACCTTTCGGTACTGCAAGCACTATGCGTCCGGCCCTTTGAGTGGATAGCCCCCCAAATTTAATAAACGACTTACCGCCTGGCTCCAGCTTGCTTGGCTTGGCCAATCTCCTTTGGCATTGGCCTTCCACGGACGAAACGAGGTTGTTGCCCTGTTTCTTCGCCGTGCTTTCCATCGTGCGTCTTGAAGCAGGAAGATAAGATACATCTCTGGCCGGCCGTCGACCTCATTGTCAGGTTTTTTCCGTCCCGCTCGACAGGCCTTTCGTCTTACATGAACATCGCTCAGTCCCTTCACCACCTATCGGTCCCGTTGCTGATTGAGCACTGTGTTTTTAAAGGGGCCCCAGCCCAGACAACAGAACAAAGGCTCTTATCGAAAACCCACGGCACTTGGGCCGGTAAAAAAGCAACACACCGTTGCAGAGATCGACACTCTCCCAACCCATGCCACCAAAACGAGAGACGCCCCGACAAAACCCCTCTCAGCCGCGACTGCCTCACGCTCCGATCTGCGGCCGATGCCTTGATTTGCACCAGGCGCAATGGCCAGCTGGGCTCAGGATGAAGCGCCTCCTTCCCAGAGGCAGGATGAGCGGAGCAGAGGGCGGGCACCTGAAAGCAGGTGCTCCCACAGTCCAGACAAAAGGGAGCGGCGTGGCAGCGACACCGGCCCCGAGACATCGAGCTGCCCAGCACGCCTAGACGGCCGGCATCGCTCACAGAACCGGTCGCAACCGCAGCAGCCGGCAGGAGCTGACTTGCCCTGCTCCAAGCGGCAGCTGAGCGACTACCGGCTGAAGCTCACGCGAGACATGTCTGCTCGAGTTGGCCACGCACCGCCTCTGGCCGCAGCATCGACGTCTCCCAAGCATCCGTCGCCCGCCCGGGAGGTGCTGACGCCATCTCCGGTGCTGCCGTCCTCGGAATCCGGATCCGGATCTGGCAATACCACGACGTCGGCTGGGTCTGTCCAGACCGTGCGTGCTGCCGCCGCTGCGACCAAGGACTTCTCTGCTCCAACGCCGTCCTATCCGTTTCCTCGAGTGCCATCGGGCGCATCCCAGGTGCCGCCGAATCCTGCGCTCAACGACGTTCCCGAAGAAGCAAGGCGGCCGAGGTTGCCGGCCAAGAGCGACGAGCCGTTAGCCTACATCCTCTCAGAGAAGCTTCTGCCCACTCCACCCACGCCAGCATCAGCGGCAGACTTTGCCCCCAGAAGCGCTGCCGGAGGCTCTGGCACCGCATCTAGCTACCATGGCTACAGTCGCCAGCAGGATGTTCACCCAAACCCCGACCTGCCCAGCCCGAGTCTGTACGATCTTGCTCTTGCCCTGTCCTCGGAACCGGGCCTCGATGCCTGGTGGACCAACGTGATTCAGGTGACCACAGAGTGGTATAAGGCGGAGCGAGTGGCGCTGGCTGTCCCGGCAGATGCCACGGACGTTGAAAACATGCCTTGGGGCCAGCGAGCCACGTTCAACGCACACGAGGGAGACGATGAATTGAGCCTGGGCTACATCGGTCGGGACAGCAATGCCGTTCTCAGCAACGCAGATGCTACGCCCCTGGACGCCACGTCTCTGTCGCCAGTTAGCGACCTTGCCTCTCCGCCCTCGGCAATTCCTTTGCGACGGCCTGACCTGACGAGCCGGTACTCCGACACTGCTTTCGAACACCACCGGAACCAGAAGCCAGAGGACTTGGCTGGTACAGACCAGCCTTCGCACCCGCCTCTACGTCCCGCCCTTTCGAGATGGCAAACCTCCGGTCCCGACTCGACGCAGCGCTCCGATGCACCAAAGGCGGACTCGCCGCCCAAGCCTTATGCCGGCCTCAACCATGCAGCTCTAGAGGAGCACGACGCTGCAGAAGGCACGCTTCGCCTCAATCCTATGCTGGATGTCCCGAACTGCCTGCCGACCGAGACTCGGGGACGAGTGCTGCCCGTGCTACAGGCGCTAGACTACGAGGCAGATCCACTCATAGATCACAACGGTGTCCAGCGAGTGTTGGACCGAGGCCATGTTGTTGCTTTGACGCGATCATACCCGTACCTGAAACGAGTACGCAACGAGACGGACAGACCGCAGGAGCGAGGGAGCGCAGAGCTTCGGTCTGAGCAGGCGAATAAGCTTCCCGGACTGACCCGCAGCTTGAGCTCCGCGACAAGAAAGACGAGCAGGCCGTCCAGCATATACATGAAGCGACTAAATGGGGCAGCAGGCATCGCGGCCTCGAAGCCGGGAGCGAGCGAAGCGCAGCGGCCGCGGACGCCCATGTACGAAGAATGCGAGCAGCTTCCCCCATCTCCTTGGGCACAGTCGCCTGCACCGTCACCTGCCGTGCGGCCCGATCCCGACGACAATCCGTTCTTCAAGAGCACTACGGTGGACGAGGATTCCTTCAATCCTGCCTCGGCTCCGGAAGACTACAAGGACATGCTGCCACCGCCTACGATTGGGGTTGAGAACGCGTGGACAGTCCTCCATGTGCCTTTGTTCCATCCGCACCTGTCCAAGCCGAGCCCATCGTCATTCAGGCTCGACAAGACCAAGATGGAGCGGCGATCGTCTCCGCGCCGCAACCCGAACAGCTCCGAGGACGGGACCGGCTCTGTCACGGCATTTTCCGCTGCGGTGTCTCCTGAGCGGCCGTCGAGCCAGCCGAAGCAGGTCCCCATTGCGATCCTGTCAATTCTGAGCCCGATCATCCCCTACCCGTCGAATCTGCGCCACTCGCTCGAGTTTCTGGCCCCCCATCTGGCGACGTCCTTTTCGCTCTGCCTCCACTACTCCAACCTGGAAGCAGAGGTTTCGGGCCTTCACCGTCGACGGCACGAGCTGGGCGGGTTTGGCGGTATCGACGTCAACGGAAATCCTTTCCCGACGTCCACGACGACGACGGACACGCCCTACATGCCGTTGCACGACACGCTCGCACTACGATCGATGGCCGGGAGCACAACGAGCTACAGCGATAACTCTATCCCGTCTCGCAGCGCGCTTGGAACGCCGAACGGCACACCTGGCTGGGACTCGACATCTCTGAACATGTTTTTGGACAGGCGCGTCAACGTAGGGAGTGGCACAAGCCCCGGACTGGCATCTTTGGCGGGAGACGGCTTAACTTTTGGCTTGCGGCCGTCGGCGCTGGGACACTTTAGTCGGCCAGCCACGACGCCGGGAGGAAGCAGCAGCAGCAGCGCGCCCAGAGCTGCAAAGCTATCAGCTGCACCGGGCGACAAACGTATTCCGGCGTCTGCTTTTTCCCTGACAGAACAAACATCCGTCACGACAGCCGGTGAAGGCTCTCTGAGCCGGGCGAAGAAACCACCGGCCGCGTTCTTCTTCGGCCTCGGATCAGACGGTTGCGCGACACTCCCTCCGGACGGAGACAGCAACGACGCCGGGACTGAAGCGGACAAGGAACCGGTCAGCCCAGTACCCAGTAACATCGTCGCCGGCCTCCGAGCGTCACTCTCTTCCAGGACCGAGCAGAAGGTGGCGACGGCAGCGGCGAGCAAAGAAGGGAGCCTGGACGAGTTGGCAAGATCGTCGCTCAGCAACAAGATGTTCGTGCCCAGTCCGTTTGGCTCTGGAAGCAGCCCCCCCAAACATCGCCATGGCGGTCGCTCGATGCACCGCTACAGCTATAGCTACAGCCACAGCCAGCTGCACTCTCATGGAGCCGACTTTGCGACAACATTCCCGTCTCTCCCGCCTAGCGCCAGCATCAAGTGTGTCAGTGCTGTTCCCACTGCGTCTCCAGCCGTGACACCGTCCCTGCTCGGGCCAGGGGTAGCACCGACAAGCCCCGTGGACATGCCGCCGCCGTCAGACCGGCTGAAGGGGCTCATCCTGGACTCGCTGCCGGCCCATGTGTTTGTGGCGATGCCACAGACGGGAGCGATTGTGTGGGTCAACAGTCGGTACCTGGCATACCGAGGACAGACGGTGGAGAGCCTGGCACAAGATCCGTGGGTGAGCATCCACCCGGACGACCGCGAGGAGTACCTCAAGGCGTGGAGCCACTCGGTGCGGACGGGCGACCAGTTCTCGCGGACAGTGCGGATTCGACGATTCGACGGGTCGTACCGCTGGTTCCATGCGCGGGCGGTGGCCTCACGCGACCGTCGCAACAGCATCGTGCAGTTTTTGGGATCGTACATGGACATCCACGACCAGCACATTGCGGAGCTCAAGGCGGCGCGGCAGGAGGAGATCGAAGTGTCGGAGGCGAAGCACCGGATCCTGGCCAACTTGATCCCGCAGATCGTCTTCACTGCGAACGAGGAGGAGGGGGTCACGTTTGTCAACGAGCAGTGGCTGTCGTACACGGGACAGAGCTCGCGGGACGCGCTCGGGCTCGGGTTCATGAACTTTGTCCACCCCGACGACCTGGCCAAGTGCACGTTTATTCCGGTTCCGGCCCACCTTCAACGGCGCCGCCAGCAGCTGCGGCATGTGATCGCATCGGGCGGCGCGGGGGGGCGCAAGAGAAGCGATGACAGCAGCAACCCGTCCGGAGAGCGCACGCCGGAGACGGGCAATGGCGAGGGCCTGAGCGAGCTCGCGGAGTTGGCGCGACGGGACATTATCATCGTGACGGAGGACGACAACGGGCGGCCATCATACACGACAGAAGTGCGGGTGCGGTCGAAGACGGGAGACTACCGGTGGCATCTGGTCCGTTGCGTCGAGACAGGCACGGAGGATTTTGGCAAGGGCCGCAACTCGTACTTTGGGTCGGCGACGGACATCAACGGCCACAAGCTGCTGGAGACCAAGCTGAAGGAGGCGATGGACTCGAAGACGCGCTTCCTCAGCAACATGTCGCACGAGATCCGCACGCCACTGATCGGGATTTCGGGCATGGTCAGCTTCCTGCAGGACACGACGCTCAACGAGGAGCAGCGCGACTACACGAACACGATCCAGAACAGCGCTAGCAGCCTGCTGATGATTATCAACGACATTCTGGACCTGTCCAAGGTGGACGCGGGGATGATGAAGCTGAGCTTTGAGTGGTTCCACACGCGGTCGCTAATCGAGGACGTCAACGAACTCGTCTCGACCATGGCTATCGGCAAGGGTCTAGAGCTCAACTACATCGTGGAGGCCGACGTGCCGGGCTGGGTCAAGGGCGACCGGGTGCGCATGCGACAGGTGCTGCTCAATGTGATTGGCAATGCGATCAAGTTCACGGCGCGTGGCGAAGTGTTTAGCTGCTGCCGCGTGGTGCGTCCGTCGCCAGAGCCGGACCGGATCGTGCTTGAGTTCTCGGTGACGGACACGGGCCAGGGCTTCACCAAGGAGGAGGCAGACCTGATTTTCAAGCCGTTCAGCCAGATCGACGGCAGCAGCACGCGGCAGCACGGGGGCAGCGGGCTGGGGTTGGTGATCTCGCGGCAGCTGGTAGAGCTGCACGGCGGCAAGATGGAGGGCACAGCAGAGCCGGGAAAGGGTTCGACCTTTACCTTCTCGGCGCTGTTTGGGCTGCCGACCGAATCGGACCACCCGAGCGGGGAGCTGGCGGCTTCGTGTCTGGACGGGCCGGTAACGTCGAGCAGCGTGGCATGGCCGGGCATGGGAACCGGGACGGTATCGACGTCGTTCTTCCTCGCGCCATCGGCCGTGGTGGCAGCAGCAGCGGCTTCGGCAGCCGGGTCTCCGGGTAGCCTGGCGTCGACTTCTGTCCGGGCGGCCAGCGAGCCGAGCAAGGCCGGAGAGGCCGGAGAGGCCGGAGAGACGGGCGAGGCGATGGTGAGCGAGGTGAAATCGCCGACGACGACGTTTAGCAGCGACTCGGACATGCGCACGACCAACCTGACACGGTTCAGCGAGGCGGCTCGGGCGAGTGGCCAGGACCTGTCGCAGATGTCGTTGAGGCACGTGGGAAGTGTGGCTGGAGACGGGACTGAAGATGAGGCTGGAGCCGAGGCTGAAGCTGAGGCTGGAGCGGAGACTCTCCGCAAGAGGCCGTCGGCCCTGTCGATCCTGATCATTTGTCCGCAGATGCACAGCCGTGAGGCGACGACGCAGCACATTGAGATGACGCTGCCCAAGGGGACGCCACACCGGCTGACGTCGCTGGCAACTGTGGTGGAAGCGCAGGAGCTGATTCAGGGCGGCCACCCGGAGATGTTCACGCACGTGGTGATCAACCTGCCGTCGCCGCAGGAGATTCTGGACGTGGTCAACCAGCTGCACCAGTCGACGATGCTGCAACACGCGAGCCTGCTGGTGCTGTCGGACTCGGTGCAGCGGCAGGCGGTCAACAAGCTGGCGGCGGGGACGCGGTACAACGAGCTGCTGTCGACGGCGCGGGTGACATACATTTACAAGCCGGTGAAGCCGTCGCGGTTTGCGGTCATCTTCGACCCGGCACAGGAGCGCGACCTGAGCATCGACCACAACCGGTCGAGCGCGGAGCGGCTGGTGGAGACGCAGAAACAGAGCTACGTGGACCTAGAGCAGCGCATGGGCAACCGGGGCTACAAGGTGCTGCTGGTGGAAGACAACCTGGTGAACCAGAAGGTGCTGAAGAAGTACCTGCACAAGGTGGGCGTGGACGTGGACGTGGCCGCCGACGGGGTCGAGTGCGTGGAGGCTGTGCTGTCGCATGCTCACGAGCACTATTCGTTTATACTGGTGAGTGGGGGAGGGGGAGAGAGAGGGGGGGGGAGAGAAAAAGACAAAGAGAGAAAGAGAGAACGAAAAGGAAAGAGAACGATGCTGACTGATAGTGTGATCTACATATGCCCCGAAAGGACGGCTACCAGGCCTGTCGGGACATCCGCGAATGGGAGGCCACGACGGGCGGACGACAGAAGCCGATCCCCATCATCGCCCTGTCGGCCAACGTCATGTCGGACGTGCACGAGAAGTGCGTAGAGGCCGGGTTCAGCAAGTACATCACGAAGCCGGTAGACTTTGTTGCGTTGAGCCGAGCGCTGGCCGAGTTTTTTTGAGCAGGAGATGGAGGCAAGGCGTTATCGCGAGCGGTCCATCTTCGTACCAAGTAGGCATGTCTGTATCACCAGGGAAAAGGGCACGGCGTTTAGGAGGCCGCAACGGCTTACGTAGAGGGTGGAGTGGCACGGCTGTCCGGGTTACCGATCTATTATTCTTCTTATTTCTAATGCAGAAGCTGTGGATCATGTGACTTCATTATCATTCCAACGGCCCTGGCCAACAGCTCAGTACACGCTCCCCAGCAGGCTGCGGTCGAACTTTTCGGCTTCGGCCAGGTCGCCATCGCGGCTGACGTCTAGCAGCTCATCGTCCACGTCCATCTCGTCCGAGCCGAGATTCTCGTCGTCGGCATGGCCGTGTTCGCAGTCGCTGCAGTGCGGCACGTCGCCCAGCCGATTGGCCATTGTCTTTTTGTGTCCAGCAGGAGCGGTAGCGGGATTCTTAGTCATGGCAGTAGCCGAAGTCAAAGCCGAAGTCGAAGCCGAAGCCGAAGCCGAAGCTGAAGCAGTCCCGACAGAACTGCCAATCTTGTCGTGAGCCTCAGCACCTCCTCCTCCTCTGCTGGTTGTCGTCGTCGTCGTCCGTCGGTGCACCTGATCGTCTGCCGACGAGTCCGCATCGCTCGAGTGGCCGCTGTAGGTGCCGCCAAAGTCGCGGCCCACGTGCAGGTACATCTTGCCGCTGTTGCAGCTGCTGCTTTTGTCGAGCAGCAGCGCCGGCGCCTTGGCCGTGCTGGGCGTCGGCATCGACCGCTGCCGTGCCTCGGGCGTGATGAAGGACGGCGTTGCGTCGGGCGACGACACGGGCTCCTCGCGCGACCGCGACACGTCAATCTGCGGCGGTACCGTGCCGGCGGTCTTGGTCTCGGCGCTGCCGCCGATGCTCACGCGGACGGCTGGCGTGGCGACCTGTGTGGGTGACGAGGCGCGCGTGTTGTTGTCGTCGTCGTCGCCGTCGTCGTCGTCATCGCCGTCCGCGCCTTCGTCCTCGTTGTCGTCGTCGCTGTAGCCGACGGCCTGGAAACGTCGCGCCGCCAGCGTCGGCGTCACCGTGGCCGACTTTCGGCTACTGCTCGCTGCTATTGTTGTTGTTGCTGCTGCTGCTGCTGCTGCTGCTGCTGCTGTTTCTCCCGCTGCAGCGGTCGTGCTCGTGCCCGCGACAACGGCCGCGGCGATGCTGCCTCCGCCGTCGGCATACACGGCCGTGCCGTCGCGCTGGATCAGGTCGGCCAGACCGGAACGGATCTTGAAGCTCTTGTCGTGGTTGCAGCCGTTCGGACAGCCGCCCCAGCGTCGCTCCGGCTGGATGGACGTGGACGACTGCGACGCCGGCGTGGTCCGGTCCAGCTGGGGGCCGTCCTTGTCCCGGATGGCCAGACTGCTGCTGCTGCTGCCGTGCGCTGCTGCTGCCTCGCGCACGGCGTCGTCTTCCTTCTGCTTCAGGGCGGCAGCCCGCTCGCGCCGCAGCTCGGACCACTTGCGCAGCTTCGTCTCGAGCGCAAACTTGCCGCTGTCCTCCTGCTTGCGCATGATGAGGAACTCGCAGTGGTTGATGTTGCGCAGGTCCTCAAAATCCTCGACGCTGAAGTGGTACCATTTCATCAAGAAGACACGCGACATGAGCCCGTGGGTGACCAGCACGCAGACGCTGGCAAAGTCGTCCTCGCCAAACTGCCGCCACAGGCTCTCGTTGAAGCCGGACACGCGGTCGTACGCGTCGGCCGCGCTCTCGCCGTTGGGAATCCGGTAGAAGAAGTGGCCGTAGTCGGCACGCTCCTGCCACATGCGCTCCATCTCGGCGCTGCACGGCTGGAAGTTGCCAAAGTCCTGCTCGCGCAGCCGCGGTTCCTCGTACACCTTGATGTTGTTCCGCTTGAACGGCGACGGCGACGGCTCGTCTGACGTCAGCGTCTTCAAGATGCCCTCGGTCGTCTCGCGCGTCCGCCGGTACGGTGATGTGAAGAACTGCAGCGTATCGTCGGCCCGTAGCATCGCCCGTAGCCGTCGCCCGGCGTCCAGCGCCTGCTGCCAGCCCTCGCTCGTCAGCTGCACCCGGTGGTCCGGCACGGTCTGGTGCAGGTCGCGGTTCTCTGGCGCACCGTTAGCAGATCGCCCGCAGACAGAGGACCAGAACCTGTTCGCGTACTGTTGCCTTCCGACTGCGCATGCCGCACCACAATGATGAGCCGGGGCTTTGCCATGGTCGAAGTGGAAGAAGCTCGTCCAATGGGGTGTATTGGTCAAATCTAGTCTTCTATCTCCTCGTTCTGATTCCCAGCACAGGCGTGATGAGAAGGAAAGGAAAGAGAGATGGCCCAGAGCGGCAATCGGTCAGAGAAGTCGTCCAGGAGGTGTGTCTGGCCCCCGGACGCACAGAAAACCCCGCTGACGTTGAGAAAGAGGACCCGGTGGAGACGATGAAAGGGACGAGCACTCGTTTTCCTCTCGTTTGCCCGGGGTCTGAGACGCAGCGTCGTAGTTGGCGGAAATCCGTCAACAACAAGCCCAGATATGGCAGCAGAACCGTACGATTGGTCCCTTCCCCAGAGCCTGCTGTACGGTCACTTGTAAGGCGGTGTGGCCAAGCTGGTAGGCCAGGATCGAATCCAATTCGGCGGCAGGAAGAAAAAGGAAATTCTGGTGGCGTGGTCTGGCTCCTCTCTGGCCTGTTTCGGTCGAGTGGGCCCGTTTGAAATGGAGACCCACTTCTGCGCCACGGGAGGCTGTGAGGCTGTGGCTGAAGTCGCGAGGCTTTTTGTTGATGGAATGGAGCTCGAACTTCTCCTTGTCAATATTCTATGAGCACGCACAACGCTCCCCCCTCCTTCCACATACCACCCCCAACATGTCCGGCGACGGCCCCGAGTCTATCCCCACGTCGGCCGACCGCCGCTCTAAGCGGCCGGTCAAGAAGCGCGCCCTGACGCCTGTCTCGGCCCAAGCCGCCACCGTCGACGCCCTCTTTGCCAAGCCGGACCAGGAGATTCGCATCCCGGCCCTGACGATCACCGGTGACGGCGCCGCCCTGGTTGCCCGCCGTGCTGCCGCGCCGCCTGAGATTATCTCCAATGTTCAGGGCTCTAGCTCCGGTGCCGGCAGTGGCGAGTTCCACGTCTACAAGGCCAGCCGCCGCCGCGAGTACGCGCGCCTGCGCCAGCTCGACGACGAGGCCCGCCACGATCGCGACAAGACCGAGTTCGAGTCCGCCCGGACTGACCGTGAGGCCCGCGATGACGACAAGACCAAGCGCAATCGCGAGAAGCGCGAAAAGGCCAGGGCGCGCAAGGCCAAGGCCAAGACGGGTGCCGGCCAAGAAAAGGACAACATCAATGCCAACAGGCCGACACCTCCCTCGACAAACAGTCAGGCAGACGCAAAGGCTGCAGACACAGAGGCTGCAGACAAAGAGACTCCAGACGGAAAATCAACAGAAGCACCGGAAGACCCAAAACCCATCCCTGCATCCACTGCCAGCATCCCCCAGCCGCTGCCCATCGCAGACGGACCCGGACTCCTCATCCACGACGACGACGACGACGACTGAACACAGCTTCCCGCCCTTTATACGGATACTTGCACCGCAAGGCGAGAGAATACCAAAATATTGGCCAGCTCCCAGCCTTTACAAGTCTATTATAGTAGTCTAGAAGATGCACGGAAATGCCTTCATAAAGGCCCGGATGAGCATTGAACTGTACAGCAGAGGTCCCACAGATGGCAGGGCAAGTATTTGCTCTCTCTCTCTCTCTCGCTTCCAGCCACTGCCGTACGCCGTACAACGATAGGTTGTTGTATTTTTGTCACAGCGTCTGCCATGTAATTTTGTCTTCCCTTGTTTTGTTGACTTTGACCCGGTTTTAGTTCTCGTTTAGATAAACACATCTACAACGTGCCGTCGGTCGGTCCTTCACCGTTACTCATCTCCACCACCTCCTCCCGTGCCAACACCCGGCTGTGCCCTCTTTGCACTGCAAATGTCGTCGACTCTGAGCAAGAGACAGGCCGCCTGTATATGTTAGTTTGTGAGAAGTCGTGGGATAAAAAAAGACAAAGAAAATAAAGCAAACAATACAAACAATACAAACAACCAAACAAGCCTCCCAAAAAACTCACCTCAATCGCCGTCTTGATGCTCTGCACCTTGATGGCCTCGGGCTCCCACACGCCGTACTCGTTCATGTCTGCCAGCGCACCGGTGTCGCCGTTGATGCCCCACGAGCTCTTGCCCTCGGCATGCTTCGCCCGCAGGTCCGTCAGCACGCGCACCGGGCTCTTGCCGGCGTTCTGGATCAGCGTGCGCGGGATCACCTCAAGCGCGTCCGCCACCGCCTTGTACGGCCACTGCTGCACGCCCTCGATGCTCTTGGCCAGCTGCGCCAACCGCACCGACACGGCCATCTCCGTCGCACCACCGCCCGGCGACAGTCGCGGGTGGAAGATGACGTTGCGCGCCACCCCCATGGCATCCTGCAGATTCCGCTCAATCTCGTTCAGCACGTCTTTGGACGGCCCCCGCAGCAGCACCGTGCAGGCCTTGGGCGTCTTGCACTGCGTCAGGAACGTAAAGTACTCGTCGCCAATCTTCTCAATCTCAAAGAGTCCGCAATTTGTTCCCACGTCGCTCTCCTGCAGGTCCTCCACCCGGTTGACAATCGTCGCTCCCGTCGCGCGTGCTATCCTATTGTTATCCGTCTTGCGTACGCGGCGCAGCGCCGTCACGTTGGCCTTGACAAAGTAGTGCTGGGCCAGGTCTGAGACGTCATGTTAGCGCATGTCTCCTGAAGCCCAATGCCCAATGCCCACCACAGACTCACCGGAAACGCCCTTCTCCGTGATCACCAGGTCCGGGTTGAGGGCCAGGACAGCGTCGCACATCGACTTGACCTGCTCCTCCTCGATCTGCAATATGCGGTTCCAGTCCTCCTCTTTGGTGACCTCAATGTTCGTCTGCGACTCGCCCTTCTTGTACTCCAGCGGGCAGTCCAGCAGCACGATGCGTGGGTTGACAATCTTCCGCCGCATCTTGGGGTGCGTGATGTCCTTGTTGAGCATCACGCCGTCCAGCACCCGGCTGTCCTCGATCTCGCCTCCCGGCACCTTCTCCACCCGCGCGTACCGCTTGATGTCCACCTCTTGCTTGCCGTTGCCGGCGTCCCACGAGACCGTGCGCACCGCCTTGAGCGCCAGGTCGCACATCAGCTCCGACCACCGCGACACAAACTTGGTCCCGATCGACGACGACACCAGCCCGTGCATGGCCTTGTCGTCATTGATGTCGATGGGCAGCGAGATCTCGTCGATGATCTCGAGCGCGTCCTTGAGCGCCCGCTTGAATGCCGCGATGATCACCACCGGGTGAATGTTGCGCTCTAGTTGTGGGAGTGCTTGGGCCAAGATCTCGCCCGCTAGGATGATCACCGTCGTCGTGCCGTCGCCGACCTCCTCGTCCTGTGTCCGACTCAGCTCGATCATGCTCTTGGCTGCCGGGTGCGAGACCTCGATCTCTCGCAGGATCGCATGGCCATCGTTGGTCAGCACGATGCCACCCATCGGGTCGAGAAGCATCTTGAGCATCGCTTTGGGGCCCAGACACGACCGAATGATATCGGCAACACTATGTCCCACCGTCAGCATCGCTCGGCATCGGGATGGAGTGGTGCCCGCAGGCGGTCGGCTTACGTCTTGGCAGCAGCGATGTTGGACAGCTGGGCCTTGCGCCCAGTCTGCCGTTCACCACCTTGGGTGTCTGCAGCAGAGAGAAGGTTTGTCAGCAGGAGCCGTGACAAGCATTCGAGAGAAGCACGCACTCATCACAAGCACGGGAGCCTGCATCTTGACGGTTATTCGGCGGGCAGCTCGGAGTATAAATTCCTATTCGTGTCTTGTTCGAGAAGAAGGTGGGGGTGAGGTCAGATAGCTGCCTTAGTTAGGTCGTTCCGTCAGGTCGCACGTTGGAGATACAATGCGTTCAGCGGAGGGTTGGCTGGCTGGACAGATGGACAATGTATGGCAGCTTCGAAGACACGGGGGACGGGAAAGCTCTATTCTGCACAAAGAGGTGTGTTTGCCTATAGTCGTCACGCCGCGAAATAAGGAGAATCTGGCCCCGCAGAAGCCTGTGGACGAAAAAAAAGTTCACCAGGCGGCGAGCTTCCCCTAGACAGAGGTGGGGCGGATAAACTAAAACTCCTTCTACCGGCAGCAGAGCTCAGCAAAATGCACGTGACTTGGGCACGACGGTTGTGCTTTGGGCATTTTGGGCTGATTCTTCGCAAATCAGCGCTGAGGCGAATCAAAATGAAGCCGTTTTACAAGCGAAGACCGATAGCCTCCGCTGTCGCTATCGGCGCCTCCACCTCCAGATCGGAAATGCCCAGGCGCCACACCATCGGAGGCAGGTCTTTCCCGTAGCGGACAGCCGGTATAAACTTGCAGCCATCCGGTCTCGAGCGAAGGACGTCCTCTTCCTTCGATTCCCGTTTCCACACGCAACTCCCAGACAAGATGGCACCCACAGCAGCAGCGAGCGAGGCGGTCGTTATCAGCCAGAAGGCGGAGCCGGTCGAGAAGGAGCTGACGCCACTACAGGCCATCTCACACGGCGATGTGCTGCCAGGTGAGGAGAGGCGAGAGCGAGAGATGGATTTGTGGCTGTTTATAGTAATACCAATGCTGATGACGGCTCAGACATCCCGACTTTTGTGTCATTTGCGGCCGAGCGACGCCACATTCTGATCCACATGGCGGCGACGTTTCGGCATTGGGCGCGGCAGAACTTCACCGAGGGCCAGAGCGGCCACATCTCGGTGCGCGATCCCGAATTTCCCGGCATGATGTGGATGAACCCGCTGTCGCGCCACTTTGGCATGCTGACGGCGGGCGACATGCTGCTGCTGGACATTGAGACGGGCCACATAGCGGCCGGCAGCCCGAACCCGGCAACCGGCCTGCGGACGTCCAACCGGGCCGGCTTCTTCATCCACCGCGCCGTTCATCGGGCGCGGCCACACGACGTGCACTCAGTCTGCCACGCGCACACGAACAGCGGCCGGGCCTGGGCTGCGTTTGGCCGACCACTCGAGATGCTGACCCAGGACGTGTGCACGCTCTATGGCGCCCATGCCGTCTACAACCAGTACGGCGGCATCGTGTTCGGCACCGACGAGGGCGAGCGCATTGCCCACGCGCTCGGAACCTCGAACAAGGCTGCCATCCTGATGAGCCACGGGCTGCTGACGGTCGGCAGCACCGTCGACGAGGCCGGTTTTCTCTTCGGCCTCATGGACCGCTCGTGCGATATCCAGCTGCGCGTCGAGGCCGCCGCCGCTGCCGGCACGCTCAAGAAGCAGATCATCAGCGACGACGAGGCCGCCTACAACTTCCGCATGGCCAGCGAGCCCCATGTGCTCTACCGCGAGGCCCAGGCTGACCTTGAGCTCGAGATCGAGGCTGCCGGCGGCGAGGAGGCCCTGGCCAAGGGTCTCGACCAGCTCGTCATCATCCGCGAGTAGAGTCGGGAAGACAGCGAGAGAAAAGAGATGTACGAAAAAGAAAAGGCGTACGAGATGGGAGTGGCCGGACAGGACAAACAATGGCGGGTCTGTTCGTTTTGCCGTCTTCCTCTCTTCCCGAATTGATGCTACATGACTGTTTTGTTCCCGTTTGGCGGTTTGGCGGATTGGCGGTTTGTGTGTCCTTTGGGTAGACATCACTAGGAAATACAACACCTTGGCTGTAGACAAACATGCACGAGCCATTGGCTCGGGGACGTGAAGAGCCGGGAAACAGCAAAAGATAAGGCCAGTACCGTAACAGCTGTGCCATGCCCACGATGAGAACGCGGAAACGTATTCGCCGCTCTTCCACCGCTCCTCCGCCTGTCCGCCTCCACGGACAGATGGCGTCACCGAGTCTAGATATCTGCTACGACCGCTGCGTACAGAAGCCGCATGCCCGTGCTGTGCTGCCGGCTACGAGCCAAGTCCAGCACTCCCGGTCTGCAAGCGAAAGGGAACTCGCCCGACACTGGTCAGTGCAAGTCGAGGCAGAGGCACAGATCGAGGCTGCATGTCCACACCGGTTTCATCTCTTGGGCAAGTCCTCCTTCACCGCGTCTGCTTGCCCAGGGGAGGGGGTGGGCGAGCGGTGCGAATGAAAGGGGACACGACAGCAAATACCATGCACAAGGAGGACCACGCCTGCACAGAACGGCCGCCATCGGGCAGGACAGACCGGGCCCGTAACGCAACGGGGCAGCAGCTTCGTGGGCGCCCCTTCCGACCAGTCCCGCAGAGACACGGAATGGCGGCGACACGGTACGATACATGTTGGATGGCAGGGGACCCATCCCCGGAGCAGGTAGTCCTTCCTCGTCGTGGACATGGACTCGAACATAAGCCACTTTTTCTCCTCTCTCGTCGACACTACCGAGCTTGTGGTCTCGGTCCCCCCCTCTCACGCTCCTCTCCGCTGCAGGACGGGCGGCCAGACCAGGACCTGTCGGGCTCGACGTCTCGCAGACGAACACGTCAGAGCCGGCAGGGTCGGGCAACGGTAAGCGCTAGCGCCGCCCAATGATAGCCCGGGTGGCGGTCAAACAAGAGCTGCCAGGTGGTGGGATGTGAAACGGGTCCGAGGACTTATTCGCTGGCTTCCTCGCTACAAAGCAGAGAGTGCGTGTGGGTGTGTCTATCAAGGCACACAGGCGGCCACGGCAGGGTGTCAAGTCGTCCCCTTTCCCCACCTGTCGCAAGGAACGACACCAGGAACAACGAACAGGTTGTAGGCTGACGCATCGCCATGTACAATGAATGGCCCGGCTGGTGTGTGTGTGCCGTCCCGGTTCCGGACCTGAACTTGCCCGGGGTGTGATTGCATGAGTGGATGGCGGCCAGGTGCTCTGGTTGGCTACTTTCCACACATGCTTGCTTTCCTCGGGCAGTGATCTTCTCTTTACCCCCCCCTCCCCCCCCCCCACCCCTGCTGTCTTGGCTGCTTCTGTGCCAATCCCCCCCAGTCGTGGGCAATAGAAGAAAAGAATGAAACCCGAGCGGGACCGTTCTGCATTTGAACACCGACCAGGGCTGAGATATATTCAGAATCGGTGAATAGTACATAGTAGAGGGAAAACAGAGCAGTATAATATTAATAGATTGTGGAATATACGAGAAGTGCTGAGATCCTGTGGGGCCATAATTGCGGCGTAAGGCCGCAAGAGTTACAGAGGGCTCTTTGTATTTGTAGGCTAGATCCATCTGGTGGCTTCAAAGCAATTACAGCATATTAAATGCAGCGTGTTCTATTCAGCCAGTAATATAACACATAGGCAGAGACCGAACCACGCCCCCCTCCCTTCTGAAAAATAGGACTTCCGGGTGATTCTACTACGTCGTAAGGAATGAGGCATATTCGTACGTAACCTATCGCATCCCGTCTTTGATTGTTGTTTTGCTATTTCCATGACGCTGCTGTGGAGACAGATAAAGAAAGCACAGGGCTGTCCAACTCGACCTGTCATCTTAGGGCCGCTCTACACCCGGCAGTCGGAGAAGGCGAAACAGGATCAAAAGAAAGCACGAAAGCAAGGGGAGAAAACGGCTGGGCGAGTAAGCCGTCCTCTGGCTTTCCACTTTGTGCTTTTGGTTTTCATTTTCAGCCGCATGGCCGCCTCACTGGCTATCGAAAGGCGTCTAGAAGCCAAGAGGCTGTGGCGAATGTGGACCTCCAAACAGACCATTCCTTACGGCAGGAGTCCGGATTAGCACATGCAGGGCGAGCCCGAATCAGCCCTTTGCCTGTCCAAGGCTGCTGAAAATTCTTCAAAACCCCTGCCATTGGCTTTTCCGGACACCGAGAGAGGAGCTTCGTACTGCAGGCCGCTCTCTCGGGGCATGAAACAAATCTCGATCCTACATCCCTGCATAGAGGAGGCAAGCATTGTGGATGTGTATAGCGTGCACTTGTGCCGTTACCGACAACAAGGCACTCGTATTGGCAGTGGCGGATCCATGGGCGTCAAGCATCAAGCCGTGTACGGGGGGCTGTGTACAGCGATACAGGTAACCCTAAGAGCGAGGCGGTGGAGAGGTGATTTGGGCAGAAGTGCTTGTCACAAACGATGCTGTCCCTGTGTAGTACCCTCGCTGCCATGGGCAGAGGAGCTGTCTGCCGGTCCTTGGCTTCAGGGGATTGGTGCGTGTGGTTGCACCAGCAGTTGTGATAGCACTTCCAGACCGGTTGTGCTATTTCCTCGGCCGTGTGAGCACAATTGAGGCAAAAACACAGTTACGGTGTAAGGATTCACGGCAGTCGATCCTCTATCATCAAGTCTTGAAACCTGCTGGGCCGCTCGGGACTGAGGGCTTCCCGCCATCATGCACTTCAACGTATACTTCAGGGGAATGATACACAGTGCCCACTCGCCGTTCCTTTTTTCACGGCGTCTAGACTCCCCGAACGTGGCCAGCACAGATCGACATCGAGCATGGTCTTTTCACTGGAAGGCAGTACTGCCAAGTCAAGTCGCATATGAAGGAGGACAGAAACTACGAGTACGAGGTGAAAATTCTTCCGCATTGTGTGCATCGACACCCAAAGGTGGCAAATCAGCCAGAACGAATACAACGTATTCGCTAACAACGAGACGTGGCAAAGGGATGTACGGAGTAGGACCTCTGGGAGTTTGGACGTGAAGTATCGTATATCACGCCCTGGCTACTGCACTTATGTCAAGGGTCCTGAAACACATCCTACAACGGCCACGACCGTCGGACCCACTGATGGTAAGAATTTTTTACTGCGAATTGCCTAACCGCCAAGGGGGAAAGATGGTGTTGTGGGCTTCTCTTTGCAGCCTCCTCTTTATCAATGGCCGAACCGGCTATTATGCCGCCCTCCGCGTGCGGAGTAAGGCTCACGTGTGCAGCATATGTAGGCTTCCCTGTTTCTTGACTGTCATTTTTCACTTTTAGCATATCCGTACTCCGCACAATACAGTTCCTTGCTAAGATGTCAGCTGGCCTTCCAATTACCTAACAGCAAAGAACTTTCAACGAAACGCTCGCCGGTTTCCCATTCTGCGGGGTAATGCTAGTCTGTTTCTGCATTAGCGCACAGTGATAGCCCAGAATAGAGTACATACTACGACCATCTAGAGTCAAGTGCATCGTTGAGCTCGACAACCGGGACGACCTAGTGGGCAATCCCCCGGGTTTTGCAATGCAGACAAAGACACACTAAAAAGAGGGGTTGCAGCAGTGTTGCAAGTGCAGTGACCGGGCAAGTACGAGATACTCACTGAACGTGCAAGATGTCATTGTGGCAGAACTTGCTCATAATGTCTCGCGGCATTAGCAAGGTGCCGGCAGGGGGAAAGGCCAGCCGAAAAAAGTGGCATGTTTAGCAAACCCACCCACTATTACTTACTATGTACTCCGTAGCCCTGCCACGTAAGTGGAAGTGTTGAGGGAAGGCCGCCGAAGCCTTCCAGCCTGCCAATCAGCGCTGAGCGAGGCTGGCCCACAAAATACGAGTGTTCAGGACAGTGCCGGTAAAAGGGCTCAGAGAAAAGAGGGACTTCTTGCCGGGTCTCTCCGTCAGTATCGTACGAGCGTCACATAGTACGTACGATATTGTATCGCTCATAGTGCATGGAATATTTCGCACGTTGAAATCCATGCGCCGTTGCATCCGGGCGCGATACGAGCATGACTACCAAAAACCAGACAGGCACAAGGGGCACAAAGCCGCGAGCCAGTATGCTCGGTCTCCACTGCTTTTGCATGCAGAACGGCATCTTGAGACACGGCGATTTTTTATTTACGTCTCCAAATACACGGAAGCAGAAAAATGGACCCACTAGAAGCCCAGAGAGATCGAGAAACGACGGTTTGGAAAGGCAATTGGAATGGAGCATGGGGCCAGCTGAAAAGCTAGCACAGCTAGGCTAAGCAAAAAAGATACACCGGGAGAATGAGAGACAAAACCCAGGGACGAAAGAAGAACCAACGGGCTCACGTTTCTATCTCAGGCTCCCTATAGACATGTCTCGGCCTCCTTGCTCTCTCCCTCTGACGGAACAGAGCAAGACGTGTCCGTGTAGGAGTAAAACACTTGGGGCGTAGTGGAGAGACTGAAAATGAATATGGCAAAAACACAAGAGGAAAAAAGAAGCATAGGACAAGGCGATGAAATTTTTTTCTTCCGAACACACGCCCGGAGACTGCCCACAATACTTGTCTTTCCGCAATCCCGTCTCTATGCGAGCGTCGAAAGGAGGAGGCGGTGCAATCCGGAGACCGCCGCCCATTCGTACACAAGGTTCATCCAACAAGGTCGGAAGCCCAGAAAGGGAGCTTCAGCTGTGGAGTCGGACGCATTCCGGTCTTCGTACTGTGGATATAGCACGAAAATAACAGCACTTCACAGTGTCAAGTAAAAATCATCCGACACCGCTCAATTCGATAAGTTCTAGAACTCCCTCAACCTTGTCGTCGTAATTCAAATGGGAACCAGATAACACATCCAAAGTAATACGCTAATGTCTGATTTTGAAACGACGGAATCTTCGTCCCATCACCTCTATGAGCACTCCCCTGCCCTATACTATGTACCGACTGCCTTCTTGTTCGGGCCACTCGGTCAATATAGGTCATAGGAGCACCGCGGTTCAATGGTCGCTAGTATGCTGCTGCTATTATACGGATACCTTGTGCGCACTGTAACATCAGCGATATTAGTCCAATGCCAACGCAAATAGATGTATCTTACGAGTAATTCAGCAACCTCCTTCCACATACGGCTGTCACAGCTGCTACGCACAACACACAATCATGCGTGCCCGGACTTAGGTATCACTGAAAATATCACAATGCTCATGCCGTTGGTGGTAATAGGGGTGTGGCTTTCTTAGTCCACAAAATGTTGTGATTGTGTCTCATGATACAACAAAGAAATATCAAAATGAAGTCCATGACCATAAAAGCCTGCGCCCATTGCCTAGTCCTTTCCCGTGACATGACAGATTCCTAGTCAACCTATACCCCGTAATCCTCCCCCTTTCCCTGCCAGCCAGTAAATTTATTTTCGTTTGTGACGCTCGCTCGTCTCCCAAAAGCCATTCTTCTCCCCCAGATAGAGAACCTGGCACAACGAAGGGGGTGGTTATCGATAGGCTGTATGGAATAAGACTTCGAAAAAGCAGAGTGATGATTGTGTAGTGTTGGAACAGATTCCGGAAAAAAAACCCAAAGTTCGCCTCGATATGCTGCTGGTCCGTGTAGTAAAAGCACAGAAACAATATTTTTAAGACGCCCCGATGTAGCAATGTGTCCCAAGAAAACCTTGCAGACTTTGAAGAACAAAGGAAATAAATAAAGATAGGACACGTTGAAAACTAGGGAGTTCAACGAATTCCGGCGTGTTCGAAAGATGTCTAAACGCTGGCAGGAAAACCATTCATAGTTGAGCTGTGTGGTATTCGTGATGATTCGTGGTAGTGGTGTAATGGTGTAGAGACGGTTAGTTTTTTTTTAAAAAAAATTGTAGTGAAAACAGTTTGCCGAGAATAGAAGAGGCGAGCATGTTTCGCCATTCTAGCAGGAGCGCCGACGCTGCAGCTTTCCCTGCTCGAGAGAGCTGGCATACTTGCGGAGCTCGCTTCGGGCTCTGTCGGAGAGATCACCACTATTGCTGCCGGCAGATGTGCCGAAAGCATTGTGCGTGTTGACGACGCCGCCGGATGCAAAAGCAGTGAGAGCACCCATGGCACCACCGGAGCTCAAGTTGCTTCGCATAGAGCTGAGACTGCTGTGCGAGCTCGATGGTGACAAAACGTGGCGGTAAGTCACCGATGTTGTGGCCGTTGCCGTTGCGGACGTGGTGGGAGGGAGCACAGATGTCGAGGCGGAGGAGTAGAGGGCAGAGGTCGGAGCGGCAGAGCGGCGGGGCGTCGTGTACTGGTTGCTGTAGTTGTGAGGGTAGTGGTAGTGTCCCGGCGTCGTGCCATACGGCTGCGGGTTGCTGAAGTCGTATGCCGGCGTCAGGTGGAAAGCTTTGCGGCTAGTTGATGACGAGGACCATGGGTATGTTGTAGCAGGTGCTGCCCAGGTTGGAGAGTTGGAATTCGAGTATGAGGAGAAGGAGGACGTCTCCTCGAAGTCGGCGAGGCGGCAGGATTCTGAGCAGTAAGTGGCACCATCTGTCTGCTTGTCACAGGTCAAGCAGAAGTGAGGAACCCATTGCAATTCAGACGCCATTGTGAAGAATGTGTGGTGGTTGCGAGAGACGGAGAGTCGAAATGTTGAGAATGGACCAGGCTGTTAAGCTGTGGCAAGAAGTTGGAAGGAGACGGTGAGTGTGAAGTTGGAGAGTTAGGCAGACAATAGTGCGAGAGAATATTATGAATTGGAGTCAAGCTGCAAGTGTGGGCGACTTGTAGTGATCAGTGTTTGTCAGTTCAAAAGGCTGAGATTGGGTTGAGGCAGAAGGGGAGGAAGTGCGAGAAAGAGGTGGGAGAAGCATCTTTTTTGTATGTTTTGGAGGAGTCATCCTGGATACGCAAGAGCTGGCACAATTTTCGACGTTATGTATGGAGTACACACGATGGCGCCTGCTAACATGTATGGACTAGTTGCGTATCCCTTGTCCACACTACTCAATTCCACTTCCCACACCCCCCCTTTCCCACAGACTGACCCACCTGTGCATGTCGTGAATGGCCAGCTCACGTCTTACTGTGAAAATCAAAAGAGGTTAAGGCGATGGGAGATCAGGCTGGCAACGGACATGGGGAGCAAGAAAGTGGAGAAGGACAACAGAATAAAAAAAAAACATTTTTCTGAACAGGAAAGGGCCTGCTGATCACAGTGGTCCACATACAAACTAGCTCATTTTGGCTGTTCCCCTCCTTTTTGACGAGTACGGAGTACTCCGTATTACTGCACTCCCTATTCTTTTTCTTTCCCTGTCAGCGATAAAAAAAAAAACAGCACAGAAACAATAATGCCCCCACTACCAGTCTTAGCGCCACACGGGTATCCCCTTTCAAACAGCTAGCCTATTCGGGATCTTCTCCAGGAAAGAAGAGAATTAAAATAAAACGAATGATAAAACAAGACTCAAGGGCGTGTGCTTAGTGAGTCAGAGGGAAAGATTCCGTAGGCAGAGACAGAAATTTTCCAATGCACGCGCGCACGCTGTCTGGCACCATAGCACTACACGACCACACCATTTATCCTGCTTGGCGTGTCTACTATGTATTCGGTGGCCTTCCTAGTTCTGTATTATGTATGTGTCTGCTGCTCAGTATATATCTGTCTGCATCTTTCTACTGGAATGAACTGCCACCCCTCCCCTCTGCTCCTCAACGGCGAGCAAGTTTCTGCCTCTGGACAAAGCTGTGTCTTGGTGTCAGCCAAGAATAGCCAAACAGACTACTCGTACACATGAGCCAGTACGAATATGACACTGGGCAACCCGGACGGCCGCCGCTTGTTACTGTGTAGACAGGTGCGGGCTGTCTTGCAGTCGTGTAGTATTACAGAATCAGTGTGCGTGCTCGGCACTAAAAATCACCTGGGGCTCATAGGAAACAGCAGTTAATGGCGCCATTATATTTTCTATGGCTGTTTGGCGCCTACGAATGCTAATTGGCGGCGTTTGACGGGCGTTTTAGGGAGATGGCAAATCACAATGGCGAATGACGTTGACGGCGAAAAATCCACCCAAAAATTGACGTCTTACAAATGCCAAATGAACAGAACGCCTGTTTCTGCTGTCATTCCTAGCCAGCCAAGACCGTTGCCCATTGCTCGTAAGCACAAGCATAATGCGGTCTCTTTAGGGCCCAAAGTGCCTCTACAGGAAGCCGTACGATTTTTCTAGTAGCTCCCTGGTCTTCCTTTTTTTCCTTATCCACGTCTGGCAGTGAGAAGTGTGTGTGGGTTTTCCCGTTCCAGTATGGACCGTGGGGGTCTCGCAGGTCTGCCCCCTCTTTTTTCCCGTCTTATCATGCTCTCGCTGCCTCAGGATGCGGAACTTCTCCTGTGGGTAGAGCTGTCCCGTGCGGGTTGATGTCTTGGTTGTCTTTCCTGCATTTCAGCAGGTGCCCTTGCAGAGATCTCCAGTAGAGCGCATGGAGCAAGCAGATTATTGCTTCAAACAGGACCTCGGAGAATGGAATTAAAACTTGCCTCAAAAGAGATTTCTGACAGCCTCAAATTGCGTTGAGCGGTTCGGCCATTCAGGCAAGATAGAACAGGAGGGATCGCCTGTAGAGCGTCGGCTCTATCGGAGTGGGGGGACATCTCTTTTCGCATTCCTGCAAAGTCGTTGTGGCCGCATGGTACTCGGTAGGCGAGGAGAATAAGCTAATTGTGTTTGTTTTTGGCCGTTTGGTGCCTGCGACAGACAAGTCTCGTCGCTTTTTTTTGCTTCTTCTTCTTTCTCCTCCCCTGCTGGACTATTCCCACAATGTCCTGGTTCTGTCCTGTCCATGTCTTAGTTGTCATTTTTCCCTCTCCCCTTTTCTCAGGCTTCGTCTCTTCTCATGTTTCCACATTGCCATTCTCTTTGACCCGGCCTATGTCCACTACAGCACGGGTTTCAAAGCTCCCGAGACTGCGAGCACGATCGTGGTGCTGCAGCAACAATTACTACGACCAAGATACGATAGCTTAGCTCTCAGAAAATGCTTGTCTCGTGCTCCCCTGTTCATGCGCGCAGGTGGTGTTTGGGCTGCGTGTTGCGATGGGGTGGCTTGTGGGGGCCGATAGCTTACCTTGTCCTCTTTCTCGGCTTCTATTACCTCGTAGCCTGCACGATAATTCCTCTACACGCTTTTTTTTTTTTTTAAGCGAGACAGGTCTCTGTTCTAGCCCCATCCACACCTTCCGGCTCGGTACCTGGCATCGATTAGGCGGCCAATTTGTGACCGTTCGGCCTAGTGTGTTCCGTATCAATTCTCGTAGTCTGCTGCGAAGAGGAAAGGGCGCAAAATCGAGACAGGCAGCAGCTGCCTTGTCTACTGGTGCGGCATTGGCGCCCATGCAAAAATAAAACGCCCATAGTGAGACGGCCGGTGCGGACAGGGTCACCTGCCGGATGCAGCATGCACCCGACCAAGCTGCACGGTGCTGCAGCGCGGAGACTAGGCAAACGAACGGAGCTTTGAGCTTTCGTCCTCGTCCTCCTTCTTGCCAAGCCAGATCCGACGCTACACCATGCTTGTAGCCGTGGCCAGGCCATTCTTTTCTAGCACGCCCTCTTTGTTGTTGCTGCTGCTGCTGCTGCTCTCTCTTTTGGGCAATCCGGGTTTATGTGAGACAAGGAGTGCAGAAAAAAAGTGAGCTCTGACAAAACTAGAGTTGCCCCGACCGCTTTAGGTAGCTTCCCCCTCTCTGTCTGCTCTTGAGGTGGCAGGGCTCACGCTCGATCGGCGTCTCGCTTGTCTTGGCTGACCGCACCTGCATAGTACCATGTAAGCTACTTTGTACAAATGAATGAATGCGACTACGGAATTCTTCGAGCTTACGGAGTAGAGGTCGTGCATTCGTGCGTGAGTGGATATACGACAAAAGAAGTAATCGTGGAGAAGAGAAACTGCCGCCTGATTCGTTCAGGCCACCCCCTCTTCACACCCTCTCGCCCTCCCTCCTTCCTTGCAGCCTTGGGCTTCCCAGAGCGTACTCCGTATGCGCAGGCGAGGTGGATTCCGCCGGACCTATGCAATTTGCAGGTCTATCAGACATATGGGTTTTTACGTGCACATTCCGTACACGTTGTAAGTCCTCAGTCACCACAGCGCTAAGCCGAATCTGTAGATGCCTGTGCATCTCGCCGTATTCCTGCTTCGGCCCTGCAGCTGGGGAGAGAAGGGGAAATTCAGGGTCCTGCATCGCTTGTCGTTTAATCCATTTTCAAACACGCATCGGCGCCCACTCGCACCACAGATAAAACTAGCAGGCGGAAGAGCGATAGCGCGGCAGAGCGACAGAGCGACAGAGCGACCGGGCGGCCACTCGACAAGAGCCACGCGCTGTCTGCTGCAAAGGCACTACTCGTATCTTGCAAGCCTGGATTGCATTAGCCTTCCGGAGGTTGGAGCTTTTCAATCCCCTCTTCCTGCACCTCCCCAGGATATGGACAACAGCGTTGCAACACAGCATTGGCTTTCGGACCATAACGCGCATATCGCGGGCGCTCCAATGTAATATCCGCCCTCTTCAGGCAGACAAGCTCCCACCGTCCTTGGCACCGCTCACTGGAAGGGACGAGCTCTGCGGCTGTTGCAGGTGCAGGTTGAAGCCAGTTCGCCAAGCGGATTTATATTGGATCAACCAGAGGAAAAGCAGGCCATGCCAAAAGAAAGAGATAGGAAAGCGGTTGGCGTCGTGCACTAGGCAGTGTTGGTAGTAGCAGTGCAGTAGCTGCTATTGTGAACTGTGTCCGGAAGCCATCGACCTTTGCTTCCTGACCTGCATGGGCGCCGTGGAACTGCCTGTGAAGAAGCGGGGAACACATCTCCACTCACTTCAGAGCTCTTGTCTCGCCGTGGGCTGGAATAGGAATGGCCTTCGTGGCAATAGCTCGGGAAGCCGACAGTTGAAGGGATCGTCGTCGCCTTCGACTTCTTATCGCCTCCTCCCGCGTCTTTAGATCACAGCATGGGCCACGAGGACTATCCGAACCCAGCCTCCGGAGTGCACGTACATACGAGTCGGCGTAGTGTGAGGAGAGGGAGATGTGTCGATCGTCTCGCTGGGCTCGTAGGATCTCACCTGCTGGTGGCATTCCTGTCGTGTATCCGTCTCCTGTCGGATAGCAACGGGCCCGAAGCAGGCCACGCCAAACAAAAGGAAAAAAAGGCACCACAGAGAAGAGGTTTCAGGCTAGTTGAATTTACTCATTCACGATACCACGAGTGCTGCATCCCGCTCAAACACACACTGGTCACCTTCAGCTTTCAGCCTGCCATTCATTTTATCGCCGACCTCTCGGCCTTTTTCTCTCTCAAACCCTGGTCTGATGGGTACCACTTTCCCCAGGTTATGAAGAGGGTGTAGTACTCTGTAGAGAACGACCCTCTCCGCTTGGCACTGACGGCGAGGGAGGATTCAATGTGCTCCGTACGACGTATACGAGCCTGGACAGATACGGTAGACGAAAAACAAGGGAATAGAGTGGCCCTCCCGAAGAGGATCGCCCCTTTTGATTTGGCAATCTCGACCAATGAAAGGGTCATGGGATGCCATGGGTGGCCGTGAAAGCGCACTAAGCCAGAATGGATTAGCGCGGCTAACTGGAAAAAGACAAGCAGAGCGGTACGGGAGTACAAGTGCTCGTGGCTCCCACGGGCTTTCTTGTCTTTGTGGCTCTCGAGAAGACAGGGAACTCGAATCGCATCTGGATCATGATGGTGATCATGTGGTCAAGTCCGACGAGCCTACGAGAAGGCAAGGCAATTGCGCCGGTCTCTGAGACTAGAGGTCTCGTGAGGAATACGCTACGGAGCATCGGGGTAATAGATAGGGGGGCTTTTGAAGATGTCTGCGATCCCACGTTTCTCTTCCCCTTCATTTTTACAAGTGCTGTTGTTTGCGGGTTGTGCGGAATCGATCGTATGGAGTAAGAGAGATCGGGGAAAGGTCGTCGTACTATGTGCGTGCACAGCCGAGAAGAGAGCTGCCGGTAGAAAAAAGCAGAGGCCGCGTCGCAGCAGTGTACTGGAAAATAGGGCCCATTTCACAAATCGTATGTTCATCGTACGCATTTCTGCATCCATCGTCGAAGTATTATCCGACGGCCGCGATGAACAACCAGAACCCCGATGTCTGCTGGCTAAGTACACTTCGTACGCCAGAATATCCACCCCTGAAAGCTGGGCGAAGAAATAAAATCGGAAAAACATAAATGAATTAAAACAGAAGGGAAACAGGGCAGATTGCCCCCCACCCGCTGGCACAAGCCCACACTGGGTGCAAATTGAAGCAGTGGTGTACGAGTACAAACTCCGTACTACTATGTATCGAATGTATCGAATGTAGTACGATCGCACCAGGACGGACATCGTCCGAGGGTGATCACAACTCCGACACAACAGGCCAGAAGAGCGGGATATTTCTCACCACCCCCTGGACAAGACGGGGTTCGGTAGCCTAAGACTACTACTATGTATCGCGGAGACACGACCAGCAAGAGCTCCCGGAAACGGAAAATTATCCACCCAGCTCAATAATGCACGATGCCGAGCAAAACCTCATGATGACTCGGCTCATTCTCCATGCCCAACCTTCTCCCGCTCCCGCCAAGTCCCCTCGGTTACTTCCTAAGCCTTAAACGCTTTTACACAATAAAAACCTCATCGGTTTCGCCTCACTCTGCTCCCGCAAATAGGCTTTATCACCTTTACCCCACGACCGTCGGCTCTTGTCGGCACAAGCAAACGTCGACCATATATCAATGTTTCGGAGTTATTCGTGGCTTAAACGTACTTGTACGTCAATTCCATGGTGCCACGTCTGTTGGGCAAAATTACCCGATGCCACTCCATATTACAACGTTCCCTACAATGTGAAATACGCATATTGAGAAGGGCGTGAAAAAGGGGTTGTCCGTACACTTGGACCAATAAGTCGCCACCAGGGTTGCCCAATTGGGCATACCGCAAAGTGCTTTGTAGAGCATCGCCGGCAGCGCTGCGAAAAGAATATCGTGCGGGATACTATAGAGCTCTCCCAGCTCTGGCGCAGGAGAGAGGCGCCTTGCCACGGACTTGTTGTTGGCGTAGTGCCACATTGTTCCGGTGACTGATATTGCATGCAGCCATTGCCGTATGTATCCACAGTGTCACGATGCCTTTTGAGGCCCTTCTCTTGTGCGGCGCAATGACGAATGGCAGGCAAGCTCTGACAGCGATTGCCTATCTGATAGTGAAAAGAATCGCCATTGTACGCCCTGCTCTCGTTATCGTCTAGAGGCGCCGAGATCACTAGCTGTCGTCCTGCCGGCCACTGCGTATTCTGTCTTATGACGTCTAGCCATGATAGCCATACTTCTTACAGTCACGCTCGGTTTTTTCTTTTTGCCCCCTTTCCCGCTACTTAGCAGAAATAGCATCTGATTGATGCCAAATTCGCCAGCTAAGGACAAAATTCGGCAGCACGGACCTCCCAAGAAGCCCATTGTTGCCATACAAAATATGCAATCACACACACAAAACCCTCGGGTCGCAATCTAACGTGAGCTAGCTTTGGGAGCTAGACAATCTTTTCACCTGACAGGATCACCGTAGAGGGTATACGAGTGGAAAGATATGTCCAGAAAGGGAAAAAGACCAAATCATGACGCAATCCTTCCTGATCACATTCCCTCCTCTGGCAGTTGTATGAGGCAATGGCCTCCTCCTATGAACGGTACCTTGCAGCAGCTTCTGCCGATTGCAGCCTGGGGGTCAGGAGGACAGAGCACACGTTATCTGGCTTGTTAGCGTATCTGGCGCTGACGACATTGTGGCTGTGGAGAACGGGCACAGCTCTCTGTGACAGGCAGCCTGTTCGTCCTGTCGCCTGTTTCGTCAGGTCAGTTGGACGACGATGGCAACATTTGGCCCCCAAATCCATTAGGCGGTGTTTCCTATTCGTGATTGACGCATGGACACTTTTTTCGGCAAGCTCATAGCCTGGCATTTTGCGCGTTCCGCACCACGAGTTCGCCATCTGGGCACTACATGGGGCCATTCTTTCTTTCCTTTTTCCTTGTTTCGTTTTATTGTTGTCCTCGTTCTTAGCTCCTCGTGCGAACACCATCTTGCTGACCAACCCCAGCTGCGATTCGTCACTAGGGGTATCCTGCTGTTTCAGAAGGTGCGCGGCTTGGTTGTTTCCTTATCGGCGAGTAAAGAAGGTGTGCATTTAATACATATAGAAGCGCGTGCTATATAAAGCTCGGCCAGCTGGTATGGAAGTCGGTACGCTACGCACTCACAAGTCTACTCTCCCCTAAGAAGGAAAAGGCGTAGCCAGTGAACGGGGAGTGCTCGTAGCCAAAGGCATGGCCGGTAATGGGTTACATCGAAAGAGGGGCAACGTTTGTCAAGACTAAACGCACAGGGGAGGGGGGTACAAATCGATTTTACCGATTATTGTCTATTTTGCATCTGTTCTTTCCTTCCACTACCTGCAGCATCTACAACCAAGAAAAGAGAATTAAGTGGGATTGACACAACCCACACCAGGGAGCAACCCCAGAGCCTTGTCAGCAGAAAAAGGTGTACATCTTACAATCCATGCCCGCAGGTTCTGAAACCGAGATAGCACATGTAGATCGGTCGAGTCAACCCTTATATATAAGCAGCTGGTGTGCGTCATAAAGGGGGGTGATACAGATTGGCATGACCGTTGAACAGGTCCGGGTTCTTGACGATGCAGCGGACGGCGTGTGTATCGAAAGCGGATGGTCGTCCGAAGCTAGGATATCCTTATGCGTTAAAAAAACGGTAAAATAAGACAGAGCAAGAATGGGAAGGGGGTTCAGTCATATCTTATTCGAACAGAAGAGGGGAAAATGATAAGTGACAAGAACAGGCCCCTCTACTCGGTACATAGTAGCCTTGAAGAAAAAGAAAGCAAGGAGGTTCGATTAAACGGCTAGCAGGATGCAACCATGCTGGAGCTCCAATGTTGAAATTCATTTCAAGGCACAAATGAGGGTGTTGAACTGCTTGCCAATGGGCAAGTCAATCAGCATCGTGTCGCATGCGCCAGGACACATCGGGGAGTGGAAGCAAAGGCGAGTTACTGGTATCTTACATGCTCCGTACGGAGTACGTCGTAGTAGGCTGGCAAGCTGACAGGCTCCTTTCGGAGCAATTTAATAAAAACGGACATACGTCGTAAGAGGCAAGGCAGTGGCGCAGTCAGAGACGCACGGAGCTTCAGAGGAGGAGAGCCTGGCTCCTCCTCGACGGTCGCAGACGACGGCAAGCTCCGGTCGCTGCTGTCCTCGCATTGGACACTTTACGGAAATGCAGATCTGATGCTGACTGTAAATTTGCATTTCGCATCTTTGCGTACGATACAACCCTATCTCGGCGACCCCCTCTACCCCTTCATTATGCACTTCCTGCTATAGAGGCAAGTGCCGGGCAACCAAGATACAGCCTCTCCAGCCATGGCGAATCAATGCTGCGAGTTGAGATATTCGATAGAAACCGGGAAAAATGAGAATGAACAAGTGCTTCGTACTGGCGCAGCCACCCCCACGCCAAATCGTCGTCTGCCACACACTAGCCAAGGCTGCCTCTTCCACTTCGCTTTCCTCCCTTTTGGCTGCTCGCCGTCGCAAGGCGTGAGCAAGGAACTCGTGTGTCTGCGAGAGACCGCGCTTCGTACGGAGACAGGCCATGTCAGCTCGTGCAGTGTCGACGTGCATCCGTGGAATGACGGGCATGATACGAGCAGATGGAACATTGTAGATCCAGGAAGTCGATAAGAGTGCGAGCGAAAATAGTCGCGAGCCGCACGTCCTCTGGCAGGCCGCTTGCCGAACGGAGCAGTCGTATTGTTGGTGATCCATGGCTTAGCGCCTGATCTGCCCCAATAATACTGTGCAAGTACTTGTAAGGCGTCGTAGCCCCTATAACCCACATAGTACTATGTACGTCGTAGTGCAAGGCCGGGCCCGTGCATGGCCGACGAGGCCGGTGAACGGGCACTAATACGGGTACAGGCTACACTAGGCTTTCGCTGCCGTGAGAGGTGCTCTGGCAGGCGTACTTTTGCTGTGAGCTGCGACGAGAGGCCGCCTGCCTTCTCTCCTAGCCCGGTCGGCATTGCGTGTGCGGGTTTCGACCGGAAACACGTCTTTTATGTGCGACATTCGATTGACACCAATCTCTGTCCGTAAGCGATATGGTCTTGTTTTTTTTTTTTTTTTTTTTTTTAGCGCCAGGCCGTCTGGGGATGGCCAGAGGCGATAAGGAGAAAAGGGGACATGTCGCCTACAGCATTGCGAAGCCCAGGTCTTCCCGGGGCCGGAGATACTGCGGGCGTTGAGAGAGAGCCGGAGCCCCTACTCCGTAAAGATAGAGCGCACAAGACGCATAGCGCCGGCTCTGTATCGCGAGGTTTCCGTCGGGTTTCATGGACCCAGACAATTCGCGTACAGATTGATTTTCCACCAAGCCTGGCCTGCATCTCGTAAGATACACGTACGGAGCATGCTCGACAGCGACCACGAAGCGAGATCGACGGGGCCGGAACATGGGAAGAACTGGACTAGCTGGCTCTACGACGTACGTCGTACAGTCTCGCGTTCCGAGCACTGGTGAGCTCGGACGCCGAGGCTAAGGACCAAGCTGAACCCTTTCGGACACTACCACTGCCCCTAGTTTTAGTGTTGAAGACTTGAGGGTTTCTGGTTTTTTTCTTTCCTTTTCATGGGAACGTGTTGGAAGCGTGGCATCGTTTTCGGCATTATTAATGCAATTGTCTTGGGTCTTGGCGAAGCCAGCTTCGCGAGCTCCGGAGCAGAGCTGAGGAAGACAACAATTACTCTGTACGATACATTGGGAAGCGAGATACGGGAAAAGCACCCCCTTCCGCGGACCCTCTCCAGAGCTGGTCTCCACTTGCGTCTTCTCCTCTGCTGTTATTTTGTGCAGCATTCACGATCTGCCACAGGGGTGATCCTGTTCCTGCAATTATTGGGGCCAACTCGTAAGATACACCGTGCACGAACCCTCTTCTATCTGCCTTTCGGCGATGGCAAGGCGGCGAAATACGGGGAGGGGGGGTTTACGCGCCGGCCCCCTCGAGGAATGAAGGCAGTGCTCTACAAATCACGGGCGGGGAGAGAGAGAGACGTGCCGGCCACGTTCATGCAGTTGAGCCCATCCATGGGTTGTGTTTTTTGTTCTACGGCGTAAAGTCGCAAATGGCATGTGTGCTGGGCGTGTCCAGACATGAGACAGGCCTGTTGCAGACAGTTTTTTTTTTCCGAGCCGACGGGGGTGATCCCAGGCTGGACGGCGACGCCAAGACAGCCGCGCGGTCGATACTGCTATGTATACAGAGTATTATGTATATTATGTACTATGTAGGGACAGGACGCACGGTCTTGCCACATTGTTCTACTTCTAGTTGTTGTTGTGAGGCTAGGGAGATCCTCCCTGTAGACGCTCCGTAAACAGTTTCGGCAGGAGCTAGGGACGGACGGGACGGCAGACGGCTTGCCAAGAAGAGTTGGTTCGGGCCAAAGTGGTCAGAGAGATAGCATGTACGGAGTTGTACGAGTACAGCGAGTCTTATACTGCGCCCACGACAAGCACGGGTACTCGTTCGCGCGCCGGACAGGCCATCATCACCTGTTCCAGGCCGCCCGCGCCAGACAGACGGATCGGATTGGACAATACGAGAAGCAGCAGAGGGCGGGAGGAACGGGCTGAAACCGGAGCTTGCTGCGGCAGATCAAACCTGCATCTCGGCCTCGTTCTGCTTTGCATGTGAGCGTGAGCCGGGGCCGAGAGCTGTATACGAAGTGAGATAAGAGCTCGTACCGACCAACAGGTCCACACTGACAGAGCGGTACTCCCCCTTACTATGATTTTTTTGTCACGCTTCCTTTTGCCCGTCTGCACCTGCTATCTACAGCCTTTCTGGCATGTAGCATTAGATGAGGTCGCCGACCTAGGAGACCATGTCTCTCTTTGCCCTCCTGTCTGAGTACATACGTTCACAGGCCGGCCGTCCAGCCTGCGGAATACTCCGCCAGCCGCAGAGGCAGGTGGCCAACCCGGCAGCCCACCGACCGGCCTGAAGCCTAATACGATGTAGGATTTAAGACATCCACCAATCCACCAGGGGTGCATACACTTTCTTTTTATCGTTTTTATTTCTTTTTGCAGGCTCCCAATTCTACTCAATCCAATTCAATAAAATATTAATATTATTCTCCTGGAGCAGTCGGCATTTGCCTGCAGTTTTGTTCAGCTACCTTGCATCTGACGTCGTATTTCGTCTTGATATTTTGGGATGCTCCCCGCACCAAAGGAACCCATCTTTCTTTTTAGAGAAAAAGGAATAAGACGAAAAACATGTTCATTGCTCCGCTTAACATCTACACACCCTCTCCTCTTTTCAGCTCTCACTCGGACAATGCCACTATGAAGACTTTTCCCTTCCCAGTTGCGCCGTCCAATTTTCTATTTTTTTGTCTAGAACCTGCCAACCAGAAAGTTGCATTGGGCCGTCAACTTGTTTTGTTGGGAAAGGGGGCGTGCGAAGAAGAGAATTGGACGACTGCCTGACACGCTGCCCAAAGGAGGGCACTAGGGAACGTAAACAATTCGTATTTCCCGCGTGGTTGTCTGCAAAACTGGCCACCTTGAGACATGGCGTTCTCGTGGTTTCCCTAGAGCGCGGCCGGAGAAGGCGAGGACCCTCTCGGGCGTCCTCCCCCCCCCTCTCTCGGGCACGTTATCGCTCATTCCTGTGTGTCGGCGATCTTTCGGCAAACGACGGACCAGCGAGAAAGATGAAAAGAAGGTCAAGGCGGAAATCAGCGGTTGAAGGGGAAGGATAAGTGGAAAACCAAGCCACGTCAGTCTCACAGTGAGGCCATCAAGAAGAGTCGAGTCATTGCTTCCAACCAACATGTTTCGACCCATTTTGCCACTCGACGCTCGCCTTCTTCTTCTCCCCCACGCCTTTGTCATTCTGTTGTTATAATTATTGTTGAGGCAGCGCGCTGCAGCTTCCGCGTCCCCTTTCGTAGCTCGAGCTGGTACTGCGCAGATCCGCCTAGCTGTACATGGCCATGCTCGATGTGGCATGGACATCAAAAACAATATTTCATCAAGAGGCTCCGGCTGGGCCAATAAGCAGTTGGCGCCTGCACTGGCCTAGGCCGGGGGTGTGTGATTGTGATTGTGACAGGCCGACTCTCTAAATATGCAGCTAGAAGGGTTGTTGGAACCAGCAGTCGCCCAGAGGATGGACGGATTGGGCATAATTAGAAGGATTCCGTCGAGCAGCCAATGGCCGGCCTGTCGGTCGGCAGAAGAAGGGCAGGGCAGTGATTAGGGAAGTGTGACGAAAAGGAAGAGCCGTAAGGCCTGACCAATCCAGGTGTCTGATCTCACGTTTGGCAAGGATGACCATCTCCACTAGGCAAAAGGGTTCTCAATTCATTCCCGGCTGATGTCGACAGTCGGACAGAGGGACCTTAGCATTGTCGGAAGCCTATTTTCCAACGTCATATTACATATTACGGCCTAAGCGAGGCGGCTACCCGCCTCTCTGGGAGACCGGGTGGTGAAATCAAACCCAGACGCGTTCAATCACCTTCCCGCAGCACTGGCTCCTGGGAAGACGAGCAGAATTTTTATTTCGCTGCTGACGGACATTGGCGGCTCCTGGGCTCCTAGCATGCCTTACGTAAGGCGCCGTAGTGCGCATGGTACTTTTTTGCGTCAGGATGCTTCTGGCTGCCTTGTTCTGACGTGCCTGTCCTATTGTCTCACGCCGAAACGAAAAAGGGGGTGCTTTGACAGAGCTGAGTGTGGCCGTTGGCGGTGGCGGCGGCAGCGGCAGCGAGACGTCCTCTACTCCGCCTACGCCGTGCGCGTATACGTCGTATGTACCGCCACCATAGCGTACCCGAATGGCTGCCAAAGGACGCCGAAGCCGAAAGGGCATGACACAAAGGCCTCCATATGCGCAATCGGTGCGGCCAAAGAGGCGAACAATGTGAGAGTGGTAATAATGGAGGGAGCTAAGAACGGGATTGCAGCAGAGATGGGAATTTGGAATTCTGGCTTATCTCAGAAGCAGTCTTCTGTAGCGCGGAAAGCGATCTGAGCGGGAAGTTCTTGTAGGATGTGATGAGATGCGGCCGTACGACCGAAGATAGTTCCGGTGACGAAAATAAAAACGGGGGTGGGTGAGTGGGGGTCAGAAGAGTACGTCGTACGGCGTCCGAGGCCACAGGCGTGCCTTCCCTCTTTGTTCCGAAACAGACAAGTCGGAAGGGGCAGGAAGGACATGTTGGGATGCAATGGTGAGAGAGCAGGAGCGTGATACTGTGATGTGATAGATGAAGCAGAACAGACAAAGACAATATTCCGAGCCAATTCCACCATTTCGTGCCTCTGCGTGATATGCGTGTAGGAGCGCCTCTGCGACTAGCCAGCACACATCAGTCGATGACCATGTCGCCGTGGGAGGCGGTCAGCTTGCGGACGAGCTTGATCCTGGCGGGCGGTGGTGCAGCTGCCTTGGGACGCGTGTCGCTCTGGCAGCCGGGGCAGTTGTGGATAACCTCATGGGCAAAGACGTCGCAATCGATGCAGAAATGGTGGCCGCAGACCTCGCAGGCGTAGCGGCCGCTCTCGCTGACGCCGGAGCCAGTCGTCTGGGTAGCAGCAGCAGCAGCAGTAACAGCAGCAGCAGCAGCAGCAGCAGTGTCGACGGCGGGAAAGGGGGTGAGGCATGCGTGACAGGCGACGGCGCGGCGACGGCGGACGGCGTCGGCGGCAGCAGTCCACGAGACCTCGACCCAGCTGCGCAGCGGGAAGAGGTGGTGGTAAGAGCGAGCCAGATGGGTGGACAGGATCAGGGTGAGGCCGCAGGCGGGACACTCGGCAGGCAGGCGGCAGACCTTGGCGCCGCAGCGCGTGCAGCCGTAGCCCTCGCGGACGGGGCGGCTGTGGCAGGCGCAGACGCTGAGGCCGCCGCCGCCGGCGACGGTGTCGGCGATGGCGCGACTGGGGAAGCCCATCATGAGAAGAGAGGCAGGGCCGGTCGAAGCCGCATCACCGTCGTCAGGCCGCGTGGCCGGCGGCGTGGTGGCAGCCAGGACGAGCTCGTGGAAGTGGACGTCGTGACGGGCCACGGCATAGGCGGCCTCGTCGCCCGGATTGGTGCGGGCACAGATCTCGGCACAGACGGCCACCTTGGCAGCCAGACCGACGATGGACACGCGGATGCGATCGGCCACCAGAGCGGCGATGGTGTCGTGGATGTCGGCCGGATCCGACGACAGCAAGGCGCCAAAGACGACCAGCACCTCACGCGTGCCGTGGGCCGGCGTGTGGAAGAGCGCCCCCCGACACATCTCGAGCGCGTTCTGCAGGCTCGGCTGGCCCTGCGGCTCGACACCGTCCCAGTCGGCCAGCCGGTCCAGGTGCTCCGCCGGACTGCCACCCATGTCGCTCACCCGCAGCGCCACGCCGTCGCGCATCGCCACCACCGCCAGCTGCGAGATCGGGTTCTGCTCGAAAAAGGCCCGGACAAAGTCGGCCGCACAGTCCAGCGCCACCCGCTGGCATGACGGCAGGTAGTCGCGCGAGCTCATCGCCGCGCTCATGTCCAGTACTAGCACCACGTGTCGGATGATCCCCCGCTGCAGCGGCGTCGTGTCCCGCAGCACCCGTCGCCGCTTCTCTGCTGCTGCCAGAAACTCTACCCCCAACACTTGTCCGTCTTCTGCCTCGCCTACTGTGTCCCACGATCGCTTCACCGTCTCCCATGCAGCCTGCTGTCCCTCCCGCCGCTCCCGCCTCTTCTGTCGCCTGTCGTCTCCCCCTCCTCCTCCCATCCCGCCCTTCCTGCTGCTCTGTCGTCCGTGGTGTTGGCTCGGTCCTTGCCCATGGTTCTGTCCTGGCCCGTGATTCGGCCCCTGGCGATCTTCCCCTCGCTCCCGCGTCACCTGGTGGTCCGCAAAGTCGTCGTCGGACGCGTTATCCACGTACTCGCCGTCTGAGTCCGCCATCGCTACAGTCTACTACAATGGTCGCCCCTCCTCCAGCTGCCGCTGCCTAGAGCTGTTGAAGGGAGGAAGGACGCGCTCGATGCAATCGTCCTGTGCTCATTCGGAGTAGACGCTCCCGCAAACTGACGCTGCTGCCCTATACCTCCTTCGCTTGGCGACCTGGACAATCGCTGTGTCGCGACAGCGTGGATGCGCTCGAGCTTGGTCGTGCTGAGCAATCGTAAACTCGTCCTCTTTTTTTTGTTGCTGTTAGCTCACCATTGGGAATAGCCTGGTCGCAATAAAAGCCCACTATACGCTGTACTTGTACTAAGTAAGCGGTAGTGCAGCCTCGCTGGCCGCCCGCGCTCTCTCAGCCAATCCTGTCCCACTCTTTGTCTACCTGCTCAATGTGCTGAAAAGCTGTCTGATTTCTATCTGTACGGATCGACTTGTTGGGAACAGTCGTCCAAAGGGGGTATAGCTAACAATCATGTACCAACATGACATACAAAACACAAATGCGTCATCGTAAATCTGAAATCGCCATCAACAGCACCCATGCTTCCTCAACATGGCTGAAGAACCATATGGGCGAACCGTGGCCCCATTCATCTCCTCCCTGTGTTCTGCTCGTTCGTCGATACACTACTGCCTGTCCGCGAAGTATATATTAGACATATAAGGTTGCGTCCTCTGTGCGCACCTCCAATCCTCCTCATTCAGATCCTGTTGTTGCGCCTCGGCGCGTCGTCCTGTTTCGCCGTTCATGGTATTGCTCCGGAATGCCGAGTGAGTGTAAGAAGATAAGCAGAAAAATCGGAACCCATTACCAAAAAAAAATCAAAAAAATCCGAAAGCCAAAGATATAGCCAAACAAAATGGAAAATCGTAAACGCTGAACCAAAAAGACCACATCTACCTCCTGCACGCATCGTACTGCTCCTAGGTATAGGAGGCAGTAATTGGCCAGTCATCCTCTGTAATGCTGGACCAGAATATCCATAACACCACGACGGCAAGGAACGTGAACAGCGTCTCAAACAGCGCGCCGTCGATCTTTCCCGACGTGCCGTTGCAGATGTGTGAGCTGATCGTGTAGTTGAATATCTGACCGAGAGCAAACAGGACCGCCGCCGCCGTCAGATAGATCAGCGGTCGTGCCTCGCCGAGCACAGCTAGCACCAGATATGCCTCCAGCACGTAGTATGCAACGAGAAAAACCAACGGCGCCAGTTGGTATAGAACATAGAGCGCGATATTGCGGTTGTGCCCAGATAGCGAGGAATCGAAGTGCCCCGTCCAGCTGAACCCTGTGTCGAGCGCAATGTAGCCAGTCCCAATGAACAGGATCGCTGCCGATGCAATGATCAGCCCCAGAGACAGGGGCGTTCCGTCATCGAGAATTTGGAACCCAACCAGCGCGTTTATCATCAATATCCACATTGTCGCCACGATGAAGCCAAGGTGCATGCCCGAAAATGCCTGGTGCCGCCATGTCAGTGCTGCCAGGGCGCTGTTCGGCTTGGTGGAGCGTGCTTGCTTACAAGGCGAACTTTGGAGTTCAGAGGAAACTCGCCAACGCTGAAGATTTCACACAACTCGACCAACATATAGCCCAAGAGGAATAACTGCATTTCCCTGTTCCACAATGTTAGCCACGCGTCATCTTGACTCTGTGAGACAGAAACACCCGGAGTCACCTACCTCCGTCCAACCGCGGCCTTTTTGCGATCTGATCGGTATATCAAAAATGCTGACACAAAGATGGCGAAACCGCATAGAATGACAGAGCCTGCGGTGTCTCAGGTCAGTACTATGGCCGATGCGACGCTGTGAAAGCGAGGACAGGAGGGAAGCCTACCCAGGTTCCCTAGTATCCGGTGGCCACTCAATGGAATCCCCTTGAGCTCACAGCCTCCCCAAGGGCCCGTCTGGTTTCTGTGTGGCGACAACAACTGGCACAACCTGTCAGTCTGCTTGTCCACCTGTGTGGTGCCGGCGAGGCAGTTCTCCGACAGGACCACTGTCGGGGACTGCAAAACATAGCCAACACTGAAATGGACTGGGCAAAAAGTACTTACATTGCAAACTGGTAATGTGGCATCGCGACAGAATTTCTGCAAACCAACGTGTCAGCTGCCAGCACTTCTCAATTGTGGGCACACGGTGGAGCTCACGTCGAAGTTCCCGAACTGCGTTGACCCCATCTCTATGAAATATGCCGGCGCGAGGACGGCTCAGATTCCCTTCGTCAGAAGCCTTAGTTCGATTCCTCACCCCTCTGCAAGGCGTTATCACGATGGATATTAATCGCCGATGCGATACCCAACGATCGAGGTGGGCGCCTGAAAAAAGTCGGTGGGGATGGTGGAACGGTAAGCGTCCGAGCCTTTCTTTTTGTGGCTGCCGAAGTGCAAAACTACGGGTGGAGAGACGAGATTCTGCAGGACGGACGCAATCGAGTGGCGCGGTGATGAGCTGGCAGTATTTCCTTGTTTGACGCGTTCTCCAGGACGCAGTTAAAGCTGAGCTTTGGGGCGTAGCGAGGAGTCGAGGAGCAACAGCAAAAGAGCTTGCTCGTCGACCGAAAGCGATGATGTGGGTTCGCGTTTTCGTCCTGAGTAACGGAGCCTGTAATAATTTCTGCTGTGACAGATGATTGTCCACTCTTTTCCCAACCCGTCAATTTTTGTATCGCCTTGTCGGAGCGAACCGCTCTGGTCGCCGTCGTCGATGCGGCTTGAAACAACACGATTATTCGCGTTTGAATGAATGCGAAACGTCCTTTTCGGACTTGTTTTCGACTAGCACCTGGAGATTGAAGGTGACGAAGGGGGATATGAAAGAAGAGACCGAACCGGGGGAGAGAGGGAAAGTTTGCAGCAGCCTGATGAAAAGGTAGGGAAGGCAGTGGGGAAACCTAATTTAAGAGTCAATGCTTGGGAGGGGCGGGAGGATCAGCTAGTCAGGAAGCAGAACGTGAGAGCGAAAGAGGAAACAGAGGGAAAGAGCCTGCAAGATGTCGGCCGACCCATGCAGAAGGCGAGGGAAAAGAAGGAAAAATGCGCGAAACGGAGGCAGCGACCGGCCATCTCCAGCTCAACCAGCCATCCAAGACCACGACAGCAGCGTAGCAATAGCGTTCTTCAAAGTCGCAGCAATATCCAAGGTCTGCTCTCCACACCTCCATCAGGCCCACTAGTTTTCGGCCCCAGCGAAACGGGGACGTCTCATTGGCGCAAGAAGCACAACCTGCCCCTGGAAGCAAGGTGCAGAACCTGAGATTGGCTACCGGCCAGGGGAAGAGCTCCGTCTTCGAGACACTAGCGCTCATAGCAACCAGTGGCTCGAAACGGAGATATGGGCCGCTGCATGACAGTATGGGGGAGGATACGAAAGTGCTGTGGCTGGAATGAGCGCGGAAGCAGACAGACAGGCGCTGGGCCAGATCCAGATGAAGATGATCTGGCGATCAACGGCCGCCGACATCCTTAGGCTGGGCCCGGCTGCGTTGGCTGCAAACCATCAACTCGAAGGCGGGTGGTATCTTAGGAAGAACAAAGGCCTGAAAGACATGAGGTTGGGCTGCTTTGATTTCATGCATGATGAGCTGGTCGCGTGGTTTAGGGCCACTCGTCCGTCGTGCCAGCCACTTTATCGCTTCATGCGCGCCAGCCGTAAGCGGCCTCGGTATCCTGCAGAGCCTACGACGTGCTGGAACTGGCACTGGCCCTGGGACATGTCCTGGATTGGCAGCTGCCATTGCCGTTTTTTATCGCTGCGACTGCCCTTTTTTCCACCTTCCGTTATCGTGTCGGGCGACCTGCCTTTCCACCCTGGCCGCCAATCCCTCACACATGGGCCGACCTGCATTCGAAACATGAATCACTCTCTCCCTCGCCCAATTTCCTACATAGTACTATGTATCGATCCCTCTGTGCTCCCTCACGACCGACGGCGACTGCTTTGCGGTGCCGCCACGATCGCGATTGGTACGGAGTGAAAGTATATCAGCAATGCTTGCTGGCAGAAACGAATTCGTATCTGAGCTTGTATCTTACTAAGATACATAGTAAGATACGACGTACGGAAATACGATCACTCATGTAGCCGACCTGTGGCTGCTCCATATTTGGATGGATACCGCAGCTCACAATAGGCCTTCAGACGGCTGGACCCATAAAGGCGCCAATCGGCCGCCAAGAAACATACGAGCACAGAGCCATATTCGTATATCGCAGGCGCCGCTGCAATTTACGGATTGCCTTTGTGTGCGATTAAGCATATGACGGGACTCTTTCTTGTCCTTGTTGGAAGTGCCTGACATTAGTCCGGACAATGACTTTGGTTGCTATAGCGGCCTGAAGGCGCAACCGCTTTTACAGCACATCCCAAAATTAGAGTGTATCACTTCCTCGACATCGGGCGCCGTGATTGGGCAACGAGAGATTGCACATGTAGGCAAGTCTTCTGCATGGCCCTTTGGTTGGTGCGAAGCCAGAACAGAGGACATTGGAAATGAAAGCCCAAAACAAGACTACCGTGCAGCGAGGGATGTATCTTATCTACTCCGTAATTATTCGGAAGTTATGGTGCATTGGCAAGCGACATTCGAGTAAGACAATTCCGCCTCCTCGCGTGGGATCCTGGGCCACATAAGGAAAGGTATCGCAACATGCTCGTATCTGCTCAATAACAATCGCGTTTGACCCCAAAGCGGCACCGTTTGCATGCTCATCGCCTGCGCCTCCTATCGTCGTCCTCCATCCATAGCGTGAAGGCCCAACCGTGGCTGTGCAAGGTAGGCCGTGTGACGCGTACGACGAGAAGGGTGGCTTTTTATAGATTTTGCTGTCCATTTGCTAGAGCCACACAGAACATCAGGCTCAACCAGCTGTCATCAAAGGTGATCCAATTCGGTGGTTTCTCATGTACCTAACTCGGTAGAATATCTGACGTGTGCTTGGCGTTGATATTGCCTTATATGACCGGCTCTCCAGCACCGAAAAAGTTGGCAGCCAAGCCCACAAAGCTGCAGATACTATCACGGAGTAGGCACGCTCGTATTTCACGTCAGATGCGGCGCCGGGAGCGGCGCCTGTCAGAATTTCCGTATGTCCCATCACAGGCGTGCTCAGCCGTGCCGAGCAAGCAGAATGTGCCATGGGATTTCTCCGCAGCAACCCACCCCATTCTGCATGCTCCATAATCCTACTATGTACGAAGAGGTCTCGTGAGCCACGCACGCTTTGCTGCAGGTGCAACCCACCCCACCCCCAAAAAGGCTAAACCTGAGACTACGTCATCGCAAGGCCAGCAGCACGGCGGTACACAATCGGCCTTCCGACACGAAATAAGCTCTCGGGCTGCTGCTTATGCGGGCATACTCCGGACAGCTTGCTTGTAGGCCCAATCCGCCATATGCGAGCCCTGGTCAGCTGGCGGGAAGCCATGCCGAGACGAGCAGCCAACAGGGGGGGAAACAGGTAAAGGGATGCTGTCAGCTCGGAAGCAGATAACGCGGAGCCAGGGACACAGTGCGCTGCCCCTTTTCACGTGCCGTATCCGTCGGCTGTCGGCACTGTATACGCGTTTGTCGCTGCGATGGCCAGCTGCATGCCTGTGCACCGTGTACAGCGTACTGTAGCAGCTGTCTCCCGCCAATTGTTTGTCTCTTTCTCCTTCCCTCTCCTCCATTACGCCGTACCTTGTTTTCGATCCCAACTTTTCTTTGGCCTTTCTTCACCCTCCCGACTGTCCCGACTTGTCTCTGCCGAGCTTCCTCGGCCTCCTGCCATCGTCAGCCGACCTACCTCTGCATATCTGATCGCCATCACCATTGCATCGGGCACATCGACCGGAATAGCGCGTGCCTCCCTTTATATTGTATTATTTTTGTATAATTATTTATTTGTCAATTGACACACTGCAGAGACAACAGCTCCGACTGCCGGCACTATTCCCCACCCAAAAAGACAGCCGAACCAGAGGACGAGGCCAACACATTTCGAGTCAGCGACCGGCTCATCCCGCCCTTTTCTTATCTTGAAGCCATCTTCCTCTTCTTCGTTCTCCCCGCCCTTTCTTCCCCCTTCCCCCTTCTCCTTCTCTCTTCCCCAGTCGCGGACGGGTGCTGCCGCCTTACAGCCCCCATCTCGTCAAGATTTCCTCCTTTACCAACCCGGGTCGTCTCCCGTCCAATATCCCACTTCGTGACCTCCCGTCGTCTTCTGCACAGGCGTCGAGCTCTGCCGACCGTCAGGACAAACCGTTTCTTCTCGCCGCACCGCCCGGCCGCCATCAGCGCCGCCGCCGAGCCGACTCCTTATCCTCGTTGGGTTCCCGATCCGATTCCGATTCCGATTCCGAATCCTGGCTCGACACGGGCGACCTTGCCGAGCAGCTGGCTGACGACGCCGACAACCCTCCAGACATCCACGACCGTCGACATACCTCCACGGCCACAGCCGCCCCCTCTAGTCGCAAGAAAAAGCCGAGGCAGGTTCACTACGACGAGAGCTCGTCTCGAGAAGGCTCCCCGCACCGTCATCTGCATCACCGCTCCGGCCACCATCACGCTGAAGACGTTGATAAAGAGGCCATCCAGATCCCCGACTCGGCCTTCCGGCACGTCTCTGCGGCGGAACGCCTGCTTGCCTCCATCATGACGGGCGGCTCCTCATCCATCCATGGCCTCACCGGCAAGCCCTTGATGTGAGAACGTCTGCTATCCTTGGCCAGCCAGGACGGTCTGCTAATCCAACCCACCTTGTGCCCAGCTATTTCACCAGCATATTCGTCTCCTTGGGCGTCTTCTTGTTCGGATATGACCAGGGTGTCATGTCGGGCATCATCACGTATGAACCTACTATCCCTCAGGCCCATCCATCACAAGAAGAGTTTGTACTGACGGGACAGTGGCCCATACTTTATCGATTATTTTGGTCACCCCTCCAAGGCCCAGGTGGGCACCATGGTTGCCATCCTCGAGGTGGGCGCCTTCATCTCGTCCCTCGTCGTCGGCCGTGTCGGCGATATCATCGGCCGGCGGAAGACGATCATGTACGGCTCGGCGATTTTCTTCACGGGCGGTGGGCTTCAGACGTTTGCCACGGGCATGCCCATGATGCTGCTCGGGCGCATCATTGCCGGCTTGGGCGTGGGGATGCTGTCGACCATCGTGCCCGTGTACCAGTCGGAGATCTCGCCGCCGCACAACCGTGGCAAGCTGGCGTGCATCGAGTTCTCGGGCAACATCATTGGCTACACCAGCTCCGTGTGGGTGGACTACTTCTGCGGTTACATCAACAGCGACATGTCGTGGCGCGCGCCACTGTTCATGCAGTGCGTCATGGGCTTGCTCCTCGGGCTGGGCAGCCTGATCATCGTCGAGTCGCCCCGGTGGCTGCTCGACAACGACCACGACGAGGAAGGCATCGTCGTGATCGCCAACCTGTACGGCGGCGGCGACATCCACAACGCCAAGGCGCGCGAGGAGTTCCGCGAGATCAAGATGGACGTGCTGTTGCAGCGCCAAGAGGGCGAGCGGACCTACAGCGACATGTTCCGCCGCTACAAGAAGCGCGTTCTGATCGCCATGTCGGCCCAGGCCTTGGCTCAGCTCAACGGCATCAACGTCATCTCGTACTACGCCCCCTACGTCTTTGAGTCAGCCGGCTGGCACGGCCACCAGGCCATCCTGATGACCGGCATCAACGGCATCACCTACTTCCTCTCCACCATCCCGCCCTGGTACATTGTTGACCTCTGGGGCCGCCGTTTCATTCTCCTCAGCGGCGCCGTCGCCATGGCCATCTCGCTCTCGGCCATCTCGTACTTCATCTTCCTCGACATCAGCGCCACGCCTACACTTGTCGTCATCTCCGTCATGATCTACAATGCCGCCTTTGGCTACTCCTGGGGTCCCATTCCCTGGCTGTACCCCCCGGAGATCCTTCCGCTGAGCATCCGCTCCAAGGGCGCCAGCTTGTCCACGGCCACCAACTGGGCCTTCAACTGGCTTGTCGGTGAAATGACGCCCATTCTGCAGGAGTGGATCAAGTGGCGCCTGTATCTTGTCCACGCCTTCTTCTGTGTCACGAGCTTTGTCGTCGGTAAGTGTCATTTCTCTCCTCTTCAGACGAGAGCGTTTTCTGACAATGCCCCCTCTAGTGTACTTCTTGTACCCCGAAACCTGTGGCGTCCGGCTGGAGGAGATGGGCTCTCTCTTTGGTGACGCCAGCACGGCCATCGGAACTCCCCAAGCGTTTGGGACACCCCGTGTTGGTGGCGCTGAGGCTAATGCCCCTTTTTGGCCCCCGGCTCGCCCGTGCCTGGACTCGACATCCGTGGCCACAGTCAGTTTGGGCCTTCGAGCGCAATACCAGGCCTGAACATTGACCCGCCATCCATTGTGCGCGGAGAGTCATCTAGCACGGGGGGGCAGGATAACGGTGCTCATAATAGAGGCATCTCCCGCTGGATTCCTCGCTTTGGTGGCTCGCGGGGAAGCTCTTTGGAGAGAGAAACCGGCAAGTACGCGCCACTTGGGCAGCGAGAAGAATGAGCGGCAGCTGGACGCAGCATGTGCGCTGTGCGGATCGCCTTATAGACTCATTTTTGTGCCCTTTCTTTTTATCTTACTATATTTGAACCTGAAGTTGGATCTGTTGTCTTTCTCAGGGTTGTGTTTGCGTGTTGCATGTGAGTATAGACGGGATGGTATTGCAGGAGATGGTGTGAGTTGAGGATAGAGCACTATGTCATTTGCCCTACGCGGCGTCGTCTGAATGGGACAATAGGGGTTTGGAATCCTATTCAAGGACGCTTTGCTCTCTAACAGGATCAATAGTTGTATTCTGTACAGCTGTACTCGTGACTCATTTGGTTGAAAAGTTCAAGTATGTCGATGGTTTTAGGGGCAGCTGGATAAAACGTCCCGATAAATAACTGTCATTTTTTATTCCAATACACTCGTTAGCACCCTCCCAGGCTTCTATAAGACTGCATACGGAGTACTGAGCATGTGCTCGTATGGCTGCTGGGCTCCAGCCTGATAGCCAGCCTGCAGTAAAGCCGATCGTTGCCGAAGTGTGGGGGGCTCTCTGATTGGCCGACAGGCCTAGCAAGTATTTTCGGGAAAGCAAAGCCGCGCAAAGCAAGCCGCGATATCTTGGACCACCGAACATCAGCCCGACCGCGCCGACTGTCCCCCGTCTCCATCCAGCCATGTCGAGCGCCGAGCTGGTGCAGGCTTACCGCAGCCTCTACCGCAGCGGTCTGCGCGCCGTGCAGTACTCGAAGCCGGCGCGGTACGTGGTGCGCAACCAGCTGCGGGCGGCCTTCCGCGACAGCAAGGCCGGTCCGGGGGCGTTTGATGCCCGTGCCATCCGCAACACGGTCTACTTTCTCAACGCGGCGGCCGAGTCGCGCGAGCTGGAGCACCGGATCGTGCGCAACCTCGTGACGACGGCCTACTGGCGGGACCGGCGGGCGGCGCAGCAGCGGCCGTCGTGGAGCAACGTGGTGGCATCGAAGAAGGAAAAGCCAGTGTGAGTGGTGTTTCTTTGTCTTCTTGTCTTCTGCTGCATGCTGACTTGGACACGACCAGTGACGAGATCGACCGGACGGCCTACGACCACTACGACCAGACGGTGAAGCAGCTCAACGCAACGATGAGGATGTGCCTTCGGTGAGAACACGAGAGAGATCAGCCGTGGAAGAATGCCCAAAGGCGACACGCAGTCTTGGCGAGCAGAGACATTGGGACGCCAGCCACATGCCGCACGCCTCTGTATACGGGTGGGACAAGGGGCTCTGGCAACAAAGATGCCACGTGCGACCGGACATGGGCATAGGCTTTCTCTTTCTCCTGTACTCCGTACACTCTGTACACAGATGTCTTAGTCAAGCTGGATCACGTGTGGAGGACAATATTCGACGTTTGTATGTAATGCAACCCAATGCACAGGTGTGGTGTGATTGAGGGGTTTGGGGGCAGCCAAAATGACGTCGGCTGCCGTGCAGACGAACCACGGCTTGGGAATGAGCTCAGGCAGAAGAGGGAAGCTGGCTGGCAAACGCGGGGAATGAAAAGGCGGCTCGACAAGCTAGCAGAACGAGCTGCAGATACCACCCTTCCAGCTCTCGTGCTGCCATGATGTATTTATCTCTCTACCCGGTGTATGTAGGAGACCTTGTGAGCAGTCAGCAAACGAGACAGCTGATTGATCTGCCCGGCCTCCCAGAGGAGGAGCCGTTCTTTCGCTCTGCTGCGACACGGCGATTGTGTCGGCTAATGATACAGCTTGGATCCAAACAGCGCTGAGCAGCTGGCCCTGTCTCTCGTTTGTGCAGATAGGACCCACTTTCGCCCCCACCAAAACCAGTCATTTTGCTCGCTTCTTCTGCCAGACAGCCGACAGACAGACCGACGTGAATGCAGTTCCGGCGGCGACAGCAGCACTTGCCGACGCGCACACGCCTCCCCGCCACCGCTCTGAGCCTGCACGCGCGCACCTTGAGCTGCCGACGCGTTGCCGAGCCGAGCTGAGCCGGACTTGATGGACCGTCTCCAGGCCGCTGACTGCTGCGCGACTGCACCGAACCAACTACAACCGCAAGGGTCCAGAGGAACTCGCCACGGGCTCCGGCCTCTCGATCACGGAGCATGCCGGCCGAGACTGATTCTGGTCGAGACGGTGCCGCGGTCGTGGCCCGGTCGCACGCCCATCCGAGGCGATGGGTGAAGCGATACCGCACCGAGGTCAGCGCCAGCATGTCCAGCGTCCTGAGCACGGCCTGCGCCTTTCCGCTCGACAGCGTCAAGACGCGCATGCAGACGTACGGCTACGGCGGCTTCGTCGACTGCGTCCGGCGCACGTACCGCACCGAGGGCGTCGGCGGCTTCTTTCGCGGTGGGCTGCCCCTTTTCCCTCTTCTCTGTCGCGGCGAGGCTGACAGGCGTGGCGAGCATCGCAGGCGTGACCGCGCCCATGGCCAGCGTCACGATCGTGCGGACCATCTCCTTTTCCATCTACCAGCGCGCCAAGTATGTGTATGGCGACTGGATCCGGCGGAATGTCGGCTACGACGTCCACGGCCACGTCAGCCAGGCCGGCTCCTATCCCAGCCTGTGGACCGTGGCCTGCTTTGGGGCGGCGGGAGCGACGGCCGGCTCCTGCATCACGGCCATTGCCTGTAGGTCGTGTCGGTCCTCGTGGCAACAGCTTGCTCGGTCGCTGACAAGCCGTGACGAACAGGCCCCTTTGAGCTGACGAAGCTCAGCGCGCAGATCTCGGTCCTGATGTCGGAAAAGGCGCAGTGCCCCGACCCCAAGTCCTACGCGGTGGCCTCGAGCTACCAGAACAAGGGCACGCTGAAGACCATGGCCAACATTGTGCGCCACCGCGGCTTGAGCGGCCTGTATACCGGCTTCCGGCTACACCTCTGTTCGTCTGCTCCCCGCCCTGGTGGGGTGCGTGATCGCTAACACAAACCAACAGTGAGGGACACGCTGGGGACCGGACTGTACTTTATGACGTACGAGAGCAGCAAGCAGCTGATGACGACCGTTGTGGGCGATGCCTCACCTTCGAACCCGGTGTCCGTCTTCGTGGCCGGCGGCCTCTGCGGGGTCGTGTCGTGGGCTTTGATCTGTGAGTCTGGTTGCCTGGGACAAACGCGGCGCTGCTCCCACGCTGACCTGTCTGACAGATCCGATCGATTCGGCCAAGAGCATCTACCAGCGCAACGCCCTAATGCACGCGAAAGGCGAACACATCGAGCCGGCCAAAGTGAGCTTCTTCCGGAAAAACATGTACCGTGGGCTTGGCGTATCGATGACTCGGTCTTGCTTGGTGAATGCCATCTTTTTCTCGGCCTTTGAGTTCTGGAAGAAGCATATTGATGCGTTGGAGGACCATGCAGGGTGGTGATATCGACCATTTAGTCGTGCATATATTAGGGAATATAGAGCAGTCAAGTCACGTGTGGTCTACAATATGTCGCTTTTGCCTACCTTAACTCCGTGCAAGTTACAGAGTAAACCGTCAGCCAGTAAGCAGATTCGGCTCCGCTTGATTCATATCTATAATTTAGAGAATGCGCTACCGTCAGACTGCCTTCTTCCACAGTCTGACCTCCCAGCGAACGCCTGAGGCTCGCCCCAAGTCCTCGTGCTTTGTGTGCAGCACCCACGTGTTCCCACATGTTGCACGTTGTCCATCCTTGTGTCCTAATCCTACACCGCGCGTCAGCGCATCTTCTTGTAGCGTTCCAGCTCGGCCGCGCTGATGCTAGGCTTGACCTTGGCCAGCGCGGCCTCCCAGTCGTCCTGGGACACGTGCGTCTCCTCGCCGCTGACAATGGTGCGCTTGAGGCAGTTGGTGGCGGCGTTGCGCCGGAGCAGGTCGAGGTCGGCGCCCGAGAAACCATTGCAGCGACGATCGCGGGCGACAGCGGCGAGCAGTCTTTGATTGTCGGCCGCGGCCCTGGCGCGCGCAGCCTCGACCTCGTCGGAGCCGGCCATGGGTGTGTCGGCAGGCGGTGGTGGCAGGGCAGCGTTGCGACAGAGCGTCTGCAGAATAGACACGCGGTCATCGGACGTGGGAGGGCCGACAAAGATGCTCTCGCCCAGACGGCCGGGTCGCTTGATGGCCGGGTCGATGATGTCGGGCCGGTTGGTCGCGCCGATCACGTAGATGCCGCTCCGGTCGACGAGACCATCCAGCTCGGTCAGCAGCGTGTTGACGATGCGCGCACTTCCATCCGATCGGCCGTCGTCACGCTTTGCTGCCAGCGCGTCCATCTCGTCAAAGAAGATGACACACGGCGTCATCGCCCGGGCCCGCTCAAACAGCTCGCGCAGCGCCCGCTCCGACTCGCCCACATACTTGTTCAGCAGCTCCGGCCCGCGGATCGAGATGAAGTTCGCCTTGCTCTCGTTCGCCACCGCCTTGGCCACCAGCGTCTTGCCGCAGCCTGGCGGCCCCCAGAGCAGAATCCCACCCACCGCCTCCAGGCCCACGGCCGCATAGCGGTCTGGATAGCGGATCGGCCAGATGATCGAGATCTCCAGCTGCTCGCGCACCGCCTCCATCGCTCCCACCTGCTCCCATGTCGTGTTCGGGATCGTGCTGAATCCCTCTCGCTTGGCCGCTGGTACCACCTGCTGCGTCGCCTGCCGAAAGCTCCGCGCTGGGATTCGAGGCTCTGCCACCTTCGTCTCGCCTGCTGGCTGCTCGGCCGCCACGACCGCGTGCATCAGACGCACATGTTCGGCACTGCCCCAGAACAGACCGTCGTCTGTCGCAGCCCCGTCCACGGTCTGCAGCCGTGCTATCTTGTCGTTAAACACCCGCTCCATCTCCAGCTGGCTGGCCGTCTTGGCCACGTTCTTCAGATCGCTGCCCACAAATCCCGGCGTCATCCGCGCAATCTCCTTCAGGTCCACGTCGTCCGCCAGCGCCATGTCTTGCGTCATCTTCTGCAGGATCTGCTCGCGCGCGTCTTGGCTCGGCACGCTCACCGCCACCTCAATGTCGAACCGCTGCCGCACCAACGGGTTCAGGTTGTTCGCATCGCTGGTCGCCGCTAGCACCACCACATTCTTGCCTGCTTCCGTCTCCCACTGCAGCCGGTCCATGCACTTCTTCAGCGTCAGCGCTATCCGGTTCTCCATCGCCCCCTTGGCCGTCTGCTCCTGCTTGCCCGCAATCGCCTCGATGTCGTCCAGGAAAATCAGGCTGGGCGCCATCCTAATTGCCGCCTCAAAGATGTTGCGGATGTTGCCCTCCGACTCGCCGCTGACCCCGCCAATGATCTCCGGCCCCGATACCGCGAAGAACTGTGCCTTCGTCTCGGCTGCTATCGCGTTCGCCACGAGCGTCTTACCGCACCCTGACGGCCCGTACAGGAGCACCGACTGGTTCGAGTAGAACCCCGGCTGCAGTGGAACGCACACGAAGTTGATCAGCTTCTGAATCACATCGTTCATCCCCGAAATGTCGCTGATCTTCGGCCCGTTGGCCGGTATCACCGTCGGAACCACCGCTTTCCCCCCACTGTCCCCGCCATCTCTCCTTTCCCTATGCTCGTGATCGCTCCCGCTGTCGCTTTCTGATCGTGCCCTCTTGCGTTTTCGTAAGCGCCTCCCATCCTTTGGGCGCGTCTGTTTTCTCACACGTCCTGGTGACGCTTCAGATCTGGCTGCCTCTGTATCTGCTGCTGTGGTGGACAGGTCCATAGCGATCGCAGATGTGTCAGCAGTATCTTGTTCTGCGGATGTCGAGACCGCCTCGGTCGCAGAGACCGCTGGTTCGCCAGATGCTGAATTGGGATCAATATTTTCGGCATTGGAAAGTCTCTCCTTCACCCGCTCGTCCAGTATCATCTCAACAAGAGGCTCCAGGTATGACCGCTTGCGACGAGCAATCGGGTGGTTGCGGATTGCGTGAAGCCTTGCGACTACAGAGTATATTGTCGGTCGCGATTCTTCTCTCCCGGAGCGATGCTCTGCATCCATATCTCCGATCACTTCCGCCACCTTCCGCCTCTCGTCGGGCCGGAAGGCCAGTCGGCCACCCATCGGCGCCATTTTGTCATGTAGAGATGCGGTGTTGAAGTAAAAAAAAAGTTTATCTTATCTGGCGCAGTGTGGATATACAGATCAAGACGGACGGCTTGGCGGGCCATATTACTAAATAGAATCACGTGACATCTCACTGCCACGTCACATAACCTAAGTCACATGATGCTGCACGCGACAGGAAAGCACAAAGCCTTCCCGCAAGGGTACGGAGTACCTCGACCAGATGTATGACCATGCAGGTGCATAATCACAGAAGTCCTACGTACCAAACATTGGACAGCAGAAATTAGAGGAGAGACTATGTGTATTGTGGTAGATTAGAAGGTCAGGAAGTATCTCCAAGTCTAACCGAAAATGAGATAGAGCCAGATGTGTAGACAACAAATTACGGAAAATTTGCTAGAGAAGCAGAAAAGCATGACGTGGTCGGTTTTCTCATTTTCCAACCCGTCGTCTAAGATGCAGCTGGTTGGAAACAAAGGCGAGATGTGTGGGTTTTCCGTAGTATTTTTTTTTTCGTTCTCGGACTTATTCTGAAATCCCGATTCTATCGTGTTGTGTAGTAATATGTTGTTACAACGCCGAGCCGCTGCATCGCTAGGGCGCTCATCGCTATGCGTCGCGGGCCCTCAATCCACTAATCCATCGGTTTCCGGACGCCGGATGTTCCCATGCTGCGCAGCACTACAGCTCCTCCGCGTGACTGACGCCCGCCGGCGTTTGTGAGCGCGCCGCTTAGGCGGTGGACTCCTTGAGGAAGCTGGGAAAGGTGTTAGCTGGAAGCGGTAAAGGCAAAAGAGGCTGGCAGGCTGCGGTACAGGCTATGACGTACGTGATCAGGTCATTCCGGTCCTTGTCCTTCTTCAAGCCACCAAAGGCCATCTTGGTGCCGGGGATGTACTTCTTGGGGTTCTCGAGGTAGGTGAACTAGAAGAGGAGCTTGTCAGTATTGAAGTGCAGCCAGAGCACAGCCCAAGGCTGGTGGCTGTGGGCGTGGAAGCCTACCAGAGTCTCGTCGGTCCAGGTGATGCCCTTCTGCTTGTTGGCATCGGTGTAGGCGTAACCGGCGACGGAGCCGGTCTTGCGGCCGAAGAGGCCGTGCAACGCCGGGCCAACCTTGTTGCCACCGTCCTTGTCGACGGTGTGGCACTGGGCGCACCGGGTCTTGAAGAGGTTCGCACCCTTCTTGGCGTCACCTATGGCAATGGGTCAGCTGCGAGATCGACGAGTGGCATCAACGGCGCATGAGCTGCTGCTGCGAGAGTCGGGTGAAAATGCCGCACGAAGCAGCTGTGTCGAGCTATAAACAGCCACTCGGCAGCTCCCCGACCTCCAGACACGACTGCGCGCGAAAGAGAGCCTGCGTAGCTTCAATATACGACGCCAATGCCTTCTATGAGGCGGGAGCAGGTCTGGGGTACAAAGGCGGCAGTCAATGGCACGAATGGCCTTTTGGGGGTGGACGCAGGCGCATGTGGTATGGCGATAATTTTTTCGCTCTCGTTCGGCAGCAAACAGCAGCAGCAGCCTCGCTAGTGAACAAGCAAAGCAACTTACCGGGTCCGGCAGGCATTTTGGCTGAGAGGTAAGGAGGGGTAGTAAAACGGTGGGTGAGGAAGTGGTGAGAGTTCGGGCAGACCGTGAATAGGGATAGTATAGAGGTGGAGGAAGGAGGGAAAAGGAAGGAGAGAAAAAGACACGGAGAAATTATTATAGAGGACGAACGGCAAGAGCGATAAAATCCGGGCTGACGGATTGGCAGCGACTGCAGGCCAAAGCAGGCCAAACCCCCCAAGAGCGCAGAGGAAACCAATGGCATGTGGCGCCCGTACATTGCCACAGGGACTGCCAACAGCCGCGCCAGAGCCAATCAGCGGTCGCTCATTTGTCTTGATTAGCCAGCAGTGTTCGGAACGCCTACCGCAGCGCAGACCAGGGCCGCAAAATAACCCACAATCGGAAGACGCCGGGGCGACTAATGCATGCGTACGACAGGAAAATAGTGCTCGTTTTTTTTCGCTTTTTTTTTCTTTTTCTTTTCGTATCGGTTGTGCCCTGGGAAAGCGTGCCGCTGTGCCGGGGAATCGGCATTGACGAATCGAACCACCTGTCCATTTTCAGCGGCTTCTTTTCGCATTGCATCGTTTTTTTAATTTACCCCCTTCACCACAAGCTTCCCTTCCCCCAGACGTCCTTCTCTTGCTGACCGCCCATTGAGCAAGAGTGGACTGAGCCTGATTTGTTGATTTGTCGACTGACCGACTTCCAGATCCTGGAAGCTTCAGATTCCGGACACCGAACAAAGCCCGCTCCTCTCTGTCTCTCTGCCACGCACACTGCTCTCCCGACCTTGCCTTATTCAGCATCGCTCCACACAGCTCGTTCCCAGGCAACATTTACACCCACCAGATGGCCTTGTCGACGGCATCGCCATCGGCTTCCGCGGCCGTCGCCATGGCCTCGTCGATCCCGCGCTTCCTCCTTCCCCGCCGAGGACCCATGTGGCAGCAGCAGGGCCTCGCTGTCGCCGGCATTTTGCAACGCCGACCGACAACAGCAGCTTCTGCTACAGCACCAGCATCAGGCTGCATCGTGGCCGCAGCCTGGCGACATGCATCGTCGGCCCGGTCGTCGCGCTGGACACCACCGTCTGCACCGTCTGCGTCGTCGACTGCACCTTCCCCTCCCCCTCCCTCTCCTTCTGCCGTGCTTGAGAAGCCGGCCAAGTTCAATCCGCCTTCGCACGGCTCGCGGCTGCCGCGCAAAGGCGCCGCCGCTCGCGCGCCGCCGTCGCTGCACTACGGCGGCGAGCTCTCGCCGGCCGAGCGCCAGGCTCAGCGGCTGCGTCAGTATCCCGGCACCATGGCGCCTCCGGGCACGTGGTCGCACTGGTTCTGGAACAGCCGGGCGCTGCACATGGGCATCACGATGGTGGGTGCTCCGTTCGTCGTACTGCACGAATTTGTGTGTGCTGACTAATCATAGACGGCCCTCACCATCCTCGCCATCTACACGTTCCTCGAGAACTTCCGCCGCTCGTCGCCCTTTGTCGACATGCTCCCGACGGCCGCCCAGGCGCTGCGCCATCCCATCCTCGCCGTCCGCACCGCCGTCGAGGTCTTCCGCTTGACCGAGGACCAGCGCATCGCCGAGATCTCCGAGAAGCGACAGCGCCGCGTCGACGACGTCTCCAAGCGCACAATGTACCGCAAGGCCCACGGCCTCGAGGAGACCGTCGGCTTCAACAGCGGCTGGCTCACCGGCGGCGTCAAGAAGGAGGGGCCCACGGCTCCGGCCCGCAATGAAGAAGCCCCCGCCCTCAGCCCGGTCGAGGCCGTCGCTGCTGCCGCTGCTGCGACGCAGTCGGCCGTGGACGATGCATCGCCCGTTCACGGTGCCCTGCCTCTCGATGGGCAGGCCGGCACAGATGCTGCCGGCACGCGGAAGCGGTTCCTGGGCATCTTTTGAGGAAACCGTATATCACGTGACTCTCCCACATCATGTAAAACGACAACCATGGACATCTGCAATCTCATCTCTCTGGCGTGACGACATAGAACGGCTGGGGAGGACACATAAATACATAAAAAACATCAAAGGTACACGACCATGCATCTACCAGTTGGCATTCTTTTCATTCCTATTTCTCCTAGTCTCGACACTGTTGCAGCCTCTGCCGATTGCCACCAACTTGAACCATAATCTTGTATGACTAGCTGCTGAGAACATTGTTTATTAATGATGGGTCTGGTTGTAGACTTCTGGGCAGCTTCAGATGGACACTAGAAACAAAAGTTACTGTTAGCCGCAGACATGTGCAGCAATATACGGAGATCTTAAACGACAAAAGGTAAATACTAGTATGAAAGCCGTACGCTAAAGTGCTTACATTAGGGATTGGCGCCGTCGGCTACTTGTCTATCTATACTTTCGGGGCCTTCCTTGCTTCACGAAGAATCTCCGTCATCCTAGAATACAATCCCATGTCCTCTTCCTTCCACCTCTTACCATTTGGAAATATCACCCTCCACAGCGTACTACCACCCATTGATCCCATGGGTTAATAGATTGAGAAGTTCTCCTCTGCAATCTCAAGCAACATGCTTTCATCACATATAGTACCAATCTTCGATCGGGCTAGCTTTCCATCGTCTTCATAGTTCCAACTCTCAAATTCGGACGGCCCGATGTCTTTGCCCGGCCCGCTGTAGTGGATGCATATCCAGAACAAGACCCAGAAGAACGACTCCAGGTCATGCATGAAAGAATGTCGCTCGTCTAGAAGCGCCCCGATAGCCATGAAAGCCCTCGTGCCGGTCTTTTTCATCGCACCCGAGGCATCTCCTCGCTGTATCTTAACGGCGAGGTCCAGATCAATCAAGAAAGAAGGCCAGGAGGTGTTGTTTTCATGGTCCTCGTTGATTGAAAAGATAGTTGATAGAGATGTCTCTGTGAAGAAAGCCTGCCCCGTGCAAAGATTTGTGTCCCTCTATGCAGCATTCTAACGCAGCAAGCAGAGCTGATCGGGAGCTTTCCTTACAGATTGGCTTTCCATAATCACGAAGGATAACACCCCGATGTACTCGGTTTGGCAGAGGGCAGCTGGCTGGTTTTGTTGAAGAAGCGGGACAGGGTCGCTTCCTAGGCGGTAGAGAAGCGCCGGTCTGACTTAATGCCCGCTTTAGGCCGGCGGTGCGTCCGCTCTTACTTGAAGTCCCCGGTCCGCCATGGCAGTGCGACGTTGTTGAGAACGTTGTTGAGAAGGCTACAGAGGTTACAAAGGGTAGGTTACTAGAGTACGAATTTGTACCGCGCACTGTTAAAAAAGTTACTGGCCTGCCATAAGCCCCTGGTCGGACCCTGGTTAGTACTTGAACCTACCCTACTCCGTAGTTTCTTTCGCCTGTACGGAGTAACCGTCGTAGGATGAAAAGACTAATAGAGGTCGCGTTTGGTACTCCGTATTCGCTACGCAGCTGGGGAAGACTCCTTTTGATTCGCGGGTCTCTACGTGACTACAAACACGTGATAGTCTCCATTTACGGACAATATTCGTGCCACACTCCACTTTAATTGGAAAACGCAGAACGTGCACTTACTAAAGTTGGTGCTACCCAGCCTATCTAATTACCACCCTTCTTACTCCGTAATGAGTTTATTTTGTAGACTATGTGAAGGGATCAGCTGGAGTGCAGATTGTGGAGCGATTTGGTGATAATCGAGGGGGGCTCGCGGAATAAAGTATGTGCGCGCCGCGCGAGGTCCAGCGGGGCCAGGGCGGGGTGATCGGCGAGTCTTGCCCGTTAGCGGGAGAAAGTACTCCGTACCGCCGAGCCCTCCCGATTATCACCAAATCGCTCCAGCATCCAGCACTCTAGTTGATCCCTTTACAACCTTGTTAACGTTATTAACTGTTATACTTGGCTAATAATTCATTGGGCTAGTAAGTATAACAGTAAGGCTATAAGGAAGGTTTTGTACAAATTTACTTACTTTTATTATTAATAGCTATCGAAGATAAATACTTACTTATAATATCTTTAGCAACTGAATTAATAATATAAGCAGCACATTTATCATGGGTATTAAAATCTGTTTCCTGTTTAGGTGTATGTATAAAGGTATTACTATTCGAGGCATTATCTCGTGTAGTACTAGTAAACAATTAGTAAAGTGAATTTTAGTATACTGTGAACGCCTAAGATATGATGTCTCTAGAAAATAGCAAGCAGAACAGGCTCCGCTCCGCGGTCGGCATCACACCACCTCTACCGCGCCCAGCCCGGCAAAGACCTCCTCGGCCACGCCGCCCTTTTCCAGCACCCGCTGCGTCATGGCCGCCAGCAGGCCGACGCGGGCTCCGCCTCGCGGCGCCCGCCAGACCCCGTAGACGGCCTCAGTCTCGGGCAGCCGCGAGGGCGTGCTGTTTTCCTGTGGCGCGGACGAGCCGGCAGCCTGCTGCTGCTGCTGCTGCTGCTTGACCTTGGTGTCTGGGTTGTAGGGAGTGCCGGGCGCGGTCAGGCGTGACGGCGGGTCGATGGTGCGGATGGCGAGGAGCCGGAGCGAGGAAGAGGAAGACGGCGCTGTCGTCGTTTCTGCTGGTCGTGGAGGCTCAGACGCGCCCACGGACACGGCCAGGACCGCGTTCGCGACGGCCAGCTCCTCGGACGTCGGATCGAACAGGATGCTGTCGCCGACGGTCATGACGAGAAGCGTGATGGGCGGCCGCGAGAACGGCTGCTGTGCTGCTGCTCCGGCTTCAGCTCCGGCTTCGGTCGCGCGGGGGTACAGGTACGTCGACGCGTCCCAGTCGTCGTTGAAGAACGGGTCCTCATCGCCTTCGGAGACCAACCGTGGAAGCCGCGTCGCCAGCAGAGCCAGATGGCTGGTCAGCGACAGGAGCGGCAGCGGATACGAGAGCGGGGGGGAGATCAGCAGGATCTGGTCAGTCAGCAGGAGAAGAACAAGGAGACGGAGAAGCAGTTGCACGGGTCCCTCACATCCAGGTACAGCTTCCAGTGGAAGCGCCGGTTGATACGAAGCGCCTGTGCCAGGTTGCCGTCGGCCAGCAGAGCCTCGGCCAAGAGTGCCGCCAGAAAGACGGTGTTGCTGTCGTCGTCTCGCAGTCCCGGGATTTCAACTGTCACCTCAACCCAGGACGACGCGCCCGATGTCGATGACGCCGATGTCGAAGCCGATACCCCGTTCCCGTCCTTCTTGTCCTCGCCGCCTTTTTCGCCGCCCTCGACATCCTCGTCCCCGTCGTCATCGTCTTCCCGTCCTGTCCGCCGCGTCTTCTCCACATCAGCCTTGACACCCACTATCGCCTCCGTTCCATCGGAAAAACACACGCGCGCACTTCCATTTGCGCCCGGCAGCATGCCCGTCTCGGCGCGCAGAGGGCGGAATTGCGTCGGCGAACGGCCATCCGGTCGGATAGGAGGTGTCTGCGACAAAGACGTGTGTAAAAAGGCCAGCTCAGCCGGCGACAACAGTACGTGCTGTGTTGACGCCATGACTCCGGGCTCTGTATGCGTCCAAACTGTACAGCGGGGAGCTAAGGTCGACAAGAGGAAGCAGTGCAAGCGAAAGCCTCGATAAACGGAATAAACTTTTTTTTACTGCTAGCAGTACCTGATTGGCTCTGGGATAATCTAAAGTGGAGCTGTGAACAAGGCTGAGGTTTCATGCAACATGGACAATAAAAATCGGCTCAAGCTTCAAGTGCCCCAAGAGCCGCCTAAGATAGACCTGTGTATCTGAACACAGCAATAATTTTTTAACAATCCACAAACGACACTACCTTGGACCCTCCTATCTCAACCTTCTCCTCGTATGGAAGCGTCCGAACAATTCCCGTCAATGCCTGCATTTGCGTCCGTGCCGTCTCGCCCCATGTTTGGCCACCCACCAGGGTTGCCCGGCTGCGAGGGAACAGCCCGATGGCCGACCTCCCTGTGCAGTTCAGATCGATGCTGTCCGCATGTGCGATTGGCGCGGAACCGTTTCCGTCAGTCTGCGGAACGATTATTTCGTGCACCAGATTATCACCGTACGCCCGGCCATATTGCAGTAGCTTGCGCGCCTCTTCGTGATCCTTCTGCCAGGCTGCTTTGACTGAAAGGCTTGGGCCGGTGCTACCGGTGCTAGCGCTGAATCCTGTCAAGCAGCTGCACTGTTCTCGAAGCTCATTGTTTGTCCGTTCAAAGCGGGACAGCATGGACTGAAACAGACCAAGGACCTCTTCACTAGCCTCGCGCAGAGGGAGGCGGCTAGGCATCATCATTTCTGATCTGGCCGTTTCCGTAAGCCCGTTTCCATACGCAGTCCTCACTCTGTCGACAAATGTCGTGTCCGCTTTCATCCTGCGTCGTCAGAAATGCGACGCCCAGACGCAAATTCTTACTTACCGGCTCTCTTCTGACTGCCTCATATCCTGCACTGCCTTCTTCCGCATCGATGCCACCTTTTCCTGGAACGTGCTCATATACTGCTTGACCCGGTCGGCCTCCTGTTCCCGAACGGTATCCTGCCAGACATCCCAGCTGATTTCATCAGCTGGTTGAAATTAGGCGGGATCAAGAACTGCCATGCCATGTATACACACCCATCACTGCTTTGTGCTGCTTTCTTGCCGGTCGCCCGTGGCCTGGTTGCAGCTGTCCTAATCTCCTCCTCTGGGCCAGATTCGCCAAGCGAAGTACTGGAGGCTGCCGTAGGGATAATGTGAAAGAGAGAGAAGACAATTAACATAGTTTCTCTAGATAAGTACGAACACCAATCACTCACATCGGGCGCGCGCCTTGTTCTTCCGGGGAGCCATAATGGTACACCTAGGGTCTTCTGGATACTTAGTTTGGGGACTTTGAAGATAGTTAGAGGTCAGGGAGGTACAAGTTCAAAATCCACGAGATTTCCAAACTTACTCCAATGCTTATATTCAGGTCGAGCCACGCAGAAAGGGAAGGAGCGAGTTGGTCTGATGCTGGAGCATTCTGTTCGACGGCTACCACCGTTCTACGAGGAAGTAGCGATCATCAGTATCTCGTACTACATAGACATTTGCTGTCTTATCGTTTGAAGAAGAAAGGTCGTTAATTTTGTCTATCAAAGCACTAATTCATTTTTCGCGTCTCAGCCCGCAACTCGGTACCCTTTAGTAACCATCCGTTTTCTTATTCCCTCTTTTCTGATCTACCGGTCGACAATTCCAAATAAACAACCGTGTCGAACCCATCGGACACGACGACTATGACATGAAAGAGTGTAAGAAGTGACAACGAAAAAGAAGACGGCGACGTTATGAGCCGCCATATACACGACGTTGCGAGAGTTGTAACAACCGGCTTTTTCTTCTTCTTTTTTGTATCACATTCGTACACGTGAATTCCTGCCGTACATACCCAAACGAACAAAGGAAATAACGAAGAAATGTAGACATATAAAGATGTGGAGAGATATGAAGTCTTAAGCCACCAGGCACACATAACAGGGGCGAAAAGCAGTAGAAGGGAAACGTGTATGTATATATCAGAGTACATGGTGTCCGCGCCGAGATTAAGGAAACAAGGAAACAAGGAAACAACGCAAACAGGGCAGTCTCTTATCTATTGGGGGAATTCAGTTGAGAGTTTAAACTTCATATCTCCTCCGTGTCATGATATAAGGAATAATTGGTGGCGGAAATGGCAGAGACATAAATGTAGCAAGGAAAATGGAACCACCGGATCTCATCAAAGTAACTTCAAACCTTTTTGAAAATGTCAAGCGGAAAAAATGCAAGCCAACGCCACGACCAGCGTCAACACATAGGATTGCCATCTAAAGAGTACTTTTTTACCAGTAGGAAAGGGGAAGCGGTGCTGCATCATATCAGATGCCAGGGATGATGTCGCGCCTTCGTTCGAGATAGGCGTGTTCGGCTCTCTTTTAACGGCTGTTGAGAGAGAGGCCTTGAAAGGATCCGGCCCAGTCTCCGGAAACACCAATTGGCGATAGACCCTGTCCATGCTGGGCAGCTTCGGTTTGATTGGCAGGGAAACGACCACCGCGCATCGTCTGGTAGTCGGCTGCAGAAGCGTAGGCGATCGAGTAGCCGTCTGCACCGGTCGGTATGCCGCCCTGGCCGTAGCCAATAACGGGCACACGTGGAATGCTCCCAAAGGTAGCATAGGGGTTATACTGCAATGGGGATGGATAGCTTCCGATCACACCGACGGTGGCATTGGCTGCAGACGCTGTCAGAGGAGGCTGCGGGCTGATAGTTCCAGGATATCCGCGTCCACCAAGGTTGGAGGTGGGATATGGAGACACCGATTGCTGCTGCTGCTGCTGCTGCTGCTGCTGTTGTGCTTGGAGCTGCTGTTGGTGTTCCCCATGTTGTACCTGTTGGCGGTTAGACGTCGAGCTCCGTCTCACGCCGACAGCCCCCGGTCCAATGCCACTGGGGGCCTGCAGACCGAGCGGCTGGCTCGCAAAGGAGGCCGGGTTGATAGCAGACATCCAAATTCGCGTCTTGTAGATCTTGAACAGGTCGGTGACAAGCGAGTTGAAGTTGATGTACGCATCGGCAAAGTAGTAAAAGGTGAGCTTCTTCCAGTCCCTATCAAGCGTAAGGGTTAGCAAGCTGCGTTGTACTGTGTCCAGTTGGGGATATGTCGAACGACTCACATCTGAAATTCCGCGTCGAGGATCTCCATGTTGAGGCCATGCTCCTTCACTTTCTGCATGCAGACACGCTTCGCCTTGGCCTCGTTACCCTCCTTATCGCGCAAGGCGTGGATCTCGTGGTTTTGAGCAAGGCGTTTGATCAGCTTCGGCTTGAGCTCGCCGGCATTCGGCTCTTGCATGTGGTGTTGGCCCGGAGGGCCCATACCTCCAACAGCACTCCCCTGAAGTCCCGTTGCCGAGGCCATGAGACCAGCACCAACACCGTCCTGCGCAGCAGCTGCATTCTGCGAGTACATCATGAGCCACTTGTACTGCTCCTCGGCATAGTGCTCCTTCATACGCCGGGCTTCAACCCAATCGACACTATCCACTGCGACTGTTCCCAGGTCTGTGCCACGATCCGCCTCCACGATCACAAGATCACCAGGCTTGACTGTGAGTCCCGTGCCTTCCTGGATGTAGAACACATCGGCCCGGGCACACTTGAACAGGACGATGTGAAGCGGTGTCGAGCGATTTGGCTGTGTCATTGCGTACATGCCTCGCTGCGGTGACGTCGGACGGACAGAGAATGCTGGCGCATGCAGGCCGTACGGAGACGGATAGGAGCTCGCGCCATATGCGGCACTCAGTGGCGAAGGCTGCTGATGCTGGAGAGCGGCTTGCTGAGCACCCATCAACGTGGCGCCTGGTCCGCCCGTATATAGTGACTGGGCGGCTGACTGATTTGAAGGGAACAGATGGGCGTCAGTAAAGGACGAGCCGAAGTCGGGGCCGACGTTCTGCGCCTCCTGCGCGCTCGCCTCGTGGGCGAGGACGACCTCGCTGATGGAGCTGATGGATGCCTGTCTCGTCGGAATATCGGCAAAAGAGTGCCGGCGGCTGGGGGAGTTGTCAGGGAAGCCAGGAGAGCTTTGCCAAAACGCCTTTTTCACGTTCTCCAGCTTCCGGTTTTCGAGGGCAAAAGGCGACCGGAATGGCCCAGTGGCGCCGTACTCGCTCATCCTCCGCATGGCCGCCCTCTTGGTAGCGGCAGCAATCTCACCGTCCAAGGCTTCGTCCAGCTCGTCGACAGCATAGTCGGATTCTTCTGGTACCGGCTCCTGGAAACCGTATCCATTCCCGATGCCATAGGCAGCAGCAGTAGACGCGCGGGGCCGGATGCGAGCGTTGTGGTACTGCTGGTTCGCTTGCTGGCGCAGGATGGCATTCTCGCGAGCCAGCATCTCGATCGTCTTAGCCTCGGCCGACAGCTGCTGGCTGCCTTGTGAAGAGTCGTTTGTGCTTTCGTCGTCATCGTCATCGACCTCCTTGACCTTGCCGAGCATTCCTCCCTCGCTCGACATCTCACTGAGCATGCTAGGCCGCGACGGTCGGTGGTGAAGGCCCGCATGTGTCATCGGTCGTACCCGAGAGTTAGCCAAGGAGGCGGGTGGGATGGCCAAAGGCTGGGCGGCTGCGGCCGCCATGGCGGTCTCGGCATCGAGCTGGCCGACCGAGTACGACTGTGATCGGTATGTCTTCGGAGTCGGGTGCAGGGGGATGGCAAAAGGGATTTGCGACGTGGTCCCGACACCGTGCCCTCTCGGCACCGGAGAGGTCTGCGTGGGCATGGTGTCCGAACTGAAGAAAGAAGAGCTGCCACCAGATCCGGGCGGCATGACGGACGTGGGAGAGGGAAGCACCTCGGACAACCTAGACAGCGGATCCTTCATATCAGTATTCCAGATGCCGGTGCCCCACGCAAAGGAAGCCGATGAGGTGTGTGCGCGGTTGAGCACGTTCGCGGGCGCGGTGGGGTGTGCGTTCCAGGCGGCAGCAACAGCGCCGGCGTCCGTAGACGGCGTGATGGGGTGCGGCGTGGTGGGCGACATGGAGGCGCTTGCAAACGATTCGTTCCGTGGGCGCACGCTGGCTTGACTGGTGTCGTTCAGCCACGAGGCACGTCTGACTGCCGGTCTGGGCGGCTGGTTGGAGGGGACTGGAAAGAGGGGTTCTGTGCGATGTGTTTCACCCTCGTCATCTGAGCTGGCCAGAGCTTCAGAGTCAGGCGTCGACCGTCGGTTCAACTTGTCCAGCAGGATGGCTTGATTGCTGGGCGCGGTGGGGAGGCCACCTTGGCCAAGTTTGGTTGGTGGACCGGGTTTAATGCTGGCACTCATTGTCCGCGTGATCCTTCTGGAATCTGGGACTGAGACCTAGGGTGGAAAATGGTCGTTGCCGCCGCATCCAAATCAATCCAGGCGGGAGGATATATGGCCGAAGGCTGAGGGCGCAGTGGGTTAGGCTGGCGCGATTGGCGAAAGTGCTGTCGTACGATGATCCCGGCCTTATTTCCTTGGATAGCAACTCGTTGCTCGAGAGCGTGGACGGCTGTAGTAAGAATGCTGGACAGGGAGAGCAGGGGTAGCAGGAGTTGTATCCCGTAAGCGATGCGGGTGAGAGCAGAGCGAAGAGAGAAAGAGTAAGGCAGGAAAAGAAATTAATCGATCGGTGGCGACCTGAGGCGGCCTGTATGCAATTGGTTAGCCTCGTGACGCATCCCATGGCCGGCCTTTTGAGCGGGGGGACAATAGGTGGGAGAATAGCATTGTGTCCGATCAGGTCATGAAATCACTGGGTGAACAATTGGCGGTGAAACCCCCAAAGGAAACCCCAAAGGGGACCAATACAGGAAAAAGAGCAAAGAAGACATCGGATGTTTTGAGCAGCTGGGGAACTCCGCAAGCAATTGGGAAGGTAGCTGTGTTGAGGAAGAAGCATATGGGCTCACATAAGTGGAGAACTCGGAGTGCACGATGGACAAAGGAGAGGCAAGTGGGCAGGCAGAAAAGGGGTGGGGGGATGTACTAACGAAAACAGAGTCTATACTATAGAAGCAATGGACGGAGGGTGGTCCCGTTGCAGAAGAAAGAAGCAGCCGGCAACGGCAAGCTGGTAATCGGAGAAGAAGCTATGCTGGTTCGGTCGAATCGCGGTGCTGTAAGACGGGCGCCGGCGAATACGACGGGCCGCAGTGTCTTCCGTAGGTCTGCCTGTGGCGCAATGAAGGCGGTAGACGCGATGCAGGCGAGATTGCAGATGAGATCGTCCAGAAGGCGAGTGATTAATACGGGGACACGCGGTTAATGTAGCGGTGCGGGCGCGAAGCCGGAGGAGAGAAGGCGGAGACGGCGAGGGAGCAGAGACAAAATAGGGATATGGATAAAAGAGGCGAAGGGAAGGGTGAAAACAGTGGTTCAGGCGTGCCAGCGGGCGAGGAGAGCCGCCGATGTTTCCTTTTTATTTTCCGGGTCTGCTAGAAGGTCCAAAGTGCGACATGGAATTATGCGCAGTACACCATTAAGGCCGCCCTAAAGCTAGATCGTGCGCGCGGTAGGAAGGAGAGTGGATGGGAAGAAGGGTAACGACGAAGCGAAAATCCAGTGGACGAAGACGGAAATTGGAGAGAGAGAAAAGGAGAATGGAAGAAAGCAAGACTGGTCTGATCAGATATGGAAGGAGAAGAGGGAGGGGGTAAGAAAGGGGGCACGAGCCAAGAGGAGCGCAGGAGCGTGTGAGGGCGCAAGCTTTGGGATGGAGAGAGCGCGGAAGTTGGCGCTGCTGTGCAAGTAATGAACTGCTGGATGTACTCCGTACTCTGTATCTTTGTTGCTACATCGTACTCCGCAGTGGTGCTTTTTTCGCTGTATTCTTTTCGGCTCTTCCTGCAGCACGTAGTCGGTGCTAGGCCTGCCGTTCGATCCTTTTAGGGCGGTAATATTAATTTTTGCTGGCTAGTGCCCTTCGAGAACCTACAGCCAGAAAGGAAAGGAAAAAAAAACCAAAAAAACACACAGTAGGTTGCAGCGGGAAAGCGGGGGCGAACGGTGGACGGTGAGCCTACGACGTACTCCGTAAGTGCAGGTTTGATTTGGGAGGGGGCGTGTAGGGGAGGGGGGAAGGACTTGTACGAGTAAGATACGAGTAATGAGATACGAGGGAAGTCTTGCCAGTGTCTTACGACACAGAGAGGGGTGGGCGCATACCTGCGAGCATGTTTAGCGCCCCTCCCCCCCTTTTCCCTTCTCCAGGATTGGCATGTCGCTAGGCGGTTTAGTGCGGCTTTCACGCGCTGAGTGCGGAGAAGGAGCGCTATTTCCTCACAGACAAGCAGGCCAGACCACGGCGGCTTTGGACAGCATGTTACTGTGCATCTTACATGCGTGCCAGGGATGTTGTAAGATATGGTTCAGAGCGAGCAATTGATATATGTGGCGTGTTGTGAGCACAGTGGAAGGGAAAGAGGGCGGAAAGTAGAGAAGAGGGTGGAAAAGAAGAGAGGAGGACGAGGGGAGAAGAGGAGCCGGGGACTGAAGGAGAAAGCCACAAGACGAAAATCATGACATTGTCGCCAGACCAGGAAGGCAAAAGGGAGGGGGCGTTGGTGGAGGTCCATCGCATGGTCACGTCCTTGTGCGCCTTGCAAGATGCACAACATTTCCAATTCACGAGCCATTTCGCAGAGCTTGGGCCACAGCGGAGACAGCACCTGCAGCACCCGTGTAATAGATAGAATACATGGCGGTACAAGTAAGATACAGAGTACACGCTCGTACCATGTACTCGTACGCTTCTCGCCGTGCAGGTCCAAGAACAGCTTCGGGCGTCGTGATCTCTGCATATCAATACCAGCATTATTCAGAGCACTCTCGCTGCCCGCTCACGACGACGACGCATATCAATCAGCACACCACAGGATCGTGCATTGCTGTGCCAAGTTCGCCTCCCCCATCGACCAATGGCCAGCTGCCCCACGCGGGCACAGAGAAGAACAGGCCGCGTGATGTGCTGCTGCACGGCTAGCCGGCATGGGCACTCCACATCCCCTCTGCCGCCACCTGACTTGGTGAGGAGGGGAGGGATCGCTACTACGACGTGTGGTCAGTGTCCATTTCGCACCTCATCTCGGCCATTGCGAATCTGGGGAAAAGACACCCCACCCACTACGATTTCCGCTCGTCTTCCCGCGATTGCCAAAGGCAGGTCGTCCTTTTGCTCTGCTCCGTCCGTATCGAACTCGCATTGCCCGTGCAGGTTTTATCAAAGACCCTGCATTCCTCTTTCCTTCTTTTTCGGTCTCCTGGACCGCTTGTTGTTGAATTCTTCCCCAGGTCTCAGAGTCCAGCTTCCATGGAAGTGCTTGTGCTACTGTCCATTCGACAGGGAAAATGCAACCCTCCTTTCTTCTTCCCCTCCTTAACTCACCCCCCTCTCCCGCCGATCCCTTCGTGTTGGACGCTGTAGACACTGGACTCGCCGTGTGCAACGAACGCATGGTCCCAACGCCACTTGCAACAGCACCTACCATGTAGAAGGCCTCGAGCAACGTCCGAAAAGAGGGGTAAAACAAAGGCCGACGAGCTCGCAGCGAACGGTTTCTGTCACCAGAGCTGTCTCATCGCGCGAGATTGCCGCCATTGCTGTTGGCACCCGAGCCACTAAATACCATGGCGTAGGGATGACAGACAATGGGCAATCCGACAGTGACAAGAACCCAACAATAGACGATGCACCAAAAAAGTAGATAGGAAGCTTGCGAAGCATCAAAACCAATGAGACCGTCAGGCTCTGACAGATGAGGGAGCTAGTTACGTGCCCTCCCCCCTCCCTTAGGTTGCTGCCTTGCAATCTTACCAAGCCTCGTTTTGTGGACAAATCATTAGTACAGCTAACTCGTACCGACCCACGCCCATACATCTGGGAGGGTGCCAATCGCATGTCTTGATTGGCGCATCAATTGCATTTGCTTTTTCCTTGCTACCACACCGTCGCTAACACTGACCGCCATGGGCGAGCGGGCGGCGAAGCATATCTCAATTTTGCCAAGGCTTCGCTCTTCTCTCCTTCCAGAGGGAGTATCAGTTTTGTCACACATTCCGTTGCTACTGGGCGAAGTTTCTGAGGACATCCGTCATGCTAGGACGAAGAGCGCTTGTCTCACCGGGCAATCGGGTGTACTCGTTTCATGGCGGTAATTTCAAGATGCGTAGATGTGCGTCTTGTACTTCGTACGGAGTAGGCATTGCAGCCCATGAGTAATACCCCGTACTGTGTATGTCTGCTCATCCAATAAGGTCAGGGCGTCTCTGTCTATCCGAGACATAAGAGAAATACGGTAGACCGGCCGAGATATTGATTCTTGCCGGACGAACTACAAATTAGGGTGGGACACTAAAAAAGAAGCAGAAAGAGAAGACACGTGCAAGTGAATCAAGCTGGATGCCAGACATCGATTTTTCACATAGACTGTATGTGTAGCCTAGCGGTATGATTTGGAAATTACGTTGCTAGGAGAGCTGAATACTGTTGTCTCTGTATCACTGCAAGATGCCCTCGATGGGAGAACCGAAGCGATTGATTCTATACTCGAAACCCCACGCAGTACACATTCTGATGCTGTGCGACTTGTTTAACCGGCCTGTCTAACCCGGGACCGTGTCTAGAGTGTCCTTTCCTGTCGTCGACGGCGGCACCGAGCCCTTTTGCAGCCGCAGCTTCTCCTCGAACTTGGCAAACTCGGCCAGCGACACCTCTTCCTCCTGGTCCAGCACCTGCCTCACGACCTTGACTTCTTCGATCTGTATGTGTTAGCGCGGTGAGTAGAAAAATGGTTGGGTTTTTTTAAAAAAAAAAAAAAGGACGTACATAGTGCATCAGCATGCTCTCAATGCCGTTTTTCAGCGTCACCGTGCTGGAGTCGCACGTCCGGCATGCGCCCCGTAGCTTAAGCAGCACCTCGCCGTCCTCGAAGCCGCGAAACTCAATGTCGCCGCCGTCCTCCTGGATGGCCGGTCGGATCCGCGTCTCCAGCAGCTCCTTGATCATGCCGACGACCTCGCTGTCGTTCTCGTTGTATTGTAGCGAGTCCTCGTGCACTGCTTCTGCCTCGGCACCCTCGCCGTGCGTCCCGTCGACGCCCTCGGCCCCGGCGCTGCCTGTCGCTGACGGCCGCACGATCGCCTGGCCCGACGTGATGGCCTCGGTGATGAGCGCAAACACCTCAGGCCGAATATGCGCCCAATTGGCGTCGGTCGCCTTGGTCACCGTGATAAAGTCGCTGCCGTAGAACACGGCCGTGACGCCATCGACGTTCATCAGCTGTGCCGCCAGCGGCGACGGGTACGGCGGCGCGATCGTGGCCCGCGGGCTGAGGTATTCGATGAACGGCGAGGCAATCCCCTCCGGTAGCACCTGGTGATTCGGCAGAAACTTGATTGCGTCCGCGTTCGGCGTGCTCTCGGTCTGGATGAAGATGGTGCGACGGCCGCGGCCCCCGAGAGCCCACCAAGGCTGAGAGGAAGAGGCTGAGGCCAAGGCTGAGGCCGAGCTGAGCATATGCGGCCGTCTCGGCGACGCGGACGGGGAGGAGTAGGAGGAGTAGGAGTGCGATGCGGGGGCGGATGCGTGGTAACGACGCAGACACGGCGGCCGCATCGTCCTGTTCGGCGAGGCCGTCGACAGAGTCGCAGAGGTCACTCGAGGCACCTGTCGACAAAATGTTGGCCGACGAGGCATGAACGTCGCCATGGCTGTGGCAGCAGCCGAGGCTGCCGTTATTCGTGTGAGACCGGTCTTGGCCATGATTGCTGTCGGGCGAGAGACCGTATTTGTGCAATGTCGATGGCAAGAAAAGCCGGAATTGCATCTGCGGTATCAATGCTTTAGTAATATGCTATGGCCGAGAATTACCGCCACTCGGCACTGCTGACAAAACACTGGGCCGGGAACTGCGTTTACGGGTGATGTGATTGGCGGCCAGAGCCCGAGCTGGCCAATGGCGGGGTCGGGACAAAATTAGACTCGTCGTCATAGGGGAGGAAAAAAGAGCACGAAGGCGATAGTGCATGTCTGCTGGCAAATAGCAGAGCTGGGGTGGATCAGTTCTAGAAAAACTACAAATACAACTTTTCTCAGCTTGAATTACTAGGCGGCAAGCGGCTTGTGTTACGAAAACATTACACGCTTCGTGTGAGAAACGCATGATATTACATTACCCGGTAGCACTTTCATTTACTGCTGCAAACGCCCTTCTACCTGGTAAGATACTGTCCCTACTCTATACGGAGTAGTGCAAGCAAGCTCCGTTTGGGCGTCATCTCTGAGTCATCCAATAGATAGGGTTTGATAAGACTGAGATCTGTAGTTATATCTAGCTATGTCAGCAATATTTCTTAGTCTTTTATTTTCGTCTTCTTATCGTCCTTTTCCCTTATAAACAGAACACAACAAATGACTCGACAGTTCCACGAGCAAGAGACCGGACCAGAAGCTTCTTTCTTCGTCTCTCCACTGCTCTTCCACATACCCTCCCAGAACAGCATCATGACCGCCTCCCTCGACAAGGTGCCCTCGCCAGAGCAAGCCGGAGTGGACGAAACCGGCGACGCTGCACTGCCCAACGGGAAGCACCAAGCGCCCCAGAACGAAGACGACAAGGGCGAGGTCTCGTCCGAAACAGCTACAGAGTCTTCCGAAGTGCCGGCCACCAAGCGCCGCACGCTCTGTGGTGTGTGCCACAACGAGGCGGCCAAGTACAAGTGTCCCCGTTGCTCGCTGGCCTAGTACGTGTAGTGTCCTGCTCTGGGCCTGGCTCCTGCTCCGCCCTGCTTGCTGACCTCGAAACAGCTGCTCCGTTGCCTGTTCCCGCACTCACCGCGACAGCCACCCGCCAGAGAACGACGACATCGTCACCGCTCGTACCGCTACGACTGCTGCCATTTTCCCCACACCGACAGCACCTCAGACCAGGCGTCACCCCTTTAGCGTGCTCGACGATTCAGTGGAGCTGAAACATCTGTTCTCCAAATATCCCCACCTTCAAGCCCGCCTGCGGGCCATCTACGAGGCCACGTTGCCGCCGGCATTACGACAGAACCAAAACGAGCAGCAGGGGCCTTCTTGGGAGGCATCCTCGCGGGGCCGGGGCCGTGGCGGCTACCGCGGTGGTGGTCGTGGTGGCGGCGGCCGCGGCGGCAGCCAAGCAGGCCCAGCTCCCCGGCTCGACCAGCCATGGACGACAGAGCTTGGCCTACGGCAGGGTCAGAAGGCGCTGCGACGGGCCCGTATTGACCCCGGGGAGGACGGTGACAGCGTCCGCGAATACTGCGAGCTGGTGACGTACCTGCTGGCCAGAGGAGAGGACGACAAGAACGCGGCAGCTGCGGCGGCGGTAAATAACCTTACGGCCAGCGATGCTGCTACCGCATTGGTGCAAAAGGAAGTCTTTCAAGGAGACGTTTCTCTCATCAAACGACTCTTAGAAACCGACGGAGACCATTGAAAAGAAAAGAAAGAAAGCTTATGCCACCCTTGATTAAATTAATTCATTTTGGCCTCGGCCATACGTCTGGTACTAATTTCTGGGAGCTTTGGAACTTCCACACTATGGACGGAAAAAGACACAATGCGAGGTATGTCATGCAGATCTCGAACACTTCATTATTTATTACATCCCCCTCCACCTTTAGATATATTCCGCCCGTCTCTCCCCCTGCTCTTGCTGATTCGAATGCTTGAACAGGGAAAATATTGCACTCTTCGGAGACTTCAGGGACTTTGGAGAGGTCTTGACCCTGGACGAAGTCGAAAACGAAGATGGCGGTAGCACTGAGCTCGACTGCTGTGCAGGTGGCGCGCCTGTGGAGATCTTGAAGCCTTCTCCAAGAGCTGGATTCGTTTGATGCCTCTCCTTGGAATAGTTTTCCAGGCGGTGTCTAATCGACCATATCGACTTGCTTTGTCGCACGCTCGCGGGTTCGGCCTCTTGTGGCTGCTGATAATGTGGCTGCGACGCAGCCGCGTCTCGCTGGGTCCAATCAACACGGTGCTCGTTCGCAATCTGCGGATCCACAGGCATTGGTACGATCGACCAATCGATCTTTTGCTCCATGTCACCTTCTGTCTTTGCTCGATTTGAAGACTCCTGTTCTGGCGACATGATTGAGGGTCCTTTCTGGTCTCTGCTGTTGATCTTACTCATCTCTGGAGACACGGCTGTCGTGCTGTTGACCCATTCCAAGACTTTCCTATTGTGCTTGTTGCCCTTATCGCTGCCCTTGGGGAAAATGAGAGAATCTTTAAAAGCGTGCTGGGTGGCGAATGGAAGCTGGCCCTGGGGATCTGATTCTTCGGAGAAAGCATCTTTACCAGACAATGCTGGTACTGATGACACCGTGTTGTTCTCTCGATGCGGTACGGTATGGCTTCGCTGCCGGTGCAATGAGGTAGATCGCCATGGGCCAGAGACTGTCGTTGTTGTAACAAACTGCTGAGCTGCTTGTTGGGGCACGTACGGCTGTGAGAGGCCAAGGGGGGCCGGATCTGTGTTAGCAGCGACCGCAGATTTGGAAGAAGAAGGCTCGCATATGTGGCGAGCTACAGATGGCTGGGATGAGATGGGCTCAGGAGCGCTCAACTGTGACATGTGCAAAATTCGCATCTTGGCGACCAGCTCGATTTGTGCCGTTTCTGTTGACGGCAATCGGTCGAAGGTGTCAGTGATCGTCCTGATGCTGACAAGATTGTCCGAATTCATGGCGCCAGCTGCGGCGAGCGCCTCTGTCCTCTGTTGCTGGACAAAGACGACATGAAGACGACGCGACAGCTCAATGGGATCCACGGGCTGGCTGCGTCTCCTCTGTGCTCTCGACCTCCGGGGACCAGGCTGGACGGGTACTGTCTTCTGTGAAGGCGGCTTCAATTGTTGCCAATGTGGCAACGTTTCCATGGTGGCTGTTGTGTTCATACTGCAGCGCATGCCTTGAATGCAGGTAATCGGAGGATAGAGCCGAGGGATGGGGGAGACAATAGACATGTGGAGTGGAAATGTGGTTGAGCGGACAACAGACGGACGAGAGAGGCTCCTTTCCCCATAAGGCCAATGCCGCCGAGCAACCGGGTTTGGTGTTGGAGGAATATATATATATATATGGAAGGAGAACAAAAATAAGTTCCTTCTGGCGACCGGAAGTGAGTATTATGTATAAATGCATGAGAGGCTCCAGAGCTCAGACCAAACTAGCAAGGAAGGAGCAGGGTATCGAGAGGCAGAATCCGCATTATCGGCTTTGCATACTAGCAAGGGCGGCCCACACCGCGTGGAATGGATAACGGCAAGATGGTTAGCCTAGTCCCTGGAGGGCATACGTGCATAATCTCCAAAATGTGGAAAAGAAAAGCCGGAACAGGAGAGGGACAGAGGGCGTAGTAAAGCTAGAAAATGTATTAGCAAGAGAGGGGGCACGAGACAAACGCAAACTGCCGCCGGCGTTTGTCGGAAGCTTTGCCGTGACAGAAAGGTTACTTGGTGGACGGAGGTGGGGATCGTCATGCTGTGGGAAGATGAGGGTACATCCAAAGCGGATCGGAACAGCGCAGCGCCGCAAATGTCTACGACATACGACACACTGGCAAGCCACGAACCGGCAGGACGAGACACGGAATAGAGAGGTATGGTGGCAATCATATCGATGTTGGGCTTGCAGAGGTCCATCACCCGACAGCTTGTGTTCGGCCCTAAGCGAAATTGGGATAGTCTCTACGACGACAGAAGCGGACTAATGTACGAGTATGAGTGAGGGCATTTTGTGTTTTTTTTTGAATAGCATGAGAGGATTGCGGGGCAAGTGACATGCGGGCGGTGAGCCACGTGATGGCTATTAGGCATGTTAGCGTTGGGCTGGACCAGAATGAAGAAGACATTGCACGTAAATTGTCGGCAGAGGTTTGCGAAGGTCCATGTTCCGGCAATAAGCTGCATTAGTCCTCGAGGACTTTGTTCAGGGGCTATGTGTAGATCACGAGAAGTACCGGTCAAGAAAGGACCGCGGCTTTCATATACTCGAAACCGTACAAAGCACGGAGTACGTCGCATTCGTCAAGGCATGATGTACTCCGTATGGGCTTTGTTGTCAGTGGAAACAAGGTGGCGATGCCAGACTCCTGGACCAATGGAATGATACCTACGAAAGGGACCCGTTGCGAGAGAATGGGGGCTGACGACTTGTTTGTTTGCAGCTCTTTGAGCGGTCCCCACGACGTCGAGACAAGAACTGACCGAAACGACGCATTACTGAGGACGTGCTGGATTTGGCAAGGTTAATACTTACTGTCTTTAGCGTATCTCGTGATTGGAATGTACATACATAGTGGAGTAATCTCGATAAGATAAAGTTTTTTCTGCCATTCTTAAATTTTTAGAAGCACAGATTGTTTCGACCTCCGGGCAACGCAAATACAGAGCGTGGATCTGTAGAACTTCAGACCCAGTAAGAGAGACGCCACAATGTCGTCATCCATGCGAAACGCCGTCCAGCGGCGCTCCCATCGTGAGCGTGCGCAGCCGCTGGAGCGGAAGCGGCTTGGCCTGCTGGAGAAGCACAAGGTAGGCATGACGAAACTGCTGTGTGCCAGGTGCCAGCTGAGACTCTTGTTGAACGTCTTAAGTGCTAACGATTGCTTCAAGGACTACGCACTCCGTGCCAAAGATTGGTCGAAAAAGAAAGCAGAACTCCAGCGGCTTCGCGAGAAGGCGGCCGAACGTAACGAGGATGAGTTCTCGTTCAAGATGTTGTCACGCCAGGGCCCGAGCTCTGCGCTGATGCGCGGCAGCGACGAGAAGCGGGCGCGGAACTGGGACGGCACAACCCTTGGAAAGCGCGAGGGAAAGACTTTGTCGATGGACACGGTGCGGCTGCTCAAGACGCAGGACGCGGGCTATATCCGGACGGTGCGGAATGTGGTAGCCAAAGAGGTGCAGGCTCTAGAGGAGCGGGCAGAGACGGCACGGTCGTTTGTGGGGCGGGGGCTGAACGAAAACGAGGAGGAGGACGGGGACGACGAGGACGCCGAGGTTCTGACCAAGGCCATGCTGAAGGCGAAGCGAAAAGCCAAGATGACCGGCACCAAGATTGTTTTTGCCGAGACGGCAGCGGATCGCGACACGGCCATGGTGGAGGATGAAGGGGACAAGGAGGACGAAGCGGAGGACGAGGACCAGACCAAGGGCGAGGACTCCAAAGAGAGCGACGCACAGCGCAAAGCCGAGATGGCAGCGCGGCTACAACGACGACTGGCAACGGCACGAATGCGGCTCAGAGCACTGACGGAAGCTGAGCAGGAGCTGGACATGCAGCGGGCACGCATGGCCAAGACGGCGACGGTGGACGTGATCACGCGGACAGGGAAGCGGATCAAGATGCGGGAGCGGAAGCGGTGAGCCGGTGGCGGAGCGAGGGCATTGTATACCAGCGAAAAGCATGATGATCATAAGGAAATGGAAATACGTAAGATAATTCTAACTCTATGGACAAAGGACCCCCAAACGGTCCAGCATGCTCATGACTGCTAATGTGTGAGAAAGCCCCTATAACGCCCCAATTAATTCCGTTTACGCCGTACGCCAATGGAGCCCGCGTCCGGGGAAAGAGCGAATGAGAGAAAGGGCAGGTGCAGACGAGCGCGCAGAACAGGAACGCAGAGCAGGAGCACAGAACAGGAAAGTACAAATAATACATAGCCGACCTAGTGACAGGAAGCAGGCCAACCAGGGAGCAAAACTGCCCAAAAAAATAATGACCGAATCTCACAGCTTCTCGTTCGTGATGCAACGGAAGAGCGTGCTGACGATGGCGATGACGGCGCGCACAGCGATGGAGACGCACCAAAAGCAGAACTTGAGCAGAGCAGCGATGAGGCGGAAACAGCCGGGCATCTTTTCGTCGTCGTCAACCCGCCGGCGCCTGTTCTTTTGGCGTGACTTGTTTCTGGCGGAGCTGCTGAGCTCAAACGTCTTGCCGGCCAGGTCGATGCTGGTCTGGCTCTCGAGGTCGAGGTCGAGCTCCTCCATGCGGCCGCGCTTCTTCCCGTGCTTCTTGTCCTTGCTCTTCTTGCTGCTGCCGTTGTTGTCGCCGCCGACGGGGCCGACTAGGTTGCTGAGCCGGCTGGAGCTCCTGTGGCCGACGGCAGCAACAGCACCGCTCACGACGAAATTGACGAGGCTGCTGCCGCTGCCGGCGGTGCCGCGAGCGGTGGCCGAGCCAAAGGACGGACGACCGGGGGGGATGCCGATATCAGCGGGGGGCGGCGGCGCAAACGAGCCGACATGGGCAAAATGGTCGTCGCCATGGGCGACCAGCAGCAGGGCGGCGACAACGACGTCGACGAGGTAGGCGGCATCGATCTTGCTGGCGATGGCGGTATCGATCTCGAGCCAGCCAGCACCGGTGCCATCACGAGTCAGGCGGGCGAGATGCTGGGGCGACTCGAGATGCTCGAGCGTGTAGGCAGTGCGGCTCCACGTGGCGCTGCGCTCGATGCCGACGCAAAACGGCAGCGCCAGGACCGGGTGCACGAGAAAGAAGCGCGCCGAGTCATCGTCCCAGACCAGCCGGGCACATTCACGCTCTGCCGTTGCCACTGTTGCCGAGCTGCCGGGCTGCTCGAGTGCCATGCGCGCCGCCTGTTGTGGGTACAGCAGCGCCACGAGTCCATCGCTCGGCTGGTGTCGACGCGCCTCTTCCTCGAGCGTGGTCGTCAGCGCTGCCTGCCAGTGCTTGCTGGCGTCGTGCCGCGTGTTGGTCTTGATCTCGGCCGCCAGAGCGGCTGCAGACACGCTATTCAAGCCAGGACCAGTGCCAGATGATCGGGTGGCGCTGCCACTCCCCGACGGGACGCCCTCACCGCTCGCAGACTCGTCCAGGCTGCCCCGACGACTCCCACCGATAAGTCCTCCGGCTGCTGCTGCGGCTGCTGCCACCAGCGCATCACCACTGCTGCCACGACGGCCCCGACCGCTCTCCGGCTTGAACGGCCGCGCCGGATCGTGACGCGACAGCGTCACATACGCCGACATCGACGTTGGATCTACGCGCATCCGGTACAGCGGCTGCTGGCTCGCTGACGACAACCGGTACACCGGCGCGTCCTTGTCGCACGTCACGTGCATACAGTACACCCGCCCCTCGGAGGGCCCGGCCTTCCAGCCGTTGGCCACCTTCCAAAGGCTGCGCAGCTCCTCCGTCGTCGACGCTACCGGCAGCGTTGGTGCCTCTCGCCCGCCGCCCATTCGTGGTACCGGCAACGCCTGTCGTACCGGAGCGACGGCTGGTGGTGCTGGTGCTGGTGCTGGTGCCGGTGCTGGTTTTGGTGTTGGCGCTGGCGCTGGTACGGCTGGTGGTGGGGGAGAATACACGGTCGGCGGTGCCAGGGCTGGGCCGCTCGTCTGCAGGGTCAGATGGCGCCCATGTGGCTTCTGGCGTGGGCCCTGAGGCTGGTACAGATACGGGTATTGGTTCTGGCGCTGGTGCTGCTCGTGTGCGCTGTCCAGGTCCATCTGCTCGTGCTCCTGATCGTGATCCTGTTGCGTGGGTGAGTACAGAGGCCGGCTGATGATGCCGCGAGGGATGCGACCCGGGCTGGTCTGCGTGGGATAGTAATCCTGCTGGTCGAGTGACAGCTCGGGATTGTACTGTGGGAAGATGGAACGGAGGGCTGGCTGGCTTTGTTGTTCCTGCGGCTGTTGCTGTTGCTGTTGCTGCTGTTGCTGCTGTTGCTGCTGTTGCTGCTGTTGTTGCTGCTGCTGCTGTTGTTGTTGCCGTTGCTGTTGCTGCTCTTGTGAGAATATCCAACCATAACCTGCGGCAGCTGCCACTGACGACGGCCCCGGTAGAGGGGGCGGTGGGGAAGCGTCAAACGGTGGCGGTGCGTCAGGGTCATATATGGACAGACGCATCTTGGCGATGGAGCTGCGTGAACGGGCGCTGCCGCTGCGGACAAGCGTCTGGGTATCATACTGGACAGCCTCAGAGCGCCAGGGAACGTCAGCCACCGGGGCAGGCCGCTCTATCCGCACCTCAGCCGTGACAGCCTCGCCGACGGTCGGATTATGGTCTTGGGGCTGATCTGCGAGCGACCCGGGAGACACAGGAGAGGCGGGCGAGACGGCCTGCTGTTGCGTTCGCACGGGCTGTGATCTCGAGGGAGGCCGTCCGGTGCTGGGAAAGAGGGAGAAACCCCCGGCGGGTGGTGGTGCCGACGCGGACATGATGTCTGCTGCTGGGGCGAGATACGGAGAAGAGACGGAAGGGAGCCCTGGGCGGTGAGGTGATGCTGCGTGTTGCTGCGAGTGGACGTGCTGCCAGTGTCACCTACGCATCGGGAAACAGACAGCAGAAGGGAGAGAGGCGGGAGACGGGACGTCTGGACTTTATGAGACAGCCGTTCTCATGCGAGAGAGGAAGCAAGCAACCGGACAGAGCCGGCCAGCACGAGGACTGCTCATCGATATTTTCCCCTCGCTGCCGCCAGACTGCCGCCGACAGCCAAAGCCCACAGGCTGCATCTTCTGGCCAATGACGCCTTCTGGAAGACAGATGGGGTGTCGAATAGGGCAGCCTCCCACCATTGCCCTTCTGACCGGGTATGAGAGTTTTTTTCTTTTCCTCTTCTCTTTCTCTCTTCTCTTCGAAGCTGCAGTACGGCGTAAGCGCCGGCCAGGGGGTCGAGAATATGCGGCCTTGACAGCACAGCTGCAAGAGACGAGTAGTAGCAGGGGCACTGGTTGGGTGGTCTTGGGCCACTACGGCGTCTCCACCCGCACCTTGGCGACCGCTGGTTGGACGGACAGGGATGTTTCCAGCGGGAGCGCGGGCGACTGTGCTAATTTTGGGGTTGCTGGACTGTCCAGGCTGCAGAGGGGCCTGGCCAATGGCAGGCCGCATCACCTGTGCGCTGTAGACGCCGGGAAGGAAGGAGGGGTAGGCTGGGGAGATGGGCCTATCAGAGCGGCCCAGCCAGCTTGCCGCCCTGCAGACTAGAATAAATGCCAATTCGCCGGCTGTACGAGTTCTTTCCATGTATTATCTTACCTCTGCAACGATGCAGGCTCAACGCCCGTCTGGCACACGGCGGTCAGGACGGCCGGGGCTTCCGGCGAAGCGCTGCCAGCATCCGTGCATGTGCGAGTCAGCCCGGCGGGCGCTTCGATATGTGTGGTCTATCAATGGGCCTAGGTCTGGCCTCGGACTGTATGCAAAAGGGAAATAGCAGAACAGGCCAAAATACATGCAAAGTGTAAAAGATCGCGATCTATGTGTCCTCTCGGTTCCTTGGGTGTGTTTTCTCTTTTGTTGGGATACCTGGGTAGATGTCTCCATGGCCGTCGACTATTCTTCCTCCTCACTCGGCTCGTCCTCGTCATCCGGCTTGTCCTGCTGGAAGATGGCGACCTCGGCGAGCTGCAGACAGCGGCGGACGGGCAGGCCGACGACATTGTCGACGCTGCCCTCGATGTGGTCGACGAGAAGCAGGCCGCCGACGCCCTGGAGGGCATAGCCGCCAGCCTTGTCGGCGCCCTCGCGCGTGCGGACGTACGCATCGATGACGTCGTCGGTGAGGCCGTCGGCCTCGCTGACAAACCAGACTTTGGTCTCCTCGGTGTGGGCCTGGATGCAGTAGCCGGGATGAGCGGCGTCGCGCCGCGGACTGAGCACGCAGACGGCCGTGAGCACCTGGTGCACGCGCGTGTCGCGGAGATGGCGGAGCATCTTGGCATGTTCGGCGGCCGACCGCGGCTTCTCGACGATCTGGCCGGCGCGCGACGCGATGACGGTGTCAGCAGCGATGACGAGCTCAGGGTCGCGGACATCGCCATGGGCAGCAGCCGTCACAGCATTCGCCTTGGTCGCGCCCGCGGCCACGGCCTCCTCCTGGGCCACGAGCGCCTCCTGGTACACGTGCATGCACTTGCGGCGAGCCGTCGCGGCCACGTACTCAAACGGCCCATACACCGCCTTGGGCAGGTCCTCGGGCGCCGTCGACGGCCAGATCTCCAGGTGTGCCAGCCCGATCTGCGCCAGAAGCGACCGCCGCCGCGGCGAGGCTGACGCCAGGATCACCCGGTGCGTCCGCAGGTGGTGCAGGATCGGCAGGCTCATCGGTGGCGGTGCTGGCAGCAGCGACCGTCGCTGCGACAGCGTCCGCGCGTGCGATGGCCCCGGCGACGTCCTCTGTGCTGCTGTCGGTCCCGCCAAGGGCCCGAGACCAGATCCCACCGGTGACGCGCCCGCAAACATCGACATCGGCCGGGCGGTTGGCCGCGTCGTGCTGACCGCCGAGTATTCGGGCGGCGCGTCGGCAAAGCCAGACGCTGCCGCCGGTGCCGCCACCGCAATGGCCTCTTTCTCGCTCATCGTGTGTCCAGAAAGTCAGAAATCCAAGACGGCTGGGTCGGTGCGGGACAGCTCGGTCGCGGTAAGCTGATGCGGTTGGGCTGTGTGGACGTGTGTGAGAAGAGAAGCTCAGGAAGCTCAGGAAATAGGAGACTTGCTGAGACGCTATCAATTAGGGGTGCTTACATATACCAAGTCCCCGCCCGAATGCCCAGACGCATACGTACGACGTAGTCAGGGCCTGTCTGGTTTAGTGGGTCGACCCCAGCATTTTCGTAGAGCCCCTCCCCGCTGTTTTTCCGTTTAGTGGACGCATCATCACATGCCAGCTGGCCCTCTCACCAGGACGCGACGAGACAGCCGCAATCCAAAGGAAAACCAGAAGAAAAAGAAATGTCGTCGCCGCGAGCGTCATCGCAAGGAGAGTTTGATGCCAATGGTGCTGCCATTGACGACCGGCCGCGGCTGACGGAAGACGAGAAGAAGCAGAACCACATTGCGTCAGGTAAGAGAGAGAAAGATACGACAACGAGAGGAAGCACAAAGACGACAAGACTGACGGCCGGCCAGAACAAAAACGTCGACAGGCTATTCGTGATGGATTTGACCGCCTGACTGAGCTGGTGCCCGGGCTGCAGGGCCAAGGCCGATCCGAGGGGCTGGTGCTGAAACGCACCGTCGACTTTATCCGGGCCAATCTGGATGAACGCCAGAAGCTGATCCGGCAGGTTGAGGCCAAGGGCGGCAAGGTCGAGGACTACCTGCGGGTGTGAGGGAGAGGAAGAGGGGGCGGAGTGTTTGTGTTTCTATGGATCAGAGTCGTGATACTCTCTTCTTTATTTCTTTATTTTTATTTTTATTTTTATTTTTATTTTTATTTTTCTCTACTCTGCATCTATTGGTACGTGCTCGCCTTTTGCAGCAACAGCGCCAGCAATTCCTCCGGCTTCATGTCGACCGACTTCGTCGACCGTTCTGCCTGCTCCTGGACGGGGATGCCCGACAGGTCGACGGCGACAGTGCCGCGCGCCACGTCCTTGGGTCCGACGACCACGACGGCCCCGTAGCCCTTGGACCGGGCCTCGCGCACCTTGAGGGGCAGCGTGCGTGCGCTATCGTCGAGGTCGACGGCGGCGAGCAGCGTCGGCGCCGAGAGGGACCCGAGCGGGACGTCCTGCGTCTCGGCGGTGCCGTTGAGGACGGCCTGCACGTGACGAGCAAAAGCGACGACGGGCTCGCTGTCGTTGACGGTGAGGACGGCGACCTGGCGCGGGTTGAGCCAGAAGGGCCAGCGGCCGTCGTAGTGTTCGATGAGGAGGGCCATGAGGCGCTCGACCGAGCCGAGGACGGCGCGATGGATGAGAACCGGACGCGCAGCTTCGACTTCGGCTTTGGTCTTGGGCACCGCCTCCTGGTACGTCAGCGCAAAGCGCTTCGGCAGCTGAAAGTCGAGCTGCACGGTGGCCGTCTGGTGCTCCTTGCCGTCCGAATCGCGCAGGACGACGTCGATCTTGGGCCCGTAAAAGGCGCCGTCGCCCGGGCTGACCGTCCAGGCAGAATGGCTGTGGTCGAGCGCGCGGCGGAGCGCATCCTCGGCCGCGTCCCAGTCGTCGGCCGTGCCGATGAGATGGCCGTCGAGCGGCCGCGTCGACAGCACCAGCCGGTAGGGCCCCAGGCCGAGGACGTCGTACGTGTGGCGCACAAAGTCGAGCGTCGCGCGGATCTCGGCCTCGACCTGATCCGGTCGGCAGAACACGTGACCGTCGTCTTGGTGAAAGCGCCGGACGCGCGTCAGCCCGCTGAGCGCGCCCGAGAGCTCGTCGCGGTGCAGCGGACTGAAGTCGGCGTACCGGATCGGCAGGTCGCGGTAGCTGTGGCGCTGCGCCGCAAAGATGAGGCAGTGTCCCGGACAGTTCATCGGCTTGAGGCCGTACTCGTCCTCCAGGTCCTGGGGACCTGGAGTCGCGCCTCCTTCGCCCCGCCGCTCGCCTGTCGCCAGCGACGCGCTCGTCACCGTGAACATGTCGTCCGCATAGTTCTCCAGGTGACCCGACTTGGCCCACAGGGCCTTCTTGTAGATGGTCGGCGTGATGACCTCCTGGAAGCCGTAGCGCACGTACTGCTTGCGCAGAAAGTCCACCAGCCGGTTGAAGACGCGCGCGCCATTGGGCAGAAAGATTGGCGACCCAGGACTGTAGATGGACGTCGTGAAGAGCTCCTGCTGCACCCCGAGATCGCGGTGGTCGGGCGGCGTTTTGGGTGGCGGCCGCGGCCCTGCCGCGTACTGGCGGAGCAGAGTACCAGCGACAGGACCGGAAACAAAGCGCGGCCGTGACCAGGACCAGCTTGACCGAGGGACAGACGGTGAACGACCGGCAGAGCTGGACCACCGACGAGAGGAAGCCGGAAACTCGAGTCGGTGCGGGACGGACGCTCGCAAGGTTGCAGCCCCACGCCGAGAAGCAAGCATGGCGCTTCTGCTGTCTGCAAGGCCGAGCAGTTCTCGTACTCGAAAAAAACCGACAGGAAACGGACGACGGGGACGCGCGCGAGCTGCTGGTCGGCTCTTGTCGATGTTTTTTCGACAGCCGTTGAAGTCGGAGCTGAATGGACCACTACTTCTGGGACCCACTTCCAGACAGGTGACTGGCGCCTGCACGCTAGACGCACTGGCCTGATTGCCAGGTCACGCGGCACCGTCCCAATGATCCTCTCTCTTATCGTCTTATCTGCCCGTCACTCGTCCGTCACCGAGAGTCCGTCCCCCCCTCCACATCTTGTGACCCAAAAGCACAAACCCCCCCCAGCCCCCCGGTCAAAGCCCGTGTTCAAGGCTGCCGTGCTATTCTTCACGCATGCAGTCCACCGATGATGTGACTCAAAGCCTTTCGCTTTCTTCGTGTGCGCTCGCTCTGTCTGCCTCTGCTTCTGGTTGAGACGGCATCGCATCAACAAACAAGGACGCGTCACGGCTGAATATATCTCCATATCTTATTGCGGCGCATCGCGCTCTGTCGCCGCACTTGTCGCATTTGTCGCAATTGTCGCACTTATTGTCCTATATACATTGAACTCGCACAGTTTTCCATCTTGACTCTATCTTGCATCGTGCACCTGCTCGTCATTGCGTATCGTTTACAACTTAACATCTTTGCTATGCCTGCCACCCTGGCGGTCGAGAGCTCGTGGCGGATGGTGGACGGCGAGCACGACAGCTTCGACACGTCGGTCGTGCCCCTCGAGGACGACCTGTTTCTTTCGAGCGGCCAGCCGTCGCAGGAGTCGCAGGAGTCACAGGAGTCGCAGGACGACGACATCCAGACGTTTCTGCGCCGCGCTGAGGATGACGACGACGACCCGCGCGTGCTGCTGCGGTCGCCCTTCCAACCGTCGCTGCCGTCGTCGGTGCGGCAGAGCCCGCTGGCCAGCGGCTGCAGCGGCCACAGCAGCAGCAGCAGGACCGACCGCCTCGACCACCAGGCTTATCGCACGCCTGAGCCGGAGTTCCACATGCCCAGTGTGGATGTGGGCGTCAATCACAGGGGCAGTCCTGCACAGAGAGACAGGCCGTCTAGCCACTGCAGCAATCAGACCGTTTTAACCGCAGCTACAGCAACTAACGCCACTACTAAAACTACTACAATTACCACAGCTAAAACTACAACTACAACCTCGTCACCCAAAACCACTCTTCGCCTCCCGTCTGTCGCCCTCTTCGTCGCCGTCCTCGTCGGCTGCGGCACCCTCTTTGGGCCCGGGGGGCCAGCCAACAGCACGGCGCGGTCAATCTACGCAGAGGCCGTGGTGCCCACGTGCAGCATCCCGGCCGTAGCCTGGCTCAACCTGGACGTCTGTGCCCCGGCAAGAACTGTAGCTGAGTCAAGGGCGGGTCCGGCGCTGGTTGAGAACGCCATCGACAACTCGACCACCCACGACGACGACAGAAGGGTTGGCGTTCGCAAGAGCGGTCCTACGTGGAGGCCCCGTGGCAGCCAGGACACGAGCAGCAGCAGCAGCAGCACCGACAGAACCAGCAGGACCAGCAGAACCAGCAGAACCGACTCCGGCAGTCTCTCACGCGATGCTAGCAAACTGATGCGCGTGCAGACACAAGTGGCGGCCGTGGTGCGCGACCATGTGGCGGCAAGCCAGGCATCTGGCGGGACGACCGCCCAGGAGACGTGGCTGCTGGCGCGGGCACGCACCAAAGACCTGAGGTTGGCCCTGCAGGCGGCCCAAAGCCGGCGATCGACGGCGGCGGTGATGGCACCATCATCGGCCGTGCCACCGTCAACGTCGACGCCATTACCCAGTCGTGAGGCGCTCCTGCTGCTGGAGCTGGACGAGTACCTGGAGGCAGCCAAGGGGGTATCGTTGGCGCTGGCGCGCTTCCAGACCGGCGCGGGGGCGATGGCAGCTGACACGTTGGCACACGCGACGCGGCGGACGCTGGTGCAGCTGCGACGGATGGGACAGACGGGCAAGGTGGGAAGGATAGAGGGAGAGGGCGAGATGGAAGGAGAGGAGAGCTGGCTGCCACGGATGTTGAGGCTTGGCTCTTCGGGCTCGTCCGCCAGGAAGAGGTCTGGCAGCAGCAGCAGCCGGCACGCCCTGGTCGAAGCGTACCGGCGACACGCAAACACGCTGGTGACGAAGACGGGCTGCCGGGTGAACGAGGCCGAGGCGGTACTGACAGCTCTCGAGGCAGCGGGCATGCATCTGGAGGCGGTGCAGGCAGTAGTGGCGGGTCGACTCGACGAGCTGACAGGGGTGTCTCGGGCGGAGGCAACCGGCCCAGACCGAGACCGAGACCGAGAAGCAGACACAGACGCAAACGTGCTCTGGCGGTTGCTGGGAGCCATGCTTCGGAGTGCGGTCGGATCGGCGACCGACAAGGCGTCCCGGGCTCTTCAGCAGTGGGAAGAACACGCGGCACAGCTGCAGACGGTGCGGGAGCGACACGACGCGACGGTGCGGCAGACGAGCAAGGTGCTAGACGAGCTGGCAAGCCTGCGAGGCACGCTGCAGCAGCTGCAGGGTCGGTTTGCGGGAGAGGACTCAAGGCCAGATTTGGGGCACTTGGGACTGGACTTGCGGCTGCACATGGACATTATCGAGGCGGGGATCGAGGATCTGGAGATGGTGTACAGAGGGTGACGAGGTGTTTGCATTGTGTGTATGGGTTTTGCTGATCAGCAAGCGATCAAGGCGTTGAGGATGAGCTGCAAGGTAGGGAAAGCTGTATAGTAGCTGTATAGTAGCTGTCTGGAATTTATTGGTATTAACGGAAGCCGGCGACAGCCAGGCTGAGATAAGAAGGAACGAGGCGCCAAGTGTGACAGCGGGCTTATCAGGAAAGAGCACTGCGGGGTGGCTTAGATACGTACGAATACTAGAATCGGAAGCTCTTCTCACCTTCTCACCAACACAACCAGACGTGACAAGATGCATCTCATTCCCAGAGAGGTGGACAAGCTTGTGATCTCGCAGCTCGGATTCGTGGCGCAGCGACGGCTGGCGCGCGGGTTGCGGCTGAACCACGGCGAGGCAGTGGCGCTGATTGCGAGCAACCTGCAGGAGCTGATCCGCGACGGACGACACAGCGTGGCAGACCTGATGGCGATAGGGGCGACGATGCTGGGACGGCGCCACGTGCTGCCGTCGGTGTGCTCGACGCTGCGCGAGATCCAGGTGGAAGGCACGTTCCCGAGCGGGACGTACCTGGTGACGGTACACGACCCGATCAAGACAGACGACGGCGACCTGGCCCAGGCGCTGTACGGGAGCTTTTTGCCGGTGCCAGACGCGAGCCTGTTTCCGCCACAAGCAGCGGAGGAGTACGAGGCAGCGGCACAGCCGGGCGCGGTGGTGGTGGTGCGGCAGCAGGCGGGCGAGACGACGAAAGCGCTGCCGATGCTGCGGCTGAACGAAGGCCGAGCACGAGTCCGACTGGCGGTGACCAACGGCGGCGACCGACCGGTGCAGGTGGGCAGCCACTACCACTTTATCGAGACGAACGCACAGCTGCAGTTTGACCGGCTGGCAGCGTACGGGTTCCGGCTGGACATTCCGGCCGGCACGTCGGTACGATTTGAGCCAGGCGACACGCGCACGGTCACGCTGGTGGCCATTGGCGGAAAGCGGGTAATTCGCGGCGGCAACAACCTGGCGTCGGGGCCAGTGGACCTGTCGCGGGCCGAGGCCATCGTGGCGAAGCTGCAGGAGGCTGGATTCGCCCACGCCGGCGGGACGGCCGAGCCGCTGGGCGACCTGGGCACGACGGTCTTGGATGGGGCACAGATGAGCCGGGCAGCATACGCGGCCATGTTTGGGCCGACGACGGGCGACCTCGTGCGGCTGGGCGCGACAGCGCTGTGGGTGCAGGTAGAGCAGGACCTGACGGCAGCACACGGCCGCGGCGACGAGTGCAAGTTTGGCGGCGGCAAGACGCTGCGCGAGGGCATGGGCCAGGCATCCGGACGGGCCGACGCCGATTGTCTGGACCTGGTGGTGACCAACGCACTGGTGCTGGACTGGACGGGCATCTTCAAGGCCGACATTGGCATCAAGGGCGGCGTGATCGTGGGTCTGGGCAAGGCTGGCAACCCGGACGTGATGGACGTGTCGCCGGCCTGCATGGTTGTCGGCAGCTGCACAGACGTGGTGGCGGCCGAGGGACGGATCGTGACGGCCGGCGCGGTCGACACGCACATCCACCTGATCTGTCCGCAGCAGGCACAAGAGGCGCTGGCGGCCGGGGTGACGACGCTTTTGGGCGGCGGTACGGGGCCGAGCGCGGGCACCTCGGCGACGACGTGCACGCCGGGCGGACACTACATCCAGCAGATGCTGCAGGCCGTCGACGGACTGCCGGTCAACGTGGGGATCACGGGCAAGGGCAACGACAGCGACGAACGGGCACTGCGCGAGCAGGTAGCAGCAGGTGCATGCGGGCTGAAGCTGCACGAGGACTGGGGCTCGACGCCGGCAGCGATCGACGCATGTCTGCGGGTATGCGAGGAGACGGACGTGCAGTGTCTGATCCACACGGACACGCTCAACGAGAGCGGTTTTGTCGAGAGCACGGTGGCGGCGATCGGCGGCCGGACCATCCACACGTACCACACCGAAGGAGCCGGCGGCGGCCACGCGCCCGACATTATCAGCGTGGTCGGGCTGGCCAACGTGCTGCCGTCGAGCACGAATCCGACGCGGCCGTACACGCGCAACACGCTGGACGAGCACCTGGACATGTTGATGGTGTGCCACCACCTGTCGCGGGCCATTCCCGAAGACGTGGCCTTTGCCGAGTCGCGCATCCGGGCCGAGACCATCGCGGCCGAGGACGTGCTGCACGACCTGGGTGCCATCAGCATGCTGAGCAGCGACTCGCAGGCCATGGGTCGCTGTGGTGAGGTTGTGCTGCGCACCTGGAACACGGCTCACAAAAATCGCCTGCAGCGCGGCCGCCTGCCCGAGGATGCCGCCACCGATGCCGACAACTTTCGTGCCCGCCGCTACGTCGCCAAGTACACGGTCAATCCGGCCGTCGCCCAGGGCATGGCTCATCTCGTCGGCAGCGTCGAGACCGGCCGCCTCGCCGACCTCGCCGTCTGGGATCCCGCCTGGTTCGGCGTCAAGCCGGCGCTCGTCCTCAAGAGCGGCCTCATCGCCTGGGCCCATATCGGCGACCCCAACGCTTCCATTCCCACCGTTCAGCCCGTCCTTGGTCGCCCCATGTTCGCTCCCCTCGTCCCGGCCGCCTCCGTCGCCTTTGTCAGCCAGGCCAGCATCGACAACGGCCGCGTCGCCTCCTACGGCCTTCGCAAACGCGTCGAACCCGTCCGCCGCTGCCGCGCCCTCACCAAGAACGACATGCGCCTCAACGACGCCCGTCCCGATGTCAAGGTCGACCCGGAGGCGTACACCGTCTTGGCCGATGGCCAGCCGTGCATGGCTGCTCCGAGTGAGACCTTGCCGCTGACTCAGCAGTATTTCGTGTACTAGTGGTTGTGTTGTGGTTGTATACTCTGGTGTATGGCTAGTATTGTTGATCTCGTTGAAAAGCGACCTCCGACTGAATGCAAATCTAAACGAATCATCACTGATCAACACGCTACAACATCAATAGTCAAAATCATTGGTATAACACCTATTTTGCTCAGACAGCTCCTTCCCAGACTCCTGCCCGCTCCTGCCCATCTTGCTTTTGTCTCTCCTTCTCCCAGAAACATACACGACAAAACCAAAGCAGATCGTAAACCAGCAAACCCCAGTCGTCCCAAGCCAGAGAGAGAAAGAGAGAACTCGGTAAAATCCCATACCCGCAACAGCGCAGACGCATCGAAATCGCCATCAGACAATAAGAAATAATTGAAAACAATGCCACAAACCAGTTTCGCCGCCTCACACGCCGTCGCCCCAAGCCTTGTCGCTTGCTTGCTGTCACCGTCCGTCTTGTTGCTTCCGTCTTCCGTTTTCCGTCTTCCGCCTTCATGGCTGCTCTGCTCCAGACTGCCGTCCGGCTCGGCCAGTCCGCACGCCCTCCATCACCCCTCCTCTCCCCGTCTCCTCCTCGCAGAGAATAAAGACACAAGATAATTGTACAGGCAAGAGGAAGCCGAGGCCGCAAAGAGTGTCATGGATCGGGCATGTGCATACGTGTATGCAAGCAGGATCGGGTGCGTGACAGACAGGCTAATCGCGTCCCGTCACTTTCATTTCAGACTCTGAAGAGAGCAGGATCAATATTTGGATCAGCAACAAGAACATCCGAGAACGCCTAACCGCTCTTAGCCTTCTTGCGTCCGGACTTCTTGGGCTCTGGCTCTTTCTCCTCAGTTACCTTGGAGGGTCGCTTGCGCTTCTTGTCGGGGCTGGCCGGAGTCGCCACCTCTGCTTCTGCACCAGGAGTCGCCGTCTTCCGCTTTCCAGTCACCTTCTTCGCTGACTTGGGCGTCTTGGCTGCCGGCTGCTCCTCTTCCTCTTCCTCTTCCTCCTCCTCGACTGGGCCAGCCTGGAGCTGCTCCGCAATCGCCTCTTGGTCGTTGCTGGTGTCCACCTCCTTGCTAGTCGGCATCGGGATGTGAAACTCATCGGCATACCTCAGCGCCTCCTCGTCCGTCATCAGACGGGCGTTGCCATTGCCAGACTTATACGAGTGCACCCGTGCATTGTACAGCCGCAGGTTGTATTGGTATGCCCGGTCCCAGCCCTGGCCAATTAGTATGAGACAGACAGAGAGGCGAAGATAAAGAGACAAAGCACTTACACCCTTGTCGTGCGCGTTCATCGTGCTCCACCGACGCTGGCCCTCCTCCTGGACGGCACCTTTCGGCGCCTCCACCCCCAGATCGTTGGCAATGATAGGGCGTGCCGTCTGCATGTACAGGAAGTACGGCGTCAACGGTCGCTTAGGTGCGTTGGGGTCGTGTGTGCGCTTCTTCCGCTCCTTCTTCTCCTCAACCGCCGGCTGCGCTACAGCAGCCATCGGCTGCAATAGCGGGCCGGGGTTCGGCAGCAGGTTGATGGCATTCTCAAACCCTGCAAACTCGGCCGGCTGCTCCAGGTTGGTGCCCTCACCAAGGAGGAGGTTGGTCTGGCGCAGGTAGTCCGTCGAGAACGTCTTCAACAGGTCCTGGATGGTAGACAGACGTGCATATACCTGAAGCAAGTTAACAACCGTACTGCTTTGTCGTTGTCGGTCTTCTCTACTCAAACTTTTCGATCGGAGAGGATGCAGGCGCGTCACTGGACTGCGTCTGAGATGCAAATGCAATCACAACAAGTGCCGGCAAGCACCGGGATTTGCAACATGATATCGTTTCATTGCATCGGGTGTCACAAACCGGGCGGTTTGATGTAGATTGAAATGTGGTGCAGTGATGATGTGAGATTGTTTGCTGATCATGAAATGAAAATGGGGAAATGTGAGGCTTTTTGGTCGCTGCATAGGATGCGGCACACTTGAAGGAGCCGCCAGCGTAGGCTGTAGCATAAACGCTGTCATGCCGGTGTGGAGATTGAGGAGTGCATGGGGAGATTGGTGCGATGGGGTAAAAGCAAGAGCATGAGACGTGACAGATAAGGAATGGTAACGATGAGGCCGGCTTTCTTGGGCTTGGGCTCGCCGGTCGCAGATGCCCTGTGGCCCTGGACGTTGGGAGGAAATACGATGGGAGGGGAAGAAATGCAAGTGAACAAAGCAGAGAGAAGAGCAGGACAGGGCAAACGGGCTGCAGACTCACCGAATCGCGAACTCTGATAAAGTTGTCGACGTCAATGACCTTGGCCGGCACGTCGACTTTAGCAGCCTCAGCGAGCTGTTTCTTGGATGGACGGGCCATTTTTGTGTGTTGGTTGTTGTAGTTGCTGCTTGGGTCCGTTTACCGATAATGCTGTCGGTTGACTCCAGGCCGGTGATGCGCTGAAGACGGGCAGTAGTCCGAGACGATGGCTGGATGCGCGACGATTTAGTTATTTGATGCTGGAGAGCCTGCGATAACAAAGGGCAACACAGAGGGGATCAGAAGAAGATCAGAAGAGGAATCAGAAGGAGGGGGGGAAATTGGGCGCACGCGAAGGGGGGACTGGGGGGGCTGTGCCAAGTTATAGGCGGCTGGAAATCCGGGCGAGGACGCGCTGATTTGTTTTGGTTTATTTTTTTTTCTGTGGGTGGTTTTTTCCTCTTGTCATTTTATTCTCTTCTTAGTGGGTGTGGGCACCACCCGTCTGCGAGTGTATTTTTTTTATTCGCATATTGTTTTCGCGCAGGGCGCTTGGTGGGCGGTAAACTGCCCATATCTTACTAGGGTAGGTGCGGCAGCCACGGCCGCACCCCTGTCACTGCCTGTCGTTTGCCTGCCCGCCTAACGAGTTCGCATCTTACCTCGCTTTTTACTGCCCGTTTCTGCCTGCCCGTTTGCCTTGTCGCCCCTGCCCCCTTCTGTGCTCTACGTCTGTCCACTTTACGTCCTCGCTCTTTCCGCCGCATCAGCACCTTCCTGTACGATACGTTATTAGTACTGATCTGCCTCAGAACAGCCGCTATTCCCTCGCGCCCTCAGTCCCTCTTTCCCCCCTCCAGTGCGCCCCGTCGCAGATCCGCCCGCCGCGCACCACATGATAATGCGCGCTACACGCTACACTCGCTGCTGGCTGGCTGCTGGGCCACGCTGGCCACGCTGGCTTCCTTTTCTGCTACTAGTGTGCTCTGCCTGCAGCACCTATCGCTGCCCCATTCGCATACCACACAGCAGTAAGATACTTCGCAGGCGTCTCATCTGTACTTGGGTACCTGGCTGCAGCTGGTGTCGCATGCTATGTCACGAGATTGCCCTCTTCTCCTCTTGCACGCCCACCCGCTCGCAGCAGCGCATGTGTCGGCGCCGGCCTGCAACTCTGGCCATTTTTCGCCGTCGTCGGGCGGTCGTGTTTTGTGCCAGGCCCGCTGGAGCGGACGCGATGCGCCGCGACAGACGGCCGTGCTGTTCTGGATGGACCAGAGTTGGGGCATCTAGCAATGTCGCGCCGGCGCCTCTGCAAAGTATCTTACCATGTGCTTATTGGCCTTGCTACTACGGGCCGTTTTAACTACAGATTATTACTGATTGCTTGGGTATCATCCGGTCGTGTCACACTCAATACTAAATAATTTAAAAATACTCGCCAGCGCTCGTTGGGGGCCCTGCCCAATGAAAAAGGACCTCTGAAGGCCCAAACGGTTGGCTAAGAGGGGGGGGAGAGGGGAGGGCGGAGGGCGGACGCCTGTTCCGGGTGCTTGTGATACGAGCGCTGCGTCTGCTGCGCTTCCCGCCATTCCTGAAAAATAAAATTAAAAGCAGGACAGAAATGGTGGTGGGCTGCCTTTCTGCCTTTTCTCGGCCGCCCAGCCGCTTACTGATTGCAGCTCCTGCCTGTCCTCTGGCGCCATTTCGGGCTTAATCGGAAAAGCCACCATGCAATCCTTGCTGCGAAAAGGCGCTGCTGGGGCTTGTAATTTCACTAAAACACTCCAGCCAGTCAGTGGCAGCCCCAGCACCCACTCGCGTCTTTGTAACACTCTCCGTTGCCGACAGTGGTCCCCCTCCCCCCTCTTTTTCTCTTCTCTGCCCGCGCCCCAGGAGCCGCTGCTTTTCCGATACCCAGGCATCCCCCGCTCTCTTTCTCGCTGACCTTCAGCGGCGAGCTCGCAGGCCCGCCAGAGACTCCCGCTTGCCACCCATTTTCAGGCTGCCAGCCTCCAGAGAAGGAAAAACGACAGATGTTCACAGCATCTGGGCGGCTATGTATCTTACCTAGACTGCTGTTGCCACACACTTACGCCAGGCCCAAACCCCTTCTGGCGGATCGACGCCGCGCAAAGCACAGAAGTCTCTGCGACTGTCAAAAAAAAACCACTCTACAGAAAGCGTCCGGCCAGGCGCGCCGCCTCGGGCCCCCATTCTGGCACCTGTCGCGTCTCGTCTAGGGCGTAGAGGTTTGAGCAACGCGGGTAAGACTACAGAATACAGCTTCCCACAAAATGCAGTGCTGGGTCGGAGCGGCTTTCCCCACGGCTTCAACCCGGCGAGGCAGGAAGTCGCGCAGGCGCATCTGTCGACGCTCACCTCGAGACCGGACGGTAGGATATCATGGCACATTCAGTCCGCCCGTGATGAGCATGTAGCGAACTGCACATCCCTCTCGAGGTCCCAGGTTTGGCTGCTTGAGCGCGCCTCTGGCTGATCGGCTCCTCGGCCGCAACATGGCAGGATCATGTGCATGTGAGTCGCTTTTATCAGCATGTCTGACGTCCAGACCAGTTCGTGGGAGACAACTGCAAAGCTCCATGCGTATTCCGGGTCCTCCTTGCCTGGCTTTCAACCGCGTCGTTGCGTCATAAGTCGAATAGTAATGATGGGCGGCAGCGGCAGGCTGGCACAGACAACACAGGAGCACATTCCGTGCCTGATAGATAGCCTCTCTCTCCCCGATGGACATTGCAGCTCAGCTTACGTATACGAAGTACGGCTGAAGGTATAAAAAAAAAAGCAAGAACGGGTTAGACGATGCAGACAGAAGCAGCAAGCCGAACGGGTGGAACAGAGACAGAAACAAAAACCGTTGCAGGACGCGGACCGTTTTTAGAGTCGACCTAGCTGAGCTGGTCTGGCGTCGGCACGAGCCGAGTGGCCACCGGAAAATAAAACAGAAGCACGCGAAAGTAAAGCGAGGGCGCATCAGCGGTGCTGCCGGCTCTTATTTCTCGCAAAACTCTTCTGGTTCTGCCCTGTCTGCCTCGAGGGTGGATCACGTGTCTGAGGACCGAATCGAGATACAGGTCGCCCAAGCAGGCAGCATTGGCACAATGCTCCTCAGCAACGGCGATACTATGGACTGCTGTTTGCCTGGACGTTCTCGTTTCTCGTATCGGTGATGGCGGTCTGTCCCCGTGGTCTAACCTGGACCGTTCAAGTAACTGCCTTTGGCTGCATTGCGGTCTGGGCTGTGCTGTTTTCCCACTTCTCTCCTGCAGCAATTACGCGTAACGCCCACCGCTCGTGTCACGATACCAAAGAAAACACTACTTGTCCCCGAATCTAGGACCGTGGGTTGCCTAGGCTGGTTCAGCTTGCAAGTGCACGAATGGCCATAGTTTGGCCGTCGTGCCCCTCTCTGCGCGTCAGGTCATCATCGCCAAAGTAGGAAAGAGGGGTGCCCCGTTCCTTCTCTCTTGGCATCTTGGCACTGTCACGGCAGGAGGCCACCAGTCCTCAATCTCGGATTATCTTTGCTCAAGCTCAGTCTCTAAAAGCGTCTCGTATCCTATTTTTTCCACCTCTTTTCCCGACACATCTCCTCCTCCTCGATCCAAAACTCGTTATTCTTCCACTCTGCCGAGACGAGCTATACGCTTCCAGACCCAGAGCTTCCGTAATTTTGTTCCGCACCGGTAAAGAACCCCACCGCGAGCTCTTCTCATGAAGACACATTGCTAATCTGTCGGCAGCAGCATACGAACGCAAACTGCCATGCCCTCTCTCAACCCACCTCCCCTTCTCATAGGGGCTTTCGTCTTCCTCTTGCTCATCGGCCATGTGCACGCCTTTGGAGCCGGCAACATTGCCGGCATATCCAAGGTCGAAGGCCAGAATTGTCGGTGTACACCCGAGAAGCCGAGTTGAAGTCGTCCTTGCTAACCTTTGTCTTGACTCAGGGCGCCATGGTGACATTGAAGACACCCTCTTGAAGCTGCTCATGGCCCGCGCCGTCGGCGGCAAGAAGTTCGACAAGCTCGCCGTCTCTCGTGTCTACTTTGGCAACTGGCTGCGCGACTACAGCCAAGCCATCGATGTCGGCACCGTCAAGGCCGTCTCCTCGGAGGCCATCCGCCTGCTGCTCTGTGTCCTCGGCTTCCTGACGTTTGGATTCGGCTCCAAGGAGTTTGAGGTCACTGCTGACCGCCTTGGCTGCTACCGCCCCGAGGACCACATCGACAACCCCAAGAACTATGCCGACAATGTCGATGCCCGCCGCTATGATCGCCGTCTTCGCGGCCCCGTCAACGAGCGTGTGGAGCTCGCTATCGATCCCGAGACCGGAATGAAAAACTACATTGCCAATGAGCGTGCCAACATCATGACCAGCGCCTACCACGTTCGCAAGCTATTCGGCCGCTGCATTGAGCTGGGCCGTTCTTACCGGCGCTCGAAAAACAAGGCAGATTTCTACGAGGCCCTGCGTCTTTTGGGTACCGGACTTCACTGTCTAGAGGGTATGCATTCAAAGCCCACATCCCTGCCCCCCTTCCCAGTATCACCCCCGCTAACCTGCCTAGATTTCCTGGCCCATAGCAACTACACTGAGCTTGCCTTGATTGAGATGGGCGAAACTGAGGTCTTCCCCCACGTTGGCCGCGACACAACAATCCGTCTCAGAGGTGCCAGGCACCAGGTGTATCCCTGTATCACGGGAACTTTTGGTGGTGTTGACTTCTTGCACTCTGTCACTGGCGAGGGTATGTGTCCCTGCCTTGTTGTCGAGAGATGTAATTGCTAACTTCGCATAGTGTCCGACAAATTGACCCAGAACGAGATTCAGGAGCTGGAGGGAACGTTGCAAAACGGCCAGAACAGTGACACGAGCGCCCTGCGCAACCTTCTTGACATGTTTCCGAGTGGTCTCTTTGGCGGCGGCAGCAAGACGCAGAAGCTGGACAACATCCAAAACAACGCCAACGCGGCACAAATGGAACAGATGACTGTGTCCCCACTTGAGCCTGAGGAATTTACGAGGCACATCCAGTTTGTCTTCAAGCAGATCATGCCAGCCATTGAATTCCATGACGAAATCATCAAATCGATCACCGAGGCCGTCGAACAGATCCCTGTACTGCCCAAACTTATCGAACAGCTAGAGGAACAGCTTTCCGTCTTTGTCTTCTCGATCATTGCTCCCTTTGTCATTCCTATCATCCACCAGGTTCAGAATGAACTGAGTACTGGCTCGTCCGAGATTATCCAGAGCAGCCAGGCCGAACAGCTCATCGTGTTTAACGACGATTACTGTACCGACCCAACCCATTCCATGCTGTCCAAGGACCACTTTAGCAACGTATGTTCGCTCCTTACGCTGCTCGTCTTTGTTGCATTCTCTTCTAACCCGATCAGATTCTCAACGAAATCGCTGGCCGCACCGCCAGTAAGGTGGTGGCTTGGGTAGTGCCACAGCTCATGGATGCTTGGGATAACGACTCCATCGACGTGAACCGTACACTAAACCGCATCGTCAACGGCGTCTTGCATCACCCTGCCCAACGGGCCATGGGCGAGGACGGTGCCCAAGATGGCCGTGCTCTCATGTTCCAATCCGTTGAGGAGTGGTGGCAAAGTATGCCTGATGATGAAAGACAGGACTACCGCAACAAGCTATCTCGCAGAGGAGTAGAGCGTGGCGAAAACCACAAAGAGGGTGTTCATGACACGGGACATGGCTGTGGACATCCGCTTAGCATGCAGAAGACCTATGGCGGAAACTCGGACGATTCACCGGAGGACCGCATCGCCTCCGCGGCGGCCAGTGCCATTGTCGGCGGCCTCACCAGTGGAGTCTCGAGCTTTGTTCAGCAGCAGACTGGCCTTCAGCTTTCAGAACAGTCAGGCGGCAACCAGTCGAGCTTGGCCGGTCTGGCTGGAGCATCCGGACTCGGGGGCCTTCTAGGAGCGGCCAGCTCTTTCCTAGGATCTGGCTTTCAGCAAGCTTCCGCCCCGTCGGTTAGCAGTCGCCGGGATGATGATGGGAGCTACAGCCAGACATATACGCAATACGGCCGCACCGAGGACGGAAAACGATACGCTCAAGCTGAGTATACGCGTACTGATTATCCCGACGGCGAGGAGCGCACCGACTACCGCCGCTATGAGCAAGACGAGGAGGGCCGCGGAGGGCGGGTTGTCGGATACGGCTTCGAAGAGCGGGCTGAGACTCACACAACTCACAGCAACACCTATGAAGAGCGTGAAGAGCGCGGATGGGCAGACGGTAGGGGGGGGTACCGTGAGGAGAGAGAAGAAAGGTTTGGCGAGGATCGAAGACGAGATGTCTCGAGCGGAGACGAAGGCTGGCGCCAAAGGCATGAGCACGGTGAAGAAGACGAAGGGCGGGGCGGCAGACGGAGCAGCGGCAGACGGAGCCGGGAGGATCGTGGATGGGAAGACCAGAGAGAGGAAGAAGAGCCGTCTAGACGTGGCGGACGGTCGAATGTGTATGGCGAAGAGTATTCTATACCGCCGCAGCGCTCCGATGAGGAAGCACGCGCCGGCTTCTTTGATGGGATCGTGCGGGAAGCGCGAACCATCTTCGACGATGATGAGGTAAAACATGAGAGACACCATGAAGGATGGGGTTGCTAGAAACCCACATTAGAGGGGGAATACGAGAGACGTCGAACGATGAGTATAAGTCGAGATTAGGGTGAGACAATCCAGAGCATATATCGGGCAATCAAGACTGATCAATTTATACTGTGTCACTCCACTGGGCTCTTCCTCTGATTGGGCTTTGAATCTTCAGAAGAATCTTCAGAATACAAATTATGTGGTTCGATGAGTGTAACCGAGTACCGGTGGGCAGGACGTAAGATGGCAGGATAGAAGAGTTGATTTACGAAGGCCGGGTAGATGAATGGCAGAATGTCGAAATGAGAGCCAAATCCAAGGATTGAATTGTACACTTTTTTTTGTAACTTATTGATGCGGCGGTGATGCATTTCATTATTTTGCTATCTGTCAACTACAGCGGTCGAACGGGAAAGTAGGGGGGGCACTAAAGGGTAAAGAGTGCATATGCGAAGTAGTATGTTGATGAAAGCCGTACTGCTAGGGGCAAGTCAAGTCTAAAGATAAAACGAACAGAACAACAGTCTCGGGTCTTTCAGGGGCTTCGGATGCAATCTTGCTATCACATATTGTGTTACTAAGTTTCAGTTAGGCGTATCACATTTCAGTCCTATTAAAAGAGTTGGTAAATGTTGGAAATAGAGCAGTAAATGGCACCAGACGTCCCGATCCAAATGGCAGATGACAAAGACGTTGAAAGAGCACTTGTTGGTTAGAGGTACATAGTATTAATTTCCGTATATCAGACGCATGGCATTGACTTCATGTATAGAATTCTGCAGGAATTGTACAAAAAGCGAGGAAATTACGTGTTGTAGAACAATTACATAGATATACGGAGTAATCGGTAATCATTTCTTCTGTATCTAGAGCACAAAGCGGTCCAGCGAGAATTGACAAATCGTCTGTCTGGAAACGTACATATCAAGCAAGACAAAACTCACGGCCAAGACAGTGAGAGACTGTGTACTCTACTTGGGAGTCGGCATAGCTTCTGTATTATTGCTAATATATAATAACCTGATACTTAGAATACTCTGTGTTTGTTGGCACGTAATATATGCAGATTCTTCATTTTGTTTATTGCCTCACTGATACAGGCTGCAACTACTAGAAAAAAGCGTGGTAGCGACCATGAGCAGCTCTGCAACCAGGAACTCTGTGTCTTCTGCTTGTAGCTACTCATTGCGCTGGAAGTATCAATTTCGCCAAAAGCTCATGCTAGACGGAAGGTAGCCAGTGTCTTATAAGCGAGATCAGCAGACAGTCTTCCACGTACGGCCATAGATACTGGAAAGCACGGGATCCCGTCCGCTCTCCCCTAGTTAAACCAGTAATCGGCGGATTAGTAGTTGGGTCGGTGACGACCAGCGAATACCCGCTGCTGTACGTTTTTGTTCCTTTTTCTCTCATGGGATTTTTTTCTCCCTTGAATACGAGCTTGTTGTTGCCTTGAAAGCGGAGCCCGGGCGCTATCTAGCTGTAGGATTGCCGCTAGGGGTGTAGTCAGAATCTGTAAGTCCGGTCAGGACATTGGCTGGAGCTCTCTATTGCTGTGCTCTACGCAGTGAATTCCGTCTGGGGTCAAACCAGCAGCAATCTCGGCCAAAGGCGCATACGAAGAGGCAATGATGCTTGCAGGGATGGCCTTGGATGCCGAACCAAGAGAAAGCTGGATATTTATTCACACTTTCTGGCCTCCAGGTAGTCTAGACCAGCCTGGACTCGAGCTGCTCGCCCTTGTGCCAGCGGACAATGTTCTCGACCTGCAGCTCGTACCATTTCTCCAGCGCGACCCGCTCGCCGTAACCGGTGTGAGGCGTCAGCGTAACCCGGCTCCGGCCGTCCTTGCCCCAGGCCGTGGTGCGCCAAGGGCTGTCGGCCGGTAGCGGTTCAATGTCAAAGACGTCCAGGGCGGCGCGGTTGATGCTGCCGCGGCGCAGCGTGTCCAGCAGGTCCTCCTCGACGACGATGGGCCCGCGCGACGTGTTGACAAAGATGCTGTCCTGTTTCAGCAGCGCCAAGTCCTTGGCCGCAATGAGGCCGCGCGAGCGGTCCGACAGCACGACGTGCACGGCCAGCACGTCGGCTGTGCGGAAGAGGCACTCACGGCTGACGGCCAGGAACGTCTTGGAGCCGTCGGCAGCCTCGGCCGGCAGGCCGGCCTGAACGGCAGCCTCATCGGCCTTGGCCTGCGTCAGGTTGGGGCTCCAGGCGAGGACGCGCATGCCAAAGGACTGATGCAAGATCTTGGCCGTGCCGGCGCCCAGACGGCCGAGACCAACGGTGGCATACACCTTGCCGGACAGACCAAAGACGGCCGGCCCTGTCTGCCAGCCGCCCGTCTTGACGGACAGGTCGTCAGCGGCCACGTTGCGCGCCGCTGCCAGCAGCACGGCGATAAAGTGCTGCACCGTGCTGTCGGGGCCGCCAGCAGGCCGCGCCGCCGCTATGGTGCCGCCCACGGGGATCGCCTGCTTCCGGAAGGCTTCCAGGTCCAGAGACAGGTTGCGCGTGCCCGTCGTCAGGAGCAGCTGCAGGTTGGGCAGCCTCTCGATGAGCGCGGCCGGAAAAGGAGTCCGCTCTCGCATCGTTGCTGTGGACAAGGTGAGCAGAGAGCAGGGAAAACGAAAGAAAGGGAGAGTCGGCATCCTGGCATACAGATGATCTGGAACGGCTCCAGCCGCCGGACCAGCCTGTCCTTCTCATCCTGGGTCGTCTTCGGGTGACCGTACGGCAGGATAGTGTCCTGGAAGATGGTGACGTCAAAGATGTCGGGGTCCAGCTTCTTGAAGTAGGGCTCGGCCGTGGCCATGTAGTCGTCGAGGACGGCGACTTGGATGGGTGCCATTTCGACAGAGGTTGCGCGAAGAAAAAGAGGAGACAAACGGCCGGTTGGCAGACATCGTATTGACCTCGGCGAATTCGAATTGGCCCAGGAAAAAGCCAACGGCCAGCCGAAGACCCCGCAATCGTGCTGTCTGCGGAATGGTGCAAGACGCGAGCTCAAAAGGGTAATCAGCTTTCCGGTCGGATTCTTGTTGTGGAGACCTCTTCTGACAGCTGCCGCTTGGAGATGCTGAATAGAGAAGTGCATGTGCACTTGCCGATGGAAAAGGATTAAATGCCGCTATGGAGGCAAGACACAGTCTCGACTGGGGTGGGCACTGTGGATCCGACCGTGACGTAAGACAAGTGCAAAGTAGTGGGGGATAGCCAGTGGATGGTGATGGAGAAAAATGTCCGTAATCATACGATGCGCCGGCCGTCTGCTCGTTGTGCCTTGGTAATCTTACAGGGCCTGTGCATGGCTTGGACCACTTGCGAACGGACGTCAGTGATCAGAGGTAGAGCTGGACGGCGCGCCCTTGCAATTTTCAAGGGATGCCGGGATGGAAGTGCCGGATGCTAACGTTGCCTTGCAGTGAAGAAAATTTCGCCAAATAGGCAATAAATCTGCCATCGTTCCAGACGCCGCGCTGGCATGAGGAGGACATGGTCCGCATGGGGTCGCACGCGCACGAGTAGAGACATATAAGAGAGACCCCACGTCCGGGTCACGATGTTCTGATACGCTGGACATTGCTGTTTGGGGGGTCGTCCAAGAGATTTTTTACTCCGTACACCCTCTCCCTGACGCAGCAGCAGCTGCCTCTTTATTCGTGGGACCGTCACCTAGCCAGCCAGCCAGTCCGTCATGACGAGACGAGATCCGAAGCAGACCAATGCCTATCTCGTGGGCGGGGGCATTGCGTCTCTCACGGCGGCCGTTCATCTCTACTACGATGCCGGCGTGCCGGCGACACAAATCCACATCATCGAGGCTGCCCCGGTGCCGGGCGGGTCTATGGGCCAGTCAAGCGGCACCGACGACGACACCTGGAAGAGCGGCTACGTGATTCTGGCTGCCCGCAAGCTCAACTTCTCCTACCGATGTCTGTTCGATACGCTGGCCAAGGTTCCATCGATGCGAAATCCCGGCCTGACGGTGCTCGACGACGTCCGTGGCATCATCGACGAGGACGACGACCTCGTCGAGGTGCGAGCGGCAGACGCGAACGCTGATGCAGCGGCAGACGCAACGGCAGACGCAGCCAGAGCGGCACGCAGGCGCACCCGAACGAACCACAATATCGACCACAATATTGCCCCGTACAGCAGCCACGACGACGACCGCAAATCAGCATCCTCCTTTCCCGCCCGTCTTGTGGCCTCTGGTCCCGACGGGCCCGAGATCGTCGACGTGCAGAAAATGGGTCTGCGGTCAGAAGAAAAATTGGGCCTATTGGGCCTGATCCTCGAGCAGGAAGACTGCATCGGCGACGGCCAGATCCAGACCCACTTCAAGCCCGAGTTCTTCGAGTCCAAGTTCTGGGATGTCTGGGCCAGCCTGTACGGCTTCCAGCCGTGGCACAGTGCCGTCGAGTTCCGTCGCTATCTGCTGCGCTTTCTGCACGAGTTCTCGCACATCAGCACGTTGGAGGGCATCGACCATGCGCCCCTTAACGACTATGAGTGCATCATACAACCCCTGGGGCAGCATCTTAAGAGTCTCGGTGTAGACTTTCAGTATGGTGGGTTTTTCGTTTTTCGTTTTTCGTTTTTCTTTTTTTCTTTTTTTCTTTTCTTGTTCACATCTTGAAACATTGTCACATCAGATCTGACCAGCGAGCAGAGACGCAGGTATGCGAGGTCAAGTTCGCACCCGGCGACAAGGTTCACGTCAGCGAGCTTCGCATCAAGCGGCGGGCCGACGCCACGGACAGCGCCATCGTCATCGGCGACGCGGACATTGTGCTAATCACGTTGGGCACCATGACGGCCAGCATGCGCTTCGGCACCGACAGCAAGCCACCACCGCCGCTTCCGAGCCAGGAGGCCGTCAACGCAGATCCGGGCCCAGTCTGGCGCTTCTGGGCGTCGTTGGCCGACCCAAACAAGAACCCCCACCACGCTGAGTTTGGGCGACCGAAGCATTTCTACGGCCACATCTCCAAGTCGTCGTGGCTCTCGTTTACGATTACGCTCGCGGGAACGGCCACGTCCGTGTTTGATCACTTGAGGGAATGGGCCGGGTTTGAGAGCCCGGAAAGGCCGGAAAAGCCGGACAGGGCCGAAAAGGCAGGCCCGGGTCATGCGGCCAGCATCTCTGGCGACAGCAGCTCCGACAAAGACAGCTTCAGCAACAGCAACGGCCCGCTCATCACGTTTCGCGACAGTCCCTGGATGATGTCCATCACGATGCCGCACCAGCCGTATTTTACCGGCCAACCCGACGACGTGTGCGTGCTGTGGGGTTATGGGTTGTATCCGGACCAGGAAGGCCTGTTTGTGCAGAAGCCCATGATGGCCTGCACGGGCGCCGAGATCTTCTCGGAGCTGCTGGCCTACCTCAACATCCCGGCACCACAGCTGTGGCAAGGCAGTGGCAGCGATCCGATGGCCACGACCGGCTCGGTGACGACGATCCCATGCCTCATGCCGTTTATTGGAGCGCCCTTCCTCACGCGCACGGACGGCGACCGGCCACGCATACTGCCAAAGTCGAGCGACAACCTCGGCCTGTTGGGGCAGTTTGTCGAGATGGAGCGGGACGTGACGTTTACGATGGAATATTCGGCCAGATCAGCCCAGACGGCCGTCTACAGCCTGATGGGGTTGGATAAAAAGGCACCCGAGGTGCATCGCGGCGATCGAGACGTGCAGGTTCTCGGCAAGATGCTCATGACCATCATGAGTTAAGTGTAAGGTGCAGTAGAGAGTAGGACACAATAAAAGTACGGAGTACTCCGTACATATGGAGATGTTCAATTATTGCGGGAAAGTAGGATGATCAAAAAGTTATGACAAGAGTGGGACTCGAACCCACGCGTGTTTCCACACTAGCAAATTCTTAGAATTTGTGTTCAGAGGACCTGAAGCTAGCGCCTTAACCGCTCGGCCATCTTGCCTTTGTGATTGATGAGGGAATGTGCACAAAGATAGTTTATGCATGGATATGTGGGGCGGGTATTTGGACCAAGTTGCACATGCCTGCTTTGGGCGTTTTGGACGTCACGGCGTTTATATGGGAAATGGATGTACGGCTGGTTGAGGCCAGCTGGTTGTCTCAAGAAAGCAGAATGAAACACTAGGAGAACATATCCTGTCTTCGGCTCCTCCCTTTGTTTTGCGTCGCAGTCTCTGCCAACTGTTACTCCTCACCGTCGACATGTAGTTCCTGCAGGACCTCGCGCGCCAGGACGAAGCTGCCGGTGGCCAGGATGCGACAGCGAGCCGACGCGCCGGCCAGCGCGCGTATCCGGGCCACGGCCGCGGGCACGTCGTCCCAGGCGCTGGCAGCCGTGCCGGGGCTGGCGACGGTGATGGCCTGCAGGGCGGCGGCGCGGGCGGCCTCGTCGTTCTGGGACGGGGGAAAGACGAGCAGGGCGTGGCGGAAGAAGCGATCAGGCGTGGCGGCGAGAAGGGCGCGCACCAGCTCGGCCGGGTTTCGGTCGCGGACACTGAACAGGAGGATGGGGGTGGTCCCGGGCTCGGGCTCGGCCGAGACAAAGAAGCGGGCCACCTCGGCGAGGCTGTCGGTGGTGTGGGCGCCATCGACGAGCCAGTCGGCCTGAACGTCGGCATCGTGGACGGACTCGCAGCGGGCGCGCAGGGTGGCGGCAGCCATGGCTTGGCGAAAGCGAGGCGGCATGGAGGCGGGGTCGAGGAGGGTGGATGGAGGTGGTGATGATGCGGATGGCGAGACGGCTTCCGTCTCTGGTCCGCGGACCTGCTGCAGGTGGTGGCATGCCAGGGCGGCCGCGAGGGCCATGTTGTGCTTCTGAAAGGAGCCGTGCAGGGCCGCATCCGGCAGGCCGTCCCAGCGGTCGACGCAGTCCGGCGTGATCTCGTACAGGGCCGAGACGCCCTTCTCGCGGGCCCGCGCCCGGAGCACCGCCATGGCCGCCCGGCTCTCCTCGTCGTCGCCCTGCAGCATGAAGGCAGCCACGCCGGGCTTGAAGATGCCGGCCTTGTGCCAGGCGATCGGGCCGAGCGCGCGGCCCAGCATGGCGACGTGGTCGATGCCCAGGCGGCTGACGGCGGCGGCGGTGACGACGGCCGGTGGCAGCACGTTGGTCACGTCGTACTCGCCGCCGATGCCGCACTCGATCACGGCCGAGCGGACGCCTTCGCGGACAAATGCGTGCAGGGCGACGAGGGTGAGGAAGCGGAAGTAGAACGGCTTGGTGGCGGGTCCGTAGGGGGGCGGTGGACGAGTGCCTGCAGGCGTGGCTGCGGTAGAAGCGACAGAGGCAGCACTACCAACTGCTGCTGCCGCCTCGCTCAACCGCTCCCACACCTCAAACACATACCGCGCAAACAGGGCCTGGCTGATCGGCCGGCCGTCGAGCCAGATTCGCTCCCGCACCGACACGACGTGTGGCGACAGGTACGTGCCGACGCGGCCAACACCACGCTGGCGGCCGGCCTCTGCCACCAGGATCGCCGTGACGAGCGCACACACCGATCCCTTGCCCTTGGTCCCGGCCACGTGAACACATCGCAGCTGGGCCAGGTCCCGTGTCGGATTCGCATAACCGGCGCGGCCGAGCCACGCTCGCACCTCTGGCATCGCCGGCGCGTTCAGGTCACCCCCTGCTTTTGTTTCCGCTCCCGCTACCTCAAACAGCGCTGTCACGTCCCGGTTCGTCGACAGCTGGCCCAGCAGGCCCAGCGCATTCGCATACGTCCGTGGCAGGGCCGCAAAGCTGTCGCGGCTGCCGAGCGGCGCGACAGCCGTCGCAGATGTCGACATGAAGACCGATTGACGAGACCCCTTCGCTGTCGTCCGGAGCGAGCAGATTCCGGCCCAGGATCGTCGCATGAAGGGGCGGACGAGAGAGGCGGACTTCCAAGATTGGTCGTGCTTGTTCACTAAACACCCCAAGACTGGCGCCCATTCTTATCCTCATTATGTCCTTAGCGGGGCGCGACTGTATTCCTCTATTCAAGCTCGCTTATTCCAGTAGCCAGCCTACTATCCTATCGGCTGTCCAACGCCTTGTAACTTCCCTTTTGCATCAAAGGGTATCCGAATACTCCGAAATATGCTATAGCTGTTTGTGCCACCAGTTTGGCACCAGCTGACCTCCTTCCCCACGCGGCCTCCCTCTCCTCTCTCCCACCTAGTTTAACCGCGGACTCCTTCTCCTTGATGAGCCTTGTGCAAACACCGCTGGCGGCACGTTCTCGCGTCCCTGCAGCAGCGACGCTAGCGAGCTCTTCGTCTTGGCCTGCTTGTGTGGCGGCTGCCGCATGCTCCTCTTCGACAGCGGTATCGACTGCGTGCTGCTCCTCCTGGACGTAGCGGCCGCTGCCGTGGTAGTGGTGGCGGTCGTCGTCGCCGTCGCCGTCGTCGTCACACTTGTGCTGCCCTCAAATACCGTCGGCCTAATGCTCGCTTCGGGCGAGAACACGTTGGCGTTCATCTCGCGCAGGCTCGTGCTGCCTGGCGACGGCGACTTGGCCTGCAGAGACTGGTCCAGGTCGGCAAAGATGGTTGTCGACGGCGACAGGCCGACGTTGCTCTCGTCCTCGCCGCCGTCGTCGTCCTCGTCGTCCTTGTCTTCTTCGGTGGCCTCGACCCCAATAATCACGTGACGCGCTGCCGTCCGCGGCAGCTCCGTCGGGATCTCGTACTTGACCTTTTCGGGCGTCTCGCCTGTCGGCACGTATTCGCGTAGTGACGTGCTGCTGACGAGCGACCGCAGCCCGACGAGCGGCTGTGCCAGCGTGCTCTCGATCGGCGCCAGGCTGTCGCGCAGCCCGTCCAGGTCTCGGCCCAGGGCCGTCCCCAACGCCTCTGTGCGCTCGTGTGTCTCCTGGGCCCGGCTCGCCGTCTCCGACAGACACGACGTCACCGCTGCCGACGCCTTGGCTGCCGTCACGCCCTGTCGTGCCTGGTGCTCCTTGCTGTAGGCTGCCGCCTTGGCCACCAGGTTGTCGAGGCCTTGCATCTGCACGTCCAGATCTGTCTTCTGTTCTTCCACCACGCGAATCGTCTCGGCGTGCACCGACTCTGTCGTCTCTTTGATGGATATGCTGTGATTGTTTGCAGTCTGCTGGTCAGCTTTTTCTTCTCGCTTCTCGCTTCTCTCTTCTCTCCCCCCAACTTACCGTCCAGTCGTCCTTCAACTTGTTCTTCACCCTCTCCCCAGACGTGCTCATGTCCTGTACAAGTTCGTCTGCCGCTGCATTCCACACGTCCATCCCCTTGCTGTATGTCGCCACACCCTCCTCGAGTGACTGACCCGACTGTGCCACCTGCTCGCGGATTGCCTCTGCCCGGGCCGCGAACCGCGCCTCCTGCACGCTCGCCTGTGCGCTGACCAGGCTGCCGATCTGTGCCAGCAGCTGCTGCCTGTCTGCTGCGGCCACTCGTCGCTCCTCCTCGACCGCCTCCGCGATCTGGGCCGCCACCACGGCACTCGACTGTGCCGCTGCCCGGCTCGCTGCCTCGACTGTCCGTCGTAGCGCGTCTGACTCGCTCCGCTGGTCGCGGAGCTGCCGCAGCACGTCGTCCAACAGGCTCTGGCAGTCCTGGCCGAGCGTGTCGTACGAGGCATGTAGCCGGTCGTGAAAGGCTCCCAGCTCGCTCAGCACGTCCTCGGCGATCCGCTCAGCCGCCGCCGCAATCGACTCCAGGCTCTCACCCACCCGCTGCTGCATGTGCGCCCGTACGACTCGCAGCTCCGCCAAAATCGCATCCACGTCCCCTTTGGCTGCTCGCTGCTGAGTCAGCAACTCGTCATGGGACGCTGCCCAAACGGCCAGGCTCGCGTCCAGGGCGGCCTGCGTGCCCGCCACGTCCTGACGTCCGTCGTGCACAAAGGCCTGGACGTGTTCAGCCATAGCGGTCACGTGAGCATCCTGCGATGCCCGCAAGTCCGCGATGCGGCCCTCGACCAGCCGCGTGACGTCGGCCACCCGGGCCTGGGTTTCGGTCCATGTGTTGCGGTTGGCACCGTGCAGGTCCGACCGACGCCGGCCCTTGGCCCGCAGGCCGTCAATGTCGTCGACGGTGCGGCCGAGCGTGCGGATCAGCTCGTCGCCCAGCACGGCCAGCTGCCGTTCGGTCGCCTCGTGGGCTTGGCGCACGCGCGTCTCATCGGCCAGGGCGTCTCGTGTGGCCGCCAACACGGTCTCAGTCTCGTCTAGCACGGCCTTGGTCGCGTCCAGGCTCACGCGCGCCCCCTCGTGGTCCTTCTTGAGGCCCATGAAGCTGCTAGTCAGGTCCAGCAGCTCCTGCAGCTTGTGGCGCAGGCTGTTCTCCATCGTCTCGATGCGTGCGGCCTGCTCCTCCGCCAGGATGCGCCGCGATTCGCTCTGCACCGTCATCTCCTCGTACGCGTCTAGGGCCAGGTACACGCCGTTGCGCTGGCGCGTCACGATCAGCTCGCTCTTCAGCTTCTCGATCTCGGCCGTGAACTCGCGCAGCAGCGTCTTCTTGCTGACCAGCTGGTTCACCTGCGGCTTGTTCCGTATATTCTTCGCCCGGAAGGCGTAGTCCAGCGTCGAGATCGTCTCCTCCAGGTTGCTCTTGGCCGTCGACACCGTCGCGATGATGCACGTCTTCGTCCGGCCACCGAGTGAGTCTTGCAGCAGCCGCGTCAGCTTGGACTCGCGGTACGGCACGTGGGCTGTTCGGTCGACCAACGCGTTGATCACGCGGCCCAGCGTCAGCAGGCTCTTGTTGATCAGCCCTGCCTCGGCCGCCCGTTTGTTCTCGGCCCCCGATCGCTGGATGTTCTCGCTGCCGGCCAGGTCCACCAGGTTGAGCTTGCCCGTCACGTAAAAGTCCTCGCCGCTCTCGGCCACGTGCTTTGTCTGCACCGTGATGGTGAAGACGGTGTGACTGCGGCTGCTGAGGTCGTTGCACTTGGTCGCCGCCACCTGCCGCCGGATGCTGCCCTCTTGCAGCCGCTGGATGCCGTCGGCCGCCGACGCCAGATGCCGCTCCTCCATGCCCTGCACGACCGTCGTGCCGTGGCCCTTGCGCGTGTTGTCGTCGTAGATCTTGAGCTTCATGCCGCCGCCGCTGTCGGCCTCGGCCGAGAGAAGGTCGCGCAGCTCTTCGTTGTACAGCTCGATGAACGAGCAGCGCACGATGCTGTCCGACGCGTCGGCCTCCAGCTTCTGGAAGAGCGCCTGCAGCACGCGCGGGATGATACCGGCCGCGTCTGTCAACAGGCCTAGCGTCTCCGTCATATCGCCGGACATGGTGTACGTCTTGCCCGTGCCCGTCTGGCCGTACGCAAAGATGGTGCAGTTGAAGCCGGTCATCATCTGGTCCAGGATCGGCTTGACCACGTCGTCAAAGATCATGCTCTGGTCGGCCGCCGGCGAAGAAACACCCGGTCAAAGTTGTACGTCTTGTTGCTGAGCGCGTTCGGTCCCATAGACAGCTCCACGGTCTTGCCCATTGCACCATCCGTCGTCGCCACCACCGCGCTGTTCTCGCGCACTTCCCGCTCGGTACGTCCGCGACACCGCACCACCACGTTGATGTTGGTCTCTTCGCCAACCGACGGGCCTTCCAGCTCAAACTCGCGCTCCTTGCGCTTCGTTCCCGTCGTCGCGATCGACGCCACGGACTCGGCCGGCGACGTGGCCCGCATCCGGCTGATACGCCCGCCCGGCGTCGGTGCCGACGATGATAACGACGACGGGATGCCCGATACGTGACGGGCTGTCGGTCCGCGTTTGGTGGTCTGTCGCAGTCCTGGCCGCACGGCTGGCGCGCCGGCTCTCGTGCCCGGCATTATGGTGGCGGACGAGGCATTGGTGGCCCTTCGCGAGGGGTGTTCCCGCGGGTGCGTCATCGACGGGGCGGAGTCGCGGTGTCGACGGGATATGGAAAGACGAAAATGAAAAAGGAACAACACGCCAAGAAACAAAAAAAAGTGCAGAGAGGATTATGCAGAAGCCATGCGGGAGCAGAGACGCGATGTTTCGTGATTGGCAGTCCGCGAGATCAGAGCCGCAGCTAGAGATGTGAAATGCTCCGTACTGTGTATAGTCGTGCGTGTGTGTGTGACAGGGTACGCGTGCGTGGAGGCCAGGGGAGCATGCGATACTTCCAACGGTGAGCATCAAGAAGGGCGTTTGGCAGGTTGTTGACAATGGCGCCTGAACAGTGGGTCCAGACTAGTCTACATCGGGCGACATGAGTCAGCAAGTTGGCCTGACAACGAGGCACAGGCCAGCCAGCCTTCCCCTGGCCACTAGTGCCAACCCCACCGCTACTGCACTGAAGCCAGGTGCGGATGACGTTCGTGGCTACCCCGCCAGCGTTTGTCACGCGGAAGACAGGCAGCGACTACAGCGACCTTTCTGCCTGATACGCTGTAGTGAGCCTGACCACACACACCTCCTGTCTTTCTTGACAAGGCTATTCACCAGCCTTTTACGATGGGCGGTTGACAATCCGACTCCCTCCGCATCTACTTCGTCCCTCTTCGCATCCAGCAACATGTCTCTATTTACGGCACAGCTCCATCCCGGGCGAGCGCTTGGGTTTCTTGGTGAGAACCCCTATTGGCAAAGACGGCCGTGTGTTTGTATGTGTGGAGGGCTGACCGGCGCGGTGTTTCGCGTCTTTGCAGCACTGGGCGCCTCGCTCCATGACGTGCTGACGCGTCTCAAGGCGGAGCCGCAGCGATTTCCCAAGCTGGACCTGGCGTACTCGGCGACAAATCCGGTGAGCGAGCCGGTGGTGCTAGGACTGCCGGCCAACGGGATCCGACTGCGGTTTGACGGGCCAGAGCAGCGGCTACGACTGATCGAGATCCTCGACTTTGGCAAGAACCACATCGTCTTCAAGGAGCACAACAAGGACCGCGACCTGGTCAAGCCGGCGGGCGATCCGTCGGCGTCGACGGGCGGCCCGACCTTTCGACACATCTACTCACGCTTCCTGGGGCCGACATACGACGGCGAATACGTCCGAGGGGCGACGGACGGCGAGGGCACGTACGTGCTGTCATACCCGGGCGTGGCGTTTACGTTTCCGATGGCGGCGGCGGCCTACGCGCCCGACAAGGACGTGGTGTCGCTGCTGTCGACGCCGACGAGCCTGGCGGCCGTCTCGATGGCCGTCTTCAGCGGCGACTCGTGGGCCCAGGCGCGCGAGCACCTCTGGACCGAGGTGCTGCCGCCCATCAAGACGTTTGCTCCGCTGGCCAAGGGCAAGGACAAGGACGCGGCGCCCGACGAGATCTCGCTGGTGCGCGTGCACGGCGGCGGGCGACTGCAGCTCTTCCGGCGCTGGGCGACGACGGCGAGCAGCGCGTTCGGCATCGCCCTAGGCGAGACCACACCGCAGGAGCTGGTGGCCGAGCTAGGGCCACCCGACGCCATCTACCGCAAGAGCGACCAGCGGATGTACATCCACAAGATCCGCACGGCCAGCAGCAGCCGGACGCGTGGTGGTGTGGGTGGCGGCCTCGCTGGTGGCCATGTTGGCAGCCATGGCGGCAGAGCTGGGACCGACGACCACCTGACGGACACGGACCAGTCGTCGGTGCCGGCAGCATCGGACGAGGACGACGAGGACGAGGACGACGAGGCGATCGAGGACGAGTTTGTCGGCAACGTGTCGGGCGAGTGCTTCTTCAATTACTTCTACCTCGGCTTTGACGTGCTGGTGTCGACGCCGGGACCATCGTCACGGATGCCGCCATCGCAGGCAGCGGCATCAGGGGCAGGAGACACGGGCACGGAGTGGACAGATGCGAGCAATGGCGAGGGACAGCGGCCGCTGAGAACGGCCATGGCCGACCGGCTGGTGGCGACCAAGATGGTGCTCCACGGCAACGTGCCAGGGTCGTACCCGTTCAACCGACACCGGCGCTGTCGGTGGGAGATTGCGTACATTGAGGCGCGGGCACGGGCAGACTCGGAGACGCCGTTTCCGCAGATGGAGGCAGCGCTACACGAGGAGTGGAAGACGATCTACGGGTCGGACGAGGAGGCGCGGCAGCGGGAACGCGGCATGGTGTTGAACCGGGGCTGGGGCGACAGTCCGGGCAGCAGCATCGAGCTTCTGGGCGGCTGGGAGGGCCACAGTGGAGGGGCAATGCGCGGCGTCAAGAGCGCGGAAGACTCGACGACGACGCTGTATGGCTTTCCAGGGCTGGTATTTGAGGTGCTTCGGAACGGGTTTGTGGGAGCGCTGACGGTATTTTAGGGATGAGGTGTTGGGTGTATGGGAGGTGAGATGTATTGGTGAAATGGGAAGGGTGTGCCTGGACGAAATAAAGGTAGACGGAAGATTACATGCATCGGAGCGAGGCGTTTGGCAGATAGAACCTATCCATACGGAGTAATACCCGTACTGCAATCTCGCTTGTCAGCACGTGTAGAGCCGCCTGCACAACAGGCTCCAGGCCTCTGGCCAGGCAGGCCCCGCAGTTCCGTACTTATGTACAGCGGGCCCCATCCTCTGCTAGTGCCGCTGGGCCTTGCACCTGCAGGCGGCCTCACCGCAAAGGGCCCCTGGTGGATCTGGGCCTGTCCGATCGCCCAGACGTCCCCGTTTCCCTGCTTCCTATTACCAGGATAGCCAATTTGCGATACGTCCACAGCAACCCCATTTCGCTCTCGGTCCGGGCCCATCTTGGGACAAGAGGACACAGCTTCGTGCCCCATTCTACGAGTACGGAGTACGGAGTACGCAGGCCTCATCGCGTCTGCCTGCAGCTCGTCCTCGCCATCGTCAAAGGCCGAATACGGCAGAAGAGACAGCCTACACCAGAACGAGGTCCAGCCCACCAGCCCTGCAACCTTTCCCTGCATCGCCGCTGCGTCTCCTCGACGATGCCTCGCGTTCGATAACCGCTGGTCCTCTTGCTCTCGCTCCCGGGTCATGTCCTCGATCGTGCCTCTCTCGTTTCCCGCCTCATTCTCACCTGCGCTCCGCATGGCCGACTCGTTCTCTGTCGAAGCTAGCCGTCGAGGCCCGGCCTCCCGGGGTCGGTCCGGCCTTGCGCGATCGGCCAGCAGCGGCACCAGCACCAGCTACCAGGCAGCGTCTTCTTCCACAACGCCACCGGCCACGGCCACCGGTACTCCGGCCAGCAACGACTCGCCCGGGCCCACGGCCAGCATCTCGACTGTCTCGACTGCATCGACTGCCCCTCACGATGGGCCATCGCCCCAGCGAAGCGGCACCCATCGCTCGTCCCATCACCGGCCGCACGCCCACCAGCGGCCTGGTGCCGGCGGCTTCTTGCTGCAGGGCCCTCTCGATGGCCCAGCAGCAAGAAGCCGTCGGGACAAGGCCGCCAACAGGACGGCCGACAGCATGGCATCACTGCCCAGCGCTGAGCATGCTGCCTCGCCCGATCTCGACGCGGCCCAGATCGTCAACATGGCCCTGAACCTCCGCGAATCCCGTCGGCTGCCGGCACGGCGATCCGTCTCCTCGTACCAGGTCCCCCCCCGGTTGGCTCCGCTGCCGGACAGCAGCGTTGGCGGCAGCCTTCGACACCAGCTGCAGCAGCAGCGCCGCGTATCGCGCAATCTGTCACCGCGGCCGGACCGCGATTCAATCCCGGCTATCTCTGTCTCGGCCTCGGCCGAGAACCAGACCCCCTTTGACACCTTCCAGGAGACTTCGTATCGATACCATCCCTCTCAGTCGACGCTGGCTCGGGCACAAAAGGCCCGCAACCATCTCGAACTCCTGGCCCAGCACCGACGGCTGCTGGCACTCCTCCCACCACTGACACCACCTCCACCGGCCTCGTCGGGTCAAGGCAGCAGCGGCAGCAATACCAATAACACCAACAACACCAACAGCAACAACAACAACAACAACAACAACAACAACAACAACAACAACAACAACAACAACAACAACAACAACAACAACAGCAACAGCAACAATAACAGCAACAGCAACAATAACAATTACCGACCATACAATCCACTGCAGTACATCCGCAACCGCAAGGTCCGGGCGCGGGAACGCAAGGCCATCAACGGTCAGGCCCAGGGCTTCGGCTACGTGCTCAAGACGACGCAGTGGGTCGACGAAGTCGAGCGACAGGCAGGTCGAGCGGCTGACGAGGGACGCTCGCCTGACGGCGGCATGTTGCTGCCCCCGTTTGCTAGCGCCGACGAGGCTGCTCAGCACAGCTCGTCCGGACCGGCATCGCGCATGAACACGGCAGCCGGCACGCGGGCCAAGCCCAAGCGGCCACCGGTCGACTGGATCATCGACCCGGCAGACATGATTGCAGACGTGTACTGGCTAGAGCAGGACGACAACAAGCGTCTGGTCGAAGACCGGCACTGGCACCGCGTCTTCCCGCAGGACGACGACACGTACAGGCCGCTGTCGGGTCGCACAGACGAGTCGAGCCTCGGAGTAGACCTGCCGGAAAAGATGGACCTGGCCCTCGACGAGGCCGACATGCACGGCGGACCACCGGGAGCGAAACCGGGGGTGCCGTTGTTGCCGTCGCCTTCACACGAGCCAGAGGTCGGATCGGCACGCGAGCGAGCACGGCAGAAGCTGCGCGAGCTCAAGGGGCTGCACCAGCGCCACAACAACTCGGTGCACGGCGACCTGTTCCTGGCCCAGCACGGCAGCTCGTTTACGGAATCGTCAGACTCGGAGAGTGATCGACGCAGACAGGCCAACCGGCTGCGGTCCGACACGGTCACGGCTACGGGGGCTGAGATGCTGCGGCGCCAGATGGTCGACCGACTGGCACAGGAGCAGCGCGAGCGAGACGAGGGATCGAGCTCACTCTCGCCGCTGCCCAGCCACAGCAGACGGGCATCGGAGGTCGACATGGCCGCGGCGACAGGGCGGGCGAGCCTGGAGGTACCAGGTGGCGGGCGGCCACTGTTGGTCGACTACGACTCGTCGCAACCAGCATCGCCAGAGATGCGGCCCATCTCACGAGAAGGACTGGGCTTTGTACCGGCACTGGGCGGCGATCTGTCGCCGGTACCAAGCCGCACGGCCTCGCCACCACGTCACCGGTTCAGCAAGGTTCGAAGCATGTTCCGAGACCACAGCCGGGAGCATGGCGGAGGAATGGAGGAGACAGTGCGGGAGGAAGAGAGCGAGACGACGATGCTGGGGCCTAACGACGCGGCGGGCGAGACGTCAGAGACGCCACTGGCCGATCTGACACCGACGACGACAGCGGAAGCGGTGCCGACGATCGAGCTGAGTCCGACAGGGCTACGGGCGTTTCTGCGAGGCGGTCCTCGGATCGATGCGGTGATCCGGAACGGCATGTCCAAGATGAGCGGCATGCTGTGGCGGCGTGAAGCAGCCGACACGACAGCCGAAGGACTGTCGTCGTGCACATCGTCATCGGACGAGGAGAGCGACGCCGAGGCCGAGGCGCTGTCGCGAGGCCGGTCACGAAGCAAGGCCGGTAGCCGGCTGCTATCACGGTCACCATCGCAAGCAGGCATGGGAGCAGACGGAGCGGGTGCCGAGAAGGAGAAGCCGGGGACGAAACACTACCTCGACATCATGCCGCGATTTGCGCGGAGCGAGAGCAGCACGAGCATCGCAGGCGGAGGCGACCAGGGACATCAGCTGCTGCAGGTGCCCAGCGCTTCGACGGCCGATGCGATCTCGCGGCCGGCCAGTCAGCAGTCGGCGCGCTTTGAGCGGCTCAAACCACCACGGATCGACATCCAGGCGGCATCGCCATCGGACAGCGTGGCTGACCAGCTGCAGCTGCTGGGGATGGACGAGCAGCAGGGCTGGCACGAGTCGGACCAGTCGGAGAGCGAGTCGCGGTCACGGCCAGATGGTGGTGTGGGTGTGGGTGAATGGTCGGAGACGCAGACACGGCAGCGGGCGGTGTCGTCCAGCGGGCGCTCGCCACTCTGTCGGCGGGAGCTGGCACGGGTGCGGGCCTCGCTGCTGAGCTCAGCCGTGGTGGCCAACGAGCTGTCGCGGCGGGCGAAGCAGCGACGGGTCCTGACCGAAGATGGATGCGCGGTGAAGACGATGGAGGGGAGTCAGCAGGCAGATGAGGCGATTAGTCAGCAGACGAAAGACGAGGACGAAAGCAGCAGCAGCAGCAGGCAGCCGAAAACGCCCTCGAGCATCGTGGTCGCGCGAGGCAGCGACGGGACCGTGCTGACATGGGCGGACGTGGCGGCGTTTGGATGTTCGGAGGCGGCAGCGACAGAGCTGGCGCGACGGCCGGTGGCGCCGATGGAGCTGTACCCGCTGGCGGCGCAGGTGATGGGAGCGGCCGTGCAGCGAAGCGGACAGGCGTGGCAGGAGACAGCTGAAGTGTTTGGAGGGACGCGAGCAGAGGCGCTGCGACGACGGGCGGACGAGCTGCGGACGCGGGTAGCGATCGGGCTGTCGGGGCTGGCGTCGCAGGCAGCCGACGAGGCGGACGAGGTCAGCCGCGAGCTCGCCGACGTCCGACGTCTGCAGGTCAAGCGGCTCGACGACGCCATCGATGCGATGCTGCGGCGACGGCGGCGACGGTTCCGATGGGTTCGGCGGGCCGGCTGGCTGACGGTCGAGTGGGTCCTCGTCGGCTTCATGTGGTACGTCTGGTTCGTCGTCATGCTGGCACGGGTCGTGCTGGGGGCGTTCCGGGGGGTCGCCGTCGGGATCCGATGGCTGTTGTGGTTGTAGGGTGAAGAGGGGTGAAGGAGTGGAGGGATGAAGTGGTGAAGGGAAGAGTTGAAGAGGTGGAGGGATGATGGTGAAGTGAAGAGGTGAGGAGCAACAAGATGACAGGTCAGGCAAGATGACCACAAGTCAATCGCCCCAGCCATACCATTTCCTTTGTCGCATAGCATGGCGTTCCTTTCAGCAACAGAACAACAGGAATACCCAGTGGCTATTGAGTCGGTAATTAATCTATGATACATGCATTATGTAAGCCGACAACGCGTCGGGAAAGAGCGAAGAAGACACGACAAAAGAAAGGAAGCAGTAGCGAGCGGAGCACAGGAGTCAAAAAGAGTCAAGAAAAAAAGAAGAAAAAGACAGAGTATACACCGATCCATCGGACAAGTCACCAGCCTATTCGATCCGCTTCTTCCCCTCCTCGGCGCTCGAGTAGCGCGCCGTGCTGAGGCCGCGCTCGTGCCGGGTGACAAGCGCGCCCAGAAGCTTGTCCTTGCGGGCCTTGTTCATGGCTTCGCGGTAGTCCTCGACCGACGACGGCCGGGGGATCAGTTTGGGCCAGTTGACCTGGGGGCCATTAGCGACAGACGAAGACGACACCATGGACAAGACGACACCACCAAACTCACATAGAGCTCGCCCGTCCGGAGCATAAAATGGCCGCTGTAGGCAGCCACGACGCCCCAGAAGAGCAGGAAGAGCCGCAGCGGCAGCACGGCCGAGTCGGGCATCCGGCGGGTAAAGAGGCCGACGAGCAGGAAGAAGACGCTAAAGGCAAAGACGTACGGCACCGCCTGGATGAGCACGGGGCGGCGGTCGGCAAAGACGAGCGACGGTCCGACAGCGGCCTCACCAGGCAGGTAGCTGCCGAGAAAGAGGTCAAAAGCATCCTGGCGCGGACCGTCGAAAAAGTTGTTGAGGCAGTAGCGCGTCACGGCGATCTGGCCGTCGCGCAGGGCGCCGCGCTTGGTGCGTCGGCCAAGCCGCGTCATGTCCGTCTTCATGGCACCGGTGCCGGCATAGCTGGCCGCCACCAGGTCGGCGTTGTCGGACCAGAGATTCCGGAAGAGCAGCTCAAACTCGGGATCCTGCGCCTGCAGCGTCGACGACGAGCCCACGCCCGCGTTCTTGTCGCTCCGCCGCGGCATCAGCCCGACGTCGGCAAACATGCGCTCCAGCGTCCAGCGCGCCAGCATCGTCTGCACCACGTTGGTCCGGTCCAGACAGTCCATGCAGTTCGTCCGCACCATCGACGTCTGCAGGCTGCGCACCTCCAGCCGTGCCGATGCCGGCATGTCGGCCGCCCGGAAGTACTGCTGCGCCACCAGCGCCTCCTGCATCCGGTCCAGCAGCAAGGCTGCCCGCTCCAGCCGCATGCCCTTGGTCTCGGCGTGGAAGTCAAAGTAGATATAGTGCACGTGGGCCGCCACACTCTGCGCCGTGCCCGGCGTCGCTGCCATCCCGCGCACCAGCCGCTCGTACGCTTCCTTGACCCGCTGCTCCCGTCCCTTCTGGTTGACCAGGTTGACCAGGTAGTTGTCGCCGTACAGCCGCACCTGCTCGCCAAAGTGTGCCGTCGCTGCCGGCACGGCCGCCTCGATTCCCCGCGCGTCGCTGCGTACCTCCAGCTTCGGCGTGTACTTGAGGTTGTTGATCTCACCCCAGAACGTCGGCACGCTGCCGCGCGTCTGCACGTACGACAGAATCTGCGTCTCGTCCGCCGTGCTGCCGCCGCCGCTGTTGCTGCCGCCACCGCTGCTGAACCCGCCCATGCTGCTGCCACCGCTGTCGTTGAGCACCACCACCAGCTCTGTCTCGTTGTAGTTGGCCACGTGGCCCTCCGCGTCCATGCCGCGCGAGAAGAACCGCGTCCCGCCCCGGAATCGTGACCGTCGCGTCAGCAGGGCCAGCGTCAGTGGCCGTCCTCGGAACGTCGTCGGCTTGATTTCCAGCACGCCAAACACCACCGCCAGGATATACGGGTCTGCCCCTGCCTGCGGCCCCGGCTGGCCTCGTGCACCCTTGCGCCGGAAGTCGATCAGGTCCGACTGCACAAACCGGTTCCAGAAAAATCGGTCGTCTGCTCGCATCCACAGCGGCAGTTCTTGTCCGCCCGCCGTCATCGCTGCTGCGTCCTGCTGTGCCGCCTGCCGCTGGAAGCTGTTCGTCAGGTCCAGCGTGTACGAATAGTGCATCCGCCCCGACCGGAGAAACCCGCGCAGCAGCGACAGGAACCGGTCCTCGTCCGGGTCCCGCACCTGCCGCTCGTGTACCGGCAGAAAGTCCACCGCCGCAATCCGGTGTACCATGTGGCCCTTGAGCCGGCCCACCGGTTCGTCCTTGGTAATCACAATCACATATTTGTCTGCCACAGTCAGTCAACGACCAGCAGGGAGAAACTCCTTCTCCCCCACTCACCGAGCCGCAGCTGGATCATGCCCAGAATGCCCTTGATGCTAAAGATGCGGGACGCTCGCTTGCCCGAGAGTAGCGCCGCGTCATCCAGCCGCACCTCGCCCGTCGGCCGGTCGATCGTCAGTGCCAACGCGTCCGGCGACGACGGCGACTTGAAAATGTACGAGTCCGCCGACACTTGCACGTTGATGTCCCGAAAAGGAAACGCCATGATGCCAGAGGGTGGGGGGGGCTTTCGAGCTAAGAGCAACCAAACACTGTTCTCTTTGCTTTCGCTGTCGGCGGCGCGTCGTGCTCGATGGCCGCTTGCCACAAAACAAACGGGCCAAGGCGATTCGTCTCTCCGCTTCCTCCGTCCGTAGCGCTGTTCTCGGCCTTTTTCTTTGTCGAGAAATGAAGATCGGGCGAGCCAGAGAATCTTCCTGTCTTCGTCGTGTTTTTTGTTGGGCAAAGAGGGAAGGGAGCTACCACATCCGACCACAGTGTCGTCACTAAGCCGCTAAATACTGCCTCCCTATTGGCCCCTGACTCCACCACTACCGACCTTGGAAATTTGGTCACGTGACTGGGCTGACTCAGTGTCCGCCCTCTTGTTCCTTCCCGAGCCCAGACCAAGATAACGCACGGGGCTGCCAGAAAGTCCGCTGTAAAGCTGCCGCTGGCGCCACTCATCACGCCCCCAGCCCCTGCTGCTTGCCCGCTGCCGTTTCCGTTTCTTCACCAGGCATCCACGAATTTCAACTTCTCAACTCGCCCCCCAACACAACGGCTTCGCTGCAACATCGCCTCCTGCTCTTCCCCCGACCGACCGAGTTTGCAACGATTCCTGGCACCGGCAGCACTGCGGCTATCGTAACTCGATCTCGCCTACCTGCACACTCCCTTCCTATCTGTCCCGGCCTACCCTCCTCGCATCGGCCGTCTTTGTCGTCTTGTCCGTCACTCGTGGGCGCATCCGATCATCGACCTCTTCCCTGCCCCCCCGCCCGCAATTGTCTCTGAACAGGCCCCGGACCATCGTCTGACCCGTCTAGCCGAATCCGTCCTCGGCTTTCCGTCCTTTCACGCTCTCAACACGCCAATTTACAACATCTCCCATACCCGCCCGCAGCTAGAATGGCAGCTCGAGGTCCTGCCGGTGCGCGCGGCCTGAGCAACCGGTTTGCCCAGTTCAAGCTGGTCCTGCTGGGTATGTCTGCTCGCGGCCGTCGTTGTCTTGTCTCTTGTCTCGCCCGATGCTCGATGCTAACAGGTCTGCAGGTGAATCTGCAGTTGGAAAGGTGTGACCTGCCATCCCTCTCGTCTTCGCACCAGCCCCAGCTAATTAGCCCCCTGCAGAGCTCCATTGTCCTCCGCTTCGTCAAGGACCAGTTCGACTCGTACCGGGAATCCACCATCGGCGCCGCCTTCCTGACCCAGACCATTTCGCTCGACGAGACCACGACGGTCAAGTTTGAGATCTGGGATACGGCCGGCCAGGAGCGGTACAAGTCTCTGGCACCCATGTACTACCGAAATGCAAACTGCGCCGTCGTTGTGTACGACATTACACAAGCCGTAAGCATTTCTTTCTTTTAGGTCTCCCCCCGCAGTCTCTACTCTCTCCCCTGCTCACACGCCCAGTCCTCCCTCGACAAGGCCAAGGCCTGGGTCAAGGAGCTCCAGCGCCAGGCCAACGAGAATATCATTATCGCGCTGGCCGGAAACAAGCTCGACCTGGTAACGGAGCAGCCGGACAAGCGGGCAATTCCCGAGGCTGAGGCTGAGGCCTACGCAAAGGAGGCCGGCCTGCTCTTCTTTGAGACGTCAGCCAAGACGGCCGAGAATGTCACGGAGCTGTTCACGGCGATAGCAAAGAAGCTGCCGCTCGACCAGGCCGGTCCCGGACGTGCGCGGCCAGGCCAGCGACCGGGCGTCACCCTGGCCCCCGAGGGCGCCAACACGCAGTCTGCTGGTGCGTGTGCCTGCTAAGCGACCACGTCGGTGGGGAGAAGAGGACATGGGCAACATAGACTGGCCCGAGGAAGGAAACCTGCCATCTTATTCTGTTTTTTCTCTCTTTTCTATTTTCTCTATTTTTTTTTATTTTTTCCTGTGCTTTTTTCCTGTTGCTTGAGGTCTCTGCTCGTCTCCATCTGCGCGTCGCTTAATTTTCCGTACTGTCGTGCGTTCTCAATTCCCTCGTTCCAATTCCCGGTAAACGCATTATTCTCTGCCTCCCTCTCTGTCTCTCGCTGTCCCCTATACTGGTCATGCCGGTGTGCAAAGCTTGTCTTGCTCCGAATCTCCGGCACGCTGAACCTGGCCATGTTCTCTCCATGTGTGTTTAGTTGTCGCTGTACAAGTATGCAGTAATAGAAAGCAGTCGCGTTGCAATGAAGGCTTGTTCCAATTTAGCTGTGCTGGGTGGGTGGTGGTGTTTATGCAATTAATTTAGGAATAAATTTTAATGCCATTACCGAAAATTATCCCTCATCCCATCCGTCCTATTTTCTTGAGGTGCAAAAAACCAGATTGGGGAACCGACGAAACGCCTAATCGACACGCCAGTCCGTCGACCCAACCACTGCAGCATCAATTCGTCTGCGCCCGTTTGTCCATTCCTTATTTTGCGGTCCCTGGGAGGAATCACCGTCTCTGGCCGACGGAGGATCTGTTTCTTTCTATTTCTGATCATTTCACCTGTCGTCATGCTGCGGACTTCCATTCGATCTGCGCAGTCCCTGCGCAGCCGGACCCTGCTCGCGGCAGCAGCAGCTCCGGCAGCAGCCGGGCGGACGGTCAGCATCAGCAGCAAGGTAGGAAGAGGGTGTGACAGGCGGCAATGGATGGGAGTGTTGCCGTGGATGGTATGCTGACAGATGTGTGCGGGCAGCGATTGTATGCCACGGATCCCAAGGTCACGCCGGCCATTCATGCGACGACAACGACGACGGTGCCACCACCACCGGCAGCTACGATGGCAGCAGCAGCAGCGGTAGCGCCGCGCAAGGGCGGGTTCTTCCGGAAGCTGCGCAACTACGTGCTGACGCTCTCGATCCTGGGAGCGCTCGGGTTTGGCGGCGGCGTGTGGTGCTCGCGGATTAACGACAACTTCCACGACTTTTTCACCGAGTACGTGCCGTACGGCGAGCAGGCGGTGCTATACCTAGAGGAGCTAGAGTTCCAGAAGCGGGTGCCGACGATGGCGCAACGCCTGGGCGGACAGCAGCCGCGGGACACGGGGTCCAATGTGCGGGTGCCGGCACAGAGCGGAGCATCGTGGCGGGTGGCGGATTCGGAGAGCAGCCGGCAAACGGGCTCGACGGCGGCGGTGGCAGCAGCAGCACCAGCACCAGCAGCAGCGCCATCGACCAAGGCGGAGGCCCGGGTAATCTCAGTGAAGCCGGCCAAGGACGAGGACGTGATTGCGAACGTGCTGGCGAAGCAGGCGGCGAGCAAGACAGCAGCGGCAGCCGAGGCAGCAGTGGTGCGGAGCACGGACAAGGCCAAGGCCAAGAAGACGACGACATTGGGATACCGGGCGCCAGAGGTGGACGAGCCATCGCGGTGGCCGCCGGCATCGCCAATCGACCCGCTAGCGGTCCGGGACGCGACGGAGCCGGTGGTGCAGGACATTGTGCACGTGCTGAACGACATCATCACGGTGATCAATGCAGATCGGGCGGCCGATCGGTACGGGGCAACGATCGGCAAGGCCAAGGCGGAGGTAGACCGGATCGGGGGCAAGATCCAAGCGATCCGGGCAGGTGCAGAGCAGGCAGCAGCTCAACAGGTGCGGGCGCGGACGGACGGTTTTGAAAAGGCGGCGCGCGAGCTCGTCAGCCGTGTGGAGAGAGCCATGGTCGCTCAGGAGGCGCAGTGGCGGCAGACGGTGGACGTGGAGCTGGCGCGGGTTCGGGGCAGCTACGAGGAGCGGCTGGCGCTAGCAACAGCGCGCGAGCGACAGCTCAGCGAGGAGCGGCTGCAGAACGAGCTGCTGGAGCAGGCGGTACAGCTGACGGGGCAGTTTGCCGAGGAGCTACGGACGCGGGTCGAGGCCGAGCGGGACGGCCGGCTGGGACGTCTGCGGGCGCTGTCGGACGACGTGGCCGGTCTCGAGCGCCTGACGGCCGGCTGGACGGCCGTGGTCGATGCTAGCGAGCGGGCGCAGCAGCTGCACGTCGCCGTCGACGCCGTCCGGGCCCGTCTTTCTGATGAGTCAGCAACCAAAGCCACAACGGAGCCGTTTGTGCGCGAGCTCGTGGCCGTCAAGGAGATTGCCGGCGGCGACGCCGCGGTGGATGCGGCCATTGCGTCGATCCCGCCGGCCGCATACCAGCGTGGCATTCCGTCGGCGCCGGCCATCATCGACCGGTTCCGTCGTGTCGCTGCCGAGGTCCGCAAGGCCGCCCTCCTGCCCGAGGACGCCGGCGTGGCCAGCCACGCGTCCAGCTACATCCTCAGCAAGGTGCTCTTCAAGCGGCAGCCAGCCGTGGCGCCGCAGCCTGTGCCGTCCGCCACGACGGCGGCCGGTGGCGGTACCCCCACCGCCGACGACGTCGAGGGCATCCTCGCCCGCACCCAGGCGCTGCTCGAGGAGGGCAACCTCGACGGGGCGGCGCGCGAGGTCAACGGGCTCCAGGGCTGGGCCAAGACGCTCAGCCGCGACTGGCTGGCCGAGGTGCGCAAGGTGCTGGAGGTGCAGCAGGCCGTCGATGTGAGTTTTGTATTCGTGTTTGTGCTGCCGTGGGGAATGTATGTGTGCTGACTAATCAGGTCATCTCTGCCGAGGCGCGGCTGCGCAGTCTCCAGCTCGAAAAGAGCCATGCAAAGTAAGGGAACGGGACGCAGGATGCGATCGAGGCCGACGGACCGGCTGTGGGACTACGACGGCGGTGGACTTGCGCGGCTGTGTACAACAGACAAAAGTAGTAATATGCAGGCAATGTGTCTGTTTCTGTAGGTACTCTGGTTCTGGCATCCTCTGGTTCAGTTTTTCCTTTGTCACTCCTCCATCGTGGCCTCCTCCTTCTTGGCTGTCGCGATGGCCCCGTGCACGATACGCAGATGCCGGACGAGGTTGGTGCGGCGGGCAAAGCCTTCGTCAGCCCGGGGACAGTCGGCAATCGGACAGCAGATCGGCTCGTACTCGGTCTTGCGTGCGGGCACATAGACGACGAGCGGTGGTGGTGGCTGGCCGTCTGCTGTTATGGTCTCTGCTGCGTCTTTTTGTTGGTCTCCTTGTTCTTCCTCTTGTCCTTCAGTCTGACCTTCCTTCTGTCCTTCCTTTTGGCCTTCACTCTGTCCTTCCTTCTGTCTTTCTTTCTTCTCCTTCTCCTTCTCCTCTTCCTCGTCCGTGTAGTCCGGTATGGTATATCGCTCACCCTCTGGCCGAGGCCTGTAGACCGTCCGCCGATGAGCCGTCCGGCCAGGCTGTCGTTTCTTCTTTCCGACCACCCCCCCTCTCTCCCCCTCTTCCCCTCCCAGCGTATCCAGCGCCATGCTCTGGCCGAAGAGGTCGGCGCACCGCTGTGCCGTTCGCGCCACCACGTCTGCCTCGAAACCGGCCAGCGCCGCCGCCCCCAGCACGTCGCTCCAGTCGCGCGGTCGCCACCGGCTCATGAGTCTCGCCTGTGACGCGTCGATGCTGGTTGCCGTCATCGGCCGCCATGCCGGGTGAAGCGGTGGAGGCCCAACGCGGCCGGTCGTGCTGTCCCGGGGAGAGCGAGCAGCGGATCCTGCTTCCTCCTCTTCTCCCCCCGACGAGTCGTCTGACGCGTCTGCCAGCGGCCCCCGCATCCCGACGGCTCGGCCGTTGTGTAGCACCAACAACGCGCGGTCTACTTGGGATATCACGTGACGCACGGATGGTCGCAGCAGTGCTGCCGAGAGCACATCGTCAGACGAGACGGTCGCCGAGACAGTCGCCACGTCAGGACGCCGTCGCTTGTGCGTCTGCCTCGCTCTGGACGTCTCGTCGCCACCGTCATCGTCGCGGTCCCCCTCGTCCTCGCTGCGGCCAGCCTCTTCCTCCGCTTCAGGCCCTGCCCACACCCGTCGCCGGAAGCGCTCCTTGGCCAGCCGCAGGATCGTCGCGGTCAGCTCCTCCTCCAGCGGCTCGCTCGGCCTCCCGATCCGGGCTCTGCCTCCGCCGTGGCCGTAGTACTCGTCGTCGTCGGCGGCGTCGTCGTCCCATCCGTGGCGCCGTCCGTCAGCCCCCATGCGCTGCGGCCAGGCTGTCCAGGGCGGTCTCGGCATCCAGATTCTTCGTCTCTTTCGTTGGCCAGATTGTTCTTCTTGTTCCTTCTTTCCATCTCCTCCATTTTCGTCCCCTTCTTCTCCTTCTCCTCTCTCTCTCTCTTTGTCTTCAATTCTTCCCTCTCCATCTCTTCCTTCGTCCTCCCCCTCTCTCTCCCCTTCCACCCTCTGGAGCTCCTCCTGTCGCTGCTTCAACATCTGCGTGTTGTACAGATGCAACGCCAGATCTCGGTTGCGCACCCGCGTCATCACCCGGGCCACCAACCGATCCTGCGCCGTCATCCGTCGCCATGCTTTCGCCGATCCGTGCCACCGATTCGGCCGTCGCTCGTACAGTTCGTCCGAGCTGCACGACCCGATCTCGTCCGTGTCCATGTCTGACCAGGCCGTCACTACCGCTGCCTCATCCACATCGACCATGTTGGCCGCGTCAGCCTCTCCGTCGACAGCCTCGCGCGCATCGTCCGCACCGTCTGCCCAGTCGTCGATGTTCATCGTGCGGGTGTGCGTGTCGTCTAAACCGGGTGTGCAAGCGAGTCGAGAGAATTTTTAGTGGGGCCGATATGCAGGACTGCAGTACTCCATATGCAGCCTCGCTCTCGCTGTAACTAACTACGCTTCCACACATCGCTTCATTCCAAATGCAGACAAAAATAATTTCATAACTAAGCAACGACAAATCCACGAGGCCACCAGACCACCTTGACCACTTTATCGATGCAACAGGGCACCTCTATGTCCGCCTTTCTTTTGCTCTTTCTCTCGTTCTTTGCATCATTCCCTCTCTCTTCCTCTCCCTCTCGTCCTCTCGTCCTCTCTCCCTCTTCCTTTCTCTTCCTTTCATCCTTTCATCCTTTCCTCCCCTCCTCTACCCCCTCCATCTACGCCTCCTTGGCCTGCTTCCGCTCAATCTTGCGCCGCTTAGCCCGCAGCTTTTCGTCCTCCGCGCTGCGCTTGTTGTTGCTGTACATCATCTGCTCGTACAGCCTCCGCTTCTTCTTCGACAGCATGCCCTTGGCCCGGTCCAGCTCCTCCTGCTTCTGCCGTGTCGCCTTGGCCACCGCCTTGCGTGCTGCTGCCTTGGCCTCGGCCTTGGCGCTGACCTGTTTGCTGCGCACCGGCTTGCCCGCCAGCTCCGCCTCGAGCTCCAGCTGCCGCTGCAGCGCCTCCGAGGCCTCCTCGTCCTGCCCGTCGTCCGAGCCAACATCGACTTCTTCCACGGCCGCCTTGACGTCTTCGTCCGCATTCTCGTCTTCGTCTTCGTCCGCATCCTCGTCCTCGTCTTCGTCGTCTTCCGAGGCCGCCACGTCCATGCCGCCATCCTCGTCCTCGTCCTCGCTTTCCACCCGCTTTCCCGTCTTCTTTTTCTCGGTCTGGCTCACGGTCATCTCTCCCTCCTCGTCCTCCTCCTCGTCTTCCACGTCTGACGCCAGTGCCTCCGCCTCCGTCTGCTGCAGCTCCAGCGGCAGCGAGGGATCGTACTGGCCCGGCGCGCTCTTGACAAACGGGCTCAGATGCGGCGGCAGCTGCGCCCCCGGCGCGTACAGGTCCGGCCGCTGCAGCTCCTCCTCGTTGATGCTGTCCCACACCCACTGCGGTTGCACGTAGATTCGCCCCGGCACCCGCCGGTTCGGCCCCAGCTTCACGGCCGTCTGATTGTCCTCGGCCACTGCCACCGCCGTCACCGCCACCGCCTCCTCGGCTGCCACCTGCACCGGCGGCCGGTCCACGATCTGGTGCGTAATCGTCGGGTCCAGCTCGTCTGTCGTGAATGCGCCCTCGCCCAGGACCGCGTCCCATCCGATCCGCCGGCACCCAAATGCCCGCAGCATAAACTCCAGCGACGGCCGCGGCGTCTCGCGCGACAGGTAGATCGTGCACTTGGCAAACAGCCGGCTCGGCCGGCTCGTGCTATACGACGGCTGCGGCAGGTCGTGGCCGCCCGGCAGCGCCGGCTCAAACTTGTCGATGCCGTTTTCGTTTTCGTTTTCGTTTTCGTTGGTCGCCGCCACGAGCTCACTCTCCTCCGGAGAGACCGCCTTGTCTGCCACCTGGTCGCCCGTCTCTTCCTGTAGCTCCTGCACCACCTTATTCACCTCCGCCTGCACCTCGGGGTCCGGCCCGTGTGCGAGCAGCTTCTGCTCGCCGCCGTCCACCGCAGCCGTAGTCCCGTCGACCGCGGCGCCCTCGAGCGTGAACGCATCCAGCTCTCCACCAGCATCGTCCTTGGTCTGGTCGAACCGGGGCGGGTACTTCAGGCCCACGGCCGTGTACAGGCGGTAGTTGACAAAGCCCAGTAGCGTCATGTAGAACTCGACAAACGTGCCCATGATGCGGAAGTCAATGTCGCCGACGACGCGCTGGTTGAACTTGTACGGCACCAGCCAGAGCACGTCTTCGCCCTGGATCGTCGCCTGGTAGTAAATGCCCTTGATGGACAGGAACGACTTGCGCAGGCTGTGCGACACGATCAGGTAGTGCTGGAACTCCAGGCAGAGCCGCTCGCATCGCGCAATCATCTTGGGCGGCACGGACGACGTGGCCGGCAGGCTGGCAAACAGAAAGAGCATCGACAGGCAGTCGTCCAGGTCGCGCAGCGCGTCCGCAAACGTCGGGTAGCGCTCACGCACCACGTGGTCCAGCGTGTACCGCGGCTTGCCTGTCTTCTCCGGCCGCGCCGCGTTGCGCTCGAACCGCTTGGCATCGCTGATGTCGCCGCGGCCGAGAGCCCGTGAGATCTTCTTCTCCAGCACCTTCTGCTCCCGGAACTTGGCCACCAGCGGCTCATGAAGCAGGTACTGGATGTCCTTGGTGTAGTAGAACGTCGTCGACGCCGTCGACGACTTGGACACCTTCTTCTTGCTGCGCGGCTCCCGCGGGTAGATGCCCTTCCAGATGCACAGCTGCCGGAAGTCGGGCAGGCTCAACTGCAGCTTCCGGATCGCCTGGTTGCGCGTCACATAGTTCTTCGCCGCACCGGCCTCTCCTCTTCTCTTCGGGCGTGCCATCCTTGCTGCTGATTGGGCTGTCTGCTGCGTGTCCGCTGCTGATGTTCGGTAGCAAGCCAGTCTTTGGGGCTTCCAGTCCTCGTCCGCCTCTTTTTTTCCTACACTATTTTTTTTTTTCTGCCGGAAACTTTTTTGGACTGGACCCACCACGTATTGCCCGGGGTCACTCACCGCCTACACGGACAGCCACGGCCAGCAGCCACAGCACGCAGCCACATTCCAGCACTAGCCGCTGCGGCCAATCAGCAGTCTTCGCGTCGCCATCACGCCAACTTGCATCTTTGTCTGGTATATTCGTTCCCACGCTCGAGAACGGTCTGCCTCGCTCTGCGCGCCCCAATGCACCTTGCAGGGCAATGGATGGCGGATCAAGCATGACTGTTGGCGGGAGGACGGCGAGCCTGTATGTGGCCGCCGCCGCCGTCCGGCTCTTCCTCTTTACCTTTTTTCCCCGGCTGCCTGACCTTTTGACTGGACGTGTTGAGATCTCCACGCCGGTGACCAGCTTCAAGCGATGTGGGTACTATCTTGTCCCCTCTGTCAGCCGTCGCGCTTGTTCCTTGCTGACCTGCTATAGTGCAAGAGGGTCTCTTCCTCTACAACCACAACGTGTCGCCCTACGATGGCGGCGTCTACCACCAGGCGCCGCTTCTGCTGCCGCTCTTCTCTTTGCTCCCGAGCGTCAAGACGCTTCCGATCTTCACCGACCTTCTCTACATTGTCGTCGATCTGCTGTGTGCCAGTGCGCTCTACTCGATTGCCGAGTCTGGCGAGGCCGGCGCTTCGGCACGGTTCAAGTCGCCGCGTCGGGACAAGCGATGGAGTGGATTTGTGATTGCAGCAGTGTAAGTCTTTTGCTCTTCTGCTCTTCTGCTCTTCTGCTCTTCGCTGACCTCTAGTTTCCTCTTCAACCCCTTCACCATCGCAACGTGCGTCGGTCGCTCGACCACCGTCTTCTCCACCTGCGCCATTCTCTACGCCATCGCCAGGGCTATTGCAGGTGCTCCCATCAGCGCCATGGTCTCGCTCTCTTTCGCCGCCTATCTGTCCATGTACCCCCTCCTACTACTACCACCACTCGTTCTGCTTGCCTTTGACCGCCAGCGGCCTTCCCAGCACGCAATCTCCTCGCTGTTGCCGTTTGCCACCACCCTCGTGCTGGCCGTGGCCGGCTGCCTCGCCGCCCTGCTCGCCATGTCCTACTTCCTCACCGACCACTCCTGGGAATTCCTGAGCTCGACGTATGGCGTGCAGCTGACGCTGTCGGACCTGGCGCCCAACGTTGGCCTCTGGTGGTACTTTTTCATCCAGATGTTCGACCCGTTCCGCTCCTTCTTTGTCGCCGTCTTCTGGCTGCACCTCTCCAGCTATGTCGGTGGCCTCTCGATTCGCATCCGCAGCCAACCACTCGTCGTGCTGACGCTGCTGTGCGGCATCTTTGCCATTTTCAAGCCGTATCCCGGCATCGGCGACACTGGCCTCTTCCTTGCCCTCGTGCCGCTCTTCCGCCACGTCTTCCCCCTGATGCGCTACACCTTCTTCGTCGCTGCCACCATCATGTACGCCAGCTTCCTCGGCCCGGCCTTCTACCATCTCTGGATCTACGCCGGCAGCGGAAACGCAAACTTCTTCTACGCCATCACGCTCGTCTGGAGCCTCGGCCAGAGCCTGCTGGTGTCGGACCTGACCTTTGCCATCCTGCGCGACGAGTGGGAGGTCGAGCGGCCCGAGATGGTCGGCAAGGAGATCCGCCAGATCTAGCTTGTCCTCGTCTCTTTTCGCATTTTCACTGATGACTGTACGGCATTGTATATTCCAGCATGGATGGCCACAACTGGCTGGTTAAAAGGCCAATGTGTATAATAGAAGGGGAGAAAATTGTCAGAGGGGGATCTCTTATCTGCCCCTGTTTTATATTAAGCAAAATCAAGTGGCCCCAACGCCCAATTCTAGAATGCTGCGAGCACAGTGCGGCTTGCTTTTCCCACCAACCTCCTGAGCGAAATGCCACCAGTCTTGACGCCATCACAGCGACGACAAAATGACGCCTGCAGCCCCAAGGCCGAGAAGTGACGTTTGGGGCAGCCGGCTGTAGACGACGACAGGCGCACCAAACGGCGGCAAATTCCGGTAGCCCAGCAGGAGGCCGACAGCCAGGGCCGCGCCGGTGAGGGTCGAGCAGAGGGCGACGATGCGGCGACGCCGTGCGGCCGCAACGTCTTGGCGCCAGGGGTTCCGCCCATTCTCGTCGTCGCTGTCGTCCAGGCGGATGACTCGATACAGCCAGACGAGCCACTCGCCGCTGAAGCCGGGGATGCCGTGGATGATGCCATGGACGGTGCGCAACCACAGGGGATTGAGGTGAGAGGGTGTGAGGGAGAGCAGGGACTCCTTCCGGCCTTTCTGGCCCTTCTGGCCGTCACAGCCAAAGGCGGCCTGGCGCATGTCGGCCACAAAATCGGCCAAGCCGGGATAGTGGCGACGCAGGGCGTCGCGGAGAAACGGCCGCGGCACGTCGGGCACGGTCATGAGCGCGAGGTAGCCAAAGGCGAGGCAGTCGAGCGACGACGGGTGCAGCAGCAACGCCGGCAGTCGAGCGGTCTCGTCTGTCGTGCAGTCGGGCCGCAGAAAGAGCCGCTTGTTGGCCTTGCGCTCGGCCAGGACCGAGAGACAGGCTCGGGCAGTCTCGTCGAGCCGGATCTGGGCTCTGGCCTCGGGCGTGAGGGCACTGCTGATGGGCGCTTTGGATGATCCCGGTGCTGGCCCCCCTTCCCCTGCCTCCCTCCGTCGTGCCGTTCGCAGTCGGTCGGGAAAGACCTGCAGCGCGGCCGCCGAGAGAGACGAGGAGAAGTTGAGCGCCGAGGCCGATGTCTGCTCGTCGTCCTCGTCCGTGTCCAAGCTCGTGAGCCCGAGGTGGGCAGCTCCAGTACTGTGCTCGGCTCGCACGGCCGACGGCTCGATCCACGTCAGCGGAAAGGGCAGTACCTGGCTGTAGGCCGGTCGCGTCGTGGCCGACCAGTTCGCCGACGAGACGTACAGCGAGAGCGCCAGCAGCGGTGCCGCCTCGGCGTGCAGAAAGGCACAGTAGGCCGTCGAGTCGGCCGCCTGGATGCGTGTCAGGCCGGCGTCCAGGTCGTCGGCCGCCTGGTCTCCCTCCCGGAGGTAGGCCACGATATCCTCAAAGCCGGCCGCTACCCATTTGCGCAGACGGCCATCTCGTAGGGCTGGCAGCACGCCTGCACAGCATCTTGTCAGCAAGACCAAGCCTTCCCCTATCCTCCCCTTCCCTTCAGACAGACAACTCACGTGGAAGGGCCGATGGGCTCGTGGCCACCAGGGTCCAGCCGTCTCGCGGCACTGCCAGAGAAAAATAGGCAACGGCAGCCAGGCAGTCCGGGTCAATGGACGGCAGGCCAAATGCCGGACCCCAGATGTGCAGTTCCAGGGACATTGTGCAGCACGCTGTATAACTTGCAGCGACACGCTCCTCGCAGTCCCCGTTTCTCCAAAACGGAAGCCGACCGTCTTCTTTCAGCTTTGGCGATGTGGACTACGAGTACGGAGGGTACGGTGTAGATTTGCTATCGACACGTGACGTCACGCCGCAGATAAGGACAGGGTGCTGAAACGACGCAATGCTGCCCAAAAATGGGTTTCGCTACCACATCAGACGGCATAGCTCAGGCCCCCGGGCGGTTTTGGCTTCTCTGCCCACCTGTTTTCTGCCAAACATTTCTCCTTGCTTCCACCTAAAACGCGGGCAGATGCGCTATGACCAGTGCATCGCGAATCAAACTCCCGACCGCTCTCGTACCTGACGCACATGGTGTGCCTGAAGCCTGAACGCTTGTGGGGACGATTGCGAATGACCTGCACAGGTGTTCGCTTAATGTACGAGCCCGTTTTGTGCTGTGACGGCAGATGTATGATGTCGGGGAGCAGAGACAAAATGGGACGACGGCCCCATAGTCGCAGCACTGACCTGTCGCTCCTCCACAGTATCGCCAATGATGAAACCGCTCGCCTCTGCCCAGTGTCCGATTGCGTCGGACAATGCGGCCACTTGCGGCAATGATTATTACATGACGCAGGAGCATACGCAAGATACGACGTAGATCGGCTGCCGCCGGCTTGTTGTCTCTTTTCTTTGGTCTTTCCTGTGCGTGCCCTTGCTTTCCCGTTGTCCCGCTGTCCCGCCTACCCTCCCTTCCTTTTTCCCTCTTTCCTTTTTTATCCCGCGTCCTCGTATCGTGCAGCTGCAGGACCAACACGCAGTTGGCCGATGGAACCGCGGGCCGCGCAAGGCCAGCTAGTGCATAGTGATTGGTAACGGGCGCGGACAATGACGTGACGGCCTCCAAGAGACAGGCAAGATCGCCGATGCAAACCACCTTCCAACGGCCCTGACGGGTCTGCTGATGCGCCGACAGTTGGTCTTTTCTGGGCAGGCTTGACGCAAGGAGGTGGGTTGATAGCCGACGCCCGGCCGAAGGAGAGATAGTGGACGACAGGGCGTGAAGTGAGGGGGATAGAGATAGTACGGAGTACGGAGTGTATCTTACTCGCAATTTCCAACTTATCTGCTTCGTAAAGCCGGTCCTTCAGATTGCGGATCTTGGAATTGGCTGGACTAAGGCACAGACCCGGGGCCTTTCCGCATTCGGCACAACCGGCACAATCGGCCAGACGCATGAAGCCGTGAGACAGAGAGAGAGAGAGAGACGGAGGGAGCAAACAGTCAATGGGAAGATCGGGGAAGGGAGCCTGGCGAGGAACAGCCCCTCCCAGCCCCTCCTACATGCATCCTCCCCTCCCCTCCGAGTCTACTATGTATCTTACCATTGCCGCCGCCGAATCTGAGGCGAGTACGAGCAGACAGAGGGAGCCGCCGGGGTGGAGCAGGCACGTCGAGCTTGTTAGTTAGCCTGGAGGCTGACGAGGGCGAAAAAGATACGTCATTATTTAGCCCAAGCCCAACATACGATAATGGACTAAGAAAGCATGGGTGGCCCGGAGGCCAGGGAGCCGATGGCTACTCTTCCCGTCGGTCAGGTGAAGCAGAACGTAAGTAAAACGCAAATGCGCGGCCCTCATAGCAAACGATGACACGGAGCCGTAGGCCGAGCTGCAGAGTAGTATGCAACATGGCCAAACAGCACGATGTTGGACGGAAACATCCGATTACTCAGGGAGACGGACAGTAGCAGCAGCGTATCAGCAATAAAGTAATCTCTTCAAAGACATTGCCAATGGTAGGGGTATCATGACGATATCAGATATTTCTTAATGACGCCGTGACCCATGCTCTATGTGTACATGATGCGAGGCTAGCAGAGGCTAGCCAGCGCAGAAAGATGATACTCCTCCCATTCTAAAACCCACACCGTTGCTCGTCCAGCTTGACCAGCCTGCAATACTGCAGAATTCCATTGTTCATAAATCAGATTCCCAACCCTCGACAGAAACCGCCCCACTCCTCCAGGGGTTCCATAAATAGCAGAACAAATGCAGGAGCAAAAATAGCAACAAAGCAAAAGGTAAACAGGCATTGATAAAGATTGTATTGGGCAAGGGGGTTGTGATTAAAAGCGATTGTATGGTGGTAGTACAGTGGTGTAGTTGAATTAAAGAACGTGGTGTTTGCTGAATGAAGCGAATGAAGTTTGGGATGCGATGATCCTGTCTGTAGAGCCTGCTAACAGATTCGCTGCCTGCTCTGCCTGGTGGCCAAGGCTAGCACTGACGTCCGGCAGAAGAACCGGATAGGGCAGTAGGCAAAATGTTGCGCGGAAGCATATGCAGCAGCAGCAGCCGCTGGGGACGGTATATGTTTGTCTGGACGTCCTGTGCGCCGACTACTGCATGAGTCGCGGCTTTTGCTCTCCTCGCATTCCATTGGTTGCGCGAGACTTGCATCCCCTTCTCTCCAGAGGCACGGCTGCATTATGCCATGCCACTTCCATGTCGACGGTGGCGTAAAGTGTTGTGTCTGGGTTCCAGATAGGCTTATGGTCCGAAGCCTTGCTTCCCGAGGCGAGAAGGCAGCAGAAATGTGTGAGTTGTGTGGTGTTCGTTCATGGCGTCCGCGATTGCTAGACTGTTGGCATGAAGCTGAAGCTGCTTATTTCGGCAGAGGCGGCAGCGGACGACTTGGCGGCGGGCCCGGGCAGGGCGGGAAGTGAGATGGGCGCTGCTCAAGCATTGCGACGTTTGACTGCTGCATGATGGCTGATGTGATGAGGTTGTGATAGTCGACCTGGGTGTGACTTGACTGCAGGATCCCGTAAGTGGTTGGGGGAGCCTTGAGTTGGACGGTGGTGAGTTGTTGGTTTGTGAGTAGTGAAGTGAGCTTGAAGTTTCCGTTGAGGGCAATGAAGCACCAAGAGTCTGTGGAAGAGTAGATGACCGAGATATGGGAATCAAAAGAAAAAAAAACGAAGATGGGGATTTGGGTGGGCGAGCAGGATAAACTTATATGGACGAGAAAGGTCGGGCAAGGCGCAAAAGACAATTAGAAAGCGAATTACGGGGTATGACAGTGTTCGGCTTGCTTGGAGGGGGGGTGTGCGTGAGAAAGAGAAGGCAGACAAGCAGGCAAGCAGGCAAGCAGGCAAAAAAAGAGACAAGGAGCTAGGATCGGCCGTTTCGAGATGACCTGGACGGCAGAACAGCTGTACGGGAGTTGGCTAGCGCGCTTTTCGTCGCAGTCTTGTGAACACGAGTTAGCGCATGTCCTGGAATGGCTTCTGCTGCCTGGGGCCAGGAGGAAATGGAGCGTTCGCGTGGGCAGGGATGTGTGGAGATGCAGGAGGGGGTGCTCAACAGGGGACAGGGGCCATGGAGGGGACGCTTGTTCGAGTTGTTCCGGCCTCACCGCATCGGTTCCGTCTCCAATGACGCAGTTGCCAGAGCATTCCGTTTTGGCACTGCAAAACGGAGCGCCTTTTTGGCCGTGTTTTTTGTGCACGCTGTCTGCGACACGACTAATCACACAGACCCCGTCGCTCATTCCTCGCGCTCGTAACAAGAAACACGACAGTTTCTATATTGAGCCGCTGCTCGTAAGTGTCTTACGGAGACCCACCATGAATAATACGCCTACGACTATTCGTACATACGACTACGACGTAAGATACTGCTGCGTTCGCAATGCCGCCTCGTGGCCGCAGAGTCGGCCACCTCTCTTGCGTGTGCGTTGGCAATCATAAGATACTATGTAAGCTGTTGGCACACACTGCGTGTTCCGCATCGTCTGCGTCGTCCCCGTTGTCCCCGTCGTCTGCCGTTTCTGCCACTTCTGTAACAAAACGGCCGGCTGACGAAATGCCACGGCCTTTTGTCCGTCTTCACCGCCGTGGCTTCGGATTTGTGTATTTTTATACGACAATCTCGGCAGCATTAGCATTGCATAGTCCTTTGATTGTGTTAAAATGAGACGGGAATAAAAGTAGATCCTGTATGCAGGGTCTGAATGTAATTATAGCCCTAATTTCCGACGGGCAATCATCCCTTTGATCAGGGGGGGCCACAAAGCATATTACCAGCGCTTCCAGGGGTATCGGACCTGGGCGCGAGCCTGATCGCGCCGCCTTGTAGCAGGATTGTCCGGCTAGCGCCGCCAAAAGGTGGCCCCTGGAACAAGACCTACGACAACTGTAACTTGCAGTTCCCGTAAGCGGTGATGCGACAAGGTCCACAGGTCCATGCTGACGTCCAGGCGCCCCACTGGCAATTTTCCCTGGCAAGAAATTTCTTCTTAGAGCCTTCTGCAGGACTTCTAGCGCGGAAGAGAGGTTGCCGGTGGGCCTTGTTGTAAATGAGACCCAACCTTTTTCCTGCCCTTTCGCCTCTTCGCTTGTCCAAGCAGCAGGTTGCAGAAATGCGGTGAATAAGAAAAAAGAGAACGGGGAACGAAGGGGGGTTTCGAGCTTGCTGCACGGAATGTCCCATCCCTAACCGTACGATCAAATTGTTTGTCTGTCTGTCAGTAATGCCACAGCATTGCTGACTCTGATGCTGCTGCTCCGCCCTGTCGCGATCATCAGCTGAATCCTCCACTGCCATCGATCACCATCGGCATCGCCTGGGCGAAATGAACTGGCAAACTGGCAATACTAAATTGCCCAGGGCTGACCCGGGCTCCCTGGGCTCCCTGGAAGTACGAGTACTCCGTATCTTACGTCGTACAGCAGCCAGATTTTTTAAAGTAGGATATCTGGAGCCAGCGGGACGTAAAATAGTAAGTAGAACTTTACGGACAGAGCGGACGCGCTAGGGCCCAAAGGGCCTAGAGAACCAGCCCAGTGGGAGTGTCCACTTTAGGGTGCGCACTGAAGAAAACGGATGGAAAAAAAAAGAAGACGAAAAAGAATGTGAGCACGGCTCTGCGCATTTCGCATCAGGAGCAGAGACATCACATCATCGAGGGGACAGACCGAAGCGGGGCTGGGTGCCACAAAGTGGCCTGTGGTTTCAGACCTTTCTGTTTGTCTTGTTTTTCTTCTTCCACCGAGCGGGGAGGATTGGCAGGCAACGCAGCCTTTGGGCAGGCGGAAGCGAAGCGAACCCGACAAACACTGCAAGCACAGCGAGCCCTCGTACGAGAGCGTGCTCGTACTATGTAAATAATGCACACACCGATGGTTCCGGAGAGCCTGCTGGTGCTACCTACTATGTACATAGTAGGTATGGATCATCAAGTTCCCCTCCGACTTCTTTTCCTCCGGCCGATCGCGGTCCTGAAACCGGATTGGATGGCCAACATCTGCCAGGATCCGTGGGACGCGAGCCAAGTTTTGTCTTTGTCGACAACGACATGGCCCGGTGACCGCATAACCATTTTACGGCTAATAAACGTCGTGCCCCAGTAGCTCAAAGGATCCACGGGTAGGGTTCAGCAGCGCTAGCCATGTGTGATGCGCTCGTTTGGGCCCAAAGAAAACTTTGGCCATGCGCTTTTATAAAATTGGGATACGTATACATACGGAGTAGTGCTTTTTGATTTGTGCTGATCCTACGCTATTGTGCATCTGGACGGGCGCACATCCCAGCGCCAAACGGATGCGCCCAATGTAACATCGTCTGGCCTGTTTGGCGCCCATTCTGCTCACCGTATCGGTCAGAGAACTAGGTGGTGAGTCATGGCCGACCGCCGAACGAAAATAAACGAGAAGTACGGAGTAAGAACCATGTATTAGAGATAGGTGAGATAGAAAAGAGTTTTCCGGAAAGCCCACGTCGTAGGAGCGATAATACAGAGTGCAGCATACCATGTATGCAAGATACGATAATACGAAGGAGCTAAACGGCCAAACGGCTCCTTGGCGAAGGCCAAGCGCTTACGACCTGCTCACTCGTATGGGGTACTGCGATGTGTTCTGCCTCATGACCTCTGACATCACCGGCGCCTTTACTAATGGCGACATGCTCAGGCGGACGCTGAGCCGCAATCCTTCCGTGGCTCGGAGCACACGAACGGCAAGATATACGATACCAACGTATCTTACTCCGTAAAACGGCCTACTGCGTATGCGTATGCAAATCTGACATGCAGGCAAGAGAAAAACGAGGCTGGCCGGTGATCCTGCCACATCGTCTGGGCGACAAACGATAAGCGGCGCGTTTAGGGCGGCACAGAAGTATCTTGCTCGTGGTGTTCGTTCTGCTGTGCTACTATGTATGTACGAGTACGTATAGCAAGGCTGTGCACACCGTATGCATCGCAGTGGGGTACGAGAAGGGGAAGGGGGGGGGGGGTGTGGGATGGGTGAAAAAGACAGAAGGAAAGGAAGAGGCGGCAGTGGGTGGCAGTGGCACGAGGCGTCAGCAGCCGATCTCGCGAGAACCAGCACAAGCAGTGTCGTATTTGGTGTGAGGTTGTCTGTACGAGTACGAGTACTCTGTATGCGAATAGTATGTGCCGGTGAGATGATGTAATTCTGGTAACATTCACATTGTGTCTTGAATCTACTTCGGTAATGTATTGGGGGGGGAGATCGAGAGTGGCTCTCGGCATCCTGCAGCAAGAACTGATTAGCACGTGTGAAACACGCAGATATGACCTGCATGTAAGACCACCGTTGATTGCCTGGCCGTCTGCCTGATCTGGCTGCTGCTTCTGACTTGCAGAGGCAGTGTGCTATGGCGCATGCCTTTTCGGGGCAAAAGAGCCGACGCCGGATTGCGGTCTTGCTGCCCAGCACGGCGGCAAGTTCTCTCGTCGTCCTGGGGCTTATCGTGAGATCCTTATGGTGGCTGGTTTTGCGAGGGCATTGCGTCGTATGTGCACCACTGTACGAGTACGAGCACTACGAGTACGTCGTATGTACTCCGTTGTCCGTAGGACTACGCGTAATAAGCAATCTCGCATCGTCGGCTTCTGTACGGGCACTAGCTTATTCTTGTGGCTGCCCTTGCTCCGTGCTCGCGTCTTTGCGCCCTCTTTTCGTGACCGCATCGGAAGAGGATCAGGCGGCTAAGGCGCTGAATTTGAAGTTGAGCTGAGGCGCCCATACGCCGGCGCCTTTCCCCTTTGATCGCAGGGTTATGCTGCGCAAATGCACCAGAACAGGAAGGCAGCTCGTGAGATAAGATTCCTCCCTGTCCTCCCTGTTCGCAAACGGAGCCGAAATGCGGCCTCCGTTTGTGCTTGTGTGCTGATATGTCTTATGGCGGCTGTTGGCGGTTGAGAAGTTGCTGACCAATCAGCAGCCGTTTCCCACACGGGCGCATTTCTGCTTTCGGCGAGGCCTCTTTTTTTTCTCGCTTCCTCTTCCCTTTTCAGCTTGAACGGACGGCCCCCTTCCTTCGTTTCTTTGTTCCTGCCCGCTATGCCTCGTTTTCTTCATGCTACTACGAGAATGTAGCGGCAACGCAAGGGAGGAACCAGGACGCCGACCTGTCGATCACCCTACTTCGTATCTTACCTCATCCACGTGGAGGCTTACATACGTCGTAAGATACGTCGTATTGCGACGGACGCCGTCATAGTAGTAAAAGAAAATAGAGGGAAAAACTGCGTGACCCGTCTGTCCCTTGTCCAGCTGAATGGGCAGCCTGCCTGATCGGGCGAAGTCATTCCACCTGGCTGCGAGGATCGAGGGAATGGCAAGCCCAAGGCCATTTCCAGTTCAGCCGTCACAGCCGTCACAACCGTCACAATCGTCACAGCCGTTCCAGGCCGCCCAAAAGCCGTTGGCCTAGTAAGCCGTTATCATGCCTCGCGCTCAGTTGTGCTCAGAGTGGCTTGCGAACCCTGCTCGAGGCGCTCCGGTCGTTCTGTTGGCTGTTGGCCTGTGCAGGTTTTGTTCATGGCCAAGCATTATCATCGCTAACCCCACACGCCCCTATCCTCTCTGTCGGTGTCCCTCGACGTGAGCAGTGGCCACCATCTGTCAGGAAGGGAAGAAAGAGCCAACTGCCGAGGAAACAGAGGAGGCAGCCGGGAAACATGTTGGCCTGCACAACCGGCATCTATGACTGCCAAATTGCATTGTAGTGACACAATATGTCCTGGTTCTCCGCCCGGTTTTCCGAAGCGCGCGCGTCTTTCTCAGCTGCGCACCCCGACCGACGCCAAGAGACCAGCCCGTCATGCTGAAAGCCACGCGCGTGCTCTCGGACAAGTCCGACATACGTCGTAATGGACAGGACAGGACCTGGGCTTTGTCTTGGTCCTCCCACTTACGCCACCACGACTGTTACAGCCCGAAGAAGAAAAGAAGGCGGTTGGAAGCTGGAGGGCAATCTGTCCTCGTATCGACTGTCCAGACATCGGCAGCGCCCCACCCCGCTCGAAAAAGGGGCAGACATGAGACTAAAGCAGAATGGAGGGCGAGTTGCGAGCATGTCTCGTAGAGAGGCGAAAAAACTACTAAAAAAAACCAGTCCACAAGCAGGTCCCCAGAGAGGAAGAAAATTGCCTGCAAGGGACCCGTGTCTTCCCACGTGGAAAACAGGGTACGTTTCTGGTGGGAGATTGCAGTTTTCCCCTGAGTGGGTCCTCGACAGGGGCTCAAGATTATTCTCTAGATTCGGCAGACGGCAAACGGACACATCGCGAAACGGACGATTTGTTCCTTCCATTCTCCGCTCCCATCGGTTTCCAAGGGCATGAGATTCCCCTCATAATCACGAGTAAGATACGAGTGCGGTCCCGTCAGTGGGCATAACCTGTATTATTGTGGATGACTTGCCAGGCAGCCTGGCAATCAAACATGATCCCGGTCCGATCTTTCTGGTTATCAGACACGACCTGCCATCTGTCGGACGGCCGGTCAACGTCAGCATAAGAGGTGGCGAATCGAGAGAACGTCGGGCAAGGCGGTGTGCTTCCGTGGGGAAATCAAAGGCGTGTTCTACATAGTAGCCGGTTTCAAAGCTACTACGGAAATGAAACTGGAGCATGATTTTTTTTTACTGGATTTTCGGCCTTGTTCACAGCCATGTATGCATGTCCATAGCAGTACTCGTACAAGCAGTCGTGCGCGTTCGTGCGCTCACCTTACATATACGTAGTGCATTATCATACACCCTGCCTCGGCATACTACGGAGTACGAGTATAGAATACGGCCATTTGCACTCCACCTGCGCATCACATGCTGCTGGTCAGATACAATGTCGTATTATGCGCCGATACAATGTAGCATCTTACTTTTGGCTGTGAAACAGCGGCATTTCCGTCGCGGTGGCGACGATGTGACTCGCCCCAAGGCCCCGTAAATGTGCTCGGAAAGTGCTGCGACCAGATCGAGCGTGCACGCCCTCTTCCGGAGGCTCGGCAGGGTAGTCATGGTCTGATGGCCTGGCCACGAACGTGTGGCTCAATGCTAGGTGGTATTGTGTGGTTGTGGTGATCTGCTGCTGCTCGGCTGTTCGACCGGCTTCTGCCTGGACGTGGGCGAGGGCGGCGTGACCGTGACAGGGCATCGTCTGACTGGCATCGACCGTCCTTGTTCACGGCACGTCGGCCTCCATCGCTTCCGGCACCGCCTGCGTCGACGCAATCCAATTCTCCATGGCAGCGAGGCCGGCCGGCCGTGCTGCAGCGGTGCTGGCACCCGTCGGGCCGGTGCTGCGGCTCTTTGTCTTGGCTGTGGTGTTCTTGTTGTTGATGCTGATGGCCGCGGGCGTGCGCTTCTTGATCACGAGGCAGAGCACGCGTCCGTAGATGGCAAAGCCCTCGTAGAGGACGTCCATGGCGAGTTTTTCTTTTTTGCTGTCGGGGCCGTTTTCGGTCGTCTTGGCTCGCGATCGCTTGGCCGGAGGCCTATCCGTGCCGGAATGGTCGGAATGGTCGGATTTGCCGTCGTCGTCGTCGTCATCGTCATCGCCCTCGTCCTCGCTGTCGTCCACCTGCACCGCAACCTGCCGTTGGCGCTTGCTGCGACGTGTGCCCGCCACCTCGCCGTCCTCGCTGCCGGCCGGCACGGCAGCAATCGCAGGGATGTTCTGCAGGACAGCAGCCGGTGCCTCGTCGTCGCTGTCCTGACGCAGCAGCGTAGGCGGGACCGCGTCCACGTCGACGGGCGTGTCCAGCGAGGCGCCCGTCAGCCTGGTCGAATTGGACACCAGCCGGGTCTGGGTCTTGTCGCGGGCCTTGCGGTGCTTTCGCAGCAGCGAGTGTCGGGTCTCGGTCTCGGTCAGGAACAGGGACACCTCAAAGTCGTCTGTCCAAGGCAGTCAGCATCGTGTATTGCGTCCAGCGCACCACACCGCACGCCACCGCAGCCCACCTTCGACAAGGACATCCTTGATGACACCCTTGTTCTTGGCGCCCTTCTTGCGGGCACGCTCGCGCTCCTCGACCAGCTTCGGCAGCACCAGCGGACGGATGCTCTCGAGGACGCGCGGCAGCACGGGATCGCGCGGGTGCAGCAGCCACGACTGGGCCAGGGCGGGGTTGTCGAGGTAGATGCGACACTCGAGCACGGAGTACTTGGTGATGCGGAGGTAACGGCGCAGGGGGGCCATGCTGGCTGTGGTCATAGGCGTAGTGCCCTCGCCCTCTCGTTCTCTGGCCGATCCAAGATCGAATATGACATGGCAGACGTGATGAGTAAATTAAAGTGGGTCCACAGTATGGGGTAACGGGAAAGACTGGGACGGAAAAATTCGAGAACTCACAAAGAGTGCATCTTAGACGACAAGAACGTCCTTCTCGACAGCACCAGCTTGTCCACCTTCGCCATCGGACTCGTTGCGCTGCACATTATGCGTCTGCAGGGACCATGTCAAAGTCATGGGCATCGACGTTGAGGCTGCCCCGATCCACCTTTCCGTACGTGTCCCAGAAGTGCATCGCATGTCTTATCCTTGCTCGACTCTCGTCTGATCGTCGTGACCAGACCGCGGCCGCTGCCGGAACGCAGACCGGTGTACCTCCAGCGCAGTGCGGATGATCTATACCGGTGGCAGGAGGCCCATCGGCCAGCGCACCGGCCGTTTGTCGTGCACGACGGACCGCCGTATGCCAACGGGACTCTGCATGTCGGCCATGCTCTCAACAAGATCCTCAAGGACATGAGCCTGCGCGTGCAGCTGCAACAGGGCCGCCGCGTGCGCTACGTGCCCGGCTGGGACTGCCACGGCCTGCCGATTGAGCTCAAGGCGCTGGCGGCGTTTCCGGCCTCACCCTCACCCGTGGCCATCCGCAAGGCTGCTCGCGACCTCGCTGCCCGCACCGTGCTCGAGCAGATGCGCGAGTTTCGCCGCTTCGGCGTCATGGCCGACTGGGACGGCCGCTGGCGCACCATGGACGCAGCCTACGAAGTCCGCCAGCTGCGCCTCTTTCAGCAGCTCGTCCACAAGGGCCTCATCTACCGTCGCTACAAGCCCGTCTACTGGTCGCCATCGTCGCGCACCGCCCTGGCCGAGGCCGAGCTCGAGTACAGCGACCGCCACCTCTCGACGGCCGCGTTTGTTCAGTTTCCCATTGTCGGCGGTGTCGGCCGCCTCGACTGCCTGGCCGGCCTCCGTCCTGGTCCTCTCTCTGCTGTCATCTGGACCACCACACCCTGGACCCTGCCGGCGAATGAGGCTATTGCCGTGCACCGCGACCTGGACTATGCCGTCGTCCGGATCCGGACCGACAGCTCCGATGCCCCCGAATACCTGCTCGTGGCCGAGGCCTGTCTCGAGACGTTCAGCAGCATGTGCTGCCGCGAGCCGGACATGCTGTCAGACGTCGTCGCGCGCGCCATTCCCGGCTCCGACCTGCTCGGGCTGCAGTACGTCAATAGTCTGCGCGGTCGCAGCGCCCAGCCCCAGCCCATCATCCACGCCAGCTTCGTCACGGCTGGCTCGGGCTCGGGGCTGGTGCACATTGCACCTGGTCACGGCTTTGAGGACTACGAAGTCGGCATGAGCCACGGGCTGCCGGTGCCGGCGCCGGTTGACGGCGAGGGCCGGTTCACGGATGCCGCCTTTCCAGATGAACCCGCCCGACTGACCGGCCTCTCAGTGCAGGGCGAGGGCGGCACGGCCGTGCTGGCGCTGCTGGGCTCAGCCGTGCTGGCAACGCACCGGTACCAGCACAAGTACCCGTACGACTGGCGGACGAAGAAGCCGATTATCGTGCGGGCGACGGCACAGTGGTTCGCCGACGTGGCCGAGATCAAGGCCGCCGCCGTGGCCAGCCTGCAGACGGTGCAATTTGTGCCTGAGGCTGGCCGCAGCCGGCTCGAGAGTTTCGTGCAGGGCCGCAGCGAATGGTGCATCTCGCGCCAGCGTGCCTGGGGTGTGCCCATCCCGGCGCTGCTCGGCGACGATGGCAGCGTCGTGCTGACCGAGGCCACCGTCGAGCACATTGTCGACGTCGTGCGCAAGCGTGGCACCGATGCCTGGTGGTCTGACCCGGCGGACGAGCCGGCTTGGATCCCGGCCGAGCTGCTGCATTCGGGCGTAACATATCGTCGCAGCACTGACACCATGGACGTCTGGTTCGACAGTGGCAGCAGCTGGACCCAGGCCAACGACGGCGCCCAGGCCGACGTCTACCTCGAGGGCACCGACCAGCATCGCGGCTGGTTCCAGTCCAGCCTGCTAACGCGTGTGGCTGCTCTCGGCGATTCCGATCTCCAGCCCGACGATCAGTCGCTGGCCCCTTTCAAGACGCTCGTCACCCACGGCTTCCTTCTCGATGGCGACGGCAAGAAGATGTCCAAGTCGCTGGGGAACATTGTGCTGCCGGCCGAGGTCATGGACGGCACGCTGCTGCCGCCGCTGAAGCCGCGCAAGGGCCGGTCCAAAAAGACGGAAAAGACGGAGACGACTGGAGCGCCTGGAGCGCCTGTATATGATGCCCTCGGCCCCGACGCGCTCCGGCTCTGGGTCGCCACCAGCGACTACACCGGTGACGTGGTCCTGAGTCAGGCCGTGCTGCAGGCCGTCCACACGACCTTGACGCGCTACCGCACCATGATCAAGATGCTGCTCGGCTCCATGCACGAGTCGGCCCGCATCGCCCCGCTGACCACTCTGGACCATATGGCCGTGCTGCAGCTGCGCGACGCCATGGCCGATGTGGCCGCTGCTTTTGCCCGCTTCGAGTTCTACAAGGGCATGGCCGGCATCAACCGCTGGCTGGCCAACGACCTGTCGGCCTTTTACCTCGAGGCCGCCAAGGACCGGCTGTACTGCGCCGATGGCGGCGGCGTGCTCGAGCCCATCTTCCTCGGCCTGATGCGCATGCTGGCTCCGGTCGTGCCCATGCTGGTCGAGGAAGCCTGGGACCACGCGCCGGCCTGGCTGACAGAGTGAGTGACAGAAGCGTGACAGGGAAAGGGATGCTGCATTGAAATGCTGACTAAGCAGATCCACTCTCCATCCTCTGCGAGAGCTGTACAAGGCGCCGCTCATCGATGTTGCCCGGCTGCCCGGCGACGAGGCCCAGTTGCGCCAGGCCATACCCGTGGTCATGGCGGCTCACGCGGCTGTCAAGGCGGCGTCTGAGCGTGCCCGCACAGACAAGGTCCTCGGCTCGTCGCTGCAGTGCTCCGTCGTGCTGGAGGTGCCCGTCTCGTCGGCGGCCGAACTACTAAACGAACTCGGAGCCGAGCTCGATGCCATGTTTGTCGTCTCGTCTGTGGCCGTCAATGCGGCCGTACCTGACCACGACTCGGTGGCCTGGCGCTATGCAGCGCCATTCGAGGTCGCCGGCGACAACTGCACCGCCTGGGTGCTGCCACCACGGCAGGCCAAGTGTCCACGTTGTTGGCGCTATGTGGCCGAGGAGGAGGACCAGCTGTGTGGACGCTGTGCCGACGTGGTCAATCACCAGGCAACATGCATGTAAGATAAGCACAAGTGCGCATTGACGTACGAACAAAAAAAAATAGAGCGATATCCTAGCGATACTCTCTCGAAAGAACAATAAACAGCCCGACTCCCAGCAGACTCTCTTCTCGTTGTGCTGCTGCTCCATCAGCCCTTGTATGCCCACAGGGCCGGGTCGAAGCGGACCTCGAAGCTGACGGCGTCAAACGTGCCGATGGCAGCGCTGATGTTGTGGAAGCCCTCGAGGCCGGTGAGGTCAGCGGCGCAGTTGGCGTCGACCTCCTCGTGCAGGTCCCAGCGGCCGTCGATGGTGCCGTTGCGGGTGAAGAAGACCTCGACGTCGATGGAGCGGCCGGTGGTGGTGGTAGCGGGCACGAAGCGCATGCCGAGACCGTAGGTGTCGCCGCGGCGGAAGGGCCGTGTAAAGGAGCGGCCGCCGAGATCGTCGACGACGTAGCGATGGCCATCGTCGCCGTGCACGGCCAGGCTGCCGCGGTGCCAGCCAGGCAGTCGGAAAGCCGGATAGGGCAGGGCGGCCATGCCGAGCGCGAGGCCGATCTCGTCGTCGCGGCTGTCGGGCCGGACAAAGACCTCGTAGTAGGCCGTCTGTCCCGTCGAGCTCAGTAGCGGGCTGTGCAGGCTCGGCGCGTACAGTGCCGGGTAGCCCAGCAGACAGGTGTCAGCAGCTGCGCGGGTTGTCTGCACGGCCCAGACGCCTGGCCGCAATCGCTGCAGCGAGCCGCAGAAGCCGGGCGGTCGGATCAGCCCCGTGTCGTGGGCGGCCACCACTTGACGTGCCCACGGGTCCGCTGTCAGGTCTGCCGACGCGGCCGACGGCAACTGCAGCTCGTGCTCCCGACACCAGGCCGCACCGGCCTCACTCTCGGCCGCGCTCGCATTGTTCGCCGGCGACCGCTCCCACGTCTCGAACACGGCCGGCGGTGGCGGGAAGAGCGCCGTGTCCGGCACCGCCGACTGCCAGTCGTGCTGGCCTGGCGGTGGACCCGGCGGTGGCGCGTAGTCGTCGCTGTTGTTGGCCGTCTTGGCTGGTGAGCCTGCAGTCCCCAAGGTTGGAGGCGGACCCGGCGGTGGCGCATACTGCTCGTACTGCTCCTGCTGCTGCGGCGGCCGGGCCGTCTTGTCGCTGCTGACGCGCACGGCGGCCGGACGAGATGCCATGGCTGAAGGATCGTTGTCTTTGGACCCAAAGCACATGATGCACAGATAGTTGTGTTTACAGGGTGAAGGTAGAATGGGTCGTGTGGTGAGAACTGGTGCTACAGAAATAAGAGCCGGGAAGGAACGGCTGTGCAGATGTATGACAAGCTCGCCCAACGGGCAACAACGTGCGAGGGAAGGAGCAAAGGCCGAGCGAGGAATACGAGAGTCACTGAGGGGTTCTTGCCAAGACAGCAAACGGAAATCAGCGCTAGAGGGTTTCATTGATCACATTGAATCCTATTCTTGCTGCGACTATGTAATCACCAACTACTCGTACTCACATGTCCGTCCAGGTCGACAGCAGCTGCACCACGAACACGGGCGACTCCTCCGGCCCGAGGCTTCGCAAAAACGCCTGCAGCTGTTCGTCCGTGGCGATCTGCACGCGCACCTCTTCGACCATGTCGTCGTCGTCGTCGTCGTCGTCGTCGTCGTCGACGCTGCTGTCGGTCTGCTTGACGTCCAGAGCATCACCATCTCCACCGCTCTCTCCTCCCTCGCCGCGCAGCACGCCCTGAATGAAGCCGCAGAGGACGTGTGGCAGGCCAGCGATGGCGACGGCCCGCAGCTCGGCCACGGTCGGGTCGCTGCCGATGGGCAGGCCGATCCATAACCGGCTGGGCGCCGGATATGTCGACAGTGGGTGCAGCCGGAAGTAGGGGGCGAAGCGGGTGCGCAGAGGCAGCGGCAGCGGCAGGGTCAGCAGGAGTGGTGGGAGTGGAAGCGGCAGAGGAAGCGGAAGTGGCAGCGGCAGGCCTGGCGCAAACGGCAGGGACTGTAGCTGCAGAGAAAAAAGCGACGGCTGAGCATCGACGATCAGCGACGAGAGACCGTCGCCGAGCTGCAGGGGCGGATCGCTGCTAGCGGTGCTTCTCGCCAGGACGCTTTCACTGTCTGCCCTGGCCGGCTGCTTCTTCTGCTTGGGTCGTCGCTGGTCGTCCTGCCACCGCTTCACGACGTCGCGGGCCAGCGCGCCGACAGCTTTGGCGCGTCGGGCCTGCAACGGACTCTTGTCGGTGCCGGGGGCGAGCAGGTCGCGCAGGTGGGCGCAGCGGTCGAGCCAGAGTCGCTGCAGGGCCTGCCAATGGTCCGGACCGGCCTGCTGCTTGCTGGTGAAGCGATCGTCGCGGAGGATGTCGTACAGCGACGAGCGGATGTCGCGGGCCTGTCGCGGGTTCAGGCCGAGCGTGTTGCGAGCCGTTGCCAGGGTCATGCGCTGATCGACCAGCCGGACCCGTTTGCAGATGTCGGTGCAGAGGACGTCGAGGGCGAGCCGGCGCTTGTCGTTCCGCTCGTCGCCCATCATGGCCCGCAGATGTGGCGTCTCGCGCACCAGACGCTCCTTGACGGCCTCCCAGACGGCCGGGCTGGCTTGGGTCTTGCGCACGATGCCGGCCTCGGCACAGATCGCCTGGAACTGTGCGCGCGTTTGGTTGTACAGCCGCGTGGCCTCGCCCGTTCGCTCGGCCAGCCCTAGCACTAGGCGGCTGTGCGAGACCGGCATCTCAGACGGAAAACGAGGCGGTCCCGGCGGATCGGCTGGCAACCCGGCATACGTTCGCGTCCTCCGTCGTCGCTTGCGCATCTCTAGCCTCTCTGTCGACTCCGCCTGTCGCTGCTGCTGCTGCTGCTGCTGCTGGATGTCGTCCAAGTCCACCTCAATCTCCTTCGCCTTGTCCATCTCATTCAAGTTCATCTCCATCTCCATCTCCACCTCCTCCTCCTCGCCTGCTGTCACCGGCTCCGCCCTCCCGCCGCCCGGCTCTCGCAACAACAGGTGGTGCCGTGCACGCAGACGCATCAGCTGGCGCAGCCGCACGTCGTAGCCCTCTAGGTGCAGCTGGCCCAGCATCTCGCCCTGCGTCAGGTTCCGCTCCCACAGCTCGCGCACACGCCGCACTAGCCCGCCATCCTCATGCGCGGCCTCCTGCTTGGACGGGAACTTCCACTGACGGAAGTGGCTCTGGAATGCCCGCCGGCTCGGCGCAAAGCCGTGGTGCACGCGCATGTGCGCCATGATGTCCTCGAGCGACCGCTGCTCGTCAATGTATAGGTTGTAACATGTTCCCCGATACGCCTCCCAGTCGTAGGCCATGCTGACTCCTGTTAGTGCATATCTGCACGCGAGATGGAGAATGAAGCCGCATTCCCGCCGTCCACTGCACTAAAACAGGTATCTTGTAGCATCATGACGTCGCGTACGGAGCATTACGAGACGCAACGTCATCACCCCGCAGACATATCGAGGTGTCATGTGATATTTTCATGTGTACAGTATACGCACTGTCAAAATACTGTGCAAACTGTTTCCGTAACAAACATCTTCACACTGCCGGCTTTCCGGCCTCGTCGGTCTCGGCCTCAGCCTTGGCCTCTGCCTTTTCACGGGCGACCTCCAGGACGTCGACCCACTTGTCTGGCCGCAGACGGCCACCAGGATAGTCTTCGTAGAGGTATTTTTCAGCAAGGGCAGCCCAAGCGAGCAGCTGTTCCTCGGCGCCCCAGCGGCCGGTGGCGAGGATGCCGACCGGGACGGGGCCGGGGGCCTGGCCTGGAGCGGGGTCGACGTAGCCCATGGGGCAGCAGACGGATGGGCAGCCAGTGGTGTTGGCGAGCCAGACGTAGCGCATAGCGCGCAGGGACATATTGCCGTCAGAGACGCCGTGATGAAGATCGGCCGGATGGATGGGCCAGCCGGCCATGGGGGTAGCGGGTGTGACGATGACGAGGCCGGGATGCTGGTCGAAGAGATGGGCGAGGTGGCGCATCAGGACGGTGCGGAGCTGGCCGGCCTTGAGCAGGTCGATGGCGGAAGCGTGTTGGGCCGTCGAGAGGAGGATCCGGTTGGGCGCGTTGAGCAGTGCCGGCCAGCCGTCTGGGTCGGGCATCGTGCGGTCACGTGCTGCCGCGAGCGCCTCGCTCAGACACGTCAGCCCGTGGGCTGCCTGAGCCTCGGCCAGGTGCGGCAGCGCCACGTCGACGACGGTGTAGCCGTGCTCGCGCGCGAGATAGCCGACCAGACGGTCCAAGTGCGCCACCATGGCCGCGTCTGCCCGCTGCACCCAGGCTCGCGGCACGCCCACCACGCGCGGGCTCTCTGGCGAGGCAGCCGCCGACACCGCAAAATGGCCCTGCACCGGGTCCGTCTGGTCTGGCTGCGCCATCACGCGATAGGCTGCCGTCAGATCGGCCACGCTGCCGGCCATTGGCCCCATCACACACATGCTCGAGTCCATCACCGTCACCCGGTCGTGCGTCGTCTTGAGCCCGTACACCCCGTTGAAGGCCGGCGGGATCCGCACGCTGCCGCCGGCGTCGGTGCCCAGAGCAATCGGCACCAGCCCGGCGCCCAGTGCCGAACCAGCACCCGAGGACGAGCCGCCTGGATAGTACGACGAGTTGTACCAGTTGACCGGTGTTCCTGTGGATGGCTGTGGGTGTGAGAGGGAGAATAGAGTAGAGAAACTGGGAGAAACGGGAAGAGAGAAAAGAAATGACAGAAAAATAGGAAATAAAGAAAGAAAGAAAGAAAGAAAGAAGGAAAGAAAAGAAAAAAAAGACCCCAACTCACATTACATCCTGTCGTGTCCATCCCGACCTCGTGCATGTTGTTCTGTGCGATCAGCACGGCCCCAGCCTCGAGCAGCTTGCGGACCGGCCAGGCCGTCTTGGTCTGTGGCGTCCGCAGACAGGGATATCGCCGGCCAAACGCCTCGTCGTCCGGGTGCGTAGCCATGCCGATTGTGCTCACGTAGCCGGCCACGCCGATATCGCACTTGACCGAGAAAGGCACGCCGTCGAGCAGACCCAGCGGCTGACCGGCCGCCCAGCGCGCCGTCGACGCCGCCGCCGCTGCCCGCACCTCGTCCACGTGGCTGACCAGAAAGGCGGCTTCGTACGGCGACTTCTGTCCTCGTTGGACCAGCGGCAACAGCGCCTCAGCCACGTCCGTCGGCGTCGCCACCCCCGACCGGTATAGCGCACCGTAGTCCGCCGCCGCATAGAATCGCCCCCCATGGCCCATGTACTGCCGCTCCAGCAGCGCCGCATCTGGCGCCACCATGCTGCCCGCTGCCGTCGACGATCGCTCGCCCAAGTCCAGAGGCGTCACCCGTGGCTGTCCGTATCTCATCAGTACTCCCGTACACAAGCCAGCAAAACATCCCCTCCGTCTGCATCACACACCCACTCTCACTCTCACTCACCCGCAACGTCGCCACCTCCTGGCCCAGGCCTGGAATGTTCTTCAACTTGTCGAATCCCGTGTTCCTCCAGACATATCTGCTGACGAGGCCCACATTCGTAACCCTTATGCAATGTCAGTACTCCGTACTCGTACTCGTAAGCTGCCTGTCTGCCCACCCATCGCTGTCTCCGGCTACACGTACAGCGCTGACGCAGCAACAAGCGGGAATCCGCGCAAAACCGGGTTCTTGTCCTCTTGCCACGTGTACGACAGCTCCGCTGCCTCTTTCGCCGCCGGATAGTCCATAAACTCACGGGTCCCCATCGCTGCAATTCGTTCGCTTGCTCTCTTCCGTCAATCGTGTTTGTGCACGATAAATCCGCCAGGTCCGACCGGAATGGGCTGAGAAGGAGCTTACTCGTGCTGGATTAACAGCTTATTCCGTTCGAGTACTTACAGGAATCCTTTAGTGGGGCTTCTTGTTCCACAGCAAATCATACTCTCGCACAGTATCTACAACATGCCGACCTTCACATGTCTGCCAGATAAGCCTACTGCCTTGAATTGAAGACGAAGCAAAATCTCAAATCAAATATGAACAAGTTGTGCCAACCCAAAACCTCCGCATCCCGTCGGAACCTATATAAACGCCAGCCGTATGCGCCTATTCGTGTATTCTGTTTCCTCCAGGCAAAATCGTGACCCTTTGTCACTGCTTTAAACCGCCTATATGCTTTCGTAAAAAGTGTCATGTCGTCGTCAATGTGGGAGAAAGGGGACGTGGCGCTGCCCGCCGACGACAAGAGAGAACTTGAATGCAAGCTTCTCTGCTGTGCCGAGGCTCAGTCACCGCTCTGTCCACCAAGGATGTCACCCTATTTCCGTCCAAGTCGGAAGAGACGCGTGCGAAGCCACAGTATAAACTCGTGCCAGTACCCCTGCGTCCTGCGCTTGGCCGTGTTGCTGCGCCGGGTGTTCTTAAATGCGACGCCCTCTACAGTTGGTCCGAAGCTGGGCGTCGTGCCTCCCATCATGTTGTCATAGTTGCTGCTCTTGAACGCCAGCGGCTTCGCTGGCACTACCGGCGGAACCCGACCGTGCTTGATGCCGTCAAGTCGGTGCCCCTGATCGCTGCTGCCACGGGCGTTGCCACTGCTCGTCCCAAACGTCGGTGTCGTCTTGCGCGACAGTGACGGCCGCAGTCCGTCGCCGCTGTTCTTGCGGAACTGCGCTGCAGACTGCCGCTCGATTTCCTTGGCCTCCTTGTGGTCCCGCCGCTCGCGTTTTCGGAGCATCTCGCGGTCGTGCTTCTCGGCCTTGGCACGCTCGCGCTCTTCAAACTTGCGGCGGGCCTCGCGGATCTGCTCCGAACGATCACCAATGTACAGCTCCGAACGCGAGCGTAAACGAGGGAACCCGACACTCTCGAGCGAGCTGCGAAGAGGAGAAAGGGGCGTGCTTGTGTTGGAGCCCGTCGACGTGTTTATGCTGTTCGTCCCAGAATTCGCCAAAGACGTGAGCGATGCCGGCAACGTCGGCCCAAGGGACGTGGGCGAGTCAACTGTCCCAGTGGAGTTGAGGTGGAGGTCCGAGTGCGAAAGACTCGAGGCCAGCCCGCTGCTGCCATGGCCGCGGCGCGAATGCCCGTTTGGCACAGAGCGAGGCGTGATCACGCTCGGCAGTGGGGCCGCACTAATGTCGGTGAACGACGCTGCCCGCTGGGCAGCCAGCGAGGGTGTTCGCCCGCTGGGCTGCGACGCCGAAGTCGCCCGGTTGAAGTGACGACTCCTCGGGAGCGAGCTGGGCGGGTACTCGTCGTCGTCTTCATTCTCCGTGATTGTGGGGGAATAGTCGCGGGTTCCACTCGAACTGATCCCATTGGTATTCAGGGCCAGACTCTTGTCTAGAGCCGTCAACGAGCCGGCAAATGCCATGGGCGGACTCTGCGTCCGAGGTGTCTGCTGGAATGGATGGACAAAGGTGCTGGGTCGGGGCCCGCCACCGCTGGCAGTACTGGCCACAGAAACGTGCGACGCGCCGCTAGGGGACCGCACGTGCTGGTACCGAGTCTTGCTGGGCACTGGGATCTTTTCCGAAATCGTGAAGCTCACGTCCCGTACAGAACGCGTGGGGCTGCCAAGATCATAACCCGATACGCCTAGCCCCAGAGCCTGCTGCTCTTCCCAAGGCCGGTCTAGATCCAGCGAATTCTTCTCCGAGTGTGACAGCTTCTTCAGAATGGGCTTTACCATCTTGCCCTTTGACTTGGTAAGTTTGTTATGCAGGAGAGTTGGTTCCATGGCCGGCAAAGAATAGTGGCTTCAAACGCATAACATCCAGAGCCCTGAGACTCTGGTCGGACGCTCGAGTCGCTCAGAGTCGCTCAGATATGTATGTAGGCCAGAAGAGTGGGCACAAAGACGGCTCGAGGTCAAGGGGCCGAGCGAGCCACAGGATCAGGAGATTTGTCGCGTGCGGTCAGCGCAAACCGTTTAACGGCGGCAGCTCACAGGCGGCTGCAGTGGAAGAGCGGTAACGAGAAGGCAGACATGGACGAGCGGTGGAAACGTCACAGGCTAGAAAGCGTAGCTGCAGCGCAGAGAGACCATGGGATCGAGCCGCACAGCGGGTGCTTATCGTAAAAAAAAGCAATCTGATGAGATCGTGAGGTAAGCAGTAGTGCGATGTGATGGCGAGTCGCTGGCTCGTACTTCTCGCACGATAGAGGCCGGTCCAAGTTGTCAAGAGAGAGCGCTCCGAATTGTTTGTCGAAGAGTTCGTACAGTGTTGGACAATGGCTGTGCTGCTGCTTTTGCCGGCTGTGTCGAGCAAGGCATACAGGACCCGGAAGAATTGGGAATTGCGTTGTATTCTCTTTAGGGGCAAATTAAGAGTGGGAACGACGGAGGCCGAGGCTAAGAGCAGCTCCAGCTCAGGTGTGAGCGACAGCCTCGATTTAAAGGAGAAGGAAAGGAGGCGGAACCGGAGGCGGTATGACGAGGATCGCTGAGGAGAGAGATGAGAGATGAGAGAATTAAGTAAGAAGTGAGCGGTGGGACTAGGTGTACAAGGCTTACTCGCGAGTCCCTGGTCATTGTTACAGTGGCTCCCGGGGGACTGGCTTAGTGCAAAATCAATCAAGCAGCAAAACAAAGGACCCCTCTATGAAGAAGGAGCGAAGGTGAGCACCTTCTATGCACACTACTCGTATGCAAATGGCAGGCGCACATCACACCACCGCTAACAGCCGTGTACACACTAATACTTCACTATACACAGTAAGTGCAAACTGCATCGTTCCAGCCAATCCCGAGCCGTGGCTGCGTCGCCTTCCAGCCTTCTCTGCTCAGCCTGTGCCCGGCGGATCCGTGGTTGATTGAAAGGCTACGCCACGAGTCCGTCTCCGCCCCTGACCCAACCAGAGAGTAACGTTCGCTCATAGACCACGGTGTCTGCCAGGGAGGACGTCTTCGAGAACACGATTGACACCGCCGCTGCCAATAAGACGAGGATCCAGCGCGGAAAGCGCAGAATCCGGGTAACAGTCCCCGGAACAGCAAATGCGGTGTGTAATGAGGGATGCTGTCCATGGTCTCCACTCATCCCGCATCGCGCCTGCCGATTTTCATTAAGCGGTTCCTCCTCTCCACGACTCTCGTGCCTTGCTCTTGCCCCTTTCTCTTTCGCTCGTCCGTCTTCGCCTCACCTACTTCTCCCACCTCCTCCTTTCTCGTCCTGGACTTCTCCACCAGTTCTCGCAATGGTCACTTCAAATCGTCCTACCCTGTGGCTCGAAAAGCTGCGACGAACCAATATGCACAACAGCTACCAACAAATATCTTATCTAGGACCGATGGCTAGAAAAGTGGCGCAAGCATCGCAAGCATCGCAAGCCCGTCTTCCCCGCCGAGCTCCACCAGAGACTCGCTAATCCCCACCCCACGCACCCTATTGGATGGCCGTTTTCCTTTCGTCGGTGTACTCCGTACTCGTTCGTATCTACATAGAACCAGGGGCCAAGTGATTCCGCCGTTCTATGAGGCATTTGGAAGCGAAAATGTTCGGAAACAGCGGAACGCTCATAGGAAGGAAACAGATAAGGGAACGGTACGGAGTACATAGCAAAAGGATCGGATGTGGCTGAAATGGGTGGCGCTGTTGCGAGCACAAACATAAACTAGCTGCACATACTGATCTGTGCTTTGTGCTCCGTGCTTTGTGCTCCGTGCTCTGCTCTACTTCGTACTCGTATGCTCACACGGGCAATTTAAGCTATACATAGTATAGTACGGAGTATACGACGAAAGATACGAAGTACAGTTGCGAAATCCCCCAGCCTTGTTCTAATAGTAGTATCCAATTAGCATCAAGCAGTTTTTGTCTTTGCTATTTTCGCCCTCATTCCCGAGGTAGGCGGTGTGTCGAGAGCGGTCACTGACAATATGACAACAAACGCTTCAATGATAGCACATACCGACTTTCTCTGTGGGGATAAATATATTGAATACTACATGCAATATGCATAATGGGGAATGCATACTAGCTTCTCATCCACGGCAACTAGCATAGTTGAAAAACTCACATATCCGTCAAGACTCAAAGAACACAATGACTTTTAGCTTTCTTCGAGTCTCAGAGAGCCCTTCATCCTTGAGCTCGTATCTTGAAATCGTGCAGAATCAGGTCGTGCCAGTAGGCAATCTCTTAAAGTTGATATTGAGTCTGCCGCCCTCCACCTTTCTCGACCATCTTGAGGCTTAAGGGCACGGTTGTCGATTGCTATGTGTTACAGCGTAACAACCCGACGCAACCCCGAATCGTCGATTCAATATTAGCCCAAAGTGACGGCGGGTCCGCCTTCCTGTTCGTTTCCGTAATCGCAGTCAACGGAAGGAGTGCTCCGTACTCCGCATCTTTGTTTATTCCGGGTCGCTGCTCGGAGGCAGTTCTGATCCTTTGCTGTCTCCTACCTTGTGCGTCGTCAGCTGGCGACGGAACAAAAAGGCTAGTAATCTATAAGCTAAAAAGCAGACGCAACACCCCAAATCAGACTCTGCGTGTAGATTTGAAGAAAGTTTGGGTGTGGCGGTGAGTCCAATACGCGTCGTAGTTTTATTTTGCGTCTAGGCGAAACGGCATCTTCTGTAGTCAACAAGAATCCAAAAGACTCATATTAATCAAGCTGGGCCTCAAGAGGTGATATATTTCTGTTAATCATGATGAAGTGGATGTCCTGGTAGGGTATTGAGTAGAAAGCATACGTGGGAAAGACCGATTGGTCCGAGAATAGTGGTTGCGAAACTCTACATGACAACGGTTGGCACAGTATCGTCCGTGATGATTAACACGGCAACCTCGGAGCACCGGACCCGATCGCAAATACTTTGGAGGCATTATACCGGTATGGATTACACAATCCGTTTTGAAGCCTGACTTTTCTTGGAGCTGTGTGTTGGCTGAAACGTAACACCCTACGTGGCCCTCATCCATTTATATGAATGGATACTTGTGCTGGCCGATGATACCTAGGCTCGAAGTACTATCTGTTGACAAACAAGAGAAAACAGGCCACGCTGCCGATATGTACACGTGTTTGGGCTTGAAATAGAACACATATTGCAGGGCTAAGGCAGGAACCGCCAGATTTTGGGAGGTCGTGTAACATTCCAGCCGACTTCCCAACTGCCGGTAAGCATATTACACTGCGTACACATCTCCCGTACGAACCGGTTTGGTAATCAGATGCACTCAATATGTATGTGTTGTGGAACACTGAATCGTCCACACGGGAGTGGCGCACCAACCGAACCTTTCTAATTGGTCTTGCATAGTAGTGGGAAGACCAGAAAGAAGCAGATTCTGGTTCACCGCTTGACCATTGAGAACGACTTCGTGAACGCATACACACGAGTACGACCAGAAAGATATGGAGTATTGGCACGAGCTCCGAAAACCGAAAACCGAAAAACAGCAGCGTTACATGGTATCGTAAAACACAACTGTGCGTTGCTACATTTGTCCTATCGGGACAGAAGCAGCGATGCAGTCATACTCTTAATGGTCGGTCTCCAATTTAACACCCCATATATATATATATATATGTATGTATATATATATATAGCTTTTGAACAAGTCATGGGCATGGCATATCTTCCGAAGAGTTCCAGCTCCTATTCCAACTGGGGTTGAGAGTTGTGCGGGGTCATCCTGCATCGTCACGACTGACGGAATATGGAAGCCGCCTTGATAGGTTTCCATTTTGCCCAGGATTCGTACGACGTATGTTTCACATACATGGGTAGGACCGGGACTGGAAATCTCTCTTGTGTAAGCGCCTGTTCCGATCCCAATTGTCCATTGCGAATGCTGGCGTTCTACCATCTCTGTCTGCTCCATATGCAACGGATACTCAGTGGGGATGAACTCCTGCCTGCCGGCATGGGCAAACAAGGTTGGAACAGGTTCATCACAAGATACATATTACACGTCTCCAGACCGGGAGTTCTGGAACGTCTTTCCTTTAGCTCTCCCGCCCCGGAGAGGACATCCTGCTTCCCCGAGAACGTAGCCTCCCCGCCTGACCCGCGCCGTAAATTCAATGTCCGACAGCGCTGATCCCGGCACCGCCTATGTCTTTCCGATACGATGAGCCCGTATAAGTGGAAGGAAGGCTGGATGTGTCAGGCTGTCAATGGCCTACGCGTGTCTGAAAGGCCCATCAGACTTGGAACACGAGGGATTGGAGCCCAAGGCCGGTAGCGAATCGGAGCGTGCTACGAGGTAAATAACACAACGTGTCACATATTGTGTCCCACCCTGAAAAGCAACTCCTGCATATCGAAAGTAAACGGGAACTCTGGAAGGTGGGGGGTGAGGGCAAGGGTGGACATACGTCGTACATGCAAGCTGGCAGAATAGGACCGACTAAGCCTCATTCAATCCAGCTACAGATTTTTCTTCCCCCCTCTCTTGGTGAAGTGGGTGTGGTTAGAGCATCGGCTGTTGAGGTGCATAGTACGAAATTTGATTGCAACGGAACATTCAGTAGTTTACCAAAATTACTAGCACCGGACACGAGACAATTATATCATCTTTGACTCTTTGAGACAGTCAAAACTGGCGCTGCTATGTATGTGATGTGATGTGATCTTGTTGGCTAGTCTTAAGCTTGCGCGTCGCAAGAATGAAGCCTGCTGCTTGCTCGCGCATCTTAAAGGGACATACCTACGGAGTTCTCGCATACAAGTACCTTATGCATCCTCCTACTTTTTTTTTTTTTTTTTTTTTATGTTTTACAATAAGCACCACACCGTGAAATACAATATTACCTGTGTCCCACAATTGCCGTTTTGCCTCAATCTTCAGATGCGCAAATGATAAGATAGCGTACGGAGTACGGAGTATATCTTGGACATTTGACCTTAACCTCGTGATGGCTTGAGCACCCGTAGTCTATTGGTTGTAGCGTCAGGACGGCCTTAACCAGTCCTCTGACCGAGCGGTTGCAGGCCAAAAATCAGTGGCCCCGCTCAGCATCACATTGAACTGTACGGAGTACGGAGTTTTCCGTACATACCTATGTATATGCAGGATGGCGTAATCAGAGCGGGTGAAGGGATAGTCTGAACTGCATACATACGTTGTAGGCTAGCATGGCAATGCAACATGACAAGAGGTGACAAGAGCAATAGACAGCGACATCTGCAGAGGATTGGCAGTTGAAACAGCCGGTACCAAGTCCGAAATAGAGACAAATCCGCAGTGCCTGCTTCCTCTGCATGGATCGAGCGTCCAACAACCGCAATGCTTCTGTCCACATGCAGCGCATCTCCTTTTTGGTACGGTGCTCACCGCCGTGAGCTCAGGTCTTCACATGCATTGCCCCCTGGAACGGGATGATATCCAGAAAATGTGAGGCTATTATCTGATATAAAGTAGCCTCTTCTGGGGAAAGGAGGGGTGGCTGCAGATGCCAAAGAGGAAGGCGCGAACTGCAGAAAGAGCTTCTCCGGAGAGAGCAATGGCAATGGCAGAGAGGCAAAGACCATGTGGGAAAGAACACGTTTTATTTGGCGATCTTTCTTGAATATCGCGACTCTACTTCTCGCGGTGGTGTTTGATTAGGACAACACATTGATGGCCGCATGCTCACACGACCGCTCGACATTGTCACACCGTCCAGTTCTACTTAATCGTCCTATCCTCCTGCACACCTAAACACCCACTCACCCTCTCCTTCTCCTTTTCATTCACACACACGCTCTCAACAGATTTGAACTTGTGCATACGACGTACACCTGCATCAACAGAGCACAAAGGCTCGCGTCTTAGCACCAATCATAAGCTATCCGGCGACCAATCCTACCACTACCGTTAATACGTTGAGTCACTACGATACGGAGTACTTGACAAATTGCGGCTACATGGCTCTGCAGTGTTGCAGAACTGTAGAACTGCAGACGCTCAGACCTTTCAATCCTGCACATCCTCTCCCTCTCTGAGCAAGGCCCCCCCGGTCTTGTCTCGAAAACACACTGAGTTGTCGCATATACAGGGCAGCGAACTGCACGACAGCGAGCAGATATGCAACGTCTTGCCGAGCCGTTATGTGTGTCATTGGCGGCTAGTCTAGAAACGCATGCGCACCTCTCGCGGCAACCTCACATTGCAGATGAATCACACAATATACGGTATCTTCGAGCCCCGGCCTCACGACACGAACTGCACGAACAAAGGAGATCGAAGGTGAACTGGAAACACCACGAAGTGTTTGTGGCCAAATTCGATATCCAAAAAGGCAAACGATTTGCACATCTGCAAAGAATACATAAATCCCTCGTCCCCAGTTTGATCTGTCTTTTCGCCTGCAGAATAATGGTCTCATCAAGTTCGAGGACCCCACCCCCGGCCACCCCGGCTTCTTATTCTGCCAACGCAACGACCTGCCTCCCTATCCGGACAGAAGAAGAATTATTTAGAAGAGCGGGTAAACGTCCTAGCGCTTCTTTCGTACTTCATCGAATAGCATCCTTTTTGGGGCCTAGCAGGGCCTTGGCCTCCCGTCTTTGGCCGTGCGCTTGCGGAGTTTACATTACTGCAGAACACACACGCACACTCCCTACGAATTGCAGTACTTTTTTCGCCCTCGGACTGTGGACACGGCCTATTTCTACATTTCAACACCACCAATGCAGTACCTTGCATGGTGTAGGATGGTAGGTGGGACGGCTCTCGGAAGCACTGCTCTTCTCGTGAGTCGGATCTCTTTCCCTATCTGTGCAGACAGGCGGCTGGCATAAACGCGAACCTGCGAGCGCTGTTCAGGAGTACTCATGCATTACGCATTTTATGCAATTCTTATATTCCCCATTTCACAGCCAGTATTCGCAGCGACAATGATGGGGTTGCCGAATTCGTCGTGCCCCAACCTCCATCGAAGATGCTACAGCCCAGCATGTCAGCATATTGAAGTTAGCACGCTGCAAGAGCATTTGTCATACAAAAAAGAAAAAAAAGGAGAGGGGAAAAACGCGGTCCACAGGACCGAAAACACGAGACGGGAAACAAAAGAGGAATGGCAAAAGACCGACACAGCAATTTCCAAGCTCCGTCCCCGGCTGTCCCCCATTAGAACATCATCCGAGAGTGCGGCCCCTTCGCCGTGCGGGGACCCATGTAGGACGATTCTATTTTTTTTCGGCCAACGTCAATTGGGACATTTCTCTCTTCCGTCAACGCAGGCGGGGAGAACTGAGGGCCTCCGTGTCTGACCGAAGCGCGCAGCAACATCACTGTTGGACTGTCCCCAAAGCAGGTCTGGCTGATATGCTGAGCTGCCATGCCGTGAGGTTGCCGCTTCACTACTTCAAGGAAGAAGCGCCGCAAACTACTGAGATTCTACTAGTTTTTAGTGTGCTCACTAGTCATCCAACCAACATATTGCCTGATCGGCAAGAGTGTCCCGCATTCTCCACCGGTTTCGCCGCCGCGAATACACTGCGCCTGGACAGCCAAACGAGTAAGAGCACGGCTTGCCTTTCTCAGCCGATTGAATTTCCACCGCCTGTGTCAAGCATCTGATTTGCCATCGGCTTGCAAGCGCTGCCGTTGATTGTACTCGTAATATGCCGCTACAACTTAGTCTTCTTTGCCTCCTCGCTCGTATTGTTTCTCCTGCTCTGCTTGCTATTTGACAACGCTGTATGTGCTGTTGTTACGTGTAAGTTTACTCTCCAACAGTCCACGTGTCTGCTTTCTCGTGCTGTCCTTCCCTCTAGACGTGCACTGCATGACCTGTATCATAGGCGAGTTCCCGAACGTAAGAGAGCTCATGACTCCTCGATGGGCTGACTGAAAACGCACATGATCCCTAGTGGGAGCTAGGTGGTCTCTCGGGGAATTTTAGGGGGTCTGTTCGAAGCCCTTTTTCTGTTTCATAGATCACTGCGAGCAAACCACCGAGGGCGAGAAGCGCCGTGAAGCCTGCCATAACCATCAGTCTGTGTTGGCATACGCGTAATAGAAGGGGTGGAGGTGGGCGCCTGGGGGATCACGAAGCGCCCTGTAAAAGGCCGTCTACTCGTTGAGGAGGCGAAAAAGTGTGGGACATACGGAATACAAAATGGGTTCAGAGACAGAACGTCTTCACTTGCTTACGGAGTAGCCTTGTCTGACCAGCAAGTCAGCCCTACCTTAAACAAAATTGACCAGCCAACCATCTTGTGAAGAACAGCCAAACGTGTGTGCGTTTGTACGATCTAATTGCACACCCCTCCCCTCCACTTGCTAAAGATTCGCTAGCCTTCGGTCGAACACCCCCAAAGGCTCAGTGCCAATTGCGTGCTCCACACGCACTGGCTCTCCTTCTCGCTTTGCTCATTTGAGCTCGCTCTAGCTGGTGCATTTCCTGTAGTTGTGCTACTTGCTGGTGGCCTCACGGCCTTTCACGTCTCGACACAGGCCTAAACCATATAGGCAAAGAAGGTACCTCAGAGCACCTCGCATTGCGAAACTGCATATACATGCATTCGTTTGCATACGTACACATTAGACCCCATACGGCTCAACCGAGCATGGTCCGTTTTCTAGCCGCAAGTGACGGCTCACTTCTCAGTTAGTCTACGTCGTACTATTCCACACATTGCAACAACACATTAGAGGTTCCTCTCTCGTACCATGGCCCCTGGCCCTTAACAGACACCCCCCCCCCCCCTTCCTCTCCCCATAACCCACATTCTACCTCTGAGCTTGTTTGTACCTGCTGCTAGACAATTGGACGGCAATTCTTTTTTGTACAGCTTCCACGGAAGTATGTATATATATATATCTCCTCTCTGCCCTTCGCACGTCTTCCTTTCCTCACTAGCTGCCAAGACAATTCGCATCTTTCCCTCATCCTCTTTCGTTAAGATTTCTGTTTTTCGGCCAATCGGGCCCGCATCAGCCAGAATTCGTCCAAATCTGGCTTCCCCGCCTACAGTCTTCATATAACAGAAGAGTCCGCATGATTACCGGCTTCCTCCTCTTCTGTCATCTTATCGCCCGTTAGCTGAGCTCTGGCCAGAAGGCCATCTACGCAACTACCGACTGTCCTTTCACCTCGCTCGTTTCTCCCTGGCTGGTTATCATTGGGGGTTTTCATTGCTCCTAGCTTCGTCTTATAGGCAAAGCTTGTTCGTTCTGTCCAAGCAAATCTTTCCTTATCCAATTGCATTAGCACGCCAGATTCAGCTCTGGAGCTCTAATTTTTCCACGAGACAAAAGCCCTGGGACCCTTGATTTCCTTCTATGGATAGATAGAACACTGGTGTCCATTTTCAGGGTTTCCTGCTGGTCCTGTGCTTTTTTGTTCTTGGATTCACCCTCTGGGTGTAAAAATATGGCCTTGTCGGTCAGGCCTGACTGGCACAAATCTTTAATCACGAAACAAAGCAGAGGAAGCGAGAGTTTTATGGTGAAAAAGGACGGGGAAAGAGAATAAAGAGAAGAAAACGACGCATCGGCACTGGCATAGATTCCAGCTAGGAAAACCTGTGTAAACCTCGAAAAAAAAATCAATCACTCAAGACATCCTCTCTCGATGTCTTTCACAAGCTCCACCATGTCTATACATCTGCAGCCGGGACCGGCTTATCCGAGTCAAGAATTTCTGCCCTCGACAAAGTTCTGGGTATATTTTTTCTGGATATTATGGTAAGAAACGCCATCGCGTTGTCACCGGTACAAAATCTGACGTTCGGCGATAGGATCCATCGTTATCTTCGGCTGTTCGTGCACTGCGTCAGCCATTGGCTGTACAAGTCCAAGCCAATACCAGAGAATCCGTCGTTTACGTCTATGGATGTCACGGTTGTGATCCCGACAATTCATCATTCATTTGAAGAATTGCGGGTGGCATTGGAAAGCATCATAGTTTGCAGGCCATGGCAGCTTATTTTGGTCACGACAGACGACAGGTTCGACGCCCTGGAAAATCTGGCACACTCTCTGCGGTTAGCGGGTTTTAAGAACATACGCGTTCTCTCCACAAGCGTGGCCAACAAACGCATGCAGGTTTGCCGGGCGCTGCCCGAGGTGCAGACTAAAATCACCATCATGGCCGACGACGACGTTACGTGGCCGAAGACGCTGATGCCCTGGATCCTAGCGCCCTTTGAGGACGACCGGATCGGCGGGGTTGGCACCTGTCAGCACGTTAAGCGTGTCTGGACGGGATCGTGGTCGAAACGTATATTCAACTGGCTCGGCGCTGCCTACATCGAGCGTCGTAACTTTGAAATATCCGCAACGCACAACATTGACGGTGGCACGTCCTGCATGTCTGGCCGGACGGGCGCATACCGATCCGAGATCCTAAACAGCCACGAGTTCTTGGATGGCTTCCAGACGGAACTCTGGGGCAAATTTATTCTGAACGCGGACGACGACAATTTTGTCACGCGCTGGCTCGTCAGCCACGGCTGGAAGACGTGGGTGCAGTACGAGCGGGCCTGTGAGGTCGAGACGACGCTGGAAAACGACGTGAAATTCCTTTACCAGTGCTCGCGGTGGGCGCGCAGCAACTGGCGCAGCAATTGGACGAGCCTTATGCGGGAGCGATTTGTGTGGTAGTGAGTGCTGCAATCCCCGAAATCAGGCCATAATCGCCAGTGCCACCGGAATCGGATTACTTATCATTATTGTTCTAACATCGAATACAGCCAGCAACCTTGGTCGACGTACGCGCTCCACTTTGCAACTTTCACGTCGCTCGCATTCGTCGTTGACCCCCTGCTTCTGTACTCCTGCTGGCGTGCAACGGGAGACTGGGACGCGATCAGCAGGAAAAATGCACTCTGGGCCCAGTTCCTGTTCATGTTCGGCTTCACCAAGGTCGTCAAGCTGATGGGGCTCTTTCTGCGCAATCCCAGCGACATCAAATATTTGATCGTCTCCATCATTTTCGGCTATTTCCACGGGCTCGTCAAAGTCTATGCCCTCTTCACCCTCAGGATGGTACGTGTTTTGGGACAGAGACGAACGGCGAAAAAAAGGAAAAAAAAAATGGAGGCACGGCAGGCTAACGCATCTCGCGTGCACTAGACATCTTGGGGCAGCCGCGAAGGTGGCGATACGAACGACAACGTCCGGCTCACGCCGCGGCCTCGCCGCGACCCGCGCCTGGATCTGCCGTCGAGGTCAGACGGGGATCTTCCCCAACACACACATGCCTCGTCGACTTATTGGCCCGCCGATCAGCGGGGGGGCTGCGAGGTATCTGAAAAAACCTCGCTACTGGAGGAAAATTACTGCAAGGACTGCACAGCAGCCGAAATACACATTTGGGACGAGTAATGAGCATCGAGATGAATGCATTATGACGACCAAGACCGCAACGAGCGACAGACAAATTCCACGATTTGACAGACACCCAACACTCCTATTTTCACACACACCACGCATCCGAAGCATGCCTTTTTACACCCACACTTAATATCACGAAGCTGTCAGGTGCAAGCACATCTGTTTATCTACAGGGGGGCACATTTGAAGTAATGTATGGGGGACAGGGATGGAGGCACACCTAAACCCCGATTTTGGCAGGTTCGATTAAGAGTCGGAAGCGGCCCAAAAACCGCCTAGAGGGAGGGGGGGTCAAGACAGGAGGGACGGAGCTCTTCCATGAGAAAAAATTGGCTGGATATGGATAGACGGTGTCTTGTTTTTTTCTGCGAAATTAGAGGACAGGGTAGGATATCTGCTTTTCCATCGTTGTTAGTACGGAGGGATAGCTTTTGACCGGCTTGCTTCTATTTTTCCTTGAAATCTATTTGGACGGAGACTTGAAAAATCTCGGTGGTGGCAGCAATGTGAACACAAAAAGTTCCGTGTCTCCTTTTTCTCTTTTCTTTCACATGCTGTCCTTAGTTTTGACGACCATTTTTTCAATCTGATTACGGCCATTGAAACGATGGCACTCTGCCGAGATGACTGATCGTTTTCTCGTCAATGTTGAAAGTCTCAAAAAAGGAAAGAGCCAAAAAAAACGCAGAGTAAAATGCCAGCCACTATGCAGTGACAGAAACGAGGCAACGGCGAGATCTGATAGGCTGACAGACATATGTACGAACGAGCATGCACAAATGAGGGAGTAGTCGTTGTGCGTCTTCATACTACAGTGCACAACCTTTCACAGAGGCTATACGAGAGCTATTATTATATCTTATTATGATACATCGCGTCGGTGGTGCAAAACATGCGAGGCTCTTTCCGCTTCGTCTTATAGGCTGGGACACCCCTGGGGGATCGCCCGATCGGTTCAACGTCAAGGCAATGAGAGCAGGACACTACGATACATTTGCGACTGCGACTGCGACTGCGACTGCTGTCTTCCTCTCACCTCGGGAGCCGCGGCCAGTTGGCTCGCCGACTCGCTGGGGCGCCCTCGCCTGCGCCTCAGCCCCTCTTGTCGGCGAGGATATATCGCTCTTTCTTGCTCGAGGCTCGCTGATGAGGTCGAAACGAAAGACGACCCCCGCAAGAACAGGGACCCCCGAACTCTCCAGCACGCTCTCCGAAAGTCCTGGCTAGTGCCAGCCAGAGGGTGGGGGCAACAGGCGAGGGGGGGTGTGGCCCTACAGGTACAAGGAGCTACATCATACTCGTGGTGGGAGCACGTACTCTCGTACGGATTAGGAGAAGACAAGCGTTGCACGCTGCTCCGAAGGATCGCTCGTTCTAGCTGTAACGGGGCATCGAACGGCGCATCCATTGCTCCTTTTGCTCCTCTGCAAGGCTCTGGGGGAGTGGACTCGACGGATGTTCGCGTACTAATGTGTGAGCTGCATGGACGTGCACGGAAGTTGTTGATCCCAGGCCAGGCAACTCGTACGTGCTTCCGTCCGATGCGGCATAGCAAACGAGATGCAACACACTGACTTGCATGTCTGAAGTGCGGGCTAGGCATTGCGACACACCACATCCAGATAGCGCATGAGCAGGGTGTATGGCCATGAGGGAGGGGGCGGAAAGGGTGGTTTTCCATGACGAGAAGGGGAAGTTCGGTTAGTACGAGTACGAGTATTCGCAAAAACATGCAAGATCGCAGCGGCCTCGATTTGCAAGGGGGGGGTGTAAAAGCAGGGCTTTATGTGGCAAGATGGCGGCAGCACTAATGGAGATGGAGCATACGGAGTAGAAGCAGACAAGCAGGACATGGTACCCACCACACTCGCACGACGAGATATACTCTGTACGGAGAGCTTGAGCACTAGCTGTCTCACCCGCCTCTGGTCATATTCTTCAACAGCGACGCTGACAGCCGATTCTGTTTTTATATACAAGTGATACATAGTATGTGACAGCGGTGGCCTCGGAGACAAGTGTCTTACAAGAACCGTGATAGCGGAAGCCGAGCAGAATGGAAGAGGATCGGAGGGCAAGGGGGTGCAACAGCCCCGGTTCAGGCCAGCCGGGCCTTTTTCAGTGAAGAAGCTGTGCGGCAGCTGCGGCAGCTGCGGTAGAAGACCACCCCTGTATCATTTTTAGAATAGATGGCTCGCCTGAGATGCTGAGCTGGCGCCAAGGAGTAAGAGTACCATGTAAAATCAAACAAATCTAGCCGACAGGACGACACTGGCAGAAAGCAGGCCCACGCGGCCGAGTTGGGACACGGGAACGTGTTGCTTGCATAAAAGCACAATACGTAAGATGTTCTCCTATAGTAAGATACTATACGAATGCTCGTAGTGCTCGTAAGACGGCGAGGTGGCGAGACATTGTGAAAACGAGAAAAGAGAGAGAGGCCGAGAAAAAAGGCTACCGTGTGTAGGTAAGCTGGCGATCCGTTGGAACGCGTCTTCTACCCGCCGCTATTGTTTTCGCTGCAACTAGTCCACCCGGCCTTAGGCCGAAAGCCCACTTTAAGAGGAGAAAGGGAAGCTCTGATTTCGGAGGGTGACGGCTTGCCCTGCGAATGCTCGTACAGACAGACATGCTGTGTACGAGGTGGATTCGTATATTCTCTTGCGTGCGGAATAGTGGACAGCAAGTCTCTTGCATGGTGTCTTACATGCCTCACGCAGCAGGACGGTGCCTCTCGACAGACCCCTGGTCTGATGGTCTACCCTGTCCTCCAGGTTTTGCCATCCTTGCCGTCTTGGCCTCGGAAGTCTGGTCAGACGGCGATCTTCAGAACGCTAATGGTGGACTGTGGGCAGGCACTCGACTAGCGGACCAGCTCGCACGAAAGATGTGGGTTCGCTCACCCACTCGAGCGCAAGACTAGCCGTTGACTGTACGCGTCTGGACGCTACTTCTCTGGCATCGTCCTACTTCCTGCCTGGCTCTTCGGATACGCGAGAGGCTAATGCAGGCTTCGCTTGACGAATTGTTGAGCCAACGCCGGGCAGGCACAGCAACTGACGCCATGTCGTCTACATGACAACCGCATCTGCAACGCGCACTACTGCAAGCCAGGGTGGCATGTTTTTTTTTATTTTCTTTTCTTTTTTTTTCCGGTTGTCGATTTGCTGGCCTGCAGACCGATCTGGCCAATACTCAAAATGCTGTTCCAGACAGGCAGGTGCGACCATGGCGAGGAGATGAAAGAGGAAAACGAGAAAAAGGCGGCGAGGAGAGAGGAAAAAAAGAGGAAATGAACCAAATGAAAAATATGAAACAAGGAGAAAACAGACGAGGACACGGCCAACAAGACCTGTGCCCTCCGGACGCCCGTTCGAATTATGAGATGTGGAGATTGGCGATTGACCTTGCCATGCCTAGTATTTCGACTTTATCGCGTGTCGCAAGTATTGGGTCTGGGTCGTATCAGCCGAGCACAAGTGTTGATATTACTGGGGCTCGTATCTCTGTCCGTCGTAGCTCTGCCACTCGTACGTAGTATACAACCTCGCTCGGTCTCGCGCTCCTATCCAATCTCAGGTCGGCCTGTCGTCCTGCCGAGCACGAGGATCGACGAGGACCGTACGAAATGCGAATGCTCCGTCGAAAATCCGGCAAGGGACTGCCGTTAACGTGACAGGTCGCGGATGCGGAGCGGAAGACGACGAGTACAGCGGCTGGAGCTGCGCTGGCTGCGCTGGGTGCTGGCCGGTCGGAGTCGGCGTATTACATACGACGTAGTATGTACGGAGTACACCATGGTGGATATGGCTGGTCTGGCTGGCGTATGAGGATCGAAGATGGCTTTTGCTGCTAGCCGGCGTACATAGTACTACATACAGAGTAGTCCGTCCCACGAGTCGCAGTCTGGGACTTTAGCCGCGCGAGAGAGGGGGAAAGAGGGGCTGCGCTGACCAGCCATACTGAACCAAACCGGACACGGCAGGCTCTCTTCACCAGCAGGCACGTCGACGTCGTACTTGCCGTACTGGCTACGTGGTACATACTCGTAGTAGGCGCCATCCGGTCGGCGGAGTCCGGCTGCAGGTGAGAAGTGAGCGTAAGCCTGCCTGTCCTCTTGTCCTGTTCCCCTCTCTTCTGCTCTCGTCGTGTCGCGCTCTCCCTCGCGCTCCTATTCCCTCTTGCGCGCTCGCTCGCCCCTCTCGCCTGGCCTTGCCATCTCATGGTGGGGATACTATGTAAGCAAACGGATTAAGCTCGTGGTACTAACCAACAACATCTGCTCCTCACCACCCACTGCATGCAAGTAGACAAAAACGGCCTACGAAGCAGGTGGGGGGCAGCACATAAGATACTATGTGTAGCGCAAAGACTGGTACTCGTTTATGCAGTAGCGCTGTCATCGGCTTGCAGCGAGCTCTGGCGAGCATCTAGAATGCCGTTGGTGACAGGCACTTCAGCAGACTGGCCTCGACGTGCTGTTCTGGTCCAATCCCATCCTCACGGCTTATCCTACCCAGCCTGTGCCTCTCACACCGGCTCAATCACCCTGTCAAAACAAGCTTATGCAGGACATGCCACCACAGATAGCAGTAGCCACGCTATTGCAGTCCCAACGGCATCACCAGATCAGCCAAACGCAAGCATACAAGACACGACATCGTCATCATTAGAGACTCTCCAATACCCTGAGCGAGGTTCTGCTGTCATTATAATTTCTGCGGAGCTGATACCTTGTTTCCCTGGCTGTCTCCCAACTTCGCCGGCATCACCAGTTTACACAGGACCGAAAATAGCATGTCAATTGCTCCCCCCAAGTTGCTCGTGTGGGGGAAGAGACCGAAGGAATTGCAGCAGCCGGGCCTCGTCGTATCCGACCCCCCCTTTCACTCCTCTCCTCCCCTCCCCCCTTGTCTACCCTCCCGCTCTCTAGGCCGCATCCACAACCATAGCGGCTGGCTTCTATGAAAATGCACCCTGGGAACGCAGCCTTTCCGTTTTCGGAATTACCACTCTGCGGCAAAAACATGTCGATGTGGTGGTCTTGGCCCCCTCCTCCCCCATCGGCAGCCGAAAAGAAACAGGTCATGTTGTGTGCTGTTCCATCGCTCCCCCCTCGCTTTCGCGTACTCCATTTTGTATGTTTCATTACGGACACAGATAGTTTTTCTCTGCATAAGGGATCACTCTTTCCCCGTGCCTGTGCCCTTTCTTTGTTTTTCTGTATTTTTCTTTCCTTTTTCCTTTCTCCTGCTCATCGCGTTTGGCGTCGTGTCCCGGAACTTCTCGTCCGTCCATCCCGGACAGCTTGTGGTGGGGAGTGGAGAATGGATTGTGGCCTTCTCGCCGATCTGAAGAATCTGCACCTCGTAATGTGCGTTGCCGTGCCCTCCGTGCCCGGCTTGACGGGGGGGGAAACAAGCCGACCACTCCACACAGCTGCGGTACGAGCAAACATGGGCAGTCGCGTATGCCCATGCATTCTTTTCCCCATTGCAAGTACATGCAGCACATGGGAGGGGGGGGGGGGTGTACATAAATGGCCACGATCTCCGAGATCGTATGCTCTCCTGCGTCTGTATCTCGTTTGTCATTCCACTGCCTGGACAGGAAATACGAGGGCGGCAAAGGAGGAACAGTCCAGATCCAGCATAAGATCACCGGCTTCACGTCTTTGCATCCGTAGCCTTTGCTGAGGCACGGCACAGCCGTGCTTGCGGAGCGCCATTACCCACTCCCCCGTCTGCAAGTCGATTTCAAAAAGAGCAGAAGCACATGCGGCCGTGTATGTAGCCTGTATCTGAGTTGCATCCCAATGAATACCTACATGTAAGAGGTGGTTATGTAAGCATGATTAACGAGGTACGAGCAACCGTGTAAGCTGTTTTAGCCACTCTTCGATAATGAGAGATGGAAGCAAGGTTTAGAAGAATGGGTAGTGAAAGAGATATTCTACTTGTCTGCAGTGCTTATAGATGCTATCAGAAATACACTTTCTTGTAGACATCAAGCAGGGTCTTTCTTTGAAATAGAGTATAAAGCGCATCATCGTGGTTGACATCATCGGATGAAGGAGACTTTGGGTGCACGCCTGCATGCACTTTTATCAATGCATCTTTGTCTCGCAGTTCCCACGTTTGTTTTCCAGGTGCAGCCATGCCCCCTTTTATTTCAGCCACCGACAGCCCTGGCTGCTGCATGCTGTCGGTTCTCAGCAGCCTCGCGCACAGAGACCATGATCCGCATAGCTGTGTTGTGGGTCTCCCGGCTCGTCACGTCGACACAGACTCCCGGATGCTCATCGAAAGAGAACTTGTACAGCTGTACCCCTGGCTTCCGCAATTCCCGTAGCTCTGTCTCGCTGAGCATTTTGACGGCCGGCCGGCTGTGGCGCCGCTCTGACGCCTGCGACCGCCGCACGTTGGCTTCCAGGTCGCACTCCATGTAAACGGGCACAAAAGGTCGTCCGGTGCGACGTGCTGCTTCCTCGAACGCGCGCGCTCTACTTCTGCCTTTGACGCTGTCGGCCTGAAAGTCGGTAAAGACCACGATGCGTTTGAGTGCTTGCGGGTCTTCGACGTACTTGCGGAAGTAGGCGGCCTGCTTCTCGGAAACGGGATCGGACTCGCTACCAAGGTCAGGTTTGCTGCTTTTGCGTCCAACGGACTTGTTGGACTGACCAGACGCTGCGTACTCGGTGGCATACTCGTTCTCTCCAGCGAGGACAGCACGGTCTTGGCCAAGGAGATGGACCAGACACTGGGCTAGTGTCCGCTTTCCGGCCTCCGGCCAGCCGTTGATCCAAACAAGTGGCTGGGGAGGAATAGGTAAACTCATGTAGACCAGTTTTGAGAAGAAGCAGCTTGGCTGGATGCTGTAGCTATACTGATTTCCGAGATGTTACCATATAAAGAGTGGGAGCACTGTGAGCATTGTGATTGAATTGTAGCATTGTAGACTCCTAGAGATCGGTCTCTGATTCAGTCTGTTTACCGTGGCTCCATTTGGTATTCAGGAAGGCGACGTATCCTAGTTCAAAAAACATCACCGGAGTACTATGCGCACTCTGACACAAGCTAAACGAGTTGGACGGCCGCACTTCGTACTTAAGCACTGTAACATAATGGGAACAGAAAGTACGAAATCATCAGCTGAGGCATCTCTGTGTGATGGTCCAGCGTCAAACATTCGGCCAGAACAACAAGATCTCCACCAATTGCAGGCAGGGCAACGAGCTGGTCACTGACAATGGGGGTTTTAAATACATTTCCTAACTAGGAAATTGGTCACGATGGCAGAAGGAAGGAGCGAATCACACGCCGAAGTGCCCCAACTGGGGTACAGCCACGCGGTGTTTGGAATGATGGCTTCCATCCTTTGTTGCCTCAAGTCCCCTGTAATCTTAAAAGGACGCGGCTTGTTTTACAGTAAGAAACAGGCAAAAAATACCCGCATAGACATAGCCACATGAAACAAAGGAGAACAAAGAAGACAGATCTTAGCCGTGGAAAGAACCGCTAAATTACACACCACGATAAACGAGGCAAAAGCCAAAGAAAATGAATTACAAAAACGAAAATCTCATAAATCGAATCGTCACGATGCCATGGGCTAAAATATTCGAAAAGGTGGCCGTCACGGAGAAAGAACAAAGCCGTCTCGGCTGAAATAAAAAGGAGGCATCTGTCCAGCTTGCTAGGAAGGGAATACTATCAAGAAGCAAAGAGAAAACAGACAGAATGCGAAAATAAGAAAGTTGAATTGCAGGTTAAGAAGAAGGGATCATCAAGTTTCGAGGCCGTTTGAAAACTTGCATAAGAAATTCTTTGCTTCAAATCCTCATTTGGCGCTGCCACCCAGATGCTCAATATTTGCCCTGACAGCGTCTGTGATCTCACCGCAGCCGCTGTAGGTATAAGACACAGTTTGAGGCCAGGCCTCGGGATGAGGGAGTGGCTGCTCAATGATGTCTCCGGGGTGCACATGACCCGACAGGATGACGGCAGCTAAGCCGGGAAGAATACCGAGGGCAGAATGAGGACCTGTTGGCAGGTGTCAGTGATGAGCCAAGCGACAGACGAGGAGAAACGAGAGGGAGAGACACATACGAATAGGAATGGGGAGCCCACCAGCGGCGGTAAATTGGGCTGGAGAAGGCTGTTCACTGGGGCTGCCAGGGCGGCCATGCTGGCGCAAACTGGGATGAGGGCTGGCCGGCGACAGTGGTGACGGAGAGGCACGGCGCTTGGTGCCGGCCACAGCCGACGGATGGCTAGGGTTGAGCGGCGGCAGGGCCGAGAGGGGCGAGCAAGGAATGGGAGACGGGAGGATGTTGACGCTGGTGGCCGTTCGAGGGTCTGGTTTTGGCACCGCGCGAGCCAGGGCCTTGCGCTCGACGATGCGCCGGATGGCATATGGCTTCTCATCTGAGCTCGGCCGCACGATGGCACAGATGCGCAGCTGACCTTTGGCGAGCGGCAGATCGCCGGTTGTGGTGGTGGTACTGGTGACGCTCTCGGTGCCGTCGGCAGTTGTGTCTGCGCCATCGCCGCCCAGACTGGCAGCTCGGGGCGAGACGGCATCTTGGCGCTCGAGGCTGGTGGCCCGAACGTACACACACGGCGAGAGCACACGTGGCGACATCATCGGGCTGTCGGCAAGAGAGCCGGCCAGAAGCTGCCGGCCTCCAGTGCTGCTCCGGGTGACGAGCGGAGTCAGACGCCGGTTGGGCGGTCTGCGGGAACTGATGCTGGTAGAACTGCTACTGCTCATCTGCGGTGTCGGCACAGGAGACGATGGATTGGGCGATGGTGGCAGTCCCGAGAGCAGGATGGTCCGGTTTTGAGCAAAGAAGGACTGCTCCCGCAGCGGTGGCGAGGGCATCGTAGAGGCCGACGCCTCCTTCTCATGGCTGCTGCCCAAGGGGCTGACAATGGAAAAGGCATCTAGACGAGCCGTCAGGTCAGGCCTAGCAGCGCCCGACGGAGGAGGAGTTAGCATCAGTTGGGACGCATCTATGGCTGGAGGCCCGCGTGTCGACCGTGTGCGGCCAGCCGGACTGTTGACTGTGGCCGGGCTGAGTGGTGACGGCGGGACGGCGACGCTCTCCAGAGAGGATGAATTGCGGGCATGTGTGGTTCTGGTGCTCGTCGCCATCTTTGCGTCACTGTGCTCGAGGGAGTTGCCGCCGCCCTTTGAGAGGGGACCCTTTCTGTTTCAAGGTGGATATGATGTCCTTGACCTCCTTCTAGTTGCTCTTTTCTCTGGAAACCTCAGCAGCTGTACGGCAACAGAGTACCAGACAGTATGGAAGAGAGAGACAGGCAGACAAATTCAGTAGACGAGGATGGAACGAGAGTTAAAATGAGAGAGTGGGGTACAAGAGTAGATGTATGGCGAAGAAGCTAGACGTAACATCAGAGAAAGAAAGACCTCATATTTCCTGTTTGTGTGTTTTTCATTGAAACCACGCCCTTTTACGTGGCCACCACCTTTACAACTCGCCACAGCGCGTAGGGTTGCACCTTCATTCATTGACAGAAGAGGCAATGTGAAAGGGGGAGGGGGTATGAAAGAGATTAAAGCGAGCCAAGGAGAAAGGGAAAAAGAGAGGCGACCGTTGAGCTCACATGAGACTAGCAAAACCCCAACGACAAGGCAACAAAGCATGCAGAAGCCATCATGCACGATGAATCAGAAAACCCGACAGAAAGGAGTGTAGGGCCATGCGCCTTACAGGCATCATCCTTTACTCGGCTGGGAAACTAAGGGCTGCACCAGCAGATTGGTGGAGAACAAAGGCTGGCAACCCGGTCTATCAGGCCAAGTGTCAAACCAACGGACCTGACGACAAAGAAAATAAATTTCAGTGGCTGCAGGTTGGACAAGCCAACCGGCGCAGCCAACGCGAGGGACAAAAAAAAAACAGAGAGCCAGGAGCCGACCGGAGAGTAAATGAAAAGAAAACAGAGCGTGAGAGGCTGCGAGAGGGATGCAGAAGCCCCGTCTCAGCACATCCTCGCTCGACTCTATCGCGATCTGCTCAAAGACCGGACGATTCTTCTCAGCCAGCCCCTTTTGTGGCCAAGGCAATTCAGACGCATTCTCCAACCGGTCCTTCCAGCCCTTCCTCCACCCTGGTTCCCTGCTGGCTTCGGTTCTGGAAACCTAGCCGTCCGAGAACGGTTCTTTACCAAGTGCCTGGCGGCTGCTGTTTTTAGCTTCACGCAATCCCAAGAATAAAGAAACAGGCCCAGTTGCTCGTATTGGCTCCGCAAAACTACAGCAGTAGCCGCTTCGATTTCTTTCACTGCGGTCACGTGGACAGTAGCGCTGCTGTGGGGAGCGGTTGTTGGAGATTTAGCGCTTGTTTCAGCATGGACGCGTCTGTGCCGAACGTGGAATGCAAGAAGCTGGATCCACACTCTTTGACCTGGGCCAAGAGGCCACCTCTTTATTTTACGACCTCCTAGCCTGGTGGATGCTATCGCTGCCACCGGACACCCGCCGGCGACTTTCTTTTTCTTTGTCTGACAGCGAGTCGCAAAAGCCTGCACGCCAGCTCTGTTCAGAGCAAAGAAACGATCCCATTCCAGCCCGGACAAGTGGCATATTTCAACGACAGACCACACGGACATGTCTGACGCTGGACCAGTTGCCGCTGCCGCTTCGGCGGCCGCCAACTACAAGAAGCTCAAGGAGGATTTTGTCTCTGGTCTTTCGGGAGGATCGGCGGGCGAGGTGAACCTCGTGACGGCTGTCGCTCCGGTTAGTCTCCGTCTCGACCCCTGCTCCTCTCTCCGTTCTGTGCCAAGTTGTGCCAGGGGCTCACATGGAAGCAACGCTTGCTGTGCAGGTTGCCATCCTCGCCTGGTCCGTTTTGCAGCGCCGGCAGTCTTTTTTTCGCCCCTACACCCTGCTGGCCTTTATCGTCGACTTTTGCCTCAACGTTGGCGCTATCCTTCTGGCCATCACGCTCTACGCCGACCGCCCTGTCCTGCTCAGCTCCATCCTGATCGCTCAGTCGGTCTTTGTCTATGCTCTACCCCGGAATGTTGGCGACAGCAGCAGTCGGCGGGTGCGCGTGCCCAAGAGACCAAAGGACGTCAGCAGCAGCCGGCTGAGCGAGCTGCCGAAGAAGTCGTTTCTCACGGCCTACCGCGGATGCATGCTCGTCGTCACCTGTCTTGCCATCTTGGCCGTCGACTTTCGCGTCTTCCCCCGGCGCTTTGCCAAGGTGGAAACCTGGGGCACCTCGCTCATGGACATGGGCGTGGGCTCCTTTGTCTTCTCGGCCGGTGTCGTGGCTGCCCGACCAGTCCTCAAGGAGCGTCTCGCTGCGGCCAGCAGTGGCGGCCGGACATTGCTGGCACGACGCCTGCTGACCTCGCTGCGACACTCGCTGCCGCTGCTCGTCCTCGGCATCATCCGGCTGCTGAGCGTCAAGGGACTGGACTACGCCGAGCACGTGACCGAATACGGCGTGCACTGGAACTTTTTCTTCACGTTGGGCCTGCTGCCGCCGTTTGTGGCCGTGGCCCAGTCGGCCTTGCGCTTCATCCCGTCGTACGCCGCCCTGGCTGTCCTGCTGGCCGGCGTGTACGAGGCGGCACTGGACTTTACCGACCTCAAGGCGTACGCACTGACGGCACCGCGCGTCAGCCTGTTGTCGAAGAACCGCGAGGGCGTTTTCAGCTTCGTCGGCTACCTGACCATCTTCTTGGCCGGCCAGGACACGGGACTGTACGTGCTGCCACGGGGACGTCCGGCCTCACCTGCAGCGTCGCCGCTGCTGTCGTGGCTGCGGCGCAACCGCCTGCCGGCATGGGCGGTGGCCTGGACGGCGCTGCACCAGCTGACGATTAGCCGACCGGCTGGGCTCGGCCTGACCGAGTCGCGGCGCCTGGCCAACCTGCCGTACGTGCTGTGGGTGCTGTCGTTCAACACCGTGCAGCTAACCATGTTTTCGCTCGTGGATGCGTGGCTATTTTCCGGCATGGGCGAGGCCAAAGACGTGCAGGCCGAGGAGGCGGTCTACGAGGAGGCAACTAGTCCGGTGCTGCGGGCCTACAATCGCAACGGGCTGGCCGTCTTCCTGCTGGCGAACCTGCTGACGGGCTTGGTCAACCTCACGGTGCCGACACTGGACGCAAGCCCAGCGCTATCGATGGGCATCTTGGTGGCGTATGCAGGATCGATCACCCTCGTAGCCGTGGCGCTGGACAAGTGCGATATCACGATCAAGCTGTGAGACATGCAGCATTGGCCGGCTGCCTTGGCAGGGGGGCGCTCTCGGGGGGCGAGCACACCGCCGCATGTAAGCGGAGATACAAAGCGATTGCACAGCAAGATCTGGCAAGACGAACGAGCCTGCGTCGAAGTTGCAGTTCATGTAGTTTCGCGCATCCCTCAACCCGAGAGGGCAGGCCTTGTCTCGGGCTTGTTCGCATAGCCGGCGGGATTGTGTGTCACCTCGAGGCGGTGCCGCTGATCGGTCCTCCAACGATGCTTGTTTTATTAAAAGGTGACGCTCGACTGCTCTGCTGAGACAGCTGTATTCGGCACGCGGCAGGAGAGCGAAATGAGCCAGAGAGAGAGGATGGAGAGACGGAGAGACAGGCGACGCAACGCGACACAAGCAGACGCCGTAATGCCATTGTTGCTGTAAGTTGGCCTTTGGCATGGATGGATTGCCGTTGAAAAACGGTCGACTTTGGCCATTTGCTGGAAACTGGCTGGCCTGATTGGCTGGGCTGAACCGTTGCGGCTCCGATTGGAATGGGCGCTGAACAGAACCCCTCTTTCTCAATTAACGCGAAACGCAACAATATGTCACTAGCTGCACATGACGCAGGTCTTCATTCTCCGACACTTCCGTTTCCTGTGAACTGTCTGCCTCTATACGAGCAATATATCTTGCGTATCTTACGACACCCAGCGACTTATGCTTCTCCATATGACGGAATAATGCTTAGTTCAGCCCAGCCGGCGTACTGGCCATCCCGTCTGATGCTGGCCTCCGCCAATCTTGCTCTTTCCAATCCACCCGGGACCCAGTTCTTTTTTTCTTTCCTCTGGACTTTTTCCCTTTTGGTTTTGGACTGCTTTGTTTTTGGCCGGCTGACTTGACGGCTCATCTCCGATGCCGTCCATGTCAATGCCTCCTGCTCGGGCAGCCAGCACGATTGGGTCTGACTAAACTAGCGTTATGCATGCCAGCCTATTCGCTGTCATTCAGTCGTTCATCGCCTCAGTCAATGTGCTCGATGCGGCAAGGAACGCCGCCGCCGACCAGTCCCGCCAGCAACTGGCTGGGCCGCAGCCCGACGTAGGATAGGATGCTCGTATGGCGGTGAAATGCTAGATGGCCAGCCAGCTCTGTCAGGCCACGTTGATCGATGACGAAGGGACCGGCGGGCACAGGGACAACAGGGAAGAGCGAAGCGAAAAACGAAAAGAGCAAGAAAACGGCATAAGCACCTTACTCGGGCGGCCCATTTCGTGGCCCACATAATGCGTGTGTGCTTCCTGTCCGTCAGCTCTTGGCTGGGGGACGGTATCGTACGTCGTATGCGATGTGAGATACTTTGTAACTTACTGTGTATGTGTTGGAATGACACGTCGACACATACGAGCAATGAGCAGCAAGCACTCGCTGACTTTGCCGGTCTGCATTCCGAGCTGCTGTCCCGACGAACGGCTAGCGCCGTTCAGCTCTCGTACAGCCGACGTTTCTTTTGAAGCTCGTTTCCCGGTCTCCTGCATGCTGCGTTCTGCAGCCTGCGGCCGTGCAGTCGCGCCCGCAGTCGCAGGCAGAGCTGCAGATGGCGGTGGCCTGTCGTGCCAAGCACAGGCCATGTACGTCGTAATGTACCCCAGTCTCTGATGGGCTTTTCCTACAGATACACAGGGGCGCTGAAAGGACCCCCCCTCCAGATCTATCCGGTGAGGATAGCGTGATGCCACTAAGCGATGAGGCCTGCTGAGCACAAAGAGGTGTGGCAGGCCGGCGGCAAGAGAGGGCGGAAAAGCGAAGAGAAAAAGGCCTGGAAATAGCGGCGTTTTGTAGGAGTCGTTCCTGGAGCCACTGTTTGGAAATGTTTTACGAGCCCGCTCTGGGGCATCTCTTTTCGCGGTTCACGTGGGCCCTGGAATGATGGCCCAGGCGCTGGGGTTCAATTACATGGTAGGGTGATCGGCGCTCGTTTAGTGCTATCCTTAGCGCCTCCGCTGCCTATCTCCGTTGTCCCTCATTTGTGATGTCTTGTTTCAATTCCCCTCTATCCGCCCTGTCCACACAAATGATATACGACGTACGGATACTCGTTTCTCACATCTCTGCGGCCTGAAAGGGGGAAGAGAGGCCTAACGTTGCCCGGCGGACCCTGCCCGGCCGCTGGGCTGCTCGCACCCCATGGCCCGAAGCCAAGTGCTGGAACGCCCGCCCGGAAGGTTGGGCAAGAGTACTCGTATGCGCACATAATACGCGCCCGGTCTCTGGACGCGTCGCGCGCTTTGGACGCTTACGAGTAAGATCCATGGACAGCGTCTCACGCCGAGGCTAGTGCTCCTCGCTGGCGCCGCAAGGTGTGGCTTGCGAAAGCGCGCTTGAACCTTTTTGAAATCATACTGCTCCGTCCGTACTCGTACTATGTAGACCTGAACTGTCTGCCCAGCTTGATCCTGCTTGATGCCTCCTCCTCTTGCCCCTGTCTCGAATAGTGGGCCATTGGCGCCCCACGGGCGAGATTAAATCAAAATTGCATGGCCCAGCAAGTACCGCCTGCTGCCCAGCAAGTGATGCAGGGTCGCCATTGCCCGTATTGTGAAATTGCTGTCTTCGGCCCTCCTTTTCCCCGATGCCTGTCTCGTCTCTTCCCTTCTCGCCTGCCCCTTCTTCGCCCATGTGTTTCCGTCTTTCTTTCCACCACCCATCTACGACCACACGCATCTCATCTCGTTTCTTATCACCTCACCCTTCAGACACACCCCTCCCCCCTATTGTCATCATCGGACGCCCGCTGGCAACCAGGCCACACCCGTCTCCACCCTTTGTTGACAGTGTGGACGCTCCTGGTTGGCGTGTATGCGATTGATCCTCTTACGGCCCCCTTCTCGGCTTCCTTCGCTGGTTTGTGTGCTGTGCTGTGCTGTGCTCGTTCGACACCACCCTGTCCTCTCCGATCCGGTCTTTTCAGGGCAGAATCGCAGCGCCTACGGAGTACTTGCAGAGCATTGACCAACTCCTCCCAAAAGCTGGCCTGCCAGCCTCGCATAAACACCGACTCCAATAGGGCGTTTTGGCGTGTCGCGTCTCGCTTGCTCTGTTCCTTAACCTCGCTTCCCATCTTACACAGTTCCTCCCGCACCTTTTCCTTCCGCGTCCTATCTCTGTCCCTCCCGCCTCTGTCGCTCTACGACGACCCATCCGTCCGAGGACAAGAACTTTGGATCTTTTTCTCTTTCTTGCTTGTGCATGGGAACATATATCCCGCAGGCCTTTGTCTAGCAGCCTGAAGGCACACATCACTGTCGAACAACCCAGCAGACAAAGCACTTTCAGTTCAGCAAGTGGAAATACACGCTCTACTAGCAATACGCCCGTGCTTCATTTCGCAAGATGAGCATCCCTCAATAGCTTGTCTTCACTCATCCCCTGCCTGCCGATCTTCAATTCTTCCCGGAAATCTCCTTGCGTTGCGCTGTCTGGCAACTCCGTCGCGGTTCAGGCACCGATCAATTCCTGTCACGAAACTACCTTTTTTTCTTTTTTTTCCCTTTTTCTGCCAATCTACGGGGTTCCGGCAACAACGTCTCGACTCTCGACTCTCGACCATCACCAACTTTCTCGACGCACATTGTGCCTCGAGCTTCGCCTGTTTAAGACGTTGCTTCTCTTAGTCAAACGAAACACATAGCCTATGGGCTACGGCTTTTTCGAGTCCCCTATTGCCCCTTTTTCCCGGTACGCGGACAGGCAAGTGCACGGCAAAACACGTGAAAGACCAAGGCTCGCCTGATCTCACCGTCTTTTGCCTGTTTCTTTTTTGCCCTCTAGTGGCTGCGCCTACCATTTTCAAGACGCAGTGCTGCGCGTAAAATGTCTTCGACTGCTCTGCAAACCCCTGCTGGATTGCCGACGCCAACCCGACATCACACGTCATCTCGCTCTTCGCCCACACGCGAAGGCTATCATGCCACTAAGCAAACACAGCAGCAACAGCAACAGCAAGCTTCGACAACTTCTTTGGCATCGTCTTCCCGGCCGTCCCGGAAGAGCAGCTCCGGCGGAAACAGCAATAACAACCACCCCAACAATAGCGGCGCCTTCTCTTCCCCTGTCAATCCCGCGGCTGCAGTGAACGCTGCTACCGTGTCGATGCCCGATTACTCCCAACCCAGCCCTTCCGCCTCTTCCGAGCGTAGGCGCCATGTACCGCCTGTCGCCCCCGCGCGCACATCCTCCTCCCGATATGACCAGCAGGCACCCGCTTCTAGTATGCCTGCGAATTCAGGTTCGCGGAGATCAACTGCAGTCGCGGGTACTGGTTCGGCTTCCGCCCAAATGACGGCCATCGACTCTCCAAGGCGCCACCGAGACTCCAGAGGCACCCCGAATGGCTCAAGCTCTACTCAAGAGTCGTCACACCGAAGACAACGTGCGCAAGCTGCTACTCAAGACGAACACACCCACAGGAAGACGACGACCTCAAGAGCGACCACATCAAGCCTGCCTGTTCGAACCGCATCATCAGCAGCGCCTGCATCATCCCATACGCCACAGAGAGAGAACAGCGAAATTTTAAATGCTATGGTTGTGTCTCAAGACGAGATCGATATTGAGCGGGAGAGGACCCGTTCACTACAAGCCCACTCTAACCAAGATACCGACGTTGATAGCGCCGACGCCGTGCCTCCTCCAATTGTGTCCCACAATGCTGCTCATGATCCTATCGAAGACCACCATCGTGGTACTCGGAGTAGACACGACCACTCAAGACGCGAGAAGCAGATGAAGTTTGGAGAGTACATCTTAGGAAACACCATTGGCGAGGGCGAATTCGGTAAAGTCAAGCTGGGCTGGAAACAGGAGGGCGGTGTCCAGGTATGTTTGGTCCACCTCCCTTGGACGTATACATGCATTAACACGGTTTAGGTTGCCATCAAGCTTATCAAGAAAGACACGCTCGGAAACAACCCTACACGCATGGCCAAGATTATGCGGGAAGTGAATATCCTGCGGCAACTGAACCACCCGAACATTGTCCAATTGCACAAGATGGAGGAGTCAGAGCACCACTACGGAATCGTATTGGAGTACGCCTCGGGTGGTGAGCTGTTCGACTACATCTTGAACCACCGCTATCTTAAGGACCACGCTGCTCGGCGACTCTTTGCCCAACTGATTTCCGGTGTGGGGTATTTGCACAAGAAGGGCATTGTTCACCGTGATCTGAAGCTGGAGAATTTGCTGTTGGATCGAAACCGCAACATCATTATTACAGATTTTGGCTTTGCCAACACGTTCGAGCCGGCGGAGGAGCTGACTGAAGACGAGGAGGCAAACCTAGTCGACCGGGAGTGGGTAAAGCGAATGGGCTTCGACCTGGTCAAGCCTAACGGCATGCGCAAGGCCGATCTGATGCAAACCAGCTGCGGTAGTCCTTGCTATGCTGCGCCCGAGCTTGTCGTCAGCGACTCTCTATACACTGGCCGCAAGGTTGATGTCTGGAGCTGTGGCGTCATTTTGGTATGTCTTTGCGCCTACTATAAGTGCCTCTCCTATTGCTGACACAAGCTACCCGATCAGTACGCCATGCTTGCGGGCTATCTTCCATTTGACGACGACCCGAAGAATCCGGAGGGCGACAACATTAACCTGCTGTATAAATACATTGTCAACACACCCCTCACCTTTCCCGAATATGTCACACCTCATGCTCGGGATCTCCTTCGGAGGATTCTCGTTCCCGACCCGCGGCAGCGGGCCGATCTTTTCGAGGTGGCCCGCCACAGCTGGCTAAGCGAGTACGCAAACGTGGTCGAGTTTATCACAAGCAGCAATACCCAACCAGCCGATATACAGAATATGACTCCAGGCGCGGAGGAGTATGGAGAGAGTTCGATGGCACGGAGTGCGTCTGTCCGCGAATCGTCCAAGAAGGCTGCCACATCAACAGCAATTGGTGGCTTGACCAGCAAACAGGGAACGGTCGACCCAGAAGCCGAAATTGTTCAAAAACAGCAGAAAGACAACAAGCGAAGAACGGTGCAGGTGGAATATGTGGCACCTACTACCCAAACTCAGCGTGGCGAAGCGAATGCACAGCTTGGCGGACCTTCTGGTGGTAAGACGCGCGCGCGTCCAATTACCCAAGGCCCAGTCGCGGTGTCCGCAAACCAGACAGCATCGTCAAACAGCAAACCACTTCCCCGAGATCCGCCAGCGTCAAAGGACGCTCACACAAAACCCCAAAGAGACTCGAGACGTCCTCCAAGTGCTCACCGGAATGTCAGTGGTGCAGCGCCTGTTGCGCCTGGCACCACCCCCCGATCTAGCCGGATGGTACCAGATTCCGCGTACTTGACATCCAGCGCAAGTGGCGGCCGTCCTGTGACTGGGGGCTCCATGGCGTCAACGGGTTCACGAACGGCGCCACCTCGTGCGCCGATTGGCCAGCCAACCCCTCCCACCGTGGCAGGTACTAACGCACATGGGAAAATCCAGCAGCCGACGAGTAGCAGCGGCCGCAACTACATCTCGAGTCCACAGGACGCGTCGAGCTTTGGACGACCCAGTGTCAGCGTGGCGCCGAAGTTTGCTCAAGTGCCAGGCGTTGCTGGAGGAAATGGGGAACGGGCGAGCACTCCTCTTGTAGGAGAAGCCAAGGGACACCGGCGCTCAAACACCTTGGGCGATATCACCGACAAGCTGCTGGGGCGTAGTGGGTCGATTTTCAGCGGAAAGAACCGCAAGCGGCCGGAACACCGCCAGTCAGTTGGGGGAGACAAGCTGTCTAGGCGGTACCCGCCTGTAAGCATGTCCAACACGGCAGCTTCTGTCCAAACCACTGGTGCAGATGAGCCTCGCGCGTCAATGGACTCGACTGCTCGACAGTCGAGGCGGTCATTCACCACTGGGCTGGGGAAGAAACGGTCGGGCAGCATTGAGGCGGGATCGCAGTCGTCACAGGAGAAGCAACAGAATCGTCGGTTTTCAATCCTTCCGACATCTTTCTCCCGCAAAGCGGTCAATACCAACAAAGACGACGACCGAAGCCCCGACTCTCAGCTTGATCTCCCAATCCAGGAACCTGCTGCAGGCACTGGGCTTGTTGTGAGCGATGATGAGACGGATGCGGAGGGCTTGACTGGAGGATATGAAGAAGTACAGCAGCAACCCCAGCAGCAGCAACAGCGCCAGGGCTCAAGACAGAGCCATGAGCAGCAACGTCCTCCAGCAGGGCGTCATACTCTGGCACCTGCCGGCCATGACACGCAAGATAACGTGCAGCGGAGCCCACCACTATCTGCGCCTTACCAGACTGCATCGGATGGAACGCAGGTCCAGGATCCGCGACGGGCGTCTAGCCGCGGCGGGCGTGTGGTTCTGCAAAAGAACAAGCGACTGGTGGATGCTTACGACACCGATGATTTCGCAAAGCACCATGACCGGAGCGGCAGCAGTGGAGCAGCCCGGCGGGTGATGGATTTCTTCCGGCGACGCGGAAAGGCCAGAGGCGGCGATGAATGAGGGAGCCATCAGTCGCCTTCTGGTTCTTTTGGTGCTGGTGCCGAGACTTTGAAGGCTGGGGACGTTACTACTGTGGGATGCTGGCAGTGTTAGCGAAACTGCTAGCATGGTGTTTATCAGGGAAGAGAACGGCATTTCAGAACGTGTGCTTCGGTCCCCTTTCCTTTTTCTTTTTCTCTTCTTTTTTTTGTTTATGCTATGTGCGGCATTATCACTACAAAGCGGTACTGTTCTTCATACCCTCCAGTTCCATCAACTCATCGCCTTTGCTTCATTTTGATCTTGCAGAATCATCCCATGCGCTTCCTCGGTTCGGTAATCGTTTGGGCGTGTCTATGTCATTGTAATAAGATTGGCTTGAAACAGGAGACCTGGAAAAGACAAATCGGCTCGATGGTGTTCACTTTTCTGGGTCACCTGCCACAATTTCGCTTGTTTTGCTTTGTTTTGCTTTGCTTTGTTTTTACTGGACGGTGGGCAATTCGTGTTTCTCGGGGTTGCAGGCACTTTTGTTTGGGTGTTAGGTGACAGGCATGGCGAATAAAGCACTTTGATCATCTCTGGCAGAGACAGCATGGACACCAGAACGAGGCACCCGACTGGACAGTGGACCGTTCTTATCAGTTGAGAGTGGCCCTGTTGAGTATCGAAAGTTGGCCAGGTAGACGAAGACGTGGCGGAAGAAGGCCAGCGGCGACTTATCTAGGGCGGCTTGCTGGTGTTATCGGGGTTGTCTCTGTCTGCCATGACGGCTTTTTGTTGGCGTTTCTCATACTAGATTGCTGTAAGCGGGGAGCATTGGCGCATTAGATATCGTACCAGGTACCTCTGACCGTGGAGGGACGAGGGTCAATAAAAGCTGCCGTGACTGTGTTGGGGCAGCCTCTATTGAATTGCCTCCTGCCGAATCCCAAGCGAACTGCTATTGACACGTCCGAAAGCCATCGTGATAAGGCGTGTGGAGAGTGGCGTAACCAGAGCTGTCTGTGCTTGCCGTTTTGGGCAGTCACCGTATCTCCCGAGCGTTTACGAGTATACGTAAGATAATACTGTGTGAACTGCAACCTGCAGCCTGCAGCCGGCAGCTTTTTACGGAGTAATTACATGGCATCGCGCTCTTCCTGTGCTCACCTATCGCTCTACTGTGCTCACCGACCGCCACAGTCTTGGCGACTCTCAATACCGGACAACCGGCCGATCCGGGCGCTGATACCAATAGCCGGCTAGGACTTGTACGCGTGCTGTGAGAGGCTGCTCGACTCCCGTTATCTGCGCCCGTCATGACTAAGAAACGGCTCCGCGTGGGGGAAGGAGAGGCCGTCTCAGTCGGGCCTGTGCGGCATCGCCCAGCAGCTAAGATACGTCTTAGCGGCTTGTCGTTGCTCAATATGCGGTAAGGCCGTCTTGGCCTATCGGGGCAGTGCCTTTCTGATGACACCCCACCAACAAAGTATAGCATGCGTTCACTTGACCTCTAGCGAAGCTTGGCGACCAATCACGTAGAGGAAACACCGACTACTCCCCACTTTTTTCCTTGGCTGGCTTCCTGGTAGAGCCATCTCACACCTCTAGACGTCCCCAGACAGCTTGACGTCGCTGTCTCGTGGTCAGTTTTCTCCTTTCTCCCTTATTCCATTCTCTCCTGCCTTCTTCCTCTTCCCCTTCTTTTCTATTATTTTCTCCCCCTTTCTCTTGCCCCTTTCCTATTCCTAAGATTACGCTTGTTGCTCCTGCTTGCTACCCTAGGCCTTATTTCGATGAAGAAACCCCAACTCGAGCAGCTCCATATCGATCGCATACGCTTGTCCAGCACCCAAGCGGATGGAGACTCACACAGCTCATTGCGACAACCTGATGCGGATGACCAGCTGCCTACTTCCGTAAGCAAATCCGGCCTCCACGTCTGTGACCCGCAGCAGCAGCAGCAGCAGCAGCAGCAGCAACAACAGAAGATCGAAGAGAAGAACATAGGGCTTGAACAGTCGCTTCCTGTTTCGGGCACCTCCAAACACCATGGCAGCCGCTTGCTTGGATACCTGCCCTGGGGCACCCGGGCCGGTGATCCGGCCGTTTCCCGCAGCGACAGCAGCAGCAGTTCCAACAACAACGACAGTAGAAACCGTCACTCGGCAGACACACTCACACCACCGGTGTCCTCGGCGTCAAAGTCGGCGGCGGCTGATACCGTGGAAAAAGCATGGCCGGGGCCTGTCTTAGAGGGGCCGGGTACACCGTCGCCTCTACCGGAAGCATCGGCCCCGTCGGGACTGATAGAAAAAGATGCTGTTGGTGAAGCACACCATGCATCGACTTTGAACACCACCGATTATCAGGGAACTCAGGATGTCAACCAAAACGTTGATCAGAACGGCGTCGCAGATGGTGGTAGCAGTGAGGATAGTCAACAAGACCCCGAGAGAGGCATGGCTGGCAGAGTTGCCACTCTGGCTCGTAGTTTTCTCGCCACCGCTAGGAAGATCCTCCTCTATAGTTGGCTCAACCTTCTCCTCGTCTTCGTGCCTGTCGGCATCGCCGCTCACTTTGCCCACCTGTCAGTGGGTGCCGTCTTTGCCTTGAATGCCATCGCTATTGTTCCACTGGCTGGTCTTCTAGCTTTCGCTACCGAGTCAGTAGCCCACCGCATGGGCGACTCTATTGGCGCGTTGTTGAACATCACCTTTGGAAATGCCGTGGAGCTGATTATTTTGTAAGTCGATTGTCCTTGTGCCTGACCTTCTTTCCACGCTAACATGTCCAGCATGTATGTCCTGGCCATTGATGAAACTCGAGACAAGAACGAGAGAAAGGGCTGCTGTCTACATGGCGCCCTTGTCAAACCAATCGCGTCGAAAGCTCAATCATGGTTCATTTTGTTTTCCCGCCTTCTCGTACCTTGATTTCTTCTGGCTGTGGTGGCTCTCTTCCGTCAGAGCATTGCTGTCCGGCCCTTGGTTTTCATTCGCCAGGAATCCCCTCTTCTCCTGTTTTGCGACCAATGCGCTTTTGCCTAGTCTGTGTTTCGCCTCAATGTCCTCGCGATCACTAACATCTGTCTGCGTGTGTCCTCAATGTAACAGAATTGCTCTCGTCAAGGTAAGTGTTGTTCTGCCGTTCTGCATAGCGCCGTCTGGTTCAATCGCTAACATTCTGTCCAAGAATGAAATTCGTATCGTGCAGGCATCGCTTCTAGGCTCCATCCTGTCAAATCTGCTTCTAATTCTTGGAATGGGCTTTCTTCTAGGCGGTCTCCGTTATCGCGAGCAGGTTTGTGTGCTCGCATGACCGTCCGTGATTTGGAGCAGCACAATGCTGACCATGTAAATTCAGATATATAACAGCACTATCACGCAGATGAGTGCCTGTCTGCTCAGTCTCAGCGTCATAAGCCTCGTTCTTCCTGTGAGTCCTTTTGTTGGATTTGTACGTCTGTTTTGGTCTTTTCCCTTCACATCGCTGACAATACTCAAAACAGACTGCCTTTCATGCATCTTTTAGCGATTCGGTGAAAGCTGATGAGGAATCGCTGAAAATCAGCCGTGGAACTAGTGTTGTAAGCCATGGACCATGCACACGCCTATCGTCCACATTGCTGACATTTCTGATCAAGATCTTGCTCCTCGTGTATGGCATATATCTTCTGTTTCAGCTCAAGTCTCATGCGTACATGTACGAGTCCACGCCGCAGTACATCATCGATGAAGAGTCGACTCCTGGCCCGGTCGCTGCATGGCTTGATTCGTCGAGTTCGGATGACAGCTCCTCATCGTCATCCGACTCGGACGGTTCGGGACACTCCCGCAGCACGATGAAGAAGCGGGTGCGCCGTGTCATCCGTGGTGGGCGCCGACGTAAGTCGAGCGTCGTCTCGCTGGATACAACCGAAGGCATATTTGGTGGGCCGACGCGTACACCGTCGTTTGGTACCGCCATGGTTGGAAATGACGGGCTACCGATGCACCAAACGTCGGTGCTGCACCTTGCAACCATGGACATCAACGAAGACTTTATCGACGAGGACGATACAGCCCACAGCCGACATAAGAAGCGCAACCACCGACACTCTCTCCGGCGCCACCGTCACAAGTCCAAGAAATTGAGTCGGACGGGATCCAACGAACATGATTTCGTCGACGAGCACAGAATCCCAGAGGCTGTCACTGTTGCACAGAAGCAGGGGAACTGGAAACATGAAGCTCGTCGCGGAGATAATATCTCTACTCGCAGCGAAAGAAATGGCGAGGGTGGCAGTACCCCGGCGCGAGGAGAAACACGCCACGTCGACTTTGCTTTTTCTGGCCCGGAGCAAAATGTCGGCACAGAAGAAGACGGGTGTGGCAACACGGCGACTGCAGCAGAACTTTCCGCCCGGCCGGCTTTCAATCTGCGGGCAATGTCGTTGCGACCAGTGGCGAAGAGCCTGACTCCAACGGTATTCAAACAGGCAGCTGACGGCTCGGCAGCTCTGGCGGTGCCAAGCGGCCCCATACCGCGGGTTCGTTATGGGATTCGGCGTACAAACTCGCTTCCAGACCGGCTGAACCACATGCAGTTTCGTTCTCCTGGTGCCATGCTGCCGTCACAGATTTCAGCCTCGCGTATCGCAGCTCTGTCTGAAAACAAGGACAGAGCGAACCATGACGAGGAAGGGTTAATGCTGTCTCGACGGGCCGCCGTGGTGTTGCTACTGATCGTGACTGCTCTGGTGGCCGTGTGCGCTGAGTTTATGGTGGATTCGATTAACGGACTGGTGGAGACCAGCTCGATTGGCGAGGTGTTCATCGGCCTGATTATCCTGCCTATTGTGAGCAATGCAGCCGAGCATGTGACGGCTGTCACGTGTGCACTTCACAACAAGGTTGATCTAGCCATTGGGGTTGCTGTGGGCAGTTCTATCCAGATTGCGCTCTTCACGACGCCCTTGGTGGTGATTATAGGCTGGATCATGGAGCGTAAGATGACGCTCTATTTCACGTTGTTTGAGACGGTGTGCCTGTTTGTGTCGGCCTTTATCGTCAACTTCCTCGTGCTGGATGGACGCAGCAACTACCTCGAGGGCGCATTGCTGTGTGCCACGTATGTGATTATCAGTCTGGTAGCCTTTTACTACCCGAACGCGGAGGAGGCCAGTGTGTGGGGGCGATAAGCGTCTTCTGGCAAGTGAATGGGCAGAAGCATTCTGCTAGCAAGCAAAACGGAGGATTGGCCTAAGGGAGTCGAGTACGAGGCGCAATTGCGCTTATGGGTGAGAGAAACTGTCATTATCGAAACGTTGCCAGGTGTGTTTGGCTGTGTGGGGAACAGAGTACTGTCGTTATAGCTTCTTATCTTTTTTTGTATCTTTGCAATTTCGGAACCAAATCCACTCTTTAACTCGTCGTGTACTCCGTTCTGACGTCGCCATCCTCTCAGCGAATTGTGGCATCGGCTCGAAATGGCATCATCTTCTCTGCTGCTGCTATGTCTTACCAAAGAACCCGAAATGTGGACCCTATGCCCCGCTATTTTCCGTGAGCGGAGAACCCGAACGGTGGATTCGTGCATCCCGCTGAATTGCTGTAGACCGGGACATGGATTTTTTTCGCACCTCTCGAGTGTTTTTCCACTGACCTAGCATGCGGCGACTGGCTCGGCAGCCATATAATATAATACCTTTCAGAGGCTCTGAATTGTGCAGCCAGTCACGATAACAATTGAGCTGGTCCGACGGCTTTCTTAATTGCCACGACCGCTTCGATCAGAGATTCTTGCCTGCCTCATCGACGGCATGCTGAAGCACCTCAGCCTGCGCAGCTCGCGTGCTGCTGCCGCATCACGGGCCACCGAAGTGCACAGCCTGTCCGCACGACAGCTGCCGCGGGTACAGGCGTGTTTCTTCGCATCCAAGCCGCCTCAGCAGCCACCATCTGGCAACGGCGGAGATCATGACGGCCGCAGTTTTCGCGGACAGATGGTAGAGAGCATCACAACTCGTATGGCTCGGGAGAAGGCACAGCGCGAGAGAATCGCACAGGAGCGGCAAGAGTCGGCGACGACGCGCAATGCGGCGACGACATTCAGTGAGTCGGCAATGGTTTGACGACGCTCTTCAGAATACTGTTGCTGACACCGGTGTCAGTGATCTTGTTTGTGGGCGCAGCTTGCTATTTCCTCGGCTACAAGGCGCCGCGGGACCCCGACCCCGAATCGACGATGTCGCTGGAGAAGACACGGCCACCGCGGCACAACACGAACCGGTCGGAGCTGGAGGCTGCGTGGGCAGATTTTGTGGCGATTCTGGGCGAAGAGAACGTGAGCACAGTACAGTCAGACATTGACTCGCACACTTCATCGGACTGGTCGTCGTACCGGCAAGAGAAGACGGTTGAGAGTGAAAAGGCGGCGGCGGCTCGACGGCTGTTCTGTGTGGTGTATCCGAGAACCACAGAGGACGTGTCGCGCATCATGAAGGTGTGTCACACGCGGCGGATCCCGGTGACCGGGTACAGTGGCGGGACGTCGCTGGAGGGCAACTTTGCGCCGACACGTGGTGGGGTGACGGTGGACTTCTCGCGGCACATGGACCAGGTGGTAGCGCTGCACAAGTCCGACCTGGACGCGGTGGTGCAGCCGGGCGTGGGATGGGAGTCGTTGAACGAGCAGCTGGCGGATGAGGGGCTGTTTTTCCCACCGGATCCGGGCCCGGGGGCACAGATTGGCGGGATGATCGGCACAGGCTGCAGCGGGACAAATGCGTACCGCTATGGCACGATGCGCGACTGGGTGTTGTCGCTGACGGTGGTGCTGGCGGATGGTACGGTGGTGCGCACGCGGCAGCGGCCACGGAAGAGCTCGGCGGGCTATGACCTGACCCGGCTGCTGATCGGGTCCGAGGGCACGCTGGGCCTGGTGACGGAAGCGACGCTGCGGTTGGCGGTGCGGCCGACGGCAACGTCGGTGGCAGTGGCGGCGTTTGGGACGATCCGCGAGGCGGCCAACTGTGCGGCGCGCGTGGTGGGTGAGGGTGTGCCGGTGGCCGCGATCGAGGTGCTGGATGGCCCTCAGATGCGGTGCATCAACGCGGTCGGGGCGACGAGCCGTGCGTGGGCCGAAGTGCCGACGCTGCTGTTCAAGTTTGCTGGCAGCTCGTCGCGGGCGTTGCGCGAGCAGATCGACGTGGTCAAGGCAGCGGCGACGGCGGCGGGCGCGCGCACGTTTGACTTTGCCCGGTCCGAAGCTGAACAGGCGGAGCTGTGGAGTGCTCGCAAGGAGGCGCTCTGGAGCACGTTGGCGGCATGCAAGCCCGGTCAGCGGCTGTGGACGGGCGACGTGGCCGTGCCTATCAGCCGACTGCCGGACGCCATCGAGGAGGTGCAGGCGGACTTGCAGCGGCTTGGGCTCGTCGGCACCATCGTCGGCCATGTGGGCGATGGCAACTTCCATGCCATTGTGCAGTATGGGCCGGAGGAGCGCGAGGCGGCCGAGGAGTTTGTGCATACCATGGTGAAGCGTGCGATTGAGCTGGAGGGCACCGTGACGGTAAGTGGGAGAGAGCGGAGACGAGAGAGAGGGGAAGAGAGGACGAGAAGAAGAGGAGTGGAAGAGGGACAAAGATGAAGAGATGAAGAGATATGAAGAGGAGACACGATGCAGGCCCAACGAAGAAGGGCGAGAAGAAAGGAAGGAGCGAGAGGAGGCACGAGGAAAGAACGATTGCTGACCAGTACAGGGCGAACATGGCGTCGGTATGGTGAAGCGCGACTACCTGCCCCATGAGCTGGGCGAAGAGGCCGTGGCGATGATGCGCAAGGCAAGTGACCCTTCCCTGCTCCTTCCCTGCTCTGCCTGTACTGACTAGCCGTCCGATTGGCCAATACAGATCAAGGCAGCCTTTGACCCGCTGTGCCTGCTCAACTGCGACAAGGTGATCCGCATGCAGAAGCCGAAGCCAGGCGAGATTGGCCCATGGTAGGGCAGCTTACGTGATGGACGATGTCAAAGCAAAATTGAAGAAAAAAACGGAGAAAACGGGGGCAATGATGCAAATGAGGCTGCATTTGCAAGGACACAGGACACAGGACACAGGACACAGGACACAGGATACAGGCTTTGTCGTCCTGGGGATAGACCTGGTATTTCTTATTTTACTGCTCTGCTCTGCATCTCTATTTTGTGGGGGTTTGTCTCTACTGTTTCTCTCGTCTCCATTCAACATGTCGGTGCGTCCAACAGCCGGTTTAGTCCAGCCCAGTCCACTCGTCGTCGTTGTGTGCCTGTTTCTCTGCCTCCAGCTTGCGTCGCTTGCTGCTCGCAATCGCGTCTCGCAAGTTGTTCTCCTTGCGTCGCTCCCACGCGCTCTTGGAGGTGATGCGCGAACGGCCGGCTGCGTTGCCTTTGCCGTTGCCGTTTTTGCTGCTGCCGCCGTTCTTGCCGGTGCCATGGCTGCTGCTGCCACCCGTCCGCCGCGACTCCATGCCGCGCGTCTTGAGCCGCTTCTTGTCCGCCTTGGTGACGTTGGGCAGGGCGTCTAGCAGCCACTGGGGTACGGCCGCCGGGGCGTTGTTGCTTGTGCTGTTGCTGCTGTTGCTGCTGGCGGCCTCGGTGCCTGGCCCCTTGCCAGCCTGCTTCTCGCTCGCCGCGATCACGTTGGCCACGCTCTTGACAAACGGAATATCCTCCTTGGTGTACAGCGTGACGGCGAGACCGCCCTGCCGACCAGCCCGACCAGTCCGGCCGGCTCGGTGCACGTAAGCCGCCGCCGAACCGGGCACGTCGTAGTTGACCACGCCGTTCACGCCGGCAAAATCGATACCGCGCGCCAGCACGTCTGTCGTGATGAGCACCCAGACCTCGCCGGCCCGGAATCGCCGCACCACCGCCGCCCGCGCACCGTCGGCCAGCGCCGCGTGCAGCACGCCCAACCTGTCGGCTCCGCCGGCCGCCGCCGGGATGTCATACTTGAGCTCGTCGTGCAGCGCTGTCGCCCGCTCGGCCGTCTGGGCAAACACGAGGAAGGGCGGCCGCAGCGGCGTCTCGGCCGTGGCTGCACCAGAGCTCTTCTGGCCCTGTCCCGTCACCGACACACTCGTCGTCGGGTGCAGCAGTTGCCGCATCGCCAACAGCTTGCCCTGCTCCGTCGCCGTGTACACCAGCCGGTGCGTCACGTTGGGCACTGCCGTGTCCTTGAGCCCGACCACCAGCCGCACCAGTAGCCGACTTTTGTTGATTGTCATCCCCTTCTTCCCTGCTGCAGCCGTCTCTCCCTTTTCTGCTGCCGAACCCAGCTGCTTCGCCACCAGCTCCTCCACGTTCGAAGCCATCGTCGCCGACCAGAACGTCGCCTGCAGCTGTGGGTGCGTGCATGCCCCCCACAGCCCCAGCGTCTGCTCGCGGAACAGCGGGTCAAGCAGCACGTCTGCCTCGTCCAGCACCAACGTGCGTACCGTCGGCAGCGTCTTCTTCTGCTTCGCCGACCCGCCGGATAGCGAGTTGAGCAGCATCAGCGGCGTCGTCACCAGGATGTCCGCCCTCGTCACCGTCGCCGCCACTGCCGCCTTCTTCGTCTTGGTGCCCTTTCCTCCCTTGGCATCCTGTCCTTCCTCTGGGCCGTCCTCTTCTTCTTCTTCTTCGTCTTCGTCTTCGTCGTCGTCACTGTCCGCGCTGCTTTCCTCGTCATCAGGGTTGCCAGACTCCCCCTCCTCGCCCTCGGCCGATGCAGCCTGCACGCGCATACCTTTGCGCATGGCCACTACCCGGACACCCGTACCGACAGCTAGCTTCTTGCCCTCGTTGGCTATCTGGCGGGCCAGCTCCCGCGTGGGTGCCACCACCACCGTATGGAGGCCATAATCATGTTTGCGTTTGGGTGCCGTGACCGTCGCAGCCTCCGGATCCTCAAGCTCAGCTTTCTCTTCTGCCCTCCTCTTCAAGACACTGCTGATCGAAGGCACCAAAAAGCTTAGTGTCTTGCCGCTGCCCGTGGGCGCCACCGCCATGAAGTCCACGCCACCGTTTGCGGACAGCCCGTCGCGCTGTCTGTTGCCTTCATCGCCCGACAGTTCCGTCTTGCTCAGCGCTAGTGTGGGGTCTAGTAGCAGAGGCAAGCTGCCCATCTGCACTTCTGTCGGGATGCGGTACAGCAGTCGATCAAGGTTGTCGGCGAGCCGTGGCGAGATGCCGTATGTATGGCGCAGTTGAGAGAAGGCAGTCAGCGGCTGCGGAAGAACTGGCTTCTTGTCATCTTTGGTGCCCTTAGATTCCTCCTCGGCTTCCTTCTTGCTCTTTTTACTGCTCTTTTTCTTCTTGTCTTTTTCTTTTTTCTTTTCCGCCTTTTCCGTCTTCTTATCAGACAACAATGACAGCTTCAACCGATGTGACCGCAGAATTTGACGGCATTCATCTTCGTCTAGAAGGCCCACCGTTTTATCAATATTTTCTGACCTCTTCTCATTTGTCTTCTTGCTGCTTTTGTCATCGCCATTGGATTTTGCCTTCTTGACTGGCGTTGCCTCAGTCGTCTTTGCGCTGTCGCGATTTGCAAAGAAGTCGAGTTCGCTCACGTCGCTCGCGTCATCGTCCCCTTCATCCGCAGGAAGAATTTCTTCGCACTCTCCGTCGCCTCCTTTTGCGGCCTTGCTGCTACTTCCTCTCTTTCGTTTTCTGCTCTTGTCGTTGTCTGTGCTTCGAATGGGGTCATGGAAAAGCTGAGGGTTTGTGTGCGCCCCAGCAGATGGAAGATCGGCGGCAACTCGAAGAGCATTTCCCCGAGCAGCCCCAGCCTGCCCCCTTGTTCCCCGGGAGAGCAACTTTAGAATATCCATGTTGTCTATGCAGACTGCCTGAACTGCATTCTCGTGAGGTGCAGAAGTTGGGACAAAAAAAAAGGTTATCGATAAGATTAGCAAATTGGAGGATCCATTTTTGGCAAGCGTCAATTGATGACTAATCGTTTGGGGCGTTCAGTACTCCGCACTCAGCATGTGACTGCATAACAAGACAATACAACAATACTCCGTAGATACGGAGTAATACAGCACGGAGTACAGAGGCAACAAAGATGCCGCTGTCATTAAAGTCCTCCTAACACGTTATACTGTTTGTTGGAAGTTCTGTAAGAACGTGGTGGCGCCGAAGGTACGACAAGTTTCGAAAGAAATGTCACATGTTCGTGCCACCACTGACCAAACGATCTACTTGTTCTAGGTTGGGCTGAGTATCGAGTAGCCGAAGGTTATCGCTAGACACTTCCACCATTAAAGCCTACACTAACAAGGTGAGCTGAACTCTGTTCGTTCCCGATGGTAGGCGAACACCCTTGGATCATCTTAGACAGACAATTGAGAGCATTGATGGCATTACTCCAGCTTGGCTTTACAAGTTAATCCAAATATGTGATGTGTCAATTCTCTAACTACCGGAGGCTGTATTTCGTGCGGAGTAAGATGTGAGCACAAAAGCTGTAAGCGAGAGCATTGGTGGACAGTGCGAATATCTCACGATGTTAAGAATACACAGTACAAACTTGAGGCTTACGCAAGTCGAAGACTCAATTGCGTGATATATTTAGTCGAAAGGAAGCAGTCGCAAAGCTACATAACGTCGCATGCAAGCTGGAAGCTTTGGATAGGACAATGGGGGACTTCATATCAGTGCCTACAGTGGACTTTGGTTGTCTGCAAGACGAGGAGACCAAGCCCCAGGAACTTCTCAACCTTCGTGATGCTCTTTTCCGCGTTGGGTTCCTGTATCTTGTAAATAATGGAGTAGAGGTGAGTGGACAGAGTATCTGCTGCAGCTAAAGATACCGAAGCTGGCTCTCTGACACCCGCAGCCACTGATCCGCGAGCTGCACGGGCATCTGCCAGCAGCCTTTGCTCTGCCTGCCGAAGAAAAGGAGCGAGTCAACATGCGCAACTCACCGTCCTTTCTGGGATATACCGCCCTTGGAGCAGAAACCACAGCGTCTAAAGCAGACTTGAGGGAGGTGCGACAGACGGAATATTGAGACAGCATAGAATTCACGTGCAGGGCCTGAAGCTGACAAGTGGGCGATAGCAATACGATTTTGGCTCGTCTGTAGACTGTAGATGGAAGGAGGGAGATCCTTCCTGGAAGAGATTGGAGGGTCCAAGTCAGGTATGAGTGTGACGCCCCGCATACAACTATCGATTCTCGTGCCTCTTTGGCTTCACGGCCCAGTTGCTAACTCAGAGACGAAACAGTACCCCAATCTGAAAAAATTCCGAGAAGCGGCAGAGCAGTACATGGCCGCCCTGGATCGGGTGTCAAAGCTTTTCCTGTGCTTCGTGGCTGAGTCGCTGGAGCTGCCCCCGGACACGTTTGATAGCTTTGTCGGACGGATGCACCGGCTCAAGGCCGTCAAATATCCGCCCAGCGCGCCGGGATCGCAGGGGGTCGGGCCTCACAAGGACTCGACCGGCCTCTTCACATTCCTCTCACAGGACGCAGTTGGGGGGCTGCAGGTGCTCAGCAAGGCCGGCGAGTGGATCGGGGCGCCGCCGGTTGATGGAGCCCTCGTCGTCAATGTGCAGCAGGGCTTCGAGGCCATCACAGGAGGCGCCTGTCCGGCAACGACGCATCGGGTCATCTCACCCACGGCGACGGTGCGGTACAGCATCCCGTTCTTCCAGGCCGTGCGCCTGGACCTGACCAATGCACAGCTGCGTGCCTCGGCCGCCCACATCGTGGCGCGCATCCCAATCACAGACGACCGCCGGAAACGGGCCGTTGACGTTCCCAGCGAGTTCCTGTCGCCACTCTTTTCATGTGTATGTTGCTCGTGTGATGCCTGCCTCCTCCCCCTGCTTCGCCAAATATTGCTCGTCACTGACACTAGCGCACAGTTTGGCGAGGCTCAGCTGCGCAACAGGGTCGTCAGTCACCCCGATGTCGGAAAGCAATGGTATCCAGAGCTGTATGAGAGATACGTGGAGCAGCAGCTGCCGGTATGATCGAATGTTCTGTCGTGAACAGAGAGAACAACTTTGTTCGAAGGGCTTATATGTCCAAACTGTCATATTTCCAAAATTCGGCTCGATGAACAGGCCATTAGATAGTGACGTTCAGTTGTTTGATTTTTAAGTAATATGGCAAGATAATATAGATCTGTCCGAGATCTTTAATTTTAATACACCTGTAGCAATCTCTCAATCCCTGTCTACGATTATTACTCCGGTAATAGACTCGGTCAAAGCTAAAGAACATCTCACCGCGCCGCTTACACCTCACAAATTAGAGATGCTATGTAAGATCAAGGAGGATCCTTCAAGGAGCTACAACTTTTATAGTCTAACAAGAAGCAAAGTTAGCAGCACCATTATAGCCGATTATTTATACAAAGTATAGAAATTATTGTTCTAGGAATAACTAGACAGTCCCAAAGGCAATAACATCGTTGCAAAGGACATTCCTTCGCGTTAACGATTGTCAGTAGAAATACCCGGACACAATGAGAAATAATCAAAAGAACTATAGAGACGATACTTACTAGTTTAATTCACAGGTCGTTGTCTTGCTAGACATGCCTGTCAATTCTAGGCTCTGGGATATACATGAGGTTCAGAAACCCGCTGCTCCCAACTAGCTTAGTCTAACAGAGAAGGGACATCTCAAACATTCGTCTAATATACAATAGTGGTAGATACAGAAGGGATGGTGTGCAGGAAATAGGTATGAGTTTTATGGTTATACTAGGACAGCCTGTTAAAGCTGGTCGAGGCACACGCATCAACAAGATGAATGGCAGGCTGTCTCGCTAAAACTAAACTGGTCGCATTACTAAACGAATATGTGCTTCCCACACATTATCAGTGAATTACGAATATTTTTATCACGCCTTTTGAACAGGAAGTAGTAAAAAGCAAAGAAAAGCAAAGACATAAAATTCAACCCATGCCCTATAAAATTATAATCTATAAGGTACTAGCAAACCTATCATTGTCCGATTCACATCACATCTAGACCATATTTACTTCCCTTTTAATTTAATAGCACAATGTGCGGAGCACGATAAAAACTATGCTGCTAAACAATTGGCCGCAGGAGGTAAAGATGCTAAGGCGAGTGCTGAATTTTTCTATGCTTGCAAATATTTAGGCTTTTCTTTTTCAGCGTGCAGGACTACCGATCTCGAGAAGTCGCCAAGCAAATCGACTTAAGTCACGTCTGCTACCCATCAAATCTACAACCTGCCGCAAGAGGAAAAGTCTACTTAGGAAGTTAACAAAGATCATATGTCCAAAGAAGAAATCGTAGGCGGGTATAACTTCGCCACTTTAGTATAATAATAGTAACATATTCTAGTATCTATTCTTCTTACAAGCCTGCTGGAATCCAGACTAGCTTAGTTGCTAGTAAAGTCGATAGATTCGAAGGATTCTTAGTTAGTAACTATTTACTGCCATCTAAAAATTTATTTTCTTTTCCATAACTTGTGTTACATTTCTCTTTAGTTTCATTTACGGCTTGAACGAAGATGCGTTAAGCTTTGGTAATTAACCAATACTGTCCTCATATTCATTGGCCTGAATCCAACCATGTATTTACTTGTTCTTGGCTAGGTTATGGCCGACACGCCTGTCCTGGATGCTTCTTCGCCTTTGCGGAGCTTGAGGTTGTCTTAGTTTACATTCTTCGAGAGTATGATATTAAGCTGTGTGATGACTACAGCAACGGATCGGACTCTTAACTGCTTCGTCGAGGTTATGGCTGCTTAAGATCACACTTATGAGCTTTGTTTTCGCAAAAGAATCTTAGCTTATATGCATTTTAGGACTGCCTTCACCCACGAGTTGTCCGAGATTAAATATACCGAAACTAAAGTAGGACTAAAGAGACTTATTCCTTTTCATATAATTAGTTCGTGGTGCTAATGGTTACGCTAGGGATTGTCATATAATACATTCAAGAGAAGATCAAAGACGCCTTTAAAGATTCATCCCCCCCCTGCGATGGTGCAAAGCAATCGACATATTTACTTACGCGTCTATACACTAATAATGCTATTACAGACTGGACCGAATTGGACGTGGTAGATCGCATCACCCAAATTGTGGCCCGCGTCTCAAGTCGCATGTTTGGCGGCACAACTCTCAGTCATAACAAGGAGTGGATTCACTCATCTAATCACTTTTCAACGGATGATATCATCGGAGTCCAGGCCCTGAAGAGTTACCCCGACTTTATAAAGCGCTTTGTTGCTCCTTGGATACCAGCTGTTCGGAACATCAAGAGCCACTATGCAGTCGCAGAGAAAACCGCCATTCCTCTTTTGCGAAAGCGCTAGGCGTCGGGAACCGTAGCCCCCGATCTGCTGTACTGGATGGCCGAGGATGCCAAGGGCGACGAGAAAGATCCGGATTTCTTGGCAGGAATTCTTCTCAAAGTCATCTTTGCGGCTATTGACACAAGCGCCGCAGCTTCGACACAGCTTCTTTACAACTTCTGCGATATGCCGGGGTTAATCGAGCCATTTTACCGGAAGATTAAGGACAATGTAGATACTAACGGCCTTCTTAGCCGAGAAGGCTTCTAAGGCCTGACAAGATCGGACAGAAACATGAGAGAGAGCCAGATATTCAATCCCTTACTGTTGGGTACATTTAATTTTGAAGGTCTCTCAACTAACTGCAGTGCATATATGCTGACGATCAACAGTCCCATTTGAGAGAGCTATTGCTAACGATTACACTCTGTGGGACGGTTTGAAGATCCCTGCTTACACCACTATTAGTATTGCAGCTCATGCAATTTCGGTGGATCCTATACTGTTTCCTAAGCCAAACCGTTTTAATGGTTTCTGATTCGATGAGATAACAGCTAAAGAGGCAGCCTGGACCGAGAAAGGCAACAAGGCGGAGCCGTCCGTTACATACGCTGTCGCTTACCCGTCTAGTATGGCCTTTGGCTACGGTCGACACGCATGCCCAGGTCGCTTTCTCGCCTCGGCTAAGATCGAGGCTATCATAGTGTATGTCCTGACACATTATGATTTCAGGTTCCCTGATTGGCAGACTAAGCGCCTGCCTAGCCTGCTTTTTGAGACATAGAATTTGCCTAACCCTACAGGGCGTATTATGTTTAACCGGAGGTGAACGATTGTTAGAGCAAGCGGATATGGCTATGGGTGTTTCCATCAGATACGGGAGGTGGGCTGTGAGATTGGTAAAAATGGTGTAATAGCATACAACATTGTGTGCAAGAAGGTTCAAAAACTTCGAACTAAAAAGATCATCCAGATTGAAGATTTTGATGCACTTGTATAAAGCTAGGATGAACACATAGGGAGACTAGCAACTGTGGCCCACATCATATCGTGGGAATTTTACCCAGCATGATTAAGAAGAGACCGTTAGATTACCCCATATATCGGTTAATCCGCTATAGATATGGACCCATTACAGCTATGGACAACTTGGAAGTAGCAGCGGATCCTTTAACAGTCTCTCCATGTCTTCTGTCTTGATGTTAATACCTATATCAACACCGTCAGAAGTCCAAGACGGTCTAGATGCCGACACGAATCCTCCAGATGAGGGCGGTGCCTCTTTGATGAATACGACTCCATCAAGGCTTGGCATAAGGCCATCCGCGTATCGGATGTCCGATCCCAATCCAAAGTCAACATCGTAAAGACCAGCGCGAGCCCACGTGGTGACCAGAATATGTCGCTGACCGAGGAAAGCCTGCCATAATCTTTGGGGAGACTTCTCAAAGGCCACGGTATGAAGATGTGCCGACAAGTTATCCCGATTGCTTGTTGTAACTATAGTCTCCCTTACTTTCTTGGCAATAGGTGCCAGCAGTCCCGTGGGCTTTCCTTCTGTTAAACATTCTGTTAAACAGGCCTCTGTGCCGGACATTTCAACGTTAATCATAATGATTGGAGACCCCATAAATGATTCACCCAACTTCAAGGCAGAGCGAAGGCCGAGGACCAGGTCGCAATGAACGGGGCCCTCGTCGATTTGAAGCCGACGAGCTCGCATGATGCATGCGTACATATGAGCTAAAACAGCGTCATGCTTGCTGATCACGAGTCCCCCCTTCTCAGCTCCCGTGGTAGCATCCTTCCACAAGAGCTCAACTTGCTCTTTGGTAAGGTGGATGGTATAGCCTGAGACAGGGGCTTTAACATCCCATTCTTCCCAAGGCATAGGCTGGCCCGACGGGGTTAACGAGTCCGCCTCGTCGAGAAACGGTGCAGGAGGCTTGCCAGGTGGTGCCCACCAGTCGTATCTGTGCAGTAATAAGGCTTTAGTCTTCTTGACGATAGCAGGGTCCGGCTGATGGCTATTGATGTCGCTAGCAGCTACCTCATCTAACCTGGCCGGCTCAAATACAGGGCTGAGAACGGGTAGTGTAGAGCCAGTCACGATAGCTTGGCTCACCCTTGCCCAGTCGCTGACAAAGTAGACAAGACCAGAAATGTCTGCCAGCGGATGCGCAATCTTTACGGCCAGAACAAATCCGCCACACGCAAGCATTGTACACTGGATGCCCATGATGGGTTTCCTAATGCCAGTCTTGGCATCGAGATTATTAGGCTGTAGAGCATGTGCAATGTCACATGTGTTGATGAAGCGTGCAATCCCATTATCTTTGCAATTCCAGAGCGGCTGAGTCTTTGTCCTCTCACTGGAATAAAGTGAGTCCAGGGTGAGGGAACTGGCGGCAGTAGCAAAGTCAACGCCGACCTCTGCAGAGCCTCCGCAACCGGATATACACCCTTCCGAATCGGCGGCCATGGGCTGGAAATCCCTTTGCGCCCTCGGGAATTTGGTCATTGTCAATGACGTCGATTGACTGCAGGAGACCGCACCACTGGGGGTAAGAGTCTAGCGTAGTGCTAAGAGTCCGGCGGAGATGGCCTGGGACGTCAGATACGTCCATTCCTTTCGGTCTCTCGAACAACCATATGGCGTTGGTCAAGGCAAAATTGGCCGTCGTTGCGTCCAGAATGGACAGCAGCATTGTCTGCTCATCTGGGCTGGGTGTCTGCGGGTGGACTCGCTCTCGTTTGAGGTCACTAATCTCTTCTGGAGATGACATGTTGGAGGGTGTGGCGATGGCAATTGATTAGGCCTGAGTACTCATTAACCTGGAAGAGAATAATGTTTTTAAGAATGTGTCTATGATAATAAGCCTCCCACGGGATTATGTTAAAACGAAGTCACGTGCTTTAAAAAGAGGGGTGATAAACACCCTCCTACATCCCGGTAAATCATTATAACTGAGCTTTTTGTACAATTCGTTTCTTAATGAAGAGTCTTAATTCCGTTTTTTTTCATGTTTTTACTATTTATACACCTTTTATATACCCCGTACAGCTACCGGATAAATGGTACATACTAAAGTGATTTAACAGGGGGGCGGTTTAAATAGGGGGTAGCGGGCTTAGTTACGACGTAGTCTAGATGGTCCTTTCGTACAGCAGCCGCACTCCGCTTGTCCTGCCACCATACGATGCAGATCCACAGTGCAAGCAGGACCGAGACGACAACCATGGCGATGGTGCCCTTGTGGAAGCCCTAGCGGGGTATTAGCACTAACAAAAAGAGATGGAAAAAGTAAGGCGGAAGGTGGGACTTGCCGTCTTGGCATCCGTGGACGGATAGAGGATGATCCCCCAGAAGGCGAAAAGCACGGAAGAGGCGCCTGAGTCCTGTTAGAATCTGGCGCTCAAGATGGGCAAGCCGTACGCACCATTCATAGAGTAGAGGGTGACAGCACGCGCCGCGTCATCTCCAGCTCGCGAGAGAATAATATTGGCCCAGATAAAAGTGACTGGCTGGATCATGTAGGCGGTGCCGGCCAGGTCTGTCTGTCAGCGTGTTCTCGACCATATCTGTGGGCCACCGGATTCGGACTTACAGTAGCCGGCCATCTTGCCTCCCATGCCGATAGAGTTCCAGCACAAGAGCACGATGCAGGCGATGATCTGGACAGCACAGGCGAAGAAGCCAAACGGAGCGTGCTTTCTCGTTGCGTCGATGGCTACGGAAGTTAAAAGTGTGACGACGATTCCTGTGCGCCATCCTGTCAGCTCTGTACAATCTCTGTCCGACATACGGGACAGGCCACGAACCGACAGCGGTGATGCCCAGCGGATACGTGTTGTTCTGCGGCACGGAAAAGAGCTTGGACGCTTTCATCCAGAGAAGCATGCATGACTGCGTGGTGAACGCTTCGAGGGCGCCGCCAATGACCCAGAATATGGTAAAGATCCAGAAATTGGCCGTGAAGAGCACCCGCTTGACCAGAGAGAAGCCGATCCTGTGGCCGTCTGGGTTTTTGGGCGGCAGCCGGTTCACGGCCAGCTCGCGTTCGTGCGGCTTGAGATAGAACGCGCTCGTCGTCTCGGGGAGGTCGGGGAAAAAAATGAAGCCGAAGATGGCCACTGGAATGGTGATCACTCCATCAATTATGAAACTCTAGGCGACTAAAGTCAGTCGGCAGGACTTTGATGCATGTGTTGCTCTCACTCACCCATCTCCAGCCGGCCATGCCCGACACTCCGTCCATGGTCTTCCAGATGGCCGTCATCATTACGCCTAGTCCGTCAGCCGTAAATTTGGTCGGACGGGTTGCAGAGCGCGCGGCTTACCGGAAAACATGGTCCCGACCATGCCCGAAGCCTGGAACAGGCCGACCCGCTTGCCAATCTCGGCGCTCTTGTACCAGCTGCCGATGACGTACTGCGTGCCGCTGTAGGTCGAGGCCTCAAAGATACCCTGTAGGAAGCGCACGGTGGCTAGAGAGCCAAACGAGTTGCATCCAGCACTGGCCATGGTGAGGCAGGCCCAAATGAGCGTCATGGAGGGGAACCAGATGCGAGGGGCGATCTTCTGGATGGCGAGCCCGTGCGGCACCTGGCCGATAATGTCTATGTCATCAGTCTCGGCAGCCGCACGAGCAAAGGGGCTTTGGGAGACATACATCCGACAGACAGACATGTCACTAGCAGCTGGTACTCGTTGCCCTTGAGGTGGATGTCGTCCTTCATGCCCGACACGTAGGCATTGGCCAGGACGGCGCGGTCTGAAACCTAGTCAGCTAGCCGAAGCCACCATCCATAGACGTCCTGTTCCCGGCTGTGCCTTACCGAGATAGTTGAAGAAGTAGGCGACGCAACAGTAGGTCTACGGAGTGGACAGCACTCGTCAGATCGCGATGTCAATCCATCCCCGCACCTGAGTGGAAGCTTACCAGAATTGCAGCATCGATTTTACGTAACAGCTGAGTCTTTTGTCAGCCATTGACTCCGGCAAACTGGCAAACTAAACCTTAAAAAATCAAACTAGGCTGACCTTGCGTTCTTCGGCGGTCTCGGGCGCTTCTCCCCAGACGGCGACGCGGACATTGTGCAGACGGGCACCCATGGCGGCTTTTCGGCTGTGGATCAGCTGTGGCGAGATGGCTCCAGAGCGAGGATTTTCGTCCCGGCAAACATGCTGGGCAAGTCGCTGTGCTTATAAGACGGCCGGCCTGCACGTGAGTTACCGTATCGCTGCACGTGGAGCAGACTTCTATCATTTCAAGGGCTCGTACGGAGTACCTGCCATGATAAGCCGACAGATGCAAACAGGCTCTGCTATCCTCGGCCTGATACGATAGTTGTCAAAGAGCCACAGAGCAAGGTGTTTTGCTCCGTAATAGCACTGGGGCCAATCAGGGCTCTTATACAGTAGTGGACCCACAGCTGACGGCTTCACTATCGGGTTATCCGCCCAATCTGACGATGCCTGGCCCTAAAGGTTCGAGCTCGTTTTTCCGATCGCCTCCGGGGAAATAGGAGGGGGGGCATCCGTTGGTCGCTCCCGCTGCACAGTTTTTCCGGCATTGCCGACAACGCAAGAGCGCGGGCCGGGCATTGGCTGACACAGAGAGCCTGCGCGTAGGATTAAAGACAAAAAGGGTATCGATATCGGCTGCTCCCCTACCAATTCGCTGCACCACCCACCGCGCATACGATTGGCTGCCCAGACGGACAGACGGCAGGACGGCAAACATGACAGTCAATCTGGCCACGCTACAGACGGAGCAGAAGAACTCGCGGACGACCAATATCGACACGGTCTCGTCGCTGGAACTATGCCGTAAGCCGGTCGGCCCCTGCATGCTGGACATGGGGGGGGGGGATGCTAAATCGAGGCGTGTCGTTGTAGGAGTGATCAATGCGGAGGACCGAACGGTGGCCGATGCGGTCGAGACGTGTCTGCCGCAGATCGCGGCGGCCATTGACGTGAGCGTGGCCCATCTCCTGGCCGGCGGCCGGATCGTCTACACAGGAGCGGGCACGAGCGGAAGGTAGGCTGCGGCGTCCTGGCTGAGGATCATGTGTATGTGTTTACTGTGTTTGCGAGCTCACACCGTTCTCCCAGGCTTGGCATCCTTGATGCATCTGAGATGTGAGTACCTCACTACCACCACTACCAACAGCCTGCTGACCATACAGTCCCCCGACGTTTTCATCGCCACCCGGCCAGTTTGTCGGCTTGATCGCCGGAGGCGACCAGGCCATCCGAAATGCCGTCGAAGGTGCCGAGGACTCGGAGGCACAGGGCGCGGCCGACCTCGCTGCGCTGTCACCGCCGCTCAGCAAGCTGGACGTGCTCATCGGCATCGCCTCGTCGGGCCGCACGCCCTATGTGCTCGGTAGCCTGAAGCACGCCCGGAGCGTCGGTGCGGCCAGCATAGGGCTCGCGTGCGTCCGGCCGAGCGCCTTTGACGGCCAGTGTGACGTCCTGATCGAGTGCGTGACTGGACCGGAGGTCGTCACTGGCAGCACCCGGCTCAAGGCAGGGACGGCGACGAAGATGGTGGGTACTTGTATATTATGCATGGCCACCTGGACACGAATGATGGATGCTGACAGTCCCAGATCCTAAACATGATCTCGACCGGGTCACAAATCACCGTGGGCAAGACCTACGGAAACTTGGTGCGTGCCATTCACACCCGCTTTGATCCAAGACTTGCTGACAGGAAAGATGGTGGACCTGAAAATGTCCAACGAGAAGCTGCGCGACCGGGCTCGCCGCGTGGTGCGGTCAGCCGTGCCAGACAACGCGGCCGTCAACGTGGAGCAGGATGACGTGCTGGACGGGCTGCTTGCGCGGTGTGGCGGCGACGTCAAACTCAGCATCCTCGTGGCTGCCCTGGGATGCTCACCAGACGATGGTCGGACGCATCTGCAGGCCTCTGCAGGGTCGCTGAGACGGGCGCTGTTACTAGGGACGAAATGAGACTCGGAGGTCTACCTCCTTGTCCAAGTATATACGTTATTGCATATAGAGCTAGAGAGCATCCCGATAGAATGTACAATGTGTAAAGCATCCTCGATTCTCAGCTGCCAAGATGTAAAACTCTGCTCTTACTATCTTACATTCCCGGACCAGCTCAGACGACAGGACCCGTATCAGTCCCGTCCAGTTTAGCTGGACTAGTGCTGCTGTGGTGTGCTAGCTGCAGATTTCTTCGCCTGTCTCCCAGACGGTTTTCTCAGCTAGCGCATCTGCTCTTAGTGCACCTCGACTTCGGGATATCCAGACACGGCCATTTCTACGACCGGCATTCTGACGAGTCAAGGAACAACTGCACCGCGCATCAAGATGGTCGTCCTCAATGTCTTAGGGCTGAATTGTGGCACGAGTGTTGACGGTAGGCTGCGGCCCATTTTCTCCCGAATGACAGACAGAGCGACTAACGAGCAGCCAGGCGTCGATGTCGCCCACTGCCGGATCTCGTCTGACCAGTCGCTGAGCGATGTCCGGATCGAGCTGCTGCAGTACACCGAGGTGGCGGTTGATCCGGCGATTCGATCGCAGGTCCTGCGTCTATGTCGGCCGAACCAGGCCGGCGCTGCGGCCACGTCCATGGCCGAGGTGTGCGATCTCAACTTCGCGTTGGGCCGAGAGTTTGCTCGCGCGGTCGAGCAGTCGGGCATCGACCTGGCCGCCGTCGACCTGATCGCGAGCCACGGTCAGACGCTCTGGCACGAGCCGGCGGCCGAGCACCGGTCGACGCTGCAGATGGCCGAGCCGGCCGTGATTGCACAGCAGACCAAGAAGACGGTCGTCTCGGGGTTCCGCGTCGCCGAAGTGGCCGCCGGTCGCCAGGGTGCACCGCTCTCGGGCTTCTTCGAGGCCTGTTTGCTGTCGGAGCCGGGCGTGACGCGGAATCAAGCCAGAACCTCGGGGGGATGGGTGGGTTGGGCGAGAGAAGGGGGTGAATATGTGCATGTGCCCGTTCTGACAGCCGACAGGAAACGCAACCGTTCTGCTGGACGCGACCAAGACCACCTCTACAGACCGGTCCTGCAGCTACTTTGCCTTTGACACCGGCCCCGGCAACGTCTTTATCGATGCTGCCATGCGCATCCTCACCGACGGCCGCCAGCATTACGACCGCGACGGCGAGCTCGGCGCACGCGGCGAGGCGCAGATCGACATCGCCGACGTCGACGCGTATCTCGCCAGCGAGCCGTACTTTGGCCGCCAGCCGCCCAAGACAACCGGCCGCGAGCTCTTCTCGGACGACGTGGCACGCGTCCTGGTCGAGCGGCTGCAGGCCCGCGGCCACTCGCCCGAGGCCATCATCGCCACCATCACGCGCATCACGGCCGAGTCGGTCGCTCGGGCCTACGAGGACTTTGTGCTGCCGCACTTGGCCGCCGGCGCCGTCATAGACGAGATCTACATCTGTGGCGGCGGCGCCTACAACCCCAACATCCTGCGCCATCTGCAGGCGCGGTTTCCGCTCAGCCGGGTGGCCCGGCTCGACCAGGCGCCCACGCGGCTTGAGGCTAGCGCCAAGGAGGCAGTCCTGTTTGCCCTGCTCGGCTTCCTCTGCGTCTGCGGCCGCTCGGTGCCCGTAGCCGCTGACGCCGAGACTACGGAGCCGGCCATTCTGGGCGTCGTCACGCCTGGCGACAATTACCGCGACGTCATGGCAGCTGTCGTCACGGATCCGGCCTTTGGCCGCAGTAGCACACTCGGCCGCATTCTCATGGTCGAGCCGCGACAGGCAGAAGAGGCATAGGAGTAGAACGGCTTATCGGTGGCGGCGGAAGCGGCGGAGAACCCGAAAGTCAGCCACCGGAAAAGTGGGACTCGGCGGGTCTTCCGTCTCTGACTCGGCCGCGATTGCACTGCTGTTGCTTATAGCATGCTCCATACAATCAAACAAACAAGGCGTTGTAATGAGATTGGCTAAAATAAATAGCACAAAGCATAACCACTTCTCTCTTGCAGAGGACTTGGACGAAAACAGCTAACTGATCAATAGTCAATATAGACTTGTACAACACACGTAGCCACAGCACTTGACGGGAGAAAAGGAAACCTTAATTCCCTATTAAAGAGCAAGTCGGTAGGGCTGGCGTCGCTATCGGCATCTTTTTCCTTTTCAGAATTTCGGGATTGTCAGGGAATACCGATTCCTGCACCAACCACACCATCTCTAGTACGTTGCGCTCCATCACGGGGCAGGCGTTTTTGACCTCAGCTGGGCTGAGGCACATGACGCAGGCTAGAAAGCGCAGCACGCTTGTTAGTGCCATCTCTGTGGCAGCTGTATCGTTTCTGCAGCTACTGATGGCCTGGGCCAACAGTGCGGGCATGTATGTCGGCTGGACAGCTGGCTCATCGATGGAACCATCGATGTTGAGGGCTTTGACAAGCTTTTTGTCTTCGCCCACCACATTCCACACCCTATAGTACAGCTCGGCCATGTTAAGGTCGGCGACGCCTCCCATGCAAAGGATCCGCAGCAGGGCTCGTTCACTGGGAATATAAACGGAGAGCGGGCGAAAGCCGAGGCCACGTAGCCGGCCCTCCCGTCGCTTGAGGATGGAGTCATAGCCCTGGCGTGGTGATAGCTTTCTGCTCATCACATCGATGACGACCTCGTTAACGGTGCGGTAAGCCTCCAGAATAGGCTCGATCAGCTTGCGAGCGCTGGTCCAGTAGACATGGCCGGCCGCCCCGGCCACGTCTAGTAGCTGCTCGACGACGTGCAGTTGGAAGGAGGTTTCATCTAGTTTAGGTTCCATATCCCGGACTGCCTGCAGGCTCGCCGGTGCATTCTCGGCCTGAGCCAGCTGCCCAAAGTTAAAAAACGAGCCGAGCCGGAGGCCCTGTAGGATCTGGTTCCGCTGAGTACCGTTCAACTTTCCGAAGCTCGGGATAAGAGCGATCACGGCCTTGTCCTTCTCGCTGGCCTCACCGTCCTTGGTCCTGGCAGCCTTGTCGACTGCCTTAGCCACTTGCAGCAGGATCATGTCGTGGTTGGTCGACATGGTCTGTGTCGTGAGATTGTTGTAGTCCTCCGCAAACAAGTTGTCCTTTCCCAGATCATTGATCATTATAGATGTCACTAATGTCTGCACGTCGTCGTCCGTTTGCAGAGTATTGATCACCACTTTGCGTAGCCACTCGAACGACGCCTTTCGCAGCTTCACCGCCTCCGGCTGCCCGCTTACGAACTGCTCGTATTTCCCATTGAAGATCCATCGCAGCGCCAGCACGCTGACCACTGTTCGGTTCACCTCGTCGTACTGCGTGACCTTGTCCTCGCACAAGAGCTGCGACGGTGATGATGGCTGGCCGAGAGGGCTCTTTTCTGTCCAGATTGCGTAGGCCCGGGTCAGCCGGTGAATCTCCTCCTTATATACATCTTTTATGACATTCATGAGCTCCACCTCGGGTTGCGAAAAGAGGGTTTCAAGCGTGATTGCATTCATGGCGATATGTTTGCGGTCGCTTTTTGCTCACTATTTTACCTAGAGGGGCAGACAGCCATCGTTTTGAGCAGAAACGTAATGCTGATCTACGCATGCGGTACAAAATTGGTGCATTAGGTGTCCTGCGCCACAATAATCACTCCTCCCTTTAGACCATTTTACTCCGTTCGGAGTATACATATGCGAAAAGTCAGTCATTATATATGTATAAGTAGTGCACTAACCCGTATGTAGATTAGTAGATAGCACTGCTACAAGCCGCAGTCGGCTGTTGTGAGCCGTTTCTTTACTCCGTAAGGCGCGGGGTATTTTCATGTACGGAGTATGCCATCAAAATTGCCGTGCACGTTCAACTGGCTGTCGACCATCTTCCTTCGACCCAATACGGCGTCATCTATTGTCGATTACTCCATATTTAAGCTACCGATCTAAGGCGCAACATGTGCATTTCTAGTTGACTCAAATTCGTGACTTCTCGCCCTTATTTGACAGCCAATTAGCCATCTTCTTGATAGAGCACAAATTCGACCTATAGTAAATACTTCACACAGCACTATTTTATGATTGTCGGTTAGCTACGAGACGGCGCCACGATTGTGCACTGCTGCCTGCTAAGATACCAATTTTATACGGTACAAATTATGGGTTGCCAATTCCGAAGTATAATCAACGTATAATGTAACTTGCGAGTCACGGATACAATTTCTACACTTTCTGGTTACTCCCTGTGAAGCAGTGTTTATGGCGGCGCACGGACCCCTTTGGGGCTGAAATAGGAGCCGTGGCTTCTATCGAATCCGTCTTCCGGTCATCACAAATAGGCGGATGCGTAAGCTTTTTGCAAAGCAAACGCAGGCTAGTGGCTATCAACGGACTGCGCCATGGGGAACAAAGGCGTCTGATGGCATTGGTACCTAACTCAGAGCTGTGGTCTTACGATGAATGAACGGACAGTCCATTCGCTATCTACAAGCACAACAATTGCGCCTTGCAGCCTGACTGCATAATTAGCGCTGCCAGCGTGTTCAGTCCTCCATGCATCATGCATAGCCTAGACAGCCTGTTCCGGGCTCAATGGATGGGTATAAATCACAAGGCATCGAGCAGCCTCCTGAGACAGGATGCACGGAATCTCTCACATTAGTGCTCATATTGGGCATCAACCGTCCTCCCACCGTGTCAAGTTTGACAGCAGCAAGACAATAACACATCAGCCAGAGAGCATCCACAATGTATCCTTGGAGGGCTGCCGTGTCGTCTCTGGCCAATTGGGCCAACCGTCATAACCTTACCATTGATGCCCTTGGTCTCGTCACCCTCCTTGGCGCCGACCAAGTGGATGCCTGCATCGGCCGCCTCGTCCAGAGCTCGTGGCTCGACTTTCTCCCCCTCCTAGGAGCATATGTCGTTGCCAGCGACAAGCTGACGGAGAAGAAGCCGGGCTACCGCATGTACAACATCTCGGCCGGTGTCACCACCACCGAGCTAGCCGGCTGGTTCTCCCGCTGGATGAAGGCCCAGAATTTCCACAAGACGCGCACCAAGGTCGAGTGGATCGTAGCGGGTGATCCGACGAGGAGGCAGCCGGAAGAGCAGCTGGAAGAGCAGCTGGATGAGCAGCCGGACGAGCAGCCGGACGAGCAGCCGGACGAGCAGCCGGACGAGCAGCCGGACGAGCAGCCGGACGAGCAGCCGGAAGAGCTGCTGGAAGAGCTGCTGGAAGAGCAGCCGAAAAGCCGCTTTCTCACCTTCTGGCTCCCATCCATGGCTGTCGGCCTCGTCCTCGACGGCATGCTGCTCATCCTTACCATCTGCTCCGACGACTGGTTCGGCTTCGCAAACACCATGGCCATGATCGTCTCCGTCCTTGTCAGAGAAATTGTCATTATTCAAAACCGTGCCGGTATTGACCGCCTCATAGAGACTTCTATGAAAAGCGGGAAGTACGGAACCAGCGAAATTGCCTACTGCCTCGTCATACTAGACGATTCCAAAGCTATCACGATCGAAGGACCACGCTACCTGATGGGTGGCGTGTTTACTCAGCAACCTGACATTCCCAACGAGCGCCTGTACCTCTTCGCCCGCTGGGTCGGCTGGGTAGCATTTACCGTCCACATTCTTTCATTGGGAATGGCTGATCTGCCTGCACAAATCTACACTGCCCTTCTCATGATTATTGCCACTGTCCTCGTCACCTATAGGTTCGGATGCGAAGACTCAAATTTTTGGAGGGGCTTGACCGGTACTCCGACCTCTGACGACAATGAGACGCGAGACTGCTGGATAACCTCTCGGCTGCATGCCAAGATCTCAGTATACCCCTCATCCTGGACGCATTGGCCCGAGGATCTGAATACAAATCCGATATATGGAGTGAAAAATTCCGGCATAAAAACGGCACCGTTTGTTACGGGTGATAAAGACAGCACCGTGACCTCGTCAGTTGTCTCAGTACAAGCAGAGCCAACCTTTGAGCGTCAAGAGAAAAGCCGTCTCGGCCTCTCACCTGGCACTGACGTCGGTTACCACAGAAAACCCATGCAGCGGCAAATCACTGCTTTCGTGGAAAATGACTACAGCAAGAACGCTAGCCCACCCAGCATACCGATAACCAAATCCGGAGTTTTGTCAAAATCTTGGTTTTCACGTACCAGGTGGAAATCGGGAGCACAAATGGATGTGGAATCTGCTATGTCGAGTTTTCGGCAGCCGTCCAATACTGTGTCGTCTGATGGGCGTCAAGATCTTTATGTCTGGGTAGAGGACGTTGCCAACAAATGGGAGCTATTGGAAATGTGGGATCTGCTACCCCAAGGAAAACAGTGGCAAGAGGAATGCGCCAGGAAGAATTCGTATCACCAAAATAATCATGCTGGTGTCCATCGGCGGCCACGATCTGTACGGATCCGCCGAGCGAATAAAACACGGAAATAACGCCACGTCTTAATAAGCAGATTTTACTGCTGTCAGAAAATAAAAAGCATAGCGAATTACTACACAAAAAACAGTTTCTCTACAGTGGCTTAATCTACAAGTCCGCCTAGCAAATGCTCTATCGACTCTCTTGCCACCTATAACCTTCGCCTTCTCCTCTTGATAACAAGCCTGCTTCTAAACTATGTTACAAGTCTGCGCCTGTAATAACCTGCATATGCCAGCCCGCCCTAACCTGGCTAATCCTGGTGCTGTTGCTACTAGTATTGTATCCTCTGGAATAGCCTTTGTCTGTATGTATAGGCTAAGCTTAGGGCCGCCGCTGCCGCCATGGTGCCATTGTTGGCACGTCTAGTGTGTTGTATTCGTCTTGCCAGCTGGCGGCTTTTAAACAGGCAGTGTACTCTGTAGGCCGGTGCCTTTGGCTTTGCTGCGTTTTTTGGCCTATATAAGGTGGGTCGGTACTCTGTACTCCGTATTCCTGTGTTATATTCGCTGTACGGATCTGTACAAATAGTGGCCGCCGTGTCTAACCGTAGTGTGCTTTCCAGCAGTGTTTCGGTAGTGTTTTAGCGCATTACGAGTTCTTTCAGATCATGTGACTTGAGTCGGAGCGGGTCAACTTTAGCCCTGAGCCACTGTTATTTCAGTGCGTGACCCTGTTCCTTCATAGATGGAGCTTTCTCATCAGGGAAAGGCACTGGAAACGAGGTTGTATTTCTATGGAGATCAAAGGAGGCGAGTGGGAGATGCCCCGAGATCTCACGTGTCGTTGTTTGCATGTACCTGATATGGCGCCCTGTGAGTACTCCGTACGGAGTACATTCTGACGAGCATAAGTACGTGGAGCTTGCTGTACTTCAACGCCCCGGAAGATACGACGTATCTTACGGCGTGCAGACAGCACACCCTGAACAACTCCTCAATCTCTGACTAGGGGAGGGCGGCCTGTCGACCCGACTCCTTTCAGCCAGACGGGCTTCTCCACTCCCAGAAAATTTGCTATAACTTTCCCTTCTCCACTCGTTCTTTGATTCGTCTGGGACCCTCTTTTGGGCGTTGACCTGGGAAGTTGACCTGGCAACTGCCGACTGCACGGCTACCCTGTGGCCTCGATGGTGACAGGGGGTCCCTCTTTTACCACCGCTCTAGTGGCTTTTGACAGCTCAACAGCCAGCGACGTGGCAAGTTAAATTGGGCCTTTCCTTTTCACAAGGAAGCATCAACGATGCGGTGAGTCTTCGTGCAGCAAGGAGCACTCGTTTACGACGTAGCCCACCCGCAGTATATATAATAATAGAATAAGGTACGGAGCATTCTCTGGGCCTTTCCCCGATTGTTGTTGCAGTCATAGGCGTTAGTCAATTGCTTTTCTGGATGCGTCTCCCGATGAGTCCAGCAATAGCTCTGGACGAAACCCCCGAGTTTGGCATATCCGCAACTGTCTAAGAAACCAATGCTCCTCCTTGCAACGCATGTGCTGGCACCGCTTTCGCTCCTTTACTGGGCTACCTGGTAGCCATGGACTTTATTCTTCGTGCGCTGGCGCTCAAAGAGGCATATTATCCAAGTGAAGGCAGCCGCAATCAGATCGGCACTATCGCAAAGAGCGAGGATCCCCAGAGCAGTTTAGCAATAATATTAGAACTGTAAGCCCCTCGCTAGTAATGCGCGAATGTCTCCAGCGGGACAGCCTTAGCTGATGCCAGCTTTCTCTCGAATGCTCCCAGAGTCCAAGACTGGAGCACAAACTCACACCGCTTCGTCCTCGAGCTTCTTCACAATGCCGACGAGAACACGTACGACGATGCCGACCCGACGCTCACCATGACCCACACGGCCGACGGGCACTTCCGGCTTCACTGCAACGAGCGAGGCTTTTCGGCCAAGGATGTCGATGCTGTCTGCGACAACAACAGCAGCGCAAAGGCCGCCCTGCGCACGGCTACCGGCGAGAAGGGCGTTGGCTTCAAGGCCGTCTTTCGCGTTGCCCACACCGTCTGGGTCGTATCAGACCCCTACCGGTTCAAGATCCGTCGCTCGTCGCTGAAGCCCGAAGTCTCTCTGGCCCCATTTCCCGACGGGAGCAACACTGAGGATGGCGGCACGTACATGTATCTGGAAATAATCCCGGAGCGCAAACACGATGTCCGCACTGCTCTGGCCCACTTCGAACCGGCCAACCTCATCTTTCTCAAGAAGCTCAAGCACATCAACACCACCGTGGATGGCGTTCGGAAAACGCTGTTCCTCCGGTCCGAGGACTTTGTCGGCAACCATGTCAGTCACATCAGGATCATCCGAAATCGCGCGACGCTTCTCTGCTACAAGCAGTTCTGCTTCCACGTGAACCTCTCTGTGGCGAGATCTAGTCACCAAGACGAGACCGACTCGATCATCAAGCTAGCCTTCCCCGTTAGTGAGGACTTTCAGGAGGTCGTCTGCCGAGACGAGAAAGCGTATGCATGTCTGCCTATAAGAAACTATGGGCTGAAGGTATTTAAAAGACTGCCCTGATTCTGTCTCGCCGCTTTGCTAAAAAAAGTGTGAACCGTGCACTAGTTTGCGATCAATGCCGACTTTGTCTTGACATCAAACAGAGAAGACATTCACGGCGACTCCGAGTGGAATCGACAGCTTCGCGAACTAATCTCGGACAAGTTTGTCGAAGCAATCGAGCTGCTCAACAAGGAAGATTCGCAGCTATGCTATTCCTGGCCCTTGCTCCTCTATTGGGCGTCGAGCTCCGGGCATTTCTTCCAGAGCATCATGTATGAGATTCTCGACAAGCTAAGGCCGTGCCTTGTTCTGCGGACAGATGTCGGGAGGCTTGTGTGTCCGGAAGACGAAACGCTTGTCCGATTTCCAGCGAAATGGCGGTTTGGGCCAAACCGAGAGCTGCCGGTCCCGAGCATTGTCGCCAGGTCTACCTACTTGTCGCACGAGTACGATGATCGATGCTCTGAGCTAATCGGACTCATCGGCGTCCAAGAGATTGAACCGATTCGGTTTTGGGGCGACTTGCGCACCTTTACAAGATCTGCCGAATTCGCACTGCAAGACGAGGACTGGCACATCCATCTCGCAGATCTGCTCAACAACGACAGCGAACTATGTCTATACTCGAAAAGTCTCGACATCATCCCCGTGGAGGGTGGGGTTGCTCCGTGGATATCGTCCCTCAGTGGTCGGAACAACATCTTTTTCGCCACCGAAAGGGACGGCAGCACCAGCTTGCTGCCTCAAGGTGTCGGGCTGTTGATGATTCCAGAAGCTGCGACTCGGGATGAGCGGAGGAAAAGATTGTTTGAAACATACGGCGCCAAGTACGTATCTGAGGAAACTCGCATGATTGCGGAAACGATCAAGGAAAAGCATGCCAGTGCCAACCTGAAGCGCGCCAACTTCTCTCAATGGACCACCAAGGATTTGGTGTCGCACCTCTCGTTTCTTTTTCGGAACAGAACGAGGGTCTCGATCCCGAAAGATGTTTGGGTCGCCACCAACGAAACCCCCCAACTCGCATCCGAGACCTTTGCCAGGCCCCTTGAGATGGGCGGCTATCGTCTCTCTGTTTCTGCTCTTCATAGCAGTTACAAGACCGAATTTCCTGATAAAGAAGGTGACGACTTTCTGGACTGGATGGAGAAGGTTTTCAATATGCCAAAATCTGCACGCCTTGCCGTATCTGACGGCATTTGTCTGTCCCTTTCGCCTGAGATGGCATATGTGGCTCAGAAGTGCAACTCCAGCGAGTTTCTAAACTTGCTTCGCCAACACTGGGGAAAATACTCCGACGTCCTGACGCCGGACAAGCCTGGTTTTCAGAAAAAACTATGGGATGAGATCGTCAACACTAAAATACGCTGCCAAGACTCGCAATATCGCCCATTGAAAGAGACGCTCTTGCCATCAACCGGTCTGTACAATCTCACTGATGTTGTGGTCTTTCCTTTTCTGCCAATACAGATCAGTTCCAGACACGACTGGGATTTTCTTCCCATTTTGGGGGTGAAGTCACGAGCAGCCGTTGGAGATTGGCTGCGGTGCCTGTCATCCCTCAAGGATACGTCAAGTACGGATGACGTCCGGATGCACAAGCGGATCGGATCCGTGTACACAGAACTCCTATTCTATTGCCAGAGAACAGAGGATCGGAGTAAAGCACAAGACGATGTAAAGTATGCCACTGCATTTCCGCTTTTTAAGCACGTTCAGAGCCTGAATGATCTGCCCACTGACTTCTTGAATAGAGCTCGATTCCAGGCCGAAGAGTTGATATTTCTCCCTGCCTCCTTTGGCCGGACAGCCACGTGGGTTCGCGCAGACCAGTGCATCTGGTATGGGACTCGCGATTTCCGCCCGCGTTACGTGTTTCAACTTGCGGACTACTACCATACAAGCTACTATCGGTTCTTTGTGCAAGTGCTCGGCATTGATGAGCATTGGAACTTGAGTCGACTACGATACGAAGCTGAGCATCTAGCTGGCGTCGACATGGCCAGCTTTGCAACAGAGGATTCACTGAGCTATATAGCCAGCCTTCTCGCCGAGATGGACATCAGAATTCGAGACTTGGACAAACAGGGTCTGGACAAGGACGAGTACCTAGAACCGCTCAAGCGGATTCCAATGCTGCCAATCCGGCCGGCAAACTCGACACGATGTTTTACCAAGCTCGCTACTGCAGCAGGCGTCGACGAGTGGTTCATTGCAGACCGTGATATTTTGCACAATGCCTTTCTCACAAGCGTACCCCTGCTTGCCCCTGCTCTCAGACACACGGTGAACCTCGATGCTCTACTCTCAGCTCTTGGGCTGGAGAAACGACGGCTGTCAAGAACTAGCCTGACAATCTCCCGAACAGATCCAAAGGAGACGGGCAAAAAGGAGAAGGAAAGTAAAAAAGACAAAGAGGGCAACAAAAAGGACTCAAAGGAAAGCACCAAATATACCGCCTGGTGGAGGGAAAGGGCCGTATACATTGATCGGTAGGTTGGCCGAGTCCGGCTTCTCGCAGACATCGTTGTCTCTTCTCGTCTTCCTTTTATGTCCACTTTCTCATGCATAACTTCACAGCCTGGCAGGAAGATCGTCTGATTTGGACCAGAAAGCAGCCCCATGTCCCCCTTTACAAAGCATGGAAATCAAAGTTGTCTGTCTAGACATCAGCTCATTACGATTTGGACTTCAATCCGGTCGGAAAGCGTACTGGGGCAAAGCCACTGATAGATCAGCCGCTGCCATCCTTCAGGATGGTGCTCTTAACGTTTATGTGCCAAAAAAGGGTCTCTATCTTGGTCTCAGCACCCTGAATCTAGCTGTCGATATCTGCGATATTTTTGACATCCCTCACGATAGACAACTCCTGGTGTCATATATCTTGGGTCAAAATGAGCTGCCAGAAATCGAGAGGACGTTGCAAAGCCAGAATATACCCCAGTTGCAGAAACGGCCGACACTCGCAGCTCCTTGGTCAAGTTCCAATGTAAATAGAATCGGGCCAGAACAACTAGTGAGCAACCAGGAAACAGAAAGTATAAGGTCAGACGCCAAGTCATTAGCTACTAAGCCATCGATCGATAACGGAGAAATATCCCAAAACAACAATCAGGGAACGGGGGTGGGAAGCATCAGGGAAGGCAGTCGAGCAACAGAGACACATGTATAAAAGTAACGACGATGACGTCTAACGTTTGTAGGAACCGTACGCTCACGATATACGGATTATTAAGATAAGGGTAAGCTGTTTTGTTTAGCAAGGCGTCGGTGTAGTTCTACTCCGAAATGCACCACCAGATTAGCCCAATGGGCTAGGCACTGTCCGACGTTCACTTAATTTAGGATTGAAGGAGACTATTTGCACCATCTTGTGACAAAGGATAGGTGTGTTCAAGGGGGCGCGCTTAGGTAAGCTACCACCACTTTATTTTATGTGCTAGTGTCGCGGCTGTCAATTATAATGTTAGTCTTGGGACTGTACCCCAATATATCCAACGCTTTTTGTCGCAGAATTGGAGTAAGTGGCGATGTTTCGCTCTAGCGTGGATGCTCGCGGCAACGGCCCAAAAGGTGTCGATCCGCTGCCGTTGTTTATTTAGCGGTTTCAAACTCAGAATAAACATAGAGAGACTAAGTGTATATTTACAAGCGTTAATACAATTTATGTGGACGCGAAGACTTTGTGACAGCCCGAACAATTTGCCAAGCCATTTTGTACCAAGTAACACATATTACATATTCCTCCTCGTTAGCACTGCCGTCAATGCCCTCATTCTCGTACTCAAGTGGTCCTCTATTCTGCGGTCTTGGTCGTATCTATCAGGAGCCGGCCTATTGATTTGCTCTTGACTACATTCCGAAGTTATGTAATATTGTGGCAGTAGCATCGTAGCCGCAGCACTAGACGGTCATGGTTGTAAGTGACACTCGTACATCCAAATTCGATATGTCTTTGTGGAAGTGAACAACCCACAGTAATCTCCATTGGTGATCGGTCACTGACGGATTTGGCGGGGTCCGACTTGCAGAAAGCTGTGCCGTGCGATGAAATAGAGTGTGGCGCAGGCCACTGAAAGATCATGCAGCTCGCAGATGACATCTGTATGAATTACGCTAGCAGGTTGGCCGTATCCTATAGGCAGGTCAATGTAGAGCTGATAGTGACGAGAGCACACAACGATTCAAGGTATGCTGTACGGATCTAGGACATACACGGGTCAATCAAATCCGGATGTATGTATTTAACTGGTGTACGGCGTGGATTGGATACATAGTATGGGTACATGTACGAAGCGCAGATTTATCCTTTAGAACGATTAGAAAATATACATGGCGCTTGGCATGCCTGCCTTCTGCTTAGTAGATGCCCCACTCCATGTCCTGCGTGCTGATGTTGCCATCGCAGTCCATATAGCCCTTGGCCCCAATCTTGCCGCTGGCACCGTAAAGACTGACGGCATTGGTGATGATGTCGACAATGTCTTGAGCGCCGACTTTGAAGCTGATATCACCGTGCAGGTTGGTAGCCTGGACGCCAAACTTGCAGTTGCCATAGGACGCGATCTTGTGCTGCGCTTTGCCGGCCGTTTGAATGGTCCACTGGCCTTGAGTGCCTCTGATATTGTTGGCGATGCCCATGCAGTCTTCGACAGTCGGCGAGGCGCTGCTGGTCTGGTCGGTAAATGACGAGGTCTGGCAATCATTGGGCGACGGGTAGACGCCGCATGGCCAGTAGTTCACGCCCGACGGCTTGGCGCCGTGAGCCTTCCAGTTTGCCCAGGCGTACTCGGCCGAGCACACGGGCATGATGATATAGCCCGGCGTTGTGATGTCACCATTCATGAGGTCCTCGAGCGACCCTGGATCGCTCGGATCGGCGGTGCGGCCACCATTTTGATTGTTGTTCTGCATATAGGTGCGGACAGAGCTAGTCGGTTGTGTCAGAAGGAGAGAACAGAATGGGAAGCTGGAAAAGAGAAAGGATGCTGAAAAGGTGCTTACCCGACGACCAAGTCCTCAACCGTCACACCACCCCATTGGGTGCCGTCGAGAGAATCGATGCCGGGGGGATTGGAAAAGGCTTTCTTAGTGCATACGCTTCCGGTCTCGGAACTGGAGCATGACTGGGCATAGCCGTGCGGGTAAACAATTCCGTACATCGTACCGTCGTAGCAGTAGGTCGCAGCGTCATCTGGCAGATAGACAGTAGACCGGTCGGCGTCGCAGCCTTTTTGCGTGTCCAACACGAAGGCATTGTCTCCCACGGCCGACCAGATAGAGGGAATCATGTAGGCGTAGTAGCTGCGGGTGACGTTACCTCGCATATACGAGGCGTCGTCGTCGTCGATGGTATAGCCAGGGGATGAGAGAATATGCGTCTCTGGATCGCCACCGGCGATGAAGTGGCCATTAGCAATGACCGATTGCAGCAGCGACAGGCTGTCGGGCTCGCCGTTAAACAGCACCTTCAGCGTATTCGCGGTGGAGTCTTGCCAGGCTACCATAGTGTCACCCATAAAGGACTTGAAGCTATCCTGGGACTCGGCCGTCCACTTGGCCTGGTTGGCTTGAATGTAGTCGCCACTGGCAGAGACACCAAAGCTGACCAGAGCCAAGGAAATGTCCTTGTAGTTGTCAAAGGCAACCTTGCCAAAGTCGGTGGTGAAGTACGGCAGGCTCTTGAGCACTGGGGAGACGGTCAGCTGGTTTTCACGCTATCTCTTTATGTCCTTCCAAGGGGGACCAGACTCACCTGAGTTGAAAAGAGAGGAGACACCAACAGTGCCAGCGAGGCCGACAAAAGCCAAAATCAGGTTAAGGATATTCTGTGTATTATCTGGCGGAATGGGCGCAAACGTGTCGACGAAAGCGTCTTGATGGAGGCCGATGTCGACTGCAGCCATGTCCTCGATAATGAACCAGTGGTTGTAGTAAAGCTGGAATAAAACAATATCTGTTAGTGAAATACATCGGAGAGGACTGCCGTGGAGAGACTGCCGCAGAAGAAGGGTCTTCCCAGCAGCCTTGCGTGAGGACAAGGAGTGAACGTGCACACACATTATGCAGAAACACAAACGAGTTCCAGATCTCGTACGCAGCTGGTCCCGAACCGTTGACATTGGCGACCGCTTGGCAGGTTATTGGCGACGTGCAGTAGCCTGTGGCTGACATCTCGCCGCAGCTGGTACTCTCGCCTAGGTGGAAGAAGTCGGCGACGGTGGACGTGAAATGTTGGTTGGAATTGTCCGCATTGGCCGCGAGCTGGGCAGCCCAGGCCTGGACGGCCTCCTCCACGGCTGTTGGGCAGCCCAGGTCGAGCCAGCGATTGGCAGCGGTGATGCTGTCGGCGTCGGCGACAGCCGGGGTGGTGCAGGTGAGCTCAGTCCAGTTGCCGGTGCGGTTCATGGAGTTGGAGCCTGCGCCAGCAAAGTTGCCTGTCTTGACGGCGTCCCGGAAAGCGGCCCAGTTGGCATAGTTGTTGGGAGCGGTATTGAAGGTCTCAAGATCGCTGGCCCAGTCGGTGGTTCCGCCCAGGTTGAGGCCGGCATACTTGCTGCTGCGAGCCTTCTTGATGTCGTTGTCCATATAGGCGACCCATTGGATGTCGTCGTACACCATGATGATGCTATCGCTGTCACTGTCGACAAAGTACTGGTTGACCCGAGATGACACGCTGCGCCGGCGGCTGCGGTCGATGCGTCGATGACCACCGTCCTCCGCTCTCCGCAGGTGTTGTCCGTCGGTACCGTCGAGGATGTCGTAGATCTCCGCGTCCGAGATGTAGCCAGAGGTGTTGGTGCACACGCCGGCAGTGGCATAGGAGACCGTCGATGTGCCCGTGAAGGTGCACCCAGTCGAGTAGCAGCCGGCGGTGGACATGGCAAAAGAACGGCCGTAGCTGCTGACACCCACAATCACCTTTCCGGAGGGCACGCCGGCCTTGGTCACCATAGCCAAGGACGTCATCGTCTCGGTCAGGTTGACGTGGCTGCGTAGGCAGTTGCCGTTATCGCAGCCTTCCTGAGACCAGCTGCTGCCCACGTCCCACTAGGGTAGTTAGAAATGCTGGAGGGAAAATGAAGAGGGGAACAAAAAGAAAGAAAAAAAAAAAAAAGAAAGAAAAAAAAAAAGAAAAGACTCACTTGTCCGTGCAAGTCATACGTCATGAACACAATGTAGTCGATAACGTCTGAAATATCCTTGATCGGGAACGCTTTCAAGTACCAGTACGAAGCCGGCGCTGCTATGCTCACAGTCTTCCCGCTTGGCATCATGTTCTTAAGCACCTTGAGGAACTCCAAGTAATTGTCGCCCTCGTCGTTGCTACCTGCAGGAATTCCTGGAATGTCGGGCTCCTATCAGACAATAGACAGGTTAGATGATCAAAGAACCCTATCTTTTGCCGCCGGCCCTTATCTACACTCACCCCTGGATACTCCCAATCGAGGTCAATACCATCCAGATTGTTGTCTGTCACAAAGCTGACGATGCTTTTAGCCATGGCCTCGCGATTCTCTGGCTTCACACCATCACGGAAGATCTGGTACGTGCTCAAGCCAGTCGAGAAGGCCCAGCCACCAATAGTCAGCACCTTGTGTACGCTGTCGCCCAGACGGGTGAAGCTATTGAACTCGTACTTGTCGTACTCGCTGGTGCCGACTGAAATCTGGTAGTCCGAGTCCATCGACGCAAACGAAAAGTGGATGTGCGTCATCTCCGAAAGGTTCAACTGCGACAAGTCCTGATACAAGCAATCACGGTCCATGCCGAAGGCTTCGTAGTACTGCAGCTTGATGAACTGTGCTGGCGCACTGCCCTGCACAATATCTGTGCCGCAGTTGCTGATGCATCCGTTCGTGCCGGACATGGCCGTGCCGGGCGCTCCAGTATTTGTGTCCGTACAGAACTCCTTTGTTATGCCGCACTGGCCCCACACGTCACAGCAGGCGTTTAGCGGACACGGGTTCAGGCTGCTGAGGTTGTGCGTGCCGGACGTTGGGACGGTCGTGCCAGGCTTTTGCGGGCCGCACAAGGCGTTTGCCAGTGCTGCCGGCATCGGCGGGTCGCCAGAGCTGAGACAAATGTTGGCGCCGACGTACAGCAGACTGCAGCCATTCCAGCCCCATGTGTTGGTGTTGAAGCCCTCGATATCGTCGTTTGTCAGCCCGTAGGCCGCACCGATGGCCGAGCACGAGTCGTCTGCCACCACTGTGTACGTGGCACACGTCCCGTTCGCATTGGGCTTGGGCTTGAAGTCGGGAAGCGTGCCGGCCGAGCAGCAGACATGCTGACCGGGCGTAAGTGTCGCGCATAGGTTGGCTTCCGGGTTGTACTTTGTAAAGTCGGCTGCCGAGATGCCGCATCTCTGGGACAGCGCCCAGCAGGAGTCGCCCGATACGACCTTGATGGCGGTGCAGTCGTCGCGAGCCACCAGCTGCGAGGACCGGCCGTTACGATGATAGGGAGCAGCGCGCGAATTGAGGGTCGAGTTGCTAGTGTCGTTGGACAGGAGCGAAGACGTGAACGAGGCCGTCGTGCGGAACGACTCCGACGCAATGTACGGCAGGCACGTTCCGTTGTCCCAAGTTTGGAGCGCCTCCTGCACTACGTCAAAAGAGCGGTTGGCTGTGGCCAGATAGCCGACCATGTGGTCGGCATCAAACAAGGAGCCGCAGAGCTGCATGGCCACACCGCTATACTCCGCCGCCGAGTGGTCGTCCAGCAGGTTCAGCAGACCCTCCAGGGCTGCCGTGCCGGTAGACACGCCGTCTACGGCCCGACCCATGTACATGCCGACGGTAGAGCCGGGCGACTGCGCAAAGAAGATGAAGGGCGAGGCGGACGTGTTCGATGTCGTGCCATAGCCGTTGTCGAGAAAGCCGAGCATGCTGTCTGTTGTGTTGCGCAGGTCCTCTGTAGCCCCGGTAGCTGCCAAGTTCGCCCAGCGGGTCACGGCATATGTCGCGTCCAGCGTCGTCGTTTCGGCAGCAAAGGTCTTGTGCGTAGTGGCGTCTGAGGGAAGAGACGAAAATGCGGCCGGGCCGTCAGCAGTGCAAGCAAACACCAGCTGTGATGCCGAGGCATCGTCCACCTTGCCATGGATGTTAAAGTGGTAGTATACCGTCTGCTGGCACCGCTGCGCCTGCTTGATATTGCCGTATGCTGTCCAGTTGGCCGGGCTGGGTCCCGACTCGGCACATGACAAAGGGCAGGCGTTGTGGCCAGCATAGCTCGGACTAGCTGCTTGCCGGAGGTTACTATGAACCGCCGCGGCACTGGCCACAAGCCCGGCCGTGACAAGGCCGGACCACGATAGCGGCATGGACGAGAGGAGGGAAGGTCCAATAACAACAAAGCAAGGGCTGGGGAAGAGAAACAAGACGCATTAATCAACCGATCGGTCGAGACAGCCGGATCTTTTTCGGTATGATGTGCACTGGATATAAGGCATGAAAGAAGACTTGAAAACCCGCTGCCCCTGCTGACTCCGGAAACAGACGGAAAATTCTCAGTTCTCTCTCTTGATATATGTATTACCCAGGACAGAAGTCAGATGAAGCTGCCTCATCATCCTCGCCCGACATAACACACACTTTCCTGTTCGAGCGTCCCCACTCCCCCCTGCCCCTAAGACATAACTGCTGCATACAGAAGAGGAAAAGAATGCCGCCAGAGGACGTTGTCCCCATCATGACCCTCGTTTCCTCATTTCCCGCACTTGCAAGATGCAATCCTGCATTCTCCCCTGCAGATGCCTACTCTGGAAGTGTACTCCGAAGGATGCTCGCACTGCATGTAAAATACCCACGCATACATGGAACGGGCTACGGATGGGCAGATGCGTTAACACTGAATTGGTAGGGGTTGCCTAAAGCGCCGCGAGAACACCCTGGCAATGTTCCAGTGTGATAAGAAAATTGCTTTTTAGAGAACATCTTATTTACCACAACTCCGCTTAGTACGGCTGCGTTTTCCTATGCATTCCTTTATCCGGCTCCGGTTCTCCGCTCTTCCCGCGATCCTTGGAAAAACTCTTTGTCAAAGGACAGGTCACAAATCTTCACGAGAAGCACGTATGATTATATACGCAAGTCCATTAGTGCTGTCCCTCTCTTGCCTCCACCTTGTACCCTGACAGTATCTCTTAATAAGCTACATTTCGTATAACGGATCTCGGTGTGGGTCGCGGACAAGCATGACCGGCCGAAAGGGAATGAAAAAAAGTGCGGCGCCTAATAACGGAGAAGCGGAAACACTGACACAAGACTGGGAACGTGCTGAAAGAGAATACAGCATCTCGCTGGTGAATTGCAATAAGACAAGTTTCTAGGTTACAGACTACCACCGTGATACTATAGCTCTTTCAGGGTTTTTTTTTTTTTTTTGGGGGGGGGGGGGGCGTGGCGTTCAGATCCACATTACAGAAATTGTACCACAACCAACAAAGCAGATGCCCAGACAGCGGCTGTTCCTTTCCACAGACGATCCGAAGCTGTGCTCTTCTTATCACTGCTCGTGCAGTTTGTGGCGCAGGTCCAGGACTCCAACGTAGCCAGAATACTTGCCGCAGCTGCCTTGTCAACGGTTGCACCGCATGGATTGGCTACGGGCCACGGCTTCTCCTCTGACAATACCGCACACGTGCTGATACCGCCGGTCAGTACGCCAGTGGTTGCCTTGGGCGTGGCCGTCACATTCCAAGTAAGGCTCCAGTCGGAAGCGTTAGCGCACACGTCGGAGGCGCTGGCCGAGACGAGATCCACAGCCTGGCCGCCGTCTGCAATAGTGAATACGAGGCCAAACCCGGTGTCGTTGTAGGTAGTAGGTGTGGACACGCTCGCGTTGTCTGAGCAATTGCCGATGGTAACGCCCAGGTCGATTTTGTAAGAGCCGGCCGTAAGGTTGGCAACGTACGAATAGAGGAAGAGGGGCTCTGATTGCGAAGAGTTGACGGTAGGAAACGTGATCAAGGGACCTGAAGCGGGTTGTCTGTTTGTGCGATAGTACCACACTTCAATGTCGAAGTACGGCTGCAGAACCGCGGCCAGAGTAGGGTCTTGCACAGCAATGACTATGGGAAGCATATCTGTCGGCGCATAGGTGGCATTGCGCGGAAAGACTAGGTCAATTTCAGTAGTCTGGGGGTATGTCGCAGCATTGGCGACGGCGGCAAAGGCCACACAGAGTATGGCGGTCGAAACGGTCATGGTAAAGAATTTGTCTGCCAAAGAAACAAAAAAGGTAACGCTAAGAACGAGGGGGCGGGCGATAAAAAAGAAGGCAAAAGAGAAGGAGAGAGTTGGGAGAGAGAATGACCATAGACAAGCGGTAGTTGGATCAACCAGCACTCGACCGGTCGAGATATGGTAAGCCAACTTCTACTTCGTACAAGGGCTAGTTCAGGGGCACGGAGTACGACGTACAATGATTGTAACCGTCACTTATTGCGGGGCAATCTGGTCGGGCCACCGAGTCTTTACTCAAACGTCTCATTTCGAAATCCACACGAGTAAGACTACTCCGTACCTAGCGGGCTTTCCGGAGTGAAGCGCTACAAAATTATAGGGTGTATTTCTTTTTAACATCGTAAGATACGGTTCGTCTGGCACGTGCGGCTGATATTTCGGACTCAGTTTCCTATTACGCTATTGCGAGTGGATCAGCATACAGGGATTACACGGAGGCTGGCTATCTGCAAGAACAATGTGCGCCGATCCGTTCTTTTCTCGGCTGGTAGAAAATGAGATGGGAAGGTGCTCCGTACACTCGCTCCATCTCGATCCCTGGACATCTCTCGCCGAGAGCTGTTCTCTTTTTGACTAGGGTGTCTTTTTTCTCTCCATTCCGATCAGGAACGTGAAAAGAGTGGAAGAGGAGTGGAAATCGTATACAACTGGCACTGCTCTTATTGGCCAAGTACTATGGAGTAAGTGTGGCATATATACACCAAGTTTTCGTTGTTCGACACCATACGTTAAGCGACTATTGATCCCGCTTTCTTCACGATCCTTCACTATCCTTCACTTTCCATCACCCATCAAATCTCTCGCCTACTCCCGTACTCTCGTCGCCATGCTGTTTGTTGCTCTCGTCGCCATTGCTGGCGCCACCACCGTCGTCGCGCAGTCGACTGTCGCCTGTAAGATGACTGTGGCTAAATTCAACGATAACTCTACCTGCGAGGACTTTGCCAACCAGTACAACCTGAACCTGAGCCAGTTCGAGGCTATCAACCCCAACGTGACTACCTGCCCAGACCTGCCCACTGGCGACTACTGCATTGTTGGAACTGCAGATGCCACGTATATTGCCCCCAAGCAGAGTACAAACACCACGTTCATTTCGTACGTCAGCGGAGCAGCCGCCAGCATTGCCAACTACACGCTGCCGCATGCCGTGACCTCGGACTCGACCACGCCAACGCCCACGTCTGGCATCTACCCAACCTTTACCGGTATGCCTTCAGACTGCTCAGCCTACCACCTGGTTGCAGCAGATGACACGTGCTCTTGGGTCGCTATGAAGTATGGCATCTCGCTTCAACAATTTTATGCCTGGAACCCTTCTATTGATTATGGTATGAGTCCGCAACATCTTGTACGCCTTGAATTTCCATGAACTTCGCTAATACTTCAACACGACAGGTTGTGGAAATCTCTACTTGGGCTACTATGTCTGCGTTGATGTGCCGGGAGCAGTCCATACGTCCACCTACAATGCCGCTACCAAGCCGGGCTCACAGCGGCCTACAGAGACGCGGTCTGTGTAAGGAGACTTGAGAACCGGGGCAAATCTATGGGAGTCGGAAACACGAGTGGGTTTTATGGCAGCAGAAGGTAGCTTGAGACGCGCGTCTTGGTACGGGCAGAAGATATTTGTAGATCTTGTTAGCTGTCTAGTATGTCGACGTCAATTGTCCTATATATATACTTTCCTCTACAGCGAAATAAGCCCACCAGTGCTCAAATAATATCATGTAACAAACACAAAGTAACGAATTCGGATCATGAACAGTAAAGCACATAGATAGTAACCGAAGTATAGAGTACGAGAAAGAGTGGTGTTGTCAGGGCTGGGACCAGGACCATTGAGCTCTACACAGTGTAGCTTAAGCAGACTAGATTGCCAGATATCACTGTAAAAGGCGTAAAGTATTGGCGTCGGGTTCAACGAAAAGTGAAGCACAAGCGGTAGTGATCGCCACTAGGAAGACATGCAGCTGTGTCTTAGGTTCCTGGTCTCTCCTGGTTCCTGAGTTCAGCAAGTGCTAACATGCGTACGAAAACAAGTGTCTCCCTATAGCATAAAGGAGCGAGTTCCAAACGCTTGATTGTCGATTAATCCGATTTTTTTGATAAATGTTCTAGCGACATTTAAAAAACAGATCGTCAGGCCACATTTTACTGCCATGTACGGAGCACATATGGGGTATAAGATCGCATCTGTGGGCCAGATTGGAGGATCCGTATTAGTTAAAACAATTTAGCACGTAGTATGGTGCTAGCGTAGACCGTTTTTTGCTCGTCTTCGTCCTTTTCATTGGCCGTCGTTTTAGCAGCTCCGCTACGCTATGTTCTGTATAGCGTTTATATGCTATGTAATCAAGCCTTTCGTACTCTGTACTTGTTCTTGCTTCAGTTACTTGTTTTTAATTGCTTTCACTCCTTATCTTGCCTACTTAGGTCAACACGTCCAAAAGCTGTATGCATACTAAGTAGTATGCTAACTGGCATAGTAACTAGTGTATGGACTGGCACAGAGACTGGCTGGGACTAACCAGCACACGAATTGATCAGAAGATCTACTTTGAGCTGAATATTCTATCCCTGTACCCCGTACCGCTGCTTATTTAGAGGCCGCCAGCTGCCAAGACGAGTTTGGGGGACCGGTAGCACCAGGCACCACGGCACCGTCGGCGGTCTCCTGGAAGGATATGTGTTAAAGGTGTACTTGGGTAGGCCAGGTAAGTCAGGCAGGCAAGGAGGTATCTTCTTAACAGGAGGAAGCAGCCGTATATTCAATAGCTAATTCTTGCCTTCTGCACTCTAAGGGAGTGCGGGAGGCGCTCTTTATCGTAGGCGCACCTCTGGCGCACCAAGTGCGCAGGACAGGCGCGACCCCGTTTCTACTTGGCCCGTGCGCTAGCACGTGCTGTGGCCTGTGCGCAGACTGCGCCACGCAGCCTGCGCCACCAGCACCGCTTCTAGTTCACGATGTGCATCTAATACGCTGTGCGCATACTGCGTACGGCTTGCGCGTAGCCTGCGTCGGTCCCCTTCCTGGGGCGGCGTTACAATATGATAGTAGTAGCAACAGCACCGGGGTCAGCCAGGCTAGGGCGGGCTGGCATGCGCAGGTTATCACCAGCGCGAGAGGCCGCCAACGCCGATTTTGTGGCTGAGACGCAGGCTGATTAGGAGGAGAGGGACAGGCTGGAAGAGAGGCACAGACTAGACAGGAGGGATAAGCCGGAGAGGCGGTAGATAATTCGTATGACTGGGATGCCAGTGGAATAGATAAGGCCACTGTGGAGGAACTGTTTTTGTACAGTATTTTGCTATATTGTTTGCTTTCAGTGTTTACTATAAAGTCCGGCTTATTAATACATGTTTTTATTACCGTGTTATATTCGGTACACATACGAGTATGTAGCGGGCACCAGCTCAGCCTTGTTCACTTGGCAAACTTGTTCTCAAGAACAACAAAAACAACACGAGTACGGAGTAACCATAGCAACAACAGAAAGATGGATAAAGACGGTAACTGTGTCCTTTGCCGCCAGCCGTTTTCGGCTATTGAACCCTTGCTATTTTCAAGACATTCAGCAAGCGATCTAGAAAAGGGAGCTGAGAGTGGCTGCCCGACATGTCGTATTCGTTACAACGCGATTAGCCACTTCAATAAAGACCCAGAAGCGATAGCACTCTTTATACAAAAATGGGGATTCACATTTGATCGTCGCAAATTCTTTGACATCTTTAAAATCGCGGGTAGGTCATTGGAGAAACACGGCCGCATGCCATTCTACTAGTAACTGAATTTGGCGTCTGTAGGTGCAACAGACGAGCCTGACTCGTTTCCACTGATCAAAACGGGTTATCTCCTCGGGGAGTCCACGTCCTCCGACAGTACATTCGACAGGGTCCGAGGCTGGATGAAGAACTGCTTTGAAAATCACACTGCCTGCGGGACGCCTGACAGTAAGCCGTATGCACCTAAGCGCTTCATCGACGTGCGAAACGACCGCGTCGTGCTACGAGAGAACGTGAAGGTGGCGCGCTATGATTGCCTAAGCCACTGCTGGGGACCAAGCCAGAGTCCCATAAAGACGCTAAAGAGCACTTTGGCCGACTTTCAGAGTGAGATTCCGTGGGCCCAGCTCAGCAAAATGTTCCAGGATGCCGTGGACATTTGCCGGCGGCTGGACATTGACTATCTGTGGCTCGACTCGCTATGCATCATTCAAGATAGCGATGGCGACTGGAAGGAGCAGTCGGTCCTCATGGCGGACATATACCAGAATGCACTGATCACAATTGCCGCTGCCAAAGCCGGCGACGGCTCTGCGGGCTGCTATTCCCAACGAGACCCGGGCTATCTCGACCTACGTACGGTGGTACTGGGGCGGGTATATACGCGTAAATGTGCCCCAAGTTCTCGCCGCTTGAACGATTTGCCGCTGCTACGCCGCGGATGGGTTTTGCAGGAAATGTTGTTGTCGACCCGCGTGGTGTACTATATGCATCAAGAAGTGGCCTGGCAGTGCCGTTCGTGTTATGAGAGTGAGAACGGCAACACCGAGTATCCAGTAGATAAGTGGATGGGGCCATTGGAATTGATACATAAAAAGGTCCCGCGGGTGGAATCATGGCATCAACTCATTAGCACATATTCGGCGCTCCAGCTCACATTTGATAAGGACCGCTTGGCGGCACTCGCATCCATCTCCGAGCGGTTTGACAAGGGAGCTACGGAGAAGGGAGCCACGGATAGCCAGTTTTTAGCCGGTCTCTGGCAGCCAACACTGCTGCAAGATATGGTCTGGCTGGTCGGCGACCAGAGTACGTCCGGCCAAGCGGACAAGAGACCCGAGCATTGGCGGGAAAATGGTGTGCCCTCGTGGTCGTGGGAAGCTGTCCGAACGAAGGTGAGATAGAGGGACCAGGAATCGCTGGAGCAGCCCGTAGAATGCACTACGATTGTCAGCATCGACGTGCATTCGCAGGACAAGCCCTATCTCGGAAAGTTCACTAGAAGTGACATCACCTTACGCGGGCCGCTGCTCCCTTGTCATCTTGACGATCTAGAGGCCACGATGCATCAGCGCCTGACCAATGGGAAGGAGGCGTTCCTGTTTGATGACACTATCCGTGTGACCCTGTTTTCGCCTGATTATGGCTACAACGAGGCCGGACCGGACCAGCTTGAGAACGACAGTGCGGTGTTCCTGCTTCCCCTGATCATCGTCACAGTGGGACACCACCAAGTGAAGAGTCTCGTGCTCCGCCGCCGCAGTGATCGATCGGATACAACCTACGAGAGAATAGGTCTGGCGGTATTAGCCTACATCAAGGGCAAATCATATCTTAGCAAGCGTGGGGTGGATTCCCATAACTATCATGTTCGATCTTCCTTTCAGGACAATGACATACTGTGGACAAACGAATACTTGTCTAGCTTGCCCGCTGTCGAGATCACCATTACATAGATGATTACAGTAAGCACATATGGAAGCAGTGCCACCCTCTAGGAGAGTCAATGCTAAGGATGCACGTACCGAACGCGACAAGAACCACTCATTCTGTCTTCAAAAAGTAGATGTCTTCACGAAGTAGATGTCAATACACTGGTCCATTTCTACTAAAAATTTACTTAGATATAACACTGCTTCAAAGGTATTGTAGCCGATTTGTCATTTTTTAGCAAACTGAATGCCACGCCTGAATATGTCTATTTCGATTACTTGCGAATGCATGGCATGTATAGCATCCATACTATTCGAGTGAAGGGAATTCCCTGTGTAAAGTATTTCGGATCCTATTGACCTAAATGATACCGTCGCTCACAATTGTGTGAAACAGAAATGATAGCGGTTATTAGGCTACAACGGTTTGCACAAGCCCTCACTCTGGCTAATTTACTTTAATAGTTGGGAGGGATGAGCGTATCCTCAATGCTGTCATTTTCTCTACGGGACGGCAAAGATGATAGTCTTGGCTATGTCGTCTGCTCTCAACGGTTCACAGTCACTATATGAGCGCGAGAAGAGGCTAGTGGTGCACATAGAGACAGTAGTCAAATGAAGAAAAACTAGCACGATCCAGTTGTACAGTCCGATGTTAGGGTTCATCTTCAAGGTCGACCGTGTGAAGAGTGTGTCCAGAGCCTATTTAGAGTTTCTCAATTACCTCGTCAGAGTGCACGGTTCGGAATGTGAAAATCAGGCCGAGAAACTGCTCGCCGTACCCTTGAAAGGATCCTGTGAGAGGCCACCATGGCCACAGCCAATTTGTTCGGCGATTTCCTGGGACGGCACGATGGCAGCTTCAGAAGAGGAGGAAAATGTTCCCGGCAGAGGTACTCGTTTCGTGAAAAGATCCAATTTGAACTGTCCCCCGAACAACAGCAGCAGCAACAGCAATATCCCCGGCCACAATCACAGGATATGCACAGGATGCAGATTTTTTTTTTAGCGATAGCCATCCTTTGTATCACAAGGACACTTTGCACCCCAATACTTTCGGCCTCCTGCCGCAGACCTACAGTCTAGAGCGGCTGCTGCTGCTGCTGCTGCTGTTGTTGCTAGTTCTGGTTTTGATTCGAGCCGTGAGTATTCCACAACTTCCAGAAGCCCTCATATGGCACCTGCTCAGACGTATATGCATCTTTGAGAGCAGCACCTTGGCCACAATACGCCTCACTATGGCGCCTATCCCAACCAGGGCAACGTGTCTGGTTATAACACAGCACCAAAACTTGAGTCCTACCAAGCCTCTAGTGCCTACTCAGAACCGTGGTAGGAGTGCAACATTGTTGCGTGAGGAGGGTGTACGCGGTCGACGAGCTAAGTGAATTAAATCTTAACAGGCGACAATGTGATAGTTCAAGTCCTTTGATCTCTCTACCGCTTTGCTTTTGTTTTGTTATTCTTCTTGCAGAGACTTTGCGATTCAAGAGCGAGAGCCGTTACACCAGCTGGCTAGTATGAACTTTGTACGTCAACGTTTCAAATATCGTTGAAATAAACGACAATGCGATGCTTGAGATGGAAGTGGACCGAGCTCGAGAAGGTTGTCAAGTAAACTTGTCTTCGTGTGGTTCATCCGATTGCCTACGTTTGAAATAGCTGTCGCTGTTTTCCTTGTTTCTACACGATCAAATAAGGCATTATCATATGAGAGGCTCAAGTTAGAAGTGCACAGAACAATAGGCAGAACAAGCAAAATCTTCCTTAGTTTGACAATGAAACGGAGTAGTTTCAATCCACCATTATCAAGTGGGCGCTGTTCCAGGGCCTCTCCGTATAGCCAGAAAAGAACCCTAGACAGGAAAGCATTATAATTAGAGTGCTCTTCTGGAGCGCTGAAATAAAACGACTGGCTGACCCTGAAACGATGAACGACAGGTTGGACTTAAGTCATAGCATCAGTTATGCAGTGATTTACCACATTGGACAATCTTGAAAATCTTAGCCCAGTCAGAGTGGTATTGACCTGGAAGAGCGTAGCAGTTTCATTGCTTTTAGTGGTTTTATATGGTGGGGCGAGCACGGGAGTAGGCCAGAGGCTGAGGCATGGTTGTTGTGATAATTCATTAACCCTACTCCGTACTACATTCGAACCTGACTACCATACGGCAAACTATGCGTCTCCTAAACACAAGAACAATAGAGGTTGTGGATGGTTTCCTTGAAGGCAATACACCAGCTTATGCCATATTATCCCACACATGGGAAAAAGAAGAAGTCACGCTCCAAGAAATCCAAAGAACAGCGGCGCGAGAAAAGGATGGATACTCCAAAATCAAAGCGACATGCGACCGAGCATTCAAGGATGGCTTTGACTACGCGTGGGTTGACACCTGCTGCATCGACAAATCGAGCAGCACAGAACTATCCGAAGCCATCAATAGCATGTTCCGCTGGTATCAGCAGGCTGCTATCTGCTACGTCTATCTGTCTGACGTGGAGGCCGTGGACAGAGCAGCCGTTGATTTGAGCTCGGAAAATTTCAAGTCGCAGTTTCGAAACAGCAAATGGTTTACACGAGGTTGGACACTCCAAGAGCTCATCGCACCGTCTAAACTAATTTTCTTCGCCGAGAACTGGTCGCCGCTATCAGGGAGAGCCGAGCTGTCCGGCCTGATAAACGAGACGACTGGGATAGCGAAGGAGGTTCTCCTGCGCAGCCATGGTATTGACATTACTCAACTGCTCAACCAAGCCAGCATAGCGGAGCGAATGAGCTGGGCCGCCGCCAGAAAAACGACGCGCATCGAAGATACGGCATACAGCCTGATGGGCATCTTCGAGGTCAACATGCCTCTGCTGTACGGCGAAGGTGGCAATGCATTTCTTCGGCTGCAGCAGGAAATTGCGAGAAATTTCAGCGACCAGTCGCTTCTGGCTTGGCGCTATGACAGCAAAAGATTGCAACACGGCCTTCATAGCATTCATGCCGATTCCCCTGCCGCATTTTCCCATTCTGGGGATATTGTTCCATTCGAGGTGGACGACAGCAATCCATCGTTTTCGATAACAAACCGCGGACTGCGCATCACTCTGCCCCTCAGTAAAGAGAGCGGCGTGCTACAGTGTCGACGGCGGGGAGATGTGGCCACTTTGATCACTGTGCCTCTGCGCAAAATCCGTGACGGTTTCTATGCTCGCGGCGATACAGACCTACTTGGGTGCATAGACTATCGAGGTTGGCACCAGTGGCATCAAAGTGCCATATATCTTGCTACCAACTCGAAAAACACGCGAGGAGGGGGAGTCCAAAACGGCTTCGTTATTCGAAATGTACCGGAGGGATTCAATGTTCCAGGCTTCCCTGGCCAGCCCGAGGCCACCATATTTCCTCTGAGAAACTTGTCGATCTGGCGATGTGGCCAGGGAGAAGATGCTTCGGCAATACCCATCCTGTTTCAAGGAAAACCTGTCGCCTTCCTAACCTTGTCTGCATGGCGAGTGTCTGTTGAGGGCATGTACAAGACCGAGCACACCATTCGAACAAGCGCTCGTTTTACACAGCAATGCGATAAAACTCCCCTGACCCAAGATATTAACTACACTGAAATTCTTCCAAATGGGGGAATATTGTATGCCAAAATCAAGCCCACACGCGTCTTTGGACGACGATTGTTCATGGTGGACATTGAAGTCTCGGCAGGAAAATTTGCCTTTGTCAAGCTCCAGGTGGCAAGCAAGCTTTACGCCACATATCACCGAGCGGTTCTAACTCTGATCGCCTGGTTCCCAGTGTCAGCATGGTCATGGCTAGCTCTGATATCTCAACGCCTTGTCTTACTCGCACTCCTGGGCGGCTCTTTCAGCCTGATTCCTGTGGTCATTCTTGCGATCTTGAACCTGGTCCCCTACCTCTGGAGTGGGCATACTTCTCACTGGCTACCACTTGACAATACTTACGTCTCCGAAGGATGGAAGCTTGTGGTAGCGTATTTATTGCCTGTTTACTTTCTTCTGGAGGAACTTTGGGAACAGCAACGGTACGAAGTATACTATCCTAGGCAACGAAACCAACAACTTCCAGATAACCGTGATTACCTGCCGGATTGGATCTCTTTGTGGGTTCCTTTTTTGCTCTCATTGGGCGTCCAGACGCTGGCTGGCTGGCGTGCACATGTTTTATTGTTTGTGTTCTGGTGCTCAGTGCTAGTGGTGGTATCACTGGCGGATCACGCAGCTGAGGAGACCAAATGGCATTCCTCAATGGAAGAGATTTGGGGAAGAGGGGCGTTAAAGAACAAATCTGCCTAAAATATCAGTTATGAAATATTGTGATTTTACCATCATTTTCTTCTCGGCTGGTTGTAGGGAGTAGATAAAAAACCGACAGGAAGAGCGGGAGAGATATAAATCAGAGCCATAGCCTTGTTTACAGAAACCATCATCAGAGTGCTTCTCACCCATTCTATCTAAGCTAAACTAATACACACACCTGCTTGTCCGGATTCTCGTTTCTTTTTGTTGCACAGCCCTGTCACTTTGCCTGCTCAGCTATAGCGGAGAAGTCTGTTGACTATAGTTCCCTCTCATCAGTATGTAACAGGGTGGGCAGAAACAATAAGATGTCTATTTGTCTCGCCAAGCCCCAAAATCCACTCGTCAGCAAGTCGTATGGGTTTATGTCGCTTTCTCCTGGCGGTAGTCCAGCACTGTGACGCAAGTTTGTCCAATGTCCTTCGCTTTCATATCTGGCATAAAGATAGGACCGTCGGTACCCAATCAATACCATCATGGGGCACGGTATTCTGCAGGTCTTTTACTAGGCCTGAGCTTCGGTGCTTGGTCCATTGGTAGAGCTATTTTATTTGCCAGAATACAGGGTATCCGCGATTTATCGATGTACACATATCAATTCGCCACGCCCGGAGTATTTCGAGTTCATTGGTAACTAATCAATCACAACTGGCTGTTCGCACAACCATGCAAAGTTGCCGCCGTGCATCACTCCTCCCTTACATAAACTTGCTAGCCATGCTCAGAAGTCCACTGAGACTGCTAGAACCGCCGCTGCTGCCGCCGCTGCTGCCACCGCTTCCTTGGCTCTTCATGAACATCTTGAGCGCCATCTCACCGGCCTGCTGCACAGCCGACTGCTTGCTCGCGCCCGACGCCACGTTGCCCTGTGCCGCCTGGTTGTCGAACAGCTTGCTGGCCTCGCTCATGGCCAGGCCGATGAACTGGTTCTGGCTCTGGCCACCGCTGCTGCTGCTGGACTGTCCGCCGCTGAACATCTTGAGCGCCTGCATCGCCGCAGCCATGCCCATGCCGCCCGATGTGGCGGAATCACCGCTGCTCTGGCCTCCGTAGTAGTTCTGGTGGCTCTGCACGGCGGCTAATTTCCTGTCAGCCTGGAAGAAGAAGAGGAGGCCTAGGATGCCTGGCCAAGGAAGGTGACATACCAGTTTCATCAACGCTCTCGCTGGCAATGTTGCCCTTCTTCTGGCCAATCTGGTTTAGGATGTCGCTGAAGAAGCCGCGGTCCTCGGTGCCGCTGTGCTGGGCAGCTGCCGAAGCAGCGCCACTCAGGTCCTCGTCGTCCTCGTGGTTGTAGTTGCCGCCGGCAGGGTAGCTGCCACCGTGGGTCGCTTGGAAGCTCGTCAGTACCCGGCACTCATGTCCCGTCATCAAGACTGCGTGGTCAACCTACTGTTTCCACCCGACATGTACTGCTGGGCACTGCCGCCGCTGTATTGCTGCTGCTGACCGCTACCGCCACCGCCATACTCCTGCTGACCATTGCCACCGCCATGCTGCTGGCCACCACCACTGTATTGTTGCTGGCCACCACCACCGTATTGTTGTTGACCGCCGCCGTACTGCTGCTGCTGGCCTGTGTTTGGTTAGCTATGAGATGAGCCGGTTGGCAGTCCAATCTTGGGCAACTGCTCTGGACACGGTAGACTGTCAAAGAAAAGCTGCCCCAACTCGTAGCTATTACTCACCAGACTGCTGCCCCTCGTAATCGTCGTCGCCCCGCATCTTGCAGATAGTGTCGTAGGTGATGAGTGTCGTAGGTGAGAAGGTTGATGGAAGAGCAGAGTACGATGTGGCTAAGTTGCTTGCTCTGCTGTGCTTTTGAACTTGTTCGTGCCTCGTAAAGGGAAGTCGGACGATGGCGGGGAAGAGAGCGTGTGCCTACCCCTTAAAACCATTTTGCTGCCCAAAAGATATCCTTCCCTAGCTTTGGAAAGAGCGAAACAAGAGCTGATGACGTCCCCCTCGGTGTCTGAACCCCACCATCACCCACCTGCGCCAAGACGCTACCGGGCACAGCCGACCAATGGCTGTGCGTGCTAGCAGGCCAGCAGGGGCCTGCTGGAGACTACTGGCGCCCTGGACAGTTGGAGCCGGCAGTGCTTTCAGCGGGGAACTTGGGCTAAGTCGAAGAACTCGGGCCACTGGGAATCTGCAAATCCATGCCAATTGTTGTCTCGTTGCCGGGTATCTATATGCTTTCGGTCCCTGCCGGCACGTGTATCCCGTCCGTGTGTATAGATCAATGATAAAAAGTAACCGCCAGCGCCGTTTCCCGCGTGTACAAAACGACTACGCCCAACCTACTCCAGAAACACAAGGGCGAAATGGGAGAAGAGAAATAGCCTACCCATATTTGTCCCTATGGTCTTCCGTGCCAGGGGAGCTCCTTCTACTCCCGATTCCGCGTGGGTGATTGTGGCCCTACCGCTGTCTCGGCGAGCTGCTCCCTCTTCTTTTCCTTTTTTTCCTTCTTTGCCCAGCGCAGGCCACAAGCGTTGCACAGCGTCTTGGGACCATTAGGTCCCTTGCGCCATTCCGGTGATTCCAAGGTTCCTGGTCTTGTCAGCATAGTGATCGTGGTAAGGTAGCTGTGGCATTTGAACCAGCAGGGACGAGAACGAGAGGGAAACAAGAGGAAAGCAAAACAGCAGCTCACCGCAGTCTGTGCAGACGTATTCCTCTGCCAGCCGCATCTTCTTCTTCTTCTCGCCGGCCCGCTGGTCCCGATTGAGCGAGAAGGCGATGCCTACGTCGCCCTTGACGAGCTGCGGGCTCCGGTTGCCTGTCGATAGGCCCTTGCTGCGCTCACCCTCCTGGTAGCGTAGGCCAGTGAGCATCTCGATGGTATCGGCGTGCGTGGCCGTGCCCATGGGTCCAGCCTGGCGCGCAGTCTTCTCGCCAGAGCCGCCAGGAGCGGCCGTGGACCCGTTGGATGGAGCCGCTGTTGCCGTCACGCCCTTGTAACGTTCCATCTTGTCGCGGAGCGAATCGGGCCGTCGGGCTGCGATGCCCTCGAGGTTTTCGCGGGTGAGCGCGGCATTGTTGAGACTGGTGGAGGTGCCCATGCTCATGGGATGTGGTGGAGGCGCCATCTGCATGGATAAAACGCCGGCCCCGGCGTCGGAGGTGGCCAGGTCGGAGCGCGAGCCGATGCTGTGGCGCCAGAGGCTGGAGAGGCTATGGGCACGCGAGTGGCCATCGCGGTGGTCGTGGCTGTCATGGTTCCCGTGGTTGTGGTTGTGGCCGTGGCTGTGCATATGAATGTCGTGGTCCTCGGAAGCTTCCTCGTGGCGGATGTCGTCGATGCGGCGGCGCAGCCGCTCGTTCTCCATCTTATGCTCGAGGAACGAGTCCAGCAGGCTCGCGTTCTTGGTCGGGTACGGCCGCAGCATGAGGAAGACAGCCTGGCAAAAGGCCGACTGGTTGGCCGGATTGGGCGCGAAGCGCGACTCGGCAATATGGGCGTGGCCGACGGTCTCGACAACGGCATAGGATCCATCACGTCGGCGGATGCGACAGTAGAGCCGCAGCAGCGCCGCATTGGCGATGCAGGCATTGAGCTCGGACATGAAGACGAAGCGGTCGTCGACGTGGACGAGGTCCGTCAGCATCTGGCCGACCGCCTCGGTGTGCGAGTAGCCGAGCAGCTCCGGCAGCCGTGCCGTGACGTAGCGGATCCGTCCATTGGGATCGATCACCATCAGCAGGTCGCGCAGCTCCTCGACGATCTTGGCCGGCCAGTTCTTGCGCCGTGTAAATTCGGCCAGGGCGCTGCCACTCGCCGCCGGGCCCTGCTGCTCGAACTCGGTCGCCGGCTGCGGCCCCGCGCCAGGACCCTCAATGGCCGACACCGCCGGCCGGACCAGCAGCGTGCTGCTACCGCTACCGTTGCTCTCGGCCGTCGTCGGGCTGCTGCCGTCGTTGTCGTTGTCAAAAGCCGTTGGCGGCAGCATATGCAGGGATATCGTCGTCGGCATCGTGTCCGTAGCCGCCGTCGGTGAGGCCGGCGCTTGCTGGAAATCTTCAAAGAAGCCGCCGAAGAAAGACGACGGGTCGTCAAACAGCAACATCATGGCCTCGTCCTGGGACCCCTGCAGCGGTCAGCGGTCAGCAGTCAGCAGTCGGCCGGGCACAGGAGCAGCGGTGAGCACAAACGAACCGTGAATGCGGCGTTCGGCCGCGGCGTCGCATCGCCATCCACCATCTGGTTGGCCCGATCGACGGCGCCGCCGAATCCGTAGAGGTCCGTCGCTGCAGCCGCTGGCATTGCGGGCGGCTGCCCTTCTGACATTGTCCCGGGCGGGGCGGTTGCAATTCCCGGAGGGTGTCTCGTGCACGTCACCACCTCTGCCGAGTGCGGTCGTAGATGGCAATCGGGTGCTCACACGCGAGATGCTGACGCCGGGCACATCGACTCTGTCCAATCGGCACATGCTCCGGTTCAGACGCTGGCGGGTAGAGGACGGGACGCGAATGCAGGCCCGGAATCGCGTCACTGAGGCTAGTAGCGGCTTTCTCCTGGTCAAGAAGATCCGAGCCCGAGTATCACGCGCCGTGGCCACAGAAAATCCAGAGTTATCCACTGGGCGACATCGATATCTGTCCGGATGCCACGATTTTTGATCGGGGAATTGGAGACAGTGATTGCATAGTGTGTATTACCTGTGTGCACTGTACCCCGCAGTCCCGTGAGTCCGCGCCTGCTTCTAGGCAGACACGCGCTATCAGAACCCCTGTTCGCGTTCTCGCTAGCTGCGTCTGGCGATCATTTTCACTGCACCGAACAGCTTCTGACGCCAGTCTCGTTTCCCTGCCGGAACATTGATGGAGGTGGTCCTCTTGACAGCGTAAGAGACGCCACGAGCCATCCCAAGCTTTCACGATGTAAGTTATCTTTCCACTTCGTTCCAAGACTTTGCTCTTGACGGCTGCTGACTCCTCACAGGTGTACGTGCAGGTTTCTATTTCCATCTTAGACATCGAAATCCAAGGCTAACAGGTGCCCCAAAGCGAAGATTGATAAACTCGGAGTGCGGGGGTGAGCACAGCATCAAACTCAATATGATTCTGGCGACGGCCGACTAACGATCAGATAGCATTCGCTCCTTCAGCCCAGCGGTCCAGGAGTCTATGCAGTTCAATACTCCACTGACACTGATCGTGGGGTACAATGGTTCTGGAAAAACTGTGCGTCTCTACCGTTTCACGACAGCCTGAAAGATCAGCTAATAAGCCAGACCATTATCGAAACGCTCAAATATGCGACTACCGGCGAGCAACCACCCAACAGCAAGGGCGGTGCCTTTATCCACGACCCGAAGGTGAGCCTGTCATTGATCCAATATCGATTCCTAGATTACGGTTGAGGCTGACACTAGCTGCAGCTATGCGGAGAGAAAGAGGTCCTCGCGCAAGTCAAGCTGTCGTTCCGGTCGACGGTGGGCCAGAAACTTGTCGTCACCCGAAGCCTGCAGCTCACGATGAAAAAAACGCAACGGTCAATGAAGACGCTTGACGGGTCGCTCGTGATCTACAACAACGGCGAGCGCACTGGCCTGTCTACCAAGGTTGGCGAACTGGACGATCTCGTGCCCAACTATCTCGGCGTCTCGCCGGCCATCCTCGACGCCGTCATCTTCTGCCACCAGGACGAGTCGCTGTGGCCGATGAGCGAGCCAGCTGCGCTAAAGAAGAAATTTGACGAGATCTTTGAGGCTATGAAGTACACCAAAGCCATTGACAACCTCAAGGTTGTGCGCAAGAAGCAGGGCGAAGAGCTGCAGAAGCTGAAGATCCTCGAGTCTAGCAGCAAGGACGCAAAAGAAAAGGGCCAGCGGGCGGAAAAGCACCTTGCCGGCCTGCAGACTCAAATTGAGGATCTGCGAGAGCAGGGAGAGGACCTGACGCGGCAGATGGACGAAGTGCAGGGCCTGGCCAAGAGCCGACGCGAAGAGGCAAACTCGTTCTTCGGCATAGTGCAGGAGCTGAAGAGCAAGCAAGACCAGTACGAGGTCAGGAACGAAACCGTCACGGAGCTGAAGGACAGCATCGTCAAGATGCGGACTGAATCGGACGAGTGGCTGGAAGAGCACCTGCAGCAGTACGAGGGCAGCCTCGCGCGGCTGCAGTCGGAGAAGGAAGCGAAGACGGCCGAGCACCGCAAGCTGCAATCCGAGCTCAGCACGGCTCGCAGCACACTGGGTGCGAAACAGGCGGAGCAGGGCAAACACCAGTCGGACAAGGAGAAGTACGAGCGGCAGCTACAGACGCGCGTGCAGATGGTGCGCGAGGCGGCGGAGCGACACGAGGTCCGGGGCTACGAGAGCGAGGACCTCAAGGACAGCCAGGTGCAGACGTTCCTGGACCGCATACAGAAGGTGTGGCAGGACAAGCGGCGGGACCTGGAGCGACTGCAGCGAGACAATGCCAAGGAGCTCGAGAAGGACACGGCAGTGATCACGGAGCTGGAGACGCGCAAGGCAGCACGGACACAGGACCGGGTGTCGGCGAAGCAGCGGATTGCGGCGATCGACAGGCGGATGGCGGCGCTGCAGAGAGACATGCAAAATGTGGACGTGGATGAGGGCGCGCAGGCGATCCTGCAGTCAACGTATGCAGACGTGGAGACGCGTCTGCGCAAGACGGCAGACGAGATCCAAGCGGCAGCGGCGGACGTCAAGATCGAGGAGGAGAACGGACGGATCTGGCAGCTGGAGAGAGAGAACGAAAAGCTGACACGCGAGCTGGTGGACTGCACTCGACGCGCGTCGGACCGGGCACAACTGGACCTGCGCAAGAAGGAGCTGACGGAGCGGAAGCGACGGCTCGACACGCTGACATCGACGTGGCAGGAGAAGCTGGCAGCAGTGATCGGGCAGCAGTGGACGGCGGAGAGCGCCGAGGCAGACTACCAGCAGGTGATGAAGCAGCACGTGACGACAGTGGGAGCAGCGAGGAAGAAGGTGGAGACGAGTCAGCAGGAGCTGAAGCAGGTGGAATACCGGCTGTCGATGATGCGGGAACGACAGAAGAAGACGACGGCAGAGGCAGAGCGATGTCAGAAAGCGGTAGTGTCGGTGCTGAAGGCGGTCAAAGCAAGCGGGAGCGGCGAGGACGGGGCGGTCTCGAGCGAGGCAGCATCGATCGACGACTACCAGGAGGAGCTGGACAACACGGAGTCGGAGATTCTGACAGCAGAGAAAGATATCAGCCTGTTCGACCACCTCAAAGACTACTATTCCAAGTCGCAAAAGGTGCTGAACCGGTTTAACAAGTGCTCACTGTGCGACCGATCGTTTGCGGAGCAGCCACGGGAGCGGTCGAAGTTGCTCGAGAAGATTGCCAAGAACCTGGACGACAAGCAGAAGAAGGAGCTGGAGGAGGAGAAGGACATGCTGGAGCAGAGCCTGGGACAACTGAGGGCGGTGCGGCAGCAGCATGACACGTACCGACGGCTAGAGTCGGAGCAACCAGGGCTGCGGGCGGAGACGGAGGCTGCAGAAAGTCAACGGGACACGCTGGTGCGACGGCTGGAAGATGAGGACGCAGTGCTGCGGGAAGCGGAAGAGCGCCGAGCGGAGGTGGAGTCGATGGGCAAGACGATCGGAAGCATAGCACAGGCGGTGCGGGAAGTGACGGAATCGGAGCGACAGATCGAGAAGCTCACCAGCCAGCAGCAGGCGTCAGGCTCGGGCTCTGGGTCGTCATCGAGCGTGGAGGAGATTCAGGAGCTACAGGCACGCTGTGGCGAACAGCTGCGAGCAGCACAGACGCGGCTGGCGAAGCTGTCGGACGAGCGACAGCGACAACGAGACGTGATCAGCGGGCTAGAGCTGGAGCGGAGCGAGCTGAAGAACCGGATCGCAGAAGCGGCACGACAGGCGGAACGGAAGGCAGATCTGGGACGACAAGTGCAGACGCTGCGCGAGGAGACAGCACAACAACGCGAGGCGATGCAGCAGGCAGATGTGGAACTGGAGGGTCTGGTGCCGGAGATGGCCAAGGCACGGACGATGCGACAAGACACGCTGCAGCGAGGGCAGACAAAAGAGCGGCAGGGAGCAGCAGAGCGAGACGCGGTAGCACACACAGTCAGCGAGCTGCGGATGTTGGAGAAGGAGATGCAGGACTACGTGGAAGGTGGAGGAGCGGAGCGGCTGGCAGCCAACGGACGAGCAATGGCAGCACTGGAGCAGACGATGCGGGAGACGGAGCAAGCGGTGGAGACAGTAGCAGCAACAGTGAGCCGGATGAGCACGGAGATGGATAACAGCGACCGGGAGAAGAAGAACATTGCAGACAACCTGAGCTACCGACGCAACTCACGGCTGCTAGGCGAGCTGCGAGGACAGATCCTGGCGCTGGAGGAACGACGGGCAGCCGACGACTACGACCGGCTGGTAGGCGAGGCACGACGGCTGGAAGTGCAGCACAGCAAGCTGCTGGCAGAGCGAAGTGCGATCTGGGGCAGCATGAAGACCAAGGACGAGGAGCTGCTGCGACAATTGGACGAATACGAGCAGGAGTACCGGGACGCGGAGCTGCGGTACCGGGAGGCGCATATTCGGGTGGAGACGACCAAGGCTGCGATTGAGGATCTCGGGCGATATGCAGCAGCGCTAGACAAGGCGATTATGGAGTACCACGCGTTCAAGATGGAGGAGGTCAACCGGATTGCGGGCGAGTTGTGGAGGGCGACGTATCAGGGAACAGACATTGACACGATTCTGATCCGGTCGGACAACGAGGCGGCGACAGGACGGCGCAGCTACAACTACCGGGTCTGCATGGTCAAGCAGGACACGGAGATGGACATGCGTGGACGCTGTTCGGCCGGTCAGAAGGTGTTGGCCAGCATTGTGATCCGGCTGGCGCTGGCCGAGTCGTTTGGCGTCAGCTGCGGGCTGATTGCGCTGGACGAGCCGACGACGAACCTGGACAGCGACAACATCCGGTCGCTGGCAGTGTCGCTGCACGCCATCATCCGGGCGCGGCAGGCGCAGGCCAACTTCCAGCTGATCGTCATCACGCATGACGAGGACTTTCTGCGGCATATGCAATGCTCGGATTTCTGCGATACCTTTTACCGGGTCTCGCGGGACGACAAGCAGAACAGCGTGATCAAGAGGGAGAGCATAACGCGGTTGATTGAGGGATAGAACTCACGAGTTGACTACAAAAAGTACAGAGTACGAATAGTACAGACGGAGTAGATTGTGTCATCATTCATGGGTATCTCACAAGATTTACAGAGGACTCCGTACGTTACACGAGAATTACAGCCAGCACAGCCACACTAGCCCTTTGACATGGCGACCACGTGACGCAGGGTCCCGAAGCTGAGACAGTCGGCGATGCGGCGCTGGCCAGAGAAGAGCATGACGAGACGCTCAACGCCGCAGCCCCAACCGCCAGTGGGCGGCAAGCCAGACTCGAGGGCGGCAATGTAGTTTTCGTCGACGGCCATGGCATCATGGTCCTGGTCGTGAGCGATGAGCTGCTGCTCCATCTTGCGGCGCTGTTCGGCCGGGTCATTTTCCTCTTCGTACATGTTGGCGAGCTCGCGGCCGTCGACGAAGAGCTCGGCGCGGGCGGCAACGCGCTGGCCGGTGAGCGGACAGACGAGGCTCTTGGCCAGCGGCGACATGCAGGCGGGATGGTGGGTGATGAAGAGGGGTCCGTCGCGATCGGCAGCCGAGCGTGGTTCGAGCAGACAGCCGGCGAGACGGTCGAGCAGCTTGGCGAGCGTGTCGCCGGGGGGAAAGCCGACAGCGTCTACAGCACGGTTGTCGCTGCGGGGGAGGCGCTCCCGGAGCAGCGCATAAGCGTCGGGCCGCTCGAGGTCGGGCAGCTCCAAGCCCAGGGCGGCCTCGAGAGCCGGCACAAAGGCGAGCTGCACAAACGGGCCGCCAGCTGCACAGAGGCCAATGGACAGAGACGGAGCCGTCTTGGCATTCGCTTCTGCCTCGGCCGCTATGGCCAGCTGTGCCATCAGCCGCTCGGTCTCGGCGATCAGCCGCGGCAGCGTCCAATAGGCGGCGTAGAACTCGCACATGGTGAACTCGGGATTGTGGGTAGTGTCGATGCCCTCGTTGCGGAAGCAGGGTCCGATCTCGAAGACACGGTCCAGGCCGCCAACGACGAGCCGCTTGAGCCAGAGCTCAGGCGCGATCCGTAAGCTCAGCGCCGCCGCCCCAGCCGCCGTTCCGGCTGTGGTCATGCCGGTGACAAAAGGACGCGCGACAGCGCCGCCGGCCAGCGGCGCAAGAATCGGCGTCTGTACCTCGACGAAGCGGGCCGCCTCGAGAAAGCGGCGCAGCACCCGCAGAAGGCGGGCCCGCAGCCGCAGCGCCGCCGCCGCGCCGTCGACGTTGACCAGCAGATCCATGTGACGGCGCTGTGCGCGCGTATCGCCGTCGAGCAGTCGCGTCGGCAGCGGCGCCAGGCCCGGCGACAGCACCCGGGGCAGCCGGTCAGCCGCCAGCGTCAGCTCGCCCGTCGCCGTGCGTGTCGCCCGTCCCGTCACCGCGATGTGGTCGCCGCGCTGCAGCAGCCGTGCTGCCGTCTTGAAAGCTGCTGGTGTCACCGCTTGGCTGCTGCCTTTTGCTTCGTCTTCTCCGTCCGCGAGCTGTCGCAGGTTGCACATCACCTGCACCTGCTCGCCCTCGTCCAGCAGCTTCAGAAAAACGAGCTTTGCCCCTAGACGCTGCACCGACATCACCCGGCCGCTCAGCTCGACTCGTCTGCTCTCTGCTGCTTCTCCATCTTCCGTCACGCCCGCAAACGTCGCTCGGAAGACCGGCACCGACTGCCGCGCCACCACCGGCTCGTACCGCGGGTAGTGCAGCGCGTCCGCTTCCCGCAGCTCCTGCACCCGCAGCGCAATGGCTGATCGGTCCTGCAGCTCCGTCGTCGACTCCTGCTCCGTACCCTCGCCAGCTGCTGTGCCGTATGGCCGTCGCCGCCTACATCCGACATCGTACTGCCGCTGCTGCTGCTGCTGCTGCTGCTTCTGCTTCTGCCTCGGACTGCTCGTACTGCTGCACATGGACTGGTACAGCCGCAGGTAGGCCGTCCGGCCACGGCTCGTCGGCACCACTGGCCGCAGACTCTGGGCCGCATACGGCCGCAGAAAACCGAGGCCCGACATGGCTCCTGAGTTCATCGTCATCGCAGTCGTCACACACTGCCACACATCTGCGACGTCCAGGTTAGCGGCCGTGCACGGAAACCAAAGCTGCAGTGTGTGGGACAGAAAGGGAACGAGGAAGGAAAGATTCAGAGATTTTGGCTTTTGTGATCATGCGTGGCAAGCCACGTCAGTCGCAACGGTTCTAATGTTTTACATGGTTCATCATATACACTTCCAGGACCGTGAGAGAGAGGTGAAGAGGGTAGACCAAACGCACCGAAAGAGATGTTGCTGTTGTTGTGGGAGAAGGACAGCTCGATTGGCCGTGCGAAAGCTTGCAGAGAATGAAAAAAAAAACCTTCTTTATACGTGGGGCCCTGTTCTCAGACCGACAGCCAATCAGCTTCCACCACTACGAAGAAGCCCCACCGAAAGCCGGGCCAAGGACGAGAAAAATTGTACAGCCATCCAAACGTCAGTGCCCTTCCCCAGCCCAAGACGACGACGACAGGACCAAGGCCGACTCTCTTGCGCACCCGCAGCCCGCCTCCCATCCAGCCGCCTCCCATCGCCCTCTTACGCCCAACATGTCCTTCTTTGGCATTGGCCGGCCGCAGCCGACGTCGGCCGAAAAGATCGCCGCCGTCGAGGCCGAGATGAAGATGATGGCCGACATGCACAACCGGTAGGTCTTCCGTTCTTTGTTCTCGGCCCTGGTCGGACTCCTGCTGATGACGACAGCCTCGTCAAGAACTGCACTGCCAAGTGCGTCCCGGGCGAGTACCGCGAGGGCGAGCTCAACAAGGGCGAGAGCGTCTGCCTCGATCGCTGCGCCGCCAAGTTCTTCTCCGTCCACATGACCATCTCGGAGCAGATGCAGAAAGAGGCCCAGCAGCGTGCTGGCGGTGCCGCGCCTGGCGGTGCTGGCTTCGGCTTCGGCGCATAGCGTGGTCACCTGCACCATGCCGTGGCCGGCAGCCCCGACCACACTTTATGATGACAGCTATTCTGCCATCTCTGTATACTACCTCCTCCCTCTTCATAGATGCCGTTGCTTTTTTTCTTTCTTGCTGGCTGGGCAGAATCTTTGAGGCAACGGATAAAGACAATGGTTACAAGGATTGATGAAGCTTGTGAACTTGGTGACTGGCTGTGAACTCCTGGCTATGCAGAACAAAACAACGGAACACAACTACCACCAACACAACGCACACAACACAATACCTTAACAACACCACACACACCAACACACACCACCATCACACCACACTACACTTCCTACGACGGCCGCAGGTCCTGGATAATGTTAGGCCCGGTCCCAATGCCCGTCAGCGTGCGCACCAGCCAATGCAGCCAACTCTCGGTCTCGAGCTGCTTCTGTAGCTCTTCTGCCCGCTGCTCCACCCCTTCCACCTGCTCGGCAAACTGTCGCACCCCTTCCTCCACCTCCTGCACCCGCGATATCAGCGCCCCAATCTCGTACTCCACCTTGGCCGTCAACATTTCCACTTCCCGAATTGCCTCGGACGCCTGCGCTCGCTCCATCCCCAGCAGCTCCTGGCTGCTCCGCTGCACCCCTTCACACGCCTCCGACAGCTGAAAGTAGATACTCTGCACCTCCTCCACCTGTTGCGCGTACGCGTCGTCGATCGCCTCCAGCCCCAGAATCCGCTCCGTCACCGACAGCCCCAGCCCCCCCTTCACCGACCGCATCTGCCCGTACAGGCTGCTCTTCAGCGTCAGCGATGCCATGTGTCGTGACACCATCCGCTCCACTGCACTCCCGTCCGCCTCCCTGTCCTCAGCTTCCTCGGCTTCCTCCAAGTCTGCCGAGTCCGCTGAGGCCACGCCCGACACGATCTCCTCCCATCCCAGCACAGCCTCCTCTGCAACGCTAAACGACAGCCGTCGCGGCCAGTTCGCCTCCACTTGTCGCCGCTCTTCGCATCGTGACAGAAAGCCTCCCGCGATGCTGTGGCGACGCAGCAGCCCGACCACCTCCGCTCCAACCGTTCGCTCCGCCTCGAGAAACGGCCCCTGCAGGTCCGCTTCGTCTGCAACTGACCCTGCCACTGATGCTGCCGTCGTCGCTGCCATCCCACGCCACACTTGGCTTGTCCTGTTTCGTGCAAATGTCCTCAGCCCAGACACCGCTCCGGACGTAGGAACTGATGGTCGATGCGTCATGACCAACGGGCTTGCCACACACGGGAGGCCCTGTTGTGGATCCTCTGGGTCTGGATATGTGCTTCTGTCGAGCAGCCGCCCCCCGTCCGTCCATGCTGCTCCCTCCTCTTCCGGCAGGCTGGTCGCCGATAGTTCCTTTTCTCCTCCTCTCCGGAACACGTTGGCGTACTCTTCCGGCTTGTTCTTCCACGTAAACGCACGGCTGATCAGCACTGGGCTGGAGAGTACCGCAGACGACTGCGCCAGGCTCGCAATACCAGATGCCGTCGGGCCAGACAGAGATGCTGCCGTCAGCGTGCCTGGTCCCACAGATCCGCCCAGTGGCGCCTCGTCGCGTGATGTCCGACTCGCATGGCCACGAAGACCGCCACCAACAGCATCTCGTATCCGTCCCAAGCCTGACCGCGCATCGCTGACTCTTCCCGCCACACTCTTGAACACCGTCCGCCGCCTGGGATCCCGGTCTCGGTCTTTGTCGCCCTGACTGTCGTTGATACTAACTGCCGATTCGGGCACCGCGCCCAAATACACCGCCGACCGGTCTTCCCGTTTCTGCACTGCGTTGTCCGCCTCCGCCGCTGCAATCTCCTCCACTTCCTGGCTCTGGGGAAGCCCCTGTCGGCTGCTCGGTGCCGATCCCTCCTCTTTGCTGAAAAGATTGTCGCTCTCTATCCGATAGTCCGTCCCCGAGGACGTCGTCGCTGCCGTCCTCCGCGGCTTTCCGTACCATAGCCACTTTGGCCGTTCGCTGTAGATCAGGCCGATAAACTTGTCAATATCAACCGTTTCAATGTCCCCGATGTTGCCCTTGTCTTTGCCGCCCACCATGCCGATCACAAGCTCGCCACGCTTGCCGCCAAAGCCCTCGACCGTAGACTTGACTGCCTTCTGCACGCCCCAGCCCACTTCACCAGCCGCAGCTTTCGCTGTCACGCTGTGAAGTTTCCGCAGTGTCAGGTGGTCGAGACGGCGTGTTCTCTTGAGTTTGTGTGCCTTTTGAAAGTAGTCAATGCCCTTGCTCGTCTGCTCGATATCAAAGACATCTTTGGTTACCGGCGCCCCATACCAGGCCAGCCGGTTTCGCGCGCCCATCAGCATGCCGAGAAGAGCCGCCACCGTAGTAGGCCCGAGGATGCCGTCTGCTGGTTCGACGTTGTAGCACTCTGCCCCAATTTCCGTCCACCAGTCATTGATCGCCTTTTCCGTCAGGTCGCAGAGAAGTCCGTCCATGTACTGTATGCCGAGCATCCCGAATATGCACAAAGCAGTCTGGCATAACTTTATCAACTCCACCACCGACTCTGTAAAGGGTATCTTGTCGCTCGTCTTGTACAGTGACAAGAACGTCTCTTGGGTCGCCCGTGTTGGCGGGAGTAGAGTGAGGGCCGACCGCCCGGAGCAGCCGAGTCGCTTCAGGTCCTCGTTGACGATAAAGTCCTGCCGATGCTTTCTCAGATCGCCATCCGGCACCGCAATGACCGTCAAGGCAGACGGGAAGCTGCTCAAATTTGTCGCCATAATTTCGCCAAAGGGCGTCTCCTTGGGACGCGCATGATACTGCTGCATGGCCCTGAAGTATATGCGCAGCCGTGGCGACCGCTCCTGCTCATCTGCCGGTGCAGAAAGCACTCCAACAACAACCGAGTGGTTTGGATCGCCCGTGTACGTCGAGATGACGAGCGTGGGCGACTGCCGGGAGCATGCCCATTGTTCGACAAGGTATAGCTCGTAGCCCTCGAGGCTGATTCGCCGTTCGACTATGCTCACAGAAGGATCCCCTTCCAGATACCTGGCCACGTCAGCAGGACACTTGGAAAGGCAACGCCGCCAGCCCAGAGCTATAGACGTACATCAGAGCCACCGGGTCCGGCGTAACAATGTGTCGGCGCCGGTGGGCGTCGTCCGAGCTTGACGCTTTGTTCTTCAGCTGCCTCGGCTCCGGAGACGGTTGGCGCGTAATGTCTGCCGCATTGCGGCCAGCCGCCAGTTGGCTTGTTAGACCGTCCTCATCCCGGTTGGTCTTCCCATCCGTTGCCTGGGACATCGGAATGGCAAAGCGAAATGCCATGGTCGTCAAGCCAGGGGCGACAAGAATGGCTCAAGGGACAAGGTAGAGAGTATCGAAGCACGTCAAGTCGTGATCAACCGCGACGGCAACAGCTGCTGTGGCGTCGATGTTGGTCGTTTCGCCCAGCTAGTGCTCATCATCAGGGGTTCGTCGTTCGGGTTACTTCTCTGGCGTCATAAGTTCAGACCTCGCTGGCTTCGCGAAGGAAAGGGGGATGTTGTGCCGTTATGCAATGTGCAGCTTCCCTGAAGCTCTATGCTCTATTGGGCCATGTGACTTGCGCTGCGTCATCGCTGGAACAACTGGTCAATTGACTAGGCCAGCTTATTTATGGTCGGACCAGTTGGATTAGCACGTGAGTGCCGCAAAGCTGATTAATAGTGGGTCACGCCTGTATATGTTACCATGCGATAATGCACGGTCGTTAGACCTCACTGTATCTTATATTGCTCGCAGGTTCTCTTTTGTTTCTCCAGTACATTTCCGCGTCCACTGGTCTGACCTCCCCGCTTCGTTTCTCTCGCCATGCCATAGTAAAGCAACGAACATACATGTCTTGATATACTTCCAACCCGCCTTGACAAGAAGCATACTCAGCCGTCATCAGCGATAGCGGACAGTCTCATTCAGGCATAGCTTCACCCCCAAGAAAAGCATACGATTACCCCGTCCACCTCCGCAGCGAGTTCGTGTTTTTCGTCCCTTCGAAGTCAGCCGGGACGAGAGTCCCCCCCCCCTTCAAAATACCAGCACAATGGCCGACAAGATGCCCGCTTTGCGGGCAGAGCTCTCCCAAGTTGCACGGAAAGCTCGGCTCTCTTCTGCGGTAAATGATGTTGACAAGATCATTGCTCGGCTTTTGCAAGCAAGAGAGCAAATCGCTTCAGGTAGGACGCTTGGCAGTCCTCTAATATATTATGTCCTAATTATTTCTTGCAGAGCAAGATCCCCACGCCGCCAGTCTTATCTTGACGAAGCTTCAGAACCCCATTAAAGAGGGGTTCGAAACAGTCAACAATGACTTGAAAGCTGTGTCCAAGACACAGCGAGAGTTTGGAAAGGCCCTTGACCGAGTACGTTCACCATATGGCCTGACACTGCAACATTACATATGCATTTCCTCCCCTATGCCGAGAGCTTGCTGGTTGCTAACGCCTGCAGTCTTTCCCAGTAACCAACCTTCCGACCGACCACGATGTCATGGCAGAACACCCGGCTCTCATCAACCGAGCCATTGCGATGCATCTTCTGCGCGAAGGTCACTTCGACGTTGCAAGGATATTCATGGACGAGGCCCGAGACATGGCGTGCGTAGCGACGACATCCCATGCTGACGATTATGCGGATACAGACATGGCGAACGCAAGCACAACCGGCGAAAGCGCCGACATAACTACGGCGTCGCGATCTTCCGTCTCCAATTTTACACAGATCGAGTCTCTCGAACTTCAGGATAAATTTCAAAGCATGTACACCATCCTACAGGCGATCAAGGCGCACAACCTCGGCCCGGCCATACAGTGGGCTCAAACGAACTCGGAGGCGCTGGAATCACGTGGCTCAAATTTAGAGTTCGAGCTGTGCAAGTTGCAGTTCATCTGGCTAGCCAAGACGTCTAAAGGCCAGACCGAGCTCGATTCCAATCTGACCGCTGGCATCGCTGGCGATTTCAGGGCGGCCTTTCAGTACGCCCGCGACAATTTTGGCCGCTTTCAAGATCGGCATCTGCGTGAGATCCAGCGCTTGGCAGCGGCCTTGGTGTTCGCTTCCAACATCCAGGAATCGCCGTATGCCAACGTCTTTGAGACCACGTTTGCTTTTGACGAGGTCGCTGTCACATTTACACGTGAATTCTGTTCCCTGCTAGGCCTGTCGGCAGAATCACCGTTATACGTTGCCGCAACGGCCGGAACGATTGCGCTTCCGCGACTTATCAAATTTATTGGCGCCACCCGAAGCAAACGTACCGAGTGGACAACGGCCAACGAGCTGGCCTTTGAAACACCGCTACCAGAATCGATGCTCTACCACTCTATATTCGTCTGCCCTGTATCAAAGGAGCAGACCACCGAAAACAATCCGCCGATGCGACTTCCTTGTGGTCACGTCTTGGCACACGACTCGCTTCGGAATCTGGCTAAGGGCTCCAAATTCAAGTGCCCATATTGCCCTATGGAGGGTCATCTCAAGGATGCACGCCAGATTGTTCTGTAAAACGTCATCCTTTGCAAATGGCAAGACATTTCTGTCTCGGAAAGTATGTCCTCGGGATTCTCCTGCATGATCGTCTGGTGTGAACGTTTTCATTACAAACCCTCTAAACGGCGCCGGCCTTTTGCCGTCTCCAGCGATCTCAAGGGACGAGTATATGCGTGTACCCTATTCTTACGACCCATCACGCTGCAGCTCTGTGCTTTCGTCTATTCGTACACCCGTATAATATTCCAAGTGGCCATTTCCTATCTGTCGTAGTGGCCGTGCTCCAACTACTCATACGAAAGCACTGGGTAAAGGGAATATTCGGAATACTCTCAGGATGCTGAGCACTTTCTACTCTACCCCCTTGTCGGACGCCTACGGATGCTAAGTTCTCTTCAGAGACTCTCAAATCACCTTGACTGATGAACTTGTCATCCTGAAGTACATGCCTTTTTTTGTCGTCCTTCAAATATAAGAAGAGCACTGTTATACTGTGACTGGAGGACCATTTCATCGCAAACTCGCTCTTCTTCTACAACCACTTTAGGAGCAGAGCAGTCCAAATAGGATGGGCGGTCTTTGTCTATTAAGACCATTTTTTTCGGTTGTTGGGGTTTTCAGTACACCTGTGAGTTTTGCTCGTTGCTTCTTGGTGCAGAAATAGTTACAAGGGCGCATCTGGGATTATCTGTGCGTAAAGGAACTTCAATCGAAACTAAGTTTAATCCTATCCCTATTTTGTTCGGTGGGTGTACGTGATATCTTTGACTTTAACAATAAGCATTGCGCAACCTCCTATTTAGCACCACCTGGACAGAAATTCACATGCCCTACTCGCTACACGCCGCAAGACTAAACATTGGTTATGGAGTGTTCTTAGATTTTAACTTGCCCAATGGCTATATTTTCACCTAGACCACCAAAACAAACTACAAGTAACAGGATATCCGATGTCCTTTTCCGGCCCTGTAAAATAAAAACGCCCAAATACAAGAGAATGGGATATATAGTGAACGTACACGAGATAAGGAAAATAGCAACGACAAAAAACGAAAAGAAAAACGAAAACGGCTCGCCCGCTTCTGTCATGTGAGCTCCTGTCTCCGCGGGCGAGCGTGTCCCATCCATCATGAAGTCATAAGGAGGTAAGGCGAGGTGTGGACTCCATAGAGTGCAGAGTGTAAAGAGTAAAGCGAAAACAAAGCAAATGTGTACAGTATTGATAGCGGAGAGCTGCTCTCTGACTAAAACCAGCGGGGGGTCGAGATCTTGCCGTGCTCCCTTTGCCTCCCGGGCATCCACCACGCTTTGTCCAGCGAATGGCGTAGAGAATTGCACAGGCTTTCACAAAAGAAAAACTAAGAGAACAGAAGCAGTTTTTTTTTGGGGGGGGCGGTCTAATCGATCGTCATACGGGTAGGTAATGCCGTAGGCTTGATGTCGTTAAGACCAATGGTGTCGTTGACATACTGAACCTTTTCGTCGGGTGCATCACTGCGGAGAATATGGCTCTTGAGCCCACTGCCGAAGTTGTGCATGCAAATGAAGGCGTTGGTGATCGTCAAAATAATCAGAATAATGGCAAGGACAGCGAAAGCAGTCAGAGACTTCTGCACAGCCTCGTAGTGGTTCCTGTAGCCGGGTTCGTAGATGCGCACGAGCTTGAAGAAAAACCAAGCCAAGCTGCACACATACAGACCAATGCTTATAATCATGCCGACCTTAATCTCGTTGCGCGTGAAGTAGGCGCCTAGGAGCAGGATGACAATGGTGAGGGGAATGGCCGCAGCAGTCAGGCCGAACTCGATGTCGGTCTTACCGGTGACGATGACGAGAAATTGCACAGTGAATCCGAGGAAAAAGAAAAAGTCAAATTTCAGAAGAGCGATATAGATCTGCGACAGCCGTAGTCAGCACCTAGAACTCGACCGGCCGAACGGTATCGGCATATGCGACGACTGAGGATGCGCTTACCTGGTAGTGGAGGAAGCGCTTCTTCATCCGAAGGTCGGCACCAATCTGCTTGAGGATGTCCCATGCAAAAGCTTGGTACAGCTTCCACGCAATGAAGCCCATAAATACAGTGGCGAGGCCAATGATGCATGGGATGGCAATGAGGTAGGGACGACATTGGCTCCAGAGAGTGCCTTTTTCGAATTGCTTAACAGCACCGATTGTCGATAATTTGGTGATGGCCAGTTCGATCTGCTCCATTTGAATGGCAGTGTAGATAAGGAAAGCCACGTTGGCGATGCAGACTCCGATGACTTGAATCGTGTTCTTCAGACGAAGGGCATCCCAGACGAGGACGCACTCATACAAGAAAGCAAAAATGAAGAGTGTCAGGTAGGTAGGAATGGAGCGGAAAAAAGAACTGTATTGGCTGTCATTGTCCAGGGTCTGAGAAACATTGATTTCGAATTGGGCGAAGATATATCTGCATGTTGAGTTAGCAAGACAAGAGCGAGGCGCAAGAAAAGCGAGAACAGGAGCACGAGGCATACGCTTCAAAAGTGAGGCAGATGATGGCCTGAACGGCTGTTGTAATAAAAAAGGCCTTTGCCCATTTGTTTCTTAAAAACTCTAGCATGCCTGGCCGTACTGATTGCTTGGGATCGGGAATGGGATCGGAAGGTGCAACGTCGTCGGGGAAGGAGTAGCCACTGTTGGTCAGGGATTGCTGAGATAGCCTGCGGTTGGGACGGAGAGACCGCCGGTAATCCCGTCGGGGCGCCAGGATGGGCAATCTGGGGGGTTTTGTAGATAGGTTGGTTTTGGCGTACGTTCCGTACGAGCCCCTTCGGTGTGGAAGGGTGACTGTTGGTGGCGCTTGTTTAGAGTACGGCTGAACAGCCCTAGCTAGGACCTTATCGAAACCAGGATGGGAATTTGGATGCGCGAGAGTGACGTGGCACGTGAGAAACGGCGGAGGGCGTGGCGGCGGCGTGAGAAGCGATGTGTTGACTTCGTATGTCAGAGACAGGTAAAAGTGAACGAATGAGAGCGATTACTGGGAAGCGACAGTTGAGAGATGAGAAACGGTTTCTGGCGTAAGACGGAACAGTTGCGAAATAGTTGTCAAAAAGTGGGACTGGATAGCCGCTATACGAGGAGCGGACAAAAAGGCGACGAAAGAGAGGATGAAGAGAAAAGTAAGTGAAAGGTAGGAAGGAGAAGCAAAAGCGAAGAGTGTGTACGGAGCAAAGCAAGTATATTTCGTGGTGGCCAGAGCGATAGAAAAGAGGGGTGTGACCTCTTTAGCAAAGTGAAAGATTTCGCACGAGGCAGCTGTGACCTTGTCGGTGGAACTCCGTACTCTCGTAATGGTAAGGCGCACTGTCTCCTTTCTCCCTGGCGATCCTGACAGGATGAAACGCAGCCGCAGAAAGCGTGTTCGAGGCAGGAAACAGGGGTTCAGGGGACGGCAGAAGGTAATATGCAGTTGGATATACGTCGTACATCGGAAAGGGAAAGGACGCAACGATAAAAAGGAACAAAACGGCAGAGCAACGTGTGCGCTAAGAAGTGGCAGACGACCTGTTTTCTTTTCTTCTTCTTCCCTTACTGTCCAATATCGGTTTGCGGCGTCGTAACCAAAAGAAATACGGTAAATTTCGCAAGGTCGGCCGAGGAGAACTGCGCGTAATATTACATATTTCAGGAGACCGTGGGGGAGGAACAAAAAAAGTACGTGTACTCCGTACATGTGGAAAAACGCACACTCTAAAAAGCGGCGCCAAGAATCCGCCTGCCTCCGGCATAAATGAGGGCGCCCACCGCTGGAATGGGGAAGCGCAGGAGTGTTGGGACCGTTCTAAAAGGCCACGGCCGCTAGCCAAGGCGGTGCAACGGCATGGCATGGTTCTAGCTCCAGTGGTGGCGGTGCGCATTCGTTCCCGGGGCGCACAGCCTGCGCCAAAAACGGCTCAGCCTGCCGAAGAAGCTGCTGCGACCGGGTCACGATCACTGCGCTGCACGCTCGAGTACGTGTGGCATGAGCGCCGGGATGCTCTCGCGCATTGTTTCCAAACAATCCAGCCGGGATTCCTGGTCCCAGCGTTTCTCGGGCGAGGTGGGCCCGTGTGCATATACAGTGCGTACTGTGTTTGCATACAGCTCGTATCGCTTATCGCAAGTGCACGGGCCACGTGCGCGCGTGCCCACACGCAGCAAAAAACCCGAGGCGGATCGTGTCGTAGGCGCAAGAACCGACCTGGACTCATTCGCCACTTGCATCGTTACGCTCTGCCAGCTTTCGACTGAGGCAGAAGCACCTCGGTTCCTCCTGGCCGGCACCTTCTCCGCTCCATCCTGTCGTCGCCACAGTCTCGGCGATGGACACAGACGAGGACCTGCTGCAGAGGCTTGCTGCTGGCGGCGCCATTGACTAGTATGTTGAGCTGCAAGGCAGGACCAATGGCATCTCGTCGGCGTGGACGCCCTCTCGTTTTCGCGTTAACCTTTCTGTAGCTCCGTGTGGCCACGGCTGCTCTGCACGGTCGTCTCACGGCTGGAGACGGTAGGCCTGCTCTGCTTCTTTCCGGGGTGATCGATCCCCAAGGCTGACCATCTCTCCAGATTGCCCACAACGACTTTTCCATACCCAACATTCCACCCCCCAAACCGCTACAGCTGTCTCCGCTCTCGCCCGTGCGTTCGTCTACATCTGCTGGTGCAAATGGGGCGCACGTGGCCATCGCTGCTGCTCCGGCCTCGGACGGTGCTTCACCCTCTCCGGACGCGAACAAGGAGAACACAACACCGGCTCTGAGCCAGACAGCAGAAGATCTAAGCAATGGCAGATCGGCCGGCATGCCGGCTACTCCTGTTGCGTCTGCTACTGCTGCTGCTGCTGCTCTCCCTGCTGTCTCCTCACCGCCGGGCTCATCCCATACGGAGGCCGAGGGGCCTCTGCCGGTACAGATCGCCGACCTACTCAACCGCATCATCACCACCCTCACCACCACCTTTGCCCAGTATCCCCCCCACACTATCCAGCGCCTGTCTGAGCTGATCCTGACGCCGCGCCGGCACTACCGCAACGTCACGTCCTATCTGCATGCCGTCGACCGCGTTGCCACCGTTACCAGTGGCAGCAACACGTATCCGCTTCCGCCTGCCATTTCCGACATGTCCGCCATGTCTCTGCTCGCCAACGGCGTCATTCCTTCTGCCTCGACTTCCGCCGGGGCCGCCGCGACCGCCAACGGCGACGTCTCTGCCGCTGCTGCTACCGACAGCGCCAACGCTTCCCTTAACGTCGGCAGCGACGAGGCCCTCGGTGGCGCCCTGCTCACGCCCATTCCCTGGCTGCGGCCACGACCGAACAGCTCTGGGGACGAGCACACGGACGGCTCGAGCCCGCCCAGCTCTTCCGACAGCGGGGATGGTATGATCGGCAGCGACGGCGATGGTGGCAGCGGCAGCGACAGCATCATCATCAGTGGAGGTCTTGTCCTCAACACTCTGTCTGCGCAGTCAGCCCCGTCGCCCCAGCAACAGTCGCAGTCGCCCCAGCCTCAGTCACAGCAGCAGCAGTCGTCACTGCAAGAGCAGCAGAGCCCGCAGGGCCAGAGCCAGAGCCAGCACAAGTCACCGTCGCACCGCATCGAAGGCCATGTGCGCACCGAGAGCACTGAGACCATTGACGGACCCAATGGCGTGGGCAGCATCGAGACTGTCAGCGTGTCGGTCAACGGCATCCCAAGCCACGGGGCAATGACCGCGGCTGTGCAGCTGCAGCAGCAGAGGGGCATTACGCAAGGCGAGCTCTTGCGGCAGGAGCAGAAGGCTGGCGTGGTCCCGGTGAGCCAGCTCGCCCGGGCTGCAGCTGCTGCTGCTGCCGTCTCTGGTGTGGCTGGGGGCAGCGGTGGTGGTGGAGGGGGCAACAATTTCAAGAATCACTTCCACGGTCGTATGGATGAGGACGAGGATGGGGCCGATGTGGAGGGTGAAGAGACTGGAACCAGCGAACAGGAGGAAGCCGGAACCAAAAGCAAGGATGGCGAGACACAGGCCACAGAAGAGGACGAGGACGAGGAAGAGGTGCCACATGCACGGGGACCAGACGAGATCGGTGCTGCCGACATGGGCCCCCAACCGGATCGAGGTAGTGACCCTCACAGCATCGACCTGGAGGCAGCCGTGGGGCGAAAGGCAGTGCCACTTCCCGGGGCAGCCGCCGCCATATCTGGACGCCACGCAGCCACTATGAAAAAGGTGACAGCAGCAGAAGCAGAGGCCGGCAGCGCCGAAGCAGTGCCCGAGACGTCGGTGGGACATCCTCAGATAGTCCGCGCCTCGACACCGAAGCGAGAGGCCGAGGAATCGCTCAGGTCTTCCGTCCCGACGAAAAGGCTAAAGGAGGAGGAGGAAGGCAGCAAAATGGACACAGACACCGACACCGAGGCCGATGCGACCAAACCTGCAAAGGAAGCATCCAGGGACAAGGCCGCAAAGGAGCCGGCGGCCATGGAAGAGAAAAAGCAAGTCACAACGGCCATGGCGGTGGACCGGAAGAATCCGGCCAACAAGGGGAACGATACGGCGTCCAAATTGTCCACCTCTACCAGCTCATAGGAGATTTTAGATAATACTCGATAGGTTACGCCGTTCGGGCACGGAAACTGTTGTACTTTTTCATGTTCACTGCTCGAGCGTTCGGTCCGAGCTCAAGTTGTCGAGAGAACGGGGGTTTTCAGGGAGGGCAAAGGGTGCGATGGAGCCGCGGTTGGCTCCTGGGAAATTTTATCTTTTGTTTGCAATCAAAACACAATCATGCCCTCACCACAGATGCATTTAGCTCCCGAGCTTTTCGTAGCAGGTGAAGCGACAGAGGGAATAGACATCGAGGTGACTGCCTCGCATCTCGATATCTAGAGCAGACAGTAATACTGTTTAACCTGTTTAACATTCTTTTGCGTCTTGTAACAACTTTATACCTTGTACATGTCCATCACTTCCCATTTGGTTTCGTAAAAAACCCACATCTCTTTCGTGAACATCCGGTCAATACATCAATAATAAAACTTTCGTGCCTTACATACTTTGCGTAATTGAAGGGCGCATCATCTTCGATGCCGTATCGATCTGGGGGCCCTGGCGCAAAAGGAAGAAACAAAACGGCAATAACAAAATTCTCAATAACAAACCAATCGATCAGACTTTTTGGTTCGGGGTGACGCCAACAATTACTGATACAGGCCCTGCTGTCCCATCCTGGCCTACAAGATGACGAGCACAGCGGTGATAATCAAAGCAAAGACAGGTGAATGGTTTCAATCTGATCCATCGACAAAACTCTCCGGATCAGTCGTCAGACTCGTCATCACCTTCGCGGCTGTTCACAGACCGGTTTGGTTTCTCCCGCATGTGCTTCGCGTCCCAATCACCGGCTTTCTTTTTCCACTCGTCGATCTCGGTCTGCGGGCAATACTGCAGCAAATCTCCGGTTCCCAGATCTGGCCAGAGGCACGCCGAGAGGTAGAAACTATCTCTAGTATCGACAATGTGCTGCCGATGGGCAATGCGCCAGGCATTATGTTCGGGATCCGAAGGGATGCAGTTTGCCTTGATAGCAAGGTTGAGCATGGTGTCTATCTCGTTGGCCAAGCGAGCCGCATGTTCAAAGCGAACCTGAGACATCGCACAAGTGAAATTCCCGAGATCGCCCAGATTGGGCTTGCCTTCACCCGAAGCCCCCTGCGACATGCCAATCCAGGCATCAATGACCGAGAGTTTGTGCTGCTTGTAGTGATCCTTCTCATGGGTGAGATGGGATTTGATAGCACAGCCACCACACATGCTTGTTTGCGCCGTAGACATCAGAAATCCCGGGAAGAATTCGTAGCACCAGGCACACATATGGTTGAGACCCCATGCATTTCTGGCGATTGGCTCCGGCCGGCTATGCATCAGGATGTTGAACAGGTCGACAAGGTACTCACCAGTGTTTCCTTGGCCAGGCATGTCTACAAAGGGAGGGTACAGTTTATTGAGCTCCAATGTGTTTGATGGCGGCGGGCACCCGAGGCTGAGGATCCGTGGAAGAGCCCAGTCCTCAAGCGGAAGCTTCTCAAGCCAGCGCCGGAACGATGTGTTGGTGCCGAGCATGTCAAAGCCGAGAACAGCACACCGTGGAATGGTGTGGAAGAGCAGCCAGGAAAAGATGGCCGCATTTGTGTCCACGCCCGAATCGTTCCAGCTGACGCCAAAAGAGCCTTCTCGATTGATGTCGTCAGGACCCTCATGGTATCGGGGGAAGAAGTCGAAGAAGTCAAGACGGCGAGCCCCGTGAAGCTCACGCTGCCTGATCATGTCCAGCAATTCGAGTGAGTTCCCATAGTGGATCAACTCGCAGTTGAAAACGCCAAACTCCTGAAGCTTTGGCAGATTCCCTGCGTGAAGAATTGAGCCGATGATGCGCATGTCAACAAAGGGGATGCGGTGAAGGTGGAGCACCTGGATGTTGTGCTGGAAGTTGTGTGTCGCGCGGAGAAGCTGAACAACATTCTTGAAAGTGTCAGTCTGGCTTTGCTTGTTCACTGTTCGTGATGTGGTTGCCATGACTTCGGTGCGGCAGCCCCGGGCCTTGATGGTCTCTGGATGGAAGCGCTGGTTCAAGATAGCTATGTCCGCTTGCTCATCCGATAGGTTGCAAAGACCGAAGTCGGCGTTGGAGACGTCCCAGCAGCTCATGGACTTGCCAATAATCTTATAATTGACAGCCCGGGTCATGCCAAGGGAGATCAGATCAGTGTAGGTCAAAAACTGAAAGATTCTTCGGGCCAAAAAGGGCAGATTGAGGAATCGCGTGATGGCAGCCTCTTGGGACATGTCGACTCCCGTATCGGAACGGAAGAGACGAGTGTTGCTGAGCAGCCTCTCGTCAGCCACCAACGAAAAAGGTGCACGTGTGATGAACGGCGGGGCTTGCTGCGTGACACCGATGCTTGACAAGCTGTCCATGTAGCTGTTGCTGAGATAGTTGAAGTGGTCGCTATTGACTGGATGTCCCGAGTCTGTCCAGTCGTTCAGGGGCTTGGCAGAGTACTGTGACTTGAGAAAGTGGTAATAAATTCTCCAAGTTCTGCCTTGGTCTGGAAACGGCTTGTCCACATAGTGATGGCAGTGCAGATGAGCAAGGCGACGGACTGGCCGGCCTTGAGTAGCAACAACAGCACTTCGACGATACCCAGTTGGGATCTCGTTATACCCGTCATCCATGATGCAGTCTTGATGCACTGGATGATATTTGATATTAGAGACCCGCGTAGATTGTCATGGGACCTAAAGAGCAGATGGAAATGCAATGAGATGGGAAAATGGGATGAATGAAAAAGAAATGACGATGGAAAGGTGGACTTCTTTGAAGTAGATGCTGGTCTTGACTCTCTTTGGTCTGATCTCACGTACCTGATCGTCCCTGACCTAGGAGAGAGAAGGCAGAGGAAAGAAAGTAATACCGAAGGGCTTTTTTTTATTTCGAGGGTAGCAGATGGAGATCCTAATGAAGATACTAATGAAGAGGAAGAAAAGGAAGACTTACAGTTGATGTTGCTGATGGAATCACAATCTTGAAGTCGAAGACTGAGGTTGAAATATTGTGGATGAGAGAGGGTCAAAGGTGGAAGGGGGGAGGAATATACGAATTCCTTCTGCTTTGGTAAAAGTGAATTGAATATTGAAACCGGAAGGAACATGGCTGGGGTAGAGGACGCGTTTGTGTGCAAGACACGGTTAAAGTCACCTTTTTATAGGTCACCTGGCCTTACCTGGGATGAAATGGCTGGGCGTAGACTTATCGAGAAAGGTGTAAAACGACCGAGAGCTGATAGACCAGTGGGCCATAGTAGACGAGAGATGAAAGTCTACGCAGATGCAGATTTTGTTGAGCTGCTAGGGACGACGCCAAAAACAGAGGGTTCTCTGGATGATGGAACATATAATATCTCTATGCTAACATAACGCGTCACGACACGTCAAAAAAACACAGTGAGGTAGAAACTTGGATACTATCGATATCGTTTTCAAGATGGACCCATGGTCCCGAGCTCAAGGAGACTGCATGGGGTTTGATAGCTCGAAGGCTCAGGGTAGATATATTCGCATGTCTTTTGTTGAATACTACACTGAAAGACATTCGTTCAACTTGACAAAGCGTCTAAGTCTATGAACAAGCTTGCCCGTCTTGCTGATAACATAAATATATTTTTCAGCATATCCACATCCAGTGAACCTGGCGGCAATCATCAACATCCCCTTCCTTTGACACCAACAAGCAGCCAGCTGTTTAGACGATGCAGAGAACATCAGACAACGGAGGAGAATGGGCGGCTGATACTTGAAGGGAGGAAATTTTGATAAAGACATCAGCAAGTACAAAGGGCCGAGCAAGAACAAGGCTGACAAAGCCAGGTAAGCAGGAAAGAACAATTGTGGCAAAACAGAAGAATATCGGGCCCAGTCTGAAGACAAGGGACATAACACAATGGACTTAAATCTGATTCGTGGCAAGATAAGTGACGCGGATAGGGGACGTAAAGAGTCTGGATACAGTTACGCTGCTAGATCTCGAGATGAGATAGGGTTGACACGATAAACCCAAGAAACAAAGAAACCGTCCCAACCTCGACTTCCCTTCGCCATACTGACCAAAAGCATACAGATTAGAGAGCAGAAGCAGCGGACAAGCAGGATGATCACACCAGGAACAGAACGACAGGCGAGCATCGGGCTGCAGTCTACGGTGAGGTACCGGGCCATACGGTGGCGCTGGTGCTGGCGCCTTTGTGCACGTGTGATCGTCGACATACAAGCCTTTTTCCTGCATCCACGGTGTCGGGCCCATGCGACCGTTGGGTATATGGCGACATTGGCTGAGACAAAGATGCCGGGCTGGTAGCCAAGGCCCGGCCAAACCTGGGTGATCTGCTGTATGCCAAGAACCAGATGCAGGGGCTCTGGTCGACGGAGGCGGCGCCGTGGCGAATGCTGGCGTCAACACGGATCAGTGGTGGATGAGCCGAAGATCATGGTCGAGTGTGTCAAGGAGTGTGTGCATGATCTGTCCGAACGCCATCTTCGGCACGGCTGACACGGCCCCAGAACAGCCACGAGATCGTCTTCGACAGCACGACCGTTTTCGAGCGGATGTAGTCGGACAAAATACATGGCCTCTGATGGGAAAAACTCGGCTGACAGCTGATAGCGTTAACTGCCAGCGACATTCGGGAAGCGGCCGGCTTTCTGACCGCGCCAACAGAATCGCTCCGATGCAAGGCTACTTAGCTGCTAAGTGGAGATGGTTTCTCCCTCCTGTCCTGGTCGCTTTGTTTCTCTATTTTGCTTGCCTCTTTCTCTGCTGTCTTGCTTTCTTTCTCTCCAATTTCTTCCCCCCTCACGCCTTCTTCTTCAGGCTAGCGCAGACCCGGTTTCACCACTTAGGGTCGCCGGGCCGCTCAGCGCGCTCCTTACTTCGACAGACTTTTTTTTTCTACACTTGCGTCGCGCATGCCCTGGGCCGTTTCTGCATTCACGTCCATCCCTGCTTTCACAAGTGAAACAGTCTTTGTGCTGGGACTGGTTTGAACTGCGAGTTCATGGTTTCAGGTTTCAAATGCGTGATCTGGCTGGTTTTTTCGAAGCCTGACTCTATCCATGATTCAGGACATTTGCCAATGCTATGAAAGTACCCCAACTGCCAGCAGGTTATTTTAAGAGTGCCTTTTCGTTTCTCTATAACCAGACTGTCAATCAATACAAAACATTATGGGAACAACGAAAATCCCAGCATTAGGGTGCGGTCTTCCAGACACGCCCCGTATATCCGTCCAGCACCACCATGGAGTCCCAGTCCTTGAATTTCAAGGACTAGCTGTCTGCCGTCTTTTGTCCGGCCACAGCCCTCTGCAAGTTTTGACATCCACCTCTCCTGCTACCGGTAAGTGATGCCGACGATGTGCCCTGGCGTCGTCATGAATGCCAGGAAGCTAGCGTGGAAGCGCACAGGATCGTGCAGACTGGTGTCATTACTTGTTGTCGTGGAGAAACCGTTCGCCCGGTGAATCATGAGTAACGCCCGTGCCTATGCCAAAGAAACCAATAAAAGAAAAAACCGCTGTCGCTGCCGAAATGTTGTGAGAGGTTACTAGTAGAAATGATGGAAGCAATGCATGCGGTCATCTGATCCTGGTTAAGACGTCGCCCTTGCAGATGCCGTAGTTGCAGCACACATCTGGGCTCAGTTTTCCGTTCAGAATCATGTCAATCGTTGCCTGTGTCACTGGCGTTAGCTGCTGTCTGCTCTGAGCACTATCCTGACAGCGGGCTGGTATCTCACCTCGGGGCAGGGCACCGGTGTCGCAAGGGCAAAGGAAGCCATGGAGACGAGCACAGCCGACAAGGCCGGAAGCAACATTTGCGGTTGCATAGTGCGAGAAGGTTGAAGGTATGTCGTGGTGGGCGGTGTGTGATAGCAGCTCGAGGATACGGAAAAGGCGACTAAGGCCGACGATATGATTGTCCCAATGAGAAGAGAAGAAAGAACATTTCAGATATGCAGGGAAAGCGGGAGGGCTCTGGACATATATGCTTATTCTGCTCTGTATCCGATCAGCGGCCCACCCTTTCCACGGCCTCGTTTGGCTTTAGGGCGGGAGAGGGGGGTAAAGATTTGAGGGAGACCTTGGCGCGGCGCCACCGTCAGCCTTTGACGAGACAAGCCATGGTTAGGGAGTGGAGGAGCCTTGGAATGGTGACTGCATATGAGCGGTGGATGGGCCGTCTCGTACTAGACAAGTGCTAAGCCAAGGGGCCGAAGAAAAGAGAGGAAAACTGGGGGGGGGGGCAACGGCAAGACAAGAGAGAAAGAGAGGCTACTGAGCTAGCCTGGGTTGCCATGGTGCATAGGGCATGCCGAAATGGAATTGTTCAGACAGTGGATACGCGACTTTTCAGCGTCTACGGAGTAATAGCAACCCTCCACACATGGAATGCAGGGGGTGTCAGTCACCCGTGCGGTACCGAGTACTTTGTGCTCCGTACTTTCCGTACTTTGCTCGTACTTCGTACTCAAAAAGACCGATTGATACGAACAACGGCGCTCTGAGACGCAAGTCTGTTTGTCTTGCGCTGCAACGCCACGATCCCACTCTGGGCCCTTGCCAGTGCTTCCTCTCGGGCTCCTGTGTTTGAGAATCGCAGGCCAGGGCACATACTTACATCGTAGTAGCTTGATGCGTTCTGCGCTATCTACTGCCTGTAGATGCATGGTGGGCCGCTGGCCGCAGAGTTGGTGAAGATGGCAACGATTGGCCTGTCGGGCCATTGGCGAGCTCTCGGCGATCTTGAGCTTGCAAAAGTATGGGGCTCTTCGTACAAACACGGGCACGAGCGCTCGTACTGGGGCTTGACACGTCGTATTTCTCCCTCTTCTCTGACTGTGCTCCTTCGTACTGTACTCGTACTTTTTCCGTCCGTTCTTTTTCGCACACACGATAAAAAGTAGCGTGCACGCCAATACGAGACGGCTTGGCAGAGATGGGGCGCGGGTCATCATGCTCTGTGTTTTTGTGCTTGGGACATATGCCACAAAAAAACGGTTCGGCGAATGAGAGGCTGCCTGGCTGTCTTCGGCGAGGCGGGAAAAGAATTGAAAGAGAGGGGGGGAAATAGAAGACGCGATACGAAGCAAACGATGTCGGGCGATACGGAGTCACACCAAAACTGGCAAAAACCCACTCCTGCAATACGAGGGATTAATAATAAAAGGCGCAGGCAGGTGCAATGGGGCAGCAAGTGTACGGATGGGGCACGAATCGACAGAGGAAGCGACCCGAGGTGAAACATGCAAATAAATGAGTTTCTGTTGGATGCTGATATACGGAGTAGAAACATCGACAACTCGGATGGTCTCAATTGCAGAAACTTCGTTGTCTCATTTCCAGGTAGGCGGCTACCAATCAGCCTTGTTAGCAGTGTGGCTTCTACTCCGTGCACCACTACGACGTAGTCTGTACGCGCAGTCTCTGCGCGAATACCAGTTTAAGACCCGTACGGTAATCCTTGTGGGATATTCGTCCGGACCAGTTGCACGTATCGTAGTAAGCTCTAAGGCCTTCAGAAGATCTAGTGATGATATTTCGTTCGGTGGTTGAATGAAGCTCCAGACTGTGCGCAATGTGCGTTCAGTCAGGGCTTCGTCTTATCTAGTGATTTCGGCGGCCGAGGTCAGGTGACCTCGGGAAATCCACAGCAGCTCAGGAAAGGCCGCTGTGCCGCACCCATGCTGCTGATCGGTGCAATTCCCCTTTCATTTCCCTGCCAGCATTGCGACTTGTGAAGTCTTCACAGCTTATTTGGCAAGCGGCATTCTTCACGCGCACAGCGAGTGTCGCTCGACGTCACTGTACGGCGACGGATCCACCTCGGCTGCGACAAATCTGTCCGCTTGCACCTTTCGAGTTACGGAGTCCGTAACTCGCATGCAACCATAAAGGACGACGGCGCCACTCGAGGGGGATCACGTGTGCTCTACCCCATACTATGTACGAGTACTCCCGTGCTCGTATCCCTTGGAATGGATAAGCACAAAATTACGAGAACTAGCTCCCTTCATTTCCAATCGAGAGCCCCTGTAATGGCGTTTCCGGCGAGCCCAGGGATCGGTTGCTGTACCCAGACATACGACGTGTCGCAGACAAGAGACGGAGAGATCGGTGAGAAGAACGGCGCCCAGTGCAAGGGCCTTCATGTATTCTGTGATCTACAAGACAGCATGGCGACATGCCGATGGCTTGCACAGAGTACTGTAGAGATTGGGATCGCTCAGAGTTTTGCCTGCGGTTGGCTGAAATCTGACAAATTGAGGTAATTGTTGTTCAGCTGGGAGATGTCGTTGACTCCTAGTAGTCGCATGGTCGTCTGGATTTCATCACTGAGGACTAGAGGTGTCAGGGAAGACGAGAAGGAGAAGGGATAAAGGAGAAGAGAGAAGGAGAGAAAAAGACAAAGGGACAAAGAGACAAAGAGACCGAAAAAGAAACAAAGAAACAAAAGAGCGATGAACAAAAAAAAGACGACTCACTGCTGATAGCCTTGATGACACCGTCAGTGCCGTAGGCGCTCAGGGCAAAGAGGAAGCCGCGGCCGATGCCAACACCACTGGCGCCCAGACAGAGAGCCTTGACGACGTCGGAGCCGCGGGTGACGCCGCCGTCGAGGTAGATCTTGGTCTTGGCAAGGAGCTCGGGGTGGAGGCGGCGGATGTCGAGCAAGGTCTGCACAGCGCTGGGGGCGTAGTCGAGCTGGCGGCCGCCGTGGTTGCTGAGGTAGATGCCGTCGACGCCGTGGCGGGTGGCCTCGACCGCGTCCTCGACCGACTGGATGCCTTTGACGATGATCGGCCGGCTGCCCCAACGAGCCCGGATCCAGGCGAGGTCCTCCCAGACGAGCGCGGGCGTGTAGCAGACCCGGAGCGTCTCGGCCTCGTGGCCGGGGAGAGGGGGGAGCAGGAGGGAGTCGTCGAGGGCAGTGCTGCCAGCGTTGGCGGTGCTGTCGGCCCCGACCTCGTGCAGAGGCAGCGAGCTGTTGTCGTACTCGTCCTCGACTCCCTTCTCGCCGCGTGCCCGGCGTTCGTGCAGGCGTAACAGGCGGAACCGGTCGTCCTCATCGCGCTTGCCGATGACATTGGCATCGACCGTCATGACGAGCGCCTCAAAACCGGCCTCCTTGGCCATGTCGATGCGTCGGCATGCGTCCGCTTTCCGCCGCGGCACATACAGCTGGAAGAAGACGGCGCCGCCGCGCCGCTGCGGATCGCCAAAAAAGGTCGCCGCAATGTCGCGCGGCAGCAGCGACGCCACCGAGCTGACGCACTGCGGGATCGCCATGCGGGCAGCACCACGCGCGAGGCAGCGCTCGGCATCTGCGTGGCCCAGGCCGGCCGAGGCTGCCGGCGCGATGAACAGCGGCAGCGTGCTCTCGGCTCCCATGATCTGCGTCTGCATCGAAGCCCGCGTCACGTCTCGCATCACCCGTGGCCGGAAGCTGATCCGGCCCCAATCGTCCCGGTTGCGCCCGTACGCCGTGTGCGTCTCGGCTGCGCTGTAGTAGTAGGCCGACGCTCGTGGCGACAGCTTCGTCCGCGCAACCTGCTCCAGGTCGGCCAGCGACACACACGCCGACAGCGGCAGCGCGGTCGTCGCCTTGGGCGGCTGTGTCTGGGCCATTGTCTGCTGTGCTGTCGTGCTATCTTGCTGTCTTGTTTCCTCGGGCCTTTGTTTCCCGGTCGTTTTCTCTTCTCGGCTTCTGCTGGAGCTGCCGATGTCGGGCTCTTGACAGCCCGGGAGATCACCAGCAGCTATCCTCTTTATTTTGCCCGAAGACGCCAATCCGCAGAAGATGGAGACTGTCGGTAAGGCCGACTTCGTTTACGGAGAACTGCAGCGCCTTCCGTTCCTCAAGTCGTCGAGAACAGCACTGAATATGTGTCTTTCTTTGACTCATCTGACGTTTCCCTTATCCTATCTGTCACTATCGCTCTTTCCCTCAACGCCAACAGAACCCCATGTAGAAAATCACTCCTCTGATTGGCCTGATGCCTGTATAAGTTCGCCATACTGAACGATAAGGCGCAATTAGCCTATCTGCTCGGGCATCTGGCCACCGCATGTGTCCTGCACCCCTCAGTACAGAGGAGATTACTTCTTTTGCTTCCTTCTCCTATGGACCGGAGGGCTAAACGCGGCTACAGGAGAGGATTACAGCCAGATGCGGTTGTGGGAGTTGAAGGTATCAAAAGCAGAAATAAAAAGGTCATTAAAACGATTTAAAGGAGAAACTAAGGGAAGAAGACAGGACTGCTAAAACAATATTCCTTCCTTATGCTTTCACAACCCAATTACTTTGTATTTTTTCTTCTCTTCCTTACATATCTGCCTTCCTCTCTGCTCTAGAATCATTCGTAGGGCAGATTTAGTTCTCGTACGATGTACCTGTGTCCTGTTTACATTATACATTGTTTTTTCCTACCAGGGCCATCTCTGCCTGGCGGTGGAGAGAATGCATGCCTTTGGCAGTCACGTGCGATGTTGAGACAAACCAATGCTTTATGATAATATTCAGCGCTCTTTTAAGGTCTTAGTTTTAGTAGTGCAACATAATCTTGGCTTTGACGGTCGTCTGAAGAAGACAACGAGAAACTATACTCCGTATTTTAAAATAAAACACGGACTGAAGACGGCTGGAGGAAATAAGAAGGTAAAAGAGAAGCTCATGTCTCATACGTAGATACCATTTTAATCCGTTTTCTGATATCTTGCTTTGAATTTGTGTTCATTGAAGTATTGCAACTTCTTCGCACAACATGTTCCTGTAGCACATGCAATTTCACAGAGCCGTTGTGGGCATCGTCATCGTCATCACATCATTTGGAGAACGAAATCTTTGCATATGTGTTGGCTAGTCTGCTCTCCACCCCCCGCAAACGCGATCTTTAAGTGGTATATATACTCCGTACCATTGTCAAAATGAGAAAATAAAGCTCATGCACATAGCCTGTAGAAATATTGAGAATTTTGACGTTTGTAGGTATTGGTAAAAGAAAGCTAAGTCTACTAGGAACGGAGACGCTAGCCTATATAAAGTCCAATTCTCAAACTCACCACAACTAGCAAGTAAGCTGCTTTGGTCTAATGGTTATGATTTCACACTTCCAATGTGAAGACCCGTGTTCGATTCACGGAAGCAGCACACCTTTTCAACAGCTTCTTTGGTCTAATGGTTATGATTTCACACTTCCAATGTGAAGACCCGTGTTCGATTCACGGAAGTAGCACATCTTTTTGGTGGTATTTGTCCACCCTCTTTTTATTGTCCCGCTTCAGTAAGTCTAGTATGAAATTCTGTCATACTCTGTGAGCAAAAGTACGTATTAAATCTCTGCCTGATTATTGTGTTGTCGAGAGTGGAGGGAGCATGAACAGATAGATTCAAAGAAGCAGTTTGCAAGATTTCATAGCAGTTGCCTTTATAGTTCTCTGTGAAGAATCATGTTGGAGAATGCGTTTGCTCGGAGCACAGCTGCATCACTCATGCCTAAATGTAAAATGCAGACTCGTCGCAATCGCATCTTACATTCTTTTCGGTGAGTTTGAATGCATGTCTCGCTGAAGGGTCTTGCTCAGTCAAACTTGATACTTGTCTTGATGGGAGGTAAAACATCCGGCTCGTATTTGAGCGGGCGCATAGACTCTGTTGTCACTGATTTCAAGTTGCCTCCACACCGTCTTGACGAAGACTCAAAGCCTACGAAAGCTTTGGCTGGTACTAAAATCTTCTCGGCAATGTTTTGGACACTCTTGGTTCTGAGTCGTTTCTTTCTCACTTTCCCCGCTGGGCACATTCGATACTAAAAATCGACGAAAATCCGTGTCCCAGACATCGCATATACAACTTGCTCGAGCTGATGTCGTCTCGAGAAAGCAAAACCACTGTAGGCGAACATGAATTCATTGTAAGCCGAGAGATCTACAATAATTCCCACATGCTGTGGTATCATATATTGCACCTAACTGAATACGCTGATTAGCATTTATCCATGTTCCGCTCTTCTGCCGCATGCCTTCACGACATCAGAGTCCATGTATTCAGACCTAGTTGCCAAGACTTGGCACACGACGGTGCGGTTTGAAGAAGGCCCATCTACAACCTGCAATATTCTGACGACCGGCGAGGGCCACCGCGCTGGTAACAAATCTGACTGGCGCATCATCGTCGCTGACCGCCCACGCCACCAAATGGAGAAATAGCCTACAGACGGCAATGGCGTGTTCATGCCTGGGATGAACGACATGGCGTAAGGCCATACACCCTTGGACCAACATCCAACTCGGTCGACGCGTGATCTAGCGGGGGTTTGCGTAACTGAGCGTCCTGAGTAAGAAAGGCTTAAAGGCAACATCATTGCGATAAACTCAATATATATCTTACCATAAGAAAGCTGTACATGCCTGATCTCTGTCAACGCACGATAATCTACAGTTGTGGATCGTAGGTACATATGTATGGGGGAGATAAGACGGGCGGACGAGATAATAACACGCCCGCATCGTTCCATGTAGATCTGAGTACACGTGGGGTGTAGTCTCTTACGGGCAAGATAAGACAGTTGGAATCGATTGCAGATGACATTTGACTTACGACGGTTCCGTATCTCGGCCATTAATCCGTGACCAAAGATTGGTTCCGCCTCTCTTGCGACAGCGATCAGCACAGCCGCCGGGGAACAACCGGTCGACAAAAGAACGTGACAGGCGGTGGCAGGCGGCGAGTTCCCCCAGGGAGACAAATATTGTGTTGGGCATCTTTCATGCAGCTCTCATTTGCAAAAAAAACGTGTGCTTCTGGACTAGTGTTGCATGGGAAAAACATGCAAGCGCAGGAGGACAAGAGTAACGCGGGATCTGATTGGGGATCGCGCAAGATCATAGATGGAGATCATTAAGTTTCGTCTGGGGTCTAAAAACGACCCGGAGAAGCCGTGAGCAGGAGCCCAGTGAGAGGCGCAGGAGGGCGAATCCCGCCAGCGCAAATGGCCGGCCTGCACATCCTGGAGCTATGCGGCTTTGGGGTACTCCCCAGAATCGTATAACCGTGGGGGAAGCTGGATAAAAGTGGAACAGCTTACTCGTCCATATCGGGCTTGCGAGTATTTCTGACCTTTCCGACTGTTTATGCTGTTTCCTTGCATTTTTGGCTGGCGTTGCAGGCTCGCACGGTCGAAGTGCCATATTCTCTGCTTGCTGTCGTAGTCGGCCACCCGTACATAGCTGTATGACGGGCATCAGACAGGCCCCAGGCAAAGTACAGCAGCGAAAGTGGAGGGAGCCGACCGAACCAAGATACATATCTTACAATGTCGCCTTTGAAGACAGAGAGGGTGTGTAGGCATATGCAACTAATGCACAAGCTTTGTCGGAGAAACGGGACTGCCGAGGAAGGTACGGCGGCTCTTATCTCTGACCAGTCCTGTTGACCAACCAGCATAAGGCCACCCCGGCCCCAGGGATGAAGCCGCTGGCCAATGGCGGTAGGGGAGATAAGGAGTCTGCGACGCCAAAGTTTTTGATATTACGAACAGCCAATCAGCTTGATCGTGCGACGGCCTGAACGCGACAAGTGGCAGGAGCAGACGAATGATGTTTGCAGCGGTGGCAGCAGTGGTCGCAGTGGTGTTCGCAGACATTCACAGTGCCACGACAGTGGCAGCCAGCAGCGGTCGTAACCAGCTGGCGTCACCTGAGCTGCAGGCAAGAAGCAGCTCAGGTCCAGGCGGTTGCACCCCTGTCCGCTTGGCTTGGCGTACATGCAAGACTTGAACGCGCAGTCGCAGTCGTAAGGCACGTTACCTGTTTGTCCGGCCGAAACAACCGCTTCTGGACAAGAGCGACTCGCTCACCCATTTGCTCGGCCCTTCTCCCCTTCTTCCTCCATCGGCGTTGCCCTGCGGCGATGCTCCTCACCGCGTGCTGTTCGCCGGCCCGGCTCCGAGGATGCACTCGCACGTCAGCAGCCGTTTTTTGCTGCCGTGTCGGAGCAGAACACGGGTGATAACGCTGTCCCATACGACAGAACCAAAGGCCTTCGGGCCCAATGTCCGCAATAGATACTGACCTACAGTTAAGGTAGCACTCCTAATTAGCGTTCAAGTAGAGTATGTAGGTGGAGCTAAGATAACATGCGGTATTTCTGTAAAACTGAGTATTTCTGGAACCGAAAAAGAACAAAAAAAGAACAAATTTAAGCCAGCGGCTCGAGACTGGAGATAAGAGGAATTACAGATGTGCGAGCGGGTAAACTGGACATACTGCCCCGTACTCAGCTAGTCCCGCCGTTCTCCATATTTCTCCTGCACTTGCCTCTTTTGTGGACTGCTTCGTCGCAACGTCGCTAGCTTGGAAAGAGCCACTGGCAAAGTCTTTGCTTGGATGGCAGACGTGTGCCTGCTGGGACACAACAGGCTGTCGCGACGGGCGCTCCTGCCTGCATCACCACATATCCCTGTCCATTTTTCTGCTCGTAGAATCTCGCTGTTCTCTCTGCTGCAAGTCACGTATCACCTTGTGTCATCAATCTTCCTTCGCGTCTCCGTACTGCAACTCCTCGTGCAGGATGATCAGCGCAACGATCGCATCCAACAGCACATCGGCGTCGCCACCCTGGAGCACACTAAGATAACGGTCCTCTCCATTGTCTCCTCATTATCCAAAGAGAACATGTAAGCAAATGAGCTATCCAACTTTTCTGCGCTACACCTGCACAGAACAGCAATGGAAGATAACCACCAGAGACTTACTACACCCTCCCTCTGCTCTGGTCCCTATAGCCCAAGGCCTCCACACCTCCTTCACATCCCTCCTGCTCTCTAACCGGCTCTCCCCTGCTGTTCTAGAGCTCTCCCATCTGTCCTCGGCGTCTCCCGCTGCCTGGACCCCCCGAAGCAAGCCACTTTGTCCCTCCATCTCCCGACTTGCCTTTTCAGCTCCCGATCTGCATGCCATTGGGCCGCATGCATTGGCCGGCCTGCCAATCACACGCAATCAAACACTATCGCACACATACACACACCCCCTCCCTTCTTTGCTACGTTCACGATCCAGCCGTACTTTCATCTGGCCTGTCTGCTGATATATAATAAGACCCGGTGCCAGCATTGCCTCTCATCTTCCCCTCTTTTGTACCACTACCAAGCACACTCATGCGGACTGTTTGATTTTGTGCATCTTGCGCGCCTTTGATCCCTTCAGCTACACGACGGCTAGCTCCTTTGCGAAAAATTTGCCGACAGAAAAGACTGGCAGCAGATCGACCTCGCCGACATGTCCCCCGTATTCAAGAAGGACGAGGAGCTTTCGAGCTCTGAAAAGTATGGCACTACCGACGTCGCCGTCGGCTACATGGGCGACGAGAATGCCATACACTCCGACGAGCTCACAAGGGGCACCGGCTTCGTTGGCCGCCTAAAGGCAATCGGCGCCAAGCTGGGTGTCGAGCAGCGCGGTATCGAGCGCGTGCCTAGCGATGAACGGACTGACACGAGCATGTCCTCGGTCGGCACTCTCGTATGTTCCCCCGGTCTTCCAAGTACTTTCTCATGTCTTGGCTAACGCCGTCAGTGGCTCTCTGCCAATATGGTGGTGTCTTCGTTCGCAATTGGTGCTCTGGCCCAGCCCGTATTCGACTTGGGCTTTGTCGACACGGCCTTGACGATCATCTTTGTCAACATTCTCAGCATCACTCCTGTCTGCTTCTTCTCCATGTTCGGTCCTCGCTTTGGCCTGCGCCAGATGGTCTTGTCCCGCTTCTTCTTTGGCTACCAGTCCGGCAAGATTAGTGCGTCTTTCCTCACCGCATCCGCATAGCTTCCCTTTCCGTCTCGCCATTGCTAACAGATGCAGTCGCCTTCTTCAATATCCTGGCCTGCCTGGGCTGGTCATCCGTGAACGTCATTGTCGGTGCCCAGCTGTTTCATGCCGTCAACAACGACATGCCTGGTTGGGCCGGTATTCTGGTCATTGCCATTTCGACGCTGCTGATCTGCTTCTTCGGTTACCGTGTCGTTCACTTGTACGAGCGCTATTCGTGGATTCCCTGCTTCATAATTTTTCTCATTGTTGCTGGCGAGTTCGGCCACTCTGGAAAGTTTAACAACATGCTGCCTCTTGCGTCTGGTCCCTCTGAAGCTGGCGCTGTCCTGTCCTTTGCCGCCTCGGTCTACGGCTTCGGTACCGGTTGGTGCTCGTATGCGGCGGACTACACCGTCTACCAGCCTGTGGATCGGTCGCGCAAGTCCATCTTCCTCTGGACCTTTGCCGGTCTGTTCTTTCCGCTCATCTTCACTGAGCTTCTCGGTGCCGCCATCATGACGGCTTCCGTCAACGACCCGGCATACTCGCAGGCTTACTCGGACTCCGGCATCGGCGGCTTGCTCACCACCGTGCTCGTCCCGCCCTTGGGCCGCTTCGGCAAGTTTTGCGTCGTCATCCTCGCCCTGTCCATCATTGCCAACAACTGCCCCAACATCTACTCTGTGTCGCTGTCGCTGCAGGTTCTTGCTAAGCAGACTGAACGCCTGCCTCGCTTCTTCTGGGTTCTCATTGGCACCGGTATCTACATCGCCATCTCCATCCCGGGTTACAGCCATTTCGAGTCGTGGCTCGAAAATTTCATGTTGATTATCGGCTACTGGCTCGCCATTTACGAGGGTATTTCGCTGTCGGAGCACTTTATTTTCCGCCGTGGATTCTCTGGGTACCACCCAGAGGACTATACAGATGCAAGCAAGCTGCCGCCTGGCATCGCCTCAATCATCGCCTTTGGCTTTGGTATTATGGGCGCTATTCTAGGCATGTCCCAGGTGTGGTTTACCGGTCCGATCGGCAAGCTGTGCGGCGGTGATTTCGGTGGTGACGTCGGCTTCGAGCTGGCTTTCGCGTTTGCGGCTGTGTCGTATATTGGTATGCGGGCGGTGGAAAAGAGCTACTTCAAGCGCTAAGCTTTCTGACTCTTATATTTGCCCTTTCTGTTGCTTTATTCTGCATTTCACCGTTCGAGAGAGATACACTGCCGGGAACAAGGGCTTTCGGACGAAGGCCCGGTCTGTGAGTCGAATTTGCTTGTACTTGCTATAGACGACGTTATGCGCATTTTTGTTTTGGTTTGCCTCCGTGCAAGGATGACTGTTGAGCTGGTTTTGTTGCACTTTAAGATACCGCTGTATGATGCAACTGTGAGGTTTTACAACCTGATATATACTGGTCGTACACACTGTCTAAGAAACTCGTAACTATGTGTATGTATAAAGGTTAGAGCTTAAGCTAAAGTGAGGTAATATACGAGACCATGTCATATCTATACACGTATAGTCTAATCGGGAGCTGTCATTAAATTACATTTGGCACTGTAGCAATTCGCTAGATACATACTCGTACTCTAATTTCATGTGTCGGCTCTTGCCCATGAGTTTCGGTTGTTCTAGGTTTACTGATTGTGACGAGCGGTTTATCGCACCCCTTCCAAAGATGGAAGTCTATCACGAATGGCCTGGAGCCGCCGAATGCCGTGGTCTCCATGGGCCAGCTCTAGGAGCAGAGTAGGCAGGCATCAGCATGAATGGAAGAGGCTTAAGCGTGATACCATAATCTTGCTCGATAAGAAACAACCCCTTCGGTACTAATCAAACATCCTCCCCCCTTTTTCAGAGGAGGGTTTTCGACATATTTTGATAGGTATGGGGCGGAGAGAGAAGGAAGAGAACACAGTGGTATAAACATTTCACGGCATCGAAGCGGCGCGACAAAAATGGGTAGCCTGAATTGGTTCTGTCCGGCAGCTGAGTCATCCCTTCATGGTACAGTCTGATTGAAAACAAGGCAACATCGCGTCACGTGAGGGGGGGGGGGACTTTCTTTCATATCCCTTCGTTCTTACTTCCAACGCCGACGGAACCCGCTTTCCTCGCCCCTTGATCAAAACAAGACGGTGGTACAGAAAAAGACAAGAAGAGAAGGAGATTAGGGTAATAGGCCGAGCAAGGCGGCTAGAGCAGGCGGGCAGGTTTAGTCATGATCGCCCAGATCGCCAATCGCGGGCTAATTGTAAAGGGCCGACTTGGCGAAGGCAGCGGCCTTGCTCTGCTTCTGGGCAGCGGCCTTTTCGGCCTTGACAGGGTCGACAGCCACGGCGGCAGCGGTAGTGTTGGAGGTAGTGCTGACAATGGTGTTGGCACGGCCGCGCGGGCCGCCCTCGGCGCTATCGGCGACGCTCACCGGCGCTGGCGGCGGTGCGGCCGAAGCCGGCATCAGCTGGGCCTGCTGCGGCTGTGACGGCAGGGTGATGAGGCGCAGGAAGGTGGCGGGCAGGTAGCCGACGCGGCCGTCGCGCGTGCGGCATTGCCACCAGTCGGACGGGCTGCCGAGCGGATCGGCCTTGGACAGCACGACGACGAGGTCATCGCGCTTGACGGCGAGATCCATGCCGGGGGTCGATGCGAGCTGCAGCAGCTGTTGTTGCTGGGGCGCGTAGTCGTACAGCACGCGGCAGAACTCGAGCTTGGTCGGGTCCAGCTGTCCGCCGGCGATCTGCTCCTGCTCCTGCTGCTGCTGCACGAGGGCCATCTGTCGCCGTCCCTCCTGCTCGTGCGACGCGGCCAGCGACCGGATCAGCTTGCCCATCAGGTACGGCAGGCCAAAGGCGGCCAGCACAAAGACGATCAGGGGCTTCCGGCTGGGCTTAGGTGCCTTGCCACCCGCGCCGGCTGCATCGGCGCCGGCACCGCTGACACCGGCCTTGAACCGCTCAAAGGCCGCTGGGGTCAGCGCCATCGCGTCCACAGGCGGCGGCCGGCCCGTCAGCCGAGCAATCAGCGTGCGGATGAAGCGCATCAGGGTGAAGATGCCGAGGATCGAGCCGAGCGTGTCGCGTAGGTTGCTAAACTGCTCCGCCACCGAGACCATGGCTGCAGCATCGTGTTAGCAGGAGACCATCAACAACCAAATGTCGTCTCCATTGGACGTACCAAAAAAACTCGAGTGCGTGGCCATGTACGTGCTCTCTAGCATCTGGGCAAAGCCGCCGAAAGCGCCCACGATGCCCTCGAGCATCTGGAAGGTGGCCTGTGTGCTCGTGCCGAATCGGTTCGTTAGGCTGTTGGGATCGTTGGGGTCGCGCTGTCCGCCACCGAGTCCACCGCCACCGCCGTACATGCCGCCGGCCCCGTACATGCCGCCGCCGCCATACATGCCGCCGAGGCCACCGTACATGCTGCTGCCGTAGCCACCCATGCCACCCATGGACCCCATAGACCCCATGGACCCCATGCCACCGTAGCCGCCGTACCGATAGGGGGAATAGCCGGAGCCGTAGCCGGCGCCGTAGGGGGAAGCGCCGACGGGCGACGCAGTGGCCAGGCGACTGAAGTTGGCCGCGTTCTGGTTGACTGATGCCGTCAGGGACGCGGGTATGGGCGGGATGGCTGGCGCGGCCGCTGAGGCTGACGCGAGGCTGGTGGTGGAGGGATTGGAGGCGGCCATCGCGGCGAGTGTCGGAGTCGTCGACGATACCGTCATTGGCACAGTGGCAGTGGCTGTCGGGGCTGTGCGGTTCCTCTCCCACGGTTTGGGCGGCGATGCCATCGGCAGTCCGCCAGATGTGAATGTGTGTGTCTTGTCGGACCGTCGTGTTGTCCGTTCGCGTCCGTTTTGGTCGTGGGGGCTCCCACAATGTCCGCGCGTCGATCAGCTACCTGCCCCCCTCGGGAAGATGGGTCTACCAGCTGTCGTCAGTCGTGGTCGTGCTTTCGTGTCGCGACGGTCTGTCGGGGTGGCCGCTTTGGTGCTGTGCGAGAGGTAGCCCAAACGAAAGCGCGTTTCGCTATCGCTCCGCTGCCCAGGTAAACAGACGATGCAAGAACCGCTCCTTCAACCAACAAGGACGCGTCCGACAGGGTCAGAGGAGACTGCGCGGAACCTGCTGGCGGTGGCTTGTCGTCGTGGTTACGGCGTGTGTGTCGGAGGAATAAAGTCCTGGATGCGGTCGATTTGGTTTCGGACGAGGTCTGGTGGCCAATGGGCCGAATGTGGGGCGCTTGTGGAAAGCTGAAGGAGGGAGAAAAACAAGGGACAAAGGAGCAACAGGGCGACACAAGTAGTTGACCGATGAATGCGACCGGGTTGAAGATGACGGGGGATGAGGCAAATTCGGAATGCGTAATCCAGCTGAAGAGCAGCCTCCGCTTCTCTTCTCGTGCTTTCCCGGAACTGGACTACTGCATATTCAGAAGGGGGAAGGCAAAAGTCAGCGGTGAAAACAGTGGCTGGCCATGCCCGGCTTGTGAACCTCGGCCTGGAGACAAGCCGAAGGGTGGGGAAAAGCGGGCCAATTTGTGTGAATCTGATTGGACGCTGGACAGTGCACGTGCACGTGCATGTCCGACGAGACTGATGGCACCGAACAGAAGAATGCAATTGCATACTTCTCACTTCGTAGAGCCATTGATTCTCGTACGTCAAGACACATCTATCTTAGAACATGTACAAAATAAGCCTACAGTGCTCCGTAAATACAGTACAAATACATCCATGTGCACTCGCTGACTTATATATCCCGAATACCGCACATCATGCCTTGACCCGCTTCTCGCCTCTCCGGGTTGCTCTCTGCTGACGGCCTGAGAGACGGCCAGCCGGCTCGTCCTTGTCATTGTCGAGCTCTGCCGCACTGTCCTCATCGTCCTCGTTCGCGCTGGTCTCGGGCTCGCCCGAGCCTGTCACCGTCGGTGATGCCTCCGGCTTCCGTTTCCGGCCCGCAGCTGTGGTCTTCTTCCTCGATGGCGCTCTCACGACCGGGCCTGAGCGCATGATCGCCGCTGCTGCCTCCATGGACGTCGTGCCCGCCTTGAGATTGCTTACGGCCGCGGCCAGACGCCGGCTGCTGCCGCGACTGCTCTTGTTGCGGGGCGCATGCCGGGGCGCGAACTCGTCTGGCATCTGGGCCTGAGCCTGGGCCTGAGCCCGCTGCTGGGCCGCTGTCAGGCGAGCACCCGAACCGACGGCACCGCTGAAGAAGCGGGTGATGTTGCTCTGTGTGCCCTCAGCCTCGCGCCGGTTCATGTCGCGGATCACCGGCACCAGCACCTCGTCTGTCCGATCCTGGCTCCAGCCAATGGTCGACATCAGGAAGCTGCGCAGTCCGTCCAGATCGGGCACGCCCCATTGGAACGGCTCCGTGCTGCTGTCCACCTCGGGCTTCTTGTAGGCCGCCGCCACCGCCGCGTTTGGAAAGCCTGTCGGCAGAAACAGCTTCGTCCCCTGCGACTTGCGAAACTTGCGCCGAAACGGCGAGCCGGCATCGGCCTCTCGCGATCGCCCATGCATCTGCACGTCGTCCCACCACGTCCGGAACTCTTCCAGTCCTTGTGGACCCGGAAACTCCGACAGGATCTCCATCGCTGTCACCGGCCCTACGCCCGGCAGTCCGTCTGTGTAGTCCGATCCCAGCAGCTGTGCAAGCGAGATCAGCTTCTCGCGCGAAAGCGACATCTCCTTCTCCAGATCCGCTGCCAGAAAACACTCCACAAACTTGTTGCCGTTGAACATGTTCTTGTACACCCGCGTGCCACCAAAGAGGAACGTGTCCGAGTCGTCCGTCACGATGCCATCCACCAGTCCCAGCGAGACCAGCTCCGAGCACTGCGCCTCGGCCTCCATCGGCGCTGTGATGTATGGGATGCCAAACAGCCGCAACAGCGCCTGGCATTCCGACACCATCACCATCGTCACCTCGTCCGCGTCTCGTCGGTCCTTTTTCTGCTGGTTCCGCAGCGCCTTGACCTCCTGTTCAAAGACCGCCTGGCTTTCCCGTCCCGTCTTGTGGTTCAGCGTGCTCGCGAACCGTGCGTGCTCCTCGGCCTCTTCGGCCATCTGGGCGAAGAGCTCCTCTTCTTCCGGGTCGCTGATGTCGAATTCGTCCTCGCCTTCTCCCGTGAAGAGGCCGTCGTCGTCGACCGGGGCAATCCCAGTCACAGCCTCTGCCACCACCTCTTTGGTCACTGTTGGGCGATCTGGAAGCTCGACGTCCTCAAACTCCATCTCTGGGGACGACAAACGTGTTACAGCAGGTTCAACCATTTCCACCGCCTCCGAAATTGAATCTGTAACTGCTGTCGGTTCTTGTTGATCTTCGGCAGTGTTTGTTTCCGCGACTCTCGTAAGCTGCTCGACTGTCTCGGACTCTCGTGCTAGACGCGGCGCTTCAATTATCTCAATGTCGCTCCCGCTATCGCTGGATGAGCCAATCTCTACAATTTGCGGCTCCTGTTGGCGCTGCCATGTTCGTTCCTCTGCCAAGGCCATTTCCCTATCTTCGGCGTTGATCCCATCGTCATATGCTTGCTGCTGCCGGATGGCCGTCCGGATATCGGTGGCGTCTGCCATCCATGGTGGCAAAGGACGGGGAGCGTCATCTTTGACACCAGTCTCTCGGTCTGCACCAGCCATGTCATCGTCCACGTCACCGGTCGCTGAGTTGGCTTCATCTGCCTCTATCACAAACCCTCCAGCAAGGCCGTCGTCATCGGAATCAGCCTCAAGGGATCCTGTCTCGGCGGCTGCAGCAGCAGCTTTGCCATCTTGGACCGTAGACGCAGAAGCCAATGCGGCGAATGATGAAGCTGCATCAGCATTTGGCTTCTTCTCGAATATGGACGTTTTCCAGTCCAACTGCTCAAACGGCAAGGGCCCATCAAACAGGGGTTTGACTCGTGATTTCGGCGGATCGGCAGACTGAACGCTTCCCGCCTGAGACGTGCCTTGTTCCACCGTTCTTTTCTTTTTCTTTGCTGCAGCTACCATAGCTGCTCGGATGTCGAGTTCACTGTCACTGCTGTCGCTGTTGTCGTCATCTTTGCTGCCTTGTGCCTTTGAAGCCGAAATTGCCGCATTGGACCGGTTATTGACAATGTGAGCCACCATCCTGCCACTCGTCGCCACAATCGGCCGAGAGACTACCTCGGCAGCTTTCTGCGTCCACTCTGGCGCTGGGATGTCAACATCCTCAAACGTCTCATCCTCATCCTCGTCAATATCCCCCCCAGACGCGTCCGCATCATGCTGGTTTCGTAGGGACATCGCTATTGCCTTGTGGAGATCCTCCTCTTCATCTGCCACGAGATTCTCGTCACCTACTGCCTCCTGCATGGTTTCCGGTTGCAGCGTCTCTACCGGTTGGTAACTCGAGACAAAGAGGGATTCATCCTCTGCATCTGCCTCATGTCCACCGGCAGTCTGGTCGTCTTTTTGGGATACTGATAGCTTGGGGAGGCGATTGAGGCCTTCGATGGGCACGTCTTGAAACTCAACGTCATCCTCGCTGTCCTCCCCTTTGCCGCCGTCGTACTGGAACTGCAGCGCATCGACATCAATAGGCTTGTGAACCTGGCCCTGTTCCTTGTCCCGGCTGACCACACCGAGAGCCCAACCGCCCTCGACACCTTCGTTCTTGACTAGGATATACTCGCGATCCTTCTCTCCGGCTACCCGGCCGTTGACACCCATAGTCAGGTCGATGCCCGTCATGCCGGCTTCTATCATCAGACGCTGTGTGAGGTGATTCCGCTCACGCACCCGTTCGATTTGAAAGCGGGAAAAAGCCATGCGGTCGGGGAACATGACATCGAGCTGCTCCTTGCTGAGGCCCATACGCAGGCGGCTGCGTATCCGCGCTGCATTGAGAATGTAGTAGCGGTCGGCAGGGGGGAGGCTCTTGAAGAAATCGCCGTCGAAGTCGATTTTGCTAAAGTCGTACAGGTTGATGTCTTCGCCCGCATGGAACTGGCGTGCGTATTCCTCCAGCTCGTCGATGTTCATGATGCGCGGGTCCTCAGGCCGACCCATGCCCTCGATGGGCCGGTCCAGCTCCGGAAGATGGTATGCGTCTTTCTTGGTGAACTTCCGCGCCTGCAGCCGCTCCTGCTCCGGCTTATGCATCTCCTCGGCATACACCACCTTGTCCATGCTCGGCAGCATTTCCCCATCCACCATCCCATCCTCGCCGCTGGCCTCGACTGCAGACGGCGCAGACTCCGACGGAGCCTCCCGTCTTCTTTTTCGCCTCTTCTCGGCGTCCTCTTCGGCGATCCGCTGCATCTGGACGGCTAGCAGTTTTCCAGCTGTGCGGACAGCATCTTCGCGGCGTCCCTCTCGTCTCTGACGACGCGCCTGCAGTGTCGAGCGTTTGAGCGCCGGTGCGCCACCATCGAAGACAAACACAGGCAGGATCCCAAACCACAGGAGCTTGCATACTCGCCGGAAGAAGCCGACGACGTGCGAGTTGCGAAGGGCGTTTCCCTCTTTGTCGCGGACGGCCTTGAGAAACTGGTAGATCCAGATGGAAGCGTCGACGGCAAGGCGCTTGCGATTAAGTGTGGCCAGGTTTGTCGGTCGTGCGCAGGGTTGCAGGACCTGCCAGAGGCCATTGACACCCATGGTGGAGAAGAGCCGTCCTTAAGGGCGGAAGCACAAAGCCAAGATGAGGAAAGGGAGAATGGCGACGAATGAAAAACGTAGACGGGGAAAGGCGATTTCTTTCGAATTGAGGCTCGTTTTCCCATCGCTCTCTAAGGAGGATATGGACGCTCCCTTATCATTGTGATTTTTCCTAACGTCTCTGCTCGGCAGCAACAGCAGTAAATATGACTGTGAGTGAGTGTGCATGACATGGAGTCATCGAAATCTCAGATTCGATCTATGCGACGTTCAGAAACGATTTGCCCCACGTAACTGGCGCCGTGTCACGTCCACGCTAAATCTAGGCTTCCACCGCTGTAAGTCGTAGCGATCAGGCATTCAGGCATTCAGGCATCATCTTGACGAACGTTTTGACACTGTATTCGCACGGCTCGAGTCAAATCCTCCGCCTGCCAGACTTGCTCTTGCATCTTCATACACTGACGAGAGAATATATTATTTTCTTGGTCGTTTCAAGGTCTGTATGTTGAGCTGGTCATTTGTTTGTGTTTCAGACGAAGCTTGATTCTGCGAATCCATGGATGTTTGCGAGAACCTGAATCCACAACCTGGAACAAGAACCGCAAGTCAACTGCGAACCTCATTTGCCTCAAAGCGACCAGCCATGAAAATCAACTCCAGAAGCAATAGTGCCACTTTCAGAGTGTTTCAGAATGACATATGACCTTATTCTAACGAGAAAGAATTCGGTATCTGGCGGGTGTACAAAGATGCTAAAGCGCAAGTCCTGAAGTCTGCGTGCCATTGCTGGCTTGATTAGTCATACGTTTGAATTGGCACCCATCTTGCTCGTAAGATAAGATACATCTTAATAAATGGTACTCCATAGGTATATTTTATTCTTTGGCCTTTGTCTTTGCTCGGTTACATAAGCACTACTAAATTGCATCGCATTCTTTTCTATGTCCAGATGTCCTATTTGTTTTGACTCGACCTGTGAAGCATTGATTTCCGAGACGGGCAGACTTATCATCGTGTTTCTAGCCGCAAATACATCTTGTGCAGCGACAAGCTTTGCTTTCTTCGGGTGCGTTGAATATGTAGGCGCATTGTACTCCGTATCAGAGGGTTTACGGCAGAAAATGGCATGCTTCAGTGGCGTATTTAAACCCCGCCCAAGCTTTATACAGCAACATTAAGACCAGCGTTAGCTGCTCCGTAAAATAGCGAAATCTTGTGTAACTGAACCTTAATATATATTTGTGCTTAGCACGCACGTAATAAAACCAAGCAAGGGAAAGTCAGGGCTGTGTATAAACTATTATTACTTGCTACTCGTTGTACAAATAAATGATTTGAATAAGCAATCTTTACTCGTACAAGTAGACTCTTATTCCGCACTCAGTACTGTGCTCTAGAATCCACTGCGAAGGCCTGTAACTAAAAAACAATTCGACACAATTCGGTCTGTGCTCGCTATATTTTAGTGCTAAAAGCTGTCGACGGATTTATACCATCTATACTCCGTACGGAGTACGGAGTTCGGAGTACGATGAGAGATAGTGGGGCCACTCCATCTTTTCGGAAACTATGGATGGAGTACGTGCATCGGGCCGTCGTTGCCACTTCAAAGGTGCCTTTAGCGCCATAAAAAGACAGAAAGCGCATAGTAGCGACAGTGGCGCATTTGCAAACGTACGGAGTAAATTGTGCCTTGACATGAAAATGGGACCGTTTTGGTTATCTAGAAGTTTATTCAACGGCAGAAGGTGGCAATATTCGTTCCAACGTAACGTAAGGACCAGAGCTCGAGTCCTTCCATGGAAAGACCATCATTTATTCGTACAGCGCACTGGGCTGCTGATCCTTACGATTATGACTCGTTATTTTGTCGGGGTTTCTCGTAGTTTCGTTGGACCGAAATGGTGAAAAACAGCAGACTACTTCAAGGAGAGGCATTTCTAGATAAAAGTACAGAGTACGCGTACACTTGGCGACATGGGTAGAGGCCCTATCTGCTTACACAGCACCTTGACCGGTTGTGTTCTCTGAAAGCCCCACATTTAACAGCAGTCTTGAATGTTGCTCGCCGAATGCCACTGCCGCCTGATCATTGAGGGGTTTTCTCAAGTTGCAAACATCTTTTGCGTGACAGCCTGTATAACGTCCTGTCACTAGAAGCGATCGTTAGAGCAATGTCGTCGCCTTCACCGAACCAGGCTGCTTCGTCGCCAGTGGCGCCGCAGACACTTTTGATCGAAGAGGAGTTAGGGGCTGGAGCGATTGAAGTCGTAAGCTGGGTACCTGTTGTCGTTTATTGGAGACTTGGATAGTCTGGCTGATACGTCTTCCAATCCTGTAGGACAACAACGATGGCGACTCTGCCTATGCTCCGTAAGCATTAGTAATATGGCTTCATAGCTTCTCCTTTCAAGTTGAGTGAAGCAGGCTTACAAAAATAGCACGTTGGTGACCGATACGACCTCTCTCCGGTCCTCGATCATGCATTACAAGTGGGAGTACGGGCGCCGCTTTCACGCCCTAGACGATGGCACATACTGGTAAGCTATTGGTTGCTACAATCCTTCTATTCAGGAAGACCCGATATTAAGGATTTTATTGCGGTTCAAAGGGCCGCGAACGACGAAAGACAGCAGAACGCAGAAGATTTAGTGTAAGTTATAGTTGTCCCCCTTATTCTAAGAAATTTGGTTACTCATTCCTTTCGCAGTCACGAGATGTACCGAAACATTCTTGATGAGGAATTAACACTAGCCCCGATCCCGGATAACATTCAGGTAAATCTGGACTGCTAGTTTGTATAGAAGAATGCGGCGGCTAACTGAAAATATCCCTTTTCTCTAGAAAGTCTTAGACATAGGGTGTGGGACAGGAATCTGGGCCATGTAAGAGCTTCTAGCGGAAGAGATGCCCTGACCCTGACTGACACAATTTATAGTGACTTTGCAGATTTGCATCCATCAGCAGAGGTTATTGGCGTAGACCTTTCACCTATACAACCAGCTTGGGTTCCGCCCAATTGCAAGTTCGAAATTGATAATATCAACAGAGATTGGACCTATGCGAAGAACTCATTTGAGTTTATACACATCCGTGCTATGACGGGATGTGTCCCGAACTGGGTTCAATTTCACCGAAAAGCCCTTGAGTAAGAGAGCTATGTGCATGAACAGATGGATTAGAATCTCTCCCTTGGTTGCATATAGTACTGACTTACAACTCAGGCACCTTGTTCCCGGTGGATGGGTTGAGCAGGTAGAAATATCCTGCCTTGTTCAGAGCGACGACGGCTCCCTCTTACCGGACGCAGCGCTGGTGCGATGGGGCCAGATTTTTGGACAGGTAGGCGAGAAAATGGGCAACAGCTTCCGGGCCTGCGAGCTTGCAGCAGATGCGATTAAAGATGCAGGCTTTGTCAATGTCCAAGAACGCCGCATCAAACTCCCCATCGGAACCTGGCCTAAAGACGTGAAATTGAAGAGCTGGGGTGCCTGGAACCGGATGTTTTTGCTGCAAGCACTCGAGGGATTTGCCGTTCGGGGTCTGACGAGTATGTTGGGGGTAAGTGCTGTTCGCGCGCCAAAACATGTGACGTTTTGTTTGGCGCCGTGTTGACTTTATTTAGTGGTCAATCGAGGAGGTGCAGCTGTATCTTGTCGAAGTGAGGAAGGAGCTGAACGACCCAAAAATCCACTCATACATCGACATGTAAGTCTCATCCGTTATGTCTGAGGTCGAGCTTTATATGCATGCATACTTACAGCACCTAAAGGTGTGTTGTCATAGGCCAGAAGCCCACAGCTGAGAAGTAAGACGGTAGTGAGAGGACAAGGTAGCTCTGAAAGACAGCAAAAAAGGTTGATACCGCTTTTAATGAGGAAACCGAAGCATTTTGCTGTTGCCTCACCTAGGTCAGAGAACGTAAGCCATCTTCGACTGTTCTAGTGTGTTGCAGAGTAATGCCGACTTGGTTACGTAAATGACCGGAAAACGCACAGGACTAAAGATACATCCCGTCACTATCGTATTTAGAAGCACGACGAGATAGACTTTTCTCCAGGCTTCAATTCCCCGCATGGCCAGTGCTGACCTCCACCCGACAGCTATAAAACGGTTAGCGTGGGCTGACTTACAAATGAACTAGTCGCTGTGCTCTGCCTCATTGCCAAGGCCTTCAGCTGTCGGGCGTACTGGATTGTAGCTAGTGATTCGAGTCCGGGTGCGTTTTACGGATTACAAACGAGTTTGAGACCCACACTGTTGCCTAAAACCCACCGCATGAAAGGTGAATGGCCGGAATGGGTGCGAGATAAGACAGTCATTTGATAGAGAGAAGGCATCCTTGCATGATGGAAGTACCTGGCTCAGATGTTTTCTCGTTGCCTTACGTCGTAACCACACGAGTTGGGCTTCTTTATAAACAACGCATCCTCAAGCCCAAGCTATTTCTCCCTTTACACTGCTCTCTTTGATGCCAAATTTTGCACTGCTTTCTCAACTCCAAATATCCGTGGCATCATCCCACCAAAAAGTCACTGAAGATCCCATATACTTATACCAGTTCATTTAAATATCGCCCGTTAGTACCGCACACCGAGATTGGTGTAAGAAGTTGTCGCGAAGCCTTTACCGTGTTCTTTTTCCGTCCGCGACATACGATCTCTTTTTAGGTCATTGATTGCAACGGTGACCATCGAAATGTAAGTCAAGGCCATTTAGGATTGACCATAAAATCCGTATCTGATGACGACAGGATTCGCACTGGCCCGACGACGCCGATCGTGATCGCCCTGATGGGGATCGGTGGAGCTGAACGCGAACGCTTTCTGGAGGCCCTTGTCGACACTACCTTGTCGACTTCGTGCACCGAAACTTCAGTGTCCTCGGTGTCCCGTATCGCTAAAGGAATGATCGATGGGGAGAAAGTATGGCTGGTCGATACCCCTGCGACAGTCTCGGATGACGAGATGGTTGAAGCAGTGAGAACGGCACTGGGCCACGAACTGCAACAAGAAGACATCACCGTACATGGCCTTATCTGCATCCAAGACATAAACGAAATATGCATGCACGACACGGCAGAGGAGAATGTCACAGTGTTCAAGAAGCTACTGGCGCCAACTCTCGGGAGCAACGTCATGATTGTCACCGCGCTCTGGGATGAACTCAGATCCGCCGTCCAGGGATTCCGCGCCGAGTTCGCGTTGAAGGCCATCTACTCTTCGTCATATCCAGCTGTTACCGTGAACCGGGTGGAAGACTCCCGCGATGACGACGTTGGGGATATCTACCTCGGAATGATTCAAAGCTTGATTGTCAAAATGAAATCCACAGAGGACGACCAAGAGTCTGCGGCGAAGCCTCGGACCAGCCCAGCTACTTTGCAGCTCCACAGAATCATCGACAAGAAAGACAATGATCTGGCAAGTCTCCGAGCCGAGATTGGCGTCCTGAAGGACAAGTTTGACGGGCAGTCGGAAGTGCTGTTGAAGCTCTCCCACGAGAAAGAATGCCTGCTGGACAAGCTCGAGCAGGCCGAGAAGCAGGTCCAGCAGCTGAAGGTGCAGCTGGAGGAGCAAGAGAGCAAGCTCTTCGTCGAGACCAATGTTATGAGGGAGCAGTTTGATGCCAAGTGGAAAGCCGTGGAAGCCAGGCTTCACGAGTCGGAGAGAGACCGTGACAGCCTCACTCGCCAGATGGACCTGCTTTCCCTGGACGTTTCTTCACGACAGGAAGAGACAGAAGAGGAACAGGAACAACAGGAGCAGACGCAATCGAAGCAGCGAGAGCTCAACCCGAGCCTCAATGTGCTCGACTCTCGCGGCGAGTTCGAGCTCTATCGCGCCGCAGCAGGTGGACACTACAACCAAGTGAAAGAGCTGCTGGAGCAAGGCGCTGACGCTTGCATGTGCACTAATTTCCAGTGGACGGCACTGCACTGGGCGTCCAGCAACGGGCATCCCAAAGTCGTGGAGCTGCTTCTGTCGTACGGCGCCAGCCCGAACGCCACATCGGACTCGGGACAGAAGCCGCTGGGAATGGCTAGGACAGACGAGATTCGAGAGATTCTGCTGAAGTATGGGGCTACAGAGTAGAGCAGGAGAGCTGCAGGGTCTGGATTCACTGCCTTGAAAGGGAAAAAGGCATGCAATATATAGCGGTTCGTATTCGACAGGTAACTGATTGGCCGGCATTTAGTCCAGCCATGAACTAGGAAATGTGTTCTCTCGTACATTTTGTGTCAGTGAAATTCATCTACAAATCCTAATTAGGCCATCTACGCACTGAGGTATACAGGTGTAGCATAGAGTATCTAGTAGAGACTAAAAATCTACGGGATCCTCCTGTCGTGTCTAGTGAGCGTGTGTGTATTGTTGTAGGAGAGTACTTGCCGGCCTACATGTAAAGAAACTCTAAATAAGGAGGCCTGGGCGCCCTGTGCCACATAGTACAAGTATGTCAGTTCATATTCAAATGCCGATTTTGTCTACTTGGTTGTTAATTAGGCTCCTATTCCTTGCATTCTTGTTCCGATGCAGTTTATGTATTATATGTATAAGTGGGATCTTGACTATCCATTCGTTTGTCCGTGGTATCCAACTCCAATATTTAAGATATATGCTAATAAGATATAACATGTCAGGTCCAACTCCATGTCCTAAGGTCCACCTAGGAGCCCTGCGCTTGATCAACGCTAATATCAAGGGCGGCGACGCTGGTATAAGATTTACGGACGGCTACAAAGAGAGTGATGGGCGTTTAGCAAATAGACGCATGAATTCGGTGAGACACTGTCTTGATATATCTAACATCCCCTATATCCTTCCAACCCGTCGAGTCAGATACCAAAATCCATCAGGGTCAACTTCCGGTTCGAGTGCTTTGTTAGATCCAATAAAGCCGACCGCCTTTCGAACAAAGTTTTCATGTATGTCATCATGCAAGCTATTCGAAACCTTGAGCGAGTAAGCACTGAGCCGTTAGATAAAGACTAGCCGACGACGAATCCAATCGGCCTAAAAACGATTATTGATTCAAATTATAGGCGCATGCTTGTGGCCACCCTCTTCGTACAACGAAGCAAATTAGCTGAAAGTGAACAACTTCTGCTGACAACTTCTGCTGCCAGGCTCGTCGCCGCCTACGATCGAAAGTCTGTGGTCATGTGCCATTTCTTCAGCACTCCCAAAAACGGTTAGCCTGTGCAGTGTGGCATCGGCCTCGGCCTCGACTAAACCCAGTTTGGAAAACAAACAGACGGTTGTCCTCGTGGCTGCAGTTGTCAGCATTGTCTTGCGGTGGGTTCTCTATCCTGATTTGTCGTTAGAACCCAGCCCCCGTTGTCTGCCGCGATAGGTCAAGAAGGTTCAGCCGCTTCTCCTGGACAGCCCTTGTCTTGACTAGAACACAGCAAATGCATCAACAGTCGCAAGATCGAGGTTCCCAATGTCGGCCAAGACCTGGAACAACCCGCGCGCAGAAAGCCTTGATGGCATCCCCCACCCGCCGGTAGGCAAGGCTGGCGTGTTGTGCTTTGACGACAACGGCTTCTACTCCTTCTCGTCCTTGCTGGTGCTGGAGCACATTATGAAGCGGATCGGCAACGGAACCGAGACGCGTCCGTGCGAGCACTTTGACCTCATCTGTGGGACCGGGCTGGGCGGCCTGATCGCCCTCTTCCTCGGTCGGCTGGGCATGGTACGATGTGTTGGCTTCGTGATCTGGATGCCAAGGGGACCATGCTGACTTGGCACAGACGATTGGCGAGTGTCTCGACTGGTTTCGCAAGAATTTGCCCTCCCTCCTTCCTAGTGGCCAGGCGTCCATGTTTCTCGGCTGGGGAAAGAGGCTGCGGACGAACAACCGAGCGCTGGAGCGGGCGGTCAAGGCGGCTGTGCGCGCTCGCGGGCTGCCCGAGGACGAGCCGCTGCTGGACCCGGGCTTCTCGTCGGACAGCAGCAGACGGCCGGCGAGCTGCCGCGTCTTTGTCCTGGCGATGCACCCGGGCAACATCCACGTGCCGATTCGGCTGCGATCGTACACGTCCAAGATGGACCCCGTGGCGGCAGACTGCTGTCTCTGGGAGGCTGCCGTGGCCGCCGAGGCCTCGCCGACGTACTACACGCCCGTGATGATGGGTCACCCCCCGGTGCCGTACATGGCTGCCTCACTCGGCTTTTGCAACCCTTCCAAGGAGGCACTAGACGAGGCAGCCCGAATCTGGGCTCTCCGGGGGGGCCGCTGCCTCGTCAGTCTCGGCACCGGAAAGCTGCCGCCCCGGCTCGACCTTGACGGCATCCCGACCTCGTCCAGGCCTTTCCAGTTCACCCGGAGCATGCTCCTCATCCATACCATGTCTGCCATCGCCACCGACACTCAGCGCGTCCACATTGAGCTCAGCCGCGACGCCAAGTTTCTCGGCCTCCGATACTTTCGCTTCGAAGCGTCCGAAGGCATCTCGTACAAGTCCAGCTACGACAAGTCCGAGGTCCTCCAGGAACGTGTCCGGGCTGCCGTGATCCGTTACGTCCAGCAGGAGGAAGTCTCCAAGGCACTCAGCTTCTGTGCCGAACACCTCCATGGGGTGTTGGGTGGATCGGCACTGCCGCCAGAGCTCATCACACAGCTCTTCCCAGCGGTCAATGAGGACGAATGTATGCTCATTTGGCTGTTGTCTGCTCTCTCAAGACTCATTGCTTACGCACACCGCACAGTCTCAGATTCGTCGCTTACCTCACCTCTGGTGCGGATCCTCGATTCCGAGTTTATTCCAACAACGAAAGAGCAGCGAAACGCGCAAGTGGCCATCTCTACACGCAATGGACAGCTCCCCTGGTCCACCCAGCTGACTGTTGTTTTTTAGGGATCGATCTGCAGACGAATGGCTCCGGCGGCTGCACAAACATGTGCATCCGGTAGTGCAGCAAAGACGAAGGAACAACGACAGAAGAGTTAAAATCGCCATCTTGGACTCGGGACTGGATGCCCAGCACAAGGACATTATTCGCCTATCGCAGGACGACGACGGAAAGAGCAAGATCAGGGACGTCAAAGACTGGACGACATCCTCGGTTGGGACCAGCGACTCGATTGGTCATGGAACCTACTGCGCAGCGCTCCTGCTCGAAGTAGCTCCCAACGCCGATCTGTACGTGGCAAAGGTCTTTGATTCGAGCACTGCTGACGAGGAGACGCCGACTCGAGTGTCCGAGGTGCGTGCAAAAAGACAAATTCCCCGTGTATCGACAGGGGGACAACCCGCTGACACTTTGCACAGGCCATCACCTACGCTGTCGAGACCTGGAAGGTGGACATTATCGCCATGGCCTTTGGCTTCCAGAAGCGGCACGAAGACATCCTACAGGCAGTCAGGCTGGCGTACGACCGGGGCGTCATCATGCTTGCGGCCGCGTCCAACGACGGAGCCCTGGAAGAGAGACCGGCCTTTCCGGCGCGGCTGGACCAGGTCATCTGTGTCAACTCGGCCGATGGGCTGGGCTCGAGCTCAGCCTTCAACCCGCAGCCCAGCATCGCCGAGGACAACTTTACCATCCTCGGCGAGAAGGTCGAGTCTGCCAAGGTCGGCAGCCACCGAGTCCGCAAGAGCGGCACGTCCGTGGCCACAATGATCGCTGCCGGCGTGGCTGCCCTCGTCCTCGAGCTTTCGTTCCAGCGACCGGCCAGCATGCGCGAGTCTGACATTCGCTCGTACTCGGGCATGCGTGCCGTGTTTGCGGCCATGTCCCGCGACACGTCGACCTTTTCGACCGATGGCAGGTACTTTATTCGGCCCTGGAAACTGTTGGACACGGAGAAGGATCTGGATTATATCCTCATGGATATTGCGTATATATTGAATCGTCTCTAAAAAGCAGCTATTTGGGAAATCTCTGTCTGGACCGCACTGGTTATCAATCGATTTGCATCGCACAAGCACATATACTACCATCCTCCTCGTCCACTGCATCCACCGTCTTGGCCATATATAAAGAAGCCGCCGTCTCCGGCTCGCTGGCACACTGGCCAACAACCAATGCGTATTCCATTTCAACTTCCCCATCCCCTTCCCCGACGACATCTCCAAGCTCGTATAGCGCTCCCTTGGTGAACTGGCGGTCTCGCAGCCTAAGCTTCCGCTCGTAATAGATCTCCCGCAGGCGGTAGGCAAAGACAAAATCAGAGCTCCCACGGAATGTCACCTGGCTGGCTTTGTCTTTCCAGATACTTGCCTGGGGGCCGGCACTGACTGGTATCCCGCTTGGTAGCCCATCAGCACCGAGTTTGAGGTGGCCACCCATAGCCACCTGCATTTGGGTCGCCACGGCTGCTCCACGGGCAGTCTTGTATTGCCGGTGATCATGTATACTGGCTTCCGGTAGCCTGATTCGATGATGTGCGACACGACCGAAGGCACATCCAGTACGCTTTGCTCGATGTACTCTTTTGTCGGCTCGATGAATTGCGTTTCCAGCTTGTCAAATTGATAGACGCTGCTGTTGTCAACTGCGCATTTAACGCCAACCTCGGCCTCGATTCCAAGCAGGTTCAAGAACTGGGCCCAGAGCCCGATGGCACCGCCACGGCGCTGGGATCGCTCATCCCTCCAGTCTAGCTTGAGAGATGTCTGGACAGGCATGTCGGACGGGAAGGGCAGTCCTCCGCCCGCGTTGATGCAAGTGCTCGGGTCGAACGGGTTAGTCAGTATGCTGCCCAAAGCGAGCGAACCGCCAGGGGGGTAGTCAAAGTTCGGTGCTAGAAAGTACGTTTTCTTGAATCGTGCACTTGAGGCCATAGCTCAGTCAAAGATGCAGCCAACAAAAGGGTGTGGTAAGAGGAAATAATGTCTGGGTAGAGGTGCAAGCCTGACCGACTACGATGAAGAAATTAGGGTAAACCTGCCGCCTGACGGAAGTGAGGCTGTGCGGGGTTAAGGTTAAAGGTCCCTCCTGTTGTTTTATAACCGGCCAATTCAGGGGCCATAAGAACGTACTTTGGATTGCAGCATCGGGGAGATAGGGGCGGCACGTCTGCCGAGTGTTTCCCAATTAATCTTGTCTATCTTACAAAGGGTGAAACCATAGTCCTGGTACTCGAGATAAGCCGGGTTTTGGTTTTGAATGATAAATATATGGCTGTTCTAGGTAAGAATGTTGCGTGCGGCTAGGTCGCTATACGCAAAGATATATGAAAGGATGCTAGGACGTTCGTGGCCGCGCCCAGAGTAATGCTGTTTTTGTCGCCAACTGCACTTTAAGAGCGGAGGTTGGGTAAGGCCTCAGCTCGGATCAACAACACACACTTACTAACACACGTATCTGCGCACGTAGAGAGGTGTCTTACGGCACCTTTTTCGTCACAAGCAGAGGTGGTGTATAGATGGCCCGAAATGTAAGGAGGAAGGCCTTGCGGGCTCGTCTTAGGATCCCGCAAGGGAAGACAAGGCGAGCCTGCCCGGCGAAGTCGTGGGTGTAATGCGCTTGCTGCTTTAGCTTTTTTTTTTCAAAAGGGAACTGCGTATATGCGTAGGTAATTGCTTAATTTCTCCGTGCCCGTCCCTCTCTTAAGGAAAGGGAAGAAGAGAGTGTTCTATATACATGTGGGTATGTAAGTGGTGACAGAAGGCATAAATTGTTCCACATTTGATTGGTTAAGACAAGTGGGCTGGTCATGTGACGCGTTAGCATCCTGCGAGGGGTCTTAGCATGTCATCCCGTGCAGCCAACATAGGTGGTCTTTTGGGTGCACTTTTCTCATTACTCGGTAGTTGTGAAGTAGTTGTTAGTATTGTTATTTTATAACACGTCTTAACGATGCCCCCCTGTTATGTATGTAAGGATGGTGTAGGAGAAATAGGGGTGTAATGGACCGGTTTTGAACAAACCGTCCCTACAGACGGTTTCTTACTATAAGTTATTCCTTACCACCCCTACTATTGATTCTTTGTATATAAATATATAAATGCAAGTGGCCTCTATAAAATAGTATGGCCTTCAAACCGTAATACTATCTTAATGCTCTTAGTTAAGTGTAACGGGCAAAATCTATAAGCGGTTGGTCTAAAGCTAGAGCTAGGAGCACGTAAAAAGGCACGTAGTCGTACAATAAGTATTGATAATCCCTAAGAATGGTAGTGTTCACCATTTGAAGAATTGGGTCAGTATACATTGCTTTACGATTGGTACAGACTTGATAAGTCTAAGCCGAGAAGGGTCATATGCATAAAAACCTTGCTTCAGATGCTTCGAGTGGGGCTACACGCAAGTGGGAAAGCCTTCTGCTGTTCCATGCGGCGTACATCTGTGGCTAATCTCCTTATCGTCTCCGTCATTTCCTTACTGCAATATGTGGACTTTGTGGCCATGGAGTTACAACTGTTATCTACAACAAGAGTCACGACGGAGTTAAAGACGCTATCTGCGGCGAGAAAGTCACGATGGAGTTAAAAATGCAAACTCCGCCAAGGATAAGATTAAGGGTAGTTACCGATTCGTCGGCTTCTAAGGATGTCTTAGATCTACAAGATGACAAGTACACAGCAAGCGTAGCTCCCAAGTGCTACTCTCTATCACGCCAACGCTCTCACCTCATCCTCTTACCTCTCTAGGTTCCTTTTAAAAGTGACCATGTCGGTCCAAGATCCTTCCCTATTGGATACGAACTGGCTTGATGTAGCCGGCTACGTCTCAGCGCGCAAGGACACGTATCCATTCATCGATTCCACAAAGGCCGACCTGACGGGCAAGTCGGTCTTGATCACGGGCGCCTCCAAGGGCATCGGCAAGGCGACCGCGATCAGCTTCGCCACCGCGGGCTGCTCGAAGATACTGCTGGCCGCTCGTTCAGACCTGGCCGATGTCGAGAAAGCCGTCCACGACGCCGCCCTGAAGGCAAACCGGCCCCAGCCGTTCGTGCAATGCCTGAACGTGGACGTGACCTCGGAGGACTCCATGCGAGCAGCTGCCGAGACCGCGACTGCCTTGCTCGATGGCAGCCTCGACGTCCTGGTGAGCAACGCGGGCTACCTGGAGGAGTGGAAGCCCATCGCCGAGTCCGAGCCGAGCGAGTGGTGGCGGACTTGGGAGGTCAACATCAAAGGCACCTATCTCGCCGCTCACTTCTTCGTGCCGCTGCTGCTCCAGTCGCAGACCAAGACGGTCATCAACATCAGCAGTGGTGGTGCTCACGTCATCTTTCCCGGTGCGTCGGCATACCAGACGACTAAGTTCGCCCTCTGTCGCCTCACCGAGTTCCTGGACAAGGAATACCGCCAGCAGGGCCTGATCGCCATCGCGCTCCATCCGGGCGCCGTCAAGACCGAGCTGTCCATGAACATGCCCCTAGAGAGGCAAGTCATCCTGACCGACACGCCGGAGCTGGCTGCCGACACGCTGATCTGGCTCGCCCGTGAGCGACGCGACTGGCTCGCCGGCCGATTCGTTTCGGTGAGCTGGGACATGGAGGAGCTGGAACAGAAGAAGCAGGACATTCTCCAAAGAAACTTGTTCAAATTCCGCGTGATGGTTTGAGTCGGGCGGCGCACCCTCCAAGGCTTTTGCAACGCATTCCTTTTGCCATGTAGACGCAAGTCATACAAAGATTGGCTGCTGAATTAGTGCCCGCATGCACATATGTTCAGCCTTATACAGCTTTCCTAAGTCACCATATAGAATTCTGAGACTGCCAACGGTGTCCTGTAGCCCTAGCCCTTTCTCCAGGACCGTTTCCTCGTCTCCTATTCTTATAGGCCATCCTCTATGCACCCATCGCAACGACGCCCCTCACGCAATGGGAAATTCCGTATTTGGATGGAGGCGGAAAACCTGTCCGTCCATAGCGCCATACGCGAAGGCGTCCGAAACGAAAAGATAGGCCTCCTTGTCTGGCTCGGAAGCAGCCGGTGTAGGGCGCAGTATGTAGGGCATGTCGCCTCCCGCTAGAATGACGACCACGTCGCCCGGCTCGACGTTCTTGGCACAGACACCAAAGAGCCCGTCTCTGGTCAAGAAGACGCGGCGCTCGTTCAGCGTGTGTTTAGCCAGAACAGGGTACGCGCGGCGATGGTAGGTATTCTCCTCGGTGCTGCCTGTGTCTCGGCCCCAGGCACGCTCCCGGTGGTAGTGGTAGGCCGCAGCGAAATCGGCCGAGGCGGGCCAAGACCACGAGAGTTGCGGATATTCCCTGTCGGCGATCAGCGTCCTCCAGATCCAGTCGAAGCGCGTCCGGTATAGCAGCCGGTCCAGGTCGATGTCGGGACCATCTGCGGTCACGCATTGGCGAAAGAAGGTCTCAACGCTGCGGATGGTCTCGTAGAAGCCGGTCCAGGCCGGTGCAGCCCAGCTGGTGGCATCGGCCACGATGACGTCGCCGACGTGCTGGACGCGACCGATGAGGGAGCCGACGAGACGGACGACGTCGGGGTCGTCGCCGGGCATGAGGGCAGGCCAGTAACGTGTGTGTGGTGCGACGTTGGAGGCAGCGTAGCAGCCCTCACGCCACAGTGGCGGCGGCCGGGACGCGCCCAGGGACCAGTCAGGGACCCAGGACGGCAGGCGCTGGCAGCCAGCACCAGCAGAGGGGTAGAGCCGGGGTGAGCCGGTGTTGAGGCTGAGCAGGTTGAGGCTGGTGGTCATGAGGTGACGGGCAGTGCGCAGGTAGACCTCGCGGACGTTGAGGCTGTAGTCGGGCGGCAGGGCATCGCGGTCTTCCGATCGACAGAGGCCGACGACGGCAAAGACCTTGTCGCGCGGATCTGTGGCCTCCCAGGCGAGCGTCATGTAGAGCAGGTAGAGCAGCCGGAAGTGCTCGCCATTGATGTACTGGTTGCGGATGGAGGAGTGGCGTTGAAAGGTCAGATCGGCACTCGCGAGCGCATATTCCTCGCCGGCCGTCGTCCTGGTGCGTTTCCAGTAGTCCGGCAGCTTGCGGCAGGCATCGTGCAGGCCGATCCATGACGCCGTCTGCCGGCCGCACAGCACCAGCGGAGGCCGAGCTGCTGCGGCCGCCTCCTGCAGGCACCACACCCGGCTCCACCACGGCCGTCGTACCAGCCGGTCGAGCGCTGCCCAGTGTGTGTCCGTGCCACAGATAAAGGTGCCTAGCGTCTGGTTGTTGGCCAGCGCCATGGCGTCGTCGCTGCTGAAGGCGTCATCCTGAGAGGCCTCCCCCAGCCAGATCACCACGCCCGTGGCCTGCACATAGACGTGCCGCATCCGCTGCACCTCCCGGCTCTTCTCGACATCGTCGCGCTGGTTGATGCACACCGCGTCCACCCAGAGGTAGCGAGTCGCATCCGTCTGTCGCAGCGCCCGTAGCGCCCCGGCCAGACTCTGCCCGACCGCCAAGGATACGCCGTCGATCCGGATCAGCACCGGCGCCGTCTGGTCGCCCCACGTGTACGAGAGCGCCTCGTACGACAGCTTCGCAAAGAGCGGCGCGTGGGCCATCCGGCACGCGATCTCGTCCTCCGCAGCACCCGGCAGGAGCGCCAGCAGCCGGATCTCGTGCTGACTCGTGTCCAGCGGCCGGTACGGGTACAGGGTTGGCTGCTTAGTCTCGTCCGGGGCCGCTCTGCTGCTGCTGTCGGCGTCTGGGTACGGCAAGAGGTACTTGTCCATCTCCCTCGCCGTCATCGACCCGTCAGTGACCGCAAACTCGTGTGGCGGGTGCGTCTCAAAAGCCGTCTCGTGGCAAGACTGGCAAAAGTCAAAATCATCGCAGCTGAGGCAGCGGAATCGCGTATCCGACTGTAATGCCTCCTGTCTTGCCAGTCAGCCACGCTGTCACGCCCATTCGGCAGTCCTGTCTATGGACGCGCCGTAAAATTCTCGCACCTTCTTACATCCGTCACAAATCCATCGTGTGTTGGCCGGAGGACTGAATCGATCGAGGAATGACCGTGGCGGCCCTCGCCGAAACATATAATTAATGGCCTCGTAGTCAAAGTCCGTCGGGTCGCCCAGTTGAGACATTTCGTCCACAAAACGATACGTCCTCAGAAGTTGTGGTGCAAACAAGAGAAGGCATCAGGTCAAGGCTCGTCTCAAGACGAGGCAAGGACGACTTGTGAGCCCCTCATTGCATGCCCAATACCCCGCAGCAACCTCAGGGACTAATACCGAATTGTATTCGGATTTGCCCTGTAATATATATAGCCTGTTGTGTCAAATTCTGTTCCTTTTACTAGGGTTGAAATCCAGTAAACAATCCGTTAAGTCCGCCACCCCCCCTTTCGACCACCCCCTCCTTTCGACCAATAATTACTCAATTCACGCACATCTTTTATTCAGTCTTCCTGGACTTCTTCACCAGTTACATAATGAAAAACGTGCATGAATCTGTTCATAGACTCCGCCTGCATCTCCCTAGCCGTGTTTTCCGGTTGAATCTCCCTTGCAACGCGCTCTCTGACCGCTACAACCTCTTGAATTCGTACAAACCGCTTATTCGGCGCAGGCTTTACTTTACGGCGCTTACTAACCTTTTGCGCCGATTGTAATGCCTCTAGCTCGTTAATTCGCTGCTTCTAAAAGGCTATTGTAGCTGTTTTTAAATTAATTGCGTGGCTGGCTTTGTAAAGGAGGCGCTGCGTAGACTTATTTAAATTACTCTCTTCCTTTACTAACGCAATCTGCTATAGCATCTCCCGACTAGTAGATGGCGTATTAAAAACAATATCGCTAGATCGAGTACGGCGTAGAGGAGTTGTATAAAGTGCATTAGGAGCCTTTAGCGTGGCTAGAGTGTATGGCGCTTATAGTAAAACAAACGAATTTAAAAGCACTTAGCGTAAAGATATTAGCTATAGTCCTATAGCTTTTTAACCGCTTTTAATATTTGTTTCTATTAAGGCGTCTTGTCTAGCCTTTAAGTAATAATAGACAAAGTTTTGCTTGTAAGTAGCGCTTAAATATAATGCCGCCCTAGGAAGGGGACCGACGCAGGCTACGCGCAAGCCGTACGCAGTATACGCACAGCATATTAGATGCACATCGTGGACTAGAATGTAAGGGGCTGGTGTGCAATGCGTGGTCACGAAGGCTTAACTGGTTTGTACTGTTGTATTAAGACTTCAACTTAACGAACTATAGGAGATTAGTAGGCGAAGGCCTGCCAGCTAATATATACGTGGCTGGAAGATGCGGTGTAGCGCAAACCTAGTGGGGCGTGGCGCAGCTAAGTGGCTGTGCTAGTCCCGTGCAACGTGTCAAGATAGTTCGTTAAGTCCGCCGCTTGGTAAGCGACTGGTTGCCGAACCGGTGCGTAGGGACGCGTGTGTAGAATACCCTTACATAGAAGCGGTGCTTATGGCGCAGGCTGCGTAGCGCAGTCTGCGCACAAGCCAAGTAGAAACGGGGTCGCGCCTACCCTGCGCACTTAGTGCGCTAGAGGTGCGCCTACAATAAAGAGCGCCTCCCGCACTCTCTTAGAGTGTAGAAGGCAAGAATTAGCTATTAAATATACAGCTGCTTCCTCTTATTAAGAAGATACCTTCTTGCCTGCCTAACTTACCTAGCCTACCAAAGTAGACCTTTAACAATTCTTAATTCTTCTACTATTAGGCTACCTAAGTTAGAAGGCAGAAGAAGCAATGGCACCTTAAAAGACTATAAAGCAAGCGTTGCACGTATATAGTGCGTAGGAAGAGAGCAGCTTTAAGGCGATAGTCGAGAACCCTCTTAACCTTATTATTAAAGAAGTAAAGAATAAAGACTTTAATCTTTTAGAGGAGGATTATAAGCAACTAGTGTAACGCCGCCCTAGGAAGGGGACTAACGCAGGCTACGCGCAAGCTGTACGCAGTATGCGCACAGCGTATTAGATGCACATTGTAAACTAGAAGCGGTGCGTGGCGCAGGCTGCGTGGCGCAGTCTGCGCACAGGCCACAGCACGTGCTAGCGCACGGGCCAAGTAGAAACGGGGTCGCGCCTGTCCTGCGCACTTGGTGCGCCAGAGGTGCGCCTAAAATAAAGAGCGCCTCCCGCACTCCCTTAGAGTGCAGAAGGCAAGAATTAGCTATTGAATATACGGCTGCTTCCTCCTATTAAGAAGATACCTCTTTGCCTGCCTAACTTACCTAGCCTACCTAAGTACACCTTTAACAATTCCTAATTCTTTTACTATTAGGCTACCCAAGTTAGGAGGCAAAAGGAGCAATAGTACCTTAAAAGACTACGAAGCAAACGTTGCACGCACGTAGTGCGCAGGAAGAGAGCAGCTCTAGGGCGATAGTCGAGAACCTCCTTAACCTTATTATTAAAGAAGTAAAGAACAAAGACTTTAATCTCTTAGAGAAGGATTATAAGCAACTAGATAACGACGATGCAGGCAAAGGCCCCTTAAGGCAGACTATTAAGCCTACTATAGACTAAATAGTAGCGGACCTTATTGCTGAAAATAATTGACTATGTAAAGCAGAGCGCTTAAAGCAGCGAATAGTAAACCTATAGCAATAGCTCTTAGTGTTAAAGGTGTACTTAGGTAGGCTAGGTAAGTTAGGCAAGCAAGGAGGTATCTTCTTAACAAAAGGAATATAACGCCGCCCTAGGAAGGGGACCGACGCAGGCTACGCGCAAGCCGTACGCAGTATGCGCACAGCGTATTAGATGCACATTGTAAACTAGAAGCGGTGCTGGTGGCGCAGGCTGCGTGGCGCAGTCTGCGCACAGGCCACAGCACGTGCTAGCGCACAGGCTAAGTAGAAACGGGGTCGCGCCTGTCCTGCGCACTTGGTGCGCTAGAGGTGCGCCTACGATAAAGAGTGCCTCTTGCACTCCCTTAGAGTGTAGAAGGCAAGAATTAGCTATTAAATATACGGCTGCTTCCTCTTGTTAAGAAGATACCTTCTTGCCTGCCTGACTTACCTGGCTTACCTAAGTATACCTTTAATACTTGCGTAATAAGAAAGAGTATATAAAGTACTTAAACTAGGTCTTTAAGCGTCTTTAGCAAGCTTAGTTATTTGTTAATAGCAACAAATGCTTGTTTTACTAATAAAAAGTTAAATTCCTAAGGTTTATTATTAAAAGCAAAGGGTTTGCAATAAACCTACGCAGAGTACGCGCAATTATAGAATAGCTAACACTATAAACATTTAAAGAGGTGTAAGTCTTTCTTAGATTCTATAACTTCTATCGTCGCTTTATTAAAGCTTACTTAAACATCTTATCTTCTTTATTAGGGCTGCTATAAGGCAGCAAAAATAGTAAAAAGCTAGGACCGGTGCAGTTAGAGAGCAAGAAGCGCGCAGCCTTTGCAATGCTAAGGGAGGCATTTACAAAAGCACCTTTGCTACGCCATTTTAACTTAGAACAGGCAATACGCGTAGAGACTAGTGCCTTAAAGGTAGCTATTAGCAGGATTATCTTTTAATAAGATAAAGAGAAAGCCTAGCACTTAATTACCTTCTAGTTAAGAAAACTATAAGGACTAAAGCTAAATTATAGCATCCTAGATTAAAAGCTACTAGCAATTATAGACTCCTTTAAGTAATAGCAACACTACCTTAATAGCAGTAAAAAGACAATTAAAGTCTTATTAAACTATAACAACTTACGCACCTTTATAACCTAGCTAAGGTACAATAGACGCAAGGCTTACTAGGCTATATACCTATCCCCCTTTAACTTTGTAATTAAGCATAAACTAAGCGTAATAAACCCGGCCGATGCGCCGTTAAAACAGCTAGATTACTTTAATAAACCTAGACAAGTTAGAATAACTATTACTAGGGTATAAAAGGAAGACGCACAGTTAGCGGGCATTATAGCTATAGCGCAAAAAACGCGTAAGATGCACGCACCTATTATAGAAGACAATAGCGCTAAGCTAGTTACTAACGTAGCTTATACGAATAAAACGCGCAAGATATGCGCACTTGCAAAAGAACCTAGCAAGAAAGAGAAGCTAAGCGCTACCTTTAAGATCTTAGTAGCCTTAGATTTTACGCAGCAAGCTACCGCAGCGCAAAACAGCGCACTGCCTAAGCAAGCAAAGCGTAGTAAACTAGAAAGGCTAGACGACTATAAAAAACCCTAAAAAGACCTTAAGGATATTACTACTACAGCGCTAATTAAGGGTTTAACGCCCTTAATAAGCGTAGATAAGAACCTAGTATACTCTAGCCTACTATAGCAACCAGCTATTGTTGCTACCCTACATCTACACCTTTAAGAAAATAGAGTCTCTAAAGCTATTCGCAGAGCAATAGCAGAAATCTAAGACGCAAACCTAAAGGTACAAGTTGTTAAGGCGCGTATAAAGCGCACTATAAGCGTAAAAGATGCAATAATGCTATAAAGCCTTGCACTAAACGGTATATTACTATAGGAAAACTACCTATATATAAGTAGCGCGTACGTCCTTTATTAAAAGCTACTATAGCTTTATTATAACAACTAAATCTCTAGGCACTTTGTAGTTGCTAAGACCTTAGAACTAGTTTATCGCCACTTCTACTAAGAAGAAATAAAGAAGGATATAAAGGCTTATATTACCTTATACCTAGTTTACTAAAGATAGACGATTAAATAGTATGCATAATATAGTAAGCTAAACTTGCTACTATTACTATAAGTTTCTTAGTAAGAAATCTTTATAGACTTAATTACTAGGCTACTAGTAGCTAAAGCGAGTATAGGCAGTAAAGTAAATACAATTCTAGTAATCGTTAACTACTTTATAAAGATAAACCTCTTCTTTGCTATATAGACTACCTTAACAGCTAAAAGCCTTACATACCTTATACACTAATATATAAAACTAGTATACAGCGTAACACTAAAGAGTATAGTCTTTAACTAGAGAAGCATATTTACTAGCGAATTCTAAAGTAAATATTACTATTAAACTAGAATCTATAGGCGGCTATTAACTACATTTTACCTTTAGATAAATAGGTAAACAAAAAGATCTAACTAGACGTTAAAGCAGTACTTACGCTACTTTATAAATAAAGAAGCAAATTAAATT